ACGCCACGACGGAGCATGACGTCAAGGTGTACTCTATCCTCGGCGACAAGGTCTACAAGTCGGTCGGGCAGATGAGGGCGGGCAGGTTGACGGAGGCGCCGCCTGCAGATGCTAATCCATGGGACAAGACCATGTGGCAGATGCAGCGGTACCTGTTCACGGTGGACGCAGAGACGGCGAAGGCGGCAGCTGGAGGGATGGGAAGATTCTCACCGTTGGTGTTCTCGGCGGGCGGTTTGGTGGAGAAGGGGACGATGGGAAGGATGATGGAATGGAAGGAGGCGGTATCGGACGGAGCTTGGGAGTACATGCTGCGGAGGATGGCGCTGGGGCTGTTGAGGAGCAGGGCGAAGATGTGGCAGGTTGGAGGGTAGACGGAGTGATGAGTAGCTAACTTGATAGAAACACTTGTATCTCATAGCAATAAGTATGCAGCTCAATCACCCCCAGGCGGCAGCTGGAGGGATGGGGAGATTCTCACCGTTGGTGTTCTCGGCGGGCGGTTTGGTCGAGAAGGGGACGATGGGAAGGATGATGGAATGGAAGGAGGCGGTATCGGACGGAGCTTGGGAGTACATGCTGCGGAGGATGGCGCTGGGGCTGTTGAGGAGCAGGGCGAAGATGTGGCAGGTTGGAGGGTAGACGGAGTGATGAGTAGCTAACTTGATAGAAACACTTGTATCTCATAGCAATAAGTATGCAGCTCAATCACCCCTAAGGTTAGCGGTACCAGAGTGCAGCTCGAGCCCCTCACAACCGACCACGGTTCCCAGCGACGTAACGACCTGCTCGTTTGGGGATCGGACGGGCTAGGGAACGCCACGACAGAGCATGACGTCAAGGTTTACTCTATCCTCGGCGACAAGGTCTACAAGTCGGTCGGGCAGATGAGGGCGGGCAGGTTGACGGAGGCGCCGCCTGCAGATGCTAATCCATGGGACAAGACCATGTGGCAGATGCAGCGGTACCTGTTCACGGTGGACGCAGAGACGGCGAAGGCGGCAGCTGGAGGGATGGGGAGGTTCTCACCGTTGGTGTTCTCGGCCGGCGGGCTGGTGGAGAAGGGGACGATGAAGAGGATGATGGGATGGAAGGAGGCGGTATCGGACGGAGGGTGGGAGTACATGCTGCGGAGGATGGCGCTGGGGCTGTTGAGGAGCAGGGCGAAGATGTGGGAGGTTGGAGGATAGTCGGGGTGATGAGTAGCTAACTTGATAGAAACACTTGTATCTACATAGCAATACATATGCAGCTCAATCACCCCCATGTGGGAGGTTGGAGGATAGTCGGGGTGATGAGTAGCTAACTTGATAGAAACACTTGTATCTACATAGCAATACATATGCAGCTCAATCACCCCCAAATCCCACCGTGGGAAAGCCCCTTCCAAGCCACGTGCGTTGATGACCCGACCTAACCCTCCTCGGAAACTCCTAAAGTCGTTACCGTTGCGGGAATCAGAGCTAGCTACATTGTCGAGAATGTGCAGCTAAGATCAGAGAAGGTTGAGAGCAAAATAGTCAAGATCTGAAAAAGGTCGCGGATAGCTCCACCGCCAGATTCCCCACCGACTCAGCATATTTGCGTCCGTCCCCGCCATGGTCCAGCCTCAGAGCTTCAGTGCCAAAGAGCAGCGGGAAGAGTACAGCAACGAGATAGTATAGCACGTCTAGATATTCTACACATACACCCATGGACCCATGGTCCCCCACACCTACATTATACACTCAGCATCATGATCCTGCAGCTGATCAGCGGTTGCCATATATCGCAAGACAAGTAGCTCACCCGTCCATAATGAACGCATCCACTGTCCGCCCATCTGCTCCGCCTGATCTCAGAGTCGCGATATCCCCTCCGTCTCCGAACGTAGCGAGCAGCAGGCCAGCGTCCTTGACTGAGGCGACGAGGGAGGGAACCGCAGCCTGGTAAAGTCAGCTTGATCTCAAGTCACAGAGTTCGCAGTCCGCAAAGCTCTCCGTCCCGTCCCTCTTCTCCGTGCGATCAGGAGTGCCATCTCCCCTGGCTCTGCTAGCCGCCATGATCTCCTGCCCGAATGGGACCCACACCCTCCAAACTCCAGCGACTTTATGCCCCTCATCCCCTTAAACACCCTGCCACCTTGCTCATCCCGTACTATCCACCTCCACCAGCGTGCTTGCTACCATCCCAGTCCCCAATACCCCCTGCTAGACCAAAGAACAACTCACAAGTGTAGTAGCCTCCAAGATCACACCCAGCAGATTCGTAGACTTCGCAAAGTTGACCGCCTCCCTCACGCTCAGACACCTCAGGTCCGTCTCTTCCTCCGCGGGTGCTTGTTGCAGGGTATGGCCGGTGCGGAGGCGAGATATACCGCAGTAGGAGGCAAAGAAGACGGCGTCTGAGGAGTCAGCATTACGCTTATCGGATCGACGACCTCTCCAGCGTACGCCCGTATAGACGGCCGCATACTACCCGTCTCTTCCTGCCTCCTTCGTGCACACCCCTGACTCCCACAGTCGCCTTCTCTCCCTTCTTTCCACCCTGAACGTTCTTGACCCAGACAACTCACAATTCGGCTGCTTCCAATTCAACGCCGTACACACCGTCGGCTCAAAACTGCTAAAGACAATCTTCCTGCTCGATCCGCCCACCGCCCCACTCCTCCCCGCATCATAGATCCCCGCCAATACCCTATCCACAAACTCGTTCACCTCGATACTCCTTCCCACCTTCTGCAACCCGCTGTCAAAGTTCCGGCAATACCGGAGTTGGACGTTGATGCCTATATCGACGGGGACGGCTGCGAGTAGATCGTCGAGCGATGTGAGGGAGGAGGAGATGGCGGAGAACCACGCAGAGGCGGTAGATGTGGGAGGAGGAGTGAGGGTGCGATGTAGGGAAGAAGAGAGGGAGAGGAATTGGTCATGCGTAACGTCTGCGACACCGATATCGAGTCCGGGGATGGGGAGGCGCCAGTCCGGATACGCGACAGGGATACCGTCCTTTGTCACCTGGACAGTAACGTGGACGTACTCGCCAGAGAGGGACGAGGCGGTGACGAGTGCCGATTCCCGAGATTGCTGGTTAGGAGCTGCGATAGCTGGCGGGCGGATAGCGGGAGAGGAGGTGGATACGGAGAGGGGGCGGTGGGCTTGGTATTGATGGGCGTGGTCCTGAGTCGGCGTGGACGGGGTGACTTTGGACTTCCAGTACGTCTCGACCCGTCCGCCTATTTCCAGCTGCGCCCCCTCGAACGGCCGGATACATGACACCTCGAAGGCGACCTCGCCGATAGTTTTAAGATGGTGGTCCAGGAGCGGAGCGACGAAGCCCTTGTGGTACCGAATGTCCATAAAGGTCGAGGGGAGGATGATGGCGCGTCCGATGACTTTGGAGCCGAAAGTGGGGTATAGAGATAGCTCGAGGGTGAACCGTTCCAGCGATTGGACCTGGAACGAGAAGACCTCGCGCTCGTCCGGAAGAGGGAGGATGACCGAGTGAGGTACCGCCGAGATGTCCGACTTGGACGCCATGACGAGCTTAAGCGAGGACCAGAGGTGAAGCGAGTCGGTACCGGTCCCGAGGCGCGAGTAGAGTTTGACCGGTGGGATCTTGTGGTCGGACGAGCGGGAGAAGGGATGACCGAGGGAGAGTTGGACAAGGCAACGCTGAGCGAGGAACTCGTGGCCGTAGACTCGGAGACTGGGGTCAGCTAGCCCAGAAGCAGTACTCACGGGATGATAGGTGGAGGCAAGCTCAGACTCGGTATCAACTCAAACTCCTCCATACCCTGCTCTCGATCCAGTTCGACATCGCTCCCCGGACTCAACGCATCCATCTGCGGATCCGCCGCTAGTCCCAGACTCTCCATCCCTTCCAGCGCGTGCTGCTTCCCCAGCTTTGCCCCGTTATCCAGCAAGAAGTTGAGGATATCCACATGACCAAACCACGCCGCGTACCACCCAGGCGACTTGCCATACTCGTCCGAAGCATTGACATCGCATCCGGCCTTGACGAGCACGCGGATACACGCAAGGTGTCGTAGCTCTCCGCCGACGGCCGCATGGTGGAGTGGGGTCCAGAGGTTGTACTTGTCCTGCCGGTCGTTGCCGCCTCCGTCCGGTCCACCCGCATCGACGAGGAGTTGGCAGATGGCATCGTGACCCGCCTTGGCCGCAAAGTGCTGAGGATATAGCCCTTCCGAGTTGGGGATGACCTTTGCGCCGGACTGGAGGAGTAGACGAGCGACCTCGAGATGGCCGTACTGACATGCGAGAGAGAGGGGGATGAGGTCATTGGAGACTTTGGTGGGCTCGACGGGGATCTTGCCAGTGACGAATATGCGTACGACGTCGAGATGACCTTGGGTGATGGCGTGCATGAGGGGTGTGTAGCCGTCCATGTCGGTTGAGGAGGATTGGGCAGTACGGAGGAGGTACGAGACAATATCGGCGTGACCGTGCATTGCGGCATAGTGGAGGGGCCGACGGTCATACGCGTCCGTCCGCTCGAGAAGGGCAGGGACCGTTTCGACGCAGATCTGGACGAGCCGGATGGATCCCGCCATGCACGCTTGATGGAGAGGTGACCGACCGTTGATGTTGTCGACCCCGTCAAAGTCGAGCTGAGCCGACGACAGGACGAGATTCAGATCCTCCTCCTTGACCGACAACGCCGCCCGCCATAATATCCGCATCACCCGCCTGTCCTTCCCGCGCTGCTGCCTCCCCTTGGCCACCTTGAGCCAATCCGCTATCGCCTCCCTACCCGATACCAGCGCCTTGCCCAGCCCATTCTCCAGATCCACCAGTGCGTCCATCGCCAGCGCTTGCCCCGCATCCGAGTCAAAGTCCACCCGCCGATCCACCACCATCTCCGGCAGGTCCGCAAAGAGGTTGGTAGACAGGTGATCCGAGCCGTTCTCGAGATCGAGCAGATTGGCGGCGACGATATCCGATAGCTTGGCGATAAACTCCCGGTTGAAGCATGGTTGGACCTCGACCTGGCGCTCCAGGTACATCTCCTGCGTGTTGCTCTTTGACCGCTTGTCCCACTTTTTCAAGATCTTGCGGAACCCCGTCGCGTTGATCTCGATGAACCCCTGGAGCTTGCCTAGATCCCGCTCAAACAGGCGCCATGCCTCTTCGAGCGAGTTCCATTCGACACCTCGACGGGCTCCAGGTGGTCCAAAGTCCTCGTCCGAGCCGCCGTTGGGTTCTGGGTTGAAGCTGGATTGATGATGGAGCAGGCGTTTGCGATTGGTGAGGAGGGTGAGGAGGCGGAGGCGGAGGTCTCGTTCTTTGATGAGGTAGAAGGTGTTGATCTGAATCAGTTGAGGCCTCGCTTTGACTCACCTTTTCCAGCTCCCGCTGCAGGGTAAAGAAGAAGACATCCCGATGCGCCTTGAAACTCTTCCCGCGCTCATTGCTTTCTCCAGCCAAACTCCCCGTCCGACTAGGGGCCGGTGGCTCCGTCTCTGGCGGTAGTGGATCGAGATCGATTGATTGTGACCGGTCCAAAGAGGGGAGCGCAGAGAGGGAGGATTCGGGACGGGACTCGGAGGTGGAGAGGGTACGCTTGGCGGGACGGAGACCGAGCGAGAGGAGGGATGCGTCTGCGGCAGAGCGGCCGGCAGCGTAAGAGTTGATGATCTTTTTGAGCGCCTGCGAGTCAATACAGCGCCAAGGATGCAGGAGAAACGACAAGGCTTACCTTGTAGTTGAGGTAGTAGTCCCCCCACCCCGGAACCTGCTGCGACTGGATGGTCTTGCCGAACTGGACGTGAGCTTCGGTCGAGCTTCTCAGAGAGCTTATCTCACCTTCATATTGCCAGCTCCCTATCCTCCTTCTCGATGGGTGATAGCAGCTCCTAGCTCCTGTCCGTCTACTGCTCGAGCGCGACCACCTAGGCTATCCGCAATTCCGATCCGAGTGCTCTGGTCGATCTCGCGCCCGTTTTCTGCTCGCGCTTTCCGAGCTGGCGCTCAGTCGGTCGAGGAGCTGACGGAGTAGCCTCTACACTTGGGGCTGTGTTGTACAGTATAGCTGCGAGATGGAGGTATAGAGGAAAAGACAGGTGAGTATGAGGTCGAAGCTGAGTGGAGGTTGAACGTGCACGTGCGCAACTCTCCTAATCGAAATTCAAATTCAATTGAATACAATTACATTAGCTTTCAATTTTGATTACAAACCTCCACCTCACTCTCCGCAATCTTCCCACCACTCTTCCTTCTCTCCCTACATCTCCCACCGCAGCAAGCATGACTCACCAGCCCGTCACACACCTATACAGGTCTCTTCTGAGGGAACTTCGCTTCTCGGTGAGCACGGCGATCCACTCCTTGCCGAGCGAAATGAGAGCTGACATCTCCAGTCCAAGCAACCTACAATAAAGCGTAGCCCTATCGTCGTCTCCCAAGTTCGCCAGCTGGTCTCGAGTATACAGTCAGAGGATCAACTGTCCAGGACACTGATGGAGACGAGGGACTTCTTGAGGTCATCTAGGATATATGGGGTGAGTCTGCTTCCACAGGGTGTTGGGTGATGTGGGTGATTGGGACTGGACGCTCTGGATCAGGTACACGCAGAGAGGCCAGGGCGGGCTGGAGCATGTCGGTCTTGAGTGATGACGGAGGTACTGAGCTGATCTGTCAGGACCTTCTGAAGAGATACAACCCACTGCACGACATGTCAGACGACGAGCGGATCAGGGCTACTGCCAGACGGGTCGGGCTGGATGCGCCAACGGAGTACAAGCCGCCAGATCAATAGGAGGACGAGCGAGCATGGACGGTAGCGATGTCGTATAGTACTCATCACAGCCATGTTGAGCTACTGATAGCAATTGCTCACGGTACTGATATGCCTTACGCCGTCGCCTAGTGGATCAATTCTCTCGCTTGCCTGATACCCGGCTGATCCTGTTCGATCGCTTGGAAGCTGACCTGGTCACAGCTGACCTGTCTAGCGCTTGGGTGTGGTCATGTCAGGCGGGAATCGGGCCTGGCTCAGCATACCATAAGTGCTGATTAGCTGAACGTGTCAGAGTAGGGGTCCCTTGGCCGAGGAGCTGCAGCCATGTTGTGCTAGCTTACTGCACTGACCCACATGTTATATCTGGTAACAAGCACGTTGCTCATATCCCTCACCTATTCGAGCTCGTGGGTATTCCACCCCGCTGCATGAGCAGGGCGTGCAGTACGAGTCGAGCATGCTGACGACCACCGGTCATCGATGTCGCTTAGCTCCACTTACCGCGCAAAGAATGTTTTGTGAGCTCGCAGGCTGCCATGGATTAGCAGTCCTTGTGCGTTAGATGTGCGTATGAGCGAGCAGCGAGTGGATAAAGCCCGAGACACGGTCAGCTGACGGCTACTTATGGTCTATCGATGGGGCAGCCCGCAGTACTAATCAAGTCGTCGCGCTTCTTGAGCTTTGCCTGCGATTCATCTCGATAGACTCGGTGTAAGCCTCTGATACGAAGGCCGTCGCGATGCAGAGGGAGTAAGTCACCCACCCACAAAGCATGTCTGGATTCCGATCAACGGGCTTCACTGCAGACAGCTTGTTGTCGCTGTTCAAGATCGCAAGGGGGACGCTGGGTTGACCTGCTTGTCTGCAAAACTCACATGAACGATACTCTCCTCACGTCTAGTTCCAGCCGCCTAGATCTTTCTAGCGCCGCGTGTTACTCTTCTTCCTTACTCTTCTCTCAGTCTCGGCCGGGGACGAGGTCAAAGACTGGACCAGATTCTAACCACGGATCGCGATCCCAGCAAGTACTTGTGCAGCGCTATTCCACCACTCATGTGTATCGCAGTTGGACTGAGCAGGGCAGTAGTACTGCGGCGCAGAGCTGCGGCTTGCCCTAGCCTCGAGCTAACATCTCCCCCGATCTCACTTGACCGAGGCGATGTAGCTCGGCTATCAGAGCGGCCATCGTCGCCACTCTCTGTGATATAGTTGACCAGTCTCAAGCTGACATCTCTGTCCACATCTCACTCAACGTGGCCGTGTCAGATATCAGGGAACGAGACTACTCAGTGTACTGCCGCAGACCGCCCCGTCTTTCGAATCCGACAGACTCAAGGTGACCGCTGCAGAGACACGCAGTCTTTGTTACGGTGGGAGTCTGCATCGAATACCGCTTCTGCCACTCACAGCCTCCAGCCTCAAGCTAACATCTCCGCCCCCATCCCAACCAGACGAGATCATCTCCACCAGCGGAACAGCAAACGAGACTGCTCTTTCTGCTGCCGTAGATCATGCCGTCTTCACAATGCAGCAGACGCAAGGAAGACCGCCGCTCAGATACGCAGACTTCATTACAGCGGGAGTCTAGGTGATTTATCCCCTCCGCCACGAACGGCCGCCAGCCTCAAGCTGGCATTTCCGCTCCGATCTCACTCAGACGAGGTCGTCTCAACTATCGAGGCAGCAGACGAGGCTACTTTCTGTGCTGCCTTACATCATGTCGTCTCCACAATGCTGCTGACTCAAGTATGAAGACCGCCGCTCTGATTCACAGTCTTCATTACAGCGGGTCTAGGTGATATGTCTCTTCTACCACTCACAGCCGAAGAGTACCTACTCAGTGGGGTCGAGTCGGCTATATGAGCTTGATGGAACAAAGCAAGGTCACCAACACATCACCACCAAGCTGCGCTGACGGATGCTAGCGATCGCGCCTCACCCAATACCCAAAAGTGCTGACTGGCACTTCAGTAGGCAGTTCTCCATACGCACACGTCTTCACCCATCAACACCGCCAATCTCTATCTCGCACATGACCGCTATATCGGGTCATAGTTCACAGGTGTGGGAGAGAAGCAGCTCGAGCGGCCTATCTATCGTCAAGATGGCTTGGCGAAGGGGCTATCACTCCGGCGGGGGTCCCGATCAGCCCCGTTATCAGGCCGAGAACCCTTCGGGGCTCGGTAGAGATCGGTCAAGCTGTTCGGCAGGTCGGGACCGATGCACCGGAGACCAGCCGGAGCCTCTCGGAGAGCAGCAAGCATATGAGAGGGCGGGAAAATTGCTGGAAAAACTCTTTGCGACTGCGGACAAACGATCCTCCACCATGGTCAACTCTGTCTATTCTTAGCTGCTGTACGTGAGGCTGACTTTTGACCATACCGGCGGGTGGACGGTATATAGCTGACCCCATCGGTGCCCCCATGTGCCCCATCCTTCTTCCCCTCACACACAGAGATTACCATGAACCACCTCCGCCCCCTCGACAACCCGGCCGATATTGACTATAAGGAGGAGGTGGCGCAGCTCGAGAACAAGGCGTATGTCGAGAGCGACCCAAGGCTTGCTGGATTGGCGGATGAGCTCGCCTGGGCCCATGGGCTCAGCGAGGAGGAGCTGGCTGCCGAGTCGAAGAAGCTTCTTAGGAAGGTGAGCTGCACGGCGGTACCCATGAAGGTCAAGGCTGATGTGCAGGTGGACTGGCGTCTCATGCCCACTCTATTCATCGTGAGTCTCCCTCTGAAACCCGCCTCCACTTTTCGCATCCGCCTCTGCACTCTGCACCTTAGGCAGCGTAATAGGCCATCTAGACCCTTGTCCTCGCTAGTTCGATACGTACGCTGACTCCACAGCTCATCGTGCTCAACTACCTCGACCGGAATGCGCTAGCGTGAGTGTATCTTCCTCTCCCCTCGATACTCGGCTCACGCTCGCAGCGCCGCCCGTGTCCAAGGCATCGAAGCTGACTTGGGAATGACTGGTAATGACTTCAACGTCGCTATCTCGGTGAGTAACGCTCTTCTCCTTCCTTGTGGCCTCGCTGACTATCAAGGTGCTCTTCGTTGGCTACATTCTCGGTCAAATCCCCTCCAACTACATTCTCTCTCGTAGCCGACCCTCACTCTACCTCTCCTTCTGGGTCGTCGTCTGGGGCGCCGTCTCTACCTGCACCGCTGCCGCCCGCAACTTCAGCTCGCTCGTCGTCATCCGGTTCTTCCTCGGTTTCTGCGAGGCACCCTACTTCCCTGGAGCCCTCTTCTTGCTCTCGTCCTGGTACAACAAAAAAGAGCTCGCTTTCCGGATGGCCTTCCTCTGGTCCGGCTCCCTCCTCTCTGGCGCTTTCTCAGGCTTCATCTCGGCCGGCATCCAAGCGGGTATGCAAGGTACTCTGGGCCTCTCCGCATGGCGGTGAGTCACTTCCTCCTGCGGTGCATTGCTGTGCTGACTTTCAGGTGGATGTTCATAATCGAGGGTGCTGTCACCATTGTCTTTGGCGCCGCCGCAGTATTTGTTCTGCCCGACTATCCCTCGACGTAAGTCCGAATCCAGCTCCTGCTCAACTGAAGCTGACTTTCAGTACACGCTGGCTCACACCTCGCGAGCGCGCTCTCGCCGTATACCGTCTTCAAGCCGATGCTGGGGAGGCGGACGAGGAGCAGATTGGCTTCTTCCGCGCTCTCAAGCTCGCCGTCTCCGACTACAAGCTGTGGCTCCTCGCCCTCATCCAGGTCACCAAGACGACTGCAGCCGCCGTAACTCAGTTTATCCCCACCGTCGTCAACACATTTGGCATGTCCAAAGTCAACACGTAAGTCCACATCGTCCCTCATCCCGGTACATGAGCTGACCCGCTAGTCTCCTCCTCACTGCTCCTCCCTACCTTTTCGCCGCCATCCTCGCCTTCTTCATCTCATACTCGTCGGACCGCAAGCCCGAACGTGCCTTCCACTTGGCCATCCCAATCATGGTGGCTGCTGTGGGGTGAGTGTTCCCCTCTGTCTGAAACGCGCCTGGACTGATCGTCAGTAACGTCGTCGCTGCTACCACCACCACCATTGCCGCTCGGTACACCGCCTTGTTCCTGCTGCTCGGCGGCATCTATGGTTCCTTCAACGTCTGCAACGCCTGGACCAGCTCCATGTTTGCTCGACCGAGGGCAAAGCGCGCCATGGCCTACGCTACCATCAACTCGATCTCAAACAGTGCGTCTATCTTTTGGCCATCCCCGAAGGCACAGCTAACGTTACAGTGGCGCAAGTCTGGACACCTTACATGTACGACTCGAAGTACTCGCCCCAATACACCATCGCATTCTCTGTCAACGTCGTCATGTGTTGTATCGCCGTCTGCACTACCTTCCTCGTCCGCTGGATCCTCGCACGTGCCAACCGCAAGATGGATAAAGATGAAGCAGAGGGGGCGGATCAGGAGGGCTTTGTCAAGAAGATCAGGTACACTCTTTGAGAGGTGGTGGATGGGAAACAGGTTATGAGTTGGCTCTTTGTCAGCAGTCTGTCAATGTATATGCTTTCAGGTCTTGGTACCGTATCTTCATCTGCGCCTGACTTTCTTGGCCTGCCTAAGCTTGCAAGAGCAGATGATAAGCACCTTGGCCTGCAATGCTCATCGTTGTAGCGGGTGGCATGTCAACTCCGGCGCAGTGGCGGACTGACAGGTGAGCTGAAGGTCGAGTGGCAAGGTGATAAGGGGGAAAGCCATGGAAAGACACGCATGTGATGATACCGGATACATGATGATTCGTCTAGGTGATATACAAGACACCTCTACTGCTTCTCCACGTCCCTTCCATCTCCCCCAAACCGCCTCGGCACCTTGCCGCCCATAGCGGCAACCTCGGGAGCGACGAAGATGCTCCCATTTCCCACCTTGTACAGTGTAAATACCGACACGTACACCCAGTTCAACGCCACCTGGACCGAGAGGAACGCGCCGATGACCCGGAAAGCCGAGGAGTCCAGCTCGGTCGCGAAAATATTGGTAGCAGTGGCAAAGACGCCGATGGGGAAAGTGAGTGCCCACAAACCGACCGAGAAGCGAGAGTGGGAAAAGAAGTTGCGATTTGGCCGTTGTAGGACGTGACCGAGTATGACGGCGTGCGCGAGGAGGTACCAGCAGAGGCCGAGGCCCCAGAGGATGAGGCCGGTGATGAGTCCGCCGGCGTATATAGCGTCGGCGATGATGAGGGAGGAGGTGGAGGCCGTCGAGGAGGAGGGAGAGATAGCGAAACCGACATTGTGATCATAGGCGAGCTCACGGACGGTGCGACCGAGGAGAATGATGCCGAAACTCCCTTGCCCGCAGGGACCGAGCGGGAGAAACATGCTGGGGAGGGCGGCTGTACCGGGGACACCGCCGACGACAGTACGGTAAAGCCAGAGGGTGATGATGAAGCAGGCGATGGGTACGCCCGTTCCCCAGATGATGTACGACACCACGATGGTGCTCGATGCGAGAGAGGGCGAGAAAGGCATGATGGCCGCTGCGACTACCCCGCCCGATGCGGCCGCGACGACCGAGGATACGATGGGGAGCAGCCAAACCGCGGCGACGCTCTCGAAGGTGTGGTTTTGCCGAGTGAACCCGAACATTAGCTGTGATCATATAGAACAGCAAAGGGACATACATGGCAAAGAGCATTCCCAGATTGACCAGTACCGACAGAAGAGCCATAATCCACCAAAGGCCGAGTGCAAGCTGGGCCCACTGATACCCCCATGCTGGTACACAGACGTACGCAACCATGTTCTACTGATCAGCTGTACTCCCGACGGGAATCGAGAAGCAACGCACAACAATGGTCGCAAAACCCATCGGCAAAGCTCCCCAGAACATGCCCGCGACTGGGTGCGCCATAGTCGCTGTGAAGAGCCCCTTGTATCGAGTATACCGCCCCAGATTCCCAGCTATGAGTAGCAGGAAGACCAATATGTTGAGGACGAAGATGACGGTGCCCAGTATGCGCAACCACGCCGCCGGGTATGGGAAGTTATAGAGCAGGATTGAGGTGATGCCGGTGCCCATATTGAGAGTGAAGAAGGACGGCGTGAGGTTGAGACAGGCATGGTCAAGCCGCTGACCTATAGAGCGGGAGGGCTTGGAGGGAGGAGGTAGAGGCGAGGGCATAGCTGCCAATTTACTGGTCGAGGCGGGATCGGAGACGGACCGGTCAACCGGGCTCATGTCTTGATCGTAGGGAGCGAGAGTCGAGGTGGATAGGGACATTGTGGGGGTAGATCGCGCTGGAGGAGGGCATCATGCTCTTCTTATATTGCTTCGGGGCGCCCAGAGCAAGAGCAGCGGTAGGTCCGAATGGTGGTCAGATGGAATACGATGTAGAAGAGGTTCGGAATAGGCATTCCGAATCGCAACTTGTGTCGGTCCGAGTGAAGAGTCCGGGCAAGAGTCCGGGCCGAAGGTAGATTGTCGGGCAGACTGCTGCAGTGTGGCAAGGACCAGGCTGGCCTAGGACATCGCACGCCACAGATACGGCTAAGACGAAGAAGAAGCGAGTGGGGATCATGATCCATAGCTGCATACTGAGCAGCTGGGGACGGATGCTGCAGCACTGACATGAGATAGCCCTACCTTACACTCTCTCTACCTACAACATCGCTCTGAGCTGCGCCTTGAGCGTCTCCCCATCCGCTGCGAAGCCTCTGATCCCTTCATACAGCTTCTCGAACGCCATCCGCTCCTGGAACAACTCCCAGCGGAACTTGGCCTCGTCGTCGATGTAGCTGACCTTTGGGACGGCGTGTTGCTTTGCGGAGTCGAGAGACAGCTTGCGAGGCACGGGCTCACTGTATGATCAGCCACGCTCAACTCCAAGGAGTGAAGACCGGTCTCACCTCGACTCCATGAGCTCCTTCAGCACAATCGGGTTGATGGTGAGGAAATCACATCCCGCAAGCGCGATGACCTCTCCGACTCGCTTGAATGAGGCGCCCATCACTATGGTCTTGTAGCCATGCTGGCGGTAGTAGCTGAACTATGAGCTTATGTCCAGGAATGTAGGCGTGGGGTTCGGGCTCACTTGTAGATCTTCTCGACAGAGTCGACACCTGGGTTGCGCTCCGCAGGGAACTCCTGGCCTTCCACGGCACGATACCAGTCCAACACCTGGAATCAGTATGTACAGTCTGGACAGTAAACTCACCCTAGCGACGAAGGGGGAGACCAGAGTCACTTCTGCCTCGGCGCAAGCAATGGCTTGTACCAAAGAGAACATGAGAGTGAGGTTACAGCTTTATAGTCAGCAGAGATTCAGAGCGGGTGCGCAGAACCGGGTGTATCGTGGACATACCATATACCCTCACGCTCTAGCTCTTTAGCAGCCTGGATGCCTTCCCAAGTCGACGCAATCTGCAGATCAGCGACCTTCAAGCGGACAGAAGCGCACGACCCACCTTGATCAATACCCGCTCCTTGGGCACACCCATCGATTTGTACAGAGCGATGATCTGCTTGGCTTTGGCAATAGTCCCGACTGTATGTCAGCTGAGATCCTAGCTGGAGCTCACCAGTGTCAAACGAGAACGAGGCGTCAATCTCGGTAGACACACGTCCGGGGATCATCTTGAGTATTTCCCGCCCGAACTCCACGAGCAAGTGGTCCATGGCATTCTCGGCCTGGGTATCGACATCGCTTTGAGCGTCAGCTGAGGCTCGTCTGATGCTAGACTGGACTCACCCGCCCTTCTGCTTTGCATAGTCGACCGCAATCTGCATGAGCTTGGCGCACTCCGGCAGCTTTGTGGCGTTGAGTCTAAGGATCAGCTCCGTCCCGAGCATCCTCATCCTGGTGGGGACCGGAGCGCACATAAGAGTGGGATTGGTAGTAGCATCTTGAGGCTTGAAGACGCTAATGGCGGTAAAGTCGCCAGTGTCGGCCACGACGATAGTACCGGTGCTGTTCCAGTCAGCTCGCTTTCCAGAAGAAGGCGCGGGAAACCCTGCTCACGCTTTGAGGGCTTCAAGAGCGTTCATCTTGTAGGATATGATGGCGGCCAGTATGCAGTGGTATGCAATGTGAGATCAAATAGCTACGAGGCTGCTGTAGAAGAGTCATGGTGGACGGTAGATGTATGGAAAGAGATTTCGGATGAGTCGGAGTTCGGGCTTTCTGTCGGCGACTAAATTCCCGGGCGGCCGACGGATGCAGTCCCATCTGCCTGGGCTGCGCTCGTCCACAGTGGCGAGTAGCTACTGCTCTGGGTAAGATCGTGTGCAGCGAGACAGATAGATATCGTGCGCTCCGTCCGATGGATATACATTACAACTTCCACCTAGTCGCAGCTTCTAGGTATCACATTCCCCCAATCCTCTGCCCTTCCCCCGACCCAGAGGCATATTGCCCAGATTCATCTGTACCGCTCATCAATGATAACCTGCTTGTCAGCTTTGATACACAAGAACTCACCATAATGACTCGTGTGTGAACGCAAAAGACTGATCATCCCCGCTCGCCCCGCCGCCCAACAAGGACTCCAGACTGTTCTCCCCACCCAGCGAGCCGCCCTCCCCCTGCCTAGGATCATACCAAAGACCTAGATCCATATCTCCCATCGCATCCATCGCGTGCTGCGCGTGTGCTCCGTGTGCGGTACCGAACACGCCCAGGTCGTTGTCGCTCTGCCCGAAGTACCGCTCCGACGTAACCGCTGAAGGATCGATAGCGGACATAGCTGAGTTTGGCGCCAGCGATCGAGCCAGCTGTAGGTCGATCACGCGCGAGATGAGGGAGCTCTGAGATGCAGGTAAATGGTCGGTCGTACATGCTGCCTGGGCGAGAATGTCGCTGGCGCGCCGGGCGAGAGCGCTGACGGAGTGATCGTCCGATGCGAAGCCGTCGACCTGGAGCTGTGTCGTTTTGAGTATGGAGACGGCAGCGTAGGTCAAGATGGTGAAGACGAAGTCTGGGCAACCCCGGGTGAAACCTCGCCCGTCTATTTCGGTGTCAAAGTAGGTGATGAGCCGGATTGCGGCTGTACGATACTGAGTATCAGCGTAGACCTGATACTACACTTACCTCGACGAGAGACGCGGGCAGATCTGAGATGGCATGCTCTTTTGCTCTCTGCAGGCCAAAAGAGTGGATGACCAAGCGGGCGTACAGCTCGTACAGGCCGAGATTGGCGATGACGATATCAGAAAGCCGTCGCTGCGACGACGGGAAAGAGGAAAGGACAGCGGCCGAATTGACCTCCCGCCACTGTCGATACTGTCGAGAGAAGACGAGACCGATATCGGGTAAAGCAGTTGTCTGAGAGGCAAAGTTACGAGCGAGGCCGGAGATGTAGTCGGCCGATTCGTTTCGAAACAGATCCATAGCGCGAGTGAGAATAAGGGTCCAGTCCTGCTCGTCAGCTTGATCCCATCCATGACTCACCGCGAGTGCAGCTACCCAAGCATCCTCAACTGTTTCGCCCACCTCCCTCCGCCTGATCATCTCCAAGTACAGCCGTATCCCATTCTCCCCGCGTACGCTTGACGGTTTGCCCAGCTGGGACGACATTGTACGATCGATGACATAGCAAGCGAGCCAGGTGCGGATGATGTTGCGCAGCACCCAGCGTGGCATGGTCGCCCTGGAGTGTTCGAGCAGAGCGATTCGATGGAGGTTGATATCGAGAGCGGTGCGGACGGCGAGACCGACGCGGATCCACGTAGTGTCTTGCTCAAAGTGGGCAGGGCGGACAAGGCTGGGCATCAGCACATTCAAGAGGACTACTCACTTCCACTGAGCATAAATAAGATGTGCTTGGACCACCTGTAATTAGCACATGCGATATCGACTGCTTACCTCTACGTTCTTGTCCTTGGGCATACGCTCATTCTCAAACCTGGCGAAACCCCGCTTCAGACGGTCCCAGAGAGCGACGTGAGAGGTGCGAGCTGATACGCAGCAGACTGGCAATTAGCCAAATTACATGAAGGATATGTAGTATAGCACTTACTCGTGTTGAAGAGGAAGTTGTTCCGCCGAGCTACAGCGACAGGAGAGCAATGCTCACGGTCCAGAACGGGAAAGTGAGGGTGGATGACCCGAAAGTAGATGTCAAAGAGGTGTTCCGCCCTATAGTCAGCGCAGCCTTGGGATGGACTTACTCTTGTACGCTGATCAGAGTCATAATGTGAGGTGCATCGTCTCTGAGAACCCTCGCTACCGGCGCATAGTAGGCGTCCGTGCTGGGCGTTGGGCGATCGCGCTCAGACCGCGCATCGGTCGATGCCTCGGCCAGTACCGACAAAGGATTGGGAGCATCACCAGGGAGTGGAAGTGTCGTCAGGGTCTCCTCGAGGGGGTGAGAGTCGGGAGGAAGGTGTTGATAGGTGGGCTTGGACATGGGCGAGTGGGACCAGAGCGCCGAGTTTGGCGGTATTTCCCCCGAGATGGCTGCGTCCCTCTTCCAGAGATCAAAGTCTCCTTCTCTCCCCTTATTGTGCTCAGCCACCCGACGTCCGTCTGATAAGTCTCCTCCTCGCTCGACCGGTCTATCATCCTGACGACCGCCCTGCCCTGCCCCGCCCATATTCGCTGACTCCATCGTTTGCTCGCGCTCCTCCTTTCCCTTGGTGCTCTTGTTCCGCATCCGTCCCCTCAAACTCGGCAGATACTCACAAGCATCCGGCTGATGAAGAGTAGTGCAGCGAGCACACGGTTTGGCACCGTCACAGCGGACCTTTTGGCGACTACAGGACGAGCAAGCGCGCTGAGTCCGTGGTTGACCGGTCGAGCTACTTCCAGTGCGAGTACTTGCTGTCAAAGGGCGTCCGGCAATATCGCTCTCACCAGCGTTGTCGCCTGAGGCACTTGGGCTAGTAGTTGCTGTGGCTGGCATATTTGCTAAGGCATCAGGTACAAGGAAGGTAGAGGAGTTGAGGACAAAGGCGGGCCGAGGCTTAAAGCCGAGACCGTCAGCCGGCCGGAGCCGACAGCGCGCACGGACCCCGCTGGTAGGGTGGCGATAGTGTGGCGGCCAAGCTTCTCCTCACAGGCAGCAATGGCGCACAGTCCAGTAGCGTCTGATCATCTATGAGTATTTAGACTACCATGGAGTGACGATCAGCAGTACTGTGAGCTGGGGCGCAAAAAGAGTCTCGACTCGACATAGCGCCACCCGCTGACCCTTCCGGATAGGTCTGAGTGTTCGCAACTAGCGGGCGAGGCTGGAAGCGGGCTGCTGAACATGGTACACTGCACATGGAGATCATTGATACTTGATCCTTACATACATATGAGCCCGCTCGCAAACATGAAGTATGATATCGCCCTGGATTCCACCTGACCGCATTCCCTCGACCGATATTCAAGCCTCGGCTTCCTGTCCAGTCAGCATCAACCTCGATACCGATCCTGCAGCAGGAAAGTCTCACCTTGTCGGGCCTCTTGTCCTCGTGTACACTTCCAATATCGGCGAGCTGCGCACCGGGACCGCGTGTTCCGGCCGTACTGAACTGCCAGGCCCAAAGGTTGCGCTGTATTTGTCAGCTCTGAGCGGAGAGTGAAGGTCACAACCAACCTTGAACAGATCGTCGACCTCCTCCAAGCTGCGGCCTTTCAACTCGGGAAGGAAGAAGATGAAGAAGAAGAGGGCAATGGCGGCGCAGCCCATAAAGACGAATCCGACCCGAGCGCCCATTTGGATTTGGGGTCCCGCCTGGAGGTACGGCGTGCAGAAGGTGACGAGGAAGGCCGCGAGGACGTCGATGCTGGTCGCCCATCCGATCATTCGCTTGCGCATCTGGATACCGCCGATCTCGGAGCCGATGAGCCAGCACTGGGACGCAACGCCAAGCTTGCAGACTCCGTTCAGCAGGATGACCGAAGCGATGACGACGTTGTTTTGATCGGTGGTGCGATTGGGAAGGGGTCCGATACCGCCGATGAGCGCGCTGAACATGATGGCCAGTGTTGCGCCGATGATGCAGAGGTAGCGACGTCCAATAATATCGGTCGTAGCGACGGCGACGAGGCAGCCAAAGAGACCAGCCATGGCGATGAGGATGCTGTACTGGAAGGACTGAAGGCCGAGACCGATGGAGGTGAAGAAGGAGGGGCCGTACGAGTTGGCGAATTGCTGGCCGGTGGTCTAGCTGTCAGCTTTGTACCCTCCTCACCAGTTCTCAGCATACCTGGTTGAAGAAAAATACAAGCGCAATGATCTACCGAGTCAGTACATAGCCACTCTGAACGGTCGACGTGCTCACAGTTGTCCTCCGGATGTACTTGGGTCGGAACAAGTCCATCCACCCAGCCTGACCCATGGCATAGCTCTCGTTCATGGCGTCTTCCACCGCCTGGACCTCGAGGCTGGTCACGCCAGTCGCAGAGTCACGAGCTGGACGAATACGGTTGAGCGCGCTCAGTGCCCCGTCCTGCATGTCAGCTCGACCACGGCGGAAAAGTGCAGAGCTTACCTTGCGTCCTTTGCTGATCAGCCAGCGGGGAGACTCAATACAGAAGGGCACAGTCGCGATCAGAAGTAGTGGGGGCAGAAGCTGCGAGTCAGTCAGGATCTTCTGGAGACTCACTTGCACCGCGACAGGGATGATCCAGCCGATCCTCTCGATCTCTGTGCGGAAAGCGTAACTCATGGAAGCTCCCCAGATCGACCCGACGTGGACGAAGACCTGCACGTTGCCAGCTAAGAAGCCGCGAAGCCCGGCGGGAGCAAGCTCGGCCTCATAAGATGGCACCGCATTTTCGACGATACCGACAGCAATGTAGGCGATGATGCGGCCGACAGAGAATTGGATCCACTCGGTAGCAGACAGCTCAACTGTTCAGTCAGCCTAGCATCTCTCAAGGTGCAGAAGGAGTACTCACTGACGATACCGATGACCTGGATGAGGCAGACGATGTAAATGACCTTTTTGTAGCCAAGACGCTCGAGTAGAGGTTCGAAAGAGGCCGTGCCGATGAGCTTGCCTATCCAGACGACTGCTTGGTCAGTCGTGTCATGTGTCGCTCCTCGAAACCCCAAACTGACCAGAGTTCATGATCGAGCGTCGCTCAGTAGGCAGCATGTAAGTACCGTTCTGCAGCACACCGAATGACCGGAGCCATGACGGTAGAGCTTGCAGAGAGCCGAAGGATCCGACATCGCTGCATTGTCAGCTGGGTCGACTGACATGGAGAAGTACCCCGACTCACATGCCAAAGAGGATGTTGCCAAAGTTGAAGGCCATGCAGCAGTACAAGAGAGCGGGCGTGATCTGTCCCCAATCGGACCGGCGCATCTTGCGGGAGGGCTGACGGTCGAGCTGAAACCGATTGAGGAGGTGAAAGCGGTACCTCAGTGCTCTGGCGAGGAAGAAAAGATGATAGAACGGGGCTGGGGGCTGAATGAGGCTGGATGTCGTGCTTGAGGGGGCACCTCGCTTGATTTTGTGGCCCCGCAAGTCTTGCCCCGCGATGATCGGCGGAGCTCCGAGTGTACTTCGGCGATGATCTTCGGTCCGAAGTAGAAGCCGAGCCGAATGAAAGCCGAAAGTCGCACAGGCCCGAGTGTGGCGCTCTGACCTGTCAGAAGCTGAAGCTTAGGGCATACATAGATTGCATCGGTCGCCATATATAGAATGTACACGATAAGCTACATACGGAGCGCTGGACCGGCTACTGGAAGAAGTCAGTATATCTCGATACTGCAATCGGAGATTATGGACTCACTCAGCACTTTGATCGCGGCCCTCCCGTCCGGTCCCTTCGCCGCTGTGGTAGTCTCGTACGCTTGTACTGCATCTGCCCACTCGTATCTGCATGTCAGCTACGCACTCGATGTCCACTGGTTGCAGACCTACTTGTGCGTGATGAGCGGTTTGAGCGAGATGAGCCCTCGAGAGACCAGGTCAATCGCGCTAGAAAAGCAGCCAGGCCCGTACTGCATGGTCAGCAGCGGCTGCGCGGATGCGAAAAGAACGTACTCTGAATGAGCCCCGCACGGTCAGCTCCTTGTTGATGACTGCGAGAAGGGGTATGTTGGCATAGGGCTTGCTATTGCCGACCTGAGGTCAGCCTAGCTGCTGTGTCCGAGCTCACCTGCACAAAAGTGCCCCGCTTTCTGAGTAGCAGCAGGCCGGTCTGCACACAACTCTCAGCTCCGCTGCACTCCACGACAAGATCAATCGCCTCTCGTCCGCTCATATCGAAAGTAGACTCCAAAGCAGTAGCCTGGCGGGTCAGATTTGGTCCGACGGAGGAAAGTAGAACACGTACCTGACGCTGGGCGTATACACTGTTCTCCTCCCCTTTGGCCGGCAGGGGTGCGCAGTACGTAGCTACACCGGGCACGTACGATTCGGCGAACTCCAACCGAGACGGGTTGACGTCGACCAGGTAGACTTTGCGTGCGCCGAGGGCCTTGGCTACAGCCATTGTCCTTTCCTATAAGCTCGATCCTGCTTCCGGGACACACGATGGCTACTCACAGTAAGCCCACAGGTCCGGCTCCGAAGATCACGATGTTGGTATTGGGCTTGAGATCTGCAGCGTGGACTATAGCATGGACTGCTACAGCAAGGGGTTCAATCTGAATTCAGCACATAATCGTCGATGATCTCACCAAAGCACCGTCGTCCAAAGTCATGCCCTATTTGTCAGCACTGGGCAAGCCAGCTCTCTGCAAGCTAGGCATAGGGATCTTCTCACCTGAGGGAGCTTGTAGCATCTGCACCAATGAGCGAGACCTCAAGTCAAACTGGAAATACCCACAAATCAGCAGGCAAGGTGTAGAACCCTTGCAGCGTGCCGTCTCTGCCCAAGGCAGCTGCAAATTTCATATTGTCGCAATGAGCATCTGCACATCAGCTAAATACCCCTTCAGTACTAGCATAGACGACTCACAGTGCCCAGACTTGCAGTGATCGCAGCGGAGACAACCCTCCCCTGGTTCGAGCGCGACGCGGTCGCCCACCGCCAGACCCACCACCCGCTCACCGACTGCGGGCCATCAGTAAAGCTCGTATCCGACTCTCACAAGTAGGCTCACCACGGTGAACGATTCCTGACGTTTCGTGACCCAGAACAAAAGGCTTCTTGAAGGGCTCGCCGCGGATCTGAGCAAGATCAGCGGATTTCCAGTCGGATTCGGCCGTGCTTACTAAGCCGGTGAGGTAAATATGCGTGTCAGAGCCACTGAGGTATTAGTACGTTAAGGATGAAGAGGATAGAGACCCGCCATAGTCCGGTACTCTGCGGTCGAATGATAGCTCTAGGCGATCAGCTGTGCGAAGGGCAGCTCAAGTCGGGACTCGGAGCAAACTCACTCATACGGCCCGCATTCCTCCGATCTAGGCGCCTCCTGGAGCTCCAGCGTTTTCACACCCGTAAAGACCCATCGTGGGTTGACTGTCGAGGTCATCGCGATGGAAGCGAGTATAGGTAAGGTGGGAATACATGATGAGCCGCGCAAGTAAGAAGAGATGTGGAAGAGGCATGGAGCTCGGCTTTGCACCGGGCCGAAGTGGAATTTCGGAACCGCACTTGATCGCATCCTTTATCGATAGACGCCGACAAGTGCGAGGTGCCGCTACATCATGTAGAGTCTACATCAGGATCATGCAGAATCTAGCAACAGCGACAGCACAGAAATGGACGAGCAGAAGGTTGGACTTCCCCTGGAAAGCTTGGAGAGGGGCGAGCCGTCTACGCCTCCCGACAAGCGCGATGGCGGTTACGGCTGGGTCGTAGCGCTCGCTCTGATGGCATTGAATGCAGTAACATGGGGTATGTCTATCATGGCGAGTTGAGCTGATACACAGGTATCAACGGAGTATATGGCGTATATATATCCTTCTATCTGCAAACCAACCACTTTGCGGGCGGGACACCGTTTACTTTCGCCTGGATCGGGGGCTTATCGGTCGCCACCGCATTCGCCATCACCCCAGTCTCAGCAGCTCTTAGCGGTCGGATATCTTATCGAAGGCAGTACCTACTAGGTGAGCTCAGACATGGGCCGTTGCTGATAGCAGCTGCGTTCTGCGCTGTACTTGGCCAGATCCTCGGGGGATTGACGAGGACGTACACTGTTCTGGCGCTGACTCAGGGTGTGCTCTTTGGGCTGGGTGAGTGTATGCTCTGCACGGCTGATGTTATAGCTCTCGGACTTGTCTTCTCGCCCTCTCAGATGCTCCTGGCGGAATGGTTCGATACCCGCCTCAATCTTGCTCAAGGCATCTTCCAAGCCGGATCCGGTCTCGGCGGTCTCATCTTCGCTCAAACAACCCGTCTCGCGCTGGACAAGGTCGGTATACGGTGGTCCCTCATCATCCATGGTCTTGTGTCGCTCGTCGTATCACTCTTGAGTGTCGCTGCGATTCGACCGGGCGGGGCGGGGGCGGGGGCTCGTCAGACATTCCGCTGGTCCATCCGGATACCGCATCCCCTTGCTCTCACTTGCCTGTGCTTTTGGGGCGCTACATCTTGTGAGTACAATCAAAGTCTCGCTGATATCAGTAATGTCCTTCTTCATCTCCCTCTTCACTCTCGCTCTGTACGCCACCGATGGACTCGGCCTCTCCCAACAACAAGGCGCTATCGTTCAGTCCGTCCTCGCTGCCAGCATGCTCGTCGGTCGTCCTATCTGTGGTCTCGTCTCGGACCGGTACGGCAGTCTCAACGTCTCCTTTCTCGCCACCTCGATCGCCGGTATCGCCTGCCTTTCGCTCTGGCTACCGTCTCGGTCCCTCGCGGTGCTCTTGGTCTTTGCGACTGTCCAAGGGGCCGTGGCGGGGACCACTTGGAGCGCTGCCACCCCACTCGCTGCGGCCGTCGGAGGTCACCAACACGCTCGCGCCACTATCGCGCTTTTCTGGACCATCATGGCGATACCGGCAGTGGCCGCTCAACCTATCGCTATCGCTCTAGCCCAGTTTTCGAGGGGCAGCTTGGGCAGAGAAGGGGCGGAGGTGTACCAAATCAGTATTGGCGTATGTGGCGGACTTGCTTTGAGCGCAGGTGTATTGTTGCTTGGTGTCAAGCGTTGTATGAACCAGTCGATAAGATGAAATATAGTACCTTAGCCACTGCTGCGCTTAATCTCCAAGGGGTGATCATTGTGCTATAAGGTGACTCATGTGCGTACCTCTTGCATGCGCAATATAGATATCCCGAGCGTGTATGCCGGTCGGATAGGTTCAGGCGCGCACAGCCTCTCTAGCCTCGCTGCTTCTATGATCGTGGATGCACGAGCCGCCACTTCCCCACTCTCCGCCACTCTGGCGATTTGCCGGCTATTTGGATCCACTTTTCCGGAGTGGTCAGCAGTATAGCCTCCCCCTATCCTCTCTTGCTCATTCATCTCTCAGTAGATATAGCAGGTCCCACATCTACAGCTCTGAACAGATCCTCGTCTACACCCCAGCACAAATTTTGATCGACCCGCGATGCCCTCCTTCCGCGCATATCTCACCTCCTGGATGGTCTGGGGATACTACTACCGCCGAAAACACGCTACCGAGCAGGAGCTCCTCCTCAGTGTCAGAGACAACTGGAAAGGCAAATTCGCTGAGGAGGTCGTTCCTCCCTACATCTCATCTGCTACAGAGACGATTGCTGTCAGCGAGGAAAAGTTCAAGGGGGATGGGAAGGGCGGGCAGGAGTGGAAAGTCTTTCATTGTGCTGTCCCTTCCGGTCGAGGTGAGGTCGGTGCGGCGGACAAGGTGGTGATCTACTGGCATGGCGGCGCCTTTATACACGCTGTAAGCCGATCTCTCCCTTACCAATCAACAAGGACTCGGCTGACGCGACAGGCCGCATCGCAGCATTGGGGCGCAGTCCACCGGATCGTGCGAGATCACCATACCCCCGTCGTCTTCCCCCACTACACCCGCGTACCCCTCAGCACCGCAGACGACTGGTGTCGCAATGCTCTCCAGTTTGTGCTCAGCCTCGCCTCGGATCCTCGATACGCCGGCAAGAAGCTCGTATATATGGGCGATTCAGCGGGAGGTTGGATGAGCCTCAGATTCAGGATGCTTCTGTGTGGGATTCTGCTGCGCGAGGAGGAATTGAGCGGGATGAAGATAGGGGAGGATACGAGACGGAGGGTGAAGGAGCTACTGGATGGAATGGGCTCCACAATAATGATCAGCCCTGTGGTGAACTTGGAGATGTCAGATGCGCTAGAGGAGAAAGACGCTCTAGTGAGTTCCTCTCTGGGAAGGAGAACCTTGGATATAACTGACATGCTAGGACCCTTGGCTCAGTATCGCCATCTTCCGTATCATGCGCCGGATCTGGATACGCGGTCCCTCCTGTTGCCCCGAAATCGACTTTGACCTCCCCGCCGAGCGGCCCGCCATCGCCTCTCAATCTGACAGTACCGACGCTCTCTACTCGGACGGCCGATACTCGCTCAATAACGGTCTGGACGTCTTCAAGCGGTACCACGACGTGAATCCCAGTACACCGCCGTTCCACCTACTTACGATGATTGGCACTTACGATCTTTGCCATGTTGGGTGCGAGGATATGCAAGCGAGGCTGGAGAAGCTGGGGAGTAAGGTGGTTAAGGCGGACTACATTGAGGTGAGTCTTGATCCTGGAGAAAATGGCAGCAAGAAGGGGAACGAGCTGATATCTCAGGCGGAAGGTTGCGTCCATGTCTATCCGATACTCACCATGCCCGAGGCGGAGATGGCGTGGGTCAAAATTGGGGAGCTTTTGAGAGAGTAGGTCGAGGGGTTGTGTCGCGCGGCTGCTCAGGGAGCAAGGAGGAGGGAGCAGGGGGCACGCAGTGTAGATCTTGTCAGTCCGTGTACACTGCCCAGAGCACATGTTCACCGCATGCACGATCGCCCTCCCTACCAGCCGATCACGCACCCAAATTTCGCTGTGTCGGTGAGCTATAGGCTGGCTCAGTGGTCGATCTCTGTTATCATCTGCCACTCCCCCACGTCCCCACTCTGCCGACTTTCGCATTTCGGCTATTAAATCCCAGTTATCCGGGGTAGCTATCGTCGCCCCTTCACTAGCTCCTTTCTGTCTCTAAACTGCACCCATAAATAGCAGCAGCCCCCACATCTGTACCTGCACTGTCCAGCTCATCTGGACCCAGCACTCACACGGTTCATCCACTCCAAATGCCCTCCTTCCGCGCCTACCTCACCTCCTGGGCCGTCTGGGGCCTGTACTACCGCCGGAAACGCTCCTCAGAGCATCAACTTCTCATCGACGTCCGAGATCAGTGGAAGAGCGAGTATAAGCAAGAGGTTGTTCCTCGTTTCATTGCTGCAGCGACGGGCACGATTAGCGTGACCGAGGAGCAGTTCAAAGGGGACGGGAAGGGCGGACAAGAGTGGAAGGTGTTTCACTGTGCGGTACCTGCCGAGGCTGGAGCTGCTGGGGATAAGGTGGTAGTGTACTGGCATGGCGGAGCATTCATCAATGCTGTAAGTCTAAACCTCCTGATCGCCAGTAGAGGAGTATAGCTAATAAACAGGCTGCCCCGCAGCATTGGGGCGTAGTTCACCGTATCGTCCGCGATCACCACCAAGCGGTCGTCTTCCCCCAATACACCCGCGCGCCCCTCAGCACTGCGGACGACTGGTGCCGCAACGCACTTCAGTTCGTACTCGGTCTCGCCTCTGATCCGAGGTACAAGGGCAAGCAGATCGTTCACATGGGCGACTCAGCCGGCGGGTGGATGTCTTTGAGGTTCCGGATGCTGCTGTGCGGGATACTGCTCGGCGAGGAGGAGGTCAAGGATATGGAGGTGGACGAGGCTGTCAAGGAGAGGATCAAGGAGGTGATGGATGCGATGGGACCGACAATCCTGATCAGCCCGGTGGTCAATCAGGAGATGTCGCAGGAGCTGGAGGAGAAGAATGCTATCGTGAGTCATGCTAGAAAAGCCAAATTTCCGAGCTGATATTCCAGGATCCCTGGCTCAGTACGACCCTCCTCCTGGCCACTCGTAGCCTCTGGGTTCGCGGACCCGCTGGCTCTCCCGAGATCGACTACGACCTCCCTGCCGACTATATCGTTCCTCCGCCGCGGTCAGACCTGACCGACAAGCTCTATTCGGACCCGCGATACTCGCTCAAGAACGGCGTGGATGTGTTCAAGCGCTACCACGACAAGTATCCCGGTACACCGCCCTTCCACCTCCTTACGATGATCGGAACGTACGATCTCTGCCATGTAGGCTGTGATGTGATGCAGCGGAAGCTAGAGAAGCTGGGCGACAAGGTGGTCAAGGCGGACTACATTGAGGTGAGTCTTGGCCTTTTTGCGTCTGAGTTCTCTTGAGATGAATATATCCAGCGCTGATCTATCAGGAGGAGGGCTGTGTTCATGTCTACCCTATCCTCAATATGCCCGAGGCGGATGTAGCGTGGGTCAAGATTGGCGAGCTGTTGAGGGAGTAGGGTTGTTCCTGAGGCGTGAGGTGGACGGGTGTGTATTGTATCTTTCTCGTTTTATCTTTCTGACTATCTACTCTCGGTCGGCCATCTATGTATCTCTCACCTGATCGGTCCTTGTCCCATTGGCAGCAGCAGCCGCTGGCGCAGCAGCTGATGCAGGACGCAGCAGGACAGGCAAAGTGCAAAGTGCCACATTCCGCTGCAGCCCCGAGCGCCACTCGGAATTACGTCATACGGTCCAGACCTGGCCGGTTGAAACATCCTCTTGTCCTTACTTCCCTCCCTCTCTCATCCTTCTACCTCTCCGCAACTACCCATATTCAAGCTCATTATACTGCCTAGCCACGCAGCAGGGACACATTTTACGAAGTCGAGAACCCTTCGAGCCGAGCACGCAAAAGAGCAGCCTTCAAGCGAGGACTCTTGCTTTCCTCCCCAGAAAGGAAGTCACTTGGTTGACTGATCGACCTTGATCCTGCCTACCGCTTGATCCTCAAGTACCGTCAGCCCGTGAGTTACGTTCTTACATGATGAGTGGATGCGAGGAGCCTGGAGCGGATATGCACCGGTCAGGCGCTACGCGGACAAGTAAAAAGCGGGGTCGAGAAGCCGACAATTCTGAAATCATCACGGGGCTGGGTAGCTGGGGATCCATCTAGGCAGGACCCGAGACGAGAGCGGCCCTTGAGTTTGGACCTGATACCCGGCATCGTGACCTTACACTGATCCCTCAGAGCTCTGTCTCCGACAAAATGTCCTCCGAGCTGGTCAACAGCTCTTCCCCCTCCACAGTCCCCGCCACCCAGCCCATCACCTCTTCCCCCCTCGCACCCTCCGATGCGCCAACCAAGCCCTCTCCCAAATCCTCCACTCACAGCGTGCAATCTACCCCTCAATCAGCTGCGTCTCCACCTATCGACCCTTCTCAGCTGAACCACACCCCCGCGCCCATCCCTATCCCTGACGCCTCTGCCGTCGACACCGAAGCCGGTGTCACCTCCCCACCGCTAAGGGCACCCGTAGACCCACTCGACTCGGCGTACCTCGACAACAACCCGGGCGGGGAGCCTTCCTCTCACCCCACGGTGGCGGAGACGGGCAGTCTGGCGCGAAGTCCTAGCAATGAGGAGGGCGGACCGGGCCCCAAGAGCGGTCAGCTGGCGAGAAAGGAGAGGAAACAGGGAGAAGGGATCATCAAGCTGGGCAGCTTCGGAGGAGAGGGGCTTGTGGCGAAGCCTCCGATGGGATTGAGGAGGGGGAGTGATGATGCGGTGGAGTAGGGGCTGGATGAGGAAGGCAGTAGCGGGAAAGGAGTGGCTCGGGATGATGCGGGAGAAAGACAGACAAGATATAGGAGAAGAAAGATCGCTCAAGCATATCATCATGTACAGTAAGGTCTCGAATCTGACCCATTCGCATCTACTGATCTACTGACCATTTCTGACCGCAATCAACACTTCCTACCCAAGACTTGTGCCGCTGCGCCAGGCTATCACCAGAATATATCGCTCTCCTCTGCCTCTGCTGGACTTGGCGGGACCTGGAAGCCCGAACTCGGCGTCCGTGCTGGCGGCCAGGGCGGGCGCGGCTGATTTGCCAGGACAGGATCGATATTGCTGGACAGCGCAAAGCGGAGACCCTCGTCCCATGCTGACCGCTCGGCCGGGGGTACCGCACTGGCGCTCTGCGGACGCGACATCTCGGCTGATCCCTCTGGGAGATATGGGGGATGGATGTAGGGTGGGTGTGACACTGATAAAGAACGGGGTGGATAGGGATGATCTTCAGGGCTGTAGGTCAGCTTCGATACTGCTCGAGCCCCATAAGAGTGTAGACTTGCAGATAAGAGGACCCAGCCTGCCCGAAACCTAGCCCTTGCTCCACCGCACTCTCATCGTCCCCTTCCACTTCTGGCTCCCTACACGCAGACACCTGCCCTCCTCTCACGTCCATATTCGGTCTGGAGGCGAATGACTTGGTTCCCGCTCCAAGACACTCTTGCCTAAACTGCTCGAGGTCCGCTGGTGAGCTGAGCGGTGCGCGTGCCCAATAGCTTGACTTCTCCGCGGCTGTGCGCGTGCGCAGGGGACAATGGGGCAGTGGAGTATGCTACAAGTCAGCTCGACTGTTCATGACATTAGATAGAGGCATACCTGAGGCTGAGAGCGCAGGATCTGCTGCACCCCCTCCATCTGTAGAAGATACCATAACGCGTCTTCGCACATCAGAGCGCGCTCCTCCGCTGCTTTGCCGTACCCTGCTATCGGTCCCCTGGGCATATCAGCTGTACCCATGACAGTACTCAGTACACGTACCTCTTTCTCTTCACAGAAGGGTAAACACAGTCCTCCCCTGCGCGCTCGCAAGGTTCGCATCGCGGATACGTGTGATCGCACTGCCATCAGCTAGATCGTCGTGAGGGAGCTTACCTTTCGCTTTCGCGATACACAGCGGTTGCAAGCCCTGTTCGCTTCTGCTTGTACTTCTGCCAAAGACTCTCCTTCTTGCGGCGACACCTTCATGGTGAGCTGTGCTGCTTGTCTACGCTAGTCTAGAGGTGAAAGAAAGATAAGAGGAGAATGAGTTGAGTGGGGGAGCTGGGGAGACCACCCGGATTAACGTTTTTCCGCTTTCGGCCCTGCCCCGGAGTTACGCTTTTCCCCCGTGTCCACCCGTCGCTTGCCCTCCATAACTCCCTTTTCATGCCACCTAGCTCCATACATACCACAGCAATGAACGTGCGGACTAGAGAGCACGGGAGATTTTACATCGGCCCAGTAAGTCTCCTCACGACCCAAGCTGACGGAAGAATGGCCACCGCCGATTTGCCGGGTCCGCCTCGGGCGTCTATCTGGCTGACACAATCCGACACAAGCTAGCCTCCCATCCTCAGCGCGACGGTGGCGTCATGGAGGCCTTCATCTCTCAGCTCGAGGGCCTACCTCCTGCGCGGGAAGAGCAGCCATCGTACACGCCCTACCTCCTCACCGCGGGCGACTTTTCGGACGAGGCGGAACTGCGGTCAAGATTCAATACTTACTTTGCTAATTGGCATCCCCTCTTCCCGTTCCTGGACGGAGCATACCTTCAGGGTGTGTTCAAGCGGTGCGCTGGTAATGCGCGGGCGGGCGCGGCGGTATTTGAGGGGATGGGTGGGGAACATGCCCTCGTACTGAGCGCGATATTCCGCTCCATCTTCAGCATCGGCGGAACGGGCAGAGCTGGACCTGGTATCCCCATCTTTACAGACTCGACCTCGGCCAGCACCCTTGCGATGGTCGTACTCGGCGCATGTGAGTCTAATCGACTCGACCACATCTCGACCGTCCAAGCTCTTTTCGCCATCGAGCTCTCCCTTTACTTTGCCAGGCGGTTCCGTCCCGCCTCGCACCTCTCTGGACTCATCAACAGTACGTCCCATCATCTCCGTAATGCTGACGCCAGAACTCGTATTTGAAGCTGGCCTACACCGCTGTCCCTGTCGCTACCCCACAACCTTTGATCTCCCCTCCGAAAGGGATCTACGCAAACGCCTCTTTTACTCCATCTACGTCCTTGACCGGTTCCTCACTCGGCATCTCGGTGCGCCCATCACACTCCGGGATATCGATATCGATGTTTGTCTTCCAGGCGCTGCGGAGATACATGGCGAGCCTCCCTCTTCGGTCGGATCCACCGATCCTGCGGCCACCAAATCCACCAAGCGTAAGCGGGACAAGGAGAGAGAGGACGACACGACCCCTGCTTCGCCTGTTCCTGTCCATCCCTCCAATCCTCAGACGCACGATGGCGCTCCGCCCGGATCGGCCCAGTCGCCAACGACGCCGTTTTCGGAGAGTCAAACGAGGGCGTCAGCGGTCAATAAGCTCATGCCGGCGTTCTCGCTAGCTCAGCTGGCCGGGATCATGGGGAGGATCATGGAGACCTTCAATGGGTCGAGGAGATGGAGGGCTGCCGATGGTGAGCCGCTTCTCAGAAGCAGTGGATGACCCGCTGATGATACAGCGGAGGATGCTATGCGGATAAGGACGGAGCTGGAGGAGTGGTGGATTGACTTTGAGCTGGACATGCAGGACGTCACTCAAGTAAGCTTATCGTGTTTCCCGTCCCTATGGGCACCTGTCCTATGGACACGTCCATCCTCCTTCCCAAATCACTGCATCATCTATGCTTGTGCTCAGCTGATTCCCAGATCCAAACCACCGACTCGCGAGGACGGTACACCGCTCTCTTCCGCAGCCTATACAACCAAAACCTCATGCACATCAACCGCCACTCCCTCTCCCTTCCTCCCGAGTCCATACCGCACCGTAATGCCCTACAAGCCATCATCCTCGCGGCTCGGACGATATGCTCGAGCCTCTCCATCGAGCTGGGGCCTTATCCTGGTTCTGCGGGACCAGGTTCAGCTTCAGGGTCAGGCGGTTCGAGAGGGGTCGGGCCGGCGGGGATAGGGCTGGTATGGCCTGGATACGTGGATATGGTGTTTGATGCGGGGCTGGCGTTGATGTATGGGACGAAAGTCTCAGCTAAGCTGGCGGATGATCGGTGAGTCTCGAGTTCTAGGGGGAGCTAGCTGCAAGACTGGTCGAGCTGACTGTCAGTGCCGCTGCGGGAATACGACAGGCTGTACTCGTTATGGACAGGCTGGCGGAGGTATGGGACGGTCTGCAGCCAGTTGTCATGGTGATCAGGGAGTTCAACAAGCGGCTGGACCCACATCGGATCGCTTCTGGAACAGGCGACGTGAGTCTCCTTTTCGTTTCCTTTCTTTCCTCACCAATTTCCTCGCCTTTAACATGACTGTCGCCTTCAGTAAAATCTGTGGCGCTACCGGTCCGCTTTCTATACGTATCTTGGTACAGAGATCTAAGGCTGACTTGGCAGACCCCCGACCTCTCCCTTGACTGGCTCATCGGCACAGACTTCAACCTCGAAGCCAATCCCTCCGGTCCAGAGTACATGTTCCTGCCAGGTTTCGGCGCTGGTCTCGGCGGGAACAGCGGGATAGGACCAGGTAGTACAGGGTTGGGCGGTATGTCAGGTGGCGGGGGTGCGGGGATGGGCATGCCAGGCGGAGGCGTGGGAGGAGGGGGGGAGTTTGGGGGCAATGCGGATCTGCTGCACTCGTTCAATCTTTACGCTAATGGGATGTGGCCTGGGCCTATGCCGAATGCACAATCTTGAGCTGCGCGATCGCAAGTTGTGCCGCAGCTGACAGGCTTGCTTGAGCGTGTCACCCGTCATCGGCTGGACTGATCATTGGCTGGACTGAAGCTTGAAGGATGTGAGAGTAGCGACAACATGTGCATCCCTTGATTTCCCAGATACTATAACTTCTGATACACCCCTCCTCCGCCCAAGACCAAAGACCTGATTTACACGACGTACTGGAAGTGCGGGTTTTGGCGCTAAAGATATCAGTCTTTGTTGCGCATGTATACCGGTAGAGAGAACTCACATCCGTCAGATCGTCGAAAGACCCCTCGGTGGCCTTGCCATAGTCCATCCCAGCGCGACGCATCATCTCGGCGAGCTCGACCTTGTACGCGTCGGCCTCGGCGGTAGACATGATGGACATGTCCTTGATGTCGGCGGGGAGACCGAGAGCGACACGCTTGGCCTCCTGGCTGCGGTTCAAGCGGGCGAGGTAGAACCCCATCCAGATGATGAGGAGCTCGAGCACACACCAGCAGCCAATGTCGACGTAGAGACCAGTGGGGTACTGCGGGGCCTCGCTCGCGAGGTAGACCTGGGGACCGACCGTGTTACCGATAGTGAGGGCTGCGAACACTGCGGGTCAGCGGGAGCACGAGGCGGTGCAGGCAGGAGGAGGAAAGACGTACTGGTGGCGGTGGTGACGACTCGCTTGGTAGTACCCGCGGCGTTAAGGTTGCACCAAGAGATCAACAGGGGCTGGATGCACGAGAAGACAAAGGCGACGTAGTAGCACCCCATGAGCGCGTTGGGCTGCGTCCGGGGGACTTGGGTGAGACCGATGGCGCCAGCGATGGGGAAGAGGACGATCACAGCGAGGACGGGCCACCTCATCTTGATCCGGTTGGTGACGTAGATACCGATGAGGAGACCAGTGATACCGATGGCGCCGGTGGGGATCTGCATGAGGATGGAGGTGAAGGTGTCTGATGGTCAGCAGAGCTCAGAAGTGAAGGGACTAGAAGGACGCACCAAAGCCAAAGCCCTTGGTGATGAGACCACCGAAAGCGCCGATACCGCCTGAAGGGCACGCCGCGCAGAACCACATCGCAGCCCAAGCCCATGTCTGCCTGTCAGTCTAGCTCCAGCTGCAGAGTAGCCGCCACTCACCTTGATGTCGCGGTAGGTCTCCCAGACCTGAGACCACTTGAAGGTGGACGACTTGGTACCAGTGTTGTTCTCCTTGAGACGATCGAGGGCGATGATGCGGTCGTCCCCGTTCCGGAGGAACTTGGCGGTAGTGGGCGAGTTGGGCATGAGGAACCAGACGATGGGGGCGAGGAAGAGGGAGAGAGCGCCCATGGCGAAGAAGATGACCTGGTACTGCTTCACAGAGGTAGCAGTGACCGCGGCCCGCCCGACGCCGTACGAGAGGAGAGGACCGATAATGGCGGCCATACTGTTGGCGATCTGGTATGCGATGGTCCGGTAGGATTGTTCACTATCTGTCAGCAGAGGACCGAATGAGTGGGAGATAGACATACCGACGCGTCCACCACATCTGGGTGATGAGGACGAAAGAGGGAAGGATGGTAGCTTCGAAGCATCCGAGGAAGAAACGAGCGAGGATGAGACCGGTAAAGTTGGTTGCAGCTCCAGTGCACATGGTGACGACCGACCAGCAGATGTAGTTGAACATGACCCAGTACTAATCGTCAGCTCGGCTAGGAGGTAGATGGAGGCATAGCTCACCTTGACCGGGACCACGATAAGAGCATATGCGGAGAGGGGCTGGCAGACGAATTGGGCAAGGTAGACGACAGAGGTGAGCCACGAGTACTGCGAGCCGACCAGTTCCGGCGTGGTCTCCTTCTGCAAGTTGAAAACGGCCGCGTACGAGACAGACGATTTGTCAAGCTGTAGGTCAGCGCAGCTCTTATGGGCGGGGTCGAGACATACCTGCTGGACGAAGTAGGTCAAGCACATGGGGAGACAGACGTAAAGGTCGATTTTGCGAAGGACGCGTTTCGCCTGAGCGGCCGTGTACTCGAACTCGCCCGCCTCGGCGAGGATCCGCGCAGCATCGTCCAGCTGTGTGTTGGCGGCGTACTTGGGCTTTTTCGGGTCGTCACCGTGCTCGAGCTCGGGCGCGTGCTCGTACTGCGAGTGGATGGCCTTCTCGTCCTCGAGGGGAGCGGAGGTGATCTTCTCCGACATGATGAGTGAGCGAAGATGTATAGGCGGGGTGAGAGAAGTGAGTGGCGATGTGGAAGAGATGAGGGGAGAGACAGCAAATCCCACTATATAGGGCGGACCCCGTGATACTGTCGGGAAAGGGGCAGCACAGCTCAGCCGATCATCTCCTACGCGTCCGGACCTCGACCGGGGCTTCCGTCGCCTCCTCTCTTCCCCCAGCCCCCTCCGGTCTCCGGTGCACCGGGCCCCCACTGTAGATCGTTGTGCCCCGGACCAGTACCGGTTACTACAAGAAGTAGATAGAACAAGGTGAAACTCGGGACAATAGCTGGTCCATGCCGAGAGGGTGCTATTTTAGGCTCGGATGTCTTTCCTCCGCGTTTGAGAGCTGTGTGGCGACCGGCCGGTTTGTGGCCGATGAGATCGACGGGGTATGCTGTCGGTCCGCCTGATCCGACAGACTGAATGAGGCACCGGCGGAGGGCGTTTCAAGTGGGCTGTGAAGGGTCGGCGCATTCCGGACGAGCTGACGGCGTAGAGAGGCAAGGGAGCACCAGGGAGCCGACGCTCGGTGCGCCTGTGGCCAGCTGTGCCATCACAGATGGCATGTTGTCTCATGGTGCGCACCGCGAGTCTGGCGGCCCGCGGCTGACTTGGCAAACAGCTAGTCCTGCTGGTATCTACGCTGACCGCTGGTCGTTCACGCCGATATCAGTCTCACGAGAACGATCATATCGGATGCGCAGGAGAGCGAGAACTTCCGCTATGAGCGGGCGAGCGGTGTATGGTCTTGCAAGATGTGCATTGCGTCACTGTCGAAGAACGCTCGGTCAGCCCGCGCAGGGGCATACACTCACTTACTGATCTGACCAGTACTGTCAACCTCACACGTGTCGGAGCGGCTGCTCCTTTCCATTCACCCCACGATAAGGGGAGAACAAAGGATCATTCGAATGGCGCAATAAGCTGTGCATAGTACGGGTGAGCTTGACTAGCTGCCTGTGTGCTGATGGCTCGCTCGTGTCTTTTACATATTCTGACCCAATACACGCCACACCCCTGTCTCACTCTTCCCTTAACACCATCATACTTGTCTCACTGTCAGAAATCACCGGCAGTCATCATGTCGACACTTACGGAGTCGGCTGGCTCACAGACTTCCAGTCAGCTGTTGCAGAAGCTGGTGGCGGGGCAGGAAGAGATTCGCCAAGCTCAGAAGGAGCAGGCAGAGCTGCTCAAAGACATTCGAGACCGGGCAAGCGCTTCAGACAAGACGATCGCCACGATCGCTACCGATCTGGACAAGACGTAGAAAGCTGTTTCGGTCCTACTACGGGCCAGGTATCACGAGGAAGGGTTGAAAGAGGCGAAAGTCCAAGTTGCTGATTTGCTTGAGATGATGGACTCAACAGTCAGCCTGACTGATTGGCAGGTCAGCGATATCGGCAAGCAGATATCTGACTTGGAGAGCGCCGTCACACAACTGCGGAGTGGCAGCGGCCGACCGTGGTGGCGTACATCGACACGCTCGTCTTCCGCCACTGATGTGGCGACCCTCCGGGAGAAGAAGGACAGACTGGAAGAGACGATTGCTAGAGTCAGGCGCGAAGGCCTGCAGAAGTGGCAAAGTCTCAGCTCCCAAAAGGACACCGCTTCAGCGATTGTGAGGGAGCATCGGGACGGATGGACCAGGGTGATGGAGGATGCGGAGACGCTCGCTATCTGACTGGCTATGGGCCTGCCGGAACCAGCACTCCCGAGCGAGCGTTGACCCCTTCTGTGCTCATATCATTGTCATATCCGTATCCTTTTCTCGTACAATACCCCTCTCGTGCTTGTTCCAGATGTATATATGTATACGTATAGAGTTGGTGGTCAGGGCAAACATGTCCACGGCCACCGATACCAAGCCCAATACAGTCCACCTGTGGCTGATAATGGCTTCCAGGCCGAATTCGGACCAGGTCATTTCAGCTAATCGCTCGCTACTGGGTAGTATCAGGCAGTGCTGTTGTCAATAGTGCTGTTTATTCGGGATCGAGAGGCCTATTGAATGGTAACATCCCAGCATCGTTCACTAGCCTGTCCGTCGTCAAACTTCACCGGTCGAGCTGTGCTCATTGACAAGGTGTATCCCACAATACCACGTGCGAGACGCCGCAGAGCACGACCTCCGTCCGCTCTACCCGTGGCGTGGCCAGGCTACCAGAGGGGCGCCATGCTTGTCATCATCACCATCCCCCTTCCCCTACCCATTCATCAGATAGCATATTCAAATAGACACAGTACATCACAACTCGACAATCGGTACGAGTAAATTGGCGCCGCGACTAAAACAGAGCTTGAGCCCACATTAGGCGCAACCATGGCCGAGGTTCAGGTGCTGCGCTTTGGCAGATCGAGCCTCTGCTCAAGATACCGCCATGGAGACAGCGGCGACCGCACTGACGAAGGCTGCTGATATCTTCATGCACACTCTCGATTAGATCTTGTGGACGGTCAAAGCGGTGGCCACTGGGATGTCGTGGCTCACGGATGCTGAGGACCGGTCATCAGCGCCCAAGGGGCAAGGGATGGCTTCGAGCGTGGCATCGGCGCTCAAGGCAGACATCCCCTGGCTGAAGACCCACAAAGACGAAATGGCTGCACTAGTCGCTGAGTGCCGTCGATTGCGCGACATCTCCATCCGCCACGACACGAGAGAGGCTGACCAGAGTCAGGCGAAGCTGATGGAGCTGTGGCGGACGGAACTTGCACAGCTTGCTGCGCGAGGGCAGGCTCTGAACGCGTCTCAGGTCGACTCAGTTGGGGGTGCGGTCACCAACAGCGATGATACAGAGGGAGCAGTTCCGTGAGGAAGTAGTGGGTGGTGGATCAGGTGGTCTTCTGGATGGACTGGTGATGTGTCAAGAGTGCGACGTTGTCCGATATGAAGTCATGATGATTCTGTCGACGAGGAGAGCGGCCATGTGTACATGTGATGTAACAGATTATTCATTGAATAATTCAACAAGCCTTAATCAGAAGGCTGAGGCGCTCCGCATGACAGAGTACAGACGCAAGAGCAAGCTCAAGACTCGCCACCCTGCTCTTGCTGCCACATTTGCCACCGACCCAAAACCGATGACGTAAGGGCGCCGAGCGGATGACGAGGCGCTTGCACCGCCGACTTTGACCTTGCTCCTTGCTTATATCAATCTATCATCACCAGCAGTCAAACATCCACCTCCCAAAACCGCTACTATCACTAAGGGTTCACTCGCAACTGCCCCTCAGCATCCTCAAGATCTACCTCGACAAGCAAAAGCGCCATGCCCACTGATCTGCCCTATGCCGCCGAGGCCGAGTCCTCCCTCTCCTCCGAAGAACTAGCTGTCAGTTCAGCTTCTTCCGCCGCGCAGCTGGGCGAGTGTCTTGGGACATGGTGCTGATACGTCGTAGGTTCTGAGATCGCAATACTACAAAGAGATTGAGCAGGGACATGTCACTACTCAGTCAAAATTCAATTACGGTAGGTCCTCCTCTCCGTGGCTGGCGCTAGCGTTCGCTGCTGCTGGCAGCTTTGAGCAAATACCTGTCAGACTGAGCCTGTGGCTGACGACCAGGCTGGGCTTTAGTTAAGAGCCCAACGGCGGAACAGCAAACGGAGGGTGTAAAGCTTCTTCAGGGTGAGTCTCGCCTCGAGCTTCTACCTTCCTACCCGCCCATACCTTTGTCCTGGTCGATCCTCTGGGTCGTGAAGCTGACTATACTCAGAGATCTACTCGGCATCCCCCTCTCACCGGAGAGAATGTACCTACTACATCGCGGTCGGGTATTACAAGCTGCGTAATTACGCCTATGCTCGCAAATTCAATGGTCAGTTCACCGTTACACGTCACCCACGCTATTTGAGCTTGGTACATGATCGGAGCTGATACTTCAGACCTGCTACTAGCTGTCGAGCCAGACAACATGCAGGCCCAGTCGTTACGCATGCTCATTGAGCGGGCTGTACAACGGGATGGGTACATCGGTGAGTCATCCTCCTTCTCCTATTCTGACACCATCTTTGCCTCACGTCGACCTCAGAGCTGGAACAATTGCTGACGCTTCAGGTGTGGGAATCCTCGCTGGAGGAGCAGCCATCACCGGTATCGTCTTGGCCAGCATCTGGAAACGGGCTGCCAGGCGGTGAATATAGCCCACGCCCTCCCTTCTCGCTCCTTCGGTCTCCATCTTTGGCCTTCCGAGTCCTTGCCAGCCTGTCAATATGTTGTAGCTCTATGGATATGAATGCACATGATCTTTTCTACCACACCTGCAGAGGTGTGCTCCGTAGCTACATGTCCGATGATACCCGAGTACTGCCGCCGGTTACTGATAGCCAATGCATATTCGTAATGCTGATTAGCGGAATCAAAGCTATTTTTCTAATCAAACCCTATCTGCCGGCGATCAAGAGATGGTCGACGACATTTTCCCATCTCCATCAGCTACAGCATCCGTCCAATCGCTTACAAGCCATACAGAACGTGCTCACCATCTACTGATACCTAACCTGGTGGTATCTGGCCCCATACGCCTGCTCAGCAACCAAGTCTGCGGAAAAAACTGCTCTTGGAGAGCTTGACCCAATCGCCCAGGAGCGATTTTACGGAAATTTGGTTTCGGCCGATAATCTGATAGTGAGTTGATGATCCTGCTCGATGCTGGGGTCCTGGGCGAAGGAGATCAGGCGGAGCAGATGGGGTGTCTCCGATCAGCTGGTCGAAAACGATGCGGCTGTTAGATCGCGCCTTCCAAGCTCTCGGAGCTCCAGCAGTACCACATTTACCATGATCGCCAAGAAGGGCAAAATAGCTGACCCTTCAGACTTGTCTGTCCCACATTCCCCTCAGCACTAGCAAGGATGAAGGTCGACCCCGCCTCTCCCTCACCTTCCACTTCCGTCCCCTCCGTCCACGTCCTCTCCCACTCGGCACACCTCCACCCTGGCCAACCAGGGCATCACGGCGAGACATCGGTCGCGCTGGAAGAAGAGGATGACCATGATTATGAAAGTCTGCCGATTGGGCATGGATGGGGGACGAACATGCTCGCTGGCGCATTAGCGGGGATCTCGGAGCATGCGGCGATCTTTCCGGTGGACAGTATCAAGGTGGGTTGAGCTTGTTCAGAGGTGGAAACAGGGGAGCTTGAGGTTGGAGCTGGAGCTTTGGTATGGACCTGGACGGAGGGACATCACCTAGCTGGGCGTGATGATGGAGATGAGCCATAAAGTGCGGAAGAGCTTGCTGACCTCCAGACGCGAATGCAAGTCCTCCCCTCGCTGAACGCTACCGGCCTTCTCAATCTCAACACCGCGGGCGCCGCTACCTCTGCCGCTACCGCCTCAGCCACCGCCTCCTCCTCCCTCTCCTCTAGCGCCACCTCCGCCCTCAAATCCACCGCTACCCCCTCCGCCGCCAACCCCGCATCCATGACGGCCGCCGCGAACCGCCAAGCCCTGACGACATTCTCGCAGCACCTCCGCTCGGTCTCTACCGGCGAGGGCATCCGGACGCTGTGGCGCGGTGTCGCGTCGGTGATCATGGGTGCTGGACCGGCGCATGCGGCCCATTTTGGGATGTACGAGTTTGTGCGTGAGATCAGTGGAGGACGTGGGGATGGGTGGGGCGGGGTCGGAGGGACGGCGGTGGCGGGTGCGGCGGCGACGATTACAAGTGATGCGTTGATGAACCCGTTTGACGGTGAGTTTTGGTCTGGGCTGGGTTCGCTGGGTTCAGGATTGTGGGCGATCTTTGGGGGTTGAGCCTCATGAGAGGAATGGGAGAGGAGGTAGACCATATGGCAAAACGGCGTACGATAAGGAGATCTCAAGGAGAATGGAGTGGGGAGCGCCTCGGGGCGGCAAGGAGGGCGAGAATCATGTCTGCTTGGAATCCGGAAATTGGGCGAGGGACTGGGAGACTTGATGGGCTCGGCTGGGTCTGGAGATGGCTACGTGCTTGTGCGAACCTTCTGACCTTCGGCTCCATGCTCTCTCTTCCCTTTCTGGCCTCTTTCCATCTCTGCGTTCCTGAGCTAACCCGGCAGTCATCAAACAACGCATGCAAATCCGCAACTCGCCACACCGCTCCGTCTTCTCGTGCGCTCGATCCGTCTACGCCTCGGAAGGTCTTTCAGCCTTCTACGTCTCCTATCCGACGACAATCACCATGACGGTCCCGTTTACGGCGGTGCAGTTCTCGGCGTACGAGTCACTCAAGGGACTGATCAACCCGAGTGGGGTGTATAGTCCCATGACGCACATTGTGGCGGGTGGGGTGGCGGGTGGGTTGGCGGCTGCTGTGACTACGCCGTTGGATGTTGCGAAGGTGAGTTGGAGTTTGAGAAGAGAGATAGGATAAGGGTCGGGTATCGTACGATCTCGGCGTGGGATATGGAGCTCTTTAGCGGAGAAAGGGGACGAATCGAGGCATACGGATATGGGACATATAATGTCGCCCTTGGAAATCAGAGCTGATGATGCAGACCCTCCTTCAGACTCGCGGATCCTCCGATGACCCCAGAATACGAAATGCGCGCGGTATGGGCGAAGCTTTGAGGATCATCAGGGAACGAGATGGGTGGAAGGGGCTGAGAAGGGGCATGTTGCCGAGGGTGATGACGGTGGCGCCGAGTACGGCTATCAGTTGGATGAGTTATGAGTTCTTCAGTAAGTCCTTCGGTTTCAGTCTTTGCCTCGGTCAATGACACGGGGATGGGACAGTATTGACAGAGATGGTTGAGGTCAGCGCGGCGAGGAGGCGAGATGCGGGCGGAGACGGAGTACAGCTGTCGACAAATTCGGTCAGATGGAAAAAGTGGGGGGTGAGGGGTATGCGGGGATCGGACCAGCACGGCAAGCTCAGAGGGACATCGCTGACAACCCTGCAGAAGTCCTTATACGGCAAAACGGCGCATTACCCGAGACGGGCAAAGCGACACCTCGGTAGTGCAAGCACTGAGCCTATATCATCCGGGAGGCGGACGGATCTAGAATATGGAAGTAGGGATGACGGTTGCTCTTCTGGCGGATGGCATCTCATTTCCTCATCTGCTGACAGGCGTCGTCGAAATGAACATGAAAGCTCATTCGGGTCAGAGCTGATGGTGGACCATGATGATTCCCACTAAATATCTGACTGCGATCATGTCTTGAGAGGGGTCTCAAAACAATCTGACAGGTCCAACGTGTTCGGGCCTATGCAGCGCGTCACACATCGTGAATGGTGGGCGCAGGTAAGTGGCCCCCAACTCCTTACATCGTTTACAACCCACGTGTCTACCGACGCCAACCACTGGGAAGCTAGGTGGAGGGACCGGTCGGACCGTGAGCGAAAGCAAACGACCATTTCTTCTTCTTTGCCTTTTCCCGCAGTGCGGACTCTGCGGCCTCCGCTGTGCTGATCAGGTCCCTCCTTCCCCAAAGTCCCCCGATGTACCCCGTGAATTCGCTCACGCTCTCATCCCCCATTGCAGCGAGAGACGTCTGAAGCTTGGACATTGCCTCCTTCAAGCTCTCATCATCCTCGACGTGTGTTGCAGAGCTGATCCATCGGATCGAGCGGGGCGAGGGGGTTGAGGAACCTTCCGGAAAGTGTGGGGGCACTGGGGGGACTGGCGGTTTGTCGGAAGCGCTGTAGCATGTGGTGAGCGGTGGTACATAACCTCGCAAATTCTGCCACAACCCAGGAACCCCCGCCCAGTGGACCTCTATCTCGGGGTAGGCTTGCGTGAGTGCTTTGAGCCAGTAGGCGATCGGCCCATCACTGAAATGCTCGTCATATCGGTCACTTGAGCCTTCCCGCGTGGACTGGAACACGATATGCTTCAACGATGGAAAGTTGCCCTTGCTTGCGAGCTTCAACACGCAAAGGCTAGCGAAACCGTCGCTCTGGTCCGACTGCAGCTCGTCCTGTCTAGATCTGCTGGACGAGAAGATCTGCGGGATGGTCCAGACGTCCTTCTTCGCTTCAGGGCTGTCGAGTACCGCCTGTACTTCAGGGCTGCCGAGAACGTCCTGCACTTCAGGGCTGTCGAGTTTCGCCTGGTCTGCTGCAAGCTGGATTTTAGCCTCCCACGCATGTCTCCAGAGACAGTCATCAGATGGGCAGCCGAAAACAGACCGCAAACTTTCCGCTGACAGAGAAAAGCATCTGGAAGTTGTATTCTCCTGGGCGATCTTGTTCCTTCTGCGACCGAGCACCGCAAATCTCTGTATTTATTAGCTTTGACACGTGTCCCGGTACACCCTCATGGTAAATGTGGAAGAATCGCACTCTGCTGGCTAGCATCCATGACTTCTGGGTGTCCGACATGAGGAAACACTGCGACGGCCCCACCAGGGCTGAGCGGTCTCTCGACCCGAAAGTCAAAGCCTCGTACACCATGTAAAGGGCATCGTCATGTAATAGTGTTTGTGGGGGGTCTGACATCGTACGGGATTGTGATCGCGTGCTGGATTACCAATCAGCGAGACGGTGAAGGTATTGTAAGGTGGCAAATGTGAAGTTGGGCGGGATACTCGGCACTCGCACCGGACATCCACCCTGAATCATCGTTGAGTAGCGCTCCTTTCATACCATACACTATAGTGTGCGTCACACCATAGCATGCAAGACTGCACTTCACCCTTTGTGGGGGCACTCCGTTGTGTGTTGTGCCAGAGCTCGATGTGGCAAGCGCACAGGGCGCCACAGCTTTGATGCGCCCACCAGCCTAGGAGTAGAGGCTCATTGTAAAGATGAGATACAGTACAAGAATACCCACAGAGTGTCAGATCGACGAGGTGAATGTCACCGTTGTCGATGTCCGGCTAGATTCGAGAAAAGGTGCATCGAGGTATGCCTGGCTCTGTCTCAGTCAACTCCTGACCCTATGGGCCCATCGGGCGTCCTCGCACATGCTTGCCAGTCCGACTGGCAAGATCCGGGTTGTACTGGCATGTACCGCCTACTCTGCCGTCTTTTCTTACTGCAGAGAATATATCAGTCGCTTGCCCTCTCTACATCGGGCTACTTCAAATGTCCTACCCCGGTCGTATGTCTCAGGATTCCCGCCGAGCCAGTGAAGGCGGATCGAAGAGTCGGCCGGGGGAAACGATGCCCAAAGAGAATGTAGTGTGAAGCCATCAGCAACGCACTCGCCTTCACCTTCGAGCTCCGATTGATAGATCACATCCCGCAACTCCGGGAGATAACTTGATCCACGAGGGAACCAAGATGTGAATTCGCCCATGAAAGCAGATTGCTCTTGTTCCGCCAGCAACAATTCTTCTTGAGTGTGCCGCGCGAGACGGCGCACGGTCAGCTTGTGTACGCCTTTCCATTTCTGCGATATCATGATTCGGCTGGCAGTGGCATTGGCGTCGTCTGAGAGGAAGGCGGTAATGCTTTGACCTGGAGGCACATTGAGCACCCTCCGAATTTTCTCAAGAGTGAGGTCGATGCAGGTCGCGCGTTGGCTGTCCTCAGTCGGCGTGATGATGCTCCGAAACCTCTACTGGTGTCAAGGATTGTTTCTAATGGCGGCGGTCTGGTCACATGCACTCACCTGACATATCAAGGCGATAGGCAGCCACGACTTGGTTCGGAAAGTGTTCTCGTTCCCGTCAGGGACCAAGAGCCACTCGTCCTCGGCCTGTGCGGTTGCGAGAATCATGGCCCATATTTCCTCAGCTGCGTAGGGCAAAGGCTCATGAACGGCATCGTTGGTTGCTGAATCAGGCGAGGTAAGCGTGCTGGATGGCATGAAGGCTGTTCAGTGCTGTATAAGTGCTGTGCGGATGGGTCCTGAGAGCAAGCGAGACTGATGTCTAGATTATGGCACTTGAGATGCCATGGGAAAGGCCCTTATCACGACATGGGAGCCTTCGAGTCTCCTACGTCTGAAAGGATGATCAGTGCTTGACCCCATGCGAGCACAGGCAGGAGCACTCTCATCCTTTGCTGAAGTCGCATATATCAGCAAGTACTAGTGTTGGACCGGTGTCGAGGGGTACGCCGGAAAATGTCATCTGAGGACTCCCACCTCGCTGTTCCTATGTCGGAAAGAATTCCGTCAGATCGATGTACAGCAGTGACCCGCAGCGGCTGATCGCAGCCGGAGCTGAGGAAAGCCTAGCTAGGGAAGCAAGTGGGCCGGGTGGCGACATGAGGGTGTGGCACCTGCATGCAGCTGGTACTATCCGCCACACTCAGCCGAGTGACGTAAAGGAATGTAGACGTGCTCCCCCCACTTTAGGTGACCTTGGCTGCAGCTCCTTCGACCTTTGCCTTTGCATATGCTCTATCTCTTCATCCAGCAGCTATCTACCTACCCGTATAGAGACGCATCACGCCCAGCAACATGGACGTAGACGACGACGATGCTTTCTTGTACGGCAACGAGCCAGCTGCAGCTCAGCCGGTGGAGAGCGCGTCCGCATCAGCAGGGTCCATCAAGACCGAACAACCGAATAGTAAGCTGTCATGCCTCGACTCGGTGGAGCGTTGGAGCGGCGAAGCGGTTGGGCAAGAGATCCATGATGGCGTCAGGGAAGCTGCGGTATGCGTGTGTACTGTATATAATGCCTATGGCCGACTTTGCCGCATGCATTGTGTTGACGCTCCAGATGTACCTGCCCAAACTGCGCCAGCTCCGCTCGTACCGTCCAGGGTTGCTGCTTCTCTGGGTGTCAGCTCTGCCATGGCAGCGTGAGTCTGTTGTCAGGTGCTGAGTCTAGATCTGTACGCGGAGCACTCAGCTGACTGGCCAGATCCCTCGCAGCGTACGGTATCGACCCATCCGCTGCGGTAGTCGAGCCATCTCTGGAAGATGGAGGCGTCGAGGAGGAAGAAGAGCAGGACGATGATAGTGATGACGATGACGACGTGACCTTCTTCACTGGTCAGGCTGGAGGGCGTGCTCTTGATCTGAGGTAAGTAGATCATGCTGCAACGTATCAGATGATCTGCGGGAGCTGACTAGACAGAAAAGCTCAACCAGCGACGAGCAATGTGATAGGGATAGGCAAATGGGCGCATACGTCTACCGGACAAGCGCCTCCTGCTGCGTCCCCAGCTGCTCCTCAGCCCCAACGAGGTAGGTCACCCTCCTACAATTCAGGGAACTGAGCTGACGCCTCAGCTCCCCTTCACTCCGCTGTCAACGCCAACCAGACCACCGAGTACAACCCCGCCCCCCGTCCTGGGCCATCCGCCTCAGCTACTCCTGTCCCCGGTTCTAACGCCTATCCTCAAATACCACCATCAGGCGATATAGGAACCGCCCCGAACGTTCTCACTCCCTCAAATCAACCCACCTCGAACGGTCCGCCCGGCGCCGCCAACTTCCCCCACTCTACGCTCCCTCCTGCACATGCTGCATCGTCACATCCAAATATCGATCCCACCCACCCCTCAGGGATCATCCCAAGCTCTAACAACTCGGTGTATGAGATCGACTTGGCGATTTTCGAGGGATCAGGTCAACCCTGGAGGCGGCCAGGAAGCGATCTGAGCGATTGGTTCAATTATGGATTTGACGAAACATCATTCCCCAAGTTCTTGCGGTTCAGGGCGGAAATGGAGGCAGGTCGGGCAGCTATGGTAAGCTTCTCTGGATCTCACCGGTGATATAGCTAATCCGCAGATGACCACTTCGCCCATGCACGCCATCCCCCCCGAGACTATCCAGATGGTCGGCAACTCCCTCCCTCCACTCACCAACCCCGCCGCCGCTGCTGGTCTGCCAAATTTCAACCTCAACCCGCAGATGCTGCAGCAGATGCAGCAGATGATGGGGATGCAGGGGATGGATATGGGGATGATGGCTCAGATGATGGGGAATATGGGCGGAGCAGGAGGCGCGAATGCGGGCCAGATAGGCCCAGGGGGTCAGGTCGGGAATGGGCAGATGGGGATGCCGGGGCAAGGACAAGGACAGTTGCAGCCTGGAGTTGCGCAGGTCAGACCAAGTACGTTTCTAGCGGGATGATTACCTGGAGCTGGCAATTCGGCCGCTGCGCACGCAGCAGCTGCGGTTGGATCGAACCACGGGTCATGGGACTGTGCTAATTGTGCTAGATCCGCCGCAGAGAGCATCTGCCACTCCCGCTCCTTCAGCAAGCCAAAACGGCCAAGAGCCAGCCGAAGAAGTCAAGCAGGAAGAGCAAGAACCCGTGAGTCCCTGTACGTCCTTTGCGGGTCGTCGCTGATAGCCAGATCGCTGAGGGCTTCGCCGACCCAAACATCGCTCAGCCCGGACAGCCGGTACAGCCAGGGATGGGACCGAGAGGGAGGGGCATGATGCGAGGTATGCCTGTCCGAGGAGGAGGTATGGTCCGAGGCCGAGGAGCAGGTGAGCTTTCCCTTTTCCGACTTGCCATAGGGACTTTAGCTGACTTGATAGCTCCACTGGGACCCAGAGCAGGGACCGGCCCTATCCCCACCGCGCCAAAAGGCCCCAAAGCCGGTCGATTCCGGGACAAGGACCGCGTCGAAGCGTCCATGTCAGGCGGTCTGGACTACGGTGGCGGCGGGAACGGCGGCGACGCGCGAGAGCCCGAGAGTCCTAGTGTCAGCAATAGCGCCCGACCCAGTCGGAGACGGAGTCCAAGCAGGAGCGGATCCGACCGCAGTCCGAGTCGGAGCAGAGGGAAGAGTTACTCGCGGAGCACCAGCCCGTCTGCTACTGCTCGAGGCGGAGGAGCGAGCGGGGCCAGCTCGCCCGATAAGCGCCGGCGAGCGCGCGAGGAGGACGGGGAGCACGGGTCCAGGCGGAGCGGGGGCGGCGGGGGTAAGAGGGACCGGAGTGAGAGTCCGCGGAGGAAGAGTAGTCGGAGTGGTACGAAGGACAAGGAGAGGGATAGGGGCGGGAGAGATAGAGAAAGGGAGCGGGAGAGGGATAGGGAGAGGGCGAAGCGGAAGCGAGATGATGGGAGTTTGGCGCCCGGTGTGGGGCTCGGTCCCGGCGGATGGGGAGAGGATGAGGAGGCAGGAGGGGAGAGGCGATCAAGGTGAGTCCTGCGTTCAATTGGGGCGTAGTCTTGATCAAGCTGATGGTTTAGGCGGAGGAGAAGCTATTCCGATGAAGGCGAAGAAGCGGACCGGCAGCCCAAAAGCTCTACTAAGCGGAGATGATTCAGCCTAGAGTACTTGTCAGGATTCAGACCAAATCTATGCATAGCCATATCCTGTTGACGAGGGTGTATTGTCGACATGAGCAGACAGCTAGTACATGCTGTGATGTGATATGATCTATGGCTTTGGATTCTGCGAGCGCATAGCGTCGTGCTCCTCAATTTGTCCATCGCATTCCCAGGGGTACGCGAGCCAGACGTCCGGTGTCTCTTGGGCTGCAAAGTACTGGACGCCAGAGGGGAGCTCGCCTGCCTTTTCCTTCAGTCTGTAGAGTCAGCTCATGACCTTGATATGTAGATTGCAGCGGACGACTGTCAAGGGCTCGGTCGGAGATAGGAGAAAGGGGCTAAGGAGGAGCCATCGAGGGCAAAGCAAGCGTGGGGGAATAGGTAGAGCTGAGACTTACTTGTTGTGCACGACAAAGATACCGAGCTTGGTCGTTTCTCTGAGCTTCTCCCTGTCTTCCGTGTTCTCGATGAGCTGGAGTTGTTCGTCAATGTCTTTTTGGAGTTCGCGGATGAGATATCTGTCCGGTCAGCTGGGTACTGTAACAAGGCCAAAGGACAGGGACGCGTGCGACCGTACGGGTGTGTCTCAATGAAGATTCATCAGGATCACGGTTGATATGATGAGGAAAGATGGTGGCAGAGCGGAAAGCGTTACTCACATCAGGGTTGTCCGTGTGTCGTCTACCTCGTCCACGATCAGGATACGACGACCGAGAAGTCCACCATGTTTGAAGGTCTTGCCCAGCTGGTACGGTCAGCTCGTCTGTATCTTGGAAGCATCACGTCCGCTAGGTAACGATAATGATACACGGAGAAGAGCAGATGGACTTCACTTACTGTTGAAAAGTCAAGCCATTGTGTGCGGACGACCTCCTTACCGACAACTTCCGCAATCTGGTATATATCAGCCACGGTCCAAATACGAGCTATTGCCTGCTTGGCAAGTCGACACCTCCGCCCATGACACCATGAGTATGAGTAGATGTGACTTACCCCGCCCATGGATTCGTACAATGTCAGGCCGACAGCCTGGATAGGGATATTCCTCTTCTTTCCTTCCGTGGTGGTCTTGAGGAAGGTGCGGAGGATACGAGCGGGAATGAAGCCTCCACCGCCGATAGCGATGAAGAGTGTCGGTTCTAGGTGATTAGCTCTGACTCAGATGCTCCGCAAGGGGATATGCGGTACTGCAACGCAGCGAAAGACAACAGCTGAGGACATACCAAACTCCTTCTGGATCTTGGCGGCACATTGCTGAATGCTGTTGTGCACGTCGTTGTAGCTCAGACGGATCCTGAACAGTCAGCTCACTATGACCCAGACCGGACTGTGGTGGCAGATCAGCTTACATGGGTACTTCAGCGTCTGCGTTTCCCATCTTGGCTGAACTTGACTTTGGTGGTGGAGAGGAGCTCGAAACGCAAAGATAAGAAGTTTCAAACGGACGCGGAGTAACGGCATCGGCCATACTAAGACTCAATCTTTATATATCATCAAGAAAGACAAAAATCACGGAAGGGGATGTAGCTCAGGGGTAGAGCGCTTGCTTAGCATTTATAAGCTGCATGAGGCCCAGCGTTCGATTCGCTGTTTCTCCACGTTCTGTTTTTGCTTTTGCCAGTTGGTCTTTTTTGCTCTAATTAATTGTCGGCCTGCCTTCTGCTCGAGCTTGCGCCTCGTTTGTGTATCGTCACATCATGTCGTCCTTCCTTTTTCATGTTACAGCCTGCCAGTATGTCGCACAAGATGCTGGACCACACTACTGGTCGGCGTCGAGTCTCCGAGGTAGCTGGCGTCGCCCCAGGATCTCGTCAGGTCATCAAGCGGACCATTCCCCCTCCCACGACCGGCGGGTACACCGGCTTTCGAGATGCAGACATGCTACGCAACGAGGCTCGGGCTATCGAGTACGTCCGGCACCATACGACTATACCAGTACCGACCGTTATCTCCATGTTCGAGGACCGCGGCTGCGTCTACATGGTCCAGGAGTACGTGGAGGGTACAGTCAACGGCTCGACCATCCGGCTCTCCGTCGACGCCAAAGCCGAAATCATCTCTCAGCTGGAGGGCTTCGTCGGTCAGCTCCATGCTCTGACCGACCCTCGCTTCCGCAGTTTCGTCGGCGCACCGTTCCTCCCTCCCCGCTTTCATGCCCATCGCCTACCGCTCGAGCACGCCAACTATCGTTCGAGCTCGTCCCCTCCTTACGTCCTTTGCCACGGCGATCTCAGCTGGCAGAACCTCCTGATCGACCCAGAGACGTACGAGATCAAGTGCGTAATCGACTGGGAGTATGCGAGCTTTTGTCCGGTCGAGATGGAGAAGGAGGATTGGAGAAGGCCGGATCCGTATACGCTGCGGAAGGGGGAAAGCTCGGATGTGGTTCCTATGTTCGGAATGCTTCTTGATTTGGCGGTCAAGGCGGATTCATCGGGAGATGGTGAAGTTGGTGATCTTGGGGAGACCTCAAAGTGAGTCCCGCTTGACTCTGGCGGAGGACGATACTGACAGCTAGTTCCGCCGAGGCTCAGTACACCGATACCCAGCTCCGCATTCGAACACTCAATACCGGATTCCCTATCGACCAACATCTCTCACCCTCTTCACTCGCGGCTCAGACCGTCATCGCTGCGCACAACGGTATCGCCCACGACCTCGAGCGCACGGCAGCCATCATGGACGATGGGCATCGGAGCATCATCGACTTGCTGGAAGTCCTGGCCGAGAGCGGCGGGCACGGCGAAAACCCTTTTTGGGATGTCACACGAGGTTAGTGTCAAGATCAGAGAACGAGATGCTCGGCTGACGGACTAGAACTACGCTTCTTCTTACCCCTTGCTCAAACCCCTCCTGACCTCTTTCGGCAACTCGCTCTTCGATACCGCCAAGCCGCCAACGAGCTGATACCGCTGCTTCGTCAATTCCGCAGTACCGACAAGGTAGACGAAGCTCAGCGTGAGGGAGAGGATGATGCTCCCAAAAAGCCGGACACAGGATCGGGGAGCTCGGAACTGAAGCGGACGAGAGAAGTACTGGATCAGGCGTATAGGGGGATGTAAATAACGCTCTGGGAGGGGATCAGCTCGGTATGTATTTCAGGTCATCTTTATCATCTTTCCGATGCTGATAGATCTAGTTCGCAGAACGCTTCCTCCTCTACTCTACCGCCGCCTTATCCCTCTTCCCGTACATCCCGGATCCAAGCACCAGTATCAAAACTCGAGAAGATGATCATCAACGACACGTCGCCGAGCAACGAGTACACGATCTCGCTCAAGGCGGAAACGGTGGATGGGCTGTCGGAGTCGTGGATGTGGAGGCGGATGTTGCGAGAATCAAGGAGAAGGCTGAGGAGAGCTGGGGCAGGAGGAGGGTGATGCCGAGCAGGCTCAGCAGAGACGGGTGAATGGGTAGAAGGAACTCTAGGAGCAGGCGGAGAGGGGAATATGGCTACATGGCTATACGGCGATAGGTGGAGAAGAGCAGGAGGGGTATGCAATTATCTGACCATTCGTGAACAGCCGGGCTACAGGTGTGCGGAAAGAGCAGTGCGTCAGTAGGCGGCTGACATATCAGCTGAAAGTCCAGGTCAGTCTGCCGGATGCAGAACGCAGACAGGTCGTCAGCGCGTCTCGGATCAGTGTTGGGGGTCTTCTGCGCCGAGGGAAGATAATACTGACGCATCTTCCTTGATCGCATGGCTAATTTCTGCGCTGAATCATCAAATATCCCTGAATCGTCCCCCTCCGCAGCAGCAAAATGTTCATACTCTGTCTCCCTTCCTGATCTTATCTTCCCATACGGCCCCATACTGACCGCCACGCCTCTCCCTGTCTTGCTCCTTTCCCGTCAGAATATCCGATTTGTCGTCGTTGGTGTCATTCGGCCGTGATGGTGGTTGAGGGCGATTAATATACAGCTTGAGTGGAAATGGCGCTGGGCGTCAGCGAGGTGCTCTGAGTATCCTCCTCAAGGACCCATCTATCTCGTCGCCTATCATACTCACGAATGATCTTACATAACGCGCCAAGAGTACTGCAGGTCATCAGCTCAATCCTTATCGATATCGAGCAAGTGCAAGGTGAGAGAGACAGACTCACCGCGACGTTACCCGCCTCATCAATGCTCAGCAGCGTACTCCCTAAAACGGTTATGCGTCCGCCGGAGGCACCCAAGCTTCCAGCAGAATTTCTTCTGCGTATCTAGCTCCCCGTGGGTGGTACCAAACCTCTGCAATTTGTCTCGCTCCGGGCGGTATCGCGTCGCCATGTACCGGTACGTACCGCACCTGGCGCAGCCCCATTCACCGAGTGGAGTTACTGGCGGTACACGGTCGACCCAAGGGCGTGTATCGACAGGCTGGCCACTGGCGTACTGGATCGGCCTCGTGTAGCCGCAATATGCGCAGAACCCGGTGTGGTCCTGTGCGCCTCCGATATGCGCGCGGGAAAAGTGACAGGTTGCGCAGCGGTATGGTGCATTGGGGGGTGATACTAGGCATGGCCTGCGATCAACGGTCCAGCAGAGCATGTTTGGAGCCTCGTGGTAGCAACTGAGGCACATCATCATAGTGGGATGATTATCCATGGTAGGACGCGGGAATCTGCACTCTGGGCAGGCGAAGTATTGGTTGGAGTCGATGCGTGGGCAATTGTTACTGTAGACTGCGGTCATGTCGTAGGAAAAGTATCAGGATGATACGGAGAGGAGGGCAGTGGGACATGCTGGGACGAGAGCTGATTCAAAATGGCAGGCAAAGAGTCTGCTTCTTTCCAGCATGCACACATCTACAACAATTGCGGAACGCTAGAAGCCACGACGTCTCCGCTTATCATGGACTTCAGGCAACACATCTACCGATAGCGTGTCCGTCCGAAGCTGGAAGTCTGTAAGCACAGGAGCCAAAGAAGCACTGACTCGGACCGGTCGGGTGGCCGAAGGCACGCCAGAAGCGAAACCTAGATGAGGAATGTGAAGTGAAACTCACGGGGAAATGCCCTTCACTCGGCCAATCAACCTTGCAATTTCTGTTGTAATTGATCTTCTCGACCGAATTCATCATGACGCAGAAGCCTATAGACCGACTGAACTTCCGACGCCGTGTCTTTGAGACACCAGCCCAGCAGACCGCCGCTCGATACATTGTCAAGCGGACAGTGCCGTCCGCGGAGCAGGAGGTCGGCAGTACCCACTTTTGGCATGATCCCCGGGACGCAGACATGCTGCGGAACGAGATCAAAGCCATCGAGTATGTACGCTCGCATACGACGATTCCGGTCCCAGTAGTCGTCACCAGTTTCTCGGATCGGAACAGCGTCTATATGATCCAAGAATACGTCGAGGGTACGGTCAACGCCGGCGGTACCCGCTTGGACCCAGCTGCCCAAGACAAGATTAGAGCGCAGCTCAAGGGGTACATCGATCAGCTCCACGCTCTCACCGACCTCTCCTTCCGCAGCTTCGTCGGAGCACCCTTCCTCCCCGCTCGCTTATACCGCAGCCGTCTCCCGCTCGAGGAGGCCAACTATCCACCTGCGACCCCATCTCAACCTTACGTCCTATGCCACGGCGATCTCGGCTGGCAAAACATCCTCATCGATCCTCAGACCTACGAGATCAAGTGCATCATCGACTGGGAGTACGCTGGGTTCTATCCTGTAGAGCTGGAGGGTGATCTGTGGCAGCGGCAGGATCCGGCGCTGGGAGTGCCTCCGCCGATGTCGGACGTCGAGACTACCATCTCGGCGCTGGTCAAGCTAGCAGCTCGGGATGAGCAGCCGTCAGAGAGGAGGATGGTCACGGCGCATATGGAGGACGACCAAGATGAGGTGGAGGAGGATACCATGGACCAGTGAGTAGCACCTTGGCTTCGGCGCGAATCGCAGCTGATGCGCAGAACTACCGCCCCACCTCTGACCGACAGTCAGCTCCGCCTCCGCAAGCTCAATATTGGCTTTCCTCCTGATCGGCCCATCTCGGCGGCATCTCTGGCCACCCAGACAACCATCGCAGCGCACATCGAGATCGCCAATGACCTCGATGCGATAATGGCCATTGGCGGGGATACCGCTCGCTCGACAACGGATTTATGGGTCAGATTGCAGGATGCGAAGAGATCTCGACCAAGAGATATTGATATACATGGACTATGGGGTAAGTCATCAGGACGGGGTAAGCTAATATTAGATCACACATTCTTTCTCCCCCTCTCGAGCGAATCCCCGCCATCCTCACCCCTCTCGCCACCGCTTACAGAGCCGCGGCAGAACGCTACACTCCCCTTCGCGACCGCCTCTGCGACTTCAAGCTGAAGCCGACGGTGTGGACTGGAGAAGGCGCTGGGAAGGTTACCCCCGAGGAGGCGAAGAAGACGGAAGAGACTAGAATCATAGCGGATAAGGCGTACAAGGACGCCGAGGTGATCAAGTGGGAGGCAAGGAGAAAGGTGAGTACAATTGCAGATCAGCATTCGCTTTATAGCTGATTCTCAGTTTGCCGAATCCCTTCTCCGCCTATCTACCGCCGCTCAATCCCTCATCCCCTTTCTCCCAGACGAGACCACGACCCCGCTTACCCGCTGGAAAGATCGAGACCGTCATATCGCCGAGCAGAGGGCAGCCGACATCATTTCCTCGGGCGCAGGTAGCACGGGCGGTACAGGTGGATGGAGGGTGGTAGTAGAGGTGGATGAGGAGGAGTATGAGCGGATCAAGAGCAAGTACGGGCGAGAATGGGATGAAGCGAGGGACAAGGATAGGGAGACGGAGGTGTGGCTGGCGGAGGAAAGGGTCAAACGAGAGGAGCGCGCGATGGAGATGCTGGAGCTGGAGCACCGTCGTCGGAGGGAGCTGGCGGAGCAGCGACAGAGGGAATGGGATCTGATGGGGAAGAAGGAGAGGAGGAAGGAGATAAAGCGGATGGAAACGGCTGCCCGAGCGTCTGTAGGCCAGGAGAAGAGTCGATCTTGCTGTATAAGTTAGAGGATTTTCAAGTTAGCCGGAGTTGGAGAGGGCGTCTTCAGCCATGTGACCGAACATACTATTTTCAGCACTGAAGGGGTCTGACGGGTGCGATCTCTTTGGTCAGTGCAGGAGCGAGACTTATCAGGGGCCACGGACTTGTTAAATGAAGCGGAAAGTAGTACCAAATAAGACCGAGTGAGCAGATGATGAGCATCAATTTGCGATGCGCCTGGGTCCCAGGTCCAAAGGCTCGCTGCTAAAGAGCTCATACTGAGAACTCAAGCCTGTTTCCCGCAAAGTCCCGCGCGAAGAAACGAGTAGGGTACTCCACTCCCTGGACGTATCAGCACGCCCTCCTCCCACTTCCCTGCTGGTCCCCACCTCAGCGCCCATCCAGTACAGTATGACACCGACGGCACCGGTACAGCGAACGGCTCACTCACCTTGGAGCCGGAATTCTCTCCCCCTGGCACATCACACTCCACCGCCCTCGCCTTTGACTCCCCCTTGCTGTGCTCGTATATCCTCTGCTGGAGCTCGAGAAGCGCTTCGGGCGATGCGAGACGGAAACAGGGGTGGTGTCTGCTGAGATGTGAATTGGGCGGTGAGGTCTCGTGTGTATGGGCGACATGGATCTACTATTTCAGCAGAAGTCTCCTCAGAGAATCCCCATTAAGGGTCATAATGTAGTCCATGTGACGAGGGGAGGGACGGAGAACTGACCTGCTGTGGACCATCGCCTATTCTGAACCTAGCGAGATCAGCTCAAGCTCTCGCGATGACCTTCGTCTACTTCGCAAAGATATCCATCTCAGTGATGAGATTCACATCGATGAGACGAGGTGGACATACCAGAGCAGCATATGCTTTTGTAACTGTGGAACCGGGTCAACGCCAAACCCAATAACCTCGCCGTAGAACTCGCTTGCGAGCGGTAAAGTACCCTCTGGTACAGTAAGGTTGATGTGCTGTAGCAAGATCGGCGCGTAGGAGGGCATCTTGCAGATTCAAGAGATAATGAGAGAGTTAATGTGTACTGGGACAAGAGCAAAGAGACGAGCCGCTATGGACTCCTCATATAGACCGGCAATGGACGGAAACGGCCGGCCCGGGCAAGGGAGTGAAGGGGCATCCCAGGGCCAGCATTCCTCGAGTCACTATGATTCGCCATGCTGGAACGACGACCCAGAGACATTATTATACCAATGTGCTACTCACTGGTAGGTCACGCTACTCTGGCCGGCTTGCCCTCGAGGGGGATGCATGTCGCTCGACAGGAGCCGTTTGATCCTCACTCCCTCCTTCCCCACTTTGCCCCACTTTCCCCTCTCGGCCTAGTCCGCCACTGAACTCTAACGTCCGCCAAAGCTCCTTCAAGTCAGCACCGCTTTCTCCTTCAACCTCTGACTCCCGCCTGTATCTCTTGTTCATCCGTACAACCACCTTGACATTGACAAGGATGCTCAAGATTATCATAGCCACGCTGCTCGCAGCTTCTGCTGTGACAGCGGCAGCCCTCTCGAACCCCTTCGCGCAGACCGACCTTCCTAACCTCTTCAAGAAGGATGGCCCGACCGACGTATTCGTGGGACACTGTGAGTAGCACAGCTTTCCGATATCTCTCTCGCTGACTCTGTAGTCGACCAGCATCGTGTCGGAACCGATCTCTACATGCAGACCCACATCGCGGCAATCTACCCCAACCGCACCCTCACCATCACCCAAGACCGCAACTTCCAGCTCTTGAGCTACGCCGCGAATGCCCCTTCTGGCACGATCATGGTCCGTCAGATGGATGATGTTGAGGCCATCAAGCGGACGATCTATATGCCCTCGCCAAGGAGGAGGGATGGTGACGGGTCCGTGGCGGATGGGATCATATTTGCTGGGTATGAGGTCGCCTGGGGCGAGCATGAGTTTGTGGCTATTGTCGGAACGGTGAGAGTACTATAATATGTACTTGTACTGAGCTGATGACAACAGTGGACCGAGGGGTACAACACCATCACCCAATGGCATATCATTGGGGACAGCGAGCAGGCAGCTCATCAGCTCATTCACGATTGCGGTGCTTTCACGTCGACCGTCAGGGACGCAGTGTGGGTCTTTGAGCAGAGCTACTGGAAGCCGGACTATGACCTGTGGAAGTCCATCCAGAAGGTACGTATCTGACTTCTCAGTCCTGCGCGTCTTGAACTGATCCGCAGGCATCATGGGATGACGTCGTACTCGAAGACACCCTCAAGAAGGCCATCCAGAATGACTATCGCTCATTCTTCAAGTCTGAGGAGGTATACAAGCACCTCGACGTACCTTGGAAGCGGGGACTGATCTTCCTTGGTGTGAGTCCGTTCGACCTCCAGGCTGAGAGCAGAAGCTGATAAGGTAGCCTCCGGGGAACGGCAAGACGATTAGCTTGAAGGCGATCATGAAGGAGGTCAAAGTGCCGCTTCTTTACGTCAAGTCTTTCCACAGTGAGTACCCTGTCTCTCATGTACGCTCTTTGCTGATGCGTCTCAGCATACCAAGGAGATGAGCTCGGTATGTCTTTGGTCCCGTCTTTTCCCCCTTCCTCTCGGATCCGTACGGCGCAAACACTGATCCTCCCAGGCATCCGTATGGTCTTTAGTCACGCTCGCGCCTTTGCACCTTGCGTGCTCGTGTTGGAAGACCTCGACTCGCTTATCACCGACCAGAACAGGGCATTCTTCCTGAACGAGGTGGATGGGCTCGAGGACAATGATGGCCTGCTACTGGTGAGCCTTGCCTCTGTGGACCCAGGACGACAAGAGCTGATAAATAGATCGGCTCGACCAACCACTTTGACCGCCTCGATCCAGCTCTCTCTAGCAGGCCGTCCCGATTCGACCGCAAGTAGTGTGTCTCCTCTCGAGCTCTAACGCCTCCATTACGCGCATCGGGACAAAGCTGATCGGTATCAGCTCATTCCCGAACCCCAGCAAAGCCGAGCGCCGGGCGTACGCCGTATACTGGCAAGACAAGCTGGCGTACAACAAGGAACTCAAGTTCCCCGACGAGCTACTGAACGCGTTTGCGGAGAAGACGAGCAAGTTCTCGTTTGCGTACATGAAGGAGGCATTGTGAGTCTGCTGCCGTTGCATGATCGGATCGGCTGTCTCATAGATAATATACCATCGGACTCAAGCTGACACATGTAGCATCTCCACCCTCCTCATCATCGCCGGCCAGGAACCTAACGAGAAGATCCACTTTGGCGCCACTCTTCTCGAGCAGATCAAGAAGCTTCGACAGCAGATTGAGGAGGGCGAGGAGGCTATGCTGGCCGCCATGTTTGGGATGGGAGAGGCGGGTGGCGCTAAGCGGCAGGAGACGGGGTGGGCGAGGGACGACCAGGCTGAAGAGGCGATGCGGGGTGATTGGGTCGGAAGTGGGATGGGAAGGGGCGGGGTGATGGTCGCTGCTGGACAGAAGGTGTTTGGGGCTGGAGCTTAGGGTGCCATGGCCAATGAAGGTGGACAAGGGGGAGGGGTGGTTCCGGGGCGGAGGAACGAAGAGGTGAGACTGACTTGTATACATCATCCTGCATCATCTGGGCAGTGTTCGAGGAACTAATCACTGCCTGCCCTCGGATCTTGACTGACGATTGCTGAGTGACAGACATTAGGCGCTAGGCCTCACACTCTACTGATCGTGTCCTGATCAACGACGGTCGTGCGTGCGCATGGAGTACTGAGTATCCATCGACATGACAGGGCACCAAACGACAGAGTCAGCGGAGGATGATTAAAAATTGCATGCAGATTGCGTGTACTCGTAAGCGATGAATAGGACAGAAGGAAGAAGTGGAATGTGAGTGTAGGGAAGTTGAGTCCAGAGTGGTCATGAGGCAAGGCGAGGACGTATCACCAATCGGGTCAGCCTCAACTGGGGTATCAGCTCCATCTGCAACGAGCTGAGATGTCGGGAGCCTGCGAGGTGTCACGCAGTCACTCGTCAAATGCTGTTGCTGTATCCGGGGGGCGTCACGTACCTGCTTCACGTCTTCCCGATGCTGATTGCTGTGTCGTTGGTATCCTGACCGACGGGCATCTCGTCGGCCTTTGGCTCCTCGGACTTCTCCTCTCGTGCAGAGTCCAGCTGGCGACTGCTGTGCGTCTGGCTTCTGCTTTGCGCCAAGGGACTTTCCGGTACCACTCGCGGTAGGGTGCATGTCCCATCTTCGTTATCTATTCAGTCATCAGTTATGCGCATTGAAGAGGTTCCTGCAGCATGAAGCGTACAGAGTAAGCTGATCCAGTATGTCGTGCCATCAGCTTTGCTGACCTGGAAGTACTTTCGTCCAGCCCCACTGCCCTTCAGGGACTTCGCCACGGCGGCCATGCTGGACCATGTTGAACCGTTGGGAGACATGAGAAATATCAGTAGTGGGAGTGAGTGATGTGACGTGTAGCTTGATGACCGGCGCTGGCGGGAGACTTATCGGAGTGATTGAGCGAGGACAGTAAAGAGCAGAGTTCACGCCTTGACAGCACAACTTATATATTTCACCGCGACTCTGACATATCCCGAGTTTTTCCGATGATGCCTTTGCGCAAATTGCGAGAAGTCTTAATCCTTTGGCGACTTGGAGAAGCGACTTGGAGAAGCGACTTGGAGATGACGATCGACGTGCTTATGTGTGGCGGGTCCACCTTTGATGCAAGATATTCTGGTGCTTTCGCTGCTCGGGACGGACCGGGGGACGAGATGTGGCACTGTGGTCGCGTTCTGACCGTCTGTGTCACTCTCCCAAAGCACAAAGTAGGGCGGCGGCTGGACGCGCCGCGGAGAGAAGCCGATCATCTGCGCCCACCAGCGCACCAGCTGGTAAAACAAGCTGAAACGCGTGACGTTAGCGCCACTCTCGCGGGGACCTTGCAACTATACTTCACCCTGTGGCTCTATCTTTCATCATCCACCCATCATCCCTAGCCATTAGCTCGACGCCATAAGGAGCACCTAGGTAGCCCGTATATCCAAGGTCCCATCATATCGTCTTCACCAACGGTATGTTGAGCCTCCGCCTGTCCCTCCAAGTCCTCTTCCTTCCCTTTCAGCAACCCAATTCGAGCGCGTCAGACCTGAGCTGGTGTCCGAGGAGTTTCAAAGCTGAGTATGAAGGCAGTGACTGCTACTCGACAATCTCTTAGGCAGAATGGAGGACCCTCGTATCGTCGAGTTGAAGGAGAGGATCGCCAAGTTGAAGGACGAGCTAGGACCGTAAGCACCCCTCTTCCCACATGCTTCCCCTCTCTACACCCGATCTTCCTTCTTCTCCTCTTGCCTCCGGTCCCATAGCGATCTCACCCCGCACAATATGCTATGAGAGCCCCCTCACGCGGCCTCTCCACTGGATCCTATCCTCCAAGAGCTGCCGCCTCATTTTGTTCAAATTACCAGCTGATCCCCATCAGCGGTCTCGACCCCAACGCCATCGTCGCGCGGCACATCAAGCTCCTGCACACCTACAACGAGACGAAGGATACCTCCCAGATGCTTATAGCTATCGTCAGTCCTCCTCACTCCGTCATCACCGCCTCACCCCCTGTCCCATCACTTACCCTTGTGATCCCTCTTTCGCCATTCAAACCCTCAAGACTATTGGCCGCCGTGGATTTGACCTGCTTTCACCTCGGCAGCCCGTCATCTTCCTTCATTTCCTTCAATCTCACATCCCATCAGCTATAGCCCCTGCTGGCTGTTAAACATAGGGAGCGTCTAGCTGACACTCCAGTACGGCCGCATGACCCAAAAGACCGTCACGCAGCTACACACCGAGCTCGGTCTCCCCCTCTCCGAATAGCCTCATCCCCCTAACTTCGCACTCCACGCATTACCACCACTCTCATCCGACCACCAGCCAGCGACTCTCCACTTATACCCTGTCCCGTCCTCCATCGCGCTTCTCCACCTCGAAGCTACGTAGCACGCGTCGATCGCCTAACCCCTCAAGCTCAAGAACCCACCCACTCACTCGCTCATTCCAGCCAAAGCTGCTCACGACCTCCCTAGTCCATACGCCTGTAGCTTCCCATAAAAGCTGTATATAGAACCCCAAAGATCAAGTCAGTAGAGTAGCAGCAGAGGTAGCGCAATAAGCTCAAAGCTATGCATCATTCTTTCATCCACATTTTGTGTTCTCCCCCATCTCTCCTTTCGCTTTGCTCCACCAACCACTAACCGATATATCGAGCGCATCGTATCGTCTAGGCCGAAGCGGACGAAATGAAGAAGCTCTTGGACACTGAAGAGTCAGCCTCAGCTCACGGTAATAGTGATAAGCCCTCATCTGACCCCCAATCCGCCTTGACCTCCGCATCCTCCTTCATGATCGTAAACCACGTCGTCGACCTCGCCTGCACTCTTCCCTCCATATATCTACTCCGCCGATCCTCCCATTTCCCAACTCCCCTATTCCCTCTTGTCATCCCGCACACTTCGTCCCAGCGATCTCCAACCTGAGTAGCCGAACCAAAACCAAACTCACCAGACGGGTCGATCGGGGCAGCAGGCTTGGCCGAGTCGCTCGGGAGCGAGGTGTACGCCTGGTCCGAGGTGGACACGAGACCCTTGGAGCCCTTGACGGTGGTGTTGTGGCTGGGAGTCAGCATTGGCGCCGGTTATTGTAAGGATTCGATCCATCCCTCCTCTGCCCTGCGATCCTCTCCCCATATACCACCCGTACCAGCGCAGAACCCCGACATCGCCCACAACCAAGGCACCGTCAGACCCCCTCTCTCACCCTCTCCCACCTGGACCTGACCGACTCCGTCTCCTCTTTCCCGCCCCCTCATCACCCGTCCTAGCTCCACGCCAGACCTGATCGATCGTCCCTTCCCCAAGATCCAAATTTGACCCCACAACCCAAGTCTTGAAAAGCCAGACCCGCAGTCCGAAAGAAGAGACCAGACCGGCAGCGGAAAAACCCAAAACTCACATGGCCAACGAGTACGAATCCGTCTTGTTGGGCGCCTCACCCGTGATGAGCTTGCGCCAGGCCTCGTGGCACTCGTGCACAATCTCGACGGCGTACTTTTTGGACTTGGCTTCGCCCGAGAAGGCAAAGACGTTCTGGAGTATTAGCTTGACTCGGGAATAGGGGGACGGAAGCGGAGGTGGAGGGATGGGTTGTTGGCATTGAGAGAGGGAGATGACGGTCAGGGGTGTGAAGAGGCAGAATTATAGGGGAATGCTCGGCGGGAAAGGAGAACAACGAGTGAGGGAGCGACGAGTCCCATCCCTGCTTTGCTTTCCCCGCCGAAACCGCCGCTGGAAACTGATCGTATCCCCTTCTCCCCTCGCCTACTCTCTCCCTTCCAGTTTCCAGTCACCTCTAAAGCTCCAGCCTCCAGCCTCACACCGGCTACGACTACCCCTATCCGCCTCGGCTCACCAGCCCCACTCGCCTCACTCTCCCTCTCGGTCACCTCATCTCGCTCTTCTCTTCTCGCCCGCCCATACCACATCGCTCGCTTCGCTCGCCCGCAAACTCACCTCCGGCTTGCCATCAGGAATCTTGTAAATCCTAAACCACTCATTCGTCGCCCGAATCAGACCCGGCAAATGCCTCTCCACATCCTCAATATCATTGAGTCTAGGCGCAAGCGGGTCATTCACATCCACCACCAACACCTTCCAGTCCGTCTCCCCTTCATCCAGCAACGCCATGATGCCCAACACTTTAACCTGCTTGACCTGCCCGACGGTACCCACGGCCTCGCCGATTTCGCACACGTCGAGCGGGTCATTGTCGCCCTTGGCGCCGGTCTCGGGGTGGGTTGCGGAGGGGTCTTCCCACGTCTGGGGGAAGGCGCCGTAGTTCCAGATGTAGCCTGCGGAGTGAGCCCCTGAACGAGCGAAGCGAGTGAAAGGGGCGAGCGGAGCAGGAGGGAGGGGAGGGGCGAGCGGAGCGAGAATAACAAGCACGAGCGAAGCGAGATATCCACCCGAGCATAGCGAGAATATCCCCGCCGAGCAAAAAGAGACTCCCTCCCCCAAGCAAGGAACATCCTCCTTTCCCTGCCAAAAAAAAAAGAACCGACCTCCTCCCCCCAGCTCAGCGAGACACCCACTCCGCAGAGTGAGCAAGCATAGCCGGCTTGACCCTGACCCTGACCTGGACCTGCACGATCCAGTCAAGGTCAAGACCGAGATCACGGATGCGGACGCAGACGCAGTGAGGGAGACGTAGAGGTTGGGTGATGCAGGTATATAAGAGAAGGAGAAGAGGAGAAGAGGAGAAGAGGCGAAGAGGAGAAGAGGGGAAGAGGAGAAGAGGGGAACGATATGGAAGCGGAAGGTGCGGGTAGAAGGGAGACGCTGGCGGTAACGAGTGGAGCGGCCCGACGAGATAAAAGAGAGACGGGTCGCGCTAGAGAGGTAGGTGAAAATGAAGATGAAGAGCCAAAAAAGAGAGCAGACAAGTGAAGGCAAGGAGATAGAGATAGAGCTAGAGCTAGAGCTAGAGCTAGAGCGGAGACTTACCGTGGTGCGGGAAGCAGTTTCGGACGAAACGGAGCTTGCCCTTCTTGATGTCTGGGGGTAGGTCAGCTCTTGCTCTTTCCTCCTTTCATTTGGACCCCTGGCCATTGCCTCCCTCCCTCCCCTCCCCTTTGAACTCCTCAAGCCGAGACTCACCCTGCTTGATCGGGTTGAACGGCTCCTCCTTGCAAATCTCCAACTTTGCATTGGTCCACCTCGGGACCTCGACAATCATATTGAGGATCGTCTTGGACTCATCCGCAAACAGGGGGATGTCGCTGTGGGGTCAGCTAGAGTTTCCCAGGGCCAAGGCCAAGGCAGTAAGGCGCAGAACGCACTGGAAAGGCGAGACGACCTTGCCATCCTTCTCGGTGTACACTCGATACTCGAGGGTGTTGGCGGCCTGGGTAATCAGCTGATGGCCCTATGTATAACCCCGTGCCCTCCTTAGACCTTAAGACTCACGCCAATCTGCCTAGTGGTGTACTCTGCCGACATGTTTATATTCTTGACTGAGTGATGTGTGACTTGAGTGAGTAGTGCTTGTGATAACCTTCTGCTCGCTGTCAAGGCAAAGGTCATGTAGAGTTGGAATGCGGCAACGGCAACGGCGAACCGAGCACGCCTTAGCTTGCGGAGGGGAGGGGAAAGCGGGTTTCGCCGAGTGTGGCACGGGCGGAGGTAGATGGAACTCCGTGTCTGGGGCTGAGTTAGGCGCAGCAGAACCGCCGCTAAAATACATATGTAAGATTTAGGCGCGGGTCTGTGGTGGCTGACTGTGGGACAAAATAGGCGCAACGTGGGCCTCCTCTACCCGCTTTTGGAACTTTTGCCTGACCTGAACCTCCACTTTACTCCTTTCCGCACTTGGCACAGCCTTCATCCTCACAGCTCTCTTCTTCTCGTACCCGCTCTCTCGACTCATCACTCCCCTGCTTCCTCACACCTACAGGACAGACAGCTCGTCCTCCCAAAAAGAAAGCGGACTTTCAACTTTTACTGAAACAGAGGACCTCCTTTGGAACCGCACCGACCATCGTCATAGGGCTTCCCTGACTTTTCCGTCTCGGACCTCCACCTCTTCTTAGCTTTTGCCTGGAGCTCAGCTGGCTAGCCACCTCGAATCTCACCTTTCTCGCACAGCACATCTTACCCAAGATGTCCTCCTCAGCCGCTGCTGCGCCTACCAGCGCTGCCGCTTCTTCAGCTGGTAAGCCATTCCCACCGAACTGGCTATAGATGTCTATTTTATTGGCGGCCCATAGTAGTCGATAAGCATCTATCTATCTACTGGCTGTTTTATCCAATCCTATGCCTTGCCCTCACCCCATCCTAGCCCATAGTAATAGATAGATGTCTATCTTACTACTGGCTATCTTATCCAATCCTATACCTTGCCTTCACCCCATCCTACCCCTTATCTCTCTCCCTCCATCTTCTCCCTTGACCTCCAAGCGGCTCTCCGCATTGTAACAGCTGACCTAACCATAGCTCCTTCCTCCGCTCCTGCCTCTTCTGCCTCTCCCGCTCCCACGTCTGCCTCTCCCGCTCCTACCTCTTCCGAACCCGCCGCCTCGTCCGCTGCAGCCACCACAGCCCCCGCCTCTTCTGCAGCAGCCACCACACCCCCTGCGTCCTCAGCAGCAGCGACCACCGCCGCTCCGGCCTCGTCGTCCGCTGCACCCGCTTCGTCCGAGGCTCCCGCGTCATCAGCCGCACCGGCGTCTTCTTCCGCTGCGGCTGCTTCGTCGTCTGCTCCGGCCTCTCCGTCGGCTGCTCCCCCTGCGTCGAGCTCGGCCGCGCAGCAGAGCTCGGCTGCGGCGGCGAGTAGCAGTGCGGCTCAGCAGAGCTCTCAGGCCGCTGCGTGAGTTGTCCATCCAATGGCAATAAGACTACCTCTGTACCAATCTTCCTGCTTACTCCCTGCTTACCTTCTTCCCTCTCTGGATCTGCTTATCCTTCGCCTCTTCCTCTTGAATCTCCTTACCCTCCTCGTCTCTTCTTTCGACCTGCTCCCCCGTTCCCCCTGGACCCTAGCTGACTCACAGCCAATCCTCCACCACAACCACCACCGTCATCGTCCAGCCGTCCGACTCCTCCGCGGTCGCCTCAGCCTCCGCCGCTGCCTCTTCCGCAGCCGCCGCGTCTAGCTCCGTCGCGGCTGCTATCTCCGCGGGGGACACTTCGCTCGCTGCGAGCGTGTCGGCTGCTCAGACTAGGTAAGTCTGGCTTCCTTATCAGAGCTTCGGTTATGAGCTTTGAGTCTCTGGCCTAGATAGCTGTCGAGCTTGGTGGTCCTCCTTCTTCCCCCATTCTTCCCACCCCTCTTTCCCATCCTATGACCGTCCCTCTCAAAAACGAGCTCTCCTCCCTTCTTCTTCCCTTCTCTCGTCTCTTCTCTCCATCTTCTCCCTCCCCCTCCCCCTTTCCCCTCCTTGCCTTGCCTTGCCTTACCCCGGTCCCTTCGCTCGCTCTCTCGCTCACCACCCAGAACCTCCACCCTCCTCGTCGTCCCCACCTCCGCGGTCGAAACAACCCTCACCTCCGCCCGATCCATCACCACAACCGACTCGGCCGGGCGGCTCGTCACCACCGTCCCCGCCGTCTATACCACCGCCGAAGTGACAACCTCCAACGGCCTCGTCTTTACCGTCACCCAAGTCGTGCACCAGCCCGGCGGGTCCCTCGACTCGGGCTCGGGCTCAGGCGCCAGCACCTCCGCCTTCTTCAACAACAAGGGGGCCGTCGCCGGTGTCTTTGTGGTTGTCGGTCTCGTCATTGTCGGGATGATCGCCGCGCTCGGTCTCTTGTGTTTCCGCCGGCGAAGGCGCCAGAGGCTCGATCGAGAAGTTACAGCGGCGGCTATTGCCTCCAGTGCCGGTGCGGGCCAGCATGGCCGGTCTCCGCTGGACGATGAGGCGGATGGGGATCCCACGAGCTCGTCTGCACACCATACGGCGGGTAGTTACCCGAGTACGGTGAATGGCCCGATGGCGCAGTATGGGAATTACGGGGCGAGTTATGGACAGGCGGGAGGGTATGATCCGTATGCCGCTCAACAGCCGCTCGCGGGCGCCGGAGGTGCCGGTGCCGGAGGTGGAGGTGGAGGAGGTGGGGGAGGAGGGTATGGCGGGGCGTACGCGGCAGCAGCGGGTGCAGCTGCCGGTGGAGCAGCGGGCGCGGGCGGATATCACGCCGTCACGTCTGGTGGAGGAGACCCGTACTACTTTGATCCGACCGAAGCGGGGCGGTATGATGATTCTCCGATCGGGTCGACGCCGGGTGGACCGGACGGCGGGTATGGAGGATATGCTGGGTATGGGGGACAGGGACACGAAGGGTATCAAGGGGGATACAGCGATGATCCGTATGGAGGGTATAGCGACCATGCGGGCCAGCAGTATGGGTATGACCATGAGGGACAGGGATATGAAGGACAGGGACAGGGACAAGGGTATGGAGAGCACGAGCTGGAAGGGAGTAATGGGACGCCAGGGAGTGAGAGGGGGAATCCGCTTCATGTGAGTTTTGGGTTCATCTGGGGTTTCTGGGTTTCAGGTCTTGGGTCTGGTCTGGGTTGGGGCGATGTGAGGGATGACGGGGAGGGGAGAAGAGAGGGAGGTGAGACGAGAAGGGAAGAGAAGAGAGCGGGGGATGGGACGGAACGGAACGGCCGCAAGAGTTGAGCTGATAGTATCAGGTTGCGAACCCATCTCGACACTAAGCTCTCTCCGCGCCCATACCAGACACCCATCCACCGGAATCGCTCATCCTATAACCTCATCAATATCACCTCCAAAATTACAACTGTATCTACACACCTGCCACCCGTCAGCCTTCTCGGACCTCCCCCTCTTCCAAACTACCATGGACTAGACAAGGACGGGACGCTGCGCTATCCTCCCGCGCCCCACATTCGCCTAGCTACGCGTAAGCGAACCGGACCCAACTCCTTCTCTCCCCTTCATTTCTTTTCTCGATCTGCTCTTCTGCCCGAGCTTTTACTCGGGATGTATCATTTAGTTTCTGGGCTGCTTTATATGGGTCGGATAGGGACGTACTTGGAGGATGTGGGATGGGGAGGATATACCGGGAAGGACCAAAAGTATAGACTGTAATCGGGTATGGCTCATATAGATACGTGCAAAGAGCTCAAAGTCTGATTTGATTGGACTGGCTTTTCTGCCTTGACCTGATTGTCCGATGGCACAGGACCTCTAACCTAAGGTACTAATATCCGGCCAACTCGCATTATGATCATCTAAGCACCAAGAGCCCAAGATCTATGCCTGCCACCGTCACAATATCGATGTCACGACCGCCCATTGAACCTCCGCCGCAGCCTTCGCCCTGATCTCCGCCCGTCCTACAGCTTGCTCTTACTCGCCTCCAACCCCTGAGACGCCCTATACTCCTGCACGAGCCCCGCCACGTCTTCGGCGATCCCGAATGAATCTTGATACCTGCCCCATCAGCTCCGCTTCCCTCCTCTTCATAGCCTGATCATCAACCAGGGGTAAGAGACAGACTCACCCGGCTCCTCCGACGCCATACGCATGAACGACCCCCACCTTCCCTCGGGCTCCGAGGCTCTTCCCCCTATCTCCATACAGTCCTACCGAGGGAGCGGAGACCGGTACAACACCCCCATACTCCCTCCTCTTCGCCTCCAAATCAAACATCTCCAGCTCCACCCTCGTCCCTCCGACCCGACAAGGCCTCAACCCGACATTATGACTAATCACCTCGACCCGCCCATCCTCCCCTTTCAATTCCGGACACAGGAGTACCGCCTCCCGGAGTATCCGTTCCGCCACCGTGGGGTTTACATCCGTGCTCCAGTCATTCTTCAGATAACATCCGCCGACGGTTACCAGCCCGCCACTCCCCGGTCTGGGGATGATGTAGACGGACTGACCAGCGAGGGAGGGGTCCGAGGGGTCGCGAGGTTCTTTCCATCCGAGGGATTCGTGGACGCGGGGCGCGCGGACGGTGATGGTCTGCCCTTTGGCGGGGTGGACGAGCGGGTCAGAGACGCCTAGGAGAGATAGAGAGCCGAGGCCGGTCGCGTTGATGACGAGGGGTGATGTCAAGTGGGTAGGGGGTGGGGAAGAGGAGGAGGAAGTGGCTGAGCCGAGGGAGGCGGGGTTGGTCGATCCTGCCGCGGCTACCGAGGGAGGCTTAGAAGGTGATGGAGGGAGGGGAATCGAGAACGCCTCAAAGATGGAGGATACCCTCGCTCGGTGGATCTTCACACCGAGCTCCTTGAGCTGGGACAGGACGTGTAGGGTATAGGTCGTAGGGTTGAGAGTGAGCGATGTGAAGCCCACGCCGAATTTGAAGGGACCCGGACATTCGTCGGGAGGGAGATATCGGAACTACACTGGTATTAGCTCCAACCTCGAGCTCCTGGCCAAAGCCCATACCGACCCAAGTCTTTGCGGGAAAGAGAGAGACCTACATCAGGTAGATGCGCCGCACTGATTGGCTTGACGTATGCTCCCGGCGTGTCCCATCCTTGTCGGAACGGCGTGACAGCAACCAAGTCCGGCCGGGTCTGAGCGATCGCCCACATGCGCGCAAAGGTGCGTTCTTCCCTCGAGGCGTCGGCGGCGTTCTCGGCCCAAGGGACGAAGCTTGCGCCCTGTAGCGTCAGTATCAATCCCGTTTGAGTGATATGCGAGGCCACACAGGTCAGATGGGAGTGACCAAGCTGTGCTATGGGAGAAGGCGTAAAAGGTTAAATCAGAAAGGGGGACTTACAGCCCAAGGCGACGAGAACGCCGTCGAGTGTACATCTTCCGGCAAGTCCCGAGCGGCAATAGTGACTTTCACCCCCTTCTGCGCGAGCTCCAGAGCGATAGTTAGGCCCAGGACTGGCTGTCAGCGCATATTTTAAGCCCGCGTCGAGTCAGACCCAGAGATGAGGAATGAGGAGTTGGCGAAAAAGAAGGACGATTGGCGGAAACGTACTGCCCGCGCCGAGGACGATGGCGTCGTACTGTTCTTCCGGCATTTGCAATACCTGGCGCAAAGGTGTGTATGGTGTAGCTGAAGGGATGCGCAGTGGACGAGGTAGAAGAGCAGAAGCTTGCAGGGAGCGAAGCAGAAGCAGAAGCAGTGCTCGAGCTTCGAGGCGAGTAGATCTCAGATCCGATTTCGGGCTTGTCCGGTGGAGCTCCACACTGCCAAGTCTGAGTGTGGCAGCGTGGCGGGCGGGTGTGGAGGTGAGACCTGGACCAGCCTCGGCGCTCGACAGCTTGCGATGTCTGTCCTGCAGGTGCCGAGTATGGCTGCGAAACACTGGGCGCAAGAAACACCGAGTCCCGCCAAGCTGTCTCAAAGCAGCACTATAATCAGAAGAAGATCCGAAGCAGAACTGTATCATTGACTTTGGGTGTGCATGAAAGGAGAGACCGCTCTTCGCGCTTTGGGTCGTGCAGCTGCAGTATTCAAGCAAGAAGCACAGTTGCTAGATCTGAAATGGCGTCATCCTGCTCAATCCTTTCACGTTCTCAGCCCAGTGATCTGTAAGCTCGCACGAGAGGCACACGAAGCGTGAGACACAGATTAGCTTTGCTTCTTCCTCCAGATTGCCTGCCCCGATCTGCTTCTGAGCTGTCTCGAGACTCGTTGCTCAAGTCTATATAACCTGGAACATTTCGCCCTCGATTTTGACTTCGTTCTTCATTCTACAGCTACTCCCACACACCTCTTACCTCGTTACCAACATACATACTCGATCACACCACAGATGTCGTCAAGTGAGTCCTGACTGATCCCAGCCACATCACTAGCCATTGAAGTTCCTGAGATACTGACGGTCGGTATTTAGGCTACTACAGATTCAGCTTCGACTCAAACTCGCTGGGAGGCACTGAGGCCGACTGGCCAGCGCGCACCACCGTTCCCGCGGGAAAGAGCACGGTCGTGAAGGGACAGATCGCCATCGCAGTTGACGACAATGGGGGCGTCACGATTAACGACACGGCGATCGACTGCAAGCCGTCTCCCGCAATCAACACCATCGGAAAGGACGAGAATGGCGACCTCGTTGTGACCGTTGATGCTGGGCCGGACGAGTTACTTTGGTGATCCTCCGGTGCCGAGCCTTTGAGGCTCCGGTCCTCGACGCTCCCTTGATTCAGTACATATGGATGTCACGTGTGGTTTGCCAGACGTTATCTTGAACCTCTTCAGTGCCTATACCACAACTCATGTGTGTCATACTTCCCATAATCGCCTACAAAAATAGTCCAGAATCGTTGGCATTGTGGTCACTGGTGGGCCTTTCAATCCTTCAGTTCCCTGCAGTCAGTGCTTATATTTTCTGAGAGGGAGCGAAGAGCGATACAGAAAGAAACAGACTGCACGATCAATGCTTACTTATCTGTGCAAATGAAAGGAGGCGCCGCCGCATGTCGTGCTCAATTGCGATATCTATCGTTTTCTGTCCTCCGCTCGACTTTCCCACCCTCTACACCCTCCGACCCAGGCCAAACATGCATAGGCATGGACCGCTCCTCCCGGCCTTTCAGGCGACGAGATGCCAACGGAGCACACAACTACAAGAACAAACAGATCCACTGAGCTAAGACTGAGGAAACGAAAGTATTAGCTACGTCTACAATGCGAGGGGCCGCCTAAACCTGACGAGGTAGACAACCGCATGGGACTCTCGCAGGAAGCGCACCCGAGCAACCAATGAAAGAAGGGAGGAACGACAGAAGGAGAAAGGGGATGGATGGTGGGCAAACGCAAAGATGCAGGTGATGACTGGGTGGATGAGAGGAAAGAGAGGAGATGGGATGAGGTGAAAAGTGGTGTGGACCCTGAACCGATATCACATCTCGCTCCCCCCAGAAACCCACGTCATCCTCTGACTCTCCATTTCTGTCCTCCGCTCGACTTTCCCACCCTCTACACCCTCCGACCCAGGCCAAACATGCATAGGCATGGACCGCTCCTCCCGGCCACGCCCAACAGGCTGAGCAGCGGAACGGTTGCGAAAAGAAGAAAGAGGAGCACCAGGAGGCCGAAACGAGGGAGGAGAGGGGAGAGGGGGAAGAAGGAGGAGGACGGAAAGAAGAGAGTCAGTTCGTACCCTAGTCCTGTTCGTCGCCGAATCAGCACACCGACACTGGCGGGATGGAGAGGGGTGCGTTGCGGGACGTGACCAGAGTTGTGCGGGCGAGCGATGCGAGGTGCGAGATGGGCGTATCCTGGTAGAGCTTGACCGCCTCGGACGACCACCGGCCGAGCAGCTTGATGTCGCCGTCTCCGAGTCCGGACGAGAGTTTCGCCCAAGTTGCCAGTCCCCGGCGGAACGAGTGCCCGGCGTAGTCCGACGCGGGTAGGCCGGCGAGGAGTAGAGCGGCTCGGAGGGTCTTGACGAAGAAGTCGCGCGGGAAAGCGGCGACCTGCGCGGTGTTTCTGACCGCGATCCGGGTGAAGAGAGGCGCGGATGGGACCGAGATGTGGACGACGTGAGCCCGAAGGAGGGCCAGCGGGTCGACTAGCGCGCCGGCTGGGGCTGAGGGTACGATGATGTTGACCCCTTTTCTGAACGGGTCAGTCTTTGACGCCGGTAAGCGCACAACCGCGTGATCCCCGTAGTCGGTAAAGTCCGACCGGGACATGTTGAAGTTGGGATCAAAAGCCCCAGACGGGTATGTGATCTCCCCACACCTCAAACCGCCTACGTACGCCAGCGCGTACGCCGCCGATAGGACCCGCCGATCGTACACTGACACCGCCATGGAGGCGATCGCGCGCAGCAACCTTTGGAGGATCGGCAGCGTGATGGGGAGCCGCTTGCGCCTCTCCTTCTCCCCCATGTGACGCCTGATCCCCCTGAACACCCGCTCATACTGCGGAGACGAGAACGCCGATGTGTCCAGACCTAGATCGGTGTGGTAAGACCTGATTCCGGCCATCTTGCCTCGAATAGAGCCTGGGCGGAGGCCTTGACGGGCCGAGAGGTCGGATATCCAATTGATGAGGCGAGGAGATGTGACGGGGAAGGGAGGGAGGGAACTAGCGCGGCAGTAGTCGGTGTAGGAGCGTTGGGCGGACTCGTAGCCGGAGCGGGTGCTGGGCGCGATGCCGTTGTAGAGGAAGTATGCGGCATCGTCGCTTAGTCGCGGAACTAGTGCGCGGAAGGAGGGAGGGACAGGTGGGGTATTGAGTGGGGGATGAGGGAGGAGATGTGGGGCGCGAGTGACTGTGCAGTTTTCCAATCAAAACGAGACAACGCGTCAGCTAAGCCATTCTCCTCCGATCTGAGCCAAGACGCGCGAAAGGTAAAGTCCGCGACGGCTGCTACCATCCATATCCGCCGGATCAGGGATTGGACGGTATCGTTGGCGATGCCCCCTGAGTTGATGGCAGCTACGACGGCCTGGTTGACGACATGGAGAATGACGTGTTTTCCCCTCCAGGCGTCGCCGAGGTTGAAGTGTTCCAGCGCGTGGATCACCGCGTGAGCCTCCTTGAATTGAATGTCCTTCCTTTGATGGCGAGCCGGGAATGAGTATGAGAAGGCAGCTGAGCAGACTCGTGGTGCGCCGAGGTGCCCGCCTGCGCCTTTGGTACCGCTAGCGTCTGTCCAGACGTGTACCTCCGTGCGTATGGGCGGCCGGAGGATTCGTACCCCGTTCCAATCGCGTAGAAAGACCAGCCACCATTCCAGGTCTGACCTGATGTGGTCCGAGAAAGGCATCCGCTCTTTGGGTTTGTGAGGGGGGAAGGTGTGGAACGAGGACCAGAGGGCCCGAACGAAGGGACGGCCGAGCGGGATGACGGCGCACGCAAAGTTGAGCAATCCCGCCATGCTCTCCAGTTCCTTGCGGGTCGCCGTTCCCCTACCGAGGAGCTCCTGGATGAGTTTGTTCATCCGCTCGCGCCGGACGTCTCCGATGCGAGCCTGCATCGCGGCAGTATCCACCTCGATGCCTAAGATGATGAGGCATTGCGAGGGGCCCTCGCACTTCTTGGGATTGATCTCGATTCCCAAAGCCGCCGAGACGAGCTTGAAGATGGCAAGGGCGTGCGCGGCGGCCTCCTTTGTGGGCGTACCGCCGAAAAAATCGTCGAGATAATGGAGAAGGTGCTCCAGACCGCACCTGAGGAGTATCCAGTGGAGCCCCTCGGCGAAAAGGTTGAAGAGGAAGGGGGAGACTCTTGACCCGAAGGGAAGACAGGGGTCCACGTACGTGGAATCGCCGAGCTGGAAACCAGCGAGCAGGGAGGAAAGAGGGCTCAGCCGAATCTGGCGGAACGCGTTTGCCAGATCCGCTTTCCAGAGCCAGTAACCCGGGCGTGTACTGAGGAAGTCCAGTAGGTCCCCGACGCCCGAGTACTCTAGGTAGCCATAGTCCTCGCCCATCTCGTCGTTGACTTGACGCATGACATGGACAGCCCGGAATTTGATGATATCCTTGACGACCGCGTAGATGGGAGTGATAGCCCAAGGGACGTCCGCTCCGACCTGGGCAATCTCCCCCAGCGCCAATCTCCTGTTGACCTCGGCAGTAAGGAAATCCGCCTCCGCGGGGACGGAGCGAACCGGGGGAACCCATATTTTGTCTGACAAAGACACGACGCCGAAGGAAGCACCCGCGGCTATGATAGCGTCGATGAGGGAAGGGAAGGCGGGGTCTGGGTAGCCAGACAGAGCCGCTGACCACACGGCCCTTCGGGGCTGGATGGACCCGCCGAGTGCGGCCGGTGCGGGACGGAAGGGGACGAAACCAGCTGCTGGGACAGTATTCGGGCGCGCCGGGGGAACATGGTCACGCCGAATAGTGCGTGCTAGAAAGCGGAGCCCGTCGAGCGGCGGGGATATGCTGGCGGCTATAAATCAGCGTACGCTCGGCGGGACGGGAAGGTAAGGGCAGGGAGGGAACGGAGGAAGGGTATGGGTAGGGTATCGCGCCGGTCGAGTTGTTGGTGGGGTCGAGCGTCGTTGTAGCGCTCTGGAGTTAGTATATGGTTAGTACATCGGTGTGATCTCCTCCTCTTAAGCGGTAGCCATCCAAGTCGGGGCAGAGAAAGGGAAGGGCATGGGCAATCGGGCAAAGCACCGGGTAGAAGTCAAGAGTACCGGGCACGAGGAGGGGAACATCGCGAAAATCGGGCAAAGCACCGGGGTAACATCGTAAGGTATCAAGGGGAAGAGAAACCTGGCAAAGCGGGAAGAGGTGGTAGAGGAAACGGGCAAAGCACCGGGGAACGTGGGGATTGTCAGGAGCAGGAATGGGGACATGGAGCGGCCACTAGGGCAAAGCAAACGCAAAGATGCAGGTGATGACTGGGTGGATGAGAGGAAAGAGAGGAGAAGGGATGAGGTGAAAAGTGGTGTGGACCCTGAACCGATATCACATCTCGCTCCCCCCAGAAACCCACGTCATCCTCTGACTCTCCAACCATCGCTAGCTTCCATACTTCACACACTGGACGATAGGCGGGAAGTTTACTATAGCTTGATTCAATGCTTCTGACATCTAAGGTAGAAGACATGCGATGTGGGTACGCGCAAGGGCGCGATGCGGGTGTCACTGCATCTCGACATGTGCTTCTCAGATCTAAGTTTCCGGCTGGCCCCGGTCCAGAACTCCAGATCTCTAGGTCTCCATAGCGCTCAAAAGCAGGCTTCGCCATTCCGTTGCTTCTGCAAATCTCCGAATGACGTGCTCGATGGGACTTGAGAATGCTCGGACAGACAGATCGGTTGAGACCTATATAAATTAAGCCGGGTCAGTTCGACCTATCTTCAGCCTTTGCACATACTCTTTATCATTCCACTCTCACTGCACCCTACTTATCCCGTGGGAAAGGCCTGTAGGCTTGTCTACGCGCATTAAAGGAGTCGCCAGCGGCCACATAGCATGGCGTGCTTATATCGCTATCAAACCATCATAGGATGGCCGAGAGTGCGATCTGAGGGATCCAGATTGAGTTCAATGTATCTAGATTGTGATGCCTCTTGACGTTCCAGTGTTGCGAGATCTCGCAATTTAGCTCGAAATTGCGATCTGGGCACTCGAAGATGAAAGACCAGTGTATCAGATACGGCGATCCCTTGATACAGGTTCGCGCTCATGTCGAGGAAGTAGCAGGTCGCATCCTTTCGTTGCCTTTGTCAGATTTTGAATGTCGTGCTCACCTTGCCCTGTCGCGACTTGGCTTGGGCATCGGCATGACCTATAAGAGCTGGGCCCCTCCAGGGCTTCTTCAGCTTGTGCACACAATACTCAACGAAACATCTCTTTCACCCTACTCTATTCTCGTCTACCTCCCACTACACTTCCCTGTGCGACATGACGGAGAGAGTATCAGCTTCCAATGCGTGTAGGTTGTACTCCCGTCATATCCCGCCTTCGCCCATGCGTGTCACTGTAAGCTCACACAGTTCAGCTGAACAGGTCTTCTACAAGTTCCGAACGAATGTTGGTGACAAGACTCGCATCACCTTCTTTCTGAAAGTCGGAGACGATGCGCGTACATTCGAGGGTTATGGCGATGCGCTTTGCGTCGAGGTGACGGAGGCCGACAAGGTGAAGGTCAGTGGTGCCACTTACGCGTGCGCCGCCGACTACAAGGTCAATATGATCGAGAGAAATGAGGCTGGAGAGGTCACGGGGGTGACCATCAGTGAGCCAGATGGACTTTGGGCATTCTTGGACGAGCAGTGATTTCGGATCAACCGTATCAGTCACCCATGCATTCCGTTATCAGCCTGCATACGCTAGGTAGACAACTGTCGCACGCCTCGATGTCCCGCTGTATATGCTGGGAGCTGATCCTTTCTTTCAACCCCCCTTGTCCTCGCTCACGCGGTGTGCTCCAGAGACGGTGTACGTGCGATGGCGTGCTACACGTCCGCAAAGATCCCTTGATGCTCAGAGGGCGGGTGGCGCTTCAGGCCCAGACAGTTCCCTCCCCTGCCTCGATCGTACATATCGTCTCCCAAATCCGTTTCAGACTCTCCATCAGCAATCAGCATGCAGTTCAACTTCCCGGCGCGAGCCGCAGGTGGTAGTGAGTCTCGTCCCCTTCAGCACTAGGCGTTGGTATTGTCTCTCAGGATATAATTTCGACACGGCATGTTCGGGATCACATACAGTGTGAGTGCTGATCCCCCTTAGCGCTTGATATCATCGTCTTCGCTCCCGCCAGAATCAGCACTGACTTCAACTTCAACCGCACTTCAGCGATAGCCAATGTCCATTTCACGCGCAACGATTCAGCACTTTCCGTCAACGGTGTCAGATATACACTCAAGAAGGGTCAGAATACCATTGTGATGAGAGGTGGAAAAGTGACGGAGCTCGATGGGCCGTGTCTGGCCACGCAGGAGGCAGAAGAAACCAACACTGACACGCATCATACCCAGGGAGACACTCGAACGCCGAGTGACACTCGGATGGAGAGCAGTGTGGTGAGGATTGAGGCTGATATCAGCAAGGACCCCGTTGTGTCTTGTACCGCAGAGGACACCTCGAAGAGAGATGAAGACTGGGAGTTGGTTCTTGGGTCAGTCGAAAGATCCAAGGGGTCCAATCCCAAGACCCGGTTCCCTGATTGGCGTTCATTCATGCGTTTCCGACGCAAGTAGTCACGCGATTAATTCTCAGAGGCGTGGGATTAAGCAGGTCGCTATCAGTCATGCATCGAGTACATGTTTTAGATGACCACCCCGTAGTTCCGTCAGAACCGATGATAAGTACGAGTCATATCGATAATTAGCTCCAACTTTACAATATGGTGTGCTCGCCACTCCCACCAGACCTCGTAGACCCTTTGTTCCGGAATCCTTTGACGGAGGCCTTCCCCTCCCGATGGCGTGTTCGAGTAGTCGAGCTCGCGCTCTTGTATGTATATCGGACCTGTCTGAGCTCATCGCCCTCCATACATCAATCCATCAGCCACCATGGTATGCGATGGACCCCCAGAGCGCGAGTCTAAAGCGAGAACAACCACTGTCAGTCCCCAGAGCCTGCAAGCCACAGTTCTCTCCTGGCTAGAGAGCTGGGCGTCGCTCCACAAGGACTTGTCCGACATCAGCAACTCCATCGCTCATGCCACTCTCGCGTGTTTCTGTCCGACCAATCCTATCGCCCACCAGCCGGGAGCGAGCGCAGGTACTGTGGACAGACTGGAGTACTGTCGTCAGCTTACAGAACCGGCTGTCTCTACCTCTCCCATCAATCCGAGTGCCGAGTCCTTGGCCGAGCTCTTTGCCACCCTGGCAGATGCGCTGGGTCGCTGCGACTACCTATCAATCGCGTGTGACATCCACTGCAGCAACAGCATCCGCTCTCTGGAGGGTATGCCGGGGCGACTGGCCGAAGAGGCTCGAGAGACTATCACCGCTGGCGCCGAGCGCTTCCAGCAGGAACGGGAAGCCGTCGTACTCGCCTTTCAGGGATCTCGAAGAGACATCGGATGTCTGATGAAGTCCATCGGGGCGCTCAGAGAAGAGGAAGACGTTTTCGATACTGGTCAGTGATGAGCGTGAGATGATGATGAGCGCGGGCGTTAGGGCGTTTAGTACCTATGCAAAGTGTACAATGAGAAAGAGCAATGGAAAAGATAACTGTCCGGCTCGGTCGCTATATGCTCACAGACCATTGGACCAGCTCCCTCATGATAGCCAATGACGAGCTGGGATAGCCTCCGCCAAACATGAGCGCGTGCTGCAGATTAGCTGTAGTCATTGCCAGTTCAGAAGAGAGATATGCGGGACAGACTTACGTTCAGGTGATGATATAGCTGATACAGCTTCTGTCGCTCTTCATAATACGGCTCTGAGCGAGGGTGTACCTTGTGATATTCGTCGAAGAACTCTGGACTGAAACCTGACTGGTCAACTGATCTGATCATTCCTGAAATTCCGATTGACTGACCTCCAAATACCCGCATGATTCCCAGATCCGCCTCGTTATGCCCGTAATAGCTGGATGGGTCGTATATGACTGGCTGACCGGACTTAGCATCGACGCCTGTGTTGCCGGACCAGAGGTCGCCGTGCAGAATGACGGGTTCGGGAGCGGGGCGGATATCGCTGAGAAGAAGGGGAATGGCTCTGATTGTCAGTACTGTTCAGATGGTCCTCATGCAGGAACTCACTTCCTCTTCATCTCAACCCAGGCCGCAGTCAACTTGTTGTCTCCTATCCTTCGTACAAGATCCCCCAGCCGTCTATCCCGGAAGAACACCTCCCAGCTGTCTTCCCACGTGTTATCTTGCTCCGTCACCCCGCAGTGGGTCGGCACGTGGAAACCATATCTCCCCATATGCCCTTCCCTTCCCTCGTCCTCAGAGACTGTGTGTAGCTGGGCAACCCGCCTGGCTAGCTCCCGCTGCGTATCTCCCCGGGACGACCCGCCGACCAGGTCGAAGTATTGCGAGACCATCGCCCCCTCGCCCGCTTCGTCATCAACCTCGAAGGCGAACAGCCTGGGCACCAGCTCCGGGCACGCCCTCCCGAGCGCCCGAAGCGACTCGACCTCGCCAGTGATCTGCTTGATATCTCGGGAGGTACGGGCAAAGTAGGTGGACCCGTCATCGGCAGTAAGGACGTTTCCACGTTGAGTGACCGTTGCTGGGTCGATTTTGGCGGCTCGAAGAGCGCGGGTGAGCACGGGCGGCATGTCTGGCATCCTGTCATGTGGTATTAGGTATAGTGAGTGGTATTAGTAGATGGTACAAAGGGTAGATACAGCACCCAGCAACATCCCCCCCCACCTTGACCTGCGCACGGATGTCGGTTTGGTTCGGAGAATCGCTCAGCCGACAAGTTAAGGGGCTTGTACGTTTCACTTTGTACATCTACCTCTATTGTCCACTCATACCCATACGCCTACAGCTTGGTGCTATAAAGAGCTAGCATACTCAATGATAACAACCTGCTTAGCCCATCCTCGAAGTTTCCGCCCACCTTAAGCGCCAATACTCGAACCACGCAAAATCTACATTTACCATGCTGTTTCTCCTCAGGCAAGGGGGAGTTTCCGCTCTCCGCCCCCTCACAAGGGTCAAGCAACTCTACACTCCGCTACTATGGCGGTCGTACTCGGCCGCGTTATCTACGGACCCCGTCCTGGCTCAGCTTAGACGCGTGAGCGAGCTGCAGGAACGCGTACGGGCGACCAACTCCAATGCTGCCAAGCAGCGGATCATCGTGGAGTATCCAGACCTCAGGAACCTTCTCGAGCAGTGAGTTCCCGACGTCCGCTGGGATCATGAGGAGATCTTGCTGAGCTTGAGCTGATTGCACAGAGTATATCACCCCAAGTTCCGAACTCACCTGAGCTCCGCATCCTTGGACTCCTACCTCTCATCCCCAACTTCCAAGCTCTCCACCATTCCCCCTCCGGACATCCCCTCGCTCTTCGACACACTCTCCACTCGGTCCGCCACTGGCAACGCAGCGAAGGAGCTAGTGCGGGCGTTTCTGGTCTCGCACGGGGTGATAGGCAAGGAGGGCGATGGAGGTGGGAAGGGAGACACAGCGGCGCTGGAGGTGTTCAAGCGGTTGCTGGACCGGAACCTCGTCGCTGGTTTCGGCGCGCGGACGCTCTCGGAGATTCAGTGGCCGGTCAAGGCGGAGCAAGGCGCATCCGCCCCTCAGCCCACCGCTGCCCCGGGATCATCAGTCTCGTCCGCTTTTCCCGGTCACCCGTCGTCGCCCTCTGCGCCGCCTAAGACCTCTACTTCACGCTCTATGGACAAGTTCAGTTGCGCGCTCGGCAAAACTATCCTCCCCCACCAGCTCAGCTCCCTCTTCTCGCCGATCTCGCCCCAATGGTTCGCCTCGCGCAAGCTGGACGGCGTACGCGTCATCACGTTCCTCGACTTTTTCGTCCCTACCACGCCCGGCGTACCACCCGTGCTGAAGGACATCGCACATCTTTCCCGGGCAGGAAACGCCTTCACCTCGCTTGGCAACCTCCGACCGCAGCTCGCACCCATCACAGGCTACCCGCAACTCCGGGAATGGCTGGACAGCGACCCGCTGGCCGTATCGGCGGCTGAAGAGGTTGACGGGGTACCGGGGCATATGAAGCGGCTAGTCCTTGATGGCGAAGTCTGCGTCATGCGCCCTCGTACCGTTTCGGACACCGCTCCGGCTTCCTCCTCGTCCCATCCACTCTGGTCTGGCGACAGCAACCTCGTCGAGGACTTTGCCGCCACCGTCTCGGAGATCAAGCGGGGCAAGCACACCATCGAGAATCCGGGATACCACCTGTTCGACATCCTCTCTTGGTCCGAGTTCCACGGAACGGCGAAAGCTCCGGGCCGGAACATGTTCAGTCAGCGTATTCAGGAGCTCAAGGAGCTGGGGACATGGCTGAGCGGGGAGCTGGAGAGGGAAGGGGTACAGAATGGGCTGAAGGTGCTGGAACAGGTCCAGGTGGGCGGAGTGGAGGAGGTGGAGGGGATGGTGCAGACTGCGGCAGAGAGGGGGTGGGAGGGGCTGGTGTTGCGGGCTGACAGGCCTTATAAGGGGTCCAGAAGGTCAGCTCCTTCTTAGACGGTCTTTGGATTGTGGGGTACAAGCTGATAGTACAGCTCGGACGTGCGCAAATTTAAACGATGGCTCGACGGCGAGTATACCGTTCGGGATATCGAACTCTCTCGACAGCGACTCTCGATTGACGGGGTCTTTGCGGAGTACGAGGCGGTCGCGGCGCTGGTATTCCATCACAAGAGACATCCTGTGACAGTCAGCAGTGGGTTGACGGCGGAGCAGCGGGTCCAGTGGGCGAAGGACCCAAGTTTGATCGTGAGTCATTGCGCCTGCGAACGTTCCCCCTTCTGAGCGGTCCCATGGATCGTGTTTGGTTCTTCGCCTTGGGTAGTGGCTGACTCGGCAGATCGGCCGGCAAATGACGGTCGAGTACTTCTCCGAGTCCGAAGCGGCGGGGAGGGAGGGCGTACCGAGCTTGCGCTTCCCGCGCATCAAGACCATCTACGAGGGAAAGCGGGATATCTAGGTGAAGAGGAGAATCGGCGGGTCTGGGCTGGATACTGGATCAGGCGTATATCTGGGCCTGCTGGAAGACGTTCAGACTCAGATTAGGACAGGTATGAAGAACTTTGATCCGGGCTGGGAGCTGACGATACTGATGCTGGCACCATACACTATTACTTGTTCATGATGGTCGTTAAAGTCGTTATGATCGTTATGGTACTAACAGGTTTCTGACTATCGATATCGCCCTCCCGCTACGGACATCCCGACCCATTCCAATCCCAGCCTGGCCTCGAGCGCAGTCCCCTTAGGCATTGACGGTGAGATCAAACTCGTCCTTCTCGTCCACGTCATGCGGGAACTCATCATCAACTATCGAGTCAGCTCACCGTACCATCCAGAAGGGAGGAGAAACCTCACCAGGGCTACTATCCCCGTCGGCCGCAATGCTGATCTCCACCTCCTCTGACCCGTCATCTGCCGCGCCTCCATCACCTTGCCCATCCTCGGACTCCTCTTCCTCATCGCCAGAGCCAGCTTCCTCCTCATCTTCGTCTTCCTTGCTTTCGGTGCTCTCCTTGTCCGCTTCTTCATCATCGCTCTCGCCATCTTCCTCCTCACCTCCCTCATTTTCCGCTGGCTTGTCCTCCTTGTCCTCAGACGCCTTATCCTCGGCGTCATCGTCCGCGCCATCCTCCTTCTCCCCTCCGTCCTCTTTATCGTTGTCCTTATTGTCATCGGCACCATCTTCGTCTCCCCCCACACTTTCTCCATCCCCAGACCCTTCCCCGTCATCATCATCCGACGAGTCATCCGAAAACGCGGAAACCAGCTCCTTCTCCGCCTGCTGATCCACGCGACTGGTGTTGTACGTGGCGGCCGTCTCGCCCAGTCCGAGACTGTCGTTACTGTCCTCGTCGCTATCGAATCCGAATGCGGGGGAGAGCTCGCGCTGCCACGCGAAGTTGGCGAAGGGGGAGGCGGACATGCTGGGAGGCAGATTCAGGATGGATGGTGTGAGGAGAGTTGCTGGGCCTGGTAGGTTGGGAGATGGGGAGTAGGTGTGATGTTCTTCGATGTGGTTTCGCGATGGGAGGTGACGGAGGTTACGCGATAGGGACGCAGGTAGGCTTAGTGCGGACTCCGGAGGGCGCAAACTAGGAGAAAGGTAATGATGGTGGATGACAAGGAAAAGAGAGAGATTGGTACTTGCAAGTTCTGGACCACATGCCAGGGTCATGTTGGGCTGATAGACTGAGAAGCATTGCATAGGGGACTTCTGTCATCTTGTCATAGCTCACGAGGACTCTTGCACACATCCTCCCCTTCTCGCAGGCCGCGAGCAGCCCTGAGATATCGATGTTCTTTCAGATCGCAAGAAAGCCTCGTTTCGGCCTATCAGTGGGACTGCACACAGCCTGCACTCGTCTATGGTACAGAGATAGGCCTCGTGGCTGCACACATCCAGATGGGGAGACTGTTCATGCTCGATTGCTGACCCTTTCAGCTTCCTGCAGGCTTGAGACACTAGGCGAATCGCGCCCGCTTCCGATCTCGAAGGCTGTGCCGAGAAGAGAAGCCCAAGTCTTCTCGGAGGCAGGTGAGGCGCAGATCTGAAACAGACTTGAGGCTCGCACCGAGGTCATAGTCAGCTGCCCGCATGCGCTTGTCCGTGGGGGACGGAGAAGCGGCTGCGGGTCCGTGACTCCGTTGCGCCCTCGGCATTGTTCCACAGCCGCAATCGCCAAGATAGAACGCCTCGACGTTTGCCTGGTGCTGATCTACACGCATCTGCAGTCGACTTACATAGGAAGGGAAAGGGACGCTTCGGACCCTTTCACCCGGCTCGTCCAATTTCGAGAGTGGCGAGTGAGTGGCGAAGTGAAGGCTGTCTGTGCATGGTCCGAAGCTACCTCATGTCCGCTCGGCCTAGAAGGATTGATCAGAGTTAGATTGAGTCAAGATACAGTCTTCTATGTGGTGGGGCTGGCTCAGGTAGATCTGCGTTGCATCTCAATTTGTCTGATAGCTGCGCACGCGCGGACACGCCGCCGGGTGGCGAGTCAGAATCCCCGCCCTTTGAATCGGCTTGAACGCTGAGTAGTGCTGGCTACCTTTATTCTTCAGCATTTCACTCGAGTCCTTCCCGTAAGCTGTGCTGTCTGTGGGCTGGGCGAGTCACCAGGCTCTTCTCTTCTCCACACGATCTTTCTTGAGAGAGTCCCGCCACGTGGTGGATCTAGGTTTGAGGAATGCGGAGGTGACGTCATCGATCCAGCTGCAGTTGCTCGACCCGCGTCCGACTGTAACAGAGTCAAGCTGGACCTCTTACTGTCCACATTTCACGAGCGCCAACTAGCTACATACTGTCATTGAAGCCTGCACAGAGAGGCTCACTGCGATCGCTTCGAGAGATTGGACGTCCGATCTCCGTAAACGGATAAAACTATTGCTGAAAACCGAGCTGCGCGACAGTCCGACCTCGCTATGTGCGGTGAAGGGAATGCTGGGCCAAGCCAGACGGCACCGAAGACGAATCTGAGCCCGCCCACATGGGAGGATATCAGTCTTCCAGCTGACCACATCCTCCGACATTGTGAGCTGGTAGTCTCCGACTGATATGACCCGAGCTGAGCATCGCAGTGACAGACGCGCATTGTCATCCTACTGATCTGGACCTCCCCGAGAGGCACCATGCGGAGGCGAAGCTCGGATCTATAGCAGCTATGGCTACAGCAGCAGGCGACCAGGACAAGGTCAGAGCTCTAGGCCGCAAGCGAGGGTGGAAGAAGGGTCAACTGAACCCGAGGGGTGGACAAGAGGGGGTGAGCGTGGTGTCCTGCTTTGGTGCGTGTCTCCTAGACTGCATGTATGCGTTTATAGCTGATAGACTAGGTTACCATCCTTGGTTCACCCATCGCTACTCGCTACTCCCCTCTCTGCCGTCCAAAGAAGACCACTACACTTCGCTCTTCTCCACTCCCAAATCCGACCCGAACAGCAAGAACCGCACCCTCCTGCGTTCACTCCTGCCCTACCTCCCTGATCCCATCCCTTTCCAGCCCCTGCTCGACAAGCTCCGAGCCGATATCCAGGGCTCGTTGGACCAGGGCAACCTTACTATGCTCGGCGAGATCGGGCTGGATTCGCAGGCTCGGATGCGGTGGCCTACCGATCCAGCCGCGCGGATCCTATACGCGGTCTACCTCGGCGAGAAGGGGAAGGAGATGGATCCATACGAAGAGACGAAGGATGGGGAGTGGAAGAGGCTTACAATGTTCAAGACGGATATGAAGCATCAGCGGCGGATTGTGGAGATGCAGATGGAGGTGGCTGTCGAGCTTGGGGTGAATGTTTCGTTTCACTGCGTCGCAGCACCAGGTGAGCTCTCCTGCACTCTCAGCTGATGCCGAAAGCTGATATCTAGGTCAAACACTGGAAGTCCTCACTTCGTTCCGCGACAAACACCGCTCCCGCTTCACCAACCGCATCAACGTCGACCTCCACTCTGCCGGCGGCTGGCAACCCGAGTTCTGGCGGAACGCCCAGAAGCAACTCCTCAATCTTTACGCCTCACCATCTGTGCTCATCACTGGCCGAGTGGGGCACGCTAACGAGCTCCTCAAGGCAATCTCGGACGATCGGATGCTGGTCGAGAGCGACAGCCACGATGTGCGGATGATGGCGAGCTGGGTGTGGGGCGCGGTGGAGTGGATGGCAGCTGTCAAGGGGTGGAAAGTAGAGGGAAAAGACGATGACGGATCGGAGTGGACGATGGATGCGATGGAGGAAGAGGTGGTAGGGCGGAAAGGGAAGGTGGAGAAGGGCGATGTGTGGGCTGTACGGACACTAGAGCGGAATTGGGCGAGATTCATGCACATCGTGGACTGATGCACGCGTCTACTGTATATTGTCTTACACTCTGAGAGTTTACAACGCTATAGACCCCTGTCGAGTCAGTGACCGTAGTTGCCATCGCAGTATAGCCAGACGCACTGAGGGACGATGCTTACCAGCAATCACCAATCCTCATCCCAGTACATCATGTACTACATCCCTCAGATTCTCTTCCTTCAGCCCCAATAGCTCGTTCGCGAACAGCTTGTCCCCCGTCCAATTTGACCGTTTGATCCCCAGGACCGCTACGAGCTCCTCGACCGCCTCTGCATCCCCCTTCTTTGCCTCCGCCGCCTTCTCCTCGATGAAACCCTCCGACTCGACATATACACCCTTAACTGGCCGCCTTCCCTTGACCTCGTCCATCGCCTTGATGATCTCCAGCTGCGACACGCAAAAGCTCTGAATGAGCAGCATTTGATTCGCCGTCTCCTCCTCCTTGTCCAGCACAATTGCCGCCACCGCCTTTCCTATCTGCTTGACCGTACTCGTCGAGAACCGATCCTTCCCTCCATCAAACAGCATCGCCGAGTTCTCCTTCTCGTTGATACCGAGCAATTCCGTCCGCAGGCCATAGTCAAAGAAATGGCCCGAGGCGAGACTGGTCCAAGTGAAGCTTTTGTGCTTGCGCGCTAAGGCTTGGCAGTGCTCCCGCACAAGCTTCTTATTGCGAAAGTTGGGGAGGAGGTCGAGGACGTATGGGTCGTCGCTTCGCATACTTCCGTAGTCGGCGGGTATGTACCGGTAGACTCCGGCAGCGACGCACGCATCCGCGAGTGTGATCTGCGTCTCGCGATCCGCGGGGGAGAGCGCACTGACGAGTGACTCTATGTCGTGCTCGTTCAGCGCAGAGGTGAGATCGTGGAGGGTAGGTGGATCAGAGGGGATAGTGACTGTTCGGATGCGGGGATGGGTTGGAGCGGGATGTGAGGTGGGTCGGAGGAAGATGACAATGTGGGGCTTGGAGGGGTGCTCCAGCAGAGCCTGAAGGATGGCAGGGCCGATACGAGAGTTGACGCCTATGAGGGCTATATGATGGGCGTGCATTGCAGGTGGATGTACGGAAGAGCAAGAGCGACGACGAGGAATGTGGAGCTGTGGAGCGGCTCCGGGTCCGGCCCGGTGAGTGCCTCAGCTCTTGCGAAGGTCGCATTTCACCGAGTCACATCACAAGCCATTATACTTACAGATACAAAGTAGATGACAACTACAACTATGGAGATACAGATGCTATATCAATATATTACCCAGTCTCCAGACTCCAAGCTTCCGTCTTTCTTTCCTTCACTGTTTCCTGTACTGATCCAACACTGAAATCCCCCTCGCTCTCTGATACCGCCACCTCCAGATGCGTCGCCATCACCTTAGACTCCATACTCGGCGACATCTCCACCAGAGTCGCCTCTCCCGTTTCTCCCCCTCCTACTGATCCGACTCTACTCCATGCTGGATCCACCCACCGGCGCATCGTCTTGCTCACGCTCAGCCATACCGGCCAGAGCATCGCCACCCCATACAGCGCCGTCGTCACCCGCACAGAATACCGCGGGTTGTCCATATGCGACATATCTACCGCATAGACCACACTTGGCCACGTCGCCCCGCCAGAGATGGCCATCGTGATGGCGGTAGCGGCGAATTTGGTATGTTTGCCTTGACCGCGGAGGGTCATGGCGAAGAGGATGGGGAAGATGGCGGATTCGCAAAAGTGGAGGAGGATGAGAAAGGCGAGAGCGGCCGGACCGACCGGTAGGACCATCGCAAGGAGGGAGGAGAGGAATGCGCCAAAGATGTAGCCAAAGAGGACGTGGCGTGGGGGAAAGAGGTAGGTGAGGCCAGACGCGATGAACCGGCCCAGAGCGAATATGCCCGCGCCGACAAGAGCGGTATTGGCCGGGTCGAAGGAGGGATATGCGCCGCGGGAGATGGATCCGAGAAAGTAGGAGACCGACTCTTGCGCTCCGACGTAGGTCGCCATGAGGACCACCCCGGAAACCAGCAGCACCTTGCGTGCGTCCATCCTGTACACCTTCTCCCCCTTGTCCATCCCCGCATTGTACAGCCGCTGCAGCGCCATCGCCTCGAGCTCATCGTCGCTCGCCTCAGAGAGCGGGACGTAGAAGAAGAGGACGGCGAGGGCGACAACAAAGAGGCCAACGGCGAGGTAACACCATTGGACGCGGAAGAGGTCGTCTTCGCTAAGCCCCGAGAAGAGCGCCCGACTCGCGACAACCGACGAGATGACCGAGCCGACGCCTTGTATGCCTTGGGAGAAGCACAGCCTGGACTCGCTGAGCTGGCCCGGTCCGGCGAGGGCGACAAAGGGATTGGCTGCGTTCTCGAGGACGGAGAGACCGAGCGCGACGATGGCGTTGGAGATGAAGAAGCCAGGGTAGGATTTGAGGACCGAAGATGGCCAGTAGGACAGAGCCCCGCACGAGTAGATGGCGAGACCGGCCATAAAGGTGGCTTTGAAACCGGCGCGGGTGAGGGTCCAGTATCCTACGAGCAGGGGTCCGAGGAAGTAGCCGATCCAGTAGGCATTGTGGAGCGCAAAGGCTTCCGAGGAGGAGTAGTTGAGGAGAGCTTGGATTTCGGCGTTGAGGGTGCCGAGGAGACCGTACGCAAAGCCCCAGAGGAAGAAGAGAGTGGACACTGCCATCAGCTCAGTCTAGTAGCTTACTCACCAAAGAGGATAGGCCACCATGCTTCGCGCGCCGTGAGCTCCGTCAACGGCGTCTTGCCCTTCATATTGACAAAGTCGAAAAATGTTTGGGTCGCCTCTTGTTGGTCGAAATGACGGGAGACGGCAGGACGGATGGGTTCGGGCTGAGGGAGAGTAGGAGGATCTGTGGGACCACTTCCCAGCATCTGGAAAAAGTCCATCCCATCCTCATCCTCCGGCAGGATCGAGGTGATTGACAGCGCCGGGGCTGGTGGCACGTCCTTCTCCCCTGCACGAGAGACAGACCCCCTTTCCGCCGCTTTCGAGATCGATAGCGCCCGTCTCGACTCTCTCGCCTGCCTCCCCAAGAACCCCGGCATCACCCGCATCACCAGCGGCTTGAGCACCAGAACGCAGCAGCAGCACAGCCCCACCGATACCTCCACCGCCGACCACATGAGGGAGAATGACGTGTGGTAGCTGAAGTTGGGCGGCCGAGTGGCAGCGGTGATGATGACGCCAGCGTTCCATTCTCTGCTCTCGCGCAGAGCGTTCTGTAGGTACAGGATCCGGACGACATCGACGATAGCGACGAATCCGCCGACGATAAAGGTGCAGACGAGCGCGCATTTCTGCTTGATCTCCATACGGAGTTGAGTAAGGATTGGGAGGGGAAGACAGAGGATGGCCAGATCGGTGAGGATGTTGATAGGGGCCGAGGCGAGATACATTGACACGACGTCAATACACTGCCCGTCGATATCGGTCGACCATGCCGCCGAGATAGGACGGCACTGAAAGAGACCGAGGAAGGTGAGGACGATACCGGCGAGATTTACGATGACCATGGTGGCGATGCTGGCGTACCGAAGGAACGGATGGGCCGCCGCCATACGGACGTAGAGGATGAGGATGGACGTCTTGGTCGCCATTAGGGCGGGATTGTAGAACACCGTAAAGGCATACACCGCCTTCTTCATTGGCGCTTTCCACTCATCCAGGATGTACGCGTCTGGCTGGCCCAATCCCTCCCTAGCTCCTGCGCAGACTACCACCGACACCCCTGTGGCAAACAGCCACGCGACCACCGCGAACGCGTCATCCGCCGTGAACCGCTTGACCACCCATATTTTGGATAATAGGCGGAGGGCGACAAAGACCGTAGCGACGATTCCGAGGATGAAGGTGACGACGAAGACGGTGGGACTCCGGTCTTCCATGATGATCACGTAGGGTAGGGCTGGACCATGGCGGATGGATGGTGGAGAGAAGAGGAAAGGCGGATGTGATCGGCTATATAAGTGGTGTCAGTTTACGGCATCAGGCACAGCAGAGAGATCTTCCTGTCTGTGCGCCAAACCCTTCTTCCCAAACAAACAACCCTTATTTTTGCATCAGACATGCTAGGACATGCTCTAGCCCCTTGTTGCGGGAGAGCACACGGCTGCTCTGGATATCACCCGCGGCTCCCAATACGAGTCCAAAGAAGATATGCGAGATGTGGGCTATATAGGCGTGAGGGGCAGCTGTAGCGTTCTATTCAGCTCCGCAGTCAGCACGCGCTGCCCAAAGCCACGCATGACTCGCGATACTTGGTACTCACTGCTTACTGTGATCTACTGAGCGGTGACTAATAGGTGAGCTTCATGATCTGGCGCAAGAAGAGACCTCGGCGGCATGCATAACCGGGACGAATCTGACTTGGGCGAGATCAAACCCGTATCTATGATCGCTATCGGTGCGGATAGACACCATCTCCGCAGGTTGTACTCCGCACTGCGATCAATGTGAGAGTGTGAGAGATAGCCCTGTGCGAAGCTCGAGACCCCGTCATCTTTATGTGGATTGTACGCGACCGCACTCCGGTGCGATCCGTTGATCGCCACCGCTGGTCACGACGGGACCCGGGACCCACTCACTGTAAGCAATCTCTTGATTTCGGTCATCTGGCCGCAGGTCTTTCCGTGGGCCGACTCTGTATATTGTCGTCATCAGGATTGAGAGAATATGTGCTTAGGGCGACATAGGCAGGAGTGCGAGAAGTGGAGCTCGTCAAACCGTTGGGACTTCTCTTCGCGCCCCACACAGAACGCCTAACTTCGTAGTTTTGAGCGCGCTGTACCACTTTCCCGGTTGTCTGAGAGGTGCCAGTGCGCCTTCTCTCCCGCATGTCGAGCCAGGGGGACGTGTAGATATACGGCTAAGTGGCCCTTCAAACCCCCTGTCTGGCGCAGATTAGCAGTATAGCCGCCACTGCGTAGTCCAGTCCGGCCCTCCTGCAATCTCTATATCAGCTCGTGCGCGCGTCAACTCATCACGGTTACCAGTCAGCGAAGGACGAGGCGGTGATCTTGCAGCAGTGCCACATGCCACATGGCGCGGGCGCTAATGCCGTAAACCTCCTCGTCAGCCAACTCCACATTCCTCAGCTGCCCTCGCCTCACTTCGACCTTCCACCACTCTTTCTACCATACAAAGTAGACCAGAATGGACGTCACACCAGCAGCGAACGCGTCTTCCGGCTCTTCATCTGTGCCGTCGAGCTCAAAGACGGTACACGATGTTATCGCCAAGGTCGACGTTGCTGAATTTGACTGGAAAGCGTACGAGGGGACGTATCGAGGTAGGCATCACTTCATGATCGAGCTATGATGGGCAAGAGACGTTTCTCAGAGCATGCCATAAATGATGATGGTCTGGGCTGACACGCAGGCCGTGCCTTGATCACTCGACTCAACCACATCCCCACGATTCTTCTCTCCAACTCGAACTCCACACCCGCTCATTCCCTTCACCTCGCTCGTACGGCCCTTCAGCGCCTTCTTCCCCTTATCAAAGAGACATGGGATACGTCGCTCTACCTTCGAGTCGCTACAGCTCTCGAAGATACGCGTGTCGGAGCGAAAGGTGGGCCAGTGAGGAGGGATGAGGATGAGGCGATGGACGGCACATCCGCGTCGCGTGGGGCTTCTGCGCGGGGTGAAATCGATATGGACTGGGTTGAGAGCGCGAGGGATGCCGAGAGGAAGGAAGGATCAAGGCTGGATGTGGAGCTGAGGGGGTACATGAGCAATTTGATCAAAGAAAGCATCAGGGTGGGTCATTTCCTTCTCATGTTGGTTGAAGGGATTGGCTGATGTGCAGCTCACGTATCTTGCCTTTGCCCAGCTCTCGCTGAAATCGGGCCGAGCCTCGGACGCGCTCAAAAATTATACCTCTGCTCGAGAGTACAGCACGTCACCAGCGCACCACGTCGACCTCTACGTCGGTATCCTCGATGTAAGCTCTTCACTTATCTCCCCGGTCTGAGCTGATCATCAGACATCCCTCGCATTCAACAACCCCGGCACTCTGCCCGGCTATGTCACCAAGCTCGAAGGTGTTCTCGACCGCGCCTACCCCGCTCCTGCTGCTGCGGGACCCCGGATCGGTGCAGAAGCAGCCGCTGCTGCAACAGCCAACTTGACCGCTGCGGACGTGAGGGAAAACCAAGAGAAGGAAGCCAGGTCGGCCGAGATGCGGCGGAATGTCGGCGTGAAGATTCGGGTGGCGAAGGGTCTGGACGCGCTGGCGAGGAAGGAGTGGGAGCGTGCCGGGAGGGAGATGGGAGAGGTCGGTGAGGAGGGCGGATTGGCCGGTTGGGAAGGAAAGGTGAGCTACGCGTTACTAAAGATTGTTATTCATGGCCAAGCTGATATTGTAGGCCATCTCCACTGCTGATATTGCGCTCATCACTGCTCTCTGTACCCTCGCTACTTCCAAGCGCGACCGGATCCGACGCGTTCTGCTCGAGCGCACTTCTTTCCGATCTGCCGTCGACGACTCCCAGGGCTGGATCATCGAGCTCGTCCGAGCGTTCATGGAGGCCAAGTATGGAGAAGTCTCGGTCATTCTCAACAAGGCAGAGGTGAGGAATACCCAATCCACCTCAGAATCTGGGCTGACATCACAGCCCCAACTCGTCCTGAACCCCTTCCTTTACCAACACACCGTCGATCTCATCTCGCTTATCCAGACTCGTGCTATCGTGCAGTATGTCGCGCCCTTCTCGTCCATCAAGATCGATACGATGGCGCGGGCGTTTGACCGTAACACCGACGATATGCTGAGGGAGGTGGAGTACCTGGTTGGGGAGGGCCGGATCGAGGGGAGGGTGGATCTTATTGATGGAGTGAGTCGTGCTGTTTCATTCAAAGGTACGGCTCCAAGTGGCTGATGGAATAGGTGCTCGAGATGAAGCAGGACAATGCTCGAGGGGAGCTCTTCAAGGATGCTTTCCGGGTGGCAAAATCCACGACTATGGGCAGTAAGGCTGCGCTTATCCGGATGAGGCTGTGAGTCATCTTGCACCAGATCCCCGCTCATCTCGATCACCTGGTCGATGTTACACCCGGAACAAAGCTGACAATACAGGCACGAGGCAGGTATCACCGTCGACCCCCGTCCGCCAGGCGATATGCAGACTGGTCAGCGCCTTGGGATGGGTCAGACGGACAGCATGGATCTGGAGAGTATGGGAGGGGAGGACTTTGGTATGATGGGGGATGAGTTGTATACGCGTTAAGTAGGCGGAAGAGAAGGGGATAACACGTAGACGGCGCCACAAAATACATTCTACAGATGGATCATGTACAGATCAAGTTCGATCTCACCCTTCTACAGCTTCAAGCTCTTCGGATCCGCTGCCCCAGGTCTCAATCACCCTGCCGGCGTAGGAAGTGAGGCTGACTCTGACGGACGCAGCCATGAGCTTCTCCTCCAACCCAGCCATGGCAGCCTGCAGCGCCAACTGAGTGTCCTTCCAATCGGATCCATCGCTGATGTACATGGTAAGGTGGCTGTTCGAGGGGAGCCGAGTCGGCTTAAACTTGTTCATGACGTTGGCCATCTCGGAGGTGAGTGTCTCGCGGGAAGGCGGCGGACCTTCGATGAACCAGTGCACGGTGGCGGCCTCCTCCCCGGGCTTGGCAGCATTCATGACCTTTGGCGGTTTATCGAGACTGCCATATAGCATGGACCTGGGCAGACCGAAAGGGGGGGTACAGATATCGCCGGCTGGGCAGATCAGATACCAAGCGATGTCGCATGATCGGCCGAGTACTCTCCAGCTTGCGCAGTGATTCCTCCACTGGAGGAGAGAAGCAAAGGTCGCTTGTCATAGGGAGACTTGAGTAAATCGCTTCCTCGGGCGCAGACCACACAAAGTGGATCAGTGTCGGATCCGTAAGCGGTTCGTCCTCGTTGGGCAGTAGGGCGGAGCAGACCAAGTCCACCAGAGCGGTCGACGTTGAATTCTCCGCTACGCGCAGGTCGTCATCCTCCGCCGGGCTCGAAGAAATGATGAAGGTATCGATTCCGGACTTTCTAATTGTTTCCATGACCTTGGAACGATGCCCTGAGATGTGTTCAGAAAGGTCGTCAGTCTGTTCGAGGCCAAGGCAGTATAGCATAGAGCGGCGCGATAAGTCGATGCAAGCTTTCGGCCTCCAAGCCCGTATACGCTGTTCTGCATGAGCTCGGTACCCTACGTCCAGCATCAAGCCTACCGTGTTCAGGCTCGCCAGGATCACCTCCGCGCGAGTGGGCAACGTTCGATTGACGGGGGCATCCGGACTGAGACCCGGAAATCGCGATGGGGCTTTGGTATGGTCGAAAATCAACGCATGGAGCTCGGATGGTAAGGGAGTCAGCCGATCAGGACCTGTCGGAATTGACAAGGAAGGGTTCGAAGGTGATGACATGACTTGTAGGTGAGACCATAGTTAGAATATGAGTATGCTACTCCCAAGTGGCAATTGTCTTTTGGTACGGTGGTATAACTCTGACTTGGTAACGCCGCTCTTCGTTCACACTACCATTGGTCGCAGGTTCGAAACCCTCGATGTTGAAGACTTTAGCGATTCCACGAGGTAGGGAGAAGTCTCCCTGAAAACAACGTACATCAGCAGTAGCCTGCTTAAACAACGTGATACACCCGACCACTAGGTATCGTCGCATAGGGGAGAGTTAGAATATGAGTATGCTACTCCCAAGTGGCAATTGTCTTTTGGTACGGTGGTATAACTCTGACTACCATCAGGTTGAGGTACAATCGCGCGAACGGACGTGCCAGGCAAAGCCAGTCAGACAGACTACGTCTACGCTAGGGAGATACCATCCTTTCATCTGAAGCCCCTTCGTCCCAGACAGGAGTGGTGGACATGAGTCGATGAATAAGACCGTGCCCTTTGTTCTGGTCTAGACAGTGCTTCTCCCGCGATTGGACATGCCAGAAGGATTCGCCCAAGCCAGAAGCGGCTCAACCGGCTCTGGGAGTCTGGTGTAGCAGTTGTACGGGTGCGGGTTTTGGATGGCATCAGTAGTTGTCGCCAATTTGCCAGATAATCGTGAGGTCGTGTCAACATCGTCGATGCAATCAGCAAAATGAAAAAGCACTCCCGATCCTCCCTGCCCCCCGACGGTCAGGCAATCGACTTGCCAACCTCAAGCCTTCATCCCCACTCCCCTCCCGACCACTACCCACCGATTCCCCTCCTTGACCCTCTCCGCCCTCCCCACCTCGCCCTCCCACTCCTCATCCTCAAAGTACGCCTCCAACGCCCTCCCCTCCTTCCCCTCCTGCTTCCTCACCTTCTTCCCACTCCCACCTCCCTCCTTCTCCAGCACCTCCCCCGACCCGCTTTCTAGAACATGCCGATCATCCTCGCCTTCCGCCAGCGCCAGATACGCCCGGCCAACGCCCACGTCCGTCGTCTTCGTAAGCAGCTGGAATCGCTTCAATCGGCGCTCAGCTTCTCGTCTCTCCTTCTCCTCTGGGCTCAGCCCGGGTGAGGATGAAGGCGGAGGAGGAGCAGAACCGCGTGGGATAAGGCGGCGTGAGATGATGAGGATTCGTCGGGTCTGAAGGAGCCGGGGGTTGGAGCTGAGTGCGGCAGGAGGGAGGGAGTTGAGGGTGAGGAGGTCGTGCGGCTATGTTGTCAGATCAAAGCGGCCTTCGGGAAGGTGGAAGAGAGCTCACATCTGCAGCATACTTCCTCGCTACGCTCATGACTGTGTCTCCACGCCCAACGGGATGGGTCACCTCCACAACCTCCATATCCACTTCAGCTTCTTTGCCACCCGCTTGATCCCCTTCTTGGTCTCCGTTGGTCATCGGTTGCCCCTCCTTGTATGATGGAGGCCTAGATACCGCTGCCTCTTGCTCCTCGTCACTGTCGTCATCTCCGATACTGAATTGTCCAGCTTCGACGCGCGCATCTTCCCTTCTTCACATATCAGCTTTGTTCTTAACGGTGATTTACGGGACGAAAGGAGCGCTCACCTCCGCTCTTCCGCTCGCTGCGCAGCAGCCCCGATTCTCACTCTGCTGCTCCCACTCGCAGACCGTACATCTCCACAACGGAGACAAGGGTCGTACTCCCTCAATCGGGGGTTCACGCCGAGGCATCGATCGCAGATCGGCAGACCGCAGCAGGGGGTCAGGTACGCCCCGGGGAGTTGGGCGGGACGGATGGTCGAGTAACACGTCTGGCAGCTCGGCGTATACATGTCGGGCAGCGGTATATATATGTTAATCAATGAGATAGGAAGATGGAAGGATGAAGAGTGGAGCCGCCAAAGATAGTGGCGATCGGCTGCTTCGGTTACCCCGCGGACCTCCGCGGAGACTTCCATGTGGTGGCTCGTTTGAATGCTTCATGTCTTGTCTCGAGAGGCCATAGCCTCTCCAGAGCTGGCTCGCACGCAGGATATAGTACATGAGCAGATACATGACTCTGTGACATCGCTACTCTCAATGCTGACCTTTGTGACTACATCGTCAGATCATCTCCACATCCCCACCGGCGCCGCCTGCCTCGACCTTGGCGCCCGTCAATCCGCCTGACCTGGCCAACTCCTCCTCTCGCAGCCTAATCATCTCATTGCCTAGACCCGCTCGTTTCTTTGTCATGATCACCACCAGATTCTGCCCAAACGCCTCGGCGATGGCTTCAGGTGTGGTAGCTGGGGCGGATGGCTTGGAGTCGGGATTGGTAGATCGGAGCAGTTTCTGCAGTGCGGCCTACACTGTCAGCTATGGCCCGATGCAGGTGCAGTACCGGAGCTGCCAAATAGCAGACATACCTCGGTAGCCTTAACCAGTCCCCTTCCCTTCCCTTTGCCCGCTACCGCCTCGGGGTACAACGCTCCACACAGCCCATCGATCTTTTTCAGACCATTCCCAGCTGGTGCCCAGATCGTTTCGCGGACGACAGAAGCCCCCAGTGCGGTCAGCCCCAGCACGGCGCCTTCGTATCGTCCCGCAGGATGCGCTAGGGAACCAGTGTGGGATGGAGAGGAGTCGAGAGCGGATTTGAGGGTAGATACCAGGCCTGAAGATCAGCTTCGATCGCTACAATACCGTAAAACTTCGAGAGGTAAACTCACGTGGTATCAATCCAGGATATCCAGCGCCATATTGCCTAGCGACCATACCCAGCACATCGGCTGCCCGGGAGCGGATATCGTACGGCGATGGCTGAGGTCCGGAGGGTTGCGCTGATCCGGCTTGGGGACCGAGGGGGACGGCGAGGATGATGGAGAGAATGGGTGGAAGGAGTTGGTGTATCTGCAGATGTCAGCTACTATTACAGTGTCGTCCTCAGTCTCCTGCATGAGCCTCCACCACAAGCCCTGTCCTCATAGCCCCTCCCAGCTCCTCCGCCACTCACATCGCCGCCCGTCCGGACAAAGCCACTCACATACGGCTCCAGAAACACGCTCTCATTCCCCAATATCGCACCCAAACAATCCACCAAACACCCCAGCGTCCCCATAGTACCCAGCAGACACCGCCCCACACTCTCACTCAGCCACTTGACGAAATACACCAGCACGCCCGCCATCGCTTGGTCCTCCTTGACACTGGCGAGCGCGGCTTGGCGGTGTCGCTCCGCATCGGGCAAGTTGCCATCCGCGTCGAGCTGGCCAGGAAGGGGTCCGGGGGCGGCGGAGAGGGAGGGGACGAGGGCGGCGGTGAGGCGGGTAAAGTAGACTTGGAGCTCTTGCGGGAGGGTCGATTTGGCGGATGCGCGGAGGGAGGGGGGACCTGTTTGGGGGACGGGGGGTTGGCGGGAGGCTGGAAGTCAGCCAAAGGTACAATTGTCGGCAGAATAGAACGAAAGTCCAGGAGGTGGGGTATACGGGTGATTGCGCTTGGCTTGAGCAGAAATGGGGACTCACGTCCAGCTTTGGCGTTCGGCGCAGGATTCTCCGGAACAGCCGGCTGTACCCCTTCTACAGCCAACCAATGCGCCTTCCAGCTGACACCAGCCGAGTTGGCCACGCCTGTAGGAAGAGGTTTCTTCAGGAATGAAGCGAAATCAATCTCTTCGTCCGGGACGTGATAGATGTGGTTCGTTCCTCCCGAAGCTGAGGGGATGGGAACGGCTGCGAATGGTCCGGATGGGAGAGAGCGGGGTGGGACTAGGATAGGCTACTACGTCAGTATTAGATTCCCTCTCATCGGTCAACAGAGGACACGGAGAGTGCGACCGAAAACCCAGCCTCTCGGCTGGTCCAGTGACGGAAACGGGCGACCCACCTCAACGTTCAAAGCCTCCATGGCATACTCGATATCCTCCGGAGTCAACGTCTGCCTCTTCCCATTGATCATGAACTTCCTCGCCTCCTGGATGATCAGGTGGATGCGGTATTCGACATCGCTAGCGAGGAGGTCCGCCGCGCCGGGTCCGAGGGGGTCAAGGGCAAGCGAGTGTGAGGCTTCCTATCATGTCAGATACGCAGTCCCCTTGCTGTAATCAAAGAGCAGGTGGTCCGATACATCGGATGATAAGACCAACTCACAACGATAGAATCTACAGGGTAGATACCCATCATTTGAGAAGGAGCCATCCTGGAAGGAGGGGTGGCTGTGGCCGCGATATTGCGCTTCCTCGCTGTCTTATTCGTGCACTAGCAGTGGCAAGACTGTTGGGACGCTCCGGTGAAGTCTCAGCTGTCGATAGAGCAGGTCAGGAGCCGCGTAAAAGCTGTATTGCGGTGGATGCAACGGGATATGGGATGAGGTGAGTGAGAAGTATGGAGTGGAGAGTTGACGGTATGTAGCTATTTTGATCCGACACAACCGAGGTTTCATGTTGCTCATACCTCTCATCTTTGCCCTTATCTTTACACTCTCTCGCTCGGTCTAGTCGGTCGAGATGGTTCCATGGAGTGCTGCCAGGACGAAGGTGCGTACCTCTCCCCTTTACTGCTAGCGTCAGGCTTTCGAAATGAGGCTGGACGACCCGCTTGGCATGGTCGAGACTTCGGCTCTACCATGTTCGACCTAGATTGCTTTAGCTGATCAAGCTAGGTCCAAATCCGTCTGTCAATCCAGCGACTACGGACACTACAGGAGAAGAAGCTCGCCCTGGCCAAGAAGTCCAGAAGGGAGATAGCGGACTTGGTGCTGAAGGGGAGGATCGAGACCGCCCGGCTAAGGGTGGAGGGGTTGATACAGGATGACATCTACGTGGAGTTGCTAGAAGTCTTGGAGGTGAGTGCGCGGTGCTGCAAGACCCTAGATATCGCTGGATATCTAGTAATGGCTGAGCTAATTACTCAGCTATACGCCGAAACCCTGCAAGCTCGGTTTGGGCTGCTCGAGTCGACGGGGTAAGTTGACAGCTTTCTTGCGGCAGCGCAGCTCGGCTGGCCATCTGTCTGTTCGGTCCAGCGCATGATTAGCTTACTATACTAGTGGTGAAACACCAGAGCCATCCATCGCGGATGCGGTCAACGCGATCGTCTACTCTGCGCCCCGGACAGAGTTAAAGGAGCTGCACGCGCTGCGGGAGATGCTGATGCATAAGGTCGGTCTCTCAAGTTTCTTTGCCCCTCTGCTCGGATGATAATCTTGACCTGACCTAGCGAGCTGATGCCGCAGTACGGCCGCCAATTCTCCCTCGACCTCCAAGTATCCGATCCACCTCCCCCTCAAGTCCCAAAACGCGTAACCTCCAAAATCGCCGTCTTTGTCCCTCCGAAAGAGCTGGTCGATGCCTACCTCAGCGAAATAGCCAAAGGGTACGGCGTGGCGTGGATACCTGATCCTGAACCGTTCTCGGGCGTCGAGGGCGAGGCCGAGGCCGGGGACGAGGCGGAAGACAAGGCGGACAAGGGGAAGGCGAGGAATGGGGATGGCGAGAAGAAGGATGAGGACGACGTGGATGATGATCTAGGCGGTAGCGGAGGTGGGGATCTAGGCGAGGAGAGCGGAAAGGCAGGAAGCGCAGCAGCGAATCTTCCTGATGGACCGGAGAAGGATGCGTGGGCATCCGGGGCGGAAGTCAAGCTTCCTACGGCACCAGCACAGCCGGCAGGGGGGAAGAAGATGACGCCGGAGGAGGAGCTGGCTAAGCGGTTCGAGAGGCTCAAGCAGCTCAGATGAGGCTGGGGATGGGTGACTGGTGCGGGACTAGGGGATAGGAATCTTGAGGTGATGGTTGTATCTAATGTTACAATGAGGCTGATGTGGCTGACCTCCGACGGACCGGCGGGGCAGCCATTCGTCCCTCGCTCTCACTTGATGATACAGATGATCATGGCTCACGTTGCTGACCTCCAACGGATTGGCGGGGCAGCCAGTCGTCCCTCGCTTTCACGTGACGATACTGATGATCACGGCTCACGTCCTGATAAATGAATGCCATTCTGGTACATATACACAACTCCGCAGTAACATTACATCCTCACACTTCAGACTCCTCGCCGGGATGCGACTTTGCCCCGTCTTCGGGTACGAGCTCCGACTTGGTGTCGATGTAGCCCCTTGGCGGGACGATCCTGTACTCGACTCCGGCCGTTGCGTACTCACATGCCCTTTGTGTTTCGTACATCTCGAGCGCGGCAATCATCGAAGGGGCCTGCGAGCATGGTCGGACCTTGACAATCACAATGCTGCCCCGACTCAACTTGGCAGGGTCGATGAGTACATTGCTCAAAGCCTTGGCGCTGATCTGGTCCGTGCTCAGCGAAGCGAGGGGCGGCCCACATTGCCACGTCAGCGTCACGGAGCGAGTGGGGTCGCGGGCGGGTCTCCAACTCGGCCTTGGAGGGGTGTTGTCGTCTTCGATGAGACTCGTACTCGGCTTTGAATCGATCCGCGCATGGAGGGTAAATCTCGGAGTCAGCTCGCCTGAGAGGCAAACTTCTCGAAACTCATCCCTCGTAGAAGCCTCTTCCACAGGCAGCCAGTGGACTTCCAGGTCGTTTGTCCGTGCGATTGAGTTTAAGCCGTCTCTGATTCGATTCGCGCGGCCAGGTCCGTATTCCCTCCTTCCTTGGTCAGTCGTCGCTGACTCAAGGTGATCTGACAAGACCACCATTGAGAGATTGGCACTGACACCATCGTTCACCTTGAGCTTCTTCCAACCGCTCACTGTATCAACGAACTTCAAGACCTCGTGCTTGGTACCTGGAAGACCGTTCTCATCAGTCGGTGTCATCGGAAAGATCGACCAGCATGCAGCATTGTTGAGCTCTCGAGTCCGAAGCCAGGTCTTCATCGCAGCTTGCGGGCTCTCTGTGAGGTACACGATCACGTCGGCGGTAGGCTCCAGACCGAACCAAGTTCGCAGGTTAGAGGGTGTGATGGCGAGGTTTGTAAGGCTGCCCGACTTCACGGCTTCATCGTACGACACGCGCCGGAGAAACTGTCGCTGGCTTAGCGCATATCGAAGGATGACCTCAAAGCACGCGCACAACTCACATGGCTGACCCAGCGGAAAGTATCAACCAGCTCGGACTGGACATCGTGGGTGCGATGGCCTGTGGCCGGATCCTGACGAGTGATAAGGTAGGACCGATCCCGATACTTCTGCATGATCTGGACAGCCAACTCGTCCGGCAATCGTTCTCCGCGGGAATTGAAGCTGTTAAACTTTGCAGTGGGGGAAGCCATAGTGTGTAACAGGCCAGGTGTGGTGTGCAGGCGACCTATTGAAGACTCGATTCCGCAAGATATGGGACAGCGAGGACAAGTAGGTGGACAGAAGAAAGGGTTACTGATGTCGCCACCCTCGACATATGGGGGTACCCTGGATGATTGAGCAGCTTGCCACTCGGCTGATCATCCTTGCATTTCCTGCAGCCTACTTTGTCATCCCTTTCATTCGTGGATCTGTGAGCTAAGGTCCACCTTGACCTCGTCACTGCATCTTGAGCGCCCACAACGCACGCCACCAAGCCCTCATTTTGCCTGCTCCTTTCACGACCAACCCCTTTTGCGATCTCGAACGCTTGCCATGAGCATATGGCTGCCAGTGCTACGCATGACTGATACTCCCGCGATGCACACGACATACATGCCAAGACCGTTCCAGTTCTATATCTGCTGCTTTACACACCCGCCCCTGAGAGGCGAAACCGCATACCCAAACATCTTCTGTACCCAAGCTACTCATGACGCCGCACGCCTATTAGGCGCTACCCAACCCTGATTCCGATGGCTCCGATCAGTCCGATACCGTAGTCCCGCCGTTCTCCGTTTCAGCAGCCGATGGCGCAGTGGAATTTCCCTCGGTCGAGACGTTGGGCGCCGTTTCCGGCTCCTTGTATCCAGGGGGTGGGACGATCCGCATGGTGACCCCATTGGCCTTCATGTTCTTCGCAGCGACAGCCTCCCTTTTCTTGAGATAATCCACCAATTTCTTGGTATGCTTGCCGCCAAAGACATTGTAGGTGATGGTACTCCCTTTGGGCAGCTTGGTCGAGCCTGTGGTCCCGAAGTCACCCGTCAATTTTGTCAGGTCCTCCAGTTTCCCCTTGTCGTCAACGGGGGGGAAGCAGAAGATCTCCAGAGAGACCGGGGCCGCCCCCGTGTCGCGATTCAACCGACACAGATCAATCACTCTCTTCCCGTCTGTGTACAACGAGAACTCCCCACTCATCTTGAACAAAGGTATGGTGGCCGACCGGGTGGATCCAGGCGGAGGGGCGTCTGCGTTTGTGACATAGTGGACCGACCCCCCATTGTCAGGATCCACCCACGACATGAGGTAGGAACGGATGCTCCCGTTCTCAAATGGCCGAAAAACCTCGGGGCCCTCCCCAGTAGTCTCGCTTTGTATGATCAAGACTTTCTTTGCCGTAGGCGTAGAGCTGTCTGGCTTTTTGAATTTGCCGATGCTGAGTGCCCGCGCAAAGGCTTCCGTGTCTGCCGTGAGACGTATGCGAGTTGTAGTCCCACTTGGTAAGGTTTCGTCCGTGAAGCGCACACCAGGAACGCGAAGCGTAGGACTGATCTCCGGCCCGTCACTCTTGCGCATCCCGAGAAGATGATCACTCAGCCTGACTTTGGTCGGAACGTTCAGTAGCTTGCGAATGTTGTCGACTGTAACGAGGAGACCGGGATCGTCGCTGGCGGGACCGACAGCGGTTATGGCGTGTTGGCGGAAGGCCTGCAGATCAGCACATGCACAAGTGCAGCCACTAGTTATACAAGTTGATAAAGTTAGCACTGCAGGCACAGGGCACCCACTTACGCGACTGAGCTGACTGAGTGGCGTGGCGAGGATCACAGGAGCGAGTTTGTTCTGGTTCAGCGCGATGGTCGTCACGGTCTGTCCTTTGTCGTCGAGGGTCTTCGTCAGACTACGACAGAGTCGGGGACGACCGGGGTTGCGAATCCCGAGCTCCCAGTAAATCTGATCAACCAGCTCTCCCGGTGAGGGCAATGGCTTGTATTCGGTCGCCTGTTCTGTGGTATCTGACATGATGAGGTTGTGTGAGAAGTCAAGAGGCTAGGTAAGGAACGGTGATTGCAGAGTAAGATGTTTAAATGTATATGTACGAAAGAAGACTCTGGCTGGTGGGAACGATTTTTATGGGGCTTTGGGGTGGGGTACTCTGCCGGCTCGCCCTCTTTTCGCTTTCAGACTGGATTGTCGAGCTTGTTCGCCCTTGGAGCTCGCGCCTTGCCATTTAAATCCTTTGCAATCCACCTCCTCTTGAGCTGGTTAGTGGCGTCAGAGCTAAGCCGTCCTTTCAGCCGCTGCACCGCCTCGCCGATGTGTTTGGAAGACTCTGCGCCGCTCTGACCTCCTTGCCATGATCCGGCCGAGTATTCTGCTCCCGCCCACATCCGCAGTGAGCACAAGTCGGCAGGGCACAATCAGCTGTCAGTACTGAGACAGCCATGGATTTGAGCAGAATCAGTACTCGCTCTATGCATCACGCCTTCACCTCCTTCCCATCCCTCCACACCACCGTCCTTGCCCCCTGCAGTCCCCCCTCGACCTTTTCCGCCAACCTCCAAAACTCTTTACCCACCGACCCCGCCTCATTCCCCGGCGTCAAAACCACCCCATTCGCCGACGTATAAACCGGTATACCCGCCGCGAGCGCCCTGGGCAGGTCCAGATATATAAGCAGCGTGGAGTTGGGGCGAGGGATGATATGATGCTCCGATAGAGAGAGGGCCGGGGCAAAATGGATATGTTGACGAGCCATGCGAGACAGGCCTTGCTGTTCTGGGAACCATTCAGCTGAAGTCCGTGCGTATTCGCCGGGAGGCTGGGACTCACTCAGAGTCTCCCATAGATCCCATCGAGTCCCATGGACTATCAACCCCGCCCTCTTTCGGCCTTCTTCATCGTCCAATACCGCCTCCAGATGCGCCACGCCCTCCAGAGCGATCGAGTGCCCCTGGCTCGCGCGGATGTAGTAGCCGCCTCGAGGGTCCGGGTCCGATACTTCTTCGACCGCCGGGTCCGGTAGAATGACCAGAGGAAGCTCTGTCGACGTGATTTGTGCCGGCGACAGTAAGACGGGAAGGGCGTCGACGGAGGCCGTAGCCGACTCGACGGGAGGTTCGGGCGCTGTGACGGGTTCGCCAGGCGCCGAGGCACCTTTCTCTCCGACCTCGACCGCGTCAACGCCCGAAGCCACCTCCTCGACTTTCTTCCCGCCTTGACCTTGCCCTTGACCCTTCCCCTTCCCCTTATTCTGCCCCTTGCCCTTCTTTGGTGGCGGGGGTGAGGGGTCATACCCGAAGACCAGCTCGAACCGCTTCTTGGCATTCTCCTCCACGAGTCGGAGCACCATATCCTTATCAACGTCTCTCATCTTCGGGCGTGCGAGCTGTATCATCAGCACCTAGTCTGTCCAGGCTCATGACAGTCTAGCTCGTCCCGGGCGAGGGATGGGGACGTACCACATCGTCAAGCCGTATAAACCCGTCTGAGCGGATATGAAGCCCCTCTTTTTCGGCACCGTGCCGCAGGATATACGCGAGACCTTTCGATGCCCTCACATCCGGTGTCTCTGGCGGTCTAGGCATGGTAGTACAGAGCGGAATGAGGTAGAGAAGATAGAAGACATGCGATTCGAAATCTGGCCGAAATCTGAAACATGCCGAGTGATGGTTACGTAAAAGTGATTTCCCTATAGGAGGGAGATTTTTGGCGGTGGTATGTCTGCTCTCTAGTCTCTTTCTCTCATCTGAGTAGTGTACTACTACACCTCCTGACCGCCAACAGCTGCTACAAAGACGTAGTCGACCTAGCATAATGTCAGCCCCAGCGAAGAAAGCGGCGCCAAAGGCCAAGGCCTCACTCATTGCGGCCGCCAACCAGCCTGAAGCCTCTTCATCCAGCGCTCCAGTCCCGCCAACTCTCAACAGAGCTCCGACTGCAGCTTCGTCGTCCTCGGCGCCGCAGCGAGCGGGAACTGCTGCTTCAACGGCGAGCGGGTCCGGATCTGCGAGATCCACACCGGCAGATGGTACCCTGGCGCCAATAGCTACGGGCTCAAGGTTGAAGTTCAAGCCGAAGGTGCCTATCAGGAAGGCCAAGATGTAAGTGCTCGTCTAGACGTCCCGTGGTGTTCCAAGCTAATCATACAGAGAGCCCGAGGTCAAGCCTGTAAGTCCAGCGAATTGAGTGAGACAAGTACGCTCAGCTGACTTTACAGGAACCGGCAGCGGCACCTCCGCCGACCAGGGGTGGTGCACGAGGTGGACGAGGCGCACGCGGTGGTCCGGGTACTCGAGGTGGTCGCGGAGGACGAGGAGGTGCAGCCGCGCCCGGTCTGTCAATCGCATCAGGCATCTTTGGTGGTCCTCGAAACATCCGTAAGTCTACCCCTATCATTTGGCAGCTTGGGCCGAGCTGATGTTCAGCTTCGACTCGAGGCGGAAGCAACGCTGCTCCAACCCGCATGTTCTTCGACGACGTCGCGGATGTCTACTCGGACGACGAAGAGACCGGGACCAAAGCGGACAACATCGTCGATATCAGTGCCGTGTCCGGACTCGGCGAGAGCGCGCCGACATCCCTCATCCGAGCCGGACGCGAGACGGGCAAAGGCAAGGAGGAAGAGGACGACAAGAAGCGGCGAAAGGACGAACGGGCGGCCAAGCGGGCCCAGGCGAGTCGGAAGGGCAAGGAACGGGCGTACGGGAATGTCAAGAATGAGGATGTCAAGCCAGAGCCGGTCTCGCCTGTCAAGAGGGGGATGGACTTGGACCTGGATCTGGGTGACGACTTTGATATGGAGGAGATGATGAATGCGGGCGTGAGGCCGCCGGTGGGGCTCAGGACGGACGATCATTTGATGGATGGGGATCTGGACCAGGATAGGGATACACAAGGAAGGAGGCTGAATGAGGCGGGGGAGGAGGTGAATGAGGCGCAGATGATGGATTTGAGCGAGAGTGAAGAGGAGGAAGAGGAGGAGAGTATGGAGGGGGACTTTGTGCCTACACCAGGATTTGTAAGTGGGACATTCCACTTGGATATGCGGTTTGTGAATAAAGCTGATCGGCAGGACGACCCCAGCTCTAAACTATACATCTTTCAATTCCCCAATCTCTTCCCCAACTTCCTTCCTCGAGATCCAGTCGACCTTACCGGCGACGGCGATGTCAAGCCAGACGTAAAGCCTGATCTCAAGCCGTCCGCGGCAGATCTGCGAGCGGGCGCAAAGAAGAAGAAGGAGGCGGTCGTTCCAGAGGGGAGAGTGGGGAGTCTGGTGGTCATGCGGAGTGGGAAGGTCAAGGTGGTCATGGGGAATGAGATTGTTATGAACGTGAGTCTCATTGGACACACCTTTATTCAGCTGGATGTATACCTCTGTGTCAGGTGGAAAGCTGATATCGCAGATTACGCCAGGCGTACCATGTACCTTCCTGCAACACCTCGTCCACCTCGACACACCCAACAAATCCGCCAATGTCCTTGGCGAGATCAACAAGCACTACGTCGTCACGCCCGATATCGATCGACTGCTCAAGGAGCTCTGGCTGAATGATGGGGAAACACCAGGGGAGAAGGCCAAGGTGAGGGTTAAGGTCAAGGCGGAGAAGCTAGACGATGGGTTGCAGCGGATGGACGATGATTAGTCGATCCGGGGCCGATGGGGCTGGGGAAGGGGGTCTATCATGCCAATTATAACTTCGACCACGCTCGAGAGAGCTTATGCACATCATCATGATACAACACCTCTCCCTGGCACGCATATCTACTGCTCGTCCTCGTCCAAGAACGCCTGCTTGACGGCCGCATCGCAGCTCGCCGTATCTTTGCAAACCATCCATCGTCCCAATCCATCATCCTTCTCCCCTTCCTTCTCCTCACCGCCGCCCTCCACCCCGGCCATCAAGCCCGCAATCCCCGCACCCAGCTGAAACTGCTTTATCGTCACCTCTGACCGACCCCTTTCGCGCCCACACAAGACACACATCTCCGCATCCACCTCATCGACCTGCCGCACCCCGCCGGAATTGCTTATCCAGTGCGGCAAACCGGCCGGGCGGGCGGTATTGCTGTCGGTCTCTTGCCAGGATGATTTCCGGCCTTCGGCCTGTTGGGCCTGAGCGAGGCGCCAAGTGGGTAGCAGACCGGCTCGGAGTGGCCGAAGGGTGGATTGTTGGGAGTTGAGGAAGGCGGGACGGACGGTCAGGCTGCCGGTTGAGTGGGCGTCGGATGGAGGAGGGGAGTGGCCTGTTCGCGGGTTGTGTGCGTGGGTGTGAGCGTCGGTCGGCAGGGAGTGTGAAGCACTCTGGTGGTCCGGATCGGGATAGGGCGTCAAGGGTAGCGCGACGGAGATCAGTCGGGGCGCGGTCGGTTGATGCTGCAGGGGGTGGATGGACGTGAGTGGTAAAATGGAGTCCAAGGGGGCGATAGGAGGGTCGAGGGCGGATAAGGCGAGAGTCCGGCCTTGCTCGTTTGGGCCGGGTATCTCAGCTGGCGCGGGAGCCACGGGGGGTAGGGCTGGTGGAGTGTAGGCTGGGACAGGCTGCATTTTACAGACCGTCGGCGATGATCCAGGGGAAGGTCGAGCGGATACGCGCATAGCCGTCTGGATGGCACGGGTGAGCTGTCAGCAGAATCCAGTATGATCAGTGAGAGAGATAGATGGGCTGGGCTTGGTCTGTAGCACATGCGAGGACCGTAACGCTACCCCCTACCCAGACTGACTCGTTCGAGGCATGATCAAAAGATCGAGACCAAAGGATGTCCGAGGTGTCCGAGGAGTTTGTATCAAAGGATCGCTAGACTCTCGTCATTCTAGCTGGCGCTGTACAGCTAGTCCAGAGTCGGATGGCATCAGTGGCTGTCAAGATATGAGGTGTATGTCTTGCGCCTGATCTAGCATCAGAAGCAGCACGTGCAGATGCGGTATAGGCGCGCTGTCTTGGGCACAGAGTTACAACATCCCGATGATCGCATTTCAAACATTCAACATTCATTCTCAAAGCTGAAGGTGTCAGCTCCGTCCTAGCGGGAAGCATATATACACGCCAACGCACCATTACTACACGTTATGACACCCCTCGCTCCACTCGATCCGTCCTCGCAGCGCCGGCTTCTGCCCTAACACGGTCTGGCTCGTCCTCCCTCTCTTCCAAGATCGTCTGCTTCTCCCTCGTCACGACCGAAGGCAGAGCAGGCGCCAGACCGCCCGCGCTTCCATTCCCCGCCTGACCCTTCTTTGCGGTGGTGAGCTTGCTGAGCTGGTCGTTGCTGGACAGCGGGACGCCGATAGCGAGAGGCACACCCAGCGCTTGGCGGAGCTTCTCGGTGACGGAGATTTGTTTCTTTGTGCGTGCGGAGCTGGGGCGTCAGCTCATAATCCTATCTTACACGCGGGCGAATTGATCAACTCACCCTTGCCAGATGAGAACACCAGCCCCGATGCCGCTCAAGAAACCCAGAGGGATCAGACTCCCCGTAGTCCACGCCGGCCGCTGGTACTGATTCAGCCCCCACATACAACCGCAGAGGATACACTGGAACGCCGAGTTGAGGTCCATGAGGATAGTATTCCATAAAGCCCAGGACATGGGGAACGCGCGATGGGTCGAGGTGGCGTGGGGACGGTACCATGTCTGCGAGTCAGCAATCACCACAATCGCAGTAGGATGTATCGCTCACCTGGCTCTTGGCAAACATCTCTTGCTGGTACTTCAACCGCGCCCGCTCCTTCTCCGTCAAGACCGACACATACTCCTCCTGATCTTTTGGATCTTCTATATCGTTCGGGTCTTCGATAGGCGGTAGACCTTGCTTCTTGCGGAGCCGATGGGTCTTTTGCCGTAATGTCCAGATGATTGACATCCCTGCAAAGTCAGCTATGCGACCTTTGCGGAGGTCAAAGCGAGCTGGGTAGCTCACGGTAAGTGTCCTGCGCCCGCCAGGGTATAAGGCCCACCCCCGTAATCGTGAATAACGCATTGACGATCTGACTCGATATTTCCACCCAGCGATCTTGCCAGTACTTGCTAGGCGTCGGGATCCAGTTCAAGAGGAAGAAGACAATCGCCGCTCCCCAGAACACCACAAGGATCCCGTATATCCCCGTGGCGAACCCCATCGGGGTCTTGAGAAACACCCAAAGCCCCTTCAGACCCTTGACGATCTTTTGCCGCTTCGTCTCGTGGAGGACTTGCCGGACGTGCGCGTCGAGCGAGTGGACAGAGGCCAGCGAGTCTCGTGACGCGGTGGTGTGCAGCTCGGCAGCTTTGGGTGGGTACAGACCGGGGGTCTCGGCGGGGCTGTTGAGCTGGGAGTTGAGGCGGGAGGCGGTATGGGGTACGGAGGAATCGGAACGCATGGTGGAGCGAGGGAAGGAGGGTCGGCGGGTCGAGGAAGGGGCCGAGGGGAAGAGGGAAGCGACGGTAGATGCGCGTTTTCGTGTTGCCGAGTCCGAAGTGTCAAGGTATTCTTCGCCATCTTCTTGCTTAGATGAGCGGCTTAGAGCGTTAGCCAAAGGTCTAGCAGTGCAAACGAGACACTCACCCGCTGTCTTCATTGCCGAGCTTTATTTCTGGCCGTCTTGACCAGAGCGCCGGGAAGTGCGGGAGGAAGATACCATTCGTGACGTTCTGAAGATGATTGACTGAAGGTCAGCGTCATTTCCAAGAGGTCAGGCGGGACGTACCAGTCGACACCTCCGGATCAATAACATCTAGCATCCCCACCACCTCATCCCCCAGCTCCCGATTCTCTTCGTCCCGATCGTCATCCCCCTTCTTGCCCTTCGGAGACGGTACCATCTCGTACGCCACCGGTCCCGATCCAGACCGTTCCCTTGGTCCTCCGGACGATACACTTCCCCTCAGCCTATCCACCACAGAGCTCCGCCTCTTCCGCTTCACATCCCCATCCCCGGTCAAGATCGCTTCCTCGTCATCTGGCCCGTCCTTGCCATCACGAGAACCAGCAAAAGAGGCGCGGATAGCCCTCGGGAGGCTCTGCCTGTTGCTCGCGGTCGAGTCGGAGCGGGGCCGGAGTGAGACCGAGATGGATTGATTGTGCCGGCGAGCAGAGGACGGGGTGGGTGGATCTTGTTGGGCGGCAGACCGCGTTGGAGTCGTGGAGCCGTCTCCGGCGTACGTGACATGTGCCGGTGTTGTTGTCGCAGTCGCTGGTGCGCCTGGGGCGGTGACGACTGCGTGATCCGTTTGGCTTGGGGGGTTTGACCGGTAGATGGGAAGGATTGGACCGCTGGAACGGCTGTCGGGCGCGCCAGATTCGCTCATTTTGCCGCTATACAGCTATGGGCTGCACTGAATATAGCTGGTACTGAGCTGTCTATATAGATGAGATAGGTGGAGATAAGAGGTGGAAGAAAATAGCGGAAGATGGGGATCTTGTTTGGTCCAGAACACCGCTTACGGCTTGCCCCACTTGGACCGGCGACCAAGGCTAAGCCTTCTGACCATGTTCGCGACGCATCGTCAAGTATCGCTTGATGGTCCAGCATCTCCTCAAGCCCCTCATTAAATATATACATGAGGCCCTGCTGACATCACTCGCGCGACCGCTCTGCCAACACCTGTAGCGACTTTGTATACGCCTTCAACTCCTCGTCCGCCTTCTCTAACTCTCGCGCCATCGCCAAAGCAGCGTTCCGCACGGCCCTGATCTTCTTCTGCATGGCGTGCGCCTCATCCATCATCCATGCTGCATCGCCTGAGGTTGCAGCGATACCCAAGTCGACGGAGGCGGACGATAGAGCCGAAGTTGCTTTTTGGCACGCGGGGATGCGAGTGTCCAGCACCGACCGGCTGGCGATTGCCATTTGGTCGGCGAATCGCTCCAGCTTTTGCTCCGCATGGTGTCTAGGCCGGCCGCCGGAATCTTATGTGAGGGCCGGGAGCTCGGAGGGTCTCGCGATCCCGATCGAGGTGAAGTCTAGTGTTGCTAGATGGCGGCGTCTCTCGATGGGCAGTCTGGTCAGATCAGCTCAGTCCTTGCGCCTAGAGACTGAACCGCTCACTGCTGTAGATGATCCAGGTATTCCATCTGCGCGTCCCAGTCCCAGACCGGATCATCGTCCTCCCCAATGTACACCCGGGCTCTTTCCGCAAGACACCCGTACAACATCCTGATGATATTGAACATGGGCGTCTTGGCGTCTGCCACAAAAAGTGTGAGGTCGTTGATGTTACCGCCCCGGTCGAGACCTTCCGGCAATAGCAGCGGTAGGCAGACTGCCTCGGCATCCTCGATCCCGCTGACAGCGATGTGTAGCTGTGAGAGATTCGGTAGGTAGTTCCGTATGACCGTTACCAGGGCTGGTAGGTCCGCGTACCGAATGAGGGTCCGAGCTTCGTCGTAGATGTCCGAGTATCGTTCGGCGCCGCTGCTCAGATGGAGTGATCCAAGCGACGACAGCGCGACGCGCGCAAAACGCTCAAAGTCCGAGATATTGTAGGGTGAGATATTTTGGCAATTGATAAGAATAAGGCGACGCGTTACACCGTTGGCCGTTTGACGCTCGTATAAGCGTGCGAGGGTGTCCAGGGAGATAGGCAGATTGAAGGTCCGTATCCCGCCGCCGAGAAGCGCAAAGACGGGACCTTCACATAGAGCGGCGGTCCACCGATCGACGAGCCTCTGGTCTACTACCCCCTCGTGGGAGGGATATAGCCAAGGGTCGACAAAGGCTTTGAAGGTGTAGCCATGAGGAGCTGGCTTAGTGACGGAGTCCATCTCGCCGAGCTCGTCCAGCGTGGCCGAAGGACCGTCCGCCAAGCTCATGCCGTATAGGCGTGTATGCTCGATGACACCGGTATCCTCATCCGTCATGATAACCCGCCAGGATGGCTGGTTGCCCAAGGGCTCGTATTCTGTCCCGAAGAGTATCTCCTGTAGCTTTGGGCACAGCTGCCGAATATTAGGAACGATGGCATTGAAGCGTTCCAGGTGGTAGTCGTCGGTCCAGTCCTCGACCTCGGCGGGGGAGGCGCCAGGGTCTGGCAGACCGAACCCCAGCGCGTCGAGCGACTCGACGGTGTAGGTGATACCGGTGGCGTCGATGTAGCGGATGCCGTTGCAGTAAAGCTCTTCACGAGGCTACGCTATCAGCTTTCTTGTAACAATCTTGTTCGCTTTGACTTTTGGGATTCCGTATCTGGGCTGGACATACCGAGGCTATATCCATCTTCTCCACGGCCTCGTACTCCACCCTCCTGTATAGCTTCCCCGCCACGTCCCTCATCCCCTCTCTATCCACCCGCATCATGACCGCCAGATCCGCCTTATCCAGATAGCCGAGTATGGCATCTCGAATCTCGCCCAGTTTCCAAGCCTTCTGGCTTGCTCGAAGCTCCGTGCCGGTGGGCAGAGCGGGCGGATAGCCATCTAGCTGGCCGATCCGGTGATTCTGAGGAGGTGTAGAGGTCATTGATTGAGACGAATGAAGAGCAAAGCCAAAGGTTGAAATGAGGAATGAGGAGTTTTGAGTGAGAGATTGTGCGGAGCCAAACTTGAACTGGCTGATATTCGACCTGCCGGCCATAGGAGCTCGTACAGCCTTGACCTCATAGCTGACTGAACGCCGATATACCCCCCTTATATACATCAGAACACTGCAACGTTTCTTGGAGAAGATCCGTCCGCCGCATCGAGCTCGACCCCGCACCGCGCTCGTCCATCACCCTTCCGTGCCCTCCACCGCGGCCCTCAACCCCTCGACATACCGCTCAATCTCCTTGACCCTGCCCTCATTGGCCGCCTCCAGCTGTTTCACAGCGGACTGCACCTTCCTCGCCGAGTCCAGTAACTTCTGCGCCTCCTCAAGCAGTTCCCCATCGCTTACACTCGCCCTTGCAGCCGCCAACTTGAGCGCAGCCCCCGTATAGTCCGATACCGCCTGCTGTATCTGCGGTATCCCCTGCAGCGTCGCCCTTCGCGCATCCGCCTCTATCGCCCCGGCCCATGTTCGCGCCTTTCCCTCGATTCCGCGTACCGGCTGGCCGTTCACCTGGTATTGCAGCGAGCGAACATCGCGAGGTTGCGTTAGGCCGAGTTGAGCAAATGACGCAGTTGCGAGGTGAATCCGGCGTTGGACAGGAGCTCTGCAGAGTCAGCTTTTGTACAAACGATATCAAGCCTGAATGCCTCACTCTCTTAGATACTCCAGATACGACACCTGCTCCTCTGGCGCCCAGCTTAGATCTGTATCCCTCGAGCAGAATTGCGAAACGTATCTGATGGTATTCCAGAGGGATTCGCGGTGCGACGGAAAGGAGATGACCAGCCGGTCCAGCGATCCCCGCTTGTCGAGGGTGTCGCCGGCGAGTAGCGGTCCGGTGACCAATTCCGCTTCTTTCCCGGCGCGCATGTCTATGCAGAGGTCCCGGAGATTCGGCAAGGTGTCCCGAACGATCCCCAGGAGTGCTGCTTGGTCCACCGCGTGTAGAGTATCTCGTCTTCCCCCTCGTCCGCCGCATCCGACTCCTGGTCCCTGCCCTCACTCTCCGTGTCCGACACCTCTTCTCCATCATCGCCGTCCGTGACCAGCGCCTCGTCTCCATCCTCGCCGTCCATGGCCCGCGCCTCGTCTCCATCCTCGCCGTCCATGACCAACGCCTCGTCTCCGCTTCCGCCGTCCGTGACCACCGCCACTTTGCCATCCTCCCCGTCCGTCTCCAACGCCTCGTCTCCAGCACGTTTGCAAGGTGCAGTATCATCCGTGTCCGACCCCTCGTCCCCGTCCGGCTTCCGAGGAGCAAGGCGCACGAGCCAGCTGGCCGGGAGATCGCCTCCGAGATAGGTGTCGCCGAACTGTATGGTCCGTAGGTTCCGACATTTGGCGCGTAGGTGAGGTACGATGAGATCGTATAGACGCCAGTCGTAGTCTTGGAGAAGAGCCCAGAGTTCCACACTGTCGTGCGGGGCGCGTACGTGGAGCAATCGCGCCACCTCCATTTCGGGCGTGAGCTTGAGCGCGGGGTCTTCCTCCTCCTCGTGTATGCGAGCGTCGTTATGGAGGATGTAGCCGATATACATGCGTTGACGATCCTGGTATTCAGCTTAGCTCTCGTACCTCGTCCATCAGCTGAGACAGAGCTAGCAGCGATGACACGCACGTTCGAGCGCTCAATCCTGAATTGCACGTCATCCTGCCTCATCGTCCGGTACAGCACCTTTGCGACGTCCGCCATACCACTCCGTTCCACCCGCATCATCGCCGCCAGCTCCTTCTTCCCCATCAACGCTATAATCTCCTCCCTGATCTCCGCGATTCCATACACCCGCCTGCCTGGCGATGGAATTGCCATCACGGGTTGAGGGGGCGATGAATGCGTGAGATCGATGGGGGAGAGGGGGCGGCGCTTCGCTTGTGGCAAGGTGAGGAACGAATAGCGGTGATGGGTCCGGCCCGTCCTGGACTGCATCGTAATAGTTTGATTGGGTCCTTGGTCATGTGTACGATGTATAGAGCAAAAGAGACGCAGAAGTCACCCGCCAGAAATGCCTCGAGTGTCCAGCTCCACATTCCTCAGCCACGCTCACGTGACCTGGTGCTGCGGCCAAAGAGAAGTGCTGCATCGAACCTAGCAGATCTGCCATTGGGGAACGATACTGATTATCTACAGATGATGCTGAAGACCTCAGGCAGCCCATCTCCCAATTCCGACATATCCCCCTCCGCACCGTCTGATCTCCTCCCCTCGTCCCCTGCCTGACCTCACACTGCCCCCTCCGCCGGCGGCACCTGCTACCCCGCTCCTAGTCATCCATGAGATTAATCGCAGTCGCGTACGATTCCCCTGGTCGCGCCGCCGCCGCGATCGCCGCCCGGACAACTTCTTGTTCTTCCTTAGCCATCAGGCGCGGACGGCCCTCTGTGTCGTATATCACGAAGGCCCTGAGCTCTGAGGGGCGTTCCAAACCCAGCGAGACAAAGTCCACCGTACTGAGGTATTTGCGCGGCTCGTACGGTTGCCTGCAAGTATGAGCTCGGACAGCTTGAATGATGCGGGAGACTCACTTCCTCAACTCATACAAAAGGCCTCTCTGCGCTACACGTCCCCAGTCTCCTAGGTCATCCGCGCCCCCGACGCCTGCGTTCGACAGTCCGATCAGGATGTGGGCCTCTTCATCGCAGATCTGCGAGAGCACCCGGATGATATTGTAGACGTTCCCGTGACTCTCATCGGCGGTGCGGAGGGAGAGCATCTCGAGCGTTTCGCCAGGCTCGAGACACCGATCATGCAGCATGTGCTTGCAATCCGCCTCGGCCGTCTCGATCCCCTTCATAGCAATGTCCAAGGAGCGCAGGCTCCTGAGACTCGACCGTATGATGGAGATCAGTTCCGGTAGATCCGAAAAGGATACCTTGACCCGTTCGTCCGAGTAAGGCCCCCATCTCGGTACGCCGGAGTGACCGAGAGTAAGGAATGTCAGAGACGACCCCATGATGGCAGCGAATGGTCGGAGTTCGGAAAGATCCCAAGGATCAATCCTGGGCGCCTCGATCTCGCAGATCCGGAAGGGGCTCTTGACCGTTTTTTGACGCTCGCATAGGTCTCCGATGAGACGCAGCGATATGGGTAGCTGATCGAAGCGGATGGACTCGTGCAGGCGAGCGAAGTAGGCGGCGGAAAGGAGGGCATCATGCCATTGCCGTACGAGGGCGGGTGGGAGCGGGACTGAGTGGTCATGTCCTTGCGGCGTATCGAGCCAGACGTCATAGAACGGTCGGACGGTGTCTAGGACGCAGGGGAGGTCGAATGGGGGGTATAGAGGTTTATACGAATACGAAGGGTTCCGAGCTCGAGAGGGAGTGGGTGGACCATTTAGGATGCCCAGGTTATGCCCATGGCACCACCATATCTCATCGCCCCCTTCGCCACACACCGCCGAGTAGGCCGGATCGCCCGGACGGTCCGTCTGCGACAAATGGACGATCCGTTGGTCGCTCGTCTCGCTTCTGAGGTCCGAGCGATACCCAAAGTATACCGCACGGAGATTGGGACATTTGGCCCGCAATGGAGTGAGGACGGAGTTGTGGATTTCGGCGTCGTGGCTGTGCACAAATATCCTCCAGCGCGTTAGCCTCCTCCTTTGCTGTACCCTCAAAGTCTCGCAGCCGTTCAGGAACCATCTCCGGCGTGAGCTGCAGAGCGTTGTCCTCGGGGTCACCGTAGCAGTCTCGTTGGGCGTCGATGTAAAGGATCGAGTTGCAATACATCTCTTGCCGGGCCTGGAGGTCAGCTTACTTGTGTGGATTCACAGCACCAGCTTGAGCGTACATTATTTCTTTCCACTCTGTGCTGGACATCATCCTGTCGCATCGAATGGTACAGCATCCTCGCGACGTCCGCCATCCCCGCCTTATCCACCCTCATCATCACCGCCGCATCCCGTCTCTCTGACCACCCAAGAATACATTCCTTCAGCTCGGGGATCTCGTAGACCCGCTGCGCTGCTGTCCGCAAGTCGGTCATGTCGCTGTTGTGGATAGTGATGGTATGGGCAAAGCCAAGGCAAAGCTGTAAGAGGGCAGAGGCGAAACCTCCACCTTCACCAACCATTATTCCGTCGGAAGCAACCATCTCCACCGCCAAAAGGCCCAAGGTCACCACCCCCTATAGTTCTCTCGACTATACATCACCCTCCCCCTATATCTATATCCTATTCGACGTCATCCAGGCTCAAGATGGACGCATTTGGCCTCCCCATGAGCTTCGGCAAAAAGTCCAAGGCCGCCCCGGTCAACATGGCGGCCAAAGTCGAAACTACCAAGCGAGCCGAGGTGGGTCCTGTCTTTGGGCCTTTGCGAAGTCATAGCTAACATCTAGGCTCCGGCTGTGCCAAAAGAAGAAGTCAAGGTCGAGAAGGAGGCGGAAGCTGGACCGTCCAGGCCTCGGTCGCCTGGACCCTCTGTCCCCCAAGCTCAAGATGAGGACGAGGAGGATATCGGACCTATGCCCCCGGCGTCCATCGCAGGCAAGCGGAAAGCCGGAGACGCTACTAAAGCCTCGGACGGAGAAGACGACGAGGAAGAGGATGAGGACGAAGAGGAAGAACCAGACCGGACCCCCATTACCCACGAGATCGTCCTCAAAGACCATACCAAAACCGTCTCGGCCCTCTCGGTCGACCCCTCCGGCTCGCGTATCGCTACCGGCGGGTACGACTACGATGCCAAATTGTGGGACTTTGGGGGTATGGATGCGCGCCTCAAGCCGTTCAAGAGCTGGGAGCCGAATGGGAATTATCTGGTGCGTGATTTGGACTGGAGTAGTGATGGGAAGAGAGTGCTGGTTGTTAGTGGGACGTTTTGGCCCAAGGTGTTTGATAGGGATGGGACGGAGGAGACTGTGTGAGTTGATTAGGGCTCCGGAGGGGTTGGTGCTCGGTTTTGGAGGTGGATAGTTGGCTGATCCTGAAGGCTGGAGTTTCAGAAAGGAGATGTCTATTTGCGGGATATGAAGAATACCAAGTATGTCTTGCTTTTTCAGCTGGGTCTCCCTACTTCTCTGGTAGAGACAGCAGCTGATGGTTCAGAGGACATACAGCTGAGATCAACGCCGGTCGATTCCACCCAACAGACGAGAATCGCTTCCTCACCTGCTCGAATGATTCCACACTGAGGTGAGCTAACTTTTGGGCTTCCAGTCTGCTACCTCTTCACCGGTGTCTGCCTTGGCTCGGTGGCTATCAGGACTAATGGGGCAACGGGGAACCGGGATCGGGCTATAACGACCACAGCTGACCCTCAGAATATGGGACGTCAATGACCGATCCAAGCAAAAACAAGTCATCGTCGTCAAGTCAAAAGAGCGCGGGGCGCGGACCATGGTCTCGACTTGCGCGTGGAGTCACGACGGGAAGCTGATTGCTGGTGGTGAGTTCTGCGCTCACTTTCGGGTTCAAAAGTCATCTCGGGTGGGACCCGTGTCTTGGCGCTGTTCGATATACCATGAGAGAAAGGGGTAAGAAATCTTAGGAAGGGCGAGCCGCGGCGAAAGGGGTGGCTCAAGATTCTGGATGCAGGCTGACATCTCAGCATGCACGGACGGAACCCTTCATATCTGGTCAACCAACTCCAACCTCGCTCGGCCAGATAAGAGCTGCGAGACGGCGCATGAAAAAGGCAGCCGGACGAGCGGGGTTGTGTTTGCGCGAGATGGGCGGAGGCTGGCTACGAGGGGAGGGGACGATACTGTCAAGTGTGAGTCTTTCATCAAGCGCCTCGGCTTGATTTGTGTGGATCGCGCCAGATCGGACAGTTTCCGGGATCCTGGGGAGCACGAAATACTGAATAATGCAAAGTGGCCCAGCTGACTCGCAGTATGGGACATCCGATCCATGCGTAAACCCCTAGCAGTCGCCACAGGCCTCGAAAATCGATATTCCGAAACCAACCTGATCTTCTCGCCGGACGAACGGTCGATCCTTACGGGTGTTCCGCCGCCCAAGGCGAAGGCTGAAGTTGGATCTGGCGCTGGGTCAGGCACAGGTATAGGTGGAAAAGGGTCGGTGGTGTTTTTGAATGGGGAGACGTTGGCGGAGGAGAGGAGGGTTGTTATTGGGGATGGGGCGGTGGTTAGGATTTTGTGGCATTCGAGGATAAACCAGGTGAGTTTCTGTCGGGTTTGGTGAGGATGAGCGGAAGACTGCGAGGTCAAGGTCAAGGTCGGGATCAAGATCTGTCCGGTCGGATGGAGGAATTGGGGACGGGGATGGGGAAGTTGGACGAGGTCAACGTCAGAAGTGAAAAAGCACGGATAGAGTCGCAAGCAAGCAATGCAAAAAAACGACGCAAAGCTAATTCTCAGCTCTTCGCCACCACCTCCAAAGGCGCCCTGCACATCCTCTACTCTCCCCATTCCTCAACGCACGGCGCCCTTCTCCCTCTATCCAAACTCCCCAAATCCGGTCCCCGGGACCCGGGCTACTCATCCGCCGATATCCAACCCGTCATCTTCAACCCGGACGCGCTCCCGCAATTCGCCGACCAAAAGTACGGCGAGTCGCTCCATCAGCGCGATAAGCGCGCCAAGCGGATGAAGCCGATGGAGCCTGTGCAAGGGGTGGGCAAAGGCGGACGGTTGGGCGCGAGTGCGATGCAGGGGTTGGTGCATAGTCTGTATCCGAATGAGGTGAGGTTTGAGGATCCGAGAGAGGCGTTATTGAGGTTTGCGGATAAGGAGAAGGAGGGGGAGGGGGAAGGGGAGGGTGGAGAAGAGTGAGTTATGGAGGTAAGAGAGAGAGAGGGGGCGGGTCAGTATCTGTAGAGAATGTACTATGTATTGCGCTTTGTCAATCCGAGCCGAGCTATCATGACGCAAGGATACTGCTCTGCGCAGGCTGGTCAGCGGCACAGTTAGTATCAAACCGGACATACTCCCGCTCGCGCCCCAAGTCCAGTCAAGTCCTGCATACAGAAACAGCTATGTGCCGTCCTATATCATTTTCTCGGGTCCCCCCCGCCCTTTCCCTAACGCCCCGACGCCTCAACTCCCCGCATCTGCTCCTCCCCTTCCCATCTCACCATCCATCATCCCTCTTTTCACCACCTCCACCGCATCCTCTATGGTATTTCTCCGCCACACCCCTGCTCCTAGCCGCCAGTCCCCATGCGCCCGCAACGCCATCGCCCGCAACGCCCGCCGCGCCGCTTACAACGCCGAGGCACCGGTAATAATATCGATAAGCTCGGTGGTAATGACGGCTTGACGACCTCTGTTGTACTGGAGCTGGAGGGAGCCAATCATGTCGAGTGCGTTCTGCAGGTCAGCCAAGTCCCAGCGTTAAATCGCAGAAACAAGAGCGATACCCAAACGCATATAGCCACCCTCGTCGACATCGCAGCGACAATCCACCGTAGACCGTAGGGAACCGCAGCAAGTATAAGTGAAAGTCAACTCACGTTGGACGCATTCTCCATAGCCGTCCGCCTGGCCGAAATCTCGGCCGCATGCCCCTCGACCAAAGCCGTGTAGATCGCATTCGCGAGGGCAAACTCGGCGAGATCATTGCTGGAATCCTCCTCCATCTCGTACGCCTGGAACCCGGCCGCCTGGCGGAGCGCAGCGGCGGTGATGACTGTGTTGACGGCGGGTTCGTAAGCGATCGCAGAGACGTATTTGTTGTAGACGAGGCGGATCTGCGAGAGGTCAACTCACGAGCGCAAAGCGAGTGAGCTGGGCCGAGCAGAGCATCTCTCCCCCGAGCGGAGCGAGAATCTCTCCCCCGAGCGATAGCGAGAATCTCCTTTTCCTGCGCGCAACTCTCTCTCTCTAACCTAAAAAACAAAAAACCCACCTCGTCAAAGTCCCCCCCGTTCTTCATAATCCCATCGGCAATAACGCTCGCCTCTGCAAACGTCGGCACGTCCTTCCCGACGCCCCCAAACGTCACCTTGAACGTCTCTGGCATGGCCCGTGACAGCTGCGCGCGGGGCTTATCGCCCACGACGGCGAGATCACCAGCCTGCTTGGCCTGCTCGCGCTTGACCATGCGGGTGATGCCCGAGTGGATACCGCCGCAGAGACCGCCGTCGGATGTCATGGCGAGGTAAAGGATCTTGGGGGTACCCTCGGAAGAAGAATCCCCCTTGGAGTTGGTGAAGATTTCGTTGTTGGCCGCTCCGTATTTCTTGGCTTCGCGCATGGCGCGCTCGGCGCGGGTGAGCTTGGTGGAGGCGACGACTTTCATGGACTGGGGGTTAGCGGTGGTTGGCAGGGGAGGGAAGGGTAGGGGAGAGGTGAGGGGGGAAGGGAGGAGATGGGTAAGATGGGTAGGGTAGGGTATGATATGGTATGGTATGATTTAGGTATGGCTGGGTATGTCTTTTCCCATAGGACCACTCCGCTCCTTCCCATGCACCATGGGCCCTAACCAAGCTTCTTTTCTCCAAAGCCCAACTCCGACTCGGCTCTCCTCTCGCCCAGATTCTTCTCTACACCCCACTCCACCTTCGCCTCTTACTCCTACTCCTCCTCCTTTTTTCCCATTCACTCTCCATCATCCCCCATGCTCCTTCTCCGCCTTTGACCTTTAACCTCTGACCCCAACTCACCTTGGTAATCTTCTCGATATTCCTCACACTCTTCAACCTCTGCTCGATTTCTTTCAGCGTCGCCATCCCCATCGTCTGCTGTTGGACAGCGGGACGAGCAAGAAGGGCTGCGGCGGGTCGGATAGTGCGTGAGAGCATCGTGGTACGTTTAGGGTATAGGGTGTAGAGTCTAGCTGCAAGTAGATAGGGGTAATCTCGGACCAGGGAAGGGCAGAGTGAGCCAAGTGCCACACTCGGGGAAAGCCGGGAAAGCCCGCTTCAGCTAAAAGGGGGGGACTGGATAGATGACCCGCCTCCACCCTCAGCGACCTTTGTTCGACTCGACTATAGACTACCTACACCCTATACTTACTACTTATAAAGCTATACAGCTACTCCAGCTGCACCAACTGTAGCACAGCACACCCAATATCCAAGAAGAAAGAGCTATCGAAAGTATGTCAGCTGATTCTTTCGGAGCTCCGGCCAGAGACCCAGCTAACTCCCCAGTGGCGGACCCCGAAGTCGACCTTTTCGCAGGCATGAAGAAGAAGAAGAAGAAGGTCGCAGCTGTAGACCCGGCGGACGCAGAGACGACAGCGGGAGCAGCGCCTACGCCTACGGGGGAGGTATCGCGTCCAGCCGGACAGAATGCGTTTGGGAATGATGAGGAGCCAGAGGCGGCCCCTGCTGCTGCTCCGGCCGCAGAGGAGGCGGGGGTGTCTGCCCCAGCGGACGGCGAGGATCTGTTTGCGGATATGAAGAAGAAGAAGAAGAAGCCCAAGAAGGAGATCCCGGCTGATCTGGTATGTTATGTTCCCCTTTTCCGGAGAGGGGAGGAATGTGTAGCTGATCAATCAGGGGTCAGAAGTCACGCCCGCAGGCGTAGACGGTCTGGAGAAGAAGAAGAAGTCGTCCAAGAAGACAGCGTCGGACTTTGCCAAGGAGCTCGGGGAGATGGAGGATGAGCAGCAGGGGCAGGGGCAGGGGCAGGGGGATGATGACGCACAAGCGGGTGCGGGTGGGGAGGGAGATGGGGCGGAGGAGGACGGTGGAGTGGATGGGGATGAGGAGGATGGGGAGGGGGAGGATGGGGTGGGGGCGTGGGTCAAGGAAGGGAGGGAGGCGACGTATCCCGAGGTGAGTAAAGGTTGGATGGGTGGTAGTAAAGGTTGGATGGGTGGTTCGGCGGGGTTGGGGTAGGGTCGGGCTAGGGTTGGGCCGGGTCGGTAGTGAGAAAGAGAGGAGGGGGAGGGAGTATGGCGAGAGGGAGTGGGCTTTAGGTGGGGAGACGGGATGAGCTTTCGGATTTACCCTACATCATCATAATCCCACTGTTCCCACATATTCCCTACATCATCAATATCCTTCTACGCCCTCAATCCGTCAATCTCTCTCTACTGGTCATATCTCCTCATCCCGCTCCCTAGCTGTCCCCCGCTGACCCGCAGCTCCTCCGCCGCTTCTTTTTCCTCCTGCACCAACACAACCCCGAGCTCGCCGGCGAGAAGCGCCGATACACCATCGTGCCCCCGCAAGTCGCGCGCGAGGGCACGAAAAAGACCATGTTCTCCAACCTGTCGGATATTTGCCGTAGGATGCACCGGCACCCGGAGCACATGATTCAGTTCTTGTATTCGGAACTGGGGACGCAGGGGAGTGTGGATGGGAATGGGAGGTTGATTATGAAGGGGAGATATACGCAGAAACAGATTGAGAGTGTGTTGAGGAAGTATATTGGTGAGTCCCCGTCTAGGTTTGGGTTGTGTTGAGCTTGGAGGGCATGGGAATGGGAGGGGCGTGGAGATGATGTTGGGGATGAAGGCCCGAGATTGTCCAGATGGATGGAAGTGAGGCGAGACGAGGTGGACTAGGAGATGGGACGGAATGTTTAGCTGGGAGAATACCCAAGGCGGGAGCTCAATCCTATTTTATCCCTCCCTTCCCAGACTAAGCTATCGCTCCTCGCCCTTCTTCCAGATCCCTCTCATCTTGATCATACCCACCCTCGCGGAGCCATCGCTAACCCCATAGTCGAATACGTCACCTGCAAGATCTGTAAATCGCCCGATACACTCCTCAGCAAAGAGAACCGACTGGATTTCGTCACGTGCGAATCATGCGGGTCTAGTGAGTTTGGCTTTTATTACTTGCCTTCCGATCTACCTGCTTGCCGACTACCCTGGTCGAGGTGGATGTGGACACGGAGATTGTAGACATGGCTGATCCTCCAGGACGCTCGGTGTCCGCCATCAAGGCTGGTTATCAAGCCCAGATTGGGAAACGTATCAAGGCTGCTTGATCGCCCTCGACGCCAGCGGAGACAAGGCTCGGGTGGGGATGTCAGAGTATACCGGTTTGCGGGTATTTTTGTATCATATCATGCATAGCTACGAGTATCGAGTGAAGTGATTGGCTGGATGTCATTCCTCAACTCGCACTGATCTTACTACTTACCCAGCGCCTTGATACTAAAGCCTCATGACCGTGGCCGGCCCGCTCTGACCGACGATGGAGTGATGGAGTCTACCGCCATGGCTGATACCCCTCTTCAAGGCAGGTAATCAAGCCCAGATCGGGAAACTGAACAAGGCGGCTTGATCTTCCTCGATGGAGACAAGGACAAGTGGGGCCGATGGGGGGCAGTCAGGGTATACCAGTTGGGTCTTCTTGTATCATATCAAGCATGGCCACGAGTATCGAGGTGGCAGCTCGGTGGAATTCCCCATCCCACGGCCTGTACAGAGTACTGATACTCGCCACCTCGTTATTTTCCCCTTTCCGCGAACCTCCTTGCTCACGCTTCATGGAGCAGTCTACAGCTGGCTAACGCACATCAGGGTGAGCGGCTGCGGATAAGATGTGGCAGGGTAGCGTCAGGCAGATGGTCGCAAGGCGGCAGTAAAGATTTCTGTGTTCATTATACACAATTGGAAGTACAGCAAGGAGGTTCTCGACTCGTTTCTAGCCAGAGCAGTAAATACCCCGCATCCCCTGCTCCCCCGCCTCACCATTTGACCGCACCCCGAATGCCTTGATCTTTGAACTTCTTGGCCATGAGCGCCATCGTCTCGTACATGCCCCGCATGAAGTTTCGGTCCTGGACCATGCTTGAAGACAAGTGTAACGTCAAGCGCGTGTTGTCTGCGCTGTTGCGATAATCTGTGCGCATGACCGCTCCCTCAGGCCCTTTCTGTCCTCCGCTCGACTTGCCTTGTTAGACAGGGCGAGGTTCCACTGCGACTCCGTCCAGGCCGCTTGATTGTCATTCCTTGGGAAACCCCTCCGGAGCATGGCCTGGAACTCATCGGCAGATTGAGGTCCAAGCTCGTCGAAGATTTGGTCTCTGAGCTCTTCAGGTAGACGAAAGAGATGGCCTGCCGTACCATCACTTTGGGTGGCGACACCACTGGTATCGGGATTGGGGCTGAATGGCGCATCCCCGTCGGCGTCGCTGACGGGAGAATCAGAGGAATGAGTGACGGACATGTCAAAGTATGAGTATATGATGGTCGAGAGACACAGGGCGGGATGCGAGTCAGATGGAGCGTACGCTTCGTCGGTAAGCTCGGGTGGAATGCGAGGAGGATGAAGTACAAAATGCTCAGGCTCTCGTTGGGAGCGAAGGAGACATAAGATTGCTTTCTCCTTGACGATCCTTTCGGGATCGATCTTGGACTATCATCAGCACTTGAAGGTAGAGACAGCGAGAGCTTCCAGCATGTTCGATGAGGCTGTTTTTTGGAGCCGGACATGGACATCCGCATAAAGCCCGAGCTCAGACCCATCTAGGAACGCTGCCTTATAGCTTGCGCAATTTTACGCGAGCCACGCCTGGCCACTCGATCCTTCGGTCTCACTGCTGACTCTGTTCCGGACGTTGTGGGCCCTTTCCCCGCCACTCATTTCGATCAATGGACTCTCCGTTGATTCCTAGTAGCTTTCAAGTGAGAGAGTCAAGCCTCCGAGAATCGTATCACGCGCCCGTTCTCTCTTGACTAGCAATCCTTTCAGTACTCCCAAACGGGAAATAGAGATCGGAGCGTTCCAGCATGTTCTTCACCTGATCGCTTTGTGAAGAGCCTGTCCCGGTGTGGTTCCGCTGCGTAAAGAGTCGTCTGATCGCATCGATCATACTGATCATAGATTGACTCTACCATTGCGACTGGGTTCATACCGTTCTCACAGCATCAGGTCTCCGCCGACCTCTACATGCCAGCTACTCACAACCTTCTCCCCTGTAGTCAAATCCTAAGCGGAATCCCAACCCCTTCTTCTTGAGTCGGTTCCCCGTCACATTGAAGCTCTCCTTCAGGCCGTTGGACAAACCACGATGTCTCTTCAATCTCGACTTGTCCGTCACGTGGGCGATAAAATTTCCCCGGGCAGGCACGGGTCCGGTATTCTTGAAGCCCACGGCATATCTGGATATGTCTTCGAGGAACAACCGGACCTGCCAGTCGGTCGCAGCTGTCGGTAGCGGTGGGACGTACCAGTGCGTATTGATCACACCGGAGAGTTCACTTCCGTTCTCGTACCGAGGTGGCTTTTCCGAGTATACCGAGAGCTTAGGCCAGGATGGTAGATCGTCCAGCCATGCCGTATGGTCCGGATGAGGGTAGTGGTGGAATTGCACTCGATCGCCGGTGAGGCTCTTCCAGTCCACACTGCCCAGATCGCCCGGGCGTGCTGATCGAGCTCGATTGTTTCTGTTCCGCTGTACTTTGTGATCGGACCATAAGATCCCGACATGCGCCACTTTTGAGAGGAGGGAAGAGTCGTGGTGGCTCAGCGTGAAGAAAGCGGTAATGAGATCCCTCAGGGCCGGGCGATCTCGATACTCGGGGACCAGTATGATAGTCATGTCATTGACTGACTCGGCGTCGAGCTTGTTGGACTTGATTGCCTCAATGGCGGTGTTCCGCGTATCGTCGTCAGTCATGTAGGCGACCAGGTCGACATCACTCTTCACCCCAAGAATCCGACGCACGCTGGCCTCGTTGAGCGAGAACGAGCGCGCAACGGGAGGGTAGTCCTTTGAAATGTTTCTGTATCTCTGTCGGGGTCAGCTGTCGAGCGTAGAGTATATCTTGCCATGTGCAACAACGGTACCGACAACACACCCACCGAATGATACATCGATTGGGCTAGGCAAGACCGATCAAAAACTCACTTTGCTGGTGCAAATCAAGCTTCGCTGCGATACAGACCACAAAGTCGGCTTGTTGCGCGGATCCTTCTCCTCAGACTCAGCCCACGACGACAGTTCATTTTCCGATCGAAGCAGTCGCTCAAAATACGCTGGAGACCCGACGGGGGAAATCCAGTTGAAAACTTGTGTCACTAGCTCAACGGGTAGATCATCGAGCGATGTCCCTGCGAGATCCATGTATCTTTCTCCGGCGAGTCGGGTGGCGAAAGTTGGATCAGTCACGTCAGTCATGGGATCGTCCATCGCGGGGAAGGGCGCAAGAGTGCTCATAGTGGCGCCGAGGATTGATTGCCGAAGATGCAGGCTCGGAAGGCGGCAGAAGGTGATGTTCGAGGCTTGCGCCAGAGAGGAATAATATGTACGATTCAGACATGTGCGTCCCCTGCTCGTCCACATGATACCTGCCCGTGCTGCGAGTGGGCAATTTAAGCCATCCTTTGACAGTCTGCGCCTGTACTGAGGATTTTAAAGGAGAAAGACTCCTTGTCCCTGGGCACAATGTGGGCAAATGTGTAGCAGTCTGCACCTCTCAGGGCGCCCCCAACGATCTACCAGAAGGCATACGTCCCGCACCAGCACCTTTGATTTTGGGCACTGCCATGTTAAGTTTTCAAGAGCAGACTGGGGATGCATCTGACTCGATATGACCTCCTTATATATCCCAGTCTTGAACTTCCTACAGAAGTTCCTACGAGTTCCTACGAGTCCCTACAAGTCCCTACGAGTTCCTACGAGTTCCTACAAGTTCCTACGAGTTCCTACACGAGTCCCTACGAGTTCCTACGAGTTCCTACAATCCCTATTGTAGGACTTCCTATGTAGCAACTCCTATGTAGGACTTCCTACAGTTCCTACATAGCCTCCATGGTCCATTTGCACTGCCACACTTGGTCCGCCACATTGACCTGCCATACAGCCCCTGCAGTACGGCATGGGATCTCGCCACTCAGGCGTCGCATTCTCTATACTGTAGGTGCGCCTACTCTGTCCCGTGTAGGAGTTCCTACGCGGTACCGAGCTCGGTTCCGAGTAGCCTCGCTGCCGGGATCGCTCCCGCTGAGACGTCGTATTCCTAACATGCCAGCCCCAGGCTTGAGTCTCGTCAACAGGCATCACACCTGCTCGACCAGTCCGTCATGGATATTACATAGTAAGATGCATACGTCTACCTGAGAGTTCACAGGGCGGCTGCAGGCGTCCGGCCCAAGAGCTAGCTCCCGTCGATATATACGACACTGAACACCAAACCTTTGTCTTTGAATCTCTTCGTCATAATTCTCGTCTGCTTCTTGAGCTCGGACACGAATCCCGTATGACCCAGCACGTCGCTCGGCATGAGGACCTCAAACTTCCCACTAGCAGTGTGGCGGGTGGTGATGAGACCGTGACCAAGTACCTTGAAGGCGTCAAAGTAGGCGTTCACATCAAAGCCTGGCGAGTCCGTGTCCGGGGCAGATAGATCCCAAATCACGTGAGTCTTGCCGTCTGGCAGTGTAGCACCCCTGGTGTCAAAGCGAGGCACCCCATCGGTGTGTACCGTGAATTCCGAGCTGGTCGGCAGGCCGTCGAGATAGACGGTCTCGTTCGGACGGGGCTTGTAGTGAAGTTTTAGGCCACGAAGATGCGACCAGTCAACGCGCTGCGGAGTCGGCCCAATGGGTGTGAGCATGCGGATGGAGTCTGGCTCGATTCTCGTCTCAGAGGGTGAGATAGCGACCGCTTGCCAGTTTGAGCAGACGCTCGAGTCTTCGGCCTTCAGGGAGAGAACAAACTTGATGAGTTCTTGAAGTGCGGGATCAGCACGATAGTCCCGGATCAGCAAGATGGGCTTGTCGTTCTCGGCGCTGGCCAAGAGTCGTTTCTTGCACGCGTCTCTGCGGGTGGCAAAACTGGCAGCAATGTCCGCATCATCACTGAGGCGCAGGATGCGTCGCATCGTCATGTTGTCGAGTGTGAAGCAGTCTGGGTTTGGATCGAAATCCGTATGGAACTTGTACAGAGCCTATATGGTGAGCGTCGCCGGAGGATGAGGCACTATTACAAAGCACAAGTCATCGACAGTCGCCGACTTACCTTGTTCGATAGGGAAAACTTTCTGCGCGATATGGACCACGTCTTGACGCTTGGCCCGTCGGGACTGCTCAGTAGCGTGTTAAAGTCGACGTTGGTCTCGATGCCGGGAAGCGCTCGAAAAACACGACTCCTCACCTCGGCAGGAAGGTTCTCGAAACACGTGCCCTCCTGGGTGGCGGTAGGAACAGCATCGGTGAGGAGTGTCGCCACTGATGGATCGGGTGGCGTGTAGCGTTCGGGGTCAGACATGTTCCGCGTGTGACTGGTGTCTTTGTGCAGTTGTGACTTGGGTGGCTGGAAATGATTATCAGTTGTGTATAGCGAAGAAATAAGGCGGCTGTAAGCTAAGACCGCCTAGCTTTTCAGATCGAATAAGAGGAGGATGAGGGGAGTATTAGGGCACCAGGACGCAGGCTCACATCACGCCATTGAGAGCACATGTGACCGTCCTTTCATGCGCAGCCTGAAGTATCCTCGCACTAGACGCTTCGATGATAGCTGAGTATGGCACTTTCAGCGACTTAGAAAGCGCACGCTACTGAGCGTGTAGTCAGCCAAGCGGCAAGGATCTGGAGCCGTTTCGGGCTGGAGTCTCTCTTCCGGGCGCAGGCGCCGACAAGGCCCATAAGTCGCAGCTGAAGCAAACATTAGTGGGGTTGGGCTATTGCGGAGCGAATTCTGCCCCGAAGTGAGCTCAGTCATAGCTTGAAACAGTCCGAGGTGCTTGTCTTTGGCGAAGCTGAAAGGAAAGCCACGTGGATAGCCACCAGCTCAGCCTAGATAGAAGCTCGTGGCACTGGTCGGTGGTACGTGATCGAACAATGGCATCCGACTCCATTCCAGGCGGGTACTCAAGGGTCACAAGGCATCTTCCTATACACACTTATTCCTCGTACTGACTGACACCGTCTAATGGCCACCGTCAACGTCCCAGACCTCGAAGTTGAAGCCCTTGCGCTTGAACCTTTTCCTCGTCGTATCCATCTTGCTCTCCAGCTCCTTCCAGAAGACTGCATCGGCTCTCGCGCTTCTCGGCAAATGAAGCACAAAGCTTGATCCCTTGACACTGTCCTTGTCCGTGACCATGCCTTGTCCGAAGCTGTTCATGTCTCGTAGGTAATCTTCGAGATCTCGGCCGCGCACACTAGTATCCGGTTCAGGGGGGTAGCAATGCACGATGCTTTTGCCGGCAGGAAAAGGGTACCCATTCTGGAATTTGGGGAGATGGGCGCTACGGGTGTGAATGGTCAGTTTCTCAGTCGGAAGGTCGTCCAGCCACGCTACGCTGCAATCTACGGGCGGAATGTAGTGGAACTCCAGAGGGTCTCCGGTGAGGCTGGTCCAGTCAATGGGACCGGTCAGTCGAAGCCGGTGAGGTGAAGTCCTCGCTTCCGTGTACTGCTGGTTGGACGCCTTGGAGCCGAAAATGAAAACCTTCTGGAGATTCGGCAGGACTTGGGAGTCCCCAGTCTTCAGGTCGAGGAGAGCCGTGATGAGTCTTCGCAGAGCAGGATCGGCGCGGTAATCGTCAGTCAAAGCGATGGAGCGGCTGTTGTACTCGCTGTTCTTCAGGCTGCTGCTTGCGGCGTGGGGGTCCGTGATCAAGTGTTGCAACAGGTTTTCCGGCGGTACGCTCATGATGCGGGAAAGGAGGGTGGCGGTGAAGGGGAAGAACACCGGCTGGGCCTTTGTGTCCCTGAACGTGTTGCCAAACCACTGCACTGATCAGACATAGATCTATACAGACCGGAATGTTACGCTAGCGTGTTTCAAAGCTATCCGGCCTGGAGTGAATGACCTACGAGACGAGAATCAGCGAACGATCGCTGTGAGGCAGTCCATGGTCTATCGCCATCCCCATCGTCCGTGGGCATGCCCGCTTCGAGCGCACTCCGGATCTCCCTGTGAGTCAGATGAGTACCGAGTTCGTGAAATACAGGAATCAGAAGCTCATTTGGCAGGTTGAAGAGCCCGACGGGCAACTGATCCTCGACATCATTGAGATCTTCGGGAGTGGCGAGACTTCCAGGAGACAGCAAATTTCGGGCGATGAGCACGGGGCTTGTGAGGGGGTTGAAGTCTGACATGAGAGTAGGTGAAATATGGCAAGTATGATTGAGTGGAGTAACAGACAGGTAACCAGGATAAGGTACAAAGCGATGAGCCCTCCCTTAGGAGTGAGAAGCACATTACGATCGCTGGGTTCCTGTCAGAGAGCCAATCCTTTCAGGCAGGTAGTGCCACACATGCGATCACCCGTTTGGGCAACGATGACCAATGTGGCACCTTTTGGACCTCCTCGAGTACTGTCTCGTCCGCCACTTTGAAACAGTCTTTGCATACATCATCAAGCACTGGGCGCAAACTCAGCACCTCCCCTCCCCCTCCCTGCCCTTATAATCAGATCGACAGTACGTCATACAATACGCCCAGACCCCCAGTACGTCATACAATACGCCCAGACCCCAAAAGCTCAAGTCACCTAACACCCAATTACCATTTCACCCGCCCTAAGCCATACCCCTTCGAACCGCTCAGACAGAGTACCTAAAGTCCTGGTTCTGAAGGTCCGTCATATCGTCGAAAGCTAAATGAAGTAAGCTTGGACCTATCCGCTCCGGCCACAAGGGGGACCTACCCTTGGAGTGATTGTTCTCGAGACCCTGGTCCAAGAGATCCTTCTCGCGCTTAGCGTTTCGCCGGGTAAGCATGACACGCATCCAGACGAGGTTGGCGATGAAGAGCCCGTAGATTCCGAGGTGAATGTAGAGGGAGTTGTAGTATCGCGGTTTCCAGGCGGCTTGGAAGATCTAGAGAGTCAGAGTGTGCCCCGGCGAGGAATCAGAAGGGGGCTGTGGTATGGCTCACTTGTGGTCCGATGGCATTACCGACTGCCCAAGCGACGACTGGAGATGATTAGCCGATGTCCCAAGACTAGATTTGAGCGGGACTCACAGAAGGCAGCGTAGACGATGGATTTCTTGGTCTGCCCAGCGACGTTCCGAGACAGCATGACGTACATCGAGGGGTGGCAGGATTGCTATAGACAATCAGCGCTTGTAAGGGTCCGCGAGCTGGAGCTGCACACTTACGAAGCATTGCATGACGTAGAACTAGCGGTCAGCTGGAGTCAAATAATGTGCGAGCAGGTGCAGCCAGACTTACAGCGATGAGTAGGCCTATGCGGGTGCTTTCGGTAGGCGCGACGGTCAAGAGGACGACGGTACCGATGATGTTGGTGCATGTGTAGCCAATCATGACGTAGATGGTGTTCTTGTACCTGTTCCCCAGGAATCTGGACAGTCAGCTGGGTGCTTGTCAGAAGGGACGGTGAGGTAGAGCAAGACTGACGCAGCCAGGAAGTAGAGGCAGACCTGGAAGATGGAGAGTGGGATCGAGACGAGAAGAGACGTCTTGACCTAAAGCACGATCAGCAGTGTACTCGATTCAAAAGTGTCAGCCACTCACGTCAAAGCCGAAGGCACCGTTGATGAGAATAGAGTTGAAGGTGTTGAAACCGCCGACAACGAGGGTCTGGAGGAAGATCATGATGCAAAGTGACCATGTGAGGGGGTCGGTCCAAGACTCGCGTGCCTGATCCTTCTTGAATACCTTTTGCTTGATGCCTTGGTCGTTGGCTCGGACGCGCTCGACAAAGAGGATCTTGTCGGAAGGCGAGGCGAATCGAGCTTGAGCGACAGTGTCCGGAATGCCCCAAAGGCAGATGGCTGAGCGTCTATCAGCTTTGGTTCGAGTGGGGAGCAAGTACAAGAAGACTCACCCGAAGCTGCAAGAGAGATGATGGCGATCACGACGGTCATGATCTGCCAGCCGCGCAGGGGGTTGGCGCCGAGTACGTGGTAAAAGCCGTAGCCGAGGAGATTGGCCGTCACGCCGGCGACGGCGAACATGGCGGTCCAGATGGTGGTGATGTAGGTTTGCTCGTCTACGGTGAACCATTGGACGGTGACTAAGGGGTCAGCCAATCATCGTATCCTCACATGCAGGTCGGACTTACTGGCCATAAGACAAGGGGAGAAACTGGTTGTAAGCGGCAGACCGGGAAAAGCTGAAATCTGTACACACCTGGATTCGAAGAACCCAAGGAGGAAGCGGATGGCGAGCACGGGAGGGATACTGAGCGCGAATGCCAGACCGACGACGAGCTATTTGTCATCAGCGCCAGATATGCTACGCTTGTTCAAGTGACTCACGAGAGACCAGACGACCATGGAGCCACCGAGGACCTTGGCTACGGGGTACTTCCGGATACACTGGTTGACCTGTATCTGTCAGTGGAGATTCGGCTTATCATGACTGCTCGACGTACCAGGGGCTCCCCGACGATGATACCGATCCTAAGCGTCAGCCGAGTCTTGTGACAGTTAGGCGGACATACCAGAGCATGGTGGAGGTCAAAGCATAGTCTGCCAGAATTAGCACCGCTCATGATTTGGAGCCGGTCGGAAGACGTACCTTGACCTTGCGCATTGACATCCTGTATCCAGCCCATGATGGAGGACGTCCCCAGCGTTCCCTTGTCCAGACTCTGGGTCACGTAGGCAATACACATGATGGGCAGCAGCCTAAACTGTATCAGCGCCTCTCAGGTACAAATACCATATCACTCACTTCTTGTAGATGATCTTCCTCAACCGTAGATTCTCCTCAGGCGAGATGGTGACCGTAGGATCAACAAATTCAGCCGCCACCGCGTCCTCCACCTGAACCTGGGCATGCTCGGTCTTGTTGTATTCGAGATTACCAGAATCGCCCCGCTCCAGATGGGCAATGTCGGCTTTGTTGTCGATGTTGGTGGACATGGTGGAATGTCGATGAGGGGTAAGAGTATTGTGAGGAGGGTCAAGGGGAGTGCGGACCGCGCCTGGCCATCTTATGAGATTTGGTTCGAGTGATCTGCTGAAGGAGAATAAGCATAGCATCGCAGATCAGCTGGTCAGAGCGGTCCGGCGCAGCGGTGGATATCCGCGCCCACGGTCCGGGCATGCCAAGTCAGTCTTGGGAGCGGCCCGTAGCGGACCGCATGCGGCGTATCAGCAAGTATGCAAGCATGTCAGCTGTGTCAAGTGGAGGGGAGAAGGGTTGTTCGCTGTGCCCAGGTCGGGTGTATGATACCCATTTCATCTATACCGCGGCGGAGCTACCCCGGAAAAGTCTCCGGACCCGGCGCGGAGACCCCTTGGCGGACTTGGCACACCAGGCACGATGCACATATGTGGCACCTCTGCAAGTGCCACTTTCATATCATTCGCCACCCGGTGATGGCCGCGTGTTTCATGTTTTCCCCTCGTTCCTGCATGGTCGAGCTTCCCCTTGTTTTCCCCTGACGTTTCATCCTTCGGCTAGTCAACCTTGTCACACCCAAAGCACACAATGTTCACCAAGCAAGAGGAGGCGGCAGCGAGTAGTAGGAGGAATGCATCTCATACAGCTTACCCATCTGTCAGTGCTACTCATATCTCAGGAAGACCGACCACGCGGAAGACAGCCTGTCGACGACGAGGCGTCCTTTCCACACAGATCGCATCCCTTTCGCGGCGCCAATCCAACGACCACGCTCGGGCCTCATCAACTTAGCTTGACAACATCTTCTCGAACGCCAGCTGCTACTCTACCATCAGCCGATATCGTCTACCAACTACATCTAGCCACATCTACAGGTGCTTCTAGCTGCTTGACGGATCTCGACAAACCAGCGCTAGCAATCCCGCAAATCACTCAACACGAACCATCTCCACATCTTGACGATGCCCTCCATCTTCCACCGATCGACCTCAAAACGGAATGTCAAGGCTGGCGGGCTGGTCATTAGCGAGCCGAGGGGAGTAGTCCATGCCGCTACGCTAGGAGGTGGTCATACGGGAAAGTATATCCAGGAATCAAGCGGGGAAGTAAGGGAATTCGGCGCACTGCCCTCGGGAGCAGTCGGTGCTCGGTATGTCTCGTCAGCACACCACTCTGTCCTGTACTAATCCGCAGTCATCTCACCCTTGCATCCCCTCCATCGTCCCCACACCCCTCCTCCTCAACGCACACACAACCTCCCGCACCGCCCGGCAAATACACCTTTCTCCCCACTTATCTCCCACCCCATACCTCATCCGATAATTCCATCGATAGCACGCACTACTCGGACCCCGACATACCCGGACAGAGGGAGTATGGCTATCTCGGCGGAGTGGGCGGGAAGGTCGTACTGGGGCTGGATGATGTCAAGGCGGTAGTGGTGGATGTGGCGAGGGAGCTGGAGGGTAGGGGCGTGGCGACTATCTTGCTGTTCAGTAGCGGGGCGTTGGAGGGGAATATGGCGCGGGCGAGGTTGCTGGTTCAGGCGTATGTGGATATGCTATCGTGAGTTGTTCACTGAGCGAGGCTAGGAGAGTGAGACGCTGAGGGGAGAGGATGGCGGCAATGTGACGCTGTGTTGGGGCTCAAGCTGACTGCTTCAGCTCAAGCTACCGTCCAGAAGCGTCATCCTCTCAATCCAAGTCGTTCTCGCACGATCTACAATACGCCAAAGAGCACGAATTGGCGTGGTTCCTGCGCTGGGCGCTATCCCGGATTGCTAGGCGGAAAGAAGGGACGCGCGAGATCTCAAGGGGTATCATCGAGTGGGAAGTATACGAAGAATGGCGCGGGAGAGAACGAGGTGAGCTGCGTGCACCCTGGTTTATCAACTATCGTTGATCATGAGCTGATACCCTAGCCGCAAGCTACCCAACCGACGCCTTTCCCTACCTCTCCGCCCTCTTTCCTTCCTCCGCCTACTCGCTCCTCCAACCCCTGTTCCACCTCCTGTCCCGCCTCGCCGCCCACTCCCATCTATCCGGCCTGACCCCACACGCCCTGTCCTCCCTCTTCGCCCCACTCCTCTTCGACGTTCCCGTTCATTCTCCCGCTCTGGCCAGCCACACCGCCTTTGTCCGCGCCGCCTCCGCAACCGAACACATCCTTCTCGCGTATATACGCAGTACGTCCCGGTCGGCCGATCTGGGGCTCAATGACCTCCCGTTGAGGCTGAATGAATGGGTAGCTGGCTACCCGGGGATGGTGGTTAGCGATACCGAGCTCGTCAGGGGCTTACCGCGGAAAGGGGCCAGGGTGATCCGGTGCGAGAGGGCGACGAGGGTTGTGCGGGCCTACTCGAAGGATCTTGTCGCTACCGCAGAGACGTGGGCAGGGCAGGGAGAATGGCCAGCATGGGAACGGGTCGTCTTGCGGAGCAAGCGAGGGGATTCCAGGCCAAAATTTACAGGAGGGTACAGACGGAAGATGGTCGTCAAGGAGACGCCGGCGCTTCCTGCTTCGGCGGCGATAGGGGAGGTGACGGAGTATGGTCTGGCGGAAATGGGGAGTAGCGCGGGAGCGATGAGGAAGGGGGCGAGAGCGTATGACTCCGACAGTGGGCATGGGCGACAAGGGTCGGATGAGGAGGGGAGGTATGGGAGTCTAGCGGGAAAGGAGTGGAGTATGTTTGAAGAAGGGGGGTTTGGGAGTGAGGGGCAGAATGAGTTTGGGGACAAGTTGCGGTTTGACCTGACCGAGAGTGCCAAGATGGTGAGTTTCCTTCCTCCTTCTCTTCTTCCGGCAACAAGCTGACCCGCCAATCCGTCATTGAACGCCGAAAAACGATGGACTGGACAGACTTTGCCTCCTCCTCTGGCGGCTTCACACGTACCGACCCCGCCCTCACCACAAACCTTACCTTCTCGCCCCCACTCGCCCAGTCGATCGAGTCGTGGCCTAAGGAACGCACGGATCTGTCGAAACGGCTTCACAAGTCCAACAAGGATTCGGTGCCGTTTCATCATGACACGACTGCCAAGTTTGGGGAGGCGAGCGGGTGGTTGGACCTCGCGGGAGGGGAGGAGAAGAGAGATGGGAAGGGGAGGGTTTATCTTGAAGAGGCTTTCCTGGACTTTTGGGCGGATTTGGGGTTGGGTGGGGGGTGGGTCGATAGGGCCGAGTTGACGTTCAGGGAGAGTAGCTGGGCTATCGTGAGTTGTCTCCAGGGTCACATATACTCGTTCATGTGGCTTGATGAATGCCGGCTGATGAAATAGCTCGAGTATAAGGCGAAGCCATCGACGGAAATTGAGACCCATGCAGGCCAGGGTCAAGATCCACGAACGTCCAGCCTGTACTTCTTGTTCGAAGAGAAAGTCCCTTATGTCAGTTGCAGACCTCACACATGCGTGTAGAGTCCCAAGCTGACAAAAAAGGACTATCAACTGGCCATCGCCAACCCCTCCGAAAAGCGCGCCTTCTCCCTCTTCACTCGAAAGAAGAAGAACCCCTCCCTCCCCAAATCCGCCTCTGCGGGCGCGGGCGGTCTATCTTTATCAGCTTCGGCCCTCGTTGCGCCTCAAGGGGAGTTTGATCGGATGCTCCTCAGTCCGTCGGGGACCAAGAAGGTCACGCTCAGTGGGAATAAAGGGAGTGAGGCGAGTATATGGCATAAGCAGACTGGGGGGCCTTTGTCGCCCGCCTCGCCTACGAAAGGGAAGGGCCAGTCGCAGGCGCACGCGGGATTTGTGGTCAAGAGTAGGCCGGAAGGTGGGAAGGCGCCGGTGGATATGCCGGTGCCGCTTTCGGTTCCGGTCACGGCACCGGGGCTGAGGCAGGAGGGGAAGAGGGAGATGAGTGGGACAGGGAGGGAGGAGGGGGAAGGGAAGAAGTCACTCTTTGGAAGAAGCAAGTCTGGGAAGGTGGGGAGAGGACGGGGGGGAGAGGATGCGGTGGAGGCGGAGACGGTGGATTATGAGCTGCAGTCGGCGAGTGGGGTGGGGTCGCCTGATGGGGGATCTGCGGGAGGACGAGAGGAGGACAAGTGGATGGGTGAGCTACGACTTGGTCGTCTGGTCGCGAACGTACACAGCTGACTCCTTAGACATACTTGTCTCAAATGGCGCACGCAGGATGGATCGACAATTACCCACTCCCGCTCGCCTACCTCCACCTCCCACCCCTGCAGGAGCCCTATCGCCCTCGCCTCTCCCCACCGCCCAACACCGCAAGTCCCGCACCCCTTCCCTCGATACTCCCCCGAACGCCTCCCTCCTGCGATTTATCACTCCCCCGATGCCTCGGCCGAGACGGAGGACGAGCTCCATACGCCCCGCGCACCCAACTTTGTTCCTCTCGCCGCTGATATCCACCTCGAGCCCTCCGTCGACGCCGAGTCTGCGATACCCCCTCTTCCGGCGGCCAAGGACCCCAAGCCGCTCTTTACGCGCAAACCCCTTGCTTCCCCTGCTCAACAGGTCCAGTATATCGAGGGCGATCAAAACAACCAGTCCAGCCAGCAGCGGGACAGCTGGTCTTCGGGCTCAGATCGGCCGAACCTGCACGCCCCCAGTCCGAGGCGAGGGAGGGACACCATCCATAATATCGTGGATACCTACCGGGACTCGGATATCAGTACGGTGACGGATACGGATTATGACGATACGGGGCGGTACTCGAGGGTCACGGACGATGTATATGCGTCAGATGGGGAGGGCGGAGAAGAGGAGGGAAGGAGGAGGTTTTCGTCAGAGCGGGGATCGCAGGCTGGATCTGAAGGGATGGAGGAGCTTTTTTCACCAACGAAAGGGGATGATGGGTCAACTTTGGAGCCGCCCAAGCCGATCTTTGATTTGACGCCGACGAGGGAACCGTCGCCGGGCCGGTATCGCCATGGTGAGGCTTTGCATTTCGTAAGGGAAGAGGCGGAGGAGGAGTATAGATAGGGGAGTATAGGGGAATTTGCGGGAAAGGGGTGTTTGTAGTATATGGAGTTTCTTGGGTTTTCTTTCTCTCCTTCTCCTTCTGGGGAGATTTCTCAGACATGTTGGGTGGGAGGGAGGGAGATAGTGATACCAATCATTACGAGGCAAGTACCGTGTAAGCAGGAACGACTTCCCAATGTCTACCCTTGCCTGCGCCCCCTCACCTGCTGCCGACGCGCAAGACATCTGAACAAGCAAGAAGCCAATGATAGTCTAGTCCAAAACTATAAATGCAGGAGACAATAACAGTACATCCCCTCCTATATCCTCCTGAACAGCCTATACCAATACCTCGTGTTCTCCAGCTTGACCGGCCAATCCGCCCCCACCCCTTCTCCCAATCTATACCATCTACTATCTTCCGACCTGACCAGCTCCCACGCTGGCCCCTCCGTCCCCGCCAGCATCCGCAGCATGACCAGGTCAATCACCGTCATGGTTGGCCATTTCCGCTCGGACCCGAGCGAGAAGGACGCAATGTCGGATGCCGAGTCGGCGACGAGGAGGAGGGTTCCGGGTGGGGATTGGGACGTGAGGAAGCGGAGGAGGGAGATGGTTGATGAGGGCGATTGGGAGAGGAGTTCGGTTAGTGTGAAGAGGAGGGTGTAGAGGGTTGGAGCTGGTGAGGAAGTGGAGGAGGTGGCGGAGGTTGGCGAGAAGATGCGGGATAAGAGTTGCGAACCCGCAGATAGGAGGTTTCCTTCGACGTAGTTGACCGTAAGAGAGTCAAGGTCGAAGTCTCCCTGTGCCGCCGTGCCGATCTTGGCTAGTACGTCTCCCCATTTCCCTATATCCGCGCCTACCCACTCGCACGCCTTCTCCTTGCCCTTCGAAGACTTGCGATAGGCAAGAAGAGAGGCTACTGCCGCTAGCTCCGATCCTGCTCCTCCGCCTAGGGAAACGACACGCAAATCCCCTTGTTCCTCCTCCTCCTCCTCGTCCTGATCCTCTTCTTCTTCCTCTCCATCCGAGTCATCGCTGTCCGCCTCTTCCCTCTGTTTCCCTAGCATCATCTCCCTGACCTCCGGAAGATGCACCATCAACTCCCGAAAGCACAACGCCCGACTCGGGACCCACCGCCCGGCATACGCCTCGAGCAGCTCCGGGTCCGTAAACACCTCGAGCCACTTGGAGTCGTACAGCAAAGCCTTGATCCGCTGGATGGTGGACCGGAAGTCGGGCGATGAGAGGGTTGAAGAGAGCGCGGTCCGGAGGGATGCGAGGATGGCTTCGTCGCTAGGGGAAGAGAGGGCGGGGTGGGCAGAAGAGGACGAGGAGGACGGATCGGCCTGCGCGGATGGTGGTGGGGGATGATGCAATTTTCCTCGGCCGCCGTTTTTGATGCCCTGCTTCTTGTGCGTCTTGAGGGGACCGCCGGCGCGGGAGCGGTAGGTCATAGTAGCGATGAAAAGAGGAGTGTGGACGGGAGCGAGGGGAGATGGACCTGGGGCTGGGATAGGACTGTTTGGGCTGCTTCGAGTCAGCCAGAGTCGCTATCAACTCCGACATCGGAAGTGCAGCGATACTTACAGTCCTCTAGTTCTTCTCTACTCCTCTTGATAGGGCTGCTGCTGTGCTTACTTGTTTGTATATGGTGGACGTGCCGAGTGGAGGATCTTGAAACAAATTTGCACGTTTCATCTACCCATGACGTGTCATTCCTTTAGGGCAGCGTATCAACCTATTCCCGCCAAACTCCGTCTCCACCGCCACCGCCGCCGCCCGCTGGGCCGTATATAATCGCGCACCCCGACCCATCTAGCTTCTCTTTTCTTCATCAAAAAGCATGGTTTCTCTTCTGTCACAGTACCGTACCAGCACTAGACGTACGAGCACCGCTCAAGAGATCCACTAGACGGACGGATTAATGCCTCGAGATAATATAGGAAACTCCAGCTCCGTAATACATTTCGGTGGAGCCAGGAGCGCCAAACATTCTCGATATATACAATACTAGACAGCGATGAGTTTATCTTGTACTTGCTGTGATGTATGCTGTGATCTCAACGCTGAGAATCTCGGATCGCTGCGGGCAGGAGGGTCGGACGGCGCCGGGTTTGATCGCAAATTTGCTCACTCTGCAGAGATTCATCGAACGCCCTCATGCTCGGCTCTTCGCCTTGCCCTCTGGCCTCGTCTCATTCCATTCGTCCTTATCTCCGGTTCTTTCTTCACCATGCGCAGGCCACGCATACTAAACGATTCATGGCGGGACGGGGAACTAAGGCGTCCGAGATGGGATGAATGGCGGGCGAGAGGGGGAAAGGAGGCCGTGATGGTGTCTTTCTTGCGGCGTCCCTTTGACAATCGCAAGCCCGTATGGGCAGTAGGTTAAGAGGCCGGATGTAGCGTTGTCCTTGACTGGCTGGGTCGGTCGGTGGGGTCCCGGCGTTGTAGAAAGCTCCTGGTCTTTGAATGCTCAGCTGGTCCGACCGTTCCGCTCCCCAGACTTATGAAACAGATACTGAATCTTGGAGGCCAACGCAAACGTTGACACTCACACGCCTCGCAAGGTACTGACAGTCGCTTTCACCAGCTGATATGACTGCACTGCACAGCGGGACACCCGTACGCGATAGGTAAATATGACCTCCCTTGACTGGGTTGTACCTCCTGACTATTGCCATGACCAATACCGTCGCCATACGGACAATGGACGCTCACCGTGTGTCTGGCGTACTCGCACTCACGCCATCGACCGATGACGCGGGAAATGCGGACCGCATTGTCAGTGTTGCCGAGCCCTCTAGGCCACGAAGGGAGACGATCTGTGGGGTCAGCTCAAGAACATGAAGACCGGACGTACAGCGGCGAAGTGAGGCTCAGTGAGCCACCAATTGTTTCGCCTTCGTACTCCAAGAGCTCTTCTTGGGCAGCAAGCAGACAACAAGCAGGTGAGGCAGGCTAGGAAGCAGGACCGAGGCACAGCAGTATTGTTCGTTAGCTTCATAGTCATCAGTCAAGTCTTGTGTACATGTACGCGGCTATGATGCCTCCGAGCAAGAGTGTTGAGGACCCCTGCACATCGACACCAGCCTTCTCGAGCCAGACGAGACGATAAGATGACCCATCAACGTTCAACCAAAGACCCCTTTCACTCCCTCCGGCGGCATCTGGCCAAAAGCAGGCGCGTTTCAGCCCGTTACGTAACGATACTTCTTGGCTCGCGCGCGCTTTCCGTGACCAAGCTGCGCCGCATTCCTCGATTGTTTCTTATCGTTGTGACTCGTTGCTCTTGTCCATACTGCCCAAACAGCCCCTGGAGAGGTGGCCAAATCGACAGTCGGCTCAGTGACTGCGTGCCGAAGCAATCAAATCTATCCCGAAAACCCGAAAACGGAGCTCAGCAGCTGCTGCTACCCGGCATGAACTCCGTATATGATGCGCGGGTCTTCCCTCGCTCTCTTCCGCCTATCACCCCCGCTGGCAATACCTCAATGCTCGCGGAGGAGATCAAGAGGGGCGAGTCTTCACGTAGAGCATCTGGGACTGGGGTGAGGGGCGTCACTTCCAGTGAGCTTACGGTTTCACACTTACACGAGAAAGTCAAGCTGATACCACCAGACCTTCCCAGCGCTGCGGACCTCTACGTGCCCTCTCTTCCTGGCGTACCCGATATGGCTACCCATCCTACGTGAGTTCTGCGTTGTTCAGACACTTTCCATGCCCAAAGCTCACGCCTCAGTCATCCTATCGAAGTGTACGCAGGGAGTATACCTTCATATCCCGGAGAAGGGGCCGGAGGAGGTGTAGGGGCTACAGGAGTTGATGCTACGCTATTGTGAGCTAAGTCTGCCTCAGAATCCATCATTTCGGGCACGAGCTGACGGGATAGCTTCATGATGATCAAAGCGAGAAGAGCAGCAGGCAAGCAGCGCGTGATTCTGTGGTTCAACGTGAGTCTCTCAGCTGGACGCTTCGTCGAAAGGTACGATGGACCCAAGCTGATGGATATAGGGTGGACCAGGCTGCTCTTCGTTCGATGGGTCTTTGATGGAGATCGGACCATTCAGGACCGTCAGCGAAAGTAAGACCAAGTCGGGGATGGTTGAGGTGGAGCTGGTTGAGGGCGGATGGGAAGAGTATGCGACTGTTATCTTTAGTGAGCTAGCTTCATCTCCATTTCTGGACGAGGACCTGCAGCTGATGTACCCAGTCGATCAACCTCCTGGGACTGGATATTCATTTGTACCGACTAACGGGTATTTACATGATCTGGATGAGGTGAGCTCTCTTGATCTTTGGCATCCTGATCGAATTAGAAGCTGATGCTTTAGGGCTCTGCGCATCTGATCCAGTTCCTTCAGAATCTGTACCATATCTTCCCGGAACTATCCAGTGTCGACGTGAGTCTGCTGCTTGATGCCGTGTGGACGCGCGAGATCTTCAGCTGATAGTCCAGACATATCTCGCCGGAGAATCATTTGCGGGCCAATACATTCCTTACTTTGGTATGTCGCCGAAGACTCTGCGTCGTTCACGAAATATCAGCTGACACTCGCAGCCAAAGGTCTGCTAGCTACCAACCTCCTCCCCAACTTCAAGCTCGCCGGTGTCGCGATCGGGAATGGCTGGATCGACGGGTTTGAGCAGTACCCCGCCTACGTGGATTTCGCATACGAAAAGGGTCTGATCAAGAAGGACAGTGCGGTGAGTTGCGAACGTCACACATTCTTGGATGAGGACGAAGCAGCTCACGCCCACAGCCGGCACAAGAGATGGAAGCGATCCTGCAGCAATGTATGGATGAGATTGCCCGGGTCAAGAAGAATGGGGATCATCCTGTTAATCTAGGTGGAGGGTGCGGGGGGGTCATGTCCTCTGTGACGGATCCTTTCGTGGATGAGTGAGTTTCCGTACTGCGGTGGTTTGGCTAGGGCTGAGACGCTGACGCGATAGGACGAATGGGAAAAAGACGTGTATGAATGTCTATGATGTGCGGCTGGTAGATGATTGGCCGGCGTGCGGGATGAACTGGCCGCCTGATCTAGGGGATGTGTACAAGTTTCTCCGCGTAAGTCTCGCTTGACTCTTCTACTTGTCCCCTGTCCTGGTCCCTATCCTCGAATTGTATAGGCACCCGACAGCTGCCCCAATCTCCGCTAAGATTAGCCCAGCTGACCACTAGCGCCCAGACGTAGTCACCGCCCTCCACGCCAATAAAAAGGAAACCGCCTGGGTCGAATGCGACGGCCGTGTCGGTTCCGAACTGACCATGTACAAAACCCCATCCTCGTCCGACCTTCTCCCTGGGATTCTGGAGGCGGGTGTCCCGATCCTCATGTTTGCGGGCGCGGAGGATCTGATTTGTAATTACAAGGGGATTGAAAGGATCTGTGATGGGTTGATATGGGATGGGAAGAAGGGGATGGGGGTGAGTTCTCTGTGTCTTGATCGCCAGGGATGGGAATGAAGGGAGTGATAGCTGATATAATAGAACTCGACGTCGGACGAGTGGTTTATCAATGGCACGCAAGTGGGGACTTGGCGGACACATCGGAATCTGACATATGCCAAGGTGAGTTCACTTATACCCGATCTAGCTTCACGGAGGATCGAGCTCGAGCTGATTGTCTAGGTATATGACTCGTCGCACATGGTCGGCTTTGACGTCCCGCACGTCACAAACGACATGATCACCCGCTTTATGGAAGTCGACTTTGCCCTCCTCCCCGGAATCGCATCATCCAGCAAGTCCCGCGTCGGCTCGATCGACCGAGTCCAGCTCGGGTTGGCGACGACGGCTGCAGCGGGGATCCCGCTCCTCAAGGGTGGGAATACCGACTGGGAGGGTGAGTTCAGCTACCCTCACCTTATGAATGCGGACACTAGCTGACGTACCAGCGGCGTATAATGTCGGATCGGCCCTGATGATCCTTCTGTTCCTCATCTCCATTGTCGGCCTCTACTTCTTTTTCCGGCGCAAGGCTCATTTACGACGCCAAAAGTTTGGCATTATGGACGGAGCGGATGGGAGTGCGGAGGAACGGGTTCCGCTCGGTGCGTTACATCTAGAAGATGGGATGGGGAGCCCGAGAGGCAAGAGATTGAGGAAGGGGAAGGGGAGGGCGAGGGATCCGGATAGTCCCGGTCTTGCTGGAGGAGGAGGCGGACGATCTACGCCTCCGTTGAATGGAGAACGCGGACACGGGCACGGGAGGGGTCATAGTGGAGGTGGGCACGGAGGGAGTGAGGGAGGGAGTGAATTCGGAAGTCCGGCGGGGACGGTTATGTTTGCGTTGGGGGATGAGGAGGAGGATGAGGCCAAGGGTCAAGGAGGAGGGGGAGGGCGCAGGTAGATCATGGGTAGGAAAATTGTGTAGAACCAGTCTTGGTCTTTGGGTATCTTTTAGAATGCTATCATTGCCCGGTTGTCTGTTTTACTAGTTTGAGTATGGCCCCTCTCCTGAAATGAGCACGTCGAGCGCATAGAAGGGTATATTGTGGGTCGTGGACTTTTCGTATGCATCCGCAAGGAGTGGGTATCATGTCATATCAAAGTTCAAAATCTACTAGAGAACCCAAAGAAGCCAAGAACCCGCCGTCACCCTCCCCGCCGGACTTATTGGGTCCGCTGATTCACTTGCCTTTCTTGTCCCTTCTTCCTAGCTCCCCTGCCTTCCTTCCTGCTTAGAATCTCGCTCTACGTTTCGCCCCATTCCGGCTGCTATACCCTCTTTCCTTCATCCTTCTCCCCTCTTCCACATCTCCACTTTTCCCCCCTTCCCACCTCACCCACTCCATTCCGTACTCCATCCATCACTGCACTGCTCACTGCGCCTCCTCATACTCCGCCACCGGCTTTTGAATCTCATACCACAACAAGCGCTTCAACCACTCCTTATTCCGCTCCTCATTCTCCTTGGTCATCGGGAAATGGAAGAATTCCGCCTCGAGCGCGACAGCCGACGGCTCGTCCGAGGGGTCATGGTAGGGCTCGAGGTAGGGGTGGGAGAGGGCTTGCTCGACCGTGAGGCGTTTACGGGGAGAGAAGCTGGAGTGGCGTCAGCTATGGCTCCTTGGTCATTCATTCCCGAACACGTTAGATATAGCTGAGTCCTGGTGTGCAGAGATACGCCTACTCACGTCAAGGTCCGACGAAGGAGATCGATCGCTGCCGGGCTAGCCTTGGGGCAGACGCGCGAGAGGTCCCGCTTCCGCGTCATCGGTAGGGATCGGAGGTACTCCCTACAAGTATAAGCTGAGGCTCTCTCCAAAATCGGCTCAGAGTGGCAAGTGAGCTTACTTGGACTTGTCCGAGGTGATCTCGTTAAAGTCGTCCATGTTGGGCGTTCCCACGACGTCGAGGATGAGCTTGAGCTGGTCTGCATAGTCCCGACCGGGGAAGAGGGGTTTGCCATTGACTACAAGGGATCAGCTAGGCACCGAGAAGCCTACGATTCCCGGGGTCGCTAGCTGATGAGGAGAACACTCACTCATTTCGGCCAAAATGCACCCAACAGACCAAATATCAATCGCCTTGGTATACTCCTGGAATGCTGTCTTGTCAGCTCTACCTCCATATTCTTAGCAGTACCTATAACTCACAAAGCATGACCTCGGGCGCACGATACCACCTCGTCGCCACATACTCCGTCATGAACCCCTGTCCGCCCTGCGGCCCCACGTCCGGCGGCGGCGCAGCGGCCGAGCGCGCCAGCCCGAAATCGCAGATCTTGAGATCGCAGTTGGCGTTCAGGAGGAGGTTGGAGGGTTTGAGGTCCCGGTGGAGGACGTTGGCTGTGTGGAGGGCCTTAAGGCCGCGGAAGGTCTGAGATATAAGCTCGAGCCCAGATCCGAAGCTGAGTATAGGCTAGCTTACTTGGTAGATAAAGTATTGGCAGTGGTCGTCTGTGAGCTCTTGGGTCCGGATCACTCGGTGACAACATGGTCAGCTTAGTCCACGCGGCTTCTAAGGAAGAAGCTCACAGATCCGTCTCCATCAGCTCTTGCACCAAGTATACCTCGACAAAGTCGGTATAGCTCTTGGGGAGGATGATGTCCAGGATAGAGATGATGTTCTCGTGTCTGAGAGTATCAGCTACTGTCCGCGAGTCACTTTGGAGCTCGTCGCCCCGTCTGGCCGCCCACCAGCCATATCCTCAATTGGCCAGAGCCCGCCCTTCCAAACAGAAGCTCCGTCTCGCCCTTCATCTCTCGCTTAACCTGTACTGGGCTCTCTTTTGCAGGATGTCGAGAAGATGGGGGAACCCAGACTCACCTGAAATGCCTCAACAGCTTGATTTCCCTCAATGTCCGCTGGCAGAACATGGCATGATCAAACGGCATGATCCGCTTGATGGCGACTTTGGTTCCCGAGGCGATATGCGTGGCTGCGCTATAGTATATCAGCTCTATACACCCCACCATCCTTATGACCTCACTCACCAGACCAGTCCATAAGCCCCCTCGCCGACGATATTATCCACCTCGTAATTCTCCGAGACCCTAAAGCTCGCCAACTGCTCCTCCATCGTAGGTGGAGGAGGCGTCATCTCCGCTGCGGCTGCGCGTCTGCTCATCTTGGCGGGCGGATCGGTCGATCGATAGGGTATCGAGTGGAGAGGGGAGGGGGTGGGCTGAGGTGGTCGATAAGGAGAACGAAGAAGGAAGGAGGAATGTACGTTCTTGGCGCTAGCTCAGCGGTCGTCAAGTCGAGCTCGGCGGCTGATGCGTCTAGGTAGGAGCAGGTGGGGTGTGTGGAGGCAAGAGGGAAGCTTTAGATAGCGCTGTACTCAGTATATATATAGCTTCTACGGAGAATATACTTGGGTGAACGGATATGGACAGCGAACAAAAGGCTCCAAGCGACCAAAGCGCAGCGCGCAGAGAGCGGCCTGGAATGTAAAGTGACGTAACAGGGGCGATCACATTCCATACTTGCCGGATGGGGAAATTGCCTCGTTTCAGATAAACCTTGGAACGCGGCAAGGCATCGTCAAGGGGTCGATATCGTTTCATCACAGAGAGTCAAGATCACTGAAAGATCATAGGCTGGCCTTGGACACGCTGCAAGACAGCTGGGAAGAAATGGCAAAGAGGCATATGCATCTGAGGCGATAAGGATAAAACATCTAAACTTCCGCCACTTCACTTCTTCTGTTCATCTCCCACCTCCCCTATCCTTCTCCATCCCTAATCACGTCTACTTCTCGCATTCTTACTCTCTGACAACACCGCTCCACATCTACTCCTTACTGCTCCTGGTCGCCCTCTTCCTCGCGCCCGCATCCTCAACAGCCACCGGCACCGCCGGGACAACAATCACCGGCTCCACCACCTCCGTCACGGCCGGCACGACGATCGTCTCGTGTACGACCGGCTCGGCGCCAGGGGTCGTCTTGACGGGCTTGGCGAGGACGGGCTTTTCAGAAGTGACCTTGACGGCTGTCTTCTTGACCTAGCGGTATCAGCTTTCACCCGTCGAGAATTCCCGGAAACGAGCAGGACGGGAAAGCAGCTTACAACGGTAGGCTTGGAACCCATGAGACCAAAGAGAGCAGCGAGCATCCCAAGGACCGTGAACAGCGTAGCGGCAAGACCGGCAGCGACGTCCGGCATCTGCTTGACGGCCGACATAAAGTCATCGGTCGCAAGGTCTGCAAAGTCAGCTCGAGATCCCAATTTTTCTTGGAGGCCTCATCTAAGAGGATCATTGAGAAGACAAGTGAACTGACGCATAAACTCATACACCTTCAACTGGACCTTCTCCAACAAAGTCTTGGCCTCCAGCTCAATCTCGTCAGAGTCAGATCCCTCTGCCTCTTTCTCGATCGGCTTCTTGACGTGGAAAGTCTCGGCCGCAAACTTCTTGGCGTCCGCGGCGTCGTGTCCGACGTAGACGTTGTCGACTACAAAGATCAGCTTCAAGCCCCTCACCACCCAGGTCACAGTATGGTACAAGCGGTAGCTTATAGAGAACGAGACACTAAGACTGACAGAGGATATCCTCAGTCATCGTCCACAGCTCAATTCCAATCCCCGCAATCTTGGTAAAGTCGGACGGAGTCGAGTCTTCAAAGAATTGAGGGTTGGAGATCTTTTTGGGGGCCCAAATACCCTTATACTCGGGGTTGGGGATCTTGGGGACGGTCCATGCGCCCTTCGAAGGATCAGCTGATGTTCCAAGTCACAAGTCGACGAAGAGGAGGAGCGAAGTGTAGTGGAAGGAAGAAGCTCATCCCATTGACAAAGCGTCTGAGACGAAGAATAGCGGGAGAAAGAGTTCGAGATAGCGTGTGAGACAAAGATTAGAGGAAGGGGAGTTTGATGAAGCGTCTGAGACGAGAATCTTAAGGAAGGGGAGGAGAGGAGGGGGGGGGAAAGGAGGAGATGAAGGAGTGGGGGAGCAAAACATCGATGGAGCGAAAGAGCGGAAAAAGAGGAATGAAGCAACATAAGAGGAAAAGACGACTGACCTTGTACTCCGGGTTCCTGATCTTAGGCGCAGCCCAAATCCCACATCCCGAGACCTCATCACACTTCGGGTTGGCCACGAGCGGCGCGATCCAGTCTCCATCCTCCTCGTCCTGTATTATCAGCGCCTCTCCTCTTCTCTTCACCTAAGACAAAACCTACATCCCACTCCTCCGGCTTCTCAGCCTCCGGGTCCGGGATCATCTCGGGCTCATTCTCGAGCCAGTCTTCCGGCTTGACCGCAGTCGTGTCGAGGATCATGAGCGGCGCGTCCTCGTCCCAGTCCGCGGGCTATGACATCAGCTCTGTCCCCAGCTGGCATGAGAGGCACAAGAAGAGCTCACCTTGGACGCGGTCTCGTCGTCAATCTCGGCGAGATCGACCCATGATTCCGGCTTGAAGTCCTCCGGGTCGTCGATCTCCTTGGGCGGGTTTACTGGCGGGTCGAAATCCTCCAAAAGCGAACCGGATCGGACCGACTCGTCGTTGATAAGGATCTCGAATGTCTGATCCGGCCTGGCAGATCAGCTACTACTCTGCTATACTACTGTTCAGACCGAGCAGTGCTAGATGTAGCCCTAGGTTGACAGTTGCCAAGCCTCCGTAATCCTGACGGGGATGATAGTCAACTTACTTGACAATCAAGGTGTACAACGCGGTAGTCTTCGTAATCTTGGGGGCCGGCGGGTTCTGCAGGTGCTTCTCTTCCCATTCGCCCGTGATCGGGTTCTGGTGCCTGAAGATGAAGTGGACCTTGTTGGTCGAGCCGCACTTGTCGGGACCGAACATAATGGTGAAAGGAGTCTGATTATCAGCAGGAAATACAAAGGAAGACGAGGAGGTGGAGGGGAGACAAAGGGGACGAATCAGAGAGCCGGGAGAGAGGAGGTGAGGAGAATATTCATGAAGCACTCCAGCATCTGGCCTGTCTCTGGCATCCTCCCTCTCCGCAGTATGGAGGCGGGAGAGAGGCATTGAGGAGATTATCCATGAAGCACTCCAGCGTCTGACCTCTCCTCGCCATCTCCCCTCTTCGCAATATCCCCGCAAAGACACAAATGACAAAACTTCCTCCACGAGAAACCCAAACTCACCTTATCCGTGTATTCTGCGCCAGCCCTGAGCCCCTCCCCGTCCGCGCTCTCCGTGAGGAGCTTGATGTACGCTCCTCCGCAGTCTAGCCCTTTCTGAAGCTTGACCTCGTACTGGACGACGAAGGGCTTGCCTTTCGGGTCGACCGGCTCGGCAAACAGCGTCGATATAGCGTGGTGGGCGGCCTTGGATTCTGCCTCGTCAGCTCAACTGCGCACGTTCAAGAGCCTATGTACGCGACTTTAAGCTCACTCAGGACAAGACCAGTATCGCCCTTGATACCAGGGTACACCTCTGGCTCCTCCACAGCCCACGTTCCGACATACGAGAACGTCTCGTCCCCCACAGGAGTCTGCTTCGTCGCGCGCGAGACGGTCCATCGCGATTGAGGAATCTGTTCCTGGAATTGCTCAATGAAGGGGGCAGTGAGCGTTGTAGGCTACTATGTCAGCTACTATCCCCTCTTTGTGTGTGATGGCTAAGTCCAGCAGGGGGTGGTCCAGAGGCGAAGGGAGAAGAAAGGAGTAGCCTCGCTATGCCCTCCCCGCCTCATCGTCGCGCTCTTCCCCCTCTCGCAACTCACCTGGAACGACGCCTCCGCCGCCGCCGTGAGGGCGAGCAAGAGTGCACTCGCGCCCGCTGTTGAAGCTACGTTGTGTGCGCGCATTCTTTTGTATGTGAGTATGGAGTGAGTGACAGGTATAGAGCAGATAGAGACGATGGAAGTTGCTGGATGTAGAGTGCTACCTCCACGTCGCGCGCACCATAAAATACACCCGCTAATAAGAGTAGAGGGTGCTTTTGCTATTGGCCACCGCGTGATTAGAGTTTCTAATCAGCCCAGGTCCTTTTGAAATTACCCCTTCCAGCCGACTAATAACACTACAACCGTAGTGTATTGCGTCATGGGACCTTCCTTGTCGGCGCCGCTGCGGTGCGGTGCTGCTTCAACCGCATTCATACCTCACCTCACCTCATCCGCACCCTTCAGAAGCATCACTACAGCTTCGCCACAGACCACCACTCCTTCACTGGTGCAGCTCACCTCATCCAACCCGGATCCTCCACACAATTATTAGCACAATGACACCCCCTCACCCCATGCACATCGATATCCCCCCCAACCCGCCCTCCCGCGCCCCCGGAGACCTCCCCGAATCCCTAGAAGCTCGGATCCTAGGCGAGTCCGACATGCCCATCGATCTAGACGGGAACCACGATCACGATCACGCCGAAGCAGTGGACCTGGAACCTACTACGCCGTCAGCGGCTAGACCGCCGCCTGCAAAAGGGATTCTCAAGAATGGGTTGAGGCGACCGAGCCAGATTGGGGAAGGGGATCAGCCGGCGACGGAGGCGGAGAGGGTGCAGTGGGATGAGAAGAATTTGGTGGATACAGAGGCGGAGAAGAATAGTACTATGTGAGTTGGAGGGATAAGGGGGAGAAGATGAGGATGAGGGGTATGAAGGGTATGAGGGATAGGGGCTGATGGGTATAGGAAGATTACTGAGCCCAAGACGCCGTATGTCTGGGGGAATGGCGAGAGGGATGATGCAATGTCTGGTATGTCCTTTGCTCCTCCTGCCTCTTCTGCTGAGGCCTACAGCTAACATACAGACGTCCCCGACTTCGACCTTCAACAATCTCCCGGCCGATCCTCAGACCGCCGCCCCTCCCTCGCCTCGACCCGCTCGAGCTCATCCTCCCGCTCCGCCTCCTTCTCCCTCCCCACCAAGTCCGGCCCCGTCCGTCCCGGCGGCGGCTCCTTCTCCTCTTCACGCTCTCGGACCCCTTCCGACCCTGCTCCCGCACAAGCACAAGCCCACCTCATCGCCCCCAACCCCGGCGGCGAGACCTCAGACGGTAAGACCGCCGCTCTCCCCTCCGGACATGGTACGGAAGTTACCGGAATGGCCCTCGGCGCGACGTCGGCGAATACAGCTGCGAATGCGCAGCGACCTGCACAGCATGGGGAGGAGGCTGGAGGGGATGTGTTCTCTGATTCAGATGAGGAGATGACGGAGGAGCAGAAGGCGGAGAGGGAGCAGTTCAAGGAGAAGCGCAAAGAACATTATGCGATGGAGGCGAAATTGGCGTTGAAGCGGGCGAGGGAGTTGATGGATCAGGATGAGGCGGCGGAGGGGGTGGAAGATGAGGAAGAAGGTGATGGGGGGATGGAGGTTGATGAAGTAGATGGGGGGTTCTTAAATGGGCAGGGGAAGTAGGGGGCAATTTGGATCGGGTCTGACAAGGAGACGGGGAAAAGAGCCCAGGGGTGTGGGAAGAAGAAGGGGAAGTGGGAGAAGGGAAGTTCAAGCGCGGAGAGAGGTAGAAGAAGCGCGCGGGCGAGCGAGAGAGGAAGGCTGGAGGGGATGTTTGGACAAGGAACGTTGTGCCCGGAAAGAAGGCATGGAAATGTTAAAAAGTGGAGATCAGTTGTCAGTGTGAAAAATGTATCCAATATGTGCAGTGTTCTTCATCTCCCCATCAGGTTCTGTGTGTTAAGCATGGTGGAGTTGGGAAAGACCAGGCTAGGAGGGGGAGATGCCATGGATCGCCCGAGCGGCGCCGCACCCGCGGAAAGGGAAGAAGCAGCGGAAGCGGAAGACGAAAAAGACGAGCAGGATGGATCGGCAAAGGCGTCTCTCTTCCGGCCTTCCCTATCTTGAAGGGTAATGCCTGTCGTCCTCGAATGTAACCTGTAGTGGGCCTATACATGGCTCACAGGAAAGCTGGGAGAATGAGTGGGTAGAAGAGCAACGCTGGAGAGTGAGACATGGGGCCATACCATTCCTCGTGCAGTCTCTTCTGGCGCTGGTACTGTGGCTTCTTAGCCCCGGCGCTGTCTTCCCCAACTGATCATGTGATCGGTCGACTCGGCATGGAGGATCTGCACAGGGCTCGTTCTACAAGAAAATAGGGCCATTCGCCACCCATGACCAGCCCCGTCCCAGAAGAGAGCCACAAAACGTATCACCGCAAACTCCGTTATCCGCATGGTTGGAGGCATCTGGACGGCCACTGACTGCATGCATGTACTGCAAACCATCTCGCAACATGCATCAATGTTGCGAAGCATAAATACGATCCAACGAAAGTTAGACCCAGCTCCGCAAGGAGATGTGGAAAGCTTGAGATGTGGGGGCGCCATTGTGCCCTTACTGTGTGACACGGTTTTGACACCAGGGGATCACTATGTGGGTCCGCCCGTTCGCCGAGTTGGGGGCTCCCGCTACATTGCAAGTTGTATGATCTGACAGGTCGTACAACTTGTGATGTGGTGAAGGGCTTCTGACGTACACAAGCAAGTCTACAGCTCGTTCTTTTTGACGCCCTCGGAGGGCTTGCTCTCCCATTCACATGCCTCGTCGAACTGTCATCACAGCACCACCTGAAACAGTCCGAAACACGGTGGAACTGCCGCTTTGTCGGTATGCGATCCCGATGCTTGGCGCTCGGCCATCGGCCTGCCAACATCAGTCCGCGGGATGGCCGTCGGTCATGGTTTGGTACTGGTAACTGATATATAAGTTCTCCTAAGTTCAGAACTCTCTGGACATGAAGCTGTACCTCCGCCAGTCTTATACTATCCTCTGAACCAGCGCATCCTCGTCATGTTCGTTCTGCACGGTCACGCCTACTCCAAAGTAAGCTTCCAAGCGAGCGACGAGCTGACCGGCAGAGTCTGGCGCGGGTAGTATTCTGCCTCCTCGAGATGGGCTTGGAAGACGGGAAAGGTAGGTCCGGATGCTCTTGTGATACTACGGGTCGGTTCATCGCTGATTGGCAGACTTCCGGATCGAGCCTCTGGACTGGGAAGACATAAGGGGCGATGACTGGGCGCTGCAGCATCAGCCCTTCAAGCAAATGCCCTATATGGTGGACGATGAAGCGGGTATCGAGGTGTACGAGTCGAGGAGTATCATCAAGTGTAAGTCATCGACTGAGCCGCGCTGATGCCAGACATCGCCATGCGAGTCAAGTCGACCCTGCACGTTATGGGCGATATCAACCAAGTTGTGCGGTATCAGACAGCCTGCGATGTCGAGCTCGCGAATTTCACCATCTTCGCCGAACAGCTTACGTTTGAGTGTCTTTACAAGGAGATGTGAGTCTACTGAACCTCTCTTGACGATGCTCTGTAGCTGATGAGCAGGTTCACCGGAGTCCCGCCCGACCCGACCCTTGTCGCCTTCTTGAGTCGGATGCTCGATACCCGCTTGACCGGATACGAGCGTCTCTTGTCCCAGCAGCCATATCTGGCAGGGCAAGAGCTCACACTCGCGGACCTCTTTCATGTTCCTAACGCACTCGCTGTCCTTGAGGTATGTTTCCCGATACTTCTCGTTTGTGTGTCGAGCTGAGCGACAGGCTGGGCACGTTCAAGCGCTTATCAACGCCGATGGCAAATCGCCCAATGTTGCGCGGTGGTGGGCGGAGATCAGTAGCCGAGCCTCGTGGACTGAGGTGGCAGGCATACTTGGGAGAATTCCTACATGATAGGAAACGTTCTTGACGGTATGCATCTGATCAGTGCGAAACTTCTCACTCGTGTCTCGTACGGCTTACTCAGTGAACAGTATTGGCAGCGCGCGGGTAGGTAGCTGAGATGCAGATATGCGGAGAGAGCTGAAAACTGTTCCTTCTTGCTGACCGCTTGTCCGCCCCCGCGCGTGTCATGTAGTGAGGTGACATCTGAGACGAGCTTGAACGGATCGCCACCCAGATTGCGCCGTGGGGGCATCGGAGCCGTGGGTGTCGCTGAAGAAAGGATCTCACCCAGTAGACTGCAAATCCGACAGATCGACCTCATTCAGGTCGATAAAGGCAAACCCACACTCAATCCCCTTTCTCCCCATCCACGACTCAATACATACATTGTTATATCTCGTACATTTGAGTCTCATCCCCCTCCACCAGACTGACCCTACCTCGCTCGATCATGTCTGTTTCTGCTTCTGGAGGAGACGACACTGCCTGGAGTCCTCATCTACCACCCGAGCTATGGGGCATGATCATCAGGGCGGGCGAGAAAGGGGAGCCGACCATGGTGGTGAAAGGTGGAGGAGACACGGTCCGGTGCCGGACCTGGATGCACAGGACATTTCTTCTGCTCAGTCGGGTGAGGCAGACAGCTGTCTTATTCCCCTGCTCTCGGTCCTTTGCTGATACGCTCAGGAATACGCTCGCCTGGTCCCGGACGAGACCAAGACCCACTTCCTCCTTTCGGGAGAGAACGTGCGCCACGAGCTTGACCTGGGTTCCGAAGTCGACCTCGGCGACTATCTCACAAACGATGCAACACGGCTCGAAGCCGAATCGAGGCTTTTAAGGTCGAAGATCGCGAATTGTGTGGTGGGGCTGGTACCACGATACATCGTGAAAGACGGAGAAGAGTCCGCTCTGCGGAAATCAGAGACTGACGCCACGGTATGCTTCCTCTACTCTCTCAGAGCGGATGGCAAACTGCCAAGACTTCGCGACATCGTCTACAATGCGACCACCATCAATCTCGATCCCTCGGAGAACGACTACTCAGTCTTCGCATCCCCCTCTGAAAGCATTTGCGCCAGTAGCAACAAGCTTCCGAGCGAGATGCACATACAAGCTCATCTCTTGGTACCGAAAGAATGGTACGGCCCTGTCTATCTGACCGCCAACCTTCCCACGGATTTATCCATTCACAGCCACATCAACCACCGACCCCAACCTTTTAGAGGTACCTCAGCGTGTTCGGCGATGAGATGGTATACCTGGGGATGTATGTCCGATGAGGATGGATTTGCGTACATCGACGAAAATGTGCCGGACATGATCAGCACCGACTTCAGCTCGCACTTACAGGAGGGTGCCACTTTTGCGATTCTCTGTCGGGACGATATACGCTATAAGGACCCACGCGACGCGGACAGGAAAGATGCTCGCGACCAAGAGCTATCGAGCGCTCTTGCCTACTCGATCTCGAACACGCCAAGCAGTAAGACCCGCTTCACACTCGAGAACCACAAGGGGGAAATGATCGCGATGACAGCCGGGAGAATCGAAGAGATAGAGGAGACTGATGTGGCGCTGTGAGACATCGCGAGGTGTGCCTCGGTTGGACGGGTGGTGCTTCTACTAGATGTGTGGACATGTGAATGACTCAGTATCAATGAACGGTTCTGTTCACTTAGCGAGTCGCTGACTCGCAGGGCCGGTAGGACATTGTGTTCGGGATCCGGCGGACTTGACTTGACTTTCGATCTCACCAAGTCCGGCCGAGGTCAGATCAGCTGACTCGGCCTACCCGCTATACCACGGCATGAGGGTCATTAGGTTGCGAGCGCGTTAGCTAGGCCGTGCAATCAATACACAGCTTCATGTACAAGAGGTAGTAGCAGTCATTATCAGTAGAAGCTACACAGTATCGAACCGGACCTGGCCTTCCCATCTCCCCACCTACCCACCTCCTCATACCGCTCCCTATTCTCGCCCTGTCCCCTGCTCGCTAGCTCCCCACTTCCCCATCTCGCCATCTCCCCATACCCCTCCCCCAGCTCCTTACATCTTGAACAAGAAACCCAAATCCTCCACTGTCAACTTCCCGAGCGCAGCATCCGGGTCCTTGTTAAGTGCCGCCTCAGTCATCGCCAACTTTTTGTGTTGCAGTTGGACAATCTGCGAGATGTCAGCTCTAGCCTTATACATGTGAAAGAGCAACCGAAACAAAGCATGTCAAGAATGAGAGGGCAGAGGAAGGGGATACGAGAAGGGAAGGGGGGCGGGGCGGGCGGATTTGGAAGGATTGGGATAGACAGCTCAATACGAAAGACTCACCTGATCCTCAATACTATCCTCCACTACGAGTTTCACCACTTTCACCGGCCTCTTTTGCCCCAATCGATGAATCCGGTCCATAGCCTGATACTCGACCGAAGGGTTCCACCACGAGTCCATCATAAAGACCATACTCGCTTCAGTCAAGTTGAGGGCGACACCGCCGGCTTTGAGCGAAATGAGGAAGACGGTGACGTGGGTGTTGTTCACTGAGAAATTAGCTCTGGCTCGGGTCGCCGTCGGGCTGGAGGCAGGGAACGACGTACTAAAGTGTTGAATGGTGGCGTCTCGTTGTTGCGGTGTCATTCCGCCTTCGAGTCGACAGATCTGATATAATAAGCTGATGCCCAATGGATACCACCTAAACACAGAAGAAGGAGCTCACGTTGAAGCCGGCCTTCTGCAGCCTGAAAGCAATGAGGTCAAGGAAAGAGACGAATTGAGAGCTGCACGTGTCAGCTGATGCCTTAATTAGTCTCGACCGCAGACCGCCACAGCTCCCAGAAGGTAACAGAGAGATCTCTTTGGTGCTGCCCCTTCTTTTGCCTCCCTATCTCGCCTGAAAGTAGTCATATAAATGCGAGACTATGCCTCGTTCCTCGATATTGCCTCGGCGGCCGAGATCAAGGCCAGAAGCCAACTCACAAGACGAGCGACTTGATCGTACAATCCTTGTTCCGCAGCTTCTCCAGCTCCTCCACCAGCGCCTCCAACTTGGAGCTCGATCTCCAATTCTACCTCGTAAGCTGTGGACACCCGCCATCGGACCGGATCATCGAGCTTACGTTGAGGTCCAGCCGACTTAAGATCCCCTGCCTCGCCTTCTTACTGTTCTCCTCAACATCAACCGCCTCTTGCTCCAGGTCGATCGAGATTTCGATATGGCACACTGGACATTCAGGCTAAACTAGTCAGCTATGTTCTTCTTGCCCTGAGGAACCGATAACTCACGCGATGACCCCTGTTTTGCTGTACTTCGAGGTACTGCCGGATGCACTCTCGGTCAAAGACATGTCGGCACGCAGAGACGATTGCATCTTCAGCCTATGAAGTCAGCTCTAGTCCTATGGTGGAATCATGGATAGACCCGTTAGCTCACCGTATCCTGACACAGCCGACAGACCGTCCCCTCGGCGGTGGTCTCCATATCCTTTAACATGGCCGTCTTGCTCCTCAGGACCAAATCCGGATGACACGCCATCTGCCTCATCCGCGTAATCAGACTGAAGATGTTCGAGTAGTCTGCTCAGATCAGCTTTGCTCCTTTCCCCTTCGTCCCTATCCCCCCTGACCCCCTCAATCGTGTCGGGACTCACTATTCAAAACAGTCCCCTGCCCCACATACGTCGCAAACTGCCTCTTCGCCCCCGTAAACAAACTCATATACAGCTCCTTCTCCTCCGGACTGAAATAATCCCTCCGCACCACAATCGTCCGAGGGGGTAATCCCAAATCATCCGCCCGTTCCAGTTTTGTCCGACGAAGCATCATTCGATCGAGCAGGACTTTGAGCTTTTTGAAGGCGGTATGGCCCGGTCCACCTGTTTCGATACCGTATCGCGCGATAGGAGTGAGAATCTATAGTGTCAGCTCGGTCCCGTCTGTACCTGTACCTGTACCTGTACCTGAAGGCAGACATGGGCAGGGAAAAGATGAGCTCACCTCGGTATTCCAGAAACAGACATGCGACATCGGGCCATGCCCACACTGATCACACGTCCGCTTGTCCGTAAACTGGATCGTCAGCTCGTCCTCGCAGATCCTTCTTTCCACACGGCGTAGCTCACCTTCCAATGCAAACTCTTACAATCACACTTTTTACAAAAGTAATGACTGAACGGATCGGCCCCTAAGAACCTGACGAGCGAGTACAGCTCCCCGACCCGATTCTGGAGAGGCGTGCCGGAGAGACACCACTTGTATTGCGCTTGAAGGGCAAAGGCGGCTTTGGCGGCGTTTGTACTGCGTTCTTTGATATTGTGGGCTTCGTCAAGAATGACCCTGCTCGTCGGCTCTTGCCCTGGGTCTAGGAATTCGCACAGAAAGAGGGGCTCACCGATACCATTCGAACGTGTGCATAGGCGACTGTTCTTTGATGAACACATCGCCCTTCTTGAACCCGCGGGCTTGCCGCCGGAATGAGGCTTCGAGGGTACCGTACGAGCAGAGTACCTGTTTCGTCAGCTTCTACCCTCTTGCTGTCCTCCTCCAGAAGCGAGAGGTGAAGGCAACTCACCACATCATACTTCTTCAGCTCGGCCGCCTTCATCCTTCCCTGCCCATGCCAAACACACACCGTGAACCCATCCGTATTATTCTCGATCTCATGCTTCCACTGCATGAGCGCCACGACCGGCGCAACGACGAGGGAGGGTTTCCTTCTTGGTTCCGAAAGAAGCAACGCAATAGTCTGGATCCTGTCTTTGTCAGCTTTGCCCATTCGCTGCTGAGAGGACGCGAGCTTACGTCTTCCCCATTCCCATCTCATCCGCCAGCATGCCGCCCTTCCACACCCCCTTCTCCTGCTCCTTCATCCAGTACAGACTCTCCTTTTGGAACGGCAGAAGGTTCAACTTGAGAGAGGGGTGCGCCTCCATCATGACTGGTTTGATGGGTACGACGTTCTGCTGTAGGTCTCCCCAGACATCCCGGAGCTCGGGGTGGTGCTATCATATCAGCTCCAAGGTCCTGGACCTCCCAGCTGGAAGCGAACTCACCAAAACCAGCCGTATACTATTCTTCTCCCCATTCGTCAACTTCCTCCCCAACTCCTTCTTCAAAGCCGCCTCTGCCTTCCTTATCGGCTTCATCTTCTCCTTCTCCTCCGCCCGCTTGGCCGCCTTGCCCTCCTTCATCTTCTGGATGGTCATCTCCCTTGTCTCGTCGTCAAGCGCATCGAGGTCTTCCTCCGCCATCGACTCGTCCTCGACCTCGCTGCCCGAACCTGGCGTAGAATCGCCTAGCTTCCGACCTTTCCCGGCGAACTTCCTAGTCTTGCCCCCTCGTGTCTTTGGCGCGGCCTTGGCCTTGGCTTTCGACTTGGACTTCGACTTGGATTTGCCGCTGCCGGGACCGATAGAGATAGGGTCGTCCGAGTCCTCTTCTTCCGAGCTGAGGGCGGACGAGGCGTCCGATCCTGTTCCAGAGCCGGACCCGCCAAAGTCCGACCCGGACTCATCGTCCGTTCCGTCCTGCTCTGACCAGGAGAGCTTTATCGCCTTCTTGACTTCTGCCCGATCAGCTTCTGTCCAGCATTCATGAGGCCGAAAGCTCACTCTCTGCAGACTTGATAGCAGCCACTCTCGACTTCCGACCCGTACTAGGCGTACTCGGCGCTGTACTCCGCCCCGCCGCCCCAGCCCCCTTTCTGCCAGTGGACGGCATAGCGCTCGAAGCCCGACTATTCACCTCTGTCGTGCTCGCACTCCCGAACCTGTCCGTCACGCCCCGGGCCGCCGAAGCTCTGATCGCAGCCTTAAGCTGCCGTTCTTCCTCGTCCGAGTCCATCGCAAAGTGATCCGCTGCTGCGGGTGGGACTTCTGACTCGTCGGACGCTTCCGCCTTCTTGGGCTTACCTCGTCCCTTGGGCTGGACCTTAGGCTTGGTGGTGGAGGATGCGGCAGAGGCTCTGGGCCGACCTCGAGCGGCCGCTGGTTTGGGGAGCGTAGGGGTATCATCATCCGATAGTGCGAGCTCGGAGGCGGAGGCTTTGGCGACTCGCGAGTACTTGCCGATGTTGAAAGGTTGGGCGGCGTGCTTGTCTTTCTTGCCCTTGGGTACTGCGGCGGGAGTGGGGGCAGAGGGGATGACTTCGAGGCCGAACTCATCAAAGACCTGCTAGTCAGCATGATGTACAAAGAGTAAGGGGACTAGTATACCTTCTTCTCGCCCCCCTCTTCACCTTCTAGCTCGCCCAGCTTAGCCACTGCGCTCGGACGTGGCTTCTTCCCCACTGGGGCAGATGAGCCGAGCGTCAGATTATCGGCTGAGCCCGTTTGCTCTTGACCCAGCTTGGACCGCCGACCGGGGATGGCGACACTATCGATGGTAGATTTCGGGGATCCGGAAGCCCCCTTCGAGGTCGATCCAGCGGCGGGGGCAGAGAAGACAGACTCAGTCTCGGACTCCACTGGAACAGTGAGCTTCTTCCTCGTCAATAACGGACGAAACTATGATAGCTTACCCTTCCGCTTCCTCCCTCTCGCATTCTTTGGCTTCACCTCCTCTTCATCGACTTCCGTCCCCGCATCATCCCCATCCGTCATACTATCAGGCGTAGGCAGTCCCGCCTGAGCTGAGGCCTTGTTGCCTCGACCACTAGCCGATACTGCCGGAGTGGAAGCGGCTGATGAGGTCGAAGGGGTTTCTGCAGACTTGGCGGAATCGGCCGGGGTCGGTAGGGAGCTACGAGTCTTGCGTGGTGGCATCTTGCTGCTGATTCTTCGGGAAAGAGGTGAACGAGCTATCTCGTCGTCGTCGGGGTAGAAGATGAGAAGGTCCAGTCAACTCTCGCTGTCTTGCTCCACACCCCACCTCCACCGTCAACTTTCTTTTCCTGAGCCAGTGACGAGCGATCGCGGAGTGGAGGCGGACAAGGCCGACGCCACCCAGTCGCGTCGCGTCGAGGGAGGCCACGTGTACCTGACTTTCCCACGCCTGCGAGAAGAAAGGAATGAGGAATGCGGCGCAGCAGCAGCTCGAGCGGAGAGACACGATCAGAGGTACATCTTTCGACCAGCTCATCGTCTGGCTCACCGCTCACCAAGGGATAATAGCCCGCTGGTCAGATCCTTCATCCATCCATCACCTGGTTCCCCCACCCCAAAAGTATCGCAATGCTCCGCTCCACCCTCCTACTCGCCCTCCTCTCCCCCTCCCTCGCCTTCTACCTCCCCGGTACCGCCCCGCGCGACTACCGCCGAGGCGAGCAGCTCGATGTCTTCGTCAACACCCTCACTCCCATGCTCAATTCCAAACTCCGCTCCCTCATCTCCCTCGACTACTATGACCCCCGCTTCCACTTTTGCGCTCCCTCCGGCGGACCCGTCAAACAGCCGGAATCCCTCGGGTCTATCCTATTCGGCGACCGCATCCTGTCGTCCCCGTACGACGTCAAGATGCTGGAGAACTCCACCTGCAATATGCTGTGTCGAAGCACGGTGCCCGGGGAGGACGCATTATTTATCAATGAGCGGATAAGGGAGGATTACGGGCTGAATCTGGTGATTGACGGATTGCCCTCGTCGGAGCAGAGGCAGGATAGCAAGACGGGGGAGGTGTTCCTGGATGCCTCGGGATTTAGTCTTGGAGACGACGAGACGGATCCCGCTCGGCCGGCGCTTAACAACCATTATGATATCTACGTCCAGTACCACGCGCGGGATGCGGACCATTTCCGCGTCGTCGGCGTGATGGTATATCCTCGGTCGGTCGACTCGATCCTGCCGGGCGGATCGGTCGACTGCGAGTCGAAGCGGCAATACCACCTCTCGGAGACGGGATCCAACGAGGTCGCATACACGTACGCCGTCCAATTCACACCGTCGGACATCCCCTGGGGTCTCCGGTGGGATGCTTACCTGCACGTCTTTGACCCCCGGATCCACTGGTTCTCGCTCATCAACTCCCTGGTCATCGTCGGCTTTTTGGTCTTCATGGTCGCCATGATCCTGTACCGGACCATGTCCAAGGATATATCCCGGTACAACGCCATCGACCTCTCAGAGGACGTCCAGGAAGACTACGGCTGGAAGCTCGTACACGGCGAGGTTTTCCGCGCTCCCTCCCGCCCCATGCTGCTCGCAGTCATGGTAGGCAACGGAGCGCACCTCGTCGCCATGTGCGGAATCACCCTCGTCTTTGCCCTATTCGGTTTCTTATCCCCCTCGAACCGCGGCTCACTCGCGACCGTCCTCCTCCTCTGCTGGACCCTCTTCGCCTGCGTGGGCGGGTACGTCTCGGCCCGCACCTACTCGTCCAACGGCGGAGACAACTGGAAGTCCAATATAGTCCTCACCGCCGTCCTCTTCCCTACCATCATATTCACCGGCATCGGACTCCTCAATCTATGGCTCATCGGCTCCTCCTCGTCCGGCGCCGTCCCGTTCGGAACTATCCTCGCTATCCTCCTCCTATGGTTCCTCATCTCCGTCCCCCTCTCGGTCGCTGGATACTTTTACGGGATGCGACACGGACCTTTCGCTCAGCCCGTACGCGTCCATCCTATCCCACGCCAAATTCCTCCCCAGCCATGGTATCTCCGTCCCGTCCAGTCCGCTATCCTCGGCGGCGTCCTTCCCTTTGGCGCGGCCTTCGTCGAGTTGTACTTCGTCCTCTCGTCCCTCTTTGGACATAGGGCGTACTATGCCTTTGGCTTCCTCTTCCTCACATTCTCGGTCGTCGTCATTACCACCGCGACGGTCACGGTGCTGTTTACGTACTTTGTCCTATGCGGGGAAGAGTACAGGTGGCATTGGCGGGCGTTTTTGATTGGCGGAGGGAGCGCGTTCTGGGTGTATGTGTATGGGATATGGTACTGGGCCAGTAGGCTCAGTCTCGATAATATCTCGAGTGTGACACTGTACTTTGGGTACTTGTGAGTAGTTCCGCCACTCAGCCTGGATCAAGCGCTGATCTGCTAGATCCATCTTCGCTCTTCTAGACTTCCTGATCGGCGGATCAATAGGCTACATCGCGTCCTACTTTGCCATTCGGAGACTGTACGGGTCAATAAGAGTGGACTAGGGTACAGCTGGGCTAGGGTGCGGGAGTAGGGTATTGAGGTCCTTTGAGCTGTTGATAGAAGGGCGATACTCTATAGGTGCATAGGGTACATAGTAGATAGATCTAGTAGGTAATAGCACAAAAGTCCAACGAGATTCGGATCACCCCCAGATCCCCGCCTCTGCACCAGGTCCGGCTCGGGCTCTGTCCCTCTCTCACATCCACCCAATCAAGTCGCCTTGGCCTGACCCGCCGCCGCCCGCCACAGCTTCGCCGCTGCGATCATCTCGTTGTTTCCGACAATCTTGACCTTGTCCGCGGGAGGGTTGGTCGCAAAGTGGGCAATACAGTCGCCGACGCTGATGGGTCAGTACGGGTCCGTGATAGTCTTAGGAAGAGCGTATAGACAGGGCGAGGAGAGAGGGAATGGAGCACGTAGAAGAGATTGTGTAGCGGTGGGAGAAGTACTGGAGGGGAAACAAGCGATACGAGGAGAATAGCTGGGATGAAGAGAGGCCGTTACGAAAAGATTGGAGATGAGAGAAGGATATACAGCTCCTTCTAGACTCACTCGGCAGCATCAATACGCAGACTGTCCATCGGCAGTCCGATCTTCCCCAACCCCCAGAAGACCTTTTGGGTCATGAGCTCCGGCACGCGAGTTTCCGTCCTGGTCGTCAGTCAGAGCTCTTCCAAGATGAGGAAAAGGAGGGGATGGTGAGTTCAGGGTAAGGGGTGATCGGGAGACAGGGACATGCGGAGAAGAAGACGGGAATGGAAGACCAGGGGTAAGAGGAGGTGAGAGAGGGATGAAGGAGGTAAGAACATACCTCGGACCCATGAGAAGTCCCGGACGCAGGATGACAGTGTGTTCATAGTTCATGCCGATCAGGTCGTCCTCTAGCTGTCCCTTCATGGCGGGATAGCCCATGTATGAGTTGGAGTTGGCGCCGCCGGACGAAACGAGGATTGCCTGTATGTGTCAGCGAGGCGCTTACACGCTGGGTGACGAGCAGGGAGGACGATTGGCAGACGGCTGGGTGGGATCGAGGAGGCGTAGGGATACGGGCAGGACCAGATCGTCTGGATAGTAGTGCTCGAAGTCTATCTTGAAAAGAGTAAACACAGCGGCGGTTCATTTCAGGCAGGCGGCGACAGATGTACAGAAGCTTGTGGAAGCCTTCTCCCTCTCACATCTCTCCGTACTCCCCTCGGTTCCTCGACCGAAGAGAGACGCTATCCTAGACCTCTTCCCAGATCAATGGACTCACCACGCTTGCCCCATCCGCCCTCGCCTTCTTCGCCAAATCCCTGTTCAAGTCCAGATCAATCTTCTTCTGATTCTCGAAACCGCCCGCCGCGCCCCTTGTCGTCCCCAGACAGCTGACATATACGTCTCCTTTACTCGCGAGCTGCTCCGTCACAGCGCTGAAGAGGTCCGGGAAGGTCCGATTCGCGTGCGTAGTGGCTTGATGACCGGTCGGAGTATTGGCGGGAGCCGAGCGGGTGAAGGTGCAGATTGAGAAGGCCTGAGAGGTGGATGAGAGGAAGGAGCGGAGGGTGGCGGAGCCGGTGAGACCTGTAGAGCCGAGCAGAGTGACGGAGATTGATTCGGGCATGTTGAGTGATCGATAGATGCAGAAAGTAAGCTTGCCAGCTTGAAGCTTGAGTTCGAGCGTCGACGCGAGGAATGCGGAGCAGAGGATTGTGGCGGATCGAGTGGATTGCTTCTGAGTGGCGGTTTTTGCGAGCTTGGGTGGCGAGATGTGTTCGGCTTGTCCTGGCGATCTGAGTGATCAGAAGGATGTGCGAGCTCTGCGGAGTCAGTGAAGATCGACACGGTTATTAGCTAGAGGTCCTCGCTGATACTCTTAACCACCCTGACATCCACAACACAAAACTAGAACCCCTGACTTCTTCACCACCATCACAAGCACCGTTCGACCCTCACCCCTCCCGACCATCTACACCTTCCGTCTCCGAGAGAGTTCCTGGGTCAAGATCCACAGATCAATATCCTCATGGTACGTCGTCCAGATACTCGCGAAGGGGATAGACCCCAACGCTTTCCCCTACAGCTCATCAGCCTCAAATCCGAAAGACAGGATGTACCGTGCAATAGTGAAACTCACCGGAAGACGTCCAATGAGGACCTGCTTGAGCTAGAAATGGTCGTTCGAGGTTGCGCACTCGCGGAGTTCTTGACAGAGGAACCGGTAGTCCCGCTCGGAAGTTTTGGGAAGCCCTTTCGGGTACATCCACTCGCCAGGTACACTATGTCATCAGCTAAGCGCTCGATCCGCAATCAGGGATAGCAAGAAAAGCAGTGAGTGGAGCCGGCAGTGCGGGGAACTAAGGATATGGATGTAGGAGGATTCAGTATGATGAATCAAGTCTGCAGTGACTTCATCGCTCGCCAGATCAACCCAGTCGGTTCAGCCTGGCCCCATCTGCATGACGAGGCTCGCAGACGCGCGAGTAGCCCATTGCAGCCTCTTCAACAGATATGATAGTGCAGAGATAACGTTTCAAAGGAGCATGAGTAGATGGAATAGCTTACGAGGCCCTGGAGAGAGCAGCCTGTGCAGCTGGAGCCGGGCGGGGACGCAGATTTGCCGAGGGTCCTTTGGCACCAGGGGCAGAAGGCACCGGGCGGAGCTGTGCCTAGCTACGTCAGTCAAAGCTCTTGTATCAGACTGTCTCATCTCTTCAGGGGTAAAGGACAGGTGTTGTGTGTCCAACTGTGTGTAAAGGGACGTATGGGTGTGTGTTGGGTTGGATGATCATCTAAGCACGTACCTTCTGCCCCTTTCCAGGCTTGGACTTCTTCTTCTCGTCGATCTTGGTCCGCATGTTGATCTGAGAGGGGGTTTATGTGTTTTTTTGGGGTTTTCTGGTAGCAAGGCACTGGACAGGGGCACTATGAGACTAGGCAGCAGTTGAAGCAAGGCATTCATCACGTTCGCGAGGGTGGCAAAGACACCCGGAAATCAGCATTCCTCGGCCGGATTTCCGGTTTGTGTCTCGTATATTGATGTGGCACTCCGGACGGCCTGTGCGCAGGACCTACAGGCGCTTGCCATGCATCCAATGCTCCCTGTTGACACGCCAAAAGCACAGAATATGATTCTGCATAGATCAGAAGAAGTAGAAAGGAATGCCAGCATACCTCACGATCGGCAAAATCAACGTAAAAGTCAGTCGCGCCGCCGCCTTCCCTTTTTGCCACTGTTCACCCTTCATCTGACCAGCCCCGTCCCAGGAGAGAGCCACATCGTCGGCGTCTTATATCTCCGCAAGTCGCGAGTAAGGCCGTCGTCTAATGTTGCTGGGAATCCGTGGTTTCATCGTGCACTTCATGCACCGGAAACTGGATTACAATATTGAAACTTTATATACTTTACTATGGTCATAAAGTCAAAAGGCAATAACCCGGTCCCGCTCTCTCAGGGCGGCCTCATCCTGCGGGCTGGGGCCGGCTACAACCTGGGAGGGTGGCAATGCTTGAGGTCGGTGTGTCCACCCGAAACCCACATCTAAACCTTCGGGGGACGCTCCCGTAGGCAAAGGTGGGCGGAGGGTTGGGCTTTGAACAAACATAAGATCTTCGTTGGATATATAATCGGAGTCCGTTCTCTATGCTCAGGAGCTCCGCCGTCAACCGGCTCCGATAGGGGTTGGCGCCACCTAAGGGCACGGCACAAGCAGACCTGGTCTAGCCAAGACCAAAATCTTTTTGGTGCCTCTGTCACGGGATTCAAACAGATGTCCTTGATGTGATACAGATGTAGTAGGGACTTGATATTGGGAGCAACGTCTGTTATACAGCTATACCAGTCTATGAGCAACCCACATATCTATGTGTCGCTCGCTTTGCCTATGTTCGCTGTTTCGGGCACACTTGTGAATGAATCCCCAGGCTCTTCGCCGAGCTAAACCGACCGCAGTACCGTCAATCATCAAAGGATAAGACCCGTCTTGATGCAGCGGTGGTGACTTCTCACATAGATCGATGGCGTAGAACCGAGAGAGCGGCAGTGGAGAGGATGCTTGAGGTGAGCTTGCGTACAAGAGGAATGTGTGGCTGGGTGGCGAAACCGTCTGCTTGGCATTATATTGTTTGCTGACGTCATCCAGATGAAAAGTCGATCGAGAATAGCTACAGCCAAACAGAACATCTCCATATCTCTTTGCTTGTTGGTCTTACTGTCCCATCGACTTACGGTGTAAAGCTTTGAAGTCATTGCAAGACTGCGTTCAGCGAGATATATTGGAACCTGCTAGTGAGCGACCCATCCTTTGTTGATGCTTGGTATTCCCTCTTCCGGATCGATAGCTGCTTGGCGGGACGGTGCTGATTGCACAGCTGGCATCTCTGCGTCTTCATCCATCATATATCTACTCTAGGCATCGATCTTCCTAGCTCTTAATTTCCAGATACACCACGTATAATCAGTCAAAATGTAAATTTTATGTCCTCTGCAGTCCCTCCAAAATTCCTCGCTGATTCGCAGGGACATGGTATCTCCCGCCCAGCGGCATCGGGCCGAGCACCTGGCTCGATCCGCAGCTGCCGCCGCGCACGCCTCTTACTACTCGCACCCCAGCGCTCACCTTCACACCTACCTCGGACGCGGCAATGCCGGTACCCAAGACTACAAGCCCAGCGCGGCAGAGGACGATCGGGATCGGAATGCCCCTGGAGGCGAGACGGCGCCGCTGAACGAGGCGTACATCCCTCCTCCCCCGTCTTTGGACCCGGCGCCGAGCAAGCCAATGGGTCCTACAGAGACCGGCACGGATGGTACCAAGGAAGAATTGGGAGGCAAGGAGGATGCGGGCGCGCCTTCGGGGCTGGACAAGGGCGCGCTGGAAAAGGGCGGCGAGGCTGGCGGTACGCGCACTAGCCCTGGGCCCACTGCGGAGGAGGTCGAGAAGTGGCGCGCGCAGAATGGCGTCGAGGGGGCGAGCCAGCAGGGCGCGACTGCACTCGTCGCTGGTCAGCAGAAGGAGCAGACCGAGTTGAAGGTCAGCCGCATGGAGCCGCATCTGCAGCTGATGTGAGTCTGACTTGCCGTCTTCTGTTTGTACGGCGACTCAAGCTGACCCTCAGGTGCGGTCCCCTTCTCGCCTACTATACCGTCAAGGAGAATGTCTGGCAGGGCGCCGTCATGGTGGTAAGCTTCTCTGCTCGACAATCTCTCGGAGGAGCCCAAAGTTAATCTCCAGGTCGTCCGAGATGAGGGATCCAATCTTTCCACCCCACCCACTCTTGCCCTTCAATTCCACCAATACTCGCCCCCAACTCCTGAAGCCCCTCGCCTAGCCGAGCTCAACTCCGGCGGCGAGCTCCTCAAAGGCACCACCCTCAACTCGGAGAAGATCCTCATGTACAAGTCGCACGACGACACCTCGTCCTTCTTCAGATTTGTGATCGAGGTCCCGCTCCAGCAGGTCGAGATGGTGGTGACGTACAGCCTGAACGGAGGCGAGGGGATCGAGTTTGTCGTTCCCAAGATTGGGCAGAACCTCCGATGGGCGGCGCACAGTTGCAACGGTGAGCTAGCATTTCGACTCTCGTGCAACGAAAGCTGATGATTAGGCTTCTCATCCGGCGTCAACCCCGATGAGTTCAAGGGCGACTTTGAGTCTGGCTACGACCCGGTCTGGGAGGATATGATTCTGCGTCACCAGCAGCGGCCGTTCCACTGCATGGTGGGCGGTGGGGATCAGATTTACTGCGATCCTATTACGCGCGAGCCGGAACTTCAGGGCAAGTCATCTTCTTTTGGCCTCAATCATCCCAGCTGACCCGTCACAGACTGGATCAACGCCCCGAACAAGGAAGCCAAGATCAACACCCCTCTCACTCCTGAGATTGTAAGCTCAATCTCTCTGCTGGCGAGAACAGGGCTGATCAGCAGGAATACGCTGTTGACCGGTTCTACTTCAACCACTACTGCAAGATCTTCCGCTCGAACGCGTTCGGCCGGGCCAACTCGACGATTCCCATGGTCAACATGCTGGACGACCACGATCTTATCGATGGCTTCGGGACGTATGATGATGAGACTCAGGAGGGCGCTGTGTTCAAGCACGTCGGGTCCAGGGGTTACTTCGTGCGTCTTCCTTCCATCTTGCTTCAGTCTTTGTTGGTCGCAAACCCGCGCTGACGAAGCAGTGGTTCTGCGTCTTCCAGCTCTTCACGGTCGACGCGTACGACGGCGTCAACCCCGCTCCCAACACCCACCCGATCAAGTCCATGATCATCGGCGACGTCAAGGGTCCGTGGATCCCTGCTCCGTCCCACTCGCTCATGGTCTACCTCGGCCCCAAGGTCGCCATGCTCGCTCTGGACTGCCGAGCAGAACGGAAGTTGACGGAAATCGTCACGCCGGCAACTTACACCAAGGCGTTTGCGGAAGTGAGGAAGTACAAGGGGATTGAACAGCTGGTCATCCTTCTTGGTGTCCCCATCGGTGGGTTCTTTTCTGATTATTATAAGGCGGGGCTGACTCCCAGCCTACCCCCGCATGTCCTTCCTCGAGCACTTCCTCGACGCCAAGTACAACCCCCTCAACATGCTCGCACGGCACAACGCCATGGGTCTCGGCGGGATGGTCAACAAGTTTGACCAATCCTCCGAGCTTCTCGATGATCTCAACGACCACTGGTGTGCCAATACGCACAAGAAGGAGCGCAACTGGCTCGTCCTCACCTGTCAGGCGCTCGCCCTCGAGTTGCACGCACGAATCACGTTCCTTTCGGGCGATGTCCACCTCGCGGCGGTCGGATGTCTCTTTACGCATGCCAAGAAGCTGGGCAGGGCGTTGCCGGCGGAGGAGGACCACCGGTACATGCTGAATGTGGTGACGAGTGCGATTGTCAATACGCCTCCTCCACCGGGCGCGGCGGCTATGGTGGGGATGTTGGGTGGGAATAAGCACAGGACCTTACGTGAGTTGTTCTCCACGGCGTTTCGAGAACCTACGCTGATATGTTAGACTCGGAGAATACCGACGAGGTCATGATTCCCTTGTTCGTGGAGGACACAGACGGAACGCCAATGAAGCGCAAAGTGAGCTACCCTCCTGGACACGTATCTCGAGCAGAAGCTGATGGTAAAGTTTGTCCAGCCTCGCCGCAACTACGCAAGCATCGAGTACCTCGAGGAGTCTGGTGATCTCGTATTCGATTTCAGGGTGGAGAAGGTTCAAGGTGGAGGGGACACAAAGAGGTAAGTCTCTAGCGATCCCGGAGAGAATCGAGTCGAGCTGATCGTCTTAGTTACCCAATCAAAGCGCCTCCTCCTCGCTGGACCAAGGCGGCTCCTAATCCGGTTTAGGTGGTCGGCAGGAGCGGTGCGAGGGGATGTTGCTTTCGATCAGTGGAAATCTGTTGGTTCGTGGGATCTGATTCTGAACATGCGTTTCCTGTGTAAATGTAATCAATGCGCGCCGTGAGGTCCAATACACTAACATTTGATGCACTGATACGACCAAAGCACCATCGTGGGTCGCGGAACGCCTTGAGATCTCGCACTGTGGCATCGTAATCTCGTCGACGGCAAGATTGCGGTGCACGAAGGCCAAATGGCAACATTGACCAGATCGCGGTGCACAAAGGATAATTCGCGCGATCAGACCGAACGCGTAAGAGCACCTTGTGGACCACTCGATCGCGATCCGCGAAGGCCACATGGCGACATCGTCCATATTGCGGTGCACAAAGGACGAATGGCGTGATCAGGCCGAACGCGCAAGAGCACAGAGTCCTTTCACCTCGGCCTCCTGTCTCTTATCTCGATGCCCAGGTAGATCGGGCTATATAACGAGTGCCTTTTGCCCCGGTATCTTCGCCACTCTCTTCACATTACCCTCCCTCACAGCCAACTACATCTGACTTCACGTCACCGAACTTCGTTTCACATCACTACACTTGTCCACATCGGATCACCATGTCCAGCACCTCCGCTTTCTACCTTGGTGGTCAAACCACTGTGAACGTCCCTTTCGTCTTCACCCCGCTGCCCTCGGGCCAGTCCAAGTACTGGTTCGACAAGAACGGATCGGCCGCTGCCGCTTCGTCCGCGACGACTACGCTCGGCTTCCCCAACGACACCCGGAATCGAGCGGACCTTCATGTCAGGAGCGCCCTCGAGCAGCTGCGAGACGGATCGTGCATGCCCGGCGAGTGGGGTCAGATCCATCCGTGTACCCAACGAGATGGATCCACCTACCGCGTCGGCCATCCAGTCGTCCCCACTCGATTCCGCACTGACGAGGCGTGCGAGGGCACGGAGGTCATCGCCGAGCCCATCACCAAGCTCATCATCGACGACAACGGGCTCATCTTGGTTTGCACCGAGGCTGACTTGCTGAACGGGTGGGTGGACTCTGGCATGACTGAGATGGAGGTCGCTTAGGGGAGAGAGAGGAGGATAAATCAGATTGAGGTTGACAGTCGATTCTTTGACATGTACATGGTGGATTCCGCTACGCGGTGTGTGACATCGACCACTTGGCTGTGAAACGAGAGTCCCCGCCGAAAACTATGCTTGCGCTTGGAGAGGCCTTGTGAACAGCTTTGCCTGATTTGATCCCCATTACTGTCCTCGTCAATCAGCAGCCAGCTCAGCAACGCCTTCTGGTAAATACCCCGGAGATCCTGTGAACTGGTCAGCGGACCTTAGTGATATCTCATGTGCTGAAGCGGTTACGCAATGTGCATGTGTTACCCAACGACAATAGCGTATGATTCATGTATAAGCTCTCCGTCCCGTAATCCGTCCCGTCCCCATTATTTACCAGGCATAGGTCGGGGTCAGCCTCGCGAACGAGCAGCATCAGTTCGTGGGCGAACCGAGGGGGATTAAGAGGAGAGCTCTGGATTGAAGCTGTGATATCCAGGCTGGGCGGGTCTTCAGGCGGAGTCATGTCGAGCAAATGCGATTCTCTGCGAACCTGGAAATCGAGACTGTAGACACCGTAGAATCTGAGGTGGTAGAATTGCGAAGGGGGCGGAAGTGAGAGCTTGATACATAGCCCAAGGGCCTCGCCTCTCATCAGGATCCCTTCAGATAGTCAGCCTCGAAACACCAAACTCCATGATCCTTTCGTCCCGCTAATCGTGCCGAAAGCAAATCCAGATCCCGTTCCTTCCAGCATCATCTACGCTGGTCTTACGGGGTGGGCCGAGCCAGTAGCTCTTGCTCAAGCTCTCTGCGTATGCCAGAGGCAGGGGAGCCGAGGGACCATCAGTCAGTCAGTGGGGAGCTGTAAACCCCAGTTGTTTGCTAGTATATAAGTCGCGATGTCACAGAAGCTTCTGTTTGGCGGCACACTAGCCGAAGCCGTAAGTACCTGATTGTCGCCGAGGTTCTCTCGTCGAGGTCAATCAGTAGGAAAAGTCAGAAGCAAGGACCGGACGTACCATTGCCTGCCAACACTCGATGGTACCTACTCTACACAATAGCTTGTGTCCTGCTGAACCATACCTCTGCCTGCCGTTCTACATCCTCCTCCACGCACTGCCTGACTATCATACCTCCCACCGCCCCACCCTGACCCCAAAAGTCCTCAAACATGCCGATCCCATCCTGCGTGACCACGCAGCGACCAGCGCCTGTCAATTGCGCCGCGTACGACCGACCGCCTCCTATCCGCTGGACGGGCTTAGCCTTGATCCATGCACGCGTAAAAATCGGTCCATCCACCGGTGACAGAAGTAGTGAGCCGCGAAGATCGTGAGCCAGATCGCCGAGGTATATATGAGCGCCCTCACGGACGGGGATCGTAGAGCCCGGGTACGTCTTGAGCAGTTCGAGGATATGCGCGCCCATCGGATGATCTTCAATCCGTACCACCTTCAATTCACCGTACGCCCCCTCCGTATACGTTCCCGTGATGTCTCCGCTCGGGCGCGGACTGGTGGGCGATTGACGGGGCAGCGGAGCATCCTGCAGACCGGGGGTGAAAAAGATATCCTCCCAGTCCACCCGCTCCGGGATATCCAGCAGATCGTCCAGGAGTATTTGCAGCGCCGTATCGAGCATATCTGGCCCGAACGTCGCGTCGTTGCAGAATAGTGCGAGCGCGATGTCGTCATCCGGCAGACGAAAGACGAACGAGTAGTGCCCCGGAAGACTGCCCGTGTGACCGACGACCAGGTGCCCGCGATAGAAATGGGTATGCTGGCCGATTCCGTAGAACATCTGGCTCATGGTGGAATGAGGTGGTTGGGCAGCGCCCCAAGCTGTCCGAGGACGATTGAGCTCGTCGAGCACGGCTGGGGAAAGGATTCTCGGCGTCAACGTCTCTTTCAGCCAGAGTAACTACATGATCAGCTCCGCGCAGGGGTATGACGGACGTACGATATCGTTCCCCGTACTCCAAGCTCCACCCGCAGCTGCCAGAAACAGCCCATCCCCTTCGTTCCAAAATGCCGTCCGTCCCACCTCGCCCACATGTCCCGGCCCAGTCTGATCATAGTGCGCAAACCCTTCCACCCGCTTTCCCGACGCCAACGCGACTTTGTGTTCGAACTGCGAATCCTTCATCCCGAGCGGGTCGAAGATGTTCCGCTCGACAAACTCGTGGTATGGCATTCCCGAGAGCTTGGAGATGAACTCGCCAGCTAAGATGAGGCTGCTATTTGAGTATATGGCGGTACGACGGAAAGAGGAGGCAGGGCGGTGGTATCGCATCCGGTTGACGATGGCAGAAGGGGTGTCATTGGTGAATCTGCCGATAAGCTCAACTGCTACAGCTGTTGGTTTGTGCGGGAGACGCTTACCCCCACGCGACGTTATTGACCGGTATTCCGAGACGCATGGCTGCTCCCTGAGCTTTCATCCGATCGGGAGGTGGGTCCAATACTTACCGAGAGCGTCCTCGATATCCGCATTCTCCTCTACTTCCTTGTCCATCATCGTCCAGTCAGGAAGGACCGTTGTGATCTTGGTTGTCCAAGCCAGCGTCTCGCCATTGGGTAGTCTCGTGTCCCGAGCAATCAGTATGCCCACGCTCGCAGCGGCAAACACCTTTGAGCAAGACGCGATGGCGTGCTGTGACTGTGACCCTTCAGCTTTGACCCACGACCTACGCGAGCATGATCAGAAAGGTGAGATCGTACATCTGGCAGCCAAGGAGATCCGCTCGAGTCCCGAATCCCTAGAGCAGTCACGCCTGACTCCCATGCACCCTCCTTTTGACGGACAACCGAGATGCACAGCCCTGGGATCTTGTATTTGACCAGCAGACGCTCGAGAGCCTGCTTGACGTGCGAAGACAGTCGGTACAGCGGTTCGGACCCGGGTTGGTCCCTCGCCGGGTCCATCGGCCACGACGTCATGATGGTCGGTGTGCGAGCTTCAGGGCTATAGATTTCCGGTTGGTTTCAGAGATGTCTGAGTAGCAAAGATGCAAGCCATAGATGGATAATTGGGAAGAACGGGTGGCTGGCCTTGGTATGAACTTTGGTCCTTTGGACCGGTCTTCATCTTGCCGCTGGTCGCACTGCTCGTACATCCGATGAATCATGGACTAGTGGGATGCGATATATCCGGACGGACTTTGGGATATCCGGATCCATCTTGACCCAGCGAGCTACCGAGCACGGTGCTTTACTCTTTACTGGACTGCTGATCGAGAAAGGAGTTCGGATTGTGGATATAGTGTACAACGATACATGTCCCATTCTCAGAGGTTATCAAGAGCTACACCAGCCTGCCACCTCCCCCACCGCCTCGCCGCTCTTAGGTATACCGGTGACCCAAACCCGCTGACAAAAGCTATAGGGAGGAGGGCGATGATGGCGATTGTGGGAAAGAGGGTGAGGAGGGGCTTGATGAGCACGAAATAGCACAGGGCGGAGTAGGAGTAGTGGTCGCAGAACTGCTTGTCAGTGTCGGCCTCATCGTCGCGGCGAACGAGGTGGTGTTGGGTGAGTACGTACCATTGCGTACGAGCACTTGATGAACCCCCTCTCCCATTCCAGCGGACCCTGCTCCTCGCCGGTGGGTCCGTCCGAAACATATTGAGTGCAGGCGTAGAGCGGACGGTGGAAGATCGGGTGATAGACCGGTATAGCCCGTGAGAGCGGAGCATGATGATGCGTCTGCATCATGATCTGTGCACATCAGCTTATGTCCTCGCTCATTCAGGGGCGAACGAGTCACAGCAGATGACACTTACTTCTACTCTCGCTGCTGTCCTCGCGAGTATCAGGGTCAGCCACCATACTGCGGCGCCGATGGGCAGGGTGATAAGAAGGGCGGTACCGGCGACCGTGCCGGCGAAGAGGAATGGCCAGATCAAGAGTGCCTGCCTTGATCAGCTTGGTCCTCCTCCTCACTTCCTCTTGAGCTGGAAAGGGAACCGGAGAACTGACGAATGGGAAGTTGAGCAGAACGAGATGGAGTAGACTCCGCCAGTACTCCTTCCTCCCTATCGGGGTCCAGAACCTCCTCCAGCCTGCTTTCCAGGTCATATCCACATACTCGTCCTCTAGCTCGCCGCAGAAGACGGACCGAAGAGTACTCCTACGCCTCCTCCCGCTGACTGAAAGACCGCCTAGTAATGCCGTCCGCTCGTCTGCGTCCACATCCGGCTCGATTCCGCTGTTTGCAGCCCTCATCTGGGCGGATCCTCCCAGAGATATCCGTCCATCCTGTAGGGCGCCTCGTCCTCGGACCACTCCAGCTTCGGAGGTCGTATACGCCCGATGTCTTCCCCCTGCCTCCTCCCTATCCCCCTGCGCTCCCAAACTCGCAGAACTCCTGCTCCGGACACTCGGCAACGCCTGCACTCTGACCGACCTGGGCGAGCTGGGTCCTCCATTTGGTTCATCTTCCACGCCTATCTCGGCCGAATGGCTATAGCTATACCGAGGTGACGTGGGCGGTAGTGACGCCGCCGATGTATGGGCGGAGCGCGGAGATTGGATCGTATGGTATGCCGGTGGGAGCTCTCCTGGGGGTTCTGTGGGGTCCAAGAGAAAGAGGTGGGATCCGTCTGCGGAGAGAACGTAGATCTGGGAAGGGGTCTTGCTGTGGCCGCCTAGAGTTGGAATTGGGTGTTGTGGAGAGGAGGCGGGGGATGGGGTAGGACCAGAGAGAGGAAGGCCGGGCATCATTGCGGAGGGCCCGAGATCCCTTCCTGCTTTGCCCAATAGTAGGATAGCAGGAAGCGAATTCCTGCCGGGAGGCGCTCCTTACAAAGATAGAGGGCCGTGTGGAGAGCACCCAGAGATAGTTAGGGATGAGACAAGGCATGAATGCGAGCAACCTCCCTTCCACCACCCTCAGCCGCCACAGCTTTCGGGCTGTTTAGACGCACGGACCTGCACTATTTGGCTCCAACTTGGTCTTTCCAGCTCTTCTGTGACTGTACTAGTACTATACCCCTGACAAGCTCATCTATAACCTAGTGGACCCGCTCAGAACAGTGTCAAGATGGTGGGTGGAACTGAAGCATCGAAGACCAGATATCAGCTGATTCAGCTCAGTCCGTCACGCTCCACACCACTCTCGGCGACCTCAAGGTATGCTGCATATGACCTGCCTCTCCTGGGTAGGTGTTCAAGCTGACCTTATTAGATCGAAGTTTTCTGTGAAGCTGTACCGCGTACAGCAGAAGTGTGTCCTGTCTCCTACCTTCTTCCCTGGCTCCACTGATTTTTCCATATCCTGATACTAACACCCTCTACCATTTTGTGCCGTACGTGATGTGATAGCTGACGCTCCCGAACTTCCTAGCCCTCTGCGCCTCCGGAGCATACACCTCCACCATCTTCCACAGGAACATCAAGACCTTCATGGTCCAAGGTGGAGATCCTACGGGCACAGGAAAGGGCGGACAGAGTATATGGGGGAAAGAGTACCCGGATGAGATTAGGCAGACGCTTAAATTCAATTCGAGGGGGGTGGTGGCTATGGCGAATGCTGGGCCGGATACGAATAAGGCGCAGGTGAGTCGAGAGGTCCGACAGGCGCGAGGCGCGAGGATGAACGGAGGAAATGGTCACTGCTGACAAGGCAGTTCTTTATCACTTATGCTAAACAGCCAAGCTTAGATGGGAAGTATACAATCTTTGGAAGGTGAGCCATATCCCCTCATCCTGTTCGCATCGCTCCCCGACACTGCGCTTGGTCACGTCCTCTCTCCACCTCCAGCTGGCGTTGGCATGCATGTCATCCTGCCGCAATGTGCTGACTTGATCCAGAGTAATAGACGGCGCAGATACCACGCTCGACACAATGGAGAAAGTCCCCGTCAATGAAAAGAACCGGCCGAAGACCGAAATCAAGATCCTGAATGTGAGCTGCATTCCCCTCATTTGCCCTTTCTGGGAGAGCAGATGGGAGCTGATACAAAAGGTGACAATACATGCCAACCCCCTAGCTGAGGCGCAGAGATAACACCAGCTCTAGGCGGCGTCTACAACTGGGCGTCAGAGGGTGACCGGAAGAGCGCAAATATGGTGCGGAGCATGTGTGGGGGATGGGAACAAGGACTAAAGATCCGAAGGCGAGGAGAAAGCTAGGCCCACCAGCCCGAGGTTCAAGAGCCTCAGGTCCAGCTGCAGTCGTACAATGACAAATATGCATCGCCCGCGCTCAATCCCTACTTGACTTGGCGCGACACGCTCAGATCACCTTTTCCCCTGCCCCATTCCCCCTGTCCCATGTCCACCTTGCCCTCTCCCCTCTCTCCTCGGCCCTTCCTGCCCTCCTACTTCCCCCAGCACCACCGCCGAATCATCCACTTTATCGGCTTGCTCCCCCCCTATTTCCCTCTCCCATCCCCTCTTGCAGCATAAACCCAGAAGACGGATACCCCATTCTTCTGACCCGTGTTTTCGGCGATACCCCCTCAGTACCACTGGTCGCCTTGTGGTATACCGAGATCCTTGGGTGCCCTATTAGGGATGATACATTCGGTGATGTTAAATGTGGCCTTCGCCAGCTGAGATCGTCAGCTTCGGTCTTGTCGGCACTACCACCACTGGACATCGCGAAGCTGAATTCTCCTCTTTCTTATATCCCAACCACCGTCTTCTGCCCCATACATCCGATCCTCCCCTCGTGAGAAGAAGAAACAACCCACCTCCCAAGTCTCCATATCAAACTCCATGACCCCCTGATGCAAACTCCCATCCGCCCCCGCATCCCCTTCTCTCGGTCCACCCTCTCCTCCTTCATCATCAACCCCATTACCACCAGGCACCTCCCCCTTTCTCGCCCGAATAATAATTTCCCCCTCCTTCGTCACCTCCAAACCCGCATTCCCATCTCTGACCAGGAATGAAATGTAAAAGATGTTTTCGACGGATTGACTGAATGAGTTTGGGTTGATGGCAAATTTGAAGAAATTGATGCCAGAGCGGTGGGGGTCGACCTTTTCGAGTGCCTTGTACACCTGTCGTGTCAGCTTGTGTCCAGAGCACGGAACGAGCAGTGCCAGACAGTAGAGACTCACCTTGATGACGAAATAAGGAGTATCCTCCTCCTTCTTCTCCTTGTCCCCCGCGCCCTTCCCTCCTCCGGTGATGGTGGTCGGTACCACGGCGGGTGCGAGTTCCGCCTTTGCTTTTCGCTGGCCGAGAACACGTTTCTTGTGCTCGAGCGCGAGCGGGCCGTACCTGCGGCTCAGCTCATGGCTCATGTTTCCGTGAAGTATGCTGTTCGTCCAAAGATTCAGACTCTCTTCCAAGCTGAAGACCGCCGCCCCTCCTTCTCGTATCGTTCACCTCCCAGTGTGTACCTCTCTGCAGACATCGGCTGGTAGCTGGACGCTGGATGCTACTCACATAAAGTCAATCCCCGGTACCCGCCTATACAGCTTGGCCGCCATCCACCCCACCCTCTCCCAATCGCCCATCGGTTCCGCCTTCCTCCCGGCCCGGTTCTTCTTCTTCTGAGCCGCCTGACTAGCGCCCGCTTCGTCCTCGTCCAGCTCATCCTCGTCTTCCTCCTCGTCGGCGTTGAATCGGGTGTTCGAATTGAGAAGGGCCTTGATACTGTCCCGTCAGCTTACGCCTGCCACCGCATATGTCGCACAAAGAAGGCATCCAAAGCTCACCGAAGGAAGAACTCGTCAGTGTCGAACGAGTTACTGCTTTGATGATGGTTCCGAGACCACTGATTGACGAGTTCGAGTCTGGAGGAGAAGACGCGAGCGTCGAGCGCGCCCGTGGCGGTGTCTTTGACTAGAGGGGTCAGCTGCTTCTCCACGTCATACATCATATCTATAATGAGATCTCGAAAGCTGAGATACACACCATCCTGGAAGACTTTATCCTGCTCAGTCAAGGCAGCCATAAAATCGTCAATCTTGAGGTTCGCGACGTTCGCTCTATCGTCTATTCATATCAGCTTCTTCCTCTTCGTCCTTTGCAGGCGGACCTCATAGAGAAGCTATCTCACCCTCTACCTTGCTCTGCAGATCCCTCAGACTCTGCCCCAGCTTCTGCGTCTCGCGCGCATCTGGGCCCTCGAACGTCTCATGCAGAGTCAGGCGTCTCTTCTTTCGCAACGATGTGGGGATCTGGGTCCCTCCGCCTTGGATCGAATTGCGCTTGATGCCGTTGGGAACAGCGCTGACGCTGGGTCCTGCCTCATACTCGGGGGAAGCAGACATGGTTGCTGATACAGTAAGAGAGGAGTGGGATGTATGAATGGTGGATGGGTGAGTGGACTTTCTTCCTTGTCTTTCGACGCGCACGGATGGCAGTCGCGTCGCGTCGTGATCACAACAGGTGAGAGCGTTTACGTAAAGAGCCCAAGTGGAGGTGGTCAAGCACCGTCAACTTGAACTTTGAACTTCAGCTTCACACTTCCTTCTTCCTAGCTATCAGAGGGGGCCCGCAGGCAACACAGACAGAGAAAACGACAAGGAAGAGCCAGCAGCGAATATGGCGACTACTCCGGAGCCAGAACCTTCCACGTCAAGGTCTCACGCCGGGTAGGTACTCCAACTTGGACTTCTTGGATGAGCTGATGATAGGAAGCGACAGCCTCGTCGAGCCTAATCCCAGCATCGTGCAAGAAAGTGAGCTATCGACCTCTCTGCTGATTTAGATATTGTAGCTGACAATTTAGACCCCGACAGGTAAGCCCCTGCCCACCTGACATCCACCTCCTCTAGCCACTTCGTCAACCTTCCTTCCCCCGTCCGTGCGCTCATTTCACAGCTGCTTCCGTATCCTTCTCGCTACCGACAACCACATCGGGTACGCTGAAAAGGACCCCATCCGCGGGCAAGACAGCATCAACACCTTTCGGGAAATTCTCGAGATTGCCCGGGATGCGGAGGTGGACTTTATTCTCCTGGCGGGGGACCTCTTTCACGAGAATAGACCGAGTAGGGGGTGTCTGTATTCTGTCATGGCGCTTCTGAGAGAGTATACTATGGGTGACAAGCCTATCTCGGTGAGTCATCATGGAAGGGGGTTCGTATGAGGAGGGTAGGAGGGAATGAAGGGAGAGAGAGACGGAGCTGACGATCAGTTTGAGCTTATGAGTGATCCGATGGAGGGCTCTGCGCCTGGCTTCACGTGAGTTGCGAACTCCACTTTCTTCTTCAGAAACGGGCTGTTCAGCTTATCCTCCAGCTTCCCTGCCATCAACTATGAAGACCTCAACCTCAACGTTGGTATCCCCGTCTTCTCCATCCACGGCAACCACGACGATCCCCAGGGGACCGGTCCTGTAAGCTTTGCTCTTCTCTCTCGTCTTGTGGAGGCCCAATCTGATCTGACAGGAAGGCGCCCTGTGCGCACTCGACATGCTCTCCGTCTCTGGCCTCCTCAACTACTTTGGCAAGATCGATCTCTCCGCCGAAGAGAACCCCGACCCCGCATCCGACCAAGGGATCCGCATCAAGCCCCTCCTGCTCCGGAAGGGCGACACCCATCTGGCGATGTATGGTGTCGGAAACGTGAGGGACTCGCGGATGCACTACGAGCTCCGGAGTAATCGGGTCAAGATGTTTATGCCGGATGGGGGAGGGGAGGTGAAGGAGGAGGATTGGTTTAATATGTTGTTGGTGCACCAGAATCGGTATGTCAGCTTCTCGGATCTCGGCTGGTGCAGCTGCGCTGGGAGAAGAGCTGACGGTCTAGGGTGAAGCACGGTCCACAGCAGTCCGTCCCCGAAGGGATGTTTGACGACTCGATCAAGCTCGTCGTTTGGGGCCATGAGCACGATTGTCGGATCTCGCCCGAATCTGTCGAGGGCAAGAACTACTACATCACCCAGCCGGGATCGTCAGTCGCTACGTCTTTGGCGAGGGGCGAGTCTATTCCAAAGTGAGTCGCTGCATCAGATGCCTGGATCCCTCCGGCTGTACGAGGGGATATGATCTGACACATCAGGCACGTCGGGATCCTCTCTATCCAAGGATCACAATTTCAGATCGCCGAGATTCTACTCAAGACGGTCCGGCCATTCGTATTCGAGGAGGTCGTGCTCGCTGAGGCGGCGGAGAATGAGGAAAACAAATTGAATTTGGAGGATAAGGATAGTATCACTGCGTATCTCAGAAAGACGGTATGTTTCAGCTATGGCGCTTATCGTACATGTCACCGGGAGGAAAGCTGACATGGTAGGTCGAGGAGCTGGTAGAGAAGGCAAAGAAGGAATGGAGGAAGGGACACGAGGGGAGTATAAAGGATATGATGTTGCCGTTGATAAGGCTCAAGGTGAGTTACCCCGAACCAGATGAGCGGTTCAGTATGAGGGCAGAGCTGACGATGTAGGTCGAAACGACAAATGCGAAGGAGATGACCAACCCGGTCCGGTTCGGCCAGGACTTTAGCGGACGAGTCGCCAATCCCCGCGATATCCTGCAGTATCACCGAAAGAAGAAAATTGCTGAGCGAAGTGAGCTGACTCTTTCTCTCCCCTTTTCCGGGTATTGGGTATGGAATAGATCGAGCTGATTCCTAGAATCCAAAAACAACCCCGACGCCCCCGATGGCGAAATGGATGGATTCGACGATGATGACGACGATGGCGCCCTCGGCGGAGCCGACGATCCGAGTGCGCTGACGACGTCGGATCGGCTCAGTAAGCTGAGGATGGCGAATCTCGTGAGGCAGTATTTGCAAGCGCAGAATCTGGAGGTGCTGGTGGAAGGGGGGTTGGAGGATGCTGTGATGCGGTTTGTGGATAAGGATGATAAGGATGCGATTAAGGAGTGAGTCCAAATACAATACTTCGCTGCGACTGTGGGAGAGGAAAGAAAGGTGCGGTGGGGAGGTGCAAGGGTGGTAAGCTGGGAAGATGAGTTGGGCAAGGAAAGGAAAGAGGGGAACCAGGCCCTCTCGAAGAAGATTATGGCTGACTCTCAGCTTCGTGCATGATACCCTGAAGACCGTCGGGAAGAATATGAAGGGGCAGCAGAATGTCGACGAGGACGATGTGGAGGAACACGTCAGCTTAGTCCTTCTCACATCGTGATGAAGTCAAAGCTGACATCATAGATGACACGGGCGAAGGAACAGTAAGCTGCCAGGAACTAGACCACGTCCAGTACGTTCTGTTAGCTGACCTCATAGTGCTGCCTCTCAGTGGGCTGAACATAGGCCAGTAGAGAGAGAGGTGAACAAGGTAAGCTAAACGCCTCTCTATTGACTGCCGGACGATATCAGAGCTGACGACAACAGAAAGGAAAGGGGAAAAAGAAGGCGGATTCGGATGAAGACAGTATGGGTATGTTCACCTCATCTTCAGCTGGAAGGAAGACGAGTTGCGAAAGCTGATATTCTAGCGGCGGATGACAGTATGCGCGGAGGAGACTCGGACGGATCGTTTGCGTCGGAGGCTGCGCCGGTCAAGGGGAAAGGCAAAGCGGTGGCGGGAGGGAAGGGAAAAGCGCCAGCGACAGCCAAGGGGAAGGCGAAGCAGCCTCTGGTGAGCTTACTAGTACTCCTCCCACCATGCAGGGGAAGAGAATAGAACTGATGCACCAGTTCGACGATGATGATACCGAGGAAGAAGAAGAAGAAGAAGAAGTCGTACCCCAGAAAAAGTCGCGCGCTGCTCCGGCAAAGAAGGCGCCCGCGAAAGCTCCGGCGAAGGCGCCTGCGAAGAAGGCTGTACCGGCGAAACAGTCTCAGTTGACGTGAGTCTTTCTTGAGCTCGGGAGTCAGGGCGAGGCTGGGTGGGGAATGGGGATGAGAGGCGAAGTGGAGTAAGGGGCTAGGGGAGGCTGCAGAGCGAGAGCTGATTTGTACAGGTTCTCGCAGGATCCAGCGGCGAAGAAGGCGCCAGCTGCTAGGGCGCCAGCGAAGGGAGGAAAGAGCTCCAAGCCTGTACGTCCAGTCCTGGAAGCATCCGATGTGGAAGGTGGAGCTGACTTGTCAGATTGAGCTCTCGAGCGATGACGACTAATCCGGTCCGCCACATTTGCCACCCAGCTTCCGACCCGGCCGGCCGGGATACCACACATGCGCGTCTATCTTTGATTGAGCTTTCGTCCTGGGTATTGTTGTACATATCTAAATCATCATGCATGTGCTAAGCAAGGCTACGAGATCATTTCCAGAGGCGCATGTCAGGTCAATCTTATCACAACCATGCGACTGATTATACGGAGCTTGTCCGATCGTGGCTAGGACTGAGGATAGCGTGGAACGCGCTATCATCCGTAGTACAGTGGATCGTCTTCGAGATCTGAAGCACGCCATATCGCGCCACTGCAATCTCCTTTGAGGAGTTCTGGAGGACAGACCACGCTGGCGCCGATAAGAGTACGAGCTGGACAAGCTCCCCCGCCCCTTACACCCATTCGCCACCCTCTCCGTTTTTTGCCACTTGTCAGTCACATACTCACCTTGCAGACATCCCTCTCCCAACAACGAAAAACATACACCTCAGCTATTGCAGAGCGTAATCAGGCATGACTTCCAACACTACGATGCCGTAGGTTCTGGCTGCGGCATTTATCATGCGCTGCACCGCTGACCGGATAGGGGTACTGTGCAGATCGACAATGGCATCATCAGACTGAACACGCCGAGGAACCTCGACTGGGACTACACACACGAGGCGAAGTGGTACAACATCTTCCCGACCAAGCTCCACCAGCCAGCGTGGAGGTACATGAGCAGTGGTACCGGAAGACGGGTCAATCCATCTCCTGTCGCGACCGAATCCTGGGGTGGCAATACAGACCCCGCATATCCAACGGCCGTGTCAGGTGTCGGTACGAGATTCACGGATGGCGAGTCGAGATTGTTGTTTGAGGCGGGATTCAAGGGTGAAACAGATGGAGGAGGTGAGCGGCATTTGGTGTACGGAACGACATTTGTACCGGGCGACAAGCTCAAGTGGGTGCATCCGCGCCCGTACGAGGAGCCCGAGGTACTCACTTCCGCCGTCAAGCGGGCGCTCGAGACATTTCAGGCGTCCAGTCGTCTTTGCGACACAGTGAGATCCTGCCGCGTCTTCTCTTCTGCTCAACGCTGACGTCAGATAGGTGTTCAAGAACGATGCTGACCATCTCGAGCGAGTCGGTCAATACCTCGAGGGACGACTGGGGCAGGCGCTGACTGAAGCGTGCAAGGGACAAGATATTCAAGTTGTCCGCGTCGTACCTGACGACTACTCTCGACTTGGCCTGGTAAAGGGACACAGGATTTGCACGATCAGAGAGCATGGACACCACTGCGGTCATGTCTGGGTTGGGGACGAAGCAAGCAAGCGCACGGCCCCCAGCTACTTCCGTCAGCTCCATGTACCGGGAGATCCGGCGGACACGCTTTCAGACGACCCGAACGTACCCCCTAACCCCCTACCCCCTAACCCCCTAACCCCCTAAAACCCCCTAACCCCCCTAACCCCCTAAACCCCTACCCCCTACCCCCCTAACCCCTAAGGCCCCTACACCCCTAACCCCCCTAACCCCTACCCCTAACCCCTTAACCCCCCTAACCCCTTAGACCCCTAAACGACAGAGCATGACGTCAAGGTGTACTCTATCCTCGGCGACAAGGTCTACAAGTCGGTCGGGCAGATGAGGGCGGGCAGGTTGACGGAGGCGCCGCCCGCAGACGCCAATCCATGGGACAAGACCATGTGGCAGATGCAGCGGTACCTATTCACGGTGGACGCAGAGACGGCGAAGGCGGCAGCTGGAGGGATGGGGAGATTCTCACCGTTGGTGTTCTCGGCGGGCGGTTTGGTCGAGAAGGGGACGATGGGAAGGATGATGGAATGGAAGGAGGCGGTATCGGACGGAGCTTGGGAGTACATGCTGCGGAGGATGGCGCTGGGGCTGTTGAGGAGCAGGGCGAAGATGTGGCAGGTTGGAGGGTAGACGGAGTGATGAGTAGCTAACTTGATAGAAACACTTGTATCTCATAGCAATAAGTATGCAGCTCAATCACCCTACATAGCAATACATATGCAGCTCAATCACCCCCGCCTGCAGATGCTAATCCATGGGACAAGACCATGTGGCAGATGCAGCGGTACCTGTTCACGGTGGACGCAGAGACGGCGAAGGCGGCAGCTGGAGGGATGGGGAGGTTCTCACCGTTGGTGTTCTCGGCGGGCGGGCTGGTGGAGAAGGGGACGATGAAGAGGATGATGGGATGGAAGGAGGCGGTATCGGACGGAGGGTGGGAGTACATGCTGCGGAGGATGGCGCTGGGGCTGTTGAGGAGCAGGGCGAAGATGTGGGAGGTTGGAGGATAGTCGGGGTGATGAGTAGCTAACTTGATAGAAACACTTGTATCTACATAGCAATACATATGCAGCTCAATCACCCCTGTACCATCACCTATACTTGATTGTGGCTGCCCAGGTAGTAGGCGGCAGGGAGGGAGACAGCACTCTCCGATGCGCTTGAAAAAGCCCGAGTACTCGGGGACAAGGTGCGGGCGGTTGAGGAGGCGAAGCGGAAGGCAGAGGAAGCGCGTGACCTGCCAGTGATGAGAGCGCGTCAACACAAGCAGGAGACTGCGCGTATCAGGATGGGCTAGTAGTGCATTGGGATGGTGCGGGTCAGGCCCTGACCCAGCTCGACTAGCTTTCCCCCAATTGCCAGCCCACCGCGCGATTGCCAACCCTGTCCGCCCAACCTGCGCCGATGAGAGGCGCCCAGACCACACTCCTGCCCATACTCGGAGGAACATCCTCATGATGGAAAGGTACGAGTATGGTCTAGGTTTCGAAAGCTGTAGCGGAGCAGAGGGACTGAAGTAGGGTGAGGTTGGACTCGGTATTGGAGGTGTAATCTTGTCCAGCCTGGCCGTCAGCTTGGCCCTCTTGGGAACATGAGAAGAGGGTAGGATAGTAAGGGGTGTAGACCCATGGAGGTGGAGCCAGGAAGGAGGGAGGGGAAGAACGATACGACGGGAACGTACGGTTCGGAGTCGATCGCGAGCCGGTATGCCGCTGCAAACATGACGTCTGACCCTTGATCGTCCAGTTCTTGCATTGCGGCTGGATTAGAGAGGTCACAGCCTGAGGCATCAGCTATGATCACTGCTCCACGCCAGTCCGTGACTCACAGATCACGAAGCCAGACGTGCCCCAAGGTGTTTGGAGACAGTCCCGTTCGAGGTTTTCCTGATCTATCAGAATCTTCTCCCACCACCATGTCAGGACATAACTACTCACCTCTTGGAAATGCCAAAGGGCAACGCGCCAACTCCTACACGTCGTCCTCAAAGTAGAGGACCTCATCCACCAGCCTGAAGTGGAACTCGTCTGCGAGGACTTCGCTTGTCCAACCAAGGTAGTCGATCCATGCTGGCCGAGCAGAACAGGCACCTGGAGCGCTTGTATGCGGAAGGCGTTTATGCCTCAGATGGGCGGCAGGGGTAGCGTAAGAGCCATGTACGACGGTCCCCGTGATAGCGACCGAGTAGAGACGGGCAAGAGCCGCGGAAGGAGAGTCGAGCCAATGCGATGTGATGCTGAGATGCTGGGATGATCAGTATGAGGCACATCAGAAGGTCGGTATCAGCAGCGCACTTAGCCCCCCTCGTAATGGTAATACTATACCCACAGCAAGTACACCGGTAAGGAGACTACACGGGCGTGATGGAGCTGGACCGGTCCGCTGATCGCTGATGAACCCTTCTGCGCCCTCCAGGTTCAGACGAGGAGTTTAGTGAAAGCTGGTCTACGCTGACCTTGACATTCGATTACGTCGCTAGCCGGGAAGAGATGGGACTTGTTGGTCTATAGCTGGTATCAAAGACGAGAGGCAAGTCAAAGATAGCGGGTGAGATGATTCTTGTGGCCTTGCGGATCTCGGGTATCTCGCCCCTTCGCTTATCTCCATCCATCTATCTATCCATCTTTCGGTATGCAGCATGAGCGCTATGCCCCCCATATCAGACCGCGCGGAGTCTGCTACGAGCTCTGGAGACGCCGGTCCTGCTCCGAAGCCAGCTCGAAGTCGACGAGGCTGCTTTGAATGCAGGCGAAGAAAGATCAAGTGCGATGAGCGGCAGCCGCTGTGTGTTTTGTGCGAGAAGGGCGATAGGGTGGTAGGTTCCCCGCCACTCTGTGTATGTCGAGCTGATAGGAGTTGAGCTGATATACAGTGTGAGTGGCCAAAGCCTGGCGAGGGGCACAGGAACAAGCCCAGACGAGTCCCAGAAGGTCGGGCGGTCAGCCAGCGAAGCGATACATCTTTGGACGTGCCAGACTTTGACGCCTTGTTCGACAATGGTCCTGATGCCTCGTACGCGCTCACCCATCCTCCCTCATCAAGTGGCAAGGGGAAGGAGTCGGACAGGAGCGGCCAATCCCAACCATCTACCTCGTTCAGCGTCCTACAGCAGATCCTCCCATCCCACCTGCACGTCCAAGTTCCCTCGGTCGACCCGCAGGCGCTCCACGACCCCTTTCAGCATCCGCCGCAGAGTCACTACCCCTTCGTCGCCCATGCTGGAGAGGCTAGCGGGAGTGGCAGCGGTCGCGCTGCGTCCCTCGAAGCTCGTACGGCCGGTCCGGCGACATCAAGCCAGTCAAGAATGGACGATTTCTCAGACTTACTGCTGGCTCCTGAGCGCCAGGCTGAACAGATGGCCGACCCGTAAGTCTCTCACGCATCTGCTCAGGTATGCCCATGCTGACTGGATAGCGCTTTCCTGGCCCCTTATCTCCCTCGAGTGTGCGTCGTCTACTTTTGCTTTGATGGACTGAGCTGATTTTACAGGAGCGACCGCCTCGTCATGCGACACTACCTCCTCCACAGCTCTCGCATCATCATGGCGTATGACTCTCGTCGTCATCCTTGGAATCCCTGGATCCTCTTCCATGCTCCAGCGGCATTCAAGTCCCTTCCAGAGTGAGTTCTTCTGCTTGCTCGTTAGATATCCCATTGCTGACTTGCTCAGAGTCAGCCCCGCCGAAGACGCACTCCGAACATCTCTACTCGCCATCGGAGCAGTACATCTACGTTACAGTGGGGCGACCAAAGACGCTCTGGGAGCTTGGAAGGTCACCTATCAGGCGAGATCGCAAGTCTGGTCCTTTGTGAAGCGGACCAAGGTGTGGGAGGGCGGTCCGAGGGACATGGCAGAAGAGGAGGAGCTGGATGTAGTGTTGGCAGCTCTGCTGGGATGTACCATTGCTAGCGTGAGTTCGGCGACTCTCTCGACTCAGTATCTAATTGAACGCCCGAGCTCATATAGCAGAGCCTGGCTGCCGATGACCTCTGGCACGAGCACCTCATGTCCGTCATCTCCTTTCTCGACCGACTCGGCGGACCCGCCTCTCTACTTCAAAACGAGCGCCGAGACCGCATGTCCCTCCGCCGCTTCTGCCTCGAACAGCTCGCAACTCGCGAGATCTTTGGCTGTATGTCAACGGATCAGGCGCCGCGCATCCTGACGGAGGGGTTCGAGCGGTGGTATTTGGAGATGGAGAGGTGGTCTAACAAGGGAGAAGAGTGGGAGAGTGTGGACAAGATGTTCGGGATATCAAGGCATACTGTGACTGTGATTGCTCGGGTATGTATTCTTCTTTCTGCTGAGGAGGTCTTGGCTGATCAGGCAGGTGTGCCGACTACTGGCGACGGTCCGGGAGAACTGCTATCACGTCGCGGAAGAACCCTCTATCGGACATACCATCCCAGACTCCTCGTCCATCCAGCTACGCCTACCACCCAAAGCCGTCGCTCGCTTGAGTCACGCACCCCTGCGACAGCCACCCTTACTCGCTCGTCACTCCCCTTCGGACCTACCATCGTCATTCCACCACTCCCCAAGCCGTTCCCTCTTCGCATCGATGACGCCCGCAGCTGCTGCCGCCAAAGAGGCCAACGGGCTCCTGCGCGAGTTCGAGACTTGGGAGGCAACGTCTAGCTTCATCCTCTCGCATCCCCGAACCGCGGCGGGCGATCATGCTTATCGGCATACCCTCCGCTTGAGGATGTATCGAGAGGTGTTCAGACTGCCGATGGGGGAAGAAAGGGTTCGGGAGGCGGTCAAGGCTATTATGGAAATTGCAAAGGAGGTATTGGCTTGGTACGGGCGGATTGTTTGGTGAGTTGGCGTCTTGCTCTCATCAGAACGGACGGGGTCTTGAGCTGACTCCACAGGATGACATGGCCGATCCTTGCTGCTGGTTTCAGCATGTTCCCTGGTGATCCATCCCGCAACGCCGCTCTGGAGCTGCTCTGCGAGTTTGAGTGAGTACTCTTCAACCCCCGGCCTGACTTGCCTGCATGAGCTCGAGCTGATTAGTAGACCCCACGCCTGCTTTGACAATGCCGCCGCCTGCAGAGCGCTACTCGAGTTTTGGCGATACAACGATGCGTCAGAGGACGACCTGCTCCCGACAGAGGTGTTCCGGAGACTAGAGTCAAGACCGTTCTTGGACTAAGCTTGGTACTGTAGCCACGTGCATCTTGTCGGACTGTACCCCTCTATCAAGCGCTCGTCAGTCGGAACAAGCGGGTTGTATAATCTAGCGACACCACCTGCATGTAGTTGACGGCAGTAGCGAGGCGGAGATCGATAAGTTGGGTCCTACTCAGCGGGCTTGCTCTGCGAAAGAGGTACCAAGGAAGCGTGATGGGCGGATGCTAGGCCCCCCAGCGTAGACTGTCAGAACACTGCCAAAGCTGCTGTACATGCCAGACGGCGGGAGGGGATGAGAAGGACAAAGTACCGAACATGTTGGATGTGGTGCATCCTCTAAAGTCTAGCTAGTTCGTAAGGATGCGGTAGATGTACAGGTGGTGGGGGATGCTACACGCTCATAAACCAAGATTGTCCTTAAGATAACGAGTCCGGCCGGCCCGTGTTGGTCATAGTATACAGATGTCATATGCGCACAGCGCTTAGTACTGCCAAGTCAGCTGGAGTCCACATCGGCCAAATTAAGGAGACGTACAGTGAAGGTGGTAAGGTAGGGGTCGAGGACCAGGGGCCAGATCAGGTGTGATCCAAAGCAGATGGAGAGGGGGATGATGGCTGTCAAGTCACCGACTCGGTACTCGGCAGGCATGAGGCTCGACGTGGACGCGATCATTCCACCCTGTAGCCGTTAGCTCCGTCCAAAAGCGCATGAGGGGGAGACTCACGAGTACTGTGACCGAGACCAGCATCTGCGGCCAGAACCCCTTGAAGATCTTGGGAAGCTGCTTGAAGAAGTTGGACTTTTCGACGGATTTAGACGTGGTGGACCAGCTGTCCAGTCAGCTCGATCCTTCAAGAGTGATAGGACGGAGAAGGTCACCTCATATCGATACCAAGCGGATGTGCAATGAGCGCAGTCGCGATAGGCATGGATAAACCCGAGAAGAAGACGGTGAAGAACGCAGCTGCAGAGTCAGCTCAGAAGACTCATCGGGGAAGAACTACTCACGCCAGAGGAACATCTGCCTAAGAGCCAACGACCCAGCATTCGGCATCTTGAGTCGATACCGCAGGATACAGAGGGCGACGTTACTGAGACCCTGGAAGAGCAAGACACAGATAAAGAAGGTGCTCCAGGCATCGACATCTAGCTTGTCAGCTCATTCCCTGTCGATCTGGTAGAGAGCACTCACAGAAGGTATCCACTCGGACAAAGACACCGATGAGAACAAAGGAGATGATCGTACCGACCCAAGCACTCGAGAAGGCGTAGTAGGACGACATGTAGGCGAGGATGGAGAATTTGGAGTGAGGGTTGAGGTTGCAGCGGATAAAGGTCTTGAAGAGAGGGGTGAATACGCCGTGCTTGTACCACTTTGTGATCGGGTGGAAGGTGATCTCACTGGAGCGTCAGCTGAGACCTAGCGGGAAGAAGAGCGCAGCCAGAGAGGGAAAGAGAAGACAGCAGCGAGAAGAGTGGTGGTAGCGAGAAGACACTCACGATACACCCCACCCGTACTTTTGCCATCTCGACAGCTCGTCCGGCGCAGTGAGCGAGACACCCTCCTGGAACTCGTTGTTGTTGTATGTTGCCCATCGTACTGTCCAACCCTGCTGATCAGCTATGTTCATAGCCAAGAATGTGGTGTGACCCACTTTACTCTGAACATTCAAGGCGATCTGGAAGTCCTCCGAGACATGCGATTCCGACCAGACCCGCTTGCACCCATCGTACTCGTCCACAAAGGCACATTCCTGCAGAGCCGACCAGCGGAGGAAACTGCGCGTCAGCTCAGACCCCTGCTCAAGGTGTAAGAGACTCACGCATTGTGCCCGACGAATGGTGCGACATCTCCACCCGCTACAGCCATCGAGATACCAATCTGGATCATATCGGTAAAGAACGCCATGCCGTTCTCAAAGAAGTGGTGAGCGACCTGCATGACACCGGACGAGTGCTGGATGATGGCGACTTGAGGGCATTCGAGCATTTCCAGAGCGGCGTCCATGAAGCAGTCGGCGGGTACACGGGTATCAGAGTCGATAATGAGGATGATCTCGCCACTGATGATCAGCTCGAGCCGAAGTTCCAAGCAGAGACACGTACATTCTGATATTCCCCTCTACCCAGACTGGCCACTGCGTCTTCTCCAGCACAATCTCCCTACACTCGACATATAGATCCCGCTCATTCTGCTCTGACCACCCCTCCTCGCCCCTGATCCCATATCGCTGAGGCCGAAGATGCGCCATCCACCGCTCGATCGAGAGACTGATCTTGTTGGTGTGATTGAGGTTGCCGGCCTTCTTGAACTTGCCCCTCCGCTCGAATCCGTTCTGACCGTGAGGTGGACGCGCGCAGTAGCCGATGTTGTTGGCGGTGTAGTACTTGATCCGCTCGGCCCGCTGCTCGTCCGAGATGAGCTGCATACCGTCATCACAGACGACGACGTTGACGACGCCGCCTTGACGCTCGAACGTGGTGATGGCGCGTTTGAGGGATTCGACAGTGGGCTTGATGACATCGTCCAGGTCCTCCTGAACGTCAGCTCGACCAGTCGAGGTGCTTACCTTGTAGACAGGAAGCTGAACAGTAATGCTCATGAGCTCCTTGGCCTTGGTGCGGTCTGGACGGATGGCCGAGTAGTAGTAAGAGTTCTTGTCGAAATGGCTGATGGGTCCGAAGATGTAAACCTGGAGTCAGCTCCAGCCGAGTGCAATACTTACCATAGCAGTGATGAGCACGACACAAGGGAAAGCGGCGAGGAGGCATGCCGCTGGCAGTGTAAAGACGAGGAACCAACGTGTCCAGTCGCCATCGTACAGGTATCGGGTCAAGAGAGAGCCTGAGATCAGTACTGCCTCAAGCAAGGACTCACGAATGGCCAATCCAAGCAGCACCATCGTTGTCCCGAATGCCAGCCCCACCACTGTGGGTGTAATCAGCACCACTGGCCGGTCCTTCCTCGCCTGCATCCATATCGCCTTCTCTGGATCCTCCTCCTCCCCGGCGTGTTGGTAGTCGGTGATGGCTGCGACCGCGTTGTGGTCGGTGAAGAGGGGAGGGCGAGACTTGCCAGACTTGTCGCTAGACCAGATGAAGGAGATGAGTGCCTTCTCGAGTTTGGAGGCGGCAGGGATGAGCTCGTCGACCGCATCGGCCCACACGACGAGGACGGCGTCGTCTCGGATGAAGGCAGCGTACTGGTTCTTGCGGGCGGTACCGAGATGGGAGATTGTTTCGAGGACCTGAGGATCAGCGAGAGCTTCAAGAGTGAAGGGCGGACTTACTTGGATCCGGGTATTGGCGTCAAGGCATAGCTCGGCTAGTTCCGGTCGAGAATCCCTTTCGGTCAGCCAAGCTCGCAAGTCAGATCAACCAACTTACAGGTAGTATTTGACCATGTACTCGACCGCCTTGCAGGTGAACTTGAGAGCCACCGTAGCGTGCAGCATCCCCACACCTTCCTCAAACTCCCTCAGACCCTCGTGCTCCGCCGGGCAAGACCGCACAACCCCATCATCCGACCTGATCGAGACCCCTAGTACCACCTCATCCAGCCACTGCTCCGACTCCACCTGCTTGAACGGCATCCATCCGAGTGGCCAGCATGACCGGTAGAGCATATCCGCGACGACGTCGAGAGCCGCATTGTCGGCCTCGTCCCCTTCGAGATCGTCGTCGTCGAACTTGACGAGTACGGGGATGGTGTCGAAGACGTCTTCATCCTTTTCTTCGATGGGGGAGGGTTCGAGGAGGACTGCTTGGGCGGGGGAGGTGCGTCTGAGGCGTGAGAGTAGTCTCATTGAGATAAAAGGCGAGTACAGAAGAGATCAAGAGGTGGTCGTCAAGTTGATGGATGGGTGGAGGAGATTGCGCAGATCAGTAATAGCCGCACATCTCTAGCCCCAAGATAAGTCATCTATCTCGATAGTTATCTCCATTCCCGCAAAGTCTCAGCCGGTGTCACTGCAGCGGACAATTCCCTCTAGCCGGATGTGGACATGCAGCATGATAGCAGGTGAGCGGAGTAGTGATGGTGGCTTTGAGCGTAAAGTCCAAACACAAGCAGAGAGATGGCGAGGCACGGAGATAAAGCTCATCAGTTAGGTTTCAGGTACGGGTCAGGTACGGGTGGCGTTTTCGAGGAATGTGGCCCTTTGCGTCAGTTGCAGTCGGTGGCGTCGCAGGTTTCTTCTCTGCCTTCTACTTTTACATCCGAATTCCTCCGAGAACACCTGAGAACACGGCACTGGTCGCATGCATACCACTCGCACTCGTCACTGGTTGGCTTTGGCGGCTCATCTCTTGCTGGCTGCTGCTGGTTGTGCGACCGGTTGAGGTGTTTGTGCAGATGTCTCCGAGGTGGATCGCGAAGATCAGCCGGCAGCCCTGACTTGCGCTGGTCGCGGAGAAATTGCACTGGTGAGTATACCCCGATATTCGACCATCCGAAACATCAGGCTTCACTAGCGTCATAATTAACCTTGGCGCCAGCGGTGACCACCCATCCGCCCGTCGTACGCCCCCCCACATGGGCTCGCATGGCCGGTGGTGCCTGGACCGCCTCCGCCTCCGTCATGCCGACGACGGCATAGCGGCGGTTTGCGGCAAGTGTTGGGTGCTATGACCGATAGCAGAGATTGCAGCCAAGCTGAAAGGCTGAACACACTGATCCTCTAGAGACTCTATCAATCACCATCTCAATCACATCAGAACAGCACTCATGAGCGACGAAAAGCACTCACAATCCCCTCTGGACGAGCGCCCTCACTTCCAACACCCCTTCCCCGCCGACGCTGGCCGTCAATCCCTCGAGCAATACCCCGTCTACAACCTCGACGATGGCGCACAGAACAAGCCAGCCTCGCTGCAGGTCCGGTACTCGGCACCCTCCATCTCGTCTCGTCCGAGTACGACCGGCAACCCAGACCTCCTCCTGCATGGCGCCTCGGCTTTCGCCAGCAGCCGCAAGCAGAACATGACGCGGTCGGCATCACAGGCGTTCCGGAGGCCACGTCCAAGCACCATGTTAACTACAGAGATACCCAAACCATGGCTCAAGTATAAGGATCCGGCGCATCGTTGGGCAAAGTGGCTGTTCTGGGCGGGATGGTTGGCAGGGATAGCAATCACAGCTGGACGTGAGTTACTGAGACTACTTGCAGGATTGCCGAGCTGATCGCTAGTGTGTGTCGAGGCGTACATGTCCATCCCAAGGCTCGAGAATCTCTGCATGGTCATGGAGGATGACTTCTCCGGGAGTACGATATCAGACTACTTTTGGAATCACGATATCACTCTTGACGGAGGCATGTGAGTACTTGTGTTTCGGGCACGGCTGGGCAGGATATGGCTGACTCGCAGAAACGGCAAGTTCCAGTGGTCCACCGCATCTACCAACAACTCCTTCATCACCGACTCCACCCTCTACCTCGTTCCAACTCTCACCGCCGACCATCTCGGAGCGGACGCGATCATCAATGGCGCGACGGTCAACCTCACAGCGGACGGTACCTGCTCCTCCAAGAATGTCTCGCACTGCGCAGTCCAGTCCAACTCTACTCTCGGCACAGTCATCAACCCAGTCCAAGGCGTCACGCTCCAGAGCAAGTTCTCGATCCGATATGGCAAGGTGGAGGTTGTCGCTAGGCTGCCAACAGGGTGAGTGCTCTTCTCTCCTGCCTCAGCTGCGCTAACATTTAGTGACTGGATCTGGCCAGCTATCCGCCTCATGCCCGTCAACGACACCTACGGCGCGTGGCCCAAGTCTGGCGAGATCGACATCATCAACGCACGCGGTAACCGCCCCGGATACGGCGAGCTCGGTAGCGACTTTATGCAGTCCGCTGTCCACTGGGGTCCGCACCTGCTCTTCGACTCGTACTTCCGCACGTGGGGTATCCGGCGAGACAAGGTCAATGGCTACGCCAGCGGATTCCGCAAGTACGCGCTCGAGTGGAACGACAAGTACCTCATGACGTATATCGACAACAAGGTCCAGACGGCTCTGACGGTCAAGTTTGATCAGTCCTTCTGGGACCGAGGCAAATATCCTACCTTCTACACGGATGAGGGCGGGAACATTGCCAAGCTGGAGAATCCGTGGTTCAACAGTGTCAACAAGGCAGCTCCGTTCGATCAGCGTGAGTGACTCTTCTAGTGGATAGGACTTGGCTGACACTCAGCCTTCTATCTCGAGCTCAGTCTCGGCGTCGGCGGTACATCCACATACTTCCCCGACAACCTCGGCAACAAGCCATGGCAAGACTCCTCTCCTCTCGCTGCCTCTGGTAAGTCTCATTGACTTCTATCCTCCACCTTGGCCCAGGCTGACTTTCAGACTTCTGGACTGCCAAAGACCGGTGGCTGCCGACCTGGCCGACGGATCCCAAGGTGCGGGGGATGGCGATCAAGAGCGTCAAGATGTACAAGACGTGCTAAGGGAGGCGAAGAGGTCGAGGAGGGACGGTTTGCAGGAAAGGATGGCAGGGGCAGGTAAACGGCGGAGGAGGACGCTGGGCTGTATAGGGACACTACACGGTCGGGGTCAGCAGGATCTCGAAGTAGGCGTGTTGTATCAATAGGCTTGTTGGATGCGTTAGATGGGGAGTTGAGAAGAGCATGTATACATAGCCGTCCACCAAGTCAAATTAATCGTGTCGACAAGCCCCAAGATCCAGCCGTATATGTTTAGGTCTCCGTGTATGCGAGGTGATGTGAGCCGTGCTAGAAATACAGTGTCGAGTGGGGTGTGGAGCCGTGCTAGAAATACAGTGTCGAGTGGGGTGTGGCCTAGTTGAAGATAGGCAAGGGCATGATCTTGTCCGACTGAACCATCAGCTATTGCCTGACGCAAGACACCATAGCAGGATGGGTAGACTCACGTTGAAGAGGAAGTTGTGAGCAGCATCCTCGGCCTCGAGGAAACGAGTAGGATAGATCACTGCCATGTCAGCTCGTACTTTCTCGCATAGTCCAGTCTAACAAGACTCACCGAGATGACCCCTGACCTCATTCAGCAGCTCCTCCATCTGCTCCTTCTCCCACTCGTGGAACGCCCGATCCGCCGCACTAGGCTGCCTCGACTCCTCCTTGTCCTCCTTCTTATCCTTCTTGTCCGAGTCTGCCATAGCCGCCTGACTCGCGTCCGACTGGATGATAGGCGCAGGCGGTCCCCTCGTCTTGCCGCCACCTCCCGTCACGTTCCCACCCCCGTTCCCGCCGGGTCCTGCCGCAGACCCAGGGTGTCCTCCACTCATACCCTCCGACGCGGATACACCCATACCCGCCGTCGCTCGCTGGAACGCCGATACGCCCGGAATATCTTCGGCGTCAAAGTGGGACGGACTGGCGGGGTTGGTACCCGCGATGGCATTGGTGAGACCGCTGAGGGTATCGCGGGGCTTACCGTCGACGATATCCGATTCACGCGTCTCGGACGGCTTGTCTCCGGGCTTCCGAGCATCTCCGCCTTGACCTTGACCGAGCGAGCCGCCACCGCTACCGCCGCCGCCCGAGCCGTGCGTTCCGTCTCCTTGGTGGACGACCTTGGCTGGCTCGTCGGTACCGGGTCCGGCAATGTCGACGGGGGCCATGTTGAACTTCTCGGCGTGGGAGGCAAAGGCCTTGTACTGAGCCCAAGAGGTGACCATGTCGTCGGGCTGTATGTCAGCGGAGTGCTGAGCTAGATCGATGATGACTCACGATAGAACGGAAGACTTTGCGGAAGATCTCGGTCTGGGATATTAGCCTGAGCTCGTAAAGAAGCACACAAAGCCTCACATTGTGCACAGCAGTAGCGATCCACATGCTCTTCCAGAACTGGTCGTCCAGGGGGTCGTGGAACATGTTGGGGTCGATGAGGGGTGTCGGAGTAGGCATGGTCCAGGGTGACATCCCCACTCCAGCATTGAGGTGCTTCCGCAGTGTCTTCCTCGCCTGAATTGCCGCTTGCTCCTTCTTGTCCCCCTTCTCCGCCCTCTCTGTCCCCTTGGTCGGCGCACTCTCATCCCCAGCTACGGCATTGGCAGGCGCACCGAATCGCTCCGGCCCGTCCTCCCTCTTCTGCACGACCGGTACACCCTTCCCACCCTCCTTCTTCTTCTCGGGGATGTACGAGCCGTGCTTGGCGTCCTCGTCTGGTACTTCCGCCTGGGCAGGACCGACCTGACCCGAAGAGCTGGACGACTCTTCCTCGTCGATCATGTCAAAGAGGGGTTTGCCGTTGGTGTGGGTGGCGGAAGGGCGACGCTCAAAGATGGTCTTCTCCTCGAGAGTGGGAACCATGGAGCTGGCGAAACCGGCGACCGCCTTTCCGCCTTCGTAATCTTCTCGCTCGGATTGGTCGCCATAGCCGCCGGTACCGGGGACGTTGTGGTGAGCAATGGTATCGCCGCTGACGAGATTGGCGATGGGACGAGTGATGGTTGTGGAGACCTTGGACGTGCGAGCGGCAAGATTCTCGCTGATACCCTTGGTGACTATACATCAGCTTTGTCCGCGCAACATGCAGGAAGTAGTAGCTCACCACTCGATACCCCGCTGGTCACAGTCCGAGCGAATCGCTCCCCAGCCGTCCTCCGCTTAATCTTGGTAACACCCCTCGACGCCTGCTCTTCTCCGTCCTCCTGCTCGTGGTCCGGGTCCCAGACCTCAATCTCGTCATCATCCGCAACAGGCTCGCGGGACATGAGCTGATCCTCCTCGATCGAGTCGACGTCGATACCGAGGTGTTCCCGCATGAGTCGGATACGGAGGGTGTGGGCGAATCGGCCGACCTTGAATGGCTTGCCGGCCATGGTACTACGGGGTCAGCTAAGCACATCGGTAAGACCATAGCCAGCTGGGTACAACCTACCCATCGATCATGTCGGTGTCTCGGATGACAGAGACCAGCTCCGAGTCACGGTCGCCCCGCTGACTCCGCTCATTAATGTTGGCCGAGCCGATGATGACCAGTCCTGCGGGGTAAGCTGTCGATCTCGCTGCACCATTGAGGATCAAGGAGCTTACGATCGTCCACAATCATCGTCTTGCCATGGATATACACTTGCTCCGTGGTCAACACGCCCGACTTGAACTTGCCCCAGGTCCTGAGCGAGAAGAAGGTGATGTACTCGTCGGGCTACTTGGTCAGCTCTTTTCCTCCCCTCAGCGGAATCAACTCACGTCAATACCCTCCTGCCTCAACCTCGAAAAGATACTGTTGGTCCCTCTCGAGATGGTCCGGTTCTGGCATTCCAGAATAAGACGGACCGAGCTCGCCTCGCTGGAGTCGATCGGGAAGGTATATCCGGGCAAGAGAGGGATGACGATACAGGCCTTCCACGCCGTCTTTTGCTTGTGCGCCTTGATGATCCGGTCGACGATGGCGTCGCCGATACCGTTCTCGACCGGGATACCGTCAACGATCGTGGAGGTGATGAAGAACTGGTTCTCGATGTAGACAAAGTGCTCCGACATCTCGATAGCTGAGAGTCAGCTCGCGCTCATTGTCGATCACGACAAACTACCAGCTCACACTTGATGTACGCATTCTGGACGGAATGTTCAATCTTCTCGAGCGTGCCCATACTCCACGGCCCCACACTACGGCAGATCTGCACTTCGCACGTTCCCCGCAGCTTGAGGTCGTCTAGCTCCCGGTCGACAAAGTCTGGAGGTGGAAGTAGGAACGGATACTTTCGCTTGTGGTTCTAACATGTCAGCTTGGATGTCCTCGGAGGTCGTTGAAGCCGCGAAAGCTCACCTTAGTCCGGATGAGCAAGTTCCACCGCTGGATAAAGTGCCGACACAGGTCGCGGGCGGGAGGACCGACGATCTGGACTCCGACATCGTGCCTAGAGAGTCAGCTGGTGGCCGCATCATACCTCGAGATGGGAACGTCAACTCACCAAGGCATCCTCGGCACCTTGCTCCGGTCAATACTCATCTCCCACGGCTTATCGAGCTGAGCAAACTCGGCTACCCGCTCGTTCGAGTAATCCTTGCCGTGCCATACTGGACCGTTCGGACCATTGGGCTCCGAAAAGTCTTCATCGGTGAGGACGTGCTGACTCGTGTCCCATCGACCGAAACAGAGGTCGAGACCGCCCATGAATGCGATAGTCTCGTCGACGACGCACATCTTTTCGTGCTGAAGGGTCAGCGGCAGCCTAGATCAGGAGAGGGGGCGTCAACTGATACGCACGTGAGACCAGTAGAATGTTCCAGTCTGGAAGTGGGATGGAGAGCGCTGGACCATGATGTTGGGGTGGAGACCGACGAGGGTGCGCTTGGTATATGTCGAGTCGACCGGGGTGAAGCTGTCAGATACCTCGGCACTGCCTTGTCAGCTTCTGTCCGCACTTCAGATGACAAGGGGGAAGATGAGCTCACTAGACGATGATGTGGATCTTGACGCCCTCCTCGGCCTTGCGCTTGAGCAGATTGTCCAGTCTGTACCGCTCGTTCCCCGGCCGCCTGAGGTAGATCTCAGGCGAGATCCACCAGTCGTGAATGTAGATCTTCTCCTTGGCCATGTTGATCGCGCGCGAGAGGTTCCAGAAGTAGTCTCGGCCGTCGACGAGCCACTGGGCGGAGCAGTTGACGCGGAGGGGCGCGAACGAGTCGAATCGGTTTCGGCCGGCCCAGATGCATTGCGCGGCGATGCGTTCCATCGATACGATGAACTGGGGATCAGCATCACTCCAACCGCGCACAAAGGACAGCAGACAAGGAGAAGGAAGAGGAGCTCGGACTGACCTGGTGCATCTGCCTCGCACTCTTCGCGACGAGCTTCAACCTCCTTTGCGAATTGACGATAAAGAAGGTATGATGACTCGCATCCGCCTCTTCCCCATCTTTCGCATCCAGCGCCGTCGCCTTCTCTCCTTGTCCCTCCCCATTATTGATGATCATCTCAGCGGCAAAGGGGTTCTCCGTATCGATTCCGTGCTCCTCGAAGGCGGCACCCTTGCTCTGGGTCTTGCGATGCGACGTGAGGTTGGTCTTGCCCGTCATGAAGTGAAGACCGGCGCGGTAGACTCGTTTAGGCCGCTCAATGGTGAAGTCCTCGTCGATCATGAAGACGTCATAGATCTCGGTCTGGGGATCAGCTCTGGTCTGAGTGGCAGAGATGGAGACTTACAGCTTCCGGACCGTCTGTAGCGACAAAGTAGCTATCACGGACGATCAGCCACTTGGACTTTCGGTTGGCAATCCAGCTGGTCGGGGTTAGACCTGGCTGATTGGCTCGGCGAGAGGCGTTGCTACCCGGGATCTTGAGATAGCCGGCCTTTCCTTGGAATCCACCGCGAGGAGCGAGAGTGAGGGTGAGGGAGGAGAGCTCGAAGAATTTACAGAGACGGTTGGATTCGGGTCGGAAGATCTGCAAGTCAGCGCCAGCTCCGCTAAGAGGCATCTGATCGACAAGTCTGCGATGCAGCTTGCAGGGAGGCGGAAAGAGGAGATGAGGAAGCAAGGAGGAAGAGCACTCACAACAGACCGAATCAGCTCGACCAAATACCGCTGCAATGCGTCCCTCCCCGCCTGCGCAAACTCGGCCTTGCTCATCCCTTTGTTCTCCTCGCCTCGCCTGCCCTGCATGTTCTTGAGGTATGGAATGGTCATTTTGGGGAACTCGGGGATATCGACGTGTCGGGAGGTACGGAAGGCGATACCGGGGACGGAGGTACCGATGTTGGCGGCCTTGTAGTGGGTGTGGAGGGTGAGGAAGTCGCGTAGCTCTCGGTAGATGACCTGGGGGTTAGCTGAGCTCTAAGCCCGGGAGAACGAGAGCCGGAATGAGAGGGCCAAAGAGGGGGAGCAGGGTCTCGAGAGTGAGAATCAGAGGACAGGGAGGACTGAAGAAGGAGAAAGTCAGACTCTGACATACCCATCTCACCGCCCCATCTCCATACTCGCACTCCAGCTTGAACATCTCCTTGCCGGAGTTCTGGCCCTCCTTGAGCCCCACACTATCCCCAACCCTAAACCTCAGATTGCCCAGCAAGACCGGGACGGCCCGATTCCCATCCTCGTCCCGATCCAGCCACGTCTTGAGGATCATGACCGGCAGTTGACCCGCCATGAGCTCCGTCGTGATAGGCAGGGACGCAATGACCGTCGGTGCGAGGGCGGAGGTCTTGTTGGCGCCGGGGGTAGGACCGAGGTTGGTGACCGTACGCGAAGGGAGGACGCGCGCGCGAAGCATATTCCACCGCTTGGTAGCTTCGGTAGGTGTCGCTCCGCCCTCGTCGTCCGCGCTGTCCTCCCCATCCGCCGCGTGGTCCCCATCCCCGTCCGACTCTTCCTCGTGTGGGTGGATACCGCGCTCCGTGGCTGCCCGATCGTGCCGGAAAGAGCTGAACCGCTTGGTGTTGCTCTCTTTCCGCTTTCCTAGCGCCTTCCGACCACTCCCGCCCCCGCCCGTCTCGCTGTCCGAGCCACCGTCCAGTGCTCCCCGCCATGTCCCCTCCTCCTTGGCAGAGCTGGGACTCATTCCCTTCTCGTATGCCTGTAGACGGGCCTTGGAGCGGGATTCCCAGGTCGCGTTCAGGTCGTTGTCCGATGTGGAGGGACGAGGGGCGAATGAGGGTTGACGAGAGGGGACGGGGCTCTCGCCGGGTGGGTGCTCAGACTCGCCGTCTGCGGAGACTTTGAGGATAGGGCCTTTTTGGAGCCCGGAGGGGGTGTACTCGCGTTGCTGGTGGTACTGGAGTGTCAGCTTCTTTCGAGCGGAGCCTGAGTGAAGTCTTGAAACGAGGTAAAAAGGAAGGACGGGAAAGGCGCAATGACAAGGAATGGATGGAAAGGATGTGGCGACTCACGTGCATATGGCTGATCCGTGGATCAAGCACAATCTCCGTCCTCGGTCCCGGCTTCTCCTCCTTCTTGACCGGCGGGAGCCCATGGGGACGTCGACCAGCCTCGTCCGTCAACTTGCGCTCCCGCTCGCTATCTCGACCCTCATACTCCTCCGACGCCTTCTTTTGCTTCCCGCCGTCCTTCTTTTCCGACTTGTCGTCCGAGCCCGCCTCCTTGTTGGCCGATGAAGAGCCAGCTGAAGGACCGCCGAGAGCCGAAGGAGGAGCAGCGAATGCCTCCCCTTGCTGATACTCGGACGAAGGCGAGTCGACCCATGTCCTCGTCCCGTCAGAGGTCTCCTGCGAGGCCGGCTCCTCGGTCGTACCCGTCCCAAATGCCGAGTTGAGCAGACCGCTCAGCCACCCTTCTTTCTGCGGGATCTCCGCCTCGTGCGCGCCTGGACCCCTGCCCCTCGCCCCTTCCTGCGCTTGGGCCTTCTCGGCGTCCGTGCGCTCATCCTCCCCCTTGGTCGCCTGGCTAGGGATCGAGCTCGAGCTGGAAGCTCTCGACCTCCCTTCCTTCTTCTCGGCCTTGACTTGTTCTCCCCTCGCCCGACGTACTCTCTCCTCCGAATTCCTCCTTGCCGCCTCTGGGTGATTATCCTTCCACTCCTGCGTATTCCGCTTGAGACCCGTACTAGGCAGAGCCTTGGACGGCTTCATTCCCATGATATGGTCCGAGCTGTCCGACATTTCGCCCTTGTGGCTTTTGAGATGGTTGACGAGGCTGGTGATCTTGGGTCCGCCAGGCTGGGCGGTGCCGTGGCCCCGACCGCGTCCTTCGGATTCGGACATTTTGGGAGGGGTTGGTTGGCGGGTAAGGAGGGGACCGCTGTTTTTTGGTAGGTTGAGATGAGGTATCAAGAAGGCATGAGATCTGAGAGATATAGAGGGATGGAGGACAAGATGGCTGGGTGTGTACTGAGACAGAGCACAGATGACTCAAGCAAGGGGGACGTCGACGAAACCAGTGTCCAAGATCCAAGACATCCCAAGCTTGCTGCGAAGTAAATCTAATTCAGGCACACGCTGTCAGTGATGTCATCAAGGGTGTTACCACAATTATCATTAGCAAGTAGCCGCATCCATTACAAAATAAGGATCGTCGGGGGCTATTTACTAATGAACTCAACCCTTTATCATCACAAACGGCGCATAGAGTGGTCCTAATCAAGCCTCAAGACTGATCAACATTTCCCATTGCGGAAGTTTCCCGGTCCATACCGCGTGCCTGAGCTCTTTCCGTCGGAAGCTGTTGCGTTCCTTCCCGCCCCCGTGCTCAAGCTCTCCGATCAAAAGATCCAAAGATCAACACGACCACTCGCTATCCCTCATAGGCCGTGCAGGAGACGCGCCTGACTTCGGCTCAGTCATGATGATCCGCCGCGTTCCTCGCTTCCGTCTCACTCGGTTCAGCCTCATCACGACCCTCCTATCCCTCTTTGGGGTGTACTACCTCTACTTCGCCGCGCCCGCTCAACTACCAGAGGAGCTTCTCTCCTCGCCGATATATCATCCAGCGGGGGAAGCTACACCGTCAGGTGGGAGATGGGCCAGAGGGAGACAGGGGAGTGGAGGTGGAGGAAGAGGGGAAGAGATAGGGCTGGCGTATAGTCCAGATGGGTTGGTTAGGGGTTGGGAGGCGGCTCATGAGTTGATCAAAAGGGCGGGGATACTGCCGAAGAGGGAGAGGAAGAGGGTTAAGGAGGTCAGAGATACGCATCCGATTGAGGAGTTGATGAAAAGGGGCAAGGAAAAGTGGGAGGCGTTGTTGAAGAGGTGAGTCAAGTTCGGGTTGAAGGAGTATCAGTGGAGGTTAAAAAAGGGAGAGTAGGGTCGGGAGGGGAGCAAAGGGAAGGTGAACGAACAGAGGGGAGAAGAGGGAAAGGGGAGACGATCTGTATCCCCCCAGCTACCTGCTGGATCCATCTACCCATCCCAATCTTCTTCTCTGCTACATGCGCCCCCGCTGACATCCAGCCAATCGAAGACTCTTCCCCAAGCCGTCACCGAGTATGTCCGCCGGTACAATCGCCCACCACCCAAGGGCTTTGAAGTATGGTGGCAGTTCTGCAAGAAGCACGGTGTCAAGATTGTCGACGATGTGAGCTTCTCATCTGCTGCAAGCCGTCTACGGGTTGCCCAACGGTGAGAACAAAGCTGACTCCCAGTACGACCAAATCCAGCGCGATATCGAGCCGTACTTTGCCCTCTCTCCTGCCGAATTCCGGAAACGGGCCGAGAAGCTCGACACGCAAGAGCACTCATAGTACGCTCTTCTCCACTCCTTCAGCTCTAGTCTGCCCTTGACCTGCGAGTACTAGTGAACGCCGGGCTGACCCCCAGCCAAATATCCCTCTCCCCTACCGCCACACCCTCCATGACCGGACCCCGCGCCGTCTCTCTCCGCGGCCGACACCTCTTCCACCTCCTCACGCCCTTATCCACCCTCCTCCCGTTCCCCCTCAAAATTACAGTGTCCGACCACGATATGGGCAATTGGCTCGTCGGCGACGAACAGCTCAAAGCGGCTCGGTCGGTCATTGCTCGCGGTGGGTATCTTGACGAAAAGGAGTTGAAGAAGTATGAAGGCAAGGATGGGACGGCGGGGAAGAAGGGGATGTTGTATGCTTGTGGGAAGGGGACGAGGGGGTGGAATGTTAGTATAGAGAGGCAGAAGGGGAGGGCGTGGGGTGAGGAGGAGAGCGGTGAGTCATTTTCAGCCGTGATTGTCGGCGAGGGGTACAGTCGGGTCGGCGTTATGGAGACAAGGCCGGAGAAGGTGTTCTGGGTATATGCCAGGTAAGGAGACCGGTGCAGGCTGCGGGTACGGGGTGCATAGGGTGCATATAGACGGGCTATTGGGGATCATGGTGGTCTCATTCTGTCTCTTCTTCCGCCCGTCTCTTTTTCTAAGGCTTCGTCTTTCCCTCTCCATGTCCTCATCTCCCGGCCTGCTCATACCTCGTCACTCACTCCAGCTGATCCCCAGAAATCACCTTCATCCACGATCCCTACCCCACATACGACCTCTGCTCCGCCCCCTCTCTTCTCAAAACCCACGGCTCCCACTCATTCGACTTCCCGCGCGAATCGGTCCTCCGCCCCCTCTTCCAACTATCCAAATTCTCCCGGGATCCCAGTCTCCTCACCACCCCGCTCGAGGCGTACTCGAATCACACCTCCTCGACCGCCGCGGCGCAATATACGCCCTGGGATGAAAAGACGGAGAGTAAATTGTTCTGGAGGGGGAGTTCGACGGGGGACCATTATTCACATCGAAAGAATTATGATTGGCGGGATAGTCATCGCATGAAATTGCACTTTTTGGCGCAGAGTGGAGGAGCCAATGGCAAAGGGGGGAAGAAGGAGGAGGATGTGGGGCTTTGGGTCAAGAGAGGGAGGGAGTGGGAGTGGGAGAAGTGGAGTAAGGGGAAGGTGGTGGATACGTATCTAGACGTCGGGTTGACGGGGCAGCCGCATCAGGTGAGCAGACTTGATTACGACTTCAGTAAAGGGCGCACAGAGATGCTGGCGGGCCGGGAGGGGACGGCGGGTATGATGATCAAGGGGGCATTGACCTCTGGAGTTGTAGCTGACTATCTCAGTGCAGCAAAGAAGACGGGACATGCGAAGAGATGGCCGCCGAGATCGACTTCAAGCCTCGCGTCGCGCCAGAACAGGCGGTCCAGTACAAATGTGAGCTAAGACATGCGCGTCGATGGGCTGAGAAACATGTAGCTGACCCACCAGACGCGCTCGATGTCGACGGAAACGGGTGGTCATCCCGATTCCACCGGCTATTGATGTCGGGGAGTATGGTCATCAAGGCTACGATCTACCAGGAGTGGCAGTCGGACTGGATGATCCCTTGGTATCACTACGTTGTGCGTTGTCTCGCTCCCACCGCGGGTCTATACTTCGGTGTGGCAAGAAGCTTACTCCTTAGCCTACGCAGATAGACTACTCGGACCTTTTCTCTATCCTCTCGTTCTTTATCGGTCCCCCGGACGGTCGGAGCCGAGGTGGGAATGACGACCTCGCGCGGCAGATTGCAGAGCAAGGGAGACAGTTTGGGATTGAGCATTGGAGGTGGGAGGATATGCAGGCGTATATGTTTAGGCTGTTACTTGAGTGAGTTCTGCCTCTCCTTTCTATCTTGAGAGGTGGGATGGGACATGGAAAGAGGGGCGAGAGCAGAGCAAGAGACGGGGAGGGCGGTGGGAGATATCTGGTTTCCCGGCTGCGGCCCAGCCCAGGGGTATGGGGACCATGCTGACACCCCAGATATTCTAGGCTCGAGGCGGACGATCGAGAGGAAGCGAGCTACAAGAAGACCTACACGTAGTGCTATGTCTGCAGATACAAAAAGGGACGAGGGAGGGTTTGTATATAGGGGTTTTTGGGCTAATCTAGAAGGATAGACCGTGTGGATCTGGATGAAGAATATCTGGCTTGGGTTGGGCCGGGATAGATCGCTGACTTGGTGCCACATAACGTGGCTCTACTGATCACCCCATTTGCGATGCTTGCCGACGAAGGGGGCGAAAATGAAGGGATCGGCTGCTTGAGACTCGAACAGACTCGTCATCTGTCGCTGATGAAAGGATGGAGATGCGTTCATGGCGACGCGGAGGTGGTATAAAGAGGGTGAGTGGCGGTGCGGTTTTCTCTCATCCTACATCATTCTCCGCTTTCTCTTACAAGTCTGGACCTCACTCGCATACTACATCAGCCAGACTGCATCTATCATACCAGCACGACAATACTGCAAATGGAACAGCTCACCCAGTTTTTCGGCTCTGTGGCCCGTGGAGTCTCCGCTCTGATGTCCAACGCTCCGACTGAAGGTGCGTGCTAACTGTTGATGTACCGGTTACGATCGCACCTGCCAGTCCAAGCCACTGACTATAGACTGATCTCTATAGGAACCACAAAGGCTGCACTTCTGCCCTTCTTTCGGGACACCGATGGCCGAACCGAGTTCAAGGTGTTCCCCAATGAGACTCGATCCCAGGACGGCACCCCAGCAGGGCTTGGGTCGAATCTGTGTGAGTGTCCTGTGCTGCCGGCCTCGCTCACCTGTAGCATTCCCTATGGGTACCATAGACGATGAGGGGTCAGTCATCCGTTGCCACACTGGCTTGTCATGAGCGTATATATGCAGCGACGCAGCTAAATCAACTCCTAGGCGATTGATCACCCACAGCTTGGGGCAGGACTGCCTACTGGTCGTTCCCGAAGGCGCCAAGACAATCACGGCCTACGACGCGTGGGGAGCGGAAGACAGCCCAGCAGGGGTTACGACCCTCGTCTTCATCGATCTCGGTGATGGCTTTCCCACGGACACGGTGTTCCCTGATTACCAGGCCGGGATGACGATCGAGGTAAGCACTCGTGTCTGTTCAAAGCAGAGCTGAGACTACTTACGCAATCAAGGAGATCGCAGCGGTGAAGACTTGCCAAGCGTGGCCCATGTCCGCTGTCATCCTCTCACGCGACTGCCGTCCTGACAGCAGCACTCTCTCACCGGAGCTGGCCGCGTTCACCCGCGACTACGAGTCCTGCAACAGCACCAAAGCCGTCGGTGAGGCTGTGAGAGACCGGGCTGGGTATCGATTCGCGGCGGCAGAATGGGTGCTTCGAACCGTGGCCCGGCAGGCAGCCACTGATGGGACCATCTGAAGGAGTTGCTCAGGATCGATGGACGGATGGCCAACTCGTACACTGAGATCCTTTGAATCTCTGAGACTCGGGAGGGAAGTCATGAGGGGATCCTCCTATACCCTTCTCTCTTATCTTTGCTGACTGTATGAACGCGTGCTGCTTAAGCGCTCTGCGTCTCACAATACATCACACAGAACCAGTAAAAGTATAAGTATGGATCTGCTTGATGGCTGGACTTGCAGCGCCCCGCCCGTCTTTGAAATCTGGATGGTCACCCATCTCTAGCTTCCACTCACTCGTAGTCTCCCTACATCCTACTTATGCACGCCCATAGTCGGGATGTAGGCGCGTCACGCGTCAGAGGGAGAAGTGGGAAAAGGAATGTGGACTTTCTACTCGGCGGCCGAGTTTGCTTCGGATCCGAGACCGAGTGACCGAGACCCACGTCATCGCTGAGAAAGACACTGGTCATCGTTCGATCCTTTTGGCATCGCCTCGTCCTTTCTACTGTCCCAGGCGTATATACATCAAGGCCCCAGCTCCTTCATCAGTCACTCATTCAACATGGCCTCAGCAGCAGCTGGCTTCCGCCCCTCCTACGAAACCTGCTTCCAAGTTACACCTCAATGCCCCGTCGAAGCCACCACCTACGGCGACTACTTCAACCTCGGCGCCTGTATCTTCTTCACGGTCTTCTTCGCTATATGCTTCATTGCTCAAATCGGGATCGGCGCATGGGGTCGCACCTGGTCCTTCTCCATCTTCCTCTGGATCGGTACCGCCTTTGAAATCATGGGCTACGGCGCACGGATCAGCATGACACGGATCGGCACCGTCTGGAACTACCCCGCCTTCGTCATCCAACTCCTTATGCTTATCCTCGCGCCTACCATGGTCGCAGCCGCCATATCCGTCACCTTCAAGTGGATCGTCATCTACCTCGATCCGCGGTACTCGGTGCTCAAGCCCAAATGGTACCCCTGGGTCTTCGTCGGGACGGACTTTATCTCCATCATCATTCAGGCGGTCGGCGGAGCGGTATCGGCCGGGGCGACCAGCGGGAACGTCCCCAACCAGAAGCTGCTCGATGCAGGGACGGGACTGCTGGTCGCTGGTGTGGCGTTCCAGGCGGCCAACATGGCGTTCTGCGGGGGATTGATGGTGATCTACTGGCTGCGGTATAGGGCGGGGAAGAAGAGGGGTGACATCATGCAGGGAGTGAGGAGGAGGGACTCTGTTGGGACTGAGGAGGGAGAGGCAGCGGCAACGGGCCTATGGCCGGAGACCAAGTTTCAGAAATACCTCTACGCCATCATCATTGCCTACTTTGCGATCTTGATTCGATGTGTCTACCGGTGAGTACCGTTGACATACCAATTTTGAGATATGAAGCTGACTCTTCAGTATACCGGAGATGGCGCTGGGCTGGGGAAGCACTTTGATGCAGAACGAGACTCTCTTCCTGATTCTTGACGGAGCGTGAGTTTGTCGTTGCTGGGCTATGCTTCAACCCACGCGCGAGTATCGCGAAAGCTGATCGCATAGAATGATCGCTATCGCCGTCCTACTCCTCACGGTCGTCCACCCCGCCATATTCTTCCCCATCCTTCGAAAGCCAAAGAAGAACGCTTTGGCCGCATCCGCCGACGCCGAGAAGAAGGGTCTCCAGACGTCGACGCCACCGGAGCAGGGTACGATCGGGGCGCAGAGGGGAGATGCGAGCATGAGCGGATAGTGCAGGCGTGTGACGTCCCTCGGACCAATCGTGTAGCAATAGTAAGCCTCTTACATAGTCTTCAAACTCAACATACTAGACTTCCGCATATATCTGTGACCTCTTCTGCTGTAAGCTAACTTCACTGATCGACTGTTCTCCAAAATCGCTGTAAGATCGACTGGAGCTATCGTGAAAGGATGGCCCTCGATCCGAATCCACCAGTACTTTTAGGCCATGCCAAGGTGACGATCCGTTTCCCTGTAGACCATATCCACGATCGACCTGATCTCTGACATTCCCACTGACTTGCTTACAACCACCATCAGAGAGGACTGATCATGATGTATAACGTCCCCGACTCCATCCCCTCCTATACCTCGCCCCATCTCTCGCCCACGGGTCTAGAAAGCGTCCAGAAACCGCTCAGAAAGTTCACGGGCGGCAGGCCGGTCTACATGAATCTGGATCGATGGACGACGATCGGATCGGTGGAGTGGACCGACAAGCATGGGAAGAAGCATCCTGTGAGTCACCTTTCTCGTGCTAGCTCTATCAAGCGAAGGAGATGAGAAAATTCTGCGCCGAGTGGCAAATGGGCTGACTCGAGTAGGATTGGCGCTTCATCTCTCGGCCAGACAACAAGGAATGTAAGCAGCTCTAGATCCCGGCATACTTACAACCAGAGGCACGGGAGGTGACGTTGCCAGCGGTCTCTGCCATCCCCTTCTGGATCGCTCAAGACGGTTCCATCATCCTCGCTCTGAAGGACGAGCTGCGTCAGACCCTGCAACGGGGAGTCCTCGGTACGCTGCTCATCGAAGGTATTCTGAGCTCTTGAGACTGACAACAAAGGCTTTTGCCGTTCTACATGGGGACCGAGGCTGAGATGACTGGTATCGGGTAGCAGGAGCTGGAACCTGTGAGTCGTGCCCTGACTGCTCGGTATGCGATCTGATGACAAAGGGAGAAGATATCAAGCCGTGCTTCTTCCATCTCAAGGACTTGCCTGCTTTACTGACACTGCTGAAGGAGAGTGGGCACCCGTGCACTCAAGAGCTATCGAGCTTCATCATGGGCTACATGTTCGCCCGTCTCGAGGATCAGGTGAAAGAGCAGAAGGCCGTCGTCAAGGGGGAGCAGCTGCCGGCGGTCGATGTCAAGAAGCTTTGGGATGGGCTACTGGAGCCAACGGATCTCAAGGTGGCGGGAGATCAGCATCAGAAGGCTTCTGACTATTTCGGCGATTAGCGTGAGTGGATGTAGATAGAGCTTATTGTACATTCAAGACCCCTTTTATCTGCTTCGTGGTGGACAGACGATATATGATGCATGTCATGGGCAACGACTAGACCCGATGTTTCTTGCTGGCCTCGACGAAGGTCATCCCCGCTTTGATCGACTCAGCCACCTTGGCGTCCGCCTGAGTCTGTCGGATCATGAGTGGTATGATCTGGTCCTCGACGCTGCGAGGTATCACGACGACTCCATCTATATCCGCCACCACTATGTCTCCCGGCTCGACGATGGTCGTACCGTACTCGCTGACGAGCTCGAGCTTCTGATTGACCGCTACGACCTTGGCGTTCTCGTACGGCGAGACAGTACCGACATCGGAAGCAAAGACCTGTCTTCAGCTCAACCCAAAGCCAATACTCACTGGATAGCCAAGTGCGCGATGCTCGTGGAGATCACGGACACGGCCATGGACGATTGTGCCAGCGGCGCCGCTTGCCTGGGCTCGAGTGGACATCAGACCGCCATACACCGCATTGGGGATAGTAGAGGGTGCACTGATGACCACTGCAGCGCCCTGGGGGATAGTGTCAATCTGCCTGTCAGCGGGGCGGGGCAGGAAGTGAAGCGCACTCACATAGTGAACAGGCACCTTGTCCTCTGCGCTACTCAGCAGCGCATACCGCACAGTGTACGCCCTTCCAATGACTTTAGTCGTCCCTTCTTGACGTTGAGGGGACCACATTGAGGGACCGGGCAAGAAGCCCCCGCCTGCCACGCCGAGCTTGACTAGAGCATCCGAGCAGTCACACCTGGAAATCAGCACTACTCGGTAGTAGCGCAGTCTGACTCACGCGCTAAAGTCGGCGAGCTCATCGATAATTGTCGGTGCGGCCATGATGTATAGTGAGAATCAGGCGAAAGCTACAGCTGCTGTGCCCTTTCATCATGGCTAGGTATATCAAGTCAGAGATGGTGCAGCAAGGTGACCTTGCTATCTATCGGCTTTGTTCGGATCACTTCGGATCTCCCGGACAATTTCCGGTGGCGCAGAGGTAAGTCCGGGAGACTCACTGCGGTATGCGTTGCATCTTGACCCTTGCCCAATGCATATACAGGCAGCCATGCACGCCCTCTCTCAGCATAGCAGCGACCGATCCATCCCAATTTCTGAGAGGAGTGACCAGATCCAAGCAAGTCACATCGATCGGGCTGGCGCTGATCATCAGAGTCCACCATGCCCACTGCTATCCCTGTCCCCACCCCTGCCACTGCGGTACCGCCCCCCTCCAAAGCTCCCTCCTCCCACCTCAACATAGACCCCGCGTCTGCCCATGCTTTCGCTATCGCCGTCCTTGCCAAGTACAACGTCCCCGCGGACCGGGCGGGTATGGTCGCGGACTCGCTCGTCCTTGCCGACCTCCGTGGCGTCGATACTCACGGTCTCAACCGCCTCGGCGGGTACATTGACCGCATCAAAGCCGGTGTACTCGACCCCAATCCTGAACTCACGTTCAAAATGCGCACTCCCGTCCTCGCCGAGCTGGACGCCCGCAACACCTTTGGCTTCGTCGCCGGCTGCCTCGCGGTAGACAAGGGTATCGAGATCGCCGAGACATTCGGGCTCGCCATCGTCAGCGTGAAGAACAGCAATCACTACGGTATGGCGGCGACCTATCTTCTTCGGGCAATCAAGCGCGGTTTCGGAGCTATGGCGTTCACCAATGCCAGCCGGAGCATGGCGCCCTGGGGATCCAAGGAGCCCCTCTTTGGGACGAGTCCCTTTGCGGTGGGCGTACCGGGTGGGGAAGCAGGGGACTTTGTGCTGGACATGAGCCCTAGCGTGGCGGCGAGGGGAAAGATCAGGAAGGCGGCGAGGCGGGGGGAGTCCATCCCGGAGGGGTATGCGCTGGACGGGCAGGGCCGCCACACCACCGACCCCAACGAAGCCCTCAAAGGTGTCGTCCTCCCCATCGGCGGTCCCAAGGGCAGCGGCCTCGCCATGATGATGGACATCTTTGGCGGGGTCATGACGGGCGCATCTTTCGCGGGCGACGTCAATGACCAATACAAGAACCTCTCCTCTCCCCAGGGCGTCGGACACTGGTTCATGATCTTCCGTCCCGAGGCGTTCTTGGATGGCGGCAAGGAGGAGCTAGGCGATAGGATGGACGTTCTGCTGGAGAGGGTCAGAGGCTGCGACAAGGCGGCAGGGGTGGATAGGATCTTCACGAGCGGGGAGATTGAGGCGATGACGGAGGGGAGCAGGCGCCAGGGCGGGATCCCGTTCACGCAGGATGAGGTTAAGAATTTGCATAGCTTAGCTAGGGAGAGCGGATCGGATGCCGTTTTGCAGACAGTGTAGTATCTTACCGATGCATCTTGTCCTCTCTTGCTATCTGCTTGGAAGACTGGATAGGGTCTGCTTGAGGATGGCGCCATGACTGAGACTGTTCGGAGATCTTCGGATCCGGTCCATCGGCGCTATAGCCGATATGATTCCAACTTGCACTCAAGGACAGCATCATCTGTCACTAGCTTGTCAACGATACCTATCATCCCCATGTCAGCGAGAGCTTCGAAGAGCCAGGACCCTGAGACCTCTGCCAAAAAGTCGAAACGAGGGGGAGCGGGAAAGGTCGCGGGACTGACCTGTTCCGGCTGCCGCATCCGCAAGGTGAGCTGATCAGCTTTGGGCTGGACTCGAGCTGATATGCAGACCAAATGCGATGGAGGTCAGCCGGGCTGCAAGACATGCGAGGTATACAGGGAAGAATGCCGATACGAGCGAGCCCCACCAATCACTCAGGTCCGCGAGATGGCTCGGCGCCTGCGCGAGGCCGAGGAAACGATACGTCTGCTTCAGGCCTACGCTCCACTTCCAAGAGTAGCATTGACGACGCTGCTCCCTCGCACTACCCCTCGGACGTTTCTCTCTCCACATCTGGACCACCGCCGCCACTGATACCGGATCCTCAAGCATGGCGCTCTACCAGTGCGCCTCGGGCGCCGCCGAGCCCATCACCTCTACTTTGGGATGGGGAAGGACCCGCTAGGTCTCGCTCGTCCGATATACTACTTGATCATAATGGAGAGGTAAGTCTCAAGAAGGCAAATCTGATCTCAGCTGTCGTATCACGGAGTCACGTCGGCGGTACATGATCCCGATCGGACGATACAGGTCGACGACTCGGTGGACCCCTCTCGCGAGGTCAGAGCCCAGTTGACGTTCGCTGTGGTCGACTCCCAGACGTACGAGCAATTTGCTCTCGGAACCGTTGCTCTACAAGTTGATCTACCGCGAGAAGTAATCAGTCACCTCCTACAGCTATACTGGACATGGGTCGTACCCGCATTCCAGTGGGTGTATCGCCCTGCATTCATGCGTGAGTGCGCCTCGTAATCTGCGCTGATGACAGGCGACATGTCTACGTCCGGTCCTTACTATTCGCAATTTCTCCTCCTCGTGATCTGCGCCCATGCGTCCCGCTTCTCGCCAGAGCGCCACATCGGACCCATGCTCGACGCTCGCGCCAAACTCCTCCTCGGCCAAGAGATACAGAGACCTCCATCCGTCCCGACCGTACAGGCACTCCTCCAGCTCAGTGCGAGGGAGCTGGCGTGCGGCTCGATATCGCAGTCTTGGCTCTACAGCGGGATGGCATTCCGGATGGCAGGGGATATGGGTCTGCAGCAGAGCTACGAGCGGGTCCATCATCTCGGTCATTTGAACGCGGAGGATCTGGAGATACGAAGGCGGCTGTTTTGGAGCTGTTACTTTTGGGACAAGTGAGTCTTGTGCGAGCTATGCTGATCATCAGATGTATCAGCCTGTACCTGGGTAGATCGCCCGTGATGCTGGAGACACCTCAGAGTGCTCATACTGCTCTCGGTGAGGTGGGCTTTGAGTCGGGGATTACGTCGGAGCTGACTCTCTAGATAAGTCTGACGACGACGATCTCTGGTCACCTCCCGACGACGTTCTGTCCGACTATCCTCAATCTCGCGCCTATACCGTCTCCAGCTTTGAGAATTCCTGTCGCCTGGCAGTCCTAATAAACGAGGTTATCCAACAACTGTACTCCCATACTGCGCCCGCCACACCACCCATAGAGCTACTCGGCAAGCTCAATACATGGCGAGCAACTACGCCCGCACACCTACGACTTGACGCCGAGACTCTGCCCAGCGTGTCTCCTCCGCCTCATATACTTACGCAAAAGTGAGTACTGCTCCCTTGATCTCCTGACGCCAGTCTACTATACTTCACTACCGTCATCCTCCTCCACCGCCCTTTCCTGCCCTCTTCTACTCATCGTCAAGCCTGCCGGACTGCGGCGAACAACATCGAAAGCCTGATCAGCCTCCTCGTCTCCACATTCGGCGTCGGCTACATCAGCTACATACAGGCATACTGCATCTATACTGCCGCCAGCGTCCTCGTCCCTGATGCCAATGCGGGCGACCCCATCGCGGTGACTCGGCTTCACATCTTGCTTGATGTCTTACGCGGGGGTCTCACCACCTGTCCCGTCTTCAAGCGGAGTCTGGACATTATCAATCACAACTACGTTCCGCCCACTCGCTCGCAAGCTGTCTCGGAGACATCAGTCGACACTTGGCCAGCGGCCGACACCGCGCGAAATCAATTCCAACCATTCACGCAGCCCATCTCGGCACCCGCTGTCCCATCGGCGGAATCAACCTTCACCTTTGGTCCTACCGCTCCGCTCAATTACATGCCGGCTTTCCCTTGCTTGGGTATGGGCTTGGGCGGGGACGACGGGCCGTTCATGCCCAGTACCTTGGACTCGGATCTGAACTTCCTGGACTGCTTTCCTGAGAGCAATATGGCGGCTGGTGACTGGTTTTTGAATATCTGAGGGAAGGAAGGGGAGGGGTTGGCGGTGCGAGCTGTTTGTCGGGAGATCGGGGACCTGGGACACTCTTTGTAAGGGGCTATGTTGGCTGTAGGAGCATAGCGGCGCGTCGCTGGGCGACTGCGCCGACAGATCTCAGAACAGGAGCACGTCGCTGGATGTCCTTGCGACGTCGCAGCGACGTCACGGCGTCGCGGCGCCGCGCCGGCGCCGACTAGATCTGAGATAGCGCTAGGTGAATATCCGGGATAGTCACTGTACGGGCCGGACAGAATTGTCTGTCCGGGTGTCCGGACACTTTACATTAGTGTCGGACTGACGGCGCTGAGTGGCGGCGAGGCAACGCCGCCACCCAAGTATCCTATAGCACATAGAGACGTGAGACGTCGTCTAGCGACGTCCCAGCGACTCGTCGGCGTCGTGTCGTCGCGTCGGTGTCGCGACGCAGCGACGCCAGCAGGACTATATAAGTAGACCTGATCGTGTCCAATGCATCTTTATTCTGCTTTTGTACTTCTACCTTCCAAACTTCAACAGGCTATGCTGTACATAGCGTCTTTGTAGTGTACGCCGTTGGACTTGTGTCATCTGATAGATATTGGAATCTGACAGGCTCAAGAGCAGTCAAGTCATAGCAGAACAGCTCGGACGCCTGCACAAAGAGACACTGACTACCGAGAGTATATCCCGCCTCGAACAGCTCTGGTCTGTACTCATTGGAACAAATCCCAGGTGACAAGGTATTGTCCATCCAGTCTCTCGAGCCTAGCCAGCGCTGATGCCTCGCAAAGTCGGCTGCAAAGCTCATCCATCACTACAAAGCAGTTTACACAGATATATCGCCCTGACCATCTCACCCCGATGTACACCTCTTGCCCGCATCCCTGCCTCAATACACGTACCGGAAGTCCGGATTGTCCTGCTCGCTCTTGTCCTGCATACCCGCTGCAGCAGCCCGCTCTTTGTTCGCTGGACCATACTTGCGATCCCGCACCTTGTTCTGCCACATCATCTTGCGGATCAGCGACATTCCCTTTGGCGAGCTGGGAGTCCGACTCACGTATATGCCAAGAGTGAGCAGAGCCAGTAGCTTGACCGTGAAAGAGACCACCATAGCTGTGGTAGCGGTAGTGTAGACCGGAGCCTCGCTGCGAGGTCAGCTTTAGTCACGGGAGCAACATGGTAATGTACCTAGACAAGACGGTGAGGGGGCCAACGATGTTGCCCTGAGGTTGTCAGCTGTGACCCAGGTCGGAGCCATACGACGTACCAAGCAATAGCCGAGAAAGGCGAGAGACGAGGTGATGGACTTCTTGGTGTACCCGCCAATGTTGGCGCTGATCATGACGAGACCGAGAGCAAATCCGATAGAAGAGCAGTTGGCTGACTGATCAGCAAGCAGTCCTCAAGCTTGTAAAAGAGCTGAACCTCCTCATCCAGAGTCCCACGAGTCTTGGCCAGCTGTTCTCCCTCGGAACCCACGACAATAAGCAAGAGCCAAGCACACTGGCTATCAGCTGCGTACTACCGCCGGACGTACCAGATGATGTTGCCCACGGTCACCATCAAGACTCGCGAATTGGCAAAGCGGCTAGCAATGTAACCAGCGATGAGGAGGGTCACGATTTGAATCGCGCGTCCGGCCGAGTCGAGAAGAGCGGCGTTAAAGCTGGTGAAGCCCATACCGGTGATGATCGAGCCGCTAAAGTTGCTGGTGACACCGTTGGGAAGTGCGCCTGCAAAGGTCGAGATGAAGAGGAGCCATGTTTTTGGATCGAGGAGAGCTTGGAGGGCGTGACGCTTGTTGAATTTGCGAGACTTGATACCAGTGCCGTTGCCGGCGACTCGCACGACGGCGAGTGCGCGAATGTCCTTCTTGAGCCAGAAGGCGTCGGCGGGAGAGTCGGCGAGAAGGAAGAGCAGAACGAAGCCCCACGCGGTGGTAATTGCGCCTGGAAGTCAGCGGCAGACCAATTGGAAAGTATAAGGCTCGATCTCACCGAGAATGTAGAAGATCAGCTGCCAACGGGGTACAGGGTTATCCGAGAGTCTGCTAATATCAGCAGAGCTTCCGTGGTAGTGGTACATGGTCTGGATACTGACTTGGCAATACCGGCTGCGAGAAAGGCACCGATCATCCCGCCTGCTCCGACAGAGGTGTACCATATAGTCTGACGGAACGGCTGCTCGGCGCGAGTGTACCAGAAGCCCTGGATGTCAGCCAAGGACTAGCTAGACTCACAGTCATCAAGGAAAGTCCAGGCGTGACCGCTGATTCGAGTGCACTGTAGTGTCAGCTCGGAATGGAGCGAGAAGGAGGAGACATACCCTAGGAAGAATCGGTTGGTCATGACGCCCGCAAAGTTCTTGTTGGCGGTCGTCGTAAGTACAGCGACTCCCCAGAGGACGGTGCAGCAGCCAAGGACCTTGCCAGCGGGGTATCGACCGATGAGGGTGGAGAAGATGGGTTGTGCGCTGAGATGTCAGCCCGAGACGTTGAGGGTCGAGACGTTGAGGGTCTTAAGGGTAACTTACACCAGGTAGCCAATGTAGAACATGCTAGCGGTAAGGGAGAATTGATCGCCGACTAGGCCAGTCGCAATGTCCATACCGTATACCTTTCCATAGTTCAGTGCGGTCTTGTCGACGAATTGCAGCGTCTCTGCACTTCAGCTCGGCCCGTCTGCCTTACTCACGAGTAATGAAGAATAGCGGCAGGATGCACAGATCGATACGCCTGAGGATAGCTCGGTTCTGCTCCGGGGTCTGATAGGATCAGCAGACAGCAGACTGAAGTGAGCGGGGACACTCACGATCGGGGGACCGTCCTTCGCGGACTGATACTGAGCCTCTCCGATGTGATCCTCGTCAGCTTCAGAGACCGCTTCCAGACGCGGCTTGTCCTCAACAAAAGTAGTGTGCGGCTTGTCAGCGTCGCTGCCAGCGGTCGAGTAGTCTGACTCCATCCGGGAAAGAGGGGCTAGGACGGGCTGTGCGGTGATCATGTTGTCAAATGCTGTCGTGAGTAGGTTGAGGTGACGCAGAGATGAGAGGGCGTCAGTGCATATATGAGCCCAGGCTACACCTCCAGAAGTCTAGCCACTCCCAGCAGACCTGCAAGAGCAAGGTGGATCATGATGAAAGTCCGGGAGATCCTGAGATCAGCGCCCGGGCAAAGTCCGGGAGACCTTTGCGCCAGTCCCAGACCGGGACCCGCAACTTGCGGGACCGCATGCAGCTTACATTGTCAGCCGACCGGAGTACGAGCATCTGGAGTGCTGTCAGCTGCCAGAGGAAGGTGGTGGGTCGCATGGTGGATCTGTGAAGTACGGCCAGTTCGAATCACAAGTGTCTACGAAGGAGTGCAAGTTCCGGATGACGTCATGCCCGCTATGGTCACTCCGCGATATGGCCAGACCTCGCTCTACTTGCTCTCACTGATGCACTGATCGCCCAGCAGATAGGGAGCCGATACTACTTCATACATCGCACCTTAACCTATCTGGACCTGAAATGACATGTACACCTGACGTATAAGCTATGGCTGTCTCGTGGCAGCCCCCTCGATCCTCCCAAGATCGGCAATCCCTCCCAAACCCGTCGCAGTCTCGTCCACACCCTTCTTCTCATCGTTCTCGTCCGAGTGTGCCGATGCTTCGTCCGCCTCGCGCTGCTTCTTCCACTTGGTGACTGGGGCGTTCTTGTACAGGTAGATGATGACCATGATGCCGCAGATCCAGACGCCAAAGAGGCAGGCGGTGACTTTGTAGCCGGCGCGCTGGGGGTCAACTTGACCTCTAGGAAGAAGAGAGGAGGAACGTACGTAGATGGGAGCTTGACTGGCTGGGAAAATGAGGTTCGGCGCCCATGCGTTGACGGCGTATGCTGCGGTCTTGGAGTCAGCTCGGCTCAATAACCTCACTTTTAGAACTCACGTTCTGGAACCCGATAGTGATAGCACGAGCCTCTGCGCTGTCTGACAGCAGCTCGTTTGCCCATGCCAACATGATAGCTCCGATCGGCGTAGCGGTAAAGTTGAGGAAGAAGCCGACAAACTTGGTCGAGTTGGCTTCGGGCCAGGTAGAGAGCTGTAAATCAGCATGATTCTCTTCTGAAGCGCTTAGAAGACTTACAATAATGTTCCCGATCAAGGGCGGGATCCCGCCAAAGACCATAATCTGCCATCGCATCCCCGTTCCATCACTGACCCACGAGTAGATCAGACTTGCGCAGATGGAGATGGCGTATCCACCGGTAGGGATGACATTGATGAGAGTGATATTGCCGCGCCATGGAGGGGTAGCGGCGAGCCAGAGGTTCATATACTGGTAAGAGCCGAGACCGACCACGAACGCGACGTAGGGGATAGCGAATGCCCACTGTCTTGTCAGCTCGACCCAAAGTACAGAAGAGTAGACGCACTGGTACCCAGGTGGAGAAGGTGTCCTTGAACGCCTTGACAGTCAATCCCTTCCTCGGTGCTCGCTTCCACTTTTGCGCGCGGGCGATGGCCATGTCGATATCCTCGTCCTTGAAGAGCCAGCGGGAGCGGGGGTTGATGTTGTCGGCGAGTCCGGGATGAGGAAGAAGCCTGCTATGCAGATGGGCAAGCAGATGACACCGTCCATGATCTATCCGTCAGCTGAGTCCGCCATAGCGAGGCAGCAGGCAACTCACCATGAGCCATTGCCACCCCTTCAATCCGTGTCGCTCGTTGAGACCTAATTTGTCGGCTCTGATCGACCCCTGAGGACGATGTACAGCAGGACATACCAGCGTGAACCGCAGCTTGGAGATAGCCCGAGAACATGGTACCGACCGATGAAGTAGCCTGAAACATGACAACTACTCAGTCAGCTCCGCCCCGGTCTTGCGAGTTTGGCGAGGTCCGATGAGACAACTAACCTCGCTTCGACAGCTCAGCTGGTCCGTACCAGTTTCCGAGGACCCAGATCATTCCGGGATAAGCAGTCGCTTCGAGCAGACCAATGACGAATCGCAGACCGTAGAGCGTCTGTGGGTTCTTGGCGGCCGCACAGCACATCACGAGGATGGTCCAGACGACTTCGCACGAGGGAAGCCAGATCGAAGGGCGGAGCCAGACCATCATCATTGTTCCGGGGAAAGTACCGATAACGTATCCGACAGTGAACATGGTGAGCAGGACCTGTACTTCAGTATTCTGATAGCGAAGATAAGGAGATCACTCACATTGTACTGATCACCTTGGAAGTTCAAGGCCTCCTTCATCCCTGAGGCATAGGCATTGGCGATATTGGCTTGACTGAGGTATTTGACAAAATAGCCCAGCATGGCCTGGTCATCAGCGCTTGAGGTCATGTCCCGAGTGGCGGACTCACGATTGTCAAGAGCGCACAGTCCAGCTTGCGCACGAACTTGCGTTCCACCTCGGACTTGTTATCGCTGTCCCATACGATTCGCCTGATCTTGCTGCCAATGGAGTTGGAGCGCGGCGCGTCCATCTCCTCGTGTTGCGCTTCCAATCGAGTGCTCATCGTGCTTGAGTATAATTAGGATGACAAAAGTCAGTAAGAGTGTCAGCCCTTGCCGTCCTACCACCTATATACATTTTGCTCGGACGCTTCCTTACAGTCGATCTCTTGCTCGGCAGAGCACGCAATCTCTGACGATAAGGCTCGCGTTCTGATGTGATAAGGGTATGCGGGGTAAGAGAGGGCAAGACGAGAGCAAGCAAGAGCTCGAGGGCAAAAAGAGAGGCGGAAGGCAAAGCCGAAAGCCGATTTTCGGGCCGGACACCGGATTATCCTCGGAATATTGCCCTTTTCGCTGTTTTGGACCACTTTCGGCCGACAATTTGCTCTTCGTCTTGCTCTTGTCGGCGCGTAGAGTGGGGCTAAGACCAACGTCGTGATAGGGACGACATCGGAACAGCTGCCCGATTACCAATGAACAATGTGGAGGGGGTGGAGAGGGGTGGGGGTACTGATAGAGGAGGAAAGTTGACGACATCTCACTTGATCATTCATCGCAAGATGTCCGACAAGCAGCAAGAAGCAAGTGGTGTGCGAGTAGCCATAGACCGTGGAGGCAGTGAGTGGTGGCTGTTCAGACGTGGGTCTATGCTGATGATCAGCCTTCTGCGATGTCTGGGCGTACATTCCAGCCAATCTGGTCCACAGGGATCTCTCGCCGGATCTCCTGGGGAACGCTGAAGTCATCCCCTCAACGGACGGTAGCGGCAGCGTCCAGGTCACCTTCAAGCTCCTCTCGGTCGATCCCGCGAACTATGATGACGCGCCCAGCGAGGGTATCAGGCGCTTATTGCAGATTGCGCAGGGCAAGAAAGTGGGAAGAGGGGAGCAGTACGACACGTCCCTCATTGGTAAACTGCAATATCCGCTGTATGTCTGGCAGAGCTGACTCATCCAGAAAGCGTACGAATGGGCACTACGGTCGCTACCAACGCCTTACTCGAGCGGAAAGGCGCGCCATTCGGCTTGGTCCTAACCGAAGGCTTCGCAGACCTCATCGAAATAGGCGATCAGACCCGCCCGGACCTCTTCGACCTGAGTCTCTCGCGAAAGGCCAAGATCCTGTATCGGCCACAAGATCTCGTACTGGCGGAAGAGAGGGTCACGCTGGAGGGATGGAGTCTGAAGCAAAACGGTCCGAGCGCGGACGAGCTGGTCAAGCTGGCTCAGGAGGAAGGTGCGATGAAGGAGGGAGAAGCGGTTTTGATGGGAATCAGCGGAGAGGCGGTCCGAGTGTTGAAGCCGCTTAGTGAGCTGGAAGCTCCGGATAAGAGGTCCAATCTGACGCACAGATACCGAGAAGATGCGCAAGGACCTCCAGAGGCTGTATGACACCGGCATCCGCGCGATCGCTGTCTGTCTCATTCACTCTTATACATATCCCGGTCAGTTGCTGCCCGCGTACGCGTGAGATTTGGGAGGCAGAGCTGACCCCATAGAGCATGAACAGCAGGTGGGTCGTATCGCCGAGGAAATCGGTTTCACCCAAATATCCCTCTCATCCTCGCTTTCACCAGCTATCAAAGCCCTCCCGCGAGGCAACTCGGCCGTCATCGACGCTTACCTCTCGCCCATCCTCCGAGCCTATGTCGACGGCTTCAATAGTCACTTCGCGGGCAACAAGGCGGGTAAGCGGTCAGAATTCATGAAGTCGGATGGAGGGCTGGTGTCTTCCGACAAGTGAGCTGCGTTTCAATCCAATCTCTCTCGGGACATAGCTGACAAACAGATTCTCCGGACTCAGGGCGGTACTCTCCGGCCCCGCTGGCGGCTTTGTTGGCTGCGCTTTGACCTCCTACTCTGAGAAGCGGAAACGCCCGGTCGTCGGCTTCGATATGGGCGGAACCTCCACGGACGTTTGCCGCTTCTCGGGCGAATTCGAGTTGACGTACGAGAGCATCATTGCGGGTGTCAAGATCGCCTGTCCCCAGCTCAGTATCGAGACTGTCGCTGCGTGAGCTCGTCGCCCGCACAACCCAGGAATCAAGCTGATGAAGATAGTGGAGGAGGATCTCGATTGACGTACAAGAATGGGATGTTCCTTGTCGGACCCGAAAGTGTTGGCGCCCAGTGAGCTGTGTCGCCCGTATCTGCGTCCGGTCTCAAGCTGACTCGAAAGCCCTGGTCCAGCCTGCTACCGCAAGGGAGGCTCTCTTGCTATTACCGATGCCAATCTGATCCTCGGCCGCCTTATCCCCTCTCAATTTCCCAGTATCTTCGGCCCCAACGCAAACGAGCCACTCGATATCTCCGCTTCTCGCGTCAAATTTGAGGAGCTTACCGCTGAGATCAATGCGGATCGAAAGGGCTCGAAGGCGTACTCAGTGGAGGATGTCGCGTCTGGGTTCGTCAGGGTCGCAAACGAGGGGATGAGTCGGCCGATGCGGAATGTGACGGAGCAGAAGGGGTTCGCTACGGCCAGTCATGACTTGTGCTGTTTTGGAGGGTGAGTTGGCGGTGATCTGCATTCGCGAAGCACAAACTCACTCTGCAGTGCCGGTGGTCAGCATGCCTGCGCCATCGCCGCCAGCCTCGGCATATCCACCGTTGTCGTCCCCCGCTTCTCCTCCATCCTCTCCGCTTACGGTATCGCCTGCTCGGACCTCACCTCCGAAGCTTCCCTTCCACTCTCCGCCGAGATCCCTGATATCCTCCCCTCCTCCTCCGTCCAGACCGACATCCAGTCTCGGGTCGACTCCCTCAAAGCCGACGTTACCCGTCAGCTCGTCGAGCAGGGCGTCACCCCTTCGGACGTAGTTCACTCCATCACGGTCTCGACACACTATGATGGGTCGGACACGTTACTTCAGATCCCCCTGTCCGACAAACTCAAGGAGGACTTTATTGCTGCTCATCTGCGGGAAACCAGCTTCAGCACCAATCGCCCCGTACGGATCGCCAATATCCGCGTCAGGGGAGTAGGGCGGACCTTCAAGGTCGCGCCAACGGACTATGCGCATGCTCTGGAGAAGGCGGAGTCTACGCCGAATGCGATCGTCGCGCCCTCGAGTCGGACCCAGGCGTTCTTTGAGGTCGACAAGGTCGCCACACCGATCGACACCCCAGTCTACATCCTCGGTTCGGTCCCTACCGGCACCAAGATCCCCGGTCCGGCCATCATCGTCGATTCTACCCAGACCATCGTCGTCGAGCCATTCACTGTCGCGGTCTGTCTCCCCGAGCACGTCATCCTTCGGCTCTACGCTGCATCCCCCTCTCCCTCCGCCGGCATACCAACACCCGCCCAGACCGACCCCATCATGCTCGCGGTATTTGCCAACCGCTTCATGTCTATCGCCGAGCAGATGGGTCATACACTCCAACGGACCAGTATCTCCGTATCCATCAAGGAACGACTGGACTTCTCGTGCTCTATCCACGGTACGGACGGGGCGCTGGTGGCGAACGCGCCGCACATCCCGGTTCATCTGGGGAGTATGCAGTATGCGGTGCAGGCGCAGCATTTGCATTGGGCGGGGAAGCTGAGGGCGGGGGATGTGCTGTTAACAAATCACCCACAGTGGGGAGGTGAGCTCTTTTGGGCAGAATGATTCTTCTACCGTCGGAAGCTTACTGTCAGGTACCCACCTGCCCGATCTCACGGTGGTCACGCCGGTCTTTGACCCGAAGGACGATACCAAGGTTCTCTTCTACGTCGCTTCACGCGGGCATCACACCGACATGTAAGCTCGCAGCAAAGGAATGATCAGTTTCCCGGAAGCTGACCAAGCAGTGGAGGCACGGGCGTCACTTCCATGAATCCCATCTCGAAGGAGCTCTGGGAAGAAGGCGTCTCGATCAAGTCTTTCCGGCTCGTCTCGCAAGGCAAATTCGAGGAACAGGGCGTCCGAGATCTCTTTGGGGAAGTCGCCAAATACCCCGGCTGTTCGGCCACTCGGCGGATAGACCACAACATCACCGATCTACAAGGTATGTTCAGCTGCCGCGTCTGCGTTGGGTGCGTCAGTCCGATCCAAGCTGATACTTCAGCCGCCATATCTGCCAATGTCCAAGGAACGAAACTCGTCAATCGCCTTTTCGATGAGTTTGGCTCGGACCAGGTCCTGTTCTACATGAAGGAGATCCAGCTGGTCGCGCAGCAAACTATCAAGGCGTTCTTTAGGGAGACGTACGATAAGTTTGAGGGCAAGCCGTTGAGGGCGCATGACTTTGTGAGTTCAGCTAGTAGGAGAGTCGCCCGCGTCGGGGCAATCAGCTGAAATAGTAGATGGACGATGGGACAAGGATACAGCTGGAAGTGCGAATCAATAGGGAAGAGGGAACGGCGGTGTTTGATTGGGCTGGGACCGGGCCGCAGACGTATGGAAACGTGAGCTCGCCAGGGCAGACGATTGCTCCCCGAGAAGAGCTGACAGGACAGATGAATTGCCCTATCTCGCTCTCATATGCCGCTATCATCTATTCTCTTCGGTCCATGATCAACCGTGAGCTGCGGCATGATGAGCGTAATTCAGAGCTCAGCTGATCCTCCAGCCGAGATTCCCATGCCCCTAAACCAAGGCGTCCTCGACCCCGTCACCAACATCGTCCCTCCCAACTCCTTCCTCAACCCCTCCGGCGCAGTCGCCATCTCCGGCTCCACCATATCCTCTCAGCGCCTCATCGACGTCATCCTCCAGGCGTTTGAGGCTGCCGCTTGTTCTCAGGGCTGCGCATCGTCCACGGGTTTCGGATCAGGCGGGAAGTTGGCGGACGGGACGGTCGTTCCTGGGTTCACGTACGGCGAGTCGTTGGGCGGAGGGAGTGGAGCTGGACCGACTTGGTCAGGCAAGCATGCCGTCTGCGTGGTGAGCTTCATGTCCCCCACTTTCTACAGCGCTGGGCCTAGCTGACATCCAGCACTCGACCAATACCCGCTTGACTGACGTCGAGATATTCGAACAGCGCACCCCTCTCATCCTCCTCGACTCGTCTATCCGGTGGGAATCAGGTGGCCGAGGTGCCCATCGAGGCGGGAACGGAATGGCCAAGATGTTTGAAGCGCGAGAGGATGTCAACTTTTCGATCGTCTCGCAGCGACGGACATTTGCGCCGAAGGGAATGAAGGGCGGAGAGGATGGAGCGAGGGGGGCGAATACGTGGTTCAAGAAGACGGAGGATGGGGGTTATCAGGCTATCAATGTTGGGAGTAATGGGATTGCCAAGTTGAAGAAGGGGGATAGGGTACGGATTGAGACGCCGGGAGGTGGTGGGTGGGGCAAAGAAGAGAGGGCAAGTTTGTCACAGTAGAGCATAGATACACGGATATAGAGCTGGACCTGGGTTTCGAGCGGTCTGGACATCTTCGGCCTCACTGCTACTATTGATACATGCTTGACTACGAGCTACGATCGCAACTAATGCCGCCGCCCAGAGCGCCTCTTCTTGTGACGCGGTGGAAGCGCAGCCGCCCTCGCCACAGACTGAGTCGACGATGCCGACGATGAAGCCACTCCACTTGACGTGAGTGATGTCGCACCAGGAGGAACCTGCGCACATGGTATGTTCCGCTTCCGACTGTCCTGGCAGATCTGCCCAGATAGCGAACTGGAGCTAGCGGCTGGGGGTAGGCTCGAGCTGCTGACGATCCCTGGATTGGCTGCAGGGAGCGAAGAGGGTGCTCCCAGAGGTGTAGAGGATGAAGCGGCAAGCCCGCCCAGAGGTGTCGAGGAGGTAGCCCCGGGTAATGCGGGAACGTTGACCGAGACCGAGCTGGTAGCGATCCCGTTCACGACTCTCGTTTGACTCGTCGCTCCGCCGACGCCAGCGGGCGGGGGACATGGGATGTTTCGTTTCCTGCTGTCTTGGCATTGCAGCCCGGGGCCGGAGTTGGCAGTACTGCTCGTTGCGGCGGGGTTGAGGACGGTGCTGGAAGTGGCGCCGAGTCCGGGTGCGGCGGGTATCTTGACGCTGGTCGTTGCGCTGGCTTGACCGCCTCCTGGCGCAATGCCAGTAACGTAGACGGTCTCGTAGATGATGACCACGACTGGTCCGCCGCCTCCGCCACCGCCCCCGCCTCCTCCTCCGCCACTGCCACCGCCATTCCCTCCGCTACTACCACCGCCGTACCCTCCTCCGCCCGCCGAGCTCGTCCCCGATGCCTGAGCGGGAGGGGCTACCGAGAATGTCAGACCCGGTCCATCTTTCGGTCCGCTGTAATCTTGACATATCTGCGATTTGCAGGTCCCCTTGTTGGCCGACTCGATCTTGACGACTTTAGACTTCTCGACGTATGCCGGATCGGGCTTCTTGGGGAAATTGGCGAGTGCGGACGAGTTGTATTCGACGTTATTGCCGGGAAGGTGGTCGAGTGGAGCTTGGATACCTACTGCCTGAGATTGTCAGCTCTAAAGTCATCGGCCGATACTACGGCATGGTGAGCTCACCTCGTTGACGATATTGCCCTGAACGGTGCAGTCTCGAGCTGGCTCCGCCTGGATAGATTTTTGGAAGTACGGGCATGAAGTCACTTGCCCGTCGAGGGTGTTCTTGCACTCGTCGTATGCCTTATTGAGCGCGCCTTTCGGGAAGCCTGATGAGTCAGCTTGCTGCCCTAGCAACGGAGAGGGCATGGGAAGCTCACCATTCATCCAGTCCGCATGGAAGGTCAGACCAAAGTTATCACCATAAGAGCTAGAAGATTAGCTTCAAGTGCCAAATCGGGAAGAGGAGATGACGCACAAAACGAGGGAGCCCGCTCGCCACTTGTACTTGGCGCCAAGCATCAGAGCTGGTTTGTATACGGCTGTGGAGTCAGCTGCTATACGCAAAGGGAAGCGGGAGGGAGCTCACTCTCGAGGAAGAGCGTCGGGATCCGCTTGAACCCAGGCGGACACTTTCCGTACATGTAGTCCCCCTCTCCATAGGCTACATGGCTGTTGTCGGACTTGTACGCGTTTTTGGTATCCCAGCAGTTGGGGAAGGAGACCTGAGTATCAGCGCGTACCTCTATCTTCCATCGAAACCGTACTGACCTGTGGACGGATCGTTTCGCATTCAAAGTCAGCCGGGATATACGGTAGTCGCACTGTCAATCAGCGTCATATCGGAGCATGACGCGGAAGAGCTCACTCGAGTAGCCCGGTCCAAAGCATTGGAACGTCACAGCCTGATCGGGCGCTCTGCTCAGATCCAGGGAGTTCCGCTTCATGTCGCCCGCGACCATCCGGAAATCGTCCGGCAGCTCTGGGAATGAGTCTGGATCGTCCTTTCCGATATGGTAGAACCTCATGGTAAGCCCATACTCGTGCTCAGGCGGAAAGAGGAGGCTTACCAATATGTGACTAGGCCATCTCCACTCATCACGTGGTATTTGGACTGCTCGTCCTTGCTGGGTCATCAGTATTGCACGAATAGCAGATGATGGAGCAAGTGCCTACTAGTAGAGTATGGGCGCCCAGTATAGGGACTTGTCGATAGTAATGGGTGCGGTAGTACACTATACATCAGCCTAAGTAGGACTTGAGGACGGGGCACTCACATCTGCCGCAGTAATACTGGCAAAGTTGGCGTCGGCGGTGACGCGATTCGAACCGCCGAAAATGTGAGTATGGGCTGATACTATGCCTGGTTGAACGAGAGGGTCCAGCCGAGTCCGCATCAAAGCGTTATGGTTGCTGAGCGATCAGTTCCACTAATGATATCCACTGGAGGTCCACTTACTACACAAAGAATGGGAGACCGGGAACTGTCCGGCTCGGAGGGGGAGGTGCTGCGGCGGCCGCCGCTCGGGCACTTCCTGCCGCAAACGTCAGGAAGACCGCCGCTTTTAGTAGTCTGGTGATCATGATAGGATTGAGTGACTCATCAGTCTAGTGAGCGAGCGGTCTTCTATCGTGCCAACGGCCAGCGCTGTTTGAATGTTGCCTGTGGGCGGACGGCTCGCGGTGAGCCTAGAAAGCAATTTTGGCCTGCTGGTGAGTATGTAAACAGTGAGATAGCCAGGTGATGGTTAAAAGGCTAAAATTAAGGTCATAGCGTTGCGGTTCAGCTAGATAGCAAGAGAGTCAGGCTGCCAGCATGCTGGTCTATACGCGTGTTATCCGACCTCACCCTTGCCAATCCTTTGGCCTGAATCGCTGCAACGTGTGCCGTGGTCTGTGAAACGTCGAGACATCCTTAGGAGTCATGCCGTCCCAGCTCCTTGCTGCCAGTGACTACCGCGGGACTCGATAAGACCATTCTATATAGGTGAAGTGCGATGATGGGGTGTTTGAGCTCCGCGCATCATCGTTTGGCTGAAAGGCGGCGACCTCCGCAAATCCACATTCCTCAAAAGACGTGTCCGCCTTGACGCGCCTACTGAGCTGTGTTCCATCCTCCTTTATACACTTACTCCTCCCAGTCTAGTCCAGAAAGTCTGCTCCTGCAGCTGTCATACGGCGCAGATAGGGCTAGAGACATCGCTGGCCGGATTCCCAGCGCTTAAATAGCGGCAGTACAGCACGATGTCGGGCCCAGGGATGACCCTCCGGTCAAAACCCTCCGCAGCGGTCCAGCCAGAGCTAAGCAGGACCCATGCGACAGCCACACCCTCGGCACCAATACCACCAAAAGAATCGGATGCAGATGCTCGACTCAGGGATCGAGATCTCGATCGGTCCAGCTGGCCGACCAAGAATGAGATACCAGCAATGGGCGGGCGGAGAAGGGTTGGTGGGAGTGGGCGGCTGAGGAAGCGGGAATGGTACATCCTCGGTGCGGTCTGCTGCGTGGCAGCGGTGGTTAGGCTCTGGAAGCTGTCACATCCATCATCCGTCGTGTAAGCTAGTTGTCCCGTAGCTACTTGCACGGACCAAGCTGACAGCACAGCTTTGACGAAGTCCACTTTGGAGGCTTTGCGGCGAAGTACATTCGGAGAAAGTTCTTTATGGACGTGCATCCGCCGCTCGCGAAGCTTCTCATCACCCTCTCTGCCTTCATCGGTGGTTTCAATGGTCAATTCGACTTCAAGGATATCGGAAAGTAAGTGCTCAGCTATCAGGTACACCGCCGGGACCATAGCTGACTCTGCACAGAGACTATCTCGAGGACAAGGTGCCTTACACCATGATGCGCCTCTTCCCCGCAGTCCTCGGTCTCGCCCTCGTCCCACTCACCTTCCTCACCCTCATCACCCTCCGACTATCCCTCGCGACCGCCCTACTCGGCTCCCTCCTCATCACATTCGAAAACGCCCTCATCACCCAATCCCGGCTCATCCTCCTCGATTCATACCTCGTCTTCTTTACCGCCCTCACCGTCTACTTTTGGGCCAAATTCTACAACCTCGACTCGGAAGGACGGGCGTTTACGGAAGGATGGTGGCGCTGGCTCACCCTTACGGGTCTCAGTCTCGGCGCCGTCGTCAGCTGTAAATGGGTCGGCCTGTTCACGATTGCCGCGGTCGGTGCGGGAACCCTGCGTCAGCTTTGGCTGTTATTGGGGAACCTGAAGGTCACGCCGAGGATGTGGATCAAGCACTTTATGGCGAGGGCGCTGTGCTTGATCGTCGTACCGATCATCTTCTACATGGCGATGTTTCGGATCCACTTTTGGATTTTGAACATGAGCGGAGAAGGGGATGGCTTCATGAGCTCGGAGTTCCAGCATACTCTCGAGGGACATGGCATGGAGGATACCTTTGCAGGTGAGCTAAGCCTTAACGTCTCCTCGATGGTCAAGCTGATGAAGTAGATGTCGGTCTCGGCTCCATCGTTTCGATTCGCCACGTCAACACCCAAGGCGGATACCTCCACTCTCACCCCTACGCCTATCCCGGCGGCTCCCAGCGTGAGCTATCATCTTGAATCACGCGATAACGAGGTCCTAGCTGACTTACAGAACAACAAATTACCCTCTACCCACACCGAGACGACAACAATAATTGGCGGGTCACCAACGGATCCGGTATCGACCAACCTGCAAGCTACCCATGGGAGACTCTTCCCTTCGAGCACGTCATCGCTGGCTCCAAAATCCGGCTGGAGCACGTCTCGACGCAGAAGAGACTGCATAGTCATGATTTCCGTCCGCCAGTCAGCGAGGTGGATTTCCAGAATGAAGTTTCGGGATATGGGTTCCCAGGGTATGTCAGCTTAGCTGAGCGTCACCATGTCTGCGAGCTGTGAAGCTGACTTTCAGATTCGCCGGAGATGCCAATGATGACTTTGTTGTTGAGATCGCACCCAAGACCAAAGGCGGCCGATGGGACTGGGCGGCCAAGCACCGACTGAGGACCCTTCGGACTCAGTTCCGCCTCAGGCACGCCCTGTCGGGTTGTTATCTCTTCTCGCACAAGACGAAGTTACCCGAGTGGGGTTTCGAGCAGCAAGAGGTGAGCTTGCAAGCTCGCGTACGATCGGTCTCACCAGCTGATAGCATAGGTGACCTGCAATAAGAACCCGACTTGGGACAACTCTCTCTGGTATATCGAGACCAACACTCACCCGCAATGTAAGCTTCACTCACGAGATCGACCTGGGATCCGGACTTCAAGCTAATGCTCGTAGTGCCCTTTGACGCAGAGAAGGTCAACTACCAACGGCCATCCTTCTTCGAAAAGTTCTTTGAGCTACAGGCGGTCATGTGGCGGACTAACGCGGGTTTGACGGATCGGCATGCTTATGACTCGAGGCCGCAGTCATGGCCCTGGATGAGGAGGGGCATCGTGAGTTTCTGACTCGGATTCGTTGGCGAGCGAACCTAAGCTGACCAAGCAGAACTTCTGGGTCAAGGACAACACTCAAGTCTACCTTATCGGAAACCCCGTCGTCTGGTGGCTCAGCTTCGCGAGTATCGCCGTCTACCTCGGGATCCGAGTCTTGCTTGTTCTGCGGGAGAAGCGAGGCTACCGAGATCTGTACAAGCGTGAGTTGGCTTGAGCGGATTCTGGTATCGAAGCCGTCGTTAGCTGACACAACAGCTCGGATCGCCTTCTACGACGAAGTCTGCGGCTTCCTCGTCATCGGCTGGGCCCTCCACTTCCTCCCCTTCTTCCTCATGCAGCGTCAACTCTTCCTACATCACTACCTCCCCTCCCTCTACTTTGCCGTCCTCTGCTTTTGCGCCGTCTTTGACTTTGTCCTCAGCTCGGTCCGGCCCCGCGTCAAGCTCCAGGTCGGCGCGGTGATCCTCGTTTTGACTATTTGGGCATTTGCGCACTTTAGCCCGTTGATCTATGCGGGACAGTGGACGAAGGGGATGTGTGAGAAGGCCAAGTGGCTCAAGAGCTGGGACTTTGCTTGGTGAGCTAGCCGGTCAAAGCGGCCGTACGTGATGGGCACAGCTGATCTTGCAGCAATGACTTCCCTGACCGGCTCTCCCACTATAGCGGGCAGATGGCGAGCGAGAAGATTGCTCCCAGCGGCGGTGTATCTTCGTTTATCGATAGCGCAATCACCAACACTCTCGTCGTGAGTTCGTGTTCACTCGATACTGTGCGAGGCTTGAGCTGATCATCTTAGGAGGAAGCCCCTGAACCCATCAAGAACGTCTTCGACAACCCCGATGGACCCGCCGAGGAGAAGACTATCGCTGTCGTCGGACCCGAGCCCAACGTCCCCATGCTCGAATCGACCGAGACGCGTCCCATGCCCGTCGCAGAGGAGACGCAAGACGCTGCGCCCCTCGAAGATACTCGCGCACCGGTCGGGATGGATGCCGGTGCACCTCAGGTCACTGCGGCAGCAGAGGATGAGGGCGGATGGCACGGTGATGCCGAGGATGACGGGAAGCGTGTGGGAGGAGAGGAGGTGTTGCTTCCTGGAGAAGGGAAGGTGGAGCAGGCGCCGATTGGGGCCAAGGTGGATAGTGTGCCGGAGCTGGAGCTGGATGATGAGGCCAAGAAGTTGGTAGAGGAGGCTATGAAGGCGCAGGGGGAGATTTAGATGCAGCTTCTTTTGGCTTGGAGGGCTAGGCTGAACTAACCGCTGAGGGGGCTAGGCTGAATTGACCGCTGGGGTATGTTGATTGAGTACTGATGCATCCATATCCTATGTCTACAAGACAACACCGAGGAGCTCATCGATCTTGACCAGCTTGCCAGTCTTGAAACTCTCATTCGCTGCCAGCCCGACAGCCATCGCCAGCGCTCCATCGATCTCATTCGCTCCTAGACGGGATACCGCCGTAGTCTGCTCGGTCTGCCCCGGCCTGGCACCGAAGATTTGGTCCAGCATAGCCGTGTCGCCGCCACCTGAGATGTCAGCTCAGTGTATAAGCGTCAACGGGGGCGCGCTCAGCTAGCTCACCGTGTCCTCCCTCCCCTTTCGTAAACGGCACCTCCTGCGCAGTCTCCCAAAGCGGGTGCAAGATGATCCGCTGATGTCCCTCATTCGGCAAAGCCTTCTCACCATGCGTCACACCGGCTGTATCGCCACCTTTGGAGATTGGGTGTCGGTGCGAGTTCTCGACGACTTCAAGCTCGAGTCGGCCCTTATCGCCGTTAAACATGACGCGGTACCCTTCCCATGGCTGACGGGTCAGCTTGGCACGCAGGAAGAAAACAATCTGCCGCCGGCAGCTTACAGAATATGCGGTGAGGTGGTAGGTCATAGTAGCCCCGTTTGCATATTTGACGAGAACGGCCATATCATCCTCGATGGTGATGTCGTCCGCAAAGACGTTCATGTCCCGGTGATAATTGTCTGAACAATCAGCTCCAGTTCCACTCACGGCAGTACGGACGCGGTAGCTGATATGGCTTGCTCATCCTTGCACGGACTCACCAACATGCTCCGCATCGTGGTACAAAGCCTTCAAGCTTGGCTCATCCTCCAGATGGATCGCAAACGGGTCATTCTCAGCCTCTTTACTATCCCTCGCGCGGTAGTAGTCTTTGCCCCAGCCAGACTTCTTGCCGTTCTCGGCGCCGTAGAATGCGAGTGAGCCCATTCCGAAGACTTCCTTTGGCTTGGAATTGATCCAGAAGTTGACGAGATCGAACTGGCCGGTCAGCTTTGCTCATACATATCGATCACAAACGCGCAGCTGACATACGTGGTGAGAGGACTTGTGGACCATGAGCCCGCCTGAACGGTCCTTGTATCGATGCCATCGTCTGAAGTAATCTGCGCCGTGTACTGTGTCCTTGCCTATCAGCTTGTCACACTTGGAGAAATTCGTGTGTTCTCTAGCTGACTTACAAGCAACCACTCAAAGTGCACAGACTTGACATTCCCGATCTTCCCGCTCGCGATGACTTCTTCGATCTTCCAATGACAGGGGTTATATCTGTAGTTGAACAAGACTGGACTGCGTGAGCTTCTTCGCAAGTGCCTTCGCAACGGAAGGTGTAAAGAAAGCTCACCCTGGCACGTCCCCTTAGTTTCCTTCACAGCGTTTAAGATCCGCTGACACTTGGCCACGTCGCTAGAGAATCAGCTTCGGCACTCAGACGCTCGCCGTCATTCCGGAAATCTTAGCTGCAAAGACTCACGTTGTCATTGGCTTCTCAGTCAACACTCGGATCCCCCGTTCGAGGGCGGGAATGATGAACTCGTCGTGCGTGTGGTCGATGGTGGTAACAACGAGGGTGTCGAGTTTCTCGGTATCGAGCATTTTGAGGAAGTCCGCCTAGGTATGTCAACTCTCAGGAATTCTGTACAGGGCTATGAGGGGCAGTCATAGCCACTCTTCAAGCTTCGGGCGTGAGAGGAAGGAGAGCTCACCCCGGCATACTCGACTGCGGGTGGTTGACCTAGCTCAGAGAGCATCTGGTTGTACACCTTCATCCGTTCCTCATTGAGGTCGCATATAGCGACGAGCTGGGATTCAGGCCGCTCAGCGATGGCGCTGAGGTAGAGCTACTCATCGTCAGCTGCGGGCCTGGTCCGTCCACCGCCACTACCCGCACAACTTACCCTTCCCCGATGGCCAGTCCCGATCAGACCGACTCTCCCTCCCGCTTTCGAAACGTTGTTGCTGGACATCCTTCTTGTAATCTCTGCTACTACTGATGAGGGTGTATATCGAGCTGACGGTGAAGCTGGGAAGGGTATAAGTCAAACAGCAAAAGAAGCAGATCGCGCAGGCAAGGTGGACCTTCCGGTGATTTACGGGCCGGTGCGTTAGCGGCCCGAGCGGAATTACGGCACGGACTAATGCGGCGCCGAGGCACCGAGAGGTACTCGAGCACAGTGGCAGAGAGTGGCAGATCCTGAGATCCTGACAGCTCAGTCTGCGGGGTCTTGACTTGTACAAGCTGCAGCACTGCAACATGAGTGTCCGCAGGAACATGAACGCTGTCCCGACCGAGGCTTGGTCGAGTCCCTTGAAAATGACGCCCCTATCGCACAAAGAGCCTTTACTCATTAGAATTGTGGCGAGCCAGTAATATTTGCGAGTAGCCATGAAGCGACTGGGAAGAGAAGGTGTGATTAATTCACAGTATACATGATACACAAATAGTCAACGTGCGGGCATCAGAGAAGATCTGACCCGTCTATCGAGACTCTTGTCCGCTATGCCCACCTCAACGGCGTGTCTTCTTGGTAGCTCCTCCGGTTGTAGTGACCTCGTCCCCATCATCTTCAGCCGCTTTTCTCTTCACGTTGGCGGTGTCAAGGTCCTGTCTGAACCAGCTCTCCTGCACACTGCCTCGCCCATCAGCACTCTTGTCGTCTTCACTTGGAAATTCTGAGTGGTATCCGTCCGACATGAGAGAACCGAACATCTTTTTCGTCGCCTTGGTGAGGACATCCGGGAGCTGACCCTCGTGAAGCGTGATGTCCTTGGAAGCCAACATCCCGTCTCGGATCTCTGCCAGACCGGGAAGTTCGGGGTCCCACAGTCTCCCCATGCTCGGAGCCCCGTGCATGTTGAGCCGGCGAACGAGCTCGAAAGCGAGGTCATCCGGATCATCCGCGGTAGCCAGAGTAGCTTTCGGTGATGTTCTTGAAGTATCCGGTGTACGGCATGTGGAAAGTGCCCTTCTTGCCAGTCGCCGTCCGAAAGCTGCTCATTCCCTGGCTGACCTCATTCCTCCCCTCGTAGTAGCCTTCAAGGTAGGTCATGAGCTGCTTTCCCTGCTCCCCAACAATATCGAGGGTGCCGTCAGCCAAGGAGCGGTGGATGTAGGATACAAGCTCGTCGTTGATGTAGTGGAGCAGCATCTGGTCTGCGATGCGATCGGGAATGATGGTTTTGGCTTTCTCAAAGTAGTTGCTTTTGGTGGAGACCCGGTAGCTGTTGTTCCTGTCCTCATCGCTCCTAGCCATGTTCCGAAGGATATCGAAGCGAGAGGACCTGTGAAAGACATCCGTTGCTTCCTTGATCGTCTCGCAGACGGAAGGAGGCACACGCGCCACTTCGGTTCTGTGTTGCGCGGAACGGTCACCCATGGTAGTATGAGTTGAGTATGTAGTTGTACGGATTATGAGAACGTAGATGTCGATCAGTGAAAGAGAGGGACGGAGATGTTGAGACTTGGAATGATGCTGGGGGGTAATGTGCAACGGAGGAGGGTGAGAGGCCAAGTCAGCCTCTTTATATCCCGCCACCGATCGATCGGGGAGCGTTCAGCAGCAAGCGCCGAACGTTCCAGTGCTCGGCCATCCCTTGTACTGTGGTCCGAGTCTACCTGAGTCGAGCTTCTCCCTTTCTTACGCTCGGGCAGAGTCGGGCCAATGCATGCCGACTTTCGAGTCGGAGTCTGACCTCAAGCCAAGGGTGAAGCACTGAGATGCTTGTTAGGTCTATCAGAAGAATGGATTCGTGTGATCGAACGCGCTAGATATGAGTAGCGCACCGGCGAGGTCTGCGAGATCGTCTGCGCTTGCGCGCTCAGCACACTACCGGAGCCCCGACCACCTTTGAGAGGCTGCTGTCCAGCGGGCGCCCCCTGGTTCAACACGAATAGCTGTCGTCAGTGTATCGTGATGTCAGTCTTCCGGTAGGTGGCGGGCGAGGTGTCCCAGACGCCTCGCGGAGCATCTGGGCAGTAGGCTACATCTCGGTCCTGCCCAGTATGAACACCACCATTGCCCTAGGAGCACAGCCCAGCACCCCCTCTGAGCAAAAGCCAATGCTGATCATTGCTCGACCTGGTATACCTCACAGGCTGTACTACACATCATCAGCTCCTGAGCTCATCTCCTGTTCGCAATCCAAAACTCACACAACATCTCATGCTCCATCACCTCCTCCCTCATCCGCCTCACCCTAGCTTCTTCCTCCTCCACCCCGCACAGATCCACAAAGAACCACTTGAGCGCGCGATACGAGATATCCGAGGACCAGGTAGAGAGCTTGCGGTGGACTGTCAGCTTGGAGCCTTTGGAGTTGGGAGACAGTGGATTCTTTCGGGAGCTGTCGAGCGTAGGGGACGCCTGGTGGTCGGAGCGAGGCTGAGGGCCGCGATGGAAGCAAAAGTTTGTGTGGTGCGGGACTTGGTCTAGGACAGACATTGCGCCTGGTCAAGGTGAAGGTGAGGTAAGGCTGGTGAGGTAGAGCACTTGCCACTGTCAGGCCAGTAGATGGGTCAGATGAGCAAGATTTCAGTGATTACTGAGGAGGGCCGATGAAGCAGCTCGAGTGGGCTTCCTTATTATGAGGAGCAGCGATGGGGTCCAACAAAGGAGTGAGTATTGAGTAAAACAGGATAAGGGAATGGGTACAAAGGAGTGAGAAAGGTAGCACCGGACATAGGAGTAGGTGTACATCTGAGCTGATAGATCAGATCAGTACCGTTGCTTTGACGAGTGCGGGGATTACGGCCGCCACCTACGGCAACTCTGCTCCTGCTAGACACGGCTGGAAATTGAGCGAGCCCTCCATCATCTTGTCCAGCCGATGACACCGGTCTGATAATGGCCTCTTGATAAGTAGTTCTTGGCCGGCCGGCAGGTGGCGAGTAATAACGCAGTGGCGGTCGTGTTGGCTGATGTATCAGCTTATTGACTCGTGGGAGGTCAAGCTCAGAGTAGGTCAACAAAGCGGACGTACACTGTCACACTACAGGATTGGTCTGACGCGCGCTGCGAAATAGAACAAAGCGCAGCTTAAGTAGCGCTATACGCCGGCGGAACATCCTCCACCTCGACCCCAGCGGTCTTCTTCGGCTTGACAAGAGGCGCATAGACCGCTTGTTGGACTATTGGATCAGCTCAACAGCCGCGCACCTTCAGCTGAATATGATGAGTGACTGACTGAGAGGCCGTCTCTCTGCCCTCGTAGCCGCTCGTTCCTCCTCCCTCCTTCTCTCATTCTCCCGCCGCCTTGTCTCGTCTGGATCTTCCCGGAATAGATCTGGACTGCAGAGACAGAAACATAGCCGGACGAGTAAATGGGCTATAACATCTCCTAGGTCCATATGACCACCATGATGGCCGTAGTCGCCGTGATGATCACCTGCTCCGTGGTCGTGAGTTGGGAGTTGATGTTGCTCGGGCTGGTGCTGATGATCCGGCTCGCTATACTGGTGATGATGATGATGGTGAGGGTGACTGCGATGCTGGTCGTGGTGATCTATCGGAGCATGATGACTGTGGTCTGGGCCAGGGAGTTGGTCCGGAGGAGGAGGTTGGTGAGGCTCGGGCGGAGGTCCAGAGTCGTGAGACATTTCGGGAGAATGCGACTTTGGACAGCTCGGGTGAGGTACAGACTCCTTCTGAGGAGATAGCGACAGTAAGTCTTGTAAAGTGTAGCGCGTGTGAGATTGAGTATGAGAATGAAGGGGAAGAGAGGAAGGAGAGCCACTAGGAGAGCTGCTCGGTCTTGGCGGGTGGCGAATAACGTGACGTAACGAGGAATGCTGCCTCTGCCCTGAGCTCATTCACTCAAGGCAAAGACAAAATCCCAAACATCTCTCGCACTCTCCACGTCCCTCTTGCAAAGCCGATAGATCAAGCCATACATCGCACAATCCCGGTATATAGAGACTAGATAGGTATATCGCGCCAAAGTCTAGAAAAAGCAGAGCAAGCAAAGCAGAGAAGATAGCTAAGAAGGAAGATGATTTTACAAAAATGGTGAGTCTCTTGCCTTCCCCTCCCCCATCCCTTCCTCCCTCGAGCACATACAACCCAGTCCATCTCGGCCTCTCCCACCCCACGAAGTTATGCTAATCCAGCAGCATCTCCTTCTTCTTAACTCCTGCCCGCTGACAGCTCACCCCACCCATCCCTGCAATTGCGGCGCAAAGTCATACTCCTGCGGCATGACAAACCTGACCCCACTGACTCCCCAGCCGTCGGGCCTAGCGAGCGGCTGACTAGTGCTCCAAATCCCCTGCTGCCCCTCCATCCCCATCCCAACTCCTCCACTCCCGCTTCCACTGCCCGACCCGCCAGTCTGAGCCTGAGCTTGGAGAACAACCCCCGAACTCCCAAAGCTCGCATACGGCAGATAATTCGCCTCCACGTCCGTGACGCTCGACGGGCTCGACTGCCTCGTACTCTGCTCCTCTCCCGACTCGGAGGCCGACGTGGACCCGGCGTCATCGGACGAGATGGGCGTGAGCGCGCGCGCAGAGTAGGTGTAGGTTGTCCCCGGCGGAGAGAGGTGGTTGCGGTATGCCGAGGTGGAGGAGGAGGGAGGAGGGGCCGAGTAGTGACCGTGCTCGAAGCGTGTGGACTTGGTGTGTTCCGACCCGATCTGGGCTTCGGCGGGGCGCTTACGGGTGTTCTGGGCGGAGCTGGAGGTTGATGAGGAAGGGGCCAGACCGTATGGAGACGCGTAGATCGGCTGGAAGGTGAAGGGGAGGTGCTCGGCAGCCTGGCCGGGAGCGGGAGCAGCGATGAGATCCGAGCCGGTGTTGGCGCGCTTGGGGAACGGCGCGTACTCGTCCATCTCGGCACAGGTCGAGTCGGTCCCGTTGGAGTACCTCGACGAGCCCGAGACCGTCCGCTTCTGGCCTCCGCCGCCGGTGGGGTCGACAAAGGTGGAGGTGGTAGAGAGGGAAGAGATGGATGGGATGTGGGGCATGGGCTGGCCGGGTCGACCGCGGGTGGACGAGATGGGCTGGTAGGTGGTCTGCTCCTGCTCGGGGTCGGGGGAGGAAGAGGAGGAACGGCGTTTCCGGGCGTTCTTGGGGCCTTTGCGGGTGGATTTGGCGCTGGACTTGCGGTTTGAAGCGGGGAGCTGCGGGTCAGCTCTAGTCATCGCGTTGATAGAAGAGAGGTGGAAAGAGGGGCGAAAAAGGAACAGAAAGTGGCTGATTGGCTCAGTGAAAGGGTCAAAAACTCACCGTCTCCACCCAGCCCACCTCGACCCTCGGCCCCTCACCCATCAAGTACCGCCTCACCCCATCTACCGCACCCTCCACCCCGCCCACCCGCTCCCTACCCGTACTCTCCAGGTACTCGATCATCTCACGCATCACCTCCCGATCACCGCCCGAGAACCGCACCATCATGTCGGTCCAGCCGGACCGGCGGCGCCAGTTTGTCATGTCCGAATCGACCTTGGCGCGGGTGATGCCGCACTCGGAGGCGATGGAGTCTTTTTCGGACGGGGTGGGGTAGGGGAAGGCGAGGTTGGAGAGGAACCAGTGCCGGAGGGGGAGGGAGCGGGGGTCGTGTGTGGTCGAGGCGTGCGTCGGGAGGGGGTTGGAGCTGGGAGGGGGTGGAGGGGGAGTGCGAGGGCGAGGAGGGTGGCGGGTGGAGGAGCGGCAAGCGCGTTTGAACAGGCGGGGGAAGGGTTGAATGTTGGGCTTAGGGCTTGGATCTGGGGATGTTAGGTGTGCAAGTCTGTGGATGTCGATGGACTCACCATGGTCTACCATGATCTTGTTAAACTCCGCTGAGAGGTCATCGAGCGCGGCGGCGTTGGCTTCCTCGAGGCGGATGAGAGATGTGGTCAAGGTCTCTACGCCTGAGGCCACAGTCGAAGCGACATGTGCGATGTCATGGTTGAGCAGACCGTCCGTATGGGCGCTCTCTAATCGAGCAGTAACATCCATCCAAGCGGGAATCAGATCAGCTAAGCTGTGACCCTTCTCGATGGCTCCAAGAAGCCCTTCGCCAACCCGAAGAATGTCGTTTTGGAGGCACATTCTGTCCTATGATAGTCGATTGTGGATGGAGAGACAGATGGAGTGTCAGATATCGAAAGACAAGCATTGACAGAACAAAAGGCGAATTTTCGGACCTGAAACGCGGCGGGTGGAAGCGACGAGCAACTCATGCTCCGGTCCGTCAGACCGACCTATCTGCTTCCCTTTACTACATTGATCATAGTGCCATGCTCGAACAGCTCAGTAACATCATCCGCGACGCCGACAGGATCGCTACAACGTGTCAACCGTTATGTCAGAGCGAATACGGGTCGAAATTGCGGCGCGGGATCGACACGGTTCAGCTTAAACCGACATCACTCGCGCCGTCGGTCCTAACAATTCTTCAATCCGCTACAGATCAGGTTCGCCTGGGAGTATTGCGCCTCTTCGATCAACACGTACACGTGTCAGAACAGGACGTACAGGTGAAATGTCGCGCAACCCTAGAGCAATTGGTGTCGGTCGAGGGGTTTGGCGGAATGTCCGACGCGATGACGGAGCAGCTCGTATGCGAAGCCTTCGAGCGCGAGCATATGCGGCGAGTCGGGCGCATCAATCAGGAGATCGCCTCGATTCTTCAGGCGGGCCATAGTGAGCAGAAGCCGGGGCGCGAGAGCAGCACTTTCACCGCAGTAAGTCCTGTCCTCCTCCCAATTCTATCGTTCGTTCTCCTCCACCGCCAATCTCCTGAATCTCTCCACTTATCTCCTCTTTGATGATCTCAGCTAATCTAATAGCGCACCGTCTCCATCCTTGAGTCCGCCTTCCAACGCAAATCCCTCATCAACAACGCCGAAACCATCGCCATTGCCCAATTATCCGGAATCACCCCAATCCAAGTAAGTCTTTGCATCCCATCCCCTCTCCCCACCTCTCCCTATCCCCTTTTCTATCTCCCTAGACCTCCACCCATTGTGATCTGGACGTGGCTGACAGTCTCAGGTCCGTACATGGGTATGTCCCCTCTTTCTCTTCCCATCACCCTCTTTCCCCCCTCTTCCCCTCTCTTTGCTTCACTTTTCGCCACTCCCCCCTCTCTCGTCACCCTTCGCATCCCCACTCACCCCTCCTCTTCCCTTTCCGGACAATAAGCTCCCCTCATTCAAATTTTGGCTTGTGTGGAGCGAGGCGGGGCGGGGCAAAAGAGGGAGGGACAAGCCAATCCACACACCTTGTGTGTTTCATCCAACTTATCCTGAAACATTCCCTTTTGTTCCCGATTATTACCGAAAGGGGTAGTTTTGAGTGTGGCACTTTTTGATTCCGGCTTCTCCACCCACTTTCCCCACCCACCCTCTCTCCTTTACTTCCTTCTTCCTGCTCTAGCTTGACTTGACTTGACACGCGAGGAGAAGCTGACATCTAGTTTCAAAACCGCCGCAACCGTCAACGCAAAGCCGGCCGACCCGTCCCTTCTACCCCATATCACCCCCCTTCCTCGGACACCTCGGACGACTCGGATCCCACCCCCCAACCCTCATCCCCCCAATTGTCTGCCCTACCCAGGCGTCATGCTCAGAACCAATCGTCATCTCGTCCTCTACCCACTCCACCTACCACCTCCTACTCCTCCTCAGAATACCAACACACCACCCCTACCGCACACGGGAACGGCCGGCGCGTCAAAGCTATGCCAAGACGGGCGTACCCGCCTGAACCTTCCGCATCGCGTCACTACCCGCAGATGCACCCTTCGGGAAAGAGGGGTCTCTCCCCCGCGCCGAGCATGGCCCGCTCCCTCTCCGCACAAAGCTCGGTCTCCGACGTATCCTCCGTGGACCCTTCGGGCGGCTTCAACTCCCTCTTGATCTCCCCGCATGACGCGCCGACGCAAGTCACCATGCCGGGCTTCTTTACGCCCTTGTTCGACTTCAATATGGGCATGGGCGATCTCAACCTCGGCGCTATCGGCGCCGGCGCTGGAGCCAGCGTGGATACCTGGTCCTTCAACCTCAATCCCCCTCAAGCGGCGGAATTCGAAATCCCGGATAGTCTGGCGGGGCTGGACTTTGATTTGATGCAGTTCAACTTTCCAGAGTTTACGCTGGAGGGGATGGGCGCTAGTGTTGGCGGTGGACAAGGGGGAGAGGGTGGGGATGGAGCAGGGATGGGCGGGTTGGGGATCATGGATGGTCTGACTCTGGCGGGGACGCCGAGCTTTACGGACTCTACTTCCGGCTCGCCTACTCGTCCCATCCAGTCGACTACTACCTCCCACCCTACTTCTACCGGCCAAGCGGGCCTCGAGCTCGGTCTGGGTCTCGCCGGAAACGGAGAAGGAGACGGCGGTCTCTGGACGTGGGACGGAAGTATCGCCGAGCAAATGGCGGCGCTGTTCGAAGCAGAGGGGAAGCACTGGTTGGCGGAAGGAGGAGCTCAGGCGGATATTGCGGACGCACAGGCTCAGGCGCAGCACGCGGAGCAGGCGGAGCAGAAGGAGCAAGGGAAGAAAGGGATCGAAAGGGGAATCTCGCTGGACGATATCGCCTCCCCTCCACACGCTCGTTCTCGGCGCGTCCAGGCTCGAGCTCGGTCGGAATCCCGCTCGGTCACTCCCCCGCCTATCCCTCGGTTCACTACTACCGCACCTACTCCTACCCAACCGACTCACGCTTACTCTCACTCCACTCTCGCGGCTCACCCATTCATTCCTCTTCCAGCTTACAACCCCGCTCAATCCACCCAGGCTCAGGCGGAACAAGGTCACGGTCACGGCCATTCGAGCGGCTCGCTGGACTTCTCGGCGCACTCTCTGCCTGGTGCGCCTCATCCTCTGTACGCCGGTCTCAACTCGGCCCCCTCGGCTGCTTCGGCGGATCAGCAGCAGCAGCAGGCCCAGTCAAGGGTCAGCTCGTTCGGCTCCGTCGGCTCGGGCACGTCAGTGGGCAGCTCGGTCCGGATCATCACGCCCCCTTCTGGCGAGTATGCGTTCTACCCGGAGACATCGTATCACCCCACCCACCCCGTACAGCAGTACGCTGGATCCGATTTCGCTCAGTCCAGTATCCGGGCCACGGATGGTACACAAGCTGGGGAGGAAGGAGAGGTGACCGAGGCGCAAGGGAAGAAGGGGAAAGGTCACGCCCGAACGGCATCAATGGAGGGTTTCCGGACATCCTCATGGTCCGCCCCCGCCCCTCAGGCCATCTATCCCACTCCGACACCCGGCGCTGAGTCCAAGTACGCCCAGTACAACCCTTACCCCCAGCACCAGGCGTACCCGGTATATCAAATGCCCATGTTCCCCTCGTACCCCAACATGGGCGCGGGGATAGGGATCGAGAACGCCCCTTACCCCTCCTCGTCCGCCGGCGCGCCGGTATGGGCGTACTCGAATGGTCATCCTGTTCTCCTGCCGCAGAACCTCAACGTCCATCCGCAGGCTCAGGCTCAGGCGTACTTCCACCCGATCTATACGCCGCCTACTCCAGTTACCGCCTCATTCGGCCCAGGACAGGGATCGGCGCCAGGTCCAGGTGCGGAGCAGCAAAAGGAGGGGCAGCGCCAGCAGCAGGCGGAGGTGGAGGATCATGAGGTAGAGGGAGATGAGGCGGGACAGGATGGATGGATGAGCGGGGTGATGGCGTTTGATACGCCTTATGCTGCTTGATCAGGCAAGTCGTGCCGAGCTGAGCTGTAGGGAAGGGAAAGGGGGATGGGCGGTGTACGGGACGACAAAAACATCTGAGAGAGGATCATTAGGGATGGGGGCGGAAGAAAAGTGAGCGGGATGTGAAGGGGAGGGGCGGGATACTGGGATACTGGATATTTGGATTCTGATTTAGCTACGGATCGAGGCTGGGGATAAGGAGTTGTAGGGGGGTTGGATCGTTGGTACTTGGGATCTGCTCGGTAGTATCTGCTCGGTAGTGGTCATCCTTCGGTGTGCTCTCATGCGGATTCTGCGATGTATATCAGTATATCTAGTACTTCGACCTCATCTCGGTCAACTCTGATGAGACTCGGTATTCCGAGTCCGCGCGCTAGTTGCAACTTGCAACGTGGACGGTCCCAGGCTGACTTTATCATTGAGCCGGTCAGCACATCAGCTCACTTTCCGGATTCAGTCGATCAGCCAAGACCTGCCCAATCGTCAGACTTGATCAAGTCAAGGTAGCACCAGGATACACTCGATGCATTCCGAATCCGCCCTAATCAAAGGTCAGAATCATCCTGCAGAATCTATCCTATCTCTGCACCGGCCGGCACGGCATGACGCTAGCGCGACGTCTATTCCTCATCCTCAGCCTCGTCCTGGTCGACCTTGAAGTATCGGAGCGAGTACGTGTCCCTGGAGGTAGCGACGACACTAGAAGAGTCAGCTTTAGTCCACTTTGCCTACACAGCTTGCAGATCCCAAGCGGTTAGACAAGCGCCGGGCGTCGAGTAGCTGTGAGGAAAGAGATGGTGAGGACGAAGCTTACCGGAGGAAGTTCTCGAACGAGTTCTTCTTGAGGTGCTTCTTGGTAAGGTACTACAGGATCAGCCTTATTTCACCGAGCACACCTTGTCCAGCTATCTCCCCAGGACTCGAAAGAATGATGGAAGCGCGATAGCTGGCTTGGTTGACGGAGGAAAAAGGGCTCACCTTGAGGTATCGCTTGGAGAAAGGGATCAATGAAGTAAGGACGAGCTTGTTGCCTGTTGGGTCAGCTGCTGGCTCTGACGACGGTTATCGTCCTAGAGGCAGCTGGTCTCTGCTCTCCTCCCAGCATTCCAAAATCCACCAGAACAAGGGCCGGGCGCAACTCCAGCCTGGAACACATACGCCTTCACCTGATAAGGGCATATCCAAGCACATCCGCCTGACGTCTGCGCCTACCGCCCAATTCTGCCCCTTCTCCCTCCACCTCCCTATCCGTCCATCTTCACTTGACGGCACTCTGTCCACTGTTCTTCGTATCCCTCGCCAGCACCATTCCCTCTCCCCATCCAACGCCCTTCTCCCCTCCCATCCCCTCGTCTCTTCTCTGATGACCCTCTCCCAAGCGAAACACCGACTCACCCTCCCGTCCAACGGTGATGTTCTCCCCCAACTGCCCGAGCTTCCCCTCAACCTTGATCCTGTCCTGCAAGAACTTTTCAAACGCGGCGGGGTCAAAGACATTGTCGGCAGCGGGGACCGAGTAGTCAATGTAGAACTTGTGCAGCGGCTTGCCGGCGGTGGGCTTGGGGGCGGAGGTGGCTTTGGGCTGTGGCGAGCGTTAGCGACTGAGTTCGTATAGTATCATAGTGTCAGTAAGAAAGCGGGGGTGGAAGGTGTGGGTGGTAGCAGGCTGGCTTATGCATGTAGCTCTCGCTTTGCTTGCGCCAGATCTGGATTCGGGGATTATTCCGGTATAGAGAGAACTACGCACCATTGTGTCTACAGGTATAGTCTGCAAAACGGTGCTTTTAGGGGGATAGAGTGTAGGTTGGAAGGAGGAGCAAGGTGCTGCAGCGAAATTTGGCTCAGGGAGAGAAGGGAGGAATGACGGGATCTAATTTCGGACGCACGGATCAGCGGGAAATGCCGGAGTTTCGATCGATAGCGAGTGTGGCACCCGCCTCAGCACGGCGGTGGGTGGCGAATGTGGCGCCACACTCCTTCAGCTCTTTGCTCGCTCATGTGCAAGGCAGTGTGAGATAAAGGATAAGACCTCTTATCACTCAGGCAAAGATATCGACATGCGCCACACACATGTGAAGGGGGCGAGTCTCCTTTCAGGATATGCCAGGATGCGTTTCACCTTTTCGTACCCCGCAGAGAACGAGCGAGGATATCTTGGACAAGCCGCTATCATTTCCCCACCACTTCTCGCGTGATACTTCTACATACTCAGGATCACGAAGACTGACTTGTACGGTTCCATCGCCATAACAATCAACCAGTCTCACTCAATTCCCACACACATCCACTGCATTTCCATCCGTTCTGTTCTGCAATGGCTGAGCAGTCCACTTCCGTCCCAACCTCTTCCGGTACGGACTGGGACCCTTCGCTTCCGCCCCGGTATCCGTACTACGGCCTGACCTTGCCCCCAGTCAACGGAGAGAGTCGTGAGTATTATTGTAACAATATGGAGCACCCTCCCATGACGTTGCTGACGCACTCAGTCAAGGTACCGGCGATCATGAAGTTGACCAAGGCCCTAGGTCTGATCGATGACGCTACCGAGAAGCAGGCATTGTACCAGGTTGCAGCGGATCTGAAGACCCTCGACGACGTTGCTCACGAGTCCACCGCCTCGCTTGCTACCATGGTCGTCCTGAACGCTCTACGGGACCTCTCACGCCAGCACACTGATGAGCCGGGACAGCCCTTCTGGAAGTCCGAGGCCATCGAGGACCAAGCGCAGTCATTGATCTTTCGCGGTGCAGTCCAAACGCTGTCAACCATGAATCCAGCATTCGGGCGGTGGATGCAGACCTGCTGGATTAAGCGACGGCAATACATGGAGACGATTGGACGTGATTACTGCGCTTACGTTCATGACATACTCTTGCCCGAGACGGCATTGATCGCCAGTCTTCTCGAGGACGAGATACCTCAAGGGCCGGGGAGTCGGGGGATGGCCGCCGCTACGAAATCCATCACCACCGGCGCCACATCTTGCACCGCGCCTTACCTCTTGCGATTCAAGCGGCGCATGCAAGCCACGGAGAGCCTACAGAAGCTGAAGTCGCGGGTGGATGCACTGGACCCAGAAGAGACGGATGCAGCCTTTGTCGAATTGAGGAAGATCTTTACCAAAGTGCACGAGTACGAGAACAAGGTTGCAAGCTACTGTACCCAAGACCCCCTGAACCCGTCAGGTCAAGATGCCTACATGACAGCGATGTATGGTCCGTGCCTCGTCGACAGTTGGAAGAGCGTCTCGAGTGCCTCTGCCGGAGGTGAGCCATTTGTCAAGACATGTGAGTCCCCTGACCCTCTGAGCCTCGGATGGTGCACGTGGCGTTACAAACGAATGACCGGACCCCAAACTGATGACTCAGCTGCGAGAGAGGGTTTGGAGAAAGAGCACACAATTGTCAGGGTCATTCGGACCGACTGCAAAGGTGAGTACTTACTTGCAGTGCGCCGGACTCCGATCCTGGATCCACTCATCTCCTTTCCGCAGAAGCTCGTAGCTCATGTCGATCAGACCCGGATATCGAATTCTCTGCCGATCTGAAAGGCATGCTGGAGTACACGAGAAGTGAGCAGTTCAAGCCTTATCTTGCGGAGATGTGGGAGGACAGGCTGGAGGAGCTGAGCCGGACGTCCGGTGCGGAAGGAATGACTGGTCAGACTGCCACCTGAAGAGCTACCGCTATGACTACTGTGGATTGGTGGTGGGTCGTGTGACGCTGTGAATGAGCGATGTTTATATATCATTACACCCATCTTTGGACCGCCCGGCGCCGACACCAATGCGCTGGACTCGCCACGCCAGCTTTATGCTTGCGTGTTTGTGTTTCTCTTTCGACACATAGATGCTCACTGGGTATAGCGCTTCGCCTTGGTAGACCGGCCGGCAGCTGAAACTTCCCTCTGTCGATGACTGACGTACAACAGGAAAACGGCGGTTGACGGTCCGCATGCAGAGGATCGCTGGCTCCCCGGAGCTCTGGGAATGGCGATTGACTGCAGGCATGTACTCCTTCTGCCGGCGCTGGCGTATAGTCATAGAGCGTATGAACTCCCTCATCAAGCGATCAGCGGCCCACCATCTGATCAAAATGTACCTTGTCTTATCTGCTGATACCCATTCCGCCGATCCACCCGTCGTTAGACCATGAGCGACACGAGGGTTTGATGCTCCCATTGAATCGATTGAAGAGTATTAGTCCGAAGAGCACAGTAGTCAATCCGATCAGTACTCCAGTGTGCAACAAGACGAACCCTTACAAATATTATAGGATGTAGTATGTACGAAGCGCCAGTCTGCCCCTTCTAGATCTCTGATCAAGGGTTACTCAAACCCGAACAACCGACAATACGTTCCTGGATCCAAATATCGATCCCCTCCTGCCGGTACGTGTCCGGCTGAGCGACCGACGCATTGATTGCGAGCGACATGAAGCTCATGTCGGACCGGTAGTCGGGCCAGTAAGGAACGCCATTCCGGTTGGGATTGTGATTGGCGGCAAAGGCGGTCCAGGCGTTCCGCATAACCTTGGAGAGGGTCTCGTCTGCGCCGGAGGGGTCGAACTTGGTTTTGGTAGGATCGCCAAAGACGTACGAGACCTGAAGGTGTGAGCTCAAGTCTAGGCGGGAGGACCGCAAGTGGACATACCTCGACCGCGTGAGTCGACCCGATCGAGATTGGGGTCATGTACGGGACCTGCGGGATTAGCATTGTAGCATGGACAAGCGGAGACGACTCACTTGGCGGAAGAGATAGGCATAAGTGGGCTGGCCGGTAGCAGCCATGAGACCAGTGATCCAGCGTCTGGGCGAGTCTTCGATAGCATCGCCGAACATGACATTACTCTGTATCATCAGCTCTATCCTACATCTTGTCGAAGATATCCTCACCCTCTTGTCCATTGTGCCAGAAGCCAAGAGTCCCCGACCCGTACCCAGCGGCACACCTTGAGCGGGGTCGTTGGGGTACGCAGCGAGCAGGGCAGGGAAAGTGGAGTTCCGCATAGTGTACGACGTGCCGTTCTGAGAGGTGATACCAGAGATGAGAGCGGTGTCGTTGTTGCGACCGAGGACGCTGAGGATACTTCCCTCGTCCTGGTTGGCTGCTGATCAGCTCTGGCTCTTAATGAAGAGGGGTCCACTCACTACCCATGAGGAGCGGCATCTTGATGAAATTGCCCTCACTCCAGGATTCCGCCGGGTGCTTGGTGAACATCTTGCCGTCAATGGAAGGAAGGAACTGGTCGTAGTACTTGAGCGAGGCATTGTACAGCTTGCCGATGTCGAGGGTGCGGAGGCAGTCGAGGTTGGCACAGCCGGTCTCGTTCAAAAGTTTGGCGTAGTTCTTGTCGTGGATGGCATTGATGTCGTGAGCGCAGGAGAGATTGTAAAACGAACCAGACTCGATGATCGCTGGAGATCAGCACAAGTAAAGGACAGGCAGCGGTGATACTCACCAGCACTGAAGAGCTTGTCATCGCGACCGCCGTAAGCGACGAGATGCTGAACGATACTGGTGCCGCCAGCACTGAAGCGTCAGCTGAACCCCACTGCTTAGACTCATAGACTCACCTCTCGCCCTGAAAGGTGACTCGGGACTTGTCTCCCCCAAAGTCGGCAATGTTCTCTTGGACCCACTGCAGCGCAGCACGCTGGTCGAGCAGGCCGAGGTTCTCGATACCGGCCTTATGAGCCTCTGGACCGGACGGGAAGCCAAGCGAGAGGAGACGGTAGTTGATGGAGATGAAGATCTGACATTAGCTTAGTTCACAGTCGTTATAGATGCAAACTCACGATCGGCTGGCCAGCTTCGACAGAGCTCTGTACTGATGATCAGCTGGGTCTAGACCGATGTCTCGGTGAGACGTACCGAGATAGCTCCCGTTCGCCTGCTGATCAATGCCAGACCCGCCCCAGAACCCGCCGCCGTGCGCCCAGAGGAGTACCGGGAGGTTCGAGTATTGGCTGGTACCGGCGGGGCGGATGATGTTGAGGGAGAGACAATCCTCGCTCTGGTTGAAAGCGCGGTTGCCTTGACCCCAGCAAGCCGCGGTGAAGTTGCTGTGGGGTCAGCTAGGCATAATATCACCGAGTATGGATCACTCACGTTGCATCAAAGGTTCCGTTCCACGCTGTGGCTGGCTTGGGCGGCTCAAAGCGCTTCGGGATCGCCGCGTACCTGATGCCCCCAAAGAACTCTTGCCCAAAGGTAGGGAGTAAGGTGCCGATGAGGGAGCCGGCCTTGGTGTATACGGTTAGACCGCCGTTGTTGCGGATCTGGAGAGGGTGATCATTAGGCAGAGCCGCGATGAGCGGCAAGGTCAGGATGGCGTAAAGTAGGGAGAGCATGGCGATGGGAGTGCGATCGAGGGAAACGAGAGGGGGTTCAGTGGTCTCCTTATAGCTACATCAGTGTACTCGTGTCCGGGCAAGAGATTGATGGGTCAGGTGACAGATGCGTGAGGAACGACGGAGCGGTGAGATAAGACAAGCTTGCCCGAGGCATCTGCGGAGAATTGTACCCCGCGGCGGTCCCGCAGCCGAGCAAGCCGAGAGCCGCGAGCTGGTTCCAGGCTGTGTCTGGAGAGGTGGAGAACGGGAGTGCCGACGTGCTGATAGAGTCGTCACTGGCTCGTCTCATGATGCGACTCTGGTCGTCTCTATAGGTGCAAGAATGGATGCAGATAAGAGAAGCGCAAGGAGAATCGGCATGTCCCCTGTCCTCCGCGACATGTAGGCTCAACGTAAGCCTCTCGACCGGAGAGTCTCGACCTCCGGAGGAGAGGCTTATGACAGCATCGGGCATTTCCGCCGATGAAGGGGTGCGGATTCGCACCACCCCATCTCTTTGCAACTGGTATATCTCGAGTATACATGCACTTAGAGAAATGTAAAGGGTACAGCTGTAATCCTGAGAGTCTACTTCATCTAACCTGCTTTTTGAATCAACGGAATATCATGCTTGCAACTGGCGACAGCTCTTTGAATATCAGGCCCAAATATTCCTTAGATTTCGCACCCCCTCATCGGAAATGAGCTTTAAACGCCTTGTTTTTCAGCTTTGGTGGGTGCTATCTCATGCAGCGAGTATCAGATAGTCCTAAAGCTTGGTCTGAGGGTGCATATACATGTGATGTACCTGCATGCAAAGTCTGACTTGCCTTGGACTGTCAAGTGTGGAGATATAGCCATCACCAGGGCAAGGGGGCTCTCTGGGCAGCAGCGAGAATTCCCCTTCTACCAGCCAAATGCCAAAACCCAGCCCTTTGCTAACGCGATATTCTCCTGCTTCGGGCATTCATACGCAGCAAGAGCTGACATAGACCTAGAAGAGACCTTGCAGTATCCAGCGTAGTTCTGGCTGGACTCTAGCTGTATGCATGCATGAGAAAGAGGTAGCAGAAGAAGGGCCAAAATCGCGAATCCGCACCCCCTCATCGGCGGTTCAAGCGGGAATAGCATTGTGCAAAGCGGGTCCGGGTACGTACCCGATACTGCCGGATTTGCCCCGGGGTGGTATCCGTATCCTGCCTGTATCCCACTTCAAGGAGGGTATTATACCCGTACCCGTACCCAGATTTTTGCCCATACCCGGTAGATACCGAGTAAACCCAGTACCCCTGGGTCGAGATAGATAACCCCATACTGACCTTCCCTTACGCTGCAACGGCTCAATAAGACCAGTGTATCCCCCTGTCGAGCTAGCATAGCGATCCCAGTACTCTAGATGCTCGCCAAGGACGTCGGCGTTTACTTTTGCCTCACTCGCCACTGGGTGGCAAATTTGGTCTCCTCATTCCTCATCTCGTAAGCCCAACTTCGTGATGTCTCTTGAGGTCGAGTGGGCCCTTCTTGAGCTTGTGACGCCCGTGCTGCGTCCCATAGATGACGGTCATACGCCTCTCGAGTCCAGCTATCAAGGCGTCAACCTGACCAGTCTACAGCACGAGAAAGCCGGATCTAGCGGGTATACCCGGTATTTACCCGGCCATACCCAGCGTCCGGCCTCTGGCTGAGACCCGGACCCGCACCTACCCAGAAGTCGCCTCGGATCTCGGACCCGTACCCCACTCATCGATCGGGTACGGGTATCTACCGGGTATCTTGCAGCGGACCCGCACCCCGCGTGCACGGTGCTAAGCGGGATGATGTCGTAAGCCTCTCCTGGCGGAGATCACCGAATCCGCCCAGCAAGAGGCTTAGTTGAGCCTAGCTCACATGCGCGAGCACGGTCCCGCAGGCTTCACTTGATCTGCTCTTTGATAGGAAGACCGAGGTCTGTCATGCAGGAAGGGTGCCGAGGATGTAAGGGCTGCAGGAGAGAAAGACATCGAGTATTATAGGCGGCACCGGACTCGGCCCAGTCAGTATGCTTCGCGACTGCCCCTCGACACATGCATGTATAGTACGCGCAACAGCTTCAAAGAGAAGCAAGAGATATGACATAAGGGTGGGACCGTGAGACAACAGCATCGGGGTCTGCGTTGACAGGGCAGGAGTGGATCAAAGAGGCCAAAGTGGCAAAAGGCGCGGATAATAAATCTTTAATGATGCGAGATGACACGCCAGCGGCCAGCCCCGTTAGACGCTCATTGTGATGACTGCCATCAACATGCGAGCGCACTCGAGTGGGTGCAGGACTTTATTGAGACCCCGAGATCTCAGCCTAATCGCTGTGCTGGCCAGCAGAATTCCTCCTTGCATACTCACCTCCTTGGGCACTAGCGTGTCAGATCATCTGATGATTGCCCTCTGTGTAACTTATCCTTTGAGCTAAATTGCGCAATCTTGGCCCTGAAGTGTCACACGTCCTGGTGTCTGGCAGTGCGCGAGCACTCCCCCTCCCCCCGCCGGTGAATTCCCACTTTGAGTTTGCCACTTTCCCTTCTGGCACATACAAAGGCACAATACCTCTCGTTCTTACTGCCCAACCTCAAGTTTCCCAATCGTTTCCATTACCAACGTCACTGCAGCATCTCTGGCAATGTCGACTGCTCCGCTCACCGCTTCCGCTTTTGAGGCTGCAAGGAGCCGGATGAGCAGCCTTCTCCGCAATTGTCCGAATGATCCATTCTGTGGGTCAGGCAGCAATCCCACTCTGTATCCTCCCTACGAGAAGGGCGTCAGTAAGTTGCGATTTTCTCGCTTTACTTTACAATGGATAAATTTGCTGAGCAGGACAGAGATCGCCAAGAAGGCATTCATCGAAGCGATGAAGCCCATCTACCACGCGCAGTTTCGTACTGACGGAATGTCCGAAGAGGACTACGTCACCCAACTCGCTTCCCAAACCGACCTGATCAAAACCTTGACCATGGATGCTGCCAACAAGTTGAGCACCATGGTGGCGCACAATCAAGTCATGGATCTCGCTCTCAAGGTCTGGAGCAACGGGTTGGAGGACATGAGCGATGCTGACAAGGATGTCTTGGGCACTGTGATGCGTGAGACAAGCGGATGCCTGGGTCAGTCGACGGGCACCATGCACACCTACATGAAGGAACTCCATACCTTCCTCAAGACTCAGACGCAGCAGCCGGACCATCCGCATGACATGCGCACCGCGCAGGATCAAGGATTGGTCCAAGCAATTCTCGGTGTCCCGAACAGCATCGCGGTCGCGCGTCTTCTTTTCGGAGATGAGAGTGAGCTCGAGACTCCAGTGGACGTCGCGAAAGGGATGAGCGCGTACGACAAAGAGTGCACGAGGCTGCTCCAGCGTCAGAGCAAGCTATACAAGGGGCGCGCCAACGACATGCTATCGCTGCACTACTTGAGCGACCTTCTTCAGGACGGCAACGAGCAGCACCAGGTTGCCAAGGGCTTCCTCGACAGGTTCAAGGCTTTTGAAGCGGGAATTCTTGAATCTGTCAAAGACGCCGGGCTGACTCATGAGGAGGCGGTCGAGTACCTCACGACCACTTACGCTCACAGTGATGGATGGAAGGCCACATCAGCCGCCGGGTCAGCCACTGCGGCCGCTGACCTTGCCTGTGAGTGACCATGAGTGAATGAATGCCGTCGCGATGTGTCGAGCTAAAAAATTCTCCAGCGAAGCGCGCAGCCCTCGAGTTGGAGTACGCTCCCATTCTGACGATCATGCTCGGCTGCAAGGGTAAGTCGGAACTGCGTCACAAGCCTGATAGACGGGGCTGACGGATCGCTCAGAGTGGCATGAGCGAGGGCCGCAAGAGACAGTCACGCTTGCCGAGATGCTGGAGTACGCGCAGACTCCCGAGTGCCTCGTTTCGCTGGGTTACGATGTGCCTATGCCGATGGACACGGAAGACTGATGACAGCTGAGATGGACGTGGATAGATTCTGATTCTGATTTTGGTATGCATCAGTTGAGCTGAGCATCTGAGCAATCAGCTATCATGCCCGGCCAGAACGGTTCGCAAACAAGCAAGCTCACCCACATCTATGAACCTTCCGGCTCGGCCACTTTCCGCTTTGCTTCCCTCCCGGTCGCGGGATCCTCCACCTCCTGACACGTACAGGCAACAGAGCATTCCCTAGAGTGTCAGCAATACCCCCATGGATGTTCCGGGGATAGGATCACAAGTCTCACCCGTTTCCGAGATACCCTTGTACGACTCCATCTCATTCGCTGCCTCGTGATACAAAAGCTTCGGGTATCGCCTTACGATATCTGTCCTCATCTTCTGGACCTTCACACCCCGTCAGATTAGGGTGGGCAGCTATCACTTCTGGCTTGACTACATCGCTTGAAGGCAAAGCTGGGCCTTACTTCTGTCCCGCTCAATTAGTGTGCGATGTCGGAATCTCCGGCAAGCAAGACCTAGTCGCTTAATGAGCGATTGTGAGGTATCGTTATCAATTAGTGAAGAGTGAGGGATGATGCGCAATGAGACTTAGGGCACGACATGTCAGTGCAGATTCAAGAAGCATACATGGTGGTAATGGAAACTTCTTCGTCAGCTTATTGTTGCAGCCAGGACAGGGGTGCGATCAGCAGCTCACCAAACGCTACCTAAACACCCTCCGGCTTGGCCACTTTCCGCTTCTCCACCCTCCCCGTCACAGCATCCTCCATCTCCTGATACGACACAGGCAAAAGCGCATTCCCTAAGCAATCAGCTCTGGCCTCTTCCAGCTGTTCGATCTGGAGTGGCGAGCTCACCCGCTTCTGAAGTCCCGTACACTACGCCCAGCTCATTTGCCGCCGTTGAGAGATAATAACTCCGGGCATCACCTAGCGATAACTACTCGTCAGCTCTGTCCCACACGTCTCCCTGTCTGATGGAGAAGAGATTGATGTGGAGATGCCAGCTCACCACCTTCGCCTTGACAACATCGCCTAACCGAAAACATTCCCCCATTTTGATCTTATCCCTCTCTGTCAACCTAAAGGATCAGCTGATTCCCTGCCCCTGTAGAAAGAATCTCGAGGATTGAGTGGGTATGAGCCGAAAGACATACCTGATATCTGCTATTCTTACCACACCTCCAAACTCATCGCCCGCCCCGCTCTCCTGTACCGGCCGATCGTCCACTATGCTGATTGTCATGTGCGCTTGTTGGGGCGTTAAGCGGGTCATCTGATGCCATATCAGCTCTTTCTGCCCCCGATATTGTCTGGTGGCGATGCCAGCTGAGTGACGTACTGTTCCTATTACCTAGTCTATCAGCTTCTGTCTTCGAAACGATGCAGAAGACGGGGAAGCGGAGAGGTCAGTGGATAGCTCACTGTTGTTCCTATTTCGGGTACAACACCCGCCTCTTCCCTTCCTATCACACTGACCGTCTACGCTATCAGCTCTGTTTCCGCTATCCATAGATCCGAACTAGCGGTCGCGGTCGTATGAGCTCACCGCTCCGTCCCTCCTCGGTCTCCCAATCACACTAGCCAATATCCGCCCGTTCGCCTCATAACACCCCTTTCCGCACTGGGGCAGCGGTGCCCGTGTCAAATTGAGCGGGAGCGGCTGCCCCGGGAGAAGTATGGGCTGAGCTGTAGATGTGGAGGCCATTGCTGCAGTATATATAGCTAGGAGAAGGTTGAAAGGTGGTTGAGCGAAGGGTTGAGGAAATCTCGGTGCAAGAAGTGGAGGTTCTGATCGATCTGATCACGTGCACAGACTTTTGCTTCTCGTGCTTCTCTCCTCCTCTTACCGGTGACCTCTCTTGCCCTCTTACCCCTCTGCTAGATAGAGCAAATGAACCTACCCAGCCCATCACAGCATAGATCTATCCCATGCATCCAATCCTATCCCTCCACTCCAACCCTCTAAAGCATAAAAGTCAACGGCTGCTCCAAATACTCCTTGAAAGCCTTCAACCACCGCGCCCCCACCGCCCCATCTACCGTCCTATGATCCGAGCTCAACGTCGCCCTCATCACCTGCACCGCCTTCCACCCCTTCTCCTCGGACGCATCCACCTCCATCTGCGTCTTGGTCGCGCCAATCGCCAGAATACACGACTGGGGCGGGTTGATGATGGCCGTGAAATCGTTAATGCCAAACATGCCCAAGTTGGAGATGGTGAATGTTCCGCCCTGGTATTCTTCGGGTTTGAGCTTGGATTCGCGTGCGCGGCCGGCGAGCGCCTTTGTTTCGGCCGAGATGGCCGCGAGACCCTTGGCGCCGCAGTCTTTGATGATGGGGGTGATGAGGCCATTGGGGGTGGCGACGGCCACGCAGATGTCGGCGCGCTTGTACCTGGAGATTAGCGAAGTTTCGACGCTGAGAGATCTTATATCAAGCTGCCGGTAACTTACTGTCGGATGACATCGCCGAGCCAAGCAGAGTTCGCCTCGGGCACCTCAGCAAGGGCAAGAGCAGCGGCCTTGACGACTATCGATTTCAGCTTTTGCCCACTCTGTATCAGAAAGACGCCAACTTACTGAAGTCATTGACCGACAACTTCGTCTTGCCTTCTCCGGCCTTATTGAACATCTGCCTGAGCTTCATCACGCGGTCTGTATATCAGCTCCGTCCATGCTAAAGAACCATGATCAGCTCAGCTGCATACTCACCCATGTTCACCTCGACCGTCAAGTAGTAATGCGGCAACTGCTGCTTGCTCTCCGTCAACCGCTTCCCGATCGTCTTCCTCATGCTCGTCGTGGGGATATCGGTGTACTCGGCGGGCGCAACCGGTGCGGCCTGGCCCGGAGTGGCCGACTTGCCAGAGGTGGGGGTGGTGGCATTTGCGGAGGTCGTTGTTCCGGATGCGGAACCGCCGGAGTACTTCTGCACGTCGTCCTGTCATATCAGCTCGGTCCCCTCAGGCTAAAGCCTCCAGTTTATCGCTGAAACCCGACCCACCTTGGTGATCCGCCCCTCTGGCCCAGTCCCCTTGACACTCCCCAACGGCACCCCCTTCTCGAGCGCAATCTTCCTCGCCAGCGGACTCGCAAAGAATTTCGGCTTATCCCCACCGAGCTCTGGCGCCTTTTGCGCGCCCGTCCCGGCATTCCCAGACCCATACTTGGTCTCGTCCGCTGGCGTGGCCAACGCCGGCGCGCCGCCAGCCTGCGACGCGTCCTTTTGGGACGCAGCGGTCGATTTGGACGATCCCGAGCCGGTCTCGGACTTGGGCTCGGCCGAGGTCGGTGTGGAGTCGGTTCCTCCCGAGGCGGTGCCGGAAGAGGAAGACGAGGAGGCGGAGGATGACTCCTCGCCCTTCTTGGGTGGAGGGGCGGAGGCGGCGTCGGCGCCTTCAGCGATGAGTGCGTCGGCACCTGAGGCGTCGTCCCCTTCTTCACCGAGGATGGCGATGGGGGTTCCGACTTGAATGGACTTGGCGCCGTCGTTGGACTGAGGGTCAGCAAAAGAAACGAAGGAGAAAGGCTGAGAAGCGGCGAGCCAGGAAGAGGGGGCGCAGGAGGAGCGGCAGGTGAGAGAAGTCGAAGAAATCCCAAAAATAAGGTGACTCCCAAAGAGTACAGGATGAGAATGAACGCTTCCCCTCTGGACGGCCCACCCCTACTCGGTCCTTCCGACGTCCAGTCCACCCCAGTCCCGGACCTCATCCTACTCTCGTCTTCATCCAAGCCGAGACATCCCGCCCCGCCCCTCCTCTGCCCTCCCCTTTCTCAACCCTGACGCAAACTCACGATAATCTTGACCAAGACCCCATCGTCCTGCGCCTCTACATCAATCGTCGCCTTATCCGTCTCAATCTCCACCAACACATCACCGGCCGTAAACGAGTCCCCCTCCTGCTTTTTCCAACTAGCGATTCCACCCTCCGTCATCGTGGGCGACATGGCGGGCATGGCGAATTTGCTCAGTGCGGAAGAACGGGGTGAGGGGTGGAAGGCTGCCGTGTGAGCTGTGTCCTTCCCCCTACTCATGCCGGTGCTAGAGACAGCTCGCTTGTCTGCCCCACCTCGGCGCAGCCAAGCCAAGTACGAGGAGAACCCAAACCCAAACCCACCTCGCTTGGCCAACACCTGCTGCCGCAGTCCGCCAACGACCCCGCGCTTCGCAACCTGCGCAAAAGACATCATCCTGTTCCTCTTTTGTAGCGGCTAGTAAGGGCGTAGAGGTAGTTGATAGCCCTAGATAGAGATAGCAATAGAGAGAAGATATCAACAGCAATAGAGCGGCTCGGACTTCCTCGCGGCTGGCGAAATCGTCGTTCCGCGCTGGGGCGAGAAAAAGCTTCCGCTGACCCGCATTCCGTTCATCCGTGCGTCCACCTCGTACAGATCCTGCATGGAAGATGGTATACGATGAGTACGCATGCTATATGCTCTGCTTGACCCCTCCCGGAGTATCTGAATCGCCCTCGGTATGCATACCGTTCGGCCCATCCGTCTCTTCCAGCTGCTCGACGTTCTTGATCCACGCTCCGATGGCTCCGCTAAGACTGTCAGCTTGGGTCCTCAAGATGGATGAGACAACTGACAGGAAGCCCTCATGCCGCAAGAAGCACGCTCGCATGGTTCCTTTCGACCAGAAACGAATAGCGTATGACAGAGTGGAGATAGTCGATGCGTGGCCTAAAAGATCAGCTTATCGCCCTGGCCTCAGAGGGGTACCGACCGGTCAGCTCACCTCGAATGAAGCAGCCACTGAAGAACACCTTGTTAAGCCCATACTTCGCGGCGTTCATGTATCTATCGAGTCAGCTCTACTCTCGGTTGCCACAAAGCTCCGAATCCTCCAGCTGAAAGGAGATACACTCACGCAACATGCCCAATGTTGTTACTAATAGCATAAAGCAAACTCCGCGCTACATCTTCCTGCCTTATCCCCTTTTTCCGCTCATCCGCAGTTTGGCCCTTCTTGAAGACTTTACCGAACGTAGAAGCGATCGTACTGGACTTGAGTCCAATCTTGGAGTAGTCCGAGCCGTAGATGTCCCCGACGAGCATGTCGACCTCGGTATTATCGCCTTGTTCCGATAAGAGCAGCATTTCTGAGTATCAGCTGGGTCGGTTTGACGTGATCAGGCCGACACGCAGCAAAAGTGTTCAGCAGGGTGGGGGAGAAAGGACTTGAGCGGGGGCGGAAGAACAGAGGCAGCTGATGAGCGAGAGCGATTCTTCCACTCTCTGTTCTCTTCCTCTCCAGCTGGCGGTTCCCTCATTCCCCTCCTTCCACCGCCCGCCACATCACCCTCAGCCTCATCCTGATTTCCTCCACCCAACTCACTCCCCAATTCGATATGCCCCCACCTCAAACAAAACCCGCACCAGTGAAGAAACTCACCATCAAAGCTCCTCGCATCCGTCAAAAGACTCAACAGACCCCACAGTGTCCCCCCACCCAAACTCGTCCCGCTCACCCGCTCAAACCCCCCATCTTCATCCACCCGCACGATACTCACGCCACTCCCGATATTGACAACGAGGCAGGGGAAGTTGGGCTCGGGTTCTTCCGAGGGGTCGGAAGAGGGGGTGGCGAATGTGACGGAGTATTGAGGGGGCGTGGGGAGGGTCTTTCGAGTTCTGGTTGCGCCTGAGGTGGGGCAGCGGGGGAGGGAGGGGGTAGGCGGAGGTCCGGCTTGGACTTTGAGGTGGGAACGGAGAGTTTGGTAGCTTCGGACAGGGGAGGAGCGGTCGCCGTGCCATTCGGAAGAGCGGAGGAAGGCGAGTCGGGACGACCATTCGGGACCGAGCTGGCGGGCGTAGCTGAGGGATCTGGGAACGTCGCTGTAGTAGGCGACCCATTTCTCAACTTGGCCCCCATCCCTCCTGCTCCATTCACCCTCGCGTTCTCCTCCTCACCATTCTCCTCCTTACTCGCCCCATCCCCATCCCCATTCGGCAACACCGAATGACTATGATACCCCGTCGGATCCGGATGACTAACCTTCCAAACCAACTCCTCCGAGAACCAGAAAACCTCCTCCGGAATCCTCGCGACAAACCCCAGCCCCAGTATCAAACTCTCCATTTCTTCCTCTCTAACCACTTCCACCCCCAACTCGGTGGCTAGGCGGTCATTGTACATGTACGCCCCACCGCCGGTGACCATGACTTTAACGGTGGACTTCATGCGCTCGACCGAGACGCGGTTGGCGGCTGCCGAGGTGTGGATGAGGTCGGCGAGCCACCGGATGAGGTCGTCAATGTTGGCCGTTTCGAACCGGGCGAAATTGAGGAGGCCGCCAGGGAGGGGTTGGGGCAGTTGGGGGGACGAGGAGAAGCGGCGGTCCCGGGTCCGAGGGGCCGGAGCGGATGTGGAGGAGGAGCTGACGGAGTGGTTGAAGCGGTGCGAGGCGGCAGAGGATCGTTTGGGGACGGAGAGGTAGTCTTCTACGAGAGCTTGGGGCTTCAGGGCGCCGTTTACTGTTGGAAGACGAGTTTCGGCGGAGGGGGAGAGAGAAGGGTCGTCCTCGTCCGGAAGGCGCGAGGTGGATGCGGCTGCATTGGGCGAGGAGACGGACTGCGAGGGAGGGAGGAAGGGCGAGGATGGGGTTGTGGCGGGTGGGGTGTGGATGATGGGAGCGGAGGAGCGGGTAAAGTAGACGACTTTGGCGAGGGAGCCTCCGATCTGTCGGGTCAGCTTACCGCCCATACAAGCGTCGGTGAGAAGGCTAGCTTACGTCGATGGCTATGTGAGAGACGGGCTCAATGTAATGAGGTAAGTAGATACCTCTCGAGTCCCGAGTCTGCACGGTCAGCCAAGGTTCCCTCGAAAGTTGAAGCGGTCCAAGCGTCAGCAAAAGCGGGAAGCGGACACAAAGCTCACAGCGACCGATTCCTCCTGCACAATCTGAGCACCCGTCGTATCCACAGCAATCCGCCTCGCTTGCGGAATAGAGATATCCGGTTTGTCCGCGGGCAGACGGGGGTTGTGTAGCCGGGGAGGGGCGGCCGAGGGGGGTGAGGTCAGGGGTGAGCGGGAGGGGGCGGAGGCCGGTGCGGGTGCGGCCTGCATGATGACGCAGAGCTGGGTGTATAGCGACGATGAAGAGTGGACGATCGGCGAGTGTAGATCTAGAGAGATGTGCGGGCAGATTAGGGGCTGTAGATCAAAGCCTAGAGGAGGAGGAGGAGGGGACAGCCTTATATCCCTCTCTACGGCTGTGTCATCCCTTCACCCCGGAATTGTGGGACGCGAATAGAAGTGAGAGGTCTTCGTATGGCGTGCTCTCTACCACTCGTCGCTGTACCGAAGCCGATGGTGGAAGGAGCTGCGATGCTGGTGCTGTATAGACGAGGTGTAGAGTGAGGTAAAGGCGGGAAATGTTCGGCGAACCGAGCGAGCGAGTCGGCTGTAGCAAGTGGGGAAACAACCGGGTCCGTGCGCCGTCAGAAGGGCAAGATTGGTCATCACTAGCTAAGGGTGTCGTTCGAGCATATGAGACGCAGAGCAAAAGCAGGCGAGTGATACCGAGACAGGTATACCAGCAGTCACAGAACGATACATATGATTAATCGACAGATACTCCCCTCGACCGCACATGAGCTTCCCTCAACACAGATACAGTCCAATTCCAATTGTCCATTGTCCAGCCCCATCCTCTCCTCACTTCCTACTTCCTCTCACGGTTGTTCGTCCTCTCCCCAAAGACCAACTCCCCCTCCCCGTCCATCTTTGTCCTTATTGAGAACACCCGTCGATCAGGCGGTTCTTCTGTATGATAGTCAGCTACTGCCCTCGTCCATCTGCTCTGACATGACTCCCAGACTCCCAAACACTCCTCCCTCCACTCTTGCACCTTCGGTCTCTCCGCCCCATATCTCACATCCCCCTTTCTCAGGCCCATAGCTCAAGACTCACCGGGAAAGCATTCCCCGTAGCCGCCCAAGTCGTCAAATTCGGATTACTATACGCATCCGCATGTCGCGCAATATAATCCGCCGTCGGTCGATCGGCGGGATCGCACCCCATCCGACCCTCGGGGCGCTGATACACCCGGACATAGTCGATGAGCATCTGAGCGGGGAAGGTGAGGTGCGAGAAATCGACGGTTTGGAAGCCGTTCGACATGCCAAAGTTGATGACCTGGATGTCAGCTGCGTTCATCATAACGTTCGCGTGCGAGGGAAGGAGCGTGAGGGAAACCAGCAAGCCAGCAATGCTGTTGCGAAGAGCGGGAAGACGTACCATAGCCATAGGCTCTTCACTGATCAACCGCTGCCCAACTTGCGAGATCGGGTTGGCTCGCACAGCCGACGCCTTCATTGTCCAGGACTGCTTGCCTTCAGACTGCCAGTTGATGTATCCGTTGGACCGGTCTTTGGGGTTCCCATAGTACTCGAAGCCTGCGAGTCAGCGACTGGTCTTGTGAATGTCGATTCCTCATGATCCCCGTCTCCCACATGTCTGTTCCATACCGCCGGTCTCCTCTCCTCGACCACTTCTTTGCCTTCACAGAACGATCCCATCTCATTCCCGCCGCACCCTTTCCCCCTTTCCCCCTTTCCCCCTTCCCCCCCTTCTCTCGCTTCCCCTGACACCCAAGACCCCAAAACTCACCATAGCTCGCAAACCCTTTACTAGTCAACTGATAATTCGCCGTCTGGACATATGCCAAATTCGACACTGCCTGCTGGTACACGCCCCCCAGGTAGCTATTCGGCTTGACGATAGACGTATCATACACAATAATATCGTCCGTCGAGTTGAACGGGTAATAATCCGCATCGAATGGCGCGATCTGGGCCGACTGGGACACCTGGCCTCGGGGCAGAGAAAGGTCCGTCTGCGCCTCGATGATGTCGATTTCGGGCGCGCCGCGGCCGTAGGTGTGATCAGGACCGGGGTGGTCTTCGCCTTTACAGGTGCAGGCCGAGAGGCGCTGGCCCGGGAGGCTGGGAGTCAGCTGGGCCCAAATCACCGCAGACCGCGTTGCAAGGCAAAGGCAAAAGCAAAGGCGGAGGCAGATGTCAGAAAATCAAAACTCACTAGGACAGCGCGTTCCCATTACTAGTCGTCGCACCCGCTGGACCCGTCCCCGCCGCGTTCGTCTGGTTCTTCAACGTCCCCAAATCACACGAGTCGTACGTGTACGGCCACGTTCCCTCCGTCGTCGCTCCATACCCCGGCCGGCCCAGGTTGCCCATCATCCACACACCGGGCCAGAACCCTCCGACCGCTGGCGTTCCGGGCAGAGAGACGCGGACTTCGATATACGCGGAATACTGGAAACACATCTGGTTCCATGATTGGAGCATGCCCGACTTGAAGTTGAGGTCGTTGATGGATTCTTGGGTCATGGTGATGACGAGGGAGCCGTCTTTGGTGGTTATCGCCGAGGGGTCGTACCATTCAAAGTCGCTAGATGTCAGCAAGGGCGATGAGGATAGGGTCGGCGGAGGGGGGAGGCGAATAAGGAGAGAGGAAAGAGAGAGGAAGAAGGCAGAACACACGTAGTTGGCCAATAGTGGATGTCCATGGCAGTCCAGTATGGGTCATCTCCGGGGTAGAAAGTCCTGCAGGTCAGCTCAGCCCGCGAGCAAGATTCAGCTCAAGCAGTCGAATTTTGCCTGGCCCCCCGCCGACACTCTCTTTTCACTCCCTTCCCGCTCCAACCCTCAACACATCTGCCCTCCCTCCCCCTTCCTTCTCGCGATCCCTCTCTCAACCTTGTGAACGGAATCCAAACTCACCTCCCATCCTTGTTGAACTCATCCGAGAAAGCCAAATAATACTTCTGCCCATCATACCCCGTCCTCGTCATCGCGCTCTGCGGCGTATCCACATCAATAACCGGCCTGAAATTGGTGATTTGCGGGATCTGGCCCGTCGAGTTGATCCCGCCCAGGTTGTACGCGCCATTCGTCCCGAGGCTGTTGGAGGTGTAGTAGGATGCGATGGGGTAGGCCGCAAAGAGGCCGAGGAGGAGACAGAGGACGATGACGAGACAGCCGATGTTGATTACTCCGCGGGAGGTGAAGATTGTGCCGAGGCGGTCGTGCTGGGCGTCAGCTTTTCGGCCCTGAATCGGCCTAAGTGCTTGTACACCGGGCAAACTGGGAGAATGCAGGAGAGTGTTCTTCGTCTGAAGGACTTACCTTACTGCCCCGCTTGGGATCCGGGTTATGCAAATCATCATCCGCCTCTACACCATCATCCAACCCACCATACCCCGTCAAATCCGACTGGTACGACTGGGACTGGACCGCATAGCTCGATCGGGGCTGTGTGAAGCTCGGTCGATCCCTCTCCCGGTCAGAGATGGACGAGGCGGGTGATAGCAAAGATTGGGAGGAAGGGATAGGGGCCGCGGAGGCGCGGGGTCCGTATCGGCGGGGACTGGATGGCTGGGGGGTTAGCTTGGCGTTGAAGACGGTAGTCAAGAAGAGGGCAGGGGTAGTGTGGTATCAATGGGGAACACGTTGGACAGTCTGAGATAACATTCTTCTTCTTTGCTTCACTCTCTGTAGAAGCCGCCTTGCCGCTTTCCCGTGCTTCGCGGTAATAACAAAAACAACGCAGCCCCACCATGATGGAAAGACTTCAACTCACCGATCCCCTCAGTTCCGACATCAACGCATTACTGCTCTCCCCTCGTTGCGGCATCGCCGCCAGAGCGCCTACTGACCTCCGATCCGGCCGTGAGCTCGACCGAGGGGTGGTAGGTGTAGATGGGGGATTCATGATTGCCGGCGGGGGTGGTGGCGGAGAATGGGAAGGGGAAAGGGTGAAGGAAAGCGGACTCCCAGATGGTCTGGCCGGTTGTTACGGCTGTGGATGGTGTGAAAGTCCCTCTATGCCATATATTGGCGAGAACTGTTCCTTGTTAATCGAGGATGACCTGGGCGGATGGATGCACAGCTGCTGACGCTGACAGCTGTGTTTTCGATCGTCTAGCCGCGGCTAAGATCTTCAAGTGCGGCTTCCTTTTTGCGCGAGTGTCTCTCGATGTTTCTACTCAAGCGAGAGGACGAGCTTGCTGTTATGATGCAGGTAGATGTTGGTATGAGTATGAAGTATACACCCATCGCTCAATTGCTGATCAGATGCACCGCTCTCTTCCCTTCATCATGACATTCACAGTGGACGTCGTCTTCTCCCCTTTAAAGTTGTTCGCCTGACCTCGGCTTACGAGAAATTACGGCACCCAGTCAGCCAGGAATAGAATGGCAAGATCCGTGCAATGAGACACCGGCAAACAACCAGTGTTTCAGATAGTGTTTCAGGTTGTAAGTGGCGGATCGATTGTGCGGCGGGTGTGGCGGACGGGTGGCAAGATATGATCATATGCGAGAGCGTAAAGTGAGGGGTGGACTTAGCGATACCCCAAGGACGTATAGAACATTCTGGAGTCTGTGCCCTGCACAGTATCGATCGCGTTTCCTCAGATTGCGCAATCTAGCGGAACATCCCTTCACCCTTGGGCCCTTTGAGTGGTCAGTCATGATTCGCGCTCAGGCCACGGCGAGTCGTGCGTCCTCACCTGAAGCCCCGTCCCCCGCCCCTTTTGTCTTTCATACATCATCTTCCCCCATTGTCGTTTGTCAATCCTTCACTCCTCAAAGCGCAGACAAGTCAGACCAGAAGATGGCTACCTCGTCAGTCTCTACTGGCTTCAACGCCATCACAGCCTCCAACGACGAATTCATGCAAGAAGTCATCGCACGCATCCAGAGGAAGGGCGAGGACCAGACCTGCGCCGATGTGCTGCAGTCTCTCCTGACGGACGACCTCTCCATGGCCAGAGCCGCGACCATCAAACATGTGCTTCACTACACAGGTGACTCGGAGTCTCACTACCCCGCAAACCTCTCCGATGCCCAAAAGTGGCAGAGATACCGGACCTGGCTCGCCCGATGCGGCCAAGCGATTACAAGTGAACAGGCAAAGACCCGGTGAGGATATTGAGAACTTTACCGAAAGCAAGCATGCGAACGTTGTCAGCTGACTGCTCCCAGGCCCAAGTCGCGCGGCTTCATCTCCATGTTCAAGCGCAAGACGCATACATTTGATGACGGGGTGGACCAGGAGATGGCTACCAAGCTTCAGAAGATGCATGACCGGATCGGAGAGCTCTTACGAGTCACCGGTACCGGTACCACGCAGGAGGAGGACACGGCCCAACCAACTGCGTCTGCAACGACTGCCAACGAAGGACCCGCTGGCCCGGCGGCGTAATGTTGCCGCGCTGCGTTGGATGTTCACCCCCACCGATGACCGTATATCTGAGATACTGTACACCATCGATCTCCATGTATTTGAACTGTTTTGCTAGTATCACACCGGGCTTCTTCGCTCCGGGTGCTGCGAGGTGTCGATTGGGCTTGATGAGCCGACCTCCGCCCCAGCAGACTAGATGGGTGTACGGTCTGTAAATATCGGACGAGGGGACGCCGGCGGGCCTATCAGACCAAAGCCTAGGGTGGCCTGGCAGCAGATATTAAGTGAGCTGCCTCAGTAGGTAACGGCACAAGGGGATAGCTTTGTGCTGTCAGACTATGAGGACATCGTGTTAGCAGTGCAACATGCAATAAGATGCAACTGTCAACAAATCATCTACTCCACCCCGACCTGCCCCATCCTGCACCACTCACATCCCCTTCAGCGTCTCCCTCACCGCCTCGCTCAACACCCCCATCTGCTTCTCCCCAAAGGTCAACATCGGTCGCAACCTGACCGTCCGCTCCCCACATCCACCCATCAACACCCCTTGCTTCTTCATAGCATTCACAAACGCGTCTCGCTGCGGTCCATCCTTCATGTCCCAGCTGAGGAATGTGCCCTTGCCTTCACCTCGGAGGTTCTGAGCGCCGTCTATGCCGCGACCGGCCTCGGCGAAGATTGAGGAGAGGGAAGAGTGGAGGGCGGTACCAGTCCTGGCGGTATGTGAGACGAGAGAGTGGGAGTCGATGAGGGAGATGAGGCGTCGGGCTTGGAGGGCACGCATCGGGTCACCCTGATAGTCAGCTCGATCCATAGCGGCAAGAGGAAAAGCAGGATGGACTCACCATCCAGGTCCCATAGATCCGATAACTCTCCCTCGGCCTCAAGCTCTTCTTGTGGTATATCCCGCTCGCCTGCATCTTCTTGCTGAACGTCACCATATCCGGCTCTTCCCCCTTGGGCAGATCCCAGTGCTCGTGCGCCCAGAATTTGCCCGTCGCGCCGACGCCGGTCTGCACCTCATCGACGATGAAGAAGGCGCCGTGCTTTTTGGCGAGGGAGCGGAGAGAGCGGAAGTAGGAGGACGAGGCATGCTTGTCACCACCTTCGGCAAGGATGGGCTCGATGATGACAGCGGCGACGGGCGATGTAGTTTTGCTGTTCCATTAGCCATGGCCCGGACTGACAATACCCAGACTCACCCTCGAACAAGAATATCCTCGTACTCCTCCAGGCACCGCTTCTCCTCGGCAGCATTATACTCGGTGTTTTCAGATAAGGGGTACTTGAGTTGAGGGAAGGGCGCAGCGGGCCAGTCGAACGCGGGGATGTCGACCTAGAGGTGTCAGCTGAATTCCATCCAGGACGCAAAAGGGGGTGCAGTAGTCAGCTCACCTTGTGAATCGCTTTACTACGCGTTGCGCTCAGACTCCCAAAGAGCCGTCCGTGAAAGGCAGAGGTGAAAGACAAGACAGATAGCTGGGGTGTACCAGGGGACTGGTTCCACATGGTCGAATCTGACTCATCAGCTAGCTGCCTTGCATAGTCAAACAGAGGACCTACTCATCTCCTCCTCGGTAAAAGTAGAATCCCCTCGTTCCCGCGCCTTGTACGCCATAAAAGCAAGTTTGAACGCGTTCTCTACGCTATCAGCTTCTCCTTCAATAGTGCACAGAGCCAGACTCACCGTTAGCAGAGCTCCCGCACAGTGTCGTGGTGCACTGATCAAAGCCCTCCGGTGCGGCCTTCATCAAGCCCGTCTCGAGTATCTCGGCCCAATTTTTCGGTGGAAAAGCGCCAAGAGCCGGTCTGTTCAGCGCGGCGGTCATAAACTCTTTCTATGACGCGTCAGCTCAGTCAACAGCACACCGGAGTATACAGGCACTCACATCATCACTCAAGCTCATCATCTCAGGTACATTATATCCCAGCGCGATACTCGCTATCTGCGCGAAAACATCCAGCATGACGTTCCCGTCCGCGTCGACCATATAGTTCCCCTTTGACTTTTCGTAGTCGACGACGAGCTGATGTGTCCGCGAGTCCTGTATGAGGTCGATCGCGGCCGAGGCAGCATGTGAGGCTGGACCAGGGACAGTGGAGGTATGGACGGAAGGGCGGGCGGGCTCATCCGGGATAAGCTCGGAGGTGCTGAATGTTCGCCGGGCTAGTGGCTGCACCGAGCGAGGGAGGGATGAGCGGAGCGTCATCGCGGCTCGGCGGGTGGAGATCATGGTGGTGGACTATACACAGTGGGATGAAGGTCAGAGTGAATCGAAGAGATAGCATTTTATGGGCGAGATAAGGAGTCAAAGAGGCTTCGCCTAAATTCAAGCGAGATTCCCGAGGCCAAGACCAGGCAAGCGAGACACGTGGCCGTCTGGATGTATCACCCCTCCCTGAAGCTGTAGCAGTCCTCGAGAGACTTGTGAAGGACCAGAAGGGCCGGGAGATGCCAATAGAGCAGATAAATCCCAAGAGAAAAGATTACAAACCAAGACTGATACAAAGGCACACACCACACACAGATCGACCCCCTTTGGCACGCCCCCTCGTTCCTGACCCTGTCCAGAGTCTATTGCAAGAACCCGCTCGTCTTCCACTGCCCAACCCAGAGCGCAACCAGCTCGGGCGAGATGGGCTTGACCTGACCGATAGTAGGCGAGACAGCGGCGGTCTTGTCGACGATGAACTCCATGTGAGGTCTTTCGTCCGATTTGCCCATTCGGTTCTGGTAGAAGCTCTGAGAGATCAGCGTGTGCTTCAGATCACCCGTAAAGGAGCAGAAAAGGAGAGAGACTCACAAGTAGCTTATAAGTAGGGTTCTTCTCCACGTCCGCCTCGCTCTTCGCCAGCCCCTCCAGCCACTTCATCCGGTCCACAGTCTCGAACGACACGCCACCCTTCTTCAGACCTTCCAGAATGTCCGCCCACCGACTCTCCTTATTGTTCAGGACGTGATACACCGCCGCTTGGTCCGCTCCACCTGCTAGGACGATCTCGGCGATCGCCCGGCCCGCCTCGTCCACCGGCAGCCAGGTAGGCTTCTCCTCGAGCATGGGTAGTGCGCCGGTAGTGAGAGCCGAGCGGAACAGGAGGGGCCACGCCTCGGTCTCGTTCCATACGCCATTCTCCGAGTCGCCAACGAGCTGGCCGATCCGGAGTACCCCGACCCGCGCGCCGTTTGACGCAGCAGCGCGCTCGCAAAGCTTCTCGACGACCCACTTGGACTGGCCGTACCCCATCCCGCCAGCCGTGATGGGCGAGTCGGAGAAGTCTTCGGCGACGGTGGGATCTGGCCGGCCTTGGCGGGTACCGACGGAGGAGGAGAAGTAGAAGGTAGGGGTTGTAGGGTGTGGTGAGGAAAGAGCGAGGTTGAGGAGGTTGACGGCGCCCTCGATGTGGTCCTCGAACGAGTCGATCGAAAGGACAAAGTTGACCGGCCAAGCGTTGTGGATGATGCTCGTAGCGGAGGAGCGGAGGTCCTCGTACTCTGTGGCGGAGAGACCGAGATCCGGCTTGTTAACGTCCGAAGCGTACGAGACGATCTTGGCCTGAGCCTCGGCAGAGAGGGACCGCAGCCGCTGGGAGAGCGAGTCCTGGATACGGGCGGATGAGTCGGCGTGGGACTTGGCGCGGGATAGGCAGATGACACGGGTGACTTCTGGCCGGCGAGTGAGTTGATCGAGGATGTGGGCGCCGAGAGAGCCGGTGGCGCCAGTGAGGACGATGGTCTCGCCCGTGTGCCCGTTGGCCGAGCTGGAGGTGGAAGTAGGAGTGACAAGCTTCCCCGCCCACTTGTCCACCATCGCCAGCATCTTCTCCTGCGCCGACTGAGACGCCGTCTCCCCTGTCCCTTCATTCAGCGCCAGGATGAATGTAGCCAGCCGCTCGATCGACGGATGCTCATACACCACGTTCTGCCCCAGCGTGACGTCCGGCCCGAGCTCGAGGTTCTTGATGATGTCGTTCCGTACCCGAGTGGCCTGGAGCGAGTCGACACCATACGAGAAGAGATCGGTAGAGGGGGTGAGGTCCGACGACGCCTTGTCCCCGAGAGCGGTCGAGATGAGGTTGTGGAGGAATTGCTGCATGTCGACCGAGGTAGAGATGTGCTGCTTGGGTGCGCCGGTACCGCGCTCAAAGCGGTCGTAGATGGAGTTGATGAGGGGTGCAAAGAGCTTGTAGCAGGCGGGACGGAGGATGGACATCTTTGTAGCCTGATGGTCAGCTGCATCCAGATCGAAACAGCGAGCAGGACTGACCACTGGGATGTCCGTTCCGTACGGCAGCAACTCGACCATCTCGGGCAGTATTCTCGAGTGCGACGGCGCGGCGGCGTTGGCGTCCGCAATCACTGGCCAGATAGCCTCGAGGTACGCCTTCTTGTCCTTGCTGAGCTCGGCACCTTGGTCGGAGGGGAGGATGAGGCAGCCGACCTGGGGGCGAGCATCCCCAAAAACGATACACTCGCGGATAAGGGGGGTATTGCCGCGCTTCAGTCAGCTCAGCCAGGACCAGTACTCACGATTGCCAGCTCGATCGGGACGGGATTGGTCTTCTCCCCCAGCGTCTGCGTCAAAGTGTCGTCCAGCCGACCGATGTACTTGAACCAGGTCGGGTGGTCCGGGTGACGCTGCATGAGGTCCTTGGTGCAATAGGCCCCGTCGTCCCGGTTCGACAAGATCTTGGCGGGCCAGCCATCCTTGACGATGATCTCAAAGTTGTCGGAGCCCTGCGGGGCGAGCTCGAGGTAGTCGGCGATGGGACCTTCCGCGCGAAGCCAGTTCCAGGCCTTGTCGGTCGCGCAGTCTCGGCGGGAAGACATCAGTCCACCAGTTTCTGATGATCAGCACGGCTAAATTTGAGTTCGGGAGACCTACCGGTAGTTCCGTATACGGAGATGAGGGGTACACCCGCGTCGACCAGCCGGTTGCCCAGATCGTCCGGGACCGCCGCACCGGCAAAAGAGACCGCCTCGAACGACGCCAGCGAGTCGATACCCTCTTGCGTCTCGGCGAGGAGCTTGAGGACATAGGGGACGGCAAAGTGCTGCTGAGGGGGGGAGGGAGAGGCTTGGATCGTCCGAACAATGTTGGCCGAGGTGATGGGGAGGTGGGGCGGGAGGAGGGTGAATGCCTTGCCATGGTAGACGCAGCGGAAGCTGGGGTTAGCGAGTTCAGGCGAAGGACTTACACTGAAAAGTGGCCAAAGCCATGGAAGAGGGGCAAAGCTGAGAAGCCCGTCTTGGGGAGGGACATGGCGGCATTGGCGACGAGACCGTAGTGGGTAATGTAGACGGGCTTGGGGAACCCGGTCGAGCCGGACGAGTGGAGGATGACGCAGGTCCGCTTGGTCTCTTGCTGAGGAGTGAGGCGGGCGGGGTAGGCGGGAATGTTGCTCTCCCTGACACCGCCCTTGCCCCACAATGGGAATCTCTTCTCTGGCAGCACATCCAGCCGTACCCCTTCCTCCTCTAAAAGCGCCTTGACCTCCTGCGCTGTCCCTGCAAACTTTGGCCCGTAGAGCAGGTGCGAGCTCTTCGTCTGCTTGCAGAGGTGTGCGACGGCAGCGACCGAGTTGTTGACCGACAGAAGGAGAGCGGTGAGACCGAGCTTGGCAAGAGCGATCTCGAGGAGGGTCTCGTCGATGGCAGTGGAGGTGAGGACGGCGATGACGCGCTCGGGAGGGACGTCACCCTCTGGGATGGGAGGTTGGAGGTTGAGCGAGGCGTAGTGAGCAGCTAGCCGGTCGACCGCACGCTGGACGTCCGAGTAGGTGAGTGTCTGGAGCTCGTCCCCGAACTCGGCGGACCCGGTATGGACCGCGGGCTCATCGCCTTGCTTCGCTGAACAGTCAGAGGTGCTCGGTACAGAAGACGATGAGACTCACAAGCACGAGTGGCAATGAGCTCCGTAACGGAGAGGGCGGCAAAGGTAGCGATGGGCATCTTGGGCTTTGTGGGGGATGTAGACTTGGATGATGCGGACATGGTGTTATCGTAGCTGTCTTATAGCGAGAAAGAGCTGAGCTTGACCAAGTGGGCCCGAATCTGCCTTGGCGGAGAGTCTCGCTCTATCGATGCTGCTGTGCGAGCCGAGTAGTGCAGCTGAGGGACATGGACAGTGCACCATGGCTGTGTGGAGAGCAATAGGCGAGTGGGCCGCGCCAGATGGATGCTTGGTCTGTAGGGTGGGTCCACGGTCCAAGTGGGTTGGGAAAAGACCCATCTGACCCATCTGGGGAATTCCGGGGACTCCGGTCCTGTCCGGGGTATCTCGGCCCCGAAGGCCCGATACTATTTTTGGTCCTTGCCCAGACAACCATCTCTCTTCCTCGACACTTCGGCGCGCCTGCGAGTCACGCAGGAGCCTGCAGGAGCAGCCCCGACCACACTAAAAAGCCCACTGACCTGCAATCAAGATGGAGCGGGTGGACATCCCGATTGCACATTTCGCGATGCATCCACCAGCGGCCCAGGCGGAGGACCACCTCGCGCTGAGGTATATGAGTGCCCCGCTCGCCCCGCATCTTTGCCCCTCATACCCCCTCATCCTCAATCACTCCCACTCATCATGCCCAGCGCCGCACAGCACACCGACGCTATCGAGGCTGTCCCAGCTACGCACGTCGTCGAGACCGCCATGCGCAATCTCGAGTCCGAGAAGGACGTCAAGCACCACACCGAGCACGTCGAGTCGGCCAGTCTCGGCCCCGACAAGGAGACCACACGCGACGTTGACGAGCAGTATACGGATGGGGACGATGGAGTCCCAGTCACGGGTTGGCGCAAGCTTATGCGGAAGAACCCAAGCTTGGACTTCATGCGCGAGGTGGCCGAGGCGAACGCGCAGCCCCTTGACCCGGTCGAGGTCAAGAAGGTGAGTCTTGCTTCTTCTACAAAAAATTCTCAAGCTGACAATCAGGTCGAGCGGAAGCTGTACTGGCTCATCGTCCCTCCACTCTTCATCGACTACGCGTTCTATTACATCGGTACGTCTCCTCTCAACTCGACCAAATAGCCTCGCTGACAGCACAGACAAGACCACCCTCCAATACGCCGCCCTCTTCGATATGAAGACCGACCTCAAGCTCGTCGGTACCGACTACTCCAACCTCGGTTCCATCTTTTACGTCGGCTGGCTCGTCTGGGCTATCCCCGGAAACCTCCTCCTCGCCAAGTTCCCCCTGTCCAAATACCTCGCCATCAACATCTTCCTCTGGGGTATCTTCCTCATGGCACAAGCTGGCGCCAAGGACTACGGGACAATGGTCGCGCTTCGTTTCGTCTCGGGGATGTTCGAGGCGGTAGCCGACCCATGCTTCGTCTCGATCACATCGATGTGGTTCACCAGGCGACAGCAGCCGACGGTCATTGGTCTCTGGTAGTGAGTCCTCTTATAACAAAAACCTGTGTCAACCTGACCCTCCAGCTGCGCAAATGGAGTCGGTATTGCCCTCGGTGGTCTGCTCGGGTATGCTATTGGACACATTCCCACCTCTAGCATGGCGTCATGGCGTTACGAGTTCCTCATCATCGGGTAAGCCTGTTTGCCGCCCTGCCGTTTACGCTATGGCTGATATCCAGTGCTGTCTGCTCCCTCTGGGCTATCGCTATGGCCGTCCTCATCCCCGACGCGCCCTACGCTACCCGATTCCTCACCCGGCGCGAGGCCGTCGTCTGCATGTCCCGCAAGCGAGATGACTACCACACGGTCGAGAAGCGCCAGCTCAAGATGGACCAGGTCTGGGAGGCCATCAAGGATCTTAAGACATACCTGTAAGCCATTCACCTGCACCCTATCGAGCGCCAGCTGATAGGATAGCTACTTCTTCCTTGGCTTCTTCGCCAACGTCCCCAACGGCGCTACATCCAACTTTGGTACGCTCGTCGTCCAAGGTCTCGGCTTTGATACTTTCCGCACGACGCTTCTCCAGGTTCCGTACGGAATGTTCATTGCCATCATGATGTGCGTATCTTCTCATCTTCTGAGCCTGTCCTCAGCTGATCCCCAGCCTGGTCGCCATCTACATCTCTCACCTCACCCACGCGTACAACATCCGAACCTACCTTATGGCCGGCGTCACCTGCCTCACTGTACTTGGCTTCGCTTTGATGGCGTTCACCACCGGCACTGCTCCTCGCTTGATCGGATACTGTGAGTCTTTTTGTTAGACACCGGTATGGGCTTGGCTAATCATCAGACCTGACCGGATCGTCCAACGCCGTCTTTGTGCTCGCCCTCTCGCTTGTCTCTGGCAATGTCGGAGGTACCACCAAGAAGGTCTTGACCACTGCTGGTGAGCCCTCGTCCCCCTTGACCCCATCCCCTGACACTACCTCCCCTTGCCGAGCCCAGCTGACTCGCCAGCCATCTTCCTCGGCGTCGCCGCAGGCAACATCGTCGGCCCCTACAGCTTCATCTCCTCCGAAGCACCCATCTACCGTACCGGCACCATCGTCTGCATGGCCTCTCGCGCCGCCGAAGTCGTTGTCATCCTCCTCCTCCGCCTCTGCTTCGTCCGCCCCAACAAGCAGCGCGACAAGCTCTTTGCTGAGGGTGACGAGCGGTACGACCCTATGGGCCAGACGTACACCGACATGACTGACAAGCAAAACACTCATTGGCGATATGTCGGTGAGTCCTCATCTTTTTCTTGGGCTCGGTGAGGATTGTGACTGACCCTGCAGCATGAGCTTGTGACCCTGGAGCTGTGTTGCTGTCCGGGTAGGAAGAAGTGTAAGAGATATCGAGCGATGTATATAGCAAGGGTCTCAGACGATCTGGGCTTGTATTTCAGGATGCATCGTGTTGCTGAGCTAGCTCGCATTCGAATCATATCTGCTCTCCGCTCATGAGCGCCAGTAGTTGCAGGTCGAGCGCCTGTGCCACAAATCTGCCATTAGGTCAGGTATCGCCCCCGGAACCAACGGTCATATATCACTCGGCGCCGAGGCCGAGGCCCGAGGGGCGCGCAAGCGTGCTGCCCGCGCCTGCGACGTGACTTGTATATTTCTAGCTACTCCAGCATGAACCACTGTATTGAGGGCGATGGCAGCCCGAGTAGAGCTCTACGAGCACAGTCATGATTCGCTCATCCCTCTCCTGAGACTTCATCTTCCCGCCTCAATCCTCGTACTCGGGACCATCCTCGCGCCGGTCTCGCCTGGTCCGGACGCGCCCAAGATCCGAGTATGGAGTACCATCCCGCCCTCCGCTGACGGGTCCCCGATACCCCCAGATACCCGAGGAACAGTCGTCGTTCCAGTACCACCTCTATACGGCTCCCAGATCCGGGTGTTCGACACGTACGAATCTGTACCTCCAGCGGGCCAAACGAGCGCGGCATTGGAGGCAGCCAAGATAAGGGCACTGGGCGCGCTGCGCTCGTACGTGACAGCGGTGGACCCTACCGTGCAGCTGCTGGGGGCACTGCACGAGCTGTGGGTCGAGGCTGCAGAGGCCGAGATAGGCGATGGGGTGCACAGGACAGGCTGCGCGCTTTGGTTACCGCCCGCATCGGGGACAGGTGAAGAGCGGAGGATACAGCTAGGGCCAGACCGGCGGAGGATCGGGGATGAGCAGGAGTATGAGCTGGACATCGGCCGAGATGTGGACGCTGAGCATGTACGTCGACAACGCTGATCTAAGCTGCTTCTTGGTCACTTGCTGACTGCTACAGTGCGTCCGAACCGCGGACATTCCTCGGGATCCCGCATACTACTACTCCCGCTTGCCCTGGTCCACCATCATCCGACCGCGAAGCAGCTCCACCAGAATTTCGATCCCTAGCACCAGTCCGGACGCCGGCTCCACAAACCCTGAGATCGCACCCCTCGCGTGCCGTGTCTTTACACACGCAGACGGGACGCTCGGACTTTTCACCGCACCCGAGCACCGGCGGAAGGGCCTGGCTCAATGGGCGATAGGCGAGCACGTCAGGTCCGGGAGGGGACTGATGTGCGGTGGGGTTGAGGGACAGTGGGCGTGTGCGGTAGTATTCGAGGAAAACGGGGCGAGTCAGAAGCTGTTTGGCGGGATGGGGTGGAAGCGAGCGTGGGGGTGCTCGTGGGTGGCGGTGGACCGGGGTGGGGCTAATTAGGGGTCAGCGGTATGGGAGCAGGACTAAAAGGGACGGGAAGTGAGCGAGAGACCGACGCCTCTACCAATCCCGGCCGTATGACCTCATTCAACCACTATGCCCTCGGCGCAGTCGCCCACTCCCTCCACTCGGTAGTCGGCGGCCTATCTCCGTCTCAGCCTGGCTGGAAGGAAGCGCTCGTAAGACCTCGGCCGGGCGGTACAGTGACGCATGCGTCCACCGCGTATGAGTCCCCCCGAGGTAGGTACGCTGTATGGTGGCGGCTGGAAGGGGGTATGCTCAAGGTTGAGGTGGAAGTTCCGTTGAATGGGTCAGCGCGTATCGTTCTGCCTGGGGTGGATGAGCGGAGTGGAAGTGGGAAGAGGGTGTACGAGGTCAAGTACGAGGTGGATCTGGATTGGCCGCCCAAGCCGATTGAGGGCCCCATATCGATCCAGCTGAAGGATGAGTGTGAGTCGAATGCTTTCTTGCAATGTCGAGGTGGGTGCTGATTGTCATATAGTCTGCGCTTGATCATCTTGCCTGGAGTACGACGATACCGATGTAAATCTTGCGCTGGACAAGCATCTGCACCCGGGGAACGAGGAATGTTTCATGTCCACGCGCACAGGTTTCAGGTTGTGGAAGTGGCATTCCCGGGTGACTGACTGCAGCACCCTGGTATAACGCTTGGCCCCTCACCGATGAGCAGGTCATAACAGAGTAGACTGAAGAGGGATTCTGCGTTGGTACTGATAAGGACGCGAGGGACAGACACAAGCTGTGTGAAGACCCTCAATTTGCTGATAATAAGCCTCAAGCTCCAGCCTACACACAGCTTTCCACACACCCTTCCGGATAAGCTTCGTGGCCCTGCAATTTTGCTCACCCATCACGTCGAAGCCAAGCACCCTTCTCTTCTCTTCTGCCATCAACTTGCTTCTTCTCACTGACACAGTCCGCTATAGCGTCATCTCTCTGCACCATTTGACCGGAACAAATATCACTCAACCTCGAATCTGGCGGTATCCAGGATCGCATCCCTCGCATCATCCTCGCGTCTATGATGGCTTCACTTCAAGCCGAAAGGGCGTCTATCACCAGTACGACGAGCCTCCAAGCAAGAGCGGCAGCTCCGCCCAAGCAGACGGGATGTTACGCCAACGTAGGCAGTAAGTACCTCCTCTCATCATGGTCCTCCATCACATGTTGGTCCTGATTTCGAGCGAGTCGCGTCTTCTCCCACCATCCTTTGATCTCCTTGCATGCGATCACATCACTGATCACTCGACAGATACCTGCCTCTACAAGTCCGAAGTCGTCCTCATCGGCGTGGGCGTAGCTGTCTTCGTCCTGCTTCTCATCGGAGTGGCGATCTGCATCTGCCTTAAACGGCGCAAGTGAGTATCTCTCTCGTGGTCTCACTTCATGCAGCATCTCACCCGGCCTTGACCTGCAGAGTTCAAGCTGATCCCCTCCAGAAGCAGAAAGATCCGAGCGGCCGGTGCCTCTGAAGACGGACACGCTTTCGTCCCCCTCAAGCCCATGCCCGCGCCCGGAGGACGTTTCGTTCAACCCAAAGGAAGTCTGCTGGCGGGTGCAAGGACTAGGGTGCAGCAGATGCTATAGATGGCGTGGAAGCGGAATTGTTGACGGGGTGGAACAGGTAGAAAACAGGCTGGAGAGGGAGCGAGGTGAAAAAGAATGGAAATTGAATGTTACGGATGTACATGCCTTTCACACGCTCAAGTTACTATCCTCACTGCCATCTGACCGACACAAACTTTTTTTTTGCTCGCCACCATTCTATCTTGCTTCACCGCTCACCCCTCCGGCATATCATCTCCCCGTCCGCTCAACCCTCTTCCTCTCAATCTCGGGCGTCATGCTCCTCTCGCTCCTGCTCTTCTCGCTCCCCTCCCTATCATCCCGTCCACGATGCGCCAACCGCGCACGCGCCGGGGGCGGAGGCGAGGCTGATCTCGAGTCACTATACCGCCTCCTCTGTACCGGACTGCGAGACCTAGAGGGGGAAGGCGAGGCCCTTCTGCGGGGAGGCGGCGAGCGGCTGTCCGACGGAGACCGGACGCGCCGAGGAGGAGAGCGAGAGGGGGACGAGTACCGGCGACGTGCGCCACCTCGAACGAGGACGGGGGAGGGGGAGCGAGCTTGTCGGCGCGGCGGGGGAGAGGGGGAACGTGATTCCGAAGGCGACCGAGCGCGTCTGCGGGGAGGTGACGGCGAGTCGGCATGACGACCTCGAGCGCCTCGTGGAGGAGGCGAGACCGACCTAGGAGAATCGACGCGGCGCCTGTTTGCAGGAGGTGGCGGCGACCGCGAAACCTCTCGTCCCCTTCTCTCGCCGTACGGCGCCGGCGCGGGCGGTCGCTCCGCCGCCTCCTTGTCCGCCTTCTCCTTCCTCATCTTCTCATAGTATTCTTCCCTCCTTCTCTTCTTGGCAGCGTCCGAGGCCTCTTCCGCCTGCTTGGCCATCTCGATTTCCCGCCGTACTTCTCGCTCCGCCCGCTCCTGCACCTTGATCTCCCTTTCGGCCATCCGATTCGCCCGCTCCTCCTCTGTTTCGCGCTGGAACGCCTTGCCCTCGACGTGATTGGCAGACACGCCGAGCGCGCGGCCGAGGCGGCTCATCTCGACCTGCTTGGCGGCGGCGATGGAGTGCGAGTCGGTCATGCGTTGTCGAGGGGTACCGAGGAGGTGGGATTGGGCAGAGAGGGTGGTTCGGAGGGTGGAGACGGCTTCTTCGATCGCGTCATCGTCGAGCCTGGGGTATCAGCTTGGTCCCTCCAATGTTTTAGGACCATAGACAGAAGCAGCAGCAAGAAAGAAAAGGATGTGGAAACGCCGTCCCCCGCTCGACCCCACTGGTCTAGGGCAGGCGGTCTATTAGGCAGGATACCAAGCTCGCAAGCGAGCCATAAATTTGCGCTAACCTAATCGCCTCGAAGTCCTGTAGGGATGCAGGTATCGGGCACTGTCTAAGAAGGTTGCGGTGGGTAAGGGTAAAAAGAAATGGGAATTGTGGAGATGGGGTCCTGATGCCTCCGCCCTCGTCTCCTCTTCACCCGGCACGACAAACATCTCTCCTTGTCGGCCGTATCGACGCTCTTCTTTTCCCTCCGCCAGTCAACCCTGCGATAAAGCGGAACATCACTCACCCCTTCTCTTCCAACTCCTCCCGCAGTTCAAAACACTTGACCTCCACCCTCCTCTTCTTCTCATGCTCCAGTATCCCCGCATCCGGCTGCCTATGCACGGGTCCCGGCATCTCATCGATAAAGTCCCCATATCGTCCGCCTTTGCCCCCTCCTCCGCCAAATCCACCGCCGGGCGCGGGTCCATCCCGGATCCGAAGGTGAGCGTTGTTTTTAGAGACGTAGGCATTGGTTCCACTGCATCATGTCAGCTGTGTTCATACGTCAAGGCCATAGGCATGTTTGGGTCAAGAGTCAAGACGATGTGAGTAGGCAGGCAGGGACAGAAATCTGAACTTACCTCCCTCGAGCGGTCTGCAATCCGACGCCGTTATAAGTCATTTTTGGGACGCGCTATCAATATCTCCGCCTGCGGATGGTTCTGATGGCGGACTAGTAGCGGTATGGCTACTGCGAGTGCTGTAGGAATGTATAGGTACTGTGTCGCTATGATAGGTCGTGCAAAGGTGAGAGCGAGCGAGAGAGAGTGAAGTGGGGAACCTATCTCATCCCCCCACTTTCGGATGTGGCACTTCTTCATCCTCGCCACTTCTCGCCACCCACTCGAGTGACTCTAGCGTGATGCGCCACATATCGCCCATCCTATTGTAACAGCCCATTCCAATGCACCACACCTCGCTTTTATCCACTCCGCGTCGCTCTTTGTCGATCATAGAACATGCTAGAGTCACCACCGAGCATCTGAAGTTGATACCATAGCTGTAAGGATCACAATCCGCCAAAGGATGTCGCGAGACGCAACTCGGCAACTCTACCAAAGCAGGGCATACTTACAGTTCCCCTTCATTGTCTACCCTCTGAGTCCTTCCTCTCCAGCTTCAGCATCTTCACATTCTTGCAATCTACATACCGATCTGCTTGATGGCGATTCCATCTTTTTCTCTGGGATTTCCGACGCCTGGTCTGCCTTTACCGGCGGAAACGAGCAGGGCGCCGCTACCGATGATCAGCATGGTGGGGACCAGGAAGATGAAAAGGCTCCTCTTGCCGGTGAGTGCTATTCCTGCCAGCACTCTATGGATTTTTTCAATGAGCGGAACGGGTTTCCGGACACAAATGTAGCCACGAGCCTCGTTGTTTGCTGGTTGGCGGACAATGACTTGATGCTGGTTCTCCCCGCCCCTGTTCCAGAGGGCGAGGGCAATACGCAGCTGAGTTAGTCTGCTAAGCGTACATCCTAAGCATAGCTACCAGTACTGACTGGATCAGCATTCTGTACGGCCATGATGCCAGCCGGTGGTGGTAACGGGTACGTCCGCCGGCTCTACCTGTCCTTGGCAACGGAAAGACACAGCTGACCGACACAGAAATGCAGCCCCACCGTCCGAGCTACGCAGCAAGCTCTGGCTCGATCTACCTCCCGATCAGCACTTTGCTATCATTGATCCTCCGCCACGCTCCGCTACTACGGCTACAGCCAGTACGCTCGAGCCCCTCGGCCGTACCAGATCGCCAGACAGCCGTTATCATTCTGGGCAAGGTCCCAGCATACGAGCCCCCTTTCTTTTCGCCTCCCATAGAGGACCACGCTGCAGGCATTACAGATTCGGACTACCTCAAGTCTCCACCAACGGAGGGACGCCCAGTTGTTTACAATATGAGAACCGGACAGATCAAGCGGGAGCTCTGTGAGAATTCGGATCTGACGGCGTCGCGCGAGCTCAAGTCCTTCCTTCGGGGATGGAAAGATGAGCAGGAGGCAGCCATGCGTTCGCTCGAGGAGGAGTACTCGACGGACGGTTTACGTACCAGCGAGGAGATGTGCGGATGGAGTCTTTCGAGATTGGCGCGCCTCCATGTGTCGGATTGCTGAGAGCTACCGCTCAGCCGAGCACTGACAGAGACGATTAGCATGTTGAGGCGATGTTGGAGTCGGCGCGCGGGAGGGGAGTCTAGGAGTCCAGAAGCAGCGTAGCTTTTTTGGGATGGATACGCTACGTCGACGTGCTCGTGTACGCCGTCACGAGCACTGCCAGCTTGTCCCGTGGTGCATCAGCAAATATGATTGTCCGTGATGATGCCGCGGCAACCTCAGAGATCTTGGGGTATGATCGACGTGTGGGTCCGGCTCTTAACGCATGGAGCCTCCCCTTCCGGGTATACTTATGCACGGGGCGAGGCGGCGATTCTGAAACATGTTCTCGCCAACCAAGATCTCGCTCGTCGGGAATCTCGGTGGCCTGGTCATATATCCATACTGCAGAACATGCCAGAATATGGGACTCCTTTCGAGATATGTGTGCAAGGATGTCTCTGCCTCTACTGATCACCGCTTGGTATGTAGCGTTATAGCCACGTCTCCTTGGGTTTCCGTTCTCTCCAGTGATCGCCACCTTACTTTCACTTCCCCCTCCGTATTTCAAACCTCCAGACCTAATCCAGGCCCCATGTCGAGCTTTGCGGGAACCATCATTGATGTGCTCAAGGGTCTCGTGACTACACCCGAGCTAGTCAGTACTGACTCTGCCCTTTGGCCCAAGTGAACGAAGCCGTTATTTCTGACCGACTGATCAAGTTCAGCTGTGAACGTCATCCCATACTTCATTCAGACCGAGAAAGGAGCGGAGGACGAAGGAGAACTTCACGTGATCCTGCCTGATCGCTTCGTGGAGGGTACATGGGGTGAGACTTCTACTTGACACCGAAAGGCCTAAAAGTAAACCGACAGGCCAAGCTGATCAGGTAGATCTTGGTCAAGTCAGCCTCACAGAAAATAAGTATGCTTGGTTGCTAACACGTGTGTAATCGCTAATCTCTTCTTAGAGAGCTGTTCGCCCAAGACCTGGAGAGTCAGCTTGGCGTAAAACTGACCCAGTCTTCTGACAGACCCATCCAAGTACACGTGGTTCTTCAACGCCTGCCAGGCAACGGTGCTGGTTGATCTCGGAGGGTTTGAAGGCCGCAACACACCAACCACCTGGGAAGCAGGAGCTGCACGGAATCGAGACTCAGACGTGAGTGTTCCCGGGTAACGCTCCGACCACAAGCTGCAGCTGATCAGAAAGGACGACGGACCAGGCGAGTTCACGAGGAACTACTGTGTGAAAGAGGTATTCGGTCGCCCATGGGGGACCGTCACCGAGACACTCCGGTGCTTCGCCAAAGGCTGGCCGTTAGGCGCGCACAATCCCAGAGGCTTCTCGTTCGAAGAAGAGGAGAGATCCGAAATCAGCAAATCCAGTGCGGGCGCTGCTGGGCTGTGGCTGGGTCAGATGGAAAAGACAGAGTACTGGAAGAACAGAAACGAGAGCGAGTCCGTCGTCGTCAATAGTCAGAGCTGATTAGAGAGATACCCCATGTCATGTCTGAAATCACATACAGTCTAGCTATCTGACAGTCTATACACCGAGGTCGATACTATACACGATATTAGATGGGAAGCCCATCCGGTCCCACATTCATCTTGACCTTTTTCTTCTTTGGCGCAGCCTTCTTTTCACCTGTCGGATCAGCTCTTGCCCAAACTCCATCAAGAAAGGAGGCTTACCATCAGCCGGCGCCTTCCGCTTACTTCCCCCACTCTTCTTCTTCGCACCCCCACTCGCACTCACTGCAGCCCCACTGCTACTTCCTCCAGCCTCATCCCCAAAGTCCTCATCTTCCCCATTGACCACCTGTCGTCCGGTAGAGAAGAAGTCGTCCTCGTCGTCGCCTCCGAGCCCATCACCAAAGGCTGATTTGCCCTTCCCACCGTTCGGTCCCGATATGATAGGCGCGATGTATCCGTGCGCTTCGGCCTGCTTGCGCTTGGCGACGCTCTCGGCGAGCTCCTCGTCGTCCATGAAGAGCGAGACGATCTCGGAGGGCTTGGCGACGTCCGTGAGGGATTTGGTACCGACCACGATGTCTTGAACCTGGAAAGTCAGTTTCTGCGCCATCATCAGATCATGTGCAACAACTCACGTCTTTCTTGGCGCGAGCGAGCTTGAGGATACGCTCTTCGATGGTACCCCTAGCGATGAGGCGGTACACAGTGACCTGCTTGGTCTGGCCGACTCGATGAGCTCGGTCCATGGCCTGAGCGTCGTTTGAGGGGTTCCAATCGTGGTCATCTGCGGAGTCAGCTTCGCAACTTCTGCTGAACCAAAGACAAAGGCGGAAACTGACAGAAGATGACGGTATCCGCGGAGGTCAAGTTGATACCCAAACCACCAGCCCGAGTCGAGAGGCAGAAGACAAAGTAGTCGGGACTGACTGTCAGTATAGTCCTCTTTTGACGTCTCTCATATCCAAAGTGGGACTCACTTGGTTTGCCAGTTGGTGACCATATCCCTCCTATCCCCAATCGCGCTGCTCCCATCCAGCCGCAAGTACTTATACTGCCGATAGATCAAGTACTCTTCCACCAGATCCATCATCCGCGTCATCTGGAAGTAAAGCAGCACCCTGTGCCCGCCCGCTTTGAGCTCGCGAAGGAGCGAGTCCAGCCGAGCGAGCTTGGCCGAATCGACGATCAAGCGCTTGATAGGCGGGATGAGCATCGTCGGGGGCGTGCCCTGCGTAGCTAAGGATGCAGCAAAGAGACCTTGGGGCGGCAGGGAAGGGAGGAGGTTGTGTAGTGCCGAGATGGCCTTAGGGGAATTGAGCTCCGAGGGTGCGGCGCCGTACATTGCGGACCGGACCAAAGGGTCGGCGGACCGCCGAACTTGAGCGTCGAGGAAGGAGCGGGAGGAGATGACGGGTCGGAGAGGAGGTGCGGTAGCTTTGTCGAGGGTGAAGCGGGATTCGGGACGGGAGAGGATGGACGTGTTCCACGCGATGGAAGAGATATCTCGGAGGGGTGTGTCGAGGTGGCATGTGGAGGGAACGCGAGGTGCAAGGGGAGTGAGCTTGCGCCGCTTTGACGCTGCAAAGTCGGAATCACTACACATCAGCTCAACGCCCTCGTACGAATTTGACCGGACTTACCTCTCATACTCTCCCCGCTCGACGGTCCGACCCGCCTCCCCAACTTCTTCCAGGAGCTCCACCAACGGATGCCCCTTCGCCCTCCGACACGCCTCCGTCTCACCCATCTCCTTGATCTTTAAGAACCCCCAACCCTCATTCGCATGCTCCTTCTCCTCCAACCTCCCCCTAATCCAGTCCGGGCGCCAAATACTACACAAGTTCCTCAACACCCATCCCTCGCTCCCTGCATTCCCTTCCTCCCTTGGCCGATCGACACTCTCGTCCCAGACGAGGCGGGGCAACTCCACGTGGATAGCGTTTTTCGCCGAGTCGGGGAGGTACATCCCGTCCGCTTCCCGCGAGAGATTCGACTGCGAGAAGGTGCCGAACATGAAAGGGGAGACGACGTCGGCGCGTTCAAACAAGTCGGGGTGGTTGCAGACTTTTCGGAATTGCATGACGAGGTTCATGAGGTTCTTGGTGGAGTTGGGGTTGGCGCCGTCGATTGAGGATGAAGCTTGGGCGATGAGGTCTGATACGGAAACGCGTTGGCGAAGGGCTTTGTAGATGGCCCGCTGGCGCTGAGAGAGGTCGACCAACACGTCGATCTCGATCTGTGATATCAGCTTACGCCTGGACCACAAGTATCCGTCTCAAAAGCTCACCTTATCCCCAAGCTCCTTCTGTACGTGCTTCTTGACCCGCCTCAACATGAACGGCTTCAAGATCATATGCAGCCGCCTCAGCTGCTCAGGCTGCAAACTCCCTGATCCGCCCGCAGCGGCATTCTCGACATCCTTGGAGAACCACTCCGAGAACTCTTCGTGTGAGTCGAACAGCGAGGGCATGATGAAGTGGAGCAGAGCCCAGAGTTCTGCAGAGGTCAGCTTGTCTGCTCATACGCCGAACGAGCCACATTGGCAAGCTTACCGTGCATCGAGTTCTGGATCGGAGTACCCGTCAAGAGCAGCCTGTTCCGACACGGCAGACTGAGCAGACTCTTCCATCTGGCCGAAGAAGCCGACTTGATCGCCTGCGCTTCGTCCAGGATCATGTACTGCCACTTAACACCGGAGAGGTACTTCTCGTCTAGCACAGCCTGGTGGTCAGCTACTGTCATCCCGACTGTTGTCTACTCAGTGCCCCTCCGCCATCTTCACATTGTCTGTGCACCTCTTATTGACGCGGACCGGGAGAAAGACTTACAAGCTGATACGATGTAATCAGAATATGGAATGGACTCTCCTCATCAAACGTCATATTCTTCCTGCTCCAGATCCGGCGTAGCGTTTCCCGATCTTTCGGTGCACCCCAGTAGGGCAGAGCTTTGAGGCGGGGCACGAAACGCGCTAGCTCTTGTTGCCAGTTGTGCAGGGTGGACGACGGGGCGATGACGAGGAACGGACCCCAAAGATTGTGATGTTCAGCGAGGTAGGCGAGGAGGGAGATGGATTGGATGGTCTGCGGCGTCAGCTACATCGAGGGGCAAGCGGGAAGAAGAAAGAGCTGACCTTTCCCAAACCCATTTCGTCCGCCAAAATACCATTGATTCCCTGCTCATACAAATTTCCGAGCCAGGTGAGACCCTTGAGCTGATACTCTTTCAGTTGAGCCATGAGCATTTTGGGCTGGGTGATGGTGATGGAATCGGCGCCGAGAGAGGGGTTCTGGAAGTTGAGCTCGTCCCCGTCCACTGAAGACGTCAGCTTCTCCATATCATGCGCGAAGTTGGAAGTGGATTTGCCAGCAGACTGGACTTACGGTCGATAGGCATAGCTTCCTCCGCCTTCTTCTTCGCTCCGGGCATAGCCTCGTCGAATGCCCTCGCCTTGTCCCGAGCAGCGACAATAGCGGCCTGAGCACCCCGAGCAGCGTGTTTCCGAAGATTCTCCTCGTCATCTGCAGAGTCAATTCTGCCCTCGTCTCCTTGCTCATCACCCATGCGTGGATCTCGACCGCCGCTGCCCTCCCTTCGTTCCAGATACAAGTCCCAAGGATGACTCACCATCATCATAATCAATATCCGGCAATGCCTCCCCATCCGCATCCAGCCCAATCTCCGCATTCGCCTCCGTCTCGGCCCCCTCCGCAACATCAATATCCTCATCATCCGGCCGTTCCGCATCCGCCGTCTTGATCTTCTTGCCGATAAAGTGACTATACAGTTCCGTCTGAGTGAGCAAGAAGTTGAGTTTTCGGGATTGTCGTTTGGCCTCGCGAGACTCTTCCTCCGCTTTGGCCTTTTCGAGCGCGGATTTCTCAGCCTTTTTGCGCGAGGCGACTTCTTCTTTTTCGTTTTTGCGCCAGTAGAGGAGCATCTGCATGGGTCAGCTGGGGTTCCTTCTGGATGGCAAGAGTGGAGGCCGACGAGCTGAGTGTGCGGGGTCAGAAACGACGAATGGGTACGTCGGCGGGGTCGAAAAGAAATACTGACCTCTTTGATCACCTTCTTGGCCTTCGTCTGCTGCTCCTTATTCACCCTCGCCACGCTCTTGTAGGTCGGCTTGATGCTCCGCTGGGTCACCGCGTTTCGGATGCACGCCTGCGCCACACGGAGTTTATCCTGCTTGGCAAAGGCATCGTAGGATTGGTAGACTCTGTACATCTGCAAACGTCAGCTTCCCTCTTGCCCCGACGCCGACCCCTTTGTGAGCCCGCTGCCCCCAAGAAGATGAAGCACTCACCCTCGGCATATCCCTCACTATAGTCGACCAAACAATCTTCTGTAAATCCTCCACCTGCCCCAATCGCACTTTCGCCTCAACTTCCGAGATCCCCCTTCCGTCCTTCTCCACCTTCTCCACCACCGCCTTGTCTGCCGGTTCCCCAAAAACACTGATATCCCCCTCGTCCCCTCCTGCCCCCATTCCGGCGGCAGCAACAAGCGCAGCCAGACCTTCCGCTGCAGCTCCCTCTCCAGCCTCACCCTCGGCCCCAGCCCCCACCCCCGTCTCAGCCTCAACAGCCGCCGCTGCCTCAGCCGCCATCTTCGCCTTCAACTTCGCCGCCGCCGCCGCCGTCTTGGTCGCTCCAGCCCGGCCCGATCCCGCCCCTGGACCTGGTTTCTGCCGCTTCGTCGGCGCCGCCTTCGTTCCGTCCGGATACCGACCGCCGCCCGCTTCCTTGATGACTCCACCGGCGAGCGCGAACGCCGCGAGCGCCTCAGCGGCAGCTGCAGCAGCTTCGGCAGAGGGTCCTGAGCCAATTTTCCGGGCGCCAGTCTTGGGGGTGGGGGTCGATCCGGAGGCAATGGCGGCAGCGAGGGCGTTCACGTTGGTGGAGGAGGCGGCTGCCGCGGGTTGTTGGAGAGGGGGGAAATCGTCCAGGTCCATAATAGAAGACTTGTCGTCCCCCGCACCAGCCATATCGAGTAAAGACCTCTCATCTTCGCTCTCGAACGCGCCCGTGCCTGTGCCCGTACCGTCCTGCGTGGCGGTACGCTTCCGCTTCCCGATCTTCTTCTTCTTCCCTGCTGCTCCCGCTCCCGTCTCTCCAAGCATGGACCCCCCTTCCTCCTGTTCATCCAACAACGCCGCAATATCATCCTCAGCCCCTGCCCCTGCTCCCACACTCCTACTCTCATCTTCGTCGACCACACTACTTCCCCCTCCACCCTTTTTAGAAAGACTCGTCGAGTCTTCCCCGCGCATCATCTTCCACCCCTTCGCCGGACCGGGTTTCCGCCGATAATTTCCATCTTTGCGTATAGACACACCCCCAGCAGTCTCCTTGGCCCGGATCCACATTTCATCCTGGACCTGCTTGACGTCCGTCTCGGTCAACCCGTCCATGTCCCCGCCTTCGACCTTGCGGATCACTTCGGCCCGGGTGAGACCGCACGGCAAGACGATCGTCTCGGGCGTGACGGCCTCGAACGGTTCCGCCGAGACTGCCACCGTTGTCCCCGTCGCCGTGGATGGGACTGCACGATTTCCGCCGGAAATACTGAGGACACTCTCCCCCATTTCCGATCCAAAGACAGGCGAGCTCCGTCCGGGATCCCCACCGGCACCAGCTGCGGCGCTAGTACTAGGCCCAGCCTCACCCTCCGCCAAACCGAGAAGTTCATCCTCGAGCGCGTTCCCCGCGGCCGCAGCCGCCGCGGACAGTTTGGGCTTGGGTGGGTTCTTCCGAGGAGGCCGCTTTTTGGGCAACGTACCGCCCGCAGCGAGAATAGCGGCCTCCTTGGCTTCGCGCTGCGCGATCCGGGTGGGGTGGTCCGAGGGCCAGCCTTTGCGCTTGGGAGGGACAAAGACGGGAGCTTCCGAGGCGGTGGTAGCGACGGGAGTGGAGCCGGCTCCGGTGACAGTGGCGGTGGTGGCGGCCGCCGGGGCTGGGATGGGAGTAGGGATGGTGGCGGTAGCAGTGGTAGTGGTGGGGGAGTGGAGCGGGGTAGTACTGGCAAGTGCGGTAGGAGGGGGTACCTGAGGGAGAAGAACGGGTTTAGGGTCTTCTCCTTCCGCTAGCGACGGAGCGGCCGGCGGGACTGGAGCAGAGGTCTGAGGGGTCTCAGCCAGAGCGAGCGCCGGTCCAGGTCCGGGTGTGGGAAGTACGGGGATAGAGGGCGAGCGGTCGAGAGGGATTTCCGAAGTCGCAAAGAGGGTAAAAGGGGGTCGAGCGGGTGTTCCAGCGGGCGTAGCGGACGGTATCCGCGTCGGTGCGGGGGCGGGAGTGAGGGGAGCGGCCGATACCCGAGTCTGGAGGGGAGGAGTAGGGGACGGAGGGGCCATTGGGGCATCCACATCGTGATTATATTCATAATCATTATGCGCTTCCTGGTCATAGTCGTAATTATCGTCGTTCTCGATATGTTTGTTGTGACTGTTGAAGTGGTGATTGTCCGCGGGTATACTGTCTCCTCTCTGCAGACCCTGGCCCTGGGACGTGGACGAAAAGAGCGGTTGAGGTTGAGAGTGAGGGTGAAGTTGGGATTGAGATTGATATGTGGGATAAGGGGGATAGATATTCTTCTTTGCGCTACTCGGACTTGCCCCAGCACCAGCGGACACCCTCCTCGTCCGCTCCTGCACCACCTCCCTCAGCCTAGGCGCTGACGGGAGCTGGGGGAGTATCGATACCGATGCCGATGCCGACACCGACGGTCCGGGAGGAGGGTCCATTGGCTACAAACAGACGTCAGCTCCCATCCCTTCAAAGTGGTTGTAAGGACGTACCGCACCAGGCTCATACAATTCAATCATAGCCACTTCTGCCTCCCGCTTCCGCTGGTAAATCTTGAGCGAGTCCTCCCAGACGTCTTCGGAACCGACGAGGCGGTCGCCCGGGCGGTAGCTCACGTCCGACATGCGGGGGAGACGGGGGTCGCGCTCGGGAGACCGGGCACGGGCGCCATAGGCTTGACCCCGGGAATCGCGGTCTCGGTAGTCCCGGTAGTCTCGATCACGGTGCTGGTGCTCCCGGTGCTCCCGGTGGTCCCGGTGGTCTCGGTGGTCCCGATGATCGCGATCCCGATATCGATCTCGATCTCGCCGCGGCTCGCTGCGCGGATCATCCCGCATATCAGGCTCACCCCAGTAAGCCGACCCATGACCGTGACTGTGGCCGTGGACGTGGCCGCGATCCTGCCCGCGGTGCCTCGACCCACCGCCAGAGCCGCCAGCCGAAAGGGTATGCGGCGGTGGCGAGATGGAGCGGGGAAGACGGGGATAGGGCGCCGGCGCAGAGACGGACGGTCCCGGATCGTGATTGTAGAAAATCTGCCCAGAGGACGCGACGATCGGCGAGTAGTCGAGCGAGTTGGAAGTCCCGGCTCCGGCTCCGGTCCCAGTCGAGACGTGTGGGGGATAGGCCGCGTAGGGCGAGTGAGGGGGTCGCTGACCGTGGCCGCCGGCTTGTGCATGGGCGCGAGGGGGAGGCGGGGAGAATGAGGGAGACCGAAATTCAAAGTCTCCTCCTGAACGACCGCCATGCCCTTGTCCGTGTTGAGGAGGCTGCCCATAGTTCCCCCTTCCTCCACCTCCGACTGAGCGAGAAGCAGGGGTCCCACGGTCATCCTGATTAGGGTAGTACCGTTCTTCGCCTTGCGATCTGCTGACTGACGGGGCGGTGCCAGCGGTCGTGCTGGCGCCGGGACCAGGAGGGGAGTTGACGAGTGCGGAGAGGGACATGCGGGATGGTGCGTTGATGGGAGGTGAGGCCGGTTGAGTACGCTAAAGGGGTCAGCAATTCAACTCAGCGGGGTGATATGTATAGTTGAATGAGGAAATTGTAAAGCGTGAAAGGGGAAAAGCACGTACCCAGTCGACACTGACGCTCACGGACCCCCGACTCTCCCTCTCCCTTTCCCTCGGACCGTCCCCCTCGGGCGGCTCGCGCCGGACGCCACCACTTCCTTGGGTGGACATGAGCGGGCTGAGGCTTGCGCTGCCGCTATCGTGCCTTCGCGAGTCGGGGTTGTAGGGGGTATGAGAAGACATGGGTGATAAGTGGCCGAAGTTGGTAGAGGGGGAAGCTGGCCGACGCGGTTTCCACGTTGAGTAATCCGAAGCAGAGTTCACGTTGGGAAAGACAGAGCGGAGTTGATCGGGTCTTTTCTGCGAGGTATCAGCTTGAGAACGAAACTCGATGTGGTGGAGCAGAGGAGGATAAGAGGATTGAGAGTCTGGGCGTTGGGATAGGCCTCACCGGTACCGTATGCTCCCACGACTAATGGATCAAAGCTGGAGACGACAAAGAGATTGCGGCCCGACGTATGATTGCGTGTGTAGTGCTCTCAGTGCCGGAGCAGCTGGTGCAGGTGGATGTTCTATGCTACGCTTTGCTGAGTCGGGACCGAGAAGGATGCACGAGAAGAAGCGAAAGAAGAGGGGGCAAGGAGAGAGTAAGCGGTGAAGGAGAGGTGTTGAGTGGTTGCGCTATGTATGGGCGGTGCCTTTCCCTGATTGGCTGAACAGCGGCTCACACCGACTTTGGCTCTACGCAGCTGCTGGCTGCTGGCGGCGACGATGATGCTGGCGCTGTTTTAGGTGGGGAAGGATGAAACACTAGTGACCATCTCAGTCCTTCTATATCCAATGCATGAATAGCCGCTCGCTTGAAGCTATCTATAACGCCGCGGTAGTGCGGGATAACGCCGCTTGGCAGGCTGAGCGTGAGGGGGATTAGTGGCGGCTCGGAGTGGTGTCCCCGCTTTCGGCTCGTTGTCAGAGGGGGAAAAGGGGCGACGAGGAGCGCGAGGAATGCTGATCTCGACCTCCACTCGCGCGTCCTTGATCCTTGATAGAGATGACGTGGCACCATATGCACCCAGTGTCGGCCGAGACATGGACACCACTGGGTATAAAGGAGGATGTGGCAGTTACAGTCTCTAGGATAGGACCCGGGTACAGCATCGCAGTATCCATTCTACGAATGCGCCCATACAGCGTGAAGGCAGTGATACATCCAGTTCGCAGTCTAATCCTTGACCTTCTCCGGCTTGTCCCCGCCGACACTTCTCGAGCTCACAGCCGTCTTTAACGGGGGCGGCGCCGTCGTTGACCCACCTACCACACTCTCATCTCCTGCTCCGACTCCTGCTCCTGCTCCTGCTCCTACACCAGCGCCCAGACCAGACGCAGGTACGCCGGACGAGGACGACGACGAAGAAGCAGCGAGGGGCCCGGCGGTATGTACAGCAGCGGGCGGGGCGGGGGCTGTACTTGCTATTCTAGCATCCAGGGCTTTGAGCGCCATTGCCCTGTGGGCGTCAGCTCACATAACCACAAGGAGGACGAAGGCAGGCTGTTGGTGCAAGGGGAGGAGAAGAGAAGAGGCTCACCGTCGTCGTTCAGCTTCGGCGCGCGCCCCGCCAGGTCCTGGAAGAGCGCTATACTGGACGGGATCGTCCCATGCTTGTACGAGCTTGACCTTGACGGCGAGCTTGAAGACGAGGTTTCCAGCTTTGGCGATATATGGTCTGAGGCGTTAGCCAAGTTCTTGGAGTTTGCAGTGATGCCCGATGCCCTGTCTCTCTATCCCACATCTGAGCCCACTCCCGCTCGATCCTCCACGTCCGGCTTCGCTTCCAGCCTCACCTCCCCGTCCTCTTCCGATCCTACGCCGGTGCCGATTCTTCTCGATCCCACAGTCCCGCAGCCTCATCTCCTCCGCCTTCACCCCAGCACAGCGTCCAGACCTCCTCCCAGCCTCAAACCCCCAGTTCGCCTCCCAACCCATAATCAACCCAAAAAACCTTCGTCTTGTCTTACGATCCCTCCCTCTTCTACCTCCTCCCGCACTGACCTCGCCCGCTCGCTCGCTCACAACTCACCGAACAGGTCCAGGGAACCAATACTGAAATGCAAACGTCTCGGACCGATCCCCCCTCAGTCCATCTTCCGACAATTTGAAGAACCGGAGGTATGCCCAAGCGACGAAAAAGCCGAATTGGACGAGCATGTAGGGGGAGGAACCGAGTACAAAGATGAGGACGTTGGAGATGAGGAGGTAGATCCCGGGGAGGGCCTAGGGCATCAGCCAGATCCAGATCCAGATCCAGATCCATATCGCCTGCATAGCTCGAAACAGGGGAGTGAGACCGCGAGATAGGGCAGGGTGGGAGGATATGGTATCCGCAGATGGCGAGGAGAGGAAGGAGGCCGGAAAGCTCGACTGACCTTGACCTTTATTCGTAAAGCCCCGAGGAGCTGGATCTGATGTTCCGGGATGAGCTGGGTGAAGGCTACGAGGAAGCCGACTTGGAGGCCGGAGAGACCGTGGTAGGGGAGACCGTATCTGGGGTGTCAGCCGAGAGTCGCAATTGGCTCGGTCTGAGGTGATCGCGGTGCAAGCGACAAGCCCCTCTGATCTCCTTCTAAGCCCAGGCCTCTCCTCCTCTTCCACTACATCGTCCTTCAGTTCTCGCCCTGTATGAGCCTGTATGGACCTCTGCCAAACACCAGCGGCCTCCCTCCTCCTTCTCACCCATCATCCAGCATCTCATCCCATTCCATCCCTCCCCCTCTTTCCCAAGCCAAAAAACTCACAAAGCCTCCTCCGACCCCGTCACAAACCAAACGATCCAGCTAAACCCAAACGCAATCACGTTCGAGCCGACAATCACCACCGCCGAGAACCGGAGGACCTCGAGGAATCCCCATATCCGATCGAGGTAGCGCGTGGCGAGGACGAGGGTGATTATTGAGAAGATGAGCTGGGGGTTAGGTTGGGTTTGCGTCTAAGGGAGTTGGGGAAGAGGGAGTGGTCCGCTCAGCCCGGATAGACGCTGGGCTATCATCGGCCCCGGTTTGTCGCCGACGCCGACGCCCAAGACCCCACTTGATCGTACAGCTCAAACACCCACAGCCCTCTTCACGCGCCATACCTCATCTTCACCTCCCTCCGTGTCCATATCCCGACTCTGACTCACCTCAAACACACTCAGCTCCACCAGCCCCGCCGTCAATACCGTCCATGGGAAAATCAAACTCTTGCCCGGTACGAGCACCAACCACGGCAGCTCCAACCCCGCCGGCCCAGGCTTGGGCAGATTCTCATTGGCGAGGTTTTGCAGGCCGAATCCTGCTAGTGAGAAGAGGATGAGGAGGGCGGTGAGGAGGCGGGTGGAGGAGGGGACGTTTTGTAGGAACGGGAGGAAGGATATAGCTGGCATAGCTGCTGTTGTTGTTGTTGCTATAGGCAGATAGTTGGCGGTGGAGATAGCTACAGTACTGCTGGGTGAGCGACGCGCTAAAGGCGGAGTTTGGCCCAAAGTGGCAGTTTTGGCTCTGTTGTTGCCTAGACTCGCAAAGGCAGCTTTTGGCTCTACTCTACCACTCTCTCTATATCATACATATACACTATATACCCACTTCATCGCTCGATACCCACCACAAGCAAATACTGCTACTGCCTCTTACCCGATATCGGTGAAATATCGAGTTGGGCAAGATATCATCAAGTGAAACATCCGGACTCCCAAGTTTCGAGGTATCCCCCGCATACCCCTCCCCTCGAGCAGACATTGCTATACACACTATCGCACTCGGTAGAGCTACAGCATCGCCCGTGAGGTCATCATACGGAAACTGGGAATGATGTTACCCCCCGCACCGCCAAAGCTGTCCGGGAAGGACTTTGATCCTGCCAATATGGCAGAGGAGGATGTGGAGATGAGGGACGAGGAAGAAGGGGAGGAGGAAGGAGGGGCGAGTGTGGAATTGAGCAGTGTGGAGATTAATATCTTGGTGTACCTCGTGAGTCTCTTTCAGCTCGGCGCACCATACATCGAGCAAAGATGCGGTCTGGGTCGAGCAGAGGGGGACTGGACTCTTTGGGATTAGGAGGGAGAAGAGGTAGAGAAGGAATCCCCCTCTCTCCCTCCTTTCTTCCCCCTCTGGCTCTTGTCCTTCTTCTGGTCTCACCAGTGACCTCCCGGACCCAGCTGACAAGCAGTACCTCCTCGAGTCCAATTTCCCTCATACGGCATTCACACTCCTCTCTGAATCCTCCCTCCCCTCTACTTCTCTATTCCAGCACTTCCACCCCTCTTTCCCTACGCCTTCCGCGGCCGCTGCGCCGGGATCCAAATCCAACGGCGCGGGCGCGGGCAAATCCTCTGCTGCCGGAGCCACAGCAGGCACGGGCACTGGCGTGAGCCCGACAACGCCGACGTTTGGGCGGGTGGACGGGCGGATACCGAGAGGGGAGTTGGTACGCAAGTTGTGGAAGGGCGTTAGATGGGAAGAGGTGGAAAGGCATGTGAACAAGAATGGAGTGAGCCTAGATCCCTTCCCTCCTTTCTCCTGACTCTCCGCAAGATCAATTTCACGCCATACATTCAATAGTGGGGAATATAGGACGATAAAGTCCAAAGTGAACAGGAGCTGATCCCCTAGGAACCGTACAGACCCGCCTGCCCATCCCCCTTCCACCTCCTCATCCCACACATCTGTCCCCCATCTTACCCCTCCTCGGCGCAAAACCCCCCTCTCCCACTCCCCGCCGGGCTCCGACTGGGCTCTCCACCCCGACAAGCCGAAGCTTTTCCTCCTCCCGCCGCGGTCGAAGCGTCAAATTCCAACGGCAATGGGAATACAGAGGAGGCTGGACCGTCTCGGCCCCGAAGTCGGGCCGGGCGTCCTCCTGCTACGATCAGCGCGACGGACGAAAAGGGTGCGGACAGGGACAGGGACAGAGACAGGGACAGGTTGGGTGTAAATGGCGGAGGGAAAGGCAAGAGACGGAGCAGAAGGAATAGTACCGAGTCGGTCTCGAGGGGTGGGAGTCCGGTTCGGACGACTGTATCGGCTGGAGCTGGGGGTGGGAAGGAGAGGGAGGGGGGGAAGAGGGATAAAGAGCGAATAACAGCTACCGGCGAGAAGGGCGAGAAGGGGCAAGAGAAGAAGAAGGCTAGACCGAGTAATGAGGGTACGGCGGTCTCTGCGTCTGCTTCGGCTTCGGCCAACCAGGGAAAGGATAAGGACCGGCGCGAAAAGACCTCAACCAAGGAGAAGGAGAAGGAGAAGAATGGGATGGACGTCGATGAGGCATCGGCGGGAGGTGCCGGGGGTGGGGGCGGCGGCGTACCCAAAATCAAAGTCCGGACGGCATTTACAAAGTCGGAATCTACCTCCAACGTCGGTGCTGGCGCTGGTGGGGCAGGGAGGGAAGACTCTCCGGTCGATCGAAAACGGAAACGCCTAGAAGAAAGCACGGGTCCTAGCGGCGGTGCCTCCTCTAGTGCCCCCACCGCCACAGAGCGTCGACCTAAATCCTCCTCGTCCAAGAGCCGAAACACCACTTCCTCGCGCGACCCCTCCAAGCCCCGGCGGGGATCCGGGAACCCGCTCTGGATATCCGACGACGCCGTCTCGATATTCACAGGCCACCGGGACTCGGTCGTCTGCCTCGGCTGGAACCCCCGCAACACGTCGCTTCTCGCTTCGGGGTCAGCGGACGGGTTTGCCAGATTATGGGAATTCGACTCTCCCCCTTCTTCCTCTTCCTCCTCCTCCTCTGCTCCCTCCGCGGCGCTGGCCACAAGAGGCCCCTCCATCGCCGTCAAACACACCTCGATCGAGAGTTCCCGCAAAAACGTGACCGCGCTCGCGTGGCATCCCGAGGGATCCGTCATTGCCACGGCGTCAGCAGATGGGGTCGGCCGGCTCTTTACGCCCAGCGGCCAGTTGCAGGGGATTATGAGTTATGGGCGGGGGGCGTTGAATGCGATCAAGTTTAGTCCGGATGGGCGGAGCGTGTTGACGGCCAAGAATGACTTTGTGGTCAGTCTGTGGACGGTCGGGAAGGGGTATGATCAGATTATGAAGCGGAACTATGATAGTCATACGAGTGAGTTTTGGTATGGTCATCAAGGGAGAGGAGGGTGAGATCTCCGGGGTGGGGAGACTGGCGAACAAGACGAGCTGGCTTGGAGCCTGGAGGCTGCCGAGCAATGGGGCAATGGGGCAATGGGGCAATGGGGCAAAGCCAGGCGGGAGATGGGTACCTCGCCTGGAGCTGGAGCTGGAGCAGTGCTGACCCCACAGAGGAAGTAAACGATGTCGACTGGCTAGACGACACAGTCTTCGCTACGGCCGGAAACGACCACACCATCTTCATCTTCCACACCTCCGACAAGCATATCCGCTACACCCTCAAGGGCCACACCGACGACGTGACGCGCATCAAGTGGTCTCCCTCTGTCAGCGCCACCGCGCCCGCCGAATCCCGCCTGCTCGCTAGCGTCTCGGACGACGGGTACGTCATGGTTTGGAAACTCCCCGCGTACCCCGCCGAGAAGGCCGAGAAGGAGCGTGGGGGGCGCGGGGGCACACGGTCGGCCAGTCCAGTCAAGGCAGGTACGCCCGGTCTTGGTCCCGGCGCTGGTGCTGGGGCTGGCGCGGGTCCCTCTTCTTCGCACGGCGCAGGACCAGGCCCAGGACAAGGTCCACATGGACTGTCCTCTGAGAGTGAAGATTACTTTGAGGGGCAGGGAAAGAAGGGGAAAGAAGGGATCGAGCACTGCGTGGCGAGGTTGTGCGTCGTCGATGCCGAGAATAAGAGGTTGAATGCGCTAGAATGGAGTCCGGCTTGCAGAGACGGGAGAATGCTGCTGGCTGCGTGAGTTTACCTGCTCACTTCTCTCCCTGCCTTTTCTTCCTGTCTCCAGGCTACGGATCAGGATTTGTAGTACTGCAGGGCTTGGAGCTGATACCAATAGTGGCGCCCAAGACTCCACAGTCAAGATATTCGATATCTCCACAGGCCAGCTCCTGCATTCCTTATCCGGTCTCGAATCGGGAACGGCCTCGTTGACATTCTCGCCATTGGGCATACCGGGCTTCCCCCTCGGCGCACTGGCGGCCGGGGGGTGGAATGGGCAGTTGGGGGTGTGGGATGTGGAATCGGGGGAGAAGAGGGGGGAGTGGGAGGTCGATTTGGAAGGGGATCAGCAGGGGCCGGGGATCGTGAGTTCTTCTTTACGCTCGCTCTTGTATGGCAGTGGCAGTGTTGGGCTGGATGGATGGAGGAGGATAAGGGCATGAAGGGATGGGGTGACAAGCAAGTGGAGGTGGGACTTGTGCTGATAAGATAGCTTGCGCTCGACTGGCGGAATGATGGCAAACAACTCGCATTGGGCTTGCAGAATAAGCTGGTTGTGACGGTCGGAACGGATCTGGAGGGGATGGCGCAAAGAGCGAAAGGGAAGAAGGTGGAGAAGAATGAGAAGGCATAGCCTAGCCTAGCTCATTGCAACTAGGGATCGCGGGAAGGTGGAGGGGAAGGGAAGAAATATCAAGTATAGTCAAAATATGGAATAGGTGAACGCTACAAGATCCACGCATCTAGATAATCCGGCACTGCCGCTTCTGTCCCGACTCCAGCTTCGGCGTGCTGTGCGCAGGAACAACAGAGGGACGATGGTGTCCTAAGGCTCGACGGGCGAGGCGGAGCGGAGATGGGTCATCTGGGTGGTTGTGGTGTTGAGTCGGCCGTTGATGGGGATGAGTCACTATCCGAGCTGGACGAGTCGGTTTCCGAGCCCTCCTCCATATCTTCGTCCTCGTCCTCATCCTCGTCGTCCTCGTCTTCGTCCTCAGCACCCTCTTGATCCTCCGGGATGTCCAGCTCGGGCCCCATATCTCCCTTCGCAGCGCCCTGCACATCGAATACGCCCAGGCCGAGGTCCTGCGCTCATCAGCTCCAGCTTCCGACACATGATTCCACAGCGCCAGGGCCATCGAAGGTGCACATGAGGCCAAGAGGGGGACGTACCATCTCAATGACCTTATCCTGTCCTGCTGTATTCTCGATATCTACCGCACTCGGGTTCTCCTTTGCCCGTTGTAAGAGATCTTCATTGGATGAAGCGAGGAGGGGGAGGAAGTGCCGGACTCGAGCTAGTACTGGCGATCAGCTCTGAGTGTCTTTCAGAGCACAGCTTGATGCGGACACGCTGTTTGCCTGGATTGAGGGAGAGGGCAGACATAGCAACGGGAACGGAGCTTACGGTCGCTTTGGGGAAGATGACTTATATCTGGCCTGCCTGCCGGGGATGGATCTGAAGCGCCATCCGGTGAAGACGGTGAAAAAGAATTATGGGATGTGAAGAGTCGGCCTGGAATGTAAGCTGGGGCCCAGACGCAGGAAGCAGGGAGGGGGAAGATGTACCTAATCTTTCTTGTCGTTCTTCGGGAGTCTCCACGTCCAGCTTTTCTCGCTTGGGACTGGATGTGGCTGCCTGCGCTGAGGATGCTGGAGCTGCTGTGCTAGATGTAGCCGGCGCTCGAGCGGATTGCGAAGCCATTATTTAGGAGAAGGTACAGGGCGAGATGGTTGAGTGGTGGTTGGAAGTGGAGGTGGCGTTGAAATTTGTTTACAACTTGCCGCCTACTGGAGTGGCGGGTCTTGGTCTAGCTTGGTATACATTCGCAGCGGTTGACTGAGTGGCGGAATGAGATGGATCCAGGGATGGCACCCTCTTAGCCTTTACGGTGAAGCTGAGTATCAAGCAAACATCATGTCATCCGTACATGGACATTGATCTTGTTACGTCTACAGCTTCGCCCTCGCCGACCCAAGATCCGTCCCTAGCTCCGCCTGTACAAGCCTCACCACATCCTCCGCACATCCCCAGCAGCTCTGCCACCCCGCCCCTCCATGTCCATAATTATGAACCACCTTCACCTCCTTTCCATCGTCCAGCTTCACACTTTCCCCCACCTCCAGCCGGATCCCGCCGTATCGCTGCGGCCGGAGTCCCACCACCTCATCCACCATCATCCCTTCCAGCCTCTTCCACCTACGCCCATTCCCATTCCGAAACCCATCCCTACCCCTCTCCTCTCCCTCTCCACTGTCTGCCACCATCTTCCCATCAGAACCAGTGCCGGCCCGCAAGAGCTCCGGACAGATCTCCAACGCACGCCTCAATACCCCCTCCCTATCCTCCTTCGTCGGCGCAGTATCCCAATCCCCCACCTGCCTCGTCCCGCCCAGAACAACCGTCCCGTCCGCCCTCGGAATAACATACGTCCTCTCCCCTCCCTCTGCCCCATTCAGACTCCCGATCTGCCTCGTGAACCCCTCCTTCACCCAGGGCGCACGGACGAGCACGACGTGTCCCCGGACCGGATGGACCTGGGTGTCAGACACGCCGCCGAGCGAGGCCGAGCCGATACCTGTACAATTGACGACTAAGGCCGGGGGCTGACCGAGGAGCGATAAGATAGGCGGACAGGAGAGGGACGAGAGGGATGGGAGGTGCGCGCGGTGCAGCCGCACATTGGGGTGGGCGCGGATGAGACGGAGGAGGTGCGCGAGGTATGTGAGCGGGGTGATGGTGAGCGATGTGAAGGAGACAGAGTGGGCTATGCCTGCAGGTAAGAACGTGGGGTCGTTCACGACAAACTGGTCGATCAGCTCCATCGACAGCTTGCGTGCGGCAGATCAGGGGAAGGGCTTACGTCCGGGTGCTGCTCGTATATCTTCAGATGGGTGCCTTCGGACATATACTCGGTCTGCTTGATCCTCATCAATCCCGTCTCCTCCCCAACTCTCTCCCACTCGGCATACAGGGTCTCAAACGCTGCTCTATCAGCTTCGTGCTTCTGATCAGTCTTGCGGCATCTCGGTCCATATCCCTCCTGAGCACCAGCTCTCCGAGTCCTCGATGAGAGTGACTCACTCTTCCAGTCCCACCCCCTCTGCCGTGAATCAGCATCATCCGCAAAGCTCAGATGATGCGCCCCCGCCGCGAGACTCGCATACCCCGCCGCATGCCCATCGGTCGGCCAGTGGTCTGCCAGGATATGGACGGTGTAGCTGTATGTCGTACATAGGGGTGAACGGAGGAGGCGGAGGGCGGTAGTAAGCCCGATTATACCTGCTCCAAGTACGAGTATGGGACGGGGTGACGGTGTGGGATTGGGCATAGTAGATGCCATTGGTTCGGGTAAGGGTAAGAAATGACGTGCGGAAAGTTAAATCGAGTAGCTCTACGATCAGAGGGGGATCAGTGGGTCTAAACAAGTCTTATATCTGCTGGAACAGCGGGGTAGATGAGGCGCATTGGCGACCTTTGCTACAGCATCGCCGACATGGACGTCCGAGTTGGCGATCCCATGCCGCTTTTCGCCGTTATTCGCGCCTCATTGGCGACTACCAGTCAGTAACGGCGATACACTGAATCCATTGGCGACAGTTCCTCGGCAGAAGATGGATGATTGGCGAAAGTAGAAGATGAGGTTGATTGGCGATTCAAAAAGCCCAGTTGGCGATCCATAACGCCGCGGGATTACCCGACAAAGCCGAGCCCGAGCTCGCCAGCTCTCAGCTTGCTCAGCTTGTCCACCATCAGTCCACGAGCAACAGTGGTACAGTGACCTGATCACAGCGATCAGTAGTCTCGCCAGCCCCGCCAACATCCCAGTCTGCATCGATGCAATGTCCCAGCGAAAATGTATACGCGTACTTGTCAACCTCTATCTTCCCGCCCATCTCGACCAGGTCCAGCATCCCATCTTTCTCTTCTCATCCGCTCGCATACTGCTTGTCGCCCCTCTAGGCTCTGATTATATTCCCTATCCTCACGCTCCCGACTGATCCAGATCCTCCAGCCTACCGCTCAACCACTCTATAACTCAACCATCCTCTCACCTGGCCCTCGCCCTCACCCCCGCTGCCGCTCCCTCTCCCTCTCCCTTACCGGCGTCTCCGCCCCAACCACCCCCCTCATGGGCGTCTCCGTACTTCCGTATCCCCACGCCCCCACAAGTCCCAGCTCAGCCGCCACTCCATCCCCTGCCGGACTACTCAACATCCATCCTTTCCCACTCCGCTCCTCATCCGCCCCCGCTCCGATTCCCGCCCCGCCCCCGCCTGGCGTCTTCGAGAACGAAACCGACGCCGACGCCCCGAACCGCGCATTCCCAGCAGTAGCTCGCCGCGTCGTAGGCGTCGCAAACACCCCCAAGCGCTTCAAGGGCGATATATTAGGTTGATGAAATGACGTAGATGGGGCGATGAGCGTGGACGAGAGGGAAGAGGACGAGTGGTGGGCGTTCCGACCGAGAGTTTGCGGCGTGGGGTGGACGTACGTGTGCGTACCGGTACCGGTTCTAATGTCGGAAGGAGTCCCAGCGTTGAGCGAGGGAAGAGGAACAGGATGAAGCGGTGGTCTCTTGCTCATCATCGGCACTGGCGAGCTTCCTAGGTCCCCCACGGCCATCCCCTGTCCTCGCTTCCCACCCTTCCCGCCCCTTAGCTGCTCTTCGGCGTTTTCCTTCCCCCTACTCGTGCTCGTTCCCCACACTCCAGCAGGGGAGAAGACGAACGGATCGTCCAGCCCCATACCCGCTCGCACGGGCGTCGCCGAGAAGCTCAGGCTCCTCTCCCCGGCTGCCAGCCTCCCTCTAACGACCGTCCGATCCTCGCTCAGTCCCGGCCGGAACGAGCTCGATACCTGCCCTTGCACCGTAATGGTCCGCTTCCCGCGAGGACGGAGTGAGATGGGTGTATCGAGGATATGAGGCCAGCTGGGGAATGCGTCGGTCATGCTCATGCTCATACTGAGGGCGGAGGAGGTAGGTGCGAGTGCGCCGGAAGAGGAGGACGAGCCGAGCATGGACCGCCTGAAGGGAGTGGGGCGGGATATACCCTTGCGCGGAGACGGGGCGACCGGGGTAGACTGAATATTGAGGAGGGTCTGCGCGGCGAGCTCGGCAGTACGGTCGTCTGCAGCTGCGTCTGCGTCTGCGAGCGGACCGCCGGACGGGAGCGGACCGATATGCGCCGCAGGGGCAAGAGCCGCCCCAGCGCCGAGCTGGAGAGGAAGGGCGGACCAGCGAGATGGGTCATCCCATCCGTCCGGGACCCAATCTTGGTGGACGCCCTGAGCGACCTGGTCGGGCGAAGACGAGAGGGGCGACTCGGTCAGCTGCTTTGGGGGATGCTGGGGCAGGATGGGCCGAGTAGGGGTATTCTCGGCGGAGGCGAGCGTACGGTGTACCCTTCTTCCTCCACCACCGCTTGGTTCGCCCATGTCGGCGGCCTGATCAGGCAAATCAGTCGCACCCGCGATGAGCGACTCGATCTCCTCGGTCGACATCCCGTACAACGCCCTAATCTCGGACATGGAATCATCTTCGGGGTCTGCGAGGCCGCGGGAGCCAGCAGTACCGGCGGCAGAGATGGACTTGGCGGATCGGCCCTTCTTGCTGCCTTTCCGGGACTTTTTCGGGGGTGGGGAAAGGTCTCGGCGCAGAGCGGCTTCGATGCGCTCCTTCTCGGCTTGACTGGGTGGTCAGCTCGGCTTCAACCCCTTCGAGACTACTCCAACTTACCGGTGCTTCCGCGCCCAGATCGCCTTGGCCGCTCTATCCCTATCCTTCCTCTCCACCTCGTCCTTTGGCGGCTCATACACATTACCTATCCACATCAGCTCCTCTCCCTCCTCCTCCTCCCCACAAACCACAATAACACTTACTTCGATCCCACCGGCTCCTCCGCTCCTGCAGCTCCAGCCTCACCATATGCTTATCCTGCAAATGCCTTCTCGCGACGCTCCGTGCATTCTTGCCGGTATACGTCTTTCGGCATAACCGACACGTATACTGCTCGTACTCGGACGCCTTGATGTCGGTATGCGGGGGAGCGTAGTGCGCGGGGATGAGAATGACAAAGTTGTTGATGGAGTAGGTGGTACCGAGGGGAGCGGCAAGGAGGGGGTACTTGACGTTCTCGGCCGTGATGTCGGGTGGAGGATCGATGTCGTCCGAGAAGGAGGAATGGGCGGGTGTGACTGGGGAGTCGGGAGGAGGGACGGGAGCGGGTGCTGCTTTTCGGCGCGTAGGTTCTGAGGCCTGATTGGATGGAGGGAGGGTGGGAGCGGCGATACCGGCCGATGCTGTGCGCCTTGGTCGACCCAGCCCGGACGACTTGACCTGACCCAACGCAGCGGCCTGCTTCCTCGCCTTCTTCTTCGGCGCGGCCTTGGATTTCGATTTGGACGGGGCTGGCTGGTACTCACTCGCTCCGGAATGCGCGGACGAGGCGGTGATGCTAGTCGCCGTGCTGTGCTGCCTGGAATGGGCCAAAGAGTTCCGCGTAGGCGGGCGAGAGAGTGATCCGAGGGAAGTAGGGTCCGTCTCGGGCGTACCGCATAGAGGGAACGGAAGCGCCTCGATGTACGCTTCAGCATGGGGTGGGCGGAGATGTTGCAGGTGGATATGCGAAAAGTAGCCGGAAGGATGGAGGAGGAGTTGGTCTGTGGGGATAGGGACGGGGCCGCCGAGGGGGAGATTGTAGGTGACGGTTTCTTGGCCCTGCATGATGGTATGTAACGGATGAACTCCGAATGATGCTGGTGGGATCCATGATGGATCAGGATGGGGATGATACAGCTGGTCCGACGCGCCGGTGCCGAGGAAGGGTTGATTGGGGTACTGATGCTGCTGATAGAGGTTGAGGTGGAGGAGCTGATGACCGTGTGGATGGGGATGGACGAGCTGGTCAGGGTGTGGCTCAGACATGATGATTACTGATGATGAGCTGAGAATGGGGGAAGGGAATGTGAGAGAAAGAAACTGACAGAAGATGTGGAGCGCGGGGAGCGCCGAGACTTGGTTGTAGCGCAAAGCAGGAAGCTGATGAGGTTGCACTAGATATAAGGGTGGAAATGAGCGTGATGGGTATCTACTCAGAGCGAAGCTGATATATAGTAGATAGAGAGGTAGAGAAAGAAAGACGAGTATGGGATGTTTGGCGTCAGTCAGGGAGAGGACGTCCAAAGGGAGGGGATGGAGGGACCTCCGCGTGTGTGTGGCGCAGGGGATGTGTGTGGACGCGTCATTTTCGGGTCAAAGCGCAGATCTTCCTCATGCATCCGACGAGACTGATCGTGCGTCTGTATGGAGGAGTCGGATGGCCGCTCGTGCATAGCGCTGCTGCGTCTCTTAGAGTACTTCACTGTGCATAGCAGGACTGATCTCACTCAGAAATTTCGAGGAATGTGGCAGCGTCACCTGAAACCTAAAAAATCAGCCGCGTGACACCCTTGTTTCAGGTTGCTTCCGCGCTCGGAGCAGAGGGTCTGAAGGGTCTACCAGTCAGCAGATCATAGTAGGTGGCAGTTTGTACAGCGCTGTAGGTCGGGGTAGAGAGACGCCTCGAAGTGGATGCAGGTGGTCGGAAGAACATGTACATCGGCTCCTCTATATCCCGCAGTACCAAGTCAACTGCCCACACAAAGTCTGCAGGAATCTCAAGATAGCGACACTCTGTCAGAGACGCCCGCCGCGCCCCTCATCATCAGGAGATCCACAATCATTTCAAAGCCGCCTCCCGGCTGCTCTCGTCCTTCGCCTTGAAGGTCGCTTCAATCGTCACACCTGTGTGTCCAGAGTACCTCAATGCAGCACTCTGGTCGTTCGCGCGCCAAAACCTGCTCCTCATCTCACGGACGGGGTAAAGTCCTGAGGGTCCTGTCCTGATGGTAGATCTGGCGACGGTCAGGTGAAGAGGGTAAGTCTTGCCGTCCTCCTTGTCGTGGGCAAGTGTGCTGGCGTTGCGTGGATCTTTCATCATCATGTCCAACGCACCGAGGATGCTCAATCCGGTCAACTCGATTTCTAGCTTAACAGACGACTCGTCCGCCTCGTCACTGGCTCTCAAAAACCCCGAGATCAGATCTTTCATGTACTTCCCGTCAGATTCGCTCAGTTCGAGAGCCGTTCCGTACTTGAGCTTGAGGTGCATCGTCAGGGGGATCTTTGTGTTCGTGTCACCAGTGATGTCAATGTCACAGTTCTCGGAGCCCTCAAAGGGAATGGAGATTGGGTGATCATGGCTGCCCGTCCGGCTAGCCTTGTGGACATCCGCACGAACGTTCCGACAGATCAGGCCGGGCTGACCCTGACGGAATTAAGCGAGAGTCGTACTTCGACGCAAAATCTGCCTTGCGTCTATCCTCCTCATCGGGAAGTGACTGGTTGATGTAGTCTCCAACGCTGATCAGCGCAGGTTGCGAGGCGAGGGTGGATGGCGCGCGCAGGGTAAGATCCCTTCTCTGATGGCGTAGACATGGTGGCTCGGATCGTCGTACGAGAGAGTAAGGTTGTGGTGTGATGTATACTGTGACGTAGTCTGAGTGGATTAGTGATTTGTAGAAGCAGACGGAGGTAGGTAAGAACGCAATCGAGGGGGTCCGGAGGTAGGGCTCGCTGCTTATATCCGGTGCCCATGGCTGCACCGCCTCGGGTGTTGGGACACTCCTTTCAACAGTGGCTTTACAGGTAGCGTCCCCCACTCCCCTGACCCCTAACGTGATCGAGACGTTCATAGTCTTCAGGTGAATGCCACGTCCACGGAGTGATCGCGAAAGGAAGTCAAAGTCCTCACGCGTACGAACCTCATCTCGAGCTGCACCGCCTCTACCAGCTGCAATATCCTTTGTACCGCCGCAATCTGCTCGGCCTGCCCCACTTCTAGTTACACCATACGATCTACGCGGAGTCCTCATGAACGGATGTCCCTGTTCGTACGCGTTCGAGTCGGATGGCGCTACTCGCCTTGCAGAACCGATGCTCGGCCGACATCGCCAGTCTGGCTGGGTGCCACCCACGCTGAGTAAGGGGCGTACTGAAAGGAGCTCGAGATTGTGGACGGTACACGTTTGTGCGCCATGACAGCAGCGATACTGGGTCTGGGGAGGTCTAAGCTCGGCCGAGGTCTCGATTCTAGCTTCTGGAATTAAGGCTGAGAACGTGGCTCGCTAGGTGACATGGAGCTCATGGAATCGCCTTCGGCGTGGGCTGCGACCTATGAACTCCGTCGCCACCGGATCCTCCGTTCGGCTTGTAAGTACCGTATACATCGCGACGTCTCCGACAATCTTTCATCTCTCGACCCTACGACCCGAATATCAGGTAGGCTAGATCTAGTCTTCTGATCAGTCTGATCGTCCTTCACCCGTTGCCTCGGCCTCTCGCCTCCTCCTTCGCTCTTCGATCCTCGCACGTACCGCTGCAAGTGATGTATAATGATCATCATTATCAGACGAGTCTTCTTCCCCCGGTGTAACATCCCGAGTACGCTCGAATTCGCTTGGAGGGTTTCCATCCCGGTCCGTCGGTACTTCGAATGTCTCGGCCTGCCCGGATGCAGCGTTTCTGAAGGCGATCCCCACTTCAATGGTCGTGTCGGATGCAGCGGGAATCCACGTGTCCACCGTCTCATCATATTGAACTTCCGCACGATTGGCACTGACCGGGAACAATGCAGATACGGGGAAAGCAGAACGGTACAGCCCCCAAAGCTTGAGGATGTCGTCGTGTAGCGTCCCAGACCCATTGCCCTCGCGCCGTCGATCGGCCGCACAATGCTCCGTGATGCTCAGCCAAGAGTGATCGGGTACCTGCAATGCGAGCTGCTGAGGTCGCGAGCTCGTCATTGTGTCGTCAAGCGCCGATTTGCAGGTGAGGGTGACATCGGCCCGGATCGTTGAACCAGAGATGAGACAGGAAAAGCCTACAGTATCTTCGTACGGCGTGGCTGTCGAGTTAGGTGGGAGAGTGCCCCGTTCCAGAGACCACAAAGCGGGCATGGCGTAGAGCCCTAGACGGGGCTCATGGTCTTCGGCAGAGCGCATGGTCAACTTGAGTTCGTCCAGAGCCTCTTTGAAAGTCGGCAGGTCGTGGACTGTAGCCATCGATTGCGCCGGAGACATCTGCCGGGTGGGCGGCGGTGCTTCCGACAGTACCGGTGAAGACTGCGCTCCCCTCGGAGGGGAAGGCGCCGTCGGAGGCATATTCCCACGGAGAGAATTGAGATCCGGCATGATATAGGTAGGGTTTGGGCTGGGAAGCAGTGGTGGGGGTTGAGCTGTGGGAGGTAGTATATGTCCGCACGGAAGAAGGCAAGGAGGAAGTGTTGATGAAGGAAGGGGATGAAGCAGGTAGGGGAATACTCCTCCCCTTATATGCCCAGCGAGACAGGCAGCTTGTACAACTCCGAAAGTCAATATTTTGTCTCACTGAAACGCAAAAGAGGGCGCAGAATACGATCACGCGCCACTACTCCGCTCTTGGCGCCACCCCCTGGCAGGGCACCTCTGCAAAGGATTTCCGGATTGATACGCGTTTGGTACTCGCCAGCAATCATACACGAACCCCCATGTAGCGGTTCTTGAATCGTCATTGTGAGAAACAAAAATCAGTCTGGACCCAAAGATCGCAGTCTGCAAGCCGAGCCACAGGAGCCAAGCCTATATTTGCCACCAGCCATGGCACGTCCGCACGACATATCCTGTCTGCATACTATACATGGCGCTCTACCTACTTATCGCCTTGATACTGTAAAGCGGAAGAATCTTGGATGTCAAATCTCCTCATGCGGGAAATCTCCCTGCACGTCCGCGCTGGACCCACTTGCCATCACCGCAGGGGGTCTGTTGGCGTTTTCTAGCCGCGCCACGCGATGGGACGTGTCAACTCCCGCAGCTCCCTGTGCCAAGCTGGAGTATCGGAGATCTTTGGAGGCGAAAGAAAACTGACCGACACATCGATCGTTGTATCGTCCGGCGCCGCCACCCATTCGCTTCCAGAGCCCACTTGGATCTCGCTCTTGCTTGGATCCCACTGGCACCTGAGGTCTCCGTAAATGTCTCCAGGCCGGACAAAAAGCCCCAATTTCCAGTCCCCCGGATCTCCCGCACCAGCACCTGGAAGAAGATCCGGCCAGAAAGTTCCCTCGCATGGACGGATCCGGATCTCCGGAGTGGCCGTCTCGGGATCCGCGCTTCCGTCGATGTGAGTGGTGAAGAGCATGTCGACCTTGGCTTCGAGATCGTGTACCGGAAGACGAGAGTTGAAGGTCCGAGAACCGACGTAGACATGTTTGGACGCACTGGATTGCGGACGATCCAATCTCATCGTAAATCCAGTGTCAGCGGTCACGGCTGCGGACACCGGCTCCTCAAAGGCGTCCGAATCTCCCTCCGATGATGTGGTCGCGGCAACCGTCGCCCTGTGCTCCCTCTCCGTGCTCAGGTTCTCCGCAATGATTTTCAACGCATCAGGAAGCGTCGGACGACGTGGACTTGACGGAAGCGTGTTCACGTCCGGCATGATTGGTATGGTAAAATCGAGGCTAGTTGTAAGTGATATGAGTGGCAAAGAGGATGAGACAATGGCTTTTGGAGGAAGGAAGGCAGAAAGGTAACAGCTGTGGGGCGTGCGTGCCCAGCCCCCTCTTCTTATCGCCCCTAGACCCCTCTGCTAGACTCATTTAGCAGCTCCTTTGTGCATCGAAGGCATGAGTATCTCTCGACCTCCAAGATTCACGTCAAAGGGAAGAGCGTCTGAACGGATCACTGAGCTCATACGTGTCTGACCTCTTCATCTTTCGGGTCGGTCGGCCGAGATACGAGTGGCGGTTAGTGTTCTGTAGGCTATGAGGGGCACTAGTGCCTGGAGACACACTCAGATGAGTTGAGCTTGAATATGTCTGGGAGCTCACCATGCCTGAATCACATTGTTCCGGCTGATAGCTATGCCCTCAGCTCATCGAGATCGAGGGTCAGTGAAGTCAGAGCTCATCGCCATGATCAGCAAATATCACCCCAGCTAATAGCTACAACCCCACCCCATCCGTTTGTCTCTCATCCAGATCAATGCCCGACAGTCTCCTCCAGATACTCTACGACCCCCCCTCCCCCTCTGACCCTCCCCCAGCCGTTCATCCGCCCTACAGCCGCCCTCGCGTCATTCATGAGCGGGACCGGACCGCACGCTACCACGATCATCTGTGCCCCCTCCCCACCTGTACCACTGCCGCTCTCGTGCGTCTCCACCATATCTTCTATGGCATGGTCGAGGTCCGCTCGGCCGGGATGGAGGGTGAGGATACGTTGGGTGTTGCGAGAAAGACGGTGGATGGAATCGGGCATAGGATGTGAATGTCGAGGATGGGTCGCCGAGAGAAGGGGGAGCGGTGTCGGTGTCATCGCGCCAATCGGTACGCCGCGCGCCGGGATCGATATAGCAGACCCCACCCTTCCCAGGCTGGGTATCAACCTCGTCATCTCATTCACCTCGGCCACCTCCCTGCTTCTCTCCCTCTCCGCTCTGCCCGTTCTGTCCGCCATGAGCCCGGTCCTGCTCTCGCTGCTGGACGGAGGCGAGTAGACCGACCCGTACTCTCCTCCGCCTTCCCCTCCGCCTCCCCCTCCTCCTCCCCTTGCCTCGTCCACACCACCGTCGCTCCCCTCGCCCGCCTCGCCACCGCCGCCGATCCTTGCCGGACTGCCGGGCCTTGTCCATACCGGCGTCCCACCCTCTGACACCATCGGCATCGGCATTGGGACCTCCCACGGCTCCGCACTGCTTTTACTCCTCGTCACCCACACTTCCAGTTCCACCTTCACACCCAAATCCTTCAGACTCTTCCCTCCTCCCGTCCTCCCCTCGCCCAACCCGGAGTCCGCCGTCTCCGCCAGTGCCTCATCGAGGATCGGCGTGATCCACGAGATATCCTCCGCGTGCCGGACGTGCCAAACCAGCTTGACCCTCCTCGCTATCCCCTTCCCGGTCCGGATGGCAGAGAGGACGGAAAGGAAATGGGATAGCGTGAATGTAACGCCTGTCCCGCCGGATATGAAGAGTAAGGACGAGTAATGACTGAGGGGGTGTGAGTGGCCGTATGGGCCTTCGAGGAGCAGCGAGGGTTGGGACGGGGCAGAGAGGAGGAGTCGACGGGTGAAGCCATTATGCGCTCGAATGAGGAAGATGACGTCGCCGGAACCGGATCCGGAGGGTGAGGGGAGGTTGGATATGCTGAATGGGTGGGACTCGTGGATTGATCCGCCGGTAGCAGGGGAGGAGAGGAAGCTGAAGCGTCAGCTAGAATCGGATATGTCGAACGGAATTTGATAGCTGGATGAAACGGGGTGAAGGGTACTTACAAGTGTTGTCCCGCTTTCCACTTCAGGCCGGGCCGGATGACCGTCACGCGCAAGACATCCCGCGAGACAATCTCGATCGTGCAGTCCTTGATGAGCGCTCCGCCTCGCCTGAGATGGGACCGGTTGATATAGGCGAGACGGGCGAGTCGGATCAGGCGGTCGAGAGACCATATAGCCAGAGCGGGCTGATCATCAGCTTGGTGCCCTTGGTTCCGAAGCAGGAGGAGACTTACCCATATCCAGTATGCTTGGAGTGGCCAGTGGAGGATAGCGCCGAGAATGAATGCCCTGTGATAGTCAGCCACATGATTGATTAGGAGGCACATGTGATCAGAGACTGGACTTACGCGCTGAACAGGATATGGGTGACGAGGAAGAATTCGAACGATCTCCGGCGGAGGGAGCGGACGCTCGTACCCCATAGACCGGTAAAGCCTAATAGAGCGACAGTGCCCTACTGAGTCAGCTGAGATGTATGAAGCAATCGCCAGGCATTAGGCAGCTGAAAGCAGAAGAGAATAACTCACCCAGATAATGTACCACCGAAACAGATGCCCCGCGCACAGTACAGGTAAGAACCACAGCACAGCATGAAGCCAGGCGAATACGATGCACGCCCTGGCTGAGGCTCGATGGAGATAGTTGAGCTTTTGATAGGTGATACCGGTAAGAGGAGAGAGGGGGTTGTTCTTGACGGCGAGGAGGAAGATGATGGGTGTTTGGGCGTATGCCTGAAGGTTAGCTCTGCCTGTCCAAAATCACTCGCGATTGCGTGTCACAAGGTGAGGAAGAGACACAGAGTGAGGACAGCCTGGAAGAGGGTGGAGAAGTAAGACCTACCAGGATCCCAAAGCGGTTCGCAAGGTAGAGAAAGGGATATCGAGAATCTTCGGATCAGCTCCACCTCGTCACGACTCAGAGGAGGAAGGATCGTACCTGATATTGGACACTGCCATATCGAGCAGAACAGCATCATTACGCAGTACACACCGGTCCATATTGCGTCTGCGATCGTCTCGGGCGCGTACAGCCAGGATGGAATGATGTAGAGGTACAGCAGGGTACTGGTCCGCGCTTTGACCGCTCTGATCAAGGTTAATCGAGGCGCCTCTGGCCGAGACGATTGAAGTGCGTTCGATGGTGTGTCAACAGGATAGTTGTTGCGCTTCCGGATGAGACGCCGAGTCTTGACACGCTGGACGAGATGGGAGAGCGTGAGCGAGAGGACGACCACGGCGATCGCGAGCAAAGACTCTCGCCCTGGTTCGAAAGTCCATGCGGGCGGCGCGTGAGGTACCGGCGCGGCTGAAATCGAAGTCGAAGCGCCGGTACTGATGCTCACTGCCATTACAGATGTGGCGGGGGTGTCGTATGGACCGACGCGGAGGCGGTAGACTGAGGTCATGGCGATCGAGATCGATTGATGGACCGAAGATGTTGAAGGAAGAGGATTGGAGCGGAACGTTCCCTCGCTTCTATTCTTCCCGCTCGAGCACGCTCAGACCCAGTCAGCCGTCGGGCCCGACGCCGACCTAGCTGTGAGCTCTGGGTGGGTACAGCACCAACAGCAAATACAGAGGAGGAGGGGAAAAAGCTGGGCGCGTTATCTGATAACCCTGCCTCACTCCGGATCAATTCGGCCGAGACTAGCCTGACCCTGGAAACCTTAAAAGCGGGTATCGCCGCTGGAGTTTCGCTGCATCACCAGCAAGAACATCATCACTATCGACTTCTACCATCTTATAGTCAACAACGGTACGGTGCAGCCCAGCGAGAGTCCAGAGATGGTATCTGACTTCTCATCCTCCGAGTACTGGTCGACCCGTTTCGAAAAAGAGCGGTCATTCGAGTGGCTGGCGAGCTCGAAAGCTCTCGGTCCGGTCGTCCTTGATCTCGTCAAGGAGCTCGTGCGCTCTCGGTCGTCCGTCCCAGCGGCAGCTGGTCACCCGATCGCTGGCAACGCTATAGGAAACACAGTCTCCGCAGCTCCAAAACGGCCCATCGGTCCCAATGAGGAGGACCCACCCATCAACATCCTCCACTTCGGCTGCGGCACCTCCACCCTCGGACCTTACCTCGCCCGCCTCCTTCAAACTGAGCACATTAACGCTCAAGTCGTGGATGCAGACTACGTCGCCGAGTCTATCGTCGCGGCCGGACCTGCTCTGCCCCGGTCGGCAGCGTGGCAAAGCGCCCGTGCAAGTGGGTCAGAGGGGAGTGAGGTTGAGGTCCCGCTCATCAGTCTGGATGTGCTGGATCTGGGGCAGTTGAAGGATACGGCGCCGGCGGGAGGGTGGGATCTCTTGGTGGATAAGAGTACGGCGGATGCTATTTCGTGTGGGCCGAGTCTACCCAGGCAGAGGGGTCGGGGCATGGCTGGGGATGCGTTTAGGTACGAAAGGTCAGGGGCGGGATCAGAGGCGGAAGGTCAAGGAGGCGAAGAGGAAGAGGACCTCGTCGAGCCCATTCACATCCTCTGCGACAATCTCGCTAGCGTTACCCGGACAGGCGGGAGGTGGCTCTGCATCTCTTACTCGTCATCCCGGTTCGACCACCTCGGACCTATAACGCACGGGCCGGGCGCAGAGTCTGCGTCAGACTCGAGCTCAGCCTGGAGATTGGTCTCGAAAATACCGGTGGATGGGGCGTATACGGGCGAGCCGTCGACGCTGTCAGATGGGAATGGCGGGAAGAGGGTGGTCTATGCGCCAGAAACGAATGTGTGGGCGTATGTTTTGGAAAGGAAGTAGTGGGGATGATCACGGGTTAGTCCCTCTTTCCTGTAACCCCTTGATGAAGAGGTACTAATGCTATAGTATCTTCATCTCAATTCATACCGCCTCACTCGGACTCGGTGAGATCCCCGACGCTCCCTGCGATCTCGACTCGCTCCGACGGTCACTCGTCAAGTGTCTCAGACCATCCCTCGCTGCGCCTCAATATCGAATTCTATCGCCGCCAGCCTAGCCTCGCTTTAGGAGCGGCATGCTAGGATCGAAGGAGTCTGACGGCCACGGGTAGAGGCAGCTGGGTAGGGGACGGCGGGATGCGGCGGATGGTTTACCGCCTTTGAGACGGGGACAGTGGTGCAGCAAGGGATCCGTTCGCCGGGCGGTCCAGGTCTTCATGCATCAGCTCACGTACTGCCGCTTTGTCTACCACAGTACGATCAAGTGCTGTCCTCCATGGCCAGCTTTGCCAGCGATGCGGCGAGCAGAGCAGAAAGAAGCGACCCATGTGAGCCCATGTGGGGCACCGGCCAGATCCGGTCCGGCACTGCCAGCCAGAGCCAAATGGAGCCAAACTGTCCTCCAACATCTCTCATTCGTCTCCATTGTGTACACTTTGCCTATATCGACGCGCTCAACAGAGTCTCCGCCAGCAGAACGCGTGCTCTGTAATCATCCAGAAAAGAAGCTACAAAAAAGACGCAGCTTTTCACTCCGCACAGACCCCTCTATCCCGCCGGCCGCCTTGAAACCGCCACCAGAGCGCAACCCGCGACGCGAAACTCCACCATCATGTCCTCCTATACCCCCAAATCGACCATCCCCCAGCCCCGGCGCAAATCCTCCAACCCCGCTATGAACCCTTCCAATTCCCCGTCGGCCGGCTCACCTATCCCCAATATCCCCTCTCGATCACCCAACACCACCCCCGCACCCGGTGCTGGCGCTGGCGCTGGTGCGGGCTCGTTCCGCCCTTCCTCTATGTCATTGTCTTCCCGACCCAACTCGGCCCGTCCTACCCCAAAGGCCAGTATCGAGGGTCTGGGCGGAAAGATCTCTCCCGCTGCCATGGCGTCCGCAGCGGGCCGGTCGGGCCTGACGGCTCAGCTCGGTTCTTCTCCCTCTCCCTCTCCCGCTGTAGGTGATAATTCTCGTCGAGGGTCAATGGCCCAAGCTCTTCGTCCGGCCTATATCTCGCATCCATCGGGCTCGAGCACTCCAGGAGCGGGTGATTCCAGTTTTAGCGGAGTGGCGGATGTGCGCGAAGAGGATAAGATGAAGGTGTTGCGGCGGCATCTCGTTTCTGCGGAGGAGAGGGGGAGTACGGGTGGGTCGGGGTCGGGAGAGAATACACCGGATGCGGGCATGAGTGGGGTCAGTCGGGCTGGACAGGGACAAGGCCAAGGACAAGGGGAGGAGGAAAGCGGGCAGGTGCAGGAGGACGAGGCGTTTGTTATCCCGTATGATGCGCCAGGGATGGACGTGACGTGAGTACCCTTCATCTTCTTCCTTCATTGCTTTCTCTTGGGCCCTCACTTCGCCTGTCTATCTCGTACAGATATTCTCCCTCGTTGCTGCTATATCAAAGCAAGACTCCAGCTGACCCACAGTCACGACCTCTACAAGTGGCAACAAGACCACCAGCGTACCACGGGCGGGCCCCAGCGCTCTGCCTCCTTCTCCCACCTCCCTACCGACCGGACGAGCACAATTGACCCGTCCCTCGCGCACATCCGGGAGCCGGGAGGGTTCAGGCGAAACTTTGTAGTCAACAAGGCGCAGGAACAGGGGTTGGAGCCTCCTACATTGGTCAGGAACGTGGTGGACTTTTTGTTCTTGTACGGGCACTTTGTGAGCTTTCCAATCCACTTACGCCGTCCGCAGTTGATGGACCAAGCTAATACATCAGGCCGGAGAGGATCTTGACGAAGACGAAGACGACGATGAGGAAGACGAGGAAGAAGACGAAGACGAAGCCGGAGAAGGGCAAGACGACCTCTCCAATCTCCCCACGGCGCGTCAAGTCGAGAATGGCTCAGTCTCCACACGCGAGGTCTCCCGCTCGCCCCTCTCGCGAGCAGGTACGAGCCGCTCCGTGGCTCGCGATCGCGGGGTGAGCGGAGAGAGGCAGCCATTGCTCGGTAGGAAGAGCACGGCGGGGCCGGGGACGCTGCAGAGGAGCAAGTCGAGGCATCGGCGCATGAAGAGCTCGACGGGGGAGGGGACGGCTAGTTTTACGCAGGCCGTGTTGATGGTTTGTTCAGCTCACTTTTGCTGCTTCTTGCGAAGAGAATCAGGGAGATGAGCTGACGAGGGCAGTTGTTGAAGGGGTTCGTAGGCACCGGTGTGCTGTTTATGGGCAAAGCGTGAGCTGGCAAGTGCTGTCGCTCGTGCAGACCAAGCTGACTATGTAGCTTCTTCAATGGCGGTCTTCTCTTTTCGTTGATCGTCCTTCTTGCTCTGGCAGGTATCTCGCTTTGGGCGTTCCTGCTGCTCGTTCAGGCGTATTTGGCCGTTCCCGGGTCTTTTGGAGGTTAGCTCATTGCCGATAACCCCATCGGAGTATAGCTGATGAAGCAGATATCGGAGGCGCGCTCTACGGCAAGTGGATGAGATTCGCCATTCTGGCTAGTATCGCCGTGTCCCAGATCGGATTCGTCGCAGGTATGTCTACCCTACCACCTCAGCTGTCGCGCGCAGATTGACGTATATATCGGTCACAAGCTGATACCTCAGTCTATACCGTCTTTATCGCCGAGAACCTCCAAGCCTTCATCCTCGCCGTAACAGACTGCAAGACTTTCATCGCCACAAAATGGCTCATCGCCGCTCAATTATCGGTGTTTATGCCTTTGGCGATGATTAGGAATCTCGCCAAGCTGAGCGGGACGGCCTTGATTGCGGATGTCTTTATTCTCGTTGGAAGTGAGTGTCTTTTCCGCCGACCGGCTCAAACTGTGGAAGAAGTGGCTGATGGTCTAGTCGTGTATATCATGGGGAACGAGACGGTCTTGTTGGCTACCAAGGGTGTGGCCGATGTCGCTGCGTTCAACCCGACAAACTTCCCGCTGTTCATCGGGACGGCTGTGTTTACTTTCGAGGGTATCGGACTGTGAGCTACGCCCTCTGTATCACGCAAGGCGAGGGGAAGAAGCTAATATCTCAGGGTCATCCCCATCACTGAATCCATGCGCGAGCCGCACCGCTTCCCACGCGCACTCAGCGGCGTCATGATCGTCGTCACTGTGCTCTTTGCGACTGCGGGGATTATGGGCTATGCGGCGTACGGAAGCAAGATCCAGACGGTGGTTATTGTGAATCTGCCACAAGAGGACAAGTTCGTTCAGGCTGTTCAGTTCCTCTGTGAGTTTCTCTCTTCCTCACTTTCGTCCCTGTCCCTCTCTCCCTTAGTCGCCCTCACACATGCCCCCAGCTGATTGGTGCCTGTCAACCTCGTGACTGGACCCAAGCTGACCCCTGTAGATTCGATAGCTATTCTCCTCTCTATCCCCCTCCAGCTCTTCCCTGCTGTCCGTATTATGGAGAACGGCATCTTCTCCCGATCGGGCAAATACAACGCTTCGGTCAAATGGCAAAAGAACATGTTTAGGGGCGTGATCGTCCTGGGGTGTTCATTGCTCAGTTGGGCGGGGAGTCAGCAGCTGGATAAGTTTGTCAGTCTGGTCGGTAGTTTTGCTTGGTACGTCTTTTCCCACTATCCCACTTCTACTAGACCCCGCCTACGATGCTTCGGCAGGTCGAAGCAGAGCTGACCCTTCAGCATCCCTCTCTGCTTCATCTATCCCCCTCTCCTCCACCTCCGAGCATGCGCCAAGACCCGTAAAGCCAAATTCCTCGATATCAGCCTTATCATCTTTGGAGTCGCCATCTGCCTGTACACGACCGTGCAGACTTTGCGGAGCCTGTTTGATCCGGCGGGGCCGCCGCCTACGTATGGGAAGTGCACAGTGCCGGTGTAGCTGGGCTGGGCTCTGGAAGCCGGGTATGGGACAGGCAGAGCGGGGAGGCCGGTGAGATCGGGCGGGGATGAGGGATGGGGTATACGGGGGACGATGGACGGACAGAGGCTGTGAAGGGCGATGTAGGGACAGTGTCTGGGAGGGTGGACGAGGAGGTTGGATGGGAGGCGTCATTCTAATATCTTGCACATACATCAAGGCATAAAGGCATATGGATACATCTGGTTCTTCTATTGCTGCTGTTGCTATCTACTTCTGACTTCTTCTTCCCTAGTTGTGTCTATTATACTTGATCTACCAAGGTCCTTCTATAAAGCCCGGAATATGTACGAGTGCAAGTACAGCTCCCGCCCTCGCCCGCCCGATCCCACCATCTCTCACGGTACACGCTCTACTCTCCCGCCCGATCATGGATGTGCCCCCGCCCCGCCCCTACTGATGCCGCCCCGGAACTTCATCACCCGGCTCTTGACCTTCTCCTCCTCCTCTTGCGCCCCGCTGTCCAGCTTATCCTTGATCGCCTCCTTGGCCGCCTCTACTGCTTCTAGATCGAGCACAGTCTCTGATACCCCTGCGCCGGCGCCTGATCCCGCCTCGCCGATGTGGAAGTAGGTGTTGTAGGATTTGGAGGAGGTGTCCGCGGCTTCGAGTGAGGTGGAGGCGGACAGGGGGAGGGGTGAGGCCAGGACGGCGGAGAGGAGACCGAGGAAAGCGAGGAGAAAGGTGGACCGCATAATGTAGATTGGTAGGTTTGGGATGTGGTATGGGGTAGTGGTAGGGAGAGGTAGATGGAGGGGGACCGCTCAGCAGTGGTGAAGAGGTACATATGTGCTCGACCCGCGAGGAAGTATGCGCAGAGCTGCCGGCAGCGAAGTGGATGATGGAGTGTTGGCGTCGATGGTTACCGGTACCACAGACGTCAGAGGGGCTTCCCGTCCAGCGGTATGGGTGTAGATATGATGACAGCGATGTAGAACAAAGACGAGGTGTTACAGTCGCCTTGTCTCAAAGCAGGCAAGCAGCTGATAGTTTACGGTAGAGCTTATCGATAGGCAGGCCAACGTGGTTTGACGGGAACCGGCGAGGCGTGCCTTGCCGAGATGTGGTGCCGTGGCGCCGTGAATGGGATGATGTGAGATGATGTAGTGGGCTGCTGGGCTGCTGGGCTTGTGACGGGAAGGCAGATGTAGGTATGCGGGAAGGGTGGCGGCGATACGGTGAATGTGTAAGTATAGTTGAATGGGAAGTAGTGGGGGATGGGATCGCAGCACCGCTGACCGCTGCCTCTTGTACCATCTTCATCGTCCCAAGTGGGCTCTGGGGAACAAGGAAGCGAAGGCGAAGCTGCGAAGGGGACACCGCAAGTGGACAAGGAGGACGATGGCGCTGAAGCTTAGCGGCTAGGGCGAATGTATAGCATTAAGGTCTAGAACACGATCTCCGCTAGCTCCTATTCTCCGCAAGCCACTGAAGGGCCGCTTGGACGATCCCCGCTGAAGATCTCGTCAGCGATAAGGAGGCGCATAACTCTAATCGATCGACGGAGAGTGTAGCTGAGCGATGGTGTGAAGGCGAGACAGCGAGGACAAGGAAGAAAGACATGCAAAGACATCGATGCATGCTCGATTTCCCGGAACCGGCTTTTCATGCCGGCACTCCGTAAACCTTCCCGGACGATCCGAGCCGGAATGCCGTAATGAAAGGCTCGATGCGGTCGTCGTCATCCCCCGGATACAAAACCTTAATTTTGGCTTTGGGCTGCTTGCTGCTGCTTGCTTGTCCTTATCTGCTGAGGGCGCTGAGGCCGTCGTACCTGCGCTCTTGCAGCAAGACGGAGATATCGGAGCCGGTCAGCGACGGCGAGAAGGTGTGTGCGACTCTGTCTCTCCGCGCCGCCTCCCGGTCGCCACCCCGAGCTTGAAGCTCAGAGACATTCAGGCAAGGTTGGGGGTAGGCATGGATGTAAGACTCTCAACAGATTGCTATCCATCCGCTTTGAGCTAAACAGAGTATCCTGGCTGGACAACCCCGCTGACTAGTCCTGCTGACTACCCCAAAACGTCCTATGTATCCTCGAGGAAGATCACCCCGCTGACCGCCCTGATGCGACTGGGCGACCCGTGAGATCTGCCGCCGAGATCTCGCGGGCTGAACTGATGGGGGCGAATTGGGATGCGGGTGTGTGTCGTCTGTGTGTATTGGAGGTGGGGAAGTGAAAGGTGGGGAGCATGCCGGACGAGTCTCGGTGGAAGGGGCCGCGGAGGCTGATGGAGTTCGTGAGCAGCTGACTTTCTGCTCGACAGCTTTGCTAATGATGAGGCACTCGACAGCTTCGGTACTCACACAGACGCCAGCACTTATTCCCAAACACACTTCCATCACCTCGGCGCCGCGGCACGCGTCCCCGCTCCCTACTCGTGATGGACAAGGTACCACTCGTGATCCGCCCCCTGTACCCAGCCGCCAGTGGTCTGCGACGGGGCCACGCCGAAGCGCGCTTGAGCGCGTTGATCATCCGCGTCGCCGAACAATGACGATGGTGTAGTCATCTCCTCTTCCTCCCAGCCTTGTCCCCCATCCGTGTCCCCTTCCTCCCTTGATCCCCCTCCCAGCCCCAAGCGGCGCCACCAGCTCGTCTCGTCCCCGACCTCCTGCTCCATCTCCTCCGCTTCACCATCACTGAGCTCATCCTCTAGCTCGCCGACAAACTCCTCGTCAAACCAACTCCGCACACCCTCCGCTGTGTCCGGCGGGCTGAGTAGCTCCGCCCACGCTTTCTCAATCATCTCCTCCCTCGACAACGCCGCCGACGAAGCTGAGCCGCGCCCGGTTGACCTCCTGCTCTCCGCCCCGCATGCCCCATCGCTGAGCTGCCAGGTTTCGACGGTGTCCGGGCTGTGGTGTACGCGAACTGCAGATGCTCGCGCCTCGGTACGGCTCCCAGCGAGTCTGCCGAGGAGACCGATTCGGCGTGGTTGGGAGGGGATGAAGGGTATGCCGAGGGGGAGGCGGGACCGGGACCGGGTGCGGCCGAGGCGGGTGAGAGCTGCACCGGGGGCCGCAGGTATGGGGTAGGCATAGACAGAGGCCAGGAGGAAAGGGAGGAGGAAGAGGGGTAGCATAGCTGAGGTTTAGCACGACGAGTATCACTGTTACGAGCAGTCGTATATGCGAAGGGGTAATTCAGTCAGTGTTTGTGAGGACGGGCGTGAACATTCCGCTGTGATGAGCACTTATAGAGACGCTCCAGGCCGCACGGCGCTCCCCCAACAGCTCCCCCCCCCAACACACATGCGCTCGGTCGGACTGAATCGCAAGTACCGGTAAAGTCAGTATGCCGAAACATGCCCGATACCCCACAAGCCATGTACGTCACATACCGCCAGATCCTGCCAGATCCCGCATGGAATGTGCTAAAAGCAGATATACGTACTCCTTCAGATGATCAGGTGCTATCAGGTGCTGTCAGGTGGACCCAGGTGACTGACGTTACACAGGGAGTACCCACAGGGTCTCGTACTCCTCTTCTAGAAGTTCTGCTCGATCGCGTGCGCCTCAGGTACCGTTTACCGAGATGTTTGGAGTCGCTTGGACGCTTACTCCTCTTACTCGCACTGCCGGTGATGTATGCATCGGTGAGCATGTGAGCAGAGAGACCGAGGTCCCTGCATTGGGTAAAGGAGAGGTACAAACACCAGCGGTGGCGGCGGGATATCGGAGACGACGGGGATGAAGTGGTTGCGTGAGCAGTGAGATCTGAGGGAAAGGGAGGAATTGCCTCTTCAGGTGGTTTTAGCTGAGTGTGGCGGATCTGTGGGACGGGTGGCGAACTGTCGCGAGCTGCTTCAGCTCTGCAGTACTCATGGCACTGGGTCGACGCGCTCGGGAGAGTCTGACTTGTGGCAATTCACTCTTGTTGACGTCTCTCGGAAACTGTCGAGTGCGCCGATGCGACGCGCTTCATCATCCCAATGAAACGTGAGGATTACAGACAGGGGACGACTCAGCTCTTACGTGTCTGATCTTCCACATCCATTGTCTACCGCAAAGGGGGCGGGGACGGGGACCAATGCGAACTCACACCTGGAGCAGATGGATGATCATGAAAGGTGCTGACTTATATACTGCTGAGGAGCAGCCGTGCGTCCCCCTTCATACATATCTCTCATCATCGAGATTCGATTTACCAAGCAAGACATCCAGCCGACCAACCTCAATCAGCCATCATGTTCATCCCACACACCCTTCTCACCGCCTTTGCTTCCCTCCTCGCCCTCGGCGTGTCTGCCAAGAACCTCGTACACGTCAATGTCCAGACTGCCGAGGGCTTCTCCTCCTACGTCAAGCTCCCGGGGACGACAGGTCAGCCGACTTCCCTGACGTTCAGCAACCCGAAAGACAACGTGTTTGCCCTAGTGAGCACCAACAATGATCGTGCTGCGCCGGCGAGCGGCTGGGCCGATGGGAAAGGCGAGTTTGCGTGGGTGGCGAACAAGGACTCCGCGAAGGTTGATTCAGTGAGAGTAAGCTTCATCTAGGTGCTCGGCGCTACCTTGATTATCACAAGGAGAGAGGCTGATGGGTCAGTGCAATCTCGAGGGCCGGATCGATGAGGCTGTTGCCAAAGATCCGAAGAATGAGGGTTTCGTCTTCACCTTTGCGGCCTTTATCACAAGCAGTGACACCAGAGAGAACTGCACGGCGCAGTACGGCGTTGCGACGAGGTGTGACAAGACGATGAGTTGCCTCAAAGCTACGGTGCAGACCTCGAATTGATACCGAAGTAGCCGGAGGCGGACATGCAGGTTGCGAGACAAGTCTGACTCATGTACCCGTGCTCGTAACTGCCGTAGTCCTTGCCATTCCGTTCTCAGTTCATGTTTCCATCAATTCCACGCTACGCGCCCAGCGCGGTCACCAGCAATCAGCACTTGCAGAGCCCTCTTTCTTTGGGGGAAACCGCTCTGAGCACATCATGTACACCCTGCAGAGCTCGGACAATGATTTCGAGTGACGGAAGATGATCGAAAACAGCTGATGAGTCGAGCACAGCAGGCCAAGAGAAACAAAGACAAGTTGTAACATCACCTATCTCACCTCCCTGAACAGCACCCCTGAATCTGGATACTCCACCACGTCCCCCTGGTGCCCGGCTCTTACTCCCCCAGACCAGTCTTGAGCCTCTGATAGACGGTCTGAGCCGGTGATGAGAGAGAGCAGCAAGCGTAAGACGGAATGAGGCGCATGCATTCAATTCCCTTCCACTCTCGCCACTCTCCGCCTTTCGTGGAGATGGGCAAAAGTAGAAAGAACTGGTATGACTCATCACCTCGCCCGAGAACAACGCCAAACCCGGCACTTCCACCCATTCCGGCCTGACCATCTTCTGCCCTGGTCTAGCCGGCATGCCCTGAGGGAGGCGGATAAAGATCGAGTAGAGGACAATGAGAAGAAGTGGTAGAAGAGTAATAGCGGTTTGGGTGTCCGACTAGATTATCAGCTTGATGCGACCTCGAAAAGTTGCACAAAGCTCACGCAGAAAGAAGCCCGACTGCGCAAGCGACCCTATCCCCGCCTAGTTCGAAATATCTGAAACAGCGTTCTCGGAGGATCTCCAGGTCCGGCTCTGGCATATCAGCTCTACATCCTCCACACTTGCAAGGAAGACCTCACCATCCGCACCCCCAAACAAATCATACAGCGCCATACTTATCACATCAATCACCCCACTAACCTTCTTTCGTTCCCAAAACCAGTCTCTCAGCCCCTCCGAGACCTTGCCCCAATCCTCTAGCCCCTCCCTCCCCGCACCCAGTCTCTCCTCCGACAGGTAATGCAACAGCAAAACCACGACATTGAAGGCTACCGTCATAGTAACGCCGGAGTACACGCAGCAATCAAGCAGGAGGGGAGCAATGTTGATGGAGGTGTTTAGGAAAGGTCCATCCTAAGAGTGTTCGCACGACACGGCTTTCATAGGGGAAGAAGTTGGACGTCTTAGTCGGGACAAGCAAAGAGGGGCTATATGGGGGATCAATACGTTTGCGCTTTATCTCCTGGTACGACCGTGCTTTCTTGTCTTATTCAGCTCTGACCTAAGCCCAGGCTGACATATCAGGTAACAGAACTCCACCCTCTTCTACAACAATCACCCACCCACTTCCCTCCCCTCCACCCCCCGCTTCATCTACACGACAAGCCTCACAACGGAAATCTGCGACTTTGACGGTATCGATCCCGCTGCGGACCCACAATTGCTCGGATTCTCCACGGTGTACGCGACGAGCAAGATATGCCGTCTTTCAAAACCCTCCTCTTGGGACGCTTCCATCTTGAGCACACTGCCAAAGATGTACCTGAGGGTTTCAGCTACTCCTTGGGCATCGAGGTCCAACTCACTGCCTGTTCTTGTACCGCTTCGCCCCCAAGCTGTCCCCGCCTAACCGCAGGCTTGTCAAAGTCCAGCATACGATCATCCCAGACATCTAGAGCGCAAGCCGCTGCTCTCCGTATTAAGGGTGGTATGAATCACCTATCACTTGTCTGATGGATCCAGCTGAAATGGGCCGGCGAGGCGACGAAGCAAAGTTGCCGTCACCGAGAAAGTAATGTCAAGTGACTGGTCGGAACAAGAATGGCTGCTCTCGCTCGGCGCGGAACGGTCGCACCCGGACTCAGTATCAGCTGATCCACCTGCACTTGGCTGAGGTCACATACCGACGATCTGTATAGCATTGCTGTCCATGCTGCTGTGCGCTCCCGAGCTGTCCAGCCGGCAGGAATACCCTCCAACGTTGACTCCAGATCAATAAGCAGCGATGTCGCCTATTTGGCGGGCTCGCTTATTGCAGAGCTCGTCAACAGTTCCGGTGTGCCTCCGAGTCGGTAGTCAGAGTTTCAGGTAGTGCTGGAGTATATTATGCTGTAGAGAGAGGCAAGTGAAGGAGTGAAAGCGGGCTTATTGTTGTGGTTGCGAACTCAATTCAGAAAGGTAGGCGCGTCCCTTTCTCGTAAGCAAACTATCAAAAGGCGGGGATTGCCGGGCGCGGCTGCTTTCTTAGTGCTGCGCGTCCCTGGCTTGGCTCACGGGATGGGCGATAACTATCTTTCATGCATACACCTTCTCGATCCATCTACTTGCTTGCTACTACAGCATCTCTTCTCCCTTGGGTATACATTTCGCGTCGGATGACTCGTTCACAACGCGAGCCGATGGACACGCCAAACACGCGATCGAGGCGGAAACGCGAGTTGACCGATGAGGATGAAGGCGGGACGGTCAAGTGGACGCAGGATTCGAGGTTGCGAAAGATCATGATGGCTGCTTCGGCCGATAGTGAGTGTCTGAGCTATTGCATGGGGCTGGAAGAATCGATGTCACAGATACAGCGGAATAAACGGCAAATCAAATTAATGTCCCAGGCTAACGCGCCGGAACCATTACCTATCCCCTGTCCCACTCTCCGACCCGTCTTCCGCACCATCACGCACCCGGTCCTTCTGCGCGCCCCGCTCGTAAGCGCCCTTGTCGCGCCCAACGGTCGCTCCCATCCCAACTATCCAGCCTCGCCAGCCCTGCGGAACGCACAGCCGCCCAACAAAGCAGCTGGCGATGGCGTCCTGGATGAGCTCCTTGATCGCGCGTTCCAGACGTTCGCGGTACAGATTCAGCCATCAGCGGTGGCGGAGGCGGGGACCGCAGCAGCGAAGGGAGCGCGGCTGTCTTTGCCGAATCCGGGGGAAGGGCAGGGGCGTTCGGGGGCGTTTGAGCGCCAGCTTTCGGGTGGAAGTGGAAGTGGGAGTTCGAGCTCCGCTTCGGCATCGGGGTCAGGCATGGGTTCGGGATCGCACTGTGTCTCAGCGGCAGCAATGCCTCGGACGCGCTCGCCGGAAGACGCCACTCGGACGGCTATAGTACCCACCCGGGCGGTGCTCAATGACAATCCTATCAGAATCACCAACATCCAATCGCGACCGCCCGCCCAGAATCAATCCCCCAAGCCCACGCCCTTCCCTCATCCCCATACTACCTCCAACCCCGCCTTTACCACCACCACCACCTCTCCTGACCTCACCGGCCCATCACCTGATAAACGCCCACCCCCTCCCAAACAGCCCATACCGGACCGCGCGTCGGCCTCTCCGCTCGCCCCAAGCAGAACACCTCATCCCCACCTTCTCCACAACTTCCAACACCCGCGCTACCACCATCACCAAACGCTTCTAACCTCCCTTCTTGCAGTAGCCTCTCCGGTGCAGCCCTGACGGACAGGCACAGGGCACCACGGACCCCTTCCGGCAGACTCCCTCAAAGACACGCGCCGGTGGAGCACTACTCGGGCGGTCATAAATGGCTCCTCCGGCTCAAGAAGACGAGCCCCAAAGGAATGCCCCATTGTCTAATTCGGCCGGTGATGAGGGTTTCGATAGTTTCGATGGGATGTTTATGGCCGGTGAAGAGGACGTGGAGGCGTTGATGAGGGCAACGGATGGGAATCAGGGATAGGAGAGTGATGTTGGGATCATATGAGCGGGACGGGGCGGTGCGCGAAGTTGGATAGTGGACAATCGGGTCGTTTGATGGATCAGGGGACGGGGCGGGGGATCTGCGTGTGACCGTAGAATTAATCGTTCTTGGCCTTTGCTAGTGCAGGCGGCGTGTAACGATGCCCCTCAAGCTTCATGCGGATTCGTAATCAGTCTTTCTATGTATGTACCATATTAGTGTCCGATTCGTTGCTCACCCCGCTTGGCCACTGACGGGACTGACAGGCGACTCATACATTCACACTCAATTGATCTTACATACAGGTACTCCACGCGTGCTCATCCGAGAGCTCGATGTCTATGGAGACTCCCCGTGCTCGCCCCGGTGCTCATACTCGTACCGGTTCATATACACAAGCAGATCGCACACTGCTCCATCAGCATGATTCCCTATTCCGCCCGCATGACCTGCATGCCTCAAGGCACCGAGAAGAGGATTCACTACGCGTCGAGAAGCCATACTCGTTGTCGCGCCAGCTCACAATCTACACATCAGCTTTGACCCTCCCATACGCGAGAACAAGCTCACCTTGACAGTCGTCGGATTGAGCATACAGCACGCATCGAGATCAATGACCGATGAATAAGCACTGCCCAAAAAGTCCCTCGATACCAATCGCTCGTCCGAAATGCCCAATACGCCAGCGAGAGGGGGTACGCTAGGCGTCTGAAGTCTAGCCTGGCCAGAGAAGAGGGATGGGGGCAGTGCGGCTGTGCCGCGGAAAGGGAAGAGAAGCTCTTCTTTGGATGAGACGGGGGTGGAGAGGGTTACGGTGAGGTCGACGAGGGACACGTTGGTTACGGGGACGCGAATGGAGATGCCTGGACATCAGTGGGGATGTCAGGGAAAGGTGAAAAGAGGAGAGCGGAGGGGGAGGGGGCGTACCGTGGAACTTTCCAGCCAATTCGGGGAGGACTTTAACGACTGCTTGGGCGGCACCGGTGGGCGCGGGGAGGATGTTGCCCATTGCAGAGCGACCTGTAAGATCACCTAAAAGGCCCGACGTCGCGCGCAGGGAAGCTCACCGGAGCGCATGTCCTTCGAGCGAACCCGTCGAGGACCTTTTGACTATCCCCGCTATTGTGGACCGTGGTCATCATGCCTGTCTCAATCCCGAATGAGCGGTGCAGGACGGTATCTATAGGAGCCAAGCAATTGGTCTACCCCGTCAACTTTCGACGGTCTGGCTCGATGCAGACGAATGAACTCACAGTGCAGCTAGCATCTGAAATGATGTCCTCCATCCCCTTATTCGCCTTCAAGACAGCACCCAGTGATTCACCCCAAAACCGACATTCAACAATCCTTGCTCGGCGCACTAATAATCACCTTCATGGCCCCTCCGCCCTTGATATGCACCCTCGCCGACTCCCGCGTCAATATCTTGCCCGTACTCTCCATGAGGTACTCTACGCCCGCGCCCGCCCATTCAACCTTAGATGCATCGCAATGCGAGAACAAGTGGATCACGCGGCCCTTGTACAGGAAGCCAGAGGGTTTGGCGTTATTAGGTGTAGGCGCGAGAAGGCCGGGGTGGTCAGAGGGAAAGACACGAGAATGCGCGCTTCGGGACATTGACTGCGGGTTGAGTCCTAGAGGATGGCGGTGAGGAGATGATCGATTGAGTGGGCGGTGTGGTCTACGGCGCGGATCTCGAGGTCGGGGCGGGTGAGGGCGACGCGGAAGACAGCTCGGCCTGGACATCAGTTGAAGCTCGGTTCGAAGGAGGACAGGCAGGACCTACCGATACGACCGAAGCCGCCGATACCGACAGCCGGGGTGGGAGGGGGGGGGGGGGGTGAGATAGCAATGGGCACTGCGGTCTGTCAGTGGACTCTCAAGCGTGGGCAGGCTCTGAGGGCACATACTGCTGAGTGATCTGGGAGATCTTGGTAATATGAGTCAAAGAGAACAGTCAGTATGTAATAGGTGAAGTGGTCAGCAGACATAGGGGAGGAGGGCATCGGGACAACGGGCGGCCCTTAGATACATCCAAAGCGGGACGTGTCAAACCTACACCCCCTCAGCCGCCTTCTCCAGCATCGGCTCTGCTCGCGTCTATATTGCTGCAGGGTGGAGATATGCCCCGCGCTGGGGTTGACTTTGCGGGGTCGAGCATCGGAGATGGGGGAGATGGAGATGGAATGAGTAAATGCGAAACGCGATTCGTGCCTGGAAAGGAGGGAGGGGTCGGCTTTCTTCGGATCTATCGGCGAGATGAATCCAGTTCTTCTACTGCGTGCGGTACGACGCGAGTACTCAGTAGTCTCATCAGTCATCAAGGTGCTGAGTATGCAGAAGCCAGCGTAGCGAAGGTCCAGAACTGTTGCATCGGCCACTCCAATACAGATGTATACGCTAGGAGATCAAACCCCTGCCGCCGCAAACGCCCTGGCTCGAGATCTAGACGGCCTTGACGTGCCAGGCCACACCATACCTGGACCTTGACCCAACATAATCCCTAGCGTACCTCTGATGCTCTTGGTGCTGCCCAGCCGCCCGATAGACTCGGTCGTAGGCGATCGGGGCATCATGGTTGTTGAAGTAGGTGTTGAAGACCCACTGGGTCGATTGGGTGGCCATCCCCACGAGATTGAACTGAACGGCATTGTTGATAACGATGGTGCCGAGCTGGAGGGCGGGATGAGGCTGCGTCGGGCCGCCGGAGGTGCCAAAGTGAGCAACTGCAGACGTCAGCGAATGCCAGAGCTGACATGGGTGAGAAAAACATACCGTCAGAGGCGTTGAACATGTCAAGAAGACCCCTCATGTACCCCTCGGTGGCGTGGTGCGCTTTGTTGGTCATGGCGAAGCTGTAACGGCCGCCGCGGGTGGTGTCGACTTGAAAAGTGTGGCCATAACGTCGAGTGTAGGGGATCTCGCGGTTATTCTTGACGCGCATCTAAGTATCAGCGCCGGCCACAGCAGCACTCACTTTGATGGCGTAATGTAGGACCGGCGAATATTGCATAGCCCCACCATCGGGCTGGTAGCCGAAGATGAAGTGGTTGCTGTATGATGTCAGCTCGGTCTCAAAAGCGCAGAACTGCGAAAGGCGGTCGCACTCACGTATCCTGCTGCGGGCCGACCGAGCAGGTAGAGTGACACCAGATCTCCTGAATCTCGGAAAGGATCTGCTACATTAAGTATATCTCAACTCAAGAGTATGAGATGGACCTACGGGTATGACAGAGAAGTTGGAAGACATGTCAGTGGTTGTGGCGTTGGTGAAAGGGCGTTGGGCTAGCGGGTAGAAAGTGGGAGGGGAGGTGAAGAGTGGGCATTTCGGCCATCACTCGGTGGGCACTTATATATCTCAGGTCAGCACTGGCGATGACAAGGAGAGAGTGTTGAGTGTGCGGTCCGCTCCGCTAATGGTCCGATACACGACATAGCAAAGCGGCAGCGTGTAACATAAGCGGCGCCGCCATAGCTACCAACACCAACATCCCGGGCCGCTCCGCCACAACCCCGCAGCCCGACCGCCTCCACCGACCCTAACGTCATTGCTATAAATTGCTTAAACAAGTAAGAACACGTAGCGGGTCCAGCGGCGGCGGCGGGCGCGGGCCGCCGTGCAATTGAGCGGTAGACACTCCTCTCACTGCATTTCCGGCCTTACTTGCTTGTCAGCCTTCAGCCCGCTCCTTCGACCACCGCAGATCGTCAATTTAGCCCGCCCCGATGACATCGGCGCGCCTGCGGGCCGTGCAGGCTGGCCTCCGCCTAGGTCAGCGGCGGGTGATGAGCGGGAATTGAGCGTCTCGACCGGGAGTTGTGTACCGGGAATTGTGCCCGGTGCGACTCCGACCTGAGAGACTCGCTTCTATCATATATATAAAGGCCTCTCTTCCCCCCCGATACCATAGCAGAATCATACCTCCTCATACTACATCATGCCTATTTACAAACCTGACCCGGAGACGGTCTGTACCGTCAGCGGCTCGACCGGAACATTCAAGACCTCCCTAGCTCAGCGACTTGGGGCGGATTGCAAGTGGACTGATACCCTCTTGTCTGGTAAGTCTAGCTGAAGTGGTGCTCGAGCCCTGACATGCTGACTTTAGTAGATACTCGACCTGATGAAGTAAAGTTCCTGCGTACTTATATCGGCCTTCTTCTGTGAGTTCCATCTGCCTGCTACTGGCCTTATGCTACGCCGCTAATTGTATCAGTCAAATCAATGGTATCAACGACAATCGGCTCAACAGTGACGGTAGCCAGCAATTTACCGACACGGCCACTCGAAACAGCGTCGTCCGCGCCTGCTCCAAGGGACGGCACAGCCTCATCAAATGGCACTTCCTCCACGTCCGCGCCCACACTCGCTCGGAGGACGACATCGGCCGGGAGTTCAGGTTCGCCTGCGAGCTCTTGCAGAACAACCTGGTCAACCTTATCATCATGGTAGTCGGGGCGGGGTCTGAAGAGGTCGGCGCGCCGGTCAGAGCCTTGATAGCGCAGGCTGTGGCCAAGGTCAAGGAGGTCGACCCGTCCATCGTAGGCGAGCCTACTCTCAGTAAGCCTCCAGCTCTTCTGCTTTTCGGTGGACTGACAGGATAGTCTACCTCTATCCTCCCTTCGAGGATATTCCCGAGCGCATACTTAAAGCCACGCCCAAGCCTCTTGCCTATCGCTACGAGACCGCCCTTCCTGGTGACGGCAAGCAGAAGATGGAAGCAATCTACAGGGCCAACGCAGCGGGGCTGCATGCACTCTTGCCCTCAGTGACACCCATACAGGTAAGTCCCCCGCGGACCCGTCAGATTGGACATGCACGGCTGATCGTCAAGCACGCCGACTTTTCGCACAATTGCTCGAACTGCTCGGAGACCGGCGATCATCGGATCATGGGACCCTGCCATTGTGGACCATTCGCCCTCGCTCACGGTGCCATCCGTACCTATCGGGATCATCTTGGCACCATTTCTCACCGTCACGGCCAGCTACGGCGCGAGCCGTCACAACTCGCTCAAGTCCTCGGTCCTGCCGTCGCAGTCGGGGGTGCGAGTGTGCCCCTTGGTTCTATCGCTATACCAGGCCAGGTCATCGGGGTCGCTGCTAGCATCCTCATCTACGCACTCGCTGATGTTCGGTGCGTAGACTGCGGCGGGCGGGCGTTTGATGATGGCTGTCGGGCAGTCTGGTCTTGCTGTCTCGACAAGGTGGATGCTTATGGGTGCAGTGTTGTCAGTCGAGTCATACCTTTCCTGTACTTGTTTCAGAAGTAGCTGATAACTGCAGGTCGAGAAGTACGAGTGCTGTCAAGGCGACCCCCGCGATGCCCACAATACGGGCTGCTTCCGCCAGTGCCAGGCTTGTGGCCGCGGCACTACCACAGCTGGATGCGGTGTCGAAGGTGTATCTGGGATGGAGCATGAGCTTGTGCCGATGTAGGTGGGTGTATGGAGCGGTTTCGATGTTATATACACTTCATGCACATATACGCGCGGCTGCTTTGCTGGTGGTTCAGACTCCAGTCACATAGCCCATTTTACTGTGATTGGCTCAGTGACCTGATCACTAGCTGCAGATGATGTCTTACCGTGATCTTTTGCATCGAGCATCGAGCATCGAGTACGTCGCTCGTTATTGCACCTGAATATGATCACCGCACTAGATAAAAATGCACTCGATTGAGATCCGACTCGCCTAGACCTTTGAACGCGCATCCGGCAGTCTATATATTGCCTTTGCAGCCACACACCGGGAGCTTTAGCCCCACTTCCCCCACTTTACGCAACCGTACGGCATGATTGTCAGGGCCAGGAGCGTCCCGCCGCTACCTCCCGCCCCACCAGAGCTGGACAAAACGAGCAGCTAGGAGCTTTCGGGTGTTGAAGCAGTACTTCTCCGAGTTACCACTATGTCTTCTAACCCTTCTCAGAGCTCCAGAGGCAAAGCTTCGTGCCAGAAGGTGAGCTCATGCCCTGGATGGAAGTTCTTCGAGGCGCAGCTAAAGGCTAACGAGAGCAGTGTCGCAAGGGAAAACATAAAGTGAGTTTGGGTGGGAGCCTCTGCTAGCTGACTTCATAGTGCTGTAGGTGTTTGCCTACTGTTCCAAAGGTAGGTCATTAACGTGTAGCCGGCTATACCAGCGAAGGCTTTCCTTGCGATCAGTGCAAAAAAGCAGGTGTTCGATGTGTACCTGCCGGCAAGTGCTTTCATGAGGCCCCGATATGTCCCCACGCTGACATCGTACAGCGCAGACTGGCACAGAAACCACCACCGAGACTGCAACCGAGACTCATACCGAGACTGGCCTGGAGCCAGCCAACAAAACGGCAAAGAGTAATAAGGGCAAAAGAACACGGCCTGACCCGGGTTCAAACAGCGCTGGGTAAGCCTTGTATTCCTTACCCGCCGACGGGGTCCTATCGAATCTGACTCTGCAGGGTCGCAGGACGGATCCCCACCGCTACTGCCAACAATGCCTACGTTGGCGGCGGGGCAGCTTCTCAGATGACAAGCTCTGGTACGGTCAGCGAGCAGGACACCGGAAGACCTGCTCCACAGAAGGCTCATCAGGCACCACAGACCACAGCGCCTGAAGAGTCACCGCAGAGCAAGATCGACCTTCTGGAGCGATTCGGCAAGATAGCGCCTCTATTTAAACAACTTCTGGACTTCTCTGTAAGTCGAACCCGCATCTATGCTCATTGAAAGAGCTATCGTTCGATGTACCAAGACGACCCCGACATGGTCTCGAGGCAGCCAGGGGTCGATTACGCCATCGCCGCAATCGCGAAGCTTCACTCGTCACAGACAGGTGATCAGTCTGCGACCAGCGTGCGTTGTGCTCTGACGGAGATTGACAGCACTCTGAATAGTGGGGAGGCAAAGCGAGGTGGAGATATCATCCTAGGTATGTGTGCCGGTTCCAAGTCACAAAGAGTGTGCTTACGAGTATCAGCTTTGACCATCTTGCTGTATTACCATCTTCACCAGGGTGTCTGGCTACAGAACTGTCGATACTCAAACGCAGCCATGGGCTTCTGCAACTCGGCCGGTCTCTACATCGATCCTGATCGGATGCCGCTTCGTTTCGGTTACGCTACTGGCTCAGTGAAGCAACAGGGCCAGAATACATATCGGGGCCGGCTTTTCTGGTTGACCTATGTACTGTACATCCAAGTGTAAGCTTCCTTCCCTTTTCTTGCTCGCTGCCGCTAAGCAGATCAGCGTTAGCTGCTCCCCTCCAATGAGCCTCAGCATGATCAAAGTCAATGATATCTCCGCGCCTCTGCCAATGCCGGTCGAATCTGTTGGAATCGTATCGAAGCAGCATGTGTGGTCTGCAGGGCTATACCAGGCGCACGCTGGCTTTGAGTGCGTCATCTGCCAGCAGGCGACAATCGATGCTGATCCTATATCAGCTGGTTTGGCATTTACGTCAAAGCAGCCTTGCTTCTGGGTAGGACGCAAAATATGCTTCGCCGAGCGGTGTCCAGGGCTGGTGACGACTCAGCCTTGGACAAAAAAGCGTCAGACAAACTCGAAAGCGAGTTGGCAGCTTTCCAGAAGAGCTGGGTCTCTTACGACGTGATGGATGATTGCTCGAAGGAGGAGAAGAACACGAGGCACATGAGTCAGTCCCATCCCTTTCCCGCTCTAATCGAATGAGGAACTTGCGAGCTGAATGGGATAGCGATTCGGGCCATGATAGCTATGTGCTATTTGGTTTGCCCTCTCTACTGTTAACGCAATCATTGAGCTGATACTTCCAGCTTCCGCGCGAGCCTGCCGCCGAGTCGCATTTGACGACTCTGAATCCGTCCGGGGAAGCTTCTCAGACATCGACACGTGGATATGTTCAAGCCTGCGTGGGTGAGTCTGACTGAAGTGCATTTCGGAATAGGAGATACCATGAAGGACAGCTGACCGTACCAGACGTAGCGGCAGATGTCGGAGATATCAAGGTTTGGTCAGATCAAGCGTATGTTCGGTCTCATGGTCATACTGAGAATACAGTTTGCAACAGGTGGAACCCATCGTTTTCCACATCTGGATGCTCGTCGTCAGATCCTGCCAGGATGTCATCCACTTTCGCGACGACAAAGAGTCCCGGCGGTATTCCCAGTCCCGGCGGTATTCCGATCTCTTTGAAGCCGACATGATGCCTCCTGAGGAGATCTCCAGGCGTTGCCTGTAAGTCGCTCCTGCGAAGATAGCCGGTTTCAAGCTAATAGAACCCCTAGTATTGCGTTGCGGGAAGTCGGTTCACGCGGAGGGGTTCCTGCGTCGAGCTTTACCTTGAATCTTACCTACATGTCGCTGCACCGCCGATATCATAACGAGGACTGGGCTTTTAAGGTCGACCCACGCATAGTCAGTACATCACGCGACATGTCGCTGACCGCGCAGAAGTCGGAGATCGAAGAGCGCCTCTCGATCTTCTCGGATGAACCACTACTCTCGCCAGGAGCGAGGTCGGATCCACCACAGCCACCGGCTGGTGCCGCGACTGCTGCATTGGTCCAAGGTGGGGATTCTTCACAAAATGCTGGGGGCGACAGTTCTGGGTTTGGCGCATTGCCTCAAGGCGGGGAGCCATCGCAAAATGCTCAGGCCCGAAGCAGTGAGCAGGCGCAGGGGAATAATGGTGATGTCTGGACGAGATACTTCAACCTTGAGGGAGACCTTAATTCGGGATCCCTCCATCTTCTTGGTGAAGGGGGGATTGGTGAAGGGGATCCCGGCGAGCACTTCGCAGATCAGGGAACCTGGCCCACATGGTAGTTAGTGAACCTTCTTGATAGCTAGATTTCAGCTTGATTCAGACAGACACGTGATATCCTGGTATGCAGATACTGCTGAGTGATGCGAGAGCAGCCCTACAACATGGACAGATCATGGAAGTGGATGGTCAGGGCAGCTGAAGAAGCTAGACATCAATCGATCTGTCAATGCCACACTTCCCCACTCTTAGGCGCCCCGCGGCGGTGCCAGAATACTGAATCAATATCATCGCACCCACGAAACCCACAGCTGTACAGTACACTTCAGGGCATCCCCCTGACCTTGAGCCCCCTGCGCATACCCTACTCAGCCAGGACGACCTCGGGCTTCTGTTACAAAGTCATGGTCTCCTTCTCCGTGTCTTCTGGAGAGGCGGGGAGAGGTAGATACATGGTCTTTGGGGACGACCCATTGTCTTGTGCCTCGCTATCGAAGTATCTTGACACCGCCTCCTTCTGCTCATCGGTGATGGCCAGCTTGACCATCCTGTGCCGATCGGCGCACCACTTCCCCACTTTCCTTGAGGGCTTCAGGATTGACCCCGTCAGGGTCATCGCCTCGTTACGCTGACTCCCCTTCCAGAACCAGCTGGTCAAGTATGAGATGTTGGGCAGACAGTAGGTCAGTGTGCCGTCCGTATCATTGCTCGCAAATGTCGCATGGAGATCGTGGCCTGTCTTCTCGAGTGCGGTCATCATTGTGTTGGGGTGAGCAGGGGTTCTGAAACGGTTGGCGACGGGGAGTATCGTCATGGCGAGGGTCAGCGAGCTGATGACGTACAAAGGCTTACGATAGTGGCAAATTGGGACGGGGAAAAAGACTCCACCCACGCTGGAGCAGGTCAAGCACCGCCACCAATTCCTTTCGAGGCGTGTCCTATGAGTTAGCTGATCGGGTTTCAGCTTCCCCGGAATGTTCCAGTGTCGACCGTCTCGAGACGACAGGCCCTGGTGATTTATGGTACACGCTGTAGTCTAAAAAGCTAGAGAAGAGCGAGGGGTTCCGGTGTGACAGGCTGACTGAAGTATTAGTCAACATTCTCGCCCAATTAGTTTGTCAGATCCGTATCAGATCAGTATAGTCGAATCGTGATATAAGGAGGAAGACGACCGCGTCCGCCTACCAGAAATGGCGTCTAAAATGGGCTACATTTAAGCAGAAACGTCAATCAGGTCTGTTATCTAGTACTATATCTTGAACTCCGTCCAGATCATCGGAAGAAGCACCACACAAGCCGTCCAGAACTGCGTATATCAGCTCCCATCCCAATCTGCCAATGTCCCACCCCAAGCTCCCAATGTCCCAACTTCCCCTCGCCTCGCCTCCCCTCATCCCTCCCTCGTCGACGATAGATCGAGCAAAGGACTGATAAACTCACCACCTTGCCCGAGAACAATACCAATCCCGGCACCTCCACCCACTCAGGCCTAACCATCTTTTGCCCTGGTCTAGCCGGCATGCCCTGCGTGAGGAGGATGTAGATCGAGTAAAAGGCGACCGAGAAGAAGTGGTAGAACAGCAATAGGGGTTTGGGAGTCAGACTGGATTCTCAGCTTGATGCAACATCGAAACAGCCATCAGGACCAGAACTCACGCGGAGAGAAGGCCGACTGGGCCTGCAACCCTATCCCCGCCTAATTCAAAGTATCTAAAACAGCCCTCTCGCAGAATTTCAAGGTCCGGCTCTGCCACATCAGCTCTACATCGCACACTTGGGAGAAAGGACTCACCATCCGCACCCCCAAACAAATCATACAGCGCCATACTCATCACATTGATCACCCCACTAACCTTCTTTCTCTCCCAAAACCACTCCCTCAGCCCCTCTGACACCTTGCCCCAATCTTCCAGCCCCTCCCTCCCCGCGCCCAATCTCTCCTCCGACAGGTAATGCAACAGCAAGACCGCGTCATTGAAGGCGACCGTCATTCCCCCGCCGGTCAGGGGATGCCGCATGTTCCAGGCATCGCCGACCATGATGAGTCCAGCGGGGGAGGAGGCGCGACCTTGCATCGACGGAGGGAGGAACGAGTTGGGCATGGTCCGGAGGCGTTGGGTGTCGAGTGCGGTCTGCATGGTGGATTGAAGGGTGGGGGTGAGGTGTGGTATGTACTTGTCCATGAGGTGTTGCTGTTGATCAGCTCTGACCCGGACCCAAATTCACTCAAAGGGCAAGACTCACCTTCAAACTGCCATCCCCTACACTTGGCAGCTTGCCCTTGACATCCACCAGCATCCTCGTCTCCTCCGCCTTATCCCCGATCTGATAAAGCAGCACCGGGCCGTTGGGCGTCAAAAACACATTCCCGTGGTATTTCATAGGCAGGTCCGCATCCTTGAGGACGAGACCGACAAAGTGAGACCTGGTTTTAGGTTTGGGGACGCGCGAGTTGGGGAGGGAGCGGAATTTCGAGAAGCAGCCGTCGGCGACGATGGTTATGGGGGAGTAGATTTTACGGACGATGGGTTCCGCCGCTGCGGGTGCCGATGCTGGAGCTTCGCCTTCCGCCGTAGATGTCGCTGCGGATTCCGAGGATGTCGAAGGTAGAACCGGCTTGAATGCCGCCGAGACCCCAATGACGCGATTGGTATGCTCGCAATAAACCAACTCCCTCACCGTTCCCTCCAGTACAGTCAGATTGGGTCCCGCGTCAAAGCACGCTTTGCGCAACGAAGAGATGAGCCGACCATGGTGGAATGATCGGCCCTCTTTCCTCCCTGACCTCGACGGGACGTGCCACCCTTCGCCCTTCCCCTGTCCCTTCTCCGCTGGGGCAGCCACCAGCTTTTCCTCCTCCTCCCTCTTCTCCCCTCCTCCCAATATACTCCCACTCCTCTTTCCCCTCCCTCCCTTCTCAGTAGAAGCAGAGACAGAGGCCACGCTGCCCCCTACCCCATCCTCCATGCCCGCACGCACCATCCGCTCCATATCGGGATATGGAATCCCGACCTGCCTCCCGCCCGAAATGACGCAGTATCCCTCGACGGGCGTCGCGTCTATTCCCTCGAGCACGTGTCCCAGCCCGAGCTTGTGCAGCGCGGCGACTCCTCCGGGCTGGAGAAGCTCGCCGACGATCCGGTCAGGCTCTGAGAGGTCGCGTTCGAGTAAAAGGACGCGGCGGCCCGAGCGGGCGAGAGAGGCGGCGAGGGCGCAGCCGGCGATTCCGGCGCCTATGATGGTTATTTCGGGCTGGAGGGTGTGGAGCTGCTACGTTAGCTGTACTGCAGATGGACTAAGGTAAGGCAGCGGAAGACTGACGTTGAGGTGGGAGGCGGGTCGGGAGGGACCTGCGGAAATAAGGTTTTCTTCAGTCATTTTTGGGCGATCCTGAGGCTGAAAAAGAGTGGTAGGATGCGAATAGAGAGACTATGTGCTCTGTGCGCCGGTAGTGATGGTATACAACGACAAAGCGGAAGAATGAAGCAATAGGTGAAATGTATAGACGGTAGGACGATCTCCGCGGTCGCGATCGTACGAAAACAAAGTCCGTGGGGCGGAATGACGTAACGCCTATGACTCAGCCATTCCGCGCCATTCCGCCGCCATTCTTTCGCCTGCATCCAGCTGCAGCTGCAGCCGTCGTGCAGACAATGCGAGACGAACAGCAGCCACAGCAAGTAAACCATGAAGCACGTAGACGGTTTCCATCGTATAGTCATCGTAATTGTACAAGATTTCTTTGTCGCCCTGCAAGTCCACATCTCAAGCTCCAAGCCCACCGGCCGGCTCCTGCCCTTTCACCCTGTTCCTTCTCACCCTTCATTCCCTCAATCTCCCACACGCATTCATCTCCCACTTCCACTCTCATATCTCTCGCGTCCCCTCCTCCCTGCCTTCCCTAGACCTGCTGCCGATCCGGATGATACCTCCTCTCCACATCCGCCACCGCACTTTTTGCGAGATACGTAGCGCTCCTCCCTCTTGCCCCAATACTGACTGGTGGCTGCTGTTGTCCACCACCTCCAGCTCCGACTCCGCCTGTTGGAGACGTCAGATCCGTCGGTATAGGAGGCGCCAATTCCCCTTGTCCTCCTTGCTGACTGACCGCACTGCCCGGCGTGGGCGGTTGTTGCGTTATAGTCGGTACTTGTCCCCCTCCCCCTCCTTGCCCTTGGCCTTGCCCCTGTCCTTGGCCTTGTCCTCGCTGCCCAGCAACACTCGAACTCCCCGCCTGCGCCTGCGCTTGCGGAGGCGCCGGATACCCCTGATTCTGACCCCCAAACAACCTCGGCGGCATCTCCACCACCGGGCTCCCCATTCCCCTCTCCCGATTAAGCAAAGCCTTGACGGCGGCCAACCACTTGATCTCATCCTCCTCGGACGGCGCACAAAGCACATAATTCCGTTTAGCAGTGACGAGCCGGAACGTATGTTCTCCTTCTTTCGGCTGGGCACCGCCAAAGCCCGAGCCGAACGCGCCGGACCCGGGGCCCGAGTAGGACGGCTGGCGCTGGGGCGGAGAGGGGAACTTGGAGGTCGAGGGGGATCGGATAGGGCGCGCCGAGGTGGGCGCGTCAGAGTCGGACGAGGAGGGGTCGATATCGTCCAGTGTGGACGATTGGTCGATTGCGTCAAGGATCGAAGAGAGGGGGATGTTTCGGAGGATCTTTGTGTCCTGACCATAAGCTCTTTCCCGCGTGGTGAGCTTACCATGTGTGACTTTGTATAAGTCAATCCCTGACTCGTGAGGTAGAACCACCGTTTCCGCCATACTTTCCTCCCTCGCCCTTTGGACCGCTTCATCAGGTACGCCGAAAGAATCACCCTGGACGGATCCACGCTGGTGCTGCTCGTGAACCCACTCCCAGCCCCAACCCCGCTCCCACTCGAACTTCCACCTTGTCCCAGTCCTTGTCCTTGTCCTGCCGCAGAGAACCCAGACTTGGCAGTCCCCACGCTCGTCCCCAACTGACCCTGACTCTGACTCTGACTCTGGCCCTGACCCTGAGACCCCCGCCCAATATCCGAAAAGTACATATCCCCCTCCCCCTGATCCACCTCGTCCGAATCAGACGATACGCCCACAGGCACCGGTCGTGTCGCCCCATCAATAGCCGATGTCGAGGTATTGAGCGTCAACGGCGGTTGGGGGGACTGACTCGCACTTGGCGTTCGGGGGAAATAGTCCGCCCCGGCGCTAGATAAGGAAGAGGCGGACGGTTCTCTTCTGGACGAGTAGGACCGGATAGGCTGGCCCGGGGTCGAGAGAGGAGGTTGTCGAGCCCCGATGGGCTGTGATGAAGTGAGGGCGGGAGTGGGATTGACGCTCATTCGTGAGAGTTGACCGGTGAGGCCCGCATCGAGCGATCCCGGTCCAGAGGGCGGACCGGCCGACGTCGGCGAGTAGACGTTGGCACCGGCGCCGCCAGTAGCATGGGGCTGACCCGCCATCGACCCCGCCCGATTGAGGTATGAGGCCGAGGTATTGACGACGGGACTCGTCCCCGCCCCGCTTATACTGCTGGCGTATCCCTCCTGCCCCTGTGCCTGCGAGACAGACTGCGGCGCACTCCGCTTCTCCGCATCCTCCGTAAGCCTGCGCCGAGCCGACGTGATCGCCATGACCCACTCGTCCATCTCCGACTGGGACGACGCCTCGACGAGGAAGGTGCGTTTCTTGGTGACGATCCCGAAAGTAAACGAGTGCTTCTTGATCTTGACGGCGGCGGCTGTGTGGATGATACGGAGGTCCATCACTCGGGATAACGAATATTCCTGATGGTCAGCTTCCCAGGCAGATATAGACAACGAAAACTCACTCTGTCATCCTTGTAGTACGCGAGCTTTCCTGTTCGGAGGACAAACCACTTCTTCTTCCAAACCTATCTGTCAGTTTCTCCCCACCCCTTCTCATCCGATACGCTCGTGCTCGTGCTACGACCACGACTTACCTTTCTCTTCTCCTGCTTCTTGTACAAATACCCCGACCTTAACACCCTCTCCCCCTCCATCCCCCTCTCCAGCTCGCCCTGCCCCACCTTCTCCTGCTCCTCCTCATCGCTCACGTCCTCGCCCTCATCCTGCTCCTCGTACTCTTCCGTCTCTTCGACCATTCCCGACCCGTCCGCTCGGAGCCGCTCCGCAATAGCTGACAGCTGGCGATTGGCGGCGTTGGGCGCTGGGACGCCACCGCCGCTAAGGAGCCCGCCGGTGGAGTTGAAGGAACCGGGTCCGGCGGATAAGGAGGGAGAGAGGAGGGGAGAAGAGAGTGAGGCAGATTGAGAAAGCCCTTGGCCCTGGGCGGAAGAGAGCGAGGTGTCGCTATCGTTCCCGGAGACGGTGGAGGGGGAGCGCTGGGGTATGAGCTGGTGGCCCAAACGAAGCAATTGTGTCTTCCTGCTTCAGAGGGTGATGATGCTGGTAGACTAACCTTCTTCTTCCGCGGCGACTGCTCCACTCTCGGACTAGCCGCACTCTTGAAGCTCAACTTGCGCTCAATCTCGGACCGACTCGGCGGGGCCGCCGGGGTCAAGGGGACGCCTTGAGGCTGAGTCTGGGACGAAGCCATCGCTGAAGCTTAGCCCAGAAGGCAGGATCTTCTTCTATCTAGAATGCCTCGGCCACTATGCGCAAGCTGAGTCTGCTGATCAGCACACCTCTGTATGCAGTCAAAGCAGACGTACAGGTGGCGAGGTCCGAGCTGTGTTGTTGACGAGATCTCGATGGCTATCTCCTCTTCCGACTCGATTCTTTCGGATATTTGTGGAAACCCTTAGATAGCTCCGAATCGGTGTCTCCCAAGATGGATGTGAGCTCTGTATAGTTGTAGAGCAGGGTATAGTGAACGTATAGAGGGTCAAAGGAAGGTGTTGTTGGTGGTGGCTGGGGAAGGCGGGGGACCGCTTAAGCTTGACGTAATATTATTCGAGCCCGCCACTAAAGTTTCAGAAGTGGCTCACCACCGAGATCGAGGTCCACCAGGGGTCCGCTTCCTGTACCTCATCTAACCCCCCATAGCTATCTAATGTCTATAGCGGCCACCGCTAGAGGCGGTATCGCCCTGGCCAAGACAACCAGCTCCAGAGGGATCTGCACGATCTGTTATGCCCAACATCGGGCGGTCCCTTCTTCCTCCCGCGTGACCCTCTCGATCCCTCATCCCTCTCGACCCTTCAGCTCGACCGGCCCGGCCCTGCGTCTCCCACCAACGTCAAAGTCGGGCAGTGTAGGTGCTACTCGTCAGCCCATCAGTTTCAAACGGGGCGGCCACCCAGCTGCGGGAGGTGGAAGAGGGGGACGAGCTGGGGGAAGGGCGGGCTTCACTCCACCCCGATTGTCCCCGCAGGACTATACGGTCCAGCCCCCTCCTGGCGCACTGGCCGTCTCCAAGGCCCTCCTGGGTCGGATCAGCGAATGGGTCGTGTCGGACCGTACTGCATCCCGTCTCTCGGCATACGGGCTCACGCCCGCTCAGACCCGGTCTGCTTTAGGGGAATGGCACAATATCGTGCAAAGGGAGTTGGTACGGTGTAGGACGGACGAGGATGCTTTCTCTGCCTTGACGGCTGGAGGGTGGGACATTCCCCGTCTTTCTGACGGACTGGCCACGGAAGACTGGGTGCCGGTATTCGAATCCTCGCTCCATCGTCATTTCCTCTCTTACCTCGTCTCCCACCCCTCCCCCTCCCCCTCTTCCATACCCGCATCGACGATCGCCCACCTCACTTCCATCCTCTCGACAACGGACCTGACCCGGCTGGCATATACCGGCCAGAACATCGGCGCCCGGTCCCTCCAGCGGCACTTTCACCTGCACGTCGGGCCGACCAATTCCGGCAAGACGTACTCTGCGCTCAAAGCGCTCGCTTTGGCCCCTACTGGCGTATACGCCGGACCCCTCCGGCTGCTCGCGCACGAGGTCTGGGAGCGGCTCAATCTCGGCACCGTAGGCGGGCTGGACGGGGTCGGGCGGGCCTGCAATCTCCTCACAGGCGAAGAGAGGCGGATCGTCTCGGACGACGCGGGCCTCGTTAGCTGTACGGTCGAGATGCTGCCTTCGTGCGCGCCGTCCGGCGACCCGTTTGACGTGGTCGTCATTGACGAAATCCAGATGATGGGCGATACCCAACGCGGGGGATCATGGACCGCCGCCGTGCTCGGCGTCAAGGCGAAAGAGGTACATCTCTGCGGGGACGATACGACCGTCAACCTCCTCTCGTCTCTCCTGCCCGGGCTCGGCGATAAGATGACGATACATCGGTATGACCGCCTGACGCCGCTCGAGGTGGCGCAGGAGAGTCTGGAGGGCGATTGGAGCAGAGTCCAGCCCGGGGATTGTATCGTCACGTTTAGCCGGACGAATATATTTGCGGTCAAGAAGATGGTGGAGGAGTTGGCGGGGAGAAAGTGTGCGGTGGTTTATGGGGCACTGCCGCCTGAGACGAGGGCGGAGCAGGCCAGGGAGTTTAATGAAGGGAGGGCAGAGGTGCTGGTGGCTAGTGATGCGGTGGGAATGGGGTTGAATCTGTGAGTTAAGGTCACGTCCTCGGTCCTGGCTTCGGACCTTTCCTCGGCACCATGATCCGTTTCCTGATCCTTCATCCCGTTTTGATCTCCCCCTCCCCCGCTCATCTCTTACCTCTCCCTCCTCCCATAAGTCGCCCCATTTCCATCTTCCTGCATGAGCAAAAATGGCTCTTGGACCCCGGCTGACTTTTAGAAAAATCAAACGCATGATCTTTGAAAGTCTGCACAAGTACAATGGGAAAATGGAAATCCCACTCCCTCTCACCTCGGTCAAGCAAATCGCCGGCCGAGCGGGTCGATTTGGGATGCACAAGAGCGTTCCTGCGCTGGATGCGGATCTCTCCTTGAGCGCCGACACCACCTCCACAACGTCCATCGCCCCGGTAACCTCGTCCAGCCCCGGCGGATCCGTCACCACCCTGCACGCCATCGACCTCCCCATCCTCACCCGCCTCCTCCCCCTCCCTCTCCCCCCTCTTCCCCGCGCAACCCTCGACACGCCCTTTGAAACACTCGCGGCCCTCTCCTCCCTCCTCCCTCCATCCACAACCTACGCTTCCCTACTAGACCACACCTCCCTCCTCCTACTTCCGCCACCGCATACGACCCTCGGCTCCCCGTCCCATAAATACCCCCTCGCGGACGTGGTCGAGGAACACCGGGACCGGTTGACACTCGCCGAAATGGAGACGCTGTGTTTTTCGCCCGTCTCGGTCCGGGACCCCATCGCGCTGGGCATATTCGAAAAGGTCGTGGCGGCGTATGCGGATGCGGGGTGCGTGGGCGTGCACGAGACGTTTGAGCCGAGTGGGCTCGTAGGGATGCTGGAGGTCTGTGAGGAGGCTTTGGCGGCTTTGCCACCGACTATCGACCCATCCTCGACCTCGACCGCAGGCGGGAATGGGAAACAGAGACGCCCATTTGTCCCTCCGGTGCTTATAAACTCTATCCCGCGGCTCGAGACCTTGCACAAATCCCTCGTCTTTTACATCTGGCTATCCTTCCGATTCCCCATTGCGTTCCCGGACCAGCCGATCGCGCAGGCGATCAAGTTCCGGACGGAGCGGGTGCTGGAGGAGTGTCTGGAGAGGCTGCCGGGGTTGAAGAAGCGGGCATCGGCGAGCGTTAGCGCCAGCGCCAGCGCGGGCGGCGCTGTGGGGAGTAAGAAGGTCAGCAGGAAGGGCAAGGTGGAGAGACCGGCGCCGGCTGAAAGAGAAAAGGGGAAGCGGGTGGAGTATCAGAGCAAGGAAGAGGGGGATAGGAGGAGACGGAGGGAGACGTGGGGTGGGGTGGGGCTTGTGAGGTCTGCGAATGCCAATGCCAATGCGGGGCAGAGGGCGGAGGCGTAGTCTTGGTCTGGGCGTTGTGGGGGGATATCGCTGGATTCGTATACATAGACTGTAGATCTGTAGATTGGTAGAACTGTAGTATAGCTGTAGAGTAGCCACAGCAACTTGCCAGATGCATTACACACCCCTCGACCGGTTCCCCATGGCAGAGCCATCCCGGCATACCTCCCACCCCAATCTTACCCAAAGAAGCGATTTTCTACCAGACGAGGCGCGTAAACAACTCCGTGCGTCTCTTCCCCTCCGCTTGGACTTCTCCTTCTGCCTCTGCCTCTATCTCTTTGCGTTACACAGCCTACCGCCCTCTCACTTACACAGGCCGCTCATCCACCTCGGTAACCGGTGACGAAGAGGCAAACCTGACAATGGACGCCCTAGCGAAACATCTCCCGCTGGAGAAACTCCCCTCCTGGGTCCCAGTGCACCACCTCTCCCAGCCGCACGTCTACAACTACCTGCAGGCGGGACAGGGTGTGGGGAAATGGGTGGATTGGAGCCAGGGCAGTCTGTGGGCTGCGGTGGGGATGGTGTTGTTTAATCCGATTTTCTGGAATGTGGTGGCTAGGAACGGTGAGTTGCGGCTGGGCACTGGCGCTGGTCGGGAGAGAGATAGGGAGGGCGGGGCAGGGAAGGGGTGAAGGGGAGGAGGAGGAGAGATAGATGCGAAATGGGAGAGCCTTGGGGATACCAGTCTGTCTTGACACAGGTCAGAGCTGACTTTCGCAGAATACCGGAACAAGTCAATGACCAAGATCTTCCAGTCGCCTTATTATGGCTGCTACGTCCTGGCCGTATCCATCTTTTCCCTCGGTATCATCCGAGACCTGATGTATGTCTATGTCCCGTCCTCCCTCCTGACCCCCTCTCTTCCTATCTCCCCCATTCCACTCCCTGTCCACTCTTTCCTCCGTCCACATCTGAAAGAAGAAGAAGCGCTGACAGCCAGGTACGAGCGCGCTCTCCGCCTTCAACCCGCCCACCCGGCCCTCTCGCACCCCCTCGTCCAATCCCTAGCATACGCCCTAATCGCCCTGGGCCAGCTCTTCGTCATCACCTCCATCTACGCCCTCGGCGTCACGGGTACCTACCTCGGCGACTATTTCGGCATCCTCATGAAGAGCCGCGTGACGGGCTTCCCGTTCAATGTGTTGAATGATCCAATGTACGTCGGGAGTACGCTGGCGTTTGTGGGTGGGGCGCTGTTGTACAAGAGCCCGGCGGGGCTGGGGATTAGCGGGCTTGTTTGGGCGGTTTATGCCGTTGCGTTGAAGTATGAGGGGTGAGTCTTTATCCTTCCTCTGACGCCTTTTCTGGGTGTGATAAGGGAGAAGCTGATAGTTTAGTCCATTCACGGACAAGATCTACTCCGCGGCCGCATCCAAGAAGAACGACGACGCCCCTACCGGATCCGGCTCCAGCTCTGGCTCTGGCTCCGGCTCCACACCCGCCAAGTCCCTCCCCAACCCCTCCGCAACCCAGTCCCAGGCGCCCACTCCCGCCCAGCCCACGCCAGCTTCGCCAGCCCGCCAGTCCGCCCGGCTCTCTAGCAAGAAATCACACGAAGCTCTGCGCCAGCCCGGAGAGTCGTACGCGCAAGCAGCAAACAGGACCCCGTCGCCCGATGCGGATGCTCTTGCAGGGGAGGACAAGCAGACGCAGCCGTTGCCGAGCCAGACGCCGAGGGCGAGGAGGATCAGGAAGGAGAGTGGGGAGAAGGGCGTGGGGAGTCCGGCGAGGATGACGAGGAGTAGGAGTAGGGGGGTCGGGCTGGGGGATGAGACTGATTAGAGGGCCCGGCGAGCGGCGATCTTGGGGGCGGGGGGATGATGCGAGGGAGGTGAATAGCTGAGTCGAGAAGAGTGAAAAAGGAGGAGGGGTTTCTGAGCGGACGGAGGCGATCAAGGTGGACATATGAGAAGTCTTCGAGGAGTAGTGGGGAAGAGAGAGGTAGAGGAAGCGGAGCGCTCCCAGGGATGTCGATAGAAACAGTCAGAGCAGTCGGGGACCAAGAAACGAGGAAGAGGCGGAGGGACCGGGGGGGCAGGACAATCAAGGTGGACAGAAGTGAGAAATCTGGGGGATTTTGGGAGATCAACAGGGTATTCCTCAACGATACCCCGACGTGGAAGATACCCATAGATGTCGAGTAGAAAGTAGTAGTAGCTGTTCTGCATTCCCCTGCAGCAAGCAGCGCTCAGCATATCACCTGAAGTTATCGCTTGACGTCTTGAGCTCCGCGGACCTCCACTTTACACCGAACGTTTGGTTTTGAATTTGAGACGTAATCCTCGATCGACCATACATCGCATCGCTGTACTATTCATGGCATATCTCTCGCGATGGCGACCCCCGGCTCTGCGCCGCGCCTGACCTCCCTGTCCAAGCCCACTCGAGCGACACTGCGATCATCCGTTATCATCCCGACACTACCGTCGGTCCTCTCCGAACTCGTCCAGAACTCGCTCGACGCCGGGGCGACCAAGATTGAGATCTGGATCGATCCGAGTAAGGCCGGACAGAGCATACGGATCGAAGATGATGGATGTGGTATTGATGCAGATGGGCTGAGCAAGCTGGGGCGGCGGGGACGGAGCTCGATGGGCGGGAGTTGGCAGGGAGGGGGTGGGAATGGTGGATATGGATTCCGAGGAGAAGGTGAGCGGCGGTTCTCCATGGAGAGAATATGCTGATTGGGTAGCCTTGTCCGCTGTCGCCGCTCTCGGACTCCTGGAGATCATCACTCGCGCTCGCGACTCGACAGAGACGCTCACCAAAGTTATCCGGGGGTCCAAAGTGCTGTTCGAAGGCACCTCTTCCAGATCGCTGGGGAGAGTGTCCGGTACGACTGTGATAGTCAAGGATCTCTTCCACGATGCGAGTCTCTTCACCTTCTGGGCACATGCTTCGAGCTGACGATAAAGATCCCTGTCCGCCAAGCTTCTCTCTCTGCTACCGCTTCCTCGCTCGTATCAGCCTGCAAGAAGGTCGTCGAGACCTTCGCCCTCGTCAGACCTGAGGTCCACTGGACCGTATGGAAAGAGGCGGCTGTGGGTGGGAGTGCGGTTGCTCTGGAAAGGGTACTGAACCTGCACCGCGTGAGCTACGCTTCGCTCCCCGCGCGCGATATAGCTGACAGTGACAGAACAAGAGCACCGTTGATATCTTCCGAAATCTTTTCGGCACGGCTGGAGGAGAGGTACGGTGGCTTCCTTCAGTCTAACCGATAACCCGTGCTAATTAATGCAGAAAGTGCAAAGTATCCGAGTGTCAAGCGGGAAGAAGCGCATTGATGGCTTCATCAGTCTTCAGGGGTCCATTACCCAGGTACGTCTAGCTGTCTACGCTCTGTCAAGATGTCAGCGGCTAAACATATCAGTCTCACCAACATCTATACGTCAACGGGTACCCTCTCGACCGGTACGATCTACACTCGGTCATCAGCAGGCGGTTCTCGCAGAGCAGGTTCTCGATCATGGTGGATGAAGGCGGCTGTGACCCTATGCCAACCAGAGGTGTGTCCTCCTCCCCCCCGACTACGACGCGTATGCTAATTTGGCAGACCGAAAGTCACCGCGCCGCCTGGAACGCTACCCAGTCTATGTCTTGAACATCCAGATCCCAACCACCGAACTCGATGCAGCCTATACTCCCGGAAAGACAGTCATGGGATACCAGGACGAGGAGAGCATCAAGAAATTCCTCTTGGCGGTAGTAGACGAGTTTCTGAGGCGACACGAATACACTGCTCCTTCGAAGTCCAAGGAGGTGTCGGAAGCGCCGGCTGGCACGCCAACGATGGCGCGTACGGCTCTCGTTTCCCTCCGCCCAGCATCTACGCCGCTGCGGACCCCGCAGACCCCGATCGTCCCGCGCTCAGTCTCAGCTCTGAGCGGATATCGGACATCCCGACTCGGCTTTGCGCAGTCGGTACAGTCTGCTCCAAGGGTAGGGGAGAAGCGGAAGATGGGGAGCGAGATGGGAGAGTACAGGTTGGACGAAAGCGGGCGGAAGCGATACAAGTGGATCGAGGATATCTTGACGGTGAGCTTGATCCTCCACCTTACCATACTGGGCAGACCGAGCTCATCCTGCAGGATGTCGACAGCGGACTTCTCCCGCTCACGCCAAAATCCGCAACGGGAGCCGCTCAGCCCTTCACGAATACCTCTTGTACCCGATGCTCCCAATCCCCCGAGACCCTCAATACCGCACATACCACTGCGATACCTATGAAAACCTCTACCCTCACCCACACTTCCACCGACATCACCTTCACCGCTGATGCTCTTTCCCGAGCTACCGTCCTCGGCCAGATCGACTTCAAATTCATCGCCACCGTCGTACCCCCTTCTACAACATCCCCGGCCGGGTCAGGCAGCACCCTTATCATGATCGACCAACATGCGGCGGACGAGCGAATATCGGTCGAATCGCTCCTCATAGAGCTGTGCGAAGGCTTCCTCCTCGATACCATACCCATCACCGAGCTCCAAGAGCCTCTGCCAGCCGTCATTCTCGGCCGACAAGAAGCGGTCGAGCTCTCTACACCTGGAGTTGCAGATATCTTTGCGAGGTGGGGCATTGAGCTCGCAGTTCCTTCCGTTGGTGCTTTCGAGGGCGGCGATGGGCTGGGCGAGTACGTGCAGGTCCCGATTCGAGCTGTACCGACGGCTTTGAAGGTCAGGCTGGGGAGGAAGGAGGCGAGCGAGATGACGAGGCTTATCAAGCTCTTCTTGCCGGTGTTGGCGGACGGACTGGGACAGGTGCAATCTCTTATAGAAAGAGGGCAGAGGAATACACAGGAGGATAAGGTGGATTGGGGCGAGGTCTTGAGGTGGATGCCGAAGGAGATGCTGGAGCTGGCGAATAGCAAGGCGTGTCGGAGTGAGTAACAATCAGCTGCTGAGTCTGAGGCCCATGGTGGGGAGAAGCTGATTGTGGCAGATGCGATCATGTTTGGCGATCGTCTGACCGTGGATCAGTGCGAACGACTGGTCCATCAGCTGGGAAAGATGAGGTTCCCCTTCATGTGCGCTCACGGACGTCCGAGTTTGGTGCCCATCATGAAGATCGGGAAGCTCGCCGATATTGTAGCGAGTAGTGAACGGAATACAGGCTGGAAGGACTGGGCGGGAAAGGTACGGTTGTAAGATAGCTGAACTTCAGCAATAGAGCCATGTATCACCACACCTATGCGCTTGGATCTGACCAAAGGGGATGCATCCAGACTATATCAAGCAGAAATCTAGCTACAGAGATGCCCATCCACGACTATATATACACAACTAACTAATACAACAAGCAATGATACTCTATACATTGGCTGAGCGAGACGCTCTCCCCTTTTGTGAAGTAACCTCGAGATGGCGGCCACGAGAAGGTGAGATTGATGGATGTTCGAGGTGGCGTGACGGGTAGCGACTAGTATTGGGTTTGTTGCTTCATTGACGGGTTGGATCGCACGAGGATAGTAGATCGATCAAGCAATGCTTGGGGAGCGGTGGTCTCTCCGGGTGACACTTGTCGAGGAGGGAGAAGAGTGTACCTAGGAATCAGCTCTGTCTTTCTTATATTCCGAACGCTCATTCTACCGAAGTGTTACTCACATCATCTGCTGAGGCGTTCCTATCGTCCCGCTTTCGGCCCAGCCTGCCAAAGAACCCCTTGACCTTGCCCAGCTTCGACCCCTCTCCGTCCCCATCCATATGGTGTCCCTCCATCTCTTCCCCCTCACTACCTGACCTCGTGCTTCCACTGCTGTCATCCGCTCCCTTCCGCACCGCATCACCGCTCGGTGACCTGGAGGCTATAGACCGCCCGGAGTCGCTGATCTTCCGGATGCGAGCGAAGGAGCGTGGGCTCGCAGGCGAGTTGTCGCCATCTGGTCCGACGCTGAGGCTCTTTCTCGAGATGGCACGAAGAAGGGGGTTGACCGTTGAGTCGTGCGCGGTAGAGCTAGGTGTGGATGCCGGGTCGGAATCATCCCGCAGTCGAGACGAAGAGGATAGTCGAGCGGGAAAGTCCGCGTGAATCCGCGCGAGCCTAGCAGCGAGGGCCTTTTGACTTTGAAAGAGCGAGGAGCCGGTGATCACTTGATGAACAATCTTTCCAGACTGGGACCAGGCGTGGCTCTTGACGTCTGATGTCTGTCAGCCAATGTCCCTTTGAACAGCAGCAGTATTACTCACCTCGTATGAAGGCGTCAAACAGTGAAGACCAACCCCAGTTCACGTTGGTGTACTGCAGACCTGGAGTCTTGACGCGGAGGTCTGCGCAGTCCGGTAAGCTCAACGGCCTGCGTTTCCGGTTTGGGTTGCTCTGCACTAGTCAGCGGGGCTTTGAATGATGCAGATCAAAACGTACCTTGAAGGAGAGACTGATGGTTGTAGCATCAATTTTCACCTGATGCCAGTGCTTCAAAGACGAGGCTCGTTGCCTCATCTCCTCCGCGTCCTTGCTCGACACTAGGGTGATCCTCTCGTCCCCTCTGGCTCGATCGACTCCCGAAGCTTGAGAAGTGACCGAGATCGACGACTTGGACCGAGCAAGGGGGGCGAGGTCGAGGTTGCTGGCGGAAAGGGTATTCGGGTCTCCTTTGTGCCCGCCCATGCCCTTGATCAACCCCTTGTGCTTCTCGCTCCGCCTCGCCTTTTCCTTCTCCTTCTCCTCGTCCTTGCGTCCCTCCCGCTCGGGAAAGACGTACTTGATGGCACTGCGCCCGACTTGCTCCTCTATAGCTACCCGGATGGGGTGCAGATAGAGCCGAGCTTCCCGCACGATCGGGATCCCGCCGACCGAGTTGGCAATTGACCACGCCGCCGACAAGAAGGGTCTGCGGACCTCCTTGTGTTTGCCGCCGCCCGTCTTCACGTCGAGCCGAGTGAGCACCTCGAAGAAGTGCGCTCCGGGATCGCTGTTCAGCGCCATGAGGTCGTTGACGCGGAAGGCCAAGTCGGTCGAGTTGTCCTTGTTGACCACCCACGCGAGGAGGAAGCCGTCCACGTCGAGCTTGACCAGTGACCTGGAATCTTTCTGGAGCATATCCCAGGCGATACTGCCCACCTTGACGTTGGTCCGGGTGGAGTGGACGAGCGAAGCTCTCGCTTTCTCCCGTTTGATAGCAACGGCGATCGCATCAGAGATGGTGAAAAGACGGTCCATCTCTTCCAGCAGGTCGTTCCGTAGGGAGAGCAGCTCCCGCCGCTCGCTCTCCGACAACCCGTCAATGTCCGCCTCGTAAGATTGCACCACCCGCCGAAGCTCGATCACCGCATGCTGCTGGTGATAGATGTCGATGATAGTCCGAGCAGGATCGCGATCCTTGCGGTCAAAGGCCAGCAAGAAACTGTCGATCCGCTTCGCCCGCTCGGCATGCTCCGGATCCTGGTACCGCAGGAGATCTGTGGCGATGTTGTACATTGCGCCAAACTGCACGCTGGTCGCCGATACGGTCATGCGGGGCAAGACAATGTTGAGCACGTCTTGGTGGAGCCGCAAGTGCTGGACCGGCATGCCGTGATGATCCCGGGCGAGGGGCCATTGTGTCTGACGTGGCAGGCGGAGATGATTGAACTTGTCGAAGGATATACCAACGTCCGCCCGGGAGACGATTCGCTGGTAGTCGGTCGCTTCATTCTTTGCGTCCAGGAAGATTTCGAGGGGGAGGAAGCCAAGATCACCCGACGTGCGCGAGGGGAGCATGTGCTTTCCATTTGGGTGGAAAGCTTGGAGACCTCGGAGATGCAAATAATGCCTACAGTATCAGCTACTCCGCTGTGATTAATCTGACGTCGTACTCACCTGGAGAGGATCTTCTCCGCAGACCGATGGCCACTCGCCGGATCGTTGACATCAAAGACCTGACCTGTCGCCTCTTCGACGGAGATCAGGATCGTGGCCTTGGCGTCGGTGTCACTTCTCAACATGACCTGAGGCTTGACAAGCCGGACGTCATACATGGCAAGAAGGGCGCAATCGACCGGGATGCCGATCTCTGCGAGGCGACGATCGCTACCCGAGAGACCGACGTCGGAAGGGAGCTCGAAGACTCGAGAGTTTTCGCCGCAGGCTTGGAGTTGCTCGAGTTCCCTCTCCACGGTGAAGGCGGCGGTCTCCTCTGCGGACGAATCAGCGGAGAGGAGATCTTGGCGTTGCTGCGGTAGTCTCGACAGTCCAGTTCGAATCTGGTGCAGGAAGCTGCGCAATCAGCTTTGTCTTCAGTTGTCACGCGATGAATGAGACCGACCTGTACGAGGTAGTCGATTCCTCTCGCTTCCTGTCCTGGCTGGAGTGGTAATAACGGAAGACCAACTGCTCGTCAGCTTTCGCCCCTTGGCGGTCACTCACGTTTCTCGCTCTTGGATCCCACACTATCCTGGGACAGTGTATCTGGACTTGGCGTTGGAAAGTATCCTCATCGCCTCCCCCGTCATGCTGCTCCTCTGAAGGCTTCCGAAGCGAGTCCATCTCCTTCTGGATGGAGCGTATTCGGTGCTTACAAGCTGATTCGGACAGCTAGAGCGAATCAGCGTCGTCCCATTTCGTCCCATAGCGTAACACTCAGGCGTACCTTAGTCTCACCACCCTCCTGGTGATCCTGTAGCTCTCGCAACAGCTCCGCCACCCTTCGCTCAAACTGCTTCACTTGGACGACAGACTCGCTCTCCCCCTTGCCTAGATAGCAGACATGCGTCTCCTCATGCCCGAATTTGGTAGTCTCCATATCAGGAGCTTGTTCGCGATTGTGGGCATCGTCGTCATCCGAAGAGGATTGACGAGCCTTCCCCCGCATGCCCAGAGAAGCTTGAGGACAGTCTCCGAGATCGACCAAGTCGAAAGTGGGATTGAGATCGGCGGGTTTGCGGTCAGCATCGATATAATCGTACGGGTCGTACCAAAGTCTTTGGTCCTCCGGCAGATCCGCTGCGTGGACTGGTGGGCTGGCGGATTCGATTGCCGAAGGACCCGTCACCTTTGAGTGCGGAGACCGCGTCTCGACGAATTCCGCAATGATGCCTTTGAGCAGCACATCATCCAGGAGGACATCGGCTGCGTAGAACGCCTTGTGCGGTTTGGACTGCACCCGGTTCAACATCTCGTGCCAGACCACCTGCTCCTGGCGCCGCATATGGGCGTCCGCCCGTATACGCCCGAACCGCGCCTTGACGCCGAGGGACCGGGCCCTACCGGCGGATAGAGCAGCTTCCGAGACTTGCCCGTAGACGTGCGAGACCGCCAAGTCGGCAATGTCCAGCAAGAACTTGATGGTACCAAGGTTCTTGCCGAACTTCTTGCTCGCGGGCGGTGAGTCGGGGAATAGGGCGCCCTTGCGCATTGTCAAGGACATACGACCATCGAAGAGACGCCACCAGGCGTAGAAGTGGGCAAAGGCCTTCGGGCTGAGGTGCATCCCGCTTGGCCGATCGAGGATGGTTTGCGATTTGGCCGATTTGCCGGTCCGAGTTGAAACGCACGAAACCGAAAAGTGGATGTGGTCGGAGCGGAAGCCTTCCTGGGAATCAGACGGCTGGGCTGTTAGCTGCGTTCACGCTTTCGACACCTGAGACACTCACATGTCCGAGCTGCTTCTCTGCCCTCTCCACGGCCTCCTTGTTCCTCAGAATGACATCCTGGTGCCTCTTGAAGTCAAAGAAGCGACACTGCCGCCTAGCAGTATGCTCTGTGTCTCCGCACCCTTCGGTACAGTTCCAGGGCCGGCATGTACGCTCGAACCGGAAACCAAAGCCGATCCGGATTCCGCCGACGAACTGAGCGCATGGCTTGGTGTATTGCCGACGGATGCGCTGCTCGTCGGTCTCAGCTGGGGGCGGGGATTCTGGCGGGACTGGGCGGGGCGCCGCAGACAAGTCCGGGATGACCACCATGAGGTCCTCACTCTCGGCTTGGATGAGCTCGTACTGGTCGTTCGGGTAGCCGATCCGGAAGCGAGTACCATGGGGCCACGCGAAGGCAAAGCCGGCGCCGTGTCCGGTGACGCAGTACGGATCGGATGAGCCTGAGTGTCAGCTTGGTATCACCGCTACAAGCGGAAGAGCTTACCCTTGGCGTGCAGGTGGACCGGGCCCGTAAAGTCCAGCTGGACCTTCCAGTGCAAGGTCAACCTGAACTTGTCCCAGAACCCAGGCTTCTCCGACGGGTCCTTCATCGGACTAGTAATCCCGTCAAAGATCCTCGTCATATCCTGGATCGTGGACTGGTACGAGTTTGCCCATGCAAATTCCGACGTAATCGCCGACTGGATAGCGACGACAGGTTGGGTGTAAGTCTTCACCGGCGTGATAGTCTTTTGCACGGCGATTGACAGCGGAGCGGCGTCGGATGCGCCAAGACCGGCGGGCAGGATCTCGGTCGCGACCGGGAACCAGGTATCAGGACCATGGAGGTCCTCGGCGATGACGAATGGGGTCTCGAGCGACCAGACCGGGACGTCGGGATCGCTTGACCGGAGACCGATCAGGGGAAGAGGATAATCCCTGAGCCGGAAATCCGCCGAGTGCATGGTCCACTTGAGCTGAAGTGGGACCATGAGCGAGAATCCGACGCCTTTGTCAAACGGAGTGGCCGAGCACGCCGACATGTAGTCGACAATCTGCTCTTGACTCCACGTCAACGCTGAAGCGTCCAGCTCCAGCCGTTCGAAAGCGACCCGGAAGAGGGGTGGGGCGGGATCCCGCTCGGGGATGCGGAGCTTGAGGTACCCGTCTGGGTTTGGGATGTGGTACGGGCGCCGCTTATCCTTCTCCTCCTTGTAGATCTTGGCCCTCCCGCTGGCATAGCGCGCCTTGTGAGACTCCGCCTGCTTAAGGTCCAGAGCCCGTCTAGCCTCCTCGACCGAAACTGTTGCGTTCCGGGTCAGACGCGCGCCTTTTCCACCTCCCGCCTCGAGGCTCTCGGCCACCTCCGCCGACTGCATCATCTCCACCTTGGCCTGGAAGGCATCTTCCGTCTCGTTCCTCCATGCCTTCTCCACCAGCCCGCTCCGAAGGACGAGGTTGAGCCTGGACTCGAGTGGATCGTCCAGAGCCTCAAAGCTAAAGTACCGGACCGATAGGTGGATACGGGGCAGGCGCTTGGGCTGCTCCGCTTGCGGCTCGAAGCGGGTCGAGAAGCTTTCGCCCCGAAGATTACCGACGAGTGTTTTGAGCGACTTGAACGAGACATTGAGGTTCAAGATCAAGTCGTTCAAAAGGTACTTGTGGGGTATGGATACCCGGAAGCATTCGGCGCTGATGGTAAAGACGGGGATCTCTCCCGGTACCGGCTTGGCCGACACCACCCTCATCTCCCTGATCCGACCGAGCTCCCGCCAGACGCGTTCGCCGTCCTCGTCCTTTTGAGGGATGTACAGCTGTACCCTCGCAACCGTACTGACGAATCCTTCTTCGGGAGGTTTACTGAACGAGACGGCGCCGATGTCCAATACGACCGATGTCGTGAGCGGCAGTCCGACGTGCAGGGTGAGGGCAGGCAGGTCGACCTGCACGCTCATCGATTGCGAGCGGGGCTGAGAAAGATGGTGCGAGCTGGGCCGTCTCCACGCTGCGGAGAGCCGACGGAGCGGGAGGGTGGCCACGAGCGCCGAGTAGACTTGCGACATGTCGATATGGAAGACTGGCCGGCTGAGTTTGGCGGTCACTTTGAGCTCGAGGGGAGCGGTGGGCTCCTCCTGCCGGAGCATGACGTGGAAGACCGCCTCCGAGCAGCGCAGGAGTCGACAGGGCGCAGCGATGATGTCTTTGGCCTTGTTTTCCTTGGTCTCTTTGGTCTCCTTGTTCTCCTTGGTCTCCTCGGTCTCCTCGGTCTCCTTGCTCTCCTTGGTCTTTTGGGCCTCCTTGATCCCCTCGGTCTCCTTCTTTTCCTTGGTCTCCTCGGTCTCCTCTTTCTCCTTGATCTCCTCGATCTCCTTGGTCTCCTCGGCCTTCTCGGACTCCTCAGTCTTCTTGGGCTCCTTGTTCTCCTTGGTCTCCTCGGCCTTCTTGCGCTCCTCGGCTTCCTTGACGGAGCTGAGGACCTCCGTGACGAAGAGGTCGTCATCCGACAAGCCCGTCTTTCCGCCTCCTGCCTCCATGAATCGCCGCCCATCATAGACGGATCTGACCATCAAATCGGAGACAGTGACCGACGTCAGAGCCGCCCGACCGCCCTTTTCCCGCAAGCTCTCGCAGTAAGCGATAGCCTGCGTTGCAACGTCCTCGCGGAGGCGCAGGTCGGACCGTTGCTTTGAGTCCAGCGTACGATTCCGATGTTGGACGTATTGGCCGCTCCGGTCGAAGCAGGCATAGTCGAGGAGGCAGGTAGATTCCAGCCAGATACCCCGGATGAGCTTTTGCTCACACGCCGGGTTTGGATCCGTGTGACCGATGAAGGCGGATATGGTACCGAGGGAGAGCCGGAAGGAGACGCCGCTAGGAAGACGTTCGAGCGGATTGCGACGAGGCTTGTTGCAGGGCAGAGAGGATGGGGACGACGAGGCTTGCCGCTTCTGCCCCATTGAAGCCAGCGCCTGGAGGACTGCGGGCTCCCATACGTGCGCCTGGATCCCGCCATCGACGCCGATATCGACATTCATCGATATGGTGTCCCAGTCGAGGCTTGGCGAGTCGACGCCCTCGCCATCGACGACGACTTGTCCGCCAATGGACCCGCTGGCGTTCCCGTGCGCCTTGCCGATGGACAACAGCTCAAACGAAGCCATCGGCTTATCGACGTTGAGGTACACCAAGATCGGCTCGATCTCGAGATTGGACTCGACGTGCATCCGGAACGATAGCTCGTCCGGCAGTTCAGCTGGCTTGGAGACTTGCACCCGCCGATGCTGAGGGCGGTGCTTGTCATTTGCCAGCTGTCCGTCAAAGTCCGCCCCAGCCGCTTGCCTGCGGGCAAAGAGCGCCTCTTCCTCCTTGAACGCCTTTTGCTGCTCCGTCGCGCTCCGTCGGCCGATGACGTCCTCAAATGTGGTGTAGCAGCCGAAATGAAAGCCGTCCGACGCGATAGAGACCGTCATGTGCTGATCTTTGACCTTGTCCGTGATGGCGATCATGACAGGACCGACGTCGAGGACGAGGCGAAGGCGGGGTGGGAGCTGTGGGCAGCGAGGACGGTGGGCAGGTCCAGGGGCCGTTGCCGCGGCCGATGGCTTTTCTGACCGAGCTCGCCTGAAGTCCTCGGCTGCCGCTCGAAGATCGTTGAGAAGCGCCAGATCAGCGGCAACGTCGATCGACGCGATGCTTGCCCTTTCGACGACGAGGGAGATGTTTGGGTCGCTCGCAAAGAGCAGCTCTTCCCGACTCCATCCGGCCGGTCTCCAGGTACTGAGACCTTCAAAGTCCGCCTGCCTAATGGCAAAGAGCTGCGTCTTGTCGCGATCATCCTCGCCCGGCGAGATGACGTGCAGAGACACTTCGTTCCACTGCATCCCCAAACCGACACCGCGGACTCGGGATGAGCTCTTGTTGTTGGTGCCAAAGGCGTTTTTGGCCCGCTCGTTATTAGACGAGTCAGCGGCGGTGAGGATGACCGCGAAGGCGTCGATATCGAGGGAGAGAGCAAAGTGGTCGTCGTTGTGGGAGGGAGTGAGGGTGATGTCGGTTGCAGAGGAGGACGCAGACGCCGGGCGGGACGAGGCCTTGGGGAGGTCATGAAAGATGCTGGCCTTCTCGACCGAGAGCGAGCCCTGCTCGAAAGCGCGAAGAATGACCTGATCATCAGCTAGGTGCTCTTTCCCGGTAAGAGTATAACCCACTCTTGGCATGGATGTCGGACTCCAATCAAACTTTGCTGCCCCACTGGGCGCAGGTGACTTGCCTCGCCGCCGCTCTGCAAGACTCTTCAAGGTCTCCGCCCCACGAATGCTGACCTTGACTACTCCCAGCTCGAGCGCTGCCTTGAGGGTGTCCTCTGCCAAAAGCCCCTTCTTTGGCCCGAAGCCTAGACCCAGTCGGGCCTTGGAACACCCACAGACACTAGCCAGCGTCGTGTACCCCAGACCGTCGTCTGCCGACACCTGAGGCGGTCTGGAAGACAATTTGCGGTAGAAGGACGGCATGGATGACGCCAAGGGGGATTGCGCCGATGTGATTGGGACCGTGTCCTGGTGCGGTAGGACAAGAGCGATGTTGACGATCGCCATGTTGAGCGCGATGGATCCGTGTGCTCGACCGATAGCTCTCGAGAAGACCTGGCCTGCTGTTGACATGACCCGGGTGTACCGCGTCTTTTTGGGGTATTGCGAGGGATTGGTCGAGGTGTGGGTGGTAGGGGATGGCGGGGGTGATTGGGAGCGAGTGTGATACTGAGAATGATTGGGTTCCGGGGATGTGGGAGGCGACATGATACCCGTCGCTGGAGGTAGTTCGGTGTGACCGCCGAAATGAACAGCTGCTCCGAGACGGATGTCGTCGATTGAGCACTCGAGCTCGTCAAGATCATCGAGGATGAGACGGATGTCCGATATCCGTATGGAGATGATGCGAGCGAGGATGGGATAGTGATGGATAGTGAGGTGGAGAAGCCAAGAAGCAATGCGCTGCTTGGTCGCGGAGAGTCGAGGTCGCTCCTGGCACGTCAGCCGAATTCGTCAAGCCATTATATCACTTACTGGCGCTTCCTTTGGAGCGGAAAAAACGTCGCTACTCCCCTTCTTGTCACTCTCCTTGATCCGCAGCGTCACTCCCTCGATGCTAAGAACAAAGAGGCCAGTCTCTGCCTCCTCCATCCCGCCCCAGCTCCAGCCCGCTTTCTTGACCTTGAGCGTGGGCAAGACCGCATCCTTCTCCTTTCGCCATTCGATGTTACGAGCGGAGAATGGTGTCAGGCGATTGACTCTGACATTACCGAGGACTCTGGCGAGCAGCGGAAAGCCCCAGTACCGGATGGCGAACCAGAGAGACACGAGACCGAGGACCAGCGTCGCCCAAGTTTGTGTGGCTGGCAGCATTTTCGACCAGGGTCCCGTGGAAGCGATCTGGGAGGGCTATCAGCGCGCTTTCCTCGCCCAGTGCCAGCCTGCGGGTACACAAAGCCCTCAGGCAAGTGTGTGAAGTAGGTGAGATAGTGGATGATGGAGAAAAATGGATAGAAGGAGAGTATACGTACTGGTTGAAACTCGCCCAAGACGACGACGTTGACAACGTCTACTTCCGGCAATGGCCGGTTCAAATTCAGGCTCTGGTTGATCTGGATAGAGATGTGCAGCAGGTTGCGCATCATGGTATACCAGAGAGATGTATAGATGAGAGAAGAGAAGCAGATAGCGCCTGCATATATACTAGTCCCTATATACCCGCCTCTTCTGTACCAAACAACGCCCTTGCCCGGCTGGAAAGGGGCGAGAAGCCGATCCTCGCGTCCCGTTCTGCAAGCGATCTAGTCGATCAGCTGAAACCTCGTGCCTTGCTCGCGCGCCGAGTAGCGCAAGGCTTTGCAAAGCTTGCTGACGGGGAGGTGAGAGGCGGGCATGCATGACGTACCGCTTTGCAAGCTCCCCTCGATATGTAACGTCCTGTAACGGTGCGCTGGCCAATGTTGTGCCGACAAGGAAGAGCAAGAGTCCGCTCAACGCTTCAACGTATATCTGCTAGTCAGCTACAGCTTATCTCCCGGCGCAGATGGCGCAGGAGCGGGAAAGGTGGCCGGCAGGCATCGCCTGGCCTCAGAACTTACTGAGGTAGGTAATGACGCTGAAGAGGTATGACGACCGAGAGCTTTCAGGGTGGAGAGGTCTGAATTTCGGTCAGCTTCTCTATCCATTGAGACTGAATCTGATGCCGAGGCAGGTGAGGCGAGAAGAGCCGTACATTCATAGGTCGAAAAAGCAGCTGGTTTCAAGTCAGCGGCTCCTCCAGGGTTCAGCAGATAAGGCCGGTCCTCACCATGCAATACCGCCAGAACAGCAATAAGCACCAGGGGCTTTCCTGCCTGTCTCATCGAGGACTCCATGAAGCCGGTGTTGCGATTGATAGTATATCTAGTAAGGCAGTGCAACTAATCATTCAAGTTGTGGTCCACAGCGGTTTCATGATGCTGGACGTCAGGCACGGGTGTGCCGTAATGCTGGCGCTAGGTGGCGGAGCATTTGCCACTCGTCGCGTCCTTGGTCGCGTTGCTCAAGTCCGTATGATCTAGCGCTGGCGCCAGCGTAGGGGAGCGTGCTCAGTAGGCACCTATAGCCTCGGATCGGTCCCACCGCCATGCATATCCCTTCATCCTAGAGAATCCTTTGTTGATCCCCTGACCTTAGCCTCTCTTGGTGTTTGGCCCATCGACTCGACCATCCCCGCACTTCGGTCCTCTACTCCTGGCTTCCATACTCGTTCTGTCGACAATGCCGAACACTGTAATGATCGCATCAGATCTGACCCACATCTCTACCCCTGTTCCACGAGATTCCAAGAACTACAGCGTCATCTACGTGGAAGCCAGACTGACCAAGCCCTTCGATTCGGACCCCGCCTCTGGAGCCACGCTGAGGTTTACCGGTCATGGTGGTCGTGCCCTTCCCTCGACTGAACCCTTCACGAAGCTGGAGGGCGCCGCATCTGAGCTCATAATCAAGTACAGAGAGCTACTACGAGACCAGTACAAGGATCCCAAGAGGTGGCCGGAAGCCGAGCTGCACATGCGCGATCTGGTGCACTCTTACCTGATCGAGCAGACGCCAGCGATGGCTCTCTCTACCTTCGTCGCCCTGCGTACTATCCAAGACCAATACGCGCTAGGGGACAAGACTGCGCGTGGAAACAGAATGATACAGTATCATCCTCACCCTATCAAGGCGACGATCAGTCTCAACAAGGACGGAAGAGGAAGCGGATCGTCTGGAAGTACTCTGCAGGATCATCCAATTCCATCTTTCGACAATCGACTTTCTCGCCACCCTTGACGAAGTGGAGGATCAGGCTACAGGCATCACCCTGTACAGCTAGCAACCCAAGACTCGCTTCAGCATCTCGGACTCCTCAGATACCGCTACAACATTGGTCTGTAGAATTGCCTATTATGCATAGCGTCAGCATGAGCCATCTGTGCTCAAAGCGACACACAAAGGTGATGAGTTAAGGGGGTCACGGCCATAGTCATTCCGACACGTCGCCCGCTCCGCTCCCCTTCTCAGCCTGCACTCGGCGTACTGATTGCTTGAGTGGAGCACAGTGACTCTGGTAAGCGTTTAGTGGTGTATTAGACGGCGGTAGAGCAAGCTGTCCGCCAAGGGTTCGGGCCGGACAGGCATGGCCCTCAGATGATCTGGACGGGGCACCCGAGGCAAAGTGGAAACCGAGAGGTATGACATTACACATCGTAACCCTATCTAGAGATATGAAAGAAGGTGGGCGAAAGGGACTATACAGGAAGAGGGAAGGTGGGGAAGATGAAAGATCTATAACGTAGCCAGCAAAGTGCAGTATAGCGAGCACCTTACAACTCCTCGTCGGTGAAGACCTCCTCTCCACGCTTCCGCCTGGCCATACGGTCCTTCTTGGCCTTACGCAGCTCGGCGGCGCTCTTCTTCTTCTCCTTCTTGACCTTGGCGATGGGGTTTCCGAGCGCGTCGTACTCGACCTCATCGTCGTCACCCGCCTGCTTGTCGATGCGGGCACCCTGACCTTGACCCTCGACCCAGTTGTGTCTGTTGATATCAGCTTGACCCGGGCGAAGATCCAGCAAGGGAGACGGAGAGCGAGGAGGGAGATCGTGGAGGGAAACAGAGAGAGAGGTGGATGACGGGGAGCCGGCAGGGAGCCGGCAAGGGAGAAGGAGAAGGAGCGGGGACGGTTGGGGGATCGAGCGAGACGTGGTGAGAGCTAGGGAGAGGAAGAGAGAGCTAGGAAAAGGGGCAGAGAGCTAGGGAGACGGGAAGAGCGAGCAAGTGACATAAGCAGAGCGAGCAAGGGAGATAGACATACCCTGAGGCAAGAAGTTGACCGTCGGACATAGCCCAGACTTCGGTACAGATGTTCTCTGAGAACTCCCTGGTCATAGTCAGCGGAGACCGATCAAGCGGGAGAGAGGGACGTACCTGTTGTGTGTGATGATGAGCACACCACCCTCGAAGTTCTTAAGGGCAGCGATGAGGGCAGCCAAAGATTCGCGGTCCAAGTAGTTGGTCGGTTCCTGATGGGTCAGATATGTCCACAAGTGCCGCAAAACCTCCCCCTGCCACTTACGTCGAGACAAATCACGTGGGGCCTCCCTAGTAACGTCAGCTATAGCTCACAGAGGTGTATGGGGAAGCCATGAGGGTAGGACAGGACAAAAGTTGGCTGAGAGGGATATTTGGTACTCACGCCATGTCGCAGCTCCAAGGACGACCTTAACCTTCTGGCCTCCGGATAATCCGCGCATTGAATTGTGGCTCACAAACTCCGACTCGAGCCTGTAGAGTCAGCGCTGAAGTATACGGACATCACAGAGCATATAGGGGCAAAATGGCAAAGCGGCGGTGGGTGGTGGGCGGCGACGGCCAAGGGGGGTGCGGAAGTGCACAAATGGCACGCGGAGGGAGAGGTAGGATGCGTAGGGACGGGAGGGGTTGAGAACAGGAGGGAATGATGAAGAAAGAAAGGAAGATACAAGAGGCAGAGTAGGATGTATGAGGTTGGGTGGGTGGCAAAAAGTGACGTAATGAGGAATGAGGAGTGGGTGGCAAAAGTGGGGAAAAGTGGGGAAGAGCAGCCAAATCGGTCTCTGAGCCGCAGAGTTCATTCGACAAGCTTGACAACTCAAAAGAAACACTTACCCGAAGTCCTAAAAAGTCAGCTCTATCCTCTGATGATCCCAAAGACGACCAAAACTCACCTCGAAGTGCTTCTCGATCTCCCTCCTGACGAGCGGCCTCATCAGACCCAACCTCTGCGCCTCCTTGGTGTCCAGCTCCAACACCTTCTTCTCAAAACCACGGGTGATGAGCTCGTCACGGGGCATCCACATGTTCTCTGCAGACGACAACCCCTTGAACGAGATCTCGTACTCGTAAGACTGCTTGAGCTTCTTACGAGCGACAATCTCGTCAATGATCCGCTTGACCCCCTCCTTGACGACAGTAGCTCCCTCCTTCATCTTCTGCTCCTCCTCGGCCGTCATGATACGGTTGGCCTTGTGCATCTCCTCCAGATCCTCTCCGGTCTGGTACCGCCAGAGCATGTACTCGAGCGGGGTAGAGTCGAGGTGGTTGTCGATGTGGTGGAAAGCGTGCTGGGCGACGTATCCGATGACCAAGTTGGGGTGCTTCCAGACTTGACCGCCCAAGTTGGGTTCCGTCTCACCGGTGAGGAGCTTGACGAGGGTGGATTTACCGGAACCGTTGGGACCGAGAATGGCGACACGGGACGAGAGCGAGACCTGGAGCGAGATGTTGTACAGCTGCTGCACGGGCGAGCCGGGGTACTGGAACGAGACGTCCCTCATCTTGAGCAGCGACTTCTCCTTGGTCTTGACACCGTCAAGAAGAGGAGGAGCCGGCAGCTTAAACTGGTAGTCCTCGGCAACGTCCAGCTGGAAGTACGCCTTGGCCTCGGGGACAAAGTCCACGAAGGCCTGGAGATCACCGGGGTACCGCTTGAGCTTGAAGTTGTTCAAGTGGAGGACGTCCGTGATGGTGCGGTTAAGGAAGTCCGAGTCGTGCGAGACGATGATGGAGGTACAGGTGGTGAGGGAGGTAAGGTAGTTGATGACCCAGTCGACGTTGAGGACATCCAAGTGGTTGGTGGGCTCGTCGAGGAGGAGGATATCCGCCTTGAAGAGGATGGCGCGGGCAAGCGCGAGCTTCATCTTCCATCCGCCCGAAAGCGAACCGATAGAGTGCTTCTGCTTGGCCTCGTCGAAACCGACCGAGAGAAGGGTCTCGCGGATCTCCTGCTCGCTAGCTTGGAGACGCTTGTCCGAGAGGACCCAGTCGATGATGGTAATCTCCTCCTCCGAACCGTCAATGTCGTGCTGGACGTAGAAAGTACGGACCTCCTCGGGTGGCGGGAAGCCGTCGACCTGGGAGTTGATGATGGCGTTCATCAGGGTAGACTTGCCGGAACCGTTCCGACCGCAAAGACCGTAGCGGTGACCACGCTTGAGACGCATGTTGGCGTGGTGGAGCAGGATCTTGGCACCGTACGCCAAGTTGAACTGCTCGATGTTGCAGAGATCCTCTCCCTCCTCCTCGTCCGCAAACTTGACGTCTCCGGTGTCCGCCTCGTCCGCCTTCTTCTGGAGCAACTCGCGCACAGCGGGCAGCGAGTCGAATCCGGGAAGAGCGAGCTGGACGTACTGGGGGATAGCAGCCTCCCAGGTGCCCTGGTCAAAGTTGTGGGCATTGACGAGGGAGGCGGCGAGAACACCGGCGTAGGCGAGACCGGGGTTGGCCTGCTCGACGGTAGCGCCGCCGTTCTTCTTGACGAGGGCGACGAGGTTGGTCGCGAGGTGGGGACCCTCGGCGATCTTGAGAGGGGGGAGATCGGTACCGTCCGATCCCTCGGGGACACGACCGATACGACGGAGGGTGGCGATGGCACGGTTGCAGACGGACCGAGCCTCCGGGTCACCGATAGTCTCACCGGTCTTGATGAGACGCGGGAGGAGCTGGGGCAAGAAGGGCCGAACGGTGTACTCCGAGTCAACGAGCTTGGACATGTTGTCGGCGATGACACAGACCTTGCGCTTGATGGCGGTCGCCCGCTCGTCGAGACCACGGATGAGGAGGGGAGCGATGAGGGAGATGGTGGGTGCAGTGACCTCTGAAACGAATGTGGTGGCTGAAAGGAGTGTGATAGTCTTGGGGACCTCCTCGATAGGGTTGAGGAGGGACTTGATAAGGGCGGGGATGAATTTTTCGATCTAAAAGTTAGCGGAATTCCAAACAACCAAGTTTTTTTAGCGACCTACATCCTTGTTGTCGACGAGCTTGGTAGCACGCTCAAGAGTGACCTTAGCGGCCTTCTTGACATCCGTCTTGGTGTCCCAGACCGCACCGGCGAGGACGGGGATCAGGTCCGGGGTGGCCTGACCGACCTGGTTGGGAGCCGAGGTGATGAGCTGCTGGAGCACATCGAGGCACCCGGTCTTGACCTGCCACTTGCCAGCGGTCTTGACCTGCTCGAGGATGGCAGGGAGGATGACGGCGGTGGCCCATGGGTTCATGACCTGGACGACGGCCTTGACGGCGGCAATAGCCGCATCCTTGACCGCCTTCTCCTTGTCGGCGAAGGTCTCGAGGAGGATGGAGAAGGGGGCGTTGGCGTCCGACGAGATGATGTACGGCTCGAGGAGCTGACCGGCGCCCTGCTCGCAGATGGTCGAGATGGCGGCGCATGCGGCCTCGCGGGTGGCGGGGTTCTTCTTGTCGTTAAGGGCCTAGAAATTAGCGTGGTTCCGCAATGAGGGGTGCAACCCAATATAAAAGTAGCAAGAGAGTATTGGATAGTGTGCGGCAAGGTGAAGAGGAGAGAAGTTTGAAGGCATCCACATCCGCCTTCATCCCACTGTTCTTGCCCGACCACAGGGAACGAAAATTTATCCCCAATTCGATCCGTCCTCAACCCCAGCTCCCGCTCTTCTCTTACCGCCCGTCCAACTCCGCCTCTCGACTCTTGCACATCCTGATCCTCGATCGAAGCTATAGCTCACCTTGACAAGAGCCTCGTTGAGCTTGATAGCACCAAAGAATTCGACACCCTCCTTCTTGGCGAGGGTGGCGACGGTGTTGGCAGCCTCGGCGGACTGAGCCTTGTCGGCGACAAAGAGAGTAGCAGTGTCGAAAGCACCGGCCTTGGCGGAGACACCGGTAGATTCAGCAGCAGGAGACATGGTGGCTGTTGGTCAGCCAAGCTCCAGATCGACCAGTGAATTGAGCTTACAGGGCATGAGATGCTGTTTTTTTTAGGATGTTTGTTGTAGGTTTTCTTTCGCTGATCGCGATAAGGGCTGCGTGTACAGCTGGAGTATGTGTACTCTAGAGAGTGTGGGGTACGCTGTGTTGCTGCGTACAAGAAGGGGTGGGTAGATGAGAGAAGGGGGTGTTAAGAGGTATGATGAATAAAGGAGCTCGAGTGCGGGGCTGGAGCTGAGGTGACTTGATGGGAAAATGAAAAATTGGCGTCAGAGGTTGAAACTTGCCCCATTCGGTAACCCACCAAGCGGGAGCAGTTTGGAGGAGGCGAAAAAGTCCCGCATGGAGATAAGGTGGACCTCCGTCGGTCATGTGGCAGCGGGTGGCGGAAAGTGGCAGCAGCTCTGGCAGGCTGTGGCGGCTACCGATCAGCTCTAGAGTTCCATTCTGTAGCCTAAGCCACGTACCTTATGGCGACTCTGCTCATCCCCCATGCCCTCATATTACGAGCACCTCATCCACACCCTCCACGCACCCTCCCCGTACGCGCTCCCGCTGGCCTGTGCCCCCCGCCGCTCCTAGACTACCCTCTCTAAACGCCTGCCTGCCGCAGCCCTCGTATGGACGCGAGGTCCGATCCTTGCTTGTAGCTTCTCATCAAGTGCGCGTGAATCTGTTCCACCCTCTGCGCGTCTGACAGATCCTTTTCGAGAATGACTGTACCCCCATGTTCCCTCTTCCAGGCCTCCAACGCCGCCTTCTCCTTGCGGGTCAGATCGATGTCCGTCTGCCGAGTAGACGTCGGGACTGCGCGTAGGACTTCCTTCCAACTGCTGAGGTCTCCCACGCTCACCTGGTACATGGCGGGATTGAGCGTGTACGAGGCGTCACTGCCGGGGAATCCCTCGTGCAGGATGGCGGTGATGATTCTGTCGGTCGCCTTGTTGCTCTCCGTCTTATCCCGTGACCAAGTGATCGTCTCCGCGCCGTCACGCAGATACGAGAAGGTCGCATCTCCAGTAGGCCATTGCTGGATCTCGGCGAGATGGTTGAGCGTTGTGGACGCTGTGGTGCCGCTGCGCAGAGGAGACAGCGAGCGAGGCGAGACAGGCGCACGGACCTCGGTGGCAAGACGTTTCAGGTGTTTCAGTAGTTAGATTCGCCTCTTGCCTTCATCTCTGATCCCATACTCTAGCTATAGCCAGGTAGCTCTATGCATCGCCCATATCCTCTAGCTCTCGCCCTCGACACTGCACGCCTTCTCGCAGTGCCTCGCGCGCCCGCTACACTTCAGGCATACCGATACCTGGCTCCCTCATCACATTCGCCACCCCCCTTCTCCCCGCTCGACTAGACGCCCAGACCGTCCCTGGAGGCACTCCGTACGAAGCCTACCTCATCTCGACTCTCTCTCCACCCTCCCCACGCTCCACGGCACTACAACGCATACTTTCCGTCTCTGCCAAGGGTTCTCTCTGCCGTGAAAGCGGTTACAGTGTCGGTCGCAGATGGAGGGTACACCGTGTAAGGGGGTCGTGCAAGCGTCTGGTTCAGATAGGTGTATTGATGCTGGCCTTGACGGTACCTCAGTATAATTTTACCTGCGTCGGTACCAGTGGAGGGCGCTGCGGGGGTTTCGACGCCATTGGCTAGAGCATCTTGCTGCGCGATCACCTGAGCCCCAGTCATGGTGTACTGAAGATCCCAGTGTATAGGAACACAGATCGAAGCTTGACACTGTTCCACTGTGGTGATCTTGATCGCCTCATTCAACCTCGCTATGAATATGTCCAGCGATCGTGCCAGCTTCGACCTTTCCTCATCGGTGGATCGGGCTGCTGACTGGATGCGATCCGCGTACAGAGCTTTGCCGAGCTGCTGATGGAGGCTCTGACGACCTTTTGCCTCCGTCCGCACTACCACCACGAAGGTGGCTTTCCTCTCCGGAGTCGCACCGGCCGCTTTGCGGGCATCCTCATATGCCGAACTCCAAGAGCCTTCGAGGAGGAGCCAGTGATTTGGATCAGTGAACCACCTCGCGGTATTCCACTGAACCTTCACGTCTCCTGACGCCTCCATACCGTTTACTATCATCCGCTTCGCCGGACCCTTATCGAAAAAAGGGAGATAGAACGTTTTGGCCCGATCAAACTTCCGCGTCCAGAAGAAGTCTGCTCCCAGCGCGCCCTTTGGGGTGTTGCTGTAGGGCATAATGCCGCCAAAGTCTAGGCTAAAGGACTGGGGTCCATCGTGCGGCGTACTGGCGTATGTATTCTATGTCTCCCAGTTCTTCACTACCTGGCCCCCATCTCCGTAGTCAGTTCCCACTGGCAGGTGTGCCAAGTTGGGTCGTAGCAGGCCCAGAATGTAGGTCATTTGGGTGGGGTCAAAGTGATCTTCAAGGGTGGTTTCGCTGCCTGGCGTTGGGACGTACCACTTGTGCTGGCGCTGATTTTCAAACTTGATGGTCATGATGCGTGCTCGGGAAACAAGGAGTTGGACTGATTTCTAGTACGACTTCGCTTTAAATACCGCCTCTCGGTTCACTTGCATGAGGATGGGCTCCTTGAGGTCCGTATACAGATTGTACATCTCGCCTGGTCCATCAAGGGAATCATTGCCCGGGTCGACTTGGCTGTTCGGGTGGGCTGGTCGGATGATGAGGCGCCTGTGTACGATTCGATCATCCCGCAACTTCTCCTCCACGCTCTGGACAGGAAAGTGCTCTTGGATATATGGGCCAGCCAAGTGAAGGCATCTCATCACCGCGTCTGGTCCCCACAACGCGTCCCAACCATTCTTTTTCCCGCCACTCCGAGTGAACCGGAAGTAGTCCGCGGCTGCTTCGACGGCAGCCTTGAAGGGCGCACGGTGGGCGATGTAGGCGTCCCGGTCTTTCGGATCACCAGTGTAGGGGGTATCGAGGGCTTGTATATTCTGGATAACTTTGCTTTCTGGCACAAAGATAGTCACGTTCAACACGAAAGTCGCGTTCTTTTGGAACTCCACTTGGGATAGCGACACCCTAAGTGACCCTTCGAGGAGCTCCACTCCCTGGAAGGAGAATGAGCGAGTGACGAGGAACCGCTGGCCTGCCCAGCTCAGCCAATTCAGTATCTCCTCTCCTCTCGGGCCAAAACAAGATAGCCCGCCAGCTTCCGCACACCGGTAAAGCCCCACTGATCTCTGTCGTAGCACCGATACGGCAGCATGAACCATCCCAGCAGCAGGTCTCGCTTCGCCAGCAGGGTGTCCCGGGTCTCTTGGAACGGTTTCAACTTGTGGGGGAGGACCTCGCCGGCGGCGTCGGGCGTGATCGCCGCCGCTGGCGGCTTCTCGAATGCCATCAATATGATAGGTCCAGCCGGACATGCGGGCGACTCCCTGATGCTGGTGTCGAGGTACATGGCCATCGCCAATGCCGAAATGTCGATCGCACCAGACATGAGGAGCTCCTTGCAAAAAGCCAGGATTGACGGCACTCTGCCCCATCGCCCACTCGCGTTCCACTCATCCAGCATCACCCTTTTCAGCCACTCCGACGCGACACCCCCATCATGTATCTCGTCAGTCATCCAGTTCTTGGACACAAGGACCTCCACCTCGTCCATGAACCCCAATAGCTGCACAAACTCCTCTCCGGCAAGTGAGGAGCGGAATCGAGGCAACCAGGACTCGATATGCGGCCTAGGAGCTGTGGGTACGCCAAGAGGGTTTTCCGGCTTGTCTTTGTACTCTTCTGCCTCGACCTCTGTGTCTGTACCGGTATCGGCTAGCTTCTTCTTTTTTTCGAAGAGTCTGACCCCGGTCGCAGGGGTCTCCCCCGGGAAGCTGACCGATTCGCGCCGCTGCGACCTCGACCTGGGGGGCCTCAGAATCCCTTTAGGCTTGGGCCTCTCTTCCCTGTCAGTGGCGTAGTCAGTGCCACTATCGGCAGAGTAGTCGCTGGGGTAATGGCTCCCGCCAGTTGAAGGAGTATTGGGGACATTGTCGGTGTCGTAGGCTGGGTCGGACGAGGCAGAAGAGGTACCGGATCTTGACTTTCTTCCCATTCCATCTCGGTCGTTACCTCGCTCAAAGATGATGTAACCGATGATAGCAATCACCAGGAAGATGACGCAGACGGTCGCAGGGGACATGCTTGCCCCAGCTTTGGTCAGGTGAAAGATGCGACCTCCCATTTTGAGTGTGTGTCGACGGGACGTATAGGTGATTAGAGATGCTTGAGCTTGGTGTAAGTTCGATCTGCGCTTCCGGTCTGGTCTTTCACTTCTAGCGCAGATAGGAGACAGACTGGGATTTGCTCGATCTCTATATAGTACGTCCAGCTGAGTGGTCTCTCTCGACTCCTGCATTGTTGAGGGGAATTGCTTTGTCTTGGTCAAAGGTCTTGGTGTACGTATCTGGAGGAGCGCATGCCAAAAGGAGGGCTACGTTTACTCTGTTGTTCCCAAGAAAGGTTGGAGACTAGGGAGACCTGGATGATGTCTCCTTTGATTATGAGGGGGTGTGCTGTTCAACTCTTCACACAGGCAGAAAGACACGTCTACGGCAACGCTGCAGGGGATGCTCATACTGCGGGTGGCAAAAAGCGGGTGGCAAAAACCAAAGAGGCAGATCATCAAGGACGGCCGAGCTAAGTCCGACGACATGCGTCGTTATGTTATGATGAGGGTGGTGACTAGGGTGGTCGAGGGCAGATGGATGTTCACGCCATAAAATGCATAGCTTGAAAGACTGCCCGTCACTCCAGCGAGAAGAACCGTAGGGGACTGCGAAGAGCTCTGCTTTCTTCATCTGATATCTACTCGATCTCCGCTTAGATCAATTCGGCGTGGTATGGGAGCATCGAGAGGACATACCTCGTCACCACGAAAACATGCCAAGATGTCACCTGGAGAGCCGAGTCCGGCTTGGATTCTTCCTTATCTAAATAGGTAGTTGTGTTCAGCGGCACCGTCTCTGCAGGCAAATTCTGGCGAAGGCTACGGACTCTGACTAGAGTGTGAGAAGGGATGTCTGAGTGTATGCAACAATCAAAGAGACCGGTGCATGCTTGGAAGGAAAGACTAATCAAAGTAACCTGGGCTCGAGCCCAAGCTTCCGCATCCGCTCAAAGATGAAAGTGATGGGGGTGACAAACGATATATCAGGCGACGAGAGCAGATCGAAGCCCGTTCCGCCGGTCAAAACACCCACAATCCTCCCCTCCTCGTCCACCACCGATGCACCGCTATCCCCTTTCCGACTGAACCGCCCCTGCTTTCCCTCCTTCTCCAACGCCAGCACTCCTAGCTCCCAGCTCCACTCCTCCCTGACATCCCTGACATCTCCTTCGTCCCACAGATCCCGAGTGACCGACATGAGTGGCATAAGCCTCCCCACAGACACCCCAGTCATCGCTCCACGCATCATCACCTGCGCCACTTTACCATGATCGACTCTCACTTCGCTCCTCAACCCTTTGATGACCACCGCGGGATTGAAGCGGTCGCCGGATCTGGGGAAGTTGAGGCACTGCTCGCGCGTATCGAGGAGGATGAGGTTGGCTGCGGTGGAAGGAACTATGGCCTTGTCATCGAGCTGGATCAGGGCCCAGTCCTCGGTGAAGCCGACTGATTGGGACCGCTCCTCATCAGGCTTGACACCCTTGAGACCGGGGACACTGGCGCGGCGTGGCGGGTGAGCGTACACCGACCCAAATGTCCGGTCCGCTTTGGCGAGCTTCTTGACCTGCCCAAAAAGGGTCTTCATCTCCTTGACCCTCTGTCGAGACGAGTCTCGGTCCCTGACCGCCGTCGCAGCCCGTACCACCCAGGTCTGATCTTCCGGCGCGCCCTCCGCCAAGGCGGCAGTGACCTTCATATCCTCCTCCAGTCCTTTCAACCCCAAGGACTCAGCCTTCAGCTTCGCCTCAATTCCGTCAACGATCTCCTTCATGTGAGTCTGCTCCATGTGCCGAATGCACCTTGCTGGCTTCCCATCTCCTGGCCATTTGTAATCCTCTCGAAATGCCCCAACGGCATGTTGGCACGTCAGGGCAAAAACGCCAGGTACACTCGCGAGCCGGATCAACGCGCCTCCAGCACTAGTGTACCCGGTACCTCTTGGGTTGATATCCACCCCCAAGCCGAACTGCATACGCGCCCGCTCTTCCCCGACTGTCGAGGAGAAGGGTTCAGCTTGAAGGAACGCTGATAGCGGTTCATGGGAGGTGAGGAAGATTTCGACGTGGACGGGATCGGCGCAGCGCTTGACGACTGACGCCTGTACGGCTCTGACGACCTGACTCGCCCAGTCCTCATCCATCTCGACCGACACTCCGATCCAGACGATTGGTACCGCCTTTTTCCTGGCCAGCGCGATGTCTGCGCGAAGACTCCCGCGTGGCCGCAGGATTGACACCAGGTGGAGCACAATGCAAGGCGTTGCATAGTCACGCAGTATGCTCAGCAGTTCCGGGACGATATCGCCATCCCAGCGGTCGTACAAAGTACGCGAGGTCACCGGCAGGTCAAGTATCGCCGGGACAGGGTGTCCTCCTGATACGACTCGTACTGGCAGCGTTTGGGTGCTCGCTTGTAGCAACGGGGAGCTCGATAGACCGTGGTAGTGCAAGTGAAACGGATGCATGTAAACCGGATCTGAAGGAATTGCGGCGTGAAGCATGCTGGGTGTATGAGGATTTTCGGGCAAGGGAGGTAGTGTGCTTGATACGGGATCTCGGCGGATAGTTGAAGGGATGAAGCCAGGCGAGGACGTGACATTCGACCGACTGGATCGGCTCGAAGGAGGGGAGCTGAATGCCGAAGTAGTCGACAGGTTTGCAAAGGAGGGGGCGAGCGCGGATTGGGTAGAGCTTGTGGAAGAGCTCAGAGCGTCGCCGAGCCGCAAGAAGCCCCGCACAGCCGGGACCTCCCTGGCGAACGCGTGAAGACCACCGGGGTACCGGTTGAGCTTGAAGTTGTTCAAGTAGAGGACGTCCGTAATGGTCCGGTTGAGGAAGTCCGAGTCGTGCGAGACGATGATGGAGGTACAGGTGGTGAGGGAGGTAAGGTAGTTGACGACCCAGTCGACGTTGAGCACATCCAAGTGGTTGGTAGGCTCGTCGAGGAGGATAATGTCCGCCTTTGATAAGACGGCTCGCGCGAGTCCGAGTCTCATCTTGTTTTCCGCCGAGAGCGAACCGACCGAGTGGCTCTGCAGGACCACGTTGAGGCCGACCGATTGCAGATTCCGGCGGATCTCCTGCTCGCTAGCTTGGAGACGCTTATCCAAGAGGACGGAGTCGAGGATAGACATGCTCTCGTCCACGTCTTGCTGGACGTAGAATGTACGAACTGCCAGGTTCGACCGGGAGTTGATGAGCTGAGCGTCGCCGAGTGCGCTCAGGAATGCCGATTTGTCGAGACCGTTCCGACCGCAAAGACCGTAGTGATGACCGCGCTTGAGACGGATGTTGGCATTGTAAAGGAGGAGCCTAGTACTGGACGCCAAGTCGAAATGCTCAATGTTGCAGAGGTCCTCTCCCTCCTCCTCATCCGGGTATTTCACGTGTCCTCTTTCCGCCTCGTCCGCTTTTTTCTGGAGAAGCTTGCCCACGGCCAGCAGCGAGTTGACGCCGGGTAAAGCGAGCTCCATGTACGGGACAAGCTCGTCTTGCCAGGTATCCTGGTCAAAGTTGTGGGCGTTGACGAGCGACGCGGCGAGGACACCGGCGTACGCGAGGGCGGGGTTGACCTGCTCGACGATAGCGCCGCCGTTCGTCTTGACAAGAGCGACGAGATTGGTCGTAATGTGAGGACCCTCAGCGATTTTTAGAGGGGGAAGATTGGTACCGTCCGATCCCTCGGGGACACGACCGATACGACGAAGGGTGGCAACAGCACGGTTGCAGATCAAGCAAGCTTCCGGGTCACCCATAGTCTCACCCATCTTGATGAGACGGGGCAAGAGCTGCGGTAGGAAGGGCCGGACGGTGTACTCCGAGTCGACGAGCTTGGACATGTTGTCGGCGATAACGCAAACCTTGCGCTTGACGGCGGCAGAAGGGTGGTCGAGACCGCGGACGAGGAGGGGAGCGATCAGGGACATGGCGGGTGCCGTAACCTCCGAAATGAATGTGGTGGCGGAAAGGAGTGTGATGGTCTTGGGAAGCTCCTCGATGGGGTTGAGGAGGGATTTGATGAGGGCGGGTATGAGTTGTTCTATCTATAAGTCAGCTGAGCTCTGACACCTGAAACGAAAGAGACGATAAGAGGGAGGACAGGTGGGAATGAAGCTAGAGGTTGAAGAGGAAGGGGAGGGAAGAGACTGTGAGGCCGGCACGTTTCTGTCCATGCCGAATACCCCAGGGATCTAATTCCGTATTCTCGCAGGAATGCCGACCATCAGACAATAGACTAGAAAGCGAGATGATAACTCACATCCTTGTTGTCGACAAGCTTGGTTGCACACTCAAGAGTAACCTTGACAGCCTTCCTGACATCCCACTTGGTGTCCCGTACCGCACCGGCAAGAATAGAAATGAGGTCCTGGGTAGCCTGACCGACCTGGTTGGGCGCCGAGGTGATGAGCTGCTGGAGCACTTCGAGACATCCGGTCTTGACCTGCCACTTGCCGGCGGTCTTGACCTGCTCGAGTATAGCAGGGAGGATGACGGCGGTGGCCCAGGGGTTCATGACCTGGACAATGGCCTTGACGGCGGCGATAGCCGCATCCTTGACGGCCTTCTCCTTGTCGGCGAAGGTCTCGAGGAGGATGGAGAAGGGGGCGTTGGCGTCCGACGAGATGATGTACGGCTCGAGGAGCTGGCCGGCGCCCTGCTCGCAGATGGTCGAGATGGCGGCGCAAGCGGCCTCGCGAGTGGCGGGGTTCTTGTTGTCGTTAAGGGCCTGGGTATCAGCTGAATTCAGACTCGATGCTGTCGCCAACATCTTCATCTAGCTCGCAAATCAGGCCCACACCAGCGCAGAGCGGTCGGAATAAAGGAGCAAGAAGTGGAAGAGAGGATAGATGGGGGATGTATGCCCCGATCGGAGCTCACCTGAACGAGAGCCTCGTTGAGCTTGATAGCGCCAAAGAACTCGACACCCTCCTTCTTGGCGAGGGTGGCGACGGTGTTGGCGGCCTCGGCGGAAGCAGCCTTGTCGGCGACAAAGAGAGAAGCAGTGTCGAAAGCACCGGCCTTGGCGGAGACACCGGTAGATTCAGCAGCAGGAGACATTGTAGCTGATCGTCAGCCATGTCCAGATCGACCAACAATGGAATTGAACTTACAGGGCGCGAGATGCCGTTCTTTTTGTGGTTTGCTGAAGGGCTGCCTTTCGCTCCGTGCGATGAGGGCTGTGAGAACAGGTAGGTGGAGGATGTGTAGTCGTCTAGAGTGTATGGGGTCGCTGTGTTGTGGGTATGTAAGAGCTGCATGTGGATAGGAAAGGGGAGTGAGGTGTGATGATGAGATTGAGTGGCTGGGACACGGAGTGCAACGCGAAGTCGTTGCGAGATCCACATTCCTCAGACTAACGGCTGACGTAATCTATCAGGCCACCTTGTTATCTCACCCGCGGCCGCGCCGCGCCCTCGACCATGTTGACAAGTACTTCTCGCATACATCTACCACAGCTTTAAGGCCATTATGTCGACCACTAAGGAAAGAGACAATGCCCAGAAGAGCGGCGAGAAAGAAGAGCCAGTCACTGGTGAGATCCCTGGCGCTGGGAGTTGAGAGATGGCGCTGATCCAGAAGCGAGGAAGGCTATCCAGAATCCTCGCTGTGGCTGATCAAAGCAAGAGTCGTTTTTACTGACACCCTTTGACTTGTCCCTCGATTGCGTGACAATCGAGAGTGTGGCTCTTTCGAGCCATGGTCACTGATACCTCCTTCATGTTGAAACGATCAGATCAGAAGACCTCCACTGTAGGGACGTGACGCAAGATAGGGCAAAGCGGGCCGAGTGGCGGATCTGGGTCCTAAAAACGAGTAGCGAAAGGTCGTGGTGGGGGCACCGAGCACACCGCCTCAGATACGTGACTCTGCACTTTCCCGGCAGAGGTATATCAAGGATCATGGAGCACACCGTTGACCATCTGAGATGTTGAGTGCCCGGAGCTGGGTGGCAAAATAATCAAATCCTATCTAGCTAGGCCTCAAAACGAACGACCCCGGGTGGCGAGTAGCACCATTAACGGCGTCATTCGGTGAAGGGCTGGTCTATTAGAGCTGGTGACAGGTCTTGGCGCTACTCACTACTAATGCATGTAAGGCAAGTATAGAAACCGATTGCGACTCGGCTCACACGATCTCGATTTTCTCCTCCTCGCTCTACTCAGTCTCCCTCCCAAGCACCATGACATGGTGTGGCAGTCTTAGCTTGACATGACATGAGGTTCTTCATGACATGACCTGCATGGAATGAAGTGACACTGAATGCCGAGCCCGAGCCGAGGCTTCGCTGCTCTATGTCTTGAATTGCTGCAAGGAAGCCTCGGCGACGTCACCCGCCCGGCGGAGGAACGACAGCGGTATCGCTTCCGACGGATGATACCGTTCCTCGGACAGGTCTTCTGCGAGAGCAAGCGTGATCTTGCTTGGGTCCACGGACTCCACGTTCCCGGTGAATAGTATCTCGACCGGGCGACCCTGTACGATTGAAGGGCTCCCTGAGTCCACCGGAGGTTTCGAAAGTGCCTGCGGTCGACAGGTGAGCATACACACTCCATTATCCCTAGTAGCACCGGCTGAGACAGCCCTGCGAGGCTGGCTTGGATCCTGTCGCCCAGATCCCAAGCGGCAGCATCCCGGTCCTCCTCGCTTTGGGCGTCTGTCCCGAGAATTCCTCTGAACGATTCTCGAAGCTTCTCCAGCTCACCCTGGATGGACGCCTTCAGTTCCTCACTCCTTGAATCCCAATCGCCGACGTTGAGAGGTCATAAGGCGACGTCGGACTCGATCAAAATCTGGAGTATGGCGAAAACCTGGGTACTGTGGTAGCCGTACTCCTTGCGGAGGAGCTGAGCCGCCACGCGATCGGCCTGAGTAGCGTCAATGTTGCGCTCCGTAGATGAGGCCGACATCGGCCGACATCGGATGACTGTTGCGTGCGGTGTGATCGCTGACGTGGTGTGAATAGTGCTGAGAAGATATCAGCAAGAAATGGATAAGGGATCCCAATATCAGCTTCTATATATCTTTGCCCACAGGAGTCACGATGGCAAGGCAGATCTGACGCAGCAGGGCGATCGAAGCAATGAACCGCTATCTTCAGATACGCTTCGCTTCCTCGATCCTCTATCATCTGTCTTTCCTTGATCAAAGCGCGTCAGTCGTACGCGGGAGCCGAACAAGACGCGCAGCAGCTGCTGCTGCTTGGGGGAGCTGAGGGGGCCGGGTCAGAAAGGAGTTCCCCATTGGAACGCGTCTGGTATTCGATGGATCTGATCAGTCCCTTCCTGTGGAGCTTATCAGAGGATATCTGTAGTGGGGCAGATAATGCCGAGATGGCGAGTGGGGGAAAGGGGTCTTGGCGAAGGAAGCACCATGCACGAACGCGTCAGGTATGCGATGTTATCAGTAGGCTTATCGGTCGAGATCTGCGGTGGGGTAAAATCCGGCAACAAGGCGAGTGGGGAACAGGAGATCTGGTCGAAAGGGATCACGCGCTCGAACGCGTCAGGTCTCCCTGTACTTCTCTCACGAGTCAGGGGGTCAGTCGCATCCGTCAGGTAAGGAGTATAGCACACCACGCTGCGCCCTGCTGTATCGCCTACTCGGAAGGGCTCAATCTATACCCTCGATCCTCACCCAAAAGTCCTAACCACCCCACACCCCTCACAGCTCCACCTATCCCAACTGACCGGCCCCTCCCCACACACCCCGCAGAACCATCCCTCATCCACCCCTATCCCCGCTGCTGCCCCCATCATCGGGCCTATCCCACCCTTATTCACGGGCGGCGCTGGTTTGGGGACCGTCTTTACGTGTGGTGGCCGTTCGGTCGCACAGGCGTCGCAGGAGAGATGATGTAGGGGGTTGAGGAGGGTGCAGGTGGGGCAGGACCACTCGGTCGGTTGCTCATGGGCTGGTAGAGGGGGTTGTCGGATGGGTTTGGATGGGCCAGGTATCGATGAGGACGGGGGTTGTTTGCGAGATGTGGGAGGCTTGGAGGTGGAAGCGGAGGTGGATGACGAGCTGCTAGCGATGGTGCCGGAGCGGTGAGTGGGACGTATTGGACCGATGGACGATGGGGTCGATGTGGATGTGGATATGGGTGTGAACGGTCCTGCCTTGGCCGAAGCACCGATCGCTGGTTTGGGCGATACCGCTGCCATTTCGAGCTGGACCGCCGCGTCTCCCGATTGAGCGAGCTCAACGGTCGAAAGCTTGACGTCCGATCCCGCCCCCGCCTCCGCCCCCGCCTCAAGCCCAACATCATCCCCATCCTCCCCCGTCAGATCAATAGCGTCAATCCCCACACTCTCCTCAGCCGCCTTCCGCACTTCCTCCTCCACAGCCTTCGATCCTTCCGCCGAACACGCCTTATCGTCCCGTATTCTCCGTTCCGCAGCCTAGTCCATGAGCTTGGTCCAGGGTCCTACCAAGAAGACAGCTCACCTCGGCCAGAACCTCCCGTACACTTCGTCCGGCTGTACCTCTCCCACCCAACACACCTCCCTTCCCGATCTTCCGCTGCGCCGCCAGTCGCCGCTCTGCCGCTTGGAGACCGGTGAGTCGGCCGGCGTACTCGTCTCGCTTGATCCCGGAGAGGTTGTTGCCGCTTGAATGGAAGCCTTCGCCTATAGCATCAGCTTCGGACACAAAGAACGGAGTCATGCGCATAGCTGATATCGCGATGGTGGCGGTGGAGACATACCTGAGAAGCCTTTGCGCTTGAGATCATAATACTCTTCCTCGAGCTCCCCGAGTAGCTTATAGAATTTGGCATCATGCGGTCCAAACTCATTATGAGTCAACTTGAAGGATCAGCTTCTTTACGACGGTATTGGAAGGCCGAAATCTGGTATATTGGGATAAGCTCACCTCATGCAGCATTACCAAGACAAGCTGATCATACTCGTAGAAATCCCCCTCGGAGCCTGGTGGGCGAAGCCGGAGGTTGATCCGCTGGCCTCGGTTCATGTTGTTTCCAAGGAGTGATGGATCTGACGGTAGGAACTAAGTCTATCAGCTATGTACCCTTTCAGTAAATCAGGAGAAAGGATAAGAATGTTAGCTGACCTCTGCCAGGGTTCCCACGGTCCAGCTGCGCTTGGTCATGATCGGCTTGACCTGACTTGCGATCTTCTCCAGAAGTGGCCTGGACTCATCAGCTTCTCCCTGGATATTGGTGCTTCTTCCAGGTGGGAAGAGCTGACCTAGCTTGGTCAGATTTTGGCCGCTTGGGCAGGTGCTCAAATCGCCCGATGAGCGACATGATGGGGGTTGGGCGATGTGATGGCGGCGGTGTGATCGATGCTGGGCTCCCTCTCGAGACCGATTTCCACTCTTCCTCAGGCAGATATTGAGCTCTCTCCTCTCTCTGTCTGAGCAGGACCTGAGTATGTGTTTAGTAGTCGGTGATATAGGCAACCTGAACGCTGAGCAAGCTTCTTTGCTGTGTTGGGTGGTGCGCCCAAGTGGAGGCGAGTGGAGTTCCCTCCAGATCTCCGAATCCAGGCACGGTTTCTTCCGAGTCATCACCGAGATCGATCTCACCAGACTTTTTGTAGTCACACCTATCACCTATAGCCTATACAGCAACCATGGCACCCTTCATCCCCCTCATCGACCCTTCCTCGCCCCCGCTCATCGCTTCTTTGGCGGTCTTGGGCCCGCTGCTCATTCCCTCGGGACTTCTCCGAGCGGTCCTTTCAACTTTACCGGCGGGGAAGAGCTACTACGTCCTAGTTGAGGAGGGAGAGGATATCATCTCCATCCTTGATGCTGGAGCGTCGCGGGTGATTGTATCCGCTGCTCAGGCGGAAGAGGTCAGGAGCAGCGTATCAGGTGACCGACTGATTGTCCGCTCGGACGGAGGTGGGGATGCCAAGGGATACGCTGGGCTCTTCTATTCTGGCGCTACACCGCCAGAGAAGATCTCTGGGGACTTGGAGATCCTCTACCAATCTACCTCTACTTCTCCTTCGGACATCCTCGAGATGACCAAATCTCGACCGGACCTCACACCCGTGGTGCCCTCTACCCTCCTCACCTCCTCGTCAACCACCACCTCCCACCTGTCCATCTCGGACCTCCTCCTCGCCCGTCTGGTCTCGGACCGCCCAGACGGTCTCTTCCCCACCGTCGTCACTTCCGCAACGAACCACCGGTCCCTCGGCCTCGTCTACTCGTCGGCGGAGTCTATCGCCGAGACCATCAAAACCGGACGCGGGGTGTATCAATCCCGGAAACACGGTCTCTGGCGGAAAGGCGAGACGTCTGGCGCTACCCAAGAAATCGTCTCGATCCGGGCGGACTGCGATACCGACGCTCTCCTGTACGAAGTCATCCAGCACGGTTCGGGCTTCTGCCACCTCCCGCAACCTACCTGCTTTGGCGAGCTATCGGGGCTGGCCAAGCTCGAGTCGACCTTGACGTCGCGTATGGCCCAGGCGCCCGAGGGGAGCTATACCAAGCGTCTCTTTACGGACGAGAAGCTCCTCCGTGCCAAGGTGCTGGAAGAGGCGCAGGAGCTGTGCGATGCGGAATCCAAAGAAGAAGTGGCGTTTGAGATGGCGGATCTGGTGTATTTTGCGCTGGCGCGGTGTGTGTCCAAGGGCGTGAGCATGGCGGATGTGGAGAGGGCACTGGACGCCAAGAGTCTCAAAGTGAGCAGGAGGCAGGGGGACGCCAAGTCCGCTTTCGAGGCCAAGGTCAACGGCACAGGTGGTGCTGTACCTACCACCGTCAAGGAGGTGACCAACCCCATCACCCACTCTACCGAGACGGTCACTCCCTCTTCGAAACCTACGGAACCCGTCCCTTCTTCCTTCCCAACTGCCACTCCATCCTCGGAACCACCTATCAAGATGCGCTCCGTCACTCTCTCCAACCTTTCTACTGCCGAAACCAAGGCACTCCTCCTCCGTCCCGTCCTCAACTCGCTATCTATGATCGACAAGGTCAAGCCCATCGTCGCTCGTGTCCGGACAGAAGGCGACGCGGGTCTCAAAGCCATGACGAAGCAATTCGACAAGGCTGATCTCACATCCAACATCCTCCTCCCTCCGTTCGCCACACCCTCGGCGGACGTCCTCTCCCCAAACGTCCGGGAAGCCATTGATGCGGCATACGAGAATGTACGCAAGTTCCACGCGGCGCAAGTGGACGGCAAAGTCCTCGAGGTGGAGACGATGCCGGGTATCGTCTGCTCGCGGTTCGCTCGCCCTATTGCCCGCGTCGGGATCTACGTTCCCGGAGGAACGGCCGTTCTTCCTTCCACGGCGATCATGCTGGGTGTCCCGGCGCAAGTCGCGGGGTGCAAGGAAATTGTCCTGGCCACTCCGCCGAGGCCGGATGGGTCCATCTCGCCTGAAGTGCTGTATGTGGCAAAGTTGGCGGGCGTGACGTGTATCCTGAAGGCGGGTGGGGCGCAGGCGGTGGCGGCGATGGCGTACGGGACGGACGAGGTGCCCAAGGTGGACAAGATCTTTGGGCCGGGGAATCAGTGGGTCACAGCGGCAAAGATGTTGGTGCAGAACGATACGGATGCGTTGGTGGGGATTGATATGCCCGCTGGACCGAGTGAAGTTTTGGTCAGTCTGCACTCCTGCCCCTCTCTACTCGATGTCATATTATATGGGTCCCAGCTGATCCCCCAGGTCATTGCAGACAAGTCCGCCAACCCCGTCTTTGTCGCCTCCGACCTCCTCTCACAAGCCGAACACGGAACAGACTCCCAGGTCGTTCTCGTCGCTATCGACCTCTCCGATTCTCTCCTGCGCGAAATCGAACTCCAGATCGACGAGCAAGCGCGCGCGCTCCCACGCGTGGCGATCGCCAAAGAGGCCATCAAGAAGTCTATTATAGTCAAGGTGGGGACGCTGCAAGAGGGGATGGCGTTCAGTAATGAGTATGCGCCGGAGCATCTCATTTTGCACTTGGAGGATAGTAAAGGGGCGGTGGGGCAGGTGGAGAATGCTGGGAGTGTATTTGTGGGGGCTTTCTCGCCTGAATCGTGAGTTAATTGCAACTTTTGGCCCGACACTCTCTCATTTCTCTTTTGGCTTGTGTGTTGGGTGCTCGATATCGGACTCCAGCTGAGATACAGATGTGGCGACTACGCTTCAGGCACCAACCACACCCTGCCCACAAACGGCTTCGCCCGTCAATTCTCAGGCGTCAACACCCTGTCGTTCCAAAAGCACATTACGAGCCAGGAATTGACGAAGGAAGGACTGAAGAGGCTGGGACCGGTGGTTATTACGCTGGCTGAACGGGAGGGGTTGGAGGCGCACGCGAATGCGGTGAGGGTGAGGTTGGCTGCTATGGATCGGGAATAGGGAATAGATGGATGGATGGATGGATGGACGGGGCGGGTCTGGAGACTGGTTTGGGAAGGGTGACGAGGGGGAAGGCAGGCTAGGGGAGAATGGGAATTAGTAGATCTGATCTTAGATGCATGTCTCGGAGCTCCTTGACAGTTATAAGACTAAGAGCTATTTGTGCGACAGGGAGACTTGGAGGGAATCAGAGAGGTACAGAAGGTGATGCACCGAGAGCAGGGGTGGGGAAACAACTTTTGGGTGGGGAAGGACCGGCTATCAACAAACCCGGTAATGTCGGACACCATGTGCAGCTTCGTCTCCTTCTTCCTGTATCTTCGTGTTCATCTTTTACTTGATTTCTCCCCTCGTGCATCTCACTCGACCACGACTACGTACTACCAACATGCAAGTCCAGAACTTATTCGACGTCAAGGGCAAGGTCGTCCTCGTGACCGGCGGCGGACGAGGTGTTGGAGAGATGGTATGTCCTCTCTTCCGTTTACTTTTCCTATTCCTCTAAATCCTCGCCCTGCTGTTCCTCTCTCAAGACCTGATTGGATCCGCGCCCTATACTGATCCCTAGATCGCAGCTGGCTACGTCGCCAACGGCGCCAAAGTCTACATCTCGTCCCGCGATGCCAAAGCGTGCGAAGCGACCGCTGCGGGCCTGACCAAGTCGGGTCCGGGAGAGTGTATCGCCATCCCTGGCGATCTGGCCAAGTTTGATGAGTGCGTCAAGCTGGTCAAGGAGATTGAAAAACGGGAGAAGGTGTTGCATGTGCTTGTAAGCCGGATGCGAAATTTGGTTGGGGGAAAGAACAGTGCTGATCTTGTAGGTCAACAACTCTGGAGCGACATGGGGCGAACCTCTCGCCAACTATCCAGACCAGGCATGGTCCAAGCTCCTCACCCTCAACGTTCAGCGAGTGTTCACGTTGACGCAAAAGCTGTTGCCGCTCTTGCAGGCGGGGGCGAAGCAGGATGGTGTTGGGCGGATCATCAATGTGAGTCGAAGCTTCCGATGTGAGGGGTGTCCTGAATGGGGGAAGGGTGCGGAAAATCCGGCGGGCGAGGACAAGAAGAGAGTAATGAGCAATACACGGATACAAACGAGCTCTGGCTGACGGATAGATTGGATCGATCAATGGGGAAGCTGTCCCGGGGTTGGAGACTTATGCGTACTCTGCCTCCAAGGCCGCTCTGCACCAGTATGTCGGCTTTTTTACTCAGCTGTGCCCCACAATCTACACATCTCACGACGCTATGAGCCAATACCCACCTCTACCTCTTCCACTTTAGCCTGTCCCTGTCAGCCCGCACTCCTATCCCACTTTGGCTCTAGCCACTTCCCTCTTCTTACCCTCTACTTCGTCGGCAAAAGTATACCCCTCCTACCCCGCTCACTCGTCTCTCTAACCCGCTACCTCGTCCTCGGCTATCATCCTTCACCACCAATACTCCGCTAATGCTCAGACTCTCCAAGCACCTAGCCTCCCAGCTCGGCCCCTCCATAACAGTCAACACCCTCGCCCTTGGCCCCTTCCGCTCCAAAATGATGGCTGCGACCCTCCAGTCCCACGAGGCCGATATCGCCGGTGCGCTCCCCATGCAGACCATAGGCAGTCCCGAGGATGTCGCGGCGGCCTGTCTGTGGTTGTCCGGGAAGGGGGGCAAGTGGGTGACGGGGACTGTCGTCCCGATCGACGGAGGGAGTTTGGTGGCCAGTAAGGGGAAGTTGTAGACAGATGCGGAGAAGAAGAGGAGAGAGTTGTGATCTGCTTGTTTGTATGTATGCGATGTGGAAGGTTCGACACTTCTCTGAGCCATTACTGATACATCTCATCTATTACCCAGATCAGTTTAACATGATGCCAAAGTCCGTAATCGTTCAGCTAGAACGCAAACAACGCTCCCTTCTTCCGTCCGAACGAATAGATCAACATCCCCGAAGCGAAGAGCCCCACCTATCCCATCAGCTCTTACCCCCCAAAGCTACACCTGTCTCGAAATCAACACTTACAGTGATGCCGATCGACACCTGGATCATTCTCGCCCCGATCAGAAGCCCCGCTGAGAATGCGTCAGACTGATGTCTGTCTCGAGCGTTGGCGGCGAGACCGCCAGCAGCTGATATACCGGACTAGTACGTCAGCTCTTGCTTTCTGCCAGGGAGGTGTAACAGTCGACTGACCGGAACGAGGAAGAGAATCCCAGGCACCATGGATGTGAACGCCGTGCCCTTGAATATCCTCGAATACACATTCCCCATTATTCTACATGGTCAGCTCTGCACCCGACCGCACACCCTCCGAGTACAGCAGTACTGACCCAATAACGAAAGCCCCACAGGCCGAAACCACGTCGTCCCGATTAAAGATCCACCTCCCAGCGGCATTACACACCCCAAACCCGACCGAGCTTATTAATACCATCACTGGCAGCTCCTTACTTCGGAGGGGCTGATACAGCCACAAGCCAGTGAGGAAGGAATAAAGAGGGACGAGACCGATGAGGTAGATCTCTGGCATGGCTTGTCGCCACCATGGCCAGTCGGCGTTCCGGGGACAGGTGAGGGAGGTGAAGGCGTCGGCAGAGAGGATTTGGGTAGAAGTGGCGTTGATAAAGGTGAAGGTGCCGTTCCATGCGATATCAGGGATTACGGCGTCGGGAAGGCCAGGGAGAAGGGAAGGAGGGGAAGAGGGAAAGGAGGCGAATGTACCGGAGATGGTTTCGGCGCCAAAGGTCAGAATGGCTTCGGCAGCGCGTCGGGCTGGGGGATCGACAATGTAGAAGAGGTCGGAACCGATGGTAATGCCGAAGCCCTGTAGGTTAGCGTGTAGCCAAGCAGGCCAGAATGGCTACTGGACTTACGAGGAATAACGAGTAGATGATGGCGTAGACCATCCGAACACTCCCCGAGACGAGATTCTTGCTCGCTAATTCGAGGGAGCCACATACTACAGCCGTCAGCTTGAACCTACTCGATGTGAGAGCTCTCGGAACTCACGAATGGCATATCCCGGTAGGATCAGGCAGACCCCAGCAGACGCCGTGGCTCCATAGCAGAAGATACCGGTCACGCTCAGCCCGCGGGCGACGAATGAAATGACCGTCGCTGTGGTAATCCTGCCATATTAGCTCATACCCCTATAGGAGGAGATCCACTCACTCAAAAACGTTTGAATACATGTCTGCCCCGCCCGCTACTCCCGACAGCACATCCATGATCATCCCCAACGCCCCTGACGCTATCGCATCCAACACGCTCCCACCGAAGAACATGGGCGCAATCAACCCACAGCTCAGAAAAGCCAATATCATCCTCTCCCACCTCTTCCATACTCTGGGACTATGCAGTATCTCGTGCAACTCCCGCGTCCCCTCCTCTGGCCCCATCTCGTCATGTACCACCGCGCGATAGATGCGATGTACCTGGTGCAGCTTTCCAAGGTCGAGGTTGGCGCCGGACTTGATAAAGTGGGTTTCGGACGTTCGGGTGTCGGGGTCGCCGAAAGAGGCGATGACGAGGGAGGGGAGGTGAATGAATTGCGCGTCGATAGAGAGGATGAGGGCAGTGGCTGCGAGCTGGGACTCGATACGGTGGGAGGGGGCGCCGAATGCCATGAGAGCTTTGGCGAGCTTGAGGATGAAGGACTGGCGGATGAGCAGATCTGGGGATCAGCGTTGTCTCATGCTCGAGGTCGAAGTGGACATACCGGATACATGCTGTTGTATCTCCAACCTCCGAATCTCTTCCTCCGGAACCGCTTCACCACCCTTTGCAAACATCTTCATGAAAGGCATGTTGGCGCCTGGAGCATGCCGCCGAGGAACGACGCCGGTGACTCTTGGATCTTCGCTATCCAGTTCGCCGTCGTCGTCGTCCCGGCCAAAGATACTATCTGACCGCGTGATGCCGAGTGATTTGAGTGTAGGCAGTGCCCGGGGAGGAGGAGCTGGCGCCGGAGTAGCTGGCGTGGCGGTTGCAGCCAACCCAGCTGCTGGTGGAAAGCCCGGTGGCGGTAGAGCCGACAGCTTCAGCAACTGGGAGAAGATCCCACCTTGCAGCTTGTACGCTTCTGCCATATCTTCCCCCTCACCGCCTCGGCTCCGAGTAGGCTGCCGCCCTCCCTCTTCCATCTCCACTGTTGCCCGCCAGTCCGCGTCGTGCGAACGCGGATAAGAGTCTTTTCTCGGTCGACCGCGGTATGACGTCCGCCGGGGCTGTGGGGGATCATACAACGCCTGATCGCCGAGGTACGCCTTCTCATTTTCCGACTCGTTCATTTGACGCCATCCCGCCGAGCCTCGCAGAGGTTGGCCATCACAGGCCTCGCCGCTGTTCCCGTTGGCCTCGGAGAAGACATTCGCCGCCGAGGTCCGTCGACGAGCGGAGGAGCTGACGGCGCGAACGGAGGACCGTAAGACATCCATCAGACCCTGTCGGGCTCCCGGGTGCCGAGGACCGGCTTGTTCACCTCCAGCATAGATGGCGAAGTGTACTGCCGGTTGCGGGCCAGACGACTGAGATAGGGGATGTGGCTGGGGATGTGATGACCGCCGAGCCGTTTGGCCGGGGGAGAGAGACAGAGACCGTTCCGGACGGGCGTATAGCCGTCTCCGAGCTGGCGAGCCATCCTCATCGTCTGAGTCGCCGCGGTCCGAGCCCGATACCGAGTAAGATAGACGACCAGAATTCGCGATGGACGACCGACGAGAGTCGAAGCTGCTTCGGTCCGAGCCATCCGTTGAGCATTCGGGCGAGAGGGGACGACGTGTTTGCGCTGTGGGAGATCCCGGGCGACGGGTTCGAGGAGGGTCGGGCATGACCAGTCAGGTGATTGAAATTGGTGGATAGTAAAATAAGAATACAGATGTATGGGCGTAGGGAAAGAAAAAAAGGTAAGGCATGTTGTCAGTCATTGATATCCTTGTTGATGCGCGACTTTGGGGTGGTGTTCGAGTCTGCGACAGTCAGCCACCCCCTAGCGGGAATCTTTGGGACTAACCTTTCACGACCAGCTCGTACGCGCAGTCTTGGACTTTGACCTCATCAGTGAGGGAATTAGCTCGGCCTGCGTAAGCGGTATCTCCATAGCACTCAGTACAACTCGTCGCCATGCATCTATACTGACCGACTACGCCCCCTTGACATTGTATTTCAACTTTTCCAGTCTCGCCAATCTCAGCTCCGCCTCTTTCTCGCTCCTCCGCTGCATCCATACTCCGCCTGCAACGATCGCAGGAAGAGACCATCTGAATGCCGCCGCAAGAGTAAGCTCGCTGATGGAGTACATGTGGATGAGAGCGGTAAGGGCGAGAGCGACCTGGATTCGGAAGACGTAGGGGTAGAATGGCGCTGAGGAGCCGAGGTAGGGGATCTTGCCGGGGGTGATGGCGAGAGGAAGGAGGAGGAATTGCGCTATTGCGAGGTAGTTTCGAAGTTCGGGATTCATTATGGATGTAGAGGCTTGAAGGCCGGTCCTGCAAGTCAGTTGCTGGGCACCGTGGGAGCTTAAGTACACGATTCCACTTTCCCGACGCGGCGCACACAGGTGGGGAGTAGATGAGAGTGAGCCACATGGAAAAGATGGGGATCCCGGGAGGACAGAGAAAGAGACCCGACTGCGGGGCCCAGAAGACTAGGTAGATGGGACTCACAGCAAAAGATTGGTGATCACGCCCACATCGAGCGTCGTCTGGGCCTGCTCATTCGAGTTGGTATTCTCTCGTCGGAGTGCTTTAATCTCCGCCTCCTGCTCTGCCATAGTTAGTGCTGTCATCTAGATGTCTTCTACGACAGGTAGTTTGAGACGCACCCTGTGAGTCCTGAATTATGGCTGCGGAGTCAGCTCTTTACATCAGGCGCCAGCACTGTAAAGCTTACCTGTGACCGGTTCCTCCTTCTCCACACTCTTCTTAGCGCTAGCTCTTTGCTTAGTGGTTGACATGATGGCCTTGAAGCAGTCGTAGATGTATGCTAGCAGTAATTGACAACATGCAAGCGCCGGCGCGGCCGGGTGAGATAAGGTGGCCTGGTCGATTACGTCAGCTTTTCATCCTGAGGAATGTGGATCTCGCAACGACTTCGCGTTGGACGATGACCAGTCGTTACTCTGTACACTACCTTTGCTATATCTACGCCTTCATCACCTCCTATACCCTCATCTTATCAAGCAGCGACACATCCAGAGACGGATAGCCCGACGAAAAGAGACAGCAATCATGTCCAGGTCATACGATCGCGCTTTGACGGTATTCTCGCCTGATGGACATGTAAATCATCTTCCTGCCCTCATTCCCCTTGTGAGCGCCAGCTGATCGTACAGTTGTTCCAGGTTGAGTATGCTTTAGAGGCTGTCAAGAGGGGAACATGTGCTGTAAGTTTGCCGCCCTTATGTGTGATGCGCTCGCTCGACAGGGAAAGGATGCTAATTGCCCAGGTCGGAGTACGAGGCAATTCAGTCGTCGTCCTCGGTGTCGAAAAGAAATCCGCCCTCCAGCTGCAAGATCCACGAACAGTCCGTAAAGTCGCCATGCTCGATGATCACGTCTGTATCGCTTTTGCCGGTGAGCTACTGTCATCATTTATTTGTCAAGTCCAGAGCTCATCCCGCAGGCTTGACGGCGGACGGACGTATATTGATCGACAAGGCGAGGGTGGAGTGCCAGTCTCACCGCCTGACGGTGGAGGACCCGGTCAGCATCGAGTATATCACCAAGCACATTGCGGGGATCCAGCAGGTATGTTCAGCCAGACCAGAATACTGTATTCATCATTCTATAGGCAGCGGAAGGATAAGAGCTGATGCCTGCAGAAATACACCCAGTCGGGTGGTGTGCGGCCTTTTGGTATCTCGACCCTCATTGTTGGATTCGACCCGAACGACAAAATCCCGAGGCTGTATATGACTGAGCCGAGCGGGATTTACTCTGCATGGAAGGTGAGTTGAGCCTTTGCACTCAGGCACGTCGAGTATCTGGACATGGCGGTAGAGAGGTTCTGGATGTGTGATGGAGGTCATCATGGAGAAGGCGAACAGCATCATGAGAATATCGCTGACGTCCAGGCATGCGCAGTCGGTCGATCCTCCAAAACCGTCCGCGAATTCCTCGAGAAGAATTACCCCGAGGACCTCTCCCGGGACGACACCATCAAGCTTACCATCAAGTCGCTGCTTGAAGTTGTGCAAACCGGAGCGAAGAATATTGAGATTAGCGTGATGGAGAGGTATGGTGTTGTCACTGTAAGTTTGTTCTCGGCTCCACACCACTCTTTTCGACTGTTGTCGCTAGGGCAAGAAGCTGATCTCTCAGGCACTGGAACAATCCGAAATCGAAAAGATAGTCGCCCAGATCGAATCGGAGAAGGAAGCCGATGCGGAGAAGAAGCGACAGCGTGTGGCCCAGACCCAGGCGGGGCAGGCGAGCATGGCGATGGGCTCGGCGTTGCCTCCTTCGGCGGCTGCGGGCAACGAGACTGAGACTCCGGCATCGGGTGGGGAGGCGGCGGGGACAGCTGCGGGCACGGCGGGGGATGCGACGGGGAGTGGGATCCAGTAGGTTGTCAAGCGTAGAAGGCAGTATGCAAAGATGAGCAACGATGGAAGTCCGGATCTGGGAGTTTCCTGCGGCTGGCCGCTGCAGAGAGGGGTATGGACAATAGGCTATGTACTTGACATCCTCGACAGTGCGGTATATCCCTTCTCTATTCCCATCCGTCGTATGACCTTGGCCGGCATACAATACAACGGATCAATATCCTCCAGCCCGGGATACCCGACCAGCGATAATCCAGCCAGACCAAAGACGGTGTGGAAGACATCGACCCAGTCGCCTGGTCGGTCTGCTATTCCGCCTCCTTCCAGGTCCTACCATATCAGCTACCTGACGACAATACTCCCAGTGAGCCGATCGAGTGGAGAGAGAAGTAGGTCGTCAACTGTGAGGGGGAGGGCGCGGGCACATACCTGAGCGCCAATGATGAATGCGATAAGCTTATCCCTATTGATCCAATGCAGTCTTCCGAGGATACTAAGCGCCGCGACGTCCCACCATGAATAACAGACCTACCTCATCAGCTTCTCCTGGGATACGAGCTCGATGAATCTTTGACTTACATCCTCCAGCTTCTCCGGTCGACCATTCAGACCGCCGTTGGGCAATTGCCGCTCGGATAACCAAGCGCCGAGGAGGTCCCGATCTACCACGTCAAGCCTGTCTAGCAGAGCCAGCGCGGCGACGCATACCCAGACTTGTTTCGTCAGCAAAGCCTCTCCGACATGTCGGAGCAAAAGCTTACCCTGTCCACCGTGACTCTCCGCCCCGGGCTCCGTCCCGAACCCACCATCAAAGTTCATACTCCCCCGTATATTCTCCAAGATCGCTTCGCGGGCTGTCGTACCCGTCGACGTCGACGATGACGAAGATGGTTCTTCAGATCTCAGACCAAGTCTGTGGATGTCCCGATCGAGTACGTCCATCCGACCGAGGAGGGTGAGGCACTGAATGAGGATATAGGAGAATCGGGTATCGGTCTCGCCGAATGAGTCGCCGGCTACGGCCCCGTCTGGGCGGATGAGAGATAGTAGGACTGTTCAGTCAGTTCATGCGTACATCGTGCCCGCAAATGGTGGTCTGAAATAGATGGAAGACATACACTGAACGACGCGGTCGGTATCCACCTCGTCTAGCGCATCTTGCATCGCCATGATCTGGATGGCAGAGAGGGTAGCGAGGATATGGCCATCATGGCCTGGATGAGCACCGAATGTGCCTGCTTATCAGCTCGTGTCCTACTAGCCTTTGATAGAAGCACAGCCAACATCAACAGCAGGGGCGGGCTCCGGCATCGTTAGGGACGCAAAGACGCAAAGGAGCAAGAGGACATACCCGCTTCCTCATCCCAGCATCTCTTGACATAGTGAATCATCTCCGCCCGATCTAGCGCATCTTCCCGGCTCATGATGAACAGCGCGGTGAGACCCCAGTAGACTCCATTCAGCCGGAGATGTTCGGTCAGGTGGTAGCCAAAGTCTTTCTTCTGTTGGGGGTCAGCCGATATTACTGGGCGATTCGATGGACCCATGAGCTGTGAAGGTCAGAAGAAGCCGAAGCGTACCTTGTCCAGGTTCTGGATGTAGGAGACGTGTAAGGGGATGTCAAGAATCTTGGACATGGTTCATGTATATAGGAAGATGTAGCTAGAGGGGACTTGAGTGTCGGACGCTCGTGCTTGGTTCGTGGTGGAGGCGGTCCACATTCCTTAGGCGGTGGAGCCTATAGGCCCGGAGCTGGTCGCGATTGCACGATACAGCTACAAGGTCATACCCCCGATAAGATATTACTGTGATCTACTGATCTACTGGGCTAGATGTCTAGAAGCACCTCCGCGGCCTACCCCTCACAGATCGCACCGTCCGGCCACGATTCCACCTCCATCTAGCAAGCCTCCCGCCCCACCCGACCATGCTCTAATCCTCATCCGCCTTCCAGCTCCTACTGACCGTCGCCGCACTCCTGACCTCTTCCCACATACCCGGCCACTTCTCCTTAATCCGTCCCGGTAACGTCCTATACACCTCCTTATCATTCCAGCTAAACTTGAGGAGTATCCTCAACTGCTCCTTGTACCCGCCTTCCAGCGCTACCTGCGCCGCCTCCTCAATCTGGCCCAAGCGGCACAGGCACTCGATCCACCCTTCCTCCACCTTCCCTCCCCTCTGCGCCAGGTTGTACCTCTGCACCCAGCTCCATATCCGCTTAGCACGTATAAGCTGCCCCGCCCGCCCGCACGCATCGAGGATGACCGAGATACTCGGCGCGTACTCCTGCCTGACCACATCGCGCGGGATATGGGGACGGCGCTCGACGAGGAGGTCCCATACTTCGAATGCGGCCGAATAGGCCCCGATCCGGGCGTAGGCTTCCATGAGGGCATTGTAGAGGGGGATATCGGGAGTCACGATAGATTCAAGTTTAAGGGTATTGTGAATCTCCGTAATGGCGCGGTGGAGGCTATCGAGTTTGGTCTGGCGGTAGACCGGGTCTGAAGAGGCTTTACGGGATTTGAGCGCCTGGTGCCCATAGTTGGACAGCAGAGACGTCAGGATCTCAGGAGATGGGGGGTATCCCGCCTTCCTCATATCCTTGATCATCTCCATGACGTATCCGGGCGTCGCGAATGAAGATGCGGGGGTAGAGTGAGCGATGAACGCCGAGATGATGGCCACGTAGGCCTTGGCGTCAATGAGGGACGGATCGAGCGCATACATGTGCGCATAGTTGTTGAAGGCGGCGTAGTGGTCCGGGGACGCGCGGATGAGGATGATGACGAGGGAAGTGAGCGCCGAGGTGGATAGGGCGAGACCGGACCGCCGCATATCCTTGAGGAACATGATGGGCATGTCTGGATCGGCCGTGGTGTGCGTATCGGCATATGCCCGGAAGAGGGTGGAGTAGATGGCGAGTAGCCGCGCCCGCACGGTAGAAGTACTAATGACTGGGTTGCGGGAGACGAGGTCCTTGTAGACGTTGAGCGCCGCGGGCAGGTCGGGCGGGTCGAGGGCGCACAGGGGGAAGATAAGGGATTTGGCAATATGCGTATCGATGAGGACGCCCCGCGAGCGCACCTCCTCGTATAGCACCAGCCGCTGGTCCAGGTCGACGAGATTGAGAATCTCGGCCCAGGTAATGCTGCCCAGCTTGGCATTCCACCTGACCTCGACGTCATCCACCGTGTTGAGGATATCCGAGGGGTCTTTTCGGAGCTGGTACATGACCAGGAACCCTAGGGCTTTGGCGTACGGCTCTATCCCTAACTTCTTCATCTCCTCCAACGCCTCCTCGACGCCCTTGACGCTGTTTTGCGCAATACGATAGTCGAGCGTCGCGTTCCAGAGGATAGGATCGTTCCCCTGATCCCACGCCTCGACGATCTTTCCCGCCCGCCCGATATCACCCAGCTTCAGGTGGATACCCACCAACTCCACCTCTCCCTCCCGCTGGATCCATATTCCCCGCTCTTTCGTCTCTGCAAACAGCTGCCGGAGCCGCCGCCTCGCCGTCGAATCCTCGGGCATGTCGAAGCGCAGATGACGCAAAAGAAGGGTATAGTCCGCCGACGATAGCTTCTTCCCGTCCTTTTCCGCCTGCGCCTTGAGACGCTCTTCCACCTTCGGCGCAAGGTCCAGCTCATGTCGTACCGCCCCAGCCAGAAGAGCCCGCCAATCCTCCAGATCCGCATCCGCATGTCCCTCCGCCCACTGTATCGCCTCTTCCACCTTGCCCGCGCTGCACAACCCCCGCAGTACCGTCCGGTTGTGCTTCTTCATCGTGGGGAACCCCCATTTCGGCAAGTCCCCATAAATCCGCTTCAACAGGGTCAGCGCCGCCAGGTCCGACCGGCCAGATAGGAACGTCATGGCCTGCATGACTTCCCCAGATTGTAGAGTCCGCTCGGCCCGCTCCGTGACCAAGTCCAATGTGAGACCGCGAGATCGTGCCAGATCGATCTCGCCGAGGAGAGAGTCGTACGATTTCCGGAGTCCGCTGATGGAGCCGGAGGAGAGAGCTTTGAGAAAGTCGGCGTGGGCATCCTCGAGCGAAGGGGCGGGCGGACGACGCTGGGATTTGAACCAGGTAGATACGCCTGCAGAGGGAGGAGTGGAGGTAAAGAGGCGTTTATGAGAGGGGGATGGGATGATGTGGTGGGTTGCGCAGATGGCACAGCGGATAGTAGGGCGAGCTCGAGAGGTGGATGCAACGGAGGAGAGGGCTTTCGCGGCCAGCTGGGTCGATCGGGATGTCATCTTGCAGATGTCTGGTCGTCAGGTCGGACCTCAAGTGGAAAAGATGGTGCTGTAGCTCACGCACTGATCTCAGGCTACTTGAAGCCGGTGGTGGTCTGCGGTAGCTGGCTCTGAGAAGCGACCTGGGGGAGGAAGATGATAGACACTCAAGGGATAGAGGCAGCCAAAATTCAAAGTTCCAGCTGAGGAATTCGGCATGCCGTAAACCCCTGGTGCCTCGCTGCATGGCTCGCTGCAGAAGGACTGTGACCGACTATGACAGTGAGGAGACTGGGTGGGCGTCGAGCAATGACTAAGGAGCAGCTAGAAGGATTTCAGGTATGGTGGCCATACTGCTACAACTGTAGAATCGGAAAGCTAGATGGATACAATCGCCAGCATCACCGAAGATACGCCTATCCGGTTATGCGAGCTCGGCTTCAACATCCGCCTTTCGTTTCCTCCCTCGCTTCTTCTTCGGAGCTTCCTCAACCACAATCACCTCCTGTTCCTCCATCTCCACATCACCTCCCTCTGGTCTTTCCGGCGCGACTGGCTCCCCGCCCCTCCATCTACCGCCGACAGCCTCCATCCACCCTTCCACATCCTCGCATCCCTCATCCTCCCTCCCCAGCCATCCCGCAGTCTCATTCCACACATACTCATTGGCCAGCATCTCCTCAATGAGCCTGTACCCCTCCTTCGTCGCGTACTGCACGCCAGTCCGAGGATGCCTGTACTTGGCTGGTAGGCCTGTGAATGGGCATGTGGGTGGACGACGGGTGAGTGGGCGATTCCGTGCGGGAACGTGTTTGGTACTGGACCAATCGGTGTGCTCGCCGAGAATCAGAGAGAACTCGGCGGGGAGACCGCCGGGGACTTGGGAGAGGATGAGGTAGTTTCGGGTGTAGGGAAGTTCGGGCGCGGATAGGGGATCGGTACTTGTGGCAAGGGGTACAGGGGGTGCGGTGATGGGTGCTGAGGGTACACTTGTTGCGGCGATCGGCGCGGATGCCGAAGCGGGGTAGCCAGCAGCGAGACCGTTAGGTGCGCCGGCCTGTGATGCTGGAGCAGGAACGGACGTGTCGGAGGGATGTTGTCCCGTTGTCGTCTGCCTTTCCGCAGCGGACGGTGGGAGAAGAGGTATCCCCGCTACCCCTTGCGGTACCGCCTCCCTCTCTACTACTTCCACCACCTTTCCGACCGTCCGACTGACCCATGTCCATCTAGGTCCCTTGACTCTCTTCCTCCCCACCCTTCTCAATTCCCTTCGTTCCTCCTCCCGCCTCAACCAATCCCTCAACGACTCTTTGTTCCTCTCCTCCTCTTCTAGCGCAGCAGCAATCAGCTCATCCTGCGTCATTGCCCTCACACCCCTCACTTCTCCACCCTCATGTAACGCCTTCCGTCCCTTCTTGTTTGGATTCTCCTTGACTTGCCGCTCTTTCGCTAGAATCTCCTCTTCTGTGCGAAGTGTGCTGGCGCGGAGATTGGAGCGGCGGACCTCGGACCGGCCAGCGCGTTTCGCTTCGCGTCGCTGCTTCCGGAGAGCTAGGACGAGGGTAGAAGGAGCCATGGAGTCTGGGTCGAGGAGTGGGTCGAGAAGCTCAAGCTTGGACGAGGAGGGCGTCGCATTGTCATCTCCGTCGAGAAGGGGAGCGGGTGCGATAGTGGATGTTGAGGGCCTCTTGATGGGGGGTATATGAGGGTTGTAGATAGCTTTGGCTTTGCCTTTTGCCTTTCCAATCAGCTCCATGTCGACTCCTTGGTAGAAACACCCACTTTGCGCCGCTCCTCGCGCCGCATCAACCGCTCCTGCTCCTCTTCATCCATCTCCACCTCCTCGTCCGTATCCGCAAAGTCCTCCAGGAAAACATCCCTCGTCTCCTCTGCCGTGGTCAGCGCGATTTGTATCTCTGTGACTTGCTGGTACATACGGGGCGCAGCAAACTCCTCATCATCCTCTACTTCGCGAAACAGCTCATCCTCATCTTCCTGGTGAGCCTTCTCAAGGAGCTCCCGCATCCTGCTAGTCAGCTTCAGCTCGTCAGCGATACATACCGATTCCCCGCGGTGGATCGTTTGGAGCGCCCGAGGGCGAGCGTCTCTGTCATCGCGGGCAGGTCTCAACTGGGGAAATGTAGACAGGTGAAAGGCAAGAATCGTCGCAGCAGTGGTCGCGCGCGGATCCGGATCAGCTGGATGTTTATGCCGGCATGGCTGACCTGTACTTCGCTGCGACAGTGCTGCGACCAACTGCATTGCGCGTCGCTGAGTCCAAGCTGACGGAGGTGCCGACAAAAGAGAGGCGTACGGCCAGAATCCTACCTGGGTTGCGGACCCGGGACTGATCAAGCTGCTGGGAGCGCTGGGACTTGACAGACAGTAAGTGGGGAAAACGACGCAATGCCTGACAGTCAAACATCAAAAAGGTATACACCGTAAGGGAGTCGAACCCTTGCCGCATCCAATAAACCTGATTAATGGCAAGGATGCATGATACCGTTTCACCAACGGTGTCGGTGAAAGTGACGACGTTTGATAATATATAATACTTACAAAACAGACACAGCTATGCTTTGCTAAAGACTGGAGGACTCGCAAGCTTACGCGCCGTCGGTCGAGAGCTCATCGAGAGGTCAGTCGGCGGCCCTTACAGCAGCTTGCCCACCTCAACTCTGCACAATGGCAGAGGTATGGCTTGTCAGATGTGAAGAACTGTGGTGAGAGACTCGTCCCCGTCCGATCTTCGAAAGCAGGAGATCTGCAACCGGGACACAATCATGAGTCAAGTTTGTGAGCTGATCAGACATGTTAAAAGGTCATTCAGGATGGTATCGATAGCTAGCACATCGTCCCTCAGTAGATAGGTCAGATTGCCGTCAGGTCAGTCAGGATGATGCCTTGACCCAGGGATGGGTAGGAAGGTCGAGGTGGCTCCTAAGGGATTTTGGCAGGTCAGAAGCTCACATATCGCTACAGTAGAGAGAAAACCCAATGTCCAGATGGGCTAAAAATACAGCCCTTATAGATACAATTCAGTCAGGATCGGTAGCTTGGGCAAGAGGCCAAGCTGACCAGGATTCTGCCGGTGAGGGAGGAGGGGAGAAGGATTGCCGCTGCGAGACGCGGGGAATACGTGTGCTGGTGCTCGTTGTGTTCTGTGTGTTGGTGTTCGTTGTGCGCTGTGAGAGCCGGTTGTAGGCGTTCGATTGTCGTTGAGTGCGGGTAAGCTGTCGAGCAAGGGTATGCGGTGTAAATAAGTTTTAGTGAGCTGCATGATCAGCTTCATACTGCATCATTGCGGATCTGGCTGCGCGTACTTCGTTGCCGCGTTTCAGAAGACGAGTTCGAGCGAATATGTCATTGTATTCCGAGTGCGATGGTTTCTGTCAGTCAGCTGCGGTATCTCAACCATCGCGGAAGAGAAGATCAACATACCGTTGAGTGCAGTGTGCTGTAGGCTCAAGAGTTTTGTCCTGCTAGCATGCTCTGGGGAGCGCTGAGTGCGAGTGCGGTGAATGCTGAGCCGGAGGGGGAGTGCTAGATTGCGATACCGTCTCCAAGAGGAGGCCGAGCTGGGACTACTGAGTGCGTTGATTTCGTTGAGTACGAAGCCGACGAGGTCGCAGGCTACGAGATCAGCTCCTACTCTTTTTCCTCTCCTACAGGCGTATGGCTCACTTTTCCATGGGGTGATCCGGAGAGAGAAAACACCGTTGGGCTCGGTGAATGCGTTGAAGAGGTCATTTCGCATGGTCAGGCGGGGCGACCAGAACCAGCAGTCCTCCGTCTCCTTGTCGATTTCATTGTGTTCTCTGAATGCTGAGGGCTGAGTGCAGTGTTCTTCGCGTGTGCGTTCCGGGTACGATGTGCTGATCACGTCAGCCACGCTCAGCGTCATCATGAGCAAGATCCAGGAGAAAGTTACACTTACTCATTGCGGTGTACCTCTTGGGGGAGAAGTGGCGTTAACGCGTGCTCTGGGTGCTCGGTACGTATAGCCCTTGAAGGAGACCATACGGGGTACTCAGCGTTCGAGATGGAGCGACCAAAGAGAGAAGGGGGAAGGGCAAGGCGCGACCTTATATCGGGGAAGCCAAGTTTCAGGCACGCCTTACCCCGTGTTTCAGATCGGGCTTATCGTAATGCCGCGAGGAATGTGGCGCCCCGGGCTGCTACCATGGATCCCATTTGACAGTCTCGGAGGTATCACATATCGCTACAAATATAGTCAGGAAGAGGTCTTGGCTGGGTTATCACTGACAGTGGGCTTAAACAACGAGACAGTCCGCTGCGAAGGGGATTTCAGTGGATGAGAATGGTCGCAGAAACGGAAGCTGGGTTGCTGCAGCTGGGAGCTGGTCGCAGTGGAAGTTTGGCAGTCGGTGTCGCTCGGACTACGCAGTCAGCTCGCCTCTGAGGAGCGAAGGAATCGTAACACTCAAATCGGTACCGGTGTCCATAATCCGACAGGGACGCGAGGTCTCGCCCTGTTTATGATGATGGGCCGGGGAAGCATCATGCGCAGTGGTTCTACGTGATCAGCTAGGCTGAGACATGGGACAGCGCAGACATAAGAGGTATGACGTACTATTACATACAGTATAGCCGTGGAGAGAGTATTTCAGTCTTAATGTGATGTGTTTAGTCTGACTTGGTTGTTCGAGCTGTATGTCAGCCAGGGACCCAAAGCGCAAACATGGGGAATGAAGGACTGCACCTAGATTTCTGGGCAGTGGAGTTGCGCTGGTCGAGGCTCTTCTGCCCCCTACTCGAGTACCGTGGGATTTGCTCGAGCCCAGTCTGTTCCGCTCGTGTTTCGACCAATCGCAGTCTCTCGAGTCCGTGGCCATCGATCACTCAGTCGCTCGAGTCGGCCGTGGTCATCGATCATGCGAAGCCGGAGAGGTAAGAGCCCAGTCCGACTTCATCAGCTACTAGAGTCAGCTTAGCTCCTCCGTCTCCCGGATCAGGACGAGTTAGCTCACTGAGCTGATGTCCTCCGGAGGAGAGAGCATCACATCGATGAAATACTATCGAGCCTGGTCAGGCCGGAAGTTGAGAGACAGGCCTGATGTCTTGGTGATCGATTCTCCTTGGCGGTGCCTTCAGTGGGCAGTATCTCCTTGGAGTTTTCTGCTCTTGTCAGCTAGACTTCTTCGCCGTGGTCCGAGGGAAGATAACTCACTCATCGGAAAATCCCCGGGGAGAGGGATACCGAGATGCATTGGAAGTCAGTCCTCGAGACGTATATGACCAGTGAGAGTGTCATCTACGGGGTACAAGTTGAAAGACAATGTACCAAAGGGTGAAAGAAGGACGAGTCGGTCAGCTTGTATAGGACTGAGCGGGCACGGAGAAGAGAAGCAAAGCTCGGACGTCGAACTGCGGGACTACGGCGCTGGGACCATACCTTGTTTCAGAACGGCGATATCGTAGCTTAGCCCCGGGGGGAATGTGGCAGCACGGCGTTTTTTCTCCCTCCCTCGGCTGTCATTACTCAAAGGCCAACCCAGGATGGAAATCAGAGACCCCATGAGGCGTCCTCTCGCGCAGTGTCGCTGATGTATGGGAACCATCGGCTGTCTCGCACGGTGGCCATGGATATCTAGCCGACAAACGAGGTGTAAACCGTGCCGAGCAGCGCTGCTCACAGCCTGACGCAGTGGAAAGGACAGCAGGCAGGATGACATATCGCTACAGATAAGAAAGACAACATGCTCTAGAGGCAGACAGTATACCTTAAAATACAGCTTGGATATTAATGGCCAGCAGTCGGCCGAAGTACAGCCGAGTAAGACCGCAAAATTGGTCAGGCCGAGTGGTCGAGGACTTCGAGCTGCATCATCAGCATGGACGTAAGGGTTATGATAAAGTGTGGACCCGTAAGAGAAGAACGGGCAGGATAGGGGGAGAGAAGGAATAAAGATGCGACATACCCGTGGAAGCAGAGCGAGTCCGGAGAGGACCGAAGACCGAAGGAGGCGATTGTGCAGTCCTTGCCGAGCGTGTGGCCGATACCAGAGCAGGGCGAGATTCCCTCGAGAGAGAGCCGATGGGCGCAAAAGCGCAGCGAGACCGACGCCTTGGAAGGGCCTGAGCGGTACCAAGGCGCGTGTAGCGGCCGAAAGAGAGCGCCGAGATCAGCTATGAAGTTAGCTTCGGTCCACAGCAGAGCGGGGTAGGATAGTATCGCAGATAAGCGAGGACGGAAAGAACATACCTGCCAATGTGACAGCCGGTCAAGGAGAGATTCCGAGCGCGTCGAGTGGAAGGATTCCCCTCAACGGGCTTAAGGCACGGCGAGAGCCGAGCGGGTCAAGTAGACCAGTGTCCGCTGGAGGAGCAGAAGCAAGCGATGGGCCAAGAGCTGGTGCGTGAGACCGATACCGCGCAAGAAGACGGACGTGGGGCACCGGAAAGACCAAGAGGGATACCGGAAGAGACGACCGACCGATCCTACGGCCGTAGGAGGTTGCGGGTATCGGATAGCCGTAGACGATACCGAACGCGGGTCGAGTGACGTGGGAGCGCAGCTGCACGAGCGAGACCGAGGCAAGCCGATGCTGCGCCAGGAGGGCCACGCACGAGCCGAGAGGTCCGAGGAAGACGCCGATTGCTGGTCGAGCAGAGTAGGGGCCCGGCTGGACCAGCGAGACCCAGAAAGACCGACCATGTACCAGGAGATGGACGCGGGGGTCAGGTGTTCCGTATGCCGAGCAAGCCGAGCGCAGGTCGGGCGGAGGAGTCCGGCCGGACAAATGGAGCCGAAAAAGACCGATCCCGCGGCAGGAGGCCGCCGCGGGAGTGTCGTAGATGCCGGACGATAAGCCGAGCTTCTGGCCAGCCGGGTCAAGGCCGGCTGGATAAGCGAGTCCGAAAAAGACCGAGGAAGACCGATCCCCGCGCCAGGAGGCGGACGCGGGGGGTCTTGAGGCGGAGTGAGGATAGCCGATCCCCCGCCGATAATGGACGACGGGGTGGAGATCCGAAAGGCCGCGGCAGAAGCCGAGCGTATGCCGAGTCGAAGCCAGGTCGGTTGTACGAGGTACAAGCGGGTCCGAGAAGAGACCGAGGAAGACCAGTCCCGCGCCAGGAAGCGGACGCGGTGGTCTTTGAGCGGGATAGCCGAGAGAATATCCGTGGATCTTGTCTGAGTGCCGCAAGGTGGACGCAGACGGCTGGACCGATCGAGGTAGCGGGCTCGAGAGGCCAGGTCGAGGATTGGAGCTGAATCATCAGCTGTAGTTCATACCAGCGTCTGAAGTAGGGAGCTTACAAGCCAATCGGGAGATTTATAGCGTGACCTTGACGGCGTAGGATAGACGTCAGGTCGCTAAGGTGAATCAGCTGCATTCCCCGCACGAAAGCAAGATTCTAGGGTCAGAAGCTAAGCTTACATTTCAAGGCGAAGACGCTGGTCGTGCGGGCGAAACCGTGGTTTGGCCGGGCAGGTCAAGGCGGTGGGTAGCGCGTCGGCGAGGTACCGGCCGACGGTAGCTGTCGATAGCCGTTCGGGTAGGCGCACCGCGAGGCCAGAGCCAGAGCGGGTACGGGGTCGAGGTCGAGCAGTCTGGTGCCGCTCGTTGAGAAGCTGTCCCTGACTTGAAAGAAAGGAGGTAGCGGGTCATTCTCGTAGGTGCGATAAGTAAGGGCGTTGTTGCCATTGCCAGAGCGCGAGCTGTATGGGTCAGCTTTGACTTTACTCGCAAACATGCATAGTAGTGACAGCTCACGTCAGAAGGGTGACCTAATCGGAGGAGCTGATTGATCAGCTACAATTCAGTGAAGCAGTCGCATCAAGGGAGTTGACTTACGTGTTCCCACTCGTTGCTCTCTCGGACCGCCTCGCCTGGTGAAAATCAGCTGGCGGGCTGAACCAGACTAGCTGGATAGAGAGCGGTTTAGGTCGGATCGGGCCTCGTGCAGTCGATTGACGCTGAGCGAATCGAGAAGCGGGTCGAGGGGTGATAAGCTGGACGCGTTCAAGGTCGATCGGCGCTGGTCACGTCAGCCAAGCTAGAGACAGACTGAGAAAGCTGCTGGCAGACTCACTGTTCAGAGTACGCCCTGCGAGGGGTAAGCTGAGCCGATGTTGCCATTCCGATCAGCAACGACAGCGAGAGCCATCGTAGCAGACGGGTCTGGCGCGTTTGGTGTGCCTCTCGGAGGAGGCAGGCGGTGGTCGATCTCGCTGGGATGATGCGCTGGGGGACGCTCATTGCCGCTCGATGCTGAGCGTCAGCTAATCTCCAAGAAAAAAAGGTAAGTCGAAGGAAGGGACTTACGGGTCAGGCAGTCGCAGAGCCGGCTGGTGGGTCATTCTCGTTGGGTTGATACGCTCGAGGACGTTCAAGCCTTCAGGGTAGCTCGACACTGCGGGCTTCAGCTAAGTCCAGAATGAGATGACAGATCAGCCAACGGAACCAGTGAGCCTACTCGTCAGGATCCGCCGTGGGAGAGGTGGACTGAGCCGATGGGGCCAGACCGTCTATAGGTAGTAGTGAGAGCTACCTGTAGATCGGTCTAGCGGGGTCAGATCAGCTCGCCTTTGAGGCGGGCTGGGGTCATGCTCGTTGGGTCGATACGTCCGGAAACGTTCGTTGCCGCTCGACACTGTAAGATTAGCACCAAGTCCACAAGAACAAGAGTCGATATCAAGCAAAAATGACTTACTCGTCGGAGCCGCCGGGGAGAGATGTACCCGCGACGATGGGGTCTTGCTCGTATTCGATAGCCGCGATGAAGCGGGTACCGAAAGGTTCAGATGGCCCATCGCTGGAAGGATGGACCGGACGCGCTCGGGTCGAACATCATAGCATAAGCCATGTTGAACGACAGGGGGCAGATCGCAAGGGTCGAGAGGGGTTCGACGCTCGAAGGGCCTATCTCGAAGGGGAATGGCCAGGTCGAGACATACCGGCGGGAGAAACCAGGTACGGGTACTGCGATCAAGAGAGAGAAGTACGAAGGGAGAAGAAGAGATTCGTTTGGGGTCCTCTATATGGGGTTGACAAGGTGAGGAGGCGACCGAGCTTGACGGGCGCAGCGACCGTCAGGCACGCCGGTCGTGTTTCAGATAGGCGATACGATATCGCCGGCGCAGTGTGGCGTTTCAGATAGCCTGCATGTCCTCCAAGATCTCATCTACAGTTTAATCTGAAAAGGTTGCCTTAGCATCATCCGCCAGGATCTTGCAGAGTCGGTCCCGCTGGACACAGTTGTCTGCGCTGTCAGCATTTACTATCAGTCGAGAACCAGATAGACGTACTCAGCAAGAAGCTCTTCGCCAGCTCATCCAGCTCAGCCTCACTCTTGCCCTCAAAGAGCAGCACAAACTCCTTCAATAGCTCTTCCTATTCGGTATCAGCTCCTGTCCACCGCGAGAGGTGGAGCTGCTCACCGAAAGGAGTTGTTCCCGGATGACCTTTGAAACATGCCTCGTCGCACTCCACGTAGGGGGATACCGCGACTTGAAACCAGGCACAGTCTCCTGTACCCACTTGACGATGGGGTCAAAGAGGTGTCGGACCTCCTTGTCGTCGACTCCCCACTGATCCGCTGCGAGGCGCTATCATCAGCCCTATCTCGAGGAAGAGCTCACCTTCTTGCGCTCATTGGCGGGACCGATGAGCTTCATCCATGGTGTGTCTTTGCCGATGTTGACGAGACCCTGGAAGCCGACGTCTACAGTCAGATATGTCAGAGCTGACGCTCACCTTTGTATAGCCAGATGGCCCAAGACGCCTTGTCCCGAGCGTAGATGTCGATCTGGTCCTTGGCGACATCGTATCGCGCGTCGTTCATCTCCTCCCAGTTTGAATATCCGTCTTCCGGCGAGACGTAGACAGGACCGAACTCGCCAACCCATACAGGGCCCTACATGGTCAGCTCGTCTTATCTCCATCGCTCATAGCAGCCGGTGGAGAGGAAGCTCACGTTGATCTCGCGCATGTACTCTGACTTCCTAGCGTAGTTCTTCTCGTGGTACGCCTTTTGCTCGGCAGTCCCCTTGAACATCTCAGGCGGGTTGGGGAAGCCATACGCTGAGTAGTCGTGAGCGGCGTAGACGCAGTTCGGGAGCGGCTTGACCTCGGAAAACCGGCGGAAGTCGGCTCCGTACGTGCTGAACATGAGCTTGACTTGCGGGAGATAAAGGGATCCGGACTTACTTGCCACTGAATGGTCAGCTCAGATCCCTCGCAGAAGGCTACGGAAGGATTCATCCAAACTCACTCGAGGAAGAGGATATGATGCGGATCTACAGCCCGCATCGCCTTCTCCACTTGAACATACCAGTCCAGCAAGCGAGTGTGGTGCTCGTCCGCGGGCTCATTGAGGGGGTTGTAGCCAGCGACCCAGGTGTTGTCCTTGTACCTCTATCTGATCAGCCTGATCCTGCGCCGAGAGCACGAGCAGAAAAGAAGGGTCTCACCTCGGCCATGTTGGCCAGAAGGTTGATGGCGCGGTCCTGGAAGTCTTTGTGGTCCCAAACTGCCGATCAGCCGTGGCGCCTAGCGAATGACCAGGCAGATAGCGAGACTCACAGGTTGCATGCGAAATGCCCGAATCGCAGTGCCAGCCTTGACTCTGGCCTGATACTGTCAGCTTTTGCATTGGCTCCGTGATAAAGGCGAGGCTCACCTCCAGGAGCAGTGTGCAGGTCGATGATCGAGTAGATTCCATACTTGGCGCACTGGATGTCAGTTCAGTCCATGCCCCAGCTGGTTCAGCCTAGACTCACCAGGTCGATGACTCTGTCAAGATGCTTGTACCCGCTCTCCTTGATTACGCGGGGGTTCATATCGTCTTCAAAGTGCCTGTAGCCGACCTTACATCAGCTCTGCTAGAGTGGATGACTTACGGGAAGCCGAATCGAGTTGAACCCGAACGAAGCGTACAGCTTCGCGTCCTCCTCGGTGAACCAGTATTCCAGGAACTGCACTGTCAGCTAAACTCCACCATGTACTACATCTCTCAGCTCACCTTGTCAAAGAAGAAGTCGGCCTTCTTCTCTCCCAGTACACTCTTCATGCTCGCCCTGAACTGGTGCTCGTGCCCCTGCAATGTCAGCTAGCTAGTCGGAGCTCCTGTTGGCGAGCGCGTGAGCTCACCGGGAAACCATTGATAAAGTTCTCCATGCACACTATCATCAGTCACAGTCAGGCTTCACGACTCACTCCATCCTCCCAGCGATGCGCCTGATAGGTCAGTTGCAGCTCCAAAGCGCGTAGGCAGGAGACCTACCCTTCAGGATGATGGGCTTGCCATCGCGCACGATCTCGTTGCCCCGGACTTGCAGGAATGAGCTCATGATTGCTGATCAGTAATTCAGTATGAGTGAAGATGGAGAGAGCAAGTCCTGTCCCATGCCCACCCCTCTGCAGCACCATGAGCTCCAAGGTTCTGCATACAGACGGACAGAGCATGGTCTGGACAACCAGAATAGCAGCTGACCGACCTTCGGGCCGAGTTGGCCTGAATTCGGCCGCCATTCCAGCGAGATTAAACCGGTCGCTTTCCTTTAATCCCGAAGCACCATCTCCGACTCCACGCTTTGTCATTCTCCATCTCCGAGTCCAATACCGGTGATATCTGAGGCGACTTATCCTACACCTTCAGAAAGAGAGCTGCCGAGTTGTGCCGCGACTGCATGAGCGTCATGCCAAGTGCTGACAGTCAGCTGACATGGATGCCGCTGGATGTCGAGGGGTTGCCTTTCGCCCGAACCGAATTCCCCTGCCCGCCTCTGCAGTCTGCCGACTCTAATTGAGTTCGATCAAGACCTCCACTTCAACTAGTGGAGCTAGCATGGCTGCCGGCTGCCGGCTCCGTCCTCTGTCTGACACTGACGGGCAGAGATCTCCTCGTGACGGGCGAGATCTGCAACCCCCCGACATTGATCCGCAGTAGCGAATGACCAGTCTTGGGTAGGCCGATTCCCGGAGTTGGCCACTGACTGTCTCTGGCGGTCCAGACCCATGTTAACCATATCTACCTGACCCCTCTTTCGCTGCCCACTTGAACAGTCCCAAACCATCACCCCCAAGAACTCAACATCATGGCTGGCGGTTTCGCAGAACTACAGAGTGAGCGGTCTGTCCTGGACGTGCCATGAGCTCCAGCTGACCTGGCAGACAATGCCAACCCGATATGGTACCGCGACAAGGGTCTGCGCAAGATGTCCCTCCACGTCGTCATGATCTTCTTTGCGGTCTTCACCTTTGGATATGACGGAGCGTACCTCAACGGCCTGCTCATCGTCCCGGCGTGGGGAAAGTACTTTGGGAATCCCGCGGGTCAGGATCTTGGCTTGATCACTGCTTCGTTCTACTTCCGTGAGTCCTCTCGAAAGCAGGAGCAGAGTCGTAATTGACCCTGCAGCCAAGATCATCACCCCGCCCCTAGCCGCCTGGATCAGTGACAAGTACGGTCGCCGAGTGTCCATCATGGTCGGATCGGTGGTCACGCTCGCTGGCGGTCTCTTGGGCGCCTTCTCTACATCCCGTGGGCAGTTTATCGGCGGTCGAGTCATGGTGGGCGCGGGTCAGGCCTTTCACCAGGCCGTCGCTCCTCCTCTTCTGCAGGAGCTGGCTCATCCCGTAAGTCATTCCCATTCCCGACTTGGCTTCAGCTGATTGCTAGCGTGTCCGAGGTATCGTAGGCGCCATGTACCTCGGTATCTTCTTTGTCGGTAGTATCTTCTCTGCATTCCTCACTCTGGGCATGATCAACTGGGACAGTGAATGGGCTTGGCGTCTTCCCACCCTCCTCCAGGTTCTTGGGTATGTCACTCCATCCCTGACTGATCGTGAAGCTGACTTATCAGCACAATCATCATCTCATCTTACATCCTCGCTGGACAGATGCCCGAATCGCCACGATGGCAACTCCGAAACGGTCGAGGCGATCGCGCACTGAAAACCCTCGCCGAGCTCCACGCCAATGGCGACGAGAACGACGAGCTGGTCCGGTATGAGTTTGCCGAGATGGAGGAGAGTCTGAGGGCGGACGAGGGTGCAGCAACAGTCAGCTATCTCGAATTCTTCCGGACGCATGGGAACAGAAGAAGGTTGCTCGTCACTTGCGTCGTCGCTGCCGGTGCCCAGCTCGGGGGTAATACCTTGACGTGAGTTGGCTGTCCTTTATCTACCTTGTCGATGCTCATCGTTCGTGGTTCGTACTACCTTGCCCCCATCCTCCGCCTCATAGGCATAACGGAGCCGCCTCGTCAAGCAGGCATCAACGCTGGCCTGTCGATCTGGGGACTGGTCTGCGTCATGACCGCCGCCCAATTTATCGATCGGCTCGGAAGGCGGGTTCTCTGGATGCAGGGGTTGATTGGGATGTTTATTTGGTTCAGCTTCATCACTGCTCTCTCCGTGAGTGTCTGCTGTATCGTTGGATCGTTGTTCGTGGAGGCGCTGATGATGCAGGGCGCATTCGCATCCACCGGAAGTCAAGCCATCGGGACTGCCGTAATCCCATTCCTCTTCCTATTTCAGATGGCCAACACCACATCCTTCACCACTGTCGCTTATATGTGTGAGTGTTCTGAGTTCTGACGGATAGGTGGAGCTGATCTGAACAGACGCGACCGAGATCAACCCCTATGCGCTCCGCTCGAAAGCGCTGTCAATCTACATTTCGGTGCAGGGCGGTATGTCTCCTCCACTTCTTCCATGTACTCCCGCTGACCTACACAGTCGCTCTCTCGTTTAATCAGTACGTGAACCCCATCGCGTTGGCGGTTCGTCTTCCTGCTCCCTACCATCTTTACCCCAAGCTGACCCTCAGGCCATCGCCTGGAAATACTACTTTGTCTTCTCCGGCATCCAAATCTTCCTCATCGTCTTTGCGTGGTTCTTCTTCCTCGAGACTAGGGGCTGCACCATCGAGGAGGCGTCGTTACTGTATGATGGACCCGAGGCGGTTGCGCGGGCGTCGGAGAAGGCGGCGCAGGACACGCACGACATGCCTGCCAAGAAGGAGGATGCCGAGCAGGAGTTTGTGGAGGGCGGAGATGTCAGGCGGACTGCTTAGTGGCTCGATCGTATGTAAGGGGCCGGATGTAATGTACTCTACTGCTTGCATCGAAAGCTGCTTCGGGCGTGGAGACAAGAGTGGTAGTTGGCCGCACCTGTCGACCTTCATCGTCTCAGGCTGTCTTTAAAGTGCCACATTCCTTGCGGCGTTACGATATCGCCGATCTGAAACACGGGGTAATCCGCCGTGCCTGACGCGTCTGACGCGTCTTGCTCCGCTCGACTGACTGATGCGCGCCTCGCCCTCTCCCCTTCTCTCTTTGGCACATTCTCCCCCATGTCTGCTGCCCCGTATACGACGACAGTAGTCTATACGCTTTATCCTAACCTATATCTCACAATAGCGTCATCTTGGCTCTCCCTCTCCCACGGGCTGACCATGATGCGTGAGTCTTCATCGGTTCATCCCTCACTGATCACTCCCATCACATGGCTCTAGCTGACTCGAGTAGCGGACAACACTACATGATCTGACCCTGACAACGGCTGGAACGGATACTACATACAACGAACAAGTAAAACTACTGGACCACAATACAGCAGACCGCTGGGTTTGGCCTGCCGGCCCAATCTATCGTGACGCCTTACTACAGCGCTACGATGTACGCGTGACTGATGTCTTTCCCTCGGAGACTCATCAGTACAGTAAGCTTCAGATTCTCCAATCTCTGACTGGGAGAATCTGAGCTGATCAGATAGACAGCGAAGTCGGCTTGGGCTCTTACCTCGTCGGTCTCGCTACATCACCATCACACTACAATACAACTACGCGAGCTCGGCTTCGCTGCCGAGCTCAGCACAACTACAGCACTTACACTACCCGACCAAAATAACTACCGGACAGTTAGACAGATGGGACCGCAAGGATAAGTAAGCGAATTGAATTGCACAGCAGACAATGGTGGGTTCTCGTTTCGATGCCCAAGCGAAATGCCAAGCTGAAGCTGACCTGCTGAGAACATCTCACCACACAAAATACACAGCGCGGCTCCTACAGGAGGTATCCAGATCAACAGGGTCTATTCAGGGTGAGGCTAGCCTTATTCGCATTAGCGAAGACCTTTGCTGACCGAGTAGAGGCCTATGCGAACGGCAAATCAACAGCGCGGACCACTACATACAGTACAATATGACTACATGTAATAGTACTACAATTATTGCTCTCGCTCCGATGGTTTGGGTCGGGTACTACTAACTGCTGATGCGCAGCAAGACGATAACCTAATCTAATACTGAGTGTTCGCTAGTGTCGGTGATCAGGTCAAGTCTGGACAGGCCAGCTAAGCCAGTATGGTATGTACATCATCATTGGCAATGGCCTGGGAATCTACCTGGCCCCGAAGAAACCCACCGCCCCGCTCGGGTCTCCTCCACTACACATTGCTCGCTACGGCAATCGCGGTGAGGAGGGACCCAGCCGTCAGCAGGTTTGGAAGCGTGAAAACGCTTCGGCTCGGCCGGCGCGATGCAGCAGAAGAGGACATAGTGGCGTTGCGATCCCGATCCCGATCTCCGCCGAAAAAGTTTGCGAGAGCTGCGCCGCCTGACTTCCTGACGATCGAAGCCGAGGACAGGGATTGAGAAGTATTCGTTGCGTCCGCAGCCCTGACGTCGAGAGTCGAGGCAAACGGAGATGGGATGTCGGCTGAGGCGTTTCTGGCTCCAGCGCTGCTCTCAGTAGAGCTGTTCAGAGTGAGAGTGGAAATGGGCGCCATGTCAGATATTGTTGCAGGGCACGGGAATGGTCGAGGGGTGCTAGAAGTGAGGAGTCTGGAACAAGTCGGTAGGACGCGGAGGGCGTGATAGTGCGTCCGCTGCCAGTTGACCGCCTGGTGCGCACGAGTCCCGCTCAACAAAGGTCCATCGCGACTCGTACATAGCCCCGCTAAGCTGTGCCTCTACCAGCCCGTTCGAACGCGTTTGGAATCCGACTCTTTTCATGTCACCAGCATGAACTCAGGCAGTATATATGGGGCGGAACTCCCAGATCAAGGGATCCGTCATGTGGCCATGTGGCGACACGCGTTTCGGCATGCCACATCGTGCTCGAGTCTAGGGGCTAAGGAGATGAAGACGCTAACGCCTACTAGCACCTGCTGTACAGCACAAGGCAGCACAAGGGACCCCAGGTCCGATACACGTATGAACCCAGGACACTTCCAGGGGCCGACAAAGGGTGCTCAGAACGGAGCACGTTGAAAATTTATATATCGATGATGATCCAGGCCCCATGGCACCCATAAGGTGCGCCGAAGCGCCATTGCCACAAGGGGTGCCTCAAGTCAGACACGTTACAGCCAGACTAAGATCGGGAGACGGACGACGGACCGTGCTGCGCACTACGCACTCCAGGCTCACGCCCCTGGACTCTAATCGGGTAGATTATTGGCACTAAATGACCCACCGCTTCGAGCGTCCGTCAGCAGACATATATTGCACATCCTCACACCAAAGACCAACTCCCGGCCTCGAAGCTTCGGGACGAGCATTAGTGGTAGTGGTAGTGAGTTTTCACGCTACAACACCACCGCACCGCCACACTCGGGCTGCACCGCCTTACTCGCTCGCACTCCGAGAGTTGGAGCACGTCAGAGACCTGAGATCAAGGGATGACCCGTACTACACACGTTCGAGCCATATACTCGTCAAAGGAGTCGCTCGGGGATAGAGCATCGCCCCACCGCGTCGGTCCAGTCGGGACCTATAAAGGTGTAGACTTCCGCGCCCCGTCTCTCCGATTTCTCTATCTCCCCTCATCCCAGTCTCCCACAGCCCATTACCCACAACGGCCTCATCCTCTTGTCCTCGCCTGTCGCCATCACAGCACCACTACTCTCTCAAGGAACCCAACGTGAACACTGGCCCCATGGCTGACGGGACTCACGCGACGATCGCTTTGTCCGTTGATGATGTTCGAGGCTTCGAGCGTCACTCGACAGCCAATTGCTCACTCACATTCGCACTCCGCCTGGAAAACGCGTGTCCTTGGCCAAATTCAAGGCAGACCAACTGGCCATCATCGAGCAAGACTACATCGGCGACAAGGACCTCATTACCGAGCACCATGCGAATATCAAAGACTTATTCTCTACCCGCGACTTTACTTTGACAAGCGCCGCGACGGACCTGATGAATGGCAGGAGCATTGATGACATGGTTGATGGAATCTATACAAGGATCGATGCTTCTCGGCTGGAGGACAGGGCGAGAGGTCTATCGGAAGCCTCTGTATCCACGATCGCGTGGAGAGGACTGGCGGGAGATCTTGACAAGCTCGACAATCTGTTCTGGGATCTGAAGAACCACGTGAAAGATGATGGTGTGGCGAAGAAGAATCTCGCCGAGGCACTGTACAAAATCGCTTGTGATTGGAGCCGTCCCGACTCCTTCGAAGAGTCAGTGCGGGGGTTGGGTGGAATGGAGGACGGAGTCTGGACAGGCGTGACGAAATTTTACTCTGGGGTACAGGAGGAAAGGAAGGCAGCTTTTGCCCGAGTGGAGGAGGAGTCAATGCGGGGCACCGACAACCAGGCCGACGGACTCTCAGACCTGGGTGATGCGCGGGAGGACCAGGAAGGAGAGGAACGTGGGGGCGGCTCGAGTGAACCTGGAGGATCGGTCAGATGCTGGATGCCGCAAACCGCGAAGTCGTGGCTGACGACGGCTGCTGGGGCCGGAGCCCTTGTCGGACTGGGGGCTCTGGCTTGGGGTTCGTCCCGTGGAGCGTCGGGCACCGAGAACGAGGAGAAGTGAGCAGTGTCCGCGGCTGGCTACGAGTTTCGATGTGTTAGATGTCGTATATGCACAGTATGGTTGATTGTGTAATGTGCACAACGGTATCCTCTCATTGATCTCCTGACTCCCCCTGAGCGGGACAGCCAGATGATAACAGCTACTTTCACCGGGGCAAGGACCAAATCCTTCCTGTGCTCTTGCGCGTGAGAACTCACGGAACGGATCGCATCAGCACCGCACAGACGTGCCACGGTGCGGTGCGGCTGACTCAGGGGTCAGTCAAAGGATTCAGCGTGATGCACGCTCGAGCTCTGTCTCAGAGGTAGGATGAAAGGGGCGGTCGCCATGTCCGCTGCCGGCGCCATGGTCTTAGGAAAGTGGAGATTCCCACTCTCTGTTCCACTCTCTTATATATCACCTTCCCACTAGCCCCCCTCTCCGAACAATCTAAGATTTTCCTCATATACCTCCCCTTGCCACCCGTCACACCGTCACGACACATCAGCACCCGTCTCGCACATCATGGGATCCTCAACCCCCTCCAGCGACGACCAGTCCCCCCAGTCTCGTCTCCCGACGTACCAAGATGCCGTCTTTGATCATACGGGCCCGAAAATCTCCGATCCGCCAGAGAGATCACAGCGGTCAGGGGAAGGCAGTGTTTCGCCTACCCTGACGTCGCCGGAATCTGTGGACCTTCCGAGAGCATCTGAAGACTAGTGCGCCCCTGATGAGACAGGCCCTGAGGAGTAACGAGGCCGAAATGGAGACGTATCGAGAGGGCTGGAAGAAGGCGAAAACAGCTTCGTTGACTGTAGATGGGCTCCAAGCAGAGGCAGACAAGGTCTGAAAATCAGCTAGCTTGACGGGGACGGCTGTGTTGTGGGAACTGGCGTGCAACGTGCGGGGCTTGCTCTACCACCGCCAAGCCATGGATACTGCGCTCCCATGGCAGGAACACACGCCGGGTTACAACTTCTTCACGTACGTCGCTCTCCATGACGGGGAACACGGGAGTACTCCAGCAGACCAGACGGATCAGTCAAAGGTCGCGGTAACAAACGCTGCGTGGGACTTGATGAAGGCGATCAAGAAGAACATACGGGCCGAGCTGGTGGCGGAAGCCGCCGCCTCAGAGGTCGGAATAGAGTCAGCTGCAGCGACCGATTCTTATGTGACCGGCGAGGCCAGTCAAAACTCAGTCTTGACGTCTGCATTGTTCTTCGGGGTCGGGGCCGCGGCGCTACTGGGAACCGCGCATTGGATTTCCTCGAAGACCGGAGAGAAGAGTTGGGCTTGAGCCATACGGGGATGTTGCTGCTGTAGTTGATGTACTTGTTCTGTGAGATATACCGCTCGTCAGATGGTCAGTCATAACGGCTGCGATCCGTCGAGCTTCCATCTTACTTCGTTCCTTAAGTTTCCTGCTTACATCGCGCTACACAACGGTACCCTTGCATTGATCTCCTGACTTCCCCTGAGCGGAACGTTAAGTTCGTATAAGCTACTTTGTGAGCGCATTTCGGGCGGCACGGACCGAACTCTCCCTGTCCTCTTGCGCGTAAGGACTTGCAAAGGGATCGCCATGCCCCAGCGACATCGCGCATACGTGAACGCTGTGCAGCTAGCCCAGGGGTCAGTCAAAGGATATCAGCTTGATACACGTACGAGCTTTTCCCTCAAAGGTAGTGATCAGGGGGCGTTCGACTTGTCCGCTCCGGCCGATATGTTCTTAAGAGAGGCAGTCTCCCCCCATTTCCCCCCTGCACTCTCACATCATCTCATTCTCTCATCCCTATATCATCCAAATCCCTTCAGCCTTGAATCGCAATTGTACCCTCCTCCCCCGTCACCACCCAGTCCACAGCCATCTCGCACACAATGTCATCCCCAGCCAGCTCCTCCAGCGCATTCCAATTCCCGCAGCCAGCTGCGGAACCCAACTCCGCTAGCCCCTCCACGCAAGATGACACCCGAGGGCCCCACGACGAGCAGGGCCCCGCTTCCGAGTCGGCTTCTCTCCATACGCAGGCGACCGGGGCATCCCAGACCGTTGATCCACCCAGGAGACGCCTCTGGGTCCCAGCCAGCGCGATGGACGAGTTGCTTGAGTGGAAAGAGCAGCTGGAGACCAATGCTCCCTCGATGAGGAACACGATGGACGCGGTCGATACGAAAGCCTATCGGGAGGGCTGGGCGGAGGCGAAAAGGACAATGTTGACGAAGACTCGAGAGGCGTCCAAAGCGTGGGGAGAGACCCTGACTGCCTGGAGCCTGGCCAACGAGGGGACCGAGGCAATGATGGACCTGTTTCGGAATGTGGGAGAGTTGCACAAGTATCGTGAACGCATGGAGTGTGCGAGTGAAGAACAAGGTCAGGAGGGAGACGATGCCCTCGCCGCTTTCGTCGCCTTGCACGATCAGTTGCATTGGAGTGTGCCGGCGGATCAGTCATTGGAGTCAAAGACCGCGGCGACAGACGCTGCGTGCGCCCTACAAGAGGAGATCAAAGAGAACATGATCCGCAGGAGGTTGGCGGATGCTGACGCGAGGTACGCGGAAAGGGAGCGCCGAGCTTTGACTCTCCGGCGTGACCGAGATGCCTCAAGAATGAAGGGAAGCGGGTGCACGATCTTCTCGTCGAAGGCTCTGTGGGGCGGACTCGCGGCGGCATTGTCAGTGGCGTACCTGGTCTCCAGGGCGGAGGACAAGAGGAAGGAATGGGCCTGGTGATGATTGATGTTACTGCGTTATCCTATGTACTCGTATCGAATCGTGAAACAAGGGACTCGTCAGTAGGCTTGGGCGAGATGCGACTCGCCAACGGATTAATCAGCCTTTGACTGTCAAGTATGACTCAGCTCACAGTCAACACATTGAGGCATAAGCACGCGGCATGGATTAGCACAGTGAGCGCTAGTAGATCCCGCAACGATACATACTCCACCGATACCGATAACCACTCCAAGATAAAGAAGAACGAGAAGAGAGTGCAAGCCATCTAGTCCAGCCAAAGATCGTTGAGCGAGGAAGGTAACAGAGACGTCAAAAGCCATGAGGCCTTGAAGGAGTAGGGCGACTCCGATGTCGACCGTCTAGCGAGTCTCGAGCGACGAAAGATAGTCCGACAGCTATCCCATCAGCCCTAACTCCTCTCCAACTCCTGACCCCCAGATCCGAAGTCAGAACTCACCTTCAACACCCCCTGCCTCAACTGCTCCCCCACAGCCTGCACTTCCGGATTCGCCAACACCCTCCCCGCCATATCCCTCACGCCCCTCTCGAGCCCCTGAATCGTCTCATTATCCCCCAACTCGCCCAGGTAATTCTCTCCGCTTGCTCCTTGTCCGCCCGACTCGTCGTCTTCTTCCTCGTTTCGCCCGAAATACGCAGACGACGAGATGGCGGTCGCGCCTGCGAATTCCTTGAGCCGGCCTTGGGCCTCGGAGGAGGAGACGGGGTCGTGTGCGCCGCGACCAAAGTACATGTCTGACGAGATGGCTAGTGGTCAGTAAGGTGAAGATGGGGTGGGGGAGGGGGAGGGGCAAGGGAGACTTACCCTTCTGGGTGCCGAACTTTTCTCGGGCGACGTGGACATTGTCTTCCTGTACAGCTCGTCTGATGTATAAGCTACCACACCAGCACAAACACGGAGGGGTTGAGACAACTTACGTCTTGGTAACAGGCACGGCCGCCGCGCCGATAACCTGCCCAAAGCCCAGCCTGGCCGGCTTGGGCGCATCATCCACCGCCCGGCTCGCGCTGACCGGTGTGCTCGTGCGCGACACAGCCTCACCCGCCGCCTTGGCCTTCCGCCTCTCCTCCGCCTCGCGCTCCTTGACCTTCTTGGCCTCCTCCTCTTCCCGAATCTTGTCGTATCCGAGCCGCTTGACCCGCTCTTCCTCCTCCAGAGCCTTACGCTGCGCCTCTTCAAAGTTGATCGAGGTGGTAGCCTTCTTGGCGCCCAGCTTGGACAGCTTGCCACCGCCGCCGATGCCGGAGGATGCGGCGCCGGAGGTAGAGGTGGTAGTCGAGCTGAGGCGAGATGTTGGGGCGGGACGAGATGAGATACCGCCGGCGCCTGTACCGGATCGGAGAGATGAGGAGGTGACGGTCCGAGGACCGGTGGTGGCTGGAGCGCGGGCGGCCATGCCGACCGAGGGCGGACCAGCTGCTGCCTTTGCAGCGGGTGCAGCAGCTTTTGGCTTCTCCTTGTCCCACGATGAGAAGAAATCATCGGATGAGTCAGCAGCCGCGGTAGGCGTCGACGCGGCGAGGGGTGTCAACTCGAGGCCGTCGATGTGGATCCCGTTCGGGTTTCTAAGAATCAGCAATAGCACATAATGTATAAGAGAGGCTCACTTTCTTGCGTCCTCGGCGACTCGACGGGCCAGCTCCTCCTTGTACAGCCCTGCCTGCTTACTCGTGTACCTCGCCCTCGCGTCCGTGCTCCCGGGCGGAAGCAAGTGTTGCCCATTGTGCTTGGTGAAGAATTCGGCGAACGAGGCGTTTCCGCCGACCTTCATCGTGCGTAGCTGGGCAAGGGTCCAGGTGTCGAGGTTAGTTGAGCTGAGTATGAGTATCATCCCCGTTCGCGCGAGGTAAAGGACTAACCGGACAAAAGTGATGTGAACGCCGAGATTCCGGTGTACGGCTGAGCAATTGAGACAGAGGTAGACACCATAGCTTGTTGCACTCCACGTTGGGGCCTTGGCCAAGCAGTCGGCGCATGACTGGAGGATCAGCATTGACATCTATACCGAGCCCGGATCGAGAGGGTCTCGAGCGGGACCCACCTTGTTAGCTTTTTGAGCCTTCAGATGCGCAAAGACCGCTTGGGTCTGAGCTTTTGTTGGGTCCATCTTGTCTGTCGTCGCTATCCTTTCCCAGCCAGTCTATACCAGCTGTATACTCGCTGTGTCTGTACGTAGATGTTATAGGAGCAGTAAGACAAAGATGGAATGAGTGTTGTGTTGGAGCGAGGAATGTGTTGGTGCGCGTCGATCAGCCATCTCTACCGGAGTTAATTATTCCTCCCACTTTGGGACGTGTGGAGACTCCACACATGTCCGCCAATAGCCGCCTCGCACCGACCGGCCCAACTCGGACCATCCTCCCAACTCAACCTTTCCTTATCTCTCTCATCTATACATCCATCTAGCACCATGACAGAGTATAAGCAGATTCCTCTCGAGCAGTTCGATAGCGAACTCAAGAGCAAATATGTCGGTAAGCCAAAAATCAGCTCTCGAGGTTCAGAACTCAGCTAACGACGCTCAGAAGTCAGCTCCGCTGCCCTCGGCGGACAGGTGTTGTCCTGCTCGGACGACTTCTTTGCGTCCAAAGACAACCTCATCAAGCCTGGCGTACGTCAATATTAGCTCCTTAAGCTGATCAGCTAGCCATCGGTGTCCATGAAAGGGCAGTTCGGACCTACAGGAGCTTTGTATGACGGCTGGGAGTCCCGCCGACACAGCCCGACTTTCGACTGGTACGTCCCATCGCAGCTCTAGCTAAGTATAGGGTCATCATCAAGCTTGCAGCTCCCACTTCGAACGTCCATTATGTCGACATTGACACCTCACACTTCTCGGGGAACGAAGCGCCGTTCTCGTCCGTCCATGCGCTCAAAGGGGACACTACCAAGCTCAGCGACAAAGACCCGAGGTGGGAGGAGATTCTCCCCAAGGTCGAGCTTGGGCCGAACAGCCGTCATATCTTTGAGCTGGGGTCTAAGGGGAAGGAAGGGTCTTTCAGCGCCTTGATGGTCGGTATGATCCCGGACGGAGGAATGGTAAGTCATACCTCTAGAGAGACGTCTGCGTCTGTCGAAGCTCTTCCCGTTCACGGTCATGGCCCAGAGGGACTGGAGCTTCTCAGTTATCCTGCCTCCCAGTACCGGTCTCAATATCCTTCTGGCCGTATTCGTACCCTTCTCTGCCTGGACGCAGCTAATTATCAGGCTCGATTCCGGGCATACGGCCTCCCCGTTCCTCCTACTCCCCTCTCCACCCTCCCCGCAGCTCTCACCGCACCTATCAACCTCCTCGACCCCCTCTTCGGCGCGCGCATTATCTCCTGCTCGGACGCCAATTTTTCTCCGCCCGGGAACCTCCTCCTCCCCGGCCGAGGACACGACATGTCGGATGGGTGGGAGACGCGCCGGAGTCAGCTCAACCGGGGGAAGTATGGACCTGGGGGCGCGCTGGAGGGGCAAGAGAGGAGCGAGTGGGTCATCGCGAAATTGGCGGGCACGGGGGTGGTGCGGTATGTCGAGGTGGATACAGCGTATCATCCGGGAAACTACCCTGTTGTAAGTTATCAAAGACGAGATACAGGGGTCCAGCTGATGGATAGGCCTGCAAAGTCGAAGCTATCCAAAGCGAACAAGTGAGTCGAATTTCCTATCATGGCTAATACCAGGACACACCGGCCGAGAATGCCCAATGGACCCTCATTGTTGACAAGAAACCCCTCGGACCGCACCGGCAGCACTTCTTCGACGTCGAGCGTTCCGTCGGCGAGCAAATCTTCTCCCACGTCCGTCTCAGCACTTTCCCAGATGGTGGCCTGAAGCGCCTTCGTATCTTTGGTCACCCCCTCGCTTCTTCCCCAAATCTCACTTCTGCCTCCCCGCCCAACATCCCCGCTCTCCCGCTCACTGTCGAGGCGTTCAAGCCATACGGTGATGTCATCCAGGGCTTTGATCTGCCCACGTCCGCCCCGAAAGGCATCAAAGTGGCGCTCGCAAACCAGGGGACGGCGTGGAAGATCGACCGCCTGGCCAAGGTGGAGGAGACATACCCTGCGGGTCTGCTCAAGCGGGGTGGTCTCGGTGTGGGTGTGATCAGGCAGCAGAGCCATTATGAGACCAAGAATGGATGCGAGATCCCTGTCAGCACTCTGGAGAGGTACGTATATGTTGAAGGCGGAGCTGATCATAGGCATGCTGCGACCACCCAATCGTTCATCCCGATGGGCAAGACCGCTCCGGAGGGGACGGAGGAGCTCGCTCCTGGTGGCGCATACATCGCCGTCGTCGCTTTCAATGGCAAAGACGACAAGCCGGATTTATCGACACTACGAGCATTCTTCATTACCAGCTCCCAGGGTGTCTCCTACCACGCCGGGATTTGGCGTAAGTTCTCCCTGAAAGCAAAGCTGATAAGAGACCACTCTATGCTCAGTGTTGATGGACCTGGGGACTATGCCTGTGTCGAAGCTGTACGGTACCCCGTGTAGCTCAGCTGACGAAACAGCAAGTCGGCGACCCCGGACTAGTGATGGACTGCGAGTTCCACTCGGACAAATTCTGCACCATCGTCGTCCCTCCCTACACGGACCAACACCGGCCCGTCTCCATCCCCCGGCGCACACTCACCCACCCCCGTCCGGCCGAGAAGGAGCAACATAGCGTCTTTGAGAGCGTCACCAATTTCCTCCAGGACCATGCTGCGACGGGTACCACGACGTCCCACCACCCTGCCGACCCAACGCACCCAGTCCATCCCGTCCCGATCTCGCCTGAATTGTGGGCACCGTTCGGCGCGCTCATCCGTGCGTACCCCGACGTGGCGGAGCGGGGCGCGGGACAGGAGGTATTGGTGAATGAGAAGGGCAAGGCCGAGAAGTATACCCGGCTCGCGCCGATCTTGTCGACGTATCCTGAGGAGGCGGGGGCGAAGGCCAGTATTGGGGTGTACAGAGCGACAAGGAAGGTCGGGCTGGAGAGGGGCAAGGTGTTTGATGTGCGGTTGATGGAGAGGCACCCGCATACTACTCAGGCGTTCATCCCGATGAACAAGGGTACTGTGAGTTGTCCGCTACCTACTTCTGTGTAGGAAAAGCAACTGATACCTCAGTGGGAAGGGAAAGGAGAATCACCGCTCCCACCAGGAGGCGCCTTCCTTGTCGTTGTAGCCAAGAATGGGCCAAATGATCGGCCGGACCCTTCGACATTGAGGAGCTTCATCATGGAGAGCAGTACCGGTCTCTCTTATGCTGCTGGGACTTGGCGTAAGTTTTCAACGATTCGAGTTGAGGAAAGTAAAGCTGATGGGATAGACCACCCCGTCCTGGTTCTCGACTCGACGCTCGATTTGGCGTGTATCGAGACGCAGGTATCGACTGGCGTAGGAGAAGAGCCGGACGCGAGGGACTGCGAGCTTTTGAGTTGGGAAGGGGCCGAAGTATTTGGGAGAATCGCTGTGCCGGAGCTATAGACACTGTCTTGATAGCGCAAATGCAAAGGGGTAGAAGGAAAATCTAAGGTACATGGCGATATATCCTCTACAAAACGGTCCATAGTACTCGTACACCTATCATAGTGTCCATCCTCGAGGTACCGCTCTAATTAACAGCAAACAGCTCCTTCTTGACCTTATCCAACCGCTCCCTCGCCAGATCCCTCTCCTCTCTCAACCCCTTACACCTCGCCGTCTCCATCGCGAGCGCGACCTCCAGTTTCCCCATCTCCACCTTCTTGATGCTCTCCTGCCTCGCCAGCGCCGTGTGCAGATCGACGAGCTGGCGATCCTTTTGCCGCGTCGTCTCGCGCGACTGGGTCAGCGCGGACAGGGCGGTCGAGAGCTGGTTCTGGAGGTCGGCGAGCAGGGTGTCATTCATGCTGACGACAGAGGGGGAGGCTGTTATTTTGATGAGTGGACCGGGGGAGAGGGGTGCCGAGGTCGGAGCAGCGGGCGAGTCGGAACTGGCGCTGGCGGCATTGGCGGCTGTGTTGGCCGAAGTGGTGGTATCGAGGGCGGATGCCGCTGGTTTGGGCTGACTGAGCGCCAAGGACTTTTGCAACTTTTCGTCCATCTCCAAGAGGGTATGACGGAGGAGCGCGAGCTCTCTTGCGTCCCGCTCGATCTGGCGATCTTTGCCGAGGAGGAGATCCTGGAGCGATCCGAGGACGCTGGCGATCTGGGGGTTGATGGCGGATTTACCGGTCCCGTTGGCGAGGCCGCCGAGGGAGAGGCTGATGGATGCGGTGGAGAGGGATGGAGTGGGAGAGGAGGCGCGATCCCGCGACAGGGAGGGGGTACGGATGAGATCGGATGCGTCTGTGAGGGTCGGACTTGGCTGTGTTGCTTTGTCTAGAGATCAGCTGCGTCCCCCACAAGCGAGAATAAGGGAACGTACGATTCGATCCCATCCCCTTCTTGAAGATGGAGCTCAGACTATTGAAGCTCGCACTCCGCTTTGGCGCCTTCTCCTTCTCTTCCTTCTCCCTGTAGCTTCCCGACAGATTCCGACTGCTCAGCGCGGACCGAAGCAGACCGGGCATCTTGGGCTTCTCCTTGGGCTTGTCCTCGCCTGCCCCCGCGAGAGGAACGACGTGCCCCAGATCCCACGTCGGGATGAAGCTCGACCGGTCGATATCGAGCGATCGGGACCCGGTCGCCGCAGCGGCAATGGCGAATGGCGAGTCGTTCTTGCCTCCGCCGAGACCGCCGGCGAGGCGCATATCGATCGGACTGAGGAGCCGGGGGTCGATTGACGCTGGCGAGTCGGCCGCCGAGGATCCGTGCGTAGAAGGGAATGGCGCCTCTAGGATCTGCTTGGATATTTCCGGCCAGTTCCTTACGAGCCATCCGAGCGCTTTCTGACTTTGGTCCACCACGGCCGAAACGACCTCTGGATCGTGCTTCTTCCCCTTGCTTCCCGGACCGAGACCCGGGACGCCCTTTGCGCGGGACGCGAGCAGCGCCGGCCCAAAGATGATGGATATAGCGTCGAGGGTGAGGCGGTTGCCCGGGAAGAACTGGAGTTGCGTGACGAATGCGAGCGAGTAGACGAGGAGCGAGAAGTGGGGAGGAGGGAGCATTTTGAGGATGGTGATGGCCGCAGAGAGGCGGGAGGGGGTGGGTATGTCCATCCGTTGACAGTTCATTGATCCGGCGGGGAAGTCGGGGGCGCAGCAGAGGTCCCAGAGCGCAGAGAAGAGCGAGTCGTCCAGGATAGGTTCGGGGAGATCGCGCATGAACCGCTTGAGAACGTTGGAGAGGGAGTGAACGTTGGGGGAGGAGAGGTCCGTGCCGTCTCCGTAAAAGGGAGGGGTATTGCACGCGTCGTAGTGTTTGGTGACTTCGGCTTCTTTGCCTGCGAGGCGGAAGATACCGGGGACGTCCATTCCTGACAATCAGCTCAGACCATGTTTGGTGCATGGGTAGACTCACCACGACGATAGATCTCCTCGACGAGGATGAAGACAGGAATGGGGAGCTCGTGGTCCTGTCCGCCGACTTTGGTGACGCACCATCCATCCGGCGGGATATCGACGAGGCTCACACCAAAGATAGGCACTAGCCATCAGCTCGATCCCGTTCCGACCAGAAAGAAAGGACTCACCATGCCAGACCCGATCATACGCATCCTCATTATCAATCACAGCGACGATCTGCCTATCTCGTTCATCCATGCTCTTCCTCCCAAACATCTTGAGCCGGCCCAACATTCCCGCCCTCTTCTCCCCGATCCCGCTCTTTTCGACCCGATCCTTCTCCTTGTCCCGCCCCAGCCCTAGCCCCAAACCGATATTGCTCAGGCTGAACGAACTCGTCAATCCCCCTCCAAGGCCTAGACTCGTCAGGCTCGCCGAGGACTTCAGACCATTCCCACCGCCTCCAGTTCCCCCGAGCGGCGAGCCCACCCCCGCATCGTCATCAGGGAACATCCACCAGCGCTCGTCCCCTTTCTCCACGGCCACCGGCGCCTCCGGCATAGGCACCACCGTCGTGCCCACCTCACGCCGATCATCGCTTGTCCCTTGCCGCTTCTCGTACGCTTGGTCCACGCGCGCAAGGAGACCCGGTATATCGATCCGCTTGGCCAGGTCCGACTGGTCCACCTCCAGCGTGCGCGCGAGGTGCGACAACAGGCGAAGGCGAAGACGGATATGCTGCGGTACGCCGAGGTTGGTAGGTGGGGGAGGAATCGAGTCGATCTCGGCTGCGAAGCGAGTAGTGTGGGCCGGGTTCGGTGCGGGGATCCCAGAGGTAGAGCCGGTGATGTGTGCGGCAGGGGCAAGACCGGCGCCGGACGAGTTGGCGCGTTTCCGGTTGGCAGCGAGCTCTTCCCGTGCGCGCGTCTCGGCCTGCTCTGATCGCAGGACAGGCACCGAGGGTTGAGGGCGGAGACATGACTTGTTGTTCCCGTTGTTTCCGCCGCCGCCTGTGTTACCGCCCGGTCCGCCCATACTGATCTTGCGCATGAGCCCGCCTTTACCGCCGCCTCCGGAGCTCGTGGGCGATCCCCTCAAGTCGGGCGAGAGGGAAGGTACCGGCCGCCTAGTAAGGCCACTCGGGATCTTGCGGACCTTCTGCTGACCGCCTCCTTGTCCTCCTTGTCCTCCCCCTCCACTGGCAGCATTGGGCGAGAGCGTCGACCCTCGCCCCGGCGACACTCCCCCCAGCTTACTCCCCTGCCCTTGCCCCGGTCCCTGTGCCTGCCCCTGTCCACGTCCAGACGGGCTCGGGATCCGCTGTTGCTGAGGCGACGGCGACGGACTCGAGATGTTTCGCTCCTTCAGCTGATGGTGCAGGTGCGGCGGCGTCTGCCTGGGCGAGAAACGAGTCGCATTCGTATTCTCTTTCCCGCGGGGTTGGATATGGAGAGGAGGGGTGCTTGGTGTTTTGGGAAGAAGGGAGGCGGGACTGCCGCCGCCGATACCGCCCGGGCCGAGACGGTGGACGAAGGGGTTGTTGTTCTTGAAGCCGTTGTTACCATTGCCGCCGCTAGAGGTGGAGGTGGGGTCGGATACCGAGCGGGCGGCAGAGGAGGAAGGGAGATTGGTCGTGTTGGATAAAGGGGAGGGGCCGAGGGGCGATCCCCGAGGTTGGGGGATACGACTTGGGCTCATGCTGACGAGCGATCCGATCGAGGCGTCGAGGGTGTTGGCGAGGCGGAATGTCGAGGGAAGCGCGGCGGGGTCCGACCGGAAAGATGAGGCGATACGTCCGTTGTCTATACTGAGGATCAATAACGAGTCTCCGACGATGCAGATGTGAAGGAGAAAGCTAAAGGCACCTGTATACTGTACCTGTCTGTATACAATAAAGCCCACAGCTGTGGTCCGACCGGCCGAAACACCGTCAGAGACTAATGTCTCAGACATCAGATCGGCCCGGTGGCGCTCCGACATACCTGCCACCTCATTAGCATCAGCGTCAACAAACAGCCAGTGTTTGCGCCGAGTCACATTAGCGCGGAATGTAAAACAACGCTAGCGAGGTTGCGATTGACGGTCGGTCTTGAGCGCCGATTCTGACCAGAGATGCACTTTAGATGCATGCGACAGTTGACGTGTTATGGAGATCGAAAACGGTCGATCGGAGTGCTTTCAAGCCGTCTCGTCATCCTCCGGGATCGCAAAGCTGAGCGGTGTAAACGCGTACCCGCCAGCCATGTAATGCTTTCCGTTCGCCTCGACCCTGCGATGTCAGCTTGAGCCTCCGTTCCACACAGACAAGGTAGCTCACCAGTGCAACCTCAGTGCGTGCAAGAACGCCGACAGTCCTTCCATGACACACAGAATCGCGATGGTGAGGAAGAACCACATGGCAAACATGGCGAAGATGTAGATGGATTGACCGATAAGCCCGGCTTTGGTCGTAAAGGCGCCAGAGATGGTCATGTCATACAACACCTCAGAGAGTTGGGCGTGGGCGAGTGACAAAGCCCAGAGACGCAGATAAGACGCGCTAGAATATCAGCTTTGAAGACTCGGGATAGGAAGGAAAGCTTTACGTGTTGGAGATACACCCCAGGCAAAACTCGATGGTATGGATGACCTGGTGAATGATGACATCTCCCATCTCAAAGCCCTACCTTATCAGCTTCAAAACCCTCGCAGGTCTCGTGAAACTCACATGCTCCTCACCCCCCTCATTCGGCGCCACGCTATTCCCCACCTCATCCTCCTCCTCCGGCTGCCGGCCCTCCCCATCCTGCGCATCCTCACCACTCCCAATCTGCCCATACCCCTGCCCCACAATCTTCTGATGCTCCCTCCACAGCATATACGGCTTCAGACACAGCATCCACGGGACGCACACCATCGCAATCATCAACAAGACGACCTGGACGAATCCTTGTCCCGCGTAGAGCTGAGTACCCGGCTCGATCGTTCCGGGGGAGAGGAACATGTAGATGAGCATATTGAGGAGGCCGGGGGGTGCGGACGAGGATTGCGACCAGTCGATGGACCACTTGTAGATGATGCAGACGACGAGGTAGCCGAAGATGGACCACATGAAGAGGATCTGGGGGATGAATTCGGCGTAGATGTTGAGGGGCTTTTTAAAGTGAATGTGATTGGGAACTTGGAGGAAGATGGCGAATGACATCTGACGTCAGCTAGGGTCGACCGCATGTACTCACGTGGATCACACCGAGGATGATGGACATCTTCATCTTGTACGAGTTGGTAAAGATCAATCCGTTCTCGGCGCCGTGCCATCCAGGGTCCAGACCGAACGGGTAGACGTTGCCGGTAGCCTTGGCAACGACCGCTCCTGCCTCGTGCGGAAACTCCCAACCCGATTGCCAGATCGAAAGCGACTTGGAGAAGATGTCGTTGTACATGAATCCGGTAAAGATCGAGAAGGCGCCCATGAGAACGATAATGTATCGGCCACTAGGGGTCAGCTCAGTCCGGCTGGAGCACTTACAAGAAGAAGGTAGAGGTGATCTCGTCCAAGCCAGACTTGAGAAGCTTCTTTTCGTAGAGGATCATGACCGACGCCGCGAGGAACGCGAGGATACCGTGTCCGATATCACCAAACATGACGGCGAAGAGGAACGGGAAGGTGATGACGGCAAAGATACCCGGGTTGACCTCTTGGTACGTCGCCATACCGTACGAGTCGATGATGGTCTGGAAGCCCTCCGTAAACTTGTCGGTCCGGTGGAAGGTCGGCGGGGTCTGGTGGGTGCGTAGCTCCGAGAGAATGGCAGGAACCGACGTGCCGGCCGTGTCGACCGCTCGACGGAGTCCGAGCTGGATTGCCGTAATGTCACGGGTAGGACACCATCCCTCCGCCACCAAAGTCTTGCGACCCTGGTCATACGATAAGAGGTTGAGCGTCTTGTAAATCTCCTCTTCCCGCCTGACGGCATCCTTCCACGCCTCGATCCCCTCGGCAATCTTGCTCAGCTCGACGCGGCGCGTCTGGCTCATGTTGAAGAGGATCTGATCGACATCCTCGAGACGCGCCGACGTCTCGCGGAGAGAGTCGGCCCGCTTGTCTTGGGACGAGTCGATATTGTAGAGGGTACCGCCCATGGATTCGGCTACTTTGCGAATTTTGGTGAGGAGCTCCGGTCCGTGCGCAAAGATGATAAAGACGTCCTTGTAGGTTTCCTTGCCGGAGATGGGGTCCACAAAGGGTTCTTCGATTTCTGTCATTAGCCCAGTTCGTAGGGTGGACATACCAGAATAGTTCATGTACAAGTTTCCCCTGAGGACTCGCCACAAGATCCGCTCGAACGTGGGCATGCGGTGCCTCTCGATCGTACCAGAGACGAATTCCAGGTCGAAACCGCCAGAGATACCCTCGCCGGGAAGGGTACCAAACTCGGCAGCGTGCTCGAGGAGTGCAGTGCGATCGTCGCCCTCGTCGAACGAGGTGCGAATCTCGGTGTGGCGATGCTCAGCCTAGGCATAAGCTTTGCCCGTCCTCCAACAAAGACCAGCTTACCTCGTTGAAGAAACCAGCAGTCTCCCTCAAGACCCACTTCTTCTCCTCCAGCTCGCCCTTGCGCTTCCCCAACTCCTCCCACGACTTGTTCATCTCGTTCAACCGCCGCTCGTGCTCTTTGAGCTTATCGTCCAGCTCATCGAACGCATTCTGGGCCCGGGGCCCGACCGTCGTGAAGGGAGGGACGGCCGAGAGTGGCGGGATACCCAGAGGAGGTACCACAGCCGTGATTTGATTGTGGAAAAGACGGATCCGGCGGGACATCTCGCCAAGGCGGCGCAAGCGTGAGGTGAATGGGCGCTGGAACGAGGTCACGGTTGGGTTGAGCTGATAGTCAGCTCCGCCAAAAATACAGATGAGGGGCGGCTTACGTCCTTGAACTGGAAGTTACCCATCTCTGCGAGCTCAGAGATGGTATCATGCGATACTTCCGAGGGGATGTAGAGCTGTACCAAGCTCATCTCTTCCGAGCCTAAAGCGTTAGCTGGGTCTCGATCGATGCCTCTGGCGGGTGCCATAGCTCACGGAAGAGGGAGGGGTACGGGGACGACATGCTGTGTAGCCTGTGTCCTTGAGTATGGCTGAGTAGTAGATGGTATGAAAGTGAATGGTCGATCGACGACAAGGGGAGGGTCCAGTAGGCAAACGCGGAATCAGATCTGAGTGTGGCACTTTGCCATCAGCGTCATGTTAGGTTGCAGCAATTGCGAAGGACCGTTCCCGGCCTGCTATGCATCGATACGTCTTTCCTTGGCACGAAACAGGCGGGATGGGCCCTGTAATATTCCCCGGAGCTGTTCCGGTGTGCATGCGGAAAGCGCTTAATCAGTCCTCATCCTCTGCGGCTGGTGAGGAATGTGGAGCTGGAATCCGAAGAAGGTTCACTTGTATACTCCCCCCATTTTATTCCCCACGCAACCCACGGCCGGCCAGCCTCACATTCGTCTTATTGCCTGTAGACATGGCTCAATAGCAATTCTCTCGCCTATACCATCCTCTCAGTGCCTATCGGCCTCCTCCGCCACCGCCTTCGCCGCCAGGATGGCCAAGATAATATTCTACTTTCGCACAGTCCTCTACTCGATCACCCTCCTCACCGTCTCCTTCCTCGCCGTCCTCATTGGTCTTCTCTGCACACTCTGCGGTGTAAGGCTGAATACGAATTACTATGTCGCGAGGACATTTTACCAAATAGCGGGGCTGGTGATGGGGTGGACGTTTGAGGTGGAGGGGGAAGAGCACCTGGATAAGGGCTTGGAGGGGGATAGTGGGAAGGGACGGAGTGCGGTCATGGTGGGGAATCATCAGAGGTGAGCTAATGTCTTGCGATGCGGAGACATGAGCTCATATATAGCTTCGTAGATATCCTGTATTTAGGGAGAATATTCCCAAAGCACGCAGCGATCATGGCCAAGAAATCGCTCAGCAAGATCCCGGGATTGGGCTGGTTCAGTGAGCTGTCTGCTCCATGATGAGGTACGCATGAGCTGACATATAGTGCTTCTCTCCGGCACAGTCTTCATCAACCGTTCAAATAACAAGTCGGCGGTAGCGAGTATGCAACAAGCCGGCGAGGACATGAAGCGGAAACGGGTGAGTTCACGGGAACGAAGTGAAGCCGACTGTGCCCCAAGCTGACCACTAGATATCGCTCTGGATCTTCCCTGAGGGTACAAGACATCTGTCGCCCAAGATGGACCTCCTGTCTTTCAAGAAGGGGGCTTTCTACCTTGCTGTACAATGTCAGCTCGTTCTTGCACACCTCAGAAGTTGGCCCGCAGCTGACATCGTAGCTGGCGCACCGGTCATCCCTGTCGTCTGCGAGAACTACCACCACCTCTACGACGGCAAGACGCGCTTCAGATCTGGAACTTTGAAGATCAAAGGTCAGCTGAGAAGGTCGGCATGCTCGTGCGCAAAGCTGACATCCAGTCCTCCCGCCAATACCCACTACCGGCCTCACCACCGCCGATGTCCCCGCTCTGATGGAAAAGACACGTGACCAAATGATTGCCGCCCTCCAGTCCATCGCTCGGTCATCCGGCACCGCCATCGGTAGCGATACCGAGCCTCTTTTGTCCAGCTCGACGCAGGACTACCAAACGCACGACGGCAACGGGGCTGCCAACCCCGCCGCGGTCGAGGCGGAAGTAGGCGAGGAGGAGAGCGAGACCAAAGTTGCGCCGAGCAACAGGCAGGCGGATGGCGGCGCGGTGAAGCAGGCCAAGAAGGTCGGGAAGAAGAAGTTGGCAGTAGCGTGAGGACATCATCTGTCGGTATAGTTAAAATGCATAGGCTTATAATTCGGAAGGATGGTTTCTGATTTCTTTCACCCGGTCGCTGGTGGAGTCGAGGGACATATCTATTCTTTGGCGGTAGAGCTTATCAGACGGGGACACAAGGTACTCACTATCTTACATCGTGTACTGACACACAGGTGATTGTGATAACGCACCACCACCCCCCGCGCGTCGGGATCCGATACCTTGCCCCCGGCCTCAAAGTGTATCATCTCCCCTATACGCCCATCTCGGCGAACGCGACCTTACCGAACTTTTTCACGTTCCTGCCATATCTCCGCACCACCCTTCTCCGGGAAAACATTGACCTGGTACACGGTCACGGGTCTCTCTCTTCGCTCGCGCACGAGGCGGTCCTTCAGGCGCGAATGTGGGGGGTCCGGACGGTGTTTACGGATCATAGTCTGTTTGGGTTTGGGGATGCGGTGGGGATCTTGACCAACAAGTTGTTGGCGGGGGCATTAAGGAATGTCGATGGAGTGATTTGCGTCAGTAATACGGGGTAAGTCCTAGTCTGGGCAGAGTAGAGTGGAGGTGAAGCTGATGGGCAGGCGGGAGAATACAGTCCTTCGAGCAGAACTAGATCCGAGCTTGGTATCCGTCATCCCCAATGCGATCGTCTCGGCGCAGTTCCAGCCGGACCCATCACGCTCTGACCCAAAGTACAGTAAGTCCCACTTTCCCCGCTATTTCTTCCCGGCCCTGTACGTTCTGTGACTCAGAGCTTCTCGGCCCTGAACTTTCTGTGATCCAAACAAGCTGACAAGCAGTCACCATAGTGATCATCTCCCGCCTAGTCTACCGCAAAGGCGTCGACCTGCTCATCGCGTGCGCGCCAAGGATATGCGAGATGTTCCCCCAAGTCCGGTTCTTGGTCGGTGGGGACGGACCCAAGATGGTCGAGCTGGAGCAGATGAGGGAGAAGTATCTGTTGCAGGAGAGGGTGGAGCTGGTTTGTGCGGTCCGGCCGAGTGAGGTCAGGAATGTAAGCTCAGCTCCATGAGGAGGGAAAGGATTGAGCTGATTCCCAGCTCCTTGTACAGGGCCAGATCTACCTCAATACAAGCCTGACCGAAGCATTCGGGATCAGCATCATCGAAGCCGCCTCGTCTGGCCTCTTTGTCGTTTCGACCAAAGTAGGCGGGGTGCCCGAGATCTTGCCGGAGGATATGATTGAGTTTGCGAGGGCGGATGAGGAGGATGTGATTCGGGCGCTGAGTCATGCGATACGGGTAGTCGCTGCCGCTTCTTCGGGGCGGGATTGTTCTGGACTAGGCGAGGTGGAGAGGGACGAACGTGGCGGAGGAGGTCAGTGGGAGAGACATGAGAGAGTCAAGAGGATGTACGATTGGCAGATGGTAGCGGAACGGACGGAGGTGGTGTATGAGCGTGCGATGGAGGGGGAGATGAAGGATGTGGGGGAGAGATTGACGAGGTGGGGTCCGGTTCCTCGTTGTTGGCTTCCTCCTCGTTTTGCTCAAAGCAAGATCGAGGGGGAAGATGAGAGGGGGTAGGCTAGTCGGTGCTGATCATCTTAGGCTGGTAACCCTAGGCCCAATCTTTGGACCTATCATGTGCATCATCATTGCGGTACAGCATTACTATTTCTGGGCGCTGGAGTGGTGGGCGCCGAGAGATGAGCTGGACGAGGTGGAGGATGAGTGGGATCACAAGGAGTTCCAAAACGTCGGTCCATTCCCTCGCTCTTCTAAAGAAGGTGGTTCTGAGATTGAGCTGATACTGTAGGTTGTCTCTCGGGAAAGAGCAATCGCTGGGTGAGCGTTTCCCAGTAGGCTACTACTGCGTCCTCTCGCGTTCCTTGCCAAGTTGCTACCAGGCCGTACTGGCCGAAGTGCTGCTCCGCGGCCTCGCTCCTACGGCGCCCGCTCGCCGAACATCTGTGAGGGATCTTGAGGTTTTGTGGGCCCAGCCGCACCCCCCATCATCGCTAGTAGACGTGTGCGGAGAAGGGGATAAGAAGGGAATTTTACTGTACGTAGCCATCTATATGCATTCCCCTTATTGCAATGATACTCTAGTCCCTGTATCTCTTCCCGTGTCTCCATTCGCCATCTTTCCATCTCGGTCAGACATGAAGGCTCTATAGCTAGTTCCCGTTAGCTGATGCTCGAACAATGGTCATGCGAACTACAACTCACATATGTTGCAGCTTGGCTTTTTCCTTGAGGGGCACCGATGGTCGAGTATTGGCCAGCGACCGAAGAAGATGGACTTGCTCAATGACCGGTTTCTGCAATTGTCAGCTGCTGATCATACAGCATCGACCAGAGTAGGCAAGCGGACGTACAGCGGCAGTGGCAGTATGGAGGTGTCCTGAGTCTGTGTCGACTTGAACAGAAGAGCTATTCTTGATGATCGTGGTGATCTGAGATGTCAGCTTGACGAGATCCTCGATCCGCCGGGTGCAACTCACCCTCGCGTCAGATGCAGCCTTCTCAGCCCTCGACCCAGTCTGTTCCGGGAAGGACCGAAACCCAACCGTCTCTTCCGCCACCTCCTCCCTCCTCACTTCCACAGTCTCGCCAGCCTCCCCATCGACCGCCTTCCCCTTCCCCTTGCCTTTGCCTTTGCCCTTTTCTTTCCCCTTACCCTTCCCTCCATCCCCACTGGACCCATTCGCTTGACCCCTGCCCTTCGCCCCCGCCGCCCCGTCGATCTGAGCATGAATCACCTCCAGATGAGCATTATACATCATGGCTTGAAGGTCCGCGCCGGAGAAGCCGTCGGTGTCGAACGAGATCGCCTCCATATCGACTGTTGCGGCAACTTCCATCTTCCGAGACAAAGCAACCAGGATCTGAAATATCAGCTGATGCCCTTTGTAGGACATTGTACGGAGAGGAAAGCGGACGTCAAGCCGTTCCGCCTGGTCTGGCATATCGCACAACAGAGACTTGTCCAATCTCCCCGGTCTGAGTAACGCCGGATCAATCAGGTCAGGCCGGCTCGTAGCTGCGAGCACATACACCCCTTCAAGACCCTGCGCACCATCCATCTCCGTCAGCATCTGATTGACGACCCGATCCGTAACTCCCGTCGAATCATGTCCACTACTGGGTGAGCTCATTCCCCGATAGCTGAGGAGATGGAAACTCACCGTTTTGGCGCAATTGAATCAAACTCATCAAAGAACAGCACACACGGCTTTGCAGCCGTCGCCCGCTCGAACAGGTCCCGTACAGATTTCTCCGACGCACCGATATACTTGTTGAGGATTTCCGGACCCTTGACCGAGATGAAGTTGAGGCCGCACTCTTTCGCGACTGCGGAAGCGAGGAGAGTCTTGCCGCATCCGGGGTAGCCGTAGAGGAGGAGACCGGATCGGAGGCGGAGAGGGCAGTTGGCGAATATTCTTGCGTACTTTGTCGGCCATTCGAGGGTTTCGCGCAAAACTCGGCGAGTCTCAGTCAGCCCTGCTGAGGTGAGCCGGCTCCAAACACAGCGGTAGGCCTGACTGAGGAAGCTCACCACCAATATCACTCCACTTGACGTCCGACTTCTGCAAGCTGACGCCGCGCAGACTGAGAGGTGTGAAGGCAATCTGGGCGTCGACGAAGTCCTGCAGACGGATGCTCTGCTACTCGTCAGCTACACCCGTGTACTATTCAGGCGAATTCAGCTTACCTGACTGTCCCCACTCCTTGCACTTCGTATCATCGCCTGCTGCGTCGCGCTCCCCACCAGATCAATCAAGTCCGCCGCCGAATACCCCTCCGTCATGGAACCCAGAGTGACAAAGTCAAGAGCTGATTCTCCTGATTCCGCTTCTTTCGCGGGAACAGAGCGGCTCGAGCGCCGACGAGAAGCAAGCTCGGACTCCTCGTCGACGCTTCTCATGCTGCTGCGCACGGCCAACCTGAGCATCTTCCGTCAGCCAAGCTCGGATGCGCACGCACCTCTTGTCGGACTTCTTTGGTCGGTGGTGAGATCTTGAGGGCATCGCCAAAGACGTGCTTGCTATTCAGAAGGGGGTGGAGACTGGACGCAGCGACAGCTGTGACGAGTACGAGAATGCCCGGCGGGATGTCTTTGATGAGGCGGCAGAAATGCTCGGCGAGGATTTGGGGATCTGACGAGGACGATAACTGAATTGTCAGCTTGCTCCGCCCGGCTGATGGGAAAAATTGTGGGAAGAAGCTGACCTCATTCTCCGGCCCGATCAAAGAGTCAAGACCGTCAAGAACCAGCAAACACGGCGTCTTGCCCTTCGCCTGCTCCAGCCAGCTGTTGATTTCTTCCTTGACCTTGTCCACTCGCCGTTCGGCGTCTAGACGAGCGACGTCGATGTAGATTTCCTCTATGTACGTCAGCTGCTGGTAGATTGTTGGCTGCATAATGTAGCTTACCAGCCATGACAGCCACGTCTTGCTCCAAATAGCTGGCGATCCGCCTCGCTAGGCTGGTCTTGCCCGACCCCTTTCCGCCAGTTAGCAGTAGCGGTCGACAAGCTGAGCCGTCCTGCAGGCGGAAAAAGCGGAGCGCGTCATCGAGCAGAGTCGAGATACCCGCCAAGGGGGGCATGAGTGAAGGTGAGGTTCTGACTAGTCAGCTCAGCTCTTCAAATTCTCACGCGAGTGCTAGCTCACAGTGGTCTATGCTTCGCCGTGGAGCTTTTCGTGCCTTTCCGCTTCTGCGACCCGACATACAGACTACCAGGTCAGCTTCTGATCCGCATAAGAGCCTTCAATCTGGATCAGGTAGCTCACTCAACACAAGCCCAGTCATTCTCCCACTTCTCCGCCCCCTGCAGAACCACACAGCCCTCCGGTACACCCTCCCACTCCCCCAGCCAGAGATATACCGGTCCATCCCCATTCTCCGCTTGTCCTCCAGCTTGATCCCCATCTTTCGCGACGTCAACCGCATTCAGCTCCCCTTGCGCCCCGGCGTCCCGCTTTCGTCGCTGCATCCGCACAGGCAGAAAGTCTCCCTTGACGCCTAGCTTCTTTCCCGCTGTTTCCAGCGTGTCCGAGCACACCCACCCGACCACCTCTGGATCGCCCTTCCCCGCTGGCGGTTGTCCCCATTGCGCCGCTATCCGCTGAGGCACCACTCGGACCTCTACGGCCTTCTCCTTGCCCTTTTCTTTCCCCTTTGAACCTGCTACAGTTTGTGCGGGGGTGATGACCGTCTCTGACGGGGTCTTGGATGAGGACGAGCGGGGTCGTGGCGCAACGTAGATTTTGGTATCTGGATTGACGAGCACCGCCGAGCTCGCTGATGTCGAGGGATTGGTCTGGTCTGGCAGATCAGCTCTGAATGCTTCGTATCATAGCTGAAGGTATCTGAGCTCACCGACCCTTATCCGGATCTTGCTCTTGCCTGCGACCCAAGCATCAATAACCTGACCCGCCTGCGCCGCTCTCAACTGGGACAAGAGGTTATTCTCGAGGAAGCTAGCATGTTGTTCCTAAATTATGAGCTTCGGGCAGAAGATATTACCTGCTGTCGATAGCTCACCAGTATCTCCCAGTCGTCCGAAGTCAGAGGGGTAACGCTGACTGACTTGGCTCGGACGGGATTGTGTATGATGGAAATCTCGACCTGAGCAATGTCAGCTATGGCTACGATGGAGCTGTCTAGCTTACAATCGTCCCCTCAGCCCATCCGAGCGCTATAGCCACTTCAGGATCCACTTCTACTGTCTCTGCCTCGCCGCCGCCTATACTTGCCAAAGAGCTGGCAGCTGCCAAGCCCGACCATCCAAGGTATGCCGCTCTGGCAGGTCGGGAAGACGAGGAGGGGGATATCAGCGGTGTGAGGTGGAGTATCAAACCTTGAGGTCGCTAGACATAAGCTATCTGTCGGATCCTCGAGACAATCAGCTTACAGCTTGCTGTTGAGCTAGACTGGCAAAAAGGCTCAGAGGGAGGTGGACCAGGTTGGACCGTAGCGACCGGTACTTCACCGCCGCCTTTTTAGGCATCTCGACTGACCAGGAGGATAGTAGCTCCACCGGGTCCCCAGAGTATAGCCAGTACAGGTAATAAGTGTAGACGAGACAGAGAAGTGTAACAGAAGCGAAGGTGAGAGGAGGGCCGTGGGGTGGTCTCACCGGGTAAAGTCTCGCCCGGACTGCCCCCGGAACCAACACCCCAAAGTGGCGCCAGCCGAGCTCGGACCTCGCCACACACACACACCCTCCTTTGCCCCTCCTCAATACCCCTCTACAGTATGAGGCTTGGGGGAGCGTACAAGAGGATCAGAAGATCCCCTAACGACCTCCACCTGATACTACGACCTTGTTATAGGTGATGTGTGCTGAAAAAGCGAGAAATATGCTTGGAAATCAACCGAGAAATTGGCGGTCGAAGGGAATTTGCCACCCACTTCATCCTTCTCTATCTCCATTTCCATCTTTGAAGTGTACACCATCCTACATACCACTTGTGCTCAAATGAAGGCACCGGATACGTCACCAAAGGTCATAGCTACATCAGAGTGTCGTAAAGAACGCAGGCTGCTCATCTGTATATCGGTCGAAGCCTCGGTGCTGCCATCTCATACCACCCTTCTCCCCCCGTTCCTATCCCCCCTCCTCCTCTTACAATTGCCTTCTGTGCTTTTTCTGGGTGTTCAGAGGGATACACAAGACTCCTGAGAAGCTCAGGAACCAGTTCAAGCCAGAGAACAAACATATCATCGAGTATATAACACAATGAACGGAAAAAAATGTAAATAACAAACTCCCTCATCTCCCCTCGTCTCCCTATCCTTCCCTGACCCCTCCTAGAGCCTCCAGAACGTCTCCAGAACGCTCAGATTAGAGCTTATCATAGAAAGAGTCCCAGAGAGGCACATCGGGCTTGAGACCTGATGATATAAGCTTCCGACCAAGTCCAAGGGCAAAACATGGGGAAAAATGGAGTAAAATGGTCAACTTACCCTTGCGAGTACGGATCTTGACAGCAAGCTCATTTGTTTTGCTCCCAATTTCAGTTGGGTCGCTTCCGAGCAACGCCCAGTGGTCGAATACCTGCTTAGTTAGCACCTTACTCAAGTAGAAGAAGATCCAGCAAGAACAAGACAAAATTTGTCAAAAGTACAAATTTCGTCCTCCCGAGCCCAAAAATGATGCTACTTACAGCCTGGGGGAACGCCTGACCACCTGTAGCAGCACGCAGGTCCGCGTTGAACCCAAATGACTCCGCGACAGGCAGATATGCCTTCATGGTGTACATGGGGGTACCGATACGCTGTTCCGACGAGAACACGTGTCCTCGCCTGACGTTGAGGCACGAGTAGACACCGCCCTGGGCGGAATCGGGGCAGGCGATCTCGACGAGGAACATGGGCTCCTGGAGAGCGGGCGAGGCGAGGAGCTGAGCGGCGTAGCATACTCGGCGGGCGGTGGGGATGATCTGACCACCACCTCGGTGGATAGCGTCGGCGTGGAGCTGGGCGTCAGCGACGAGCAACTACTAAAAAGCTATCGACCTACAGTGCAGTCCAAGATGTTGTACCTGATACCACGCATAGGCTCCTCGGTCATGGCTCCCTCCTTGGTTGCCCACTGGAAAGCGGCAACACATGAATCCTTGATTTCGTTCATGTACTGCACACCCTTGGACCCGTCAAGGAAGACGTTGGGACCGGTGGTGTCGGGACCGAATGTCCAGATCTTCCTCGCGTCGGTAACGTCCCAGCCGTAGGTGTCTGCGAGGTAACGAGCCCGGATTTTGGGGTCATCACGGGGTGCGACGCGGCCGGCCTCGATGTCGGCGGTAAGCTCGTCACCGAGGGGCTCGGCCTTGACGTAGAGACGGTTGTGCTTGTTTTGCGACTTGGACAGCGCAATCATGGACGATTCGGCGGTGACGGTCTCACGGTAACCGACGACGGGGTCCGATTTCCGGAGGGGGACACCGGCGTGGTCGTTCTCGAGATCGTTGAGACAGATCTCGAGGTGGAGCTCTCCGGCACCGGCAACAATGATTTCACCATTGTCACCAGTGATGATCTTGACACACGGGTCAGACTTGGACAACCGCTTGAGACCCTCGACGAGCTTGGGGAGATCCGCCGCGTTTTTGCACTCGACGGCGACCTGGACGACCGGGGAGACCGAGAACTTCATGACCTTCATGTTGTGCGCCGTCTCCGAGGTGGTGAGGGTACCAGACTTGAGCAAGAACTGGTCGACACCGACGAGACCGACGATGTTTCCGGCCGGGCAGTCCTCGATGGCCTCGACGGAACGACCCATCATGAGGACAGTCCGCTGGATGGACTTGATGACCGAGTCCTCCTTCTTGCCCGGGACGAAGTTGGGGCCCTGGATACGGACCTTGGGTCCCGACGAGACGGTACCCGAGAAGACACGACCGAAGGCGTAGAACCGACCCTTGTCCGAGGTGGGGACCATCTTGGAGATGTAGACCATGAGGGGACCCTTGGGGTCACAGTCCCGGATGGCGATGGCGGACTCATCGTCCATGGGACCCTCGTAGAGGGTCTCGACACGGTACCGCTGAGCGGTGACGGGGGAGGGGAGGTTGATGACAATCATTTCGAGAAGAGTGTCTCCGGCTGGGAGGAACTTCTTCATGACCACCTTGAGCAAGACCTTGCCCTCGAGGTCCTTCTCGTCGGCAGAGAGCTTGATCTCGAGCTTCTCAAGGAGAGTGGGGATCTCATCCTTTTTGAAGTTCATGATCGAGTCAAACAGCCGGAAGATGGGGTCAAGAACGAACATGTTGAATGCACGCTCGAGCCCACCCTCTCCCGACTTGACCCACTTCTTGGTCTTGGGGTTGAAGTAGTTGTCGCCCCAGAGCTTGGGCATAAGCTTGCCCTTGTCGACACCGAACTTCTTGGCGTACCGACCGGCGAATTGACGGAGGGAGAACGCCCAGCCGTGGAGACCGGAACCGAAGGCGACCGTACCCTGCTCGGGGTAGACCTGGACGTCGCCGAGGACGGGGTCGTTGTAGGTGGAGACGATGACGTTGACCGACTCGATGGTACGGCAGAAGGACTGGTAGAGGTCCTCCTTGGAGACCTGAAGCTCAAGAAGAGCACGGTCGACCTTGTTGATGATGACGACCGGCTTGACTCGCTCAGCGAGGGATTGACGGAGGACGGTCTCGGTCTGGACGCAGACACCTTCGACACAGTCGACGACGACGAGCGCACCATCCGTGACACGGAGAGCGGCAGTGACCTCGGACGAGAAGTCGACGTGACCGGGCGAGTCGATCAGGTTGATCAGGAACTCGTTTCCTGCAAATCAGCATGATCCACGCTTCGAGGCGGAATACTCACCGTCAGTCTTCTGCTTGATGTCCGCAACATCCTCCTTGGGGAGGGGGAAGTACATGGAGATGGCGGTGGACTTAATGGTGATTCCTCGGTCAATCTCGTCCTGACTGAAAAGTCAGCCACGCCCGCGCACATGTGCGGACAACATACCGAGTGTCGGTGAATCGCATGTCACCAGCCTTGGAACCGGCGATAATTCCAGCCTTGGACACGAGCGAGTCGGTCAAGGTGGACTTTCCGTGGTCGACGTGGGCGATAACCGACATGTTACGGATGTTGGTAGGGCGGTCCATGAGACCACTGAAAAGTTAGCAAACGTTCGCTGATTCAGCAATTCGGATCGACATACCGGATCTCGTCGATGGTGAAGCTGGACATCAGCTTAGTCCTATATCTCCCGGTCCAATCCCTGTCCATCCCTCCATGCTGTTCCATCCACCATAGCCAAATTCCGAGGAGACAACTCACTTGACCTATAAATCGTTAGCGCCACCCATCTTTCGCCACCAGCAAAGGATCCAGCTTACCATTTTGCCTGATTTTTTTCTTGTTTACTAGCCAGAGGCGGGATTGTTCGGATCGGAGGATTCGATGGGGACACCTGTCTGCTCAATGACGAGCTGGATAGGTATGAGGATAGGGGGTAAGGATAGGAGATGCAGCAACCAAGGAGCGAAGGGGGCGAGGTGGAGGGCTCAAAGTCCCCCGAAAAACCCTCGATCCGTCGGCGTTTTGACTTTAGTTCCGCCAGAATTCGGTGGAGGCAAAGTGTGGCAAAAGGAGTGGCGACCCTTTCATCCTCAATACATTGCCTTTTTACAACTGTACTTCACCGTGGATGGCGTGTGGAATCATGGAACTCGGCTGAACGGTCCTGACTGTACTCACTACTGATACGTTTCACCAGAATTGGCTGTGCAAGGGAGATCAGGCTGTCCCTCGCAGCGAGACGCGGGGTGGCGCTTGTAGAAGCGATACCGTCAATACATTGCCTTTCTACAGCTGTACTTCATCGTGTATGGCGTGTGGGATCACGGAAGAGACTGAACGGTCCTGATCGTACTCGCTACTGGTGCATCTCACCAAATTTGGCTCAACGAGGGAGATCAGGCTTTCCCTCGCAGCGAGACGCGGGGTGGCGCCTGTAAGAGCTATCCGGCGGGACTGAGCATTGTCCATGACCAGTCTCACCCGGTCATGTTTGGATACGCTACTGATCACACTCATGTCCATGGCGGCAAGTGAGCCTGGGCGCTAAGATGGGTCGGGCGAAGAGCATCTTGATATTCCCTCGGCCGCCAAGCCGCCACGAAGGATCTTGATCTTGACTTGCGGTATCACCTCTTTACCTCGTTATCAGGGCGCTCTCAGCCGATCGGCTCAGCTCTGACAAGTCTGATGGAGTGCAATTCAGCAAGATCTAGCTGACCGCAATTAAGGCGATCAGCGACTTTGCCCAACCGCGGCGCACGGACATGCAGCGGGGGCCCCGCGCGTCGGGCCGCCCGGGCCGGCTTCTTGTCCGCTGGACCATGCAAGGTCGTCTGTACATCGTTCATCGTACCGGTATCACACCCTTCGCAACCCTCGCTTTGCCAATCACCCAACAAGAGACTCACTAAGTATGGCGCCGGTACGCGTCTCTGTCATCGGCGCGGGCATGGCCCTCCAGTGCCTGCACTGGCCGTCCATCGTCACTCAGCCGGACCTCTTCGTGCTCCATTCCGTACTAGATCGGTCGGGCCGAGGAGGCGTAAAGGAGATGTGCGGTCAGGGAGTCAAAGTAGTCAGCAGCTTGCAAGAGGTAGTGGACGATCCAGAAGTGGAGCTGGTACGTCTTACAGCCCGGGTGGATTCTGACGAGTCGCTGACGTGCAGGTCGTGGTAGCCAGTCCGAATAATACGCACCTAGAGTATGCTACCGCTGCGTTGAAAGCAGGAAAGCACGGTGAGTATCTCCCTGTATCTCAATGTTAACCACCGCTGACCAAACAGTACTCGTCGAGAAGCCCATGTGCCCAACCTCGGGAGAAGCGCAAACCCTCGTCGACCTCGCTCAGAAGAAGAACCTCATCCTGAGCGTATACCAGAACCGGCGCTGGGATGCGGACTTCTTGACGGTCAAGAAGCTGATCCGAGAGGGAAGGGTACGTACAGCTGAGTAGCGCCAGCATGCGGCCTTCGGGATGAGCTGATCATCTAGCTCGGAAACATCAACGAGTTTCAGTCCAACTATGACCGCTATCGCCCTCTACCACCCTCTTCCCCATCCTCCGCTCAGCCGAGCTCCAGCAGCCGTCCACACCTCTCAGTGGCGGATGGCAAGCCCCAGCCTCGACCCTGGAAAGAAACGCCGGGAGAGCATAACGACGTCATCTTCAATTTGGGATCACACATCATCGATCAGGCGTATGTGCTATTCGGTATGCCTGAGAGAGTAGGGTGTAGGGTATGGGACCAGCGCGGGATTGGGCTGGACGAAGCAGTGAGCTGGTCGGGTTCTGACTCTGTATGGGTGCCATCAGCTGACACAGCAGTTCGTAATGGACTTGTACTATCCCCCTCAACATCCCTCCCACACCCCGCTTATCGTCACTCTCCGCGCGTCCATCCTGTCCGCCATGCCCAAACAGCAGCGGTTCCTCATCAAAGGCTCAAGAGGAACATACACCAAGTTTGGAGGCGATCCGCAGGAGAAGCAGCTGTATGAGATAGGGACAAAGGGGTGGAAGGGGTCCTGGGACGGATTTGGGGCGGAAGATGAGGCGGACTGGGGAGAAGTGGCGCTTGTGAAGGAGGAGAGGGATGGTACGGAGTGGGATGTCAGATCGTCAGTGTCGGGCTCTCTATGTACAGTAGGGGATGATGAGCTGATCAGCAGATATCCGAGCGAAAGAGGGAATGGGCCATATCTATACACCAACCTCCACCAGGCTATCAGCTCGAGTGACGCGTCAAAGCTAGAAGTCAAGCCGGAACAGGCGGTCAATGTCCTTCGACTGATCGAGCTGGGTCTGCAGAGCTCGAGAGAGGGAAGGGTCATGCCCGTCAAGCCTTAAGTGATCTTCGTTGTCGGCTGAGGGGCAAAGTGAGTATGATGAGTTGTGTTTGCCGCAATGCATGGCTGCTGTACGCCGATACATTTTGCTTCTTTCCTCGGCTCCACCACCTGCTTATCGCCTAGTAGTCCTCTCCGGCCTCCCTAAGCTTCTCCCTGGCGTGCTGCTTTGCCTCCTCGGACGTCGAGTCGTTCGAAAGAGTCCTGTTGATCAGCTTGATTCCCGCTTCTGAGGGTGATATAAGCTGGGCGACTTACGCCTTGTACCCGCCGAGGACGCGGTGACGGTGCGCTTCATCCCCTTCCTTCTCGTCAGGGTGGACGTGGCCGCGGGTGTCGTGGTGTCCCTCGTGCTTGGGCACCTTGTGCTCGCTGAAGGAAGCTTTGCCGTCGACTTCGCTGACCTCGATCCCAGCTTCTTTGAGGTACTGAAATGTCAGCGTGCGGCTCCGGCAGGCATCGGGAGCTAGCGTGCTGAGCGGTGGATAGTGTTTGGCGGCCTCAACGGAGAGAATGGGATATGTTGGATAAGCGAAACAATCAGCTTACCTGGCGAGACCGCTCTTTAGCCTCTTCGCCGGACTGGGGATGTCAGCTTCGCGCACTCAGGGCTGTTCCTCCAAGGGTATACGATTCAGCTCACGCTTGGGTTATTCAGTGTGCTACGACGTCAGCTTCTGTCCTATTGCCAAAAGCTGAAGCGCAAACCTACGCCTTGTGTCCACCGATGATGTGGTGTTGGTGCTGTTCCTCTGCTGTGGACATTGTGCTGATGCGTGTTGATGGGTGTTAAGTGAAAGTGCGAGGTATTGGGTGAATGTGAGGGAAGGAAGAAAGGTAATAGAGATAGGGAACGGACGGGGCGGGGCCGTCTTATACCGTCCGAGCTTAGTCGGCTGACTAGACTACAGCTGTACAGCTAGTAAGCGTGTGTGCTGACGTCACATCACAGTCGCGTCATGGGTCGCAGCTGGACCCCCCCGTTTCATATAAGGTTTTGGGGGGACTCGAGGAATGTGGACGCGTCGGACGGAGTCGCGTCGTCGCGTCGCCGACAAAGTCGCTGAGCTCCATTGACTCCCGCCATCTCGCTAGATATCGTCTGTCACCTGCTGATGGGATATTTTGTCTGATGGCCAGTCTCTGGACCAGATCCTGATGTGGCCAAAGGTAACTTTCACAGCCAGTGGCCCAGACCCACTAGTCCGCTGATGCGATCAAGCTAATCATTGTGCCTGAAAGTCTTTGATCTCCCGAGGGCCTTCTTTCGCTTTCAACACATTCCTTTGCCCACTACATCTGCGCCTACCTGATTTAGCGCTTGACGACCAGAAAGGAGGGTCACATTCCGTTTACACAGCCGCCAGGCACACTGATGCGCCCTAATCTTGTCCCCACCCTGGGCGATAGGTACAGGAGCTAGATGCCTCATGGGCTCTGCCTTCTTATATGTCTTCACAACATTAACGCTGCTGACTTGTCCACGTCTGACTTTACTCCACCCCTCCCATCCCGCTCACCTCAGAACTCTTTCGCCATGTCAACCATCCCACCAGAGCAGCTAGCAGCTATGGAGGCCGGCGCAGCCCAGTTCTTCAGCCGGGACAAAGGCGCTTCTATCATGCCATTACACTCAGCGTGAGTCGTGCTGTTCCAAAGCACAGTGGACTAGCTGACAAAGCGCAGTGGTTTCATCGATAGCCTGCTCATGGGCATCGTCATCACGGAAGCCTGCCGATATTGTCGTTTCGTACGCACCGATCGAAAGCATATCGTTGCGATGGTGGTAAGTCTGACATGCTTTGCTGATCTACCGGAGCTGATGGCGCAGGCACTGGGTGTGGTCGGTACTTCAATCGCTTCGGTCTTGTAAGTCGAATAGACACTTCTCTTTCTCGCAGAACACGAGCTTCTCCTTACCTCACCGCGATAAGCCCTCCGTAAGCAGCCTACAGCTGATACCTTAGTATACTGCTCTGGATGCAAATCCTGTTCGTCTGGGGATTTGGCACATACTTGGACTTTGGTGCGACTCGGTGTAGGTCCCTTCAGCGACCACTTCGCATTCTCAAGCTGATCTGCTAGGGTTCGCTCGCTACATGTCCGTTAACGCAGGCACGACCCTACTAGTTCAGGCGAGCTTCCCTCTCTGACGAGTCGAACTGGAGCTGACTCTTAGGCTTTCTACATCGATCGAGCCAGCAGGCTCTTCCAGCACTGGTGGCCGGCTGCTCTTATCGGCCCCTTTGCGTGAGTTGTCTTGATCATTGCACGATCTGCAAGACGGTCAGGGAGGCGCTGATCCACTCAGTATTGGTACTTGCGCCGTCTCGATCGCGTTCATTAGGGTAGGATATGCGCCTTACGAGTATATAACCTTCGAGATGCTCGCCAACCCGGTACGTTCATGTCTGTTTCCTCCGATTGAGCCCGTAGCTGACCATTACAGGCGTACAAGGCACTTGCCTATAGCATTGTCCGTCCTGCCCCCTTTCCCCTCTTATTGACTTGCGTAGCTGATGATTATCTCTAGTGCTCTCTTTGCATCGTCACCGACCTGCTCATCACTCTCACGGTCGTCTATGGTCTGTTCCGCTTCAAGACAGGCTGCACACCGGCTACCGACTCTATACTTGGCCGCCTGATCATGTATGCTGACTCATCTTGCGCCTGATCAGGAAATCTCAACAAGATGGAATGTGGACTGATGAGGTAGTCAAATCTTTGAAGCTCAGTTGCCGGCGCTCGCTATGTGCGCGCTTTTTGGTCCTGTGGAGAGAAGGGTTGCGATATGAGGCTGACTTACAGCTCCGTCATCTCCTTCATCATGTGGGACCGAGCATTCCAGTTTGCTTTCCCTTTCGTGTAGGCTCTTTCTGAGTCCTCTGACGCCGATACCAAGCTGAGCAACAGGATCTCCCAGACCAAGATTTATGTCCTCGGGATGCTCATCACCCTCAACCTCCGGTCTACACCATCCGAGTCCTCGGGAACAGGTACCGCTGTCGGTGGTATTGATGCTCATGCGCTGGATCCAGTCACCAAAACTGTACGTTGATCCCTGCTCCCTCCTCCTCGCCTTGCTGTTGGCAGTATAGCTGACTCAAGCAGTATCATACCGAATCACACCTCATGAAAGACCTGTCCGAGGTGGAGCGGGGCGCCAAAGGCCAGCCGGAGGTGAATGCAAAGGACGAGGGGGATCGTGACTCTATCCACATTCACGTGCGTCTCTGATCTTCTCGTTTGAAATAGCGTGCGGGGTAGAACTGAAGCACCCCATAGTACGGCTCGACCTCCCACCTCTCGCCTCGACCGGAGGGCTGGTAAGCTGCGCTGGGCGTCGTCCTAGCAGCGGGAGTACGGTCAGCCCGTCATGTTCCATCATATATATCAGTAGACACCTGCTTGCACTTAAGACGTAGCATACTCCGACCAAGCTGCACTGCTTTGAGATTCCAGCGCCAGCTGCACAGGTGAAGGATCTGGCAAGCTGCAGTGGCCTCGCGACCCGCAGAGCTCGCGGGACTGTGGCCGGATAATGCCGATGAGGAATGAGGAGTACAGCCTAGACCGGGGTTCAGGCCGTTCAGGGTCGCCTGAAACCGCCAGTCAGGGAGCAAACAGCAGGATCGACCGGGCACCCTGCTGCTGCCTGCAGTGGACTTTGTACTAGAATCACTCCTCTACAGCTTCCTCACGCGCCACTCCTCAAGCCAAAAGCGGATCACACTGATCTGATGCGGAGCGCTTACCGAGCTGCTTGCCGCCCGACGGAAGCCAGCGGATGCAAACTTACCAGGCAATCGCACACAATCCATCCGTCCTCGCCGGAACTCAACTCAAATCTTCGCAGCTGCTTGACGACCATCATTGATCCGTTCATGGGCTCAGACACGTACTGATGCGCCGCAGCCTAGCGTCAGATAGGGCCAAAGCGCTCATATAAGTCCTGAATCGTCCTGAACCCCTTTTGCCATGTCTACTTTCCCTCCAGAGCAAGCGGCAGCGATGGAAGCAGCGGCGGCTGACTTTGTGGGCAACAACAAGGCTCTTCTCGTGATGCCTTTCCACACCGCGTGAGCTAAAGATTCTTGATGATCAACGTGAAAACAGCTGACAGCTTGCAGTGGATTCCTTGATGCAGTCCTAATGGGCTTGGTCCTAACTCAAGCCATCAGCTATTGGCGTTTCGTCCGTACTGATCGCAAGCTTGCAGTCGCGATAGTGGTAAGTCTCTCTCAATCCTCGTCCCCGTAACTTAGCTAATGATATAGGCCTTGGGTGTCATATGCACCTCCATTGCTAGCCTGATGTAAGTCCCGCCATGGCATCCGCCTTCTCCACTTCTGAACAGCCGTGCTACAGCTTGGATCCGGCTGATAGCACCAGGATACTGCGGAAGTCAGCTTTGAGTCTATAGTGAGAAGGACAGGACCTACATGACCGTAGCGGCCGTGGTAGCTGCGACAGCAGAGAACTTGTGGTCAGCTTGATCTCCAAGCGAGCGGGGGAGGACCTACGACCAGCGCCACGACGTGTTTCGGGTCCGTCTTGATGAATTGCCAGTATGTAAACGTGTGCGCAATGACAAAGCCCATGAGAAGACTATCTAGCCAGCCACTGATAGTCAGCCCTCTCTTCTCGACACGAACACTAGGCGGGTTCACACTCACCTGATATGGAGAGGCATAATGTGCTGTCCCCGGTCAGCGTTAACCACTGCAGCAACAGCTGCCTCCAGCGGGTCAGTAGTGATGTTTGAAGCCATGGCCACTGGTGTAAGTAGGTCTGAATGTAAGAAGACAAAGACGAAGGAGATGGGGTAAGTCTGCTCTATCCCGTGTACCGAGGCTCGCTTGCAAACCACCCCTTTGTAAAGTTGGCCATCGTGAGGAACTGTATATGGGGAAATGTATCGGGATTGGCGTTCCTTCCCATACACAATCCGAACCTTGGAACCGATCAGACCTAAGGGATCAGACGAGATCAGACGCCAACACACACGTCCATACACACACACACCCCTCCTCCTTGCCGCGCCATCGATCCGAAAGGAAGCCACATCCCGGATGGTTGCCTTTGCCGAAGGAGTAGCATCTTGTGAACCCCCGCCTCGAGGGAGTCAAGGAAGATACAGGCGAGAGCAGCAGTGAAGAAGGCGGATCTAGAAGGAGGGAAGCGAGGACTTTGCGACGCTGCACCCCGCGGCCACAGAACTGCCACAGCCCGAGCTCCGAGACCATGACGTCACCCCGCGAGGATAAGCTCGCTTCCGGCGGAACCGGATCCCGGCTTGTTTGCGCGTTTTGCGGCTGATCCTCGTTCGAAGTAACACTATCGCCTCGCTATGAACATCCTCCTGACTGGCTCAGCTGGTGGTGTGGGCTCCTCAGTACTGCTGTACCTCTCCTCTCAGTCCTCTATTCAGCGCATAACCTCCATTGACCTCTTGCCTCTTCCCGAACCGATCCTGTCCCAAATCGATCCCGAACAAAGCAAGAAAATCACGCATCACCTCGTCGACCTTACCGACTTCCTCGCTCTTGATGCCCTCTTCGACACTGAGGGACCTTTCGACGGGGTTATTCACCTATCCGCTATCCCGAATCCGGTCCACTGGGATGCTCGCATTGTGCACAACACCAATGTCAGCATTGCGTACAATATCCTTCAGACCGCGGTCAGCCATGGGGTGAAAAGGATCGTTCAGGCCAGCTCTGTGAACGCTATAGGGCTGCTGTACACACCGGAGGGGAAGCAGATGTTTGATGAGATCCCCATCTCCGAAACAGCACCGATGAGAGCGGTGAGCACACTCCGTTTCTTGTATACAAGCAGGCGACCAGCATAGCTGATGGACAGATGGACCCCTATGCACTATCGAAGCAGTACGTATCTCTTTCATATGCTCCTGCCCGCACGAACGCTCGCTGACTGGTGTCTAGGATCAACGAGCTCCAAGCCGAACATTTTGCTCGCCTTCACCCCACCGTCCGCATCGCCTCCCTCCGATTCCACCACGTCGTCCCGACCTATTCGCTCGGCGCGAAAGACACGAGCTGGGAAGACATGTTCTGCTGGGTCAGCACCAAGGCTGCATGCGAGGCGTGTCTCCTGGGATTGACGTCGGAAGGCTGGGAAGGGGCGGAAGTGTACAATATCGTCGCGCCGGAGATCTGTTGGGAAGGAGGGGTGTCAGCTTCTATCCCAGGGCATGAGGACATAAAGGGCAAGGTGGAGACGTTGGACTTGATGGAGGTGGCGTGGAAAGGAAGAGTCGGGAGGGTGCGGGAGGAGTGGTGGGCGGGAAGAATCAGGCGGAGCTTGTTCGACTGCAGCAAAGCCGAGAGACTGCTGGGATGGCGGCACGAGTAGAGGTGTTGTTATGAAGCTGGACGAAGGTATGCATCACAATGCTGTTGGTATGACGGGATGTCTTACCGGGACCGGAAGATGAGCTTGAAGGAAGGGGCTAGATAGCACCGCCTAGAAGTTGACATCCCCGCTGACACCTCAGAGCGAGAGCTACGATGCACACGGTGAAGCCTGGTGAGGGCACATATCGAGTCCGAAAACCCGACGTTCCGGGGGTGCTGACTTCCGGTCCGGGCGAGCGGACCAAGCACGGACTCAACCATTCGTGTGGGGGTTCGGCAGCTACATGCCTTTCAACGAGACGGCGTGTAAGTCTCTGCCTATCATCAACTTAACTTGAAGGCGATCTCTTGCTGAGTCGACCAGGGTTCATTCGATGCTTCTCGCTCAATGCAGCCACTACCCTCCTCGTTCAGGCAAGTAGCTTCTCCACAGCTTCACCAGATCAGCTCGGGTCCGCGCTGATCACTAGATCTTCTACATTGACCGCGCATGCAGACTCTTCAAGCACTGGTGGCCGGGTGCGTTCATTGGTCCGTTTGCGTGAGTCCTCACTATCCCTTCGCAGCGGCAAAGATCTGACGGCTGATCCATCCAGCGCAACCACGTTCATCATCTCGATCGTGTTCGTCAGAGTGACTTTGTACCCTACTACTATGTGAGCCCGGACATGCTGGCTGCTCCGCTATGTTGAGTCTGCTCAATATCTGTGTGATATGAGCTGACTATTGCAGGCGTACAAGGTCCTTTTCTACGCTATGGTCGGTCAACCTCTCCTATCTGTAGCATTATACTCGACTGACGTGCTGAGTTATCGCTCAACATCGTCACCGATACGCTCATCACTATCACGGTCGCCTATGGTCTATACCGCTTCAAGACTGGCTGGGCGCATACTGACTCTCTCCTATGGCGTCTCATCGTGTGAGTTGACCTTCATGAGTAACAGACACTGAATATGGCTCTTGTTACTGACACGGTAGTCAAATCTTTGAAGCTCAAATTCCCGCTTTGCTGAGGTTTGAATTTCTGTAAACATCAGAGTACCAAAGCTGATCATCAGCGCCATTGTCACCTTCATTTGCTGGACTACAGCCTGCTCAATCGCCATGCCCCTCATGTACGTTCTCTCCAGTCTTCCGACATGTACTCAGCTGACCCCTCAGCCTCACCCAGACGAAGATCTATTTCCTCGGCATGCTCATCACTCTCAACCTCCGTGACACCCCCTTTGCTTCCTCGGCGAGCTGCACAGCTACCGGAGGGGTGAATATCACCTACACCGTCGACGCGGTCACCGCTAATGTGAGTCTGATCTCCTCCCTCCATCCTTTGGCAGGCCAGGACCTCAGCTGATATGGCAATATCAGCTTGGCCAGTATCAGAACGACACATACCCCATGTCTGACCTGTCCGAGGCTGAGGCTGAGAAGATGAGCCAGCCCGGGAACAAGGACGATGATGCACACCTTGTGAGCCATCTCGTCTTCCGTTCGAACCTCATTAGCTCAGGAGCTGATGGACAGTATGGTTCGACTATTCACTTGTCACTGGGATCATAGGAGTGGATTCGGACTTTTTTAGCTCGCAGTCAGATGTCGCTGTCCGTCATTAGCGTAATGGTATCTGAGTTGCGGAGGGTTTACTTTGTAGATAGGCCGCCTCGATGATCAGATATTCGCTATGGCCCTGAGGTGAGCTCGTACCCTCGCAGAGCAGATCACGACCCGGCCGGCCATCAGTATACCGCTCAGAAAAAAAGCGGACTTACGACTGGAACAGGCCTCTCTGCTCACTGGCAGCTGGTCATATTCATGAGTTACTACTATCCTCGACTGCTCAGCGCATCATCTCTTGTCAGCCCCCATGTCATCGCGATGTACAGAGACGTTCTTGCGTCAGATACCACAGACAGCCCGGACACGGACGCTATGACACGACGATCATCACAGCCATACTGAACCTTACTCATAGAATAGCGCTAGAGCCAAGTCACAACGCGGAGCGCGATAGGGGTGGATCAGAAGCATGGGCCATGAGACTCCCGAGGCATCGCAAGTCAGGTATGGTGTCTGCTGCTTGCATATGTGAGTATCTCGGGTAGATTTCAGTCCTATGCCCATTTTTCTCTCGGCCTTCCTCCTCTACTCTAATCCACCCATCCAAGCTGACCATTCGGCAGAATTGAAATCGGCAGGGTCAAAGTCTCCCACAAATCCACCCAACGCAAGATCGGTATCATCGCCATCCAAAATCCGGTCCAAAGCGTCACGCTCGCCTTTGTCGTCGCCCGACAGTGCCTCTTCCGCCTGTATTGTATCAGGCACGACCGGATCCTCAGTCATCTCGAGGGTTGCCTCCGGTCCGACGTCCGATGATTTCTCGGAAAATGGCAGCCCATTTGCTTGAGTGAGATACATCGGAATCCGAAGGACTACTCGCTCGTCTGGTACTCCACGCCCCAATTTCAGCTGCTGAGAGACTAGTTCGTCGAGCACGATGGCTGCCGCTTTCGAGTCGAAGCGAACATCCTGGGAGCCAATCATCCGCGGCATGATGTCCGTGTCCATGGCCAAGCTGCAATTCTTGAGACCCACGATGGTGCTACTAAGCGCGCTCGCGCCTCGTCTTCTGCAGCCGATTGTGTATTGAACTGCGCCGCCAGTGTCCTCGTCGGTCAGATAGGCCATGCTCAGCGCGTTGATAGCCAATTTGTCCGTTGACTTGTTCACGATCAACCACAGAATATTGAAGCCGTGGTGACGTACTGTCGACTGCACTGTCTCCCTACTGAGGTCTTTCGAGACACGTCCTGGCGTATCTTTCCGGCTGTCAGAGCCGAGCCGGGACTGTGGCATTTGTAGGGTGAAGGAAGCGGTGTCACCACTGCGGAACGTCTTGAGCTTGGTTCTTATCCGTGCGCGGAGAGCATAGTTGACATTTGTTTCGAAAGCTGCCTTCAGCTCTTCCAAGGCAGGCAGTCTGGGATAGGCAAAGCTTAGAGTCATCGTATCGGATGAAGCAAATTGGGGCTTTCTCCCTGGCTCGGTGATCTTGACCTGGCTGAACATGAAGGTCAACTTCGAACGGTCGTACTTGATCATGTCGAGGGTCATGTCGTGCCCGTAGCCCTGGAGCGGGGCTTCCTCAGCTGCCTTTAGAGCGAGTTCGACCAGGGGCGTAACGAGGGCGTGCACTTTCACGAGGTCTTCCTCGTATAGGGGTGCGTCAGTTTGAGAAGATTGTGCAGACATGGCGTTTGTTTGTGGGTGTGATGTGTGAGTGGCGAGCTTTTTGAGTGTGTGTGGGAGTGAAGAGGTCAGAAACGAGAGGCGCGGTATATATCAGTCGGTCTAAAGGCACTTGGAGTCATGGGAGAAAGGGGAGCAAGGTGAAAGGTCTGCGTAGATTGCGCGTCTCATCTGGCGACAAAGGAATCATGGGCCGGGGTACACAGCTGCGCTGATCGTCGATGGGTTTGTTGACAGCACATGAGTGAAGGGTCCCAGATGGAAGCGAGACATTCTTATTGGTCAGTGATCCAGTCTTCCGCGAGTGTCGCATACACTGCTAGCCGGCCACCTTGATATTACTGTCAGCGGAATCGAGAGCGCCTTGGTGGCGAGAGGGACAGACTGTCCGACGTCGAACATGCGGGTATCTGCGCGGTGCGCGATATGTGTTTGGGTATCAAAGGTAGATTTCCTGCTTGTGTTCGAATTTATGCGTATTCTAGATAGCTGATAAAGATGAAAGGAATCACCCTAGTCAGCAGGCTGCATGATGACCGCCACATCGATCTTTCTAGCACGTGGACCTATCGAGAGTGGCACTTCCGACCCCCCTTTGTGGCACGCGATTTAGGCGAAACCTCTGTCCAAAGGAGGATTGTAAAGAGACTCAGAACGAGGAATTACAGGGGTCTCTGGGGCTGTAAAGGTACCACGCCCATCCCCTCCCCCTCCCACCCTTATACATCACACTGCCCGTCATCACGTCGGCTTCCCACTAAGCACCTCTTGCGCCACAGCCGTTGACATCAGGTGACCCAACAACCCACGCAACTCCCAGCATGTCTGATACATCCCCGCTGGATGCCTCGACTCATGACGAATCGGACCTGACAGGCCTGATCGGCGAAGCTCCCGACCTGATCTCTGACGGCGGAACAGACTATGACACCCAGTACACTGGTGATGAGCATGTCGGGGTGTCTGACAATGGCGACAGTGAAGCTGTGGGCTTCGTCTCCTCTGACGCCCCCGCCCACCGGAGCGAAGACGAGGCTCGGGCTTCGTGTGCCATCAATCAGCGACTCGAGGCCCACCGCCAATCCCAGAGGGGCGAACACTTTATTCCACGGCTACAACACTGGATCAGCGACTGCCTCACGGATGGGTATTGGCATGTCGACAGGAAACCAATGAGAAAGATCAAACTCGTTTCCAGACCCACATGCACGTCGACGGAAACCCAACAGACACGGGCGCCGCTCTATGTGACAAAGTATGACGACTTTGAGGGCTGCGACACTGTCAAATGCAGTCGTGCCTTTTTCGACACTCTGTGAGAGACACTGAGCTGACCACGGAGGACGAGTTGAAGGCCTGGAGGAATTCGCAGGAAAACAGGAGCAGTGATGACGGAGCTCTCGCTAAGGACGTCTTGGTGAAGGTTCTTGGGATGGCGGTGCCCAAGCTCGAATCCCGGTTGAAGGCGAAGGTGGATTTCTCGAGGGACGGCTGTCCCTGCCCGCGGAACACAATCAACGTCCAGAGGTACGTGGAGGATCTGTGGATGAAGGGAGCTCTCAAATCGACCGAGGTGCAAGATGCGATCTACGATGAGGTGAAGCGTGGGATCACACTAAGAGCGATCTCCGTAGAGGCGACACAGGGTTCGGCGGCTGTTCAGTGATGGATGGGGATTACTTCTCGTTTCCATAGATTCTCGTGTCGATACTCTTTCACTGTATATGGAGACCCTTCAGTAACATTGTGTACATTCATGCATTGCACCTTGCGCCTTTTCGTCCAGACGGGCATGAAGAGATGCTTTCCTACATATACAATATACTCTCTCTCACCCCTATACTCCTAGCTGTATGCTCCAGAGATTCTACCCAAACGCAGCCATCGGACCTCCCCAGCCCCCTCTCTCCTGATTCCGCGTAACCTTCTCATTCACAATCCCCCTCTGCAGCCTATCCAACTCCTTCGCCACCGTCCCCATCGCGAGATACTTCCTGGTCGAGTCTGCTCCACTGGACGAGTCAGCTCACTCCATTGCCTCAGATCACCACGCAGTATCGAGGAGTGGACCACTGACAATCGATCCAAAACAACCACACCCTGAACCTGATCGATCCGCCCCTTGATCTTCTCATCCAATATCAGACCCACTACCAGCCCCTCGGCCTCGTCCCGTCCGATATTCAGAGTCTTGGCGAGGAAGTCGAGCGAGAGGCGGGTATAGGATTTTATGATATCGATGATGTACTGGGTGCGGAGTGAGCGGAGGAGGTCGGTAATGAAGAAGGCGATAAAGGGGTCGCCGGTGATGGTTGCTCGGTTGGCTAGAAGTGTCAGCTGCACCGTTCGTCAACGATCGACATCACAACCTAGCTGACCTTTGAGGATCTTCTCAGCGGCGAGGACATCACGCATCTGGTAGGCCTGGACGAGGTTCGTCATCGCCACGATCTGGGGATCGTTCTTGTATCTGAGGTGTCAGCTCTGATAACATGCCATGTATACTACACAGTGAACATGATAACTCACGGCTTGGTCTCTTGCGAGTCGAAAGGGTTGATTTCACTCCCCATCAACATATACGTCAAGACCAGATACTTCAACACCTGGATCCGCTGAGACGACCCCGACTCGTCGTACTGCCTGAAGGACTCGAACAGGTCTGTCGATGCCTTGTCCCATGATCCTATAGAGTCAGTTCCTGCTAGCTTACCTGCAGATAAACCCGGGAACTCACGCTCCATCATCCACATCTTGCCTCCGCATTCCCTGATGACGCCCATGATGCGTGGATGGGGAATAGCATTCTTGACCTGCATCGCGGCGTTGTAGATCTCCTGCTCAGTATCAGTTATGCGTCCCTGTTGTGGTCAGAGGGAACCTGGAAGCTGACCTTCTGTTTCTTGTTCTCCTTGAGATCGCTGTACATCTGAATCTCGATAGCGTACAGCTCGAGCACTATGGGTCAGCTTCTCGAAGTTCGGTGTATACCTGTGGTATAGCTCACGCAAGGATCCCTTGCTCTGATCATCCGAAGAAGATGATCCAGCGGTAGGTGCACAAGCAGCCTGGAGCGACCGGAGAATCTATAAAGTCAGCTTTTGAAGCACACCTATAAGCGTTCGACAGCCAGCGTACCGGTTCGAGCCGCCTGTACTCCTTCCGGTCCAGCCACAGCTTCGCGAGCTTCAGATTGGATTTTGTCGACAAGCGCTATGTATGTCAGCTGGATCCGGAGTGAAATCAGTCGTTCCATCACGCCAGGCTCACCTCATTCTTGGCCTCTTCGCATGCGATCCGCGTAGCTTCGTAGAATGCCTCCAGGGTATCCAGGGGGACTTTGGGCGAGATAGCTGCGTGCTGTATGTGTGAGCATACTCTCATCACTGCAAGGGTGATGGGTCGGGAACAGCTAACCTTTCCTTCTCCGCCGACGTAGTCCAGAATGTTGTTGATAGACTTTTCGGCGTAATTCCTCGTGACGTTGCTCTACTTGATCAGCTCCTTCTTCCACGAGCACTTCGTGACCGATTCAGCTGAAGATATGCTGTATGTGAGACATCACATACCTTCGTGTACCCCAGCAGCTCCCTGTACGTCTTCAGAGCCTCCTCTGGCTGATGCCGATACAGGTAATTCATCTTCGTCATCTGCTTGAGCGCCTTGAAACCCCTATACGCATCAGCTCAGGTCAGCGACTCCAGATGGAGGTCAGGCTGATGGTAGCTGATCGAGAAAGACGTACCATTCCCCCTTCTCGGGCTGTTCATCCACTATCGCTTTGAAAGCCTTGAGTGCTGCTTCTTGATCATCCTCCTTCAACGCTAGCATATCAGCTCGAGCCCTCATGTAGCCCCCTCCCTCGCGAGGCGGGTTGCGGGTGACAATTAGCTGACTCACACTTGGCCTTGTAGTACTGATTCTCCACATCACCCGTCTCGTCCGCCATCCCTTCTTCGTCATCATCATCATAGTCGAAATCGTAATCCTACCAAGTCAGCTTTTGCACCGCAGACGGCTTTCGCACCGCAGACGATGAATTGTGTGCAATAGCTGACCTCGTCGTCCGCATCCTGAAATCAGCTACTGGTCTTCTGGATACATTGAAGGAGCAACCTACCTCCATCATGAATTCATCGTCGGACATGTTGGGCTATGAAGGTCGGTGGAGCTTCTATTCCCTTTCGAGGACTTGCACGAGTGTGCGTTTCTGTCGCTTCAAGTGATACTGGCCGTACCGTCGAGGCCTGAAGGCTGGGTGTATGTCTGATTCGCGACTGTGTAGGTTGATGGAACGAGAGAAGAATGTGAAGCGAAGTGAAGGCGAGGGACGCGCGGGGGTGGAGGCTGTTCAAGGGAGGGACCGAATAACGCTGTCCAGTTCCAACTCCGCATTCCTCGTCCTCGATTCCCTCGCCACAAACTTGAGCTCGGCGAGGCTCGGCGAGAGAAGATCAGCACCTTCTGTTGATCAATCGATCAGGAGTCGACCTTACTGCGGCTTGAGGCGAGATGTTGCCGAGCTCTCTCACTGTCTCAGAGCTACAAGTGCTCCCTCCTGGTTCATGGCTCCTTCACCCTCAGCGGGCCACTCTGATCATCTGACCTGCTGCCGCACTGCCCTGAGCAGTACGGCATGGGATCTCGCCGCCGGACCCGGGCCTGCTCAGACTTCGCACTCTGCGCTGTATAGAGAATTCCTATGCACTCGGTGTAGGAGTTCCTACACGCTACCGAACTCGGATCCTATTCGCTTCCTACTGAGTCCTCGGTGCTACTCTAGACATGTGATCTCGTCACCCGCCTCAGACTCCAGATAGCCCAGAATCTCAGATTCTCACCATCGATATCCGCGGGGTTCAGGGCTTGGCAACAGCGCCAGGCTTACCAATCCACCAGCCATCTGATCGCTATATAAGCAATGGAGTTTGCGGTCCTTGGGACAGTCCGTGAATCACGCTCACCCAGACTCGGAGACATCGATTTGATCTGATCGCCGCCCCAGTTTGGCACCACAATGGCTCATCTCCCCTTCTTCTCTTATGATGGGTACGGCAAAGATGTCGAGCCCGTGTTTCACTACTCGCAGGCTGTCAAACGGGGCGACATTATCGAGATATCCGGGCAAGGTGCGTTCGGGCTTTTACTTCCCTTTGGCTGTCCCAGTTCCGGGTTCCCGCTTCGTCCTCGTCAGATGCACGCGCCCGTACAGCAAGCTGTAAGGCCGAGGCTGACAGGAACAGGCGGCTGGGACCCTAAAACCCACGCGGTCGATCCGGACATCAATAAGCAGATAGATCAAGCGTTTGAGAATGTCCAGCTGGCCCTTGTCACCGCCGGTGGACAAGGCTGGGTCGAGGTGAGTTGATCCTCTCCGGACTCCTGTTCTCTCTCATCCGGTGGTCTTGACTCTTGAGCTACCTCCACCTCCAGGCTTGCACCTAGCTCTCACTCCTAGACCAATCCCCTCATGTATCTAGCATGCCCGATACCAACACCAACCTAGACCCCAGACCAGACTCAAACTGACACCCCCAGGTCTACAAGATCCGAGCCTACTTTACAAACCTAGACGACCCGACCCACATCGACGCGTTCGTGAGGAACATGCGCAAGTGGCTGCCGGGTCACAAACCCTTATTGACGGCGGTGGGTGTCAAGGTGCTCGCGTTCGAGAATATGAAGGTGGAGATTGAGGTTGCGGCGGAGACCAAGTCTGCGGCGTAGGCTTGCGCCGAGAGAAACGTGTTTGAAGGGCCGAGCCCGGGGGAAGCGTTTGGGGTCAGAGTCAGTATGTACTTGGGTCATGGTCAGCTGGCATCACGTAGCACGTAGACAAATGGTATAATGCGATATGCATCAAACCTGCTCGGCCCCGCCCAGCTCGACGTCTATGGCATCAATCGTTTCGGGTCCCTTGGGAACAATGACGCCCTCCTGATGTTACCCAACTTCAGGTAGAACATCAACACCCGTTCCAGACCTGAACTCGTCAGCTTATATCCCTCTCACGCCACTTCTCTTGTCCCTTTCTCCAATCCTTCCCGATCCTCCCATGATCTCCTCCTTCCATCCCTTCCCAAAGGACCCCCAATCGAATCACTCCAGACACAAGAAGAAGACTCACCAATCCCCCCACCGGCATGCGGCGGCGCCCCCAACCTAAACGCATCCACATACCCCTCCATCGTCTTTGGATCAATCCCCACCTCCTTCAACCTCTGTACCAAGAACGCCGGATCATGCACCCTCTGCGCCCCACTCAAAATCTCCTCTCCCCGCATAAAGAAGTCATACGAGTTGGACACCTCCGGGTTGGTCGGATCCGGCATGGTATAGAAAGGCCGGATAGCCGTCGGGAACTTATCCAGGATAAAGTAATCGGTAGCGTATTTCTCGCGTACCAACCTTCCAAGCAGCTTCTCATTCTCCGTCGACATGTCGTCCATCTCACCGATTGGCGCTCCGTCCGATCCTGTCGCACCGGCTTCACGGAGCATCGCCATGCCTTCGGCAAAGGTGAGCCGGAGGGTTTTTTCTAGGAAGAGGAAATCGTCGCATGGGAATTGCTTTTTGATCGTGTCAATCTCGTGTTTGTAGGTCGTGGCGAGACCGCGGAAGATGTGGAGGAAGAGCGAGTCGAGAAGGTCGAGGACCTCGTGGTAGTGCTCCTCGATGGCCATTTCGAGGTCGAGACCGACGAATTCGGTCATGTGACGGTGGGTGTTGGAGTCTTCGGCGCGGAAGACTGCACGTCAGCTTGGGCGGCTCCATCCAAGAGCAGCTGCGGACTGACCTGGAGCAATCTCATACACCCGCTCCATATCACCAGCGATACACATCTGCTTGGCCAATTGCGGGCTCTGAGCGAGGAAGGCGGTACCTATAGGTCAGCTCGAGCCCTGCCGAGGAACGCAGTCATAGACCCAGGAACTGACCATTGAAATACTGAACCTTGAACACACTCGCCCCACTCTCCGTAGCCGCACCTTGCAACTTGGGCGAGTGGATCTCGGTAAACCCATTGTTGTTCAGGTGCTCCCGGAAGAGCTGGCAAAGGCCAGACTGCATCCGGAAGATGGCCTGGTTGGCGGGTGTCTAAAAGTTAGCTGTGCCTCCGATATCAAGCTGTACAGGAAAAGTTGAGCTCACTCGGAGATCCATAACTCGATTGTCCAGCCGAGTAGGCAAAGAAACGCGCGAGAATTGGATATCCTCCGTCTCCATCTGATCTAATAAGCTTAATGTACATTGGATGTAGAGCAGCAGAAAGCTCACGCGCTGGAAGTCTGATTCTGGGCGAGAAGCATCATCGATCGAGAAGGGCAAAGTCTCAGCCTCAACGACAGTGAACAACTACCTTCATCAGCTTGGGCCCATACCTCGGCATTACAGGGCAGGAAGCTGACCTTGTGGATCTGGACCTCGTATTCCTGGATAGTACAGCTCTTCACCTCGGCGGCCTTGATAGTCCCCTCAACCAGAACGATAGACTCAGACTACTATCGTCAGCTCTGACGTGGATGTAAGTCCTTCCCGTGTCTTTGAACTGACCGGGATGTTCTGCGCATACTTGAGCATTTGCTTAGATACCTGATTCTCGTCCTTCTCGCCCGAGATGACCAGGACTCCCTGCAGAGTCTGGGTCTGTTGCCGGAAAGTGAGGAAGACGATCTTGGCGCCTGGTGGTCAGCTCGCGCCCACTACAGACAGCGAGGGAGTTGAGCTCACCCTGTGGCCGCATGTTGTGCAGGCGGGCACGGAGGACGACGGGCTTGCCGACGTTCTCGGCGGAGATGGTGGGGAACTTGAGGTAGGTTCGGCCTGGATGTTCAGCGAAGGTCCAAAGGTATGCTACAGTGGGGATGGAGGAACCTCGGAAGGGGATGATCAGTACTCCAAATTCGGACCCTCGAACCTGAGCTATGAAGACGTGTGTCTTTCTCTCCTGGTCTCTCTTCTGCCTCATCTCCTCTCCCCCTCTCCTTCCGACCTCCCTGGCTTCCCCTCCTCTCCCCTCCCTCCCCTTTCCTCTCCCAATCCTCTCTCCCTCTGCACCTCCCCACCCCCTCTCCACCCTCCCCCTTCCTCTCCCCAGCCTCTCCCCTGAATATGGACTCACCGTTCCTCTCCGTACTCTGGTGCATCGGCAATTTCCCATAATTCTGCTTTGCCTCATCCATCGCATCCTGCGCCTCCCTCTTCTTCTTCTCCTCTGCCTCCCTCGCCTCCCTCTCTGCCGCCTTTTTAGCCTTCTCCGCCTCCTTTGCTCGGCGCTTCAGCTCTCCCTTTGTCGGTCCGGCCGATGCTCCTTCCTCCACAGGTGCCGGTGCGGCTGCTCCGCCTTCAGCTTGAGGCTGGACGGAAGGCGCAGACTCAGACTTGTCTTGCGTGGGTGCTGTGTCTGCCATGATGTATACTGAAGAGAGAAGGTGAGAGTGGAGGTTCGAGCGAAAGTCAGAAGCTGCTGGGCCAACCTCGAGTCGACGAGGAATGTTGATCTGGTCCAGCAATCAAAAGCCACGTCATCCGGATTTAGCCGAGTCGCGGGCATCCCCGAATCTCCGTCCGACTCGAGCGACTCATTCCGCCCGCGTTCGGCTGCGCTAGCTACTCGTATAAAGTCGAGCTCATCTCTCTGTCTTCTTCCCATATTCACAGCACCATGTCCGTCCAGCCCACCCAGCCCGAGTCAGCCGCCGGCACTTCCGCCGAGACTCAACCCCGTCAGCCCATCTGGCTCCGATGCGAAAAGAAGCCGCACGAGCACCGGTCGGCCTTGACCCCGACCACAGCCCGAACGTTGATGGATAACAACTTTGAGGTGTTTGTCGAGAGGGACCCGCAGCGGATCTTTGACGACAAGGAGTTTGAAGAGTGGGTCTTCGGATCACCTCTACTGTAGCCAAGGGGGAGAGGGCTGATTTTCAGCGTCGGTTGCAAGATGGTTCCGAACAATGAATGGCCTAGTGCGCCTGTCGAAGTACCTATCATCGGCCTGAAGGAGCTTCCGGAGTCATCGTATGTCCTCCCTTCTCTTCCTTCTTCCTTCTTGGAGTAAGAGCTAACCCACAGTGACCCCCTCCCGCACACGCACATCCAATTCGCCCACTGCTTCAAACATCAAGGCGGCTGGCAGTCCGTCCTCCGCCGATTCCGTCAAGGCGGTGGAACATTGTACGACCTCGAATTCCTCGAAGACCCCGAAACCAAGCGCCGAGTCGCTGCCTTTGGGTTCCACGCGGGTTTTGCGGGCGCAGCGGCGGGTGCGCTCGCCTATGCCGCTCAACAGCAGAGCGGGGGGCAAGGAAAGCTGGCAGGGCTGAAGCCGTATGATAATGAGGCGGCGATGGTGAAGCATGTGCAGGCGGGGTTGGAGGGTGTGGAGGGGGGACTTGGGGAGGTGCGGGTGTTGGTTATTGGCGCGTTGGGGCGGTGTGGGAGTGGGGCGGTGGATCTGTTTAGGAAGGTGGGGATCAAGGAGTGAGCGGCTTCGCTCGTGACGCGGGTCGATGGCAGAGCTGACATGACAGGGAAAACATCATCAAGTGGGATATGGCAGAGACGGCCAAGGGCGGGCCCTTCCAGGAGATCCTCGATGGTCAGCTACTTTTGCCTTCACGCCTGTCTTGGTGCGAAGATGCTGAGCTGACGCCGCAGTCGACATCTTTGTCAACTGCATCTACCTCTCCAAGCCCATCCCCAAATTCGTCACGTCGGAATTCATGGCCCAGGCTGGCGAGTCTAGGCGGCTCAGCGTCGTCGTGGATGTGTCGTGCGAGTAAGTCCAGCACTATCAGCTATCTGCCACCCCTCAAATGTCTCGAAAGATATGGGACAATGGAGCACGAGCTGATACCACAGCACCACCAACCCCCACAACCCTATTCCCATCTACGGCATCAATACGACCTTCCCCGAACCGACCGTCGAGGTGGACACCAAGGGCGTCGGGAAGCGGTGTACCGTCATTTCGATTGATCATCTGCCTACTCTTGTATGTCCCTCTGCGCTTCTTTCTGCCCTGCCTGTTCTTCATCCAAGCCGGGTACCACCCACCTATTTATCCCCGCCTATCTCGTCTCCAGTCCATTAGAGGGTCTCCCCAGCTGACTCTCCAGCTCCCCAGAGAAGCCTCGGAACAATTCAGCAAAGACCTCCTCCCGTCCCTGCTTCAACTCCCCGATAGGGCATCCGCCAAGGTCTGGACCAACGCCGAGAAGCTCTTCCAGGAGAACCTCGAGGAGGCGCGTTTGGACGATGAGAAGAATGGGATTAGGGACTAGGCACGGCTAGGATTAGGATCAGGGGGAGGTGGGCTGGGGGTTAGATGAGGATAGATAGATCTTTGGTGGACGGGGGGGGGAAGGGGATTGGGTAGGAGGATGGGTGAAAATGCATTATACAATTGGGTCTTTCTCTGGCTATACTATACACTGCCATTGGGACGATACAGGCCTAAGCTAAACAGGTTCACGCTAAAGGAAGATACGCCTTTCTCCGCCCGGCCTCTTGCTCGTCAAACCGCCACATGACCCACTCCGCCCCTTCCTGCGATGGTAGTCTCGGCGAGGCGGCCGCGGAGGTATACGTATACGCAGGATCGACGTCGACGTCCATCTTGTTTGGATCGGACCCTTGTAGTCGGATTGTGGGTATAGGACTGGCTGCGGCTGTGGCTGGCGCTGAGGCTGCGCTTATAGCGGATGTCGGCGCGTGTAGGGAGAGATGAGACGAAATGGTAGAAGGATGGGACGGTATAGGGAGTTGAGAGGGGACAGGGTGGTCCGTTTCTGGTCGAAGGGGAAGGGGGATCGAGTGCGCGGCGAGGCGATGTTTGTGCAGTGCAAGAAGGGAGGGGTGGAGGTGGGGGTGTTCCGGGCCGTCAGCGCTCAGCGCCAGGCTCGGAGTTGAACCGATTCAGATTGGGGATTGGGGGTGTAGAGGAAACGTACCGTCTAGGAGACAGAGGTAGATAGCCATCCTGCCTGATTAGCATTTGCCTTTTGCCCTGACCTGACACTCGCTGACTCGTGCACGCTTCGCTCATAGCGTCTTTTGAGCCGCAGAGACGGGCAGCGAAGCACAGAGCAGGTATATACAGCGAGAAGGGAGAAGGGACATACCGTCCTGGATCAGTCTCGCGGCCTACCAGCCCATCCAGCGCGCTCCGAGGGGTATATGCTGCTCCCGTCAGCCTTCCTCCTCTCCTCCAGGAGCAGAAGGTTTACGTGCACATACTGTCCGGTTTGACTTGTCTGAAGACGAGAACGTTTGGTGTATTCCACCGTGACAGAGAAGAGCTTGCCTCAGGCTCGCGGGCAGAAGGGACGGGGTTGGATGATGAGCCCGTTGATGGGTTCGGCGCTAAAGTTGATGTAGTGGCTGATGTAGTGGTAGTGGTCATGGTCACGTCGACGTTCATCGTGGGCAGCGATATACCTTGGGCTGTGGCAGGAAAGCGGAGGCTAAAGGGGTGTGGTAAGGTTGAAGAGCGAAAGAAGAAGGACGCGAGCTGGTCGCGCAGCAAGTGGACGGCCAGAGTGGAGGCTCGTCGCCAGCCGCCAGCCTCCCGCCTCGTCCAAAGTCTTAGCGATATCTGCCTCCCCTACCCGTTCCCATCGATCCCTCTGAGCACGACTCGACATTACAGACCCTGCGCAACATAGAGTCAGAAAGAGAATACATCTATGCTGTGTGATGCAAAAGACGCCAAACTAGTTGGGTGGGTTTTGCGCACTACGTCTGCGCCGCCATTCTCCGTAGTCCTATCCCCCTATACGCCCGATCCCACCCCGGAACACCCCAAGAATCCCCGCCTATACATCGCTTTTTGTTGGTTTCGATGTGTGGTTTATCGGAGACGACTGAAGGAGTCAGCGGATGTTCCAGGTTGGATATTCGGGCAGCGATTCCTCCCTGTCCCGCGTCTGGACTACACTATCCTCCACCTCGCATACCGCCAGCTACGACTTTGCAATCCGCTAGCCGTCCTTCCTGCAGATGCCTTGACATCCATCCTCCCGTGACAAGTATCATCCCGTCCTTTCTCTCCCATGCGCCACATCCCCAAATCCGACGAAAGCCCCATCCCCATCCCAAGCCTAGATCCGAACTCACCGAGCCTCACGCTCCGACTCGAGCAACGCCAAGATGTCATTCACCCGCACCGGGCCCTTGACGTTCCGGATGATGGATCGCGACGTGTCGTCCATGAATTCGACGCGGACCTGGGTGACACCTCCTCGCGAACCGGTACGGCCGAGCACCTAACGTATCAGCTGACTGTGCTTGGATACAATCCCCCATCCACAAGTTTGCCAGCTGATCTCGCTGTCCGCCCGATCCTATCCACCCAGATCATCCGCCTGTTCCCGTTTCGCTGTTCCAGCAGCAATTCCCCCTATGCCTCCCTATAGCCCTCCTCCTCCCCTCCCTTCGATCCCCTCATTCCCTTATACCACCTTCGATTCGGCGGCTCAACTCACCTTGAGCACCTTGGCGAGCTTGACGGGGACCTTGTTGGTTGATTCCTACACGGTCAGCATTTCCCCTCTACAGATCTCTCCCTCATCTCCCTCGATCTTCCCGATTCCGCCTATTCCCCCTTAACCATTTCCGCGCGAACAGCGATGAAGACGCACCATGTTGGCTGATTAGTCGAAGGATGGAGGGTAGAGAAGGGCGTATCGACGTATAGCTGGAGGCTGTAGCGAAAGCAGCGAATTCAATCAAGTGGCTGCAGCGAGGAGGACGGAAGCTAATTACCGAGACAGAATTACCAGAAGTGGTAGAAAGTAGCAAAGGTTTGTGGCGGATCGGCGTTAATCTTACGACCGATGCTTCCGCCTGGTGGCGAAAGACGGTCCACCTTGCAACTGCTGCGTACGCGTGCGCGTGCAAGAGCTGAACTAGCAAGCGGCATACCCTGCCACGTTGCATCTGTATAAACACAAACTCTGCAGTACCGATCAGTCATCGATTCCCCTGCCGTCCTGCTCAGCCTCGATCATTTCCTCTGCTGCTTGATACGCATTGAACGATAGTCTTCCGCAGTAGCCGCCAGCACGCTGACACGGCTTCCCCAGCTGTAACTGTCGCAGATATCCTCCATCGCCTTGATTCGCGCCACCAAGGGTCCACGGAGGTCCTTGTGAGTGTAGAGAATCTTCTTCCAAGCGACTCCGGTGAGAGAGCCCCGGTCGCTGAAGGCGTTGTGAAGGGCAGATTGCAGTGTTTGGAATGACGGGTGAGCATAGTAGTCCTCGACCACCTTGGCTGTGTCCTTCTCCCCGATGATGTCCGAGATGGACTTCTTCTTTGTGCTCACAAACATGACCCTGTCATAGCCACAGACACCACGATCCGACAATTCGGCCCACAACCCCAGGGTCACTGTAGGATTGACTGGTCTGGCCGAGGAATCGGCTTGGTCGAGGAAGGATTTGAAATGGACAACGTGTGAGGTCGCCATCTTCAATGTGCTGACCCGATGATAAAATGCGATGGATAATGCACCTGACTGGGCCCGCCGATGCGAGCCGATATAGCAGGCCCGCGCCTGCTCGCCGCGATTGAGAAGGACAAAGGACGAGTCATCATTTGAGCCCTTCGTGCACGACAAATCAGGGGAAACGGGGAAGGCACGACAGATTGCGTTTCAGCTCCACAAATGGCGCCCTGCTGATACGCAGTGGTGCATTACGCATACAAGTCTGCATAGCTGGAAGGCGGCCCTTCCTCGCGAGTCACGCGCGGGGGTCGGAGCTTTATCGTGCGAATGTGACAGGCCTGCCGATCCGCACCATCGGAAGAGGGGAATTGCGCTCAGGTTGTAAGGCACTAGCGGTCGGGAAATCTCCCGGCCTCGACCTGACACTCACTGATCGAAACGGATCTGCTGCACAACCTGGCAGCGATGCAATATCTCTCATAGTCTGTTTTGGTACACACTCGTACTGCTGATAGACAATCCACCTACCGACACAGAGCCCCCATGATGTGTCCCGCCTGCTTCAGGTTGACAACCAGTACCGTGATGTGTGTCTCGCTTCCTGCCCTCGTCTAATGACTTTCATCTGGTGAAAACTGTCCGCGTGCTCTTCAACGCCGCCTCTCGTGCTGAAAGATGCCCCGCTGGTTTCTGAGCCTGAAGACGGGACATGGTCGGGCCACCCTTTGCCTGCAGGTTGACAAGCTATGTCTCCCATCTGAAGCGGACGTCTGGTATATGAGATAGCGTCACAGCATATGCTAGCACCAATCTGTGCTTGCATTGCATTGGTAAGTCTGTGATTTCGAATGCACTAGCGCAGGGGATTACAGCAGTCGACACGAGCGCTCGGTTGTAGATCCGAGCTGGAGCGCTGATGTTGAAGCGATGGAAACCGGAGCGGACACCTTCATTAGACACTTTAGTGAGCTTGTGTAGCCTTCTTGCCTCAGCCAACAAAATACATGACGGTACGAGTCAGCGACTGCAAACGGCAACGACCCAGAGTAGTGACGCAGGGAACCCCCTAGCTACCAGACGGGCCAGTCAGACCCCCTCGACCGGCCTGCGTCCCATCCATCCCGGGAGCACTCTCGCCGCCATCGGTCACTCCGCTGTTCCTCTGCCTGACTTGCTGCATGTACTTCATCATGAGGTACTGACTGTCCGCTTCGGGGTTGTCCGTGTCGGATGCGACTGATTGAATCTGGCTGTCCTGCCTCACGTGATCAGGCATTCTCGCAACAAGCTCTTGCACGGTGTAGCCGGTACTGGGAGCAACGAGGGAGCGTGCACCTTGGGTCTCCGCAGTAGTGACGTTCTCCTCCGTCGGCGGGCCCAAACGCTCCGCTCGGCGCGCCGCCACTGCCTCATCAGCGGACGGGTCTCGCCCGATTGGGTCGGATTGGAGTTTCGGTCCATGATGGTGTGTGACTGGTAGAAGTGTGGTCAGGCCGGAAAGCAAAAGGTGGAGTTGGAGTTTGAGGAGGGTAAGTGGCAATGGAGAAAGAAAGCGAGAGGGGACGAGCTCTTATACATCACAGAAGTCAGCGATTTCTTGCCGATGGTGTGTCAACTTTGAATCTCAACGCAGTGCTCCATAGGATCCTTTGACTCGCTTACACTGCATTCTGGGAGGCCTCCGATCAGCAGCCACGCGATCGCGCCGAGTGGTGTGTCAGCCTTGGAACTGAACGCCAGACCGCCCGAGGATCCTTTGACTCGTCTGCACAGCTTTGGGGATGGCCTGCTACCGCTGGTCCAGCGATCGCGCCCAACTGGCCGTCATCATACAGGTCCGACCAGGCGACTCGCCTCCCCTTTCAATCTGCGGGCTACAATACTACTTGTCAGCACTTGAGGCTGATGGACGATATTGTAGCTAGACCTCTAGCTGTCGTCACTGCTCGAGAGGAGATGTATGGAGCTGGGTGAGCGTCATCAGTGACTTGTGAGCCAGCGTCTCTCACAGCCGCGATTGATGAGAAATCACCAGTACAGGCCTTCCAGCTGTACTATGCTTCCCCACCCATCGCAGGATGTGCGTAGACGAGTATGGGAAGGTATGGGACGATAGAGTCGGCACCTGCATGATCGACTGATCGACACTGATCAAGCGCTGACCCAATTCCTGGTGACTCACCATGCCGAAAGATGACGAGCCGGTGAGGAACGCACGTCGATCATTGCGTACTCGTGAGCAGGTGTCGTTCCAGTCACCTCATCGCCGTCGCCGTCGCCACTCGCCGCTGCTCTAATGCGGTACTATACGAGAGCGAGGAGGAACGTCATTGAGAGGCTGGACCAACGAAGACGGGTGGCGGAAAAAGACTATCCAAAGCGGGAAGGCTGCCACTCTGAGCTGTGCTGAAATGACGTCGATCTGCCGTAATTCCGCTTCCGGCTTCGGCTTTTCCCTGTTTTGGTTGACAGATCCGGCTGAGCACCAACAAGAGACATCGTCGTCTCAGCCAGTCTCTTTTCACTCTCTACATCTACCTATATATCATCTACCTGCTACAGCTACTTGCAGCTACCCACCAGCCTCTACACATACCACCTCAACGAACTACTCAGTAATCACAATGGTCGACGCAGTAAGTCTCGCAGCCGCCCCTTTGTTCTTGCGGAGTCGCAAGCCCTTGAGCTATCTCGCTGACCCATCAGGCTGTCCACGTTAAGCGAGGCCACCCGGCGCTCTTCGGTACACTCCTCGTCTTCGGTATCATCGAGGGTGCTACTACATCATGGCTTAGTGAGTTTTGCTTTCCTGATTTAGAGCAAGCGCAAATGCTGACCGCATTCAGCTATGCAGTACAACAAGTGAGAATTATTTCCATCTTGGGCAGGCGCCACCAACGCCGTGCCTTTTCCGCCAGGTCCTGCTTGAATTTATGAGCGGCAGCTGACAAGGTAGCAACGGCTCATACCCCAACTCGTCTATCCGTGACCGTGTCCGCTTCCTCGTCTTCGTCTCATGGTGGACGGTCGTTTTCGCCGCTGCATACCTCGCCGTCTTCCTCCTTGCTGCCGACAACTTCTTGGCTAGCATTGCATCCCACGGTATCTGGATCTTCTTGACGTACGTCTCCTCTCTGTTTATGGCCACATCACTTTGCTGACTCCTCAGCTGGATCTTCTGGCTTGCCGGTGCCGCTGCCCTCACCGCGTCCCTCGGCGGTGGTCTTTCGTGCGGCCTCACCAACCTCGCCTACTGCGGTCAGCTCAACGCTGCCATTGCCTTCGCCTGGATTGAGTGGATCATCATCACCATCCTTTTGATCGTTATCGTCCTCCTCGGTACCTCCGCCCTCAGGCGCGGTGACCGTCTCAGCGCCGGCCTCGTCTAAGCCTTTCGCTAGACCTATCAATGGGTGTGGCGTGCAGTGGGGCGTAGCGGAGAAGCTAGGACATTGCCCTGAATGACAAAGCAGAGCGGAGAGGAAGGAGCGTGGGGGAGCAAGTGGAGGGGAGTGAGCGTGAGCCTAGAAAACATATACTACCAAATTCTATAATGCTATGTAGCAGATCAAACACATATGTTGCTTACTCGGTCTCTGCTTCTGCCGCCCCAAATCACGGGCAGAAACATTTTCTCACAGCCAATGCTGCAGGTCTTTATTGTCACGGACCAAGATATCTATTACATGACCCTCAAATAACCCAAACCAAAGCTAATCTATGTAAGTCATGTACTCTCGTACCTCCCCGGCCTCATTAAGCCCTTCTCCACCCCTACTCTCGCCAGCCAATCCCTCATCGCCAGCCTCATTTCCGGTGCCTGCTGTCGACTGAGCAGATCCATGACGAGGGGATAGTACGTTGGCACGTGTTGCTCGAACTGGAGTCGTCAGCTCTGGCTTCCGCGCTTCGGAATCTAACCAGACTTACTGCTGCATCCTCAAGGCCGATACAGCCCCGCAAGACCTCAGTGACAACAGGCGTCCAGGCAGCGACGTTACGAGGTTGCATTTCCGGGTCGATATTGACAAAATCTTTGATCACCTCGGTACTCAGTCTGACGGATCAGCTTCATTCCACTCTCCAAAGCAGCCGTCTAAGAAAGCACTTACGGGACAAGCCGATCTAGTACACCTGTCCTTGTCGCGCGATGCGCATCCCTCGGATCCCTGTACATCCTCAAAAGGACATTGATGAGTGTAGCGGCGGCGCTCGATTCCTGCTTGAGCAAGTTCGGTAATTGCCTCATGAATCCTACACCCTTCAGCTGCTGGCTCCGGATCCACTACCGTGTCCACCTCAGCTGAGCTAAACTCACCTGCTTTCCACAACTTTGTCCTCAGATCCTTATCCGCATTGAACTTTCTCGCAAACCTCCACGAATCGTCCAGGACACCCATGAATCTCAGCAGATGCTCCGCCGGGATGGTATTGTACACATCATCATTCTGCAGCAGGCCATGCGTTGTTTCGATGAGGAGAAGCTGAAGAACGCATTTGACGATGATTTGTCGGAAGATTCGGCGTTGATCCTTGAAGGCGAGAGTAGGGGGAAGGGCGGGCGCTTTCTCAGAAGCGGGATCGAGTGGGGCGGGGGCAACGAACTTTTGGAATGGGGCTGTCAATATCAGCTAGCTGTTCCGCCTTGAAGAAGATGCGCGGGAAGATCAGCTTACCATCCTCCTCGACCATCTCATCCGGCTCGAGCTCGATCGAGAGCTGCGGGTCAAATAGCTGGCCAGCCGTGGTCGTGCGGAAGAGCATGACGAAGGCCGAGACAATACTCTCCCATTTCTCCGGCGAAAGCTTCCGGACATTGCTTTCAAGCAGCTGCTGGAAACAGGACGTCCCTATCCGAGCGAGAGTGTCGTTCTCTGCAGTAAATCAGCTACTGGCGCATACATCAATCGTACTCCAGGCAGCTCACCTTGACAGATACACGCCACAAGAATATCCAACAGCCCATCCAGGAACCGCTGCATGACTGAGAAATACACCGTGTACAGCTCAATCATCTCCCTCAGCGCCGAAATGAGCGTCGTCGACAGCCATACCGACATCTCCTCGGCAGACCGGAAGCGGACGTCGGACTTGGCGCGGAGGATCGCAAAGATGGGGAAGAGGATTTGCTGGTTGATGGTGTTCCAGAAGGGAGGGGAGAAGTTTCGGCCGTGGATCTTGAGGGTTTCGAATAGGCAGTCGAGAGCTCTACGGGTCGTCAGTTCGGTCCAGCATCAGAGAGTGGAGAGTAACTTACAGTCTCCGCACCTCAAGGTCTTCACCCGTCATGATGATCTCGTAGAACGAATGCAGTACGGGCAGCCAGTACTTCATCATCGGCTCCTCCGTCCGGTCCTTCTCCTTCCCTTTCCCATTGCCATTGGCGACAACAGCCACCTCCCGCCCCTCTTCCTCTACATCAACATCGGCGACCTCGCCTAGCCGGCACTCCTCGCACTCCAGCATCTTCCCAACCAGCCCACGGACCATCTCAATCGCCTGCAGACTGATCTTCTGAAACTTGCTGACGCGGCAGAAGTCCGTGATGCAGGTAGTGAGATCCGAGAACGCGCCGTACTTGACAACGAGAGTAAAGTGTTCGCGGTAGACGAGGGTGACGAGTTCAAAGGCGTAGTTGGCGACACTCTCGGTGAGTACTTTGGAGGCGGCCGAGAAGACGCTAAACATCGTTCGCCAGCCGGATCGAAGGTTCTGGACCCGAGCTTGGAGCATTTGTTGAAGGCATTGGAGGACCTGAATGTCAGCTATGTATGCCGTCGGCTGTGCAATATGCGTAACTGACCATCTCACGAGCGTCCGAGTTTTTGTTGTTGATGATGGTGTACTCGAACGGCCGGAGGAAGTCCTTCTGGAAACGGAAGTGGGACAACTCCTCCTTCTGCAGGAAGTTCATAGCGAGTTGGCGGAGCGCGTCGAGCGCAAAGAAGCTGACATTCGGGTTGTTGTGACAGCAGACCTATTTTGTCAGCCTAGATCCCGGAGGCTGCGCTTGGCGAGCTGAAGCAGCATCTCCAGCTTCCTATTGCATGACCTCGACACTGACCTGGTTGAAATGCTCCCCCAGAATCTGCCATATCCCACTCCACTCCAGCCTGATCCGGTCCATGTTGTAGTAAGAAATCTCGACGAGCTTTTGCAGACTGAACATCCTCGGTCGAGCAGAGGCGCCGGATGACTGGATCTCTTCCCATGAGACTTCGCTAAGCGCACGAACAAAGTCGACGATAGCGGACTACAAAGTCAGCTTGATTTCGCCTGGAATTTCTGCAAAGCTTAGCTGCACTCACCCCTGACAGGTTCTTTGTTTGCGAGAACACCATATCGGCCGCGACGGTGACTTCTCTTGAGCGAGACTCCTCGGCGATCTCTTCTGCTGGGCGCTTTTTGGTCGGCTTTTTCCCGCTTGCTGTTGATCTGTATTGTCAGCTGGTCCCATGTATGAAAGTGTCTTCACTACTAGCGAATCAACTAACTCTCTCCTGTTCAGATCCGGCACGTCCATCCCGCTCGAGATCAACTGCATCCTCTCCAGCTGGCTGACACACGTCAACACGTCCTTCCAGCTCGCCTTGAGATTACTCCCATCCGGCCCAATCGCAATCTCCAGCAAACTCTTGATCGCCTCCATATTCTTCGGACGCATCTCCGCCAGATTGTTGAGGTACGTGAACTTGGCGAGGGTCGAGACAAACGCATTCCGCTCGAGGTCCATGTCAAACAGACAGACAATCTTGATCGCTGCACGCAGACCCTCTAGGCACTGCTCGACAACGACCATATCATCCGTCTCCTGCAGGGGACCTGAGATACCCGCGAGGAACGGCATCCACGCGACTTCAAACATGAAGCGAACGTGTTCGAGCCGGGACGCCGAGTAAAAGTGGTCGGTCGGCCGAGTGACGCCTCGGCGTTGTTGGCGGACCATGGCCTTGAGAAGGGCTTCCGTCTTGGTCGACATGTTCTCCGATTGAGCGACGTACGCCTCCCGCTGGAGGTCCCGACCGACCGTAGCGAGTGATCCAGAGATACCGCCCGCGGGCGTCGTTCCCGGCTCCTGGATCTCGTCCTTCATCTTGATCTCGTTCGCCTGGATCTCGTCATAGATCTCCCCCAACAGCTCCTCTGGCAAGTCCTTGCCGTCGTTGATTCCCCGGTTGTTTTTGACAAACTCCACCTTGGTCATCCGCTTTTGTTTTAGATTCTTGTTGTGCGCATCCGTGTTTAGCATGATGACCGAAAAGGCGAGAATATAGGCCGTGTCGGCATTGGCAAACGTCCCGTCCGGGTTACCCTCCATGTACCGCTCGGCGTACTTGAGCATGAACCGGTCGATCTTTTGCGCCTCTCCCGGTAGACGGAAAGTCTGGAGGTACATCCGAAGCGCCTCGGTAAAGTGCATGTCGGCGAACTCGAGCATATCGACAAAGGCGTGCATGGTGGCGACGTTGTCGGCATCACTGCGAGTCAGCTCCTAGCTCATCTCACGCGTCCAATGACTCACCCCTCGCCGAGGTACTCTCCGATCATGGCCTTACTCAACCCCTCATTCTGGAGCAGAAAGCGCGCAATATCCGTCGGCGCCTTGCTCCGGATAAAGCCATTCTCCACCAAGAACTCAATACCCCGCTTGGGCTTGAAGTTGAACTTCTTGATACCCTCCTGGAGCGTCGTCTTGCGCTGCTTCTGCCCTTCCAGCCGCGCAACATCGTCATCCGGATCAGGCGTGTTGACGCCAGTACTCGACGCGCCAGGTCCGCCGGGGGTAGCCGAGCCCGAATTGGCGCCTGGCCAAATCGGCGACGGAGCGGCAAGATCAAAGTTGTCAGACGCAGCGGTACCGTTCCGATGTGCGAGAGGTCGAGCCGTATCCTCCGACGCGCGCGGGTCTGCGTCGCCTTTGGTTCCCGTGGCTGCCGAGCCGGAATTGGCCGTTGCCCAAGTAGCGAGTGATTTGAGGGCATTGACGAGACACTCGAGACTCTGTCTCCTGAGCTTGATCTCGGGCGAGAGGCCCGCGTAGCTCGCGTGCTCCTTCTCCCCCATCGCCGCCGTGGTCAAGCTCGGAGGAATGTTGGGTCCTCCCATCCCCTCCTTGGCCGACTTGCCTTCCCCCTGCTTCAGCTCCTCCTTGCTCGGAGGGGCAAAGTGCGTTTGACCGATTTTCGAAACAATGTTCATGAGCTTCTCGTAGATGTTCTCGGGGGCGGCACGGTCGCAGTCGTAGTTGATGTAGATCTCTACGAGGGCCTGCGGGTCTTGGCAAAGCCGGATGAAGACCGCGAGGATGAGGGATTTTTGGCGGATGGTAGAGTGGCGCATCTCGAGAATGGGGATAAAGATTTCGTTGAGGAGGACCTCGATCTCTTTCTGGTTCTTTCAGCTTATGCCCCAGCTGAGTAAGGGCAAAGCTCACCTTCATTTGCGCCCGCATCGACTTGAGCATACACCAGAAGATCTCCACGCTGAGCTCAAACACCTGGTTCACGGTGGAGACAGCGTTCCGGCTCAAGCTGAGGCAGAGGTACTGCTTGGTCGCCTGCAAGAAAGGAGTCATCTCGAGGGACGAATTGGACGGGATGCAAATAGCCGAGTTGACAAAGAGGTCGGCGTGCGAGCGGAGAACAGTGAGGATGAGGTGGAGGGACAAAAGCTTGGACCGCATGGCGTGCGAGCGGAGGTCACGTTCGCTGAGATATCTCAGCTTGATGCCAGCTCGAGTGATGGTCCTAGCTTACCTGTCCGTAACGAGCGGCTTCATGCTGAGCTTGCACAGCGCCCTGAACACCAAAAAGGCATCCTTGACGAACAAGTCCTCCACCGGGATAGGCCGACCAAGGGCGTCCAGACTTCCCTCCTCGTCCAGGTTGACATCTGCTCGCGGGGTTGCTGGAGCTGCAGCGTCTGGCTCGGGCGTGTCGAGCGCATCACCATTCGGCGCTGGAACCGAGATTGACGGTGCTGGAGGCTGAGCCTCGAGGGATGGGGACGGGAGTGGTGCTTCGAGGGCGATAGGTGCTGGAGCGGTGGGAATGGCGTCATTGGGGTTGGGCTCGGCGAAAGAGTCCCTGTTGGGTCAGCTGTATCCCCGCGCAGATCAAGGAAGGCTGGCTTAGCTCACAGAGTCATTTTCGGCAGCTCTCCATTCGCCTCCTTTGGCGTGGTAGGTGCTGGTGTCTGTCTTCCAGAAACGCTCCCTTGCCCACCCTTCGTCGGCGTCCCACGCTCGCTCTCAATCCCCATCCCCAACCCAACTCTCCTCGCCTCATTCTCGCTCAATCCTGTCGATCGCCTCACCGCTTTCGGGTCTGGCCTCAAAACCCTACCAAAAATGTGATGCACCATCTGCGTCAATCCTCCCTGTGCGACCACCTGGTTGCTCGCATCCGTGGACAGGAGGAAGACGTTGTATACCGTCCGGATCGCCTTAAGGAGGGACGACTGGTGTACCAGCATCCCCTTGTCTGTCGACAGCACTATCGCCATGAGCGCCTTAACGACCTGAAGGGCTACCGGCGCCGGCGACGCTTCCGAGTACGCGAGGGTGATGGTGTGGGTGATGAGATCCGGCAGAGGGGAGAGACCCTTGGGCGGACCATTGGGCTCCGAGAAGAAGGAGTGGGAGATGAGTTTCGACAGGAGGTCGAGCGAGGTAATGAGGATAGGAACGGAGGTGGTCTGGGGATTGGAGATGGCTAAGCGGAGCGGCTCGAAGATCTCCCTAGGGTGCATGAAGGCCGCGTTGGAGGTGTCTTGGCATAGCTCCAAAGCCTTTTTAGCGGCCGCCGAGAAGGACGCGGACCGTCCCGCTTCTTTGGAGTTGACGAGCACCTGCAGAGGAGGGGTAATGAGGACCGAGGATAGCTGAGGGGCACGGGCATTTGCCTGAGGCATGGAGGATAAGGAGAGGGTGGTCGCGGTGGAAGAACGGCGTGAGTGATCCACCCTGCTTGGACGCGTAGAGGAGGGTCGCGAGGGTGTTTGCGCCGAGGAAGTGACCGAGTGGAGAGACGTGACGCTGGATGAGGCGGGGTTGCTTCGGTGGGCAGGAGGTGAGGTGGGGTCTGAGCCGGGAGGGACGGGTGTTGTCCCTCGGCTCAGATCCACATCCTGCATGCTCGCCTCTGTGTCCGTCCGGGTGGGTATGGGCCGCGAGAAGGGAGGAGGTGACTTCAAGCTGGACGGTGACTGGGGCTTGGGCGGAGGTGGAGGAGGGGAGGTAGGTATGTCGGCGGGATTGAGAACGATAGCGGGCGGGGCAGCCGTCTGGGAATCTGTAGGCTTTGTAGGGCTGGCCGGCGCAGCAGGCAGCTCCTTTTGCGGCGAGACTACCTCCTCTGGCGCTGATGAAGGAGGAGATGTCACGGCCGTGCCATTTGGCGTAGCTGAGGCCGCCTCATCAACAGACACCTCCTCCATCGGCAGGGTCTCCGCGTCCGGGTTCCCGTTGGCTTTGCCGAGCGAGACCTCTTCGAGCGGCGCTTCGCCGTTGGCTGTCGAAGCCTCGACGTGTGAGTCGCTGGCCTTGTTGTCTGCCATGCTCGACTACGATGTATACTAGGGATTGAAGGATAAGGGAAGAAGAGGAATGTTCAAGGTGCACAGCGGGGACGTGTTCGCGAGGAAGTCGCGATCGTACGCGCCGAGATTCGCCACGTGGCTGCGTGCATTACTTCTATACAGCTGCAGCGACCTTCTACCATATTATACTGTCGCCTCCGCCCGTGCCTACCTAGTACCTCTCAACCCGGATACTCCCGCTTCCGACCTGAGTCGCAACTGCAGATATGGCAGTGATGCGCCACTGCGGATCCGTCTGCGGATTGGCGTAGCTTGAGCCGCCCCTTCCTCCCTCTCCGAGCCTACCGGCATCTTTTTGTAGGCCACCGTTTCCTCCGTGAAACCCTCCTCCTCCGCCTCCTCCAGCGACGCTCGCTCCACCTCCACCCCCGTCCCCACCAGTCTGGCTTCGTCAGCACACGGCTGTCTGGGGTCAAGCCTCGAATTGGCTCACTTGACCAGAAGGGTTGCCCCCGGCTCCGGAGTTGCCTCCCTTGAAGGTACCTCCATAGGACGGTGACTGTGAACCTCCCCACTGTCAATTAGCGATGCCATTGATGGGGGTAGGAGGAGAAAAGGTAGTCGCGAGACTCACACCACCGAGCACGGCACCTGGTGCATTCGAGTCCGTCCCTTTGGTCTGGTAACCTGCTCCGCCGCCGCCTCCTAGTGCTCCGCCTCCAGTGCCACCGTCAGCGGTCTGAACCGCGGTGGGATTAGTGCCCCCGGGGGTTCCGTTCCCCATAAAGTAACCCGCTCCACCGCCTCCACCAGCCACGAGCAAGACAGAGCTAATATCTGTATCGCCAGCTTCGCGGCCAGTCTGTCTGTGCTGTACCTCAGAATGCAAAACGACTCACCAGCGCCGTCCTGCGGATATTTGCCAGGGGGCGTGACCCAGAAAAACGAGCCGCCTCCACCGCCACCGCCACCGACCGATCCCCACCTTGATTCCAATCTACCCGCACAACCGATATAATATGAGAAGAGTATTCCGACATTCCCCGTACTGACGGTTATGTTTGTGTCGACCACGGCACCAAGACCGGCTACTGCTCCGGAATTACTTGGACCTCCGCCCTGCGCTCCAGCGATCGTGATGCGATACTTCCCGTCCGGAAAACCCACGAACCGTCCAGCCCCGCAAGTCTGGGTCAGGTCCCATACCTCTCGCCGCGGTATTGCGGCTCGAGCCTTGGGATTGGGTTCTAGTACCGGTAGACCTTGCTGGATACATTCGACATTGGTGTGGCATGAAGGTACAGGTTGGCGACTGTCACCATTGGGGTTCCGCTTCAGGAGGAATCGGCCATCCGCGCTGGGGATGAGAGCGACGGCCGAGAGCGTCCAGGCGATGAGCCGACAGAATGCGAACATGATCTTGATGGGATCTGTAGAGTAGGAAGAGTGAGCAAGTAAGCGAGGCCAGATCAGTAGAGAATTGAGTGGGTGAAGGGAGGTCCCCGAACAGCTTGCTATTTTGAATGAGCTGCCCGAATAACAGACGTCACCTCCGCCAAAACGCCTCGGGACAACGGGCGAGTTACGCGCGGTGAATTGAGGACAACGAGCTGTGTGACAGAGTCCTACTTACCACGGAGTAAAGCTGCGGTGCCTGATAATAGCGGAGCTGATAGCGGAAGCCACTGGAGGGAAAAAAGGCAGAGGAGGTGAGCCTCTAATTACGGCACCTTGTCGGTACTGTGGCTAATGCATTTATCCTACTGAACAAGATCTATGGATTTAAACTAGCCTATCAAATTAATTACCACGTCATCGTCTGCGCCCTCATTTTCACTAAGCTCAAAGATATCCTCTTCATCATCGATGCCCACTTCCCCTCCGAGATCCCGCTCTGCCACTCGTCCATCTGCTTCTTCGCCTCCTTCTGAATGAATCCTCCTGTTGAAAATACCATCGGCGTAAACGTCCCGACCCCTCCTGGCGCGTCCACCGTGGTGTTCTTGGCTATCTTCTTCAGCCACCCTTCCGCCTGTAGCCTGACCCGCTCCCACTCGGGCCGCTTGGTCGACCTCATCACCTCGCCCGCTTCTAGTCCCGGGTTTCCAAACGAGGAGTATGCGTCCTCGGTAAAGATGGAGTAGACCTTGATGTCATGTTCCGTTGTAGCCGTACCGATAATGCCCGACGCCCATACCCGGAGGTCGTTGCGTTTCTGATTGTTATCGGTGGATGTTGGTTCGTACTCGACCCGAACACCTCTAGACTGGACGGCGTGCCCTAGTGCATGTACGACCGCGTTGTGTCGGGCGTATTTGAAGTAGGGGTCGCAGGTCTCGCTGTGACCGAGTTCCGCCGAATGGGTACCGCAGCGGGGGCAGTGGATGGAGCCGGGGATGAGGGTGCGGTAATGGAGCGCGGCGCTAATTTGCTGATTGTTGAGTAGTTGCGTCTTGTTCCATGGTATCACCCCCATCTACCGCCTCGCGAGTTGCGACCCGTTCTCCACCAACCCCTTCCGGTCCTTGTCGTTCATCTTCCCCAACAGCTCCTCGCTTCTCGCCTCGAACATCTCCCTGCACCTCTCTCCCTGCTTCTTGATCCTCCTCTCCCCCTCCACCTCTTCCCTAGCGTCGTCAATGATCCCATCGATAAAATTGTCCGCCATCTCGTCCGCTGCCTTTCTCGCTACTGGCGCCACTTCTTGGTGCGGCAAAATGCCCATCCCGCCCAGCCTTATGGGTAAGGAGATGATGCGGTCCTCGTGCTCGTGCGAGAGACTCGCTGCGCGCATGCGCTTGACAGTATCGTAGAGCCGGCTGTCAAGTTCTGCCCAGAGATGGGTGAGGTCGGAGGTGTCAAGGCACCGCTGGAGGTGGCGGAGCTCCATCTGGAAGGACATGCGGAGGATAAGGAGGGCGTGCTGGGAGTGGAGGGAGGAGAGTTTGTCGAGCTTGGCGTACAGCTTGTCCATCTTCTCCTGGAGGAACGCCTCCCTCGCCGCCTTTGGTCCGACCAGACTGCCGAGGATGCGCATCCCTTCCGTCCTCACCCTGTCGAACGAGTAGGACTCGCACTTGGCTGTGTTAAGAGTGAGGTGATGCTGCCTGCCTTCAAAGAAGGCGACTGCTTCGGGGAGGGGATCGGAAGTGGTGGAGAGGATGTAGATGTCGTCGAGATATGCGATGACCAGGCGCCCTGGACCGAGCGCGGCTTGGAGCTCGTTGATGACGGTCCGCATGGCGATGGAGAATAGGAGCGGTCCGAGTGGGTCCCCTTGGCGGACTCCTTCCTCCGAAAAGATGGCGTCGATCCACTTTTCCCCATCCAGCGTCGGCTCAAGCCCATTCACCACCAGCATCGACTTCTGTCCATACGCCCACTTCGCCGCCCGGTACAGCCCCGGTGCGAAATTCCACACCGCGTCCGCGATCGACCTCCTGGTCTTGAGGTTGAACGCATTCTTCGCGTCCAAGCTCGTCACCCACTTGTACTCCTCTGGCAGCTCCTTCCACGCCGCCCGGTGTACCAGGCGTATGATGGGCTCTACCCCCCCTTCGCTCTTGACCCCGCACTGGACGGGCAGGAGCATGTCTCTCGTGCCCATCTTGCGCACTATTGCCTTCATTGCCAGGCGATAGATGAGATCACCGACCGCGATCGGACGGAGACCGCCGGTCCCGGGCTTGGTGAGGGGCGTGATGCGGCTGACGCAGAGGAGATGGGCGGCCTCGGCGGTACCGGCGGCGATGTTGGCGGTGAGGGTGGTGAGGAATTTGAGAACGGTGTCGTCCTTGGCGGCCATCCGGAGCAGTGGCACCGTCCAGCCTGACACCCCGCATGCGACGTCACTGGCGAATCCCCTCAGCGCGTCCTCAATATCCGCCTCCTTCGGCACTTCTCCGTTCACGGGTCCTGCTGACGTTCCGAATGGGGCCGCTTCCCCTTTGGGGTGCAAGTCCCGCAGCTTCTCAATCACCTCCCCCGTCACCTCAGCTACCTTCGCTACCCCCGCCAGTACTTTCGCCGCCGCTCCCACTCTCCCCTTCTCCACCAGCTTCTCCGCCCTCGCTGCCGCGTCCGACTCCCCCGACCCTCCTCTCACTTGTGTCTCTTCCCCCAGCTGCCATTCCACGTTTGGCCACACTCTGAGCCTATCCAGAGTCCGGTGTCCGCCGAGCTCGGAAGGGACAATCGCTCCCTTGACGAGTGCGAGAAACTCGAAGACTGCCTGGGCGGACGGGTAGTCGAGGTACTTTTGGGCGGCGCGTCGTGCGGCGTCTTGGAACGCTGGTACGAGGCGGCTCTGGAGGGGAACGAGGAGTACGGGCATCTTGGCGAGTTTGAGGAATTCGACAAGAAGCTGGTCGTCAGAGAGGCATGTATTCGCCAGCGTTTGGACGGGCCGGACGATGGACTGGTTTTTGGCCGCCTTTTTTGACCGCTTGCGTGCTCGGTCTTCCTTGGCGTGTGGGCGGGTCCGCCGTTGAGACTTCGTCTTGGGCGGGGCGGACGGCGATGGCTCCACCTCCTCCGTCTCTGTGTCAGACCATATCCCCGCTCTATCCGGCGCGTCTTCGACCCGCGCACGCCTGTCCGGCCCTCCCTCCACAATGGGTACTTCCTGAAGAGCCTCCTGCACCGGCGCCGCTGCCATCATCTCCTCGAGCACCCGACGCCCTTCTATCGCGTTGAGCCTGTCCGTCTCCGCCTCCTTCTCCAGCAGGGCATTCCGTTCCGCCCGTATCCTCTCGCTATCCTCCCGCGCCCTAGCCATCGCTTCCTCGATTACCCGTTCAGCCAGTCTCCTCTCGCCGTCCTCCCGTTCGCGGATCAGCGCAGCCTCCATCTCTGCAATCCCGCTCTCTATCTGCGCCTCAACTGCCTCCGTCGTCTCCGGACCCTCCTCCTGTCCCGACGTCCTCTGCTCCGCCATCGCCGTCTCTCCCGCCTCCCCCGCTGCGCCCCCTTCTCCGTCTCTACTCCCCCCGCCGAAGCATTGCGAGGCGGTGGTCCGTCCCGGGCGTCGAGGAGCGGGCGTTCTGGGTTGCGGTGGTGATCTGCGGCGGGAGCCGATTAGCTGAAATCCGTCTTCGTCGATGGGTGTGGCCGTGGGGGGAGGGCAATATGAGTTTTTCGATTTGGCCTGACGAGGGGCGAGTCCGATGCGGGCGGGAGGTGCCTGTGGGGCCTTGGAGGTTGACCGTAGGATCCGGCCGGCCGTAGGAAGCGACATAGTCGGGGCACATGAGTCCGACTGGGTAGCCTGGACTGCTTCTGACCGTGAGGCCTAGTACGCCCCTTCTATCTCGAATCCACGGTCGGGAGGAGGTGTATGGGGTGGGGAGGGGGCTGGGGGAGAGTCGGTTGGGTATGGTGATTATCGTGGGGTACCGTAGGAGGGGGTCGGGTGGGAGCGCCAGGTTTAGTGTCCGATGCGGCTCGCCAGGGGGTGGATCCGATTGCGAAGGGAGGTTTTCTGTTCTGTGGGTGGGTTGTTAGTTGTGGTCGACTGTCCGATGCGCGACGCCAGGGTGGATCCGCTCCCTCCCGCCTACCCACACTGGACAGGTACCGTATAGCCGGAAATTTCCACAAACGTGCTGCTATCCTCGCCACGGTATGCACCTCTATATGAGCACCTCAGACGCGGCAGCATGATATTTTGCGAGCAGCACCATGTGCGCCAGCTGTTCCAGCCAGCAAGAAGAGTGAGACATGTAGGTGGAACAGAGGGGTCAATTATACCCTAAAGACTATACTGCTGCTCTTCACCTCCGAGCCACCTGCGGCCGCGAAGCCAGTCCCTGCGCTTGTCAGCTACATATAGTCGGTGACCATACTACTGACTCACCTTCCTTGCCGATAGGTATGATGCCTTCAGGCTCTATCTTGGCCTCGCAAACACTACACCGTCCAGCCGGACGAATCATGCTATCCGCACAGCTCTTGCAGAAGACATGGCCGCAGACGAGTGGTTCCTCCTTGTCTGCCTTCTTCTTCTTCTTTGGCCGGTCTTCGGTTTCTGCGGTGGTAGATGCTGGCTGGCGGGAGGTGAGAAGAACAGAGGGGACGGTGTTGTTGAGTTCACGCGAGCAGGATGGGCAGTGGGCTGTTTTCGAGGCGGTGGGGTAGTGAAGGATGACGGGGAGGAGGGTTTTGCGACTATAGCGTCAGCTATGATCTCATGGCAGACGGGCCATGATAAGCCTGGTTGGCATAAGAGGAAGAGGTTCTTATGAGACCAGGCTCTCCCCAGCTGTATCATTCCGCAAAGCCCGCTTCTCGCCCCTTGTCCACTCAGTCATCCAGCATGACCAGGGCCGAGCAGTCGAGGATATAATTTAGTGACCCAATTTGAGAACTCACGATATAGGATGTGGCTCTCCACCAAAGTGACACAGCGCCTGGACCTTGACGTCCTTGATGGGACCGACCCTCCCCTCCGGGGCGAGCGAAGGCAGCCAGAAGGCCGGCAACTTGGCTTTCCTCTGCTCCACCTGCTCCGCCTCAATTTTCGCCATCGCCCTATCCTCCGCCTCCTTCATTAACTCCTCGACGCCCTTCTTCCTCCCCGTCTCCGCCGGCGCGCCAGCCACCGCCTTCCCCGCTGACCCTCCTCCGCCTGCACCGACCCATCCGACCCCCATCCCCTTCTCAAAATCCCTCACTACCCTCTCGCGCGCTGCTTGTCTCGCAGCGGCCCGCTCTCCCTCTTCCTTGGCCAGCCACCGCTCCATCTCGCGCTTTTGAGATTCGATACCGACCTTTTGCTGGATGAGGTCCGCTACGGCGCATTCTCGGCAGTACATATGGCCGCGGGAGCACGAGACCGGCGAGACGAGCAGCGAGAGGCAGAGATGGCAGTGGTCGTATGGTTTGAAGGACTCGCCGCCTATACGGCGAGAGCCAGAAGACGCCTTGAGTTTTGCGCGCTCGGCGTAGGTCAGGGTCGACTGGGTAGTCGCGTGTTTTGCGTCTGACGTCTCAGCAGGCAGAATGAAGACAAAGTCTGGAAGACATACGTGAGGCCACCATTATATAGTGTGTCTGATGTGCTGGGGCTGCAGTATGTGAGAATCAGCAAGGGATACAATGAAGGTCGATGTAGAGGAGATGGACGTTGGTAGAGGTTGGTAGAGGCTTTCTCGGTCGGCGCGGCGCGGCTTGCAGAGCTTGCACGATTCGGGTGGCAAAATAAAGACGGAAGTGGCGCCAAGCTGTCCTTCATGCAGGCTGAGTGAGTATTGAATCGCAGCATTGGGATCGTGAGCCTGGGCGAAGAAGTCGAGATATAGAGGACTTGACTTGACATACATACAACGCACAGCATATCCTCAAGCCGAGCTTAGTTTAAGATCCCCGTTCGGCTACGGTTCCTGCAACCGGGTCTAGATATGCCAGTATGTTTCCCGCCCCTTCCACCTTAGCCAAGACTCGGCTTACGACCACCTCTGCCCTGACCTATACCAAGTGTACTGTCGAGATCATCTCCTGAGGTCCATCAACCTGATATAGATAGGCGGAAAGCTCCTCAGTCAGCAGCGGCAGCCCAAGGCGATAGAACACTACATAGTACACAGCGGCTGCGCAAAGGGTAGACCATCCCCAGTGTGCCACATACTGTGAGCCAGCATGCCGCCCGACATGAAGACGGAGAGGACAAGCAAAGGATGAGCGAGGTCAGACACGTCAGTCAGGATTGTAAAAGGATGCTCAACAAAATCGCGCAGACGATCTTCTATTCATGGGACCCCAAGACTCTTCCCCCTCCTGCTTTCGCCTCATGATCTCTCTTTGTAAGACAGTTCGCACAAGTCCAAAGATACTGATCTCCGTCTTCCCCTGCCCGCCTCCATCGCACATCTTCTGACTTCTGGCTCGACAAGCCCTACAATGGCTGACGAGACTGCGGCCGTGGCTGTAAGTCCTCAAGTGGGTCCCGCCTTCGTAGTTCATAGTGGTCAGTTGACACATTGACTGATGATCGCAGACTATCCTATCCATTGTTGGCCGATGGGAGCTGGCGAGCGGATCAGCTGTGAGGCTGCCCCAAGAAGTCTTGGATGAGACCACCCGCACCTTCTCCTTTCTAGATATCGAGGCGATATTCAAGGCGGCCACAGGCAAGCGTTGGAGCCCTGATCCAAGTGCGCGATCCGGAGACATCAGTGAGGAAGAGACTGGGGCACTAGATCGCCTCACCAAGGCTTACCTCCGCGACCACAGGTTCTACTGTCTCCCCGTGCACGGAACTCCTCATACAACTGATTCTGGCCATCACAAATGCAAAACGGGGGTCATATTCCTCGACTCGTTGGGGTTCCAAGCGGGTCTTCCGGATGCTCTGTATGAGTCACGTCACACGCTCGCGATAGGGAAAGAGCCGCCTGAGGCATCTCCGGACGCCAAGCCGGACGACCTGCTCACCCAATCTGGGTGCCCCTACACCGTCGCGACGCAGATCGGGGAGCATCCCAGTGACATCTCATTGGTGCTCAGTTTGGCCGTCCGCCCCTTCCAGGGTCCTGACAGGCCCAGGCTTTCAATGGCTGACATCGGTCCACTTTCCTCAACAACCGTTGCGATTGGTTCGTCCGAGCCGATGATTGGTGAGTGGCGCGGCGACAACGGCGTTGAGGAACCTTATAAGCTCGGCAAGGAAGTCAAAAACTTCGTTCGGATTGTGGGGCAGGGCGAAGAGGATTGGACTGCGCGCCCCATGTCATTCGTGGTGTACCCGGGCGGACCACGATCGCTCATATACTTGGATCGCAGGCGGCACCTTGAGGCGGGCAAAGATATGATGGAATCTGTCGATACGCTCAAAAGAATCGTTTCGGATGGCGAGGGGGAAAGTCAGCTGCAGACGGCGACGTACGCCATTGATATTGCTGGATGGACGGATGGAGGGGCAGAGCAGAGAGTAACAGCTATCGACGCCGCCATCATGTCGAAGATGACACCGTTCCTGGCCGAGCGACGTCAGCAGGGTCTCCCACACAGAATCATTTGGAAAGTTACGACGGTCAACGAGGGGGACGGGTCGGCGGCTGGCGAGGTGTTGCGACTTCTTCGGTGGGGGAAAGAGCAGTGCCAGACGGAGAGCGCTACTCGAGAGTCAAAGTTTGGGGTTTGAGAGAATACCTTTATGTGTTTATCCTGTCAGTTTTTTTGTGTTATACCGCATGTTATGATATACACCTCAGAAGCGCCCATGAGCATCATGTCGAGCCCCGCTCGCAGCTTGTCTCGTTCGATCATACGAGCATTAGTGATATAGCTCAGGCCGGTCATGATCAGCACCGTGTCAGCTCAAAGAAAGATACAGCTCGTCTCTACATCGTCAAGGAAATCAAAGCTAAAAAGTCAAAAGTCCGTAAGTGCGTAAGATCATCACTCCTGCCTCTGCGCCGCCTGGGCCTCTCCATCCGTCTTGTCCCGCCTCTAGCCGGTTCCCTCTACCCTCCGCCTGAACCACTGATCCCTGCTGCCGCTGGACCGCTGCACCACTCCTCATAATACTCTCTCTCCTTCCCCTCCTATGCGCCAAGACCCTCGTCATCGGTCGGTCTCTCCTTACGTCTTCCCCCCGCTCCCACCAGCGATAGCCGTAGCCGCCTTGGTGGCGTCGGGGTCGATACCGTTCAGCGTGATGGCCCATTGTTGCGTTGGGTCGGGGAGGCGGGTGAGGGTCGCTGTCACGGTAGCGGTTGGGAGGTCTGGGTGTTAGCTGGCTGTAGGTGTTCCGAAAGGTCGACAAGGAGAGTATCCCGATTCGGCGAGAAGGAGATGTGAAGCAAGCAAGAAGAAGGGATAGAGAGGCAGAGAAGGAGTGAAGACTTACCTGGCGCAGTGTAGTTGCTAGGTACACTGGGGTAGATGCTGAACTTGGGGGACTGAGAGTAGACCTGTCCGTGTAGGGTGTTGATGAACATGAGGCGGAAGCCGTCCCTGGGTTGTCAGCCGAGACTCAATGAAAAAGCCGCAACAAGGAGGAAGCAGAAAGGGAGTGGGAGATTGAGATATTCGGGGAAAGGAGGATTTATGGAGGACCAGGATATGGTGGTTACGCCTCGCAGTGTCTCTCATATACGCCTCGATCTCCTTCCCGAACCCTGATTCTTCTCACCAGGATTCACCCTACGATGAATCTCTCTAAACTCACCCAGTCGGAATATTATCCGCCAAATCCACCTCCATCTCCCCCCCATAATTCTTCCTCCCCGTCGGCAGCCTCTCCATCGGCACTCTGAGCGCGATCGGGATGAACCCATTCATAATACTGTAATTGGCATTATGGAGCTGGATGTCGAATGACTGGATACCGGTCCCGCCGCCGCAGGTCCAGTAGAGGAGGTTCTTTTGGCCGATGACCCAGGGATTGAGGGCGGAGGGGTGGGTCACGGGCCAATAGATCGTGGAGAAGGAGGCTGGGGCAGCGTGTCAGCGATCAGTCCGGTCAAGAGAGAGGTCGATATCGGCGAGTGCAAATAGAGTCATGAGAAGGCAGTGGATAGGGGACTGACCTGATACGGAGATCAGAAGAGACAGAGCCGAAGCGGCGAGAACACAGCGCATGGTGGGGAGGACGCGTCGAGCGTTAAGCTCTGTTCGTGTCGAAAAGCAACAATCTCGATCTGCTTTTTTGGAAGCAAGAGTATATGCGGATGAGGATGAGGTACAGTAGGGGACGACGGTGTTGCGGCTGAGATTGTCGGTCTTTGAATGAGATAGCAAGAGAGAGCGATACAGAAAGGAAAGGCTCGAAAACAAGCGCGTTTTCCGCACACACACGAAGCCACGTGAGATCGAATCAGGGAAATACAAGGGGGGCCCAAATAGGGAGAGAAGATGAAACACACGGGGTAGGAACCGCTAAGTTATCGGGCTGTGCTCAGCGAGCGTCCATTCACGAGGCCGTATCTCACAGCCCCCAACGCAGCTCGCTCACAGCATCTCGGACTACTCAACACGCTTCTGAGTCTACATTACTCAACGCTGTACAGATCGTGCTGATGTCGTCGGACAGAAATCGCTTCCTAAACGCACTTCGGTTCGGCTCCCGTTTTGATTAGGTTTGGGTTCTTGGATTGTGTGGACTGCAGATGATGGCTTGTGTGGAGAGGACAAGAGAGCCCTGAAGGACAATCTGGCAGATTTTCCGCTCGTCAAGCACCTCACGATGCTTCTCATGAGTCCCGCCGCATCGATATCTATGCTCTGACCTCATTCATCCATCTATCTGCTACTAGCAGACCAGGTGTTACCTTAACTCATTCCATGATGCTCATCTTCATCTTCCCTATGATCCCTCTCTTATCTGCAATTACTGTGGCAGCACAAGCGGTGGCGCCTTCGGTCGTTATGGGAGTCACTCCAATACAGCTTCAAAGCGTGAGTTGGCGGGCCTCGCTTTTGCTTTGGGGCGTTATTGTCGCGTCACCCCGTCCGGCGCTGGCAGGTGCTAGATATCCGCTGACGGTACAGTCCATCACGACCACACCTTCCATCGGTCCTTCCAGCTCTGCTGCGCACGACGTATTGGCTGTCACGGTCACGCGCTTCCGGGGCGGCAATCGGTGAGTCACGGGTCTCTGGAGTCGACACAGCGTGACGTGGGCTGACTTGATAGACCGGACTCCTCCTCTTCCTATAGTAACGCGTCGAGTACCAGCAACTCGAGCAGTATCAGCAGTACCGGCTCGTCAGCTTCAGTTACGCTTACGAGCCAGCCGGTATCGGCATCTTCAGTACGTCTCATCCTGGAATGCGAGATCTGCTAAAGTCTGGGTCGCAAGTTGACGATGGTAGAGTGTAGCTGCTATATCGCCGTCCACTTCTTCTTCAGCAGATGTCGCGATAGGACATGTCAGCCCCGGGAGGACCGGGCCAGGCGTCTTGGCTGCGGTGCTTTTCTTCGTCTTCGCCTGAGGGGTGATTCTTCCTTGGTCGAATGAATTATGGCGGGGTATCTGGAGTGACGGTCATAATAAGATGAGATACCTGTTCTCGAATGGCCAGATTAATGCATGAACGCAGAGCAGCAGAGGTGCGCGACGAGACGCCCCCCGAATTACACCTGAAACACAGAAGGCTTCCGAGCATTCCCGCAACATATAGTCCGGAGTCAGGTCAGCGTCCACACTGAGTATCGCCACAGTGCTTCACTGAGCAAGCCACATCACCCGAGCCTATCCCGACCTCGTAATCTCTAAGTCACATCGCCCATGACCCGATGAAACAGGTACAATGAAACCTGAAACAAGGTCGACGTGTCCTTGTTTACCCCTGAGCTTCCTGAAACGCTAGCACCGCTTCTTGCTTTCCTCGGAGGTTTAATTTGCTGGAATGCATGCGCCATGCGGACACGGACGAGCAGATCCGAGCGTCAGCCCGTCAGCCCAGCGCGTCAGATTAGCACGAACGTCAACAAGCTCCCAGCTCAAAGGACAGATCCTTGCATCGCTTTTCAGTCCAGATCCCCATATAATCAATCTCCCATCAAGGCTTCTTCTTCTTCTTCCCACCACACTCATTACTTCCCAAGTATCAGACTCGGTACCACAGAACCTGAATCACCTCGAATCACCAGATATACAATGCTCGCCTTCGCCCTCCTCCCTCTCCTCGCGCTCAGCGCCATGGCCATCAAGGTTACTGTGCCGAACAACAGCACAGGGTGGACCAGTACCGGGCCTCAGATGATCATGTGGGACGTGAGTCGCTGGTCCACATATACCACTGCCCGGTCCTCGCGCCGTGCTAATCCACCAGTCCGTCTCCACTGATCCCGGGAACTTCACAATTCAGCTGATTTCGCCCAACACCCCCAACGCACCCACCACGCTCGCCAAAGAAGTCAACACCGCCGATGGGTCGTACACGTACACGCCCACCTCCTACGTCGCTGTGGGACAGCAGTACCGCGTCAACTTTATCTCGACGAGCAGTCAGGCGGGGATCTTGGCGCAGAGCGATTACTTTGAGGTCAAGCAGGGGGATGCGACTGCGTGAGTCTCTTTACAGCTACACCACGCGCTGTCTTGAAGGAAAAGAGAACGTTAAAGCTGACACACCAGGTCTAGCTCGTCTAGCTCGGCCAGCTCGGCCAGCATGAGCGGCGCGTCCCAATCTGCTTCGGCGACGCTTAGCCAGATCTCGGCTTCCGGGTCATCTGTGAGCTCCCCACACGCGACCTCCTTCTCATCGATGCGAGGAATCAGGGACGAAGCTGACATCAACAGGCTGCAGCGGCTGCGTCGTCCTCCAGGGCCGCTGGGCAGCTCACGGCCGGCGTGTCGGGTGCGGGTGTCGTTGCTGCTGCTCTGCTCGCCTTCTTCGCTTGAGCGGGCAGCAGCGAGGTCGATACAAGAGGAGCAGGAGGGTCGGCGTCGGGTGTAGGTAGGCGTTTGAGCATGGGGAGGTGTGCATACGGACATTGAAGCGTTATTGGGGATCGCAGCTGTGAGGTCTCCCTGACTGATGAGCACTGACCGCTCACTGCTGACGGACCGAAGGGTTGATAAACTTCGTTGATGTGATTAGTGGCCTGCAGACAATGTCAACCGTGTTCCTACTGACTTCTGAGATGCAGCCTGCGAGCACGAAAGCGGTCAATTGCCTCTGCTATCATTGCACGACCTCAAACCTGGGAAATCTTCACACAGAACACCTGATAGATACATGTGGGCGATATGTACAACCTCTCTCTCGAAGTCTTCCCGCGCCTCTCCAGGCCTCTCCTTCTCCACCCCTGCTAATAGCGCCTACCCTAGGATATCTCTAAGTATAAAAGCCGGATCCTCATACTTCCAATGCAACCCATGCTTCTTCTTCTTCCCCTTCACCCCTGCCCCCACCCCACCCGCCGGATCTTCCTCCCCCTTGTCCGGAACCTCAATCTTCAACAACCCCGACTCGAGCAGATTCCGCCCTACAGCCTCTACGCGCTGGGCGTAGCTTCCTCCGATCCCGCCGCCGGAGGTGAAGCCTGTAGAAGAGGGGAGATGCATGGGTACGATGGGCCGTGAGGGGCTGTCGGGCGGTGTGGGGTTTTGCGCGTGGAGCCTGGATGGGCCGGCGCTGGGGACGGCTCCGAGAGGGGGAATAGGGTTGGCGGTACCGGTACCCGTCGGTCGAGGCATGTGCGCGAGAGAAGGCGTGGGAGGCTGGGACTGCCTAGGCGACGAGGAATGCAGAGAACGATGTGCGTCGATTTGTCCGAGGGTATGGTTCGTCCGAAGTTGATATATCGCCGGAGAGGGGTGTGGGTGGACGCCAGGTTGGAGCGTAAGGAGGTGATGTAGCGTCTGGACGTCCGGCTGGGGAAGGTCTGGCGAGGCATGAAGAGACGGTTTCCGTCCGGCCCCACTACCTTCCGCCTCGTCGCCGTCATCCCCGTCATAGCTCTCAGGCGTGGGGTAAGACTGATGCGCCAAAGGTATCCGAATACTCTCGTTACCCGGTCGTTCGCGCCCCGTGAGGTGGACAAGACCATGCAGAATCTCCGAGAGGTGCGAGTCGAGCCCGAGGGAGAGGAATTCGCCGACGTCTTCGGGGTCCGAGGGGAGGCGGAGGTCATTCGCGGCTGCGATGGCTTGGAGACGGGATAGGAGGGCTGAGGAGGATGGGAGGGCGCGGTCGGGCATGGATATGGAGGGAAGGGTGATATCTGGGTAGCAATCAGAACAGTACATCGCTTGTTAAGACCGAACAGAGGGATGCTTACTTGGAGTAAAGGTGGACTTTCGGCGGTATGCCTCTGGATCTTCTGGCGGCTTGTCCGTCCCGCCCGCTGTACCTCCAGCCGCCCCGTCAGCCCCAGCGGCCGATGTGGTACCCGCAGCGGCAGCCGCCTCTTCCTCCGCCGCCTTGTTCATCGCGCGTCTGAGCCGCCCTCGATCTCGCTGAGTCAGAGACCCGACCCATTGCGCTATCCGTAGCTTTGGCTCAATGTGGGCTTCGTCTATATCAAAGTCGGGGTCGTGAGCTGGTACGCGCTTCCGTTTCCGGCCGAGGAGGGCCGAGGGAGGTGCTTGTGACGGTGTGGAGGCGTTGTGGAGGAGGGAAATGAGGAGCTTGTTGTGGAGAGGTACTGCACGGTCGGCGTGGTCCAGAGAACAACGGAGAGACTGGGAGCACAATTCTCGGTGATGATCACAGATACTTGGGCAGAACTTACGCTTATCGCCCTTCAACCATCCTCTGACCATCCCCTCCAGCTCCCGCCGGCTCAGCTGGCCCACTAAATACCCATTCACAGCCTTCCAATACGCCAGCCCATTCTCTCCGAGCGCATCGTGCAGCTCCTGCTTGATAGCCTGCGTATCGACCCTGACGAGCGGTGGGAGTGGCTGAGGGCGCGGAAGAGGGTGATATGATGCCGGAGTGGCAATATGGGGAGCAGAAGAGGTGGATGCGAGTCCGTTCGGTTGAGCGGAAGGGGCGTGGGACATGCTGGAGAGGGGTCGGAAGGAAGGGGATCGGATAGGGTGAGACGGGAACCAGGGGGGACGCTCGAGGTATCGATGGGTAGCCAGGACTCTGGAGAGTCCGTACGAGCAGTCTAGGGGGAGATACCGGAAGATATGAGGTGGATGCGAGAGATAGAAGGAGAGGCTGGACACCTATGTAGGCGAAGAGTAGTCGTTTATACGCACGGACCGCCCCCGAGTGATACGAGTAAGCGGACCACGTAAGCCACGTCATACTGTTTACGTACAGACGCGTCCTCTTCTCCCGACGCGACTTCCCACCGTCAACTTCAACTCTCGCAAATATCTCTCTATCATCTACACCTATATATACCGCTCAAATGGCAGCAGAAGGCTCCACTACGCCCGCTCGGGGCCGGAAACGCGCCTCGAACGTTGTCCTCTCCGACACGTCCGAGGAGGAGGATCACCCGACTCCGTCCAAACCGCCCGCGGGGAAGAAGAAGCGGACTACCAAAGTTTTACCCACTACCTCGTCTGCCGCCGCAAACTCGGACGAGGGTGAGCTGAACAGCGACGAGGAAGTGGAGAGGGAGACGCCGGTGAAGCGGTCGAGGAGCGAGGCGCCGGCTGCGAATGGTAAAGGCAAGGGGAAGGGGAAGGGGAGGGCGTCGGCAGCAGCGAACGGCGGGGACGATGAGGATGGGAGTGGGGACGACGGTGCAGGGAGCGGCGATGATTTTGAGGGAGCGCCGGGTGGAGGTACCATGCGCCCAGAGTTCCAGCGGGGAGAGGACGGGTGAGCTTTTTCTTCTTGCCTTGATCTCTGGCTGATGGGTAGATACGTTTCTGGCTCGGTGGTCCGGATGAAGCTCGTCAATTTTATGACGTATGATCACGTCGAGTTCCGTCCTGGACCGAATCTGAACATGATTCTCGGACCGAACGGGACTGGAAAGTCGTCTATCGCTGCCGGGATAGCGCTGGGTTTGGGCTTTGGAACCCAGGTGCGACCTCCGTCGTTGAGACGTCCACCGAACGGCAAAGCTGACACGATAGGTGATGGGCCGAATCGATAACCTCAAGTCGTACGTCAAACAGGGATGCGAAGTCGCTTCCATCGAGGTGGAGATCAAGGGGCGTCCGGGCCAGCCGAACCCCATCATTTATCGGCGATTCGACAAGGAGAAGAACGGTTCTGCTTTCAAGCTCAACAGTAAGCTGATATCGCACGCCGCTTTTGATGCGGAGATAGCTGACGGGACAGATAAACCGGCCACCCAGCGAGACATCAAGGCGCTCGTTGCTAGCTTTGGGATTCAGGCGGGTAACCTCTGGTGAGTCTGACCCTAATCAAACGGAGGCTAGCTCTGACGTCGACCCCAGCTCCTTCCTTCCTCAAGACAAGGTGGCCGATTTCGCCAAGTTGGATCCCAAGCGGGTGCTCATTGAGACTATGCGCGCAGCGGGTGACTCGCGTCTGTCAAACTGGTTTACAGAGCTCTGCGAGCTTGGGAAGGAGCGACATGGGATGGAAAATGTAAGCCGCCCGTCTCATAGACATCAAGGAAGGGAGCTGACAGAGTAGACGCTCGAGGAGACCAAGGCTGAGCGCGATACTGTTCAAAACCAAGTCAATTTGCTAGCTCCCGATGTGGCACACTTCTTGGAACGCGAGGATCTCCAGAAGCAGGTAGGCCACCACAGGAGGAAGAACACGAGGCCGTAGCTGACATTCCAGGAAAAAGTACTTGCATGCCTCGTCATTGCCGCCGAACGCTACACGCTCGTCACCGCCCTGGCCGAGGCCAAGCAGCAAAAGGCGGATCTCAAACGCGAAATGGGCAAGCGCCTCTCGCGTAGCCAGCCCATCAAGGACTTGCAAGAGTGAGTACGCAAGAGTGAGTACTGAGTCAAACGGGCGAGAATGGAAAGCTGAGATGGCAGCACGTACAAGAAGAAGGTCGAGGCGATCCGAAAGCGGTGCGATACGGCCGACAAGACACTCAAGGACTTTGAGAAGGAGACTAGGACTTCGTGGAAGCGCATCTCGACCAAGGTGAGCTTCTGGCTGTGGAGTGTCTGAAAGTGAGGTCGTAAAGGCCCGAAGCTGATCAAACCAGGAAGATGCAGTGGGAAACTTCGAGGACCAGCTCGGGCGGATCAAGCAGATTGTCAAGCGAGAGGAGAAGGCCAAGGCGGATATTCAGGCGAGAATTCGGCAGGCTCAGGCTGTTCTCGACCAGCCCGTGGAGGATATGGCGGCTCAGCAAACCGAGCTCCAGCAGTCCAGGGTTAGTGATTCTGTTTACTGCGGGGTGATTGGGGGCGCGGCTGATCAGACCAGAAAACTCTCTGGACGGAGATGCAGCAGGCCAAGAAGGATTTTGAGGATGTCGGGGGCCGATATGGGGAGATGCAGAACAAGATGTCGACGTGGATGACGGAGATTGACAACCGGATTAAACAGTAAGTGCTTAGCTGATTGTGCTGCGGGGATGATGGCTGATCAGCAGGCACGAGCGGCTATCGAGTATCCAGAAGCAAAAGGAAGATGCCGCCAGGAGCGTCGGAGGCGGATCCATGAACTACATCCTGAACTGGCTGGAGAAGCATGGCGACGAGTTTGAAAAGCCGGTGTGCAAGCCGCCGATGATCTCGGTACACGTCAATGATAGGCGGTATGCTTCGCAGGTCGAGGCGGGAACGAACTTTGGTCAGCGACAAGTGAGTATTTCGTATTGGAGAAGGGAATAGTGCTGATGAGCTAGACCTTCATCGTGCAGACGAGAAACGACTATAATCGTCTTTTGGAGCTCGGGAGGCACAGCTTCCCACCTTGGCAGAGGAGGAACCGGGATGGCCGAACCCAGCACATGCCTGGCGGGAAGGTCCAGCTTTACCTCTCTCAGGTGCATGTGGATGAGACCTCGCTCAACCCCCACAAGCCTTGCAACAAAGAAACGGTATGTCCCCTTTTGCGAAATACACGGGAGACTTTGGCTCACATTTTTAGTTGAACGGACTTGGCTTTGAAGGCTGGGCGAGCGACTTTGTAGAGGCAGAAGCGCCCGTCATTGCCTTCCTGAACGAACGGTGTGGTCTCTCCCGACTCGCCGTCACTACTCGAAACGGTGACCGGATCGACGCGGACGCATGCGAGCGCGCCGGAGTCTCGAGATACGTCACGTCAAGCGAGATCACCACTATCGGGCGGTCGAGGTATGGTCGGAAAGACACCTTTATGCGGACGGACCGACTCCGGCCTGCTCAGGCATTCAACATTGCCGTAGACACCGAGGGCCTGCAGAAGCTCAACGATGAGATGACGGATCTGAAGCGGAGGCGGCGGGATGCAGAGGGACCGCTTGATGAGCTCCGGCAAGCGACGGATGCGGCGAGGGAGAAGGGCAAGGAGCTGAAGGGGCAAATGGTGGGTTATCGGGTTGTGTTGACGAAACGAAGGTTCGAGCTAATATCTCTAGGTCGAGATCGATGCGGGCTTGAAGGAGATCAGTGAGAAAAATACGGGCAGGCGAAAGGCCGCCTTGACTAAATGTGAGTCTACTTCTGCTTTGGCTGGAGGCTGTACAGCGCTGATGCCGCTCCTAGCCCAAGCGGAGGCCGACTTGAAACACGTCAAGACCACCGATGTGGCTGCCAAAACGGCTGAACTCAAGGCCAAAATCCAGGCCAATCTCGAAGAGCGGCTCGCGATTATTGCCGAGGCGCAAACCCAGCAAGAGCGGTATCTTGCTTTTGGGCAGGCGATTTGTGCCCGCCGCTTGGAGCTCATGCAGGTCACGGCGGATCTCAAGGCGATTGAGCAGAAGAAGAAGGAGTCTTCGGGGGATATGGAGGAGTTGGAGGAGGAGATTGGGAAATGTAAGTCTAGTCTACTATGAAAGCTGAGAGGGGTGGCCGGTGAGTGGGGCTGACAAGCATCTTAGGCACACGGACGATCCAAGCCGCCAATGCCAACAAGCTGCAGCTGGACAATTTGTTCAAGGAGCGGTTGAGGGCGTTGGGGGACGATACCAACTCGGTCACTGAAAGGCTGCACGAAGTCGAACCGGTATGCCTACGTCCAGCTCGTGAATGTCCGTGTACCGAGCTTACCCTTTCAGCCACTGCACGACCGCACCCTCCCTCCGGCGGTATCGGCCGAAGAGCTCGACGCAGATCTGAAAGAGGTCAGAGTCAAGCTGCAATTAAGTGTCGGTGTCGACCGGTCCGTCGTGGACCGACACAGGAGGCTGGTTGAAAAGGTGAGCTTCAAGTCGCCTGGAATCGTGACAAAGCTGACGACACAGCTCGAAGTCCTAGTGGCAAATGCAGACGAGCAAACCAAGAAGGCCGAGAAGGGCAGAAAGCGGATCAATGCTATCCTGGCAAGTTCACTTTAGCAGTCACCATATGCTTTGAGCTGATCAAGACCAGGAAGACTTCGATCCTGCTCTGGAGGAATTGATCAAGATTGTCGACGAAAAGTTCTCAGGGGCTTTCCTGCGTAAGCATCCTGGATCTCATTGTCATGTTTATGTCGGCTAATTAATATAGGTATCGGCTGCCATGGTGAAGTCAAGCTCGACCGCGTCGAGGGTAATTACGAGGATTGGGGGATCAACATTCTCGTCAGTTATCGGACGGACGATGCTTTGCAGATTCTGTCCGGGTCGAGACAGTCTGGAGGAGTGAGTTGTATCCCGCGTTTCAGGGCAAGAGTGGGGCTGACGTAGGAAAGGAACGATCCCTCGCGACCGTCACGTACCTCATGTCGCTCGCGAGCATGTCGCGGACGCCATTCTCGCTCGTCGATGAGATCAACCAGGGGATGGACCAGCGCGCGGAACGGGGCGTGCATAATCAGCTGGTGGGCGTGACGTGTGATCAGGATGCTGGACAGTGAGTTTTCTTGGCGCCCGAAAGATCTAGCGGAGAGGCCAGAGCAGAGCAGGAGCTGACTGGCAGATACTTCCTCATCACTCCCAAGCTTTTGACGGATCTCAGGTACCACAAAAAGATGAAGATCCTGAATGTCAACAATGGTATTTGGCGTAAGTCTAGAGCTTGCAACTCAGGGCGGGGGAACAAGAGCTGACGAGGTCAGTGCCAGCGCCGGATGGACCGGATTCCAAGTGGCCAGACTTTAAGGGGTGTCTCAAGAAGTATCGCGCGGCCAAGCGGATCACGGCGTAGATGGGTTTTGTGTGCTGTGTCGAGGTGGACGATCTAAAAGTGTACGAATATGCGAATAGAGAGAAGAGGTGTTTTCCGGGTTCTGGGGATGTGCAAAGGGGTCCTCGGTTTGTGTATGCATCTTGTCTTTCCGCGAGCACCGTATAGGTCATGCAGTCAGCAGGTCAACTGCCATTCCAAACAATATCGGGAGAGGGGCAAAGCTATGCAAGATGCCTATGTAAGATAACAGCTCTAGATGAATCTATGACATCAAGATACCTGCACCTTGACAGTCTCAGACACCCACACCCTGCCCTGACTCTGCCCATTTCCTGCTGCATCCTTGCTCCCACCTGTTGCTGCACCCCCAACAGGTCCCAGCTCAAGAACGACCGCCCTAAAAGCAAAGCTCCCCTCCGCGAGAAAGATGGCGCTGATTCCGTGTTTCCCGCTCTGCCCCTGTTCTATCGAGGGGAGAATGGAGGCGAGGACGCCGTCGATGATGATGTGCCGGGGAAGCGCGGCGGGCGAGGCACCGGCGTTGAGCGAATGGCGATTGTTGCTGGATTGGGAGGATGGGTCGGTTGATGAGAGAGGCTCAAGCCGGACTTCGCACCGTAGTGGATGTTCTTCTCGGTCAGCTTCACTTTACCGACGGACGGACAGTTCTGGTCGACTCACCGAGACGATTCTTCACCTCCACCTCAACCTTCACAAACTCGCCCGACTTCACCTCGCTCCCGCGCCCTCCTTCATCGCCCACCCTCACCACAACATCCACCTCCTCAACCCTCAGCAGCCCCATCATCCCCTCCCCGACCTCATGATTCCGCATACTAAGCTCGCCCGTCCTTTTCTGCCCCGCACCGCCAGTAGCGGGTTCGGTCCAGTCTAGGCGGAGCCGGGAGAGCAGGTGTTCGCGATACCAAAACAGCTCTCGGTCTTTCTGGACTTGGAGGGCAGTTCGGCCGGTCTGATCTCGGATGTACTGGCGGGACGTGAGGGAGGGGATGGGTGGGGAGGTAATTGCCGGGGGGAGGGAGAGGCGGGGGAATGGAATGAAAAGGCTGAGGAGTCAGCTTGTGCTCTAAGTCATAACTATAGCACAAAGCTGAGGTGAGGTGACGTACCGCTCGCTCGCGCCGGGTGGGATCAGGCGAGTACTTCTCAGATCCTCCTCCACTTCATCTCCCTCTCCGCTTTCTTGAAATAGTCTAGTGAGAGACACCTCGAACGGCACACCGTACGCATTCCGCACGAGCAGCGCAACGAGGCAATAGTCCCCATCTGTCTCTTGCTCCATCGCGCGCCGAAGCTTATCTTCCGGCGAGACAGTCGCGGTCGAACCATTCGGGAGAGACCGCTTGCCCGAGCCCGAAGCGGGAAAGCGAAGTATATCGAGATCGTGCAGCTCGAGGGTGTGGTAGACTGTAAACAGGACAGGGAAGGTAATTTGTCTGGTATGGAACGATGAACCGGCCTCGGCAGCAAGCGCGGGATCGATATACCCATAGTCGATACGGATGGAGCCGTCCGTACTATCCCATCAGCTCTATTTCTCCTTGTGGATCTATCGCGAGCTGAAGAGACTTACCATCCGACCTTGCCGAGACATTTGACTGAGACGGTATACCTGCCCCCAGGCGGGATATTCACCTCTGCCGCCATGAATCCATCCTGAGAAAAGACGGGTCGCTTGATCATGTCCCACTCTACTTCGTACACGTCCCGCGGGGACAGCTCTTCATTGAGGACCGACCGGGCTTCGCGAAGGGTATTGTCGTCAAAGGAGAGCTTGAGGAAGTTGACAGGCGTAGAAGAGGAATTCTCGAGCGTCAGACGAAGAGTCGTCCTGCTCGTCAGCTTTATCCTCTGAACGTAGGTATACGACAGCTCACGATTCGCCATTATACAGCATAACTGTCCCATGCGCCAGATTACTCCGCTTGACCCAGAGGAGCGGCAACTCCCTGACAACCTGACACTCAAGCCATCTCTCCCCTTCTTCCAGCGCCCCCTCGTCCTCTTCTCCCTCTTTCGCTCCATCCTCCCCAATCACGACGGTCCGAGCCTCGTATCTCGCCTCGGTTCCTGTCCGCTTCATCTTGCCCCCTTCACCCGCAACTCGACTCCTTCGCTTCTCTTTCCGTACCCGAGCCTTCTCATCCACGACGGGCATGAACACCTTGGTCGATGATCCATCGGGAAGGCGGATGGATATGCCTTGAACATACAGCGAGCCGGGAGACGGCGAGATCCCTGTCACGCGAACGGTCTGGACGGAATTGGCGGGTAAGACGATCGGAAGGGGGTTGGCGAGGAATTGGACGCCGGATGTGCTGATCTTATCAGCTTGGTCCTTATTCCAGAGATGTGCAGCTCACATGAGCGAGAGATCGGCGATTTCGAGATCGAACGCAAACGGATTGGAGAGCGTCACAAAGATGTCGACTTGTTCATTCGAAACAATGACCGTCTGCTCTGCGTAAGCTTGTGTCCCAACAATGTTCGGCTCTAAGCTCACCTTCCCAGCTTCAACCGCCTTGATTCGAGGATTGTACAAGAATGGATCCTTCTGGACAATCTCGCTAGCGGCGTGTTCGACCGGAAATCGATTCGCCGGCAGCCTACCTCGTCAGCCATCAAGCTGCTATAGGCACCTTCTAGCTGATATGACTCACGCAGCCACTTCCAAACTCAAAACAATCTTTCCAGGGACCCACCACTCCACACCCCCTCTCCACCTCCCTCTGCGCTTCATCGTCCCCATCGCCCCCGCTGTCAGCCTGACCAACTGCGCCTGACTTCCCTGGTGCAAGAATCCCCCGAGCTCCTTGAGGGCAGATAATGCCAGCCGTACCACCATCTCCTGGTCCGCTAGGCTTTCCGCTACGGTGACGAGTGACTGCAGCGTGTCCACCTGGATTTCAGGCCATCCGAACCGGGGTTCAGGGTGTTTCGGGTCAAGGTCGTCCATCTTGCCTTTTCCTTTGGCAGATCTGGGAGCGAGCGAGGCGTGTGGAAAGTTGGAGGAAGGAAGGGGAGCGAGGAGGTCGATATTGAGTATCCCAAGGATACGCTCGATCAGCGCCATGATGGCCGTATTGCCCTCAGACGTTTCTCGGCGGCGCACCACGACTTCTTTGTTGGGTACGGAGATCCCAAAGCCCAGTCCTACGCTGGCTGCACTTGCGCTTGAGGTCTCCCCATGGACGCTTCCCCGAGGCGCTGAACCCGAGAACCCAGCTTTGGCCGTTCGCCTCGTTTCCGCCCGGCCATCGACAACAAGCGCGCCCAGCCGCCTGACCACCTCCCGCCCGTAGATAGCCTCATGACGCGGCATATCGAGCCAACGTGCCAGCCAGACCAGCTCCGTATGTACCGCCATCTGCTCCATCTTGGTCATGGCGCGATGATACGGCCCCACCGCTCCTTCCGCATGAGACATGACTGACGTCCGTGTCATCCCGGACCTGACTCCCAACAACGAAAAGAATCGATGTCGCCTTGTTCGGGCGTAGGGGTCTTGTAGCGCCGCCTCGTCCAGTGGGGGCGGAAACGTCCGGGGGAAGGAATGGGAGACGAGGCAAGAGAGGGCTATACTGCCCCATCCGCCGGCGGACCAGATGAAGAGGTGGAAATGGGCGATACGGAGGGAGAGGGAGGTGTATAGGTAAGCGAGGAGCCCTTCCCCCGTCCCGAGATGGGTGGGGTTGCCGCCTGGATTGGGAGTGGGCGGGAGGGCGAGCGTGCCGGAGATGGAATGGGGAGCGGGGGAGAGGATAGTTGGTGGGTATGGAAGAGGGGCGCGGGCGAGGCAGGACAGGGCAGAGAGGTAGTGTGCGACAATTTCGACCGGGATGGGAGAGGATGAGAAGGGCTGAGCGCGGTCCTGCTGGTCAGCTCCTTAGTCCGCGCAATTGTAGGCCAATCATGCAACTCACCGATCCGTCCCTTGTCTCCCAAGCTTCTCCAATCCCAGCGACCGCCCGTCCTTCTCTAGCCATAGCTTCCCACAGCACGTCTCCCGTCACGCGACACCGTTCCGCGCCATCATCATAGCACTTGATCGCGTCTCCATACATCCCCACCAGCAAATACACATCCCCCAGCACCTTCATCAATCTCCCTCCAGCAACACCGGTCAACGCCGCCGAAGTATACCTCGTAGCTACAGCAGGTGACTGCGCACCGCCCGCCGAGGCGGTCGATGTGGCCGAGGCGGCCGAGGAGGTCCGAGCGAAGGGGGAGGGAATGGCCGAGAACCGTCGAGTAGGGTTTTGCGCAGCGGCAGGCTTAGGCTCGGGCGCGATGGGCGATACGACAGATTGGTTTGAAGAGGGTAGAGCGGTTGTGGGTCGCCCGCCTGGAGTGAGGGCGCGATTGAGGGTGATGCCCATTGCGCCGGAGAGGGAGAGGGTGTCAGCGGATTGAGAGTGTGTAAGGGTGGGCGTGGAAGTACCGGATCGAGAGGGCATGTCGTACGGTGTAGTAGTCCGTATTGGGAAGAGATCCGGGTATTGGGGATGTGACGAGGTGGAAGTAAGAGAGGGAAGGAGGGTTGACGAGAGCGTCTTCAGACCTGTTGGCGTTTCCAGGGCGGTGACCTGAAAGTCAGCGCCTCCTGTATCTCAAGCTTCTGGGAAGACTTACCAGCTCTCCAAGCTCTCCGAGAACATCGCCCACTATCTCTCCCAGTAGTCCACCTATCCACGAGTCTCCCCCGTCCCCTGGCGCATACCTCACTTCCTCTTTCCCCTTGCCCTTCTGCTGCCTCGTCGTCTCCATGAAACCACCCTTTCTCGGCGAGGTATTGGGATTGGGGGACCTCGGTAGATCCGATGGAACGACCACCAGTCGCCTGATGAGGGGGAACGCCGAATCCTGTGGGAACAACCCAGACACCGCATCATCGAACGCATCCCTCCCACCGTGCCCTCCCATCCCGTTTGCCCGGCCCGGTATACCGCTGAATGTCGAGGTAGTCGGTGTGGATCCCCCCGCTAGATCTCCTGACTCCTCTTCATCCTCCTCCGCCATACTATATCCCCTCGGCGTCTCCTCTGCTGCATCCCCTCCATCCACCGTTATCCCAAGGACGACCAGTGGGAAGCTCGCCAATCTCAGCAGATTGAGAGGGTACAGATGCCTCGCGGGCGGGTGGTTCGGGAACGCCAGATGGACATGTTGATTCGTGTTCGCGTGGCCGACGGAGGTTGCTGATGAGGCAGGCAGAAACCGAGCTCGGGCAGAGGAGGAACCGGTGGATCCTCTGGTATGTGCCGAGCTCGAGCTCAGGGCGGAGCTGGATGGCCGGATCTCATCCCCGCGGATTGACTGATGCCGCTTGATCAAGATTGCCCAGTGCGAGTAGACTGCTTCTGATAGGCGAGGCGAGTTGCGCCCTGAAGGTTGGACGGGAATGACCAGGATCTGAAGCTTGGCCAGCGCGACGGGGTCGGACAGAGCGGAGAGCTGCTGCGAGGTCATTTCGCTGCTTCATCAGCTGCTGTAAATCTGTGCACCAAGACATGGTCCAGGCAGCTCACCCACTACCTCAGCGCGCTGTATCTGTTCCAGTAATACTATGTACTTTACTATCAAATCATCGTCGAAATGGTGTCGCGCAACGCGTTCCTCCTTGGTGCTCAGGTCATTTACGTAACTGACCTCCACTACCAAGATTTTGATCTCCTTCCCCTGCGTGATACACCCATCATCTGTCCATCATCCCTGCTATACTACCACCCCAGCGCCAGCTCATCTGTCCGCCTGGATATCAGCCACAATGCCGGGAAATCGAAAAATAACAAAGAAAGCCATCAAGGGGAAGGACGTCATCCACCCAGGATCTCGGAAAGGTCAGCCACCCTTCCCTACCTTGTACTCCTCTCTCTGGGCTATGCTAACACCCTCAGCTAGTCAGCTTACCCGAGTAACCCTCCGAACAGCAAAACTTCAGCATCAGACCAAAAACCGTCGAGGCACCTCTTCAGCTAAACGTGCGTCATCCCCATAAACCCAAAGGTTAAGTCTAGCTGATCCACAGTCCTCCGCCCAGTCTTCTTCATGCACGCCCTCACATCGCCACATCCCCTCACCCTCGCGTCCCTGAAAGAGATTGTCCAGATCTTCCTGGATCGAGATGATCTCCGCATGGAAGAGCTCGAAGCGGATAGGAGACCGGGACGGCCAAAGTCCAAGGAGTATCTGGAGCTGGAGGCGAGGAAGGCGAAGGAGACCAAGGAGTTTGAGACTGGCTTCGGTAAGTCTTTGTCACTAATCATTGACCTGTTGAAGAGGGTCAGTGATCAAGGAGAATTGCTGACGCTTCGCAGAAGTCCCAGATCTCACGCATCCCCACACCGTCCGCCTCCTATACAGCTACCACGAGAACGACACCTATCTCGATGCATCCCGCGTCGATCTCCTCCGCCAGATCCGCATATTCAAGGATAGCGATGATGTTGTGCTTTTCAGAGCAGGCAAGGCGGACGCGATGGGGTTTGCAGATAAGGGCGAAGGAGAAGCGGAGGACTGGACGGATGGTGCTACTGCAGGCGGAAATGCTGCGGAGGCGGCTGAGGGGGAGATGGTCATGGACGCATGACCGGAGTGACAGCTGGCTCTGAAGACGCCCGCCATTAGAGCAGTCAAGGGCGCTGAGTAACTCGTCCGGCTCGTGGCGGCTCTCACTTCGCTCAGATAAGGCGGAGCAGAACGGGCGAGACGTCGTGCTGGTGCCTGGTGGGGGTATCGCTCGGATCGCACCTTAAAGATATAGCTTGTACACGACTTGTACCATTTGTACTGTTACCATCCTTGCATATCCGCTACGAGACCCTTGAATGAATGACTGACTGACTTGACTTGACAGACTCGACTTCTTCCTGGCCCTCCCCACTCTGGCCTTCCCTTCCCTTCTTGATGGCTCTGAATCGCGACTCAATTCTCCATCTCCACATTCACCTTGGCATCACCCTCCTTCTTGTGGTCCCCCTGCGCCACCTCATACACTCCCGGCTTGCCCGGAACGGGGACGTGCTCGCACTGGCACCGCTGGGCTTCGGGGACGCCTGCGAGCGCCTTGGTACCATCAGCTCTGTCTACACACATGCGCTCGCTCTGGAGCTTACGATCTCAATATGGCCGCCTGACGATGTCAGCTTGATCCTCATCTTGAGGACATCCTGGATAGCCTCCCATTTGGCCGGGACAGCAGACCTCGCTAGCCCCACTTCGGACATCCTCAGGCCATGACAGACAGAACTCACCGCATCCCCACCAAGTCGGCATACCGTCGTTTGGGCAAATGACCTGCTTGCACATCTTGTGTTGTTTGTGTAAGGGTTCTGTAGCTGAGAAGGAAGATGTAGGGTGTTAAGTGTGTAAGCAGCAGCGTAGCCGAGTGACCGGGCGGCAAGCGACTGTAGAGTGGCGGGATCAAAGGGGTAAACACGTGGCCTCATAGTGGACGTTTCAGATTTCCTTATCTGAAACACCTCGTTTCATCTTGGCCTATGCAGCTAGCAGCTTGTACTCGCGTCGACGAAGAACTCCGAGCTGGAGGGACTGAGATGATATATTTAGCTTCGGACATACTACCACTACTACTCTGAGCTTTGTTACGCTCCAACATATTGTGTGATGTGTACCCGTCCTCCTTTTTCACCTCCACTTGTAGATCCTCCATCTCGCACTTTCCTCGGCAACCGCTTTTACCTCCTCATTACGAGATCACCAACCCCCCGTAGATCCTCCCGCATCGCTGCCCCCACCAGCACTGGGCTCCCTCGACTTCCCTCCCCCCTGCTGACTTTGGTACCCCTGCGATCCCTGCGACCCCTGCGCCGATGGCCGCTGGTACCCCTGTTGTCCATACTGTCCCTGTGGCACCTCCTGCCCTTGCTGACCCCGCTGCTGCCACTGCGGTCCCTGATACCCCTGACCGTATCCCTGGTGCCTCGGCTGTCCTTGCCCCTCCTGCTGCCCCATCCCGCTCTGCTGGAATGCCATCCTCTGCGCCCCCCAATTCCCAGCACTATCCGCTCGCTCCCCGTCCCGCACCCTCTGAGGCTGATGAGGCGGTGGAGGGCGTCCGTATGGCTGCCGGTTCCCATTGTTCATGAAGTTGGAGTACCCTTCGTTCGGGCCTTGTTGATATGGCCGACCTTGGTTGTTGCAGTTAGGATTGGGATTGGGGTTGAAGGATCGGAAGGATTGTTGCGGCTGCTGTGGCTGCTGCTGCTGCTGAAATGGAGGCTGCTGCTGGAAAGGCGCCTGCTGGGGACCGGATGATGGGAACGTGGGCTGCGGTGGCTGGAGCTGCTGCTGCGCCTGTCGATAGTGATTCGTCACGCCCGAGGATGGAGGCGGACGCGCAGAAGGACCATTAGGTGGGCTGAACGGCGCCGACGAGCTGGTGTGCCGTATAGGTGAATTCGCCGGCTCAGGAGCTAGCGCTGAGGAGGGTTGGTCGGCCTGGATAGAGGTCGGCGCCGAGCTCTGCTGGTTGGACGAAGAGGGCGCGTCCGACCGTTGCGAACCGTTACTGAAGCCTCCCGGGACGTCGCGCTGACGGGTGTCCGGAGGCGGTTGGCTTGGCTCGGCGGAGACCTGAGAGACCTGAGGCGTCGGTCTCTCTGGATCAGTCTGCTGAGCGGCACGAGCGGAAGGAGGGGAATCGGACGCGGCCTGCGGTGTAGGTTGAGTGATTTCCGGCGGCGCTGTGACGGGCGCAGACGGGGTAGGTTGGGGGGCAGGAGTAGTCGAGACCGCAGGTGCAGGAAGCGCAGGAGCAGCCGCTATCGCCTCAGTCACATTTGCAGTCGTAGGTGGCTGACCGGCGCAAAGTGTATAAAGAACCTACACCATCAGCTGCTGGCCAAAATAAGATTCTGCGACGTTACGCACCGTTGTCGAGTCTGATGCAGAGGAAGCCGCCATCCAGAAGAGCGGCAGAGGCGTCGGATTCGGCCCATCGCTGAGCGGAGCAGGCGGGACAGCCGGTCCGGTAACAATGGCGGTCTGAGGCGGGCTGTACTGCGCAATCATGTCCGGACTGAACGCTCGACCGTGCTCGTCGATGAGCTTCTCTTCCAGCTATCAAGTGAGCTGGTGATCTCCCGGACGCAACCAGATGGGGCTTGGCTAGCTCACCTTGACGTCGCTGGGCAGTACACGACGCTTCTCCACCTTGATAGCTGACCCAAACGAGTCTGCTTCTTGCTATTTGATCAGCTTCAAGCGCGGCACCATGACTACGACTTTTCAAGCTCACCTCAAACTTCAAAGCCCGATCTGCTGCAGCTTGACTGCTATACAGAATCTTGGCACTCCCGTACTCCCCCTGATCCAGCTGAGGCCTGTACACCACACCACACTATCATGTCAGCTTTCACCCCTTCGCAGTGTGGGCGGGAGCTGACGTACCACTTGACCATACCGGCTAAATCGAGCAAACAAGCTACTCTCCGTCTCCTTGTCCTTGACGAGCTGGCTCACCGCGATCGCTGCGTCGTCGTAGAACTTGGGCTCGTCTTGCGAGTCGTCTTCCCGCAGGAGTCGGCCTCTGTACGTGGGGACGAGCCTTGCGGTGAGCTTTGCGCTGATGGATGGGGCGGGCTGAGCGATAGGTGGCGGTGGTGGAGTTGCTGGACGAGCCGCTTGCGGCGTAGGTTCCGGAGCAGGAGAGACAGCACGAGGCGCCGGTGCCGGTGCTGGTGCCGGTGTCTGTACCGGAGCAGTGACGGCTGCTATTGGCTGCGAAGCTGCAGGTGTCGGTGCCGGCGCCGCCGCTGGAGTCGCCGCCGGAGTCGGGGTGGGCACGACCGGAGCTGGCTTTGCAGATACCGCCTGAGGCGCAGCGTCCATAGGCCGCGCCCTATATGTCGGAGCTTCAGACGGCCAGGCCTTTTCTCTGAGCGCCTGGTACATAGCCGCCTGCTCAGCGCTCGGCGTAGAATTCCTCCCGGGCCCACTCCCAGGACCCATCATCGCTGCTGCCTCGCCGAGAGGCTGGTCCGATCCCTGCCTCATCCTCAGCTCTTCCAGCGGGGTCGCCCACCTCGAGAGCATACCTGGAATCTTGGCCAGTTCCTACATTGTCAGCTAGACCCCAGGATTGGTGGCCGGGAGAGCAGCTCACACCCATTAGGCTCCTGCCGTCCACTGCACTCGCGACGGAGACGAGCCATCCCTGCGATGCGCCCGCATTCGGGAGGACATCCACAAAGTCGCAGAAGTAATCCACCAGCTTCGGCACGATCTACGCATGTCAGCTCTTCCCCTCGCCTTGCCATTCTCATCAGGTATCAGGAGAGGTACTCACCTCTTCCTCCGGGACACCCTCACTCAGATCAAACGTCGTAATAATCTCCGCCCGCTGCCCAGTCTGCTCCACCGCATATTCCGCCAGCTCCTCGAACCCACTCCCCGGTAATCGGACATGCGCCCAATACTCGACCCTCCCCGTGCTCCGCTTTCGCACCGGCACAGCATCGATAAAGATCATAGGGGGGATACTGGCGTTCATGCCCCTGCCTGCCGACTCTGACTCGTCGCCTGCGGGCGTGCGGGCGCCGACGAGACGGAGGTAGACTGTCTTGGCGGTGGCTGCGAGGGGAGCGCGAGAAACTTTGATGGGGACAGAGACGATATCGGATCTAGCGCCGGACTTGACGAGGCAGGCGGTGTGGCCCGGGTCGGCGAGGCATGCGTCGATCGATTCTTCGTTCTGCGAATTAGTAACGGTCTTGAGGTGGGAGGGAAGGAACTAACCTCGAAGATGATGAGGATCTGCTCAGCGGCTTCAGAGGTGCGTGGTTCATGGTTCCATCTAAGAGTGTCAGCTGGTTGCGCAGCGGATGCCAGAAATCCGAAAAGCAATTCACGTCATCCGGACAGGCCCATATTTCCCAAAGTGCTCCATCATAGTCGGCTTGATCGCCTCGACACGAAGTGGGAACGGCATCCTGCTCTATCAGCGTGTCTTCCCCCATCACGCCTCGTGAAGAACTTACTTGACCAGTAATCTCCTAGTCATGTACTTGGCGCTAAAAGCAGGATGCGGGTCCCGCTTCCAATAGGTTCCCTTGGACCGATCCGACCAGACGACCGTATTTGAAGCCCGCTGTACCACCGGGACCGGCACCTCTACGGGGCCATCGGATGTCGCACCGGTGTTGGCGTTGGCTTTGGTAGCGGCCTCCTTGGCCATAGCTTCAGTGAGCACCTTGGTTGGGGAGAGGTTGACGAATGGTTTCGTCTGCGTGACGGCCTCCGGATCGACATCGCTTGCCCAGTGTCGGACGGACGAGTCGGGGGTCCATCCGCCGTCAGAGAGGGAAGCGTCGATCTCTTGGTCTAGCGCGTGGAGGTGGGGGGCGAGTTCGTCCCCTGTTGAGCCGGAAGCTACTTGGGACTGTTCAGCTTGCTGTGCGGCGGCAGTCCCATCCTTGCTCCCTGTCTCGTGCACAGCTGATTCGCCCTTGGCTTCTCCAACCCCTCCATTCGGAGCTGCGTTGTCGAGAGGTTTGGCGGAATCCCTGGCGGTGTTGTCGGCGGCAGGAGCAGGGGCAGAAGCGGGGGCAGAAGGCGTCATATCAGCGTAATTGACAGAAGAAGAATCCGTCCCAGTCGCATCGGGCGCTCCCCGGCCCTTGCCCGGCGAATGTCCGCCAAGAAGCCGATGGATCCGTCCGAGCGCGTTGGAGCTGCGATTGACGGCTCGAGCGGGTCGGTCACCGCCTGAGCGGGGCGAGCTGGCGACTTCGGGCGACGAGATCTCAGCTTGGGCCTGCGGCTGAGCTTGAGGGGGAGGAGGAGCTGGTGAAGCTGCTCGAGGTGGGTTCGGCTGCATTATTAGCGACCTCTTTTGCTTGCTTCCGAGCTGTGCTGAGAAGGGAGGATGGGAGCTGGACTTACCTGATCGCGCATAAGAGGTGGTCCGTTCTCCTTCCTCTGTCTCGACTCCGGCTCCTTCGGCATCAGCGATTGGTCCGACTTTTGATGCATGCTGGATTGAACATACCTGGGCTGATGCTCGAGCAGCCGGAGCTGGCATTCGGTGTGCTTGTGGCGGATCCTTGCGCGTCAGCTTCCCATCCTCGCCGTAGCTGGCTGATACTGACCTGCTGCCAGCCATCTCCACCCTTTCCCGGACCAGATCCATTAGTATTCCCAGCTGGCCTGATTGGCTGCTACGTATCATCAGCTTCTTCACCTTGCTCGGATATCTTGTTATTAAGCTGAACTTACCTGCACCTGCTTCGGCCCACTCCCAGACCGATTCGTCCACTCGCTCTTCTCACTAAACTTGCGCATCCGCTTCTGATACGCCTTCTTGCTATCCTCGCTTTCGGCTCCCCAGCCCCCGTCGTCCTCTTCCTCCTTCACCTCCTCCGTGTTCTGCCCCTGCTGCCCCTGCTGCCCCTGCTGCCCCTGCTGCCCCTGTTTTCCCGCTCCGTTCCCATTGTCCATGGCGCCGTTCTGCCCCGAAGGCGGAGATGGGGACCCCCGAGACCCTACCGAGCCGGAATTAGAGTACGCGCGTTTGGCCTCAAAGTACGAGGGCTGGCGGTATGGGATTGTAGGTGGGGAGATGGGCGAGCGAGGGGTCGGCGGGGAGTCCATATCGACCCAGGCGCGCGACATGGTGTCTGCTAGCTGGCCGCTGGGAGAGCGACTTGCGGGATGAGATGAGATGGAGACGGGGTTTGGGGATTTTGATTTGATGAGTTGATATTTGGTTCTGATGCAGATACTACAAGGATAGGATCAGCGAGAGGGTCTGATTGCCCTCTGCTTCTCCAGACGATGGGGAGTCACGCAAGATAGTCAAGAAACAAGTGGTGGTCAGAAGGCGAGGTGGGGATGCCGACTCGAAGGCTTGCCGGTTAAGTTAACCTCCACCGGCGCGGTCCAGCCATCTCTCCTCTGTGGCACTTGCTATACTCAGGCCAGGTAGATACATTTTGGATCGACTTGTCTAGGTGCCTCCTCTCTACTTCTGTCTACAACGCCTATCGCTCCTTCTTTTTCGTCTTCTTTGTAAACGAAATGGGAATCGTCCTATACACACCTCCCCCTCTGCTCATCCCTGCCTTAGCTCGTACCCTCGCAGCGGCTCACGGTCCCTCGCGCATCATCGACCCTGCCAGCCATACCCCGCCCTTTCCTGCCCTGGGCTCCCCGGATCTTGGCGAGCCTTCGGACCCCTCGGCGCAGTCGTCCGTCCTCGACCGCGGTATCGCTGCTCCTCGTACCCTTGAGCACCATAGCTGTCTTGGTGTTCGTGGTAGAAGGGGTGAGAGTTGCCGTTACCAGTCCCGTTGGCGTTGGCGAAACCATTTCCATTACCGAAACCGTTGTGGACGTTATCGACGCCATGGCCGTTGCCATTGGCATGGGCGGCGTGGGACGGGTCGTACGGCCGGAACTGAGTTTCCGGGCTGAACTGCCCATTCCCCCTTGGAGGACTGAACGGGACAGGCAGCGCATGTACCCTTTGACCCTGGCCTTGCGCCTGCTGCTCCTGCTGCTGCTGGACCATCTGCAGCTGCTGCTCGTGCGTCCGGAAGCTCCCACATGACGCGTCCGCCGTCAGGGTCGCCGATCCGCCGAGGTTTAGAGAATCGATCGAGATGTTGCTCAGATCCCGCTCGACCGGCCGATACTCCTGCCCTGGAGCTGGAGCTGCCGAGTGGGAAGCAGGAAGTGGACCATCTTCCCGAGGATGAGGCTCCGCGATCCCCCTTTCTTCACGCCATCGCTTGAGCTCGATCTCGTCGTAGATGACTGTGAAGGTGCCGTTATTCATCTTGGTCTCGATGATCCGAGGCGACAGGAGACGGCCGGATGGGGAGGTAGGTTCGGCCAAGGTGGGTGGTGGCTGGTGTGGCGCCGGAGGGTCCGGAGTGGGGTCATTGGGCGCCTGAGATGGGCCGGTGTGGACGAGAGGAGGACCAGCGGGGAAGAGCCCAAAAAAGGGGGTGACAGGCGGAGTGGGGAGTTGCTCCGACGCGCCGGGTCCATTCGCCATATGAGGTGGCTGTGGGTAGTTGGGCGGAGGGTAGTATCCGACTCCCATAGCGTATAGGACCTGAAGTATCAGCTTGTATCTTGGCGTCTCCTGGATCAACAGCAGCTGAACTTACCGGCATCAAATGCGAGTGTGGACCTGACTGACCACCTCCCTGCTGATGCCCCGGCGGGAACGGGAACGGCGGAAAAGACTGAGGCGGTCCTTGAGCGAGACCGTCCGTCACCGGACCTTGCATCCCCGGCGGTGGCGGGAACGGGATCCACTGCATCTGCTGGGGAGGGGGAAACATCGGCGGCGGAGTGAAGAGCGGTGGAGGCTGGACGAACATCAAATCATCCTCGACCGGGCGTTGAGGTGGGGAGTACTGCGAGACCATGGAGGGGCTGTATGCCCGTCCCCATTCGTCAATGTACCGCTCCTCCAGCTGCATCGTCAGCTCAGGCCCAAAGGTGACATCCCGCTAGAAACCCCATCAACTCACCTGAACGTCACTCGCCAGCACTCGACGCTTCTCCACCTTCAGCATCGAGCCAAACGAGATGGCGCCTTGCTACATGCTCAGCTCATGGTCCCTCTTCAAGGCTCGATAACTGACCTCAAACTGCAGCGCGCGATCAGCGGCCGCCTTGGAACTATACAAGATCCTAGCAGTCGCGTAGGTCGTCTGGACGCGCAAGGGGTTGTACTCGATCCCGCACTATCTTGTCAGCTTTTTGACACGCTATCTCTTACTCTGAGCAGCTGACTCACGATCTGCCCGTACCGGCTGAACCGCTCAAAGAGGGTATGCTCCGTCTCTGACTCTTTGACGATCCTTCCCGCAAACACCGCCGCATCATCGACGTAGCTTGGTGTCTCGCCCGAGAGGTCCTCCCGGAGGGTCCGACCTCGGTAGATGGGAATAATCCTCTTGCGGAGGTGAGGGTATTGCGGGTCAATCTCGTCCGCGGGGAGTAAAGGGGTAGGGATGGCCTGCTCCAAGACCGGAGAAGACGGAGAGGTCGGCGCTGCCGCCACTGTCGATCGAGGGGCGACCGTCGATGCCGCCGAGATCTGCAGGGGCGGGGGGGATGGTCGGGACTGCTTCGCAGCAGGATCCTGCTCGTCCGGGTTGCGACGCGGGTCGACGTGGGGTTGTCTTGGTCCCGGCTTCGACTCCGGCTCGGCGTGCGAACGACCGCCGTCCACGCCCTTGTCGTCGGGGACGAACCAGTCGACCCGGTCCGCCGCTGAGGGACGATATGGAGGCGTATCGTCATCTGGCAAGCCGACACCGTCGGGCGCCCAGTGCGTGGTGATTCCCGGGATCTTCATCAACTCCTGAGACCCCATCAGCTCTCGCTCCCTACCGCTTATCCGACCTAGAAGGGACACCTACATCCATCAGGGACCGCGCATCAGTACGGCCGTTCAATGTGACGAGCCAGCTCTCGCCGCGCTGCGTGGGCGGGACGATATGTACGATCTCGACAAAGATCTCGCACAGCCGAGGAACGATCTGTTGCGTCAGCTACGTGTCTAGCTCAACTTCGAAGCGCCAGTCCACTCACGTCCTTCTCGGCGATCCTACGTCCAAACTCAATCGACGTGATCCGCGCGACCGCCGCCTTGGACGTCTTGCTCTGCACATCCTCCAGCCTATCGCCCTGCGGTCGTACTCGTGCCCAGAATTCAGGCAATCTCGTACGGTGATTCTCTCTGGGCACCGCGTCGATATGGACGACGCTCGGAAGTGGCTGCATATTGAATCCGGCCTCTTCCGGGTGACGCAAGGTACCGGACTGATACTCGGATTCGGCGATATCGGTTCCGGCTCGAGCTCGGCGGGGTGGAGAGGCCGAGCGGGACCGACTGTCGGGACGCTGACCGCTGAGCCTGACGCAGATCGTACGGCAGAGGAGGTATTTCGGCGAGAGGGAGACGTGGAGGTTGATGAGGATGGGTTCGGACCGGCTGCCGTCTGGCTGGATGTAGCATTCCGCGTGCTTGGGATCGGCGAGGCAGGCCTCGGCGGATCCTTCGTCCTGATCCAGTCAGCTATGATCGCCGTGTTTGGAGGAAATGAGCTGCTCACATCGAAGACGAGCAAGACTGAGCTGCATGACTCGTCGGCGTAGAGCTCGTGGAACCATCTAGAGTGTTAGCTACCACTCAACCTTGCCGTCTTGGAGGGGAAAACCTACACCATGCGGATAGACCCATACGATAAGAAGTGGTCATACATCGCCTTCTTGGCAATATTCCGGCGGATGGCGTAAGGGAAGCTACAAGATCAGCTACTCAGCCTTCTTGAGTGATTGACCAAGACGTACCGGACTAAGATCCGCTTGTTCGCGAAACGGACGCTGAAGGCAGGGTGTGGGTCCCGCTTGTAGTAGGCATCAGACCGCTCCCAATGCTTGCGCGGCCGCGGAGCTCGAGCTTCCCCTTCGGTCGATTGGTGCGTGCGCATGTCGATAGTCAATGACTGGACGGTGGAAGTGGGAGCCGGCGGGTTATCCGTATACCCCTGCCCCGTAAACTCCTGGAGCGGCCGTACCTCCCGCCCAGGCGTAGGCAGATCCGTATCCGCCCCGCTCTCTCCATCCGAAACCGAGGCGCCCAGCAGGAAAACAGACGCATCCGCCTCATCCCTGATGATGGGCGGAGGAGTGTGCGGGGTGGCCGATGGTGGCGAGACATCCCGAGCCCAGTTGAGGACTTTGATCTTGGGGTCCCAGCCTCCATCGGGGGTTGTATCGTCTATCGCTTGGGCTTGAGCTTGGAGTTCGGGCGCCCAGCCGCCGTGCGGAAGTGACTTTTCGGTGGGGTTGGGATTGAAGTAGTCGGCTGCGGGAGCTGGAGCGAGGGGGGGATTTGGGTCGAAGGTGGGAGTATGGGTGGGCGCGAACGCCGGCGCTAGATTGGGTGCGGGAGCGGGAGTGGGCGTTTTGGCGTCCTCCATCCACCCTCCGTCCGAGACGGCGTCATCTGCTCCCTGTCCGCGGACGGTAGAAGGAGGAGGAATCTGGTCGGAAGTGAAGGCGGGGTGTCCGTTGACTCCGGGCGGCGGAGGGGGAATAGCAGCGCTCGAAGAGAAGGGCGCAAGACGCTCCTCGCTCTGCCTCACCTCGGGCGTCTTCCTTCCCCACTTGAGGTTGGGCAGGGCGACCCGATTAGGATCGAAAAGACCATGTCGGACACCGGGAGGAGGAGCGCCGATTGGACCATTGTACTCGCCACCGATGATAACGCTTTGGTAAGCGGCAGGAGCTGGGGTGCTTGCGTCCGCACCGGCCATGGCCACCTGGGACGGAGCGGACGGGACTGACGGAGCCGCATGAGGGGGCAGGTGAGGAGCCGGAGCCTGCTCGGTAGGGACCGCCGCTGGATGGACGGGCGGGAGCTGATTGTCCAGAAGCTGCTTGAGGCGGCTCAGAATATCACCGGTCAGAGGGATCCCGGAGCCAAGGAGGACATTGGCGATCTGCTGGTCGGTGGAGTTGGTGCCCTGCATGATTAGCAGAGTATGCGGGATGACAAGAAGTAGGTGTTTCGAGGAGAAGAGAGGAAGATTGGCAGAAGATGGGTAGATTGAGAGAGCAGGGAAGAGGGTAGAGAGGGAGAGCTGGGCAAGAGAAGGAGAAGAAGCAAGACTTACTTCTTCCGCAGTCGGCTTCTCGGCCACTTGGACCACCTCGGGCTCGTACGTCTCCTGTCCAGTGAGTTTGGGTCGAGCGTAGAGGTCAGAGAACTACTGACCACAGTCTGTGCGAGTGCAGGGACCGAGCGCGCTTCCTGCTGGGCGGGAGAAGCAGATCGAGTCTTGTCCTGCTAGATCAGCTTCTGCGGCACGCAAGTGGCCGGGCAGCTCACCTGGTACGCCTGCTTGATAGGCGGAACAGTGCCCAGCATGATCCCAAAAGATGACTACCTCGTCAGCGTCGCCCCATTCTCAGCTTGCAGGAATGTAGTCACAGTCTCAACGCCCCGTGCCATCTTCCCCCTCTTCTTATTGCCTGAAGGATTATAGTCCACTCCCCACCCACCATCATCTTCCTCCTCCGCAACCTGGACGCTACCGTGAGCTGACGATGAAGGGGGCGGGGAGAAGGCGAGGTGCTTCTGCGCGGCCGAGTACGAGGGCTGACGGTACGGCAAGGGATGGGGAGGAGTGATGGGGGAGTTCATTTCGTCCCAGGGGCGGTTGGCGGAGCCGGGCATGGTGAGAGCGCGGTGTAGATAGGAGACCCGGATAGAAACCCGGTGGAGAAGGTTGAAGAACCGGGAGTAGGGTGAAGTGAGGCGCGCGTAGCCGATGGGGAGGGGAGTGGGGAAGGAAGTCGAGATCGACCGTTTTTAGGGTATAATGTCAAGCTATAGCCAACTTTGGTAGTATAGCCTTGTAACGGGCTTTTGTGAGATAGGTGAGAGACCCGAGGAGGTAGATCAAGATAGATGAGAGGGTAGATCAGTAAGAGAGATAGAGAAGAATCGTGAAGGGAAGAATGCTCAACGTTGGGTCCTAAACTTCTCTCTCTTCTTCCCCCACTCTGTTTCAGCTCCACCACTTCCACCTTAACGACCCGCCCATCCCTTTCCTGTCCATGCCCCCCACGCACGCTCCCTTTATTGCACACACGCACAGACCTTACTCGACTCGACAATCCCCGCGTCCCCCGTGATCAGATCTTTCTTTCTTACCCTAAGCCTCAAAGGTACCCCTCAAACTCACACTTGCCGCTCGGCCGGCGGCGCGCCACCTCTTTCCTTTCCCTTCCTTTGGGTGCCTGAAGCTTGCCCCTTGCACTAATCTGATGTCAGCGTCTGTGAGTGGAGTCGTGGAGTGTCGGTAGACACCAGTGCCTTGTCAGCTGTCTCCGGGAGCCGAGGATCGGCTTACCGCGCCGAGCGGAGAGGAGATATACGCAGGGAGTCAGAGTATGTGTAGGCCAAAGGATGATATGTATGCGTCAGGCACAAAGGCAGGAGGCCTGACAAAATGACGCCCGATCTCTGAGTCTGATGGGAAGGTCCAGATCGCAATCGATCGGAACTTCCATCTATCAGCCGCTGATTCTCTCTGGCCGCGTCGCGGTCGCTGAGCGCACGCCTCGGCGCGAATGTGCAAAGCTGTCTAGCTATAGGCGAAGTGTTAACTGTCAAGCCAAAACAAGCTCCTTGTTGATGGTGCTGAATGAGGTGGTGACGTGGCATTTTCACCTATCCCCGGAGCTTTATCACACCGCCTGCAGCCTTTCCTAAATCTTCGCTGGCAGAACCTCCTCCACTTCTCCACTTTCACTACTCCTCGTACTCAACAGACACCTCCAGCCCAAGATGCACCTCATGTACACAATGGACGACAAGGGAAACCGGTAAGCTGGACGTCTCCCACCAATCCTGGGAAATAGCTGACTTGTACAGCGTCTACACCCTCAAAGTCAGTTCTCCTTCTTCCCTTCCCTCTCATCCGTCCTTGGGGTGGGCGGAGATAGCACGACGGTCTACATAGACATTCTCTGGTCGGAACAGGCGCAGCGGAAGCTGCTAGGCGCACTGCTGACACCCTGTAGAAGCTCACCGCCGCTGGCAAAGTAGCTAAATCCGCCCACCCCGGTATGTCACCCACGTCTTCCAGCTGACCTGCGCTCTTTGAGCCAACCACAGCTGACCCCTCAGCTCGTTTCTCCCCTGATGACAAGTTCTCCCGTCATCGCGTGACCATCAAGAAACGGTGAGCTCGTCCCGCCACCTGTGCGCCCCCGCTGCGGAAGGGACCTCAGCTGATCAAGTAGGTTCGGTATCCTCCCCACTCAGCTCCCTTCCAAGCCATTATGATTCGCCCGGTTTCTGTCCTTCTCGCATCCTTCGTTATCGTTTGTGATCGGTTTCAGTATCCACATCTTCCAGAGAGTCGGAGACTTGCGGAGAGGGGTCAGGCATAGGCGGGTCACCCGCAGACCCTTGACTCAGATAGATTGTTGTACGCACCTCTATGAACACACCATCAGCGCGCAACACAGCACTTCTGTCCTCACATCCAGGCTCAACCTCACGTCTTTCAGCCCGCGACGTAAACTTGCATCCAGATCTTCCTCCGTACGGATGTCATCTCTCCAAATTCCCATTCACGTCCCACCCCAACTCCTTTTGCCTCTGATGCTCCTTTTCCGCCTCCTGCGGTGTCATTTTGCCCTTGGCGATGCTCAACCGGGGCTCGACGCCGTGTTCGGCGGTATAGGGCCGATCGGCGGCTGCCCAGATTCCGAGGAGGCGGTCGTGTTGCTCGGATACCCAGTCGTCCCATTTGAGCCAGTCTGCGTGTCAGCGGCGGAGCGAAGCAAAAAGGGAAGGAGAGGAAAGGTGAGACAGGTGACGGGGAACATAGGCCAGCATGAAGGGACGGAGGAAGGAGGGGGGCAAGCAAGCCAGAAGAGAAGGACAAAGGTCCAGTCAGGGCGGAGAAAGGGAGAAGACGACTTACGCAAGGCAACAGTCTCCACCGTCACATCCAACTGATTATAGTCCCCCATCGTCCAGCCCATATCGATCCGGCGTATCGGATCCGTCACCGGGTCGAGGTGGCGTAACCACTGCCCCGTGCGCGCATCTTCTATTTTGATAATGTGGGCGGGGGGCATATCGGCGGATCCGATCCATGAGACCTATGAGGGTCAGCTATCAGGTCTGAGTGATGATTCGACTTCGACAAGAGGGAAGAGAAAGGGGGCGGCGCTTCCGGCCAAGCACGGGCAAGAGGGCGAAGAGGAGAGGGAGGAACACCAACGCACCAATGGCCAGCTCATAGCGTACGCCAGACCCCTAAAGTAGTTCCCAAAGTAATGGGAGCAACCCGCCGATGTGCCCCAATACACATTCTCTGAACAGTCGAGATTCTTGAATGCTGAGATTACGTTCGGCATGACTAATATCGTCTAGCAAGTCAGCTGGGCCATGATATCAACGTCGGAACCGATCGAATCGGCGAGCTCACATCGTCGTCTGCTTTCCTGTATGATCAGCATTTGCACCATAGTCCAATGGGGAATGAGGAACAGGATGTAGGTACAAGAAAGGTAAACGTCAAGATGACTTACATTACGAATCGTGGTCTGTCCTTGACCCTCCCTTTACCCGCAAACTCCTTGGCGACCCACTTGAAATACGCGTGCGTCTTGCCCAGATCTATATTGTCCACCACCTGAAGTATCAGCGCCTTGTCCAGTTCGCTCTCCTCCATGGCCTTTTCGAGCGCCCGGACCGGCCTTCGGAGCCTTCATGAGATGCATGGGAACGAGAAAGACTTACAGGCAGAATGACCATATCCCCATGTTCCTGATTCTCCGCCTGCAGTTTCCTCAGGAATTGCGTTCTTGTTAGCGCCTCTTGCGAGATGGGCTTCTCCGGATATGGGGGGAGACCGAGGATGAATTTGACGGTCACGAGGGATGGAGGAAAGTCTGGTAGGATGACTTTGCGATATCTACCATTAGCTCATCTCGTCCTGTGGTCCCTCTCCGATCCCCATACTTTGCGTTCCGTCACCAGCAGAACAGAGTTCACTCAAGCAAGTAGAGTATCTGAAGGGGTGAAGGCAACTCACAGATCCCTCCTATCCTTCTTATCAGCCGCCGAGAATATCCCCAGAAACACCAACTTGCCCTCATCCCCCCCATTCCCCTCCCCCGCTAATGGCACATCACACCCCACCTCACTCGGCTGTTTCCCACTCAGTAGCGCAAAATCCGGCTCCTCAAAACTCCGCGATACCTCCTCCTTCTCCACCTTGCCCCCATTCGTCACTTGCCCCACCGCAGCGCTCTTCCCAGCGCCACTATCCGCCAGCCCTACTTCGGCAGGTATTGTATTGTATCCTTCTTCATGGACTGCCGGACTGTGCGTGGAGGACAAGGTCGCGGCGTTGAGGGCGAGAAAGATGAGGCCGAGGATGAGGAGGGAGAGGGCGTAGAGGGATGTTTTGAGGCGAACGGAGGGGAGGAGGAGGGAGCGAGGGGAGAGGAGGAGGCGTCGGAATAGAGGGGGTCGGGTGGGTTGGGAGGGGTATGCGAGGGCGTGCGAGGAGGACGCAGAGGCGGAGTGCGAGAGGGTGCGCGGTCTCATGGACATGGCGAAGGCGGCTGCGGGAGCGTAGGGACCATGGGCCGCGCTGATAGGTGTCGGTCAGACAGGTACAGGTCGTTTGACCAAATATTCAGTCGAGTTTGGTTCGGGGAATGGTCGTGCGGGCGTTGCGGGCCACAAAGCGCTCTTTCGAGTCAGGAAGCTTTCTCTCTACACTGCTAGGCGTTGAGCAAGATAGGCGATGGATTCGCCCAGTCGATGATGAGCGATGAGCAGCGTGAAGGTAGGAGGTAGAAGGCAGCAAAGGACGCACGGCCAAATCGCGCTTGAGCAGTCGATGTGGGGCTCCATACCACCAACGACCACCAAGAAGCCCGAGCTTGGACCTTGCTTTCACCTCTTATAACAAGAACATACAGACCTTCACAGCTATCCCCCAACGGCTGTTCACAGTCTTATCATCAGATCCAGCAGCATCAGCGCGAAAATGTCCGACTCGACAGCCCAGACGACCCGGCAGCTCAAGATCAAGACGGGCGTGGTGAAGCGGTACGTCCCTGACCGTGTGCCCGATGGTTGGAGGAAGACGAAGTCCTGATGATCCAGTCTGTTCAAGGAGGAGCGGACATACTATCAAGAAGCGGAGCAGGCGCGGGCAAAGTTGCAGAAGATGAGGGATGAGGACGCTGAAGGGGCGGATATACGGAACGCTGTGAGTATGGCTTCAGGCTGGCCCCTAGCTCTCTAGATCCTTGGCGACGCGTCCGACCGGACTTCAAGTGGCATTGCGGAGATATGGATGGGGAAATGGACACTCGCTGAGATGATAGGAACGTGTCGTCAAGGATTCGGAACAGATGATCCCCCGAACAAAGAAGAGCCTGGATGAGGCCGTGGTGGCTCTGGAGGACTTGGTCGTAAGTCCCGCTCCGCCCGGTCTAAGTTGAACGGTAACTGAGATCGCAGGATGGAATGTCATCTGATGAGACCATAACAGCGACGCAGGAGTACAAGGACGCGGCGGAGCAGTTGAAGGTGGTCAAGCAGGCTGGGACGCAGAATGGGGCTTGAGCGTATCGAAGTGTCTCTTCAGGATTTTGGGATTGTATGTATATAAGAATGGCTGACTAGGGTGAGCTCTGACTGACCTCATCCTCACATATGGCTAATCCAGCTGTAACAGCTACAAGACGTCCTTTAATTTGCGTTGAATGCGGCGGTGAAGAGCCGCTTCCAGCCCTTTGGCGCAGACAGGGCAGAAAGCTGAGCAGATGAGTATATTGGCATATGTACTCAGCACCAGAGTTACTCACAAGGATGATTGACCTTGCGCATCAAGCAAGCCTCATTCGTCGGCCGCAGCGTCATCCCCCCGTCCATCGCATACGTAGGGAACGCCCCGATAAACCCCTCAGTCAGATTACACCTCGTCCGTCAGCTCCAGCTGCAACTTGACCAACCCGGAGACTTTTGGGGAGACTCACCGATCGCTTGGCCCATACTCGATGATCTCCACACTAGTGATCATCTTACCGCCCTGCCCCGCCGGCTCCTTCTTGCCCGCTTTCGTCAACTCCACCGAAACCTCTCCTCGCCGCCTCGCCAGCCCATCCGGGAGCGGTACTTCGACCCATCGTCGATCTTTCGACCCTTTCCACTTCCCACCTGAGAAGGCAGAGTCGAGATCCAAGAGCTCGCCGTTTAGCCTTACGTCGACGTGGTGGGGGTGAGGGATGGAGGACATGGACATCCGGAGGAGGGCTGTAGGGTAGATATGTAAGGGAGTGGATGAGGCGTTGAAGTTGATAGAATACGGAGAGGCGGAGAGGTCGTGCCATCTGCTTGATTAGTGGGAATCAGGACATGGTAAGCAGAGACTAACGGGTAGGCCTGCAGAGGGACGGTGATGTTTTCGATCTTGAGCTTGTCTGGCTCCGAGAGCATGTCCCGCCATTTCAGCTTGGATAGGTGGTCGACCTTGTCCGAGTTGACCCCAGAGTAGACATAGCCTCCGAATCAGCTTCTGTCCGGCAATGTGGGGACAACAGTGCACTCACCGCCCTCGTACTCCTCGCCGACTTCTATCAGACTATGCCCCAGTTCGTGCCGCAGTACAAGGGGACCATTAAGCTTCGAAGCGGTGATGATTCTGTTCTGTCAGCTATCTACACCTTCGCAGTACTGGCAGAAGAACAGACGTGAACTCTCCACCAAGACCGCCATACAACGGGTCGTTCCCTACTTCATCAGCTAGTACCACAGCTCTCTAGAAAGAGGTAGCGGACCAAGGAGTATAGGCTGATCACACCCTCCCACCTGGCCCATCGCGCCACGTTCCCGCCAATATCGGCAAGCCGCCCTCGCGCGCTTTGGGTGATTCACGTATACACCTCGAAGTTCCGGTCCGGGTCGATACAGGCCGAACGCTGAGCCGTTGAGTGGTGTGTCATGGCTGCCTATACCAGACTATCTCGTCAGCGCAGGCCCGCAATGAGACTGGAGAGCCCAGACCTGAAGACTCGACTCACCTGATTGGAAGGTACGAAGACCCCATATACGTTCAACAAGTGCGCGACGTGCGCCATAGCTCCTCCGGGGGAGACGATATCCTTCGTAAGGCGCTTAGCATCCTTGAGGAACGTGTCCTTTTCATGTCTTGTGTCTGTGTCATCAGCGCCTGCTTTCTGCCGCCGAACAACGGTGAACAGGATCAACTAGCTCACATCCGTCCGAGAAGAACGTGAGGTCGACCCGATCTGACCAATTCCCCGATACATGGAGCTTATACAGCACCATCTCTTCCGGAGCCGGGACCTCGGTCGCTTCGTCGACGCCTAGTGCTGCATAGTCGATCCGAGGGAGACAGCCGGGGTGATCATGGCCAATCGGAGTTTGACGATATCGCGCGTCCACGCCAAATTGTGTCTGGCTGAGCTGAGCAGCGTTTGCACGACTGGCAAGGGCTAGAGCGAAGAAGAGGACGGTGGGGCGCATGATGATGCGCGATGATGGGAGAAGTAGAGGCAGAAGAGGAAAGATGGTCGGCGGATCTTGCACATGGGGTCGTCGGTTCTGCCCGGGTAAGGAATGCTGGCTTGGGACCCTCCTCCAGTACAGAGACAGAATTGTGCATATGCTGCATCGGGCTAAGGCTGCCCAGGCCAGGCGGGCAGTGTCTAAGGCAGCGCTCGACGTCGACGCAGAAATCAACAGTAGCAGGAAAGGACTGGAGCGAATTTAGTAACGCGGCTGCTGGAGAGCCTAGCGCAGAGTGGGGAAGTGGGGGAAAGGGGTACTCGTGTCTGGTCTGTGTATGAAGCTCTAACTCATTTCCGATACATCGCTCGTCTGGATGCACGCATGATCTGGGCAGACCGGCGAGATCTATGGTAAGATTAGAACACCGGCACGACCTGATTTACTTGATCGTCGTATTTTCCACCGCCTGCAAGATTGCAGCAGTAATCACCTCCTCACACCTGCCCCGCGGTCGCCATCGTCCAATTCAGCGTCCTAAAGCTCTCCAAATGCACCAGTCTCTCCATGTTGTTCAGTATATCTGTCATGTTCGCCTCAAGGCTGAGCCCCCACGGATTATGCAGAATCGCCGTTTGGGCCGGCGTCGTCCACATCACGGCGTACGCGTGGTTGCCGTGGAGAACCGAATTGGCGAACCCGTTCCCCTCGGTCGTGTTCGGTCCAGTAGCGAACAGAATAGGGGTGTGGAGCGGCCAAGCCTTGGACAGATCGTCAAATAGCATGTTACGGTTTGACCCATACCACTTGGTCCCGTACTTGCTCGTCGCCGAGTAGCCCGTCATTGCCGATAGTGCCGCTTGCGCATCACCGCCCAATGGGTGCAGTGTTCCATTGCCATCGGATATGCCTTGAATGAAGGTCTTGGTGCCCAATTGGAACATTCCCTGCACGAGCGCCGAATTCCACCATCGCTGTCCCGGCCGATCTTCCGTCTTGGACTGATTGAATGCGGAGGTCTTGAAGAGATAGTTTTTCCGGGGTGGAGACGGGTCCCACAGCATGACCTGGGTCTCGGCGAGTGAGGGGTCGGCAGTCCCAGCGAGGGTCTTGCCGTCTGGGCCGTAGAAGAGGTGGGACATCCAGTCGTGCGAGGCCAGGACGACAGCGATGGATGCGGCGGCAAGCCAGCAGTCTGCGACCTTGCCTGGAGGGTCAGCTGAGGCCTACAGAGAGAGAGGAAGACGTACTCTGGACGACATCGTAGTAGGTCGGTCCGAGGTCAAACCAGAGCGGAACGGGTCCGGGGGTCTGCAATACCTGGTCGGGTCCGAACTGGCGCTTGTTCAGGTGTGCTTCATACTCAGGATTGGAACGAGGGGGAGGGTAGCGCCTGGTATTCTTGGTCGCTGGGTTCTCGTCAGGTACAAGGTCAGCTGGCGGGACTGTGAGGGTCAGTACAGGTCCCGAGGTCGTGGAAGTGGCTATGGGCTCACGTGCAGGGTGGCGCCGATGCAAACTGCCAGGGGAAATCGATCGCTTTGCTTGTTGAATAGCGGGGTTCTCTTCGGGGATGAGATTTGATGGAGGGACTGTACAGTCAGCGATGGATATCCTGCGATACATGGTCAAGTGACTTACAGGCAGCATACGTCAGGTCAGCGACCAGAACGAGAAACATGCAGGAGAGTCGCATCTTGGCTGATCGGTCGATTGGTTGTGATGGAGTGAATGGGGGAGTGCGTGGATGCGGGTATGAAGTATGGGCAGTCTGCGTGAGATTGCTTGGTAGGAGTAGGCTGGTAGTGGTGTCAGGGGGAGGGATATGTATATCTCAGGCAGTGCCGACTCGCTTGAGATTGAGATATAGGCGGGGGTTTATAGTCAACTTGTGGCGTGACGAGGGGTGTCGGCAAGGACCAAACGCCCTGCAGACGGTCGAGAGGGAGCAGTGAAAGGAAAGGAGGGTGTCCGACTGGTCTGAACATGTGGTTGCGCGGAGTCGGCAAATGAAAGGTGGGTCTTTTAGCTGCTAGTGTCGTCGAGAGATATCCTTTCTCGATCAGCTCCTACGGGGCCGGAAGATAGGGACCGTGCCTTACGTGTGTGGGTCGTGAGTATGTGTCGACCAATGCAAGCATGTCGCAAGTAGTCGGCATCAATCTGTCAGGCGAGAGGAACATGCGTCAGAGGCGACCACAAGTTCTGGCACCGAGCCGGTGCCGGGTGAGCCCAGGTTTTGATCAGTGCAATCAAATCGACGATGGTCCAGTAGGTCATTCCACGATCCCCTCTCATCTCCCGCGTCTCCCTCTGCCCTTCTCGGACCTCTTTGCCTCCCCTCCTCCGCCCGTGAGAGGTCTCCCCTCGAATCTCACTTACGACCTTCCGCCGCGTGGATACCTCACAGTCCCTTCACCCGGACCAGCTCGATCCCACCTCAGACCACCTCAACCCTCACAGCCCACTCCGCAGGACGTATGCATACGAGACTACGAGTCTACGACTTACGTGCATCACTGATGGCATTGCATGCATCAATCGTTATCCGTGACAGTCGCCGTTTACATACCGACAAAGTACGAGCTAGTCATTCGAAGGCGTTTTCTGGCGAACGGTCACTGAGGTGTATACACCTGCTCTTGGCTTTGACCGCAAGCTCTTAAACGTCGGAGAACAAGTGGTCATTGGTTCAAAACGCCGGTATGACAGGGTCTGCAGGAGTAGAGCTTCGGCTCTCGCTTGCGCCTCGAATGCTGCCAGGTCCATCGGGGCGAATGTTCGCCGCCTCCAGAGCCACTGGAGGGGGTCAAGACATTTACCTTTTGCTTTTTGGGGCAGCTGCAGGTGTGATAGTATACTTTGGGAGCCTTTCAAGGATGATTTGTGGACCCAAAAAGGGTCCAGGGCAAGTCCGAGACATTAGCGGGTGGCTGGCAAGGCGGCTGCGCGCTGTGCAAGAGTTGACCGGTCAAAGCTGAAACGCGTCCCGTGCTTACGTCATGTGTTTCAGGTCGGGGCCATCCAGATCCATGCATGTTCTTGAGTGTTCGCCCGAAGACCGGGGGCCAAGATACCTTTCCGACAGTAGGGTGGAGATGCCTCGGAAGCGAACAGTTCTCATGATATAGGGCTGACAGCAGTCCTAGCGACTACGTATCCGACTGAGTAGCTGCGAATAAGCTACGATAAGCAGATGGTAGCGTTACGAGTACTTTTAATATGCTAGCTACGAGCCGCGGACGATGGCCACGAGTACCGGACGGTAGCAAGAGTAGCTTCGAGTAGCTAGATATGTGCATTCTCTCATGGTTGGAGTCGACCAGGTAAGTCTTCCTCTGCTCTAGTCCGAACACATCCATCCAGATGATCATCTCACTGCTCTCCCGTCTCTCCCGACGAAGCCTTCTTTTCCCCATCTACTTTCTCGTCCGCTTCCCGGCTATCTGCTTCCTCAACCTTCTCCGCCTCCGCCCCCTTCCTCACCCCCACCTCCATAATCTCCTGCCCATCCGCCCACCCCCTCCAATCCCCATCCCAAACCTCCATCGTCCACCTCGGCATCGGCGTCGCCCATTTCCCCAGCCGCTCCGTCGTATAACTCAGCGCATGCAGGTATATGAACAGCGTCTCAGGCGTCGGGTCGTCTGGGAGAGGCACGTAGCACTGATCGCAGAATCCAGGGGGAAGAAAGTCGGGGCGTTGGAGTGGGGAAGCGTGGTTCTCGGGTACAGGGTCGGGATGGGTTTGTTTGGCGCGTGAGACGGGGAGGACGGGGATGCGTTGGTTCACGCCGTGGATGGGGTCGGAGAGGTCCGGGGCGGAAGCTTTGGAGCGGGCGGATTGCGAGGCGGACGAGGACTCGCCGGTGGAAGGTTGGGCTTGAGCGAGGGAAGCTTGCGCTTGTTGTGTTGTGAAGATCACTTCCTTCCACCTATCTGTCAGCTTCCGCACCTTATGAATAGCTGAACACTCACTTGACCCAATCCTCAGCCTCATCCTTCATCCGCCTCAACTTCGCTATAATCTCCTTGGCCTGCCTGCTGAGCCTTATCGGGCTCGACAGCTCGATATTCCCCATCTCCGTCTCCTCATCCACGCCCTTGCCTTTACTCTTCATATTCACGCCCGCGTGGTCCGGTAGCCGCTCCTTCCCGCTCATCCGGTCCGAGTCATCCAATATCGGCCTGAACCCCGACGTCTCGGCAGCCTTGGGCTTTGAGCCGCTTGGCGTGGCGTTGGACGATTGTCGCTGCGCGAGGATATCAGTGACCGAGGTGGAGGATTCCTCGGGTACTAGGTCGACACCGCCTTGGCCCAGATTCTCGCCCCAGACTGAGGCCATGCCGTAGAGGGGATCATTGGAGATGGGGTGGCCGAGAAACTGAAGGTGGACCCGGATCTGATGCGCTGGGAGTCAGCTCCGTCTCATTTCCGATAACAAGAAGCTCACTCCTCCCCGTCAACGGTCGACATCTGACGATACTTTCATCCCTCTCTGCGTCGTATCCTATTCTCAGAAAGACCGTTTTCGCATCTTTGCCTTCTGGAGCGATGATGACGAGGCCCATCTGCCTGTCGACTGTAAGAAGCGGTTGATCTACCGTGATCTCCTCGCTAGGTTCGTCAGCTATAGCGCAATTTTCTGACAGCAGCCAAAACCTACTTTGGGAACTTCCCCTTCACCCGCGCCACATATTCCTTCTTCACCTCCTTGTTGGCAAATTCATCTGCCAGCTGCCGTGACGCTTTACTTGAGAGAGCCAGGATCATTAGACCAGACGTCAGCCGGTCTAGCCGATTGACAGCTACTCGGTCAGCAGGAGCGAGCTCGACCAGCACAAGACTTACCGTAACCATGTATTCCGTAGTCGCTTTTGAGCATCTCGAGGACTGTATGTCTGAAGTAGCGGCCTGTCGCGTGCACTGGCTGCGATATCAGCTTTCCATCGAGCCAACGGTGGCGCAAAATGATCAGCTTACGACAGAGCCAGGCTTTGAGATGACAATGAACTCCCGCTCCTTGTCGATGTGCAGCACCCGCACCGGATCGTTGGCAACTGGCGGCTCATGGCGATGTACAGTGTTGCTGATCCGTCAGCTCTTGCTTGCGTCTCGCAATCATGGCGCGACGCACTCCAGCCTATCAGATCCTTTCAAAACGTATAGCGGCGAGGCAATTACACCGTTGATACGGGTGACGCCAGACTCTAAAGCGTGACGCTATAAGGTCAGGAGATGCACAATGAGCCCGGGTAGAGGCTTACATAGTAATCAACTGAGCGGTCTCGGAACTCCGAGCTGATCACCTCAAGCAGCTGTCGGCCTAGCCATCTGTATATAAGTCCTTTGGCTCCATCTACGAATCGTTCTGACAGGAAGCACCGCTTACATACCGCTCCTTGACGTATGTCTGATACGGCCACCAGTAAGGCTTGATGTACCTCAGCCTCGGATCGTGACCGGTCGGGTATCGATGTTGAGCTGCGGCGGAGCTTTCAGCTGCTGCAGGGGTGACATTCTCCCGGACCGAGCGGAGCATGGCAGGCGTAGGCGCGGCTGCCGCCGTGGGTATCTCGTGAGTGGTGCTCATTATGCGATGAGACTCGGCTTTGAAGTCAAAACAAGCAGCATCAGGTGTCGAGAACTTTTGCACAGGCACGCGAGGAATGCGGAGTTGCGATCCTGAATTAGGTCAATAAGGAGGCGAGATAACGCCGCATAATGCCGGCTGGAATAGCTCAGTTGGTAGACTAGACCTGCAGCATTGGACCGCACTGGACTAGCGGTAGTATCTCTTAAGACCGATCGTTCGTTCGAGCCGGCCTGTTGCAAGGCTTTTTCTTTACGATTGCCCAATTGGTAGCGCCTGAGATTCCGCCGTTCAAGCCGGATAATTGCGGCGTTATGGTGATCGCTGCCAAGAGATTTCGGCTCTTCGCGGCTCTCCACCCTGTCCCCGACGCGCGACCAGCCAAATACGCTCCTCCTTTCTTCTTGCTGTCTACAGTCGATGCCACCGATCTAACCTAGCAACATGCCAGGCCCAGCTGCGATAGAGCAGCAGCCAGCGATCTATTCCATATTATGGGCTTGCATGTAGGTTCCCCTTGTCCGGGATGATCGCCGACGCTGACGCTCAGGTCCTCGTGGTACTGTACGCTTGCTCCGCTACCGCTTCTACTGATACACACTGACCTTTGCAGTCGGCTACCACCTTGCCGAGCTCAACTTCCCGGTCGCATCGCTGACCTGTCTGACGCCGGTCCATGCCCCTCGGTCTCGACTGCCAATATGCCTCGAAATCGATGCGTTCCGGTACAGCACCGTTACCGCCTTGTACACGGCCGGGGGTTTAGTCGGGTCGTTGGCGAGTGCATGGGTGGTCTACAAGGAGGGCATCAAGGGGGGGATAGTGTGGACGGGATATCTGAATCTCGTTGGGGTGTTCTTGATGGGATGGAGCTGGAACTGGGGTATGCTGGGTCTGGGCAGGTAAGCGCACTACGTCGTTGGACCGTAGATGGGAGCTGACAGGCAGATTTGTTGCGGGTCTATCAGCTGGTCTGGCCTTCTGCCTGATACCGCCTTTCTTGTCGCTAGTGGCTCGGTCGTCCCCACAGCTCTCCGCGAGGTCAGGCCAGATAGGTGTGATCCACCAGCTGGCCATTGTTATTGGGGTGTTCATGGCTCAGGTTGCCGGCTGGCTTATCACTGGATCGGTTTGTCAAGCTCTACCATTGAAAGAATGTAGCTAACATGGTAGAAAGGCGATACTCCCGGCAATTGGCGTTTCGTAGTTGCCATATCGGGCGTTGCGTCTCTTGGCCAGATCTGGGCTGCAACAAAGGTGTTCATCCCGCCAGAAGCAACCATCAAAGCTGCCGTCGCCGGAAGTGCGACACCAGCACCCGCTCGGGAAGACACGTCAGACGGTAAGTTCGCTACTTCTTCAGCATACGACGGAGACTGAAACTTCAGCCTCGGAACCTCTTTTAGCGGGAACGGCCCCAACCCCATTCTCACCCATCACCTCCGCTCAGACCTCTACTGTCACACCCCAACTTCCCCTCCGCGAACTCCTATCCAACACATCATTACGCGGGACGACAATGCTGTGCGCCACCGTCATCTCCTTCCAGGCCTTATCAGGCGTCAATGCCGTCATGTTCTACTCGACACCCGTGCTCAAGACACTTTTGCCAAACTCGGCGGGAATGATTGGTATTGGTATTGCTACCGTCAATGCGTTGATGACGCTGCCGGCGGTGTTTCTCGTTGATGTGAGCCCTTCCTCGGGGTGCCAGTAGATCAGTGCGCTGATGCGGCAGGTGATTGGCAAGAAGAACCTACTCTTATTCTCGGTGATCAGTATGAGCATCACATCTGCCGCTTTGGCTCACGGGCTCAATTCGCACTCGCCTAATCTCAGCGCTTTTGCAATCATCGGGTTCATTGTGAGTTAGGAACATTAACATACGGGCGAGGACAGTGCTCATGATTTAGGCGAGCTTCGCGGTCGGTCTGGGCCCAATACCCTTCCTGCTCATCCCAGATCTGGTACCCGCCCAAGTGAGCTTTTCCCGCTCCTTCTCCTTGATTTAACGCTGACGCCTAGGCCATCCCTGCCCTCTCATCTCTCGCTTTCGCCCTCAACTGGACGTTGAACATAATGATCGCCCTCCTCTTCCTCCCGCTCCGAAATCTCCTCTCATCGCCGACCGACCCAAGCGACCCCATGGCCACCGCGCGGACCAACGAAGGCAACGTATTCTATGTCTTCATGGCGACGAGCGCGATCCTGGCTCTGGTGGTATGGAGAGGCCTTCCAAATGCACCCGGGTCAGGTATGGGTCCAGGAGGGGCGGTGGCGGGACTAGGGATTGGGAGGGTATGAGAAGAACAATCCTTGTCATCTCGGTCCGTGTATCACTTGGATCCATGCATTTTGGGCATCTTGTATGCGTGCTGGGCGATGGAGGGTGACGCTCTGTCCGAGGAGGGGTATGCGAGCGCTGGGCAACCCCAAGCTCAGTAAGCAGTCGATCAACAGACAACGTCATTTTCGGCCTCCACTTCGCGCCTCGTCCACCATGCAGCTCGCCCACATTATGGCTTGCTATTGTTCTTGTCCATCTTGCTGACTTTTCCCGTTGACATACCTTGCACATCAGCGCCATTATCTGCTGGCCCCTGTAACGGCAGGTCTAAAGCGCAAATCGACGGAGTGCATCATCCCAGGATCTTGGAATCGCGGGAAGCATCAAGGTCAAACGACCGCTTCTATTTCCAGCCATCCCGTCTATCGAGATCGCAGCTGCGCTTGGATCGGCCTTCAGATCATTGTGAACACATCTAAAGGAAGCGGATCATCATGGCTACAAACCCACAATATGGCGGCACGACCTACCAATCCATCGTCATCGCCCTCGTCGCCGGCGGAATCCTCTCGACCGGCGTCATCTCGATCATCTGGAAACGGCGTCAGGCACGACGATGGGCCGAGATGCGGCGGAGACTGCCAGTGGGTGGGGATGCGGCGCGAGATAGTGCTGGTTGGGGAGGAGGATTGAGGGGTGGTGGACTGGGCAAAGAGCCGGGGATTTGGGATGTGGTCTTTGGGGAGAAGGAGCGGATATCGGACGGAGGCAAGGGGGAGGTGGTGGATGGGGATGGCGAGAAGAGGGAGGAAAGCGAGGCTGAGGATCTGGATGGCGAGATGGGGACTGGCTGGAGGGTAAGTCTATTCAAATTCCAAGTAAGGGTCTCAAGCTGATATCAAGCCTACATCCCTCTCCCTCACTTCCCCGTCATCCTCAGCTGCGACTGGGTCAAAATCGCCTAGCACCGCTCCGATACCCTCATCCCCACACTCCGCCGAGATCACCGTCCTCATAGCCATGCCTGATCCCATGAACGCCTCCGCCGGACCCTCTACCCCTCGTCGCTCTACACAACCATACGATCCCCCAGACTATTCACCAATATATCACTACCCCCTTTCCTCCCCCTCCCCCTCTGATCCGAACGACGACGATGATCGACCCCTTCCCTTGCTCGAGATCGGAAGCACCTCCATCCCCGTCATTCCATCTCCGCGGACAGGTCTCAAAGGCCAGCCATTACCGGACCGGATCGAGGATATTATCAAAGCTGCCGCGGCGCAGCGGGAGGCGGCTTCGGGTGGACGGAGGAATCGGAGCAGAAGTACAGCGTGGGACGGAGTCATGCCCTCGCCTGCACTGCAGGATCTGTATGGTGCACCCGGGCAAGCGGCTCAGTCAACAGAACCGGCTCGGGATCCTATGACTGCGGCGTCGGCAGCGGGGAGGTTTGCAATGTTGAGAAATGGGGCATTGGCTGGATTTGGGTCGCCAGGCGGAAGAAGGGCATGAGGGAAGTAAAAGTGTTGAGTAGAAGCTTAGACTGATCTCTAGATCCGATATGTTGTTGACTGTTTGGGTTTGAGGGACCTGGAGGGTGACCTAGGACCGCTGACTGGACTAAACTCCGCCTGACGGGGCTGGTTCGCTCTCGCACAGTAATAATCAGACAGGTGTTCCTATGCCAGGAAGAACGTCGGCTGGGGGGTAAATGCGCGGAATGAGACCCTTCTTAGCCGGCAGCTCGGCCGGACGAGGTGATTGCTTGGCCGGTGTATTCATAGGCGCACCCAACTGCCTGAACCATACTGATTATAGACATCTCCTGACGTCTCACGTCGTCTTACTCGGCGCCCGAACAGACTTCAATCTCCCATTCTCATCCGTCTGCCATTGTACCTCCCTGAAATGATCAGCTTGTGCCCAGACCCGCGACAGGAAAAGACCAGACTCACCTCAGTTGCGACCGCGATATCCTTCGCTTATGTTTCGGCCGTTCTCCAGCTATAGGCGGGCCTGTCCCAATCGCGCTCCCGCCAACTCTCGACGACGCGGTCGACGATGAGCCATAACTGTTCTCCCTTTCCCTCGGTTCCCGCCCTTCTTCTCGGGATAGCGGCCGTATCCTGTCTCTCTGAGACGCCCCTCTCGGCTGAGCAGATAACGCCCCTTCCCTCCCTCCAGCTGCTATTGCGCTTAGGCCAGAAGCCATTGACGGGCCAAACGCCATCGCTGTACCGGCTACCGCACCCCGCTCTCGACCCACATCCAGCATGGTCTCGCTCGTTGTCCGCCGCATCCCACTCCCGCCTCGTTGACCCATAATCCCAGCAGCCGCTGACGGAGGCGCCCCGAGCCCCATCTGTGACTCTGCGCGTTCCCCCTCGGCGCTGGTTGGCGCCGGACTGGTATTGCCAAAGAGCAAAATGGGAATGACCTCCTTGGCCAGTTCACGAACGAGCACCGCTTCGTCCTGCTTGGCGAGGCGCTCGACGATATCGGCCAGTCCAAAGCGCTCGACGAGGGTCTGCCGATCGGGGTGATGTTCGCAGACGACCCTGGTGATACGGAGGAGGTTGAGCTTGGTGACGGCTTTACCGGTCTTTTCGAGGGAGTCGGAGAGACGACGGAAGAAGGCGGGAGTGGAGATGGTGGATGTGACTGAAGAGGACAGACGGAGGATCTTGAGGAAGCTAAGATGTCAGATACTACTCGGAAAACGAGTCTGATCACTTACGGATCAACGATGCTCTCGTTGGAGACGCCCGTCGATTGGACGAAACACTTGACAAGGCTCTCCGAGCCAGGTTGTTCAATCAGGACATCCTCGACGCGAGCTGTTTCATCTTGCATCCTGTCGGTGTAAGCTAGTCATGTCCGGCGTCCGTACAGCACGAAGCTCACCAGGCGAGAATAGCATCTAGCGCAGAGACACGCCAATACGGGTCTTCAAGCAAGTCGAGGTACACTGATGAATCAGTTTGGACAATTCCAGAGGCGCGAGAACACATACACTTGAGACCGTCATTGTGCCATAATAACCTTCGGCTGACCTTGCCTGCATTGGCCAGATCGCATAAGATCGGAAGGGCGAACTGCTTGAGCGGCGACTTTTGCAGAATGACCCGCTTGAGCAAGGGAATAATACCCGCCGATGCGGCTTCTTCTTGACGCGCTTTCGAGAGCCGACACATCGAGTAGATCGTTTGGAAGATATGCGAGCAGATTTCCTAGGCAGGTCAGCTTAGCCTTCTTTCTCGATACGAAGGTGTGATCTCACGTTACTATGCAGTCCCCTCGTCGTCTTGCCCAACAGCCCTACCAGCACTTCCATGGCATTCGAGTTCTGCAGCACCTCGATGAGCTGCGGCGAAGTCGACAAGTGCTTGATGGCCTTGATGGCGGTGACGAGCAGTTTCCGCGAGAGGGAATCGCACGCTTTCAACAAGCCTGCACATGAGCTTTATTCTAGATGTGGATGCAGCAACTCACGGATAACAATGGTCCGATTGGCGAATGCCTCCTTGACCCTCGCATCCGCTTGCGCCACCTGGCAGAACAATAGCAAGACCGCCATGGCCCGCTCGGCATGTTCCGACTCTCCTTCACCCTCCTTCTCCTTCTCCTTGCCTTTCCCGGACAGCGCACTACCGGCACTACCGATGCTACCGCCCAACTCCGTATCACGCAGTATCGCCAGCAAGGCCGTACTGAGCGGGTCGAGGATACCCTCTCGGACAAACATCCGGCAAAAGTCATTTCGGGGTGTAGGCGATTGGAGGTCGAATACTGATCCGATACCTTCGAGGGCAGAGAGGATAAGGGTGCGGTTCGAAATGTAGTCTTCGTCCAGTAGCTCGACCAGGATCCGGAGACCGCGGCACGAGATGAACATCTGGAGGGTGAGGGGCGATAGGGTGAGATGGTGGACGAAGGTGGAAGCTTCGAGGCGGGTATCGATAGAGTGCTTCTTCGAGGTGAAGGGCTAAGCATGAGCTTTGGTCAGAGCAATAACGTTCAAGTGGCTCACTATGATGACTGGTATACCGCCGATGAGACAGAACGATTCGAGCATATCCACGTCGAGGCTGACGATCTGCCCGATCAGCTTGTGCTCGACCCTTCTGGTGGGCGTAGCTCACAAAGTTGACGATTCTCAGCAGCCTGACAGCCACGTCTCGGCTGATCCGCGACTCGAGAACTTCCAGTACACTGGCGCATTAGCCTGTCTCGCGCCTGCACAAGGAGGAGAGCTCACGCAAGCATTCCATGTACCGAGGCAAAGTGATTTTCCAGACCGAGATCCCGGGTTTCTTCGAGCAGCACGAGCTATCACATCAGCTACGCCCTTGCCTCATATGCGGGCTTACCAGCTCGTCGCAGACCGCCTTGAGATCTTCTCCGTTTGGGACCAGCCCGCCGACCAGCCTCTCAATCTTGCCGCACAGCGTCGCCTTTTTGTCCCGGAGCAGATTTGCCTCGATATCCTCCGACATGTCAAAGTCATCGTCCAGTCCAGCAAAGGCGTCCATCTCTTCCTCTTCTGTAGACCGCCAAGACCGGTTCGACCGTCGGGTAAGCTGTAACGAGGCGGCTGACTTGGCTCCTAATTGTCAGCTGCGTCTGTCCAAGCTGACTTACCCAAAGTCTCCCCTGTTGCCGTCTCCCCAAACATATCATCCCAATCCTCGTCGTTCTCCTGATACTTTTGCAACTCGACATCCACCTCGTTTGGCGGATCGGCTCGGAGCGAGTTCTGCCGTGAAGCCGGTGGAGAGCGAGTAGCGAGATGTGGGCTCTGTGGTGGGCCGAGATTGGGCGAGACGCGGCGTCGGGACGGCGTAGATCCGAATGGAGTGGCAGCCGGAGCGAGTGAGGAGAGTGTAGGTTTGACATTCGTCGGTGTGGATAGGGTGCGGATGGGCTTGGGAGGGGTGGGTGGAGGAGCTTCCGCAGGCTTGAGTGACTTGATCTTTCGTAGATCGTCGGGGTGAAGGATGCCCTTACGCCCTTTCCCTTTGATCTAGAAGTCAGCCAAGGCCAGAGATGTACAGGCTGTGACCCACCTTGAGATTGGCCAGCTTGCTCTCCAGGTCCATCTCACTCTCGTCCACCCCGATATCCGAGTAATCCTCGAGCGTAGACTCGGGTATAGCCCGACTCGCAGACGCTTCGACGCGAGGCCGAATAGACGCTGACGGCCTAATGACCGGCGTGGGCGATTTGATCGCCTTGAGCGTCATCTGATCATTCTCCTCACTCATGGTCGAGTCTGAGCGGTGATCTGCCATCAGCTAAATCTTGCTGACAACCCACGGCCAAGCTTGGAGAACGAGACATCCGCAAAGTCGTCATCCCACTTTTCGGCCTCCTCGGATTCTCTCGCCCGGTTGAGCGCATTCGAGACGTTCTGGTTCTTGCCAACGAGGCCGGCCGGATGGGCTGGAGAGGCATGTGCGGAGGAAGGTGCTTGGGCGGATATGGAGTCGGCTGACGAGCGAGTCGGGAGTGCAAATGATGGAAGGGTGGATAGGGGGAGAGCGGAGGATACGTTTCTGGGGCGGGCCGAGGGGATGCGACGGACAGTATGCGCGCCTTTGGGAGCAGCTAAGTCGTCAGCTCATAGATACGAGCGAGACTCACCGTTAAGAGCCTCGTTCCACTCTTGCACCTTTTGGACCGCCTCATCATATACCGTCAATGGCTTCTTCTGCCTAACCGTCCCCATATCCGCCTTGTCCACCACTGGGTTGACAGGCTTCTCCTTGAGCTTGCGCTCATTTGAAGGTATTCGAGTCGTGTTCGCACTCGGTGCGGAAGGCTCTCGGGACGGCGGTTGGGACGGCGGGGGAGAGGTATCGATGTTTCGGCGCGCAGACAGCATCCAGGGGTGTTTGAGCAGCTTTTTGGCGGTGATACGGAGATGGGGATCTTTTTGAAAGCAGTGATACAGGAAGTCTCGGACGATCTGGCATCAGCTAGTCCAACAACCAAACTCACAGGACTGGCACCATCTGGTATCCGCATGCTCTCATCCTGGACAATCCGCCATAGCGCCTGCATCGGCGCCAAGTCCCCATACGGCGGCCTGCCTTCCAACAGCTCCATCACGACACATCCTACACTCCATATATCGCTCGCCGTCGACGCTCCGCTCTGCTCAATCACCTCTGGCGCCATCCAGTATGGCGATCCCACCACCTCATTGTCATTCCCTCCCGTCTTGCTGCTCACGCCAAAATCCGCCAATTTGACCGACCCGTCCTTGTTGGTGAGGATGTTGGCGCCTTTGATGTCGCGATGTACGACACCCTGGTCATGGAGGTAGATCAATCCCTCGAGGACCTGGCTGATGTACACCGCGACGAGAGATTCGGGGAATTTGCCGAATTTCTTGAGAATGGTCTGGAGCGAGCCATTCTCGCAGTATTCGAGGACGATGAAGAGGTTGTCCTTGTCCCGAGCAAAACCCTTGTATTTGACAATGTTGGGATGGTTGAGGTTCTTGAGCAGGTCGATTTCAGACATGATGTCTGGGAGGGCGGAGGGGGAAAGGGTGAGGAGGGAAACCGATTTGATGGCGACTGTTTCGCCAGTGAGAAAGTTGAGCGCGCGATAGACCGAGCCGGATGCTCCACGGCCCAGGAGATCGCCTAGCTGGTAGTTGGAGAGCGCCCTCGGCGAGGACGATGGAGCCTGACTTCGGTCCAGCGAGGGAGCCGGCCGACCGGCAATCGCGACGGACATGGTGGGCGTGAGTCTTTCGCTTGTGAGTTGGCTACCGGCCAGTACAGCTCGCAGCTCCTGTGCAGACGATGCGGGAAGGGCCAAGCGCAGACCTGGACCCACGGCGACTCATGCCTCCAGTGCAGAGGGTAGTGTGTAATGAGAGTGAAAGGGTCAAATGGACAAGGTGGACGCGTGCGTGACCAGGTTTCAGAGCCAAAATCTGAAACGCGACGCGTCGGGTCGTCGCTGTGATATCTGCTGCCTATACGAAGTCGAAGCTCCATCACAGCTCTGGGTCACGTCCCGGCGAGCAAGGAGTCATACAGATCTACTGCTATACCGTGAATTTGATTCGGAATACAACACTGTCTACCACTCCGCAGAAATCTCAACCCTGACTGTAGAAGTTACAATGCCCTGCAGCCCTGCTCGTCAGCTTGACCCCGAAAGTAGCGGAGACTTACCAGCATACCCTTAACGAGAGGCAGACTCTACCTCATTTACGATCCACACCCGCCGAGCTCCTTCTTGCGAATAATCAGGCGGCCCGGACCCGCACGCCAGGCAAATGGGCGTCTCGGGCGAGGGATACCACCTGATCCGGTCGAGAACTCCGCTTTTCTCCCGGTAGATCTCCTGCAGCTCCGCGCCCACGCTCGCCATGTTATCCCTCCAGAACGTCAAAGCCTGCTCCGCTTTGGCTGTGTACCGAGGCGGGTCAGACCCGACGGGGGGACCATCCTCGTACATTTCCTCCGATGGGATGGACGGCGAGCAGTAAATCTCGAGGTTGGCCGCACCCTCCGAGCTGATCGTGCATAACCCCATCTCCTTCTTCCGAGCATTGACCGCCTTTTCCGTCTGGAAGATGGTAGTCTTGGTGAAGCTCTCCCAGTCCGTGTCCTCCGGAGCATCGCATGCCCACCGTACGCGTCCGCCGTACGAGAGGTAGAGGTCATCCGCGTCGTCGTCATAGTGTAGAGTCCGGACGCAGGGTAGGGAGGACCACGTCCATCTGTCGCGTCCGAGTGATGCGAGGGGACCGGCGAGGTCGCGGACACAGAATGCGTCTAGGTCGAGGTGGTTGCAGAATGTGTTGAGCGCCTGCGCGTTGTGATACAGCCTAGACTCTTCCCCCTCCTCCATCCGCGCCTCCCTCCAACGTTGCCAGTGGTCCTGGACGCCATAGATGGACGAGATGGCGACCGTCCGTAGCCGAGGAAACACGAATCGGGCCGTGGTCCGCTCCTGGAGAAAGTAGAAGCAGTACCGGAGGTGTTCCACCTCTGCGTCGCACTGCCTCATGATGTCCTCTTCCAGTTCCTCATCTGTCCGCTCCGACCACTCCGTCCAGCCTTCCTTGAGTAGGTCTTCGTAAGCCGATATCAACCAGGGCTCATCCTTGTGGACCTCCCTGTACTCGACGCGCAAAGACCGTGTATGGCGGAGATTGAGCCTGCGGCCGCCGAGGTTTGTTTCCAGGAGGAGCGGCAGGTTATCGGTGAAGATGTGTGTGTAGAGAAGTGGTGCCGCGATAGAGTGGAAGGTCTGAAAAGTCAGCCCACCTGATGACTGCGCCGTGAAAGGAGCTCACCTTGCAAACAAGCATGCAGTTTCGTAGTTCAGGACGACGAAACACACTTCGTGGAGGGTAAGAGAGGGCACCTGGGATTGGCGTTTGCAGTAGGCGAAGGACTTTGACCCAGATCTCCCGAGGGAGCTGAGGGGTGCGGCCAGGACTGGCCGTGAACAACCGAACAAGTGAACAATTGTTAATGAACATGTTCATTGTTCGAACAAATCATGAACAAAAACTTTTTCCAGAGAGGCAGCATCGGAGTGAACATGAACATGAACTTATTGTTGGACACCCATGAACAAATGTTGAACAGTTGTTCACAGTGTTCGTCTCTGTTCATGAACGCTCATCCCCGCTAACAACTGTTCACCACAGCGAACAAATGTTCATGTATGTTCGATGTTCGCCCAGCAGGAGGTCTGGGCAGCTCCTGAAACACACGACTATGGCTGTTTCAGAAAGTTTTAAGCTCCTTTGACCCCTTTGCTGTGTGCTCTCTGTGCGTGATCTGGGACGCTGACAGGCTCGGTCGAGGAGCCGGAGCTCAAAACTATCCGCACACTCAGTGCACATTCCCACCCGCTCAAGCTCCCGCAGCTGCTCCCGCCTACCTTGCCCCGCCTTAGCAGAAGTACCCTAGTCAGGTGGCGAATTGTGAGAACAGTTGTTTGCGCAACAGAACATTTGTTCGCTGAGTGTGAACTTTTCGAACAAATGTTCGGCCTGTTTGAACAAGTCGAACAATTGTTGAACAGTGGTAACAATTGTTCATCTAGCAGTGGACGTGAACATGAACAATCTCAGCTGGCAGTGGACACCAATGTTCGAACATGAACAATTGTTCGGCCGAACATGAACATGAACAAAATTTTTGTTCACGGCCAGTCCTGGGTGCGGCATTCCGCTTCGGGCAAGTGCGGAGCGATGTCCACTTGACCGTACAGGAGATGGGGTTGGAACCTCATGGCTCGGTATAGCTTGATGTGATGTATCGTCTCCTATGAGGTATCGAATGAAGCCAGAGGGGTAGCGATTCGGTAGAGGAGACAAGGAGACAGCTTATCGCGCTTATCTCGGAGAGCCTTTTGTCGCTGAAACAGAAACAGCAGCCCCTTCCGGCGGAACCGGAACCGGATAAGGTTGTTTCTTTTGGTCGAGGAATGTGGAGCTGGACCCGGTCTGTGACCCGAGGAGAATTGAGGCACAAGCCATCAATCCGGCGCCTCCTACACGCAGCTTTGCAGGTAGTGGCTACTGAGAAGCTCTGAGTGTCTTTCTCTATACATCACATGTTACTAAACAGCTCAAGACCGCTTCTTTGGCACGTATACCCCATCAAAGACCTTTCTCACCCTCACCGTCTCCTCCCTTACCCCCCTCAAAAAGTCCCGCTCATCCGCCAGCTTTGGTCGCCAACCAATACTCTTGCTCCTGTCTCCCCTCCCTCGCGAGTTGCTCCCCGTATATGGCGAATTTCCGTAATACTTTTGCACCTCCTCTTCCGATAACCGGGTTGGCTGCGCAGAGTCGCCGAGTTTGTTTTCGACCATGGCTTGCCCGATGGCTTGAGCGGCTGCTAGGGAGGTGTATTCGCCAGAGATACTGAGGTAGAAGCCGGACTTGCCGTGTCCAATAGCAGCAGACTTGGTGCCCTCGCTTGCGGTTTGTAGGGCTCGCTGGTAGATGATGGCGAAGAGATCGCCGAGGTCGCCAACGTTGACGTGTCCCCAGATGTTGGCGCCTGGACATCAGCGCAGCGCAACAGCTGTTATTATCAGGACTCACCTTTTCCGACTACAGCAGCCGCGCCTCTGTCGAGCGAGATCTTAATCAACCTAGGCATCTGCTGCGAAAAGGAGTTGGATATTCCCTTATCGTAGATCTCGCCCTGCCCAGCGCCCCAGATTGTCGGTGGGACGATAATGAAGCTCTTAAAGTCTCCTCGCGCATCGCCCTCGTTGATCGCCGCGTCGACCTCGCGGTGGGGCGCATTTGGCGGAACATCCTCCATGGAGAGTAGTGCTGGCGAATCTCGAGTTTTGGGGGTAGGATGCAAGTCGGTATAGATCTGCAGAGTCAGACGGCCCTCTGATCCTATGCTCACAAGATCCGTTGCCCACTCTCCTCTCGCATCATCGATGAACAGCCCCGTCCCACTGGTCTCGATGAAGACACTCCTATGCCCCGTCTCGTCCTTTCGGTTCTTCATCCCCTGCATCAACGCCTTCACCGCGTCCAGATCATCGGCGCTCGCAGCGTTGATGACCACATCTGCTTCTTCCGCTCCAGCGATGAGTTTGTCCAGGTCCTGTAGAGACCCGAAGAGGACGGTGAGAGTCGTCCCGGATGGGAGTGTGAGCTGGTCAAAGAGCTTTGCCTTGTCGGGGGACCGGACGAGACATGTGACCTTGGACGGAGGAGTGGGGAGAGCGAGTAGCTTGGTCAGAACAGTCCCGCCCTGATATGTTAGTCGATTTAACCCTGAACAAGTGAGATTGCTCACGACGTAGCCGGTAGCACCAAGGAAGAAGATTGATTTCCCAGCTGTTCCGGACACTGTAATCAGCGGCGACGGGCGAAAACCACATCTGACTCACTTTCGGGCACGATATGGGGGACAGAGTCCGTACAGTGAGGAGCTCTGAGAGTGCTTGAGTGCGGCGAAGGCTTAATGGGCAATGTCGAGGTGCATAGAGGTCAAGGAGGGTGAATTGTAGATCTTGGCCCTCGGCGTTTTCGGGCCGGATAACGGAGTTGCTGACTAATCCCGATCTTCGGTATGAAGTCGACCGAGTCTCTCTTGATCGAATGCCTGAAGACCCAGATGGCGACGAGCCTGAACATCTCACTTGTATGCATGCCAGGTCATGACCCCAGCCCTCCTGAACAGAGACAAAACAAATAGCGCGGACGAGGAATGCGGTGGCAGTCGAGAGCCGAGCGCACTTGCACGGCAATTGACCGATGTCTATTGGAAAGCGACCGGGAGCCCATAGTACCCCTATGACACCCTTCCCTTGCCGTCTCCCTCCGCTCCGATACAAAAGGGCTTTCCTCTCCCTTTTAGCGGCCGCTCTATCCGCCGTGTTCCGCGACCCTCCCTCCCCCCATCTGATCCCGTACTCCCTCATCCCTCGACCCTGTCGTATGACCTATCCAGCTATGGCGGCGGCCCAGACCCGCACGCCCGACAGATAGGTGTCTGGGGGGACGGGTGCCAACGGATCTTATCCGGCAGACCGCTGCTGCGCCCGAACCGCTGCTGGACGAGGTCCGCCAGATCGTGCGTGAACTTGTCCTGCTCCGCCTGTTCCGCCGGGGTAAATGAACCCAGAGGGGGAGCAAATCCGGGCGGCGCGGGATTTGCCGGATCCTCTACGAGCTCCTCCGCGTACGTCTTGGTCGAACAATAGATCTCCAGATCTGTGATATCCGTCGGTTTCATCTTGTACCCCGCCCTGACCTTGATTTCCGCCTGACGCTTATACACATTGTGCAGATGTTCGCTGACGAGTTGCGTGACGCCTTCATAAGGGATGTCCGACGGGAAATCCGATACCCAGCGCACCGATCCGCCGAACGAGAGGTAGAGTGATTGGAGGTCGTAGTCAAAGTGGAGGGTCCGAGTGCATGGGAGCGTGCCCCACGTCCAGCCGAGGTAGGGTAGGGCGCCGAATGGGGCCGAAAGGTCCCGGACGCAGAATGCCTCCAGGTCGAGGTGGTTGCAGAATGTATTGAACATCTCTGCGCAGTACTCCAGACTGGAAGAGTCTGGCCCCTTCTGCGCCTCCCACCGGTGCCAGATGTCCTCTTGGAATCCGTAAATCGACCCCACTGCGATCGTCCGGAGTTTTGGAAAGGTCCGCCGAGCCGCCTGACGGGTCTGGAGATAGTCAAAGCAGTGTTTCAGCAGCCTCGACTCCTCCTCGCACTCCTGCATGATATCCGACTCCACCTCCTTGTCCGACCGCCCAAACGTGCTTTTCCAGCCCCATCTCAGAAGAGATTCGTACTTGTCGTCCCGCCGTAGCTGCCGGTATTCTATCCGGAGCGACTGGGTATGCTTGAGGTTTCTCCCGGGATGGTCGAGATTGGCTTCGAGCAGCGAATCGAGATCGTCGGTAAAGATATGGGTGTAGAGTAGGGGGGAGGCAATGAGATTGAAGAGCTGCCTGTCAGCATGAGGGTACGATCAGACATTCGATACCCAATTGAGACAGTCCCTCCCTTTCCATCCGGTCGCGCCTTTTCCTCTACTCCCTCCGTCACCCTCCTCCCCTTCTTTCCCCCCGCGCTGCACCACATCTATACTCCATTCCACCTGATGCCCTAAACGGGCGGCCCCGAGCCGCACGCCGGGCAGATTGGAGTCAATTCGGACGGACGCCAAACCACCCGGTCCTCGAGCTTGCTCTCCTTCCGCAGATCCGCCTGCAACTTGTCCCCTTCCTCCTTCGTCAAGTCCGACTGCTCCGCCGACGTCAATGTCCGGCACGCCGTCATATTAGACAAGTCCGGCGCGTACGACCGGCTGGAGTACCAGATGTCGAGGTTGACCGGCTCGCGTTTCGCTGGTACCTTGACGGGTCACAGCTGCATGGCCACGGCAGCGCCGTACTGAACCGAGTCGCGGAGGGTTTGCCATTCCAGCACCGAAGCTGTATCCGAGACCCACGAGAGGGGCGAGCCGCCCTGGAGGGGGAAGGTGGAAGTATCCTGGTTGAAATGGAGGGCGCGGGTGAAGGTGACGTCCTCCCGCCAGAAGCAGTAGTTGGAGAGGGGGTCGGTCGCCTCCCGCGAGCAGAAGTGCTTTACGCCGGCACCGGTGAAGAACTCATGGAAGAGGGAGTTGGTTCGCCGCAGCTTGTCATTGGTAGAGTCGACGCGCTCCTCGTAGTCCCGATACTTCGCCCACAGCGCGTCGTCGCCCCCAAAGATTGAGGACACCGCCACCGAGGTCAGGCGTGGGAATAGCCTCTTGACGAGCGCCGCATCCCTCGCCCACATGAGGCTGTCCCCGAGCTCCTCATTCTCGTCCGCGCACTCGACCAAAGATGTGTTTGCCCGCACGGTCTCATCCGCTGCGTAGCAGTTCCAGAGGTTGACCGACGCGCCGAGGAGGGAGGTATAGGTAGGTTGGCGCCCCTTTTCGCCAAACTCGATTTTGAGCGTACGGATGTGGCTGAATTGACGGGCACGGGAGGGGGTGTTTACGCCGTAGGGGAATTGGGGAAGAGAGTCGGTAATGACATGGGTGTAGAGGTAGGGTTCGCACATGGCGTTGAGGAGCTGCACTGTCAGCTATGATAGCTTTGGAGAGGGGTAGGACTCACCTTGGATGTCCGTGATAGATTATAAAGCGCATCCTGGCGAAGGGCCGAGCGGGAGGGTTTAGAGAGTGATTCAGGGGCGCGTTGGACGAGGAAGGGAACAAACAGGTCATACAGGACGTCGGGCCAGACTCGGCCGGCATCCGGCACTGACATCTTGAGGGGATGAGACAGATGGTGATCGATGATGGTGTACAATGCAGCGAGATAAGAGATAAGGACCACCAAGAGGACCAAGGTTCGTCGACTACACGAATTGTTAATTGCCTCTTTGGGCGTGAGGAATGAGGAGTTGTGGCGGGCGGATCAGAAGGTGTCAGTGGCGATGTGGCAGGTCATGGCGTCGATCGCCTAGTAGACAGTGGCGGAGCCTAGTGCAGGGAGCAGGCCGTATTAGATAATCTCTCATTATAATACATCATGTCTGAACATATCTAACAGACTGATTACCTCCAGGGCACCGCTGCGGCCGCTGCATCACCATTCGCAAAAACAGCGTTCCATCCCTACTGCCTAGGCAGCCTCCGCTTCCGCTTCTTCTGTTTGTTGCAGACCATCTCCTCATCATCCGCTCCGGTTGTCGAGCCAGAGACGACCGCTGCCGCGTTCATGCCGTCAGCGACCGCTGCCATAGCGGGTGGCGATGGAGCGGCCGCCGTTCCGCCGGCTCCAGGCTTGCCCATCGTAGGGCTGGGCTTGGGCATCATACCGCCCATCGCGGTGGTGGCCGACGGTTTGGCCATCATGTTGGTCGAGGACGAAGCGACGCCCATCGGTGGGTTGTTAGGGTTCATGGGCGCCGGATCCATCGGGTTCATGGGCGCAGGATCCTTGGCCGGTGCCATGGGCGCCGCGGGCTGTGCTTGCCCACCACCGCCTGGACCCTTGTAGTCGGTACACTTTCGGTCGACGCAACCTCCGCCTTGGGTCACGTCGAGAGTGATAAGCTTCGACGTCTCTTTGTAGTCTGCGGCAGCCATCTTGCGGGCCTTGGAGGGGTTGAACTCTGGGTTGTTTCCGGGGAGCTTGGCGATGGGGACATCAAGACCGATGGGCTGTAGTCGTCAGCCGAGCGACCCTGTCTCTGGAGAGGTGTGTCTTACCTCGTTGACGATCTGACCCTTCACAACGCAGTTTTTGTTCTTGTTAATGAACGGGGCGAGGAGAGGACAGGTAGACAAGTCTCCGAACGTCTTGGGACACTGGTTGAACACGTCGACAAGCAGGCCTTTGGGGAAGCCTGGCTTGTCAGCCCGGGTTTGAATGTGAGCCCAAGGTAGACTGACCGTTCAGCCAATCAGCATGATAGCTGAGACCAAGGTTGTCACCGTTGGAAAAGACAAAGCAGCCGGGGTACCACTCGTACTCGGGGCCGAGGGAGGCTTTAGGTGTATAGAGGGCTATGAGATCAGCTCCAGCCCAGAGCGAGAGAGGAGTGCTATCGAGATCCCGCTAGGTACTAAGGATCGAAGCTAAATAGGACTCACTCTCGACGAACAAGGAGGGCATCTTCTTGAACCCAGGCGGGCATTTCCCGTTCTCGTAGTTGCTGGGATTCCCTGCCTGGATCGGATAAGTCACGTGCGAGTTGTCAGCCTTGTACGAGTCGACTCCGTTCCAGCAAGAGGGGAAGAAGATCTTCCTCGTCAGCGACTGCCTCTGCCTGGGCTAGAGAGACTGACCTGAGGACGCAGGTTCTCGCAATCGTGCTCCATAGACAGGGTACCCAGGCGGGTCTCTAGATATATAAGCCCTTTCCCAGACCCATTCGTCGCAGCACTTACGACCTGTAATACCCGGTCCCCAGCACTCAAAGCTGACAGCATTGTGGCTGCGGTTCTGAAAGTCGAAATGGTCCCGGTTCATATCACCAGCGACCATCCTAAAGTCGTCGGGCACGACGACTGGGGCCTCGCCGGCCTCTCGGTCAACGCCGCGATCGGGGAACCAGTAGGTGATTAGTCCGTGGCCTTGGATGACAGAGTAGGTCCCGTTCCGCCACTTGTAGTATAGCTGGGGCACCCAGTAGCTGATGGGTCAGCGTTGCCGAAAGCGCCGTAGGACGTCCTCTGTTCAAAAGACTCACCCAGATTGATCAACAGTCAGACCGGAGGTAGTGCAGTCCCCCTTGATAGCCGAGCCATACGTCATGCTAGCATCGATAGCGTTCGTACCAGCGAACGAGTGGACATGACCTGCAATGCCGCGGGGGGTGACGATAGGGTCGAGACGGGTGCGCAGCAGCTCGTTGTGGTTGCTGCGTGATCAGTACGAGGTGGGCTATAGTAGACACGTGATAGAGGACTTACTAATTGATCTCTTGGGCCGAGGTGGACCCGAGTAGGCCTACGACCAGCAGAGCCAAGGCGCCGACATGAGTTTTTGTGGACATGCTTGTGCGAGGGTGAGAGGAAGATGGGTATGAGCTACAAGTCGTTGATGGCAGTGGCCGGGTAAGGATACAGGTGGCGCAGCCACGTCAAGTGGTATGAAGGAGTGTGAACAACTGGAAAGGTGAGAAAGGAGAAAGGGAAGAATGTGGGAATGGGGAAGAGGCATTATCAGCCGTCGCCTTCTTATATTGTTCCGGTCGAGGTAAATGTCGCACGGAAGGACGCACCCAGTAAGGGGTGATGGGACTCAGGAGAATGCATTTGAGCAAAGGCCATGGATGAAACAGAAGGACTAGCAGTAAGGACGTGAATATGAGGAGAGATTGTCAGTCTAGCAAGAGGAGATGAGGGAATCTCTCAAAGGACCTCATGAAACACTGTAGTACTGCGCCGGATTTGGGTACCATGTTTCAAGGGCCGGATGCTAGTCGGGATGAGTGCCTTTGCAAGACGGCCTTTGCTGGAGATCTGAACGTCCTTTAGGTAGGGGTATCACTGCCAAGGTATGTCGATGCGGCAAAATCGGCACGTATTGCCTACTGATTATTAGGAGGGAAGACGTCATCGTCATAGTACTGGGTACCGGCGCTACCACTGACGTCAGTGCGAAGCTAAAGCGTCCTTTGTCCTCAGACCACAGAGCACTCTTTATGAGCCGTGAAAGACCACGAGGCTGTCAGTAGCTCTGCAAAGATCGAGTGCGTTGTCTGCTTACAGTGAAACCTGTCCCTCTTGCAGGCTAGGTCATTCCTCCTATCAGAATAATCAGAGTGGCGCTTGAGATGCGAATCAGCTGGGTGGCCAGGCCAATGCAACACGAGTAGGGGTGGCTTGCGCCGCGCCGCTGGCGGCAGCCAGACTAGCCAGAGTCTGCTAGGCAGAGAGATGGACAGCCCAAGGCTGGCTTACAACCTTGAATGTAGCCCAGCTTGTATTTTGCTATAAACCTATCGCTCGCAGCCGAAGATTCGAGATATCAGAGTAAAAGAGGGGTTGTGCCGGTCAGCAGTCAATCTGGTCGTGCACACGCCGGTCTTCGTATCCTCGAAAGGTCCCTACAATCCCGCCGCAGCTTGTAATGACCGTACAGCTGCGCAGCTGTACCGCGTAGATCAAATGAGTATATGAGTGTGTGAGTAAGCATGGCAGTTGACAAGCCGGAACAGGTCTGGAGAAAGAGCAGGAACCTTCTCCCTGTCCAAATCACCGCATCCCCCGTCCCTCCTTCCCCTTCGCGGCGTCTTGGTCCCGACTCGCTTCTAGTACTCTACTGCGGAGAAATCGGTAACCCCTCGCACCCTGACCCATCTCCACCACCCCGCCATACTATCGCGGCCCTCCCGTCCCGCAAGCAGCGCACACCGGCGTCTCAAACGACGGGCGCCACACCACCTCATCCCCCAATCCGCTCCTCTCCCTCATGTACGCCTGCAGATGCTCTCCCAGTTGATGGCAAAGCCGTCGCTGCTCCCCTTTGGAGAGAGTATGGGTAGTAGTGTCCCCCGCCCCGTACCCGGAAAAGGATAGACCGAGGTTCCCGCCAGCGAGCGGAAGCTCGTCGATCCTCGAAAAGAGCTTTTCTGGAGTGAAGCGATTGGTAGAGTTGTATATTTCTAGCATGGCAATGTCCCGGTAGGGCGCCTCGCCCGCTTCGAATTGACCGAGGGAGCTGTCCCGAATAGCGATGACCTTGTGGATTTGACCGAGTATGCTGAGGACGACGTCCGCCCAGTCCGCTTCTGGAGAGTCATCGAGTGTCCACCGCGTGCGACTGCCGAACCGGATGGCCAGCTGGCTGACCGTGCCTAGGACGTGCATAGAGCGCCCAAAGTCGGGGAGTTCCTCCGGCGTTCCCCGTGGCCGCCGATGCCGGTGTCGCGCTATCGACTGGTGCGCGACCGTGGCGTACGAGGAGATCATGATGCTCAGAGGCCCCTGAGGGTCTCTACAGCACCATTCGACAAGCTGGCCGGAAGAGAGGAAGAAATCAAAGAGCTACCTCGCCTCGTGCGCTTCCGCTACCGTGTCAACGGCGGTGTCATCCTGAAGATTTTCGAACTCTGTCCAGGCGTCAGTCTCGTGGCCATAGACCGACGAGACCGCCACCCTCTCCAGGTTGGGCATCACCTTCGGGATGCCTCCCAGATGCATCATCTCCGTCAACGACTCGATGATGATCCGCAATTCCGCCGAGCACCGCTCCGTGCCGTACAGTTCCTTCTCCACCTTGCTCTCCACCCTCCCGAACAGAGTCCAGTATGGTTTCCCGTATATTCCGTATATGAAGGTCTGCAGGTAGGTCGGCTCCGAGACCTTGTCCTGATATTCGATACGGAGGGTTTTGACGAGAGCGAGCCGGCGCCGCATGGAGGCAAGGTGAGCGTAATTGAGGAGTTTTGGGAATTCGTCGGTTGTGATGGTTGTATATAGTAAAGGCACGCAGAAGGAGTGGAAGAGCTGCGGGGTCAGCTGTAGTCGGGGGAAGAGCAGCTTGAGGTCTGGAGCCTCGGATCTTGACGCTTGAGGACGGCGCCGGATAGGTCTGCCAATCCCGATGTCTTTTTCATACGGGACTCGAAGTGGATCCATGCCTACGCGCGAGAGCACTTACCTTGCAGACCCTAGCCGCTTGACAGAGATGAGGTTGCTCTAACGCAGCGCGTGGTGGCTGCGAGAGCGCAGGCGGGTCGGGGTTCCGTACCCATTTCAGACATTCTGCCTAGAGCTTTGGGGGGGGCGAGAGCAGGCCGACCCGACGGGCTTGCTCTGCCGCTTCTTGCTGTGCTTGCTTCTGGTCGTGAAGAGGTAGGTTGTCTATACGAAGGACGGGTGTAAGAGATGAAGGCCAGGTGAAGCGAGCTCGCAAAACCGAGAGCCAAAAGATGCGAGATCGCCAACCCGTGCGTCATCGCTGCAAGGGGCTAGCTTTGGGGGGCCTAATACAGCACGCTGTGCAGGGAATGAGTTCTGACTTGGCCTCGACCACAATGATACCGCTGCCTTGGACATATTAGCTATGTACTACCAGATGGAACCTCTAGGTCATTTCACGGTCGCCTCCTCCCACTGGCCGATGAAACTCCCGTCTCATGCTCCTGCGACACAACGCCTCCGACCCCATACCTCATGCCCTCTGGAATTCCGCCTCGCCCGCTTGATCCCCTTGACCCTTCAAGACCCAGTCTGGAGCCGCCGCTCCTAACGGGCGTCTCTCCTCGTTCAAACGCTCCCTAACCCATCATCCCGCACGTGACCGCCTCCGTCCCATCACCGCCTAGGCTGGCGGTCCCGACCCACACGAGTCACACACGGGCGACTCGAAGGAAGGGTACCACTCCACCTCGTCCTTCAGCCCACTCTTTGCCCTCAAATGCGCCTGAAGGTGCGCGCCCAGCTTCTGGGTGAGACGCCTTTGATCCGCCGGCGAGAGGATGTGGGTAGTTCTGTCCATCCGACTGTAACCGGAGAAGATGGCGGCCCATTCCCGTCCGCGGATATTGGGAGTATTGACCTCGTCAAAGAAGGCCTTGGGCGTGAAGCGGTTGGTCGAGCAGTATATCCGTAAGTGCGCGACGTCCTTCTTTTCCTTGGTCCGCCATTCAATGATTTCGTTGACCTGATGAATCATCCCGAGGAGGATTTTGCCCCAGTCCGAGGTGGAGGGACCGTCAAAGACCCAGCGAGCCGGGCTGCCGAAACGGATAGGTAGGGCCCGCACGCTGGGGGAGAAGTGAGCCGTCCGAATGCAGTCCGCTCGAACGTCCTCCCCCTTGTGAAATTCGGCGATCCAGTCGCGGGAGGTGGAAAGGTACGAGAGTTGGGCGAAGCCGAGCGGTCCGCAGTTTGATCGGGAGCAGATGCTGCCCATAACACTGGGGGCGAGGTAGAGGTCGAACATGTCGCGGATAGGGCGGGCCCTGCGCTTGACCGTCAACGTGCCGAGTTGGTCGCGCTCCGCGAACTCTGACCAAAAGTTCTTGTCCTCCGAATACACCGACGACACGCAGAGGCCGACCAGAGACGGCAGCGTCGTTCGCACCCCGCCTCTTGTCATCATCTCTTCCAGATTCTTTTTGAACAACGACACCTCTCCTTCCGCCCGCTGAGCGAAACCGTACGCGAGATCTTCCATGTCCATTCCGTACAGCACCCAGAGTTTTCCGCCATGGGTGAGAGTTTGCCTCCCTTGAAGGGCTTTGATGGCGTTATAGACCTTGGTGACCACGGACGAGCCTCACTACGTGCTCATAGGGAGCAGTGAGCATATAAGCAGGCGCGTTCCAAGCCCCGCGCAATCCAGTTTCCGGCCGTGATCCTCGCAGCGGAAAGGGAGTGGTACCTTATCAGCTAGATATCTAGCCAATCCGGAGCCTTCGTGGGCTTGGGTCGAGCCTGGCATGCAATGATATAGCTGGTTGCAGGCTGACCTGAATGGAAAGCAGACCCAATACCGAGATGCATACCCGAGAACAACCAAGATAGTCTATTTGCTGATTAGTATACCAATTTCTACAAGATCTGACCACTACTAAAACCCCTCTAGACCGCGTTGTCGGCGCAGGAGAACGCACCCCCGATCGCTCCGCTCGCATACGCTTGCTGGATGAGAAGAATGACACCGTACGTCCCCGAAACACAGAGGAAGGCGCCCAAGACCAAGAGGATCATGTTGAGGACCCACTCGGCTTTTTGCATGACGGACCCCGTTTTGATGTCGTTCCAGTTGTCGTAAAAGTGGAGGATGGCGGGGAACATGAGTGCGAGGGGACAGAAGCAGATGGATCCGACGAGGGCGACGAGGTAGTTGAAGATGGGGATAGCCGAGGCCAGGACGAAGGCCAGGAGGGAGAGACCGATCGAGCACGAAAGCCAGATGACCCAGTGCTGGACCGTTTTTTCCTGGAGGTGGCGCGAGTCACGGAGGAGGCGGACAAAGAGGTATTTCGCGCCTACATGAACGTAGATCATCCCGCTAGCCAGGAGACCGAGGAGACCGACCCCATACGCGACCTTTTCGAGGGTAGGACCGGCGGAACCGAGAGAAGGGGAGGCGACATACCGACCACACCACTTGTAAACGACAAGGGCAAAAGCGAGGTAGACGGCGGTGACGAAGCCCATGCACGTGTAGAGGGCCTTGCGGTAGTCTTGGGGCCTCTTCATCTCGGAAATGACGGGGATGAAGGCGGACTATCAGTCAGCGATAGGTCTTTCAAGAGAGGAAGACAACTCACGGTACCGGCAGAAGAGACAAAGATGGTGACGCAAGCAGCGACGCCGGCAGCGAAGGCAGGTGCTACGGGTGTGATGGCATAGAAACCGATGTCGGTGACACCGGCGGGCGCAGCGTAGGGGCGGTCGTAAGTGGTGACACCGACGACGACGATGAAGACCGCGATAAAGATGGAGAAGAAGCCCTGATTGTCAGCCGACATCTAACTCTCAAGCAAGCGTGATAACTTACAGCCCACGTGAGCCAGCCGATCTGGTGGAACTTGGGGAAGGAGGCCATGATCGCGATGATGACCGTGCAGACAACCGAAAAGACGACGGTGCAGGTCGCGTGGTCGGAGAGCGAGTTGAGAGCGATGCTCGAACCAATGACCCCAGTTCCTGCACACAGAACGTAGGCAATGAGGTAGAGCGCACCGACGAGCTCACGGAACCAGGCGCCCCAGACGTGGTGCGCCATGTCGGCGACGGTGTGGCAGCCTGCGTGCTTCTCGCGGAACCGACCGAGCCCGACCGCCTGTGGATATCAGTAGAGCACGAAAGCAGGAGTGGATCGGACTTGCAGTATAGGTATTGATTGCCCCCCACGCCACAATCATGATGGCTCCCGGGACGGCGCCAAGGGTGACCATGGAGGAAGGGATGGAGAGAACCCCGGTGGCAAAGATGACTTTGAGGAAGATGAAGGCGGCTTTCCTGTCTATTAGCGAATAGTCAGGTGTTAAACGAATAACACTAACCACCATGTCACTGTACGATAATCCTCGGCGCCTTCAATCCTCTTGAACACCTCTAATGATCAGCTCTGTAAAGCAGAGTTAGAGGGGAAAAGAAATACGTACCGAACTCGTCCTCCCCCTGCATGACCTTCTCGTTGGGCGGTGTAGCCTCGCCAGACCCAGCGATGGGCTGGACGTACGTCTGCGTCCCCGCCTCGGCGTCTTTCGCTTTGTAGTCGGACATCGTGTGTGAGTTAGATTGGGCGTCGAGTGGATTTGGGCGTTGAGTGAATTTGGGCGTCGAGAGGGGTGGGTGGGTAGGTTTGAGTGAGCGAGCGTGTTGATGAGAAGAAGGAAAGCGATCAGTGCAGGTCAGGTATATATGCACCGGGCGAGTCAAGGAGCAGCTCGTGAAGCTCGTGAGCGATTAGCGCGTCGGGAAGATCTTGTCAAAGTCCCGATAGATTAGCTCGCGTCCGAACGGACGGCATCCCGAGAACGAGATAGGGAGGCCGGTCCGGTGCATGCTCTTACGGCGCTGTCGGTAGCTCTTACCGGGCGTTGAGGAGGGACAAGCCCTTATCGCAAAGAAATATACGGGACGGAGAAACGCTTATCAGCTCGCCGGTGGGCCGGAGCATTCCTTATCGCACCATGAAAAATTGCTGGAAAGGGTAATTAGGGTTCGGGGGCGAAAGTGAGAGTGAGAGTGGCGCTCTTGCAGAGTGACGGTGTGGCAGCTGGGTACCTGCCAGATACCGTGTGATCCGAAGCCTGAGCTTGCATACAGTATGGACGTTCGCGAGCCGGTCGATATCGCACGGGATCTTGATGTACACTCGCAGAGATTCGTACTGTCCTACCTCTTCAGATCGCGAAAATCCGCATCCCTCGAGGTCCCGCTTCAGCCGCGTTGCTTCTCCTCGTGCTCATGCGGCAACCCTAGCTCCTCCTGCGCCCGCTTGACCTCCTCGACATTACCGGTGAACTGCCAGATCAGCCACTATCACACTCAAGGGCACAGCGTTACAGTCAACTCCTCTCAACTGGCCGCTGAATGAGGGGTGTATGAGGAGGAAGTATGAGTCAAGAGGGAGGGGAATAGATGGTAGGGAGGGTATCAGCCCCGGGATTGGGTATGAATTTAGGCGTAGTATGTGGTACCAGGCTATGAATCAAGATGGATTTGACTTTACCCACCTTGCCCTTGTCGTCCGACAGCTTGACGCAGTTCTTCCCGTCGATCTGGTTGAGCTTGATGACGATGTTGAGGGGTTTCGAAACTTGGATCTGATCCGATGCTTTGCGAAAGTCATTCGTGAGGAAGGTGCCTATCCCGAATGAAGCTGGCGGGTCAGCTCATGACTTCGCGGCTGATCCGTGCCGTCGAGCTCACCTCCGATCCCAATCTCATCACACCCCTTCTGCAACTTCAAAGCCCGTTCGACATCCAGCCCATCACTAAAGATGACCCTCTTGACCCTCTTCCCCTTCTCCTCTTCACTCAGTCCCGCTAAATCTTCCACCTCCCCCCACGCCTTCTTGGCGGCATTGACGAACGCAAAGGGATCGCCCGAGTCTTGCCGGAGGGTAGTCCAGCGTAGGGCGCGGGGGATGTCGGACTTAAAGTCGAGGAAGAAGGCGTGGGCGGTGTATGTATCGGTGAGCATGGTGAGGGGGGCTTCGTTCGCGCCTCTAGGATAGACTGTATATCAGCGATGAGCTGGCAAGGCAATGGGGTGGAACACACCTTCTTCCCACATGTCCATAGCACGGCCGTTGGCCCCCTTGTACCCGAATGTGGCGCCTAGCGCCATGATCCACTCGTGCGCGATGGTACCAGCAGGCATGAGACCGTACTTGAGAGCCAGATACACCTGCACGTATCAGCTATTCATCTCCTACTCCGCGACAATGAGAGAGACTACTTCAGCTTACATTGCTCGTGCCCGCCAATCCAACTCCGACACCTCCTTCAGCTCTCCATTCTTTCTGCGCCTCAAGCAAGCCTCGTACCACTATATCTTGCGCTTTGAAGCTCCTCCTTCTGCGCGTACCGAACTCCGAGTAGGCGAGGGCTTTGAGCGGAGCAGCCGGCTTGAGGAGGGCGAGCCCTTTTTGTTTTGCCTGATCTGTCTTGTCAGCTGTTTGGCCCTTCCATTCGAAGGTTGGCGGATTGCAGCTTACCTAGCTGTCCATCATATGTCCAGTCGGTATCGACAAACTTAAAGTATCCTTCACTCACTACTGGTCAGCTTGAAGCCCGAAAAGTGGACGCTGGAAGAAGCTCACATATGCTCATGATCGGCACCTCGTACAGGATCACTTCCTTCCACAACCCCTTGATAACACACTGTATCTCGCCCATATCCGCTCTTTCTGAGGTAGGGTGGAATGTCATTTCCACTTGCTCCTTTGGGTTCAGGCGGACCCCCGCGAGAAAGTCGAGGTATGCGTCCGAAAAGTATGGGCATGCCTTTGCTAGCGCTTCCCTCTCGTCCGAAGTCAGCTTCAGCGATGAGAGGCCTGAAAAGTCAGCTGTGCGGACTAGTCACACCGTGATGAGAACCCTGCAGCTCACGGTCAACATGGGAGTGTATCCAGTCAAAGCTGTCCTTGCTGAACAGCATGTGAGGACTACGGTTTGTGAACCTGATGACGACCTGAGCGTTGGGGAAGAAGCGCAGGACCGCATTTTGCATAGTGAGCTACTCAGTCAGCGGAATGTCAGTCCCCGTCCGAGCGGGTAAATAGGCACCTCAGCGTACCTTGTAGAGGTCGGTGTCGAGGATGCTGAAAGGGATTTCAACTTCGTCAGCCGGGATATCGAGATTCCCCGTCATTTTGGCCAGCGGTGTTGATTTAAAGCCTGCTTATTCCACGCGCTATTTAGCGATGATCTAGGCCGGATGAGTATAAGTAAGGTGTATGAGGATGAGAGGCAATTGATGAAGGTGAGGTTCATGCTGAGTCGAGCTTTGGCTTGGACCACCTCCACCTCCACTCCACGTGTTTTTGTCTCGTCCCCCCATTTTACAAGTTCGAGCCTGTCTTTCGCCAACCTCCTCTCTGCCACTATAAATCCACCTTCACACCTATAACAACTACCCCTAAGGAGCAGTAGGAGACTCAAGGGCTTGCAGGAGGGACAACAATCAAGATGTCTACCCAGCAGTCAGGTCAGATCGCCCGTCCAGCAGCTACGGTACGTCCTGCCCAGCTCGACCACGACGTCTCCGCTTCGACGAGTAGCTGACGTCCCAGCCTCTTTCAAGGATAGAGAGCCAGTACAGAGTGAGCTCCCTGAGTCGTGAAGATTGCCTAGACCTCTAGCTGACCTAGTAGTCCGCCCTGGCGCAAAGATGGCTTGCTCTCGTTGTTCGCTCGGCGGTCTTCTCGAGCGGGATCATCACTCTGATCGTCTCTGCCAGAGCAGGTGCGCTCGGCCCCCTGACTTTCGAAGAGCTATACTGATCGGGTAGGAGCTTCAGTGAAGGCCGCGGTGCTCAGTCTGTTAGCAGCACTAGCTGCCTACCCGTTTGCCATCTATCCCATCCTATCCTCGAGGCGCGCCATCCTCATCTGTGAGCTGGATCCGGGGCCTCGCCGAGACGGGTAAAGCTGACTATCAGCTCGACATACTGCTCCTCTCAACTCATCCCTAATCTCCCTCTTCAGTAGCTCCCTCTTCTCCTCACAGAGCATACGGTACCTCTCCGCCCACCTTTCGTCCGGTGCGATACTCGCAGCGGTGTACGCCATTGTGCTGAACCTCGCCCAGCCCATCAATGAGCTAGGATGTCTCGCTACCACACCGTGAGCTTCTCGCTAGATTTACATCGCTCTGTCATCAAGCTCATCACTCAGTCGACACCCCTTACATCTGAACGAGCGGTTCATCTTTCTCCTCTTCGGAAACGCAGGGATGATGCTCTCGCTAGGCGTATGGGATCTGCTGGCTAGGCGACTTCAGGTCTCATGGCCGACTAGAAACGTGAGCTACCTTATACACTGCTCCTGTCCAATCAGCTGACTTGGCAGACACCTCTCGCCGCAGCTGTCCAGAACGGTCTCCTCGCTGCCATCCCGGTACCTGGCGAGACCAACAGCCTCACCATCTCGTCTGTATGGCTGGGGCTGTACAGCCTTTCGTACTTTGCCGTGCGGAAGAGAGTATGGATCTTCCTCCTCACTCATACCTTCGGAGTACTTCGGTGAGCTAGCAATGATGCAACCTCTGGCGCGAATACCGAGCTGACATTCAGTCCCTTCATGATCAACTTTACCAAGCCCTCGCGATCTCTCGGCGTATCTATCATCCCGCATCTGCTGGTGTCGGAGGTTATCACCATCTTGGCGGCACGACTTCCGCCGATCGGAGCCATCACTCCCTATCTCTCACTCGTAAGTTAGATATGTCTCTGGACTCAGATATCAGCTTACCAGTAGCCCCTCAACTTTGAAGGACTGCGCCGAAAGTCACCGTTCACGCCCGAACAGCAGCTCAGTACAATGCTGAAGTCCAAGAACCCCTATTATTTGGTGAGCTTGCCACGCTCCATCGCATTGAGCCAAGCTGACCCACAGCACTTCACGCTCATGGAGCTCCTCCGCGTCTCGCACAACCCCTCTCGGCGCCAAGCACTCTTCGCCGTCACCTCCAAAACCCAACCGCCCATTCTCGCCATCTGGGAAGACCTCCTGCTGCACCTCGGCCGTGCGCACCAAACCCTCATCTCCCGTGGCGGGGCACGTACCGCCTCATCCGCACCTGCATCTCGGCCCGCGCCTGTCCAAGACACCCATACCGTCCAAGTCCGACAAGCTAACATCTTCCGTCCTGCCCCGTCCGCCAAAACATCGGGTATCACCCGTTCCCTCCAGTCTGCCTTGGAAGGTCCTGTTCAATCTGCCCCGCCGGCTCTGCTGGCCAAGGCGCAAACCCTGGCGCTGGATGCGCGGGGCAAGGCGGAGGCCAAGGCGGTAGAGTGGCAAGGGGAGGTGATGGGTCGGGTGGAGAAGAGTGAGGTGGGCGGAACGGTTCTAAAAGAGGCTCGAGGGGTGTGGGCGGGGATTGGAGAGTGGGTAGGTGCGGAGTGGGTCGAGCGGAATGCGAAGGGGAGTTTGCCGGAGGTGGTGGTGATTGAGCGGATCATGGATAGTGAGTTATATCTCGCAAGAGGATGCTCTGGAGCAAGAGGGTCAGCTGACATACCAGTCTTCGCGTCATTAGCATGCGCATCCCTCGAAGAAGACACCTATGGCTACGTCCAACAAGTCCTCCCTGCCACATTGGAGATTATCGTCCGGCATCGCTCGGCGCTCATGGCATTCGAGTCGGAATTGATGATGGGTGCGAGTCATCTCGGGAGGGGGAATGAGCGGGCACAGCGGGATGTCAAGGCGAAGATGGCGGTTCCGATATCAGGTACGTTCCTGCGTCATGGGCAGAAGGATGGAGCTGATAGCCCCTATTAGCGTGCGAGAGCTGTATCAGACGTATAGCGGATGCGTTTGGGGAAAGCCTGGTGGCGTTTAGGTTCCCGCCTGCTGTAGGTGGTGCGTTGGCGGGGATATGTCAGACGAGGACTGTGGCGCAGCCAAGTTGACAGAGGCATGCATGCGAGAAGGACACATAACACTCTACCAAAGCTGACCGGTATCCCTAGACTTCCAAGCCGATTTGTTGGCACCATGTGAGTGACGAGGCGGCCCTGCCGCCGGCCGCCCCAAAAGTCAAGCCCGCGTCGAGCGTTGGACCCTCCAGCTGCCAGCCGCGACACATTGTTCTTTGGGGCTACATATTGCCGCCTGATCCGCGTCAGCGCGCATCGCAATTGACAGGACAGGTACATACTTGCCGTGGATCTGCATATGATACAATGAATATGGCTCCCAGACCCTGCCCGTCAAGGCTTCAGATGCCCTACGTGCGGCACAGAACCACTAGCACCCGTACTCAGCGATGCCTTTTCGTCCGCCGCGCCCGACAACTCCGGTTCCACGGACACCACTGTCGCCCTTGACTCCTCCGCATCCTTCTCGCTATCCTCCGCCATGCCTCTATTCCTCTTTGCCTCCGCTTCCAATTCTGGCGAGTCCGGCTTGAAGATCACTTCCTGTCCTGTCAGCTCCCGCCTCCTTACGGAGCATATAGACTGACCTTGATCCCGAAAGAAATGATAAAGTACGTCACAGCCACCACCGCAAAGAAGATCCAAACCATCTTCAACCCGCCCGCGAAGGCTCTTTGGATCTCTGTGCGCTGATCGCCTGAGTAGAGCTTCAGGGCTTCGAGGGCGGTAGTGAGGAGGGCGGTGCGCTCGGGTGTGGATAGGAAGGGGACGGAGGCAAGTTGTGAGGAGGCGGTATTATTGTAGATGGCGTTACAGACTGGGCGTCAGCGTCTTCAAGTGACAGTGGAGCAGTATCACCGAACGAGGCGGAAGGAAGTCGACAAGGTGGCGAGAGCGGAACTTACTGGCTAGTCCGAACGCACCGCCCATAGTGCGGAAGAAGTTCCGGGCGGAAGTGACTACTGCTCGATCGGGAGCCGCGGTAGTATTGAGCGCGGCAATCAACGCTGGCGATCAGCTGAGTCTGCCCGTCAGTCAATCCGACGACTCACTTGTCTGCAAGGAGAACCCAATACCGATCGACTGGAGCTGGAGTATACCCAGCACGAAGCCGATATGTGACGACGCGCCAAACATGATCTGCAGACCCATCCCAAGCGCCCAGAGACCTGACCCAACGAGCTAAGACATCAGCTTCATCTCCAGCCGAACCAAGACTCCAGGGACATCTAGCTTACAATGACAATCTTGTATCGATTCGTCTTGCTGATGTAGAAACCAGAGAGGATGGCCCATAAGGTCTGCGGGAACGTAAAGACGAGAATGAAGACGCCAGACATGAAGGCATCGTAGGAGAGGACGTATTGGAGGTAAATAGGGATATAGTAGATGTTCTGAACGTCAGCGCGGCACCTGAGAGAGCAAAATGGGACTCACGGCGTAGTATACGATGCCGATGAGAAAGGACTGAAACATCACTATACTAGTCGTGAGGTCCTTGAACATGTGTACTGGCGGTCAGCTTGCTGAACAGCACAACAAGTCTAACAGAGAACTTACAAGGGAGGATAGGTAACCTCGCAAACTTCCACTGCCCCACGATAAACCCGACCGCACATAGCGACCCTAACACCAACAGCACGATCGCCGTCGGCGAGGACCAAGCAAATGTCGTGCCCCCTCCACTGATGGGTACGAGGAGCAAGACCGTCGCCGAGGCCGACAATGCTATTCCGAGATAGTCGATCTGACCGAGCTTCTTGGTCATGCTTCCGGAGACGGGCTTGAGGGGGAGGATAAAGTGATCAATGACGAGACAGCAGGCGCCGAAGATCGTGGTGAGCCAAAATGTCCAGCGCCATTGCCCTGCAGATGAGAGGGCGCCGCCTATGAATGGGCCCTAGGGGTCAGCTGGGCGCAAGGAGAAGGGGACAAGGGCGTACTATTGCGGATCCGAGAGAGCAGGCGGCGGAGATGAAGCCTTGATACTTCCCGCGGTCTTTCAATGGGACAATGTCGGATACCTGGCCATCAGCTGAGGACTCATGGAGAACGAAATTGCTCACAATGACCATGGCCATCCCGTTGATCCCTCCGCCGCCCATACCAGCGATCGCCCTGAACACATACAGCTGTATTGGGGTCTTTGCGAACCCACACAACAGATTCCCGAATGCCAACAAGAACATCGCTATTTGCAGCATGTTCTTCCGCCCAAAGATGTCGCTGAGTCTGCCATACACCAGATGAAGCGCGCAGCTGCCAGTCAGCTCCTAGTCCCGAATAGGGAAAGATCACTCACTTGGCGACAAAGAAAGCCGTTCCCACCCAGCTTATACTATCACTCCCGCCCAGATCTGTTCCTATGACCGGCGCCGCCGTCGACACCGCCGTCTGATCGATGAACGAGACGACGAGCGCTATGCCGATACCAAAATAGATGGTAAGGATGCGCTTGAAGGACAGGCGGGTGGATTGATCTTGGATTGAGATGTGTTTCCGGAGGGGAATGGGGTCTGTGAGTTCTGGCTCTGACGAAGGGGTAGGGGAGGGAGAGTGTGAGCGCGTGAGAGTCGGTGTGGACGAGAGTGAAGAGGAGGGGTCGGCGTCGAGCCTTGCGGCGTTGCTGAGGTGAACCATCCTCGACGTCGGCGGGGAGGGAAGGGGAGGGCTTGCTGTATGCTGAACTTGGTCTATAGAAGGTGATATCAGAGCGTCGCATCGACCAATTCCGTCTCAAGCTTCAGTGCTTCAGCGAGAGTCAGTCCGGAGCTCCAGAGTTTCGCAAGATCAGAGAAAGATCGGCATCGTGCCCCGCCTTGTCGGAAACGGGTGATTTCCCGCAATCGAGCTTGATCCGAAAGATGCGGGGTCCTGCTGATAGCACTCTCCGGCCCGCGGACCGGCTGTGGCGATGCTCATCGTATTGGGAGGCAGATCCTCCCGTTGGGCGCTTGCGGATGCCGCATTTCTTATCGGGGGGATGGAAAGATTGTCGGCTAGAATTACCGACAGCTGTGTGGTGCCCCTGCGATTTGCTGCTTGTCTCTCCTTGGCCCAATCCCGCTGGTACATCTATTGTAGAGCTAATAGGAGCGTACCTGATGCAGCTGCCGTGTTCTTGTCGGGCCTGCCAGTGTGTACAGCATGTATAGCACCTGCAGCAGTAAGGTCATCACACAAGAGCTCAGGGTCGCGAGGAATGTGGAGTTTGCGTTGGGGATCACGTGACACCGCTCAGGCGAATTTGAGATGCGCTTGGGGGTGTTTTGTCCCTCTTGTCAACCTATAGATCGTTGTAGAATGCCCAAGATGGCAGCCAGCTCACAGGGCGGACGCCCCAACACGGACCTCTGGCACTTGATCGTTCCCTATCTCAAAAAACCCACTCCACTTCCTCTCTCCCGCGCGCCTCGGTCCGCCATCAGGCAAGGCGACCTGTGTTCGCTTGCACTTGTATGCAGAGTGAGTGCAGCCTTTCCGGCCACGCGAACTTGCATCTGATGATCAGGCGATCAATTCGATAGCTGAGCGTGTCCTGTACACCACTATCATTACCGATAAACTCCCCCTCCTCTTCCGCAACATCGCGTCCGCGTCGGGTCGGCGGCGGCTCGCTCATACTCGTCGCCTACTCATCGAGTACTCACCATCGTTACAGACTACTAGCCCGTCATACAAGACCCTCCTGAAAAGCGGCGGGGAAGCTTGGGCGCGGGTCGGCCAGAATCTCGGGGGCATCAAGGTCAAAATTGCCAAGCAGTGCATCGAGGAGAATGGCCAGCTCCAGTCGGCGCTGGAGTGGGTCGCGATGGATATGGGGATGGTGGGGAGGGTGTTTCCCAAGCTGGAGGCAGTGGCTACCGCCTCTATCTATGGGAAAGAGGACAATCGGTGGCGAATCTACCAAAACCATCTCACGGAATCGAGGGAGGCCATGGCCTATTTCGCATCCTCCGACTGCATCATGCGCTTCTTCATGTTTGTCAATGCCCTGCCCTCCCTCCGGCAACTATGCGTCCGGAATCCCAACGGTCCCTTCTCGGTCCCGCAGAACACCCACGCGACCCAGGCCCCGCCCGTCAACTATGATCGGACCATCCATTACTCGGCTGACCTGGACGAGGTGTACGTCCCTTGGGGCAAACCTATCCGGTGGACGAGCGACGCGCCCTCCAACATGCCCTGGCAATTCGTCGGCGAGTCACTGGCGCAGGAAATCGACCGGATCCAGAATATCCGGCGGGACAAGGCGGCTTACGACCCCAGGTGGCAGGACCCGCGGAATGGGCTGGATGTCGAGATCTACTGCTCGACGGCGGGGGCGCTTGAGGTTGCCAAGGCAGGGGAGGAGGAGATTGTCCTCCAGAGGCACCCGGGATGGTCCCCCTTGCCTGATTTCAAGGCCAGGCGGATGCCAGTCGAGGAGCAGAGAAAGTTGGCGGCTGGGTTTGGTAATAACGTGCAGACCGAGTCGAGGGAGGACTTTGGGGAGCAGGATAGGATCAGGTGGTTTGCGTCGCCTGATATGCCTGTCTGTGTGGCGTGTGGGTCGGGGCCGCCAGCGTAGACGAGCGGGGGTTGCAATTGCGACCGAATTGAGATGTTAGAGCTAGATGAGTTCTGTAGGGATGCCATCTTGCTCATTAACGTTTCCCGCAGAGTGATACCTTTTGAGGTTCGAAGGTGAGCCGTGACCAGCGAATTAGCACAAACTCCACGTTCCTCGGCAAGGGCGCTCAAACCAAGCACAGTTCCTCTCCGCGGGTACTGGCAGCAACCAGACTCGTCCCAAGCCCACTCCCCTCCCGCTGGGAGGATCACCCCTCGACACCGGATTGCGCAGGGTTGGAAGGGCGGCTTAGCTGCTTACATGCTCACTGCCAGATGTGAGCAAGGAAGGAAGGACAGAGGGCCATAACGCCGTTAAACCCCGTGAAAAAGATATTAGTATGGGTGCCCTACCAACTGCTTCCGCTCTGACCAACTGAGCTATGCCATCACGGAGTTTGACGGCGTTATAGACCATCACTGCAGCGGCAATTGAATCAGCAGCCTCGGCCAAGCTCGGCCACCGATGTTGGGATCCACATTCCTCAGTCAGTCCGAGCGAAGCTGCTTGATCAGCATGATGCCACCCATCTGCCAATACACATGGCAGGCCCACATGGAGCTTAGGATCTCCTTTTGATGGATCATCCATGATATGGCCGAGGCTGCTGATCAATCTGACTTGTCCCGAGGCTCGGGCAGTCCGCACTGCCGTAGGGCGTGAGCTATAAGTACTGGTCCGTTGATTGCTCGGCTCCTCCCTCTCATCCCCAACATCACACTGAATATCGCTCCACATATCGAAAGCCTGCTCTCTACACCCTCGACTTTCTTCAGCAACCACTGTAGGTCCTTTCACACTTTACATGTCTCCCTCCAGCTGACCTCGCAGAACACCACTCCATCCTCAATCATGCACGTCCTCCTCACCTCCGCACACGGCTGGGTCGGCTCCCATATCACCCCCCTCCTCCTCTCCGCCGGTCACTCCGTCACCGGCCTCGCTCGCTCTTCCACCTCCGCCGAGAAGGTCAAGTCCCTCGGCGTCACTCCCCTCCTTCTCGGCCTGGACGACCCCGCGGGCATCGCCAACTTTGTCAAGACCTCCTCGGTCGACGCTGTCATCCACACGGCTTTCGGTCACGACTTCTCCAAGTACATGCAGAACATCGCGGACGATCTCGCGGTGATCAAGGCCATCGGCGCCGAGCTGGAGGGCACAGGCAAGCCGTTCATCACCACCTTTGGGCTCAGTGCGCCCAGGGAGGATCAGGCGCCGGCGCAAGACAGCCCCAACCCGAGGGGCAGGAACGAGGATGCGGTGCAGGAGCTGGCGGGCAGGGGGGTGCGGGCGATGATAGTGCGCTTGCCGCCCTCCGTGCATGGTCCCAAGGACGCGGGGTTCGTCCCCGCCCTCATCGGGTGTGCGCGAAACAAGGGCGCCTCGGCGTATATCGAAGGGAAGGGTACCTGGGCGGCGGTGCATGTCAAGGACGCGGCGCGGCTCTACATGGCGGTACTGGGGAAGGGAATGGCGGGCGGGCGGTACCATGCTGTCGGGGACACGGGCGTGCCGTTCGGGGAGATCGCGAAAGCTATCGCAAAGGGCGTCGGAGTGGAGGCCAGGGCGGTAGAGCAGGCTGAGGTGGGGCAGTACGTCGGATTCCTCGCCAAGTTTGTGGATGGGGACTTCGATGCCGATGTGGATATCACCAAGAAGGACCTTGGGTGGGAGCCAAAGGAGAAGGGGTTGCTGCAGGATATGAAGGAGGGGGACTACTTTGATCAGAAATAGGTAGTGCTCGCATAATGGTTGGGTCAGTAGAACTAAGGGATGTTAAGAATCGGACTCCTCGTCACTCTTTACAGCTGTCATCTGAGCAGAGGCTCGCAATAGTTCCACGCCGGTCGACCGTTGACACTGGCTGCCCAGCATGATAAAGCTCGCAGCGTGTAGAGCCAGACCAGAAGTTCAGTCCATGATCATAAGTACGCACCAGCCAAATGCCTGCGTGCGCTACCATACCAAAAGGGACAGTCATCTCCAGCAGCAAAAGGGAGAAACCGCCCGAAGACGTAAACCCAATAGTCAGTTTTTCAATATGATGTATGCACTGTGACTAGGTGACAGACAGGTTTGGTCAGTTTTTCAATATGATGTATTCACTGTGACCAGGTGACAGACAGGCGCTTGACGTTGTCCAGACGGAAACCAGTTGTTTGGGTACTATTCTCACATGTTCTAGGTGAGCGATACTGTTGTGGGGTTGGGGCGCGATGTAGTGTACCCCTCACGCGCGTACCACGGTGCTAGGTGGAATCGCCGCCTAAGTGGCGAGACATGTTTGGCCCGAGTGTGGGATGTCAACAAGTCAACGATGTCAACACTGCAACAGCTGGTGACATCAGATTCGCCACCCACCTCCACCTCCACCTCCGACGCCGTCGCGTCATTGAGTGGGGCAAGTTGTCCGACGAGCCGCATCGTCCTCTCCCTCGGTGGATCCCATGGACTAGTCAGGTCGGCCATGCTGAAGTGCACGTGTAGGGCTGGTTCTTCTACATAATGTGAATTTCTACTGATCACACAGATACTTTACTTGGCCTCCCGTCCTCCCCCTCAGATGACTTTCTAGATGTGATTATACTCTGCCCAATCTACAGATACCCATTCTCCACCTGACCCCACGATCCCCGCTTATTCGCAGCAGTAGGACACCTGTAAAGCTTGACTGTACCCGTCGAATCGAATCCTCCTGCAGCAACGACCATTTCAACCTGACCGATCAGCTTGTGCACCCACGAGGGGAAGAGTTGAGTTGACGTACCGGATGGAAGACCAGAGAAGCAGCACTAGGCATGAGCGGCCTGGACGGCACGTAATGAGTAGGGGCAAGAGGGATATTGATAGTGGATAAAGTCTTTGGTTGCTCCGGATTGGCGAAGCCTTGAATGACGAGCTTTTGCCGGGCCGAGTGCATTGATGGTGCTGATGTTCTAATGGCTCGTCAGCTCCGCCCATCTCTCATGTTCTGGCGGAGGAGACCAGCTCACGTTGCAAAGACAGGAGCCCCAGCATGGACCGCAAGGGACATCAACCCATGCGGCTGCGGCATGCTTTCGTACAACGGTGTATCCGGCGCTCGAACATCCCATATTCTCACTTCCCCATTCATACTGCTATATCAGCTCTGTTCCTGTCGCACGAAAGCGCCTTCAGGCCTTCAAGCTCACCTTCCAGTCAACAACTCCCTCTGTCCGCCCCGCTGCAAATGCACACTCTGAATCCAGGTATGATGTTTCCGCCATGTCCGCACCACAACGACCGAGGCGTCCTCCACCCGCTTGTCAAAGAGACGGACCACACCATCCCCAAAGCCCGCCACAAAGACGTTTCCCTCCGGCTCGTCCGTCGCCAGAGCGGTAAGGTTTGCTCCGGCTTGAGTAGCAATGTCCTATAGTTCAGCTTATGACCGCGGACGTCAGACCGGCTGGCTTACTCGGAGATGTCGCTCGACCGTCGCGTCCCAGAGCCTGACCACCCTCATGTCTCCACCTACGAGCAGATGCCCCTTGTTCTGCTCCCATGCAGTCAAGACCCCGCTGGAGTGAGCGGCTGGGTAAAGGTCCGAGACAGCCCGGAAAGTCGATGCGAGCTCGGTCTGGCCCGGCGTCTCGTAATCTCGCCATATCCTGACGGATCCCTCAGCTAATCTGTCAGCTACATTCTGCTTCGGGCCAATGCATATATGAGCTTACTAGAAGCAGTGAGCATAAGCGAGCTAGCGCCTTCGTTGATAAAGTGCAATCCGGAGATACTGCTCCCCGAGATGTTCTGATTTGAAAACTTGTTGAGCTTTCTCCGGGATTTCCAGTCCCATATACTGCTTTATCAGCTGTGTTTCCAGCTCGAGGACACTCAAACTCACCAGACATTATCCGAGTCGTCGGTGACCGCCATGACAGGATCAAACGAGTGGAAGGCAAGCTGCAATGGCCACGCATCGTTATGCAGTGTCCCAGCGTCGTGCTCCCAGCTACTTTGAGCTAAATCATCAGCTTGGACCTTCCCCGGCAGAACTCCAGCTCACCCGCATGCTCCTCATTCTGCCTGCTGATCTCGACAAGCTGCTCATTCCGAACATGCTTCCACGCTTGCTGATTATACGTCGTCGATCCCGGCTCGTCCGCATCGGGTACCTAACATCAGCTCAGCCCCACCCTATACCAAGATCACTCACCTTCATTTGCGGCTCCCTAAAGTAATCCACTGCCCAGTCATAGAATCCACTCCTCAAAGGCAAGACATCATCCTTGACCTCCTTGGCTACCATTCCCAATCCCAACTCTCCATTCCTCGCCAAGCCATTATTCCCCAATTTGCCATCGACATCTCCGCCCGCTTGCGTCCCTTTGAGCCGGCGGATCCGGAGTCGCTCCATGTCTTCCTCGGTGAGGGTCTCGATGACCGCGGCGGCATCAGCAGGCGTGCCTGAGAGCTCCGAGAAGGCTGAAGAGGAGAGGGCGAGTCCGCCGTTCCTTCCCATACGGGTATGAAGCTGGCCCGCTGCCGAGGAGGATGCGCGTGGGAGGTCGGGGAGAGTCCGAGGATGTAGAGAGTCGGGGTAGGGTGAGGTATAGTTCGCGCCATTGGGAGAGGGGAGGGGAGCGGTGCTTGTCGTTTCGGGCGCGGGAGCAGAGTCGGTATGATCGTCCGCTATGAGACCAGTCATGGTCGCAAAGCCTTTCAAGACATTGGCAAACGAGCTACTCCGCTTCATCCCGCCAGACGAGCTGCTCGCTTCCGAGGCCCCGGTATTCTGACGCCGGAGTTGTGGGATGACGCCGTTCGTTCCGTGCCCATGTGCATGCCCATTGGTGGATGGCCCGCTACCCTGGCTGAGACCGGTATGTTGCCGCGAAAGCGCCTGTCGCCGTCTGTTGAGCCGCTGAACCGCCGAGCCCTTGACGCGCATGAACGCCGAGTCGAGCAAGAGCGCCACGACGTAGTCGACCACCGTGCTCGCCATGAGCGCGACCTCGGTGCTGGGGTCCACCGAGAGGTCGAGCAGTGTCTCGAACAGCATCTTGAAGCTGCTGAGCCAGGTGAGATTCCGCGCATTGTCGTCCGGCGTCCGACCGGGGTTCGAGCACCACCCTTCCAGCGCGGCCGGCATGACGTCTCCGGACGACGCGCTGCCAGATGCTATCGCCGCCTCGTGCTCGTAGTACGCCCACGCGGCGCAAACGAACCATCCCCGCCATTCCCTCGCCACGCACGAGATGACCACCACGAGCTCCTTGCGTACCATCGGTGACGCATCCTCCTTGACGCTCATCATGCACGCGTACGCCAATCCCGCCTCCAGGTCAAGCTGCGCCGCGTCGGTAAGGCCGAGCTGAGTCCCGGATCCGCCGCCGCCGGGGAATTCTGTCGACGTAGCGGGTGCACTAGAAGCGCCGAGGAACGTCGCAAAGACGTATAGTGCCGCCGCACGTACTTCCGCGGCCGTACTCCGAAGCGCGAGGAGCAGCTCCTCCATCCTGGGGTGATTCGGCAACAGCCCTTTGGCATCGTCATTGTCCGACCACAGCTGCGCGATGCACAGTAGTGACCAAGTCTTGAGCAGCCAGTCATCCGCCTGCAGCGTCTCGAGGCAGGTATCAAAGATGCTGATGGCTTGGCAGGCTGTCTGGCCCGCCCGGAAGTTGCGACAAAGCGTCGAGAGGATAAAGGCGCACATGGCGCGGTGCTCGTTGGCGTTGGGGATTTGGAGCGGCTGACCTCCGGCTGTAGGGTAGGGCGAGAGGACACGAGCAAAGTACTCGTATCCTTGATCCCGGAGAAGGTCGACCTGACATGATCGGTCGACGGCGAGGATTCGAGCCCAGATGAAGATCAAGACCGGCTTGAGCTCGACCGCGGGGGATTGGAGGAGTTTCTGGACGTAGGGGAAGATGCCGATGGATAGGGAGAGGTGGACCGCCCATGGTCCGAGGTCGACAAAGCGGGAGAGGAGGATGAGGGCGCGCAGTCGGTGTCCCTGAGACAAGAGCACCTGGAGGACGATAGGGAGTTGTTCGGGCGGTGGACGATGGGTAGCCTTGGTGGGTTTCGACGCTAGTTTTCGCGTGACCGTTCCGCCGTGATCCAGCCACACCTCAAACGCCTGGAGGTGCTGCGCGAAAAAGTCGGACGGGGTGTAGACGACCGGTACTTCTACCGGGATCCCGTTATCCAGCGCATCCTGCTGATCCAGCAATCCCGGCAATTGCGCCAAACACGCATCCACCGCCAGATCCCACGAGTGCCAAAGAGCATGATTGCTCGTATTTGGCAACTCTGGGATGGAGACAGGCGAGCAGTGGTACGTATTCATGATCCGCTGGGCGAGCAGGAAATTCCGGAAGAGCGCAGCGACGAGAAGGTCTTGCCGGAACAACCGATTAAAGACATCCCGCGGGAAGGAGGACCACGCGATGGTATCTGTGACGGCGGTGAAGATCCAGTTGAGCTCGCCGAGGGGTGTCCGACGATCCTTCAGGTCACCCGGGATACGCATGACCATGTCCACCGTGACGCGCGACCGAGGGTCGTTGCTGGAGGTGGAAATGTTTCGTCGAAGAGGGTCTTGCAAGACGAAATGCCGCAGACTGGTTTCGATGGGAGAGGTAAGGCAACAGGTGAAGAGGTCGGCGGGGAGGTCGGGGGACATGGGGAGTGTTTGGCCAGCCAGGCAAGCAGCGAGATGGATAGCGTCGGCGTACGAGGCGGAGGGAAGGTCAGATGAGCCATGGGCGGCGTCTCGAGCGGCCTTGGCTTCATTGTCCTTTCGCTCGGCGGCCTTGCCAAAGTTGGACAGGATGTTGCCGGCGCCGCTGCACTCCCAAACGTACACCGTTGGGCTAGATGTCAGCTGGCCCCTACACGGTCGATGGGAGCGCTCACGTTCCAAGCCAGTCTTGTAGGTCATACAGGCTGACCGGGATGTACTGCGTATACGCTATAAGATCAGCTTGTACCGGCGGTGCTGCGCAACCCACAAAGCTTACTCTTGTTGAAGACCCAGATCTCCCCGCTCGCAGTCGGCTTTGGCACCCCATGTCCATTATAGTAGAACACCGTCCTCTCCTCTCTTGCTCCCTTCCTGAGACCGATACACTGCTTCTTCGTCTCCTCGACTGAGGGGTCTAGATGCTATCTCATCAGCACCTGCCCCATTCCGCACGAGCACCAGACTCACCGGCCTAAACTTGACTTTCGGATTGAGCGTTTCAAATTGTTGCAATAGATCTTCAATGAGCTTGACCCAGACTCGTTAACTTAAGGAGACGTACTCCTCCCAATGGCCTCGATAGCTTTCGTAGCCGGTATAGAAGTCGGATCAAGCCAAGTCTCCATCTTGGCGCATGGCTGAGTCTTGACGACGTCTGGCGGGTCGACACCGATATTCAGGCAGATGAACATGCCTGCGTTGAGGGTTTTGGAACGTGTTTTCAGTCGCCATGGTACTGGTCCTATCAGCTACTCGCTCATTGATGGATCCTGGTCAGAACCGCCGCGAGGTATAGCTCCGGGTAACACGGAGTATGGGGTCCTCCCGCTATCCCCTTACATTTCCTGCACACCCGCCCCACACCGGTCCCAGAGCCCACTTCCGGAGCGCTCTCAGAGACTCACAGTACTCCTCATCCCCCCTAGACCTGCCCTTCCCCTTCCCATGCCTCGCCGCTGTCCAATACTGCAACGCCGACTGCCCATGTCCCTCCCCTTCCTCCTCTTCCGCCTCTTCTAGATCCTCCTCATCCTCCTCTTCCTCTTCCTCTCCTCCTTCCCCGTATCCATACCCCGCGAGAGAGTGCGAGCCGTGCTGCGAATGAGAGTGATGCGAGGAGGACGGGTGTTGGAAGTGCAGGGCAGAGTGGGTGGAGGTGGATTTGGGATCGCGGGCGTAGGGTAGTTGAGGGGGTTCGGCCATGTTGGCCCTAGATGTAGGATTGGTGGAGATCTCGGGTGTCAGAGGCTACATGTAGCTCGGTACGGTCGCTGCTAGCAAGAGCTAGAAGATAGATGTTGGGAAGAGGGAGAGAGGAGTATCGGAGGCAGGTGCCGCACCTTGAGATTCAGGCACGGCTCGACCAGTCTCGGCGACCGCCGACCAAGTGCTAGAGGTACCTCGTAGCTGAGCTCAAGGATGGGTCGTTACATGGCATAGAACACTATAAGCATACCGACCCAGCTGATCTACACAGCAGACTAGATATGACACAGAGAGAAAAAGTAAAACTACGAAAGAGTCCGTCAAAGCAGAACCTAATGTGAGGGCCGTGTATGATTATAAGAGTCCTTTGACAGAGACCGACCGTCTATGCCCTCGCTGCCGGCCTACACCCTTCTCAGTGCGCAGCGACACTCACACCCTCCCCGCCATACACATGCGCATGCGCCCGCACAGTATCCGCCGAGTCGCCCCTCTCCGGCACCTCCACCGCCGACTTGCCCTCATCCTCCCCTTCGGACGTCATTGGCGTCTGGCTCGACCCACTCGCGCCGCTCCCGCTCCCACTCATGCTCTCGCGAGAATCATACGTCCCCGCAGAGGACGTATGATGGCTCTGCACCTGGCTCAGTCCCGCTCCGGACTCTGACCCGGCGGCAGGGACCGATCCGGCCGATTCGAGCGTGCCGGCGCCCAATAAAGGGGGCGAGGCGTGGGACATGGAGTTTCGGGACGTGATGGATCCAGAGCGGGGCATGGGCCTTGGACCCTGGATGGAGTTCCGCGGTCGGAGGCCAGAGGCAGGTGGGGACGGCGCAGCGGTACCGCGGGGTGGGGACTGATGGATTGATGTCGTACGTGGAGGCAGATCCTCCACTTGCGTCGGTACCGTGTCTACCTCTGCTGGCGGAGAAACAGGTGCCTGGACCGCCGGCTGATGCTGAGCAAGCGGATCACCGCGGTCCGACAAGGCCGGAGACTGCGTAAAGTCCGGCTGTGGCGGAACCATGGCCGGCGCTGCTGGGTTGGCAAAGTACTGCTGGCTGATGGGAAGCGGCGCAGACGCGCTCGCGCCGACCGTAGAAGATCGAGGTTCCTCCGTGGGCGGATCGAGTTTAACCGGTGCCCGAGCCGACTGGGACGAAGTGAGGGTGTTCCGGTTGGAAGCGCTGGGGGTCTCGACTGTAGAGAAGCGTTTGCGGAGCGTCCCAAATAAGCCCAGCTTGGGCTTGCGAGACGACTCGACCACGCTCGAAGTGGGCGGACGGGCCGGCATCGACACGTTCCGCCTCGTACCGTCCACCTGCGCCTGCCCAGGCGTTGACTGGGCTCTCCCCATGGTCGCAGGGAAAGGCACGCCCACAACCGATCCCGAGCTCATGCCCGAGCCGGACTGAGCAGGAACAGGCGGCACCTCCACTCTCCGCCCCATGTCCAATCTCGGCTGACTGGGACTTTTCAACTTCTCCCTCAGGCCGATCGACGAGCCCGCCTTCTTCTCCGCTTTTCGCCGTTCCTTGTCTTCCTTCTCCTTTCGCTTCGCCGCCTCCTTCATTTCCTTGGCTTTATCCTTCTCGGCCTGCTTCCTCGCTGCTTCTTCCCGCATTTTGGTGGCGCGCTCAGCGGCAAGTTTGGTAGATTCGGCCTTTTCGGCCGCTTTCGCTTCTTTTGCCAGCTGCTTCTTGGACTGCTTGGTGGAGAGGACGGGTCGGGGTGGGGAGGCGGGGATAGGCGGGATGGGAATTGCTGCAGCGCCAGCGGAGGGAGAATCCGTAGAAGCGGAAGGAGGGAGAGTGTCGGTCTCTGGCGGAGTGGGGGTGGGGAGGTCTTGCGTGACCGCCCGACTGAGGGGAGATGGGATGATCGGGGCCGAGGTCGTAGCGAGTACGGTGGGCGACATGTCCGGAGTGGCTTCCGGGCGGGACATGAAGGGTGGAGATGCGCCTTCTGGGAGAATGATCTCGTCTGCTGGTGGCGAGACGTTGGGAGAGTTGATAGGTGGGGCAGAGAGGTTGGACGAGGTGGTATTTGCTGACGAAGTGCTAGGGTAGGGCCTGTTGTAATGCTGCTAAATCAGTCGCATCCTATCGACCGGACAGTGACTCACCTCTCCGCCATCCAGACTCCACCTCGCCATCCCCGCTGACCGACTCGTCGGCGGTCGACTTCCCCGATGTACCTCCAGATTCGCGCTCCTCCGCTTCTCCTCCGCGCTCATCGCAGGCGCCGAGTTCTGACCCGGAACAACCGGCGAACTCAGCATCGCGGCAATTGCATAACCCCCTTCCCTCGGCGCGAGCTGACTGAGGAAGTCACGCGAGTAGTATGTCGATGGCGGCCGGGCGCCAAGCGAAGCCTGTGACTTGTTGTGCGGTAACCCCTTGGTCAGGTCGGTAGAGGATGAATGGGCCGAGGAGATGAAGACCGAATTGGAGCGGGGCATATCCGGCGACGTGGGGGACGTGCCGTCCATGACCTTGGTCATGACTTGTGGATCGGCGGATGTCTGGCGTGGACCCTTTTTACGGCCGATCCGGCTAGTACGACCTGCGAGGGAAGGCACGTTGGTGGTAGATTTGGATTTCCGGCGCATGATGGGTTCTTCCTCGGGCGGTGCGGTTGGCCCTATCTTGTCAGCTCAGGCCCTCTCGATAGGTGGAGACCTACACATAAAGTCCACAGGCATCATGCTCGCGCTATACGGCGAGACCTGACCCGGTCTCCGCTCACTCCGCTGACTCAACCGCCGGACCGTATCCAACGGCCGCTCCATTGCGCTCCGCTGCGGATTGCTCAGATCCGCCACCGGTTCCGGCGCATCCAGATTCCACAGATCTTCGCTGGTCATCCCGTTCGTATCCGTACTGTGAATCGAAGAACGATTGCTCCGAGTCCCGCCCGATTTGCGCAGGAAGGCCGGCTGGGGCGGTGCCAGTGCAGGATCGTACAGAGACGTACTGGACCCGATGGGGGAGTCCGAGAACATCTCCGAGGGGATAGGAGGACGGGTAGCTACCGCGGTCGTCATCTGGAGTTGGGGGTGACGGCGGGATATGGAGGGGGGAGGGGGAGGTCGAGGGGAGAGGTCCGAGGTGGGCGATACCCGCGGTCCGCGGGTGGGAGAGGTACTGTCCGCAAGAGCGATACCGGAGGTATTGGGTGGTTTTTGGGTGAAAGAGGCCCGGCGCTTCCAGGCGGGCGGAGGGGCGTCGGGGTCGCCAGAGAGCTGACGGTGGAGTGTGTCTAGTGGGTTGGAGGGGGATGAGGCGTCATTGGACAGTCGGGAGGAGCGGGAGCGCGCAAGATGGAGCTTGCTGAAAGGGTCGGCGGCTTCGTATGTGGGGGAAGGGGATTGATTCTGGCAGTCAGCAACGTCGCTGGGGCGGAGATCAGACACGTGCGGAATGGAGGACAAAGAGGAGACTAGAGGTGCGACAAAGAACGGTATGGAGTGAGAGATCGAAAGGGACGGATGTAAGAGCCAAGCTGACAAGACCAAGAGGTGATCAGGAAGACAAAGGATGAATGAAGTAGCAGACATCAAAATCCCTCAAAGTCCCTTCGCTCGCGGACCAGAATCTCTCCATCTTCGTCGTCTTAGATGTACTCAGATCCCTGTGTTGCGGAAGTGTATTTCGAGCGGCAGTCACCCGGCCTGATGGAAGGGATCGAGCGTTGAAGACTCATAGACTCACCTCCTCGAACGGCTGAAGCTGATGTTGGTAGAGCTGCGACATTTTGCCTTATCGCTTTGGTTGAGATAGCTGATGAGATACGGTTTCGACAAGTGATTGGTCGATGACGAGCTTCAGCCGCAGCTGTCACCGCGAAGCCGAGCTAGAGTTGGAAGATATGGGTCAAAGGCGCGGAGTGATTGCCTGTGCACACAAAACAAGGACGCGGGCAGGGCCGACCCGAGTTTCCGCCGAGCACGTTGCTTCTCGCTGCAGCGGCGGCGGGGCTGGTCGAGACGAACTACAGAGTTGGTGATGGACTAGACAGATGTAGCTGATGGTACAGATCAAGCATGCACTTTCTATAGATGTGACTTCAATGCAAGAAAGCTTGTATCTAGCTTTGCTCAGGGTGACAGCAGAGTGCCGAGCGCCCAGCCCTTCCCGGCCCTCCCAAGGCCTTCACGCCGTAACCATTAGGAAATTCAGCTTGGGTAAGCAGATTTCATTAGGAAATTAGACCAAAGCGGTCATCGATACTAATCAAACGAGGCGGTGTTCATCCTGCCGGTAGCTTGCCGGTATATCACGTCAAAGGCAGATTAGTTGTGTGGCAATTGAGCGGCTCCGCAGGGCTCCGCGACCAGCCTTGCGCGCAGCTACCGCAGCTTGAGGCTTGAGGCAACGCTCTGGCCCCAGCAGCTCCCACTCAGCTCATGCACATCTGCATATGCTGCTCCTTATCGGGCGCATTACCATTTGATGCTCGGACTTATCTTGGTCTGATCTCTGAGACCCCTCCCGTCATCGGCGCGGAGATCGTCCGAGAAATACTCCGAACCCTGCTTCCGATGGAAAGCTTGGCAGAAGTGGCAGCTGGGATGGCGAGATGGCACCTTGAAGCGAGACCAGATCTGCGCTTACGCCTTCACGACTGCACTCATGCTCTCATAGTGGTTGGCGTGTACCACTGATCCAGATGTACTGATGCTAGCTTGCTGCCCATTGTAAGCGAAAATGACCGCCTGATGTCGAGGGAGGCGCACTCACATATCGCAAACACGTGGCTGACCATCGCCTGCCGTAGACAGCAGCCAGCATTTTGGAAGAAGCACTTTGAAGTGCTCTCCTTTGATCAGCGCGAATCTAGGTCAACGCGAAGAGATGTTAATGGGGCCAAAGATCAAAGGTGCTCCAGATGTCCGACATTCGCAGCGCAGCCGGCCCTGGGAGTCGGGACGGCCGGGGGGGCGGCTCGCGCCACCCTTGACCCTTCTCTTCCTATCATACTTCATCCTTCTCACCGTAGTTCTACCTAAGCCAAAGATACTCAATCAGTATCTGTCGCTCATAATCACCGCACTCACCGCACTCTGCAGCATTCCCGACCCTTCAGTATGAACGAGCTGATCCCCACGGCCGGGGGCCACATGTCGACTGACGGTCCAGGTGAGGCAGCTTGCATCTTGACGTCGAGGACCGTCACGGGAGGCACAGCTGACATATGCAGACGAGACTCAAGCCATGCCTGATGTCGCCACGGTCACCGCCAACAGTACCTGCCCTACCTGCACTACTGCGCTGATGAGCTTGAAGAAAGCCGAGCAAGCGCTGGGGGAGCTCGCATGGGAGCTGGAGGGCGAGAGAAAGTCCAGTGCGCGGCTCAAGGCCGTGTGCCGGATACTCTTTGAAGAAGCGCTTGCCAAGGAACGCGCATCATCCACTGTCGCTTCGGGCGCCGCTACTGCTCCTGGCCGGACTTCAGGTGGCACGCGGGAGCGGACTTTTCTTTTCGACGACGGTGGGACGACGATTGAAACTCCCTGGCCTGTGCAGGCGGTGGGTGACCAGGACTCTCAGGAACCCACCGCATTCGGCGTTTACCACAACTACCGCGCTCTGTATTGTCCTGTCAGTGAGGTACCGAACTGAACAGCTGGCGTGCGGACGTCAGTATGTTATCCGGAGTGGAGGAGGTATAGTGGGTGGATGAGTCAGGTGAGGTCCATCTTCAATTTCAGTAGCCGTCATGCAGGTTCTATTCGGGTTTTGACCGTGAACAACTTGTGCACGGTCTGTCATCACCCGCATCGAGCACATAGCCGGCAGTCGTCTTGGGGATATCAAGTCAATGTGTAGTTAAAGGAGTCGGTATTCGGGGCCTCGGCCTTGAGCTTTGGTGAGTTGCAACTCATACAGATATCAGCAATTCGCACGTGTGCACTTCGGACTATCCATACAGTCCGCGGGGGCCGCCAGTACAGTAAGACGCGGAGACTCTCGGCCGATTCGGCGCGACCCCAGAAGAGTACCTGAAAGGATCATGGTTGTAACACGTCTCAGCGGGGCGAGGAGAAGAATCTGAAGGGTTCGCATTGACAAAAAGGATTGTTGGTTGTCCTCCCCAGCGAGAGCAGGGTGAAGGGGTCTCGCCACCCTGTCCCCCCTCTTCCCTCCATACTTCATACTTCTCACCCCAGCACAGCACTTCGGTGTCATCACTCAGATATCGTCTATTTCTCATACACACGGCACCATCAGCCTCACCAAGCCCACAGCATGAATCGTCAGGATGTTCCAACGGTCGATGAGGAACTGAAGGCTCAGGCTGTCCTTCGACGGGAAGGAGAGCTGAAGCGTGCCACCGTCAACAGTACGACCGCCACTGCCGGTAAATGCCCGAGTTGTACTCCATGTACGCATGCCACCCAGCTGACTTGTACAGAGGGGGTCGCGAGCAGCGCGGCGACCGACAATACCACGACTCCCGATGCCACGGTCGACGACACGGACTGGAAGGAGGTGGCGCGGATCTTGCAAGACGAGCTGACAGTCCTCCGGAAGAAGTTCGATGCTCAGACAGAGGAGCTGGATGTCACGAAAGAGAAGGTCCGCAAATTCGGGGACACCTGGCGGACCCTGTACCCCGAGTCCGCGGTGCCTGCCCCTGGGCGCCCCTCATTCCAATCGAATATCGCTTCTCGAGTCACCGCTACTTTTGAGGTTGAGCAAGATGGCGCATTGGAGGTCACGCGGCGTTATTTCTGCGATCTGGAGCAGTGAGTGGCCAATCCGCGCTGGTCAGGTGCTTAGTGGTCCCGGCGCATGGGAGGACGGTGTGTCGTTCAGTCAGCGAGATATATTCGTGATACACTCATCTGATCACTGCATCCGTCTTATCAGTGTAATCAGAGCCCCAAGCCGGCCCTGTGCCTGTTAGTATATCAGTGTCGAATCGTCGTCCCGAAGCGCACATGGCCGTCCTGCAATTGTGTCGGACGTTGCCGCATACTTTCCCGCGTCTTAGGCCCATGAATAGCCACCTTTCCCATATGAGCGCAAGGCCGGGAGCAAAGGATCACAGCCGGTCACGATGTGAGGCAGAATTGGGACCGGAGAGAGCAGCAAGATCTTAAGGGCTCTTCAAGCGAGGAATGAGGAGCAAATGGCAACCGCCACTCTCGCGTAACGCCGGTCAACGCCGCTCCGTCCGCCCCCTCCTGCCTTCCAACTCAACGCGTTCACTCTCCTTTCCTTCACCTCCTATACCTATCAGACTCATACTCATACAATGTCCGACCCCAACGACGGTATGTTCTCTTCCAGCTCAGCCTCAGCGTCGACTCTGGGTACAATCCGGTATAGTCAGCAGCGGCAGGACGGGCGGTATGATCTCCCGGCGCGCGGCATCCGGTAAACACGTTCCCGCCCTTTGTTCAGCTCAGTCCACCACCTCGCTCCAGCTTCGGCTCAGCCTACACCCTTCGCCTCTTCACCTCCCCATCTCTTTCAGTGAGATGCGATCCTATGGGTCAATCCTCCTCGTCTGGGCCAATCTTATGAAGCCCTTCGCTAGGGTCGTCAACCAGCCACACGCCCCATTTCCCGCCCGCATGACACCCCTCCCGCTCCTCCCGCTCCAGGCCATCCACCTCGTCATCCGCTCCCTTTCCAAGTCTTACGCCTCGGCTCAGTCTCGCTTCTCGACTAACGCCTAATTTCCGCCAAAGTCAATGAACACCGACTGACCCGCCCCAGTCTGGCAAAAGGAAGGCGGCGCAGCCGAGCGTGGTGACCGGTCCCCTGTTCGGGGAGCCGACCGGGAGCGATCCCCAAGACGCGAGAGGGAGCGGAGCAGGTCTCCTGTGCGGAACGGCGGTGGTGGCGGCGGTGGTGGTGCCCAGGGCGGCGATGAGCGCGCGTCTAGGTCAGCTCACCCATTTGCACCCCATGCAGGGCGAGAGCTGACCCCCAGGCCCGAGATCCAGAACCAAGGAAACAACCTCCACGTCAGCGGTATCGCCCGTAACATTGACGAGCGGATGCTTGAGGATCTCTTCAACACCGCCGGGAAGGTGAGCTGGCGAAGCCAAGTGCATCTCTGGGACTGAGCTGACTTTTAGGTGTACAAGGCTGAGATCATGCTTGACCCCCACACCCGTAAGCTCGCCTGCCTTTTGTCGTGGCGGATACTACGGTATAGCTGATCTTCTAGGCGAGTCCCGTGGCTTCGGTTTCGTCAAGATGGACACCAGCGACGACGCCAATGCCGCTATTGAGAAGTTCAACGGCACCACCCAGGAGGGCAAGGTCATGACCGTCGCTCACGTAAGTCTAGCGGTTCTACCACGTCAAGAGTCCAAGCTGATCTTCAGGCTCGTCGTGGTCGCGCTCGTACCCCCACTCCCGGTCGCTACCACGGAGTCAAGATTGAGGGTGGTCCCCCCGGATCCGGCTACGGCGGCGGTGGTGGTGGCCGCTACGGTGGTCCTCCCGGTGGCTTTGACAGGCCTTACCAGCCCCGGTCATACGACTCGCGATACAGTGACCGCGGACCTCCTCGTGGTGGCTGTAAGTTTACAGTCCTTTCTGCATCCTGGCTTTATCTGACCATGCAGACGATGATCGCCGCTACGACGACCGGCGCCACGACGACCGTGGTGGATCCCGGTACGACGAGCGGCCCCGGTACGACGATCGCCCGCGGTACGATGACCGTCGTGGTGGACCGCCCGACGACGGCCGGGGACCCCCTCCTCCTATGGACCGGTAAGTTCCCCCATCCACTCTGACATTTCGTCACACTCGCCATTCCAGCCTTTGGGCTGGGTGGGGGGTTTTCACAAAAAGGATAGTGGACTAAACAAGGGGTTCTTTTATCTGACAGTGATCCTTATTATTACGACCGCAGAGAACGTTCCGGTGCCTATGATCGACGGGACGAGAGGCCGAGGTACGAGGAGAGGCCGAGCCGGTACTAGGCGGTCAAGGAGGGAATCAATAAGGAGGAGAGGGGACGGCGAAAAGTATATACCCTGGGTGTTGAGAGGTCATGTACCGTGTAAATAAGCTTCAGTCGCGAGTAGGAGATGCATCGTGTCCTGTTTCTCTTCCCGCGCGCGCTCACCTGAAACTGCTCGGATGGATGACAAAGCGCTGAAAGTACTTTTACACCTGTATGCGTGCGTGACTGACTAACTGACTGACTATCTCCTCCTCAGCTACAACTATCATACATCCCCTCCTCGCCCTAAGTCGACACTGGCGGCGCACTGCTCGTCCTTCCCCCACTTCTCCGCCTCCCTCCCAGCTCGACATCCACAGGTCCACCCAATCCAAACAATCCCATCACTTTCCGACCCGTACTGGCCTCTCTCCTCCCCTTTCTACCCCCTCCATCGCCTTTTGACGATATGTCCGAAGCCCCCGCTTCTTCATTCATAACGACCACTCCTCCCAGCTTCCCTTCTTCTCTGGCCCCGCCTTCGTCACCTTCCCCGTCTCCAGCCGCAACAGTTTCGCCAGTAGTACTAGTCGATCCAGAAGAGAGACCCAGCCCGATACCCGTACCCATGGACCTGGGCGGATCCTCCCTACTCCGCGGTCTGCCCCGCTCTTCCTCTTCGTCATCGGGGCGTCCAGCCTGCTTTCCCCGAATGTCCGTCGGTCTAGCCAAAGAAGGCGATAGCGTCTCACGCGCAGGAGGCGAGAATGGGACAGGATGGTCATGCGGAACATCTAGCGCTTTCCTCAGTACAGCTAGTGCCCGAGGATCCGAGAGCCGGATGTAGACGTATGAGACGGGCCGGGGCGTCTCAGAGGATGAAGGAGGGGAGGTGTATGCCGTGGAAGAGACGGTCGAGTGTGTTCGGCTGATAGGGGGTCTTCTGCTTGTACGGGGCAGACCGGATGTTTCTCCGGCAGCAGCACCAGCACTGGGCCGGGAAGAGGAGGTCGTACTGCTCGTCTCGTCACTCTCGGTCGTACCTTCCTGGATGGACGGGGCGGTATGAGCCGACGGGGCCCTACTTGGGGCACGCGAGTTGAGGCGAGAGCCCGGGCGGGACGGACGATGGACGGAGGTGGACCGAGATTTGGATGGGCGGTCCGATATGACCGGGCTGGAGCCGGAGTCGGTTGGGGATACTTGGCGGCTGAGGGGGTGTGGGGCGGGATGGATAGGTGGGAGAGGTGATAAAGCCAGAGAAGGGGAGACGGGCGGAAGACCGCGGTATGCCCCCGCTGCGGGACCCGGGCCTGAACCGGTACCGGGAGCGGGGAGAGGGCCCATGTGCATCCCTAGCGCGGCGGTCATAGTTGCGACGGTGGGCATACGAGGGGAAGTCATAGCTCGCTTGACGGGCGGCCGGGATCCGCTCCGAGAGGTGGGAGAGGTAGGGTTGGGTACGGCGCCAGGTTTGGAGGTAGGAGGAAGAGGGACGGGCGTGGCTGAGCCGGGAGTGGTCGGAGTAGAGATGATAGGGGATGTATTGCCCGAATCGCCCAACCTGGAGTTGATACTGATTTGCCGCTTGTCCGTCGCGCATGCGTCGACGCTAAAGGTCTGCGCCCTGGGTGAGGTGGGGGACGCCCACCGTCCGCCGGGAGTGCCGAGGGAGGGGGAGGACTCGGTGATCCTCAACAAGGCCTGCTGGAGGGATGCCACGGCGAGGCTGCCCTCTCCGCCGCTGGGGGTAGTAGGGGAGACGGCACCGCTTCGAAGGGCCGTACCGCTCAGATACGCCGGGGCGAGCGAGGCCGACCTGGGAGTGGCGGATGTAGTGGACCGTCGGCGGGCATGAGGGCCGGCGGTGCTGCTTCGTGGTGTGACGCCCGAGGGGGTCCTGCTGTTGGCGCGGGTCTTGGAGCGGCGCGGGGGATGAGTGAACTCGATCTGGGCGTAGCAGCGGATATACGCGGATGGGACGAGCGGGGTGGAAGGGGTGGTAGGTGGGGGATTCCGCGAGGAGGCAGGAACGGACGATGACCGAGGAGTAGTGGACCGGCTGCGGCGGAATAGGGCGGATAGCCAGGGTGTGGGTTTCCCCTCGACCTCGGGCTGCGGGCTGGGCGGGACTGGGGGAGGCGGAAGAGGAATGACAAGCTGCAGGAGCGGGAAGGAAGAGCTGGGGATACAGTGGTAGAGGATTCCGTTGGCACGGAGGAGGTATTTGAGGTACGAGAGGACCCGGCGATCCGACTCGTGCGTGGGATTGGCGAGGACCATTTCGGCCGGTATCCGCCGAGCAGGAGAGGACGTTCGGGAGAGGGACCGCGGTGCTGAGGTCTCTTGAGCGATCTGGGGTTCTTGCGCGGGAAGAAGGGCGAGTGGTAGCGTATACTTGATTTCGGAAGGGATGAAGCTGATTTGGCGAAAGACCGCTTCTCCCTCCTTGTCCCGCTCCGGTCCTCTCTCCACCTCCCAACTCCTCAGTCTCCCCTTCCACTCTTCTCCAAAGGTATACCGCCTGAACTCCTCCATCCGCTTGATCCCATCCATCTCGAGGAACGCCCGAAGACCCCGTCGGACCCGATCCCACTCTTTCGCCTCCTGCTTGTGCTCCTCGGCGGTAAGGGCCCAGTTGACGGCAGGCCGGGCGGGAGGGTAGGCGGTGTCGAGTTCTTGGAGACGGTCTAGGACGCGCGAGGCCATGATGTGGCGAGAGCGGTGGGAGGGGCCGAGGGGAAAGCGGGAAGAAGAGAGGAGGGCGAGGAGGGTTAGCGCAATGCACCAGATATCCAGCTCGGGGCTGGAGATCAGTTAGACCCCATGGAAGGTAGAGAGGTGGACTGACCCGTAGTATGTCACAGCTCCGGGTGGATGGTTCAAGGCATTGACAATTTCGGGGCTCTGCTTATCAGCTTGGTGGTCTCAGTGACTCTGGAAGAAAAAGGACGTACGTGGAAAGCTGGGCTCCCGCAGCATGTAGTCAACTTTGGCTCACTCGCTGAGAACTGGGTAGCCAATCCAAGATCTACTTGTCAGCTTTGTCTATACGCTCCCAAGCAACACCTACCTAAAACGACAATATCACCCGTCTTGATGTCCACCAAGACATTCTCACCCTTCAGGTCCCGATGACATACCCGCCCCCGGTGCATACAGTCCCGCACGACACTGACGAGCTGGTCGAGGATGTACGCTGCGCGAGAGGGACGGAGCGGGAGGGGATGAAGATGGAGCGGGATGTGTGTTGCGGCGTATTGCTCTAATTGGGTTAGCTAGTCCTTGCACTTTGTGTTCGAAGAAGACTTACCGATAAGGTAGAAGTGGCCTTCGGTGCGGATCCAGCCTTCCACGCCAACCAAACAAGGGTGTGGAGGAAGCTGGGCGAGAAGAGTCGGTTCTCGCAGAAGGCGAGCTGCGATAAGGGGGTGATGTGGGTGTAGGGGAGTATGCTTGAGTGCGTACTGCTATATCAGCCTCCGCTCTAACGATAGACAGCGACGTACCAGCTTCCCATCCGGCCCAGTCACCTTGTATACGGAGCTGAACTTTCCCCGCCCCAACAGCCCCTCAGGCGCTGGCAAGAACGCATAGTCCCCTATGCCCCGTTCGAGTAGGGCATCCGCGCCAGACGGTCCCACTTCGACCTGCTCCTCCCGTACTTGACTCGCGTCTTGCCATTCTGGCGGCCATTTGACTAGCTTGGCGCGTTTCCTCTCCCGCGATCGGGATGCGGAGGACGGGCGGAGGCGTGCTGGTGTCCTGGAGCGAGACCGCGGGCCGGTGAGGGAAGAGCGCTTGGATGGGCCAGATGTGGACTGGCCGTGCACGAACAGGGTACCCGCGCCGGGGTGCTCGGTCTCGGACGTTCCCCTCGAGTGGGGCGGCATGCTAGGCAATCTTGGCAGTGGGTGGTGATGGTGTCAAGCGGACTTTGTTCAGGCTTTCCAGATGAGAAGCGGTGTCGTGGAGATAGCCTCGCGTGTAGGGTGTGTCGCGTCGAGTAGCTCGCGCTCTGTCGGCCGGCGCGGTGCTGACTTGAGGCCGAAGTCTGAGCAGTCACGAGTCAGGAAGTATGAGTATGAAAGCAGCATCGGTACCATCCTTGTCTTGGACCTCCTCGCTTCAGTATCTCCATCGCTGAGGCTGAGCTCAGCTCGCAATCTAGCCCCAGCGGGCCAGGTGGACCTTGCCATGCCAGCATCCGCGTCGATCCTTGTGCAAGCGACGTCACAATATCGCTCTACAGCCGCACCGAGCTCCACATCCCCGCAGCGCCACAGCTCTTATCTTTATCGTTTGCAGAGTAGACGCTGTTGTGATTGGCGCGGATGTGCGTGTGACGAGGTCTGGGCGGAAAGATAAGAGCAAGAGGCAGAGATAAGAAGTACGGCACGCTGCGCCACACCTTCCGACACCGGCCGGATCATCCCGAAACCACTTGAATGATGTCATGAGATATCGCCGCAATTCTCCGTGTCGGCGTTTCTTCCTACTCATCTACTCATATCCTGCTGTATCGGCATGCCAACACGAGACACAAGACGGAGTTCTGCGGGATTACAGAGTATCGCGTTTCGGCATGGTCGGCAGACAGCTGAAACACATACAAAAGGCTCTCTGCATCGCGCCGTCCATCAACCTCTCATCCTCTGGTCGAAGCATGTCCCTATGAAGCAAGCGCTGCTCCTCCTGACGCATCCCGGCTGTCTTATCCTGTAACGCTCAGAACGGACCAATGGAAAGAGGAACTAAGAACAAGGCGAAGCGGATCAGGCGGGGTCGCAGCGTCACCGAAAACAAAAGGCACCTATGGCTAGACAAGCACTGCGCCTTTTGTTCTGCCATCTGCTACCCCGTGGCGCTGACGCAAGCTGAAACATGACGAAGTCCACTGCTCATCGTATAGACATCGCTTTCTCGTGCCTGCAGATCAATCGCCACGAAGACAAAAGGCCATTCCTGACGTTCCTCGTTTCACCTGTTGTCCTTTCGTACACCTCCATCTCCCCTTGCCGCTGGAAGGACTTGAAACACGACACTCCACACAGCATCAGCAAAGTATGCTCCATGCCTCGCACCTCCACCGCAGCGTCAGTACCCACTAATCTGCTGAAACGGCCAGCCCCGTCCAACACGGGGGTGGCTGGCGTTCCAGGTCCGAATCAACAGATGTTGTCCACCTCGGACAGCACCACTGATCCAGGCCTATATAGGATGCATCCCTTTCACCCTTCTCATCCCCATCCAATCTTCCCTGTGCATACCTTCACCCACCCAATCACACTTCTTACCACCACCGCCCACAAGCAACCACAATGTTCCCCCGCCTCGTCTCCACCCTCGTCGTCGCCCTCTTCGGCTTTGTCTCACTCACCTCCGCCCTCCCTCTCGGCCACCGCTCGGAGCCCCTCCGCTGGCGCACACCCTTCGGCAAGCACCTCGTCGCTGACAGTCTTGTCGAGCTCGAGTGGGAAGGTGGATCGGGCAATGGGTACGTAAGTCGATCCGCTTTTACCGCTTGAGACCATTCGCTGACTTGTAGGATGTCTATTTTATACCTCAATGGCCTGGGAGTACCGACATCAAGCATATCGGGATCGCCCAAACAAAGTCAACATCTTTGAAGTGGAGGGTACCGAGGGCGGACGCTTATCCCGACGACACCACATTGTAAGTCTCGCTCAACTTTGGCCCCTACCCTATCCACTACACTACCCTCTTGCCCTCCGCGTTGATCATCGCTGACTTCCCAGCATCCTCGTCGTCCGAGACCAATCCCCTTCCACATCCCCCAACTCCAAACGCAGCACCGTCTGGTACGACCACACCTCCACCCTCGAGCTCACCAGTATGGCTCTCTGGCGGCGTGCATGAGCGGGCACTGGCGCTGGCGCTAGTGGTAGTAACGACCGGGGAAGAAGGGGCGAAGCTTGATGCGGATCCTCACGATAGAAAACATGTAGCCATCAGTAGATACGGACATTTAGATAGATTTTTCGATAGTTAGGTAGGGTGCACTGGATGCATAACCCCCTTGGACAGCCTTCCCTTGGCTCCTCTGCTTCAGTTCCTCGTCTCCGGTGTAGCATAAGCTGGAGGCCTGACTTCATAGCATGGGTCATCGCCACGTGAGGCATGGGACGAGCCTTTCTTTGCTTTGGATCCCCAAAAGTTGAGTCCAGTCGCGCTCAGACTGTTGACTTTACCTTTTTCTCTGCATACATCATCACACTTCTGCAAGATGCCTACCTACGAAGCCACCTCCACCGCGCCCGTCAACATTGCAGTCATCAAGTAGGTCATGCAACCCTCTCTTCGGCTGTTCGCTTGACGCGCTCGGACACGCTTGACAACACCGCACAGACCGCTAATTCACAGGTACTGGGGCAAGCGCGATACCGCCCTCATCCTCCCTACAAACTCCTCGCTCTCCGTCACGCTCGACCAGGACCACCTCCGCTCGCAGACCACCTCGCGATGCGACGAGTCATTCGAGAAGGGGGACAGGCTTTGGTTGAATGGGAAAGAGGAGGCGGTCAAGGCGGACGGGCGATTGGGGGTGTGTATTCGGGAATTGAGGAAGATGAGGAGTGAGGTCGAGCAGGGAGATGAGAAGCTGCCAAAGGTGCGCGCTATTGCGGTCGTGAATGTGGAACACAGGAAGTAGACTGATTCCCAGCTGTCCCAATGGCCCCTGCGCATAGCCTCATACAACAATTTCCCTACTGCCGCCGGTCTCGCTTCGTCCGCATCCGGCCTCGCCGCCCTCGTCGCCTCCCTCGCCCAGCTCTACGAGCTCCCCCAATCCCCCTCCCTCCTCTCCTGCATCGCCCGTCAAGGCTCTGGCTCGGCCTGTCGGTCCCTCTTCGGTGGCTATGTCGCCTGGCGCGAAGGCACCTCCTCAGACGGGTCCGACTCACTCGCCGAGGAGGTCGCGTCCCGGGACCACTGGCCCGAGATGCACGCCCTGATCTGCGTCGTTTCCGATAAGAAGAAGGGCACGTCCTCCACTTCCGGGATGCAACGGACGGTCGAAACTTCCCCTCTGCTCCAACATCGCCTCACCCTCGTCCCCGGCCGTATGAAGGAGATGGAGTCGGCTATCGCTTCTCGGGACTTTGACGCCTTTGCGGCGCTCACCATGGCCGACTCGAACAACTTTCACGCGGTCTGCCTGGACACCTCCCCTCCCATCTTCTACCTCAACGACGTCTCGCGCGCACTCATCGGTCTCGTCGAGGAACTCAACCGCGCGAGCAAGGAAGCGACCGGACACCTCATTGCGGGGTACACGTTCGACGCGGGACCCAACTGCGTCATCTATGCCCTCGAGGGCAACATTGCCACGGTGATCAGGGCGGTGCAGAGGTATTTCCCGACCGAGGCGGCGTTCCCGGATCCGTTTGGCGTGCTGGGAGGGAAGGAGGCTGGGGAGGTGGATGTCAAGGGGTTCAATGTCGAGTGGAGCTCGGCGTGGGACAAGGGGAGCGTCAAGAGCTTGATTCATACGCGGGTGGGAGATGGGCCGAGGAAGTTGGGCCAGGAGGAGAGTCTGTTGAAGGAGGATGGGACGCCAAAGACTGTGGTCTAGGGCTTGGACCGAGGAGATTGCGGACCGGAGGGAGAGAAGGGAGGGCATAGGGAAAATAATTGGGTCTATAGCCCTATTGCATGGTATCTGCTGGTCAATTGCTCTCAACTACCCTTTAATCGCACCAGCTGCGTTGGCGTTCGATACAACAGAAGGAGAGGCAACGAGGAGACTACTGATACATGCGCAACAAGCAAAGATGGCTATGACTACTGAATACAGATAAGATTCGACAGACTGATGATACAGATTTCCGTTTGATTTACTTCTTCCTCCTTCTCCTCTCCTCTCGATTCGACACCGCCTATCTCGGGAGATAGGGGCCACGACTCATTAACATGGGCTTAGGCCCGGGTCATGGTGTGCCCCGACCCGCTCTGCCTCGCCGCAGCCGCCCGGCAGATCTTGTTACGGAGTGACTGGTCCGTCCACTGCATGGCGTACTGGTTGGAGCGGAGCTGTTGGCCAGGGGTGTTCTGCTGGGATTTGACGGCGGAGGTTGCGGAGAGGCCAGTCGAGGGTCTGGGTTGTCAGTCAGGATCATCGCAGAGGGCATGGAGGGCAAACGGGACAAGACGGGCGGGGCAGGTATCTGCGTATTGCGGAAAGTAAGGATGGGCTCATAGAGCGAAAAGTAGGACTCACGCAGATCGGCAGAGATAGTTGAGGCGCTTGATACCGGCCACCTGGGCAGCGGAACGGACGAACGAAGGTGAGACTGCCATGATCAGATTGATATTCCCGATGAGGTAGATGAGCAGACGAGGAAGGGGACGAGGTGGGGATGGAGACCTTGTACTCACCCATAGTGCGAGAGTTGGGAAGGAGAAGCTGGAACGCGGAGAGGCTATGAAGGGATCGCGTGCTCGAAGGAGGTCCGAGGAGATTAGATCGAGTGGTGTCTCAGACTGGGCGTTCCTTTGGTTCCCTTTGAGTATGGAGCGAGGCAGATGGAGTACTGGAGAGGAGTCAAGGGGGCGAGCCGATGCAAAGCTAAGGCTACAGAAAGTGAATGGATCACACGATACAGCAACTAGAGACAACGCGAGGGTGTTTTGGCAGATGGTGGGGGAAATTCCAACCAAGGGGGGGGGAGGATCGAGGGCCACTATATACCGCCGCGGTGCCTGACTCCTACATGTCAGCTTGGCTCGGGAGACGTTGCCGAGCTCCGGCACTCGCATCGACGTCCGACGGCGCCGACAGCGTCAGCGGGCAAGCTGCAAGCGGACTATAGTGGCACCGGACCAATCGTATCCCTGTGACGCACAAAGAGGGACCCCGTATCTCCCCCTTCTTCTCGGCAGTGTACCAAAAGATTATGAGACAGGCACGCATCGCGGAAGGGCTCACAAGGGCACAAGGCGGAGGAGGAGAGACATTTCTCGGTCCGTCGGAGAAGAAGAGAGAAGTGGGGCCGCGGCGAAGCTCGTGGACGTCAGAAGTTACGGGAAAATGACGCTGGTGGATGTCAGCCGTAGGGAATAAGGTTTACTGGATTCCCCGGTTTCAGGACATGTTTCAGGGCGATTAGGACTTGTTAGCAAATTCAGCGGTTTAGGGGTTAGCGGAATCAGAATTGAGGGGTACAAGTATTAGCAAATCTTGCGCCAAGAGAGGCAAGTGGTTAGGTGGACCCCAAAAGCTAATTGATCTAGTCCGCAGGTGAGAGTGGCGGTTGGTTGTGAAGTGGCGGCGAGTAGCCAGGCTCCTATGCAACAGGGAGCTTGTTCGAGTGAGAGAGAGCGTGTAGGGCCTGGGTCAAGCTACAGGGTAGCTGATGTCAGGAGCAACATATGATACTTTCAGATACGCTCTCCCGTCCGGTCGTCCCCCTCGACTGTCCGTCTATATCTCCATCGCATCAACTGCTCGGAGCTCGCTCACTCCCGCGTCAAGCCGCCGCCACCATCGCCAGACTCCCATACACCTCCTTCCTCACGGCAAAGTACACCTTCCCTACGCTGCCCTCGAGCACCACCTCTCCCTCCGCGAGCTTCCGTACCGCGACGATACTCCCGGGCTTGACGTCCGCCTCGGGATCGGCTGTACGTGCCGCCACGCCCGGACCGCAGATGATGACACCCTCTCCGGCGAACTCTGCGGGTATGCCCGCGGCGTTCAGACGGGCCTTGAGTTGTGCGAGTCGAAGATCGCCGACGAACAGCGAGCCAGGTAGCGATTGTGCCGTTTTTGAAACTGACGAAGCCGAGGCGGGGATGGGCTCGACGAGAGCGAGCTCCTGGTCCGGCTCCTGCTTAACCATGATGTCCGCCTCGGCCTCCTTCTCCTCTACCGCTGCGACGGGGATCGCCTCCAGCTTGACATGACTGGCTTCCAGGGTCGGGACGGTCGACCCTGCACCGAGCGAGATCCGCCCGTCAATCATGACGACCTCATAACCCTCGAAGCGGGCCCATTTGGCCGCGAGCGTAGAGGTGATGCTGTCCCCGAGATTGAGCGAATAGGACTGGACGTGCTCGCCGATCGTGATGGTCTCGTTGGTGGAGGGGGCGTAGATGTCTTTGGGGGAGAATGAGGAGGCAAAGAAGGAGAGGAGGGATTCGGTGGTGGATCGGGAAGAGCGGACGAGGATCTGAGCATCAGCTTGGCGTACGAGGTAGACATACCAATTTACGAGGCTGGATATCCGAGATGATCGTCTTGATAGCTTGCCCATCGTGCAGACCGTCCATATCGACGTAGAAGATGGACGCTTTCAGATCGACAGTGACCATCTCGGTCACGTATTTTGATGGCGGTTCTGGTGGTGCTTTCTATCCTCATCAGCCCAGTCCCCTCTTGTCCGCGCGCAACACTCACCTTCTTCTCATCATCCACGACCTTGCGCCTCTTGGCTTCCCTAACTTCCTCCGTCTCGCCCTCCTCCTCAATTTCTCTCCCTTTCCGGACCCACTGTCCCACGTCCAGCCCCTCCCCATACTCATCCACCTTCCGCCCCATCCTGGTAATAAACGGGAACATCCTGAACCTCGTCATCCCTCCGCCGGCTGCTCCATCATCACCGCCCTTAGCCCTCTGCCGCGTCTGCTGACCCTTCACAAAGATATCGAAACTCATCTGCTGCGTCGAGTCCGTCTCGCCCGCGTAGGCGTTGGCGTTCGTTTCGGGTCGGCGAGCAATGATGATCCCGTCGTCTGGAGTCCCTTCCGATTCCGACTCAGAGTCCGTATCGAGGTCGTCGGCTTCAAGCATTCGGCGCGAGCGATCAGCGGCGGCTTTAGAGGCGGCTTCGCGCTCCTTTTGGAGACGCTCGGCGTCCATAAAGTCCTCGAGCTCGGCGCCCATGAGCGGGACCTTGGAGTTCATCTGAAGATCAGCTATGTTCGATTAGGCTCGAATATCCACGTCAACTGACCTCGATCCCAAGCTGCTCAGCTGTTGACGAGGGGTTTCCTATTCTTCCTCGGCCCCACCTGGCCGTCTCTGCCTGCTCTCTCTCCCATGATTCGAAGAGTTCGCGCGTGAGCGAGCCCTCCTCCCCTCTATTCGTGAGGAGCAGGACATTCCCCTCTGTCGACGCCATGACGGTGAACAGCCATCTCGAGGGTCCATGCGACATGCTAGGCGGAACAGCGAGGACGACTTTGGGTCGGCTGAGGGGATAGGCCTGGATGAGGTCTGTTGGTGTAGCAAAGAATTGCACGTGCCTATCGCATCAGCTCGTGCCGCACCAACAAAGACCATCATACTTGAAATCCAAAGCGCCAAACTCCGAACCAGTCTCCACGCGCTGTTTCCGCTTCTTCCCGCCCTTCCGCCGTTCCAGCACATCCGCCTCGTGTGTCCCTCCCAGCTCGCGCACTACTCCGCCCATCCACTCAATCAGGCTCCGCCCGAACGAGAGCATGTCCAGCGCTGAGCGACTGACGACGCATAATGGATGTGCCCATTCTTTGGCACCGCGCTGGCGATTCGAGAGCTGTTTGAATGTCCAGTGCTGGTCGAGGAGTACGAGGAGCTCGAGGAGACGCGGAGAGGGGTCGGAGGGCATAAGTACAGAGTGATTGGTTTCCAGCGTTGATGTGATGACGTCTGGACTGTCAGAGTGTACCAAGATAAGGGACATACCTAGTATCGCCGCTTCCCTGTCTTTGCGCTTCGGGTTGATAACCTCCCCTCGCCCCGCCTCCACAATCAACAGATCAGGCCTGATCAGACCCTCGTCATAGCCCATCTCTCCGCCATGTCGGCCCATGATCCCATCGAGATGTCTTTCGGAGGTGTGATTAATTCCCAATGCGTACAGAGCGGTTCCGGATGTCGGCGAACGTATCTTGAATAGCGTTCCGCCCAGAGTATGTCCGGAAGGATAGGAAGTGAGAAGTAGGTGCGAAAGATTGCCTAGCCATCAGCTCGCTACCCCTGTACAGGGCCGTAAGAGCTCACCTCCAAGATGCAATGGCTGATGGTATCGGACAGGCTTTATCCAGTCAAAAGCCTCATGTACTTCCTCCACAGTCGGCACAAATGGGCCCTTCAACGGCTTCTTTCCCTTCTCCACTTTCTGTACATCCCCCATTGTATCGTCCCCGTCTTCCTGCTTCACTTCGCCTGAGCCCTCCTCCTCAGCAGATCCAACTTTGACTTCGGACCGCCATCCCTCAGCTTCGGTCAGACACACCACTCGGCCCATCTCCAATGTCGGCTGAGTCGCGTAGACGGGACATGTAAGGCCCCAGTGTGCTCGGGCGAAGGGGTAGAGGCCTATGTATGAAGTCGGGGTATGCGAGAGGAGGACGAGGGATAACGTCGGAGCAAGTCTGGCAAGTCAGCTCCTCTCTGGCAATTCAAGCGGTGAACTAGGCTCACTCCCGGACTTTCTCCTCATATGACCAGTCTCCACTCGCCGCGCTCGCTCGATAATCCCTCTGGCCCATGTCCAGGAGGATCCTCGCCTCATCCACCTCGAGCAGATAGCATACCGGCTCCGAGGTGGAAGACGAGGACGCCGAGGCGGATAATGGAGTAAGAGTGATCATTCCGGCGGCGGTCTCGGCTCAGGGTGCTCGATGATCGGGCAGCAGATGTCCTCCTCGTCTACTCGAGGGTATGAGGATGGAGTCTATCGAGGTAGAGATGCAAAGGGATAGATAGATGACCAGCTTTCCCGTGACTTTCTCAAACTCAACCGTGCCTGAATTTAGGTTTCACACCTTGGAAACGTCCTTCTCACTCTGTCATCAACACCTTCTCTCTCTAGCATAAGTATACGACCCAGACGACCCGCACGCTCCCTACAGAACAGCGACGACCTCAACAGAGCTGCCTGCAGGCGTCATGAGTGACGCGTAGAGCCCACTCCAGCTCGCATCAGCCATCAAGACGGTCCTCGCACCGCCTTCCTTCCCCTTCGCTGCAGCTATGTCAGCCTCTCCTACGCCCTACTCAGACGCTGCGGTCGCCACGCCGCCCAGTGCAGCTGAGGTCCGCTCCCAGGCTATAGCCAAGCTCAAGCGAGCGGCCTCTTTGCCGAGGCAGACGAACGGTAGACGTCCCAGCCAGGGGACTACTCCGCAGCCGGACTTATCGCTCGAGCGCAATGGGTCTTTCTCCACTCCGGAGCGTCACCTCGACGCAGAGCATCCAGAGGAGGTGCTGTCCCCTTCACCTACCGTGGGGACATTCGACGATAGCCCTTATCACCCATATATGAATGGCGGGGCGTCCCTCCAACGGTCCGCTTCAGCTTCCTCGTCCTTCCATATACCCACCCCGCCTCATCTCGCTGGCTATAATCAAGTCGGCACCCCGCTGTCCATACCCCTTTCCGGAGACTCCCCTACGCGCGAATGGTCCTCCGCCCAACTCACCCCATCCTACTCCGCCCCATTGACAGTCCCCGTCGGTCATCCCGTTTCTGGCCGGAACACTCCGAGTCCCCTTCCGACGCTGGGCGAGCTCCGGACGCTTCAACGCTCCAATAGCGCCGCCGCGCGCGCGAGGGCGATGGACAAGTTGACGGGTGGGAGGGAGACGCCGGCATTCGAGGATCAGGCGTTGGATATGACGCCAACTCGGCCGGGACTGCAGCGGGCAGACTCGCTCGGCGCGCCGAGGATGCTGGCTCCAGCTGGAGCGGCGGTGGTGAAGCCTGCACTGAAGGCGGATCATCCCCCGGTGGCGTTTGTGGATCCGAAGCCAAGGTTGCAGAGGAGTTTTACGGTGGGAGGGAGCAATATGGGCGAGGAGAGAAGAAGCGCGGTAGGGAGGAGGATGGTGGCTAGGTTGGGGGAGAGGAAGCAGGCGAGGGAGACCGAGGAGAATGAGGTACGGCAGCTGTGGGAGGAGAGGAGGGCGGAGGTGCAGCCTGAGCAGCACGCGGAGCAAAAGGAGGGATCAGAGGATGACCGAGAAGAAGAAGAGTCAGAATCGGCGGAACCAGAGCGGGGATACTACGAGAACAGCACAGACGAGGAGGAAGAGGAAGATTACGACGAGGAAGACCAAGCACCAGTCGTGCCTGGCCTCGTACGCTACTCGCCCACCGAACCCCCTTACCCCGGCCTCGGTCCACGTCACCGGGACGGCCAACTCGGTATACCGGTCGATGACCGTCCATCCTCACGTACCACCCAAATCTCCGAGGGTGATGCCTTCGAATACGAGTCTCACCTCCGCCGGAGCTTGTCGAGCCGTACAGCTCGCGGCGCAGTCGGGACTGTTACCGAAGCTCTTCCCGCTGGCCCTTCTCGCCAAGCCAACCACAACGATGTGGAGCAGCTACACTACGCCGATACTACCCAAAACGGCGGAGGCGGGGCCGAGACGCCCTTCTATACCCCATCGACAGAGGCACCGTTTTATGACCTCCAGCCACCAAATCTACCATACGCTACGCCTTCAAGGCATGTCGCCCGTGGATCGGACGGGACGGATTCAACCTATTCGCCTGGCGGGGACTCGACGCTCTCGGGCGACGGGCTGCAGTCCATGATGTTTGTGATGGGAACGGGAGGGCTGGATCATGGGATTAAGAGGGAGACGGGGGGATTCCCGGTGGATGTGTCGGAGAATGGGTTGAGTAACTGGGGGACGCCAGCGAAGGATCATGAGTCTCACCGTAAGTTAGATCTCGGGTGACCTTCTTGGTTCTCAGGATATCAAGCTGACCAAGCAGACTACAATCACCCTTCCACATCCTCCTCTATCAGCAGTCCCACTCCTGCGACCCACAATCCCCCTCCGAGCGCATTTGACAACACCGTCACTCCCCTTGAGCTCTCCGCCCGATCGTCCGTCATGTCATGGGAAGAGCTCGGCGGGGATGCGGACCGCGAGATCCCCAGTGATGCTCAATACTCGCAACACAAAAAGGCCGGCTCGATGTCTAGCAAGGTCGGGCGGGTCGTCAAGGGCGCCATGCGAAAACGGAGCCAATCCCGCTCTTCTACGGGAAGCACCACCTCCGTCCCCCGATCGCCCAAATCCCTAGGCGAAGCCCTCTCGGTCGCCGTCCAGTCATTCAGCAGTCGGCGGGGATCCGCATCCAGCGTCTCCCCTTCGCAGGCGTCGGTGGCGCGCTCGTTCGTCCGCGGATCACCTATGAGCCCGCAGGGCGAGTTTGTGCGGCATCAGCCCTCCGTCAGCTCGTTGGCGCCATCCCTGCTGGATGAGTCGTCGGCGAACGGGCTGTTGTTGCAGCATCAGCTCTCGAATGATCCTCAGCCGATCCTAGAGATGCCCCGCGCAAAGATGGACGATCCGCGCGTCTTCAACTCGAAACTCTCGCCGTTCCCAGGTATCGAGCCGAAGAAGACGGTGGCCAATGGTCTGGCGGTCCCGGAGCAGCCGAGATTGCTGCATCAGTCGTCAGACTCGGCGGTACCTACTCAGCAGCGCGTGACGCCCCAAGTTCCGGATTCGATTCACTCGTTGCCGCTTCCCCCACCTGCCCAGCCGCAGCCGCAGTCGCAGCCGCCGTCGCAATCATCGAAGCGGGACAGAAGGGGGTCGGATGATAGTATAGGCCGGAAAGGATGGCTCGCCAAGGCCAAGGCGTTCGGCGCGGGAACGTCACCTCGGTCCTCGGGCGGAAACACGTCCCGCAAATCGAGCATCACCGACCAGTGTCACACGTCCATCTCGCGGCTGTCGCCAGAAAAGAAGCATGCGGCATTCGTGGATGAATCGGATCCGTTCGCGGCTCCTCGGCCACCCTCGGTCAGTCGGTCCCGCGCGGTCTCGCCCAGCGTGTCGACGGTGGCTGAGGGGAATGAGGAGGGGCACCGCCTGACGCAGTTTACGGTGCATCGGAGCGCGAATCAGACGCCGGTGCATCCGGTTATTGAGGAAGAGGGTGGGGCGGAAGCGACGAGCAAACAGGAGACGAAGCGGCGAAGTCTCCCGCCGAGGTCGTTGGAGATGCTCGGGAGGATGGATGAGGTGTTGGCGCTGGGTCCGGATGATCCGGCCAGACCAGAAATACTGGATGATCCGCCGAGGAAGCTGTTGTTGGCTACGCAGGTCTTGCAGGTGGTGGATGCAAATGTAAGTACAGCTGCATACCGGCGTAGGAATTGAGCTGATATCGTAGACTGTCAAAGATCGATACCTCCTGCTCTTCAATGACATCCTGGCGATCTGTAAACCCATCATCGAGAGCGGTCCGTCAGCCAACCTCGACATGCGCTTCGTCGTCAAGTCGATCGTGTCCCTGGACAAGCTCCAACCTACCGGCTTTACGGATGATGGATCTTCTCCTACGTCCAGTCGGGAGGGGCTCATCAAGGACTTTGTCCACCGGTTCGCTGAGGACCCATTTGCGGCGTGCTCGTTCCTCATCGGCCAGTCTCAATGGAAGGACGACCTCGCTGGACTTGCCAGGACCCTCCTCCGTGTACCAGAGCTCGACAAGACCCAGCTCGGCCTCCTTCTCGCATCCGAGACGGCCATCCTCCACGTGTATCTTGACACACTCAACTTACGTACCGTCCATATCGACGAAGCCCTCCGGACCCTTCTCCTCTCCCTCCGCCTTCCTTCGAACCCCACTTCCGCCGAGCGCATCCTCACCGGCTTCGCGTCGCGCTACTACGCCGCCAATGCCCATGACGTACCCTACGACCTGGAACGCACACACTCGCTCGTATCAGGCATGATGATGCTCACTGATTCCATTCACGATGGGGCATTCGGGTTCGGCACCCATAATCCCGGACTCACCGTTACCGTCTGGATAGCGGCATTCGGGGAGCGAGATCCAGATCGACTCGTGGGCGCCGACCTCCTCCGGTCGATCTACACGTCGATTCAGCGGATGCCGTTCCAGGCCCCGATGGGTGTGGAGGCGGAGGAGGAGGCCAGGCCAGTGCGGTTCAGCCCGGAGAAGCTGGCTAGTCGGTTGACGTACAATGCCTGGTCTGAGCCAATGACGATCTCTCTTCCTGCGGCGGATGCGGACCTCCAGGTCAGGCTGTATGGGGAGGGATTGGAGGTGGAGCCGGCGGTTTTGGACTTCGCGAGGAGTAAGGAGGCGACGTTTAGAGTGAGAGGGACGAGTCTGGGAGGAAAGACGCTCATACTCTCTCGAGTGGGCAGGAACGCGTAAGCCCCTGAGTCGACTTGTTTTGACATTGAAGCTGATGTGTAGTCCTCTTTATCCGTCGCTCAGTATAGCCAAGACCTTCCACGTCGAACGGGCATTCATGAAGCACACTTTCCACCTCGCTTTCGCCACCCCCACGGGCCTCAAGCGGCGGTACTGCTTCTCCCTCCCCGACGCCGAATTGCGCACCAAGTGGGGCGTCCTCCTTCCTCGTCAAACGGCAATTACGCGGCAAAAGAAAAGTACGCCCGCTACGACACCGGGGCAAAAGATCAGAGCGGCGGCGGAGGCGGTGGCGCTCTTGGTGTTAAGGGATGCGTTGATATCGCCGTCACCATCGGTGAGGGGGAGGGCGGAACGGTCAGGCAGTGTCAGTGCGGTTTATCCGAAAGACCAGCAGAGGGGCGAAGGGGCCAGGAAGGGGGAGTTTGAGAAGCATGAGCATGGCGCAGGGTGCGGAGCGGGGACTAGGGGGTTCATGGGGGATACGACGGGGAAGGAGGTCGTTTTGGTGTGCAGGCAAAATTCGGTCTTGCCGAGTATGCTGGAGCTGCTTCAGGCGGGATCAGAGACGAAGGATAGAGGGGAGCGCTTTTGAACTTGACGCCGACGACGGGGTATAAGCGTCATAGACGAATGGGACGAAAAGAAACGAAAAGCAAAGCATTGTATACAGAATCATCATGGGATTTGGGCGCGGGAAAAAGGGACGTAGTCATAGATCAACATTGTAGTATAGCAACATAGCAACCTCTTGATAGGCCCCTGTATAATGCAGTATATGCATCATGCCCCATTTGACACGCTCGAAGGACTAGTAGAATGCGACAGTGTGGAGCAGGGTGTGTGGGTGTCGATCCGCGTGAGCGAGGAGGATATCGTCAATCTCCATATCGAGATCCGAGGCCTTTTCGATCTGGGGAGTGAGCTTCGTCCGATCTGTACAAGGAGTAACTTACAGCTTGTGCCAACGCCAAGATGGCTTGACCAGCTATCAGCGCTTCTTCTGGATTGTCCTTGATCTCAAAGTTGATAACGTGTATTGGCCGATTATACTCTCCGCCTCGAGTCAGGAGGTCCGCTGATCAGCTCGACCGTTTACTGAAGGCAGAGTCTACTCACCATCGATGACCGCATCATAGCATCGCTCTTCGCAGGTGATGACCACATCCGCCAATACCGATTTCTGCTCATGCCACTTCTCTGGGGCGAGCTTGACTTTGCGATTCCGGTCTAGCATCGGTAAGAGGCCATTCCGAGTATATCTGCTATGTCAGCTGTACTCTCCAAAGGCAGGAGGCAGTCTCCAAGCTTACAAAGCGCGGTCTTGAGACTCAAGGTCACGATATATTGTATCGTATGGCGTGCCGAAGCGGTACACGTTTGGTTTGTCTATAGCCGTTCCAGGAAGACGTACGGCTGAGCCTGTCCCGGCTGAGATGACTCGGAAGGCCGCTTTCCTGCTGTATCAGCCATAGTAGCGCTATTTGAAACAGTCAAGACGTACTCTAGCACCATGTGAGCTTCCATCGAGCGGTTCTGAGCAGGTCAGCTGGAATCCCACACTGCGGACAGCTGACTCGGATGCTGTGCAAATCACGTTATTACTAGCGCAGACCACGCAGAATAGGGGCCTCTTCTTCGCCCGCGGCTCCGTCGAGCCACTGACCATGTCCCCATCCCCTACACTGGCTGATGTCCCCTCATTCCCAGGTCCAGCGCCTACTGCCCGCGGCACCGGCGTCGATGTAGACGAGCCGGCACCCGGCGGTGGTGTAGGTGTAGAGTACGCCTGTGGTGTCGATGCCTGCTGATTCACCGCCAGCCGAGGATCTGATGGGCGTATCCGAGGGTCCGCAGGTGGATAGGAAGGGGTAGGCGCCTGGATGTTCGAGCGGTTCAAGCGTGGATCCTGAGGGTTTGAGTATGGAGACGAGGATCCAGACGATGGAACGCTGCCGTATCGATTCTGCGGGGGTGGTCCGCCATATTGACCATTAGACTGAGGGGGAGGGGCGTATGACGACTGGGAGTTGTACTGCCCTTGACCGGGAGGAGGGTAGTTGGAGTATCCTCCTCCGTTTGTCGGGCGTCGAGGATCCATCTCTTCAGAGTTTGAGAGCGTGCGTGGGCTATTGGGACCTCTTGTGGCCTGTAGATGACCTAGGTAAGCCTTGGAGATGGATGCCGAGGTAGAGATGCAATGTCAATAGGTGGCTGAAGGTGGAGTTGAAATTAAGGTTTGGTCGAAATCCTCCTTCACCAACAGAGAGAGGTATTTCGACTTTGTACTATAACTTTCTCTACCTTCCTTCACATCTACCTATCACAGCTAGCAGCTCGTAAGCGCTCAGGGAGGAGGGCTGTCTATCGAGCGCGACTAGGGAGCTTCAATCTGCACCCCGCGAAGCCGTGTGACCTTCGCAATCGCCCTTTCGCCATGGCGTCCACATTTTTCCCCTCTCAACTCATCCACGCCCACCTTCCCGCTCCTTCCTCCGGTCCGCTAGCCATTCCCGAGCTACGCATACCAACCGAACGCCCCTATCCTACCGGCTCCAAAATCTATACGGAGCCCCTTCATTCCAATCACGCGGTATCATCCGTCCGGGACCCGTCGACCGGTATTCTCGCGCGGTCAATACGGAACGGCTATGCTCTGGAACTACGGACGCTCAATCCGGTAGTGGCGAAGGACAGGTGGAGAGAGGCAGCAGGGAGCGAGGTCGTGAGGATCAGCTTCCCGGACCGACTCCTACCCCTCACGGACGGCTGTGTTTCGCTTTCGACAAGCGAGAACAAGCTCTTCGTGATTGTCGTAACAGAAACTACGGTGGTCTACCGGCTCAGCTTCCCGCTTGGAAGCTTTCGGCCGGGCAAGGGGGATCGATTCGCATTCTCGACAAAGAAGGATGAGTGGTGTGAGGAGTACGAGGTGCCGGATGAGGTGATTGCCGCTTCTACAGGGGTGGGATCCTGGATCGTGCTGGACGAGCAGACGGTGGTGTTGGGCGGTACGGATGGTGGGATCGTCAGATTGGCAAGAACAGGGCAGGATGGTTCAGGTGAGTTTTCTAGCCCCGCTTCTGCGAGACGACGCTGACATGTAGTGTTCTGGACGGCGGCGCATTATCGCCCAACCACCAAGTTCCGCCTGCCCTCCCTCTTCTCGCGTTCGCAGCAGGACGAGGAGGTCGTCTCTTTCGCTAGACATGCGGGAGAAGGCGGCTCCGTCCTGTATGGCCTATCGCGAAATCGTCGGCTACGCACATGGCATGTCGAGACCGGGACATGCCTTCGGACGCTCGATGTTCGGCCGTCCACCTCGACTGAGCTTGTGCAGTACAACGAGTCGACTCCCCCTCGGAACGCTTCCTCCTCCACCTCTCTCCTTGAGGGTGTGGCACAGATCAAAGTCATCCGCCATCCCTCCTCCTCATCGCGCTACTCGCATCTCGTCATCGCCTACTACCCCACCCCACACAGCCCCTCATCGGCCGGTTCCTTTGTCGTCTACCGCGGGTCAGACTCGACCGGCTCTACGGATCTCATCCAAGCCGGTGCGCGGTCCTGCTCGTCCGCATCGGCCGGAGCAGAGATGCGCGGCTTCGAGGTACTGCCTCCTTATGTCCGGGAAGGGATGAATACTGGCTGGCGGATGCAAGTGGCTTGGGAGAGCAAGGGCGGGCTCCAGGTGGAGACAGTGGCGATGGACGATATCTTCCAGTTCACCACCACGTACCTCGACCACCCCTCCTCCTTCCTCCTCACCGAATGGCAACAGGCCTCAGAATGTACCGACGCGGACCAATTCGACGCAGCCTACTTTGACAATCTGCTCGGTCCCGATGCCCCAGATCCGGCCAATCCCAACGAGAACTCGGACATCACCATCACCTTTATCGACCACCTCTTCTACCCCGGTCGCTTTTCCATCCTTACCCTATCCGCTGCGCTCGAGGAGTATATCCAAAGCCTCTCCAGGCATGGCGTAACCCACATCGTCACCACCGCCAACGGCCTACCGACCCTGCAGCGCCGCTTCGCCTCCATCGTCGGCTGCCACCTCCAGGTGGAGATGGATCTACAGACGGGCGCCCCGGTCGTCGAGGCGTATCGGAATGATCTGAAGCTGGACTGGCTGGGGATTTGGGCGCGGGTCCGAGACCTGGACAAGCAGGGCCGGTGGGCGGTCCACACCGCTGTCGTCGACAGGCAGGTGTACGTCCTCACTCGCGAGGGCGTCTCAAGCACGGCTGTTCAGGACGTCACTGGAGTGATCGCCAAGTTTGCCAAGTCGTCCGAGACTGTGGCGGACTTCCGGGCACTGCCAGAAGGGGCCATGCGGCATCTCTACCCCGGCCTCGCCGCTCCCAAAGCGAGGTCTGGCGCCGTGGCTTTGTCCAGTGCAGGAGCCTTCATCGCCTCCACGCTGTCCGGCGCATCGGCGGAGGACGGTCTCGCCAACGCGCTCGAAGACGTCACTTTCGCCATGAAGTCGATGTTTGCGGGTGGGATCCAGCAGCCCATCGAGATGCTCGCTGGGGAAATGTGGGACGAGGCTATCGAACCTTACCTTTCGGACGAGGACCGGACCACTATTCGGCGCCTCCTCTCGGAGTGCCTTGACGTCCGACGAGCACTCCGCGAGGCGCTAGCCATGTTGACCAGGACCCTCTCCCTTCCCTCCACCGCTCCATCACTCAGTGACTCCTTCTCCGGCTTTGGAAACGCCCTCATCACCGCCTCGATCGCCGCTACCATCTCGGACCGGTATACCGCCTCGCTCGATACCCTCTTTGTCGCGCTCTTCCACCTCTCGGAGTCAGCGGACGTCACGGCGGAAGATGACGAAGCCGAGGACTTTATCGAGATCCTCAACCAGGCGTTTGTGGTGTATCACCGATATGCCGTTCTCAAATGGGCCACAGGCCAGACAGCGGACGAGGCCGTTGAGGTATCCAGGCAGAAGGGGAGCACAAAGAGAAAGGCGGCGGCGGGAGACGATGTCCTTGCGGAGGGACTAGGCGGGCTTCAGGTCGGGGATGACGAGGGAGCCAACGACGGGTTCGACGCGTCGTACTCGCTCCTCCACTCCCTCTTGGACGGGCAGCGCAGACAGCCCGTCCCGCTCGGCTCGATCGATGTGGTCGCCCAAGCGGCGGAATTACTCGTCGCTACCTCGGGCTTAGTCAGTGATGATATCACCGAGGTCGACCCGTCTACCCTGGACGTCGGCTTTGGCTATTCTATCCTCGCGACCGGTCTGCCGCTTCTGGCAGGGCGGTTTGCGGATCTGTACCCCCTCTCGGCGGGTATGGCTTATATTCGAGGACGAGCGTCTATGGAGGCTGGGTTCGTTGGGCAGGCAGTCAGGAGCTTTGAGCAGGCTTCAGTGGGGTGCAAGGGTAAGCATGCCCCACTCGTGTGAGAGAGCGGGGCTGATGCTCGCAGACGGCTCCATCTCGCAGATCCTGCCGAGCTGCGCCGACCCCACCGGTCTCTCCGACTTCTACCGCCACATCGCCACCCTCTTTGCCGAACATGCGCACAACGGTCCCGTCGTCCACTTTGGCCAGCTCGCCCTTCTCTCCTTACCGAAAGATACCTCCGCGCCAAGACCATTATGGACGATCGTATTTCTCGCCTACATCGGGTTGGGGCAGTACGAGGACGCCTATGCGCTGCTCATGAAGACTCCTTTCCTGGACCTGTAAGTGACTCTTACCTCTTCAGATCACATGAGCTGACCGCTCCAGTCAACGCGACTTCCTCGGCCAACTCATCTCGGTGATGTGCGAATCCAACGAGGTCGGGCGGCTAAATCAGCTCGGGTTCGTCGGGATGCAGAAAGACGTCGAGGGTCTTTTGAGCTACAAGGCGAGAAACTCCGACCCGCTCCGGTTCCCGAATTACTACAAGGTGCTGTATTCGTGGTATATCTCTCGAGGGGATTATCGGAGTGGTGAGCTTTCTTATGCCTGAACATATCGGGGGATAAGCTGATAGTATAGCCGGGGATATCATGTATCAACAAGGCCGACGATTTGGGGATAGCTCAACCACCAAGATCTCGGCATTTGAGCTGGCAGCGATGCAGGCGCGGAGTTATCTGGCAGCTATCAATGCGTTGAAGTTGGTCGAGAAGCGGAATGCCTGGTTGTCACTGCCTGGACCACCGCCTAGAGCTCTCCGCGTGAGTTTACTACCGGCAGTGTAAGAGATGGATCTGATGAGACAGGGAGCTAAGCGAAAGAGGATCTCCTCCTACGTACCCGAGGAAGAGTTCAGCCAGGACAAGCGCCCGATCATGATCATCACCCTGGAGGATATCGAGATGGAGTATGCGCTAGTGTTGTCTCGTCTGAGACTGTCGAGTCATATTCAGGATTTGCACGAACACGGTCAGTTGAGATGTGCCGAGCTACTCTGACGGCTGACAGCTGATCAAAGTCAGGTATCTCGGTCTCGCCTGAAGAAGTCGTCGGTCTGCTGGTACAGCGGAACATGTTCGACTTGGCTTTGTCTGCTGCTTCTACCATGGACGTGGATATGACCAGTATCTTCGTCTCGGTAGCTACGAAATGCGTCGAGCTTTCGCGCGTCTCCGATATCAGAGGGTAAGTCCCCCAAACGTCCCAAAGGAGGCTCGGCTGATGACCAGCGATGACATCTCGGCCGCATGGCTACACACCAGCCCGCTGACCTCCCGCCTACGCGGCTCCCCCTCGGCCCTCGCGCAGCGATACCTCCAAACCACTCTCTCGCAGCACGATACCGCCAAGACCCACTTCGCCTACCGCCAAGCCGTGACCAACACCTTCTTCGAGCTGAACGCCGACAAGAATACGGGGTGGCAAATGCCGGCGTGGCTGGTCGAGTGGGAGATGGAGAGGGATGCGGAAGGCTGGATATCTAGCGCGCTGAGGTATGGTTGGGTGGAGGAGGCTGTGGACTGGGCGGCGGAGGTGCTGAGAAGAGTGAGTCATGTGCTTGGTCAAAGGCGGATGTGGCTGGTGGCTGATGTACAGGCTGTACCGCCAGCATTGCTCTCGAAAAAGCCAGACTCGGCTAATGTGCCGTACAACCTCATTGATCGTGTCATCGCCGCGGCAGGGGAAGGGGATGAGAAGGATGATAAGAAGGTGCAGGTGAGGGTCAAGGCGTTGAGGGAGGCGGTGGCGAGGCGGACGGCGGGGCTGAAGAAGCTGGAAGGGCGGTGAGATGGGCGCAGGAGGGGTCGATGCATCTCAGCTGGGAATTTCTGACGTCTGACGAGTTGGCGCTAGGGTACTCATGCGTCCCGGACACAGCTCCGGTGGCGAGAAGGGTATGTCTGATCTCTGGACATGGTCCCATCTGTGTGGTAGCCAACGAGGTCTGTGCGCCGGAAATGGGCTGACCGGTCAGCGTTGGCGGTCCGAGCGCTTGCGCCGGCCGTGAGCCTGAGAATTTGGGATCTGGGCTCAGTTTACCTACTCTCCTTCCTTCCTTCTTCTCTCCTTCGTCTCTTATCTTATTTACTCATTCCCGTACATACTGCTCTTCGTCAGTATGGACTTCCATCGAATCCGAACGCTCGCCTCCGGCTCGATGTACAACCTATACGAGGGCATATTCACGCTCAAGAACTACTCATTACCGCACGTTCTCTTGGCGCTCACTGGCTTCCTCTTCCAGAGCCCTAATACCTCGCCCACATTTTACTTCACCTCCCTCCCCATCCTCATCCACCTCGCCGCAACCTCGACCGTCCCGGAGTACGTCGCAAAGGCCATTGTGCCACTCATCAGCGCGACCACAGGGAGCTCGCTCTTCACCTCGTGGAACCTGGTCTCAAGCGCGGCTCAGGTCATTGCGGGACAGACGGCTTTGTCTGCTTGTGTCGGCCTGATGGCTGGAATGGCGGTCCTCGTGCATCGGCTGGCCATTCGCTTCGGGGGATTGGAGGAAGGAAGCTGGGATACGACCTTGGTGTTCGGCCTGATTTGGGCGGCGGCATGGCTGGTCTTCACTTGGGCTTCTCCTTTTGGACGCTTCGTGAGTTCCTTCCCTGCCTGCCAGTTCTGATCTCTCGATACTGATCGTGATCAGTCCATTCCATCTCCCTTACCGGCGGACATTACCCTGCTCGCTCCCGTCCACAGGTATCTCGGCACTACTGGCGTCGACGCACTCCTCGGGTCGGCTGCTTATGTCGTCTACCATACCGGACAGTACATGAGGCAGGAACTTCCCGCCATCGACGCACCCACAACTCCGCACACTCCGCCTCCAAAAGACTCCGCTCACATCTCAGTCATGGGCAGCACCAGAACCAGCTGCAGCAGCGACTCGGACTCGACTTTGCACTCCACACCCTTCGTCACGCCCTTCGGCTCTTCCTCCGACCGCTCCACAGCACCAGCGTCGGCGTCGCCTGGATCACGCAGGAGATACTCACCCAAAGCATCTATCGCAGCCCTAGCCGCTCTCGGAGGCGTGCTCTCTTCCCTGCCCGAAGCTGTGTTGCAGACGACCTCCGACTCGCTGGACACGCAGACGCCCTTTGGACTCGGCTTCGTCCTTCCGCCCGGCAAAGGTTCGTGGAGGCTGTACGAGCTCGTCCACGAAGCGCAGACCATCGGAAATCGCGCAAACCTCCTCGTCTTCCCTGAGAGCGCTTATCAGGCGTACGACAAATGGGATCGGCAGTACGCGATCGACAAGTTCGTCAGCGAGGTCTGTCGGCAGTATGGGGTGTGGGTCCAGCTTGGGATCGACACACCGTCCGACGAGTATCACATCGAAGAACTCTCACTTGGCGGCGCAAATTCGACCTACACGACTGTTCAGGCTGGCAAGAAGATCAACGAGGTGGTTCTGTTGGGGCCCGAGGGATACACGGGCTCCTATGTGAAGCAGACGCTCATCCCTTGTAAGCGTCTTCTTACCTCCACACGTGGCCAAGCTGATCAACCTTGCAGACGTCGAGTCGTTTCCGTTCCACAGAGGAATCATGCCTGTCCCGACGTGGACAATCAGCCTGCCACCGTGAGTAGCTCTTCGCATCCGCAAGTAATTGCATTGTACCTGACGCTGCAGACCGCCTGGCATCAACAAGACCGACTGGACTCTTGGTCCTCCTTACGTGCGCCCGATCGTCGTCTCCCCCCTCATCTGTCTCGACACCTTCCACCCGGACCTCCTTGCCTCCCCCGAGCAGCCTCCAGATCTTTTCACCGTATCTGCCGCCGCTCTGACCCATAAGATCGCCAGGCACATCGTCGGACAGGCCGAGTCGCTCGCACTGACACAGAATGCGCCGGTGATGGTTGTGGCTGGAAGCAGAGGACGGATGGGTGAGGGGATCAGTGCACTACTGGACTCTTGGGGAAGAGTCTTGATGGAACAGAGAGGTGGGCGGAGCATCATCTACCAGGTCGCCCTTTCCTACTCTCGAGATGGCAAGCCACCGGGCGGGGCGTGGGTGTCACGGAGTACTGGGCTGGCTTGCGCCTTCATTACCATCCTCGGCTTTACGATCACCAAAAAACAGACATCGCGGCACGCAAGGACGTCCGACAGCTTCCCAATGAAGATCCTTACGCGTATCAAAAGCAAGCTCTTCAGTTCGGCATCCTCCACCACCGATACGGACCTGGCAGATACCGCGGCCTACGATCCCCAGCCGACAAGCCAATCCCCTTCCCCACCCTGGCGGACTGATCACCTGCCTTGGAACGGCGGTCAAGGCGGACGAAGGAGCGACAGTAGCCGAGGGTGGAGGCAGTCTGGGGCGGACAGTCAGAGAGGCGCCGGGATTAGTTTGGTTTAGACAAGTCTATAGTAAGACGAGATTCCATAACTGTCTATAGCGTCAAGGTTTGTAGTATCAGCGACACCTCGAGCATAGCATCCTAGATCAGAGAGATACGATTCGCGCAGAGACCCGTAGTACGAGCAATATTTTATGCAGAAGTTATGATAGAGCTACATCTTTACACAGGCTCGACCGGATACAATCGAGGTAGAAGCGTCAGACACCTCGAGACCGCTAATGGCCGGATCGGTTAACATATGCGCCGGCTTGTGGAAGTCAGCCTATGTACCCGATTTCCAGTGAGGCGCCCATGTCAGCATACCAGGGTCTCGATGTCCTCGGCCGAATCAGACGGCTGAAGTACTACTGACAGCGCTGCTGACTCTGTGGAGACCCTATGGGGATCGGGTTGGCTTTGCCACACCGCCACAGGCACGGTAAGGCACGCCGCCACGAAACCGCAGGACTTGCCGGATCGGGCAATTTTCGGGAGCGTTTCAGAAGCGGCTGAAGTCTTGCAAGCAGCTTTCTCCGACGCAGTACACGCAGCTGATGAAATGAAGCCGCTGTAAGGCCCTCCGGCTTACCATGAAAGTGCCAAGCAGCAAAGCTGAAACCCAAACGTGCCGAGCAGAGAAAGGCAGAGGTATGACGAGGAATGCATTTCGGCTCCGCGGACAAGGTTCTCTAGCGCAGCCACCACGGCGTCATCCCGCGTCGCATCGGATGCAGCGAGGAGTCATATATGCGCATCGCCTTCGCTCGATGGGGACGCACCCGCGCGTACTCTTGTGCGGAAGCAGCAGCGTCCTGGCGACGACTCATGGCGACAGCAAGTCCCCCGGCCCGCGCCGACATCCGATCACCCCTGTCACCCAGTGCAATGCCTTGAGCGACTGACAGTGATTCTCATCCCCGGGCACCGTCCTCAAAGTCCAGATTCTGATATCCACGTTCATGCTGTCACTTGCTGTCATGCAGATCGCTGTCTCGGAACAACTCGTTACTCCGGAAACAGCATTTCCATCAATTACGGCATGCAAAACCACCCAATGCGCCATCTCCACTTTCGCATTCCCCACTCTTTCCTAATGCAGCCGGAATGCTGCCACGTCCGCTTGTCAAGGATCGGCAGGCTCATCAGCCACCACAGGTATGTCACCCTAGATCTCCGGGAACCGAGGAACGCAACCTAATCGCCGAGATAATGACCCAATCCGAACTAATGCACCAAATTGCTGATGCCCCCTGCTGAGAGCGCAATCGGCCCGGGATCCAGATGCGCGGATCCTATGACGGTACTTAGACGGCAACTCCCCTCATCCGCAAGTTTGGTAGCCTCCATCTCACTTCTCCATTGAACATTTTTGACCATTCCATCAACTTATTACTGCTGGCCAGACTTTCCATTCCGCGCTGGTCGCACCCATTCATTCGCAAAGACACCTGCAACTCCCACGCATCTTTCGAGGCCTCAAGATGATGCAGCAGTGAGTGCGAGCCGCAACCTTCTCGAGCCCAGCTGACGTATCAGGCGACGAGCCGCTCGGCGATCGGCCGCTCTGAGCGTAGCCCAGCCCCCCTCCGTGCCTACCTCCCCTCTTTACTCGTCTAAACGCCTCGTTCGCCGCATCTCCCAAGCTCCAGGCCAAGCGCATGACGGGTCGTCCTCCGGCTCTTCCTCCCCCGACTCCCTCTACTCGAACAGCTCCCCCACGCTACCCGACCCGGCGTTCGAGTTTGACGGAGGCGAGCAGATTCAGGAGCACGATGAGGCGGAGTACGAGTCGCTCATGGCGGAGAGTGCAGGATGGCAGACTCCGGCATGGGGAACATGGCCGGAGGTAGGGGGACTGGGAGCGGACTGGACGCCTAGTCCCACTCATCACTCACCTTCCGGCGGCACCATCATCTCCATCTCGCCAGCGGGCAGTCTCAACAGTCGGCGCGGTCGCGGGTCACCCTTTTGGTCGGGAGCCAAGGCGCAGACGCCTACGGATGATGTGCGCCGGGGCAGCGATGCTAGTCTACTTGGCTTCAACCTCAACAGCCCAGACCGCAGACGTCTCCCGGCCGCCCGGAGGCGATCGAGCGTCATGTCCAATGGGTCCGTGATGGACCCAGTGGAGGACGCTCGGCTGCGCAACATCAATAGCATGAGCATGCTGCGGAGGCGGTTCTCGGAGGTGGTCGAGATCGCGGCAACGGCGGAGCAGATGCAGGGGCGCCAGGATACATTGGTCGCTCGGCGTATCATGAGTCAGTGGTCGCCTTACTCGGACGCGTCGGAGGCGGAAGACGACGACGATACGTCCGAGATCCACACGGCGCCCTACATCCCTACTCCTCCCGTCCAGCACTCGGTCCCTACAGTCCTCTCCAACTTTCCTCTAGCCTCTACCGCCGCTGCTCCGGACTATGCAGACTCCTCATCCGAGATGCTCCATTCCCAGTCATCCTCGCCCGGCTCGCCTGCCTACCATGCTCGGCCCCTCCCTCGCATCCCCCGAGCACCCCCACCTCGGACCTTCGCTACCCCACCTCCCCCTGATCAGCCCGCCACACTGCTCAAAGAGCGATCAAGGCCGACTCTCTCGCGCGCCATCACGGACTATCAGTTCCCTCCTCGCCCAGACGTCGTGCCTACCGGAGTAGCGGCTCCGCGGCCGGTGCTCCACCGCTCCACCTCTACCCCGTTCTTCTCCGCTTCGGCCAACGGGAGAGAGGCGGCGTCGTTGCTGTCCACCCGCGTCAACGCCATTATGCCCCTCCATCGGCCAATTCCGCTTGGTGTCTCGCCGCTGCGCGCATCGCTCCGTCGTCAGTCGGTAGTTTCGGACGGCGACTCGAGGCGGGGGTCTCTGGTCGAGTCCAGGCGTCCATCACTCGCAGCTCAATTGCCGGACCGCCGCTTCTCAGCAGTCAAGGAGGGGGATCTGAGACGGGCCTCGATGGACAGGCGACTGTCTATCGAGATGAGGCGGATGTCGTTAGAAGGGAGGAAGATGTCTGCGGATGGGCGCAAGGTGTCGATGGAGGGGAGGAAGCTGTCCACGGCGGGGAGGGAGGCGTTGCCGATTGGGCTGAGAATGTCAGTGGATGGGAAGCAGATGGGTGACTCCCGCTCGCTCGCGTCTCCTATCCGGGATAGTCGTCGTGCATCGGCAGCATCCATGCGGATGATCACCACCGTCGAGGAGCGCCGCCGGTCCTCTGCGACCTCTCGCAAGAGCTCGGTCGTCAGTGTCGGAGAGTACGGCTATCTCGCGCCCCAGATCGTCATTGATGCTGCGCCCTCCGTCTCCCCCGAGATGGTCCAGCCCGTCCCCCGCTTCAAGCGCAACGCACCCCCATCAATCGTCCTTCCGGAGTTCAGCTTCCCCTTCCAGGCCACGCCTACTTCCACAACGAGCGCTACCGGGGGTCTCGCCAGTCCAGATGTCAAGACGCCCCGCTTCAACCCACTGGACAGCTTCCTCGGCCGGGCGAGTCCCAGCCCCAACTTGCCCTCTTCGCCGAGTACGGTTTGCCCCCTCTCCCCTCTGCCTACGGAGGACGAGTCGGCCTCGGTCACTCCTACCATCCCGTCAGCCAGTCCTCGGCAGAGCATCATGGATCGCGGCCGGCCGCTCTCACCTCCTGAGTTTCGCGAGTCCTTCCTCCCTCGCTTCCGGGGTCCGTCGCACCATAGCCCAAGGTCAAGTCCGGTCGAGACACTTGCGTCGGTCGCACCTGTCCCTCCACCCGTCCCGGTGGAACAGTCGCGGGCAGCCACTCCTCCAGAGGTTCCCCGACAAGTCAGCAGGAAGGCGGTACCGAGGATCTCAGAGGCGGAACTGATAGTCGAGGAGAGGCGAGATCAGTCTATGCGGAGGCGGAGCAGACGGGGTGCGGTAGGCCAGATGGAGCCAATGGGGTCGTCAGGAAGGGAGATGGCCCATATCCTCGAGGTGGCGCCGTCCCTTATTCAGCGCGAGGCCAGTCCCGTCTTGCCCCCCTCGGTACAGCGCACTGCGACATCGTCTCACCGCCGAGCCATCAGCACCGACCACACCTCCCGCTCTCCTCCGGCTCACATCGGTATGGGCCGTCCTCCCAATCGGCGCCAGGTCACCCTTCCCGCTCCTCTTGCGCCGGTCATTGAGCCAACCAGGATCCGGAAGAGTCACGTCGTTTTTGAGGAGTCTACCTGGGGTAACCCGGCGCATCTTCAACAACCCTTGGCCCCATCCTCCCCGGCCGTCCCCTCCTCTCGGCCCCGGACGCACTCCCGCACTCAGTCGTCATCCTCCCCTGCTCCATCCGTCTCGACCCACCTCACCCACGCGTACGGCCCCTCCCCGCCACCTCGTGCCGAGGGTCTACTTCCACCCGTTCCTCAGCCTCGCTCGCTCGAGAAGTCTGTTCTCAAGCGATCATCGGTCACCTTCTCCGAGACGCCACAGGCAATCCCCAATGCCTCTGGCTCCGCGTCGCGTCCGACCGTCTCTCGCGCGTCATCCTTCACTCGCTTCTTCAAGTCGAGGCCGCAGTCCATCTCGGGTCCCCTGCCCTTGGTGGGTCCGTCCAAGCCGGTGCGCCCGAGTATACGGCCGATGAGTTCGGATGTGGCGGGGATGGGGCATAGCTGGCAGGGGTGAGGATGGAGGTGGAGGTGGGAAGGGTGGGGAAGGTATCTAAAGGATAATTTCGCTAGTTTTGTCAATTATATAGGTCCATATTGCTTAGTGTGATGTATGTCCATAGCCAATCAGCAATTGTCAGCTAGACTTGACTCCAGGCATCCGATAGGTACGACCAAGTCAGTGATTTGTGATGCGGAGACAATCTGCCGCATTGCGTTCGCGGTTAGTCGATAGCCTTCATAAGCATCTAAACCCCACACGAAGCCCAAAATTCCACTCGTAACAACGCCAGATACCGGATTCCCTTCCCGAGCTTCCTCAAAGCTGCTCATTTAGCACGGTACATCGTACAGCAGCTGGAGCCGGGGAATTGAGCCACTGGAGAGATCAGCTTCGCATCCAGCTGCAAGGCCCTCGAGGTGTGTCTAGTAGCTCAGGGGGTCACTCACAGGCAGTAACAGCCTCCGGATCTGAGCAGGAAAGCGCCTTGCGTGTGACCTCATAGGTCGCCGTAAAGTAAAAATTGAAGTTGACGACAGTGAAGCACGAGGATTCGGCGAGCTTGTAGGTAGATGCTATACACGCTACAAGGTCAGCACTGTCTGCTCTGGCAAGCCTCGAGGCTGATTGCTTCAGGTATGTCCCATCGTCATCAGTGACAGTAGAACTCACATGGCATGTCCTCACAAATCTTGTTGCACGCCTCCCGCGTTGCTATTCCAGCATAGTTGGTAGCGCCCACTGCTGAATTGTAGTCCAGATTTGTGAATTGGGCGTAGGGAGTTCTGCCCGTCGAGGTGTACCCCGCACACTGGCTCAAGGGAAAGGGTAGCGGACTAGCCTCCTGTCTTCGTTGAAGAGCTGAAGGGGGACGATTATGCCAAGCGATGATCTGAGCCCTGGTAGCCTGCTTGAGAGCTCGAGGACTAGGCATCGGTATGGAGGGGAAGCGGACGCCGGCGGAGACAATGCCGGTCAGAAGAGCGAGGATGATGGCGAGGGGAGCGGTGGATAGGGGTGGGAACAGCATGGTGAGAGGGGATAGGTGAATAGGAAAGGCAGTGGCAATTGTGATACTTGACGTGAAGGGATAAGTGAGAGAAAGATCGACGGATCTTTGAGCTCGGTTGCGAGATTCGTATCTCGGTGTCAGCTATTCCCAACCTGCTGCTACCACTTCCAGCGTGTCTCACTTACTCAGGCACGGGTGTTTCTTGTCCTCGTAACCCTGAGTGTGTCGCTCGGCGCTCGCGGCATATCTCCCGCGAGCCTCCGCGAGCTCTCGATACAACCGCTCAATCGGACTCCTGAAACTTGTCCCTCTACGCCCGCCGCTTTGGGTTGTCCCTATTCTGCCTCATCAACGAGACCTTCCTTACTTTATTCACTAGCAAACATGCGAAGGGGGACACGCGAACGGACCTGAATGAACAGCTGAAGGGACACGAACGGACAGCCGAAGGGACCGATCGGCTGGGAACGTATCCGAAGACGCCACTAATCGATCAATGTCCGCTTCCATACTGTGCTCACACGCCGTGAGACGCGGAGCGGAGTGTATTGGAGATCGTCAAACCTCGTTGGCAGGTAGGAGGGAGGGAGAACAGAGGGAGGCGAGACGGAGCAGATTCTCTTTTGTCTCTTAATAGCCTCCGTCGCATTCCTCCGGGTGGCGCATCTCAGGCACTACATTCCTCGGCGGCACGATCGGCCTTTCGGGACTCGGGGAAGTGGAATAGGTCTGATGCTTAGGCCTGGCTCGGTCCGAGTTCCTCGCCTCACTATACGACAGGCCGCTGAAGCGATAGGAGGGGCGGGGAAAGGCCACAAGTCAGCTCAACTGATTTTACAGCAGTGGGCAGGGGAAGAGCACAGTCCACGACATAGCGCCGAAGCCAGTCCATCTGGACTGGTAGTCATGGGAAGCCAGTCTTGATATATTTCGCTAGCTGTTCTTCTCCTGCTCTCATATCTATACACGAATCGGATTCGCCGTTACCAGCAGTCAATAATGCTGAAAGATCTTGATCAGCATCCGTCCGCTTCCTTATCGCTATCGGCCGGTTAAAGTAGAGCTAGTACATCCGGAGCCTTACGGCATCTTCCCGGAGGCAACGACGACGCAAGCTCCTTTCCTTCACCGCTCGCTCTTGCTCTCCATCCCTCCATTCGGTCGTATTTCGGTAGACAAAGGAAGCATGAGCCTAGCGCGCGAGGCCTAGCGCAATCCCCGAGCTGACAAAGCTGATCATACTTCAGCTTACATCATGCTTGACACGGGGGCCACGGGACGCGTAAGCGGACCTCGGCGACAGCTGCTTCGGCGACGGGTGTCTTCGTCAGATCTGACTTTCAGAATAGGCATCCAGATTGTCAGCCATGTATCGACATGGTCAAGCCACCATTCCAGTCAAGGTTAACCTCATCATCCTCCGCCCACATCCTTCTACAAATATTGACTCTGGTCAATACTCGCCGCCATCGCCCCTCTGGAATACCGCATCGACTCCGGATTCGGACGACTCAACACGCGATCCTCGCCACTCGTGGCTGCCCTCTGGTAGCCCAGCTCTAGGACTGATATGGGCGCATTCGACCATCTCAAGGTCGGCCAGGTCTCTCATGGCTGTAAGTGTGATATCTCTCTCTCTCTATTCTCGCTCCTCCTCCCGATAATCCGCTTAAGAGCGCTCGCTGACATCTCAGACTGGGGCAATCACACCGCCTCAATCGACTGGTGCGAGCAGAACTACGTCCACACGCCCTACATCGCCGAATTCTACAACACCCTCACCAACCTTCCGACCATTTTGCTCGGGCTGTGGGGATGCTACGGCAGTTTCAAGGGCGGACTGCGGCGGCGATATGCTCTGGGCTACCTTGGCTTGACCGGGATCGGCCTGGGGAGCTTGCTGTTTCACGCGACGCTGAAGTATGAAGCTCAGCTACTTGACGAACTGCCCATGGTACGCCGCATCTTTCTGCGTAGGGCAGTGGAATTTGCAAAGAGAAGGAAGTTTGCATTGCTGACAGCTCAGATCTACCTTGTATCCTATTGCGGCTATCTCGTGCTTGACACATTGCCTGGCTTTGTGCCTCGCTTCGGCTGGTTTGGCCCTGCGGTTCTCATCGGCTGGAGCATATTTGTGACGGTGTCATAGTGAGTCACAGTGCCAAATGGCGGGGGAGCCTGCAGGAGAACGGCCCGAACGGGTTTGGAACAACACCACGCTGGACTCCTCCACAACATCTCACATCTTGTCTATCTCTCGTGGACATGGCTGATCCCCCAGCTACTTCCTCCCCAATCCCATATATCACCAACTCGCCTTCGGCGCTATTCTCTTGACAGGCGTAACCCATAACTTCCTCTTCATCCGCCGCCTCGGGGCCGATCCCCATGTGGACCCAATACAGCACGCCAAGGTCGTCCGTACGCTTCTGTCGGGTATTGGAGTCTTCTTCCTCGGCTTTGTCTGCTGGAACATCGATAATTTCTTTTGTGCTCAGCTGAGGCGGGGCAGGGAGCTCATCGGTCCGTTGGGTCTGTTCCTTCAGGGTAAGTCAATCAGATCGACCAGAACAGGGGATGATGCTGATCGCTAGGTCATGGGTACTGGCACCTCTTCACGGGGTACGGGGCGTTCCTGATCATGACTCCCTCAGCATGTGAGTACCCGGTCGCTCAAGACGAGACGCTCAGGCTGACTCGGCAGACCTGCAACTGGCCATCAAGACCTCGCCCAAGGCTTACGACTTTGATGGCTCGGCATGGTTCCCCGTCTGCTATAAGGTCTCGCCACCGCCCTCACAGCTCGAGCCGGCTGCCACCTCGGGAATATCTGGGCGGAAGATGAGCGAAAAGCGGTAGCCGGGGGATCAGTCTGTTCAGGTCTATCTCATATCTATCTGTAGCCTTTGTTCCCCATCACCTGCACTGCATCATTCAGACCCATCATGTACCTCTCGGCGTCCAGATGTAGCCCTAGGCCCACCCTGGCCTCCCGCAACAGCCTCGGTCAAAGGGTTGCCGTAAGGCGCAGCATGCCCGAGTTACCCGAGATATTTTCGGTCACCCATGGCTCCGTGTTCCACCCATCTCTTCAGTCGCTCGTTGTGTATATAGAACGTTGAGGTCTGCGCGCAAGGTCAGGAGAAGGGGAGTCAGACGAAGATGGGCGCATTTGAGCACCTCCGGCAAGGCCAGTCAAGCCATGGGTGTAAGTTCCATACTTCTCCTGCTCAACTCCTCCACTCCGCCTCGGCTGGACATGATGATCTCACCATAGTACGTACGCTCAAGCTGATACCCTATAGACTATGGTAACCACACCTCGACCATCGACTGGTGTGAGCAGAACTATACCCACACGCCCTACATTGCCGAGTTCTACAATGCGCTCACCAATTTTCCTACCATCTTCATGGGATTGTATGGGTGCTATATGAGTCTGAGGGGCGGGCTGAGGAGACGGCACGCCATGGCCTATTTAGGTTTGACGGGTATTGGATTGGGCAGCTTCGGGTTTCACTCGACGCTGAAGTGGGAGTGGCAGCTCCTTGATGAGCTTCCGATGGTACGTCCTCCTCATCTCGCCTTGGTCGTATGGGATGGGGCGGAGCGGATTACGGGAGCCTCCTAGGCGGGACATCGTTGCACGGGTCATCAGCGGGGGCGATCGAACGAGGGTGTCGAACGAGGGTGGAGCTTGGAGGCTCTCCAGCCAAGTAGACCAAGCTGAACCCGCAGATCTACCTCGTCTCATACTGTGCCTATCTCGTGATTGACACTCTGCCAGAGTTCAGACCGCGCTTTGGCCTCCTCGGCCCGCTTGTGCTCGTAGCATGGGACATCTTCGTTACTCTCTCCTAGTAAGTGGGAAACCCCCTCCATCCTAAATTCTCTCGGTCGGGTCTCTCGGCTTATTCCCCTGCCTTTTGTGACTCTACATCACCGTCTTAGAGTCTTCTAGCTGACTCCGCAGCATCTACCTCCCCAATCCCATCTACCACCAGCTCGCATTCGGCTTCATCCTCCTCTCCTCCGTTACCCAAAACTTCCGCTTCATCCGCCGCCTCGCCTCTGCGGCGGATGCCAACCCCGCACAACACGCCAAAGTCGTCAATACGCTCTTGTCGGGTATTGCGACGTTTATTGTGGGATTCATCATCTGGAATGTGGATAATTACTTTTGCGATGTCTTGAGGAGGGGGCAGGAGCTGCTGGGGCCTCTGGGATTCATACTGCAGGGTGAGTCTTCCGAAGGTCGGGAAGAGTGAGCCCGAAGGGGACGGGGAAAGACGCTGATGATCAGGTCATGGGTATTGGCACCTCATGACGGGATATGGATCGTTCTTGATCATGACCGCTTCCACCTGTAAGTTCTTCCTGCTCCCTTTTTCGATTCCTTCGTGAGGGCCAGCTGACCTTTCAGATCTTCAATTGGCCATAAAGACCTCGCCTGAGCTGTACGACTATGATGGTTCAGCATGGTTCCCTACTGTACATCGAACGAAGGTGGCCAGCAAGAATCTATAGCGTGGGACCGGGGTGGATGTCGTTGGAGCAGGGAGTAGAGACTGCGGGGAGAGGACTGACCAGCTGGGGATCATAAAGGACGTCGGACATCTCATGTAGCTATCGCTAGAGCTTAGATCATGTTGGAACGATGATACACATATGCATGGGTTTGGACATCACCTCGTTCGTAAATTGGGCGTGAAAGACGACCGCGTCTTGTATGTACATCTATGAAAGCCCTTCTAGCTTGAAACTTATCCTCTACCAGTCCACACCGCTCGCGAGAGCCGCTTCGAGAGCCTGATCGAATCAGCTCCGTCCCTCATCAGACTGCAGAGGGAAATACCTCACCCTGTCCAGCTCTGGATCGTCATACATGCTGGTGCCATCGTCAAACTCTGTCGCGCTTGCCAACAGCTAGGTCATCAGGTCTACCCGAAGTGATAGAGAGAGTACATACCTGGTCGAACACAGCATCCCCATACTCGTCCTCATCGATCGCCTGTAATACTTTCGAAGGCACCTTGGTACCCTGCTTGGCCGTTGTCGCCGGTCGCGGTTTCGGCTGTGTCTGGACGAGTCGGGCGGACGAGCCACTGGAGGTAGCGGTGGCGGAATAGGGAAGAGCTTGCTTTCGTTTCGAGGTGGGGCCGAGCTGGAATTTCGACGAAGGCTGAGAACGGCGATCTTGATGCGAAGCCGGAGCTGACGAGTTCGGCTGAGTTGGCTGGACAGACTTGAAGGGCTTGATGGTCGGGTCGAGGTAGTTAGTCCTCGCAGTGCTGTTATTCTTCTTGTTCGAGGAGATGATCTGCGGATCAGCCATGGTCGTGGAATCTGGATGTGAAAGAACGAGGGAGCTCGAGGGGAAAAGAGGAACGGGGAATGCGCTTGCGAGAGATGGGCTTACGCTGTCGAAGATGGTATCCTTCTCTTCATCGTCCTCGTCCGCCAGCTGGTCATCGTCTTCTTCCATGACAGTTGGTGGAGGCCATCTGTCTTGCCCCCCCATACCCTGGACCGTATTTGCCTTCTCCACCGTCCACCCCGGCTTCGATGACCCCCCTCTCCCTTCCGGCTTGACGATCCCCCTATCCGGCACCCTTTGAGTGCTCTGCTGCGCCCTGGGAGACGCGATATGATTCTGCACCGCATCGGGATCGCGCGGATCAAGCCCGGTGTACTTGAACTTCTTGATGTCGCTCGCGAGATCCTTGTATCCCGGTTTCGCCTCGGCCTCGCGGCGTCGCTTGAGCGCAAGCGCGTCTTGTCGCTTCGCTTCGACCGTTTGCTTCGTCATCATGGCGGCGGAGAGAGCGTTGAGGGGCGCTTTCGGTGTGGGGAGAGGACTGGGAGGAGGGGGCGCCGGGACGGTACCGCGTCGAGGGATGTTGTAGCAGGAGGTGTCGATGTCCGCGTCGGACAAGGGGCCAGAGGGCGCAGCTATTGCGCATCAGCTTGGTCTTCCTCCATCATAGAGAGCCTGGAAGCTGAATATACCCGGCTCCGTGAGTAAGGGAAGCTTCTGACCTATCAGCACAGATCCAGCATCCTTGAGGAAGGAAGCGCGAAAAGTATCCCCGCTTACCTTGTAGCCGAGCTTGGTGACTGGTCGGTTCCTACCGAGACCGCTCATGATGTGCCCCAGTCCTTGCTGTGAGCGACATCCACCGAGATACCGAGTTATATGTAGTGATATGAATGATCCACAAGGCAAGAGGATAGCTGGAGCTTTAACTCTTCAGATCGCCCGAGAGTCAAAGCGGGGACACGTGGCGTCGGCCGTCGGAAGCAATCTGAAACGTTAACAGTGCAACTATGGCACGCGAGCCGAAACGCGTTTCACTTTGGCACCACATTCCTCAAAGCCTTCATCATCTGCCCGGTGCATGCTGGTGCATGCTGTGGGCTACTCATGTGCCTATCTACTGCCTATCTCCTTTGAGAGCTTAGTGCACTAGGGGGTGAGGGAGTCACGTACGATAGCAGCGACTTCGCCGATCTATCTGATACCAGGCGGGAACCTAAGATGCTCCCCCCATACAAGATTCAATCGGTCACGCGCCAGACTCGCTCATCGTTGCGGAACCCAGCGCGTTCGTTCGGACCTTCCACTTTACCGAGATCGCCGACCTACCCATCCCCGTCGGCATACCCGCTAGGCTCGTCAGCAACATGCCGCCGGACACGCAATGGCAGCGGGCCGAGGCAGAGCTCTGCGATCGGTTCGCCGAGCTGGTTGAATGTCGGGAAGAAGGTTGCTCGGCGGATGGGCTGTACGCGCTAGACCCATCGATACCAGCGGATATACACGTCTATCTCTCGACGGGCGTTATCGGTGTAGCAGATGAGGAGAGCGACGTGGACGAGGATGAAGACCAGGAGGTCAGGTCCGATGTCTCCCAAGGAGCAGCGGCAGGCGGTAGAAAAGGCGGCATCCGACGCGGCGGATTACCTTGGAGGGGAGGACAAGATCGTGTGGCTACCTACGCAGGATGCACCCGTCTGTTCCGCCTGTGGGTGGCACCCTCCAGTCTAGCGCGGTCGCGCTTCGGAGGCTGGGGATAGGCGGATCTAGGTCAGGATATGGCGGGCAAGGAGGGGATGGGCCGAGAGTAGACGGCGGCGGTGAAGGCGGCCGGCAGGGGGCACGAGTCTGTTGGAGGGAGCAAAGATGGGAGGTGGACAGGGAAGGTGGCCGGGAGGTGCGATGCGGACACCAAGGGAGACTATTTATGGGTTCTACAGGTACGGACTGGAGCGAGATGCCAAGCTTTGATATTGCTGATGCCTCCTCTTTGGCCATATTGATCGATTATCCTGACCTCTTACTCACAGCTCCCATACTCATCTGTCAGTGCGGGAATCTCTGACTTTGCCTGGGCAGGAGGATACTGGACTAAGCTGCTACACATGATGCACATGAAGGTCACCATCTCTCTGATCTGCACTTGCGTCTACCAGCATCCACCCTAGTTCCATGTCTTCCATTCAGTTGGATCGCCCCTACGGGCCGCGTCGGCCGCTTCGACAGCCATTAGCTACCTGATCAGCATCTGGCTTGCTCATGGGCCTTCGCTTTCAGAACGTACATCTTGGATAAACGAATCGTCCTCGGTGCCGTTGCCGTATTCGTCGATCGAAGGCTCACGAGCGAGAGGCGGCGGCTGAGAGTGTCAGCTTCATCCCCCTACAACTCCTGCTTCAAGCTAGACCAACCTGGGTGATGTGCTTCCGCGGCTTGTCGGCGTTTTTGTACGGTACCGACGCACTTGAAGGTCCTGCTTGCACCTCGGCGTTGCTGCCTGGCCATGCGGCGTCTTCCGCTGCCCATTCCGCTATCAATCGCTGCATTGATCAGTGAACCGCCGAAGATAGTGTCGAGTGAGAGCAGAGGATCTACCTTATAACAGTCTGTGTCATACTCGTCGCTGCCGAATTCGGGGCTAGACAACATTTTGACGGCGGGCTGAGACCATCAGCGACCCCATCGGTGTCTCTCTTCCGAGTACTCACGATGCCCATCCCGCCAGAACTCGAGAATGAACCGATAGAAGGCTTGCGCTTGCGCGGTTTGGGCGGACCGGACGGAGCGGTCTTGCTGGCACCCATATACTCTACGATACGCGCCTGATCCTTGGGCAAAGCGGGCAGAACATTGGACTGATGTGTAAGCGCAAGCACTGCTACTGATGGTGTGATCCAAGAGCCCACCTTTGCCTCGACCTGCTTTCCGGACTCATCCCATCGAGGAGCGTACGCGATGATAGACTGTATAGTCAGCATGTGATCATACTCCAAACTAGACAGACCAGGGAAAGGCCCTCACCTCCGGATCATACCCATACTCGTACTTGGGGAATGTCTCGCCAGGCGGGGGAGTCTTGACGGAGATCCCGTACGGCCTGGTCAGACCTTCGTCTTGTTTCTCGCGCCAGGCTTTCTATTAACGTCAGCCCAACATAGCCCTCAAAGGCGTGAAAGCCAGAAGGGAAAGGTCGAAGTGGTGCTCACGTAGTCAAAGTCATCATCGTCCAGCTCATCCATATTCTCATTCTTGACCGCCATCCAGCCTGGACGACCGGGCGTCGTTCCAGTGACGAGGACGACCTTGTCAGGCTTCTTGTCGACCACTTCGACGATGAGACCTTGTCGGTTGTTGACTGGGCGGAGGGGAGCAGGCGGCGGCAGCTGGGCAGGACGGACTGAAGGGACCTGACAAGGTTTTTGCTCAGCTTCCTTCTTCTCCCTCTGCGCCTTCTCCACCTTCTGCTTCTCCGCCCGCTCCTTCTTCTCCGCCCGCCTCTTCTGCTCCGCTCGACGCTCCGTTTCATCCGCCTCGGCCTTCTGCGCCTGTCTCTCTTCATCTTCGTCTCTCTTCCTCTTCTCCGCCTTGCCGTCCAGGTATTCCTTCCTCACCGTCCAGTCCTTCTCTCCCGCGTGCTCCGTTTCGACCGGTCCCCGCGCCCGGTCACTGGTGCTCCTCCCATCACCCAGATCCAGAAGCTCCGCCTTGACCTCCACCTCGTCTAGCGCGTCGTCCCATGAGATCGCCTGAGGAGGCGAAGTCTTCGGCGTTGTTATCGCCTGGCCGAATTTGCGCTTCGACACCGCCAGCTGCGTTGTTGTGCCGGAAGAGGCTGGCTTGCTGCTGCGGGCCGCGACAGCACCGAGGTTTTTATGAGAAGACGCCGATGGGGGAGGGACGGACTTAGTGTTCCTTCCGAATTGTTTACGGGCGGGAGCGAAGGGCAGCAGGGATTGCATGGTGGGGGGGGCAGTGGTGTGACACCGTGACTTGGCTGAGGGCAGAGTGAGCGGGGATGGGACAGGGTTCCTGCTGGCCAGACTTACATGTAGATCCGGAGCCTGGCTCTGGCTGTATGATCAGCTTATATAACATTCAGGAGTGTACCAGGGAGAGAAGGAAGTCTGGATAGAAAGATACAGGTGTCCTCAGCCGGCCGGGAAAGAAGGGCTGACGTGACTCGTACGTACCTTGACCCAAGGCCCCATCTTCAACGATGGCTTCTTGTCTGGAGATGACATACTTAATGGTGCTAGATAGTGAGAGATGATGAGTGAAATGCAAGACAAGGAAAGCAGGATCCAAAATATGGCGGTTAACATGGGAGAGAGGGTCCGAGCGCAAGCGGCCTCGAGGCCGTTCCGCGCACGGCCCTTTTTACACAACTCGTCTGCAGACCTCAAAAGCCGATGTCAGTCAATAGGTGGCTCCTGAGTGCGGCGCATGGCTCGTCAGTGACGGAGTCAGCCTCAGATGGTGTTCATGCGGTACCACCATGCGCTTGATCAGTATCATCAGCGGTCAGAGCGATACGGAAAGCGATTTCATCAGATCCCTGTGACCTCACCGAGCCGAGTGCTCTCTCCATCATGGACCCGCTTTGATGGACTTAGGATGGGATTTCTTCGACTGGGTACCCGCTGTCGCTATCAGCGCCGTCAGTCTCCCTGTCTAGGCATAGAGCAGATGATGTACAACACCTCAAGGCAGTTCGCAGGGCAGAGCGGCGAAACCTTCCGGTTCTTACCGCTTTAAACCATCCCCCCATTTATCTGTAGCAAAAGTCTTGGATCGCGAAGTCCTCCTGCTCTCTCCTACCCATCGTCTACGACACTTATCAAGGCAGACAGTAGCAGAGGCGGAGAACACTATAGGGTGCACATGTCTAGCTGAGTGGTGAATTAGCCCTGACCTCGGCGGCGAGGAAGCACAGCTGACAATCAGAGAGGCGCTCTGCCATGTTCACTTCTGCCCGACAGGGATGCTCGAGATCCGTCTCGCAGCTCGGCCGACCCAGCTGGAGTCTTGCGCTACACGCCGAATCGTCCACTCAGGCTTCTCTGCGCGCAGCTGCAGCAGCAGACAAAGCCAGACGATCCGCGGGAAGGCCGATCATCCGGGCGGCGCACTCGAAGGCGAGATTTTCAGCTGCTGCTGCCGCTGTGCTGAGCCATGATCATCTGGAGCATGCCGAGGCGGAGGAGGCGCACGATACGTCTTGGCGGAATAGAGCGGCGGCGATGGATCATATTCCAGATCTAGAAGCCGTCGAGGATATCATCGAAACCTCGGAAGCGCCGGCCGTTCGTCCTCGTCCCCGTCAAATCCAGGCTCGTCCCTCCCACCCCCCCGAACCCCCTATCGTCACTTTCCGGCGCTGCCTCACTACCGATCCGGTCGCTAGCCTCCTCAGTCTCCGCTACTGCCTCCCAGACCAACTCCAATCCCTCACACTACTCGAGATTGACGTCCTCATCTCCTCCCTCAACTCCTCACTCCGCCATACCGCCGTCCCGTTGGATGTCGAGTTCGAAGACATCCAGCGCTCGCTCGTCCACGTCCGCGGGGCGCTGCTGTTCAACTCGTGGGGCCAGCTCCCAGGACAGGTGTTTGCCGGGAAACGGTTCTACCGGTTCATCCGGGTCTGCCTGTTGCTGGGCGATCGGGAGCTAGTTCAGACCATGTGGAGGGAACAGGTAGAAAGGGAGATAAGGATTAGAGAGGAGGTGGAGCAAGGAGTGATGAGAAATGCGCAACAGAAGATCAAAAGATTAGACGCGGAGCGGCTGGTGACTATCCTGGCGGATGATCTGAAGGAATGGCGGATGTTGCTGTGGATGATGGATCCGGCGTTATTTCCGGCCAAACTACACACCTCGGCGACACTGCAGCGGTACCTCCAGGCGCACCTCGCTACTCGTCAACCTGGCCGCGTTCAAGCTATCTTTGATACCCACGCCGAGCTGGGTCTCACGCCCGCCAAAGAGTCTTACAATCACCTTGTGCAGGCCAAGTTGGCGCTGGGAGATGTTGTCGGGGGACGGGCGGCGATCTTGCTGGGGCGGAAAGAGGGAAAGCTGGATAGACATGAGCAGCAGATGGCGATACTGCGCGGACATCGGGACCTGGGAGGGACGGCGCACCTTCAGGACAGGGTGTTGAAGAATCTAAAGTCATTAGGGGAGGCGCCGTTGGGGAGCACGATCAATGCGTTGATCCGGCTCAGGGTGGATCAGGGGGACATGCACGGGGCGGAACGGCTCTTGTCGTTCCACCGTCTCGACAAATTTGCGGATACCTCATCCGGCGTCGAGGGGTGGAAGTCGTTCCAGCCCACCTCCAAGGATGCCGCATTCCTCGCCCTCAAGGTCGCTTCTCGGCAAGGCGACCTCCCTCGTGCCCGCGAGATATGGGCCGAGCTCTTTCGGACCAATTACGCCGACATCAACGACAATCATCTCAGCCAGATGGTCTCGGCCCTCTGTCACGGCGGGGAGAGGGACGAGGCGTTCAATTTCGTCATGTCCATGGTGGACCCGGACTGGGCGTATCGTCCGAACATCTCCTGGCCGGGTACAGCCAAACCCGGTATTCGGACCCTCAACGCCGTCCTCAACGCTGTGCCTAAACGCCACTTTGGCCTCGCTCCCCTGCACAAGGTCCTCCGGCTCTACCCCCGCCTCGGCGTCTCGCCTGATCAAAGCACCATGAAGATCATCCTCAACGTCGTCGGGAGCTATCATATGCCGCCGGAAGAGATGGCCGCGCTACTTCGGGACCTCTACCGGATGTACCCGGACGTCTTTCCAGATATCGGACAACTCAACGTCATCCTTGCTGCTGCGATGCGGTCCAACCTCACTTCTCCGCGGACACAATTGCACGCACCTCCCCTCTCCTCCTCTTCCGACTCGACCACCTCCCCGTCCGCCGGTCTGACGGCGTTTAAGCCCCTCCGCTACGCTATCGAGCCCGTCCTTGCTTCTTTGGAGGAACGCGGTGCCCGCTCCAACTCTCAGACCGTCGCCATCCGGCTTCGGTACGATGCGCTCACGCACGCCTCGGTCGGGGGTTTCCCGACTGCCGACGCGGTCTGGAGATCCCTCATTGACCGCGGATTCCACCCGGACAAGCGGCACGTCCTGGCTCTTATGCTGGGCTACGCCCAATCCGGGGCCATGGCGGAAGCTACCTCGGTCATGGCGTTGGCGAAAGAGGTGGACGTGGAGCCTACGAACGGGATGTGGATGGCGCTCCTGGTTGGCTGGGCGAGGGAGGGCGATGTCGCGCGCGCCCGAGCCGCTTACAGGGAGATTGAGGCGAGTAGCGAGGGGGTCGATATCGTCGCCGTCACGGCGATGGTGCAGGCCAACTACTACGCCCTCAAATTTGACGGTGCGGCCGACATGGTCCGGACCGTTCTCCTACCCAAATTCGGCGATAAGCTGGACCGGCAAGCCCTGCTCGTGGCCACGCATGCCCTCAAGTCGAACAATGAGGAAATGGCGGCGCTGGAACTGGTTGATCGGAATAAAGGAAAGGGGTTGATGGGGCGGCCATTGAGGAACGTCGTGAGGAAATTGAGGAATTGGTTGACGAAGAAGGTGCAGGCGGAGACGGACACGGAGGGGCATGAGGAACAAGAGGGACAGGGTGGGGCGATGATGTCGAGAGGAGGGAGGGAGTTTGCGAGGGGTCTGCAGCTGTGTGAGCGGATCTTGGAGGATGGTGATGCGGTGAGGAGGCCGGAAGGGTACGAGGCGGTCAGGGCGGATATACAGCGTAGTCTGACGCCGAGGGGGTTCAAGTTGGAGTTTACAAAGAAGAAGTGAGGGGTAGTCAGCCATCTATAGCATATCATAGTATCATATAGCATCAGATCGCATAGGTACATAGTCATGGCACGCCCTGTACATTGAGCAGAATCAGGTCTCGAGCCCCACGCTTCTACCAGTGCCTCAGTGCATATCGACGAGATGATCTTCATACTTCTGAGTTACGACATGACCTCCCGCCTCAGTCCTCCTCAAAGTCCTCGACATCCTGATCGGCCGTTTCCTGCTGTTTCCGGAAGTACTGGTCCGCCCGCTGCTGAAACTGCTTATCGGGCTATACACCTTCAGCCACTGTTGTGTCTGAGTCTGACTTTGCGATGGAAAACCTACCTGCAGCGCGTTGAACTGGACCTTTTGACCACAACCGACCGACGGGCACTTGATCGCCGCCTTCTTGTTTCGCCCGTCTTGCTGCTCGAACAGCTGGTAGATGTTGATTTTCGAATAATGGTGTTTGCAGGCGGGACTGTAGATCAGCACTAGCCCTGACGCCAAAGAAGCGGCAAAGGCAGGGGAAAAGGCTTACTTGACCATGGCGTCCACGATGGCCGAATGCGTTATGGCACACTTGAAGTTTTGCATCGTCGGCCCAACCTCGACCTCATCGTCGCTGTCCGAAGCGTCCCCATCGGTCTTGTCGAGCCAGTGCGACATGGGTGGGCAGGCTTCGGATCCGTGGTTGACGTTCTGTCCGGTCAGCACTTGCTTCCGGGGGAAGAGGTGACATACCCAAACTTCACTCCTGAATTGGCTGTATTGATCGTCCTTGACAACTGCCTATCAGCGCCAGCATCCACCTCCTCGTCCGCACAAGCCTACTGTGATGGAAGGAAGAAGTCGACTTACACTTCTGTCGGGGTGTCTTCTTCATGTACTCTTCAGTCTTGTCCGCTGCTTCCTTTTCGTACAGCGCAACAATCTCTTCCTGGAGGATCAGCGCCGGCATTGGCTCGGAGCAGCCGAGATGTAGCAGAGAGTGGACTCACAATCTCCTCCCCGGCTCTCATCCTCCTGAGGATGTCCTTGATGACTTGGTACTTGACCTCCAAGACCGCCTTGACTTCGATAGACCTGCAAAGGGATTTGGCGAGCTCTTCGGCCATCTGTTCACGATTAGCTCTTGTCGCGAGCTTCACTCAGCGAGCCTCGAGGGGTGACGGACCTCATCATCTGGATTGTTCCCCTCCACAGCTACCGCAGTATCGATGACTTTGGACATGGAGTCCGTGATGCTGGTCTCCATGGCCCGAAGTCCATCAGCGATTCTAGTAAGCTGTTGCGTTAGCTTCGCCCTAACTCAGCCTCAGTAAGGAGAGACATACTACACCATCACTCGCAACATCCCTCTTCAGCGCCTGCGACTTGTACGTCTTGACCGTCCACTCGTTCCACTCGTCATCCACCTCCATCTCCCCAAGCGCGGGCTTGGTCCGTCTCACATCGTCCGAACCTCCTTCCGCTTCCGGCGACTCGCGGGCTGCTTGACGGGAAGAAGAAGCTTCAGCGTTGACTGCGCGTGCCATCTCGATTGGCTTGTAGCTAGTAGCTGATTGAAGTCGATGTAGGGGTAGTTAGGGGATAAGCTGTTGAGGGTACAAGTTGAGCGGACTTTTGGCTGTGACGCGTCGTGGACCAAGGACGCGACGATGCCGGCAGCCGCTGAAATGGCTCCGCCTGGAATTTCATAACGCCGCTATTCTCCGTCTCGGGAATAGCTCAGTTGATTAGATCGTGCCTCCTAGGTCGAGGGTATAGCGGTATCAGCTTCGGACATCTTAAACAGGTGATCGGCGTTCGAATCAAGCCAGAGACGGGCCTTTATATCATTTGCCACCCGCCTCCACCGGCGCGTCGGCGATCGCCGTCAGGTCTATCAGCGACGCGTCGCCGGCCTGGTTGACTCACACTTTCCCTCTCCACCTTGTCACTCTGCTCTACTTGTCAACCACTCCTCACTTCTGCTCCACCACCCGCAGCCTTATCACGCCCATACATTCAAAATGGCCGACCTCCTCGACGTCGGATTCATCCAAGCCGTCTTTGGCGACGGGGAAGCACCGGAAGGCGCAAGTCCCGTTCTTCAAATCCTCAGTGTCAAGAAAATCAACAGTGCTTCCTCGGCATCGTCAGGCGTGGTCGATCGCTACCGGTGAGTTTCAGCGTCCTGGGACAGCACAGCACCCGCTGATCAAGCAGAGCCATCCTGTCGGACGGAGAATACTTCGGCCAAGCCATGCTCGCTGTGAACCTCAACCCACTCATCGACAGCAAAGAAATCGACAAGTTCTCCATCATCAAGCTCCGTAGCTACACCACCAACGCGGTCCAAGGGCGCAGGTATGTCAAGCTCTCTCTCTCAGTCGAGCTTGTAGCTGATTATCAGGCTGCTCATTTTGCTGGAATTTGATATCCTCGAATCCGTATACAACGAGAAGATTGGCGAGGCGGTCAATATCGAGCACGCGGTGGCGAATGGGACGGTCAGCCGAGCGCCAGCAGGCAATGCCAATGCGGCGCCAAAGGCGGAGCCAAAGGGGCGAGCGGGCGGGGCAGGGCCTGGTCCAGCGAGGGGGGGCGCGCGGCAGGGAGGAGGGAAGGACGTAGGACCATTGTTCCCTATCGAGAGTCTGAGCCCGTACCAAAACAAGTAAGTTTCCCCTTTACTAGTGGTCACTGGAGCGGAGAGGAACGGCGGTCCATGACATGTCCTTCCCGGCCTTGACAAATACCTCGCTCTGGTTCCTCCATCTCTATCCTTTCGGGCGCCGCGGGAAGACCATGCCGATCGCTACCCCTGCTTCTCCATTCGGTTTCCCTCTCTCCGAGTACCTAGCCCTCTGCTGTCCCGGCGTTCCCTGCACCCGGTCTCCTCGTCCTCTCTCAATTGTCGAGTCATCTGCGCACGCGAGCAAAGCTTACAATACCAGATGGACGATCAAAGCGCGAGTGAGCGCCAAATCCGAAATCAAGCACTGGTCCAACCAGCGTGGAGACGGCAAGCTCTTCAACGTCACATTCATGGATGAGTCTGTACGGCTACTCTCTTTCTGTCCTGTCTGTAAATGCTGACTCGATAGGGCGAGATCAGAGCGACAGGCTTCAATGAACAATGCGACAACTTCTACGACCTGCTCGAAGAGGGCAAGGTCTACTTTGTTTCACGTGCCCGGATCAACATTGCAAAGAAGCAGTTCAACAATGTCAACAATGAGTACGAGATTGCGTTTGAGAGGGAGACGGCTATTGAGCCTGTAAGTACCACGATCCTCTCTCTGACCCCACCATTCCAAGTCGTGGCTAGATTTGGAGCTGACTTGCAGTGTGACGATGCGTCTGTCCCGCAAATAAAATACAACTTTAAGCGGGTAGATGAGCTGGCGGACCTGAACAAGGACGATATGTGCGGTATGTTGAGCTTTTTCCGAGCTTCCTGGGTACTTTGATCTCTGGAGGCTGATCCAAGCAGACATCATCGGTGTCGTCCGGGAAGTCCATGATCTCTCTTCGGTCACGTCCAAAGCGACCCAAAAGCCAGTAAGCTTGTGGGTTCTGTTTAAAGGAACGAACATTAGCTGACGTACCAGTTCGCCAAGCGGGACATTCAGATCGTAGACCAGTCGGGTCAGGCTGTCCGGCTGACGCTTTGGGGCAAGCAGGCCGAGAGCTTCGCCCACGACGACTCACCGGTCATTGCGTTCAAGGGGGTCAAGGTTGGAGACTTTGGTGGGCGGAGTTTGAGCATGTTTAGCTCGGCAACCATGAGTGTCAATCCGGATATCAACGAGGCTCATGCGCTTCGCGGATGGTGAGCGATGTTTACCCTTGCCCAGAGGAACCGAGCTGACATATCTAGGTACGACTCTGCCGGGCGCAATACCCAATTCAACGCCTACACCTCCACCATGGCTGGCCGATCCGACAACTCCGCTCCTCGTCTGAACGAGCTCAAGACGATCGGCGAGGCCAAGGACGAGAATCTCGGTATGCGCGACAAGACCGACTACTTCACCACCGCCGCTGTGGTCGCCTTCATCAAGTCGGAGAACTTTTCTTACCCCGCCTGTGCCAATCCGGACGGGTGCAACAAGAAGGTTATCGAGGATGGGAATGGAACGTACGTGTGCGACAAGTGCGACAAGCACTGGCCGGAGCCTATACATCGGTACGTCCTCTAAACGAAGGATTAGATGCATGTGTCAGGAGCTGACCATGGCAGTTACATCCTCAGCATGAACTGCATGGACCACACCTCTTCCTTCTGGATCACGGCGTTCAACGAGGTGGCTGAGAAGCTGCTGGGTATCTCGGCGAATGACCTGTGGAAGCTCAAGGTGGGTTTCCTGGTTGGGGTTTTGCCCGCTGGCGAGCTGGTTGCTGCTTGCTGGTTGCTGACAATACAGGAGGGGGGCGATGAACAACAATTCCAATCATACTTTACAAAAGCGGCAGGACGGTCGTACACCTTCGAGATGATGGCCAAACAGGACTCGTACAATGTGAGCTGTCGATTCTTCTTAGCATGGACAAGATGCTGGCAGAGAATATTTCAGCTGACTCGACAGGAACAAGTCAGGGTACGGTATACCTGCCGCAAGGCTGGTATTCCCGACTTTGTTGCCGAGTCTGCATATCTGTCTCAACAGATTGCGCTGTTCAACATCTGAGTGGACGGCGAGGGGGTAAGGGTGATGAGAGAGGGTAAAGGGAGAGGGTAAAGGGAGAGGAGCGGAAGTCGCAAAGGTGGGGGTATGAGTGTGTGTGGGTGTGTTCCGGGTTTCGTGCTCGTGCTGCGAAGTGTGCATTGTGTATCAGGCTATGATCAGAAGTCAGGGTTATGCAGAATATATCGAAAACTAGGCAGCCAAGGCCTGTGGCTAGTCCAATCTCTGTCTTCTTCTCCTGCTTCGGCCACAAGATCGCCAGGCCGCTCGACTTCCACCTTCTTACCTCTCTTTTCTGGTCGAGATCCAGGCCGCGGCTCCATCCCATCTTCACAGACTGCAGTCGATGATGTTACATACGATACAAGCAATGCACACCGTGTCAAAAGTCTAGTGTCCCGCAGCCCCGCCCCAGCTCAAGCCATCGACCAGCTCTCCATCTGCCTCTGCAGCGCCTTGACCACCTCCATCTGCAACAGCTTGCCCACCTGCTCTCTCTCCTTGGCGCTCAACCCCCGATCCTCCAGCTCCTGATTCATGACCACCCGATCTAGCCTGAGCGGGTCAAACCGAATCAACTGGCCGTTGGGGAGTTTCACCTCGGCGAGTCTGGGTTGATCCCCAGTTTCCCTGCCTGCGTCCATGCCCGCACCAGCCCCGGCGCCGGCCCCGGTCTCGACCTCTTCTTGCCACAGGAGCGAGGGATTCCGCTTAGACCGGACGGACCGAGTCGGGGCGGACCGAGAAGGCTGAGACTGGGATTGAGACTGCGCCAGAAGGGTGGCCGTGTACGCCTCGACGTCGGGCAGGTCATCCTCCTCCGAGTCGTCCCCTTCTGTGACGTCGTCCGCAACGTCCTCCTCCTCTTCTTCCTCTTCGGCGATTCCGGCGTGCTGGACGGCCGAGTGGGTAGAGGGTCCCGCTATGGCTTGGCGATCCCGAGTGGATTTCGATAAGGGGTTGACGACGGGGGAGCCGTTCATCGTGACGAGGATGTCGGAGGGATTCATCTTGCGCAGTGGTGTAGGAGGGAGGGATGGGTTAAAGATGTGGTTTTGGGGGAGGCTCTGGCGGATCAGCTCCCGAGTCAACTCGCGACGAAGATAGGTAGTGGCTGTGGGGTCTCTAGCGGAAGGAGCGAGGATGAATTAAACTTACGCTGGGACCCTTTTGTGAGGGATTCGCAGATACGAATGGAACGGCCTTCTTTCCAAGCTTTCTCTTGGACGTCGAAGATGGGATCGTGGGGACGGGTCGAGTCTTGAGCGGGGTACCGTCTTTTCGCGCTGAGATATTAGCTTCCTCTCGATCGTGCGCGAGCTAGCTAAGCGTACCATTCTTGTTAGTTCGCTCAGGTGATGACTCCGCAGCCGCCCCAGCTCTCTTCCTATCCTTGTCAGCTCCGCTTCTGGATCAAATACACTCGACAAGCCCAGCAAAACTCACCGTTTCCCCTTAACCCCCTCCCGCATAACTCGCTCCTTCTCCTCCTCATCCCCCTCCTCCTCCCTCTGCCGTTCCATCGCCATCCGCCCTAATGTCCCTGCCCAATTCCCACCCCACATCTTCTCCACCTCCTCGACCGTCATTTCCCTCATTTTCGGCGGGATCCGGTTGATCTCTGTTTCCCCTCGGATCCGGAATGCCCTCAAGGCGTTCTGGAGCTCGGAGCGGAATTGACGTTCTTTGCTTTCGACTGGGATGTCAGCTGGGACTTTCAATTCACAGGAGATCGACAACAGGGCAGCTGGCTATACGGTGGATATAGCACGTACTTTCAAGATCAAAGTTGAGCAGCAGCCCATGTGTGCCCTCCCCACTCCCACCCGCAGCGTCCGTGTCGATCACAACCCCCTTCCCGCCCTTCTTCTTGGACTTGCCCGTACGCGATTTCGGTGGTGGTGTTTTGAGGCTCATATCGTCTGGCCTGTGTACTACTAGTGCTGCTGACATGGTGTATAGTGTATGTAGGCCAGATCAAGGTTGATATCAAGACAGAAACAGAGAGGAGAAGGGTTTGTTGACGCCTCGATCAAAGCCAAAGCCAAAGCAGGCGCGTCGGCCATCGCCGCAACACACAAACACGTGGCTGATTTTGCTCCGCATGTTGCGCATGCGCCAAGCTAAGCTCTCTAGCCGGCTGCTCTGCTGCCTGGGTCACAAGCTGTGCATGCAAGACAAGACTCGCACAGCGGGCGCCCTGACATACAGAAAAGGATTAAGATGACCTGGAAAATAGGACGAAGCAAGGAAAGGTACGGCGGGCGGGGATGAACTCCCCATCTTTTTGGCTCATACAGCGTGCAGATGCATCTTGATCCTCTACAACCTCTAATTTAACCCAAAAGGTCCGCATTTCCACTCGCACTGATCGCAATGATAGTCTTCGTCGCATCAGCTCTGCTCTCATACCGAAAAAAGTTGCCAAGCCACGCAAAAGCTCACCTCATCCTCCAAATACTTGCTGACGGCAATACTATCACTCAACCCCTTCCTCCTCCTCGTCTTGAGCACCAAATCCCGTGCCAGACTCTGTCCCTGTGCAGGCTCGAGCGGGCGGAGCTGGATAGACGTATCGGTCGGGTCTCCAGGTACGACCGCCCAGTGATCAAAGCTCATTTGACAGAATGCTTGGCCCATCGTCGCGGTCCGGAGATCCGTCTCGAACCCGTTCGCGTCGAGGACGGGAATAAAGGCCTTGACGGTGTAGAGGGGCGAGCCGGGCTTGGGGGTGTCGCGCGTGACGTGTCCGCGGCGCCGGGCGAGGACGGTGTAGATGGCGGCGACGCAGTCGGCGGGGGCTTGGACTTCGACAAAGAAGACGGGCTCGAGGAGACGGGGTGTGGCCTAGACGTTAGCTAGGTCCTCTGTTGCTGTTCTGATGATGAAGGCTCACGAGGAGGAAGGAAGAGTAGCAGACACGGCGAGCAGTAGGGATGATCTGGCCACCACCGCGGTATATTGGTTCTTGCGCTAGGCTGGCGTCGAGAATCCGGAACTTGACGCCTCTTATAGCTGGCATGTCAGCGGACTCCACGATACTGAGCCTGATTTATGCGGTGTAGACTCACGCTCATCGCAAAGCGGTCCTTCCCTCGTACCCCACTGGAATCCCTGCTTGATACTCTCCCTCGCACTACCAAGCAATTTCGTATCCGTCTATCCAGTCAGCTGAAGCCCTTCGCATCTCGAACAACACGAACGCGACCCACCTCAGATGGCAACGTGTCATTCAACAGCACATTCGCACCATTCTCCTCTGGCCCAAACGCCCACACATTCCGACTCGCGAGCAGATCCCACCCATACTTTTCCTCAAACCACTTGCCCCTCTCCTTGTTACTCATCCGCATCGTCACTTTGCCCTTCTCAATCTCCTGCGCCAACCCCGTTTCGAGCGGTTCTGAAATCATGGTGATTTTGTTTCTATCCATCAGCTCAACCCACTGTCCATTATATTCAAGCAGCTCACTTTTTATTCGGCGTCTCGGCATAACACTTCAACGCCGACGTCTCGACCACCGTCTCGCAAAACTTGGTGACCGGATCCGACACCTTGATTTCAATCTCGCTAAACAGTTTCCGGAGATCGTGTAGTACACAGTCCATGTACAGCTCGCCCGTGCCCAGGATAATGTGCTCGCCCGACTCTTCAACCTTGGTCGTGAGGAGGGGATACGACTTGTTGACTTTTCGCAGACCGTCGAGCATCTTGGGGAGCTCGGAGGGCGCGATAGGCTCCACGGCGACTTTGAGGACGGATTGGGTGATGTGGCGGATAGGCGCAAAGATGTAGAGGTCGTCTTCGAGCGTAGAGTCGACGATTGTGGCTGTTTTGGAGATGGAGGCGTCGACGCCAGAAAGGAGGATAAGGTTTCCAGCACCGGCTTTTTGAATGTCCACAGTGTACCTGAACGTCAGCTTACTCTAGCGCTAAGCTCATGCGCCAAATGACTCACCTCGACTCGTCAATCATCAAAGCCTCCACCGTAGCCAAAATCATATCTTCCTCATCTTCCAGACTATATCCCTCACCCAACACCTTGACCCGCTGTCCAACCTCCACCGTCCCGCTCATAACCCGCCCGAACGCCCTGAAGCTCTGCGCGTCCGACGTATGGAACAGCTTGGTGACGTGCACAACGGTCGGTCCGTCCGCCGAGCACTTGAGCATGCTGTCGACCACGCTACCCTGGAGGGGCCCAGTGTACGTTCCGGCGATCTTGGTCTGCGCGGCATCGACGGGAGAGGGGATGAATTCGGTGATCATATCCACGAGGCCGGTGGACGGACCAAAGAAGGCCTCGAGGACCACCTTGAGGAGTGGGCGGGTGTCCATCTTGTACGCGGAGGCACGGAGGGTGATGCGCAGTTCGGCGAGGGTTTCGCGAAGCTTTTCAGAGTCTTCGGACATGACCTGTAGGAGTCAGCTCAGAACACCACCGGGCCATTGACGAGCACATCCGGCTATCGCTCCCCGCCATCGACCGACATCTCGTCCGGACTCGGTATCACTCATTGTGACCCCTCTCAGAACAAGCGAGCAGACTCACCTGCGTGTAAAGCTTGTACAGCGGCTCCAGCACAAAGTGCACAAAGCTCCTCTTCCCCTCCGCATCCGCCGCCTTCCTCGTAAACTTTCTCCGCGACTCATCAAAGTAGATATTCCCCCACAATCGCGCCGCAAATTCGTCGACATCAAACGAGCCAAACGTATCGGCATACATGGTCGCGAATGTCCGAAGGGTGAAGCACCATCCCATCTGCGCCGACGCAAATGCGACGTTACCGCGTTCGGGCGAGAGGCGGTAAGAGTCGTCCGCGTCGACCGAGCTGAGCCATCAGCTATATTCTGGCTGGACTAGGCGAAGAGGGTAAGACTCACGCGATAACACTGTTGACCTCTTCAATGGTATGTTTAATCTTGAAGAACGCCTCGCTCGGCGGTAATCTCAATTCCAAAATCAACCTATCCACCTTATTGACCACCAAGACCATCTTCAACTTTTCACGCATACAGTGCTTGATGAGCTGCTCTGTACCGCACATCACCCCCTCGACGACGTCCACGACGATGATCACCCCGTCCACGAGCCGGGCGACCGAGCCGACCTCGTCCGCAAAGTTGACGTGGCCGGGGGTGTCGACGATATTGACGAGTGAGGACTTGCCCTTGGAGGACTGGAGCACGAGGGACATGGCGCCGGCTTTGATGGAGACGCCGCGGGAGCGCGAGAGAACGTGGGTGTCGGTATACCGTACGGGGGCGTCGGCGTCAAAGGTAATTTGATGTGTTTCGAAGACGAGCATGTCGACGAGTGACGTCTTGCCGTGGTGTATGTGACCGCCGAACATGACGTTCCTGATCATAGATGGGTAGTTCATCAGGTCAATCATGAAACTATCGAAATCAGCTTTCTCCACAGCCTCAGAAAAGGAGCGGACTCACTTCCGATCAAACCGGGTAACGGGAAGATCCTTCTCCTGCACAGTAAACGCCCTAACCTTGATCGGAGCCACGATCGGCTCCGTCAACATCTGCGCGTCCTCTTCTTGCACCATCGCCTCCACGTCTGCCCCATACACCTCCTCCGCTGTGGCGTAGTACCGCTTATCCTCGTGCAACACCACCTGGTTCCCTGCCGTCCCATCTACCCCATGCAGCGTCATTTGCATCCCATCATCCCCGTCCATGTCGTCATCCTCATCCTCCTCTAGCCCTTCGAGCGGGGCATATCCGCCTGCATTCGCCTGTGCAGCGGGGGCAGAGGGGATGGTGGATGGTCCAGCGGCAGACGAGTCGCCAATGTCGATATCGTCTTCGTCCGACTCGAGGTCGGCGCCGATGTAGTTGCCGAACTCTGCGGGTCAGCACTGACACAGGAGCAGGTGAGTGAGGGGAAGTAATGGACGAACCGTCATAATCTTCCATGGACATGTTGGGCAGATATTCGGTGGTCAATGCGCTCTTCCGCGAGCTTTTTCGGAGATCTTTTCGGGAGCTGTGTATGCTCTAAAGCGCTTTTCTGCGCTGTAGAAGCTGAAGCTAAGATTGATATGAGGGAGATATAGGGATAGGGATATGGAGAGTAGAGCGTTAGCAGGCGTTAGCTCAGTGGAAACATAATATTTCCCTGCGTCACTTTCTCGCTTTTATCCCCAGATCTTAGCCATAAAGTCCAGCTTGAACCGCTCACCAAAGACCGCTCCAGCTGTCTCTGCGTCTCTGCATCTCCTCCATAGCTACAATGACAGCCATCAACCGCTTAGCGCCGCTCCTCAGAGCACCAGCCCGCGGCTCGTTCCGCTCAATCACCACATCTCGCGTTCTCTTCAACGCAAAGTCAGGCGAGGCGGAGGGATCCCCCGACTTCAGCCCTCCAGTAGAGATCACCGAGTCGCATCGCCGGGATGTGAGATCCAAGGACGGTCCTGTCTCTGACGCCCCTCAGAATGTACGCACGATCAATCACCGTGGTTATAACGCCCAAGCTGACTCGTCCAGACATTCCGCCGTCAAGTTAATCGAACACGGTACACCAAACCCTCCTCCCCCAATCGAAACCCCAAAGCCGATCAGGCAGACGAGCAGACTACCGACTTTTTCGACTCACCAGAAGGCGCGTCGTCGGTGTCGAGCAAACGAACCGGTCCCAAGTCGGGCTTGGGGGAGCTAGAGGCGATCTCGATGGATATTCTGTCGTCGGCGGAGATTAGCGAGTTTGCGAATAGGAAAAAGGGCAGCGGGAAGGGGGGTGCTGGGCAGAGACAAGCGCAAGGACAGGGACAGGGGCAAGGGCAGGGGCAGCGACAGCGGATCTATCCGGGCCAAGGGCAGGGCCAGGGACAAAGAGGAGGAAGGCGAGATTCCCGTTCACCAACCGCTGGTTCCGCGTCACTTGGCGGACCAGGCCGAGGTGGACCTGGTGGACAGCGCAGTGGACCAGGTGGGGCAGGCGGTGCAAGGGATAGGGGACCACCGCGAGACAGAGATAGAGATGGCGATCGGGAGGGCAAGTCCTCGGCGCCCGTTCCTCGGGGACCTAATCAACACGCATCGGTGGTGTACGATACCTCCCCCTCGGCGCTTTTTGGTCTGGGAAGCCTCATCAGTCCGGCGAGGCGGGGAGCGAGGGACGCGGCGGGGGCGTTCTGGGCGACCGATATGGCGGCGGGTGATGGTGAGTCTCCTCCTGTCTTCCCTTTCTCCCTTCGAAGCAGAAGGCTCCAGTGAGCCGGAGCTGACCTCATAGCGCGAAAAGCAGATCTCATGCGCCTCGCGGGGTCATATGACCTCCGACTACCCAGCTCGTCCCACCCCTCAGAACTCAAGGACAAGGCGACACCGGTAGAGCGTGCAAAGGCGAATGCGAGGTGGGCGATGGCGTTGAACCCGACTGTGCCGATGCGGGTGAGGGATCCGGGAGTGGAGGTTGTAGATCGGTTGCTCAGGTGATGCATGCGCGGGCCGTCAGGCTTAGGATCTGAGAGAGCAGCCATTGTCTGTACTGCACTCGGCACTGCGCAGGCCTTTCTTCAAGTAGCGGTGCGACCGGACCGGTAGTTCTTGACCGTGATTTTTGAGTGTCATACGATACTGCCCACACTGCTCTATGCTACAAATCACCTGAGCCCTACTCGTCCCCCTCCCTCCTCTGTCCCTGCCCTTGCACTTGTCCCTGTCCATTTCCCTGTCCCTGTCCCTGCCCCTGCCCCGGGCCCTGTTCCTCGTCCCCTTCCTCCTGATACAGCTCATTCGGCAGCGGCGCATCAAACGGATCTTCTGCACGCGCGGGCGTGACCTGTCGCTGTCTTGCGTAGAGGTTCCGGAGATGTTCCGAGCGAGGCTGGGGGTCGTTGGACGGATGTAACGAAGGTGATGGTGGGGATAAGGGCCGTTTTGCTCCCTTGCCCATCAGCCCACCATTACCACTTACAGGCTGGCTAGAAGCGTAAGAGGACTTACAGCCATCCCAGGCGGAACTTCCCTCTTCTTCTCACTCTCCAAAACCTCCCTGATCCCCCTCTCGCCCCATCCTTCCCCTCTTCCCCCTCCTCCCCCTCCTCCGCCCCATCCACCACTATAGCCGCCAGCGCCCCCTCCCCCTACTCCTCCTCCTCCTCTCGCACCAAGCGCGATCCCCCCATCCCCCTCTAACGTCCCCATCAAATTCCTCACCCCCTTCTTCCCCATCTTCGTCCCCCGCGTACTGGGCCGCCCAAACGGGTAGCTGGGATGCATGAGACTAGGCAAAGTCTCGTCCGCATCCGCCACGGGCGGCTCGAGGTGCGCGGGGATGGGGATGGACTGGTCGTACCCCGGCATCACGCCCCATCCTGTTTCGGGATCTGGGTCGATGTGGAGCGCGATGAGTTGTTGGGGTGTGAAGTGGAGGGAATTGTAGCGGGCGTCCTGGGGGATCAGTGGGAGATCATGAAGAGAGACGCACTGTTTGGGAGGTGGTCATGATGCCGGGGTCGAGTCGTAGATCGTAGATGAAAGCCAAAACGACGCGAGGGTGGACGCGAAATCTGGCTGGCGCGTCGAATTGAGGAATGAGGAGTTGTGGCACTGCAGGAGATGCCGTAAAACCAGGCCGGGTGGCTTGTCAGAGAGAGTTTCGCTTCCTCTTAGAGTGTGTCTAGCCGGCGAGCCATAGCCGAGCCCCTTGGGATCTCCGAAGAACGCCTGTCGACCGAGGATTCCGGAATCCCAGAGACAAACCTTCGTGTGCGGACTACGCCCCAGAATGACCCAGTTGAGACAAGAGGCGCTCGCTGCCGAGAAAGACGTCCTCTTTCCCCTCGTTTCAGCCCTGCGCCACCAAAATCTGCTCCGTCCCCGCTCCACCCAATATCGGCACCTCCGCGCTCTCAGGATTACAGAATCCTGGAGAATCTGAGTCTCTGTAGTCCCGCTCCGTATAATCTGCACAATATGCAAGTTGAGAATTTTGTAAATTTCTAGCCTAGCCTGAGGTACCGCCCTGATCGGAGTGAGGGCAGGACGTTCAGCTGGGTTGACAGACCCTCTACTCAAACAATCTGATGACGCCCTGTAAGGATCCAACACTGACTTCGCCCCTTGTGCCATCGTCATATCCGTCCGGCCGATAGCATTAGCTACGTACACCACCTTGTCCCCGTGGGGCACCCGTAAAATCAAAAATCTATCTACAGGATGCCCGTCGCCGCTTCCAGCTCCTCAATCACAATCCACCCGGACGTAGTCTCTCACCCGCACTTCTGCGCCTGCCCGGTTCTTATCGACTTCGTCGCGAGAGGCTGTCCGCTCCCTGCGAGCGAACCAGTGTTTGAGGCGTTCCGTCGGTTTCTCGGGGACCGGGAGAGGGACAGGGACCTGGACGCCTTCAAGCTGGCTGCTGTTCAGAACTTGTTCAAGATGTACTGTCAGCGAGATCATGGTGAGTAGCTAATATAGTCGTAGATCTTCGCTTCTGTCAGTGTATGTCTATGGACACTGCTGATGACAAGACATTCCTTGGGTTGCTGAACTCCTTACCAGGTACCTCCCGACCGTCATGACGCAAAGGGCTACGCTCGGGGACTTCAATACCGACCTCGGTCCGGTTTGGATAAAGCCTCCAGCCGATGGCACAAGGATGCTCCACAGCGAGCTGGAGAGAGGTCGGAAGCTGAGGTTAACTGAGCCCTTGGAAGAGATGCTTGACGATCTGGAAGCGGTAAGTGTCACATCGCAGTCTCGACCTTTCGGCGGTTATTCGGATCCAGGAGTCAAGCTGATCCGTTGGCCTGGTCTGACTCGGTCACTCCATCACAGATACTGATTCGGGATCTCGAACATTACAGGCGAAGAACGACAAGTTATCAAGTAGACAGGTGTGAAGCTACAGTATGCATAAGCGGACGAGCTACCGTCTATTGTATTCTAGAAATCTATATGACCTGTTCTTACTTCTCATCACATGCCGCGGCCCCGTCCACCTTTTGCCGGTCCCTGTCCACCTGCACCACCTCCACGCTGGCTGTTGGGCCGCTTTTGACCCCTGCCGGGCGCGTCACCCCCACCGCCAACGGGCGGTCCCGAGCCAGGCACCCCGCTCCCGGGTACGGTCCTTCCCCCACCTCCGCCGCCACCGGCCCCACCGCCTCGTCCCGCACCACCACCACCTCCTCCCCTGCCGCCACCTCCACCTCCCCTTCCGCCGCCACCGCCACCTCCACCACCACGTCCACCTCCCTGACCCCTCCCTCCTCCGCCTCCCCCGCCTCCAGCACCCTGTACCTCCCTCACCACATTCAGCCCCGGCGCGCCCTTCAGCCCCATCTTCCCCACCGTCTTCGCCAGCAACCCTGGCGGCTTCCACTCCGCCCCCGACCCACTCCCTTCATACCTCAGGGACACCCTCGCAAACTCGTTTGCCCCGTTGATCAACTGCCCCTGATTCCACCCGAGCGCCTTCGTGCTTCCATTATAATACCCCAGCCAGGCCTGGTACGCCTGCGTCTTGGCTTCGTCCGATACGGTCCGAAGCGCCGCGTCGATGTGTTGTCGCGCGGAATCGCGCGTGGCTGGGGTAGAGCCAGAGTAAGGGAGGATGTTGAAGGTCTGGAGGATCTTGTTGCGGAGGAACGAGGATTCAAAGGCGCCGAGGACGACAACACCGTGCCCTTTGCTCCCGGCTCGAGCGGTACGGCCGAGACGATGTACATCTGCCGTATCAGTTTCCCTTCTTGAGAAGCTCAGCTGGCAAGACTCACATTGCTCGGGATTGGCAGGCAGACCGATCTGAACTACACCCGTCACACCCTTGACGTCAATCCCGCGCGCCATGACGTCCGAGGAAAACAATACGCCGGTAGGGGCGGCACGGAAGTGCTCAATCGCCTTGATTCGGGCGGGTTGAGACATGCGCGAGTGGATTTCCCATACGGGTACGGCGATAGAAGCGTCGAGACCGTTAAAGATGTCGGCCATGATCGCGGCGGATCGAGCGGTCGGCAGGAAGACCATGACTAGGGATCAGGACGGATTTCTGCAGCGCGGAAGAGACGTTTCGAACTCACCCTTGAACCCGCCTCGTTCAGCCGACAAGCTTTGTTCCCTGAAGATCACCTCTGCCCCGGCAACGAGTACTTCGGTGTCCGGGACGACCAAGCTCTCCTGGATGACGTGCTCGTGCACGTTGACATCCTCCTCGGTGAGGGTGGAGATGAACTCGTGATTCTTGTCCAGGGCGAGTGAAGCGATCTGTATTGTCAGCTGATCCCCAAATCGACTGAGGTGGATGCAGCTCACGTTGTGCACCTCAGCGGGGATAGTCGCCGAGAACAGCAAGGTCTGACGAGGCTGAGCAGACTTTTGAGGAAGAGACTCGATGATCTTTACGAGTTCCCGGCGGAAACCTTGGTCGAGGAGCCGGTCAGCCTCGTCGAGAATGAGGGAGCCTACTCATCAGCTCGAACCCCTGCACTCCACTTGACGATATGAGACGTACGGATCCCAGCAAACCTCTGCGCAATCCCGGCATTCTCAATAAGATCCAACAATCGTCCAGGCGTAGCAATGAGTATATCCGCACTATCGCATGAGCCCCATCCTCGCACATACCAGTGACCAACCTTGCTCACCGACGGGACTTGAGGTCCCTTATATCCTTCTGCATATTCGTTCCGCCCACGACGCACCGCACGCCCAGGGTGTCCTGGTGGTTCCGCAGTAAACCCTCGGCGGCAACGCTGATTTGCATCGCGAGCTCACGGGTCGGAGAGAGGATGAGGACGGAGGTGGAGGATGCGGGAGGGGCGGGGGCGGTGATGAGGCGCTGGATGGTAGGGACGAGAAAGGCGAGGGTCTTGCCTGTTCCGGTTTTGGCTTGCGCGAGGAGGTCGCGGCCGGCGAGTACGGCGGGGAGAGTTGCGGCTTGGACCTGATAGTCAGTACACCTTCTCCGTTGATGACGGAAAACTTGCATCTGTGCAGAACTCGAACGGAATACCCTTCAACACCTGCTCCGATAATCCCTCGAAATCCCTAAATCGGACACCCGAACCACCCTCTACCGCAGGCGTAACGGTTCCACTCGGCGCAGGCGTCGAGTCGGTAGTAGATGCCACTCCGCTGAACTGTTGGGGAATGGCCGAACCTGCCGCGCGGGGTTGTTGAGGTTTGCGAGGACCACCTCGGCCTCGGAATCCCCCACGGGAGCCTCCTCTAGCGGGAGGAGCGGACATGATGTAGCTAACGTGGGTTGATATTGATGGTCGAAGGGAGGTATTGATTGTCTGTCTAGCTATAGATATAGCTTTGAGCATATAAGAGCAGATGAAAGGAGAACGAATGAGGCTCAAGCTGAGCCTGGCCAAGAGCTCAAAATTGTATGCCGTAAGGAATGTGGGGTAAAGTGGGGCAAGATCTAGCCTTGGCTCGGCAATGCCTGATTTCGTAGCGTCAAGGGTCGTCCCCCACCGACACTCACATGTAGACAGTTGCAGACCACCCCCGAGGGAATGAAGACCGTCCATCTCCCGTAAATCGAGCATGAGCGCCCCTCCACCAGAAGCAACGCGCTTTAGCGCAGACATCGAGCTCCGCCCGGTCCGACCGTCTTCGCCAGTCCCCGGTCCCTCCTTACCGTCGACTTCCAAGTCATCGACTCTGACTCTTCCCATCGCTACAGACCCGTCTGATGTCGGGTCAGGCCGTCGGACATCGCTCAGCGGTTCCGGGCTGACCGATCCGCTTAACTCACAATTCCTCCATCCTGTCGATAGAGGATCCCACGCCTGGCTATTCCTCCTCGGTGCAACGACAATAGAGGTTCTGATATGGGGATTACCGTACTCTATTGGAGTGCTCCATCTGTTCTGGACCAACACCCTCTTCCCTGGGTATGGAGCTGCAACTATTACGCTTGCGGCGACGATGCAGGCGGGGTTATTGTACATGATGACTGCTGTTTTTGGACCGTGAGTCCTTTTGCGCGAGAGGCTGAAGCGAAGCAGTGCTTATACGCAACCAGATTAATCACCGCCTATCCTAGATATACTAAGAAGATTCAGATAGCTGGAGTCGTACTATCCACGATTGGGACTGTAGCCTCTGGTCTCGTCACCGAAGTAGGTCTCTCTTACGCAATTCCTCTACACCCGCTTACATGGTAGCCATGGCACCTTGTCATCACCTTCGGTGTCCTCTACCCCTTCGCGGCCGCCACCTACGTCCCATGCGCAACGATCCTCTTCGAATGGTTTTCCGCAAGACGCGGACTGGCGGCCGGCATCATGTACGCCGGAACGGGTGTCGGCGGGACGATCTTCCCCTTCCTCATCTCGGGTCTCATCGGACGATTCGGCTACAAGGCAGCCATGATATCCCTCGGTATCGGCTATGGCGTCCTCTCTAGCATCGCCCTTATTCCTATCAAGCGGCGTATACCGATTCCGCGCAGGAGGGGCGGGGACGAGGCTATTCGGAGGCCGAGGGCGAGCCTGGAGTTCCTCAAGACTAGGCTGGTATGGATCGGGTGTGGGATCATCGTGGTCAGCAGCGTCGGGAACTTCATTCCTAGCCTCTGGCTCCCAGGTGAGTGCATGGCCCTTCTGTTTCTGAGGAGTTGAGAGCTGACCCCGTATAGCGTTTGCCGACGATCTGCACGTTTATCCCAGCGGTACCGGTCTCATTTCTATCATGAATGGTAAGTTCTGTCTGGAACCTTACACGCGCTAGTGCTCCATACGATCGCTGACAGTATAGCTGCATCAGTCCCCGGGAATGCCATTATCGGCTCCCTCTCCGACCGCTGGCCCATCCGGACCGTCATCCTCCTCAATTGCATCGGTACCGCCTTAGCTTGCTTCTTCCTCTGGGGCTTCGGAACGAACGCCGGCCTCCTCGTACCCTTCGTACTGGTCTTCGGGGTATTGGGACTAGGCTTTGTGAGCGTATGGACCAGGATGATATCGATGATCGCAAGTGAGTACCTCAATCGACGAGGCGTTTGGACCGGCGGCAATTGAGCTGACGAGAGCAGAGGATGATCCAACTGTCCCAGCCATGGTCTTCTCCCTCTTTGCATTCGCCAAGGGTGTCGGAAGTATGGCGTCCGGACCCATTGCAGATCAGCTACTCAAAGTGGACGTCCTCAAGGGCGGGACCGGCGGGTATGGAGTCAATAATTATGTGAGTGTGGACAACGCTCTCGCAGCTCCACATGACACCTCAGGAGACAAATGGCTGATCGTACAGGGGATACTGCTGATCTTCACTGGTACAGCCATCTTGCTTGCCGGCGGCATGGGACTGGCGTTCCGAGAATCGAGGAAACAGAGCGAAGCGGGTGGCCGCTTGGGCGCCTCAGTCGAGGGAGCACGGTGAAACTATGGGCATGACAGTTTACCCGGCAAGCGCCACACTCACACTTGGCTGTCTTCGTCATTCGCCAGGCCGCCAGGTCCAATGAAATGCCGAGCTACCATGCTGAGTCGGTCTGAGATGTGCACATGCTTGGTCTCCGTCGAGGAGCACAGACGCAAAAGATGACCACATTTATTTCAGAGCTGACAAAGAGCAAGGCGATTCTACAGCAGCTCTAGAGCACCGGCCTAGGCCTCGAGCGGATCAGATGACGTCATGTCGAGAAGTCGTGTCGCAGAGCTTGTCCGCGCTTGCTTTTGATATCGCTCTTTACCGCATGCTTCGAGGGAGTTGCAGCTGATTTGAGCTGTCGGCAGACTGGTGAGCGGACATCTGGAGCCAGCATAAACATTCACAGGCCACGTCTGACTCACTCACCAGAGCAGTCAGTCACTCTCCGCGATGAACGGCCCTCCACCTTCAAGCGCCGACATCGAGCTCCACCCTGTCCTTCTGTCATCTCCAAGCCCAAAGGCCTCCCTGCCGCCCACCGCAAAATCATCAAACTTGACGCTCCCGCTCTCCCCGTCCCCCTCTCAGCCCGTTGCCGGGTTCGGCAACTCGCTGAGCCGGACCGACTCCATTGACCCACTCAATACCCAGTCCCTCCATCCGGTCGATGGAGGGTATCATGCCTGGATGTTTTTGGTCGGAGCTACGACCATAGAGGTGCTTATATGGGGCCTACCATTCTCAATAGGTGTGCTTCATCTGTACTGGACAAACACGCTGTTTTCGGGATATGGCGCGGCTACCATCACGCTTGCTTCGACTCTCCATGCGGGGCTACTCTACATGTTGACGGCTATCGCTGGACCGTGAGTCTTGCTGATCTCCAACAGACCGAAGATTGTAGGAAAGATTGGGGCTGACTCACTAATAGACTGATCACGGCCTTTCCTAGGTATACCAAAAAGATGCAATTAGCAGGAGTAGTCGTGTCTACGCTGGGCACCGTGACCTCTGGCTTAGTCACTGAAGTGAGTGAGCCACCACGCAACCTGCCACGCCGCTGACGAACAGCCATGGCAGCTCGTGATCACCTTTGGAGTTCTCTACCCCTTCGCAGCCGTCACCTACCTCCCGTGCGCTACGATTCTCTTCGAATGGTTCTCCGCAAGACGCGGGCTGGCCGGCGGGATCATGTTCGCAGGTACCGGCGTGGGCGGCACCTTCTTCCCCTTCCTCATCACCGGTCTCATCGGTCGTTTTGGATACAAGGCCGCCATGATCTCCCTTGGTATAGGGTACGGTGTGCTTTGCAGTATCGCCCTCATACCCATCAAGCGAAGACTGCCGCTCCCTCGGAGAAGAGGCGGGGCGATCGGGGACGAAGCAATACGACGACCAAAGGCGAATATGGAGTTTTTGAAGCATCGGCTGGTGTGGATTGGCTGCGGAGTGATTATGCTCAGCAGTCTAGGGAACTTTGTTCCGAGTCTATGGCTTCCAAGTAAGCTTCCCTTGCAACCATAAGAGGGAGAGGGGGAAAGCTAAACATGCAGCATTCGCGGATGACCTTCATGTTTACCCGAGTGGAACGGGTCTCATATCCATCATGAATGGTCAGTACTCCTGTCCCGTTCCATCTGAGCCTGCTGATGATCAGCCGCTTCGGTACCCGGCAACGCCATCATAGGATACCTATCAGATCGATGGCCGATCCGGATCCTCATCGCCGTCGACTGCCTCGCAACCGCGATGGCCTGCTTCTTCCTCTGGGGATTCGGCACCAATGCCAGCCTCCTCGTTCCCTTCTCGCTAGTCTTTGGGGTCCTAGGGGTCGGCTTCATCAGCGTTCAAACGAAGATGATGTCAATGATCGCCAGTGAGTCCATCTCTTCTTGCTCGAGGACGGTAACTGATGGTCACAGAGGACGATCCTACAGTTCCGGCCATGGCATTCTCCATCTTTGCATTTGCGAGGGGAGTGGGCAGTATGGCTTCTGGACCGATAGCCGATCAGCTGCTCAAGGTCGACATACTAAAAGGTGGTCCGGGAGCTTATGGGGTCCACAACTATGCAAGTTGTTTCTGCCAGGTCCCGCATATATGATAACGTGCTCGAGCTGATCGATCCAGGGCATCCTCTTGATCTTCACTGGATCAGCGATTTTTTGCGCCGGAATTATGGGATTGTTATTCCGGGAAGGCAGAAGGCCTGTGATGGGGCCGGTGAGCTGAAGCATCTGCTACATACCGGACCAGCCACGTCGAGGGCGTGCCAGCCCCTGCGCAGGACACGCACGAGCTAGAAGGGCAGTGCGCCCGACGCATCGCCAGAGACTAGAGTGGGGTAAAGTGGGGCAGATGTTGCTCGCAGATGTAGACATCTCTGTCCACGCTCGACACCAATGCATACAATGCCAGTTTCATGTCCTTGATCGCAAACATCATTCCTAGATACCGGCCTGAGACATCTCTGTTCACGCTCGACACCGATGCATACAATGCCACCTTCATCTCCTTGATCTCGAACACCATTACTGGATCCCGGCCTGGGCTAGCTTGACCGCCTCGCCGAGCCGACCTTCCGTGTCCCACTCCCCCCATACAGCCGCCACGTCCAAGCCAAGTCTCCGCACCCTGCCTTCTGGCAACTTTGTCCACGGCCCCATCGTGGACCCACGAGTCGGATGGGCGAGATGGAAGAACGGAGCCAGTCGGGCAGATATGCTCGGGTAGGTCTGAAAGGATCAGCTTCTGCTTGGACCCCTCATTCCCCTACTGCAAAGACATACTTTGACGTCCAGTAGACTGCATCCCTCTTCCGCGCCACCGCCTGCCCCCCTCATCCCCATATCCAACAACCACCGCAACAACCTCTCCGTCGCCCGCTCGTCCCTCGCCCCAATATCCCAAAGCGCCTTCGGCACCCCGTCGATCCAACCTCGTACCGCCGCCCTCAGCTTCGATGACATGTGTATGAAGAAGGGTAGGGTGGGGTAAGACTGTTCATGTGTCCGTACGAGCCGAATGACAAAGTCGTCCCCCAGACCCCGGAGCGCAGAGGAGGCGTTTTGACGAGCGATGAACGCGAGAAGGGCGGTACCGACCATCTCGGGTATATTCTCCTCGTCCTCTTCGGTCGAGCTGGGGGGAGGTGGTTGCGTGATGAGGGTCCACATGATCGGTAACAGGGCAGAGAAAGTCGAGGTTGTGATTGGGGGTGATAACATGTCTTGAGACGGCGTCTGATGGTCAAATACTGCATCGTCTCGTCGGAGGACCAAGAAAGACTTACAAGAATATCAGTCAGCCACGCTGCGACCTCGGCCATCGCCCATCCGTCGACGGCCCGACCCTTGCCCTTGCCCTTCCGCCGGTCTGTCTCCGCCCTGACGGTCGCCCAAGACGCCTCGACCGACCTCACGCGCGCCTTCCACGCCGTATCCTTTCTTCTCTCGGTGGCATTCTGACCGTATGCAAGCGGGACAGGCTGTGGTGCAAGAAGCGCAGCCAGTCGAGCATACGCTAGATTCAGCTCCATACCTGCGCTCAAAGCGGAGGAACCGGTGGTGAGGCTGGCTCCTGAGAAGGGGAAGTAGGGCGATAGACGCTTCAGAAAGTCGGAGATTCGAGCTCGGACGATACCGGTGTCCTTCTCCGAAGCGGGAGCGGCGGCCGTAATGATGTGTTTGGCGAGCACGGAGGTCAAGGTGGCGGTGACTACGCATAGTTCGATATGGGTCTCGGTCGAAGCAGCAGTAGGGGCGGACGTGGACGTAGGGGAGAATGCGGAGGGGGCGGACTCGAGAAAGGTGGAAAGTAAAAGGGGGTGGAGCTGGACAAAGAGGTTCTGATAGTCAGCGGTGTTCTCCCGACGGTGTATAGTGACCCACCATTGTACCGGAGCCATTTTCTCCAGACTCGGCAGTACTTCCCCCTGCATCCAGCCTGCCGAGCTCCCATCCCGACGTCGCAGCAGTATTCACCGCCCAGCTGCCCGACTCTACGACCCATCCCTCGTTCGTCCCATCAAACGCCAGCCCGTGCTCGCTGACCTCCAGCACTGCTCCTTTATTGCTCGCGCTGTTCCCCTCGTCCAGCCAGCCTTCCCACATGCTCTCCGTCGCAGCAGAGTCCGACCCGCCCTCCAAGGCTTGCGTGACAAATGCCAGTACAGCTTTGAGGAACACTAACTTTCCACCCGCCGTCAGTCTCCCTTGGGCAGAACTGGCTTTATCTCCGCCCAGTCCCAAAGCGAGACGCAGTCCCTCGAGGATAGTGGAGCCCGAAGTCGAGGTTGCACCTGCTTCGCCGGAAGCAGAAGGCGCCGAGGCGGGCCAGCCGGCGGTGATGTGTCTTGGGACATGTTGAAGGAGGAGGGAGACAAGTCGGGCGGCGTCGAGGCGGATTTCAGGGAATATGTGAGATAAGGCCGAGGATGTTAGAAGGAGGAAGAGAGGTAGATGTGGGACGAGCGAGACCTGGAGGTGTGAGCTGGTCTATTGTGATATCATCGTAAGACAGTCTTTATCGAAGAGTAACTTGCCTCGGGCGTAATGGAAAAGTACCAGTCCAACAACCCCAACAAGCCCTTCCTCACTGAAGCATCATCATCAGCCACCATCCCCCCCAACGCCCTCATCACCCTGCCCACCTCTACTCCACTCCTGATCTTCAGAATCTCCTTCACTCCACCTAGGCTATCCCTTCTTACTCCGGCATTTGGGTGCCGTAGCCTGATGAGGACCTCATCGAGGTCCAGACCGCTTGATGTAAGGGGTTCGGCGCCGGCGGAGGTAGAGGCGAAATTGGAGGATGGGTCTTGCTGGATCGCGGCACGTTCGAGGGGTTGTTGGCCGGGCAAAGCGATAGCTGAAGAGTAGATCAGCGATATCCCCACGGTTGGCCGGACAGGGCTTACATCTAGCTTTGAAAGAGGTATTGGTAGCGTTTGTAGGCACCTTCTTGCCTTTACCCAGCTTGAGCTTCGCTTTCTGGGGCTTTGTCAGCAGCTTCCTAGTGATGAGAGGGAGCAATTACTTTAAAGTCTGCCTCCTTCTCCTTCTTCCTCTTTGTAGCTGGCGGCATCTTGGCAGTACAGCTCGATGGAGAGGTGATTGAAGGTGATAAAGTGAGCAGCAGACCTTGAGCATCCCAAGTTTTGAAACCACAATTTTGAAACCACCTCAAAATTGCCCCTTCAAGCGATTTGGCCCCATTTGCAGTGATGCAGCAGACCATGCTGTCCACGCAGCATGCTACGTACAGCAGACGTGCCCAGATTACATCTCGAACCTCTACATTCCAATTACATTCCCGCCCGGCAGATTCCTCCCTCCTCGTGACTCTACTTGGTCTTGATCCACCCTCTATGCCCGACCCACCCTTCCCGACCCTTCAAGAACCGATGTCCACACAGAACATCCGCGGTAGGTCTATCCCCGACTTCCAACTCAAGACACCTCCTCACTAGATCTTCCGCATCTTCTAATCTTCCTCCTCCGTCTCCTTCTTCCCCTTCCCCTGCCTCTTCCCTCTTCCCATCTCCCCCATCCCCATCCCCAGCCGGCTCTTGTCCCTTTCTATCACACCGTTCCTGCAGCGCCTCGAGCCCTCTACTCCCTTCCACAAGCCCCACCAGCACCTCATCCGGCAACTCGGCAAACGGCGTCTCCCCCACAAGCAACACATACGCCACCGTCCCCAGCGCATACACATCCTGCTCTTTACCCCCATAATAGTCACCCCGGAGAATCTCGGGTGACGCGTAATGCAGGGTGCCCGAGAATGTGTCCCACCGTTTTCCAGGACGCCAATGGGCAGACGAGCCGAAATCGATCAATTGGCATTGCCCGTGTCCGTCCAGAATGACATTCTCGTCTTTAATGTCCCGATGGACGATACCGTTTGAATGGAGGAATCGGACCGCGTCGGCGAGTTGACCGATGAGAGACCGGACGTCGAAGGCCGGTAGGCCGTTAGGAGACGCTTCGACGCGGTCGAATAGATCCAGACCGGATCCAAAGCGGGGCATCACCACTGTCCCATCAGCCTTGTCTAGTTTAAAGCTGATTACACTTACTATAGTAGAACTCGCGATCTTCAAAGAAATCGAGCAGTTTACAGATATTCGGATGACCCCTGGCCGGACTGGACCGGAGCTCGCTCGCTATGCGCTGCGCATTGCTGCTGAACATGTTGGAGCTGTAGGACCGGTCGACCAGCCTAGCCGATATCCCTGCCGAGTCGGGCGAGGAGGGTTTCGCAGAATTGGGGCTTGATACGGGGGAGGTAGAGTCCGGAGGGGGTTGACTCGCATGTTGCAGGAGCGCGAGGGAGGGTCGCTTAACTCCGTCCGGAGGAGTGATGGTGCCGTCTCCCGTGTGGATGGGAGCCGGGCGCGCGCGTGAGGGGTCCCAAGGATGAGGTTTTGCTGGTGCGTTATAAAGAAGATGTCGGAGTTGATCCATGACGTGGACTACAGAGTCAGCTGGTTTTCCATTAGCATCAGGACTGATGACTCACTCTCTACCGGGATAGGACCCAGCACCTTATGCCTGACCCGTTAGCTAATTCTTCAAACCTCCCCGTCCCAGCGCAAAACTCACTTCTTCCAGCAATCCGCCAAGATCCTAACCTTGACGATATACTTTATGATTACTTCCTCTCCCTCCGGCTCTCCATTCGCCCCCTTTACTTTTGCACGCATGACGAGTCCATACGCGCCCTTACCCGCCTCGCTAAGAATCACATAATCCTCAATCCCGCGCCCGCCCACTCCGCCCGCCGTCTCGGAGCTAGGCGTCCCAGGCTCCGACGGGGGTCCGATACTAGGCGCGACAGAGATGGTCGAGTCCATCCTGTTGAATCCCGGGAAAGACGAGAGACCGTGCTTGTTGCCTACGCCGATACCGTGATCTATGCTGGTAGATGGCGTGAGTCCAGGCGAGCGGAAGGGAGAAAACGAGTTGAGGGATGCCTTTTTCGCGAGGGGCGACATGGACCCATCGATCAATGTGTTCATATTGTGGTAGGAGTGTCCAGGAGGGAGGGACGTATCAGGCGGGACAGTGAACGGCTGGACAATCCGACCGGCCACGAGCGAGACCCGCTTGGTGTCTCTGCGCCGGTGCGTCGGTCGCCGGGATTTAGGCTTGGACGGTTCGTCCATCGGATTACTCTTTTCGAGGGATGGTTCCTTTGCGTCGGCGAGGGACCGCGCATAGTCCCGGATCGTCTCGAGGTTGGCAGTGTGCGAGAGGGATAGTCGGGGCTTGGCGTGGTCGTCGCTGCCTTGGGCAGACTCCAGTTCTGGAGACTCTTCCGGCGAGACCAGACTCGGTTGCGCGAGGAGGGGCGAGCCATGCAGCGGACTACGTTTGAATGGTACAGTGGGCGATATGGATATGGACGAGACACTCCCGCTGAGCGTACTTCCGCTGGATCGGCCAGTGGGCGATAACGACGCCCCGGATCCCGTCGATCCGGGTGCACTGTCCAGCTGCAGCAGCCCCACCGAGGCACTCTCGAACGAGCTCAAGCCTGACGCCGAGGCTGAACCGACCCCGCTCAAGCCAGCCGACTCCAGCGGGATCGGAACGATCCTCCCCGACTCGCTCAATTTGAGACCCGAGCCAATCTGCTGCACGCTTTCAAAAGACTTTCCGCTCCCCTTGTCCGCCTCCAGCTCCTCGTCCAGATCGCGGAAGAGTCGCTCCCGCTCAAGCTCCCGCTTGGTCTTGGCCTTGGCAGCCTTGGGCTCCTGTAATCTGGGGACGGAGCGGAGTGACTCGCGTCGCCCGATTGAGGCGAAACGGACGGGCGAGTCTTCGTTGGGTGATGGGGAGCGGTCGGTAAAGACGATAGCTTCATCCGGATCGGCGCTTTCAGGCTGATCAGGGAGGACAGAGGTCGACTCGGCGACGGTAGGAGAGGGAGCGATGATGTTGGTTTGAAAGGTAGGTCGAGAGGGAGTGAGGTATGCGGGCGGTTGTTCTGGCGGTGAGACGGCGCCTGGATCGGGAGTATGCGTCTGCTCCCGCTGGAGATAGTCCGCCGATACGGTGGAATGGAGGGATGGGCGCTGGATAGTAGGTATAGGCCCGCGATCCAGCATCAATCCCACCTGCTTGACGTCCTCGCTTGACGCGGAAGAGAGGAGGCTGCTCCGCCGTCCATCGCTCGAGTCAGACGAGACATTCTCGTCCAGCTCTTCCCCCATTTCCTTTTTGAGCTCTTTCCACTCGGCGGTCGTCGGCGTGAGGATGACCATTGAATGTCCGCCGGGGTGTTCGGGGCTGCTTCCGGGGCTAGGGAAGAGCGGTGGGAGGTGGGATTGTAGAAAGGCGTGAGCGGGCGACAGGGCGGCAGAGGGTTGCTGCGAGGAATGGGAGGGGATGGAGATTGGTGGTCCAGGCCCATTCTGCGGAAGGGTCTGGGATCGCCGAATGTGTATTGGCGATGCCGAGGTGGAGGAGGTTCGCGTGGGCGATAGCTCGCGTCCAGGAGTCGAGTGGAGAGAGTTGGAAAGGGCTCGATCAGGCGAGGTCTGCCGAGATCCGGCTCGAGAAGTAGAGTGGAGGTGGTGGTAGAAGCGAGCACTGATCATCAGCTCGGTCCTACTCGGCGAACCAGCGACCTACCTATTATCCCACATATTCTCCTCGGCTTCCGCACTTGCCCGCCTGTATCCATCGCTCGTTATCCTCCTAAAATCCTTCCCTTGCATCGGCTCGAGCTCGTCCCTGTCCTCTCCCTCCGCCGAGCTCATCGTCAATCCCAAACTCAAGTCCCCAAAGCTCTTGCTCCCCACTACGCCATTCCCCCCTCTGAATCCGCCAGAGCTTGCCCGGCTTCTCGCCTGGGACATGAGCACGCCTCCGCGATGTCTCCGCGCATTCGCAGGGGGAGGGATGGATGGCTGGCGGTGATGGGATGGTCCCGCGTCGTTTTCGTCCGTGTCCCGCTTCTCTCGCTCGGGCGAGTTCAGGACCTCCTCATGAGAGTCCGAAGCGATTTGAGCGGATGGTGAAGAGAGAGGATTCTCCCGAGGTTCTAGTGAGGAGGACGGCGAGGTGGGGAGGAGCGGTGGGTTCGTCATCTGCGCAGGAGCAATGGAAGCGATAAGCTGGACGACGGACGGGCGTGGCGATCCCTCCGTTTCGTCCGAGGGTGTGGCAAACGGGAAACCATGCTGCGTAGGAGTTGGCCGATGTAGATCGTGAGACTGCAACGCTATGACCGGCATGATGTTTGCTGATGCGCAAGATCGATCAAGCACGGTCGTCGGCTACAGCGAAGAGATCGAACGTGCTCCCGCTATTCCCAAGGGGTGGTTGGTGCACGGTCGATCAGAGCGTCATGCGCGAAGCCAGGAGGCCGTGCGTCCTTGTGTAGGTGGCTCGTGATCCGGAATGAACGGTCTGGGGTTCCTGGACCTAATTAGCTCGTGTGTGTGGATGACTGTGTGTGCTCCAGCGATCCAAGGATGTGGGACGAGCAAACAAGGCACCAGATGCGATATAGGAAGCTGCTGCGGGGAGCAGTACGCCGGCAGGAGCAGACTCGAGAGCAGGTCAGGTATGGCAGATATGCAGAAGACAGGAGGTAGGAGTGTGAAAGGATCGCTGTTGGCAAGGCTGGTCCGCCCTGAGACCTGAGGCGGGAATGGCGCTCACCTGACTTTGACCTGAAGGTCTGCCGGTCTGCCTCCGATTTCTCAAGGGGGAAGAGGAGTGTCTACACAGATTGCGCTGTTGGCGGTCCGTCGAGCTGGGTGTCGGCTCGCTGTGCGGTGAGTATTGTATACTATATGAACGCCTTGTTCCCCTTCCTTATGGGACCGTTGACGCGGCATGTCGATCTTTGGTGGGGCACTCAGGCGGCGGTCACCGAGATTACCCCGCGATCGGAGATATAAAATCACGTGACCTCGGTGAGACACACGGGGGAACAGCCCGAGACCCGTGCGTCAGCATTCCTCAGCCGGAAGCTCGTCCGTTAAAGTTCGCGTTCGACCGGTGCTCGTTCCATACTTTGGTCGAGTTCACTCGTTCCATCCTTTAGTTGAGTCCATTCTTCCTATAGCTAGCGGACGGTCACCCCGCTGCTTGACTCCACGCAGCGCCGAAGAAATGGCATCGTCATCTTACAGAACCTCGCGCGAGACGGACCTACTGGGATGGCGCTTGAAAGTAGGGGAGGACAATCACGGCCAGCACAAATGGGTGTATCTCCCCGAAGGACCAGCGCGGGAGGCTTGGCCCCAAAGCAAAGGCGACAAGTATGCGATCGGTCTGGAGATGGTATGTGCATGCTTACTATGATATGCGTAATGGCTGATAAAGTAGGACATGCCGGATCTCCCTCAACCTAAAACTTACATGGACGGCGCGCGGAATGGTCTGGCTTTCTACAAGGAGCTGCAGGCGGAGGATGGACACTTTGCGACAGAGTACGGAGGTGAGCTGTCATGCTCTCGGTCGGGGTCTCAGCTGACATACAGGACCCCTGTTCTTGATCCCCGGCTTGATTGTGGCTCTGTCCGTTACTGGTCAAGCGCTCAGGCCTGAGCAACAAGCAGAGATGCGACGGTACCTCTTAGCGAAGCGTCGGCCAGAAGGTGGATGGGGCCTGTAAGCTAGCTTCCTGGAGTCCACGCATCAGCTGATATGCAGCCATACCGCCGCCCCACCCACGGTATTCGGGACGGTGATGAACTACGTCGCGCTTCGGTTGTTGGGCATGAGTCCGGACGAGGAGCCGATGACAGAGATCCGAGCTCTAATTCACAAAATGGGTCAGTTGCTACCCACCTATGCGGCAGAATCTAGTTGACAATGCAGGCGGCGCGGTGTGTATCCCAACGTGGGGAAAGACTTGGCTGAGTATACTGGGGTGCTATGAATGGGAGGGAATGGGTCCGGTCCCGCCAGAACTCTGGTCAGTTTAGCTCTTTCCGTATCTGACCTCTACTGATATCTAGGCTCCTCCCTGATTGGGTCCCGTTTGCTCCATGGCGCTGGGTACGGCCCTTTCTCCGCCTTTGAACACACTGCTGACCCTTCAGTGGGTCCATGTTCGTAACGTCGCCGTCCCCACTGCCTACCTCTACGGTATCCGCTTTATCGGCCCCATCACTCCTCTCGTCCTCTCTCTCCGACAAGTAAGTCCCCCTTCCGCGCATCACTGACGACAGGAACTCTACACCCAGCCCTACTCATCCATCAAATGGGCCAAACAACAAACCAACATCTCCCCTCTGGACATCTACAATCCCCATTCCCGGACTCTCGATGCCGTGCACGCCGTCTGCCACATATACGAGCACCTCCCATCCCTGCCCTACGTCTCGTCCCTGCTCCCCATCCGCAAACTCGCCCTCAAGCGGGTCTACCAACTCTTGACGTACGAAGACGAAAACACCGGGTATCAGACCATCGGGCCCGTCTCCAAGGCGTTCAACATGGTCGCTCGGTTCGCTGGCGAAGGTGCCGACAGCCATGCGTTCAAGCAGCACATGATCAAGGTTGAAAACTTTTTGTGGATGGGCAAAGACGGGTTGATGATGTGCGGCACGGACGGGAGTCAGTTGTGGGATTTGACCTTCATTGCGCAGGCGATGGTAGAGACGGGCTTGGCGGAGGAGGAGGGAAACAGAAAGTGTGTGGAGGGGATGTTGGGGTGGTTGGATAAGGCGCAGATCAGGGAGAATCCGCCGCATTTTGAGAGTGCGTGGAGGCACCGGACCAAGGGAGCTTGGGCGTTTTCTACCCCAGAGCAGGGATATGTGGTGAGCTGAGCTCTATCTCCATTTTGGTATCCGAGCTGACAAGCCAGGTCAGTGACTGTGTCGCAGAAGGTCTCAAAGCAGCCATGTCCCTCCAGTCCCTCTCCAATACTTCGAAAAACATCACCGTCGACCGAATGCGGGATGCGGTCGATACCATCCTCTCGATGCAGAACCCGAACGGCGGGTACGCGAGCTACGAGCTGCAACGAGCTGGAGAAGGGCTGGAGATCATCAATGCCGCTGAAGTATTTGGGAGTATCATGATTGATTACCTGTACCCAGAGTAAGCTACTCTGATCCCGAATCGATACTGCACGAGCTGATCGTTAGATGTACCACCTCGGCTCTGTCGGCTCTGGTACACTTCTCCAAGATCGACCCATCGTACAAGAAGAAGGAGATCGCGTAAGCTTCTTGGTACTCTTCCGATGTGAGAGACGCATAAGCTGACCCGCCAGAATGACAGTCGAGAAGGCCATCAAGTGGATCAAGACGGACCAGCGTGCAGATGGGTCATGGTATGGCTCCTGGTAAGCTTTTCCAATCCACCTCGCGGAGGCTTGAAGCTGACGACAAAGGGGTATCTGCTTTACCTACGCCACAATGTTTGCGCTCGAAGCGCTCGGGATCGCCGGCGAGACTTATGCCAATTCGGACAATGTCCGCCGGGCCTGCGATTTCCTAGTGGGCAAGCAAAAGGAAGATGGAGGTTGGGGTGAAACATACATGGTGCGCACAGCCCTTCATTTTGCTCTCCCTCCACTCCCTAATATCTCCGCATCTCGATATCTTGGGGGCTGATAGCCAGTCCTGCGTATCCCTCGAATACGTCCAACACGACACATCCCAAGTCGTCATGACAGCCTGGGCTATCCTTGCCCTTATTTATGGCCAGTACCCCGACAAGACGGTCATTGACCGGGCGGCCAAAGTTATCATGGGGAGACAAAAGAAGGATGGAAGGTGGGAACAGGAAGATACAGAGGGGATCTTTAACAAGAATTGCGCAATTGATTACCCGGCGTTCAAGTTTATCTTTTGTATTTGGGCGTTGGGGAGGGCGGACAAGTATCTCAGAGAGTAGGCGATGTGTAAACGGGCGGAGATGTAGAAGATGATGTGACAAAGTATAGTATGAACGGAAGAGCGGGAAAGGTGCCCCAAGGTGGTCGCGATGGGACGGCGTGATCACATCTATCTCCGCCCGATTTCGTTCTCATCTTGCTTGTTCTCGGGAGGAGCCAGCAATACTGCATCTCTTGCCTATAGATATGGAAAACAAGATATAGATCGTTCACAGAAATCGTCAAATATCCCAAATCCCCCTTGAACCCTCGAAACAACCCTACTGAGCCCAATCCCCACTATATTCCGAGCTGTTCCTCCGGTGCCCCTTCGTCTCCTTGCCCGGATGCCCTACCGCAGGCGCGAGTGCTATAGGCGCCTTTCCGCCACCTTGGCCATACTGTACAGTATCGTCATCCGACTCGCCATGGCCCGGTGACCGTGTCCGCTCCCACTGCTTGAGCTCATTCTGCAACTGCTCCATGTCAGCCTTGTACCCAAAGGAGAAACGGCCCAGCTCAGAACCTACCTTGTCATACTGCATCGTCGCCTCGTCACTGTTCTCGTCGCTCCCTCTTCCATCATGATCCCCACCGTCCTCTGAGCCCATATCGAACCCATTCGGCCCGCCCATCTCCAGCAGGGTGCTGATCCGCTGCTGCGCCTGCGCCAAATCCTCCCGCAGGATCTCGACCTCCCGCTCTGCCTCTTCGACACGCATCCGCATAAGGTCGACTTCGCGTTCCCTCGCAGCGAGCACATCTCGAGATGCCGAGAGTTCGGCTTGGACCGAGGTATGGGCCGACTGCAGCGAAGCGAGCTTGCGCTGGAGGTCGGCGTCGAGCGAAGGTGTGGCCCGTCCCGATACATCACGGGTCCGCGCGCCAGCTTCGGACGGTCTACCGCGGAGATTGTCAATTTCAGATTGAAGGGAGGTATTGGCGAGCTTTTGTTTGCTCAACTCGTCCTGCGATATCAGCTCGGCTCTGCACTTGATCAAGTGACAACTCACCTTCATCCGCTTCAGCATCTTCTCCGTCCCCTTGACGTATCGTACCGCCGTCTGATAATCCGACTCTAGCGCCGCCAGCTTCTCCTTGTGCTGGCTCTCGATCTCGGCAATCTTCCTGTCCTGGTCGAGACCGCGGAGGCTTTGATCCGCCGAAGGACTGGGCGAGCGCATGGACATCCCGGTTGGGGATCGCGCATCCTTGAGACGGTCGATCAGTCGGCTCAGGGACTCGGCCTTGTCCTCGGCGTCTAGGCAGCGCTGATTGAGAGTCTCGATCTCGCGCTGGGCATTCTCGTGTGCACGGTCCCGCTCGCGGAGCTGCGTTTCGAGCTCGCGGGTACTGGACGTTTCGCCAGAGTCGAGATCGTGATCGCTAACGGCGATCCCGTGGTCGGCGACTGCACGTCAGCTAGAGCCCATCCTCAACCGATGCAGACGTACGCAGGTTCCGCAAGACTGTACACCTCGTCTCGATCTCCGTGACAGCCAGATCCCTCTCCCTGAGCTCCGCGTCCTTGGCCCCATGCAGCTCCCGGAACTTGGCGAGTTCCTGCTGGCTCTGCATGTGCTTTGCCCGAACAGACCGGACCTCGGCTTTGAGAGACTGATGTCCCGATTCCAGGTCACGTGCCTTGGACCGATGATGGGAAACGCCAGCTTCGGCATCTTCTAGCCGCTGACCCGCCTCGCGCAGCATCTTGCGAAGCGACTTGCTCTCTTCTTCCAGGGCTCGCATCTGCTCCTGATGGCCACGGATACCCCGCGTATCGTCCAACTTTCTCTCTTTGTGTGAGTCGAGCAGCTGACCGAGGTGACCGGTTGATAGTTGTCGAAGCGAGTCGGCCTCCTCCCTGCTCCGGTTGTACGCCTGCTCCACCTCTCCTAGACGCTCAGCCGAGAGCTCAGCGTCCCGCGTCCTGCTCTCGAGCTCGGACCGTGCGTCAGTGAGCTCCGCTTCGAGGTCCGAGATCCGGGCGGTCGCCTTGTGATAGAGATTCTCCATCTCGGATGTCCGAGTCCCAGCGGCAGCGATAGCCGCTTGGGCGGACGCGATGAGGCCGAGGTGCTCCTCCCGGGTAGCAGTGGCCTCGTCGAGTTGTGACCGGAGGTGATCCCGCTCCGCTTCCCGCTGCTGGGCTGACGACGAAACAGTCACCATCCGCTCGGCGTGGTCGCGCAGAGAAGCTTCCGCCGATCCGTGCTGCTGCCGCAGACTCTCCAGCTCTTCCAGGAGGTTCCGATGAGCCTCTTCCGCCTCTTCCGCCCGGCGAGCCGAATCCGACTCCCGCTCGAGAGCAGCAGACCGGAGTTGCTCGTCTGAAGCATTGGCTTCTCTGACCCGAGCTAGCTCTCTTTGGGCGGAGGAGCACTCGGTCGATAGCTTGGCGAGCTGCTTTTCCAAATCCGCGATCCGCTCTTTTTCGACTCTGGAGAGGTCCGACATGGACGAAGACTCGAGAGTGGCAATTTTGGCTCGGTAGAAAGCGGCTTCTTGCAGAGCACCTCGCCGCAGTCGATCCGCATCCGTGGCTTTGTCGGACGCTATTCTGATCTGCGCGACGAGCTCGTTCTGCCTGGTCAGCTTGGCTCCGGAAAGAGAGGAATAGCTTACCTGGATAACCGCCTTTTCCTGCTTCATCCGCACCACCGCACCCATCAACTTCTTCACCATCTCCTCATCTATCGCCGGGCTATTCTTTCCGCCACCCAGGTCCACATCTCCATCATCCACCACAAAGCCCTGATGTACCGCGCGATTGAGCATAACCTTCATCGCCGCCTCGCGCTTCCTGCTTGCCTCGATCTCCGCCTGATTTGCCTTCAACTCCCGCATGAGATCAGACGAGCCCGACGCGGAGGGCGGGCGGACAGCGCCATTAGGGCCGCCGTTTCCGTTAAAGTTGTTGGCGGTGGGGGAGCGGCCATAGTAGAAAGCATCAGCAGGAGGAGCAGGTCGGTGATCGCCGCTATCGGCCTGCCGCATCCGAGGCGAAGGCGAGCGAGTCCCTAGAAGGGATGGATTGAAGCCATTACGGGTAGTCTGCGGTGGCGAAGCGGGGCCATTTGGTGGAGACATGACCCGGGGATGTATGGGTTGCACCGGACTGCTTGGACCGTTGGACACCGGTGACAGGGCTCGGCGGAAGTCTTCATCGCCATCCCGTTTTGGACGTTGGGGCGGCCCATTGGCGGTAGATCGCGTGGCTGGAGCTGCAGATGCAGGCATAGGTGGCTGAGGCAAGTGAGGGTCCATGGGCTGCGATTCAGATCTCGACATGCTTCTCGTCTCGATGGGGGCAGCGAGAGGCTGCGAGGAGGGAGGCATGGCCGATTGACCGAGGGGCGAGGTAGCTCGCTGCGCCAAGGCCAGGTTGTCCATCGAGGTCGACGCTGGTATGCCCCTGCTAGCCGCCTCGGCTTGACGCTTCGGCGAGCCGCTGTCGTATACAACGCGCTCATTTGAGGCGTGTACTTGTCGGAGGGGTTCCTTGTCTGCTGGATACTTTATCTTGACTGTTCTATCAGCCCCAATCCAGGAAAAGTTCAAGAAAAGTCCAATTCGGGCTCGACCAAGCCCCTGAACCCGAACCGCATCTTCCCGATCGTGGTCATCGCGGGCATCATCCCGAGTGATACGAAGTGGTCCAGCTTGACTCGAAACATTGAGAGGTGGACTGACCAGTGTCCAGCATGTGTATCAGAGATGGATCGTCCTTGGATACTCCGTTTGACGCGTTTGCTTCTCCGCCGAGGACAAAGATGGTACCGTGAGCGGCGACCATGGCATGTCCAGATCGAGCGGATGGCGCCGGGCCCATATTTTGAAACATGTACCATCGAGAATCTTTTGTCAGCTCCTATCTCCCAATGCAATGCGACTCACTAGATATCCTGAACGCCGCCAAGTCTCCCAGATCTTTTCCATTGACATCACGCCCGCCGAACACGTAGATGACATCGTCCACGATAGCTGCGGCATGGCCTTCTCTGGGGACCGGGATGTAGCCAATACAGGAGAGCTCCGTCCACTCGCCCGTCTCTGGATCGAAGCGCCAGGTGTCGTTATAGTGGAAGTTGCCGTCCGTCCCGCCAAACACATACAGCATATTTTGCCAGCTGAGCAGGATGTGACCCGTTCTCGGGGAGGGCGGTGGTGTCTTGTAATTGGCCCGTTCCCAGACGTGTTGATTCCCGTCTCCCGAGAATGCTGCACTGTTAACTTTGACCCCTCGGTCGCTTTCCCCCTCCTCGATTCTTTCTCTTCCCGACCCTTGTTTCTGCGGTTGGGCAGACTCCCTGCCCAGCCTCCAGCCATCCCCTGTACGCCTGTGTCCCTCGCAATAGCACTAACAACTTCCTCCTCTTTTCCTTGCTTCAAGATCTTGGCCTTTCGCATTCGCTCTGTTTCTCACTCGTACCTCGCCGCTCAGATGGCCCGGCCCCGTTCCCCTTGCCCCCACCTTCTTGATCTGCCCAGCTCATCATACAGAGAAGGCGAAGCTCACCTTGACGAATATCGTAGCTCCAAAGATCGTTCATAAAGGCCCCCTCCGCTTGTCCGCCAAAGATGTAAAACTTGCTGCCCAGCAAACAAGCGGCATGCCCGTACCGTCCCGCCGGACCCGGGGTCACCGGCATGCGCGTCCACTCTTGCGATCCTGCCTATCAGCTGTGTCTCACGGCTAGTATGGATACTCACTCAAGTCTAGCACATAAAGCCCCTCGTCCTGCTTATCCTCTGGCTTCACCTTTGTATCTCCTCCCCACATCAACATGATCCTATCCGCCATCGCGCTCGCATGCCCCACTCTTGGCGCAGGGAGTTGACCGCTTGTCCGTACATTCATCGTACTGCAGTCCTTGACCTCCATGGACCACAAGTCATTTCGGACGTGATCGTGGACGAGACCACCAAAGATGAGCATGTGGCCCGAGTGGGAGGGGAAGGCGGGGACGGCGAGGCCATAGCGGGGGAAGGGGTTCGTCGGAGCGGTAGGGGGAGATGCCGCGGAGGGAGCGAGGCGGATGGGGCGGTACGACCAGGGGTACTGGGTCGAAGAAGCCGCAGTGGACTGCCGAGACTGGGGGACCAGCGCTTGTGAGGGCTGCGGGGGTCCTGACATATCTGTAGATGGACCGGGATGACCGTTGGGGCCGTTCGGTACCTGGTTCGTCAGCGATGTCCAGCAGAACGCGTGGACGGGGTTCGGGATGCCGCTTCGATCAGGCAGCAGCTCCGCGCTTTGCCGTTCTCGAACGATTCCATCTCCTCCATCGAACGATTCCATCTCCTCCAACGCTCCTCTCGGCGTCCGAGTCTGAACTCCTGCCTGCGTGCGAAGATGAAAGAAGGACGTGGTGGATCTGAGGTCGCGAGAAATAATGCTCACCGGTCCAGATGTCATCCGCCGCTGCTGTCCTGACGGTCCCACCATGGACGGCCCAGGCATCTGAGGGCCGGCTGGCATACGCGCCTGCGGAGGCGCCGGGCCAGATGGCGGAGGTCCGGCATTCGGAGCATTGCTGCGGGCAGACGATAGAGATCGAGGACGAGGCATAGATGAGGTTGGGTATGGGCGTGGAGGGAATCACGGTCAGCGCGCGCAACAAACAAGAATTATGAGAAGGGGTAGAGGTGGTGGATGCTGTGATGTTTCATTCGGAAGTGAGACATTGTGGTATGCCAGAGCAGGTGAACATATTCTGGCGTCCCACTGTACTTCTACACCCCTAATCCGCCGACCCCGGTATCGACTGGAAGTTGAGGGAAGATCGCCAACTCACCTCATTGGCGGACTTCCCGTTGAAGGTGATCCGTGCTCTGTCGCGCCGGTTACATCCTTATCCTTGGACTGCTTTCTCTTGAACAACGACATGGTGCAAGCTATGTTGAGAGCTTATCGACGCGACGAGAGATGGGTCAAGCTGCACCCTGGTGTTTGTTGACAAGGGGAATCAATCCAAAGGACTGCTTGTTTCGATTAAAGTCGGCCTTTGCGTCGGGCAGAGCGGACGTGGCGCTGACAGCCTCTGACAGATGTGACCTGTTCCAAGTGTTGATGATGGTGGATGATTGTAGGATGGTGATGTAGGACGCTTTCACATGGGGATGGGCGTCGACGCCGGCAGTCCAAGCGCCAAACCTTAATTTCCGTCGCGTCCTTTCTGATCGCGTACTGATATTGCGGCTTTGCCATCACCTCTTAATCATCACGATGGTATACGGCCCAACAAACGCTGCATAGTCTATCCTGACTAGTCGATACAAGACTTCTAGATACGTAGTGAAACCGACAAAAATGATGATCAACCCAAGATGCTCCCTCACTTTGAGCCGCTTTTCAAGTTCCTGAACCCTTGCCAGCCACACCTGCTCCGAGATACCACTTCCTCCGTTCCTCCTCATCACTTCTTCTTGCCAAACGGCCCCTTGAAACCCCACTTGCCCTTTCTCGCCAGCCCTTCCGCGCCCAAATCGCCAGGCGCGAGGATCTTGCCCCCTCTCCAGTCATTCTCAATCATCGTGTACCCCTTTTGCTCCCCTTCGCTATCGTCCGACTCCCCGCCGTCATGCGGGCCAGCATACCGGTGCGAGAAGATACTGACGGCCGGTGCCGGTGCGGGCTGGATCTGGGAGGACGAGCTGGCCAAGGGCGATCCGTGCGAGTACTGCCGGTTCGTACCGGCCCGACTTGGTGCCGAGTAGAAGGCAGTGTTGGTGGACCGAGGGTAAGATGCCACACTGGGCAGCCCCTGATATCGCGTATTGACAATATCTGCGATAGGGGGTGCGGGTGGCGGAGGGACGCGGATCGAGTTGAAGCTCTCTTTCCGGGACCGGGGGGCCTTGGGTGCTGACGCGCCCGCCATGAGCCCATGGCCTGGTGGCTGGACAGGTAGGGAGCCGGCAGGGATACTGGATGAGATTTCTGACCGCGCGGGTCCGCTGACCGCTCGGGATTGGATCGAGCTGCCGCTGGGTTGGACACCCGTGAGCCACGCCGGTGGTCCAGAGCGCGAGTGATTATCGGTGGCCGCGCGTGGCCGAGGCCGCCTCTCGCTGCCTCGGGATGATGGGGCGTGCAAAGATGGGGCGGCAGTGAGGGCCTGCATCTTTTCACGGTAAAGGGTGGCGCGCCGATCGTAGATACTGCTGATGTTCGGGACGGATGTTTTGGGTGCTTCGACGCTGATCATGGATGGTGGTGCACTCTCGCGATCTGTGGAATGTCAGCTTGAGCCCTCTGCTTTGTTGTGAAGATGTGACTTACATCTTGAGCTCGCCACTGATGAACTTCTCGCCTCCGAAGACATACCCGAGCTCGGCGCGCTCTGGGCACTAACGAAGCTTCCACTGACCCCGCTCGCCCCACTCTCCTTATCGCTGCTGGTATCGCTGAGGATTTCAAACTTGCTCTTGCCTCCCGCCTCTGTGGTACCCCTCCTTGACAGCTTCTTCTCTCTGCGCTCCATTTGCGCCAGCTCCTGCTCCATGGCATGGCTCTCCCCATATGCCGCCAGCTGAGCTGCGAGATCCCTGCTCGAGTCCGCATTCAGAGGCAACTGCGCCAATTGCAAGACATCATCCTCCTGCTGCTTGATGGCCTTGACAGCTTCAGCGCGGGAGGAAAATTTGCGCTGAGGCGCAGGTGGTAGAGAGACGGATGAGCCGTCCGTGACGTCGTCTTCTGGTACAGGCGGGAAGGCCGAGCCGAGGGTGATGGAGAGGGTTGAAGGGGGAGTGAGGGAGGTGGCCGATGTGGAATGGTGATAGGACGACCAAGCAAGGTTGCTCCCGCTGGCTGTCGTTGCGATGGACGATACAGACTTGCCGCGAGGACGAGAATCCATGGAGAGACTCGAAGGGGGTGGAGGCGGGGGCGTGGTGTTTGGGTCTGATGAGCCGCGCGGACGCAAATGCCGGTCCGAGGTGCTGTCGTCGGATGGGTTGCTGCCATACCGTACCATGGACAAGGACGTCGTGGACAAGCGGCTGAGCTGGCTGTTCATCGAGCCGATCGATGCACCGCGGTAGCGATTCCGCAAGGCAGGGGCTAGCGGAGGCGTCATCTCCGGCTCCACTCTATCCTCTTCGACAGCCTCTTCGCTGACCACAGGGACGAGCGATTCCACTTTTTCCGAGTCATCCACCTCGACCAGAGCATCGTGGAAGACTTCTTCCTCGGTTTCTTCATCCTCCGCGTCTTCGGCGCCGTCATCGTGCTCCACCTCGTCCCTCTTTCGTTCGCTTTCCCGCCTGAGCACGCCGGCTCGTAGATTCGCCCGCTCGTCCAGAGCTAGATCGACCAGCCTGGATGAGCTGGCTATCCGCGTAGTCGCCGGTCCAGCTGTCAAGCTCATCACTCCCGCAGAGGGTGCGCTGGGAAGCGTAGCAGACCGTTGCTTTGTCGCACGCAACAGCCCCGGCGCTGGTCCGCTAGACACCGAAAGCCTGGATGGGCCAACCGTACCCCTCGCTCCTTCCGTCTTGGTCCGGCGGATCCCAGTCGGGACTGTCGAGTCCGAGTCGGAACTCTCCCTCGCCCACTCGTTGGCTAACGGGGAAGGGGCGATAACATTGCTGCCCTTGCGCGGTCGATTCCAAGGTCTTTCGCCGGTGGGCGATACCGGGGAGGTCCGACCCTCCCGAGGAGAGACAAAAGCCGAATTTGGGATTTTTGGCGGTGACGGTGATAGATCCTCAAAGAACCGGGTTTTTATCGGTGGGGCAGAAGCGGGAGTCTGGCGCAGTATGTCTGGATTCTCCCTGTTCTCGTCAAGACTCCGCCGTTCTTGCTGCTCCAGCTCCATCGACGCCCGCCTAAACCGCTCGATCCCCTCCTCCAGCTCCTGAGCGTCTATCGGCCGGCTCTCGCCGCGCTTCGGCGGACTGGGCGAGCGAGAAGGAGGCGAATTGGTACGCCGGAAAAGACCGATAAAGGCATTGCGGGACATGTATTTCCGTGTCTTGTCCTGCGCGCCCGAGAGGTTCTGCGACCCGTTCGAACTGCCCGATGAGACATTCTCGGTATTCCGGCTTCGACCGCGACCGAAGAACGACCCGCCCGAGCTTGAGCGGGGAGGTTCCCCTTCTCCTTCGACGAAGCGAACTTGCTCGTTTTGTTCCCGGCGGTGCAGGGCGTTTCGGAAGGCTTGACCCGGATGTGCGGCCTTTTCGAGGATGGAGGGTAGGGATGGTCGGCGGGAGGAGTGGGAGGTACGATGTTCCCGGGGGAGCGTGTGATGCGGACCCGAGCGGATAGAGGCGAATGTGCTCGACTGGCCGGACGCGCCTGACGCCTGAGATCCGCCCGAGGTGATCCGCGCCAGGTCGATACCGTTACTTTGGGGTTGAGGGGCAATGGCAGATGGTTGTTCGTCCGAGGGGTAGGAGGGAAGTTCGGTATGTGATGAGGCTGGACTGTTTCCGCCGATCGGAGAGTGGTATACTGAGGATGGGGCGAGTGAAGGGGGGTAGGGTAGGCCATCTGGCGATGCGGATCGGCTGACCGAGCCAGAGTGGAGGGGTGGAGGATGTAGCAGTCCGTCCGAGCCTGATGCGATTGGTTGCTGGATGTCTAGTCGGGGCGACGCGGGTAGTGGGGGAACCGGCGGTATATCCTCAATTTGCTCCATCGACAAGCTGTTCTTCCTAGACCGCCTCCCTAACAGCCCATCCAGGCTTTTCCGCAGCTTGATAATCCCACTCGCATCTGAGCGAGTACTCGCCATGCTCATCGCGCTCTCTTTTCCCTTGAGACTGGGGTGATAGTCCTCGTCCTCCAGGTTGATGGTTGACTGAGATGGCGACCCGTCCTCAGAGAATGGTCCGGTGATGATACTTCCGCTTGCGATGGAAGCTGTATCTGCAAGCCCGTCTTGGCGCCTGAGGTGGTCGTATACCTTCAGAACGTGCAAGACCGACTCATGCCCGTTGGCCTCGGCGAGAGAGGCTGGCGTTTGGCCTAGCTTGTCGGACTTGTTGGAAGCGGCACCGCAGGTGAGGAGTATTTGGACGATATCGGCGTGACCGTTGGCAGCAGCAAAGTGGAGAGGAGTCGCACCTGGAATAAGCGTACTCCTTACCCCTCGACACTCAAACTCACCAGCTGCACCCAGACTCGGCGCGCCCTTCTTCTTCTCATTGCTATACCTCCTCGGCAGCCTCGGGGCATTCACGTCCGCCCCCCGGTCTATCAACATCTTGACCGCCGCGATGCTACCCCCTGCCGCGGCGGCATGAATCGCCTGTACGCCATGCAATACCGAATTGACCGGCTGACCATGGGTAAGGGCGTAATGCACCAAACCCACATTTCCCTCGGCCGCGGCGGAGTGGAGCTCCAGATTCGGGACTGCTTGGACGTAGTCAAAGTAGCCGGTTGGGGAGGGCGGAGATAGAGTGCGGTATAGCGCAGTACGAGCCAATTGGAGATGAGAGGAATAGGGCGAGGGGGGCTTGAGAGGTGGAGTGAGCGGGAGAGGGGAAAGCATGTCAGCGTGGCGCTTATACTGATGGAAGAAGTAGAGGTGTGACTGATGGGAAGAATGAAAGGCAAAGACAATGGCGAAGTCGAGAAGCATGTCTAAGGGCACGCGCATGTCCGACAGACCCCTCCTCCACACACAGACAATAACAAAAGCTTCTCCTCGTATGCACACATCCCTGCCTTTGTCCGTCCACGTCCCTCCTTGTACCACTCCTTGTACCTTCCCTACCAATGCCGTCGTAGACACCCCGGAGCAGGAGAGCAGGCTGGAGCAGACGCGACTCACAGTTCAAGACTACGTCGTATCTTCGCTCAATCTCCTCTAGCCGCGTCGTGCCTGAGACTGACCCGGGCATCTTCCCCCGCCTCTAGGCTGCAATGCATGTAATGCTGCCACCTTGCAGCTCGAGAGGGCGTGGGCGGGGGTGCAGCTCACGCCGACAGTCGAGAGTCTCCGCTCCTAGGAGAGGAGTGGACGGACTAGTCGCTCTCCTCACAGAGCCTTCCCGCGTCTCTTCTTCCTGCTCCTTCCGGCCAGCAAGGGAACCAAATAGATGGGGGACCAGAGTCCGAGCGTTTTACCCAGTTGGCCCCGCAACACGAGTTACGCCTTGCGTCAAGCGTTCAGGATGTCCGACCCGCGTCTCCCTGGGAATGGTCCCTGATTTCTACCCGACTTTTGGTATCGCGTTTCCCCTCGTTTGGAATCGGTTCCAGCGAGATGGCGAGAGATCAAGATGGCTAGATACAAGGTATAATGTACAGAATAGCGGGATAGGAGTTGAGCTGTCTTGGGCCTTGGCAGAGAGATGAACGTGACGCTCTTGCTTGCTTTGCTGCTCCCGTCCCTGCAGGCGAGTATGCCGGAAGCCGGATCGGACATCGGGGTAAGCGCCTTGCTGATGTTATGCTTACTTCCTCCCCGCATGCTGATCAGATTCGCATGCATGAAAGTGGAAGAAGGAGCTGCTCCTTCGCGGTCTCAGCAGATACACCGAGGCTGCATCCCTCGCGTCGGTGTAGACCAAGGGGAGATATGGGATTCTGCTCGAGAAGGAGACCGGCGATCCTCTCCAAAGATCTCCGCCGATAGAGTTGCGTCATCGAAAGGTATCTGAACCTTAATTATTGGGGTCATGAATGGGACAGAGGGGATCTACAGATCAAGCAGACTCCCCGTCTAGGAACTGTCTAGGAACCTCCATCGCCTCCACCACTACCGCCGCCTCCCCCACCATCGCCGCAACCGCCATCTCCTCCGCCCCATCCTCCAGTCGCGCCGCCAACATAGCCATCCTTCCCTCTTCTCCTGGAACCGCCCCCATGAGCCTGAAGCTGTTGGGGGGTCGCGACGCGATAGTATCCCTTGCCGGACGGGTGGAGCTTATAGCCCCAGGGTACGGGCGCTGGTTTGTGTTTGCGCTTGGCCTTATCAGGAGGGGTGACTAGGGTAGGAGTGGGAGACAGGTGGGATGAGCTGCCCCCTGATCTGGGATCCGCAGTGGAGTTCCTGGACGATCAGCTCAAGATATCCTAGAGCTCTCAGTATGTTCAGGGCTGGAGACAGTGAGAAGACAAACTTCTATGCATATCGTCAGCATCCATCGTGAGTGGGCATCAGTGGGCTGCTTTCCAGCTCACCGAGGCGCACACTCCACCGCCTCGAAGCCGGAGAACATGCTGTTTGGTGGTTGGCGGTCGGGCCTCGCTCATACAGCTCAATATCTGCTAAGACTATCGACCCATTAAGGCCAGCGATAAGTGAAGTCGGGAGGAGGGATGCATATGGTTGTGAGCAGTCGTGAACGTGGGAGGGGTTGGGGTTCTATTCGTTCCCCCCGTCTAAAAGACGCGTCGTGTCCAGCCAAAGCCAGCTCGGGACTGGATCGATTGTACTTCTATCTGCAGTGTACGCTATGCTGACTTGTGAGCTATGCCTCTTCATGACAGGCAGGACAGAGGTCGCGGATGGCTGGCTCCTCTGTCCGGCGACGGGTCTGTGTTGTCAACGGTCTGACAGAAGAGAACGAGCTCGAAGAGTACTGATAATGGCACCGGGCTCATTTCATCCTGTCCATACTTCTCATCGTTATCGTTACTGATTGCTATCCTTAATACGATATCTGCCCAGCTACATGTACGCTCCAAAGCAATTCTGACTATCCAGGTCCTGACCAGGCCAGCCGGCGAGGCGCGGAGCACCTAGCAGTAGCTGCTGCCACTACTGTCCGAGGTGGAGGAGTACGAGGTGCTGCTCGAGGACGAGTCGTACGAGGTGCTACCAGAGGACGAGCCGTACGAGCTGCTCGAGACTCCTCCGCTGTAGTTACCCCCGCTGTACCCGCTATACCCGCCATATCCGCTGCTATAGCCCCCGCTCCCACTCCCACCCCCGCTCGCACAGCAAGTGCCAGTCTCGGCCGTCCCCGACCCCTTGGCCGTGCCCGTGACCTCTCCCGATCCCAGACAGCTGTCGCCTACGCCCGAGCTAGCAACCGCGCAGGTACCAGCGAGGAGAGCGCCGCTGTCAGAGTCACTGGTACTCACAACGCTGAGCGTGCCCGGTCCGACATCCCGGCTTCGGATGTATGCACCGCGAGAGCGGGTAGAGGAAGAGAGTGTGCCGCCGCGAATGATGGGCTTGGGCTTGGGGGCGGTGATGGTGCGCTCTGAGGCGATGGAGGTGGTTGAGGCAGCGTGGATGGGGTAGGTGGGGGAGGGGGCGACGAGGGGCTCCGGCTCGGGAGTGAGGGGCTGGTCGGTGGAGGGGAGGGTGTGCTCCGCAGTGCTCTCTGGGAGCGTGGTGTTGCTGCTGGTGGTGCGCCCGAAGGGCTTCTCGGCGGTAGGGATGGTAGACGGACGGTCGATGGAGAGACTGTCCTGCTTCTGAGAGATGTCAGTTTACATTTCAGATAATGACAGAAAGCGGTAGACTTACAGAAGCGCAAGAGCCCATCGTTGAGATGAACACTTGAGGGAAGGTGGAGTGGGTCAGGGAGGAGAGCGGCGGAAGGTGGTGAGGGAGTTGGGGGTCTTACAGGTTTGGTCGATGTGACTGGCGAGTGGTGCGATGAGGGGTCGGTGGAAAACTCTCGCTCGGCCGTCTCCCCTTATAGTCCAGCGTAGCTGATGCTCTTGAGAGCACTCAGTAGGAGTGGACATATCGGCTATCCCTTGAACCGGTTGATGAGACATTATGACGCTGCGATATGATGAATTGAAGTTCCGGTCCTTCGAGATACCGGGCGGAGCTCGAGTTAAAGGAACGTGCGAGTCCTCCTACCAATCTCAGCCGTTCAGAAGGACACAGCGCGGCGATGCAGCGGCTTCAGATAAGGTAGTGCCGAATCTGAAACAGGAGGAATGCATGCGGATTCCGCCATCGTCGCCGCTGGAGGTCCGGCCGTGAGCGGATCGTGCCGGTTTCAGATTGGCTGCAGACCGCTCAAGACCTCCACAGATTTTTCCAGCGAGTGCAAGCTTCCCTTTCGCCACTCTCGAGGCCGAGCTGTTCTGATGAAGCTTCTCGGCCTTGACATCCAGCAGACGAGCGCTCTCATAGCTCCTTTGGGACCGGGTACAGCTACTCGTACATGTGCAGCTGCTGGTCCAACTCCGCTATGGTCGTTACAGACCCCACAGTGCCATTGATCCCTACCCCTAAGCCCGCTGATCCCAGCTTTGCCCACCAACCACGCTGATATATGTATGCCCGTCAACCTTCATCTTGGTCCTGCGCATCGCCAGCTCCTCCGGATCCACCGCCTTAGCGACCGAGGTGTAGGCCGGAGGGTTGCGGGGAATCACGACTTGCTTGATCAGGGATGTCGGAGGGGAAGCGGTCCTGGTAGGGAGGGCTAGCTTCGCGCTACCAAGGGGAGTGGTAGAGTGCTCCGATACCTCCATGGCAGTTTGCTTTTGGGTCTGATGATGTCAGTGGATAAGCTCATGACGAACAGGAGGTAGATAGACTCACTGATACACATGAGCCCATATTACAGTCAGGCAAGTGATGTGGGAGAGCTTAGGGTAGGGTGAAGAAAGCCAGAGATGAGAACGTTTTAGTAAAGCTGCAGAGATGAGAGCGTTCTAGTCGGCAGTGTGTGAGGGGAGTGTGTGGTCTGAGGAATAGCTCATAGATCGGTGAGCCGACAAGCTCTTATAGCGTTCACGACTCGCCGGTGCCCGCCTCCTATACAGCTCAAGGCATCCACCGCCATCCGGCTATGAGTTAGGACCGTCAGATGAAACACCGATGATGACACGCCCCGAACCAACGCCGAGCATTCCTCGGCGGAGACAGGCAATCCCGGTCGGCGGGCGGAGCTTGGTCGTCGAGAGCACGTTCGTCTGTATCATCAGATGATGTTCAAGCAGTGCATTGAGGTGACGTGTGCGAGTGATGGGCACGCTGGTGAAGCCATCCGAGGCTTTCGAAGTCGAGCTGATTAGTCCGGGAATCCGCTCCGCCCATCTACCTCGTGCATAGTATGGATCGATCTCTATATGCCCTCATGTATCCGCTGATTCACACCACCACTGTAGCTATTGAGGCCCCCGTAGAATAAGCAACTGCGCGATCTCTCTTCTTTTTCCGCCGGCTCCGAGATGATTCCCCTCGCCCATATTGCTCTGAGGGGTATGAGTGGGAGTGATGATTCCTGTGATGTGACATGTTGGGGTGGCTAGAGTTGGGGTGGCTAGAGTACATCGGCTCATCGTACGCGTAGCCTCTCTGCAGTGGTAAGCTCGTAAGTTGCGAACACATGCACGGGACAGAAGGAGTGTAGAGCCGGTGACCTACCGACGAGCAGCAGCCCATGTTCGGTCGATCCCACGAGGAAGCGATTGGTGGAGGTCAATTGAGGGAACACCCTATGCGCCTTGGGAGCTGTGGGGCGTGAGGTGAGGGTTGGGGCGTGTGGAGACGTCCTGTGACTGCTGGAAGATCAAGGCGTGTTTGAAGGGGTAAGGGCAGCTTGCATGTCTCAGTTTATATGCTCCTGGTCGAGACTGCAGTCATTTACTCCCGAAGTAGCTGCTGTCATAGCTTAGAGGTGGGCTGTGCATCCTCGGATGCAAAGCAGCTGCCCTATCGGCCGTTATACCGCCTAAAAGCCACCGAGGCGCAAAGGCGATGCAGATTGACGCAATGTTTCAAATGAGGAATGAGGAGTTGACTGAATTGCCTCATGGAGTAATTTGTGCGGCCCAGCCTGGCCGCTTGGGCGCAAGCCGTTCCGGCAACTTGGACACTCCCGCGCAGACCACCGGACACTCAGTATACCTCTGCTCTCACTTCGGAATAGTCGGAGTGTCAAGAGATCGTTATGTCATAAGCAAGTTCAATCTATAGTACAAGCTACGAATGGTTAACAGGGTCCTCAGCGCCCATACGCTCCTTGACTAGACCGCTCAGTCTCCGCCCCCGCCACCACCGCCGCCCCCACCATCCCCACCACCCCCGCCACTCCCGCCACCCCCACCACCACCATCGCCACCACCGCCTCCACAACCACCACTATCGCCTCCGCTGTGACCGCCTCCACCGCCGCCGCAGTGATGCCCACCACCAGCATCATATCCGCCCGCAGCGTACACATAGCCCGCGCTCGCGTAGGTCGTGTCGCCACCGCCACCGCGACCGCTGATAGAACGCCTCTGACCGACTACGACAGGTGCGATACGGGAATAGGTCTTCTGCTTGACATAGGGAGGGGAGGGGCGGTTGAGTATCTCGGTCGCGGGGGTGATGAGGGGTTTCTCGGAGATGGCGCGAGTAGGGTTGTCGACGATACCCTTCTGCTTCTGTGTATGATCAGCCGAGTCCGCATGATAAGGCTAGAGGATGGACTTACAGAGGTGCAGGTACCCATGATGCGCGCGGTCTTGGTGGTGATCGATTGTGAGTAGAGTCAAGTAAGGATAGTTGTGAGAGGTGGTCAAGAGAGATGGATGATGGGCGGACTGACCTCGTATTACTGCTTCTTATACCCGCATCCTTTGTACAGCACTCGAGATCTCGCGGAAGCACAGAATCGAGCGGACACTCCGGCTATATCCCGCAACCGGGTGCTGACACGAAATGGCCGGGGAATTCTCTTATCTGCACAGCTTGTAGCTTCCGGAATGTTTACACCTCGGGCGGAGCTCGACACAGGGAGCAATGAACGTGCTCGCTTGGTCCAGTCGGAATGCACGTGCTCACTGTAGAGGCAGAATGAGACCGAGCCGACACGGCTCCGGTGAAGCGACAGACCGAGTCCGCTTGAAGATGCAGGCCTATGCCCTTTATACCACTGTCAGTCAGCGGTACGGGTCGGTCCGCGCTTTCAGAGCTGTCCGGCCATGCAAGTCAAGGCAAAGTGATGAGTATGAAGCTGAGTGAGTGCTGGGCGCTGATGCGGGTCGACACGTCACACAGGTCGAGTCAGCTTGAGTCAGCGCGCGCTTAATTGACTAGTCAGCCGTGCCTGATGCCGGCAGCCCCCCACCCTCTGCTGCTCGGGGCCTTTTGTCCACGACGAGCAGCTTGAGCCTCGAGGTGACTGCAGCCCTTCCTCTTGATTCTGTACATACCCCTATCTCCCAACCATTCAGAGACCAACAGCCATTATGTCTAGCTCCCAGAACAGCTCCAACTCCAGCCAAGGCTACAACATCACAAGCTCGGGCACCAACAGCCAGGTAAGCTATCGTCCCCTTGACCCCTTCGCAATCGATTGAGCTGACAATCAGGGCAACCAGTACGACGCTCGGGACTATGGAGACTCTGCTGCCAACTCCAACTCGTACCATTACTCCAACAATGATGGTAGCTACTACTACTCGAGTGAATCCTCTCCTCCTGCCGGTGTCCTCGTGTGAAGAGAGCGTCGCTGACTGCCTCGCAGACCCGAACGGCTCGACCTACTACAATGACGGGCAGGGCAACGCCAACTACAATCCCCCTTCCCAGGGCAAGTAGGCATCAGCGGACAGCGCTGGAGGGTCGCCCAACCCTCTGATCCCTGCTGCCCAATACCGAGCGATCTTGTCGACATGTAGAGCCTACAGCATGTATTGTGTCCCATGATACTGCCTTGGAAATGAGTAGGTAGCTTTGATATGACTACCATACACATATTACGCCGTACAACCTTTCTACAACCAGGAATCCATCTCCGCGCAGAGCCCAACCTGAGGCCTAGCCTAGCTTCCTCCACCTCCTCCGCCTGCTCCGGCGCCTTGTCCGTACCCTGCAGCCATTCCAGCTGCCGTCGCGCAATGATAGCATCCACCTTGTACGACATGATTATGGCTCCCCTCCCGCCTCGTGGTTCCCTTGGGGATGTACCCCTCGTATTCAGGCTGGTTGTAGTCCGGCATCTTCTTCCCGAACGCCTCTTGGTAGGCCTCTTCAGCAGTGATGACATGTGTGGGCTGCTGAGTCTTCTGCACACATCAGCCGCGGACAGAGACTCCCCCTAATTAAGGGCTGTAGACTTCTAGGCGGGCTGGAGGGCGGCAACTCACTGAGCTGGAGCCCCCCATCCTGGCTGAGACCTTGCGACTGATTTTCCGCGTCTAAGTGGCTTGATGGTAGTCTGACGTGCTCGCTCGAATGTGTGGGGCTGATGTACTGTGGCTAATGCATATGTAAAATGGTGAGAGCATCATTGACGGGCATGTCTGGTACTCATGATATACGCCGAGGCTGCACCGCATTCCGCCGAACCGAAGCTCAAAAGCGCGCTAGTCCGACTGCCATTTGGCTGCCAATGGGAACAGGCGAGATGTGCGGGGGCTTGTCAGAAGATACCCAGGCAGGAAACGATCACCGTCTACTACAACATACATGACACGTTACTGAAGTACAACAAAATGCTCACGGCCTCAATCAGCAGCCTCCACCGCCGCCACCTCCCCCGCCGCCGTCACAACCCCCTCCCCCGCTATATCCTCCTCCGGCGTAACTGCCGCCAGCAAATCCCCCGCCTCCCATGCCTCCCATGGCGAGTAACGCTCCTCCCACTCCCAGTCCAGCTGTCCCCCCTGCTGCGGCAGCCGATCTCCCGCTCCTTGGGTACTGCCATTGACCGTTCTCATCCATGTACGGCTGATATCGGTGGGGGTGGTCTGCGGGGTATTTCTTGGCTACCGGCGCCTTCTCGTCCGCGCTATAGGGAGGGGGTGAAGATGGGATGGACTCCTTGTGATTATTGGCCTAGTGATGTCAGCTTGAGTCAAGGCCTACCCAGGGGTGTCGCGCGAATAGCGGATGAGAAGGCACTTACAGACATACAACTCCCCATCGCGGCCCGGTGTGTGTCTCTGTTCCTCTGGTGGTCTTGTGGATTGTTCGATGAGGGACGGTATCGGTAGTCTGCTGAGAAGTGCGATGTTGGTAGGCGAAGAGATCCCGATTATATATGTACAATCTTCAGAGCGGCAGCGCCCTCGCGTATGACTTTCGATTTATCCGGCGTGGGACCCGGAGAGGCGGGATGACGCCACAGAACGCCCTTCACGCACCGCCTTCGCGCTCCTGGGGCTGAGCTGTGCTGTATCTGCGGAGATCTGGCCGACTGCCCCTGCCCTAACTGCCCTTTCCACCCAATAGCAGGCGAGTCTTGCATGAGTAACGATGTGGAGATGCGGCGTTGCTGCTTTGGGTGGCGGCGGAGATGACGAGACGACGATGACGCGATGACGAGACGACCGTCTTGGCAGCGGAAGGGAGGGGTAGAGTCCCTCCGGTAGACGAGGTAGAGAGGGGTAGATGCAATGCTGCCATACCAGGACGATGGGTGGACGTGTCACAGGCGCAGGGTGTCTCGATGAGCTCAAAGACCAGAACAAGTACTAATGTCCCGCATTTAGCGGTGGCTGCGGCTCGCAACAGGATATCCGCCTTGGTCAGGAATGGTCGCCATATGCCTGCAGCATGAGATGAATAAGCTCGAGCTACAAGTGCCCACATACACAATATAAGTACAACAGCTGTAAGCCTACCAGAATGAAATACAGATTGACATGAGGCCCCGACGTCCCATCCCTCAACGTCCCCTTCCCCAACCTCAAGTGAAATTTCCACCTCCTCCTCCTGAGAACGGGATGTATGTCTTGGTCGCACTCCCAGACGCTATGGCCGATTTGGCTCGGATGCCAAACTGCTCGCGACCGACCTCATCGATGTAGTGCTGGGGCTTGGGGATTTGGTATTCGGGGTATTTCTTGGCCGGGGCTGCACCCTCCTGCTTCAAGTCTACGCTGTAAAGGGATGGGGTGGATAGCACGGAGGGAGCGCTCTCCTTGTGCTTGTCAGCCTGAGAGAGTCAGCCGACCGTAGTACAGAGTAAGATCATCGATTATCTGGGAACAACGCGCGCGGATAGGCTTACGGATACGGTGTTGCCCATCATAAAGCGCAGATCGCTTCGCTACGCTTGTCGTGTGTGCAATAAGATTCGACAATGGGTGTTTTCGTGTTTGCAATAAGATTGGACAATGGGTGTTTGTGCAGTAGTTGATAGAGGACAATGGTGCACTGCCTGATGGTGGAATGAAGTACAACGCTATGAGGGAAGACTCGCGGCTCAACCGTTCAGCGATCAGCGGGGGCGGAGCCGTCCGGCCCGGAGCTTGCCAAGACCGTGAGGTATGCATCGCCTTTGGGCTTCAGAGCTCGGCCACACAGGCTGTGGCCGATCGATAGGCACTGACCGACTCGATACCTTGTTGGGCCTTATGAGCATGATACCGGCCGAAAGCTCTTCCATACAGTCTCATCTCTCACAGAAAAGTTCCCCCTTCCTCGGTGCCTGTAAAGCTGCGCCCCCAAGCCGCCAACCGGGACCCACGAATCCATCTGACCGCTATCTAACCCCCTCCGCCATATGCTCCTCCCGAAACTCCCCCACCACCCACCGCCCCGAGTCCTGTCACTGCCGGCGACGCCTTGCCCTGGACGTCGTACCGATGATTCCCCCGCTCGTCGATGTACTGCCCGACCTTGGCTGGCGGGCTCGCGGGACCGCTCGCCGTTAAAGTCTGTGTGGTGGTGGACGTCGCGGTCTTCTCGTGCTTGTTGGACTAATAGTCAGCTCGCTGATGTGTATCAGAGAGACTCAAGCGGGTGCTGATGATGATTTGAACAAGCTTACAGAAATGAAGTTTCCCATATTGATCAGGGCGACACCTCGATTAATTGTCTGGTTGTGGATTGGCTAAGCTATCTTAGTGTGCTGGGAGTGATGTACGCTTTTATGGAAGCTACAGTGAAATGTGCATATAGGTAAGAGAAGCTGAAAGAGAGCGCCTGGTCATGAGACCGCGGCTCGCTCCCGAAGCGCGGAGATGACGAGAAGGCGATGACGAGATTGGGAATGTCGGCGTAATATTGCGGGGTAAGGGCCCCCTTCGGCTTGTACCGGCTCGCGGCTCTTGAACATGCCTACGATGGTGCCCATGGGAGGCGTCGCGACCGGGCGGTCGGATCATCATCAGGGGGTTCATATGATGGCGTGGGAGAAGGTGCAGCGAGGGATGTGCTGCATTCAAGGGAATCTGAGAGTCTCCGTAGGTCTCACCCCGGCCTCCGCCTCCATTATTCCCGCCCCCTCCGCTGTCCCCTCCACGTCCACCACTTTCTCTGTCTCCCCATGCCCACCCCCGTTGCATAATCTATCTCATCTCCGACGCCATGAGTGACAGTGGGATAGCGGGCACTGGAGGCGATGCTAAGTCGATACCTTACGACGAGTTGTGCAAGTAATACTGAACGTCCATTCTTCCCGTACAACCTCGCCTCATATATGATGCAAGCTATGCCCTAGCCGCGAACCCAAATGCCCGAAGCCGCCCAAGTGCTCGCTGCCATCCTCCTCAGTATGCTCCTCCAGCGAGTCCTGCGCCGCCTACCGCCCCCAGCCCTTTCATCGCCTCGCGTGGTTTGCCCTGAACATCATACCGTTGATTGCCCCGCTCGTCGATGTACTGCCCGATCTTGGTGTGAGGGAGTGCTTGATCGTCTGACGACGTGTTCTGGGTGGCGGAGGAGGGTACGGTCTCCTGGTGCTTGTGCGACTGCTTGTCAGCGCGCGCAATGATACCGCAGACGGCTCTAAGGGGTATGGGCGGACAGGAGGAGCTTACGGAAGTGAAGTTGCCCATGTCGAACGGTGTGTTCTGGTTCGGTGATCCAGTAGTCGTTTGTTGTAGTTGAGGAAACTGAGTATGTGGGATGATATGGATACGTTACTGCGATAGTGTTCGCGGAGCATGCAGCTTGTTAATAGCAACGAGAGAGAAGCAGTCGGTCTAGTTGGTCATGGGACAGCGGAAGCCTTCGGTTCGGCGCTAACGATGCAACGCGGAGATGACGAGAACGTGATGACGAGGCTAAGGAATGCTGGGGTATTGTGGGGTAACGGCCCCCTCCACAGCTCACTTCACCATGCAGCCGGCTCTAACTAGGGCCTGACGGAATCGAAATGGCAAGAGCAAGTGGTATGAGGAGGCAGTACAAGCAGTGTCAATGCAGTGCAATTTGCGATCTACAATAAGAATAGAACACGGTGGACGGCCGACATCCGCTTCTCTCGCCAACCATCGAGGAGGGCTACAAGTACATGGCGGTGCTTACTTGCATATACCGTATAAGGTATGCATCGCCTTTAGGCTCAATCGCTTGGCCAAAGTGAAAGTGGTTGGCTAGCAGATAGCACTCTATTTATGGCACAGTAGCTGACTTGTTGTGTCAAGCGCTGCTTCATGGACGTTGTAGGGAGATTGGCTCTAAACTTGGAACGCTCGGTGAGATGGCCCAAGTCCTTAATGGAGGCGCTGGCTTTAGCCCCGAGCTCAGCTCCATATGGTTCGGACATCACTCGCTATCTTCCGCAACGTCACGTAGACCAGCCATGAAAACTCTATATACAATCTCGTCCCTTTAGAAAGGATGCGCTTAACCCAGTAGTATTATGTACAAGCTGCGACCCGAGTCGCGCACCGAGAACCCCATTGCCGCCCAACAGCTCACCCCCCGTATCCAACAAATGCTGCTCATCCGCCTCCTCCACTACCCACCGCGCCGAGCCCAGTGACAGCCGGCAATGGCTTCCCCTAGACGTTGTACCGATGGTTGCCCCGCTCGTCAATGTACTGCCCGACCTTGGCTGGAGGGCTCGCTGGACCCCTCGCCGTTGGGATCTGAGTGGTAGTGGACGGCACAGCCTCTTTACGTTTGTGGGACTGCCTGTCAGCTCGTCCGGTGCCAAAGAGAGTGACTCAAGGAGGTGCTGATGACGCATCAAGGAGCTTACAGAAGTGAAGTTTCCCATGCTGGATACTAGATAGAGTGATACCTCGATTGCTTCTTTGATGGTAGATGAATTGAGGAGGTTCAGTATGTTTGAGGCGATGGTGTGGTCTTGTGGGAGCTACAGTGCACTATGTAGCCTAGAGTATACAGAGGAAAGAGAGCGTCCTCGGGGTTGCTGTGTGCTGCTGTGTGCTGCTCCCGTTTGGCTTCCGTCCTTCGGCGCGAAACGCGGAGATGACGAGAAGGTGATGACGTCGGATGAGGAATGCTGGGGCAACGCGGGTAACGGCTCAACTTCACCATGCAGCCGGCTTGAACTAGGGCCCGACGGCGTTGAAATGGCAAGAGCAAGCGGCATGAGGAAGCGGTACAAGCAGTGTAAATGTAGTGTAGCTGTCAATATGGTAGAACATGGACATGTACATGCTACTGTGCGAGTTCTTGGCGCAATTCCGTTCAGCAGGTCCCACCCCCGCCACCGCCTCCATCCCCGCCTCCTCCGCTATCGCCCCCACCCCCACCGCCTCCGCTATCTCCCCATGTCCACCCCCATATACCATACTCTGTCCCGTTGCCAACGCCGTTATTGTACCTGACACGACGGCTTTGGTGAACGGTAGGAAGGGGGTCTTCGCCGGGCAGGGTCCCGTCAGGCAAGGGCGGTTCCTGATCAGCAGCCTAATCAGTCAGTATATTATGACCTGGATGACCTACAGAGACACAGGAGCCCATCATGAAGCATTCGCATGGGCGTATCAGGCGAACATGGCTTCTAGAATGCCGAAAGGCAGAGAAGATGATAGTACAGAACCCGACCGACAGCTTTTGTTTCCGGAACCTTATCTCTGCTGCATCCGGTCTATCCTACTATCTATGCCGTCCCCGTTCACCACCACTCATCCTTCTCTCTCTCCGTCACTACTTCATCCTTATCTTCGTGTGGCTCTGCTTTCTTTGCCCCTTCTCCGGCCTCTATCCTCGCCTCATTGGTCTCTCCTCCAAGCTCTATCCCCGACTCGTGCATGATCCCCCTCGCCCATCCCAACTCCTCCCACGGCCTATCCTCCCACGGTCTCGCCCTCACTCCCCTTTGCACCTCTCCGAATCCATCCGAGTCTACATTCATGACCCTGCTCACTCCCCTTAGTCCCACCAGCGCCCCTTCCGTATCTCTCATATCCATCAAGAGGATATTGGCGGCATCCTCCGTTTGACCTGTAGACAAATACATCTTGGCGAGTCGGGCGCGGATTTCGGTATTCCAGGGGTCGGTCTGTAGGGCGGTTGCCAAGGAGCTGAGCGCTTCCTCGACTTCGCCGTGAATGACAGAGTTTGTGGATAAGACGAGACCGGCCAGGTCGGCGCGGTCCTCGGCGCGTTTGTGGGCAGGGAGGGAGGAGAGCTCGGATGAGACGGCTTCGAGTAGGTCGTCGTCCGATGTAGAGATGGCGATGGCGCCGAGGGTGGCGATGACTTTGAGTGATGGGGAGTCGCCAGATAGACTAGAAAATCAGCTCAAGCACCTGTCTTGCGGCTGAAGCAACTCACCACTCCATGAGATGCGACTTGGCCATTTCCTGCCCTTCTGCTCCCATACCCCATAAAGTCCTTGCAAGTAACACCGCCACTTCCTCCTTCAATCCCGGTACGCCACTTCCTTCCGCCTCGTCCAGCGACTGTTGGAACAGCTCCAGACTGGCTTCGGTCTCGTCAAGCCAGCACTGCGCGAGCGCTTGACCCAGTTTGACCTGTACCCTCAGGCCTGACACCTGTGACTCCTGCGACCCCTCGATGAGCTCCCAGCAGTTGGTATACGCTGACAGCGCCTCGTCATACGCCTTGGCCGCGAGTCTGGCCCGGCCGAGGTTGGCCAGAGCGATAGAGTACCGGATCTCAATAGCGGTAGTCTCGGTCGCTTCGAACTCCTCCTCCAGGAGGGTTGTTGCCCGCTCGAATGCACTGACGGCCTCTGCGATGAGACCGAGGCGCTCGCAGATGAGACCATAGAGGTGAACGGCCGCAGAGTCGGCGGGGCGTTGCTGGACGTAGCGCTTGAGTGCAAAGGCGGGTTGATGGAGCTCGCCGATATCGAGCCATTGGGTGGTGAGATATCGCTCAAAGATAAGGGCAGCCGCAGCAAGATCACACTCGAGCTGTCCCGTTAGCTCATGTAATGACATCTGCGGCGGGTTTTGAAACTCACCAGAGCACCGGCCGATAGGGTGACGGAATGGGCAAAGATCCCCCTGGCGTGGTCCCTGTCCTTGTTCCGCTCCGCCAGCAAGCCCTGACCGAGCCACGCCTTGGCATAGTCTGGGTCAATGACTTGTGCCTTAAGGAAGCACTGGTTCGCCAGCTCTCGATCGTCAAGGCGGAGGTAGAGGTAGCCGAGGTTAGTCCAAGTGATGGGGTCCTGCAATGTCAGCTGAATTCCAAGACGACCTGCGGAGGACTGCTTACCTTCTGGTACAACTCGAGCGAGATGACGTAGGCGTGCTGCGCGACCTGTTCCCCTCCGTCCGTACACAGCACCGCCAACGCATTCCACAGTCTCTCGTCCCCCGCGTCCTTCTCCAGCGCCAGCCGAATGGTCGTCACCGCAGACTTGACCAGCTCCCTCCGCTCCTTCTCGTCCTTTGTCCGCTGCGACAAGGCATGCAGGGAGGTGGCGAGATCGTACAGCGCCGACATGGACACGTTCGACCGCTCGTCCCGCAAGAGATAGGAGCGGTAGGCGAACGCAAAGACGGCCGAGCGGGATACAAAGTTTTCGGCCGATACCGCCGCCGAAAGGAGTGTTGAGGGATGACCCAGGCCGGGAACGGTTGACCGCTTGTCTTCATCGTCCTTGACGAGCCACTCCATGACTGATCTCAATGCCGCCTCTGCTACGTCCTCGTCGATTGCGCCAGCCAGGTTGCCAACCTCGAAAGCCGCATCACCAACGATTTTCCAGCCCCACGCCCGCCAGGTCCGGTCCAGCTTCAAGACCCGGTCCGCCACCTGGATGGCCTGGATGAAGGCCGTCCTAGCCCTCTCCCTGAAACCGCCATCCACCATCTTCCTTCCCATCGCGAGCTGAGCCTGCGCCAGGCCGCCCAGAGCACCAATTTCCTCCGGCTTCTCATGGACGAGCTCCTCGAAAGCGGTGATGGCGACGTCAAAGTTGCCGAGCTCGTACTGGATGTCTCCGATATCGTATCGGGCCATCCAGTTGGTGCTGTCCACCTCGAGGACCCTCTCGAGTGTCTTGATAGCCGCGACGTGCCGACCGCACTTGACGTAGGATTCGCCGAGGAGAAGGTAGAGTGACATGTCGTCCGGCGATGCTCGGAGCGCGATCTGGAATGCTTGAGCTGCTTTGGCGTAGTTTTTGTAGTGCTGGAAGTCAGCAACGTATCGGGGTGTATCTGAAGAGACTCACCATTTCGGTCGATCCCAGAGCTTTCCAGGCCCATCCGTTCTTCGGCGCAAACCTCTCCTTGCCACTCAGGACCTCCCCGCCACGCACACCCTCCACTCCTCCTTCACCCTCCATAACTCGCATCGCGATTGTGCGAACCAGTGCCCACTCGTCTTCATCCGCATAGCCCCTAGCGAGCTTCTCCGCCGCCTCCGCTTCGGTAGCGTCCAGCTCGAACGCCTTTTGGAAACACTTGATGGCGCGCTCGGCGTCGGGTGGGGAGGCACTTTCGTACAGCACACCGAGAGAGGTGAAGGAAGGGGCGAAAGTCGGCATCGCGCGCAAGGAGGCAGAGAACCATTCTTCCGCGTTGGCTTTGGCTTCGTCATCTGCAAGTCAGCTCGGAAAGCGGGAAAATCAAGGAGATGACACACCTCCGATGAGCCACTCGGTCCTGCCCAGTCTCCACCATGCCCTCGCTCGGATGAGCGCATCCTGACCCTCCTTCTTCCCATCCGCCTCCCACTTTTCATCCCGTTCCTGTACAATCGCTTCCAGAATCTCCCGTCCACCCTCCAAACTCCCCTCATTGACAAGACACCATGCCACTTCCTCCCGCGCCGCAACTCTCCGCTGCTGCTCTTCGCGGACATTACTGCCCTCGGTGGGTTCCGGGAGGTCGAGTATCTTTTGGAAGTTTTTCCTCGCCTCATTCCAGTTCCCAGCATACTGGAAGACCTGGGCACGGGCGAAGCGAGCGGCGGTGTTGGCTTGATCGGTCGATAGGACGCCGTTGAGAAGGCGAGACGCGCGAGTGTGGTGCTTCGGTGGAAAGTAGGGTACGAGAGCAAGACCGAGGACAGTGTCGAGTGAAGATTTTGTTCTGATGTTTAGCTCGTACTATGAGCTTCAATGCTGTCACTCACATTGGCATAGAGATGCCCCGTTCTCCTTCAAGGTCCCTCAATAGTATCCGAGCCTTCTCGGCATACGCGACAGCATTTGCCCAGTCCTCCTCGTGCACAGAGATAGCAGCCATCACCCAATGAGCGAAGATCGACGTTGGCAGCTTGTCCAGAACTTTCTGCGAAAAGTCAGCTCAGAGGTCCACAACGGCTTGGTATACCACTTACAGTCATCGACGCCACCAGCTCTTCCCTCTCTTCGCCTTCCACATCCTCCTCCAAGGTGCCCTCCTTCCCAGCCGTTCTTCTAACTCTTCTTCGATCCTTCGCATTCATCCCGTTCTTCTTCTTCCACGCCTTGTGCCCCTTCGCCTTTTTCTCGTCCTTCTTCGCTGAGCCATCCGGACGGTCTGCATTCTCGCCAACATCATCCTCCTCCGGGTCGGGAAGTGGCAGCTTGAACCACCGACAGTAGTCGTCGATGAAGGCAGTGAGAGAGCTGTCGGGAAAGAGCGTCGCGTACTGGTGCAGCAGATCGAGAGGGTAGTATATGTCTGCCTGGTCCAGGCCGTCCAGGGCGAACTGGTAGGACGCCTCGGCGGGACCGCCTACTTTGAGTAGGATGAAGCCGTCTGCGAGTGCCTGGGCACGGGATAGCGCTTCGGCCTTTGTAGGTTTAGGCGGGGAAGAATGCTCGAAGAGCGGAGCTGGCGGGAGGTCGATTGAGCTGTCATCCGATGGTGGCGCAGTGGCTTTTGTAGGCTTTGCTTTCGCCCCGGGTGCCCCTGGCCTGGCAGACTCGACGCTGGATGATCAGCTCTCCTCGTTATCCGAGCAGATGGCGAGACGTACGGCAGAACACCGACCAGCTTCCGCCAGAACTCGCATTCTCTAATCTCCACTTCCCGCCTGACGCTCTCCTCAACGCTCGGGTGCGCAGCGACCTCCTTCAACAGTTCCACCAATTCCATGCCTAATTCCCCACCCAGCACGTCGCACTCCACGTCCCGCCTGGTCTCCTTCTCGCTCTTCTTTCCCAGCTTCATCCGAGCCGCCTTGACATCCGATTCCAGCTTGGTGTGGATGAGATGTTCCTGTCGGACCAAGAGGTACATGAGGAGAGGAAGGGAAGAGACGAGGTGCAGGGCGTGTGGTAGCGGGGAGGGAAGAGTCGGTACATGGGTGGCGATCATCGGTGGGTACAGCGGCGCTGCGAGGGGCGTGTAGGTCCCCGCTGGAGCTGGGATATCGCGTATCAGAGGCACCAGCGGCGAGGAGGGTAAGAGGAGATGCAGTGTAGCGATGAGGCGATCCTCTGGACCATGTTGCTGGCGCAGGACGAGCAGTTGCTGTAATGCCTTGGCGCATCCTTCTCGATCGTTTCTAGCACTTTAGCTGAGGACATAGACGCCAGATGAAAAGCGCAACTTACGAGTTGTATGTTTCCTGCACGATCGTCTCAAGGAAGCGGCATAGCTTTGCCCATTCCTTCTGCTTCTCGTACAGCTTGGTCAGGGCCGTGGTGGCCAGGGGATGACCAGGAGCAATCTTGTATGCCTGGGCGTAGCACTTGCGCGTCAGCAAGTCACACTTGAGAAAATAGCGAGACTGACCTTCTCGGCTTCTGCGGACCTCTCCAAGCTGTTCAAAGCCAACCCTCGCAGACATAATCTAATCTCGTCAGCCTCGTCAATCGTCCAGCTTCATCCTCTGACTTACACCTGAGGTACCTCGGGCTCCTCCTTCTTCAACGACTTCAGAAGCGCTGTTGCCTCGTATAGAGCAGTCTCATGATTCTTCTCCTCGATCTGAGACTTGATCGACTTGATCGCTTTTTTGGTTGACATGGCGAACAAAGCAGTCCCGCTGTTTGTGGCTGGACCGAACGTAAGGGGAAGCTATCAAGCTCTATGGAGCTTGTCCTCCGTATGCAAGAGAACCCTTGGTGAGGTACTCGGTCCGATGGCAAAAAGAAGAACAGTTGAATGAAGGCGCAAGACAGATTTCGCGGCGAGATCGTCATCGCCAGCCAGATTTGGGCTCCACATTCCTCATGCCTCATCAGTCTGACTGGGTCTGTCGCCTGGACTTTGTGCACCGCGCAGCCCGCCCGTCTGGCCTAGAACTTGACTCATAGCGGAACAAGGGAAGAGCGTGAGATACTATGCATACATTTGGCTGCACCCGTCGATCGCTGAAAAGCCCCAAATCCCTCCCGAATCATCCGATCCACTGCGCATTGTTCTGCAAACATCAGTATAGCATCCTCTGCGTGAGACAACAGAAACGACCAAAGCTCACCAGGTGCATCATCTGTCCAGTCATGGCATTCGAGTCGGCGCATGCCAAGAAGACTGACAGTCAGCAAGCCCGATGAAGCTGGCGAAAGACTTACCATAAGCAGGTCCCATCTCGGCCGGCATGTTCACCCGGCCATGGAGCGGCAGCGCCCCGATGTTCCAGTCGTCCATCTGCTCGGCCTGACGCGAAGCTGGCTGGAGAGGAGTGTAGACGGGTCCTGGGCAAACGGCGTTGACCCTGATTCCCTTTGGTGCGAGTTGCATGGCGAGCGACCGAGTGAACGTAACGATCGCGCCCTTGGTGGATGAGTAGTCCATCATGCTCGGCGATCCCTTGAATGCGACGACCGAGGCGGAGTTGATGATGCTCGCGCCGCGCTTGAGGTGAGGCATGGCGTATTTGGTCAGAGCGAACATGCCGAGGATGTTGGAGCGGAAGGTAGATTCGACATCGCCAAGCTAACCGTCAGCGATACCATCTGGTCAGGACTCACGTTGATATCGGCAATGTCGTCGCACATCATCTGCTTGCTGGCGTTGTTGACCAGAATGTCCAGACCACCATACTTCTTGATGTGCTCATCCACCACCTTCTTGACACTCTCCTCTTTCATCAAGTCGAGCGCCAGGCAGAGACATTCCCCCCCATCCGCCTCGATTGCCTTCTTGACGCGGTCTGCACTGAGATATCAGCAAGGCGTCCTTGAATACAGATCAGAGGAAATGGGAGTAGCATCAAGGGGTGCGCAGAAACCACTGTCGCGAGGTAGAGCCAGAAAGGCGGGGCCAGAGAAGGGACATCATAGACTTGAACAGCCGGCCCTACTCACTCTTCCTGCTCCTGCTCCAAGTAGACAATGGTCACATTGGCACCCTCCCTGACGAACATCTGCGCAGCGGAACGCCCGATCCCGGAATCACCACCGGTGATGATCGCCGTCTTGCCCTTCAGCTTGCCTGAGCCGACGTACTAGCATGTCAGTCGTCAGTTCAGACGATATTGCCAGTCGATCTGGCTCACCTCCTTGAGGTATGGCTTCCCGCTCTCGTCCCAGCATTCGAGCTTGGTGAACTCTGCCAGCGGGTCCATGTTGGTATCCTTTCCGGGGAGGTTCTGCTCCTGGGGCTTGATGTCCAGGAGAGTCTGATCCTTCTTAGCATGGAGCAATTCGGAGTCTACGAGATGCTAACCTTGTAAGCGGTAACGATGTCTTCCTTGCCCATGTTGATTGATGTGGAGCGGAAGGTTCGGTTAAAGTTGAGAGGTGAGCGAAGGGGCCGTGATGCTACTGGGACAGATCTTTGTAAGAGCCGTGTTCTACTGATGTTAAGTGAGGAGCTGAGCTGTGTCAAACGCATGAGCTGATCGGCTGGAAGATAAGAGGCAACGGCGAGAATACTGGGCGGAACGGGAATTTGAGTTTGCTGGAATCCTCCACATTCCTCAGGCACGGTGGGGCTACGTCATGGGCCTGCCTCGTCATGGTCCGCATACCATCATCAATCTTTATGCTGGCATCGATGGAAGGCTGGCATCGCTACAAAGAATGTACAGGGCATCTACCAGCCTACAGCTTCCCGTCAACCATGCGGTCTGCGACGGGACCGTTGGGGAAGACGTTGAGCGCATATCGCCGCCTGATAGCCGATTGCATGCCCGCCCGGTCGATCTCGCCGAGCTGCTCGTCGCTCAGATTGACTTTGAGGGAGTCGAGGGTCTCCTGAAAGTACTTTTCGGTTGAAGCGGTGCTGATGGTCAATATTGCACACCGAGGCTGTCTGGTGTTTCGGATCTTGCTCACGTGACGATCGGTCCTCCGCCAGTACGCTGACGTGCCCAAGCAAGAAGTACTTGGGCTTTTGTGCACTTCTGGTCCTCAGCGATATGCCTGACAACCTCATCGACCGGTCCTCCTTGGAACTCCTTGCGAGTCAAGGAGGCCAGAGTGGTGTATGCTCCGATGGCGATCCCAAGCTCTTGGCATGTTGCCACCGCCTTCAGGACTTGCGGATCGGAAAAGCTGTACGGGTGGAACTCGATCTGCAGCATTAGGGATACATCAGACTGATACCTACCTCATTGACAGCAGGCATGGTGCCAGTGTGCGCGAGCTGCATAATGTGATCCGCGGCAAAGTTGCTGACACCGATCGATCGCACTTTGCCTTGCTTCTGCCATACGATCATCTTCTTCCACGCCTCTTGCAGTGTATAAGGCGGTACCTGTCGAGTCAATTGCAGCTAGCGGAGCAGGTCAATCTTTACTGACATGAGGGTGATGCATGAGCACTACTGATGTCAGTCTACCGCCCCTCTCGCACCGATTGCACAAGATTTTTGCTCACTCAGATCGATGTAGTCAACGCCCAGATGCAAGAGGCTCTGCTGTAGGAGACCATCTGCATCATGCTCCTCCTTAGGATCATGAGAGAAGCCCCATTTGGTTGTAAGGGTCAGATCCTCCCGGTTGCCGTGACCCTCGGACGTCCACTGCTTGACGGCCTTGCCGATGGACGCTTCGTTCCCGTATGACGCGGCAGTGTCGAAGTGCCGGAACCCCGTCCTCAACGCTCGGTAGATGGATGCGGAACAATCTCCGTCCCCGTTCGGTCCATCGCGATTTGCAGTCGCTGATCTATCAGTATACAACGAAGCAGAATCCAGCCGAGGTTCCCCGCGATGAAGACTTGCCTGTGCCGAACGCGAGTATAGGGATATTGTGACCGTCACCCAGGGTCTTGATGGACGCCATGTATTGTAGCTCTCAGTTTGGAGAGTATGGGCAAAAGATCCTACCTAGCGCACTGTGCATGTATATGCCCAAAGCAATCGGTCTGATCGCTCCCTGCTCCACCGTGGCCCATCTGCTTTGTTTGGACACACACGACGACGTCAGCACACATGAAAGGAAGGGAGAGGGATGTCAAAGGAGCCTTATTGTCCAGTGACGCTGCTTTCAGAGTGTGGGTGGGGTCAAGCCTCAATCTCGCTCGTCCCCTCAGATAAGCTGCCTGCCGACTCGATGGGTCGACCGAAAGAGATCAGGCCATCCCAGACCTCGCTCACAACATTCGACGACTGAAGGGTTGTCAGGCTGCTTCGCATTTTGTGAAACATCTACGCTCATAGCGCATCCCAATCTGGTAAAGTATATTTGCCCTTAATTCCCCCTTTTCGGCCAGCATTGTCGATGTCCGCGAGTTCAGCATGCGCAAGTTCCACATCGATCGAGTCAAGGATCTGCTGATACTGCCACTCTTTCGAAGCGGTCCTGAATTTGTATCAGCTCTACCCGGGTGATCCTGAGAGGCCACTGAACTCACGTGATGATAGGGCCGCCTCCGGTACGCTCATTGGCCCATGATAGGAACACCTGAGCTGAGCTGATCGCCTTCGCATCACCAATACGCTTGACGACACCATCAACAGGTCCCCCCGAGAACCTCGTGATCGGTGCCAATGAGGTGAAGGGGGAGATGGCAATGTCGTACTTCTTGCATGTTTCCGCCATCTTCAGCATGCGGGGGTCGTGGAAGCAGTAAGGATGGACCTCGATCTATACGTGTGTAAGCTGGAAGATCATACCCTCGAGGACTGGAGCCCACCTGGTTGATAGAGGGTTTGAAGGTCCACATCTTCGCCAATTCCTCAATGTCTTCCGAGCGGAAGCTGCTGACACCGATGGAGCGGACCAGGCCTCGCCTGTGGAGGTCTTCCATCTTGTTCCAGGCCTGAACATTGGTCATAGCTGGAGGCTAGTCTCATGAGCTCGTTGGAAGATACGGCGCTCTCGTATCAAAAGTGACTGACATTGGGAACGTGGATGAGGTCTATCTGTTAGCTCGATCGCGCTTCGCAGCCGACCTGGAGGCTTTGCCACTCATAAAGGTCCAAATAGTCTACACCCATCTTCTCAAGGCTCTGCTTGAGCTCCATCTCCGGATCATGCTCCCCATCCGATTCAGACCAGCCCCACTTTGAGCAGATGAACACGTCTTCCCGCTTCCCGCCCCCCTTCTTCAAAGCAATCCCGACTTACTCCTCGTTGTCGTACCCATGAGCTGTGTCGATATGGCGGAATCCTTTTTGGAGAGCGAGGAGGATAGCTTCTGAGCATTCTTTTTGAAAGTGTGCAGTGGCTACAGATCAACTGTCGTTGCGAAGGGGTCCTCATGCGGGGAGATCGGGAAGGATCGCCGGCCGACTCACCGGTACCAAAAGCTAGAATCGGGGATCTGGAGCCGTCATTGAGCAGCCGGGTGGGAGTCACGCGCATGTCTGATATTGGTAAGAGTCGCTGATGAAGTGAGTAGTGAGTACAAGTGAGGAGTGCAGCCACTGGCTGTCAGGGGAGGGTCGCGTCCCTTTGTTCGAACCATATTTTAGCGCGCAGCACACAAAGGAACTTTGAATACGAGGTACTCCTTTCAGCCAGCTCTTACCTTTGCGGGATCTCTAAGTATCTTCAGAGCCCTGCTTGGCGGTCCAGCACGTCTGTCAGCCCGCTGAAGCTTCGTTCCCGAGCCAGATGGACAAATTGTGAAACAAGTGGTCGTTTCAAATGGCAACTATGAAACACTGTACGTAATCAGGCGGTCTCCGCTTGCAGCGCCGCGTTCCAGCCGGCGAGTGTGAACCTCCCCTGGACCCCTCCTCGGCGTCCAGCTGCGTCGAGTGTCAAGAGCTCCTCATCTGAGAGCTCGGTATGAACTGTGTCCAAGATCTGCTGGTATCGCCACTCCTTCGAAGCCGTGCTAAGACTAGGTCAGCCGGGATGCTCAGCAAGATGTGTGGCAAACTAGCGGATGACTGACGTGACGACTGGCCCGCCTCCTGACCGCTGCCTCGCCCAAACAAGAAGGACCTGCGCCGCTGTGAGTCCTCTCTTATTGGCGATCTCGGCGGCAACCGCATTGACTGGGCCGCCCGGGAACCGGGTCAAAGGGGCGAGGGCACTAAACGGGGAGATTGCAATGTTGTATTTCCGGCAGGTCTCTGCCATATGGATCATCCGAGGGTCGTGAAAGGAGTATGGGTGATACTCAATCTAGCTCTCAGCGGAGTCGCATAGAGAAACGGGATTTATGTTCTGCAGCTCATACTCAAACTCACCTGGTTGATAGAAGGCGGAATCGTCCACATCTGAGCAAGCTCTTCGATGTGGGTTCCACTGAATCCACTGATACCGATAGATCGGACCAGGCCGCGCCGCTTGAAGTCTTCCATCTTCTTCCACGCCTCCACGTTGCTGTATGGCTGGGGCTGCGCTCCATCAGTAGGGGTTTTAGCTATTGTACAAGGGGAAAGAACATACGTTCACGCTATGGATCAGGTCTGCCCGATCAGTCTCAAGTGCAGGCTCAATGTCAAGAGGATCATGTGAGAGACTCACACAGATCCAGATAGTCCACGCACATCTTCTCCAGGCAGTTCCTCAGCTCCTCCTCCGCATCGTGAGGATGGTCGGGGATGGACCAGCCCCACTTTGAGCAGATGAAGACATCCTCTCTGTTCCCTCCCCACTTCTTGAGCGCGATACCGACAGACTCCTCGTTCTCATATGAGCACGCAGTATCGATGTATCGGAAGCCTTTCTGTAGAGCAAGGACGATCGCGTCAGAGCACTCAGACTTGCCCTGTACTGAAGCTGCGGGCGGGTTCAGCGTTGCGTTGAGTAGTCAATTGGTCCGAGGAATAGCTAACCCACTACCGGTGCCAAAACCCAAAGTCGGCATCATGGTTCCATCGTTAAGTAGCTTTGTCGAGGTCTGAGAGGACATGATGATGGTATTGATGGCGCTCTGCTTCTTGATGAAAGACGTCTGAACGTAAAATTGTCAAGCGCGCTTTACCGCAGTACCCTTCCCAGAGAACAAAGGAGGACCTGCAGGCTTGATGAAAGGACTTCTCTCCCTGCCAATTCGTACAGACCTGATCTTGCGCAAAGTTGGGGTCACAGGTAGCCGAGAGAGCCTTACATCGCCGGAATGGTCAAGAGTCATCGCGCGCGGGAAGGGGCATCATACACGATGGCGCTGGCTTGCATATATGGATCGAGCTTCAAGTCTGGGTGGCAGTGTCGTTTGCTCCAGAAGCAATGTCCCAGCCAACTATGGTGTATCTCGCTCTACAGCCCCCGGCTACACCGGCGTCGTTGATCTCCTGGATTTCATCCCCAGACAACTCGACGTCTCGCGAGTCCAGAATTTGTTGGTACTGCCATTCCTTTGACGCCGTCCTATGAGGTCAGCGGCGTCACACGTGCATGAGAGGACCGGCACCCCGCCGCTCGATATCCGACTCACGTCACGACTGGCCCTCCTTCGCTGACCTGCCTAGCCCAGGCGAGAAGTACCTGCGCCGCGGTCACGCCTCGAGAATCACTGATGCGTTCCACCACCTCGTCGACCGGCCCGCCGGGGAAGCGGGTCAAGGGAGCGAGTGAGGTGAATGGCGAAATCGCAATATCGTACTTTTTGCATGTCTCGGCCATGCGGACCATACGAGGCTCATGGAAGCTGTACGGATGATATTCGACCTGTCACTTCAAGGCTGGCGGAGTGTGGGCAGCGATCGCAAGGTGCTCACCTGGTTCACGGATGGCTTAATCGCCCAGATCTTCGCGATCTCTTCGATATGATCAGCATTGAAGCTGCTCAGGCCGATAGATTTGACCAAGCCTCGCCGATGGAAGTTCTCCATCTTCTTCCAGGCTTCGACATTGGTCATTCCCTGCGGCTATAAAATGTCAGCACTGTACACTATAGGCTAGGGCCAAAGGTCAGACTCACGTCTGGTACATGGATCAGGTCTGGCAAGTAAGCTCATGGCCCTTTCTGTACCGGATACAACTCACACAGGTCCAAGTAGTCCACTCCAATCCTTCTCAGACTGCCTTGAAGCTCCAACTCGGGGTCATAGTCATGATCAGGCTTGAAGTAGCCCCATTTCGAGCATATAAAGACATCCTTCCGTTGTCCACCCCATTTCGTGAGTGCGAGCCCGACCGACTCTTCATTCTCGTACGAGTAAGCGGTATCAATGTGCCTAAAACGCTTCTGTAGCGCCAGCAGGATCGCTTCGGAACACTCAGTGCGTCCATGCGCGGTTGCTATGATCAGCGTGAGCTGTGCGGTACCACAATGAGCGAGCGGGGTTGTCGGCCTGGCTCACCTGTACCGAAAGCAAAGACCGGGATGGATGAGCCGTCGTTCAGCTCTCGTGTCTGCATTGTGATTTGAGCACCCAGTGAGTGATGATAAGGCTTCACCTGATCGCTTGCATGGCCAAATGTGCTCACTCCCGAGCAAAACAAAGGAAAGGTTCATGAGTACTTGATATGGTTCAGCCCGATAAGAAGGGAGTCAGTAATCAAAGGATATTATCTGATCCATTTATCTATACCTACCGGACTCATCCCGGTCGTGCGTGTCCACCGATGGCCCCCGCTGGCCCGCAGCGTTAAAGGGGCTGCGTCAAACCCCGTGTCCCGCGTGGGGATACCGGCCGGGATGTAGCGACCTCCTGAGGCTCAGTCTGCCGATGGGGACAGTACAGACTTCCGAGCTTTTCAAGTTACAGGTGTACAAAGGAGAGCCAAAAGGACTGGTATGTGACTTGCGCTATCTGTCATGTCCAGCGATGAGCGATCTTGCAGGATCTTGCCCCTTTGTTTGTGTGCCAAGCGCGACGCGCGGACCTCCACATTCCTCGACCCCTACTCGGGCTTGCGAGTCGCATCTTTGGCATCACTTAGGCGCGTCCCAAGCCGTACTTTGATCGACTGACTGTCAAGGCGCCATATAAATACATCTGATCATAGTCACTCAACGCTGTGTCCCCGTCTCCACTCCGAACCAAAATAAACTACTTGTTATCAACTTATCCGTGAACCTGTTCTTCTCCCCCACCAGCCCTCAGACCTGCTGGGAGTTGACCGCAGACTGCTTGGACCTGTCGATGGAGGTGCTGTACTTGTCAAAGTGCCTCGCCGGGACCTTGGCCTCGAACATCTCGTCGAGCTCAACGTAGGACCGGTTCCGGGTCTCACTGAGTGGGTCAGCGCTGCAGCCTTTGAGGATGGATAAACTCACGGCACGACAAAGTAGATGAGGACAGTGAAGACTACACCCGTGGACGCGTAGAAGAAGACTGAACTGCGTCAGGTTCAATCCCAAGCGGGCATTCTGTGGGACTCACGTGTAGACGAAACACCGAAAGAAGGGCTGGCGAGCATGAGAGGCGTGCAGTAGCTGGTGACGAGACTGCCGCAGTTCTGGAGGAAGAGACCCATCGATACGGTCTTGCCGCGGAGAGTGATTGTGGACGTTTCGGCCAAGTAGACGTAGGCCAGCGGGCCGACGGATGACGCGTAGACCGCAACCCAGATGCAGCTGCAAGGTCAGGTCAAACATCATAAAGTCAACCACGGACTACTCACGCGAGAGCAATGAGACCTTGACCTGCGGCCGTGCTGGCCGGAGCTCGCATGAGACCTCCAGTGGCATAAAGCAAAGGAGGCATGAGCAGGCCCGAGTAAACCAAGAGCGGTCGACGACCGAGCTTCTCCGTTGTGACCAAAGAGATGAGAACGAAGCCGACCAAGACGGAACTAAGGGTCAGCAAACACCTTGCAGACACCTGATATGGACTCACTTGACAGCCACAGTTCCGAGGAAAGGTTGAGCAAGACCTGCTAGTCAGTATATACCAATAAACGGCTGAGATGTACCTCACCTGCGAGCTGGAAGAAATAAGCCGTGTAGGTGAACAGGACCGGCGAGCCGAACCAGAGTTGACCCATGATTGGAGTCAAAGAGATCATGGTGCGTCGCTGGATATCAGCACAGCTCATTTGGGTCCAATCTCGATCAAAACTCACCAGGTTGGTCCCTCGGAAGCAGTCAAGCACATTTGCTCCCTTCTGTTTGTCCAGCAAGACCTTGCCGTCCTCCAACTCCTTGAGGATGATACCGTACTCGTGGTCGGCGTCGTAGCCTGGCACGCTGCCGTTGATCCGCTTGAGTGTGCGAAGTCCCTTCTCGTGGTTACCGCGAGAGGCGTAGAAACGCGGCGACTCGGGCAGCCAGACGAGGATCAAGAAGGCGCAACCGAGGAAGAAGAACATGGAGTAGACCGCATGGCGCCATTTGTCGACGGGCATGGTGGATACGACCTGGAGCCCGACGGCGGCAGCGAAAGATCCGATGGCCCAGAAGAGTTGGTAGAGAGCCAGAGCAGCTCCACGAGCTCGAGTGGGGGCGATTTCGGAGATGTAGGTGGTGGCGCTCAAGACGTTGCATCCGACAGACATGCCCTGATATTAGCGACTGAATACAGGTTGACTCACGTTGAGAATCTTGGCACCCAGCCAATGAGTCCAGTTGGTGGCGAAAAGCTCGATGATGGCCGCCGCGAGCATGAGAATCTGGGTCAACCACAACATGGGTCGCCGACCAAAGTAGTCGATAGGCCAGTTGCCGACGAGTAGGAAGAGCATCTGAGCACCGACATACGCGCCTAGAAGTCAGTCAAGGATCTCAAAAGGATATGAGGTAGACTCACCTCCCCAGATAGCAACGTGTTGAGGGTTGAGGACATTTACACCCGCAGCGTTCGGGGAGCCCATTTGATCAATCTTAATGGTCAGCACCGAGCTCTCAACCACTACTGATGACCTCAGAAGTACGCACGAATCCACGCAGCGCGACTATGTTACCCGGCATCTTGAACTGGTATCCGTCCCCCATGGCGCAGACCGCTGTACCGAGGCACATGAGGAGTGGTTTCCAGTACAGGCGGACGGTCTGCCCGAACGACATATTGGAGTCGAGCGAGGCTTCGTTGGCATTGTCGCCAACGAGCTTGAGGTCGTTCTGGTCATCTTCCGCAGTGGCAAGACGCTCCAGGTGAAGCTCCTCTGGTTTGGTTTCGAGATGCGCCATGTTGTATGAGTGGAGTGAGAGATGAGGAGATGGATTGTGGGGATCTCTGGGGCACCAGGCCTTTTTGTAGAGGTAAACGCCTGGAGCTCCAGATGACGACTGGCTGATCACCGGACCCTAGGTTCGGCCCACAGCCGAGTGAAGCTCGGATCGGGCCAAGGGTCAGCCACAATATAGGGATCGGCGCTCAAGTCGGTGACTTGACTGGCGACTTTTTGGGCCAGCAGCAACTGGCGCGATCAGGTTCTGGCAAATCGTCCACGGCCACTCACATGACGATTTTTCAGCCGACGGAGGGTCCGCCTTGGCATGCACGTCTGCTTGAGCTCCCGACGGTGTTAGCGGCGACTTTATGGGCGAGCTGGTCAATGGAAAAAAGCGGCGGCGTTGCCAAATCGCTGGGATTTGACGGGAAATCACAGGACGACAGCGTTGGACCGTCCGCCGGTGGTCAGGTGACCAGAGGTCCGCCGCAGAGAAGGTTGATCCGGCGGCTGATGGTGCCGAGCTGCACTGATACTGTGTAGTCCCTGTGGTGAGGCCTTGAGGCGGCAGGTGGTGGTCGACAGCTGCAGGTCCGTCGCACCATTGATTCTCGGCCCGTGCTCGGCAAGCCGGCAGCACTCGGCCCGAAACGTAAACGGCCAGTCGGATCTCGGAACAAGGTATGCTGAATTCTAGACTCCTCTCAGCTCGCCTCAACTGCTGCTCCTGCAACGACATCCTGTATAACGCCTAGTCACGCGGGAATCTTCATCTTCACCATACTCCGATATGTCAGCCACCTCACCCCCTCAGCTCCGCAAGCTCAGCGGCAATGTCCATCAGCTTTTCGTCAAGGACAAGCCGTTCTTGATCCGGTCGGCTGAGATAGGCAACTCGTCCATGTCGTCCGCGCGATGGATGAGCACAGTCTGGCCCAAAATGGTCGAAAACAACGTCAACACTCTGCTAGGGAGCGTGACGTGGGAGATGGTCGAGCCGAGGGAGGGAGAATTTGATTTCGCGGAGCTGGATTTGGTGCTGGCTGGAGCTCGGGAGCATGGGTTGCGTTTGATCCTTTTGTGGTTTGGGGCGCACAAGAACGGTAAGCTCAGAGCCACATCTGGAGCTGAAGCTGACCCTCAGGTCAAGGGTTGTACGCGCCCGAATGGGTCAAGAAAAATCCCTCTCGATTCCCCCGCGCCGAAATCACTCAAGACGGCGTCACTCGGACCACCCACACATTTTCGGTCTTCTCCCCATCCACCTACGAGGCAGACGCCACTGCGTTTGCACGCCTCATCTCTCACCTCAAAGACGTGGACGCGGAGCACCAAACCGTCATCATGGTCCAAGTCCAGAACGAGGTCGGGATCCTCAAGGACACGCGGGACCGGTGCCAGCTCGCCCAGCATACTTTCGACCAGCCCGTCCCGTCGTCGCTGCTCACTGTTCTCCGGGAGCAGTGGGCGGGAATGAACGCTACGTTCCGGAACAACTTCCCCCATCTCTCATCCGAGACATTGCGGGACGGCGGGGGTTGGGCGGCTACGTTTGGCAGTAGTGATCAGACGGACGAGCTGTTCATGGCGTATCACTACGCCCTGTCGATCGAGGCGGTCGCGAGCAAGGGGAAGCTCGAGTATGATCTGCCCATGTTTGCCAATGCCTGGCTCAGGAACATGGACGAGGAGGAGGGTCAGGACGCTGCGTTCAGCGGAGGCGTGCGTCCGGGGGACTACCCATCGGGAGGACCGGTCGAAACGGTGCTGGACATTTGGCAGCTCTTTGCGCCCTCTCTCGCCTTCCTAGCCCCCGACATCTACCTCACGGACTATACCAAAACCTGTCAACTCTACACCCACCGGGATAACGCCCTCTTCATCCCAGAGCAAAGGCGAGACGAGTACGGGGCGATCCGGATCTGGGAAGCTATCGGTCGGTTCAACGCCATCGCCACCTCTCCCTTCGGTCTCGACTCACACACCCCCCTTCTCAGTCCCTTCACCGCTCACTATGCCCTCCTTCGATCCGTATCCCCTCTCATTCTGGACGCTCGTGCGCGCGGACTCCCCACCTACGGCCTCTTCTTTGACCGCTTTGAGAAAGGCGAGAAGGACCCCTCCCCTATCCGCACCCTTCAAATCGGCTCTTGGAATCTCAAAATCTCCCGCTCCTACTCCCCGGGCCATCCCTCTCCCGGATATGGCATGATCATCCAGGTCAAGCCTGACTCCTTCCTCGGTATCGGCGAGGGGTTCCAGATAGTCTTCACTCCGACGACAGAGGTGAAGATCAGTGGGATTCTGGCGATAGAGGAGAAGGAGGTGGTGGATGAGGAGACTGGCGAGCTCAGCACTCTACGTCGTTTCAATGGGGACGAGGTGCGGTCGGGGTTCACCATGCCCGCGACCAAGCCGGATATGGGGGACTTTGTGATTGAATCGTTCATTCCGGCGCACACGAGGATCGCTTTGTGTACTCTTTATACAGTGTAGCTTGTCAGTGAATGATGTAATGATTTGTGGGTACTGTCATTGGAGCGCTTGATCAGCACAGGCGCGAAGGGAGCTTGTAGTTAGCGAACGTCAGCCGTCAGCCGTCAGCCGTCACCGACCCCAGAGTGAACGTACATTCGGATGATTCGCCCAATGTCCAGGGATAGCTAAAGACTATCCTTCCCCCGACTAGATGAGCCCGACGCAGACCTCGGCATCAGGTGCGCCGCCGTAGCCACCACACCCTCCGCCCTCGCATTCCTCCGCTTCGCACCATCGACCTGCCTCTCGAGCTCCCTATTTTATCAGCTCCTACCCGAAGTTCGTTCATTCCCGCCCAACTCACTTGATCTGATTCTCCAACTGCATAGCCCGCTCCTTCCCGCCCTGCTTCTCCGTCTTGATTTTCTCCCCGGCAATCCGTAATCGATTCTCATACTCCTTGACTCTTGCTTCCCACTTATTCTCCGCCTGTCCTGCGCGCTGTTGCATCTCGGCGACCTTGGCTTCGAGGAGAGCGAGCTGGTTCTGGCTGGCCTTGGCACGTTTCTCGGCGCTTTCTGCTCGCTCAGTGAGGGAGCGAAGGTGAGAGGATGTTGAATTAGAGGTGGAAGAGGAGCCGGCGCGTTCAGAGGAGAGCTGCAAGGCGAGGTCGTTGATACGAGTCTGTCGTATCAGCTTGAGAGTCCAGGATGCTCGGGTTAGAGACAGCTGCTCACCTTGGCCGCTTCCAGCTCGCCATCCTTCAACGCGTACTTGCTGCGCCACTGCATCCGGGTCAACTCAAGCTTCTTGACGGACGCCTCGAATGTGTCGAGAGCACGCCATTTCTGCTCCAATTGCCGCTTGAGCACGCTATATGTCAGCTTATCTCTCGCTGGAATGCAGAGTCTTGAGCTCACGCCATGCGCTGATCCACCGAAGCCTCAGTCTCCTTGACTCGTTTCTCAAAGTCCGTCCGAACCCCATTCATCGACCGTAAACGGGTCAAGAGGGTACTGCGGAAGGCGTCAAAGCTGGCGGGGGTGGTATGGTCCTGTCTGTCAGCTCGAGACTTCCAGAAAGCGGTACAGTACAGCATAGCTCACCTCGGTACCGAGGAACCGATTGACATCCTTGAAGACCCGTAGCAGCAATTCGCTCCTCTCTTGGCGCTGCTGCTCGTTCTGCTTTTGCAAGGTGAAGCGATCATGTTGCGTCTCGGTCAAAAGTGGTTCGAGCTCTTCGATGCGTTCGCGGAGAAGGGTGACTTCGCGCTCATACCGCTTGGAGGACTATAGGATCAGCCCCTATCTGCCGGACCCATACGAAACATACCTTCATAGCCTCGTCTAGCTTGTCCGACATGTTGAGCCTCGCCTGCCTTTCTGCCGATAGAGTGTCCTGAAGTTCTCGTTGTCTGTCCAGCTGTTGGCGTCAGCGTCAAGCCCCACTTTCGATGAGCCTGACGTACCATAGCCGAATACTCCATATCCCTCTTCGCCAGTGCCTCCCTCGCTTCTTCGAGATCCCCCTCCGCACCGTCCAAATCCCTCCGTAAACGCTCCATCTCAAGCTCCAATCCAAACTTGTCGCTCGTCGCCTCATCCCCCAACTTCCTTCGCTCATTCTCCAACGCCTTGAGCGCATTCTGCACCTTGACCAGATCCCTATCCCGCATGGCCACCCTCTCTCTCGCATCCTCCACCTCGCGCTTCGTGCGCGTCAGATGCGTCTCGCGATCTTGTATCTCCAGCCTGAGACGCTCCGTATCCGCCTTGTGTTGCGCATGAAGCTCGTCCAGGTCTGATTGGATTTTCCGGCGCGCGTCCTTGAGGGCAGCGACAAGGGACTCGTAGTGCGTCTTGCTGGATTCGAAGGCTTCGTCCGCTGAGCGCAAGTCGGCATTGAGGTCTGCTTCGCGCGCTTTGAGCTCGTCTGCTAATTCTTCGAGCTCGTACACCCGCTGACCGAGCTGGAAATCAGCCATGTCCGTTACCGTATGATATCGACAGCTCACCTCTTCCACTTCGCGGTTCGCAGCAATCAGATCCGCCTCCTTCTCTGCGTTATCCCGCTCGATATTCTTCAGCGTATCCTCGAGCCGATCGTGCGTCTCGGCCTGAGCAGCCTCCAGCGCGTGCACTTGCTCCGTCACCGCCCCGACTTCCTCTTCCCGATCGAGCAGCGTCTCCCGCAGCTCCTTGATGTCGTGCTCGCGGCTTTCCAGGATCTATTCATCAGCTCAGCCACACTCATGCAAGCCAGATAGGATTTAGCTCACATCTTTCAGCTCATCGACCTGCCCTCTTGCCTCCAGCACCTCGTCCCTCCATTCCGCCGCCACCTGACCAATCTCCTTCTCATGATCCCGCAACCTCGCCTCCAGCTCGGCGTTGAGCTCGTCAATCTCTTGATCCCGCTTGTCCAGGTCGAGCTGGGCCGCCGCCAGCCTGTCCTGCATCTCGTTCAAGCGCTGTCTCGTCAGCTGTCTCCATGCTCGAAATTCAATCGCAACTCACATCTTCCAGCTCATCCGCCACCGAGCTTCCCCTCTCCCTTCGCATCGCTTCCAACTCCTCCACCAACCTCACATTATCCTCCTCTAGCGCCTGCATCCTAGCCCTCCTCCTCTCGTCCCGCTCACTACTCCCTTCTGGTCCCACTGCGCCATCCTCCGCCCTATCTGCCCTTTCCTGCTCCGCCGCCAGATCCTGCTCCAGATCCTCCAGACCTCCCTTCAGATGCTCCACCTCCTCTTCGAGCTGCTCACACCGCCTCCTCCAGACATTCTCCGGCGCCTCCACATCCTCCATCTGCGCCCTCATCTTCTCCGCATCGGGCCCTCCTGCGCCCGGCCCCCTCGTCGCCAATTCCTTCTCCGCCGTGCGCCGCCGGTCCTTCTCTTCCTTGTATAATCGCTCCAATTCCTTCAATTCGCCCTTCGTACCCGATGCGCCTTCCCGTTCCCGCTGAACATCGTTCAGATCCCGATCCTGCTGAAGGAGAAGCTTCTTGATCTTCTTGGTCTCCTTCGACAGGTTCAGAATCTCCAGCTTGAGCTTGACGTTCTCCTTGAGCGCAGCTTCGATATGGTCCGGCGCCATCTGACCGAGTCGTTCCTTCAGAAAGTGGTTCTCGAGCTGGAGGTTGAAGTTGTCCTTCTTGACCGAGTCGAGTTCCTGTCGGCGTCAGCTCATTCCCATGGAACGCCGAGGTAAACTCACTTGCTCCTGCTCTCGCAAGGTCTTCGGCCCCGTCCCTTCCAGCGCAACACTATGGCGCCCACTCCGCTTACTCGGTCCCGCCGCATATCCCTTCTTGCCCTTCCCCGGCGTGATATTGATGCTCAGACTAGCTAGTACGCCTGCCGCATCACTCTCATCGTCTGTATCGCCATACCGCTTGTTGATCCGCCCGGCATCAGATGACGAGGCCGAGGAGACGGAGCCGGTGAGTTGTGATCGCATGATCCGAGATCTTCGAGGAGCTTGAGTGTTGGGAGTGCGCTCGAGGACGGATGAGGAGGATGAGCGGCGGACGGTCGCTGGTGGAGACATGAGGAGCGCGGCTGCGGGTGGAGGGGATGGGGTGAGGCGGGATGTATCGGGAGAGTCTATCGTAGGGAGGGTAGGTACTGCTGAGAGTAAGCTATCATCTCTGGCTACGCATAGCTGAAGGAGAAAGCGTACGCCTCGAGACCTGCGGCCGTATCCCGCCAACTCCAAGTCGAACAGGCACATTCCGCTCCTCATCTTCCGACCTGAAGCTGGATCCCAGCGAATCTAGCGAAACATCCGGTAGGGTTCTGCCATGTGCGAGGATCGTAGAGTCGGTATGTGTGGACGGCGACTGCATCAACGCGGCAAGGGATGAAGTGGCCGGCATGATGGGCGAGCCGGACCGTCAAAGTGGACCGGCGGAATTTGGGTGATATGGGCGTTCCCTCACCCGTGCATGACTGTGTGATGATCCCTGTCGGGCTGGAGGTGGCTCAGCTGCCGGGTGGGGTAGGCAAAGCAGGATATAAGTCGCTTTAGGTGTGGTCTAAGATGTATGTTGGATGAGCAGGAATGCTGGAGTGAGTTGTTTACAAGTCGCGTCCTCTTCATTTCTGCTTCTTTGGGAAGTTTGAGCTGAAATTTTCCATCTCCTCATTCCTCGTTCACCCCACTCTTCCTTGGCTCAAATCCCCCTTATAACAGATCCAGCAGCATCATGAGCGCCTCCGCCTCGGCCTCCACGCCTCGAACTATCAATATGGGCGATATAAACTCCTTTCCCGTAGACCCGAACTCGCCGATCTTCGTTGCAAAAGCTATCCTCGCAACCAGTGAGCTGCAATTTCCAGCTGCTGCCAGAGAGCGGATCAGAGAGCTGACTATTGTAGCTATAGCAGGCGGGACCGCAGGAGCCACTCTCGGGGTGATCAGATCAGCCAACCCCTTTGCATTCTCCATCAACATGGGCGTCAATGGCGGTATAATGGGCCTAACATTCTTTGGTACGGTCCCTTCACACCCCTCCTCGCCTTCATATAGCTAATTATCAGGTCTTCGGGAATACCTCATCTCACCGCTCCTCCTCTCTGCATCGCCCACATTGTCTCACGCCCGCCGCTTCCACCAACTCAGCGAGAAACAACTCGGCAAGCTCCCTTCTTCCCCATCCCCTGAAGCAGCGTCGATCTCCGAGATGCGGACGGAACGGTTCCTCGACTCGGGCATCTCGGGCTCTTTGGCGGGCGGGGTTCTGTCTGGCGCTACGAGAGGCATAAGGACAGTCATCCCAGCGGCGATCACGACGGGTCTGATCGCTCTGGCGGGACAGGCGGTCGTCAATCAGGTCAGAGTAGGGAGGTTGAAGCTGTTGGCGCGTAGAGTGGGGGACATGGACGGGACGGCGCCCCGTGCTATCGGCTTCAAAGGGAAGCCAGGCAGTCCAGAGGGAGAAGAGGGGCAAGGGGAGATGGTATCGACCATAGATGCCCTCGACAATCCTACCGCGCCGACTACGGCCGCATCCTTACCTGGGCGGATAATGAAGGGTCTGAGTCACGCCTTACCAATACGGCAGCTCTCGGACGAGGAGTATCTCGCTACGTTGGAAAAGAAGAAGAGGGATGTTGCGAAGCGGCTGGGCGAGATAGAGGTGGAGGAGCTGAGGTTGTACGAGGCGAGTCAAACTGGTATGGCGGGAACAAAGTAATGCATCTAGGCTACACACGCTCCTCACAAGGCCCCACTTCTTCCTATACCCCTCCCAAACTGACAATACGCTTACTCTCCCGCCTATACAACTCCTCTACCTCCTTCTCTCGCTCATATCTGCCCATACTCCCTTGTCTGAGGCCGCACCTACTCGTCAATCCGGCTCGGGCCGGGACTGTGGTGCGTCTCCATCTGTAAAGGCGTCCTACCGCGACTCCGGCTCCGGGCGCTCAGGCCCTGCTTGGACTGGATAAAATCTTCATACCGAGCCTTGTCTGCTCTCATCAGCTCGCCCCCCCAACGATCTGAACGAAGTCAAGCTCACAAGCCGGGTGCCACCTGGAAAGCGCCGGCCGGTTCTCGATGATATCGCTAGTATTCCACTGAATCCTGGCTTTATCGAGGGACTGTATGATCAGTGCCTTTCATGCTCGAAGAGGCGATCAACCTACCACCGTAGTATCATTGTCCGGGCAGATGACGTAGAAGTCGCCCTCTTCGAACACCTTCTCCATCATGTAATCGACGGTCTGTTCGGGTGTCCACGCGCCGTGCGGCTTGGCGTTGCCCGACCCGGCGCCAGTGAGGCCAGTATGGACCCAGCCGGGACTGCAGCATCAGCAAGACGCACAAATAGTCATGAAGAGGAGACGGCTCACACGAAGAGGTGGGCGGAACAGACGTCCGAGACGTTCCTGAGCTCGTGGGCGACTATCTCATCAGCTCCTTCCCTCCGTACAAGTGCAACACTTACGCTGCTCCGTAAAGGCCTTGACGGCAGCTTTCGAGACGTTGTAGCCGGCATTTCCGCTGTCCGTGTCAGCCTAGTCACTTCTTCTAAGCTCCCTATGCTGAGCGGAACTTACGGCGGACAGGTGATACCCTGCTTACTCCCCGTATTGATGATACAGCTCGCATTCTCCTGTCGGGCCATATGGGGCGCAAACGCCTGTGCGACATTCAGGATCCCAAAGAAATTGGTATCGAGCGTCTGGTGCCATGTGGCCTGAAGGTCCGCCAGGGAGGTAGTGAGGGAGAAGGCGGATGATTTGGGTCCGATACCCGCGTTATTCAGGAGGACGTCGACCTACAGTGTCAGCTCATGCCTCGCTCCCGTCTTGGTGAGTGGCGCACCTCGCCAAACAGATCCAGCACCTTCTCGCGCAATTCCTCCACCTCTGAGATCTTGGACACATCGCACTTGATCCCCTCGACCTGCCCAACTCCGTCTACGCCCTTGATCTCCTTGACGGCGGCATCGAGCTTCGAGCTGACGTCGACTGCGACGATGTGCAGGCCGCGCGCGGCGAAGGCTTTGGAGGCGGCGAGGCCGATACCGGAGCTATCTCATCAGTATAGATCATCTCTATAAGAGATACAGAAGCGCAGACTTCATGACCGGCGACTCCAGAAGGGCACCAGTGCAAGCTGGCGGATAGAAAGCCCCAAGGGGCCGAAGGAGGGACTCACGCAGCGCCGGTCACGAGGGCAACGGCGCCTTTGTTGAGGATAGCGGCTGGTCGGGGCATCTTCAATGATCGGTCTTTGCTATGTCGGTGTAGACTGGAGAGCGGTAGATGAGGCAGCTGCTGATAGTGAGCGGTATCCCCTTCTCACGTCTCACACGCAGTCCAGGTGGAGGCCGCTGAGGAATGACGCCATCATCAGCGCGCGACTTGTAGACAGCCAATCAGATAACAGCTACTGCCGACGGCAACTCACGGCCTAACCACAGCCACGGAGCCGACCATCTCAACAGACAAGTACAGAGATAGGATACAGTACATACAGAAACATGGTACAGCTAACCAAATAAATACGTGAATGTCATGACACGCCTTCCCACAGGCACGAGTCCTCTACGCCACCCCCCGAACCCTAAATGTTCCGCTGCAGCCCCTGTCCGGCCCGCCTCGAAATCATATCACTCAGCCCCATCTCGCTCTTCTGCGCAAAGAACACCCCCTTGACGTCCTCTTTCCCATACTTTTGCCGCATCTTGTCGTCCCGCTCCTTCTCTCTCTGATCCTCTACCGCACGCTGAGCTAGCGATTTCGTGCGTTGATTATCCATCTCGTGTGCGCTCGCAGACATGGCTGCTAGTCTGGCCGCGCGCTGTTGTTCCAGACTCTGCGCCTGGGGATTGGGGGCGGAGGAAGTGGGTTGATGCTGGGAAGGGCGAGAGGAAGTGGGGCGGTCCGCGAGGTCCATTGCGGCCGGGCGGGAGGAGTGGGGGATATAGGGCTTGATATCTGGTTTGATATCTTCGTGGCGCGAGCTATGGCCGGTGTGACCGTTGGAGGAAGGGTAGTGACGCGGTGGAGGCACACGCGAGTCGTCCCGCTCGTCACTACGCCGCCGACTCGAGCTGTCTCGCCGAGGACCGTCGTCCCTTCGCCGCCGGGGAGACTCATCCCTGCCTCGTCTCCGATCCCGGTCATCGCGCTCCCGACGAGGAGAAGACGATCTCGAGCGGTATCGAGACCGCCTCTCATCTGTCCGTTCGTCCGAGCGCGAGTCCCGCCGCCGCCGCTTGTAGTCGTCCCGGTCGTCCGAGTAGTCCGAGACGGGTGAGCGAGTATCACGATGACGGTTCCGCCTCTCGTGCCGTTCCTTCTTCCGCTCCTGATACGTCAGCTAGTTTTCTCGAGAAGAATCCTGGGGGAAGAAGAGCTCACCTCTTTCTCAGCCTTCTTCCTGGCTTTGCGCTCTTCCTTGCTCTCGGGCGCCTTTTGCATCTCCTTCAACTTCCGCCTAATATCCGGGCGGTTCTTAAGCGCCTCCATCGCCGCCAGCTCTTGCCGCTTGATAGCAAGCAGAGGATCCTCCCTAATCTTCGCCGCAGTATCCCTCGCCGAATTGGCATTCTGCACCGCGATAAACTCCTTGTGCAAGTTACCCACCTGTTGGATCAGCTCCAGTCCTCGTCATCATTCGTTCCCCCCTCCCTGAAGGAATCTACTCACATTGCGATCCCCCGCCGCCAAGACCTCATCCACCCTCTTCTTACCCAACAAATAATCCTCCATATCCTTCTCCCCCAACCTCTGTCCGCCCAAAGCACCCCCTTCGTTCCCCGGCGCAGCATACATCCAATCCAGCTTCTCCACCCGCTTCCTGCCCGTCGCCGCCTCCTGTAACCGCTGCAACTCGGCAAGCTGCCGTTCCTCCTCTTGTTCCTTGCGCAACTGCGCGAGCTTCTTCTTTTCCTCGTTCACTTGCTTCTCGGCCTTCCACACGCGCTCTTGGTTCACCAGGAGCACGGGGTGCCAGGACTTTTTCATGTTGAGGTCGCCGCCGCCCATTTTGACTAGGTGTTTCGGGGTTGGTTTGGGGTAGAGAAGAGGGGTGCCGTGAGGCTACTACCAAGGGCAGTATTGGGACGCTGGTGGATGTTCTGACTAAGGAGATGTACAAAGGTAGAAAGCAAGAGTCGGCTGGCTGGCTCTGACACGCGCAGCAGTTGGGTGGCGAATATTAGGTTCCGCTCTTCCTTGTAGCGAGTGGCAGCTACTAATCTGAGACATGCAGTCAGTGTCCTCCTTCCAGATGCATCCGGGCGCCAGGCTCGATAGACGGCAGTCCAGCGTACCCACAGGCTAACGAAGCCGTGGAGGAACATTTGGCGAAGTGAAGACATGCATATTGGCGAGGGATACATCGCGAATCGCCCCAACCAGTTTCTCACAAGCGACGAGCAGGACAGGCTTGCCAGTAGAGAGTCAGGCCAACTTTTAAGATGGATCCTATGAGTCAGCTTTGACACTAAGCGGCCATAAAGCCAGTTCTCAAGGACTACGCGCGACGACAAATCGAAAAAAAGGTGGTTCCGAAATTAATGTGGAAACGCCGTCCCCCGCACGACCCCATTGGTATAGGGCAGGCGGTCTATTAGGCAGGATACCAGCTCTTCCTGAAAAGAGCTTTGATGTGCGCTAAACCTAATCGCCTCGAATTCCTGTGGGGTTTGCAGGTATCGGGCACTGTCTAAGAAGGTTGCGGTTGGGGTGTGAGGGATTGTGGGGGGTTGGGTAAAGGAAAATGAGAAGAACTTTTCCTTTCGGGAGAGTGGTATGCCGAGTCTGAACAAATATGTGAGGGGGATATTGGAGAGCGGCAGAGAAGCTGGCAGGGAGGAAATAGGCAGAGAGGTCACTCACTCTCAAGCCATCCCCTCATCTGCTGAGCCCGGTGAGCGAGCTCGTTCTCAGCTCAATGCCCTCACTTAGGTAGCGCACATCAGCAGGTCAGCGGATGTCACACAAAGGCAATCCGGGACGGCATATCTTCAGATGAGAAGGTTGAGGTAGATTGACAAGCTGAAAAGAGGCGAAATCTAGAGCGAGTTTCGTACACGAGTCCGCGGCGTCCGCGGAGTTATGAGACCGACGCACGGATCTCCTTCAACTGCTTAGCTTCGGCCACTTCAGTCTGGTATGGCTTGCATGTAGCATCGCCCAAGCTAGAATACAATAAACACCGACTGGCCAGACCTGCCTCCGGTGTACCCCCTCCCCAAGATCCCGCAAAAATCACCCAACTGCAGTCCTCACGCTCAAACTCCTGACCCGCTCTTTGAAGCCCTCCACCCGCCTCCCAAGCTCCTTCTCCCTCTTGCGCCACTCCCAAACCTGCACCTCTGGGCTCTTCTTCCGGCTCCTCCACCCTCCGCTGGTGCTATCCGCGCCGAGCTGACTTATATCCACGATGCGCGGCGAAGACTGGAACGCCGTTATCTCCCTAAAGAGCAACTTGGACTCTGTTTCGAGAGCGTGGCGGGTGGGCGTTTCGGGTAGGGAGGAGGTGGATGAGGCGGGCGAGTCGGGGGTGGAGGGGTCGAGTTCGGGCACCGAGGGTTCGGGAGCGATGAAGGGGGTGTAGGGCAGTGAAGGGAGGGAGTGGAGTGCCGAGAAGAGGTCTTTGGAGCGAAGGAGGGCGTTTTCGGAGCGGAGGTACCGGATGGCGTTCCGAAGATTCTCGATCTAGTAGAGTCAGCTACTTGCATGGTATATCTCTGACTTTGCGCGACCGCTAGCTTACCTGCTCGACCAGCTGCGACGACTCGGCGCCACTCGGAGCATAGATTATCGGCTCAGAAGATGAAGAAGCGTTTACTGAGAATGTCAGCTTCGGTTCTCGATGTTCCTTAACCGCCAACTGACCTTGTCTCTCCCCTGTACTTCCTCCCCCACCCCCACTCTTCCGCAACTTTGCATTCTCCCCCTCCATAGCCTCCAACTCCCCCTGCATCTGCTCAATCGCGTCCTCATAAACCTTCTCCTGCTTCCTCGTCTTCGCCACATCATTCTCCAACTCCAACACCGTATCCGCCAACTTGCGCGTCGCCTCCAACCTCCTTTCTAGCATCTCCACCTTGACGCCCTGCTCTTGCAGGCTTTGGTCCCTTATCCGAATCTCGCGCAGCATGTCCTTGCTCTCTTCTGTCAACCGCAAAACATTACGCTCGGTTTCGGCATTGAACTGCGCGGCGGCCTTGATGGTTTCGACACGGCCGAGCCAGGGGAGTGGGGGCGAGAGGAGGATGACGGCGGAGGGTGTGGATTTGGAGGCGGAACGGATCCGAGGGAGGGTGGAGGAGAGTTGGGCCCCGAGGCGCGAGATGAAGGCCGCGATGACGTCCCAAGGGTGCAGGTCTTTTGGGGCAGCGGACTGCGCGGTGACCTCGAGGAGGAAGTGGTCGATGTCGGAGAGGCGGAGGGGTTGTTTGGAAAAGCGAATAGAGGCGGCGTGTGCGCCGATCATCTGCGCGAGCTATAGGTGTGAGCTTCTCGTCCACGTAATGGCGTTTTCCTTCAGCTTACCTGTACCGCAAGATCCACGGCGTTCGAGACTGATACGGCCAGATCGCTCAGCGCCTCGATCAGATCGGGTACCAGCGCAAGGCTCTGCTTCGAAAGGTCTTCCACAGCGCTGACCAGTTTTCTGCCAATATCAGCTTTGTCCCCTCGTTGATGACGGAACGGGCAGCTCACGTAGAAGGTACCCGCACACTCCGAACAAGATCCAGAATCATCTGCACCGGCGCATATACTCCTTCTTCCAGACTAGACTCGCCCGTCTCGATCTCGATGTCTATCTCGATCAGCTTTTATGTGACTCATTGGGCGTCAAACAGCTGCTCACCTTCATCATGCGTCAAACTCAGTATAGCCTGCCTGGCAAACCCAACAGCCGCAGCAAAGTTGTCCAGGTCAGCTTCGAGATTATAAGCGTATCCGAGTTGTTGTTCCACGATGTCCAGGTCGGGACGGGCAAAGGTCGTACTAGCCAGGTGCTCGAATTGCGCAATCAAGCTACTGAGTCAGCTTTCATCACACCTTGCACACCGCAGGATCGGCGTGACTGACCTAGCCAGCTCCCTCGCGCAATTCATCTCGCTAAACCCATCCCCCTTCGCCGACCCAATCCACCCATCCACCCGCCCCTCCACACCCGTCACTTCCAGCAACACCTTGCCATACCCCACCCACTCGTCCGGCGTGGACCGCTGCATGATCCCCGCGAACCTCGCGTTGATATTCGAAAATTGTCGGAGCTTGCCTCGGAGCTCGCACACGCCGACGAGAGCTTCCGACTCGGCCATGTGCAGTGCGGAGGGGAGATTGTGGATCGTGGCGATGGCGTTGGTAAGAAGGTCGATTTTGGCCGAGAGGCGGTGGAAGAAGAGGTAGAGGATCGTAGAGTCCGCGTCGGTCTCGTGGTATGCATCTGGAAGGTAGGACTGGGGTGTAAGCTTGGTCCAACGTGATATTTTGGAGGCCATGAGCTTACTGTGATGATCCGCGTCTGTTCAGCAAGCTGCGCAGCCTCCAGCTTTCTCAGATCCATCTCGATCGTCTTTCCCTGTGCCTTTGTCGCAGAGCTCTGAAGCTTGATATTCAGATCCATGAGCGCCTGGGCCTGTTCGGACGTAGCGGCCGTCTCGTGTTCCTGCGTCGCTTGTTGAAGACGGAGCTCTTCAATCTCACTACAGGATCAGCTTGTCTCTCATCCATGGCTCGGATCGAACGGAAAGCTGACCTCTGCAAGCCAGTGACGAGCTCTCTAAATTGCGCAGAAGTAGTCTCCAGATCATAAATCATCCCGTCCAGCTCGGCCGATCGACTTCGCTCATCCCTCAGCTGTCCGGAGATCCTGTCTGCGAGCGTAAGCTATGCTCAGGGACAGCGTTGTCTCCGCGTGCTTACCTATCTCCGTATTGAGCTGCTTTTCCGCCTCCACATGATTCTCCTCCAGCTCATCATTGAGCTCTTTGAGCGCCTCAAGATCTTCTATAGTCGCTCGCATCTCCTCAATGTGCTGCACATTGTCAGCTACGGGCCTCCGCTACAATGTGGATTCGTCAGCTCACTTCGCTCATCTGCATGTTCCGCTCTGTGAGCTGCTCAAGCATATCCTCCGCTCCGAGCGCATCGTCCAGCTGGACCTTGAGGTCCTCGACTTGCGCTTCGGCATTCGCGAGCTTGGCTTCGGCGAGTTCGAGCTGGCCTATATATGTCAGCTCTTACTTCAAGCAATGGCTGGGCTGGTTAACTGACTCAGCAGGTCCTCAGACCCAGAGAGCTCGCGCTCCATATCTGCAATCTTGGACTTGTACTCCTTTTCCGCTTCGGTGGATACGTCTCTCAGCCTACACCGTCAGCTCTGGACCGGATGCTCGTCCTTGTCTACCAGCTGACCGTATGAGAGCCTCTTTCAACCTCTCGTTGTGTTTCTCCAGCTGCACATACGCCAAGCTCGTCCGTTCCCCCTCAAGTCCACTGACAGGCTTCTCGTACTCCGCTACAGCAGTCAGCTACGTCCTCACGGCACTCCTGTCATGATACAGATCGATCTAGCTCACCGTTCTCCTCCTTCAACAACGCAACCTCCATCTCCAACTCCGCAAGCTTATCATTCAGCTTCTGCACTTCCGCTTCGGCCGATTCCGCCTTCTCCTCCGCCATCTCCCTATCCAACGCGGCCATTTCCAGCTGATCCATCGCTTCGGTGGCTTTGGCCTCAAGCTGGGTGTTCTCAGAAGAAAGATCTTTGGATTGGCGCTGGGCCGATGTGAGCGAAGCTTGGATCTCGAGGAACTTGGCTGGAAAGGGTCAGCTTGAGTGGCTCACCATCTAGAGTAGCAGCGAGCTGACCTTGTAGCTTGACTCTGGCCGACCGGAGTGTGTCCGCCTCAGCAGCCTTCGTCTCCAGACTCCGTATCCTATCCTGGTCCTCCACCTTTCGCCCCTCCAGTATCCTCACTTTGATACGTAGCTCCTCCAGCTCGTGCTTGAGCACAAAAGCAGCAGAGGCTGATTCCTCGGCTGGCGTAGGTGCTCGAAGGGGTATGGACTCTCGAGAGTGTCCCCCTATGGACATGGTGGACGAGAAGGACCGGTTGTGCGAGGGTCGTGACGCCATATCTGTTGATACTGGGGTTGGTGAAACGGTAGACCTGGGCGGGGGAGGTGGAGGGGGCATGGAAGAGCTGGCGCTTGCGGGAGTTGGCGATACATTACGCGATGCTGATGGATCATCATCGACGTGCGTAGAGGCTTGACTCGGCGCTCGGACGCCCGGGCGGGGCGTCGCTTCGGAAACGGAAGGTGGGCGCGGTATGGACGAAGCGACGCTCGATGGGCGGGGAGCTGGGATGGCGGACGGGGTAGATGACTTGCGGGACATGGCGGCGGAAGAGGTGGTGGTGGACGCCATAGAGGTCGACCTGATTGGAGTAGAGGGTCCTGCCCGGACTGGAGCTGAAGACTTGCGCGGGGAAGGACCGCGTGAGGTGGTGGTCGAGGCTGAAAGGGATGAGGATGCTTGAGGCGCGGGCGGCGGTCGCATGGAGGTCTTCCGAGCCTACACAGCCGTTAGCTTTGATCCCTCCATGAGTCAGATCGTAGGTTCAGAAGCTCACCGAAGCCGGTCTGGGCATTTCCAGCACTTTGACCTGACTCGGCCGGACAAAGACCCCATGATTAGGTTGACAATCAAAGTATCGTTCGCCTTTCACTGAGCCGTCGTTCTTTCCTACCGCTTCGAGACTGTCAGATCAGCTGCTGCTCATAGACCCATGGAGATCCTACAACTGAACTTACAGCTCCACTCCCACCCACTTGCCAGCCGAGAAGGCCGGGTTGGTTCCCGACCACCGCACATGCCCGATCCCAGAGGATACCTGGACTCTCGCGCCTATTGGCGCCTCGGGAGTGGTCATCTCGGCTTTAGGTACATCACTTGATCTTCCCGCTCCTGTCCAGAGGCCGTTGAGGAGGAACCAGGGTCGTTAGCTGTGCGAAGGTGTATGTATGGTGCTTGTCTACGCGTGAAAGTTAAAGTGGACCAAGCTCTGGACGCGTTTTACGGCAAGGACGTTTCAGCAACAACTGGCGCCACGTCATCACACCCATCCACAGCGAAAGGAATTGATACCCGTACGCAAGCAAAAGTCAAGCCATCTATCTCTTTGTCCTTCCTTATACCTTGCTATACCTATACAGCCATGTCCGAATCAACATCCGCAGCGCCCGTAAAGAGCCTCAACGAGTGGCACAGCCCGTCCAGCCGGACAGAGGTCATCCACGAGCTCATCCACGGCGTCGGTACGTCGGAACCCGCTTGCAGGTGTCACATGGCGAGCTAATAGGATAGACCGATACAACCCTACGAACCTGTCATATATGGAGGAGTACCTCCAAGCGCAGGTCCAAAGCGGGGAATATGATCTCCTCGCATACCTTGCCGTTCTGAAATTGTGAGCCCTTCCGATCAGATGAACGCGGAGGGGGCTGACCGAACAGGTACCAGTTCAACCCCCACATGTCAAATCCCGACATCATCACCCACATCCTCCTCAAAGCGCTCTCGCACACCGTCCACGGACCCGACTTCACTCTCTGCCTCCACTTGCTCCGGGAACCAGCGGCCATCTTGTCCGATATCGACTCGGACGACCAGAGTCTGGTGGTTGTCTTGCCATTCTTGCAAAAGCTGCATCAGCTGAGCCGGACGTGCCAGTTTACGCAGTTCTGGTCGGAACTGAACGGCGAGTCTGAGGGTGCGAGCAGTACGTCCTATCCCTTTCATTGCTGGGATCTAGCTGACTCCCTAGCCCTGCGCGATGTCTACCTCCCCCAAAACCCTCATTTCACATCTACGACTCAGCTCAACTTTGCCCGCTCCATCTCTTCTAGCTTCTCACGGATAAAGACGGCGCAGCTCGCGCGGTGGTTGGACCTGTCAGAGGGGGAGGTCAAGCAGTGGGCTGAAAAGGCGGGATGGAAGGTGGATGGCGAAATGGTGGCGATTCCAGGAAACGGAGACAACGATGTCAAGGCGGGTGTGGTGAATGAGCAGGTCGAGCTGAGCCGTGAGTGTCTAGTCCGGCTGGGATCGTGTCATGGAAGAATCGTTGCTGACGGGGCAGAATTGACAAAACTTATCGCTGCTGCGGCTTACTAGATTACGTGGGCATCAGGCCCGGGGGGATCATGCGACTTTACACCACGGATCTCATCTGCTGCGACGTCCAAGTTTCGTCAACTACTGATACAACACACTCATCCTACTACAAAAACGTTGACTCTCCCAGCATTCTTACAATCTTACTCGATGTGCGTGGTCTTGGCCGAGGGGTACCCAAACAGCCTGCCAAACATGCTTTCTAGTATACCGACTTTGGGTGTCTCCCCATCGCGTACGGGCGTGTCTGTTTCGGACTATGACGCTGATCAGGTCGAGGGCTACGCCGGAGAGGTATGGACTCACGGGAAGCGCCGTATGACCCTGAGCCTTCCTCTTCTCCTCTGCGGTGATTTCGTCGACCTTGTCCACCCATGGGAGTACGGAGGGCTCCAGGTAGGCGTCCGTGTCGACCGGGTACTGCGCGATATACCACTCAAGAGACGCCTTGATCGGTTCCTCGAGCAGCACGCGTTCCAATTTGGAGGATAGCTTGGAAAGCGAGCGGGATCCGGTCATCCTTGTTGGGCAGGTAGGTGGACACGGCAGGGCCATATCCCGATTCCTTTGGTGCGGCCTGTTTGAACCAATCGGTCGGGACTTGGGATTTCGCTTCCAGCTCCGTCACTAACTCGAGGAAAGTCGAGACATGTACTGCGCCATCAGTGACGACCGTTCGGCCCCTAGGAAGAACGCAACGTACCGGCGGTGGTGGCCATCTACCCTGTCAGCTCTCAGCTGTGACACCGAGCATCTTTGAGATACGCACTATCTCGTTGTACCAGCACATGTCGTTATAGCGTTCCGTCTCAATGTCATTGCCAGGATCCGCCACACAGGTGAGCCCATATCGGAGCCGAAGCTCGTTGGTGATCTGCCGTATCTGCATGCCGCGATTGTAGGCGTCAATCCATATCTTGTTGATCCGTGTTCGCGATAACTGCACAGTTCAGCAGGCAGACGTACACGCGAGCTGCAAACTTACGATGATTTACTCCTTGGTACCATCTCCAGGGTGAACAAAGTGCGTGATAAAGATGGACTGTTCGTCTCGCCAGTATCTGCAGACCTTGCTTGCACGCAATTTGTTTTCGCAGCAGGAGTTTCCGTTCATGGTGATGAATTCGTACGACTCCTCGGAGAAGACCTCTGGCACAAGGCGAAGCAGGGGTGTATAATATTGGGCCATGGAGAGGGGAATATGGTGTTTTGTAATATGTGATATCGAGGAGTATTGATATAGTGGCCAGAGCTTGCTTGGACGCCCGCGGGGTATGTCAAGAGGGTCACAACTTGGCGTGACTCAACGGAAGGGTGATTGATGTGCATACTTATTGCTCTGAGATACAAGTGTTTCTATCAAGTTAGCTACTCATCACTCCGTCTACCCTCCAACCTCCTGACGGGTCAAGGTCTAAGTCTTCTTAGCCGTCAATCTTTTTTGAATGATATCGGAGGTTCGAATCGTAGAGAGGCTCTTGGAAGGTAAAAGTCCCCAATCGATGTAATCAGCGATGGAGGTGTGACATGTGAGACATGTTTGGACTCTGCGGGCATGACCACCGGCTATACCACTGGGCCGCAGCCAATGCAGAGGCTCACGCTCACCCTCGCCAGTCCTCCAATCTTGTCTGGCTGCATCAGCGGGTGGAGGTATGACCGTGAGTGGGGCGCCTGCCAACATACTTCAGACGAGCCAATAGCCAATATGCGAGCATGCCCACTCAAGCGAGTGATGCCTTCGGGTCCGAGCCGGTCCGACGCGGATGCAAGGAGCGCCACACTATCAGCTTGTGGTGAGATCTGCATCAGTACGACTGACGTTCCTTAAGCTCAGCCTCATGGCTCCATTCCGTACTATTCAGACCTGGTTGAGACGAACATTCTTTGCTAGTCGTTGTAGCGCGATAGCTGTTATTGTGGGGTGGTAAGTTGGCAGCAGGTGGGCGCTCAATGGCAACAAGTTGCCAAAGCGGTATATATTAGTCTGATTTTGGGGACGCGCAATCTGCTGCGGTGCACCGGGACTCTCGTACCCCCGTTGCATAGCGGTGGAGGGCTAGCTTAGGCGCGGAATCTGGCCAAAGTTTTTGCTCCAAGTCGCGGGTTCGATTCGACCCAAATTTAGTTTCTTTTTGTTCCCACTCACTTCTGGTCCTGCGTGCTGCACCGCCCATCGCTGCATGCTTGACAATGATTCTTGCGTGCGTAGTACGAGCTTGTCTCCGCGGCTGTAGAGGCGGATGTTGAAGTTTCCAGATGTACTAGATATTGCAGTGCAAGCGGTGCGACGGTACTACCGCAGAAGTGCTCACTGGTCCATTCTCGATTGCAGAGTTGGGTGCTGCGCTGGCCGTGACGCGTGATGCGCGCAACATGCCTGCTCATTGAGTCTGCACATGTGCTTCGATCCCGGATTTTGAAGGCTGTCAAACAGTCACAAACACGCGGAGAGTACGCGGAGGCATCTAGACATCTATAACGTTACCGTAAAAGTTCGTAAGACCGATCACCAAGCGTCGATCTTTCCTGACACACAACTTAAATTACCGTGCCTGAGCTCGAGCCCTCTAGGAAAACTTTAAAGATCCTCCTCTTCTTCATCTCATCTCCAGCTACAAGTCCAAAATATGGACGTTCAGTGCATGCTGCTGCAGCGGTCTTTCCATTCCTGTACCCGTCCCGTGCGCACGAGCGTCTGTAGATTGCTTCCGCCCAGCGTACCGCCACATGTGCGGCGTTTCAAACCCACTCCGTAAGTTCGCGCGTGAGGAGTACATGGGTTTGCGGTGGGTGTTGACTGCTTCCGATAAATACAATCCAGGTGGTGCGTCATGACGATGCTGGCGGTACCAGCATTGGGTCCGGCCTATGTCTGTTGATATCGTGACGCACGAAAGTGTGACTCACGGCGAGGCATAGGTTAGGCCGGATGGAAGTGCTTAGCGGGTGTGCGTTTCCGCGCCACCACTAGGGTCCGGGCTTATAGCTCCATGACCCTCCCGCTTAACAGGAGAGCGCCGGGTCACCACAGATCTCGCTTCCATACCGGGGACTCACCCACCTGGACCAAGGGCTCCTGAGTCACAAAGGCTGTAAGCCGAGACCGAGGAGATATTTTTGTTGCGTCAGTGTCCGGCAAGACTTGACATTAAAGGCTAACCCGCAAGAGGCATACCATCGGACACAGGTACATGAGCACCGCAGAAAAGCAGACGCTCCAATCTCGCCGAGCGGCTTCGTTCAGCGTCGTGAACACGCCGCCTGCGCTGAGTACCTGTGCGCATACTACGACCACCCCGCTCCAGCACCACCTGTCGCTGTCTGTTGTACTGCATATTTGTGTTGCAACTATGAGAGCAGAAGATAGGGCTTATCGCTGTGGGTGGTCGCCCGAATCCTGCCACCCCTCGCTCCCGGCAGGGACCGCACGATATGGTGTCCGCTCCAGTGGACCAAGCCTCGCAGTAGCCCTGTTCCTGAAACGGGACTGCGAATCGCTTGAAGCGGTATTTAGACGCGCTTGAAACGAGCCCTTAATAAGGCACGAGGTACGAGTGGGAAATAACGCCACTTTGCTCGGACGCGCCTTGTCCAAACCTTATCCTGACAATCTGCGACGACTTACGACTCTATCGTCGTCCATTCCTCCACAGCTACCGTCTTCTGCATTACAGCTTGCTTCTCACACACCTCTCCTTCTCCTCAAAGCTCGGCTCGCCGGACAGAAGGCCGCAGGAACGGCAAGAAATCGCGAAGGGTCGACGCGTTTTATCATTCGCCACAAGTCGCGCGTTGACAGACGCGGCAAATCAGCTGCGCAACTATCTCGTCAACATCCCATATCTTTTATCTTGTCGTCTACCGCTGCCGGTCAGCACGCCTCCGCCTCCGTCCAGCCCGCGCCAAACGTTCGCGCTCGGACCCATCGGACCCCTCCCGATTTCTCCTCCGTAAACTTTGTCCCTTTCGCCAATAAGGGGCGGAGTTCTGGGGGGTTCCTTTGGGCCTTCTCGGTTTACCCTCATGCGTTGAGTTGATATCAACTCTTCTGTATCCCTCTTCCGACCACCTCTCACCGCCTCTCGGACTCGGCCCACCACACTCGTTTACGATCACGCTCATTGACGACAAACCTCACGATCTCCACACTCATCTTCGGCGACCTCAAAGTTGACGCGAACCATCACTCAACTTATCGGTCAACCACATGTCGCTGGCGTCTACTTCTACCTCGGATCTGGCTGAAGAGGAGAGGAGAGCAAGGAAACTGGAAGCTGCAAAGAAGAAGGTGAGTCGGCAGCTACTCCCGGACAGGAGGAAATGACAGAGCTGATCAACTAGCTCAAGTCGTTCCGGGCAACCCGCACCTCCGGTCCCTCTTCCGCGGGTCCCTCCCACACCCAGACCGCCTCTGGGTCATCTACAAAATCCTCCCTCGCCTCTCGCTCCCCTCGTCTCCCATCTACCGTCCTTCCCCTCTCGACCGAGAACGGCGGCAACATCTCGACCCACGTCCGCGTCAACAGCAAGGGGAAGGGCAAAATGCTGGATGGCGGTCTAGCGGAACCGCTCGGTCGGGTTGGACCAGTCATGGGGCACGAGCGAGTACGGTCCGGGGCAAAAGCGAGCGGGCGGCATCGACGGCAGATGTCGTCTATCTCTGCTTTGCCCCACTCGCTCTCGCTCCAGCGACCGCCGGAGGCAATGGTGGAGGAGGAACCGGTATCTCGGCGGGCAGGAATACGGATGGCGGAGTTCAAGCTCAATCTACCTGTCCCGCGGGAGATCAATCTGACGCCCGCGACGCCGCTGCTGGAGACGAGCGAGCTGGACGACCCTTTCGGTGGGCCTCTACTAGCGTCAGCGCCGGAAGAAGCGGAGAACGTTCATGCGGTCAAGCAGCGCCTTTCTGCCTTCTCGTTCGGTGCGAAACCGGGCGCTCTTCCTCCCTCGCCCTCGAGATCGCCTACAGGCTCGCCAAACCGTCGGACCCGCATCAATCCCTCACTCCTCCCCTCCCTCTCACTCCGGTCGCAAGAGCTCAACTTGCCTCCTTCGCCTTCCAGACCATCCGACACCCCCGCTTCAACATCAGCTCCAGCAGGCCTGGATAAGCTCGCGCTTGGTACCCCCGCCCGCCCGCCTTCGCTCCTCTTTACCGGCGCAACACCCCTCATGCCGTCGCCATCAGCTCCACACCGCCTCTCCCTCTCCGGCTTCAACGGAGAATCTCCTATCCCCTCCACCCCACACACACCCGCGCGCAAACGCCACTCCCATACCCGCTCCGATTCCATCTCCCTCTCCGCTCTCAAAATCGGCGCTGTACGACCCATCTCCCTCGGTATCCCCTCATCACCCAGCTTTCCCTCCACACCCGGCTCGCCCGTTAGTCCAGACGAGTCCAAGCTGGGTCCGCGGAGCGCACTGAGCGGGACGCGGCTCAAGTTTGAGCCCTCGGAGGCCGAGATGGCAAAGGAGGAATCTAGGCGGAAGGCTCTCGAGAAGCTCACAGGAAACTCGCCGCTGTCCTCGCCCATCATCGAGGAACGGCCGGCGGAGATATCGCTCCCGGACCTGGAGGACGATACCTCCTCGACCGCCTCGTCGTCCCGCCCGCTCTCGAGCGCATGGGGTTCCGGCACCTTCTCGTTCGGCCGACCAAACTCGCTCGGTCTCCCTTCGGCGTCTAGCCATATTGCTACGCCTATACCCGAGCCGAGCCTGTTTCCTGCTTGGCCAGCGGACGATGCTCCGCCCATGAGCTTTGACAAGTGGTCTAGCGGATTCAAGGAGGAGAGTCTGGGTTTTGGGCTGGAGAGCATGCCGAAGCGAGGTAGCTTCCAGGGAAATCTGGCGGTCCTGCCGGAAGTCGAGGAGATCGAGGAGGAAGAGGATGAGGAACATGTGGAGCATGAAGGCGATACCTCGCTCGACCTGCTTCCGACCACCACGCACGAGGTGCAGTCCACACCTATCGTTCAGCCTACACCGAGCAGGCTGAGGGAGCTACACCTCCTCTCTTCCGGTCCTGTCGGTACACCTGGCTCCATCGAGTCCATCGGATCCTTCTCCAGGGGCATCAATCGCCCCGCCCCGACTTCGCCGACGAAGGGGTACGGGATGATCGGTCGCGGACGTCCTCGGCCTTTATCAGGCATCAGCGCCAAGGCCTCCATCTCCACTACGACTTCCGGATCTACCACGTCTCCTCTGACCGCAACCGTTGTGACGCCCAAAACTGCGCGGATGGCGGGTCCGCGGCGCCGGCTTTCCGGCTCAGGCAGGCGCAGCTCCATCTCCTACAAGAAGGACAGGGACCCGGCTGTGCTCGAGAGCATGAGCGCCGGTAGCTCCGTCTCGTCCCGATGGTCCATCAACGATCGGAGCGTCGTCTCCCCTCCTCCGCCCAACGATATCTCCAGTCCCCCACTTACCTCCCCTCCCGGCTCCAGCTGGGCTCATGTGCCCCGCTCGTCGAACCGACCGTGTCCTCGCCCCAAGTCGCTGGTCGGGCTCGGTATACACCCTAACGCGGGATCAGGGCGGATCCTCTCGGAAGTGCTAGAGAAGGATGAAGGGGATGAGCGGGAACCGCTCGGGCTAGGTCTGGGGATGGGCACTGCGATGGGGGACGGATGGCACTCTGCTCCGCCCGTCTCTGATCGGCCATTCACCTTCCGCTCATTTGGGTCTCTGGAGGAGATGGAGATCCAGCCCGCACGGCGGAGTCTGGACAGCGAGGGAACAACAGGAAGGTGGAGGGACGATATGCTCGAATTGGAGATGGAGAGGGATGCGCTCCGGGAGGATGTGGATGGGTGGAGGGAACGATGTAGGAGTCTGGAGGAGCGGTTGGAGGATGAGAAGCGAGAGTCTGGGATCTTGAGGGATCGGGTCAGGAAATGTGAGCTTGCCCCGAATCGGGTTCATCAGAGAGGTCGGAGCTGATTCCGCAGTGGGCGACCGATTATTGACGCTCTCGACCAACCCGCCTGAATCGCCCGCGCGAAGCACCCCTTCTAGCGGGGTACAGGAAAGTCGGGTGCTCAGCGAGATGCGAGCGCAGCTTTTCAACCTCACCTCCGCTGTCGAGCGAGAACGGCGGGACAAGGAGGCGGCAGAACAGCGTATCGCGGCCCTCGAGGCTCAACTCAAGCCTGTTCGTTTCGCGGAACCTGCCCAGCCCGAGTGGTCGTTCAAGCCGTACCAGTCCCCGCCTAGTACGTTCGAATACCAGCAGCAACAGCCGTATGCCTCAGCGTTGGCTCCCTCACAGTCACCCTCGACATTCGGGACGGGCGGGTCGTACAATTCACCTTGGCCCTCGACACCCATCATCACCCCCGCTACGCCCGCGATGGGCACTCCATCCCACCCCTTCACATCCACTCCGTGCGATACCGATCTCGGCCCCCATTCGTCAGATGGCGAGGCGGAACCCGAGCCCGACCTCAACTCGTTCCGGATGAGAGCGTGGGGCTTCCCTTCTGTCCCCTCTCCGGGTATTCCAAGCGCCAAACAATCCAAACGGGAGAGTTTCTTTGGTCTTTCCAAGGCCCCGCGAGGGACAGGCGGGTCCGAGGCGGAGATGGAGACGGGTACGGAGCTGTACGACGGGGTGGACCTCCCTCCTTTCGTGCTCCCCCATTTCCCGCTCGCTGTCGCTGCCGCTGGGACATTGCCCTTCCAGCCGGCAATGGCCATACCGATGCCGATAAACCGGGCAGTATCGGACCCGGTCCTCTCGCCCGCTCGAACCCTACTGGCGCTAGCGGACGAAACGGCGGGATCGGTACAGATGACCAAGTCGGCTTCGGCGGGGTCGTTCGGCTCGTCGGCGTTGTCTCTCCTATCGGGGTATCTACCGACGAGGTCACCTACCAAGGCGGCGGTGACGGTTGTACCGGAGCAGCAGGTACCTACAACGCAGGCGGCGCTGCAGGCGGGTGTGGAGAGGACAGGGGGAAAGGTGGATATGCGGATGTCGTGTAGGTGTTGCGTTGGGGATGTGATTGAGCTTTGATGTCCATCTGGCGGACACAGTGCGAGGGAGGGAGAGAGGGAAATTGTGAAATTGTTGTTTGCATATACTTATATTTGTTCGGTACATAGCATCTAGGTTAGGCGTCTATACATATCTCATAGGGTTTGAGATCATGCACATCGAGCATCAGTACGACTCAGCGTTCCATGAAAGTATAGACTGAAGAGACTCCCATTCCGTGCATGCCTTGCCCGTTTCTACCAGAAGGCCGGTGCTTCTGGGGGCGTCTCGCCGCATTTGGGTCTAGGCGCCGACTTGTCTCGATTTGGGAAGGGAGTGAGGGGCTGGACAGCCGCGGGCTTGTCACGCTCGTTATCGTTTAGCTCGGTGTCTTTGGTCAAGCGGAGTTCTGCGAGTCAGCATAACGCTTCTAGCAGCTGGACGCATCGTCTCCTGTAGCTGTGGGACTCACTGTATGACCCCGACTCATCCATCGTTCCCTGTACGACGTTCCTCCTTAGGAAGCTCGCAATCTCTCCCCACTCCGCCAATCGCTGAGCTATCAACGCCGGATCTACCTCCTGCTCTCCAACTCCACCTTCCGACGATGTATGCGATGGCGATGCTGGCGAGGAGGACGATGATGACGATGCGGGTGCCGAGGAAGATGAGGAAGGGCCAGGCGTAGGAGGTGTCATGGTCCGACTCCGAAATGTCGCCCTGACGGCGTTCTCGAGCGCCGCACGCCGGGGGAGATCACCTGCGAATGTGATGCGGGCGGACCGGAGGACGGCGCGGTAGGTTGATCGGGCGGTCGTGAGGAGGGTTGGGGAGAGGGACATTGTGCTTGGAGGAGGAGGGAGATGGGTAGATGGGCGATAGATGGATGGATTGAGTTGCGACTTTTGAAAGTCGGACGAGCTGGGTGGCAAAATCGAGCTGGGTTCCGGGGGCGCTTTAATTTGTTTGCCTCAGACCCTGAGACGTCGCTCGCATCTTCGAGACTCTGCGTGACGTCCAACCCTGCCGGCTGAGACTTGCTCATTGGTGGCATTGAAGGCCAAGCAGGGCGGACGCGAGAATAGTTGGATAAGGCTATACATACAATACTCGACTGTTACAGATAGCGTTTAGCCCCAACGCCGTTTTCGCCTCGTGTCCTGATATTCCCCCGCCTACTTGAACAGGAACTGACAGCTGTACACCTTCTCATCCGCATCCCAGTACTCCCACACGCTCTCTGGGTCTTCTTCCTCCTCTACCATATCCTTCGCTGGGACCGCGAACGCTATTGTCTCGTATGGTTCTGCCGCGAGCTACGGGTGTCAGCTTTGCGCTTCGGAAGTCTCTAATCCGACGGCGCGCGAGCTGTTCGCATCGCATAAAGGGAGGACGTTACAGCCTGCGGAGTGAATTGAGGGAGAGACTCACAACAAAGTACTGGAACGCCCTATTGGGTATTTCCCGCTTCTGCTCAAACGCACTCATAAACCGCCTCCTTGGCCGTTCACCCTGCTTGATCTCTGGCAGTGAGACCGTAAACAGCAGGCCCATGCGCTGAGAAACTGGTTCCCTGATCTTCACAATCCGGTATCCTGAACAATCAGCACAATCCCAATGATCTTGTAGACGTATCTCCTGGGGTGATGTCAACTCACCTGGCCGTCCAATTTTCACAAACACCTTTTTCTTGACTTGGACCTGCTCAGGCACATTCTTGATCATCAACGCTTCCGACTTGTTGTGCTGAGCCGCACGCCGGGCGAGATTGGTCTGATGTTTCTTCCCTTGGGTGTGGGCGAGGTAGGATCCTTCGTTTACGTGCAAGGTGAGGCAAAGACGACATTCTAGGGTTCCCAGGTGGGTTCTGTTGGTCAGTTTTCGTCCTGCCTGACACAGTGACGGGAATATTGAGCTGACCTGAGGATATACGGATCCCTCGCGAGATCGATCGTCTCCAGGGCCAACTTCCTCAATCGCTCTCGACGGTCAACGGCTGCTTCGGATGCGCCCGCCACACCTCCAGACCCCTTGTTGGCTCCTGCTCGATTTTGGTAGTCTGTACGGTCAGCTCATGTAGGATGTCAGCAACACAAACTTGAGCTCACCCATGCTGCCAGATGTCTCCTATATGAAGGACGATACAGAAGCAAAGAGAAAGGCAGCCCAGCGCTGAGCCAAAGCAAGCGAGGCCCAGACGGAGATTGCAGGAATGACCGAAAGTGGCACCCAAAGATTTGCTAGAGCCAAGGGCACGGTGGAGGTGGTCCAACCATCTCTTCTCCTTCCATGCACCCATAAGCCTCGACAGCATGTCACTCTTCGCCTCCTCCTTCCAAGACCCCTCCGCGGGCCCCTCGACGCTCTCCGCTCCGACCCTCGGCAAAGCCCACAAAGACGGCAACAAGAAGCGCAAGCGCGCTAGTGCGCCGTTCACGGGTGGAGGCGGCACCGGGTCGAACCGATTACAGATCACAGAGAGTAACTTCCACAAGGTGATGAAGAAGGTGGAGGGTGGAGAGGTGCGGGAGAAGGGTGGGGAGGGGTTCAACATGGGTTCCTCGGCGGGTGCTGGTGAGAAGAAGGGGAAAGGGAACGGGGGGAATGGGGGAAACGGAGGCAAGAAGGTCGAGATGAAGGGAAAAGGAGCGAGAGGGAGGGCCGAGGCGAATGCTTCGGGCTCGGGGGGACAGGGACCGCCAGCGAAGAAAGCGAAGGCCAAGGAGGCTGCAGAGAGAAAACAGCCGGAGGCGCAGAGGGAAGAGAAGAGGACGGAGGATGGGAAACCGGCCCCTGCCGAGTTGCCTTTACCGCACAATACGCCCAAGTCCGGCAAGAAGGGCAAAGGCGGGGACTCGAGCTTGACCGATATGCAGAAGGGGATGCAGGCGAAGCTGGAGGGTGCGAGATTCAGGTATGTCCAGCTGAGTCAAGCACGATATTCGCGGGGCAGAAGCTGACGATATAGGTGGATCAATGAACAACTCTACTCAAATCCCTCTACCGAAGCTGTCTCCATGATGAAGGCCGACCCCAAGATCTTTGAAGATGTGCGTTTCGTCATACTCTGTTGCATCTTGAGCTGACTCGACAGTACCACCAGACCCACCGTGCTCTCACATCCGCTTGGCCCTCCCCGCCCCTCCCACACCTGATCGACCTCCTCACCCCCCTGCCCCCCAAAACCCTCATCGTCGACCTCGGGTGCGGCGATGCCGGCCTCGCCAAGGCGCTCGTACCCCAAAAAAAGCTCGTGATGAGCTATGACCTCGTCGGTGATTCTGGCTCCCCCGGCGTCGTCATGCCCGGCGCAGGCGGGGGCTGGGTCGTTGAAGCCGACTTTCTGGAAGGGGTGCCATTACCTGGTCGGCCGGGCGGGTTGGCAGCTGGCGTAGCGGCGGACGAGGAGGAGGGTGAGGCAAGTGCGTTGGGTCGGAGAGGGAAGAAGGCGAAGGGAAAGGCAAAAGCGGCCGAAGCGAGCGAGGTGGTGGATGTCGTGGTGTGCTGTTTGAGCCTGATGGGTGTTAATTGGGTCGGAGGAATATATGAGGCGTGCCGGATCCTCAGGGAGGGGTGAGTCTGCTACCATCGTCTAATCGTCGCCCCCGGTCGTGTCAGAATGGACCCAGCTGACACAGCAGCGGTACATTCCATATCGCTGAAGTAACCTCCCGCTTCATCTCCATCCCCTCCTTCACGGCCAAAATCGAGTCCTTTGGATTCAAACTTGTATCGCAGAAAGCACCCTCCACGCACTTTACCCTGTTTGAGTTTACAAAGGAGGCGCCGGTACCGAGGGGTGCGGCTAGGGGGGAGGAGGGCTGGGCGGAGAGGGTGAAAGAGGGGGAAGAGATCTTGCGGGGGTGTGTCTATAAGAAGCGGTGATTATCTTCAACGGGTATGGGTGGTTTGGGAGGGATCATCGCGTATTCAAGGCAGCGTAGACGTTGATGCATGATGTCTGGCCAGCGGACACTATGTAGCAGTCTATCCGCAAGCGTCTACGCGCCAATACGATGATCAGAGATGAGATCGGCCGAAAACAATTTGACGCGGACGGCTGTTCCTTTCCACACGCCACTCAATCATCCTTCCCACACACCATCCTTCAGATTGATCATCCGCTCCTGTGTGCAAGGACTGCATACCCTGCGCCGGCTCTGAGCGTCCACTGATAGACTTTGAGCAAGCTCAGCTCGGCAAGGCCGTCGTGAAGGACGCAGAGCTTAATCTAACTCCAAAGGGATCGCGTCCCTCATCAACGCCAACACGAACGTGATCAGTGATCTAGAGCTAGTGATATAGCGATCATCGGACCCTTCACTGTACTGATCACACCCATACCGATTAGACTCTTCATCTATCTCGACACTCCGACCATATAGAAGAGCGACACATAGACTCCATATCGCCGGTCACCCCTCGACATGCCCCACCTAGGCGCCCCTCCCCCGGTCAAAAAGCCAAAGGAGCCCCTCTCGACTCCTGTACAAGGATATGATCCCTCATATTCCCACTTGAGCGATACCCAGTCCGAGTACAAGACGATGCAGCCTGACCCGCAGGCGCAGATGTCGCGATGTGAGTTTGGGCCCTTCAGTTCCAATGCGAAGGGTTGATGAACCAACGGGGAGGCCAGAGGACTGATGGAGCAGCACCGGACATATCAAAGGGCAGACCCCAAGCGCCTCCAGCACCGGAAGTAAGCAGGACGTGGGGCTGGTCATGCTGCGGAGTGAGTTGTTGTGCGGCGGTATGTCTGGTCTTCGGGCCCAGGAGCCGGGGAAAAGAGCGGAAGGCAAGGCTTGTAGCTAATATCGCAGTCGGTCGGACAATCCGGTGGGCGGTGATAGATACACGACAAAGTGCTTGTTGGCAGGAGGCCATGCAGCCATAGTGCGGCGAGACAGATGTTCAGGGGATGGGCGGATGACGGTTGGAAACGAAACAAGAGGCAGCCTATAGCATTAGGGGTAACTTAGCTGTATGTACAAAGATATTCACGCCGATCCCCTCCGCTACTCCCCCTTCTCCACCGGCAACCCCTCCACCTCCTCCCTGATCCACTCCCCAATCTCCTTCCAATACCCCGGTATCAGGCACGTATCATTATGCGTCCCACTCGGGAACTCTCTCCATCTGACTTTCCCACCTAGATCTTTCTTCTCCCTGGCCGCGTTTGCTGCCTGACCCTCCTCTTGCCAAGAGGCCTCTTGGACCCTCCCGCCCTCCCTAATTCGCCGGAGTTCCACCATATGCGAAGGAGGCACAAGCTCGTCCTTCTTCCCGCTGAGCATGAGTATCGGCGTGGATTTGCGTATCTTTGGTAGTGAAAGCGCGGCGTCCCATTGTTCAGTGAGGAGGATGGGGAGGAGGAAGCGGGGGATCTGGGGCATTATGGATGGAATGAGAAGGGGAAGAGAGAGAAAGGTATTTTCGATGATGATACCGGAGATCTGGGTGTCAGCATGCGGTCCGTACCAGTCGAATGAGGTACAACGTGGGATGGGGCTCACCATGTCTGGGTGACTCGCTGCCGCATAAAGAGACACAGCTCCGCCGATTGATTGACCGTACACCTGAGGTCTCAGCTCTGGTCTCGGACAGGCACGACACTATATGAGCAGGCAACTGACGATCAACTTTGTCTTGCCAATGAGCGGATGCGCCTGGATGTACTGCAGAGCCGCCTCGACATGTCAGCTATATCCCAGGCGGAGTTGACCTCTGGCTAGCTCACCTCCACATCTATCCGCATCCCTCCACTGTCAGCTGAAAGTACGACATTTGCAAGCGGGGTCATGAGCAGAAGGGCTCACCCAGCTCTGACGCATGGCCCTCTGACTTCCCATACCCCCTGTAACTGAGCATAAAGACATTACACCCATGCTCAACGTTGAACTTTCTCGCGAGCGGTAGTCGGTGTCCCATATTACCTGTTGCGTCAGCTCAGCGACCTTATCGGCTGGGTCTGACCTTGAGCTTACCAGCATTCGCATGGAAGAACACGACCGTCGGTCTGCTCTTGATATACTCCACCGCATCCTCCTTCCCCATTTCTTCCACCCAACCATCCACCTCCGCCTTCATTCTCGCCTTCCTGTCCTCATTACTGAGCGACTGTAGATCTTGTAGTGTCACGGGTCTACGACGAGCGGGAATGAGGTACGCGTGGAGCTTGAGGTGATCGTTCGTCGTGAGGGTGATATCTTCGTAGGGCAATCCGATCTGCGCGGGAGTGGGCACATCTACGCTTGTAAGCTCAGTCCGGTGTCTATTGCTTTCAAAAGTGAGCTGACCTGTGCGTGACCCAGATGGCAGGTTGGAGGGGTATATCAGATGTCGCTGGAAATACCATAATCCGCCAGCGACGAGGACGGACCCAGTCGCTGCTGTTCCGGCGACATACTGTTTGTTCAGTTCCTGTCAGACCTTCAAACCAGATATGTCAGTGGAGCTCCCGCTCACCTTGAGCAGCGTTGCAGCTGAGCTCAGTGACATCTTGCTGGCCACTCTGATGAAGTACAACGGAGGATACCTTCAAGCTGCTCGTCAACGTCTGCCTCATTCTGAAACAGCTAGGTTTATCCAAAGTTTAACCGTCACAGCCAAAAATCGTTCTCCAAGCTTCGCTGCAGCTCAAGCTCGATCAACCATATCATATTCCCTCTCAGTTCATCATCAGCATTATCATACCCACAATGACCCTCGTACTTCCCGGCGATACCGTCTCTCTCCCTTCGACATCGGCACTCACCCTCGGCCCCGGAATCTCAGCCTCTTCCTCCCGATCTTCCGACCCGTATGCCGGTCCCAGCGCCGATGCGTCCTCGAGTTTCATTGCTACTCGCTTAGGCCTGCTTAGTAGTCAGAAGGGCAAAGGGAAAGATACGAGCGAGAGCTACTGGGTGGATGGCCGATCTAAGCGGGTGAGCTGGCAGGCTGCTAAAGATTACAGTCGTCATTGACCGTAAGCTGACGACGTAGTACATCCCGGCGCAGAGGGAACTCGTCCTAGGCACAGTCATCGCTCGGCACTCTGAAGGCTTCAGAGTGGACTTGGGGTCAAGTCAAATGGCTTCGCTAGATGCGTTGGCATTTGAGGGAGCTACGAAGCGGAGCAAGCCGAATCTCAAGGTAAATTTCCGGCCGCATACTCGTCCCCCTTGATCTTGACTTGACTCTTTGCGATCTGAGAGGGGATTCAGCTGATGCAGCAGGTCGGGATGCTGGTGTACGCCCGCGTATCACTCGCCAACAGAGATATGGAAACCGAAATTGAATGCTTCGACGCCGCATCGGGAAAAGCAGAAGGGTTCGGCGAGTTGAAGGGAGGGTTGATGATCACTACCTCGCTCGAGTTCGCACGACAGTGAGCTCTGCTCAACTCCATCGCCTTGCATGAGTCGACTCAGCTGACAACGTAGACTCCTTACACCAAAACACCCCCTCCTCCCCGCTCTCGCCGCGCAGTTCCCGTTCGAGATCGCAGTGGGCATGAATGGGCGAATATGGTTCAAGGCGGGAGATGTCAGCCAGACTATTGCGATCAAGAGGGTGCTGGAGAGGGCGGAGAAGGGTGAGGTGGGGACGGGGAAGGAGGAGGTGGGGAGGGCGGTAAGGGAGTTTGCTGCGTAAAGGCGGGAGGAAGGGGTGGGGATGATGTATGCTTACTTCTGAGCCAGGACCTCAATCTACTGACTACGTTGCTTATTCGGCAAGGGGAAAGTTGATCGTCCTACGATTGGATATCTCTGTAACGCCCGCATACTGACATTATTCGTTCTCCCACAATGCCAAAAAATGAACTGCTGATACTCGGATCCTTGCAAGAATCTCTCATCCTGTACTTGCAAAATGTCATCACATCGACCGCTACTATGACGCACTCAGCAGCGGAATTGAAGGGAGGACTGATTGAAGAGAGGGAGAGGATGGATTCTACGGGCTCTCACAGTCCAACCTCTGGATGCGATTTGCAAGCTTAGGTATTCAGGGGATGATCACCACGCGCACTGATCGGGGACATGTATACGACTTCATTTCGATTATGGTACAGTATGATCATCAGGATTCACAGGGGATCCTCGGCCAGTTGTGCTCGATGGCACGAAGCAGCACAGGATCTACGCCTGGTCTTCCAAAGCCCGCTTCAACACCCCAGGCCAGTACTCAGAGGCAGGCTTGTCAAAGCGATTTGAGGCGATGCTGGCGCCATTGAGAGTATACGGCGTGACGGCCGCTTGCACTCGCGCCATGATCTTGCGGCTGGCTTCCACGTCCGCTCCCCAGCCTTTCTTTAGAGCACCCTTAAGCTCCTTCTGCGAGACTGCACCCACCGACAGCTTCTCCAAGTGCTTATTCTCGTTGCAGGTCTTCCTGAGAAAGGTGGAGACTTTGGCGGTCCACTTCTCTAACGCGGCATCCTCCTCGTCGACCTGGTCCTTGAGCCACGTCTCGGTCAGACCCTCATAGAAGCTCGTGTCGACGCGGATGCTGTGCCACAACGTGGACAGCCTCGCGTAGAGTTCAGCGATGAGAGGGAGGTCGACGTCCTTCTCATCGAGCGATACCCACTCGGGAGAGAGGGTGGAGAGGGTGTACTTGGGGACCGGGCGCCACTTCCATTCGTTGTCAAACTCCTCATTGAGCGCGCAGGCGATAACGAACTTCGATTTGAGACGAGTCTTGAGAGCAGTGAGGCCTGCATCGGCCGCTGCGGTGGACACATTGGTCTGCCCGGTTGTGGGCTGTGAGGCACTCATCTTGTGAGTTGTACGTCGAAGGGGAAAAGCAATAGCTAGGACGCGAGTGAGTGGCGAATGCGTTGGATGAGTGGGCGGCGAGAGAGGTGCTTGCAATCGAGAAAGGTGGACCGACTAAATACTCCTGGCGGGAAGCGCAGGCTGGTACTTCACAAGGGTGCAGTAGAAGGGATAAGCTCTCCAGATCGCGTGTCAATTATCCGATAAGGCAGTGCATCTCGGGGAGGACGAATCAAAGGACTGCAATGCTCACACGCGTTTCGCCGCGACAAGATAGGCTGGAAGGACCAACGTAGCTAGATCACGGACGAAGAGGTAAGGGATGACGACAGACATCACGGCATGGATAAGCAGACCAGCGTCACAGATCCAATCTGGAACAGCACAGGACAAAGGCAGGAGATCTTGCAGGCTTCCGAGAGCTGCACTGACTTCTGTGGCACTGGCCGCGGCATCGGCCCTGGCCATGGTAGATCTTGGACAGCCAGCTAGCTCGCACATTACGTGTACCGCCTTCCCACTCTAGCGAGAACATATGCGACCGACACAAGCTTCTGCTTCGCCTTGAAGGCCGAGAAACGAACCATAGCCACAGCCATAGCTATACTTGCTGCTACGTCGTGCGCCATCATCCGGCCGCGGAGCAGCCCGGAGCGGGTATGATGATATCAGCAACACATTCCTCCGGATTCGAAAGCCGGGAATCGCCATGCTGTGCCAGCTGTACCGCGCCGCGCGGATCGGAGCATGCCCTGCTCAGCCTGCGGGTCATCTGACCGGTGCGAATGGATCTTGGCCTTGGCTACTCTTTACCGCGACAGCGGAGCTCGATGGTGCGTGTTGGCGCGACGGCTCGCGCGAGTCTCACTGGGAATACCTTTCGGTCTGTACTGGCTATGGCTACCAGCAGCTCTGCATAGCTGCATGGGCAGCCGTGATATAGGATAGTGCGGCGGGGCATTACCGGGAGATATCAAGCATCACATCGATATTTAGCTCTGAGCGTCTTGGCAATACCGTGTTGCGTCATCGGACTTGCGGCGGACATCAGCGCGCGGAAGCGGTTGGACCCGCCGGACCCGCCGCGGGCCGGTTGAGCTTGAGTTAGACACCCTTGATAGCTTCATCTCGCTTCAAGCTTACCTATCCGTTCACCAACCTCAGTCTGACTTCAAATAGATAGCAGTCTCCCCAGCTCCACGTCCTCCCACCTCAGCATTTCATATCCACTACGCCACAATGTCGCTTCGCACAGTCAACACACAGCAACTCACCAACATTGGCGCGGGGAGCGTTCCATGCATGGAGACGGGATGGCCTGGAGCGACCTATGGACAAGTGAGTTCCGATGATCTCTAGATAGCTGATGGGTAGAGCGGGGTACGAGCGAACGAGACGCTCCAGATCGTCTTCAAAGGCACGCCGCCGTTCTTCCTCACAAACACGTGAGTCCCTTTCCTTCGGAGATGAGCATGTAGCATCACCGGGGCAATTCTCCCGCTGACGTCTAGTATCTGTGAGAACCAATATCAGAGGGCCAATTGTTGGGTCAGTCGTGATGCACTACATGGGAAGGGATCGTCGCTGATATGGCAGTGCGGTGTAGCCAACCTCAACCTGACTGGTAACGCCTACAATTGGACCGTCTCGACCTTTCCAAACACTGCGAACGGTAACTCTCAGCCGTCCGAGCTCTTTGCTCAGGGGCTGGGTCATTCACTGTGGGTACTCGAGCCTATACTGCAGGTTGATTGCTAGCTGAAAGAGACAGGGTGTGGACCGCCATCCAACGCAATAGTACCGGGGGATTGAGTTCGGCCTTTTCATATAGCCCCAACTTCACCCTATCCAGCACGTCATACGATACGTCGGATGCATCCCCCACGACGGGCAAGCCGGCTATCGGGTGAGTTGCGCGGCTGACAGCTTATTGTGCCGATGCTGATGTGGACAGAGTGACGGGCTTGAGTGTTCTGATGTTGGCCGTTTTGGGCGTGATGGGCGGTCTTTGAGGTCAATGTATGTGGCATTCTTGGAAGGAGAACTTCGTTGTATGATGTGAGAATAACCCGCTGGAAGCTATACAGCGTCTGCACTAACCACTCCTGACACCTCACTATGGCTTCAAACCTTCTCTTTGGACCACTGATGGGTTTGAAGTCAGCAGGCTCAAGCTCGCGTTAGCAAAGGCCTCTCCGCGACGGCCGTCATTCTCGGCTGCGCTCTCACCGCAGGCGATCAGCCTGGCCAAGTCAGTCGACGAGTACACGATCCCGCTACGATATACAGGTAAAGGAAAGGCTTTACAGTACTATGGACTCACCGACGTATGTCGGCCGGTCAAGCTTTGCCAGTTCCGTCTCTCGATCAGGCTCCATGAGTCAATCAAAAAAGGATCTAACAAAACGTAAGGCCTGCACCTCAGGCCGAGTGTAACATATGCCACGAATCCGACGCGTTGGTAGCCTCATCCTCCTAAGCATCAATGAGTCCGTTACCTATCATACTTCTCCGCTCACCAAGCTAGTTACCATTTGATTCGAGGATTATCATCATGGCCGTCACCAGGTTCCGCATCGAGTCCAAGACGGATCATGAACACCATATTGAATGTGACGAATACAAAAGGGTTCATGAAGACTGGACCCGCTCAGAGGTAGTCTGCACTCTCTCCACCCTGGACGGACAGGGAGATCCCCTTCCTACGGAGGAAAAGAGGGTTGTTTACGCCAGGGGAGAACCCCACACGATCGCTTCCAGCATGCAAGCGATCTTGAGCAATCATCAACTCATGTCTGGAACGGATTGCTTCATCTGTTCGCTGACTCAGACTCAGAGCCGCTTCACGGACAAGGCCCTCCGCTGGGACCTCCACTCCTTCCATCAGCGATTCCGCCGCGCTGGCGAGGTTCGCTCTTTGACGCGCTCGTGCTCAGATCACGGTGACCACGACGAGACGCATCATGTCTTCTTGGAAACGGGGTCCATTCAGATCAATCACCACCTCAATCGTCCCGCTTTCCGAGTCTCCTACACCACAATCGAAGCTGGTCAGCGCCGCAACATCGCCACTTTGCTGCTCACATCGGGTGATGGACCGGAGGAAGGGGAGAAGTTGTTCGACGATGCCTTTCCTTCGGACTTCTTATCCACCTGTCTACTCGAGCGACTGAAGAAGATGCCAATCGTCTTCTATCCTCCGCCATCAAAACACACTACCGATGCACAGCAGACCGTATGGCGCGGTATGAATTGGAAAGCGGTCTTGGGCAGTTTCAAGCTGTTCACCGTGGGGGCGAATGAGCGGGTCTTCGAGGAGAGCGAGAGGGGGTCTGCGACGCTGAGCTGTCTCAGCTCTGATGCTGGTCTGCGAGCAGCTCCGGCTGACGCGGACGATTTCGCCCATGTCTGGATCCCGGGAGCCGAACAGTTCAAGCTCTTCGCGCAAGAGGATATCGTAGCTTCTCTCCACGTTCTTTTGAGATCATGTATAGCGAAAGTGGTGCTGGCAGCCGAGTGTGTGTATTTTGATGTCATGGAACGTCGAGCTGCGCCCCATATGTCTCTTTGCCATCCACCCTTGTGCCACTCAAAGTCTCTCAAAGTGCCACCCGCCTCATTCCTCATTTACCGGAAGCGGTAACAAATTAAACGCGTGTTTCAGGGCTTGGCGGGGAAAAGAACACAAGGACGTGCCTGGCTGTGCAACTCTGAAAGGCAAACCTTAGCTGGCTATCTGACTCACCACTTCACTCTATTACTGTCCATATCCCCTTCAGCTTCAGCGACGACAATCGATCCATCAGGCTGGTCCTGTCTGTACATACGCTCTACCACTACCTGTGCATATCAACCTTTGTAACGACTCCCAGAAGAACCAAGTAGACGCGATGCTCGACGTCAAGAAAAAGCTGTCATCCTTTATCCCTTCAGTAAGCTTCCTGCATCAACTTAAAGTAGTGGCGGGCAGCTGATAGCTAGTCTGCGCGGGCGCAGCTCCAGAATGTATTGACGGTCGAGTGGGACACGCACAAGACTGTGCTCGTTCAGGTTCCAGGCGCGGAGCCGGAGCGGGGCCTCGATATGGAGATGGGCGGGATGTCGCGGGATACCGCTAGGGACAATTATGGTCGGCTGGATGATGACGACGAGGTGAGCTTTGACATTCGCTTTTGCCCATAGCAAATGACATAGCTGACAATGCAGGAGGCCGAAGCGCTCTTCGATCACTCCAAATTCGACGAGTCGCACGCCCGATGGAAAGCTAGCAAATCCTCCTCCTCTTCCTCTTCCCGGGAGAACACACAACCCAAATCACGCGCTCCCGCACCCCCACCGATCGCTCCTCGTCCGTACGACTACGCCGAGAACCCCTTCGACGAGACGTCCCCCTCATACCAGGCTTCCTTTGGCCAGGACTACCAGCAACAGCGGCAGTATGGCCAGCCGGGACAGGATCAAAGTGGGCAGGGAAAGTCGTGGACGACGTTTGGTGAGGGGAGGGTGGGCCAGGTCAAGCAGTCACAGGGGTACGGGCAAGGACAGGGACAGGGACAGGGAGCCAACCCGTGGGGAGCGGGAGGGCAGTGGAGTCAGGCGTCGAGCCCGACGAGCTCGAGAGGGACGAGGGAATCGGCAAACTATGAGGCCGCGGACCCTTTCAGGTGATCAGACGCGATGTAGAATCTGGTCGGCGCAGAGAGCGATCGCTGTAGGATATGAGGGGAGGGGGTTTGTATCTGCTTTGGCTATCCGAGGGATGTCTTATCTTGTGTTTTTGGCCCACTTCGCCGTGCTGAACGGACACGCAGCTCAGCGCAGCTTCTCCAGCTCACCGATACTGACTGATGATGAGAATACGCAGATAGTATACATGACTTACTACAACTCTACAGACACGACACACGATACAATACAACCCCGACTACCTACCTATCGATATCTATGAACCCAAAATTGTCCTCTCCTCTCTCCCTACCTACCACCTCAGAACTTCCCCAACGACACACAAGACGCGCTCGCCCTGCTGGGAAACACCACCGACCCCTTCCGCCTCTGTTGCACCGGCACCGACCACGGACTCAGCGCCGTCTCCTCCGCGCCTGGGGATCCCGCGGGCGTCAGACATCCCAACGACGACGAGGAATCCGAATCCGAAACGGCCGCATCGCTGGCCGAGTCCTCCTGATCCCCACTGTCCTCCAAGTCCGATAAGAGTGACGAACACGACAGTGCGATACTATCCCGGTTCCCATTCCTCCGCCACTGCTCCGCGAGGTACGCCGCCGCCTCCGCGTCCTCCGGCGAGAGATCCACTTCATGCCGATCCCGGACCGCCGCCCTGAGCCGAGACATTGGAATTGGGATGGAAGTGTACGTGGACGTGGGGCGCAGAGTGAGGGCGTACTCTAGGTCACAGACCTCCTCGGGCTCTGGGGATTCCATGATGATCTCGGGGATGGATGGGGAGGGGATGAGCCGTTTAGTCGACTCGGCGGAGCTCGGTGTGGGGGATGGGAGTCCGGGGAGGAGGGAGAATGGCTCGAATAGGTCCAGAGCGGCGAGTCGGGGCGCGGAGATGGGGATGGAGGAGGAGGTCATTGAGTCCCGGCTGAACCATTGGGCGGGTGAGGGCGGTTTAGGGGTGGGTGGTCGAGCCGGCCGACGAGGGGGAGTAGGGAAGTGAAGTATGTCGCCAAATGCGGAGGTCGACGATGACGAGGGAAGGGTTTTGGGAGTGGACATGGGACCGAGGGAGAGGTGCGTGGTGGAGAAGGACTTGAGGGCGTAGAGGCTATTTGCGGTATGCTTGGACACTACGAGAGGAGTAGTGGGCGCGGAGGAGGTATTCCGCATGGGCATGATGAGCGGGGCTGGACGAGCCGGTCGAGGTGGCGCCGAGACTGGTCGAGGAGGTAGCTGCTGGAGTTGCAGCTGGTCAGACGTGGGGTGTTGGCAGGTAGGGCAGCAGATGATAGGGGAGGTGATGACCGGCGGTACCGCGCGGAGGTCTGAGGATTTCATATAAGCTGGATATCTACCTATTCAGCTGCCGTGTCTCATACAGAATGGGGAATGGGCACTTACGCTGGTCTCCTGGTCAGACTACTCCATAATGACCGTATCATCCCCTTCTCAGACTTGTCTCCCCGCTTCGGTCCCGTGAAACTCATAAGCATCTTGCTGTACCGCCTGCTTGCCTGCTAGCGGGTATTCGATGGGCTGGGCAAGCTACGAGTGATGATCAGATCAGTTGAGGTTGATCAAAGGCCGTGAGTGTAAGTGTAAGTGGACTTGTGGAAAGACGTTCCTGGTCGACGAGACATCTCACCTACCTATATATCGTCCCGTCCTCCCATTCTACCCTCCCCCTCCTCTCGAGGTAGGCAGCATCAACATTCAGACGCACATCACGAGCCCAGCGCAAGCGCCCCGGTACCTCCCTCTCCTGCGTGACATCACCATGGTCGGAAATGTAGAATGGCAGACCACAGCAATAAATTGCGTCTCGAGACATCACCAATAAATGCACGGGTCGCAGGTGATCGATATCGGGAGCCACATTATTCCGCCATTCCAGGCGCCTAGCGAGCACAGCGGAGAAGGGTCGGTGAGACAGGCGATCAGTAGATCGACCGGATGATGGAGGTGGAATGGGAACGGTAGCGAGACATTGGGCGTGATGCCAGCGGTGTGATGGTGCCTGTCCCGAAAGATCGTCGCAGGCGCAGGCGCAGGACGAGCCGGAGCGGGGAAAGAAGGCCATTCCGTTGCAATGCGGGCAGTCTCAGAAGCTGAGGAGGCGGGCACCTTGGAAGGTCGTGTTGAATGGGGAAATACCCGAAGGTGTCTCAAATTCTGATCGCAACTGCCGCTTGCGGGTAGATCGGATTAGGAAATTGACCTCCACTCTGGTGGTCCACCCGCTCGGACCTGATCTTCTGCCGCTAGGCCTCGCCTTCGGCACCTCAGCTGACAAGTGGCTGTCTGGACTTCGCCAAGCCCAGGCGACCCGCCCGTGCGCCCGCTCCATCAGCTGACGGTCCATCTGCGACATCATGCATAGGAACGTGCCCTTCTACAATCTAGGCTCTGGCATTGCTGAGTCTGGCGACAACGGATCATTTGACCTGCTCTACAGCTGTAGCTGATGACACCTGACTACATCGTTATCAAACGAAAGAAGAGAGAAAACACTAGGAGAAATAACAACCGGATCCCATCTCTAAAACTACTTTAGAAGCTTATGCAGAGGCTTCACGTGCCTTGGCAGCCGACGCCATCATGTTAAGAGCTGGATCATATCAGCTACTGCCTCTTTTCGGTTCCTTTTCGGTTCGGGAAATAACAGCAACTCACCAGACCCAGCCTTGAACCACTCCCACTGTCCCTCGTTGATACTCGTCGTCGACAAAATCTTCTCGGTACTTCCATCCTCGTGCTTGATTTCAAGCTCAATGTCCTGTCCGGGCTTGAACGAGTTGAGGCCGAGGATCGAGATCTTGTCGGTACCCGAGATCTTGTCGTAGTCGGCGCCATTCTTGAACCAGAGGGGGAGCATACTGGCATGATCAGCATGGTCCCCTTTTCTGACATCTCCCTGCGCATAACGAGACGACCTACCCCTGCTTCTTCAAGTTGGTCTCGTGGATACGGGCAAACGATCGGCAGAGGACAGCGGCACCACCGAGGAATCGAGGCTCGAGGGCGGCGTGTTCACGCGAAGATCCCTCTCCGTAGTTTTCGTCACCGACGACAATCCATGGGATACCGGCATCACGGTAGGCACTGATCGTGTGAGCTAACATTCCACCCAACATTCTGCAGCAGATCGCTAAACTCACGCAGCAACAGTGGGGACAGCGCCAAACTCGCCAGTCTTCTGGTTAAGAATCTTGTTGGCCTCTCCAGAGTCGGCGTTGATAGCTCCAATAAGACAGTTTTCTACCTCGTCAGCTCTGTCTCCTCTCTCCTCGACGGACTGAACCCACGCGAGATGTTCTCCAAGTGTCCACGGTACTTCAACCAAGGTCCACCGGCGGAAATGTGATCAGTCGTGCACTTTCCCTTCGCCTTGATGAGCACCGGCGCGTCGATAATGTCCTTGCCGTCCCATGGCTTGAAGGGGGTGAGGAGCTGCAGACGGTCGGACGAGGGGGAGACCGCAACGTTGACGGACGAACCGTCCTTGGGAGGAGCCTGGAAGGTGTTCTCTCCCGGGTCGTAACCGCGCGATGGGAGCTCGTCACCGCGGGGCTCGGTGAACTTGAACTCCTTGCCGTCAGAGCCCTTGAGCGAGTCGGTGAGGGGGTTGAAGGTGAGGTCGCCGGCAAAGATCATGGCGGTGACGAGATCGGGGGAGGCGACAAAGGCGTGCGTGGCGGGATTGGCATCGTTACGTCCGGTGAAGTTTCGGTTGTACGAGGTGATGACTGACTGTCAGTCTGACCCTTCCCGCTTCTTCCTCGTAAGACTCACTGGAGTTCTTCTCGCCCTTCTGGATGTCCTGACGGTCCCATTGCCCAATGCACGGTCCGCAAGCATTGGCAAGCACAACACCTCCAATGTCCTCGAACGTCTCAATCATACCGTCCCGAGCAATGGTGGCGCGAACCTGCTCGGATCCGGGCGTGATGGTGAAGAGCGACTTGGCCTTGAGACCGTGGGCCGCGGCCTCCCGGGCAATGTGGGCCGAACGAGACATGTCCTCGTAGGACGAGTTGGTGCATGAGCCGATCAGTCCAACCTTGAGCTCCGCAGGCCAGTCGTTCTTCTTGACCTCGGCGGCGAACTTGGAGATGGGGGTGGCGAGATCGGGGGTGAAGGGGCCGTTAACGTGGGGTTCGAGCTCGGAGAGGTTCTACCTATCAGCAAAGCCCACTATATGATATATGAGAGAACCCACAATCTCGATGCGCTGGTCGTACTCGCATCCCTCGTCCGGGGTCAGGTTGTGCCTGAACTCATTGGCGTACGAGGCAATGTCGGACCGGTTGGTAGCCTCGAGGTAGCCCTGCATCTTCGAGTTGTACGGGAAGAGCGAGGTGGTGGCTCCGATTTCGGCACCCATGTTACAGATGGTGGCCATACCGGTACATGAGAGGGTGTCGACACCGGGACCAAAGTACTCGATGATGGCGCCAGTTCCGCCCTTGACGGTGAGGATGCCGGCGACCTTGAGGATGATGTCTGAATGTCAGCTCAAATACTGCTTCTTGTCTGCTTTAGCTTACCCTTGGGGGTGGTCCATCCAGACATCTTGCCGTCGAGGTAGACACCGATGACCTTGGGCGCCTTAAGCTCCCATGGGATACCAGCCATGACGTCAACAGCGTCGGCTCCTCCGACACCGCAGGCAACCATACCGAGACCACCGGCGTTGGGGGTGTGCGAGTCGGTACCGATCATCATGAGACCGGGAGCGGCGTAGTTCTCCAGGATGATTTGGTGACTGTAGAGTCAGCCCATCTGCGTCGGAATCTCCTGCACGAGGCGCAACTCACATAATACCGGATCCCGGCTTCCAGAAGCCAATCCCGTACTTGGCACAAGCAGTCGCCAAAAAGTCGTACACCTCCTTGTTGATGTCAATCGCGCGTGCGAGGTCCTTGACACCGCCAATCTGAGCCTGGATCAAGTGGTCGCAGTGGACCGAGGTGGGCACGGCGGTTTGGGGGAGACCGGCCGACATGAATTGGAGGATAGCCATTTGGGCGGTAGCGTCCTGGCAGGCGACTCGCTAAGGGTATCAGCTTGGCCCAAAAGACGAACAAAGGCTAGCTCACGTCAGGACGGAGCTTGAGGTAAGAGACACCACGCTGGATGTCCTGCTCGTGCGGGTTGTCCAAGTGACCGTAGACGATCTTCTCGGCGAGGGTGAGGGGGGTGTTGAGTCTGGAAGTCAGCGGGAGCGCCAGACATTTGGTGCTATGCCACTCGATCCCCCCCTCGAACTGCTCTCCTTCCGCCTAGTCCCTGCCTCTCCTCTGCGCAACGCGCCTTCCCATACCTCACACATTCCACGCGCAAGACATCCCCACATCCTCCCTTGTCCCTGCCCTGTGCTGGTCCTTGACTCACCTTGACCGAACAACCTGGAGATTGTCCTCAATCCTCTGGTAGTTGATGTACCGCCCCTGTTCGAGGTTGCTCATCTCTACCTTTCTGTCTCCAATCGACGACTTTACAGTCGCCATGCTCCTGCCAGCGAGCATGGAGCTGCGCGAGAGCCCGGCGGCTCCGCGGAGGGAGGACCCGACAAGGCGGGACATGTTCGCTGAGTGTTTGGGGATTACTGAGGTGGGGAGGGAGTGAGTGATGTATAGAGGTAAGAGGTAAGCGTGAGAGCTGGTAGAATTAGTTTGGTGTGAGAGCGGCAAGAGGTTGGACCGGTCTCTAGCTCCTTCTTATTCCTGCCACATGATAGGTCAAAAGGTTATCGGCCGCACAAAGCCGGTCTCTACTAGGCAATGACGTGGCATTATTTTGATAAGGATCGGCTCTATTCGGCTACTCGTCGCGGTGTAAAGCCGAAAGCTCCCCTGACAGTGCTGGCTCCCTCTCACCCTTTGCTCTATGCTCAGCTCAGCGAGAGAGTCTGCTCGCTGACTATGGAGAGGTAGGGCTACACTGCGGATACTCATGGAGCTCTTCAACTTCGAACCTCAAGAAGACGGCAGGAATGCTGCCCCTTTGACACATTCCTCACATCATTCGCTGGAATCTTCCATTCGCACTGACCATGGAACGCACACACAACACTCCGAAGCTCAGACTTTCGTGCCTGCCATCAAACCAAACCTTGTTACTGATCTGATCTGGCGCCCCTAAGTCTACTCGGGAAGATGCGGCGCCCTTGCCGAGACTAGAACATCGTACGATACCCTCGAATCTGAGGAACAATGGGCGCCTGCTCGTCCACACACACACACGACCCTCCCTTTCCTCGCCCTCAACCCCATGGTATCAGCCTCGGCCGAGCGATAGATTCCCCCCAATCCCACTCTAGCCCTCCGCTGCCGAGCTAGCGAGCTGTCCCGAAGCCCTATGCCCCCCCGGAAGAGATCGGGATAAAAAACAAGCTTCTGACCTTCTGTCCCTGCCCTGAAACTGATGGAGGCGGATAACACAGCCCCTTCAGCTGATGCTACTTATCCCCATCGAAGCCTTTGCCGCCGGCCCCCCTTCTTCCTCCTCTTTACCTTCATCTTTCACATCTCTCTGCGTCTCCATCTCTGCTCTCTGCTCTTTAGTCTCGCTAGATTCCACTCGCATCTCCGCATCACATAACGACCACACCAAGGATCTCACTCAGCTTTCTTCTTGGCCTTTTTCATCCATTTCTTTCCGTCTTCTGGGTGCTCCCGTCTCTCTTCCTTCTCTCGCTCTTCAGACCTAGCTAGCAGTGTTCTCTTCCTCTTGATTTTATTGCTTCTCTTACAGACTCATCTCTCTCTTTCTCTCTTTCTATCTTCTCGGTTGCCTTTCTTCCTACTTTGCCTCATACGCTCGGATCTCTCGCCACAGCTTTAGGAACGACCAGGTGAGTCATCATCCTACCATTCCTCAACCCGTATTCCGTTTCAACCCCTAAGCTGACATTCCAGAACTGCCCTTCGATTCTGTCCTCACATCTCATCCCTCAACAAGCGACACCCCAACATCACCCACATGTCCCAGACCGCCTTCTTCCCTGGCTCTGCTCCTTCCTCGTCATACTACTCCACCGAGAACCCCTTCTCTTACGGCTTCAACGGAGGTGAAGAATACAGCTTCGACCCAACCTGTAAGTTAGCTTGCTCGAGCAGAGGAAAAGACCGGGCCAAGCTGACACGTCAGTCTCGCCCGATATGAGTCGATACCTCAAGTCCCCTACGCCCGCCTCCGGTCAGGAAACGGAAGGACACACCCACACGCACTCAGCTTCGAATCAAGGTGAATTCCGACGCTTCATCAGTACCGTCATACTTCCTCTCTCCCCCTCAACACGCTCCTCCTCTCCGTCTTCCCAACCCCTCAGCTTTCCTGGCTTGATGCTGATAACCAGTCCAATCACCAAGCTCATTCGATATGAGCAATCTCACCCTCCGCTCACCTACCGGCCCCCAACCTCAAAGCCAGCCTATCCCCATCACCACCACCTCCGGCCAGTATTCGCACCCCGCATACTCGGGACTTGATCAAGCGTCAAGCCTGCCGTACAGACACGGCGATGGACTGCTGTATCACCCATACTCCAGACCAGGTATGTCAAGCTCACCCGTCTCGTCAGCCAAACCCCTTCTCACCTCTACGCCTACGTGCACCGACACTTCAATCAGTAGGAATCAGTAAGGAACCATACTGACCCACAGACCAAGCCCACTTCCCACTCCGCTCCCCACCCGGCTCATCCCGCTCCGTCAACTCTGGCGCCCTCTCCTCCGCCCTCGTCTCCCCCATGTCAGACAACGCCGACATGTCGCCCCTCCACCTCGGCTACAACGCGTACCACTACATCGCCAGCCCGCTCAACTCTTACGGCGTCCTCGGCGGTGGGACTGGGACTGACGCAGCGAATGGGAATGGGACTGGGCATGGGGTTGACGACACCCCGCGAGACATGATCGGTCTAGGGCTTATAGGAGGTGTGCGTTATCCCCGGACCGGAGTCGGGATGGGACAAGGGACAGGCCAGATCCCGCAATACCCGCCAGGGGTAAGGGGGAGGGGCAGGGCAGTCAGAGGTGGCAGAGGCGGAGGAGGCGGCTTGGGGCGAGGTGGCAGGAAGTCCAGCGGGGGAGGTGGGGTGAAGCAGGAGGATGAAGACGAGGACGATGATGCCGAAGGGGAGAGGTGAGCTGTCTGACCATCACCCGTTATGGATATGAAAGCAGCTGACGATACAGCGTCGCAGGGGAGATGCTTAACGGCACGCACAAGTCCCACCTTGAGAAAGTGAGCTCGTCCGCCGTCGCCTTGTCTGCACCGAACCAAGCTGATGATCCAGCACCGCCGCCGTGTCCTCAAGAGCCACTTCAAGGCCCTTTCCGACGAGCTCCAGACCGCCGGCGGAATGACCAAGATCACCAAAGCTGGGACGCTCGATCGAGGTGAGCTGGCCCCCTACTTCCACGGCTTTGTGTAGTACCTAGCTGACATGCCAGCTACCTCGTACATCCAGGAACTCAAAGCGGCCATGAACAGCACTACTCACACTCTCGAGTACCTCCAGCAGGAGTTGATGAAGGAGCGCCAGGCGCATGTGGAGACGCAGCGGTCAGTTTCATCTGACTCGTCCGTGCTTTTGAGGAGGGCGAAGCTGATATCTCAGGCTGAACGCGGAGCTTTCCAGAGCCCTAGCGGCGAGATCAGCCAGCGGAAGCGGTAGTCCCCGCGCCTGAGCTCCTCTCGCGCTGTGCAGCTGTGATTATCTCCGGATCCAAAACGACCAACGACCATAACGACTTTACGACCAATAACGACCATCATGCAATCTATACACGATTCCCGGGACTCGACACTCTTCCCTATCTACCCTTCCCCCCCCATCACATCTCGTCAATGTGCAGCGGCCCCCTACGCTCTCACATCCCTCAACCTACCTCTGTCTATCCAAGACCGGGACATCCTCTCCGGCCGACACCCTCGGACGTCCCCGCTACGCTCCTCGGGACTCACGGCCTATCCCCCCTCTCCACCTCCTGCTTCCACAACCCACATCCTTCATCCCGCTCTCGCGGCGGCGCCACCAACACGGACCCCTCTTGCACCAACCATATCGATAGCGGCCGGACCGTTGCTTTCTGCCTCTCACTATTCCCGCTCTCGATGAGACGGGGATGGCGAGTTGCGACTGGGTCGATAGGTGCGAGAAGGGCCGGGAGGGCGGGGCTATCGATAGCGGCTGGTCCGTTGCTTTTGCTATTTCTCTGCTGTTCTTGATGAACGCGGAGAGTGGCGAATGGGTCGATCGTGGAGGCTGGAGTGAGGGAAGAGGCGGCGGCGGCGGCGGCGGATAGGCTTGATGCTGGTAGGGTATGGGAATGGCTACGAACCATCTTCTGTGACATACATACCATTCAAAATTCTCTTTGGCCTTAGGCTTTCAACTTTATGTACCTTTACACCTTCAGATAGTCTTTCTGCCTCGTATTAGCAATCTATGTGACTCCGTAATCTCTTGTACAGGTAGCACTGCTGGTTTGGTACTCGCAGGTCAGAGGGAGACCTGACATGTCACCGCTTGGCGAAGGCAGGCATTCAAGACTTGGCTGCTATGTTCTTTCAGGTCAAGACGTCCTTCCTACTGTCCTCACAGCAGTCCTCATGTTGCGCTGAGATCGCTTGCCTCTTTCCTGTTCTATACCGCATACTGAGCTGGCCTCAAGGTGCCTTCCTGACAGTCCTTATCCCCCTAAGTCTAGCATAGCAGATGCGGGCACACAAACAAGGTCAAGGTCGAGGTTACAATTGTAGTTGCTGTCGACGTCTAAGCCATCTGCACGTGAACAGCAATGCATTGCTGAGCACGCCCTGAACTTTGCAGCGATCCATGCACCCACTACATGCAGAGGGCTGCCCGGACTAAAGCCCGGATTGAGACTCAGCATTACAGTAGACGTAGTTCATAATCATATACACTACATATCATATATGTATAGTGAGTCGGAGGAGAAAAGATATCCGCGCGTTCTCAAGCCTCGTCAATCAGTAGACCACCACGGAGGTACATCACAGAGACTTTAGAAGCTCGGTGACCTTGGCGACCTCGTCTTGCGTTGCTCCCTCATCAAAAGACGCCACAAGAGAGTCCAGAAGCACAGTGACCTCTTCGACGGTGTCTGGGGCCTCTCTATCATCAGGCCAAATCTGCAATTTGTAAGCCTCCTCATCTGCCGCAAGCACTGCCTCCATCGCCGCTGTGCGTGCGATGTCTGCATTGGCGAGCTCCTTCCCCCCTGCATCGCCCTCAATCTGAATGTCAACGGCTGACTTCGCCAATCCCACGAACTTGCCGAAAGCCTCCGCCAGCTTGATGAACGCATCGAGCCTCTCCTTCTTGTACTCGTTCTCAGCGTAGGTCGACTCCAGCGCTGTAAGACCGGAGATGCCTTGCTGCACATTGAGTGTGATCTTGGGGAAGAGCGAGTCGTGGAACTTCTTGACAGAATCGCAAGCGGTATTCAGCAGTGAGATAGCGGAGCTGAAGTCGACATCAGATTTACCCGTAGATCCTTCGAGTGCATTCTTGATAGTACGCCGCGAAGTGATGCGATCGGCGATGAGCTGACAAAAGTCGTCGATTTCGTAGAGCTCACTTTCCCATCCAAACCGCGGGAGGTGGCCTTGGTAGGGCTCCGGGTTTCGAATCGGCGTCGACTAGATGATCAGCGCGTGCATACTCGGTATCGAACATCGTCACGGATACTAACCGTCAACTCAACCACGGGAATTCCTGCAAACAATGCCGCCGACCTGGCGGTCTGGCGGGCGTCATCACTGCAGGACTTCGCAATGCGCACCTCCTGATCCACAGTCCAGAAGCCGCGCAGGTGATTGAGACTCGTGCACACCGTCACGCCTTCGAGTCCCTCCACGCTGTCGCTCACACTGTGTAGCTCTCGACGCTCGGCCCAGTCTTCCATGACCTCGCTACGTTAGCGCTGACCATCGAAGAGGCATTCCGAGAGGAGCCATTACATACCTTCTCATTCATTCTTGGTGTAGGCATAGCGGTAGACATGTTTGGTGTTGCTGTGATAACCTTCTGTGGTCTCAACGAGTCCAAATCGGTCGAACGAGGATGAGTGGCAATACGAAGAGTCTTGGGGGGGGGGGGGGAAGTGGGGGGCGTGCGCCGCGCACTGGGAGCGGGCACCCCCGCCGAATTCCCCTCATCCGAGCATCCCTTCAACACACAGCGTAAATGCGAAAAGGCGATGGCGTGGGGCGCAATGGTCAGGAGTTAGGGTACAAAGGATCTCGTGCGTACTGCAACCCGATAATAACGCGTGGCTGCTGAGCGTGGCGATACGGCAAGACTGGCCTGGGCCATTGTCCCACACATATGCCCTGTGCAGGGGTTTTTCGTGGTTCAACGTCGAGCCACGACCGCGGACAACCCGGCCCCGGGTTGCCGTCAGCGGACCTGATCAGTATCCCTGATCAGTATTCAAGTTGACGTTGATCGATCACATTGACACAGGGGCAGACGTCCCCGTCAACCTCATTATTGGATGAGGTCGGGCTCCTGAGACTTAATGACATATCGTATCGCTTGACAATCGCTATCCCATCTGAATAGTCAGACCAAAGTACACCGGGTCCCGCCCGCCTTCGGACCTGCTCGCTTAGTACCAACTCGACCTATATGTCCAGACGATGAGCTTGTCCGTAATCATCGATCTAGCTTCGGCCCTTCATCTGAGATTTGTCAGCTCAGTCCACTATCCGCAGAGCGTAACGGATCAACCATGAAGCGCGCACTGGATCAGGCAAAGGGCGACTTACGAAGTCGACAAAGAGGTTGAGGCAGACAAGATCCTCATCGTCCACCGAGTACCCGCGGACCGAGACAACAAACTTGGCTAGGACGTCAGCGTCATTCTTCCTTCGCGCGAGCCTCCGCCGAACAGTGTGGGACTAGCTGAGCTGCTCACCATGCGGGATCTCCCTGGGCAGCTCCACAGTCTGGGTGACCTTGTACGGGCCGGCCTCAACGGGGCACTGGACTGAGGCGTTGTTGTTTCGGCTGATAATATCAGCTTTGAATCGCTGCTACACACGGGAAAGCATCGTCAGCTCACGCTTCCTCGCAAACGTCAAATGTCTTCTGGAGCAGCTTGACCAGGCCGAGCTTGACCGTCACGTCAACGTACGCGCCTTCCTGATCCAGTCAGCTCTAGCCTCACATACTACCTCCTGCTACAAGGACGAGAAAGTCCCATATCGAACGGTCGAGCTCACCTCGATACGGTCCAGCACATCCGCTTCCACCGTGACCGTCATGTTCTTGCCCGGCTGGGGCGGATCGGGGCTAACGACGAACGACTTGAGTTGGATGAGGTCAGTCGCCAATCCTATCTGAGTCAGCTTGTGGTTCTACCCGAAGATCTAAGCCGCTTAGCCCACCGCAGTCGGTGTAGCTCCACGAATCGTATGCGTGAACCTCGCCGCCCTTGCTCGCCTGGGCCTCGCCACCCGAGGAGGACACGAGCGCGTTCGCCCATGACACGGCGCTATCCACGCCGAGGAGGGCGAGGGAGGGGACAGCAAGGAGTGGGAGGGCGAGGATAGAGAAGCGCATGGTGTATATACTGAAGGGCTTGTGAAGGTGGATGTATAGAGTGAATGCGAGATAGGGGCGATCATGTGCATGACGACAGCGAGATGCTATCTATCGGGTATTGCCCAAAGCGGAAACGTCATTCGCTGCATGCTGCGGCCCAGATTTCGGTCCACCATCTCTATCATCTACTTTACATTTATGGCTCGCTCAGCTTAGGATGTCGCGTAGGACGCTGGCTAGCTTGTCATCGGGGCTACTCCCCGGGAGTAACAAATCCTCGATGAGCCTAATCGCAAATCCTATCTCGGTCAAGCCAGTCGTCGGCATTCCAGCTCGAAGCGCGTCCACCTCATCCTCAACCGCCCCGCCAAAACGGCCCTCACCTTACCGTCTTATCCCAGCTCACACCTTCCTCGCTCAGTTCGCTCCTCTCCATGTCGCAGGATGGCGACTGGATCTCCTGCCCACATCTCCTGCCGCCCCTCAGACCGCGGAGGCGGGGATGGTGGACCTGCAAGATCGCCGCCTCGTCCGCCTGTACGAGTTTGAGTCGGGAAAGCAGGGCTGGAAGGAGTGTATGCGGTTCATGCACCGCCTAGGCGAGGTGGTGGAAACGCAAGATGCAAGTTGAACAATGAGACCATCATGCTGCTCAAGTTTTGAGCTGACGATCTGCAGCATCATCCAAAGATCCTCGTCATGCCCGCGCAAGACTACATCCCGACCACCATCACCCCGACATCACCGCAGAGCGGATACATCCTGGAGGTCTCAACTCACACGCATACTCCTCTGCCTGCTCCTCCTGCCAACATTGGACAAGCGGGGTCCAAGGAAAAGATGCGGCCAGGAGTGACGAGCAAAGATGTGAGGTTGGCGGAGGCGGCAGAAGAGATCTGGAGGGACAATTCAGGGGGAGGCGCCGTATGAGGAGCCGCGATAAGCCCCGGTCTCACGCCAGGGTTGCTCGAGGCGGTCTCATGCCCGACCAGCGCAAGTATCGCACCAGCAGCACTGGTGTCTTCGGTCTCCGCGGCGTCTAGATTGCCAAGATCAGGAAGGACGAGGAGGCAGAAGTCACACATCGAGACAGAGCGAAGTCAAACAGGACGCGAAGGCGAAGTCTTGTCGCTGCTTGATCAAGATGCATCGGCGCTCTCGCAGAGATTGCTTGATCTGACTTCACCATACTGCTTACATCGGCATCTTACGCTTACCGCTTTGACGTCCCGCTAGGGTTCTCCACCTCAAGACAACTCCCACGCGCCATCTCCTCCAACTTCGCTCCACGGCCTCGCTCTCTGCCGTCGCCTCCCTCGCCCGGGATGTGTCCAGCCCAATGAATACAGTACATTCCATGTCTTATCATCCGCGATAGTCGGTTTACTGTCGGTGCAGGCATTCATCTCGGCGCATCTCTCCCGACCGCTGGTGACAGAAGAGAAGAGAAGAGAGCATCCGCCCTGTCCTAGCTAGTAAGACAGACAATGAATCCGTAGGCAAACCATCACCACTTAACAATAACCATGCATCTCTATGCACGAGTCTACTGACTAGACTGACTACATGCCTCTCCTGCCTTCTTTACAACTTCGCCTCACCGTCCCCACTTCCGACCCGTCTCTCCACAGGTAGTCACCCCTTGTTCTTCATATCCCTCAGCTTCCCCATTACCCTTACGGGCTCGCTCTCCCCAGTCGCCTTCTTCGCCTCGGGAGTGTCGAGCCGCATAAACACATTCCAGGTCTTCTCGTCCGCAATGGTCGACTTGCCTGTCGTGCAATTATCGGTCTCGGCGCGTTTCGCAAGACTGTCGAGTGAGCTCCATGTGCATGATCGCCAGCATCAAGCAACCATGAACTCACCCCTGCAGCGCCTCATTATCTGGCTCAATCTTCAATCCGAACTTGGTGCTTCCCTGCGTGTACTCGTGTCCATTGTACACGACCGTGTCTGATGGCAAGGTACCGAGTTTTGTCAAAGCAGCATGCATCTCAGCAGGTGTACCCTCGAAGAAGCGACCGCAGCCGGCCAGGAAGAGCGTGTCGCTATGGTATCAGCTCCGCCAGTATCGCTATCCAAGGGTCATGAGCCAGGATCCGCTCACCCCGTGAAGACGCCTCGCTGATCCGCCTTCTTGTCTTCAAGGTAGAAGCAGGTCGAGTCTTGGGTATGACACGGAGTATGGAGACACCTACGCTCGTCAGCTGTGATGATCTTCGCCTTAGGGACGGAAAGCTTCTCCATGATGCATGACGGCTCAGCAGAGCGAGCTTCGTCGTGACTCACTTTACATCGATATTCTCCCCGATCTTGAATGTATCCCCATCGTTGACGATATGGTCCACTCCCTGCCCCTTCTTGCTCCCTCCATATACCTTAACCCCAGAGTGAGCCTTGACGAACTTGCTGTTCCCGCCTGAGTGGTCATCGTGGTGGTGCGTCGTGATCACGCTCGTCACCTAGACCATTAGCTCCACTCGCTTGCCCGACGCGGGAGAGAACGAGTCGAGTACTCACCTTGACACCCGCGTCTTTGACCTTCTTGGCTATACCCTCATTATCCCATGGGTCCACAACAGCTCCCTCCTGCGTTGCCTCATCCGTGATGAGGTACATCCAGTTGTCGGACCATGACACTTGGACAGGTTCGATCTTCATCCTGAGTCTACGGCCGAAGTTTCAGCGCCATACTTTTTGCGCGAGGCCACTACAAGGCAGCTGCTCACCTTGCTGACGTGGTGAACTGTCTGGTGATAGAGCGTATACTGAGTGGAGCTCGCATATGGACGGACGACAAGCTATTAGTGGGTCATCCTGGACGCCGGTATGACGCTGGCCCGGTGGAGGTGGAGGTCAACATCAGCGGACATGGCCGGTGGGGGTCGTGGAGTGGACCCCTGGTGGACCTTGGCAGCTTCTCCTGGGGTACCGCTCGCTTGGTCTCTTCGGCGCCCAGCCCATTGGCTCTAGCTTCCTGCGCAGTAGCCAGAATTCATATACATCAAAACAACAAGTTTGCACAATCCCCTAGATCCCCAAGATCCTAGACCCCGTCCTTCTGCGCCAACCGCCGCAGCGCCTCCTCCGCCCCTGACCTCGGTGTGGTCGTTCCCGACTTCTTCGCGCCATGATCACCCTCATCCCCGGCCTCTACCTTCTCCTCCCTTTCTCCCGCATTCGCTGTAGATTCCGCATGAGCCTTTCCGGACCCCATCGCGGGTGGTGGCTGGAGTGGGGCGGGGATATCTTTGGCCGACGAGGATCGAGATGCGTCGTCAGGATGAACACGAGGGGCCGCCAGGTCCGCCTCAATGGCAGAGGCGATGTCGCTTCCTGTTGCCGTAGTAGACGATTCCGGGTGCGGCGGATCTCCTGCTGACCCCTCCACCGCGGCTGTAGGTCCGTCCGAGACCGTTGCTTGGCGGACGGGCGGTGCTGCCTGGTCGGCCTCGATAGCTGACACGAGATCGTTCTCCGTCCCAGTATGGGATAATGGGGAATGTCCGAGAGCTTCCACTCGACTTGACGTGCGCGGATCAGCAACCCCACTTGGCTCCGGTACCGTCGTCTTCTCCTGCCCTTCCATCTTTCCTGGACCTCTCGTCCCCCCCGCCTCAGGATCTTCCAGCTTCCTGAAAGCAGCTTTATCCGACCCCGCTGGATCCTTGAAATCCGACAAGATCTCCTTCCCATCCTCGCTGACCCGCCTAACCATCCCCAATCCCCCCGGACTGCTTCCTAAGCCCGTCACCTCTCCAGGGCGCTTCATCACCCTCGGTACGACCATACTCCTCCCCATACCCGGCTGGACCGATACTGGCTGCTGACTGATTGAGCCTGTGGCAGAACGGACCGAATCGGTACTGGGTCTCGCGACGCGTTCGTCCTTTTCGCGCTTGTCAAAGATGTTGCTGCTGGACGAAGGATCCGCCGAGGACCGAGGGAGCGGTGTCCATTGTGAATCGACGGATGCCGGGGATGTGGGGGAGAGGGTAGGCACGGATAGTTTGGAAGGGGAGGAGAGGAGGGACGGTTTTGAGCCTGTCGCACCGGTGGCGCTGGTCCGGCTCGAGTCGGTCCCGGACCTTGGACGCCCATTCGCCGTGACCGGCATCGGGACGGAGCCTATTGTCGGGCTCGTTCCGAGACCCGTATGCTCACCTGACGCCAAAGAGGTGGTATGAGCAGCAGCGTCCAGCCGCTCCTTGAGCGACTTTCCGTGCATGTCCAGGCTCTTCCGCACTTCTGCCCCAGGCGCGCCGTGCCCCATCGCCTTCCCATACGCTATGCCCGCGGCCGCATCCCGCTCATCCTCTGCCGGTCTGTAAGCCGCTGGCTTGATCGGTTCAGGCGAGGACGGGGCAGGTATAGCCGCAGACACCTTGCGCTTCGCCGCAAAGTTCATCCATCCCTTCTTGACCCCGTCCATTCCCGTCTTGGTAATATCCTGCAGCGCCTTCTTGTCGCCGGCTCGGAACTGCTTGACGGCAGATAAGAGGGCGGCGGATGAGGTGGAGGGGGAGGTGCCCTCGGTGCTGATACTGGGTGCCGTACCGATGGTCCGAGCCGACGAGGAGGCGATGGATGCAGTCTCGGCGGACAGGGTGTCGATAGATGCGCGCCGGTCCGACGAGGCGATAGAGATCGGTGTTTGTGATTTGGAGGGAGGGCTTGGGTCGCGTGATGAAGATGCAGTGGCATTGGGGATCACGAGGCTGATAGCGGGACTCGCGCCGCTCATCGCAGGCGCCGGGACGGTGGATGGAGGCCTCGATGAAGGAGCGGATGATGGACCGGCTTTCTCGACAGAGCCAGCCAGACTGGGGACGGGGAACCACTTGTCCAACCCGCTCGTCCGCTTTTGAGCACCCGCGCCAGGGTCGAGGCTGGCCGGAGCGGTATCAACTCGAGCGATCCCGATGACCGGCTCGTCCTTGTCTAGACTGTGGTCCATCGTTTGCGACTTGCTCGGTAGCCGTTTGCGCATTCCGGTGGTTTCCGCGGTGGCGGATGATGGGTCCTCGTGTGATGTCGTGACCTCTCCTGGACCTTTTGGCTCCTCGGTGACAGCAGCGTCCGCTTCGGCCGCTTGAGGTTTCCGGCGGTATTTTGACGCAGAGGAGAAGATACCGCCCCGGATGTCGAGGTTGGAGGTGTCAAAGAACGCCAGGTCGTCCATCGCTGGAAGAACGATAGACTCGGCGATCTATACATATCAGCTATCATCCTCCCGAGGCATACCACAACTCACGACTCGCCGCAACAAGCTATCCAGCTGGTTCAACACCACCGACAAGTTCAGTTTCCTATCCTGCACCACCGGCCTTATCTCCACCTCGAGCTTTGGCGCGCTCGTAAATCCCCACCAGATCCGGTTACTCGGCGGCTCCTTGATCCGCAGCAGCACGTTCCCCTCGAGCGTCTTGAGCCGCGCTTCCACCATGATATTGACGGTGACCTGTTTGTAGCCGAGGGGGATGATAGCTTGGGTAGAGGCGATGAACCGGACTCCGGAATCTTCGTCGGTCGGGTCAGTGCGGTACTTGAGACCCACTTCCATCGCTGCGCCGCCGGTGGGAGTGAGGTCTTTGAGCATCGGCCGGAAAAAGCTGGGAGGTCAGCTGGACAATCCGGCCGCTCTGGTTGATAGACTCACATAGGTGGCGTCTTGCCAACGTGTACCTCGTCTATCACAATCTCTCCCAACCACGCAGGCCGCTGCACCTTGGTGAGCTTGAGCTTGATCTTGTCGATGATTTTCTGCCAATCAGTTTCCACCTCGCCTCCCAGACACCTAATACAGCTGTACTCACATCCTCGATTTGACTGGTCTGGTTCAAGCTCAGGAAGATCCTGCCGACAAAGGCATTGAGCCACCTCGTCGACAGCGGATCTGGCTCGGTATCGATAGTGTTGACGAGCTGTTTCATACCGGCGAAAGAGAAGACATCGTTGATGGTGGGACGAGCAGACGAGACCTGGAGGAGGGAGATGTATAGGTCTTCCATCCTGACCTATCAGCTTTCACACTGCAAGCCTACGCTCGTCCCAGGCCCCGGGTTGCTATGAGACGATCCTCGCACCCACCGTCCCTCTGAGCCCGAGGAGCTTGGACCGAGCGTACTGCAAGCCCGGAAATGCAGACTCACTCAATGTTCCTCGTGCTGAAGAAGAACCAAGGCGCATTCTCCATCTCTTCGTGATGCTCCTTCTCCTTTTGCGTCGCATCCGCATCCACAGCCCCCATCCCCTTTGCCAATACCGGCAGACCTTCTTTCTTCTCCTTACTTCCCTTCGATGTCAACTCCACCTTTTCCTTCTCGACCAAGCGCATGACACACGCATTCCGCTTCCCGAACATCTCCCCGTCTTTTCCGTCAAACGGCTTGCTCCCTCGCGTCTCCTTTCCATTAACCCATTCGGGCTTCTCCATTCCGACTGTGTACTTTTCGATCGATATCGCCGCAACGCAGTCGGTCTGCTTGTCGTCGTCATACAGGAAAAGCACAGAGCCTTTGAGGACGCAGTAGAAGAGCTCTTTGGGCGGCGCGGCCTGGGTCTTTCGGACCTGCTTGTACGCCCCAACGAGTCGCTGGCTGACTGAGGGGGCAGACGCAACGGCAGCAGCGCTAGCCTTGCCGTCCTTGATCGCCCCAGCTGATCCGCCATCATCTGACTCCTCCTCTTTGACCTCGGCGCCCGTAAGGTCGGTCGAAGCGCCAAAGAGGAAGCTCGTATTGCTCGGCGTTGGCCGGAAATGCCGGCGGACAGTGAGATAGCCAGCGAAGCTCCTCTTGGTACCTTCGATACCGGCCGTTTCCTCCTGTGTGGCTGCCCCAGCTCCAGCGTCATGTCGTCTTTGCGCTCGGAGCTTGGCCCGCTTCATGGGGTCATCATCGCCGATGGGAACGCTCCCGTAAGTCATGACCCACCCTGACCATTAGCAGTATCCGCTACAGTAGATTAAGCTACTCACATATTGTCAGGCCTATCAATACCGGGATGCAGGTAAATCCCCCGAGAATGTAGATGAAGAGCCACTGGAAGGGCCACCACATGCTGGACCAAGGGTTGGTGTTGACAGCTAAGGGAGGAGCTTCCAATCCCGTCGAGAGCGTTTGAGGCAGCCTGGGTCGGCCTGATGAGAGTATGCAGGCAGCTGATGGCGGGGCTCAAGGGATATGCAAGCGAAGTATAGTATGGTATAGTGCAGCTGTTGCTTTGGTGGTTCAACCGCTTGATGACGTTGTTGCGTGCCTGAGAGCCACGTGGCTGCGTTTCAGAGTTGGGTCTTGTTCGGTGGCGAGAACACCCCAAATCGATGTCAACACCCGCCTTCTTGCTTGCTCCTCCAGGCGCATCCAAGTCTGCTCCATCTAAGATCGGGCATCGCCTATCCGTAGGTTGATATTGGGCCTCGTTTAGAAATAAACTTCAGGTGCCGAACGGTGCCTAAACGTCTGAGCAGATGGGTGGCAAGAACACAGAACCCCCAAGCTCTTGAGAGCGCAGGTGATCGCGATGCCGCGTCCATGTTTGACTCCACCTGACACAAACATGTCTCGCCACTTAGTCGGCAATTCCATCGACCCGTGAGTCGCGCGTGAGGGGAACACCACATCGTAGCGCCACCCAACGATAGTATCGCTCACCTAGACCATGTGAGAATAGTACCCAAACAACTGGTTTCCGTCTGGACAACGTCAAGTGCCTGTCTGTCACCTGGTCACAGTGAATACATCATATTGAAAAACTGACCAAACTTGTCTGTCACCTGGTCATAGTGAATACATCATATTGAAAAACTGACTAGGGTTTACGTCTTCGGGCGGTTCATCCCTTTTGCCAATGAAGACGTCTCCTACCCCTGGCCAACGTTTACTAGCTTCTATACAGCCTTGTAGCGGAGTGGCATGCTTTTGGTCAATGTTAAACCCCTCCTGCAGGTCCTGAAGTGTCATCAAGCCTTGGGCTCGCACTCTGACCCCTTTTTCTTGATGTCCCACTCACCTCATGATTGGCTCCCCGCGGAAACCATCAACAACCCAACGTACTGCCCCACTTCGGCCGCATTTAGGCCTTTACCTTCAGCTAAACGCCCTCTGCTAATGCTAATGCCTCAAACGATCGTTGAGCGGGGCCGACCTTGGGAATAGAATGGGTGCACTCCGACGAAGTATAGATATATGCATTGCCTTACCGCTCAGAGGCTCCCGTTCCCCAGGATTCTGACCACATATTGAAATTATACCTCTCAATCTCCCCATCTATTCTTCTCCCCTCTCCTTCCAAGAGGACCTCATCCCCATGTACCACCTTGATGCCCACCTCTCCCACCACAAATGGTGAAGCCAACATGCTCGCTCGTCCTCGTTCCAGCTTCATCCTCATCTCTCCCCCATTCGTCAAAACCACCTCCAAATCCTTCCCTCTCCGCAGATCCGAGGGGACTACTACCACGATGTTGATAAGATCTTGCGCCCAATCCGCCTTGTCCGGCCGCCCCACCTCATCCTTATCAGCCACCAAATCCTTCGAGTGGGTTCTATACCACATCCACACCCTTATGTTCTCATTCTCCGAGCCTTTCCCGTCTTTTCTCCGGTTTCCCTCCCCTTTCCACAAATCCACCCAGTAAGCAGTCATCTCCCTAAACGCCTCGTGCCCCATCCCATCCGTCCATGACTCGCTGCCCGGCTGAGCGCCCAATACCGGTCCAATAGCGTGCGACTCGCCATGATCATTCCAGCTGATCACCTGAATGATATCCGGCTGTCTTTCCTCTTCGAGCGCGAGCAGCTGGGTCCAGCGCGTAGGGTAGAGTAGGCGATCCGAGGGAAAGATCCAATTCTTGTTCCACGCCCACTGGCCGGTCGTGCCGTAGTGCGTGAAGAAGAGGGGTGAGATAGAGGTCATGTAGGCTTTCCGACCGGCGGGGTGGGAAGGGCGTCGAGAGGAGGAAGGGAGGAACGGGTCGTCCTCGTGAAGAGAGGTTGAGTTGTTGGTGAGAGGCCAAGCGGCGTTCCAGTTGAAGATCCCATCGATATAGGGGATGCTTTGTAACTCATGTGGCGGGAGGAAGAAAGAGGGCCAGAAGAAAATCTAAGTGTGTCAGACCTCATAGCTAAGGGAGCAGAGGTTAACGTACCTTCTCGCCCAGCTCCCGATTGAGCTCCTCCAGCCATCCCTCCCACCCACCACCGCCAAAAGTAGCATCATGACCACTGAATGTGCTCAACACCCGCCGGCCCTTCCATCTCAGATATCCCTCTTGCCGCAGTAGCTCTCCCATAATCCTACTCAATCGCTCACCGTCGGCCGTCGACCACTTCGGGAGGACATTCATATCCATGCTGACGAACAGCCTCAGTTTCTGCTCGGACGCGCTCCGGGAGAGGGTCGAGTAGAACGAAGTGGCTGATGGTGTAAAGCGGCCAGAGCGGCCCTGCAGGACGTGGAAAGCTGACAGGGCTTGGGCGTGCTGCCATTCTTCAGGACCTATGTTGAGGGCGAGCGCGTCCCTGGACTGTCAGCTTGGCTCCGCATGGGAAGGCGGGGCGGCAGCTCACAGCCCAGTCTCTTCGGCTTGGTCAAAGGTTGTATGCCAGTCTTGCTCGGTGAAGGGATAAGTATTACCAAGCTATGTCCATCAGCATCAGTCCGCCTGCGTCACTCGAGGGGACTCGCATTGCCAAAACTTACCATAAAGTGCGCAACGACCAGTCTGTCCCTCTCCTCACTCCCTTCTCCATGATCGGGCCGTCTACCACCCCTCATACTACCCCAATGTGCCCTCAGTCCCTGCATGAGAAGAAGGAGTGCCAGCAGACAGGCGACTGGGCGGAAGTAGGGGTGAGCAAAGAGATTGCGGGCAGATGTGCGCGCTGAGGAGGAGCTGGTAGGCAGACCGCGCTGAATCATCAGCCGATTGACATGCGATCCGCAGCTGGCGTACGTACCATGAGGCTCAGCTCTCAGCCAATAGGAGGGACCAGATCAGTTAGACAGCTGGACAGGAAATGATGCGGAGCAGGAGGAGTTCGTGGGGTTTGACGCGTCGAAGCTTTGACGTTTCGGAATTTTGACGTCGCAGGAGGGCATGTTTCATGTCCGTCCATGCGGATTAGACAAGCTTCTGGGCGATATACGGCCAAGCCTGAGGTACAACGGCACAGCTTGCATACAGTAAAGCCTAGCCTAATATCAAAAAAGAAACGAAACGATAAATACATGTAAAAATAGGTAAGGGCCGAGAACTCCCTCATAGCCGGATACCGTGAAAAGACAAGATGGTCGGATCCGAGAGAGAAAAGCACATGATAATGCAGGACGCAGCGTAGGTATGAGCCGGGGAGCCGAGGACCGAGAAGTGTGGACAATGTCGATTATGCGCAGAAGGGGAGACCGAGCCGAGATGATATGGGTGTATTTGGGACGTAGGTGTCGTTCCGATTTTAGCGTTTTGGGATGGGGGCGAAATGGAATTAGGCCTTGACGGCGATTGGGGTGTTCTCGGAGGACAAGCCGCCCGCCATTCTCGCGAAGGACATGGATGGGCGCTTGGCTGTACCGGTCCCATTGGCGGTGGTCGGAGCCGGAACCGGCGCCGGGGTGGACGCGGTGGTAGGGGTAGACGAGGAGGGCTTGACGGAGATGACGACGCCGTCAGACTCGTTGTCCGAGTCCATCTCGATGCTCTATAAAGTCAGCTTCTGGCCTCGGCTGAAGGGTCCGATGCTAGCTGACATACCTGGTCCGACTTGCCGCTGTCTGCGCTGTTTTCCCTCTCGGGAGCCTTAACGACTGGCTTCTCCGGAGCCGGAGCAGAAAGCACCTCAGCCGCCGTCCTTCCCCTTGCTACCGGGCTTGCCTGCTTGCTGTCCAATCCGCCCATGCCACCGAGAGCAGGGAACTCATCCGCTCCGGGGACACGCTGGTTCCGCTTCACCGCCGCAGCAGGCTGGACCTTGCCGTCGGTCGAAGCCGACCTCGGTCCGTGCCCGTTGGCGCCCGCCTGGGCGGAAGCAGCGTTCGGCGCACCGTTCGCCATAGGCGCAAAGCCCGGTCGTGACGCGGCGCGCTTGGGGTGCCCGCCGCCGTGGAACGAGACATTGCTGGGAGCGGGCGAGTGCGAGCGGGAGTTGAAGCCGTTGGCGTGGACACGCTGAACACCGGGCTGCGATGCCGAGCGGATGAGAGCCGGGACGGGCGCAGCGGGCGCAAGACCAGTCTGAGGCTTAGGCGGCAGGGTAGAAACACCCTTGTCGGCCGGTGTGGCGATCTTGGTGGCCTCGGACGAGACGGACGCCTCGGTCAGGGTCTGCGAGCTGCTGAGATCCTCGCTGGGTCCGGTAGGCGAGGTGGCCGACCCGTTTTGCGCTGCAACCTGCATAGCCGCCCGCTGTTGCTGCAGGACGATCTGCTGCTGCTTGAAGGCGGGGTCGTACGTGGGGTACGTGCGTGGTGGGCGGATGACGCGCGGGGCGGGCATGGGCGGAATAGCACCGCGGACGAGGTCGGGATGACGGCCTAAGCATCAGCTACTGAGTAACAGCTTCTCGGAAGTGTCACTTACAGTCGTTACCCTCCGCATCGATATGGGGGAACTTGCACATGTCTCCGCTCCTGCACTTGCCCTGAGGGAAGAACATGCACGCAGGCGGCACTCCGTCCTTCCACGGTCCAGTTCGGAAACCGGGAGCAAATGGCCTAGGTCCACCAGAGAACGAGGCCTTCTTGCCGGGCCCACCGAAGCCCATCTTGCCGCCGCCGGGACCAGCCGGGATGGGGACGCCAAACTGGTTGAAGCTTTGACGCCTGTTACCGTTGGCCCCTGGTTGAGGGATCATCGGCATGGGTACGAAAGCGGGCGGGAAGTTGCCGAGGAAGCCGTTGGCGGGAGGGGGAGAGGCAGCAGCAAAGAACTGGTCTGCGGGAGGGATGGACGGGAGGGAGTTGCCGAGCATGGAGGGCGAGAGGGGCGAGGCGCCGAATTGCGGGGGAGACATGGGGAGCTGAGGTTGCTGGAAGCCAGGGATGAAGGCAGGAGGCATCGAGTTGAGGTGCTGGGGAACGGGGATGGGCTGGCCCTGGAATGGCTGCTCCCCGTTGGCCGGTGCGGCGTCAACAGTCTCCTCGGACCCTTGCTCCGGGTGCGAGGGGAGTTGTTGCCCTTGCTGCTGGAACTGCCCGCCCATCTCCCCATTCGGCATACCGAAATGCTGGAACCCCTGTCCCGGCTGGAACCCACCAAATCCGCCCTCGTACCCGAAACCCTGTTGAGGGAAGAACGGCGCGTCCTGGCGAGGGTGGAAGAACAGGCATCCGTGCCCGTACTTGCAGTTGGGAAAGTTCCGGCAAGGAATCGTCTTTGCCACGTCCGCCGGGGGCAGGTTGGCCTGCGCCTGGCTCTGCCCAGCATCCGACTCGCGGTGCTGACGCTGTCCTGGTTGGGGGTAGGGCATGTACATCCCGTTGCCGTTACCGTTACCGTTGCCGTTGGGTTGCGAGGGATAGAATGGGGGCTGGGGGTAGAAGTCCGAGTTCGGCTGGTGTTGGGGATGAGGGTGAGATGGCTGTGATTGTTGCTGCTGCTGCTGCCAAGGGGGGATACCGTACATGTGAGGAGGGTAGAGCAGGGCGAGCATCTGCTGGTCGTTGGTCACCGCCGGAGGAGGTACAATGGCGCCAGCTTGGAGCAGCTCCCGCACGATCTCGGGGTGGTTGTTCCGGATAGCAAGGACGATTGGGGTGCAGCCGGTTGATGCGTCTATTTCGTCAGCTTCTTCGACCGGTCTCCAAAGGTTGCTGGGCTGGGTGACTGTAAGCGGGAGGGGGCGCGTATTGGCCAACGTAGGCTTGTGGGTTGGGATGAATAGGAGATCTCGGCGGGTGAGGCAGGAAGTTGGCGTGTCTCGTCCCTTACGGGCCTTGGCCGGATCGACGGGATTTGACGATGAGGAAGATACCGAAGATCAAAACAATGAAGACGGCTGCAACCAAAGGCCACGGGAGAGGTAGCTCACCAAGCACCTCCAGACTCTCCACGCCCCTGCTCAAAGCCTCCCGGACCCCGTCCAGCCTTCCTTCGGCGCACGCGCGGTGCAACGCCGAACCAGCCTCCTCCGAAACTCCCAGCCCTTTCATCCCTTGTTCCACTCCCGCCACGGGCGCATCCTCCGCATTCTCCTGCACACCTCCGTTCACCACCTCTCCGTTCGGCGACTGTGCCTGCACCGACTCAGCGGGCAGCTGCTCGGACGCAGCTTTCGGGGAAGCCATCTTGACCGGTCGGACGGAGTGGGCAGCCTTTTCAGCAGGAAGGCAGCTGGCGCGGCGAATCAAAAAGGTCGCTGATGACCAAGAGGGCGAGCGGGAGGACCTCGAAGCTACACCGAGGAGGAGGGCGGCGGTATGTATGGAGATGGGAGAGGTGGTGATGGAGGGGTTTGTTGATGAATTGAAAGGCGCGAGGTTTGAATTTTCGACTTTGCCCGCCAAAATATTGCTTCCGCCTCGAATTTCGTAACCGCGGTTTCAGGCACCGAATTTGGCTGGGGTTCCCGTGCCCTCCACCTCCACCTCTTCACGCCGGCTGCTAGGTGTCAGTGCATGCATCAGCGGTGAGCTATGGTGCACGCGAGGGTAGGCCTGATAGGGGGCTGTGAAAGAAGGTGGGGAAAGGAGGTAAGAGGAAAGGGAAAAGCTCACGGGGATCCAAGCTCCTGCCGAGCTGAGGGAGTCTCAAGGCTCGCGGTCTCCTCCTGATGTTGTCTGGCGTTTATCGCGGATGTAGATCCTGATTAGCGCTATATCAGTAGTCATAAGAAATTCACTCCCCTTCTCCTCCTCTCCTCTGCTCAAACCCAGAACGGAATGCATAACTTCTTTTCCTTCTTTTCCCCTTTCGTTCTGCTTCACCCCAAGAACAACCAACCTACTTCTTCCTGTTCAAGCTGTCATCGACAATCCCCGCCTGCTTCATCGACTGAGCGAGCAGACCAGCGAGGGAAGGCGAGAACTGCTTGACCTGGTCGACGAGGTCCCTGGGCTCTCCGGGGAGGAACTTGGCGGCCATCTTGAGCTTGCTCTCGAGGTTCTTGGCCTGGTCGCTTTAGTCATTACTCTAGGCGATCACGAGGCCTGGCGAGACGTACCATCGCCTCAACGTCCACCTTTCCATCCTCAGCCTTGGACTTCATCCATGACTCGATCTGGTCGGCAGGGAGACCGGCAGACTTGGCGGCGTCCTTGATCTGCTGGATAAGGGCGTCGACATCGGCGGGTGCAGCTTGAATGTCAGCTTCTCATCTGAAGAGCAGCTGACCAGCGGGAACAGCTTACCCTCCTTAAGCCCCTTGATGTACGCATCTGCCGTCCCCTTACCCTCCTTCTTGGCCTTTTCGACCTGCTGCATGACCTTGCTTGCGGCCGCCTCGATCTCCTTGGTCTTCTCCTGACCCGCCTTCTTCAGCTTGGAGACGAACTGGTCGTAGTCCTCCTTGCTAGGGATCTGGCCGATAAACATCTGCGGTATCAGCTTAGGCCTGCACCCCAGCCAGAACTTTGGCTCACATCGACGTATTTCTGGCTCGCCTCAGGAAGCTCCTTCTTCAACTCCTCAGCGAGCGCCTTCCAGTCCACATCCTGGACCTTGCCGTTCGCGGCCTTGACGCGCTTCTCGACCTTCTCGACGATCCGCTTCACGTCGTCCCCGCCTGACGCCTTGACCTGGTCAAGCACACCCTGGATGTCCTTGTCCTTCAAGCTGGAGAGGAGACCGTTGATCCCGCCTTCGGACTGGGCGAGGGCAGAGTAGATCCCGAATACGCCTGGGGGAAGGACGGACTTGGCGAGTGAGGCGACGAGGTCGGAGGAGGTGTCCTATTCTATCAGTCTTCCTCTCGTTCCACAAAGCGAAGAACTTACAGCACCAGACTTGACAGTCTTGACGGTGTTGTTGGCGGTCGCGGCGAGGTCACGAACAGGCTTGAGGTACATGTACCCGGCACCACCGAGAGCGACGAGCGCACCGAGAACGATAAACATGCCGGTGTTGCCGCCGCCGACGGGCTGGGACGGGGGAGGAGGGGGAGGAGCAGCCGCATCGGCAAACGAGCGGATAGAGATGCGCTGGGCTCGGGCGACGGGGGCGACTTGGCGCGAGGCGACAGCCGTGCGGCGCTGCGGTCATTAGCCCGGGCATTACTTTTGTTAATTCCCCGTTCATCCTCTCCCTCTCTGCTCTTCCATCTCCTTGCGAGAGTCTCCTCCCTCCCTTTTCGTTCCAATACGGCTTCCCCTTCTCCATCTCATTGACCAAACGGCTAGCGGAGAAAAGACTTACGGTAGTAGTGGTCCGAAGAGCCGGGGCCTGAGAGGCGATTCGGAGAGCTGATGTGCGCATCATGTTGTTGATTGTATATACGTTGAGCTACTTGGGGTATCGATGGGAGAATGAGAGGTGGTACCAAGAACAACAGGTCGCTAATTCTCAGTCTACGTTGCCGGAAGTACAGGGAAGGAGCTAGGAGGAATGGGATTCCAATGACGTCATGACGCGACTCACCGTCGTCACGCGTCACTGATCACTGCACCATCGCGCAAGCCTCCAGTCCCAGCTGCCGAGGCGAGAATGCAGGACGGAGCACGATGAGACTTATGAAAGCTGAAGGGTGGCTCAGGGCTGGGGAAGAGCAAGGGCGGAAGGGGAAGGAAGGGGAAGGAAGGGGGCCTGGGCAGATGACCAAGGAGCTGGATGGAAATTGCTAGTCATAATGATCTCATATTTCCACTACCTGCCTACAACCTAAACAGACTTATCACCTTCGCCGCCCGTGTCCACCACATCTCCTTCAGATACTATACTGACCCATGAAACATCGAGCAACAAACAGATAAACCACCACCTACTGAACAGAAGATGATACACAGACGACCGACGGGCCCCTCTCTCTCACCCCCCTTCTCCACTTCACACCTGCTTCCATCCCCTCTTCCCCTCCTCGCTCACCCGACCCGCCGCCTGAGCATCGGAAGCAGCAGCAGCCACCTCCTGGTGCTCCACCTCGACCTTCTTGCCTTCTTCCGCATGCGCGTGCGCATGTCCATGCCCCGCATCGGGCACTTCGGGCGCAAGGACAAATTGGGGTCTTCCGTCCTGTACCCCGTGCTCATGCCCATGCACCACGTCATCCTCCTCCTCCTCCTCGTCGCTCTCATCCCTAGCACCCGCGGGCCGCAACCCCTCCAACATCCTCTCGGCCCCCTCCGGGAGCGTCGCGCGACTCGCCGAGCGGTGCAGGGTATGCGTGGTCCTCGTGCTCCGGATGGACGGAGCGCGCGAGGCCATTCGGGACGCAGCGGGCGTACGGTGCGGCTTGGCATTCTCGGGTAGGGCCAGCCGGAGGAGGGAAGTGTACGGCTGACGGCAGACGGGGCAGTACCATCCCTTCGCCTTTTTCTTGCGGCGCTCGCGTCCGCCGGTGGTGGTTCCGCCAGCGACGGCGGTGGCAGTCGTGGTCCCGCCGGTAGTAGCGGCCCCAGCGCCAGCTCCAGCTCCAGCGCCGGTACCGCCTGTAGCTCCGCCTCCGGCATCCTCGCCCGCGCCCTCGTCTCGCCGAGCGACCTTTCCGCCAGCTCCAAACTCCACCATCCCCACCGCGCAGTCCCGGCAGACCACCAAGTGGCGACACGGGAGCAGAACGACATCCCTCGGGCTCGTGAGGCACACAATGCACTCGTTTGGCGTGGAAGCGTACGGGTCATCCTGGGGCGGATAGTTTGAGCCAGAGTTTTGGTTGGACGCCGAAGAGAGACCGTAGATTTCCTTGAGGAGGAAGGTGTGAGCGCCGATCTAGTCTGTCAGCTTTACCGTCTTACCATGCAACGAGTCAGGTACAACATAGCTTACGATTGCTTCACGGCGGACAACCTTGACGACCCAGACTCGCTTCCCCGCTTGCGCAGGTCCAGCGGTAGATCCCGCCTCCGGCACCCACATCCCATTGATAAGTATATGCGTCAACTGCGCATTCCGCCTCTTTAGCGCCTCGCCTGCATAATCAGCTTTGCCCACTACTCTTTCAATCAGTTAAATGACGAAGCTCACCCTCAGCCCCAACACCCTCAATCTTGATCAACAGCCTCATCCCCTTCTCCAATTCCTTCTCCTCCTCCTCTGCTGGTTTCTCCCCCGTCTCGGCCGTCCGATCCACCATCTCAATATTGCCCCCCGCCTCCAGATCCGGCTCCCTCCTTCCCCTCAATCCAAACATCCTGCCCAACCGTCCACCTCGAGTCCCCTCCTCCCCGCCCTCCAGCTCCGGCACAGTCGCCAGATCCGGCTGCGTAGAGAGTTGCATGCCCCCCATAGATCGCTCAAGGGAAGACCGGTTCGTATCCTCCGACATGGTCTCTCTTGGCAATGCCACCTTGTCGTCGTTCTCCGCAGCCAAAGCGAGCACCTCCGCCGAGGGCATAGCGGCCATAGCGGAGCTCAGATCGATAGCGGAGGACGAAGGGAGGTTGAAGACCCGGTTGAACCCGCCCTCGTGCGTTCCCGAGTAGATGACCTTGACTTCGTCTTCCTCCTGGATCGACTCTTTGCCCTCGACGGCAGGCTGCGGCGAGGGATAGACGAGCAGCGTAACGTTCACGAGCGGTGTGGTGGCGTCATAGTTGAATTTGAGGACGTGAAGGGGTGCCGAGGGGAGCATGGACGGGCGGCGGTTCTCGGCAGGAGCAATTCCGTCCTCTGGAACAGCTTCGACCTGGGCGGGAACTTCCAACTGTTGGAGCTGCAAAGTGGGTCGTTTGAGGTTGACGAGTGCTTGAAGAGTAGTGGTCGCGTGCAGACCCTGGGATGTCAGCAAAAATCCCTCAATTGACGATTATTCGCCACCGCCCACCGCCCATCGCCACTAATCCCCTCCATGGCATATACATCAACTCACCTCTTCACTCTTCGCTCGCTCGACCCACCCCTTGATGACATCCACCCCGATCTTGGCCCCATCCTCCGCCTGCGTCCACCCCGGCTCATCGTCCTCCCCTACATCCGGCCCAAAGATCGTCTCGCGCCGGCGCGCATTCTTGCCATCCTCCGTATCCGCGTTATTGCCATTCGCACGGTTGGCCCGCGCGGCATCGACGACGAGGGTCTGTTGTGCGACAGGACCGGCACCGTTACGGGGTACGAGGGAGGGGGCGCGAAGCCGGGTGTTCCGGAACGTGCCGGAACTGGCGGTCAGCAAGTGCCCTTTCCGTTATCAAAAAGAAACGCACTATTGTTGGGTATACCACGAGGAGATGGCACTCATAGTGGCTGTACTTCAGAGAACGGGAGTTGAGAGATAGATCGTGGGGTTGCTGAGCAATCGACAGCGACCCGCGGATGACGCAGATAAGTGGTCCGGACCGGGTCTCAAATATCGGCGAGGATCGATTCTGACCGTCCTTTGAACGTCGGAGACTCTGGGCTCTGGTTCACGGTTTCAAGAGACCTGCTCTCTGTTGTTATCGCTGATAGGACTGCTCTCGCTGTATGTATATGAGAAGCGTATGTATGATATGGAGCGGATTAGAGAAGGATGGCCTCACCTTGTGCGCCGATCGCTTGCTCGGGTCCCCGGATACAGGACAAGAGTGAGGCGGAAATCTGATCCCGCTCAGATCCACTTGGCGAATGTGGCACCTCCGCCATTAGGGCGGCAGGGGCAGTACTACTGTAGAGTATGTACACGAGAGAGGAGCGCATCCAGGCAGGACATGCACAGTCTGCGATACATACGTACTTGAGTCATTGCCATCTTCCCCGCTGTCGTTCACCTCATTAACACATCTCTGCGGTCATCGGAAAGCCCCCTACTACGATCCCTTTCCCTCCCACACAAGGAGACCTCCCATCAATCGCCCGACCCCCTCAGTCATCCACCACAATCACATCGTCGCCCCCACCTGCGCCACCCCTCCCTGACCCCGCTCCCCCTTCATCACCCCTCGCCTTCTTGGCCCTATGCCCCTCCCTCCCGCCGTTCGCCTTCCGATGCCCATTCCCACTCGCCCTAGACCCGCCGCCCGTACCCAGCACCTCGATATCCGAGCCCGCATCCGAAAGCGCCTCGATTCCCTCATCATCGGAATCATCCGCCAGGATAATAGCATGAGACGTATTGGACCCGCTCGAGCCCGCCGCGGGGGCCGTTCCGTTCGCCTGAGAATGGGTGCGGCGCGTACCAGCGATCTGGGCGGGAGGTGGTACGGGAGAGACGGACGAGACGGAGTTACCATTACGGGCGCGGGAAGAATTGGCCGAGAGAGCTGTACGGGATGAGGCGGCGCGTTCAAATGGAGTTTGTTTTGGGGCGGCGGGCGCAGTGACGGGTTTCGCTGGCTTGGCATACCTATCCTTGTCAGCTTAAGCCATCTTGCACCTGCGAGCAAGACCAGAAGGCAGCTCACAATCTGACCCATTCTCGAGCGGTATCATCGTGCTTCTTCTTGTTCCGCCGCAATTCCTGCGCTATCTGGGGGACGAGCGGGTCGGCGGGGTTTGGGTCGGTCAGAAGGGACGAGAGGGAGAGGATGACCTTGTAGAGGGATAAAGCGGGGGACCAGGCATTCTTCAACAGCTGGAAGGTCAGCTCAAGCTTCGTCTGACTCGCACGGTCGAGCTGCTGAGAGCAGATTAGCGGACTTACGTCAAGACAGATTCCCCCGTGAGCATTGACGTTGCAGTGGTACACCTTGGTGACGAACTGTATTTGAGGCGGCGCGAACCTAGTATATCAGTCCCTGTGATGGGACATGGGCAGTATGTGACCGCATCAGTAGACATACGGGTAGTTCTCTGGTATCCGGATATCCACCTCGAATATTCCGCCCTCATATGGCGATCCCTGAGGCCCAGGAAGGGTTGCGCGCCACATGAATATATTCGACTCATTGGGTGTGAGAGTGATATCGCCCAGAGACTCCTTGGCGAGGTCTGCTATCTGCGGACGTCAGCTATATGACCCGAGCGCGGGCGGACGTTGGATCGGAGGGTGGCAGCTGACCTCCTTCTTTATCCGCTTGCTTGCTGTCTGCCCAGTCAGCTTGATTCCCATCACAAGAGGTCGGGGACTAGCTCACGGCATTACTGGGAGGCATGTCTGGTCACCGGGACGAGTCCAGCTTGAAGTTGCAGGGAGGTGGCCAATACAGTGGACTAGAAAGGTTGACGTGACTGATTGCTCGTCCGTTTGTGTTCTTTCCACGAATGTGTGATACAATTCCGGAGACTCCCTCTGCTTTTTGCGCCGACTGCGCCGACGGGTATGAGGAATAGGCAAGATGTAGCTGCACTTGTTATATGGACGAGGCTGACAAAGATACCGCACGCGCCGCTCACCCAACTTAAGCTTGCAATAGGAGACGGGGATGGCTTCGATCTCCGTGACGGGACTGGAGCCCCGCAGTGGATGATCGCCCCGCCGGGAGACGAGGAGAGACAAAGGGTACTCAGGCAGGTCAGCCACTTGACAACACCCTTCTCTCTCCTGTATCTATCATATCACTCGGATCAATCATATCCAGATCTAAGCACAAGTATCCTGTGGCCTAGCTCCCGCAAAATTCGCATCGAACGACCTGCAACCCCCAAAGCCCGTCGATATGGCCGCTCCGCACCCTCTTGCTTCTATCCCTACAGGGGTCAGCCTCCCCTTACACTTTGCTCCTGGTATCGCCGATCCGTCTCAGGATGCCAGCAGCTCGAAGAAGAGGAAGCGATCAGCCAAGGAAGTTATCGGCCTGCGATGTGAGTAATATCACCTCTCAGACCTGCTGCTCCCGTCAGCCATTGGACCGTATCCCTTCCTGGAGCCTCAGCCTCGACCGAGCTTCTCATCATTGCCTCGGTCATTGAAGCTGATGTCTAGACAACTTCAAGCCAGCATCCATCACGCCAGACACCCCCGGAACAATCTACACGAGCAATGGCTCTCGGCAGCTCAAGTTCGACCTCGCTGCAGGCGGACAGCAAGTGTTTGACGCACGAGAAGAGGCGGGCAAGAGCCGAGAGTGCGTGATGATCTGGGACGAAGCTACCAACGTGAGCTCTTCTTTTCTCGCTTTTGTGAAGGCGAAGCTGACTCTATAGTCATTCACCCTCCATCCCCTCCACTCAACACTCCACCTAACTCTCAACCGTTCCGCCTCCACTGCCGCTGGATCCCTCTCCGCTCCCACCCAAGCATCCCCTCGCCGAACGTCCGTCGCTTCATCCTCATCAAGCACCTCCATCCCTCTCGCAGTTTCCACCGTCGGTACCACTACGGATACCAATCCCCCGAAACGCTCTCGGCCGTCCGAGCCCACCGGGGCAGCCGCAGCTCCCGCTCCAGGGATAACATCCGCCAACCGCCCCGTCCGAGCTGGAAAGTCACTCCCTCGGAAACAGCCCGCCAATGCCACTCCTGCAACGGCAACGGCTAAAGGCAGAGGCAAAGCCGGTGCGAGAAAATCGGTCCCTATCTCCGCACCGGCACCGGCAGCTTCCAAGTCCAAGATCAATGCCAAGGCGAAAGCCCCTGCTACACCTTTCAAAGGAAAGATCAAGTCGGCGGCGATCATTGAGGACTCGGATGAGGAGGCCGCGGCGTATGATGAGGAGATGGCGGCTGAGGCTGGGGCTGAGACTGAGGCTGGGCCAGAAGTAGAGGAGGACGAGTTTGCGATGTTGTTGGGGCAGAGTCTGGCGGATGGGGCGGACGACGATGCGGATGCGGATGCCGACGCCGATGCCGAGGGGGAAGATGAAGAAGATGAGGACGATGAAGAAGAGGACGAAGAGGACGATGATGAGGCTTTGGGAGGGGCAAAGGTGGTCCTGACTGGAGATGGGTCGGAGTGGCTCTAGCTGCGAAGCGCGGAGATGAACGATGGAAGCGACCGCGGGGTGTCTATTAACGGTATTTCTTCTTGGTGCTCATATGACCGTAATACCTTGTATCTACATATATCCCCTTGTACTATAGCTACATGTATATACACCCGTGCCCCCACCCGCCCGCCATGATCCCCTTCGTCGTCAAAACATATCCTCTTCACTACTGGTCCGCTGCCGCCCCGTCTTCTTTATCCTGGCCAACGCCTTCCGCCCTTCCTCCTGAAACTCCTTCTCAAGGTGACTCTTCAGTTTCGGGACATTATGGTGTGGCTCGTCGCATTTGAAGCAGGTGAGGGGAGAGGCGAGGAGTGAGTGCGTTCCTAGCAGTGCCTGGGGATCATCAACTCTTCCTCGTTTTGTCCGAACAGCAAGGCTCATCTCACATCTACCCTCTCCCTGATCGTGTCGTCGTCGTCCAGTATCCATCGCTGCACATCCGCTATTGAGACAAAGAACCCCAGGTCGGGCCGGAACGAATTGTAATGCTTCTTCGTCTTGAGCGCTGGCGAGAGTCTATCGTCCGAAATGACATGCAGATGAAGATGCCTACTGATCAGCTGTCTCCCCTCTCCTCTCCCTTCTGCTCTGCTCTCCTCTCCTCGCGGCTCTCCGGTCCCCTCTCCTCTTCCCTCCCCTCTCCTCCTCCCTCTCCTTCCCCCTTTCCTCGCCCTGTCTCAGTCCCACCAGTATCCACCCCCTCCATTCGCCTCGACAAGCACTCACTTCAAGGACGGAATCGCGTGAAACCCTACATCGATCCTCCACTCCCACCCCTCACTCTTGACCATCTCGTCCCGAATCATCTCCTCCACCTCCCTCGCCATCTCCGCCATCTGCCCCACTATCTGTTCCCTCGCATCCCTCGTCGTTTTCGTCAACAAACTCCGGAGATCGTCCAGGTCGCTCAGGCGGCAGATGGACCGGGTCGATTCCGGGTCGTTGTTCGATGGGAAGGGGTATCGGGGGAGGACGAGAAAGTGGTATTTGGCTTTAGGGTAGGCGTCGAATATGGCCAACGTGGAGGCGTTGTGCGAGAGGAGGACGCGAGGGGGGAGGGAGGTAGATGGGGAGGGGAGGGTGGCGTAGGTGCGCAAGACGGCGGCGGAGGACATCTCGATAGAGTCGGGGTCGAGTGGACCGGATGATGACCGGCTGCGGCGAGCCTGAGCAGAGGTGGTGGCTTTGCCCTTGCCCTTGCTGGGCGTATTGGTGCTGCCCGAAGCTCGTGTATGAGCTGCTGAGCCAGAGGTGACGGCGGGCGGAGGCCTTGCGGAATTGGAATTGTTCTGCCTCGCAGGGGATGAGGACGGGCTGTCGTTGGAATTGGGGTGGGACAAGCAGGCGCCCATCGTATAGTCGTAGTCAGGACCGGGGTGGAGATGACATGGGGTATAATGGAGCAGGTCAGGGCGGGATTGGAGAAAGGGTCTCAAGTAAGCAAGGAGAGGAGAGAGTAGTCGTGATCAGGAGGAGAAATATGATCAGCTCGTAGCTTTGCTTTCAGACACCAGCGCGAGATGAGGATGGAATGTGAGATGGAAGGGCGCAGGTGTCAACCTCCCCTGCGCCCATGTTGCAGCTCTTCCGCTGGAGACAGGTGGAGACAAGTGGAGGAAAGGTCCGACTTGGCGGATCCAGGTCCCGGAGTAACAGCCTAACAGGCATATCTGACGGGAGACAGGCTGTCAGGAAAGGGCTGGAAAGAGCTGGACTTACGGTCTGTACCTGAAGGTATGGAGATGCGATCGGGCAAAGAAGTCGATCTGCGCCGTAAAGATCGGCGCTACGGAGATGTGTACGTCGTCGAGACTTCGTCGAGTCAACTGCCGCTGCCGCGGAATGGATCTGAATTTCCCCGAGGTGACTTTGTTCACTCGTACCTGTGGTGATCGGTCCCTGATGAGGTTCCAGACTGCCCCACTCTGCACGCGGAGGTGGACAGGGAATGCGTCGGCGTCGGCGTGGCGTTGTGCGGGAAGATGGAAAGTGTGGAGCGCGTCGGACGATCAGTGCGCAGTCGGGCGGCGTCGACTCGATCTTTCTTCTCCGTCGGGGACTTGTCCCAAAACTGTCGACCACCCGTGATCTATAGGTCCGAGGTTTCTGCTAACTACTCTGCGTTCGGGCGCGTTGATGCAAGCAAACAGGGTTGGAATTTAGAAGTTTCGGAGAGACGAGCTCCACTTCAGAGTTCTCGGCGCCGTGCCTCGTTCCTGAAGAGTGCCGTAAGGGGGTGACGTGGGGCTCTTACCCCGTGTGTTTCAGGTTTCAAATGTGGCAGGAAGCGGCTCGGCCAGGGATCATCTGCTTGTAAGATGTCTGTCCTTGAGCATCATGTCCAATTCATATGCACAAATGACTCGAACAACCACTGTGAGGGAGATACCCTCGTTGAGGCTCTGGCTAGGGATCCCTCTGATACACTTGGATGCAGGTGTACTGACCAGGCTCGACCCCAGCCATCTTCTGCGGCCCCACCTCATCGGTGACACCCAAGTCCAGCACAGCCTCGATGTCCTCCATGGTCAGCTCCGTCTGGCGGGACTCCGCCCCGCATAGGCAGACGTGTGGGGATCGCTGCAAGCCAAAGTCCTCCATGACCTTCCTCAGAAACATGGTCTCGGACGAGTCCTCGGACACATCGACTGGTGTCAGCGTGGGCGCCGAGTTCGAAGCGACGGCGGTCGTCTTGCTCAGCTCTCTTGCACGACGCCCACTGACAGCCTCCTGTGTTCGGACGGCGGGACGGATCCCAAGCTGTGTCAGAGCCCCGTCAGATCGATGGTGACGTTTGAACCTCACCCAGCCTGGCAACTCGTCTTCGGCCAGGGACTGGGAGATGCTTCCTCCGACTTTGGCAGCAATTGCAGTCAGATTGAAAGCTCGGCTGACGTCGATGGAGTAGGGATCCTCCTCAATCTCGTAGTAGTTGGTGATGAGGATTAATCTCTTTGCCGCAACAATTGTACCCTCATCATATGGGATAGAGGACGCGTTGCTGGGCGTATGGGTCTTCTCTGTTCTTGGAACCGAGGTCCTCGAAGAGCCGAACAGCTTGGCAGTGGCAGGCTGTGTGACGGGATCGGGCTGTACGCCGGGGAACAGTGTCTGTATGGGCCCTTCAGGTTTCAAGAATCTCAGACCTTTGATCAAGCCTTCGTCGTAAACATCGAACGTGACCTCACCCTGCCCATCACTGCCAGTTCCGGTCACGCATATCCGGAAGAAGGGGTTTTGAGTCTCGGGGCCTTTCAATTCGGTGAGAACGCAGCGTGGGATGTCTTCTGAGTGGGGCATGGCTGTGTGGTTCGAGTGACGGCTTGGCAAGTCAGGGAATTGGGTGCTGTGGACAGATGTGTACGACTGGGACTGTGATGGGCATGAGAGGAGGGCAGGAGCGGGGGCTTTCATTCTTATCTCGAGTGTGATTCGACGCTGAAACCCTTGCTAACCGTCCTCCTTTGACCTCACACCCTTGTTGCTCCTTTGAGTATAGGGCGAGGAGGGCGGTCCTCACCATTCAGCAATTCTTCCGGAATGATCCTCGCCCTCCGACCATGCTTGGCCTGGGACACGCCGAGTTGGTCAAATCCAGAAGCGAAAGCGAGGGGCGAGTCAGGCCACCTAATGTTTCATTCACTTGTGCCTCGATGCAGGTTTGGGACCCCCCTGTCTTGTCCTTATAGATCTTCCGTACTGGCGCCTCTGGCCGATCCCCTGCATAGCAGGATGGAAGGCTCGACGAGGCGCTACCAGGTTCCAGTACTCCGACTAAGACTCAGATCCCGCCGTTGTACAGCTTTGGATCTCACCAGATACGAGCTCCAGCCAGCTTTGTCTACGTTGGCGAGACGCGGTCAGGTCGGTCTCCATGGTGTTGCAGACTTTCTGGGGGAGGGAGGGGAGAAAGAAGGGCGGGGTAAGCGGGAGTATAGTCCACCCGCACCCGTCAGCTGAGGACTGCTTGTCGCACTCGCCATTTTCAGAGAGACACGCATCGCTCACTGGATCGGCAGGCATATTGTGGAGTCGTGCTGGTCCCAATTGGCGACTGCCAGATGGGCGGATGGAGTTTGGGTCAGCGAGCTCAGAGAGTCAGTGATTCGAATACATATGATCCAACTTGGTCAGATTTCTTCAAATGTATCGATCCCGTTTCACCAGTCAGAACGGCTACATACTTAGGTGTCTCCGTGCATCTTCGGTGCCAATTCGGCGGTGCCCTGCCCATCGAGCGCCTTCCGGCAGCTGTTAGAATTCGATGTCGAAAAAAGGTGATGGTGGAATGAGGATGGTAACATGGTTGAATGTGGATCGATTCAACGGCCAACCGATAGGCCCAGAAACAAGAAAACAAAGAAAGTGTTAAGAACATATACACTACTTGTTTCGAACCGGGGACCTACACATCCAACGGTTATATTCCCCAAGAATGAATTCCCCCTGATAAGCAACTGAACCGTAAGAACGATTTTGTCCCACTGTGCAGTCTTAGATATACGTATCAACCGCACAATGCGAGGGCCCGACGCTTTCGAATTTGGTTATCCCAGCTGTTATCCCTGACTGACACAACCCGGCGTTGCAGGGCGGATTTGAGCACCTTCACAGAGGTCCGGGCTGACAACGAAGCGATATTCTCATTTCATGCATCTACTGCTATACGTCCATCCTCACTCTACCTCACGCCTTGACCCCCTTCCCGCCCTTACTCGCCTCATGCATCGCATACTCCTTGGAAACCAGATGACTCGCCTTCTCCACCAGTCCCAACATCTTTCCAATGTCCGTCGACCAGACATTCAACACGTCATTGGCATCCCGCTTCTTCTTGAACGTGACGATGCCGGCCGGGCGGTCTATCCGCGCAAAAATAGTCTTGTCGGTGACGAGCTTGCAGATGGTGCGTTCGGTAGTGAGGGGTGGGAGGTCGAGGAGCTCTGAAAGCCGGGACATGTGGATACGCGAGTAGTAGGATGCGAGGACTCGGATGTTCTGTCGTGTAAGCTGGAGCCTGAAATGGGTCGGAAGGAGCAAGCTTACGTGCTCCACAACCCGCTTGTGCAGTTGCTCCCAGCGCCACTCTCCTGGCTTCTCCAGCTCCTCCGGCTTCTTACCCTCCGCATTCGTTCCCGTCTTCTTGCCGAGATCCGAGTCGGGTGCAAAGACAGGCGATGTCCTGATCTTGGGCCCGTACAGCTCTTCGATTCCAGGCCATCGCATGAGCTCCTTCGTGACAAAGCATTTCAAGAGGTCGCTAACACGTCAGCTGTACCCCACACAAGAGCGTCATGTGTAGCTCACTAGTGTGTCTCGGCATTTTGGAGGTTCGAGTCTGCGTAAAGCTTGTGAAGCATGTCGTTTTGCTCATTGTTGTATGGCGCAAGAATGACATAGATGATGATGTTCTCCAGAACCTGATTGTCAGCTATGCCTTGATTTGTACAATACGGTAGCTCACATTCCGCTCTGCTGCTTCATCGTCCTTGATCCTCTTGGTGTCCCACACCGCCTGATAGGCGTTGCACGCCTCGAGGAAGTCGTCATCCTGCAATGCGAGCTGGACGATGAGGTCGTAGAAGCGCAGTTTGAGATCCTGGACTGTCAGCCGTCGTCACCGATCGTATGAAATATCGAACTAACTGATACGTCCTCCTCTTTCAGGTACACCCGGTTCACCTTCCTCGATCCCACTCGAACCTTTGTCCAGTTTCCCCGCATGCTCTCGAGACGCATTTGCTCCAGAATGCTAGATCTGTCAGCTATGCCCACACGCCCCGCGATCCTCCCTCGGAAAATAGCTCACAATTCTGTCTTCTCCCGCTTGTCCATACTGCTATACGTCTCCACCTGAATATCTGACAGCAGATCCGCAGCAGCGTCAATGTGATCTCGGGCAGTCGTGGGCTCCTTCTTCTTCTCGGGTTCGGCGGAGGTAGATTTCGCGGTAGAGGGGGCTTTCGAGGTGGACGCTGATTTGTCAGCTTGTCGCGGAAGGCCTGCAGACGCTCGGGCAGCTCACATGACGGCTCTGAGGGTGCTGATTCTGAGAGCTTCTCGTGGTGCTCCGCCAAGGACAATGTCAACCTCGCTCTTGCCAGTTCGAGGTATATCTATCATGTCAGCTTTTGAAGTCTCTGACGGACTGCACAGAGGTGGCCATCGAGCTCACTTTCCCCTCCGTGATATCCCTCAGCGTGTTCAACAACTCCAACCACCGATCCTTCCCGCCCTTGTACTCCCCCTTCTCCTTCTTCTCCTTGAGCGCCGGCAGCCACTTCATCGCCTCATCCACCATGCGTACCACCGCCTCCTTCAGTTGACCATGCTTCTTTGACATGATCGTCAGTTGTTGATTCAGCATGTCGAGGTCGCCTGCTGAGTGGATGATGGTAGCGAGAGTGGTGAGGAGGGTTGCGGTTGAAGTCATGTCGGCAGCCTAAGGAGTCAGCTTGGCTTCCATCCAGATGGATCAGATTGGAGAAGCAACCGGCACTCACATTTCGGGTCTGCTTCTCCATAGCGGTGATCTTCTCCACGGCATCGATCAACTTGCCATCCTGCATTCATCAGCTCCTTGCCTCCCTCTCGGTATCGCTCCTGACCAACCTTGGCGAGCCCCTCCACTTCCGGCACCAGCGCCGCCACCTCCGCCGTGAAGTCTTTCTCCTGTTTTCTGGGCTGTGCCATCTTGTTCTATGATATCAGATAGGTGAAGCAAGAGTGGAGAGGATCAGAGCAGACGCGGTGACATTCCTTGCCTGACGCTGTCGTCCGCGCACCACCCCGGAAATCCGGGGAAATAATACTTTGGCTGGGGTTTCCGGATTTTCTCCTTGGCTTTCCCAGCCGATCCACCACCAAGATATCTCTCCGCCTATTCTATGCAACTTTCTACCTCCTATACACCCACCCCAGCACAATGCGTAAACTAGCTTCCCAAGTACCCGACTCCGTCTCCCGCCTACTCCGCTCAACCCTCCTTCGTACCCCACCAACATGGTACAATCCCGTCCTCGCCAATCCTCCACCGGTCCAGCCATCCCGGCGCTCCCCCGTCCGCCCGGCTGGCGCACAGGACACGATAATGCGAAAGATGGACCGTTCCGCCGAGGGCCGAACACGGACGCATCAGATGAAGCATCTGAGAGAGAGAAAGCCAAGGGCGGAAGGGGTGGTGTATGAGGAAGATAGAATACGAAGGCGGTTCTTTATGGATTTCCCCTTTGAGGCGTTGAGACCGACGAGTCTTGTGGAGGGGAGAGAAGTGCGCGGGGAAGAGGATGAGGGGGTGAGAGGGAAGGAGTGGACGAGGCTTGAGCAGAGGGGAGGGTACGCTACGGTCGAAAAGTGAACTATAACGATCGCTTTGTCCACAGGAAGAGCGAAGCTCACGTGTCAGTACCATCGCTTTCACACTCAATCTCCACCACACGTTCGAAGTACCTATGTCGGAGGCGTACGAGACGGCCGTGAACCAGTTCTCGGACCTCCGGGCCCGGCATGAACTGGCCACACTAGCAGCTGAAGCTGAGGCTCGGGCGCACGGCGCAGAATTCAGGCTAGACCCTTTCGTGAGCTGTCTCTCGCTCGTCATCCGTAACTCTAGCTGACAAGAATAGGAACGTGTCCACGCCAAGGAGACAAAAGCCCTCTCGACCCTCGCTACATACACCACCTCCACCTCGGATGTCACCCCTTCCTCGAAATACAAAAAGCCCACACGGTGGTCCATGACCGTCCCATCGGCAAACTTGCCATCTAGCGAGTTTACAGGCGGGCAGGGATACGCCAAGAAGTGGAGATTACCACCACCGGTGGACATGGGGATGACGGAGCCGCTTGTCGTCGGGTCAGCGGCGACCGCGGGAGGAGCATCGTCCTCAGCATCAACGGAAGACCGGAGGAGTGAGGAGGATGAGGAACGATTTCACCCGAGGAGGGCTATGGAGGACGAGGAGTTTATAACGGAGATCTTGGAGAGGCCAATACAGACTAGGGCATGATGCAGGACTTGGATGTGGAGCGAGGTGTATATTGGATTTGCGGGCTTCAAAGCGTTCGAGGGAAGACCGGTCACGAAGGATGGCAGCGTTGTGCTCGGCGTAGGTATGGGCCCTGCAGACAGACGTGCATACTGAGGCAACCATACGAGTACGACTCTCTTCAGTGCTTTCCGTCTGGATGTTGACTACAATTTCGCCTTGGGGTCCGGGCCGAGCGGTGGGAACGATGCTGACTTTTTGGCCAACACAGCCTTCATCGCTTGACGGGTGTCCTAGTAGGTCAGCTTGAGCACATTGGAAAAGGGAACAGCTCACAGTGGACTGCAGCATGGACCTGAGTACTAATCAGCTCTACTCATGATCCCATTGCCGCACCTATACTTACATGTTCCAAGCTGCTGTGTACTCCAGTCCATCCCGAACGCTGAAAGTACGTCAGCTATCGTGTACAGTCATTGCAGCTTCTCTCCCCGACCAGCTGGACTAACGTGTGATCTCTGGCATCTATCGCTCGTCAGCTAATATCACCGATTGATCGGAGACAGCCAGCTCACGGTTCATCAGGTGCTTGGTCGAGACAGCAGCCACCGGGCTCTTCTCGGCAATGAGTTTGGCCATCTCCAATGCGGAAGCTATACGGTCAGCTTGGGCTCGCTTGTTCCGACCGCTGACCAAGGGCAAGACTCACCGACGACCTCTCCTCTCCCGCCCTTGACGACCCGACTAACGAACCCCATCTCCTTTGCCTCCGCCGCCCCAAATTTCCGACCAGTCAAGGCCAGCTCTCGAGCTATCGAGTCGTTCCCGACAATCTTGGGGAACCGCTGGAGTGTCCCGATATCCGCTGCCAGGCCGACGTTGATCTCCTATTCTTGATCAGCTGGTCCTGCCTCAGTCTCACCGGACCTTATCGTGAACTACCCAGCTGAGACTCACCACTATACCGAAGCTGGAGTTCTCCGCTGCTAAGCGGATATCACACGCGCTGGCTATATCAATCGCCAGGCCCAATGCGGCGCCATGTAGGGCGGCGATGACGGGAGGACGACAGTTCGCTAGTGTGGAGATGGCATTTTGGAAGTCCTACTAAATCAGCTTAAGGTCTGTACTGCACAGAGGACGTTGGCTTACGATGACGTGCTCATGCAGCGCGAAAGCTTTCCGAGCGGGGTCAGAGTATCGCGGATCGCTTAGTGCTCCGCCATCCGTCACTGCATTCTGTGAGCTCTCTGTGCCTTCCCGGCGGATCCGATGCACAAACAGAAGCTCACAATCCAGCCCGCCAGTGAAAGTCTTGTCAGTAGTACTGCTCAGTACAATCACTCTCACCCCGGGATCATTCGATGCCCGAGTAACGATCTGTCCCATCTCCGTCCACATGCTATCGGGTGTCAGTGTCTGTCAGTCTTCGCCGCGCAGGTTACGAATCAGTCTCACGGCTCGTGAAAGACGTTCACTGGGGGTCTATGCCCATCAGCTGTGCTCCTGTAAGGGACGAATAGCCAGGAGGTCGCTGCTTACCTGTTGAATTCGAGCAGCAACACGCCCGGGGCCGGCTCTGTCGAGCGGTGGAATTGTCCATTGAGGCGTTGGAGGTCCATCTTTACGTCTCTCTGTGGTTTCTGTCGGGGCAAAGGCAATGGTATTAGGCCTGAGAGAGTGATATGTAAGGTGGACTGGGCGGGAATTGCTATACCCGAGGGTTCTTGGTGTTTCAGGGTGGTCCGTGCGTTGAATTTGAATACGTGCCTGAAAGGGTGACAAACTCCTCATACCTCGACGATCCACCTTGCCCTCTTTACTCCTCTCGCTATCATCCATCGCCAGCACATAGCTCTTAGGCACTTATCGCCCCTCATTGCGGCCCGTACAGAAGCGAATTAATCTCAAAGAGAGCACAGCGGCCTTTCGACCATTATTCAACTTTCAGCACCGACACCTTGGGTGGTCAGGTCAGCCATCTGGACCGCGGGAGCTGTCAACATCGGAGCATCCGAGCGCTTGAGCTTGGACGCATACTCTTCTGCTTCTATCAAAGCGTCATTAGCGGAGGCTTGATACACCATGTCAGGCCTCCTGTCAGAACGGCAGAAAGATGAGCTGTAAGCCTTCTTTCCTCGCTGTATATACTCAGCTGAACGAGGCTTTCCTTCTCTTCCTCCTCGGCCACATCATACTTCCATCACGGTCACTCGAGCAGACACAAGTCCATGCTCTCCTATCTCCACTCGGCGGGTCTGCGGGAGACGTATGATGCTCTCAAGCGAGAAACGGACAATGCGGACTTTGAGGTGGATGATCCGAAAGCCAAGTGGGTGGGATTATTGGAGAAGAAATGGACCAGTGTCATTCGTCTGCAGAAGAAGGTGAGTTATGCTGTCCCTCCCATTTTCTGCGTAACCAAAGGGGTCACACGAGCTCATGTTTTAGATTATGGACCTCGAATCCCGCAACGCCGCCCTCATACAAGAACTCGCCTCCCCACACCGTCCCACCGCTTCCTCCTCCACCGCCCCCTTCATCCCCCGCCTCCCCGCTCGACAAACCCTTACATCTCACCGCTCGCCAATAACAAAGATCGCGTTCCATCCGGTCTGGACGGTACTGGCGTCGGCGAGTGAGGATGCGACGGTCAAGGTTTGGGATTGGGAGGGTGGGGAGTTGGAGCGGACGGTCAAGGGGCATACGAAGGCGGTTATGGATGTGGATTTTGATCAGAGGGGGACATTTATGGGTGAGTGGGACATGCTCGCAGAGATGGGGGGGAACTAGGAACGAGAGGGTTTGGACGGGAGAAGTGAATGACGAGAGCAAGCGAGGGAGGTGTCATTGGCGTCAAGCGAGCAGGATGAGGTTGAAGCTGTCGAGAGGATATTCGGGACATGACTGACTACTCAGTGACATGCTCGACCGACCTGACGATCAAGCTCTGGGATACGAGTAACGAATACACCAATGTCAAAACATTACACGGACACGACCATTCGGTATCCGCCGTCCGGTTCACACCTAGCGGAGATATGCTCGTTTCTGCAAGTAGAGATAAGACGATGCGCGTATGGGAGGTAGCGAGCGGGTGAGCTGAACTTCTCATTGTCACCAAGGAGCCCTCAGCTGATATTCAGGTATTGCGTCCGGACATTCTCGGGACACTCGGATTGGGTCAGGGAGGTCGTTCCTTCGGATGATGGGCGGTGGTTGTTGAGCTGTTCGAGTGATCAGGTAGGCTAAGGAGGCCTCGATGGTAGCATGTAGCTGACCAGATAGACCGCTCGGGTATGGGACTTCTCAAATGGGGAGACCAAGGCGGAACTGCGCGGACACGAGCACGTTGTGGAATGTGCGGTGTTCGCACCGGTAAATACCTACCCCTCAATACGAGAATTAGCAGGACTACAAGTAAGTTTTATGGTGCAGAAATTCCTTCCCTCGAAGGCCTGAGCCACCGAGCTTACACTCCAGAATACACCCGCCGAATCCCGCCCCAAATCCCCCGGAGCCTACATAGCCACCGGTTCGCGCGACAAGTCCATCCGGCTATGGGACGCCCAGACAGGTCAATGTCTCCGCATATTCACGGGACACGACAATTGGGTCCGAGCCCTCGTCTTCCATCCCAGCGGCAAATACCTCCTTTCAGCCTCAGACGACAAGACTGTCAGGATCTGGGATATCGCGCAGGGAAGGTGTACAAAGACGATTGAGGCGCATGGGCACTTTGTTACGTGTATGGCGTGGGGAAGAGCGGGGGTGGGCGGTACGGTCGGAGCGGCGGCGGGAGGGGACGGGAAGGTGAATGGGACAGCAGGAGCCAATGGGGCGGCGGTGCAGGAGGTGAGGAGGGTGAATGTATTGGCGACGGGCAGTGTGGATCAGACTGTCAAGGTGAGCTCGTATGGCTGCGGCGCTCGACAGGACCAGCTGATCAGGCAGATATGGACACCATAGAAGATCCTTGCCCAATCACCCGCACGGTATATTGGATATACAGTGTATTCAGATACGGGATCTCGGCCTTCCGAGTGCAATGTCCAGATACATACTGTACAACCGCCAACTATATCGGCCAGGTATAATCTAGCCGGACCGGAATATGTATGCGCTATGCTAGGTTTACTCCTCTTTCCCTTTCCTCTACCTTCTATTTCGCCGCACATCGAACCGGATCAACCCGCAAAGCCCGCCTTGCAATAATGACCGCAATGACCTCCTTCAAGAATTCCTCCAAGATAACGATGTTGTCCAGAATCTGGTCTAGGCTAGCTTCTGCCGGACCCGCTTCTTCCTTTGATCCTCTTCCCGCGGATTCCCTGCCTGTCCTCCTTCCGGCCGGTGTCGAGATGGGCGGTGTAGCAGTATCGTCCTCCCTGCTCCATTCCGAGACGGACCTGAAGGTCACCGGTCTCGCCTGAGCTGCCGAGGACGCCCATGGTCCCGCCAGATCCGCCATCGGTTCAAGCGAGACCACATTTGCGCCACTCGCGATCGTCACCGCCGCCGCCTCGTCTGCATCCCTATTCTCCTCCGCGGTCGACGGCGTCACCGGGAGCGTAGAGGGACTTTCCACTCCGCCGGCCGAGGTGTACGACGAGTTGCGCCTCGGCGAGAAGAAACCCTTGATACTCCCCGCGAGGCTCGTCCGTCCCTCCTTGGCCGGCGTGACGGGTGGGGCGAGGCCCGGTGTACCTGCTAGCGCCGGCACGGAACCGAACGTATCGCCGATGGTCGGGTCCAGGGCGAGGTTGATGGCCTCGTTGATATGGTCCGCGAAGAGTAGTCCGGCTCGCCTATCAGACAAGAAGCGGTCGAAGCCTGGAGTCGTTTCTCGGAGGCGTGCGACCTGGTTGGTCAGGCCAGATAGGAGCTGAAACACGACCGGTTGGCGTTCCCGCGGTGGATGAGAGGTATCTGAAGAGGGTAGAGGGAAGTCATCGTTATCCGAATCATACCCTCCTTCCACTCTCTCGGCCCACGCGTCGACCTCCCCCTGCTCCTCTCCACCCATCGTCATCCACCCCTCCAGGCTCCGTCTCGCACAACCCGCCACAATGATGACGACCGCCGCCAGCGCCACATTCTCGTCTGGCGTCCTCGTCATCCATTCCTTCAAACCCCTAGTGATCTCCCGCATGACAGGATCGTTCGGGCTCAGCCTATGCGGCGGCACAGCTTTTCGCTTCGCCTTTGCAATCTCCGCCTTTTGGTCCTCGTCCGAGGTGAATATCGATTGGAGCTGATCTAAACGGCAACACCGGTCCGATTGGAGGGCGGACTGGATGTCGACGAGGTAGGCCGAAAAGCTAGGAGAGCGGTCGAATGGCGGTGCAGATGGGTTGAGGACGGATAAGACGGTGGAGTAGAGACCAATTTCTGGTGGATATGGCAGCGGGGGGAGCTGCTCGCCCGGCAGAAGGCGAGTGACGGAGAGCAGACCATCCACAGACGAAGCGCAGTGCTCCTGCAGCATCGTCTGGAGTAGTTGGAGTGCCGCCGTCCTTGACGCTGCGTACCCCGAGGACAGATTGTCCAGGATGAGATCCTTCAGCGTGAATTTGCCCGCATCGATGAAGTAGTCGCCTTGCCCAATTCCCTCGCCGTTGTCGACCGAAGCAGGATATCTTCCTCCCCGTTTCGGCTGATGGTGCGGTGCCAAGCGGGGCGCCTCATCCGACTCCGTATCCAGCAGGAAATGGAGTAGACGCGTGAGGAGCGGGCCATCGTCGATATTTGACAGGATGACGTGTAGGTAGGTCAACACCGCTACCGACGTACCGTCCGCCGAAGACGATTCGAGGATGGAAGGATAGAGGATGTTGTCGAGAAAGGAGATCTGGATCGCGTCGAGTGTGGAGTCCGATACCGCCGCGCCGACGATCTGTGCGTTGGACGGAGAAGCCTCGGCAGAAGCGGCGAGGTACGAGGAGGAACAGCGGGTGATGATGTCCTGCAGGAAAGCAAAGAGCTTGATGACGAGGTCAAGCTGCGTCCGAACGTCCTCGTCCCCGGTGCTCGGCAGCTCTGCTCCTCCTTCCCTACTTATTCGGCCGCCGAGGTACATCCCGCCTCCCCCAGGTCCGCCTGCTTGCTCCTCATCCGCCTGTTCCCCCAATCCCGGTATCCTCACTTTCGAGGGTAAGAGCGAGTACACCGCACCGATGGCAGCCGCCATCACCTCCGCGAAATCTCCATCTAGGATATACTCTCCCAGGGCATCTTGAGCATCCTGAAGCGCGTCTTGGCTCCCTTTTGCCGAAGTCGGGTCAGAGAGAGGGAGGAAAGCTATATCGAATAGAAATAGCAGGCCGGCTCGAGCAAAATCGCCCGTCCGACCTTCCCGATGGACGAACCGCAAAAGGTAGGAGAAAAGCAGGAACTCGAAGCGCTGTTCCCCGGAGCGGACGGAATGGGCACGCCGGGAAGGGGGATGGGTGTGCGAGGTGACGGCCGACGGGGTAGGGGACAGGGTGCGGGCTAGGGCAGCTTCGGTACGAGCTGGCGGTGGAGCCTTATCGTGGAAGAAGATGAGGAGTAGTGGAGGGCTAAGATGTCAGCTAGATCTTTCACTAAGCAGAGAGTCACTGAGCGTACCATGCGCGCATCTTTGAACAGAGGATACACATCAGATCCACCACGTCCGCCTCAGTCTCTGCGTCCGTCCCTCTCTTTCGCACCTCCATTCCTGCCGCCCCAAAGATCCGCTTTGAAGTCTCTACTTCGCCCTCTATTGGGTTATCTCCAACACATGAACGCAACAGGCGGCGCAACGGCCCGTGTACTGCGTGGTGGTTGAGAAAGCGGTCAGAGAGGAGGACAACGAGATTGTTGAGAGACCGTACGACCTCGCCTGTGTTTCATCAGCCTCGCATCGTCTTGACTGGAGTTTAGCTCACCCTTGATGCCATGAGGCCGGTCTGGTTCGGATGATTTGACAAGTGTGGACAGGAGATCATTTCGAATCAGATACTCGAAACAGGGGCCCGTTTCGCTGAACCCATCAGTCCTGCCTTTGCTCCGACCAACGTCCGACTCACTCCTCCTCTATCCGACCATTCTCACAAACCATAGCGTCGACTATATGCTGCAGCTGCTTTGGGACCTCTGTCGTCGCGATGCCCCTGTTCTCTGTCAGCTCGACGATCTTACCTCCCAGCTCAAGATTTTGCATGCGCACCTGACCAATTGTCGCTCATCTGGATGATCCAGAGTATCCTTATACCCTCAGCTTGTCTTCATGCTTCTTAAGAAGTGATGAGCCCTCACCTGGATAGCCTTCCACGCCGCGTCGAAGTCCCCCAGGTCATCCGGCTGGCACACGGCCCCTTGGGATTTCGCTGGCTGGACGAGCCGGCTGAAGAAGGTGGATACGTCCATATCGTATCACTCGCCGCATCTGATCGGATCTGCGCGAGGTTGCTATATGTTAGGTGGCATTATTGGCGTGCTTTGGTGAGGACAAAGGAGAAGGGGAGAGCTGAAAGATAGTTTAAGGAATGTGGAGTTGGCCGGCCAACTCAGGCACGGTTGAGATGCAAGCCGATGAGACGAAGCCCGAGTCGGAACAGGTTGTCGACTGTGCCCTTATTACCTGTTTGCTCTGACACCTTATCAATTAGAGTACAGTCCAGGACTGGCAAGCATGCCTCACAGCCACCACTCCCACTCTGGCCAATTTTGTCGGCATGCTAAAGACAATCTGGAGGACATTGTCATAGAGGCCATCAAGCAGGGGTTTGAGGTGTATGGCTTGACGGAGCATGCGCCGCGGTATAGAGTGGAGGACCTGTATCCGGAAGAAGTGAGTTCAAGTGGCTTGTAATCACGCTATCGAGTTCAATCTGAAGCTGACTGCCTGGGTAGGCAGACCTTAGCATCGCAGATCTCCAGGCCGCCTACCAATCCTTCCTCTCCACCGCATTATCCCTGAAACGGAAGTACGCCGATCAGATCACCCTCCTCATCGGCCTTGAAAGCGACTACATCACCGACCTAGACCTGGAGCGTACCATCGACCTGCTCGCTTCGCATCCGGAAATAGAGTACATTGTCGGGAGCGTGCATCATGTCGGCGGAATCCCGATCGATTTCGACCGCGTTACCTGGCTCAGGGCGGTCTACGCCTGTGGCCAAACTGGAAGTAGCGCGGCACTATCACCACTCTCAGAGCTCGGTACGGTCGAGACCTCCCCTCTCCAAATCCAACCCACCTACTCCCCTTCATCATCCGAGCTACGCCCCTTTATCCTCGCCTACCTAAACCAACAACTCCACATGATCCGTACCCTCCGCCCAGAGGTTATAGGTCACTTTGACCTCTTCCGTCTCTGGACGCCCGAGCTGGACGTACGATCCCCAGAGCTGAACCGGGAAGGGGAGCGAGGAGTGTGGGAGGCGATACGGCGGAATGTCGAGGAAGGTGTGCGGATAGGGGCGCTGTTTGAGATGAACACGGCGGCATTCAGGAAGGGATGGAACACGGCGTATCTATGTCGGCCTATCGCGGAGGTCAGTACGGTCGAGCGAGAGTGTCATGCCGGAGTGAGATGAGCTGACGTAGCAGCTGATCATTGAATCTGGCGGGCGGTTCTGCTTCTCGGACGACTCGCACGGCGTTACGCAAGTCGGGCTGAATTATCACCGTCTCCGGGACTATGCGGAGTCCCTTGGGATGAAGAGCATCTACTACCTGGCGCCACGACGGACGGATGTGGGGACGGCAGATGCGGCGGGCGAGCTGGAACCCACTGGAGCTGTGCAAGCAAGATCACGCCGGGTTGAGGTCGAGCTCGCCGAGAACATCTTCAGCCATCCCTTCTGGCACTCACATAAAAGATGACATAGATGACTGGAGCAGATAAGATAGAAAGCTATAACAACCTAATCTGACAAGTCCAACTCCTGATCACACTCTCGTTCCCTCACCACCCACCCCACCTCCCTCTTGAGCACCTCCTTCCAGCTCTCCCTCGCTCTCATATCCCCTATCCAGCGCTTTACATTGTGATGATCCTCCTTGAGCGCCATCCGCTCCGTCCCCGTTGTCCAGCTTACAGTCATGGCTGCGAGGTAGTCTGCAACGCTCGGGTAGCCTCCCCCCGCCAGGTATCTCTTCCCCTCGAGCAGTCCATCCAGGTACTTCCAGCTGTGCACGATCCTCTTGCCCGCCAGATCCTGCACTGCTTTCCTTCCTGCCGGCTCGCCATCTTTTGGGTGGGTCCAGTCCCGAAGAGCAGGAAGAAGGGAGTTGACGATGTAGGTGTATATGCCGAGGAAGGCTGCGCGAGCCGGGTGCCCGGGTGGAGGGGCCAGGTGGGCGGCCGGATGAGTCTCGGCGAGGAAGAGGAGGATGGCAGCCGACTCGGTGAGCGCCGTTGAGGGGTCATCGGGGTCAAGAAGGAGGGCAGGGACGCGTCCGAGAGGGTTGATGGACAGGTACGCGTGGGTTATCTGCTCCAGCGCCGGGACGTCTAGGTCGACATGGGATAGTGTGTGGGTAACGCCGTGGGCTTCGAGCTCGATCAAGACCCAGTGAGGGCCGAGGGAAGCTGTGTTGGGGTAGTAGTAGAGCTTGTAAGGCATGGTGGGTGGCGCAGGGGATGAGGGCGATCGTGACCTGGCGTATATTATATAGCCTGCTTCTAGCTGTGATCACATGCGGTAACCGACTTACGATCTCGTCCGAGAAGCCCATCCTTCAGGTTCCCCGCTCGAGTGTGTGGCCACCGACACTTCAATCCCGGTTAATGATCACTTACTCCACGGGATCGTCGTTGAGATCACACACAGACTCCTTTGAGTGGGCATTGTGGCCCCGGCGGCTTCTTTGATTGTCTTTCGGAGTCGTATTTCCGGGTCTACCATCGTCAGACGTCAGTCAGAGGTGAGTTGTAGTTGGCCCGAGCGACATTTTCGATGATGGCCGAGTATGGCAATCTTTGTGTCCTAGATGAATTACTCGTATCCTCCCAGCGCATCCGCTGCTACTGTAGTCATCTCTTACACTGTCATCCTGCCTACTCTTTACGCTCCTGCTCAAAAGGCGGTTCCCGCACTACCCAACCGTCCTCCCGCTTGACCACCTCCTCCCAGCTCTTCCTGCTCTTCATCCGCTGGACCCACTTCTTCACATTCCCATTCCCATTCCCGTCTCCTTCCGCTAGTTCCTGGATGCTGTCCGTCCAGCTAACAGTCGCTGCTGCCAGATAGTCCGCCACGCTGACCTCCTTCCCGGCCAGGTATTCCCGCCCCTCGAGCTGCTTGTCAAGATACGCCCAGCTCTGCCTCATCCGCCTCTGCGCCAGATCCCTCACTCCCTTTGCTCCCTCTTCATCTCCATCCTTGTCCGCATACACCCAGTCCCGAAGAGCCGGAAGAAGGTTGTTGGAGATGTACGCGTAGACCTCGAGGAAGCGGGCGCGGTCCGGCGAGCCGATGGCTGGAGCGAGCTTGGCCTCGGGGTGCGCCTCGGCGAGATACAGGAGGATAGCGGAGGACTCTGTGAGTGCCGATGAGGGGTCCTTGGGGGATAAGAGGAGGGTGGGGACGCGGCCTTTGGGGTTGATGGAGAGGTAGGAGGAGGACTTTTGCTCGGATTTGGGAAAGTCGACGTTCTGGAGGGTGTGCTTCACCCCGAGGGCTTCGAGCTCGTTGAGCACCCAGTGGGAGGATAGGGAGGCGGTGTTGGGGTGGTAGTATAATTTGTAAGACATAATGGGTATTCTTACTCGTTTGAAATGCAAAGTATGAAAGCAAGTGACTGATGCAGCTGTCCTGGCACGACGCTGGTGGAGGTCGACTCGGATATCCCAAAGCCGTCTTGTAGATCGTACATTGACGACCCGACACTCCTGATCCTACTGACAGGACTGTATATGATGCTGCTGTGTCTGAGCGGCCTGCAACGCGTGCCCCTTTACCAGCTCAAGAGTCAAGATCCACTGCGATGCCACCATCTGCCGCCAGTGCCTGGTGATGCGCGTCTCGGGCTCACACGATCCTCACCATCAATGACATCACAATGCCGTCTGTCCAAGCTGGATCGCTCCCTATACACACAGCTGGGCGCGCCCAGATCTACTTTGATCGAACAAAATGGCCCTCAAGGATCACACTTGCCGAGAAGCAAAGAAGCAGAAGCGCAGCAGATGTTTGTTTGCCTCATTCCTCTTCTTTGGCTTTCGAGCTTTCGGGGCGACGTCGCAGTCGGAGCTCCAAGCGATGAGGGCGACGCGTGGATAAGGAGTAGGCCCTGATGTCATCAGGTCTCGACTCCAGCAAATCCAACATTTATATGAACGGCTGGTATCCTCATCCCCCCTCAGTGTCTCAAACCGCCACTTCCACCCGCACGTCGCCTAGCGTCATACTCGTCCACCTCTTCATCAGCTCAGCTCACCTCCGACACCCTACTTCATGTCACGAGCCGCAATGTGCGCAGACGGTCCCAACACCCACAAGCCTAACACCCCTACTCCCGCTCCGTCCCACCCTGTCGATCAGCGCGCTCTGGGCCTGGGAGTAGGCGCCGACCGCTCGCCCTCCGCCCCAGTGACGGCCGTGGTGGAGCCCAAGAAGTGCTCCTGCACCGCTTGTGACTGCCCGACCCAGACCACGTTGGGTATCTGCTTCCTGGTGAGTTGCCCATGTTTTTTACATGAACAAACATTAGCTGCGTGATCTTGTTATTGAGCTGACCGGTCAGTGTTCGAAGAATGAGCACGCTTGATAGTCCCTCGCGCACCCTTCAGCAAAGTCAGATGTTTAGTCGCCCAAACGCTATCACCCAATGTTCATTCATCGTCACAGCACCATACCCCTCGCTGTGGGCAGCCAATCAGACATACACGACGGAGTGGATCGGGACAGGAGAGGCGATGAGGGGGGAAGTGTTGTGACGCAGGCGGATGCGGATGTGGGGAAGAAGCTAGTGCTGCATCAGGTAGTGAGCAGAACCCATCGTCAATATTTCAGTGTATGAGCCTTAAAGAAGCATGATATGATACATACAAGCATTGCATTGCTGGACTACACAAATTGACCTCCCATCAACCTCATGACCCCACTGAGAGAGCGTTTGCGCCCGTTGGCTCCCATCGCTTTCCACCTCGATTTGATGGTCCGCCGCGCTGAGGTCCGCCCTGGCGGTCCTGCCATGACACGCGACCTTGTAATGCGGAAGCACCTTGCGGCTGAAGATCAGCATAGATCCTGATTTGACGGCTCAGAGATAAGGACTCACCGCTCCCTTCACCTTGACTCGTCGACCACCTCGAATCTTCATCCCGTCTTGGTACTCGGTCGAGCTCGAGGGTCCATCCGCTGCTTTTGCGACTGCCGGCTTGTCTGTGGAGTCTGCGGGCGCCGAGGCGGGCGCAGGTGCGACCTGTGATGCCTTCGCTGGCGCTGGGGCCGCGGCTGGTGCCTTCTCCAACTTCGGCGGCTCCGTCACCCTTGGCTTCCTCCCCTCCTTCGCCCGCGCAATGATCGCCTCCTTCCCCTGCGCCTCTCCCCACACTCTTGGCGCATGCTCCACCGCCACTCCCTCCTTGATACCCGCCTCCCGCTCCTTCTCTTCCCGCCTGACCCGCTGGACGCCCACCCGCTCATTCCGCTCGGCCACCTTCTTTGTGCGAGCCTCGCTCTTTCCCCCTCCGCCCGCGGTGAGTTCGACGTTGATCCGCCGGCCGGCGAGCTGAGTGTGGTGTAGCTTCAGAGCGGCTTGCATGGCGTCGGAAGAGGGGACATCGAGGAAGGCGATACCCCGTGACTTTTCGGGCTGGCCGGCTCGGTCGGACTTGGTCGTGAGGAGACGGACTTTTGGTGGATGGCCTGAGAGTCAGCAAGAGCTTGGTAAGGTATACGAAGAGCAGCTAACCTATAGCTTCCTGGAAATGCGCCTGTATTTCTGGAACAGTGGTCTTGAACCCAAGATTGCCTATCATTATCAGCTACCTCTTCGCCTCAAATAGAATACAGTCAGCTTACCAAGGAACAATATAAACCGCTGCTTGATCTCCTTCTTGCTCTTCTTGGCGCTCCGCTCCCCATCCTCCCCTTCATCCTCCCAAGCCTTCCCTTTGCCCTTTCCGACATTCTTAACCTTGCCCTTCAGCCCGTCCGTCAGGTCCTCCGCCTCCTCTTCCTTCTCCTCTACAGCCCTCTTGCGCTTCTTCCCTGCTCCTGTCGCCGACGACTCGCCGGCCGTGTCGCCCTTCTTGAGCGCGATGGCCGCATCATCATCATCTCCGGGCTCGACGTCCTCCTCGGGCACATCTCCAGGGATGGCTTCGCCTGTTTTCTTTGCTTTTTGCTTTTGACGGAAAAGCAGCGCCTTTTGTTGCTTCTTGGACAGTGCTGTGGCCATTGTGTGAGAGATCGGTGGGGCGTATATAGCGCAAGAAGTGGGATGAGTGGTTGATGGTGGACCTGCCTCGCGCACCAAAAATCTCTTGGCCAGCTTACGTACAGGGCAGCTGGAGCTGCACGTGACCACAATACCACGTGGCTGGCCGGTTCAACTTGTTAGCCGTTTTGCCGACGGCAGAGGCCGGCCGGCGTTGGCGGAGTATAGCTAGTCGCGTCCAGCACCCAATCACAGCCCCCTTATCTCTCTCCCTCTTCAACTTTTGTTACCTTCCTTCACGCACCTATCTACTCTATACACGAACGTCAGTCATCATGTCGCTCCGTTTCGCCCCCGTTGCCCGCGCTGTATGCGCAAGGAGGTCCGCTAGCCTCGTCCATGCCCGAGGCCAGGTCATGAAGCGGAGGTTCGCGACCGGTGGTGGACCCGAGCTGGTGAGTGCGAGTTCTGCCAAGTCTCTGCCGGTCGAGCACATGAGAAGTACAAAGAGATGCGAGCGCGGGAAGCTCTAGGCGAAAAATCGGCGGCAGGACTGTCGCAGCTCGATGCGCTTTGGCAGCGTGAGCTGACTCAGCAGCCCCCTTCGCAGCCCCCAGGAGCATCATCCGTCCCCTACCTCCTTGGTGGTGTCGGTATCGCTGCCCTCGGAGCCGCTTACCTCTTCTTCGGCACCGACGGGTCCGCCCAAGATACCGCCAAGGAGATTGGAACTGCCGCCAAGGGCGCTGTCCAGGCCGTGGAGCAGAAGACTGGTATCGCCAAGAGCCAGGCCGATTACCAGAAGGTGTATGATGCTATCGCCGAGTCGCTTGAGGTCGAGGGCTACGATGGTAAGCTTAGCGTTCCTCCGAGCTGTCGGGAGGAATTCAGCTGACGCCCGAAGATGGCTCGGTCGCTCCCGTCCTCGTCCGTCTCGCGTGGCACTGCTCCGGTACCTACGACGACAAGGACAAGACTGGTGGATCCAACTACGCCACCATGCGCTTCAAGCCTGAATCTGCACACGGCGCGAACAACGGCTTGGTGAGTCGTTGGTCGCATACGTGCTTGAGCCTCCGCTGATCCGCAGAACTACGCCCGGGATCACATGGAGAAGATCAAGGCCAAGTTCCCATGGATCTCGTATGGTGACCTCTGGACCCTCGGCGGTGTTGTTGCCGTACAGGAGTCGGGCGGACCTACCATCCCTTGGAGGGCTGGCCGAATCGACGGGTTTGAGCACCACGTCACTCCCGACGGTCGTCTCCCGGATGCCGCTCAGGCCGAGGACCACCTGAGGTTCATCTTCAACCGCATGGGGTGAGTTAACGCATACTGAGCCTTCATGATACGAGCTGACTGCGTAGCTTCAACGACCAGGAGATCGTCGCTCTTTCCGGCGCACACGCTCTCGGCCGATGCCACACTGACCGGTCCGGCTTTGAGGGACCATGGTCGTTCTCCCCTACCACCTTCTCTAACGCTTATTTCGACCTCCTGCTAAATGAGGGCTGGAAATGGCGCAAGTGGAACGGACCTGCGCAGTACGAGGACAAGAAGACCAAATCGTTGATGATGCTGCCGTGAGTTTAATCTTCGAATTTTCGAAAAAAATCCGAAAAATCCGCCCAGAATTCGTGGGGGAGGACAGGGCTGACGTACCAGCACCGACATGGCTCTGATCAAGGACAGGAGCTTCCGCAAGTACGCCGAGAAGTACGCCAAGGACGAGGGGGTCTTCTTCAAGGAGTGAGTCTAGGTCAACGACGGTTGAAATGCACAAATGAGAACTATGCTGACGGTCAGCTTCTCCGACGCGTACAGTAAGCTCCTCGAGCTCGGTGTGCCCAAGGCGCAGTTCCCATCGCAGTCGTGGCACATGGGCGGTGAGGCCAAGTAGAGGAAGTAAAAGGGTGAGAGGGGGTAGGTGGTGAAGACGATAGATTGACGTTAGATTTGGGATGCATCTGGGTATGCCTCGGTATATGTAGGAGCTGGAGTGTGGAACTCAAGCAGATGAGCCGAGTATGGTAGGATACTGATGCCTACTCATGTCACGCGAAGCAGTCACTGTCATCGGTCGACCGCAAACGGTCTTCTCGAAGAAGGTCTCTTATCGTCCGTGCGTCCCACCGACGAGATCCTTTCTCATCTCCCACCCCTGAGCCCCCTTTCACTCCCATCGGGTTGATACGCGTGTCAGCTAAATGCACCGTGGCGTGCTGTCAAGGCTGTGCAGCATAAAGGAGACCGCGCTGGGTCCCGGTCGGATGACCATACGTATAAGCAAGAGAATGCTCCCCCTGAAGGATCTCACACCCCTCTGTGCTGCACTTTTTTGACATCTCGCCCATGCCCTTCCACAAGACCGCTGAGCCCCGCGACGCCAGACCGACCCGCGAGTGGGACCCGGATTCTTCCCGTTTGTCCAGGGAACCCCCGAACCCACGCGGCTTGGTCATTGACTGGGATGTCGACGACGACGCCCCATTGGATCCGGATGATGAGCGACTCTCCGTCCGGCCTGTCTGTGATGCCGTGGTCTCCAGAGTGTAGGCCTGCCAGCCAAATACCAATTGCAAGCTGACGTGTCCTAGACCTTCGAGCCGATGCACCGCAGGTGGGTCTGTCAGCTCACAAGATACGCTCGAGAATGCCGGGCAGACTGTGAATCCGTGCGAAGAGAGATCCGGTCACAATCAGCCCGTGCAGATCAGCAAGACGGCGACTGCGTCCGCCGACACCAACGAGACATGCACTGTGATACCCCCTGGTTGGAGCTGTGGGCAGGACGATGGCTGCTTGACCGGCGTGCCTGCAGAAACGACCGACCAAGAGATCCGGAAGGAAATGATGGACGGTGGTCATGAGTGTCGGACCGGAAAACGTGTACGTCCTTCTAGGCGGATCCTCCTGCATCCTCGCCACCCAAGCTTTGCTGTGTTAAACATTGCCTACTTCGAACGCTGCTGACTATCCAGTCCTGCTTCGTGTGCGATACTGGCAGTGCTTACCGAAGGTATCCCGACAAGAGCGAGCGTGACGGCAGATCCTGGGTCGCATTGGTTTCTGCCAACGCCGCCGCTCGAGCGAGGAAGTCGGTCGAGACGGACACCGGGGAGGCCCAATGATCCGAGAAGGCTGCCTCATCTCAGCGCAATCAAGGCGCTCGTTCCGGATCACTTATCTCCCACCTTATGACGTGCTCTGGGGTCTCCCGCCTGATGTATGTTTTTAGTCTTGGCAGAGTGTGGCTAATCGCGGGAAATATCCAGTTGCGATGTTCGCATTTGCGGCCTATGCTAGCTTTCAGTGATCAGCGGGTCAGTACTGAGCGAGTCATTCGCGGAGCGTAGTGCCGACGACAATATCTGCTTCGGTGATCATGTCACGTTTGGCCTCCCAGCGATGAATGCATATGCTGCGCCCGCTTGTCCCGGAAACACGAAAGCCGACGCCACCATCGAGGTCTTTGCTTCCCACTGCTCCAGCACCACCGAGCGCTATCCATCTACCCAATGACTGACCTGCACCAACACACGAAAGTCCTATGACGCATACTTCGCCGTCAGCTTATGGTTCGTCTCGATGCCCTGTTCGAAAAGCCTCTCACTTGTCTGGTATATTCCGCTGCCTTCTTGTCGAAGCTCGGGCGATCTGTGCGATATTGTTCAGCCTGCAAAATGTCAGCTCTTCAGGTTCCACCTTGCATAAACCCGCGCGGTACACCGGTCCGCTGAGACAGCGGTCATCCAAGCGGGCATGGAAAGCTGTACTTACGATGGAGGAAACGAGGGGGTCGTCGGGATTGGGTGTTTCAATGAGATCATACAGAGCAAAGAAAACTATACTGGATTAGCTAGGAATACTTTAGGCTCGGTCAGACATCAGTAGAACGCATAGTGAAGCGCAAAACTTGCCGTGTTGCATCTTTGTTGATGGTTTCCATTGGTCCGTTTTCAGCATACCCATACAGATACTGTCAGGTCAGCTTATGATCCCTGTCCCCGACCGACAAAGCTCACCTTCCGTCGCTGTCGATGTTGGGGTGGTACATCTTCGTCTTGAATTTGATCTATGGCTGTCAGCAGTTTCCGCCAGCCACACCATTCCATCCAAGACTCACCTGAGGTGCTTTGAAGGGGTAGTCCAAACCGAATTCCACGCCCAGCTTGAATTTACCGCCGCTATATGGTGATGGCGAAGGCTGCTTAAGTCAGCTTGATTCCACAAAGGATTTACGGACCGGTCGCGTGAGGTGCCGAAAAAGAAGGTCCAAGGGATGACTTACCGGTCCAGTGATCGTTACTTCCCATGATGCCAAGTTGTTCTCGTTCGGGACCACGCTGATGTTGTCTGGGGGTTGAGACATGAGCTCAGCGAGCTCCTGCGCCAAATCAGCGTATATTCCTTACGGCCAGCATCCCGCGCAGAATCATTACCCACCTTTTGGACACGACGGGTTGCGCTGGACGCCATTTTCCTTTATGAATGTCGAGTAGTGAGATTGATCTGGAGGGATCTGGCTGATCTGTAGTATGTCTCCGACCAGCGGGCGGGCTGAAGTATGTTGTATCAAGCGAAGCAAAGATGAAGAGCAAAGAGAAGATGAAACGCACTCTCATGGTGAGGCCATGACGTTTTGCGTCAGAATCTGATTCCGCACAAGGAATGTGTTGCTCAGTGGCGCAGCCCAAGCTGTGTGGCGCACCTTCAGGCCTCAGGCCTGCCTTCGTGTTGTCGGCTAGCTGATCACGTTGCAGTCCTACGTGCTGAGATCGATAGGTATACATATTGCACAATAGAAACTCATGAGAGCTCGTCACAGGTCAACATCGACCAGCTGATTCTTCTTCGCCTCTCTCTCGGCCATCGCCACGAGCTGGTGGTACTCTTCCATACCAGCCGCCATACACAATTGTTGGAACTTGCCTTCCTGTCTGACCAGGCTGTAGGCAGGACCTTGCTGGACGATGGTGCCCTTGTCCATAACGAGGATGGTGGAGCAGGGGATGATAGTCTAGGTTGGTATCAGCAAAGATCGAACAGCCGGCCATCCTTCGGCCCGGGGGACGTCGAATCGATGGACTTACCCGTAGACGATGCGCAATGATAAGGATAGTGGCCCCTTCGAATTCCTCATGGACTACCCGGCTGATCTCCGCATCAGTTGCCGAGTCGATACTCGCTGTGGCTTCGTCCATGATCAGGATCTTGTGCTTCTTCAGCAGTGCCCGGGCCAGTACAACGAGCTGTTTCTGACCGGCAGACAAGCTACAAAGTCAGCACTCCCATGGTCATCGTATGGTCCACTGACTTGTCGCCGCCCGAAGAGATCTCGTAGTCCAGGTTGTTGAAGATGCTGATGGCCTCGTCTTGCTCGATCACCACAGTGGCGGAGGACGACGCTGGACTGAGAGTGACTGGATTGACGGCCTCGTCCTCAACGGGAGCGATACCGCTGGAGCCTGGACACCCCTTCTTCTTGACGAGCTGGACTTGATGGAGGGCGTCGTATAGCTGTTCATCGATGTACTTGCCCTCGATATCGAGGTTGAGGCGAAGCGTGCCGGATAGCAGAATCGGGTCTTGCGCGATGATGCCGAGCTCGGAGCGTACCTTGTTGAGGGGGATATCCGCTATATCTACAATGGCTGTCAGTATCGTGTCATTAGTGAGGATGAAGGGCGAGAGTATTCACCCAGTCCATCGATCAGTATCCTGCCAGCTGTGACATCAACAAAGCTGAATAGAGCCTTGGCGAGCGTGCTTTTTCCACTACCTGTGGCGCCGACTATGCCCACCCTCTGGCCGCTCTGTATTGAGAAGCTGACCCGATGCAAGATTTCAGGCAAGTCAGGCCCGTATCGAGCCGACAGCCCGTCGATTTCTACGTTCCCCGTACGTGGCCACTCCCGGTATACTTCGGAGGTCGAGACTGGCTCCGGTAAGTCCAAGCGTTGGCCATATACTTCTTGCTCAAGATGGCGAAACTCCGATGTGCGCTCGAGGCTCACAGCGTCGAGTTCGAAGTCCCGTATAAGTACGAGAAGCTGATTCGCTTGGCTCGATACCGTGCCCGCGAAGGCCAGGATAAAGCCCGCTGTTGAGGCACTTATATGATCATTAGTCAGAATGACAAAAAGAGCGGTAGCAATGACCGCAATGTCCAACAGCTGAACATGCACTGGCTGAATCAGCTGATTGAGATCGACATTGCGAGGAGCATACGTTGCAGCCATCGAGCGATGTACATCCGCCAACCGAACGTGGTGATCTGTAGGTTCAAGTTACGCAGCAAATCTAAGGCACAGTTAGTGATTCCCAGTCTCAGACTTCGTCGTCACTGACGATTGACAAAGATCGACTGAACGCCGAACGCGCGGATGACCGCAGTACCAGCGAGGGTCTCTGCGTAGATAGCGTTCTGAGGACCGGGAAGGACGGAATCTAGACGGCGATTCTGCAAGCCCGCACTTCGATACCATATGGTCTACAATATATGTCAGCGTCAGCCCTCGGCAGCGAACATGAGAGAAAACAAGCTCGGAGACTCACCGGCTTGTAAAGTGCGGTAAAGACCATCAACGTGATTGCGATGAATAGCCAGCCTCCGTAATAAGCTACTGAAGCTAGAGCGATCACGACTAAGGTGTCAGTCTGGGCTTACTTCACCCTCCGATCGTTCTATCATAAGGAAGAACTCGCTAGTCAGCACGTTCTGGGCGGTCTCTCCCATCCTCTCGGAGCAGTCTAGGACATCGGTCGGACTCTGTCAGCAAGTGCTGCCGGGCTGTGTGTCACTGTAGGCTTACCAGATCTTTGCCAAAGCGCTGGATGATAGAGCCCGCTCTAGTCCTGGTGAAGAAGGCCATCTTCGCGCAGAGTACAGCTGATAGCATCTCCGAGTGAATCTGGTGAATCAGCTGGAACTGTTTGGATGGCGTGCGGTAAGGCGGGACCCGCTCTCTTCGTTGCCCTGATTGCGCCTATGAAGCGCCAGATACCAAACAAGGTGTCAGACACGATATTGGCAGATGACAGCTACTGTGTAAGCAAATGTTTCCAACACCAAAAGCTACTGCTCACTCCAGCATACAGTGTAACCCAGAAGACGGCGTGCTTCCCGCCTGATATTGTTTGTGAGGTTTCGTGCGTCCATAGCCTAATTGTCAGTGTGGTGGTCAGGCTTACAAGCGTGCTGCGTGGACCTACTCCAGAACTCGACGCTCCGCGATGGGAAACAAGGTGCTGGCCAGCAGAAAGACAACGAGGACGAAGTAGAAGAAAGGTCCACCATTGAACGCGACAATCTCTCTCCAGAATTTGGTCTGGATGTTGCCCTTCGATCTAAGCTCATCCAGTACGAGGTGCTTGGGCGTTCTTGAAAGGGCCTCCTTGATTTCGAAGCTGTCTGCTGTATACGTCTGTATGCTGCACCGTCTGCCGAGACCGTCAGCAGAAGTCAGCTTCCCCTCGACAACGTCCTCAGTGGTTTGGGTTGGAGACTGAGTTTTCAGGTGCGCCATGTGCTCCGATGTGAGTAGGTCACTACCGCAGCCTTGCCAGACCAAACAGCCGGCGTCGAGAAAGATGGATTTCTTGGAGATTGGCGCGAGAGCCTCAACAGCGTGAGAGGCGATGATGACGGTCCTATTCGCCATGAGCGGGCCTTCCAGACAATACTTGACGATATGAGCGGATGTCTCTGCGTCTACTGCTGAGATGACATCATCGAGAAGGACGATAGAGGCACGTGAGTATACAGCCCTGGCAAGGCTGACTTTCTATGGTCAGCTAGCCCTACACTGCGGAGTCTTCCACGGGCCGACCTCGAGCTTTCTGTCCGCCAGACAAGATCTTGCCCCTGACAATATTAGCACAGACCATCAAACTGGCAGCATCCGACTCACCTTTCTCCTATCTCAGTCAAGTCCGAGTCCACCAAGAGTTCTAGATCAGGCAACAGTCCAACAGCCTGATAGTGATGAGCCTCGCTTTGTAGACGCACACCCGGCGCTCACGTATAGGACATCTCGGTAGCGCTTCATGTTGAGGGGGAGACCGAACAGGATGTTGTCTCTGTACAATCAGCCATGCGAGGGTAGCCGCGGAGTATCACATACCGGATACTCTGGCTTTGCAGCCAAGCTGTCTGAGGCACATAGGCCGTACTGTTGGGAATCAGATACCAGCAGTCAGTCTTGGCGACATCCGGGTCCATCATCGCGGAAGGCACGTATGTGATGTAGCCGTCAACGAGGTGCGCCTCGCCCAAAAGCGCCAAGAGCAGGAGCGTCTTTCCGGATCCCGATTTGCCGGCAATGAGTGAAATTTCACCGCGGGGGAATTTGATGTCAACATCTTGTAGTCTGAAGGATGCTTGGCAGGGTGAGTTCAGAGGATTTTCGTGGACTGCGGGACCATTCTGGTAGGTCATACTGTCGTCGTACCAGGCGACTGTGCCCTTGACCATGAGCGGCTCGATGAGCTCGGCATTAGCTCCCTCGGCATGCGGCTCCTGCATATATTCGACGTTCCCGGCATCCAGGAAGGCGCCAATGCGCTTGGCTGAGAGAGTTTCCTGGAGGCAATCTGCCATTCGCTTGGGGACACCCATAAGAACAGGGCGGAGCTGCTCAAAGACGGCGATTGAAGTCTAGCCGAATCAGGTCTACTTGCTGTTTCCGAGCGGGCGAGGACTTACAAAAGCGATGGTAGCGCTCAGCGTATTCTTGGACATGAGGGTATAGTGAGCAAAGGCAACAACGACGATGATCGTTGGTGAAGCTGAGCTATCATAGTCAGTGAAGCCTGAGGCTGAGAAGCAGACGTACTATAGCATCCCGGAGATGAATCCCAGCATCCTCGCTTGCGTGAGACGCCTGAACTCGAGATCCCGTACGTCCCGAATGCGTTTGTACCAGAATCGCTCAGCGGCCATGACCTTGATCATAAAGATGCTTTGAACCGCCTCCTGCATCAGTGAGATCTTCTTGTCGGATACAGCGAGCCGCTTCTCGAAGATTGTATATTGGAGCTTGGTGATGAAATAGGCCGGGACGGAAGTGATAAGCAAAGTTGAGAGTCCCCATAGACCCGACGGGCCTGGGCACATCAGTAGTGATAGGTAGTATACTGGGTGATAACAACGTACCGAGTAGGAGCCAGACATACATCCCACCGAGGACCAACTCCAGTTGGCACCGTACCAGGTTCATGACAGTGATCCCGAGGTGCCCAATGGCGGTAGAATCAGTGGACGCAAGATTGAGCACGTCAGCTTTGGATGTGACTGCTTTCCTAGTCCCCGAATGCGCTTGTGCGAAGATATTCCGCGTCAAAATCTTGCTTGAAGAAGTCAGCATCCGGCGTGAAGTGCAAACGAGATGACTCACCTGTAAAGCAGGTATCGCGCGAAGGTCCTGACTCGAGGTGTAAAGTAGGTGGAATGACTGCGCAGTGAGTACGATCGTCGCGATCGGGAGTGACAGCACGCACAAGTTCGTCTCGATCATGCGGAGGATGATGACAGCCAATCTGCTGATGACAAGGATAATGCCCCATGCTGCCGCACTGCGGCGGTTGCCGTCCTGCTCCAAGCTATACAGGACGTTCTGCAGAGCCAGATGGGGCACATACCAGACCGGCACCGACAACAACGCGATAGCAATAGCTGTGAATTATCAGCTCTCATTCGACTCATCGGGTAGTGACTGACCTGCCAATGCCGTCCGCCACTGCGGAAGCCATATCTTGTACAAGACCGCCAAGGTCGAACCGAAACGCTTTGAAGATGCTTGTGCCGTCGAATACCTCGAGGCGTTCTCGACCGTCGGTTGTGCGCGAATGGACTGATGTACGCCAGGTAGATCCTGTACGTCAATCTGCTCCGATTTGGATATACCGACCAGGACGGGTGTGACCCAAAGCATCAGGGCTTGTGAGATGATACCGACCGAGTATTCGGAGAGCATATTCGAGGTATTGCTCGATGGCGAGAGGATTGTTTGCTCATCATTCATCGCCTTTTCGACCGCCGCGGTATACACTTTGCTGAGATCGGCTCGACGCCGGGGCTCGCAGGGGATGACACCGGCGATGAGCCAGCACAGGAGTGCCAGACCGACCGAGACATACTCGGTTGGAGTGAGAGGAGAATTGTCGCTCCGGGCAAGATATCGCCCAAAAGTCAAGAGGTAAGTGTGTATCAGGTGAAGCGCCGTAATGGTGAAGAGGTGCCAGGTGAGCGACATGTGAAAGTCCACTTTGGAGACCGAGAGGTAAAGGATAGCGATTGCGAACTGGTAAGATTGCACGCATACCATGAGCACAGTAGGCACAAGTGCCCAAGTAGAAACCGGTCCGGGTGCGATGAAGATCTTGTAGCTCCGTAGACCTTGCATGCCGATGGATGCCAGGATAGACAGGAGGAGTGCGATGCGCCAGGGAGCGATCTGATGTGGTCAGCCCAAGTACCAGCCAGCGGTGCCCAAAGCAGCGCAAGACTCACTCGGGACCAGAAAGCATCCTCATCAACGAAGTCCCCGTCATCGATCGGGGTATCGTCGAGTTTCTCCAGCAGCTTTCGATCGAAGTCCTCAAGGCGGGTGGCAGGGGCGTGGGTTTCGTCCGGGAGGCGGACGTGGCTGCCTTCGCGCTTGTTGGATGTCGCCCTGATGTGCGCAAGTGACCATAGCGTGAAGAGCACGAGCACTGCGAGGAGGACTGATTGTGCCACTACCAGCCATGGAGACGTGGTAGCCGAATGGGAAGACGGTTCTGACATCTTGAACCGATTGGAAAGAGAGGCGGATGACCCGTGGAAGTCGAATTTTAGTCGCTCAACAGCGCATGAGGAGGACAAGACAATGAGCAGCGGTGAAAGGATCTATTAGAGCCTGGAAGCGAAGGGCCACCACACGCCCAGTAAGCGAGCGCCGCTCCCTTTGAGCTGGCGCACTCCTTTGCGTCAGAGCTACAGGGGCATAAGCACGGAGGAAACGGACAAGGTAACTCGACGCTAGTGGTGGGCTCGACATGCCAAGACCTTCAGCAGGAGTCAGTGTAAGTAGCCTCCACGTCAGTGCTTGAAAGCATCTAGATCCATCTATGCCCCTAATGATACAAGCAAGATACGTACCCAATAGATCCCCTTCACCCTCCCTTGACTCAGCGGATCTTGGCTCCCTTGTCCCTTCTCCCCCGCCACCGCCGCACCAGCACTGACGCACCCACCACCATCGCCCCGAACGCGCCCACCGTCGCCAGTGTGCCCGAGAGCTGACCTCCGAGGCCGTTTTGTATCGAATTGGCCAGGTTCGCTCGGGGTGATTGACTGTCAGATGTGTGGTCTAGGGAAGTAACGGAGCGGAAGATGTATTCAAGTATAGGTTTCTGATCAGTCTGCCTCATTAGCCAGCCACCTTCAGCAACGCAGATTGATCCGACCGGAACTCACCGAGCTTCGTTTCCATTCCTCCGACATGGTCCCCCAGTCCTCCCGTACTCCCTCGACTTCGGCCCGGACCTTCTTCTCCCCCTTCTCCAGCGCATCTATACGCTTCATGATGACTGCAATCTGATCTCCCGAAAGCGCCTGCGGGGTATGTGCGACTTGAGCGGAAGGGTCGACCGAGTCGAGCCGATCCGAGAGTAGCTGGAGGTGGGCGAGAAGGGTCGACTGATATTTGACTAGTGCGTCTGCGACTCGGGCATTCTGAAGATCAGCAAAATTCTAATACGGATGACAAGAAGGGACTGACGACAATAGCTTGAGATTTTGGGTCTGACGCCTGTTTCAGCGCGATTGCTTGAGGCGCGTCACGGAGTCGCCATGGCTTATACGGCTGACCTCTGACAGGCACTGGGTCGATACAGATAACTAGCAATCAGCTCTGCCTTGGACCTATCGACGACGGACTCACTATACTGCACTTCGCCATTGACAAAGTTGTCCTGATACACCCCCTCCGAGCTTCCTCTATTGATCAAGAACGCCGTCGGTTTTCCATTTCCCGGCGCCCTCGGACATTTCGGTCCCGGCACACCACTGAACGCCGCATCGTCCGAGACCGTATTCCGCAGCACCGTAAAGTCTTTTGCGGACGAAACGACCAATCCGTACCCGAAATGACCGCCTCGGAATTGATTGTCGGTGACTGTGGCGCCGTAGACGGTCGTCTCGGTATCGTCCGACCAGGACGCGGTACCGATGACGATCCCGGCCTTGATGTAGCCGCCGTGAGCGGTAAGGGTGTTGTGCTGGACGATGACCCGGGTGTAGTCGCCTTCCCATGGGGGATAGTCGACGAGGTTGATACCGCCCAATATTACACGAGTGCGGGAGAAGATCTGATTGTGTGAGACGATGGACCCAGAGGAGCCGAATAGGACGATAGCGCCGTCTGTAGCGTCGTATATGATCTGAGAGGTCATCTTGGCTTGATCGGCATGAACTTTACCCAAAGGCGAACTCACATTGCGTTTGACAGTGGAGTCCTTGCAGGCCAGACTGATACCATCTGCCCGAGGGAAACCCCATGGTGCCGCCAGCCCTAGCTCCACTACTCCATCATAATCGTCATCCCACTCCTCCCCACATGGTCCCTATCAGCCATCAGCTATCTTCCATAACCAATGTCGTCGTGGGTCCCGCTCACGATCTCATTATTCAATATAGTCCCTCTTGTACATTGCTTATCGTCCCCTTCCCGGAAATGCAGAGCACTCCACCCTCTATCTCGTCAGCTCTCAGCTCCCCTCTGTCTGCGACGATATGACGGGCTCAGCTCACCTTGGTTCGTACAGCCTACAATCTCGGACCATCTGATCGTCCGCATTCCCGAGTTCCAGCAGCGCTCCGCCCAGCTTCACACGAAGCAGGTTCGGCCGGTTCCCATCCACCTCGAGCGATCTGATGACCGCACCTGAGCACTTCTTGCAGTCCGCCCTGTCCTGTCAGCTTATGTAGCGCTCGATATCGTTATAAAGCTCACTGGACTGCAGTAGCCTGGTCTGGACCCTCGACGACGAGTAGCGCCCTATCCCGCCCAGTCGGGTTACCCTCCGTCGTGAGCGTCTGGCGGGGAGCCGTGAAGTAGATTGTCGAGTTCAGGCGATGTACCGAGCCCGGGCAGAGAGTCACTGTGGCGCCCTTCCCACCTGTCCATCAGCTCTGCGGAGTATACATATAGCGTGGTGGACGTACCCTTGGTCAACGCCGAGTTGATAGCCGTCTCATCGCCGGAGGGAAGACATGGCGTGGTAACGGCCAGAGCAGCCGGTAGCAGGCCTGCAATAAGGGCGTAGAGGAGCATGGGCGGATCCGGACGATCTCCTCCTGCTATCCGAAGGGGCGACGGGCGGTACTGGGCTGCGTATAGACAAGAGGGGGTGGAGTGCGTCAAGCCAAAATTCTGACGCGCTCAAAGATGGGCGCGTCGAGGCGCGGCGAAACCTCGGAGAAATCGGTCCACATCAAGCGAAGGTGGCCATAGACCATGGTTGACCCCAGCGACGGTGGCTTGTCGCTCGTGGAGAGCCGTGGACCACCGGCCGTCCAGCATGAAAGCAGCAATGTGAAGGCAGGAATCATCATATACCCAAAAAAGACATCTATACTCGTACCCCAGATGATCGATGAAGATCTGTCTACCGTATTATCCCGAACCATGATACGTGAACGCCTCTCGATCCAGCGAATGTAGTCTCTGCAGCTCGAGCAGTAATCTAAATGTCTGCTATAATTAGTGCCGGCCACGTCACCACCGCAGTGAGAGGGTCCACTCACGTATGCCTGCATGTTGGCCCAGTTCCAATGATCCAGTGCGAACCTCTGTCCCGCCTCGCCGATCTTTTGCGCTAGATGCTGCATTGTCAGCGTTTGCCCTTGACACTTTAGTCATGGCGAATGAGAGCTCACATCGTGTCCTAGCGATTCGTTGATATTGCCAAGCTCGTCTATGGGGCCAGCGAAGAACGCCATGATGTCGTATAGATCCGAATAGTCAGGTTTGAGCGGAATGTAGTGATACCACGGCACTGCCTCTTCAGCTGATTGTACACCTTGATCATGCCCGCTTTTACTCACTGAGCCACTCCTGAGGGCGTCAGCCAGGACCCTATCCGAGAGACATGCAGCGAAGTGGCACTCACCATATGCCATTCCGGAAACATGGTCATCTTAATCACCGGACTTGCCGAGCTGAGCAGACGATGGAACCTGCTCGACCACCCGTTCCCATCGACATCGAGGGCGTACTTGTACTTGTACGCATCTTCCGGTGATACCCGAGCCCCGAACTCGATGTTGTCGTTGATGTCCTTACAAAGCGCTGGGGTCGGGCACTGGTCAGTCAGCTCATGACCCTCCGTACGAGCCTGTGCTCAGACTCACTTGCGACGCCTGACCCGCAAGTTTGACCTCCGCATACCCCTTCCCCAGCGTCCGCTCAAACCTGTTCGCCATCCGGAACCCACCCTTCCCATCCGGCATCATCACCTCCCTTGTCCTCTCTTGCCATCCTCCATCCCCTCCCTCTGCTCGCCCCTCCAGATCATCCGGTCCACCAGGCTTCGGACCGTTGACATCCAGATGCAGCCGTAGTCGATGACTGTCCCGCCAGTCTCGCCATTTATCGAATCCGCCCGTCGTAGTTCCGCGCCAGAACATCCTGGCATCCGTCTTCTCCGCCCAGAACCCTTCATATGGGAGGTCCGCCTCTGTCAGGTTGAGATAGCCCTCTATTGGCGTTATTTGGAAGGAGGCGTCTGAGGGGAATTTGGAGAGCACGAGGATGGGTTTCAGGTGAGATTTGGAGCGGTGATTGTAGTCGATCCTGCATGATCAGCCATGGTCGTGAAGCAGAGGGTTGTTTTGAGCTCACGACATGGCCCCGTGTAGCCTCTTGAGCTCGGGAAACTCGCAAAAGTCCATGGTGGGCATATGATCATGTATGAAGGATTTGTCTGATTGTCAGCTAAGATAAGCGCAAGGCGACAGGATAGCTCACGCGACTCATGGCGGGTGTGATTCTCAGCGCCTGGCCTGATATTGGCAGGTGAGTCCATAGGGCAGGCTTTCTGCTACTCAGCGCAGTCACCCACAGCGAACCTAGTGAGCGACTTACGAACCATCCGAAAGCTTTTGTCCTATCCGCATTCTCGAAGTGCTTCAGCTCGGCATCTGTGAAGTCTGGGATGTCAGCTTGAAACTGATAGTCCAAGGATACACTCACGTCCACCCTCCCTGACCAGCTCCATCGCCCTATCCCGCTGATCGTGCCCCAGCACATCGCTGCCCGTGTCATGATCACTGACCACCACCTTCACCTCGAACCCCTCCGGCAGATGCTCCCTGAACCCCGACACCAAATTCTCCATCATCTTGGGTCTCCCCGACGTGCCCCTCGGTCCCGTCATCCTGACAGCCTTCTGCGTCACCTCCATGTTGTAGCTGAAATCCGTGCCCTGGAGATCCTTTGACCGCTTGATGAAGGTCGCCGGTGCGAGCGCATGATGGGGTAGTAAATCCTTCATCAATTGGTTGTACTCGTCCCGCATGGTGACATTGTGCTCCTCGCAAAACGCCCACCACTTGTCGAACCCTGCTGGCGGACTGATGAAATACCGCTTCTTGTATTCCTCCACCGCGCCTGCCAATGTCCGAGACTGGGCATCCAAGAGCTGATGCCACCGCTCCTCCCCTCGTTCCATCAACTCGTAGATGGGATGCTCGGCCCCTTCTGGAGGTGGATCCAGTACTGCCATCCCGAGCTTGTCAAAGCGCAGAGAGCTCTTTCGTTGTCGTCCGCCCTTGACAGCCCATCCTAGCGGTGTATGGACCCGCTCCTGACCGAGCCCATGCCGAAGGCCGAACCAGTATAGCAGAAAGAAGACGCCGAGGAGATAGATGATCTTCTTTGGTTTCCGTATTGGCCGTGGAAAGCCTCCGTTGCCTGTGATGCTAGACAGTGGGTAGGCGGACTGAGGAGGCATGCTGATGGAGTGATGGGATTTTGCGCGAAATTTCCGCTTGTATTTAGGGGAAACGGTCGACGGGGTCGATAATGGTTTTTGGCGATTATCGATAGGAGGTGAGAGACGACCGCTGAGCATGACGGGCACAGCGTGTGAGCTGTCGCTGTGGATGGCTGCCAGGCCTTCGGACAATATGGTGATCTTTGACTTTTGCACCCCGCTGAGACTGCTCGCCGTTGCCGCTCAGGCACGCACCAGCGGATCTGGTAACAAAGGACGCGTCTGGATCGCCCCCGGGACCAGCGAACTTGACTTTTACTTTCGGCGCGTGTCCGGCAGCGGGATGCGTCACCGGGCCGGTCCAGCCGTACAAGACCCGCAGCTACCAAGCTAACTTTTTTGGCCTATCTACTGCAGCTCGCTATAAAGTCTAGGGAGCTCTACCCCACACCCGCCCTCAAAAGGCCCAGATAGACCGCCAACAGCTCCTCTTGGTACATCAGTTTTCGAGATTCCGCGTCAAATCTCCCAGTCGCTGCTCAAAGGCTGCTCTGTCAACTCTCACTTTCCTTTGTCCTCCTACAGGTACCGGTACCTCGCTGCCTCGAGGCCCGTCACCAACATGGCGCATCTGCAATTCACTCCTTCTCAACCGCCTAGCCGGCAACCGTCTATCAAACGTCGAGGATCGGATGCGAACCGCCCGCCCATCCCTTCGCGAGAACCGTCGTTCCAGCCCGCGTTCCCCTCGGATTACGCTATGACCTCCTCCCAGCCCTCGTCACGCCGACCATCCTTCGCAGCGGGGCTCAGCGGCTTCAACGCCGAGAGGAGACCATCAGTGGCTGGTGCTTTTGCCGGAGGTTTCACCGGTATGATGTCCCCTTCGCCAGTCTCCCTATCCCGGAGGAGCAGTATGGCGTCTGGCCCCCGGCCCATCACCAGGGCAGAGTACAGCGGGCACGCCACGCCATCTCTGCTCTCCCGAGCGGGCAGCCCGACCTTGCCGCTGGGACAGGAAGGCCGGTCGCGCGGAGATGGCTTTCACGAAGGTAGGGAGCTGCGGGCGGGGGAATTTATTGGCAGTTTGGATTGCGGGACGACGTGCGTTTCCCTTCCCTTTGCTTGAACTCAGCTGATTCGCTAGCTCTACCCGGTTTATCGTCTTTGATGCCCACGCCAAGATCATATGCGAGCACCAAGCCGAGTTCCCCCAGATTCTGCCGCACGCAGGCTGGCACGAGCAAGATCCGGAGACATTGGTGGAGTGCATGAAGGAGTGCATCACCAAAGCGACCGAGAAGCTGGAATGGATGGGTTGGAGCAAGGAGAGCATCAAGGGTATTGGTGGGTCTAGATGCCATTCTGTGTGATGTATCAAGCTCATGACCGCAGGAATCACCAATCAGCGCGAAACTACCCTCTGCTGGTCCCGCTCAACCGGCAAACCCCTTTGCAATGCCATCGTATGGGACGACGCGCGCACGAATGGGGTAGTCAGGCACTACGAGACCAAGCTCGAGGAGGAAGGACTCGAGATTGACGATGACGAGGTGGACGCCAAGGCGGCGGAGGACGCAGCCAGTGGGGAGGCGGATGAGCCGATAACGGAGGGTGTGGAATTGGGGCCTGGTGGAAAAGAGGCTGCTTTTGCGGAAGAGGGCAAGGTTGAGGGGGAGGGTCTGACGGCTATGATGGGGAAAGCGATGGAGGGGCTTGGGCTGGCTGGACGAGGAAAGCCGACCGGGGCAAAGAAGAGGAGGAAGGGGATGGAGGGGCTGGTCGATGTGTAAGTTTGTAGTCCTACTTGCGGCTGTCGGTGCTGACTTTGTAGGACCGGTATCCGCTTGTCTACATACTTTTCAGCCATCAAGCTTCGGTGGATGCTGGATCACCACAAAGAGGTACACGACGCGCACGAATCCGATGACTTGTGCTTTGGTACCGTCGACTCCTGGCTAGTCTACGTATGTCCTCTGCCACCGCACAATATATGCCTCAGCAGCTGACCCTCTAGAATCTCACAGGCGGCGTCGACGGTGGTCTACACATCATGGACGTAACCAACGCCTCTCGAACCCTCCTCATCTCCCTCCGGACCCTGCAATGGCACCCCCCTCTACTCCGCTTCTTCGGCTTCCGCCAGTCCATCCTCCCGCGCATCGTCTCATCCGCCGAGAAGTACGGCGTTATCCACGCCAACCTCTCGCTCCCGCTCACCGGCGTCCCAATAGCCGGGATTGTCGGCGACCAGCAGGCTGCACTGGTCGGGAACAAGTGTCTGCAGAAGGGCGAGGCGAAGAACACGTACGGGACAGGAAGCTTTGTGTTGTTCAATACCGGGTCGGAGGCGGTCAGGTCGCAGAATGGGTTGTTGACGACGGTGGCGTACCAGCCGGGGCCGAACGCCAAGCCGGTGTATGCGCTGGAGGGGAGTATTGCGGTGGCAGGGTCGGCTATCAAGTGGTGAGTTGTCCTTTTCAAGACGGTGTGAGTCAATGCTGACATCAGGCTGCGGGATCAGATGAACCTCATCGAGGAGTCGAGCGAGATGGACCACCTGGCAGGTTCCGTGAAGGACACCGGTGGCGTGTACTTTGTCACTGCTTTTAGTGGACTGCTAGCACCGTAAGTCGCCGAGCCCCAAGTGATAGTAACGCAGCTGACATGACAGATACTGGGACCGAGAAGCGGTGAGCCGTTCTGGGTCAGGATGTTGTCCTGAACTGAGCTGACAAGACAGGCTGGTACGATCATCGGCTTGACCTCCTACACTACCTCTGCCCATATCGCACGCGCAACACTCGAGGCGGTCTGCTACCAGACCCGAGCTGTTCTCGACGTCATCGAGAAGGAAAGTGGCGTGAAGCTCGAAACTCTCAAAGTTGACGGTGAGCCCTTCCGTCCTTCTTCTCATCCAACAGCAAATGCAGAGCTGATTTTGCAGGCGGAGTGACCAACTCCAACCTCGCCATGCAGCTCCAAGCCAACGTGCGTGCCCCTTCTTTCCCGCGCACATATACATACCCGCACGCATAGCTGACCCCCAGATCGGCGGCTTCAAAGTATCCCGACCCACCATGCGCGAATCCACCGCCCTCGGATCCGCCCTCCTCGCGGGCCATGCTCTCGGCCTCTTTGGTTGGGACCTCACCCGCCCAGAAACGCTCTCGAAAGTCAACACGGCGGACGTACATACCTTTGAGCCCGAGCTGCCGGAGAAGGAGCGGCTGAGGAAGATCAAGGGGTGGGAGAAGGCGGTGAGTAGGGCGAGGGCGTGGTATACTATAGAAGATGAGGATCGGGTGGAGGCGGAGGAAGAGGAGGAGGAGGGATTGACCAAGATCTAGAGCTCTTGTGAGCGAGGACATTTGGCTGGAGGGGATATTGATCAGCTAGGGCATGGTGGAGGAGGCGGGCTTAGATCTTGGGGTATATGAATACACATGCATGAGGAAGCTGACTGGAAACCACATCTGACATTTACTGATTCTGCAACGGACAAACTCTGAACTGCTAGGCGTTAGAGGCGGCGGTCGTCCTCGCCAGATCCTGGGCGGCACCCCAATCCATCTTCTTATCGGCGGTTCCCTCCGGCTCGTCGACGCTTAGATTAGACGCGGAGAGCGTGCAGGTATGCTCAGGGTATCGACCGCACTGTTCTTATCAGTCCACGACGAAAACTCTCACCAGACGATCGGAAGGCTGGACGAACGGTATGAGGCAGAGCCTTAGCCACTCCGAGCGCCCTTCCGATGGTCGTAGCCCAGGGCACGTTGAAGAGTTGGACATTCCAAGCGCAGTCCCAGACGCCCTCGTAGAAGATGGTGGACATTGACATGATGATAGGGTTATGTGGGTAGGTGACGAAGTGGAGTGATAAGGTCGGAGATATGGGATGAGCGGTGTGGACTACAAGATTGAGCGAGTTGACGACTTATGTACCTCTCAAGGCCCGGCGGTGCATAATCGGCTAAGCGAGCCATGGGCGTCGTGCTCCGTCTAGATGGCTGTACTCCATTGTGTCATGACACGCTGACACAGCACGCCAGATGTTGCACAGTCGTCTCGAAGGCCTGCAGCCGGCTCTTTCGCGGGCTCATCTCCACGGGCCGACCGCCGGCGGAGCAAATTACAAGCGAGGACACAATGTCTCGGCCGTCAGGCAAGAGTCCGCTGGGGACCACTGACCCGGTCACTGAGAACAGTAAAGGATGTTCGCGGCTTTGCCGGCAATTCACTTTCACGTCCCGCTTGCAGGCTCGCTTGTTACCCCTGTGTGACTGCGACCTTCCTTTCAAGCATGACGTTCCAAGCAGTACGACTGCGTTGCAGGACTGTCTCAGAGACCAATCGAGCGCTACCTCTCCGCTTCGGGACTTACTGATATTGGATACCCGACCACCGGGCCCGCCGCTCTATCGCGGTAGAGACACAAGGGATCAGGCGCAGACTGCGGCTCTGCCGGTCGGAGACGTACTTGACCATACTCTAGAAGGCCAGCAAAGTTGAGATCATGCGCATCGAGGGCTGCACCGGAATCATTCCATAGGGGCTCAAGATCCCCATCCTCTCAGGTGATCAACTACCACTACCTCCCCCTCCTCCCCCTCCGCCACCGCCTCCGCCTCCTCCTCCTCCACCATCCCCACCGCCCCCGCCGCCCCCTCCTCCGTCACCGCCGCTCCCAGCAGTGCCGCCACCGCCACCACCATCACCTATGTAGGATGCTCCGCTGCTGTGACCACGACCACGGGGTCTAAGAGTGTCAGTAGGTGACTAGCATGGCTAGCTAAGAAGAGCAACAGATCGCTGTGGCGTTGCTGATACTCACTTCGACTGATACTGATCAGCTTTCGTCAGGGCTCGCGGACATAAGTCATGGCTGAGAGAATGGGGTAGACTTACAGATACGCAGTTGCCTGGACCTTCAGCGGCTGGTCACGCTTTGCTATTGAATGCCACGGACCACTCACCCATCTTGCTAGCTATTCTCACTTTCGCCCTGGCCTGCCTTCCGTGTACTGAATGGTATGACGTATGATACGCTTGCGCTTAAGGCTGGTCTGTGGCTTCTAGCTGTGACAAAGATATGTGGGAAGACTGAACGGGCGGAGGAGGAGACGTTGGAGAAGCTGTGAGCTATATAACACCACACCCAGGGAAGAAACGGCCGTCAAAGGATGCTTCCCGAGGCGGTGAGGCTAGGCTAGCGTGGTTGTGCGTGTTCTTCGCTTCATTGACGCTATCGCGTACATCCGACATCACAGGCTTTGTCAGCAGTTCTCTCAGTGCATCGCGGTCCGATTCGACCTGCCACGCGCGACTAGCTGTGACTTTACTCTCCCAGGCCTGTTGGCGCGATGATTTGCGAGTGGAGCATCAGCCACTGGCGTCGGTACTCCTCCCATTGCAACATATGCATCTGATCGCGTTCCACCGTCAAGCCAATAGTGCATACATTAGCTACGCAGACGGACAAGTCTTTCCCTGGTTCTTTCAGTATCCTCCTCCGTCTCCGCCTCCTCCACCACCTCCGCCGCCGCCCCCATCGCCGCCGCCGCCACTGCCTCCGCCACCACCCGATCCTCCACCACCACCTCCTCCAGCTGTTCGACTGACATGTCAGATATGCTCCCTTACACAGCTTTGACGGTGGCTCACAGACATGCAACCAACTGCTTGATCAGCTCCCTTCTTTTACAAGCTGGCATTAACAAAGCTCAGCGGAAGGTCAGACATACCCATCTTACTTGACCCTCGGGTGCAAAGTTTTGCGCCGAGGTATGAGGAGCTTCGTGGCGGATGCGGAGTTATCTGGCCTTCGACCGTACAAGATTCAGGACGTATGTAGTGGTAAGTGAGGGTTAGGGCTGGGTCAGGCAGTGATATGTAGGTTGGCACAGTGGTAAGATGCTGTAAGTTATTGAAAGAAGCGAAATCTGATGAGTAAAGCTGTGCCGGATTCGGAGCGGGGAAGCGAGAAGACCGAACCTTATCTGGCATCCTTCCGGGTTCTTCTCGCTTCCCTGACGTCGACACACATGCGTGTATAGCTTCCGATGATGCTCCCGCTGCTTATGTATGGCAGCTTGTATGCATGCGGGGATGGACATGATTGTACGTATGGAGTTGATGCGGCACCGCTGGCCCGAGCACCCACACGGGCGGGATGGGAGGAACAGCTTTCTGCTCGTTAGCGTCTCCCCCAAAGACGTACGCTGTGCTTGTCCAACCAGGCCAAGTCTTAAGATACACCTTCAGCTTGGGCCGCCAGGAAGGATGGCCGGGCTGGCTGGCGTGGCAGTGATAACGCGCGCGGGGACCACGGCGATGGCCTAGCGGCTAGCGATGAAGTCGAAGAGAGGGATGAGCGAGGGATATGGGTGGGAGCGGAGGGATGAGAAACGGGTGATGAGCTGCTGTATGGGTCAGTGATAATCCCTAACCTAGCGATCATAGGGAGTGATGGAATGAGAAGTGGTGAGGAGTATATGGCGAACTTACCCGTCAAAGGACGTCCGGTCCCCATAGTACCTCTCCGGCCACCCAGTGATCCCTCTTGCCAGCCTCCGCGCCCGCTGTCTGACAGCTTTAATTTCAGGAGACCAGGAAGTCCAGCGTACCGCATCAGAGCAGCCATGGCCGGGGACCGCATGTCATAGTGAGGACGGGGGCAGCGGGACGGGGCTGTACCCGGGAGTCAATGTGAGATCGAGGGGCGAAGGTTGTCGGCAGAACGGGGCAGCATAGCTTGAGTGTGTGGGGAGTGACGCGCCCCTATATCAGACGGTAGGCGGACCGCTGAGTGCGGAGCGATACCTGGTGATCAGCTCTGAGCATTGAAAGCTCGCTCACGCCCAGGATCGCCGTTCCAGAGAGGTGAAGGATAGAAGGCGCTTACAGTCTCGAGAAGCGCCAGTTACCGCCTGATGACGATGGTGGGTATACACGGTGCCTCAGGAATGCAGCGCGGGGTGGCTGAGAACGCGTAGACCGGGAGTGGCTGGTCGAGGCGGACACCGGCGGGTGGCTGGGTATCGAATTGAATCGGGCCAGCCTCGTCCGGGGTGTCATGGTAGTGTAGCAGGTGGGAGGAGTAGCGGGATGTCATGGTAGTGTAGCAGGCTGGAGGAGTAGCGAGCGTATAGCAAGAGATGGTGGGCTGAATAAGACTGCGCTGGCGTATGTAGCATGCAGGTGCATGAGATGTGTTGAGTTGTATAGGAAGGGTACCATCTGAGAAGGTAAGTTGAAGCATTGACGACTTTGAGTATACAGAATGATAGCTGGTGAATGGCTTACGCTGGTCCTGATATCGCCAGAGCTGGTTACATACTACTAGCGAGTGTGGAGAACATCGCCAAGGCGCTCTGGCTTGAGCATCGAGGCCTCTCCGTGGTATAGTCGGCCAACCTTGACACCGCACTAAGACCACGCGATGCTTCGGGCCCCGGTTCGAATCCGGGCCTTGGTTCAAGAAAACCCCTCTTTTTGCAGTACCTGCGCCTTCTGCTGTGCTGACCAGCGTTACAAGTGAACTAGATGTCTCAGAGGGGGTGAGGAGCGACATGAACGGTAGTGAGAGTAACGGTGGACGCTTCCTTTTTGAACGTGACTTTTGAAACGCGTCAGGCACGGCTGTGACGTAACGCATGCCGTCATATCGAGATGCGGTGAGGCGTGGTGCAGGCGTTCATCGATCATCGTTCGTCTTGCGTTCATCACTGGTAGTTGAAGGAGCTGAATGATGCTGCCGGGCTGAGGGCAATGGAAGGAGAAGTATAGTCAGCCTTTTAGAGCATCGCCAGTGCGTGAGCATAACTTTGCTCTGACCTTTTGCTCTTTGTCTCTGCGGTCACTGGACGTGCCCTTATTTAGTGCCCGTCTTCGGGCTACGATGGAACTGCCTCTTACCGCTGCACATTTCATCTTCTAAGTTGTCCCCCTTCTCACCGTTCTCCCCGATCTCCTCAATCAGAAAGCAGCATCCATCTTTTCCGACGCTAGCGAAACAGATTCTGTGTATCTACAAAATGCGGTCAATAGGCTGTATATATATTTGCCAGGATGAGACTGTCACCGAAATTAAGTGCGGTGTCAAGGACTTGAATTCTGCTTTTTGCCTTTTTCTTCTACTTTCCTCCGGCTCGGACCAATGTATATCTGCGTTCGAACCGGGCTCGATCTTCTTCTTTTTGCTTCTGCGCTACAGTGCAACTATCACCATCACCATGACAGTCAGCCGTCTTCTAGATCTCATTGACGATCAAAGTACTATCCATCTCGCCGCCTGCTTAAACACCCCGATAAAGTGGAAGGTACATTCCTCAAATCGTTCAGTCACCCCCTCCTCCCGACCCACCACCGCCACTTCCCCCACTGCTCACACTACTAATGCTCTCCCGCTCCGCCTCCGCCTCCCTCTGCTCCTCGCGCGCCTCGCTATGCCTAGACGATGCCGAGCTCCCCGCATGATGTTCTGACCCCGCGTGTTCTCCTTCCCCATGTCCGCCTCCGCCGTGTCCGCCCCCGCCGTGTCCGTGTCCGCCGCCGTGACTGGTGCTATGACCGCCGTGCCCGCCACCGTGGCTGCTACTATGTCCGCCGCCGTGTCCGCCATGATCGTCTTTGCTACAGATCATCAGCTGAGGCCCGTAGCGGAAGAGGTGGATCCGTAGTTTGCATACATGTGCTTGCTCTGCTAGATCAGCCTGTCCATCAACCCGAACCAGTAGGAAGAGGGGTGGGCTCACGCTGAAACAACCTGCTATATCAGCTTACAGCCCACTCGTCATCTCATACACCTGCACAATAAGATTTCACTAACCCATGTCGACCGACAGCTATTGCTGATACCCCTCTGGGAGACTGGTGGTGTGCTCGTAACGGCTGGTCTCGAGCTGAGGCGAGTCGTAGCTCCTGGCGAGCGGTTGATTGGTATATAAAGAAGAAGAAGAAGACGACGACGAGACGCGGACGCGGCTGGCATCCACTGGCAACGGGCCAATCGCGGGTCCCGAGCGGCGAGCTTACTGCTCCGGAAAGCAGGGAAAGGGTGTGCACACATGTACACACACGTCCGCACAGATCTGGCCTAATCTGAGCGTCGCCAAGACCGTCACTCAAACCCAAAGAATGGACGCGCTCAATGTAATGCCGAGCATGTAATGAGATCCATCTATTCTAGGTATTCTATATGCGACAAGTGATATGAACAAGCAATGTTTGTATGGAGGGCGTAGAAGCGAGCGTGAAAGAGCGTGGAAAACATGGTTGGGTCGTTCGGTCGTAACGGCTGTACTGCCGGGTCTAGAAGGAGAAGATCCCACTTCCCCGCCTGCGTCCGCCACCGAAGGGGTGGGTGATGGCCGCGGAGACAAAGAGACCGACACTGACCTGTCAGCTTTGCCACATGAAGGGAGCGGGGCAATCAACTCACGTCAGACCGATAGCAACAGCCACGAGCTGCTGCGCCACTTCGAACCCTGACGAGTAGGCTTCGGTGTTGCCCTCACCAGACTGAGATGCGAAGCTATCCAGTCAGCTCATGTCCTGTGATCTATGAATGGAGTCGAACGTACTTGAATATACCTCCGTTGGATAGACCTGATGGGAGCTGGAACAAGATCCCAACGACCGTGACAGGGAAGCTTGAGCCCTAATGATATCAGCTCAGACTCACTCATAATCTGCCGATATGAAGAGGAGTTCACCTTTGACAGCTTCCCATACAGATTCCCCAACGTCCCAACGACAAACGACCCAATAGCCGACGTCATATCCGAGCGGTTAATGAACGCCTTGGCCGCAAAGTGGTTGGACGCCCATCCAGCACAGGCAATGATGATCATAATCGGTAGTTCGCGCGCAAAGAGGGGTTGCTGGTTCCGTAGCGAAAGGGCGAGGGCGAAACCTGGACATGCGAGGAAGTACCACCATGCGGATGGGGTGACTTGATACCAGTTGTCCGAGGCGTGCGTGGAGGAGCATTGATAGTCGTTTGCGCCGGATACCTGACATGTCAGCTCGGTTGCGCCCAGGAGCTCTGGTCAGCTTACAGTGAGGCCTGTGATTTGACGGTATAGCTCGGCGCCGATGGAGATACCGAACCCAAGGAAAAGCGAGTAGATTACACCTGCATCATTAGCTTGCAATCTCGTTCACGAACGTCAGAGGTCAGCTAGCTCACTATATCCTATCCGAACAGCTCCGGCCGTGATGTTGCGAGCCGCCAATTCGAGCGCACCGCAGAGCACGATGTAACCCTGTACATCAGCTATGACCCCTACCTCGTGAAGGGTGATCTCGACTTACAGGCAAGATGAGCACAACACCTCCACTGACGAGCGCAGTGTAGCAGAAGTAGCCCGTACTAGCCAGTCCAGCAGCGATGAACGAGATGATTGTAGCGATGGCGATTTCAAAGACGTTGGAGAACATGTCGTTCCGGGCGGCGATCATCTGGATACCGCATAGTAGGGCACCGAGGGGTGCGGCCGCGAGAGCATCGAGGAAGGAGCTGAATGGTCAGCTGTGATCTAAAGAAGAGGAAAAGGGTAGACGTACCCCGAGAAACCGACGACGCAGATGAACGAGGAAGCCATGGCGCCAATGATGAGTGTTTGCCACCATGAGTAGTACATGGGAGTGGTCATGAGCACATCGAGGTCCTTGCTGGCTTGCTCGACCGAGATCCGATCGTGGACGACCTATTTGTCAGCTCATTTTCGTTGATACCCGAAGAAGAAGGCGAGCTCACATTCCAGTACAGCTTGTGCGTCGCCAGCAGCTTGCCCAGATCCAGTCCCGTCGCCTGCTTCAAGAACTTGGTCTCGCTCGTATGGGTCGCGTCGTCCCCAAACGAGATAAGCATCGTCCCAGGCAGGTAGACGACCTGCGCGTTGATTTCGAGCACGCGAGCGGTAGCTTGTATCTGAGTTTCGAGTCGATGCGATGGCGAGCCAAACATCATGAGCGCTCTTGCGAGCTTCATGAGGAATTGTTGTCGAGCGAGGATGGCCGCTACATGTTGTATGATCTGGGAATCAGCGACACTCTTGCCAATGGGAAAAGGACTTACAAAAATCTCCTGCTTCTTTCTCGCTTCCTTTTGCTTCTTCCGCCTCCTCTTCTCCGACTCCCACTCCTTCCTCCGGCGCTCATCCTCCGTCATCGGTCTCGCAAAGTAGTCCATCTGACCCTTCTCACCCATCGCCGGCGGGGTCAACGGAGTTCTCCCGCCCGACATGACCCACTTCTCCGCATTCCTGACGGCTTGTCCCCCGCTCTTCAGTGCCTGCCCAGACGACTTGAACGCCGCGACCGGCAGCTTGCCGAGCGAGTCGAGTTTGAGACCCGACCGGCTCCGGACGCTCTCTGCCTTGTGGGAGGACTTCATGTGGATCATATCGTCCGACGAGGCGTTCTTGCGCAGATCGACCGCAGAGTGGGCCTTCTTCGGGTCGTACCGCCCAGGAGGGGACTCCGCGTTCGAGACGGCCGTTCCCGAGTGCATCGAGTCGGGACGGGATCCGGGACGAGAGCCGTTACGCGATTGAGGGCGCCAAGGGGACGCGGCCTGCTCGAGGGCATCGGCAGTGGGCAGGGTGTACCGATTGAGCTGGTACCCTGGCCGAGCAGCAGCAGGAGCGAGGGTCGCAGCAGTAGGCGTGGCGACGCCCGAGATGTTTTGGGTGTTCTGTATCAGTGCACCCCATACACCCGCCCCGGACCGAGCAGCCTTGGGCCGGTCCGCATCATCCAGCTGACTCCCGATCTTGTCGGTGTACTTCCGTGCCCGCCGCAGAGCAGATAGGAAGCCGGGCGTTGCGCGCGCGTCGGCTGTGAGGGATGAGGCGGACTGGGAGCGATGGGGAGGAGGTATCGGGTGATCGTCGAGAAGGACCTCGGACGGCCGCCTGTGTTCCCTGTTGATAATGACGTCCGGGGGAGTCTCGTGCGAGGTGTCCCCCGCCCCATTCCCTTCCCCAGGCTGCCACCATCCTCCCGCCCCCTTCTTGATATCCGCCGACTTGCCCGCGCGAGCCTTTTCGTCCTCGTCATCCGACGACTCGTACACCGACGAAGGGCGAGACGAAGCCGCTGAGGTCGCGCCGCTGCCGGGCATGTTCTGCTGATTGTACAGCGCGAGGAGTGAGGAAAGTACCGACGCCCCACCAGGCATCTGCGGCATCCCATTCCCCATATTCATCGCTCCAATACCGCCCGTCCCATCCCCCATGCCTCCGCTGAAGCTCTGCCGCCCTTTCTCCCGAGGCTCAGGATACCTCGCCGCAAACGCGTCTTGGTCTCTTCCGCCATCCGCTCCACCACCCACTTTCTCCGCGTCCTCACTCCCGCCCAACCCTCCCCCGCCCTCCCTCACTTCTCCCTCCTTGATCGTCCCAAACGCCCTGCTCACAGCTCCAGCTCCCTTAACTCTCCGCCGCAAGACGCCCCATTTCCCCGTATGCGCCCTGACGAGGTTCTTGGCCTCGCTCAAATCATCCGCCTGATCGTTCGACGTGATATTCGGCAACCCATCCGTCTCGCCAAAAGCGATGTTGGTTTCTCCGTGTATATGATCATTGATCCCCGTATCCAGTATATCCTGGAGCGATTGCGGTTCCGCCGGACGATTCTGGCTATCCGCGCTGCCGACCGCCTCGAGCGCGTGCGTGTGGGTGGGATTGTGATTAGGCGGATCCACGTCGAGACGATAGTCATAGTCGTCCGCCCCGTCCGTGGCCGAACTGGCTATAGACAGCTGGGACAGTGGCCGACCCGGACTAGGACTATTGCGGTGTTGCTCCAGCATCGCGTCGATAGCGGTGAGATTGCTCCGATCAACCGTCTGCGGGGAGAGAGGGATAGGTTCCAGCTGAACGACGTGCGACTCATTGTTCCACTGCACGCGCCGAGGGGTCTTGGTACCTCCGGTGGCGGGAGCAGTGGCCGTTCCGGCCGGCGGGGCAATGAGGATTGCGGGGGTGTGATGGCCTGTGGAGGAGGAACCGAGGGTAGATTGGCCTGGGAGGCCGGGATGAGGTGGTCCATCGTGATCGTGCAGCGGCTCGACGTGCTCTAGCCGCCGCCCGGTACTGATGGAGAGCGGTTGGCGAGTAGGGGGTTGAGGGGGCGTGAAAGGGTCGTCGGGGATAGACATGGTGATGGGGTCATAAACGGGTCGCAAGTCAAAGAGGCGGAGGTGAAAAAATGTACAAAGTAAAGAAAGGGCTCGATGGCTATACACAGCTGCTGCGCCGGCCTGGGCGGGTAGTGATGATTGCCGCTGCACAGAAGGGTGAGACGAGAGACAAGACACCAAGAAAAAGACAAGAGAGACAAGATACGCAAGCACCCCCTAAAAATGGTCGCAGCTCCGCGGGGCACGGACGGCGTAGTCACAGGCGCGTGTCGTCATATATACCGGCGGTAACGGTTTGTCACACATTCCTTATATCATATCAATATCAAGCTGTGAGTGGGCGTCAAGCCATGCATACCGAATTGATGTGGCTATGTATCCACACAGTACCACTCTACAGAGCCACCATGGCCAGATCAGCGCGACGCTGTGCATAACGGGAAATACAGGCTAGGAACAAGACCCCCGCGCTTTAATAGGCACATCATTCATTGCGGGGACGCGCAGCAAATAGGCGCGCGAGCTGTTGACACGTCGAGATCTCGCTGGGCGATACTTTGAATTCCTCGCACCTCCGTTTGTCCTCATCTCCCTCTCAGAGTCCACCACACCTCACCCTCCCCTGTCATCGTCGATCCGGGATCTCAGACACCATGTGGCTCAGCGATACGCAAAGTGCGTGGTTCGCTAGCTTGCCGCTTGATGATAGTGCGCAGTGGAGCTGACTCTATCCAGAAATCGGGATTGCGCTTGTCGCGTTTGGGATCTTCTTCCAATTCCTGGGTATGTCGAGCCCGCCTCATCTGATCGGCTCTCTGTAGGCTAGCTGCTGACGTCTCGCAGGTATAATGCTCCTCTTTGACGGTCCATTATTAGCGCTGGGAAATGTACGTCTCTACCCCCTTCCCAGTCTTCCAGACCTCCAGACCCCTCCCGCCATCACACCCGCTCACCCACCACATCTGCATCCCTACTGATTAGTAATAACCACTCGCTGATATCCCACAGATCCTCTTCGTGTCCGGTCTCCCACTCATCATCGGCCCCACCAAGACCTTCTACTTCTTCTCACGGCGGGAAAAATGGAGAGGGACCTTGTGCTTCTTTGGCGGCATGTAAGCTAACCACTTCCTGGCGACTCTCTCGCTACCGACGTGCTGAGGCCTAGACTTAACGCTGACTCGCAGTCTCTTGGTATTCTGCAAGTGGCCCATAACAGGTATAGCTATCGAATTTGTCGGTTTCGTAGGGCTGTTTGGGTATGTCTCTGTTGCTCAGCTGCGTGTTGGACATAGCTGATGGTGTAGATCCTTCTTCCCGGTCATTCTCCAGGCGTTGAGGCAAGCACCGATCATTGGGACTTTCCTCTCTTTGCCATATATCCGACAGGTGAGCTGACAGATCCCTTTGATTGTGTATGAGCAGAGCTGATACGATATCAGGGAGCAGACAGATTGGCAGGTGTCAGGCAAAGCGCAGTATAGGTGCTGCATGGCGATGGAGCTCAACACTGCTATGCATCGATGCAGTCTTGTGAGGATCATACTAGATCCGCCATACTGCTCAGTGTGGCTCCGAGGGATGACTATCCTAATGCGCGGATCGGCGGGGTGGACTTTGCATGCCTGGCGTGGCTCACTGACGCGTGACGGCAGGAGAAGATCTGATGTACAACGATGCATCGATATTGCGCCTCCGGAGATCCAAGCTAAAAACGATTAAAAAGGGATAAGAGGTGTGATATCTAGGTTAAAAACTACTGTAAAGGAATGCTGTTGACAAGACGGGTCCATCAAGACCCACACTCTCCTGACCCCTCGTGCTCCTCATTCGGACCATCTCGGACCTCACAATCGCTCCCCCGTAAACCCTCCCCAGTCCCCACCCCCACCTCCACCCCCATAAACCTCTTGTTCCTGATACCTCGCCTGCTGCCCCTGTCCCTGCCCAGCTCCACCCGCCTTGCCCTGCCATAACGGCTTGAACGCATCCTGCTCGAACCCGCCCGTATCTTTCGGGCTCGCCCGCACTGGCAGTACATTGTTGTGGTATGGCCGCGCCCCGTCCCCTTCTTGAGTATTCCGCGTGGATCTCCCACCTTGCACCTGAACCTGCTTGGGACCAGGTACACCACCAGCGCTGGCGCTGCCCCCGCTCTTCCCTCCCCCTCCCATCCCGCCACTCCCACTCGACCCAAAAGCACTGTGGATCTGACCCTGCCATCCGCCCTGTCTGAGCGGTGACGTACCCACACCAGCCCCTTGCCCCGCGCCTGCGCCGAAACCGGAGTTCGCGCCGCCAGAGATGTTCTGCCCGATGACGGATGGGGTGTTCCATGATGATGCGGGCGCGGGGGGAGGAAGGGGTCCGCCCGAAGAGGAAGAGTGAGGGGGGATGGCGGATGAGGAGGCGGGAGGTGGGATGGGGCGGTAGTAGGGTTGAGAGGGGATGGTCTGTTGTAGTTTCGCCTGGAGGGTCAGTATCAGGTCTCTTTGAATGACCTGAGGGACAGCGAGTGAGTATAGTCTGGATGGAATAGCATGTAGTGTGTGACAGAGAATGAGACTCACGTGCAAGTCCTTCAGATCCCTGCCTTGTTGCCCCGCGTGCACTCCCGACATCGTCGCGATAAGGTCATCCATCGACGCCATGATGATGTAGCTCCGAGAGTATGGATTGAGATAGGTAGTGATGCTCCTAGGGGTGTTGTAGATGTAAGCGTTTGGCCGCAGTCAGGTTGCTTTGTCCGTCGGATCCGAGGGTGTCGGACGAACAGAGGCGGTGGGGAGGGGGAGAAGGCCAACGGGACCCCCTCGAATTGGGATTTGAGAGACGGCGAAGAGCGTGGGGTGTGCTTCTTCCGTTTGCGTCTGGTCCTTTGCCAGTGTGCGGACGGGCGGATGGAAGGCTGCTCCGTATGGTGTGGTGATGAGCTGGAGGGTCCGGCGTAGTAGGCGGGGGATGTTGAGATACGGAGCCGGTCAGACCGGTATGAATGGCCGCGGAGGAAGAGTTCGGGATAGCTCGGGATATGATAAGCAAGGATGCCACCGCCGAGATACGTTGCGATAAAGGGAGAGGAATCAAGAGGATGTCGAAGAGTGGAATGTGTCGATGGGTATCTCCAGGTGATGTATAGTATCGAATTGACAAAGTCGGGCGATAGGGCTCGATAGGGGCAACGTACGGCGACGCGATCAAGCACTGCACGCTGCGCCAACTTTAATTATCCGGCTATACTTATGTAGCTTACGGCAAGCGGGTGGCAAATTCTCCGGACAACGGCCCGGGCGATAGCGACGGCGTGGGTATGTTATCGGGATGGACCGGAGTAAGGAAAGCAGCGCAAGAACTGAGCACGTTCGTGAGCATGAGCGTGACCAGTAGGCTGTATCTACTGCCCATATGCTTATGGACCGGTATGCGATGCGGGTGCCATCATCAAGAAGTGCCACTTGTAGCTGCGGGTTTCATCTTGAGCAGATGAAACAGCGCCAACTTTGATCCCGTCTCACCCAGAAAAGTTGATCAGCTCGACCTCCATCCATCACATCTTCCTTGATCACACATCGTCTACCTGGACTCGACATCTGCTGGTCACACAATTACTCACCCACCCATCTCACCTTTGTACTGATCGTCATCATGGCCGGTCAGTCCGCTATGTCACATACTGAAGCCCAAGCTGACTGTCCAGCGAAAGCAGGCCCCTCCACCTCCACTTCCGCCCCCTCCTCCGCCCCTAATGCATACGCCAAACCCAACCGGCGCGCCCAGCCCGCCGGCGTCCCCTCCCAACCCGCCAAAATCGCCAAAAACAAGCGATTACCAGCTACGATGGTTACTCCGACTGGCTCGATCCAGCCGTCCAAGAAGGCCAATGCGAAGGATAAGCAGGCGAGTAAGAAGCAAAAGGCGCGGAGGGAGGAGGGGAAGGAGAAGGCTGTAGAGCTGGCGAAGAGGTTGGAGGAGAAGGTGAAGGGGAGGGAGGAGCGAAAGGTGAGTTTGAGACTTGGGTTGCATGGGTTGCGGAGGGAGGGAGGGAAGGGGCTTGGGCATAAAGGTGTGGGATGGGGTGTGCTGATATTGCAGGCTAAGCGGAATCGGGCGAAGAATGCTTGGGAGTAGGCTTAAAGGCATGGAGAAGGTGTGGCTAGTTCTGAAGGAACATGTTGTACTGCTATAACGACCGGTGGACTCAGTCGATGGATGCAAGAATCCATCTGAAGCTCACTTCGAGACGAATGCGGTCTGCACCAGAATGTCCAGTGCTTGATACACACAAGCAGTGATTTGGATAACCCTCTCAATTGACCGATCCGCGCAGATCCTTTGGATGAGTTCGTCCCGTCCCAGACCCAGCCGTCTCCTTCAACCGTATACACCGCCTTTGGATCTGATACGTCCACAGCCATTTTCTGCAATCCATACATCCCAACTACCAACTCCCTCGTACCTAAGCACGGCCTGCACCGGGCACGTACCGCCCCTTCCTCTCGCGGGGTGCAAACGCGGTAACGTTCTGGACGGTGGTGGGGATAGAGTCCATGCCGAGCGACTTGAGGAGATCCTTGGTCTCGCTGTCGACCTCGATCGGGGCGTCGGCGGAGGAAGCAAGGGCAGACACGTCGGGAACGAACCTGCCTGTCAGTCCTGGGCATAACTCGATGGACAAACAAAACTTACTGGTCCTTGCGCTCACGCTCCTCTTCTTGCAGACGGAAAGAGATACCACGGACGGGTCCCTTCTGGATACGCTTCATGAGGTGGGTGGTGACTGCTTATCAGCTGGGCAAGGTCAAACCAGGAGGGAAAGGCTTACAGCCGGAAATCTTGTTCCTCAGACGCTTGGAGGGGACGGACGCGACCTCATCAAGAAGACGCTTGTTGGTGCTGATGGGTCAGTACAGACTCCACAGCGTGATCTGGTCCTCCCTCTTTTCTCCCTCTCCACTTCCGATATTCCACCTGCGCATTCGAGCAGGGATCCCCCAATTCGCACGCAGCAATTCCAACCTGCTTCGTACCCCTCAAATGTGTCGCACCGTATCTTCTGCTCCTCCCTGCCACCTTTCCCCCCTTCCCTTGCCCAGCTGCCCCCACCTGACCCTCCTAATACGACCGGTGACTCACTGGAAGTCGAGAGTGAGACGTGGGTAGTACTTCTCGATAAGTACCCGCGAGGCGCGCTTGACCGTCTTTGTCCTGACTCGTCCCTGTTATATCGATCCATTTTCCAGCAGAGTAGTGTACGCCAATACGAGGGGGTTTCGGACAGCATGGGAGATGCGTTTCGGTATGCGTAGATAGCAAGGATAGGTTCGTAGATTCGAGATTTTCGAGATAGGATAACGAGCGAAGTAATTGGTGTAGGGAGTCGGTTGAAAAGAGAGGAGAACGTCAGCTTTCATCCCTTTCCTTCTGCACCAGCAGCATGGCTCCCCCGACGTCCGAAGAGAGAGCCTCACCATTGTGTATAGTTGATGAACCGTTAAAGGAGCTTGTGCTTAAACGCAAGAGGGTACAGAGCGAGCTCAGCGCGGAGGACCTGAAAACGCCGGAGTGGCAAAACGTAAGCAAGATCAGACTTCGGCTTCAATTTGAGCGATTTCTTATCGCCGATGAACGCGCGGCAGTGTTTCGTGGCCCGAACGACCGTGGGAGACCGGGCGATCGGGAGATATCGCGCCACCGTGCCACGTTCCCTTGGCATGGATTTTACCTTGGGGAGATCGACCGATAAGATCTTTTCGAGACTCGCTTTGACTGCGGTGCATGCATTCATCAGTCAGGCGTGCTAGGCGGGTGGCAGTCGAGAGTGTGCGAGGGGACCTCTTCTGTAGCGCTTGAATCGTATGAAACGCATCACGGAGTAGCAAGATAGCAGCTCTCGATCTCTGCCCCCAAGGAAAAGGTTGCCCCGCATTTTCCGCTCGGCAGCGCTCGGGCCTGGAACGTGGAACTCCTTGACTTCCCTAGCTTTCAATTCGCTCCACCCACCCGAGCTCCACCCACGCTCATTACACTTTGCAAAGCGATCGTTTGGCTCTGCTTCTTCTCCTTGTCTCTCTCATCCACCTCTCTTCCTCCCAACTCGCGACACGACAACTCCCCTCCCACCCCGCACGAAGCTCATACACCGTGCTCGTATCCCCACCCCCTACACCCCCCTTCCCCCATCTCATCATCCACCATGTCCACCACGCTCAGACAACGAGCCAGCTCCCCCACTGCCAAGGGCGTCGCAGAGAAGGCGCAGGTCGCTCGCGAAGTAGAGGCCAAGGAGGTCGCTGAGGGTCAGAAGTGGGTCCTCTTTTTTTCGAAGCCAACGAGACAAGTGCTGATTGAAAGGTTCATCGTCCCCAACTTCACCGTCAAGCAGCTTCTCGATGCCATCCCGGCTCACTGCTTCCACCGCAATGGCTGGCGCTCTTCCCTCTACATCGTCTCGGACCTCACTGCGATCGGAGCTTGCGCATACCTCGCTCTCAACATGGACAGCCTGCTCCTTAACAAGCTGTGCGTTTATTTCCCTTTTCTGATAGAGTCAAGCTGATATACCAGGAACATGTCTGGCGCCGCATTGACTGCCGCCAAGATTGCTCTTTGGACCCTTTACACCTTTGTCACTGGTCTCTTCGGTACCGGTATCTGGATCATCGGGTACGCCTTTATGCCTTCCTGTCGAAATCCACGCTGATGGTCAGGCACGAGTGTGGTCACCAGGCCTTCTCGTCTTCCAAGACTGTGAACAACGCCGTCGGATGGGTCCTCCACTCTTTCGTCCTCGTCCCTTACCACGCTTGGCGTATCTCTGTAAGCTTAAACATCCGCTTTACTGCCGGACAGAGCTGACATTGCAGCACGGCCGTCACCACGCCGCCACCGGCCACTTGACCCGCGACGAGGTCTTCGTCCCCAAGACCCGCAAGATGAGGGGTATTGAGGAGCCCAAGGAGGAGGGTGAGGTTCAGGGTCTCAAGTAAGTCCCTACACGGCCCTCAGGTATCAGTACTGACAGACAGCATCTCTGCTTTCCGCCAACACGAGCTCCGTGAGGCTATCGAGGAGTCCCCACTCTCGACCCTCTTCAACGCGGTCCTCCAGCAGCTCTTCGGTTTCCCTTCGTACCTCATCCGCAACGCTGCAGGCCAGAAGCACTACCCCAAGGGCACCAACCGTGAGTCTCTGTTCCCAGTCCAGCTTTTCAAGCAGTCCTAATCGCCAGACTTCAACCCCGAAGCGATCATCTTCAAGCCCCAGCACCGGATGCAGATCATCATGTCGAACATTGGTATCCTCCTCAACTTCGCCACCCTCGCCTACTGGTCATACCAGCGCTCCTTCTCCGAGATGTTTGTCATGTACATCATCCCTTACCTCTGGGTCAACAACTGGCTTGTCTTCATCACCTACCTCCAGCACACCGACCCCGTTCTTCGTAAGTTGTCGTTGCGTGCATCGAGACGTCAACTGACATTCAGCCCACTACTCTGCAAACAAGTGGACCTTCGCCCGTGGTGCCCTTTGCACGATCGACCGGAACTTCATGGGCCCCATCGGACCTTACATCTTCCACGGTATTTGCGAGACTCACGTTGCCCACCACATCTCGTCCAAGATCCCTCACTGTAAGCTTCTGCAGGCCTCTGTACGATGCGGCAATAGCTGACGCCATAGACCACGCATGGGAGGCAACGGAGGCACTCAAGACCTTCCTCGGCCCGCACTACATGTACTCGAACGAGAGCATGTTTGCGTCGTTCTGGAGGTCATTCCGCGAGTGCATCGTAAGCTTTCTCCTTCTTTTCCTCTCTGGAAAAGGATTAAGCTGACTCCCCAGTTCATCGAGGACAACGAAGACATTGTATTCTACAAGAACTACGCCGGCGTAGCCAAGTACATCCCCGTCGAGGAGGGCGGAAACGTCTCGGACTCGGGTGTCGACATGACCGAGTCCAAGTAGAGTGTACCGGTTACACGACGTCTCCCACCCCCCTTCCCGGCCCTCGATTCCGATACGACCCAACGACCCCTAGGATAAAGATACCAAATTAGACGTAGAGCGCTCTAGACGTCCCCCACACATCACCCGATTACCCACTTTCACTACTTGTCAAAACCAGGCGCTCTTTACATGCACACATACAGCTTTGGCAACGGAACGGCCTTGTACGAGTACGCTCTGCTAAGCTTTGGATTGGCTGACATACTAATATCATTCCACTTTGTATCATCTGCTCAGCGTAGAGGTGTAAGGTGTGACATCATTCGGGACTCCTTTCATCCCCTTCCTCGGTTCATCCCCTTCCTCGGTCACTCCCCCGTGGCCGTGCACTCATCCTTTCCTCCCTCTTGCTTTGCCCGGACCTGACCTCGTCCTCCTTTCAACATGCACTTGTATGTACTTGTACTGATCAAAGTCAAGTACTAACATGTACTTCTGACCAATTCCCTTCTCATCTACCAATCAGCCGGAATGGTGTCTGAGCTTACACGACGAACCCGGTCTCAGATCATGAAGGGGATAGAGGAGAAAGCTGAGGTTGCACGGCACGTCGTCGTCGAAGCGAAGGAGATTGCCGAAGGTCAAAAGTAAATTCATCCTTCTCGCCCTCTCCTGCCAGTACAAGAACAGCAGGACTGATGGGCAGGTTCATCGTACCGAATTATACAGTCAAGCAGCTCCTGGACGTCATCCCGGCTCACTGTTTCCATCGGAGTGGCTTCCGGTCGAGCTTGTATGTTTTGCAGGACGTGGCCGTGCTGGCCGCTTGCGCGTACTGTGCGCTTCATATGGACAGCTTGCTTCTGAATAAGCTGTAAGTAGCTCTGTTCCTGTCATGCCAAAGTGTTGTATCGGAGACTGGTACTAATGCGCCAGAAACATCTCCGATGTCGCCTTGACAGCCGTCAGGGTCATCTTGTGGACTGGTTATACCTTTGCTGCTGGGCTCTTCGGGACCGGTCTTTGGGTCATCGGGTAAGTCTTCGTCCTTCCTTTCTTGCTGAATGCTGAGGTTGAGGCTGACGCTCAGGCATGAATGCGGCCATCAGGCATTCTCATCTTCCAAGACCGTCAACAACGTCATGGGATGGATCCTCCACTCGGCCCTGCTCGTTCCTTATCACGCTTGGCGCATCTCCGTGAGCTGGCCAGTACTTTACAAAGCCCAAGAGTACTCAGCTGACAGTACAGCACGGACGGCATCACGCCGCTACAGGCCACCTGACGCGAGATGAGGTGTTCGTACCCAAGACGCGCACCATGAGGGGGCTTGGACATGCAGCCCAAAGAGGAGGCCGAGATTCTGGGTGTCAAGTGCGTATCTTTGAGCTGCTTCATCCGACAGTACAAGAGATAGAAGCTAACAGTGCAGCGTGTCCGCCATGCGCCAGCGCGAGTTGCGGGAAGCAATCGAAGAATCGCCACTCGCCACTCTGATCGACGTGACGATGCAGCAATTGCTTGGCTTCCCTGCGTACCTGATTCTGAACACCTCGGGACAGAGGCACTATTCTAAGGGGACAAGCCGTGAGTCTTCCTCCGGAATGGGTTGTTACATCGTGTAGCTGAGATGCAGACTTCAACCCCGATTCGGTCATCTTCAAGCCTCAACACAAGTGGCAGATCCTCGCCTCCAATCTCGGCGTCTTGCTCAACCTCGCCACTCTCGCTTTCTGGGCGCACAAACGCTCGTTTGCCGAGGTGTTGGTGATGTACCTCATCCCTTACCTTTGGGTGAATCACTGGCTGGTCTTCATCACCTATCTGCAGCATACGGATCCCCATCTCCGTAAGTCTAGCCCTGAAGCTTGAATCCGGGATCGTGGCCGACATACTTTACAGCCCACTACTCCGCGAACAAGTGGACGTTCGCCCGAGGGGCATTATGCACGATCGACCGGAACTTCATGGGTCCGATCGGGCCTTATGTCTTCCATGGGATCTGCGAGACTCATGTCGCCCATCATATCTCGTCAAAGATCCCTCATTGTGAGCTGATGTCCCCTTTTCGTGGCGCAGACAGCTGACCTCACAGATAACGCATGGGAAGCTACCAAGGCGCTCAAGACCTTCCTCGGTCCGCATTATATCAGCTCTACCGAGAATATGTTTACGTCGTTTTGGAAGTCGAACCGCGAGTGCATCGTACGTTTATCGGGAGATCGGCAAAGAAGGCATGGCGAAGCTGACAACCTAGTTTGTGGAGGAAGACGAAGATATCGTCTTTTACAAGAATTACGCCGGGGTGGCCAAGTTCGCGCCGGTAGAGGAGGACGAGAGCTCGGAGAGGCGGGCGTCGGTGTCGGACTCAGGTATCGAGATGATCGAGCCCAAAGAGCGCCTCTGCTAGTGCTGCTTGTTACAGACCCGCGTGTGGAAGGACATGCAAACCACCTTGACATAGAGCTAACTGATATCATTTATCATACATTTGCGCACGATGGGCTTGACTAAGGCTGCGTCAAGCTCTCTCATCAGCCGATTCTGGGGGCACTCTGCGTCGAGAGGATCACGATGGGCCGCGTGAGCCTGTACAGGAGGGCGCCCATAGGCCAGGCCGACCGTGTCACCTTATGACGAGCCTTACTCCGCGTCAGCAGATCATCGGTTTCACCCCGCCCCGCGCCGCGCTGAGTACTCTGACGTGTGTGGACATCTCATTCAAGGGATCGTCAGTAAAGGATCTTCCGTGTTGAGCACAGCATACAGCTGAAGCTGAAGAGACGCGCGTATCTCACTTCACTTTCTGTTCATCCACATACTAATCTTCTCACCCTCTCCGTTCCCCCTCACCCTCTTCTGGATCACTACTCTCAAGCATCCTCCACCCAGCCCAACGGAAGATCGAAGTACCAAAAGATGGTAGCACTTACCACCCTCGTCTCAACACTCTCCCTCGCATCCCTCACAGCAGCCGGCGCCCGGCCTTGGCGTCGGGATTCTACTCTCACCCAGACCCCCACATCCTGCATACCAGAACACGGACCTCTGGACTCTGACCGCAGTGTGGTCGTCATAGCGGCGCCCGGAGGAGGGGTAGCCGGGAAAGAGGAGGTCGATGTTATGGCGGATGGTTTGACGCGGTATGGGATACATCACCGAGTCATCTGCAACGGAGTGGCATGCTCAGAAGATGAGCTTGCGACGGGCCTCATCGACTTTTTCCAGGGCCGCCCCCAGAACAGTACAGGACCCGTCACGGCGATTATTCAGGCTCATGGAGGGGCAGATCAGTTTGGAGACCATAGAGTGCAGATGAGCTCAGGGCAGGGCGAGTCCTTGAGATACACCAGAGACCTCCTGCAACTAGTGCTCGGCACTGGTACTGGTACCGCGGTAGGTACTAGTGTACCGACCATTTTGCGGCTGATTTCAGGTACTGGTATACCTACCAGCAGGCAATCACTGGTACTGGTATGGTACGAGACGACCTGAAAAAAATCTCGCCGAGGCCACTTCCCGCGCAGACTGCCGGAAAGACGTCGGTAGTGCGACTCCGAAGGGATGAGAGTCATACATGCGTGCGCATCTCGAGCTACACTGAGCTTAGCTCTCGCAAGATTACTGAACAACTCAAGTACACCTAGTATATACCACGAAGTAGGTACGGCGGTACCTACCTTCGGATAATTCAGGTACTGGTACGGTACATTTTTTCAAGATCCATGAAGTTCAGGTGTGGGTATACCTACCGCGATACTTTTGCCGAGCACTACCTGCAACAGCTCGTCCGAGCATCGGAGGTCCAGTACGATGGATTGGCTGAGCCTGGATCGACAACTGCCTCACAAGACTCCCATCCGTCATTCTTTGCGAGACACAGAAAACCACCGCTCGAAATGGACGTCTTCCTCGTGTCTTGCGAAGGGGAGGCCGCTTTGCGCGACGAGGATGTTTTGCCCGAGAAGGGCACCATGGTGACTTTGTCATCAGGCACAGCCTATGCCCGAGACGTGAGTTCTATGTTCAAATCTTAGGCTACATCTGAAGAGTGTATACCAAGAGATCAAGACCCCTTTTCAGTCACATCTATGCGCAAGGTGTACCTCCGCGGGCTTAGAGCGAAAAACCCGCCCTCCTATGCTGTCTCCAGCGGCGAGTGGCGGTTTACCGAACCCGATCAGACATCGCCACCCGTTCTACTCGGGGATCTATTGGCTCAGCGACATGGGACGAGCTTTACTGTGGCGGAAAAGTCCCTCATCAGGGAGGACTTGGGAGGAAAGATCCCAAGTGAGGAGCTGTGGTTGGTCATGAGGAAGATGACTCAGGGTCTCAAATGGGGCGTCAATGCTCTGGAAGGGGATTATGAGTACGGGCTCGCTCTGATGATCAGCGAGCTCTTGGGCCCCGTCGATGAGGAGAGGATCAGGGCGGCGGAACACAGCTCGCTGTACGGTCTTGCCCGCACCGCCTTACGATCGATGAGGTCCGTCCTCGGATCGTCGCGAGTGGAAGATATTTCTACTTTTAGTTGAACGCTTTCACGTGAACACGTCTCCATGACAACTGCGTGGACGCCACTCTTGTAAACACTTAGGCTATGTACGCTCACACTACTTGGGCACGACACCGGCCTTTCTGGGGCGTGCATTCCGCAGATTGGATATATGATCGCGACTCGAGCTGCCAGTCGATGGCGGCTGCAGAGTGCCGTCTGCCTCTAGTCCCTGTTTGCCACTTGCCACCACTTTCGCCGCCACGCTCGCGACCGCAGCTGCCACTCTTATCTACCCCGCATTACGTTGTCGTGCCGAGAAACGCGGGGAAAGGTGGGTGGCGAGACGAGCTGTGTGTCGCGCCCTTCAAATGACCCAACATGCCCCCTTGTTCTGCTCGCCTTTGCCTTTCTTCTTGGGCCTACTATCTGTACCAGTCCCCAGACTACTTAGCCTTCGTTCTACTCAAAAACCATCCAACGAAGCGCGTCTCCGGACGTCGCTAGAGTCGGAGACGACGCTCAACGTCGAGTCCACCTCCAAGTCAACCCCCCTCTCCCTTCAACCAGCCATCACCAAACACAACATCATCCATCATGCCGCCCGTCGGAGAATGGCAGCTCGACTTCCACATGCCCGTGGCAGAAGGGGACGACCCGCGGCATCATACCTGGACATCAAAGAACCTACCGGATACCTATTTCTACGTCGTCGTTCTAGGGATCGACCCCCATACCTACAAGTTCCGGCTGGAGACAGATGAGAAGAGGACCGAGTGGATGAACTACTGGGAGATGTCTGTAAGTGCCTTTTGATACCCATATGAGCCCGATAATGTAAGTGGCTGATACACTGCAGACATACCTCGACAACAATAAAACTCGCCAGACCAAGTACAGCGTCAGCGCCTACCCTTCCTCGTCCGAAGTGGAAGATGGCGAGAAGGCCCTCATCCAACAACCTTGGACAGGATCCGGAGGTCAGAAGGTGGAGGGTGCCATTGATGGAATGCACCAAGCGCTGAGAGCAATCACCAACGAGCGGGAGACAGTGGTGGCGGAGCAGCATCAAGTACGTGTCCTTAAGATTGATCTTCAGGACGAGAAGACCCGGATCTCGGAAATCCAGCTGATCCACATAGGCATCGTCTTCCCTTGCATCAGCAGAGAAAGAAGGGAAGAACACGTCCCCAGCGAGTGCGGCCGAGAAGGGGAAGGGCAAGGTGGGCGCAGTGGCGACTGAACCGAAGATCATTTCTTTCGCAAACGTGAGTCTGACTCGGGCGATTGAGCCCTCTGAACCATGCTCATATCCAGGCCAATACGTCTACAGGATCCTCGGCCAATCCGAGCCTCACCTGCATCCGGATGAAGGGCCGTTCGGAGCTCGCTGCGTCCCCCACAGTCCCCACCCACGCCTCGCCCAAAATTGTCTCGACCAAAAAGTCATCCTCAGCCTATAGTCTCGTCGACGTCAGCGGAGACGAGTCGGACAGCGACGACTGCGCTTGGCCGACCGACACTATGCCGGACATGGCCTCCAAGAAGCCTGACACCGAGGGTGTCTCGGCCGGTAAGGCCGCTGAACCCTCTACTGGTACCACCGCACCAGCCATTCTCACAGGGCCCGGCACCACCAAGCAGTCCGGAGCAGGCTTGCTCGACGTTGGTCAGCTCAAGGACCTCGAGCGAATCGTCTCGGAAGCGGTCAAGTCCGCGCCGGCCGGACCGGAGGAGGACGACATCCATCAGCGCATCCTCAGCATGCTCTCCAGTCTCCCTCCGCCGGCTCAGCCCATCTGCGCGAAGCCTCGTCAGGCTCCTCTCCAGTCAGAGGCTTCCAAGCCACCAGAGGGGCCGGCCAGCGTACGTCATCTCGATGCCCTTGCCGCTCTCAATCCGCCCGGGATTCCCTCTCCCGTCAGCGCCCCTGCGGCCGTCACGTCCGCTCCTAAGCCCAATACCGCAACGGCCCGCCTCACTCAAGGTCCCTGCTCCAGTCCGCCCAAGTCGAGCATTCAAGGCTCATTTACTGCGCCTTCTGCAGGCCCGATCTCCTTCGCTTTATCCAAACCCATCACGGCCGGTCAGCCCGAACCCTCCACCGCGGCGCCCCGTACCCTGCGCACCGACAGCAAACATACCACGCGGCCTCTTGCGGCTGCACCGACCTCGCCGGCGATCCCTCCCATCGTTCCCTGCTTCGAGCGGGACAGGTCGATCGTTATCCCAAACGACTGCCTCGTTTTCGGTCAGCGCTTGGGTCCAATCATTACCGTCGACAAAGCGTCAGGAAACGAGCCGAACGGTTCCCTTCGTCTGATGTTTCGCCTCACCCACGTCGATGAGGCGGACATCAGGGCGCGGATCTGGGAAGCGTGGGGACCAGAGTGGAGCGATGCGGATCGGGCTACTATTTATGTCTCTGAGAGGAAGGACGGGGTGTGTACTTGCGAGATGTCTCAGACCTTGGCTGCATGGGCAGGTCACCATAACCTACAGAACACAATGGGCCGCTTGCTGACCCCATATCAGGCATTATCCAAGAGGTTCAACTCCAGAGATGATCTGCACATCATGCTCGTCAAGAAGGCCACGGTCGCCACGGCCGCGGCTGCTTTTCCTCCATCAGTGTCTGGACTCTACGCTCAGGCATCGCGTCGCCCCGGTCAGACCCTCTGCTTCGATCGAGACCGGACCGTCACACGACCCTTCGGCCCCATCTCCTTTGGCGGGCCGTCCGGACCGGTTATGGCGCCCGTCGTCACAATCGACAAGCCAAGCGACTTGCAGGGTGCTACCGCCGCCGAGCGGATGCCGCTCATCTACACGGCCGAGGCTGTTATCGGCTCGGTCCGAGAAGACTCGGTTCGCGCTCGGATCTATGATGCGTGGGGCGATGAGTGGAGCGATGGGGATAAGACTTCTCTCGAGGTGTTTGAGAAGGTATGTGGGCAGTGTAGATGTGAGGCGACAGTACCGTTCGCGGAATGGGTGAGTTGTCTAGGCTTCTTTCGAGATACAAGCTGACCATCAGACGGCGAAAGTGCATCACCGCACCATCGTCAGCGTACACATGAGGATCGTCAAGAAGGCGTCTGGTCCAAGCCCGTCCACCGCATCCGCCGGACCATCCACGCAGAACGACACGGCGGACGCTGCACCCACTGCGGAGCCCGCACCCACCAGCGTCAAGCGCGGAAGCATTGGTCTACGCCCCGCCGATGTCTTCATCTCGGCGTGTCCCTCTCCTACACTCGAGCAAAGCTTCTCGGTCCCCATCCCCATCGCAGACCCCATGACTCCCTCGGCCTCGAGTATCAATCTCCCAGCTGGGGTCCTCTCTCCAAACTCCCAGCAAGAGCTACTAGGTCGATACCTCGCCGACCTCGCCGCTTCCCCGCTCAATACCTCGGCTTCCCTCCGTGTCCTTGATATGCTCAAGGACGAGGACGTCCGGCTCGACAGCTCGCTCGGGCTCAAGCTGCTCGAACTGGCCAAGTCTCTCCGGGTCGACGGTGATCTGGCGCCGGGCAGGAAAGGCAAAGGGAAGGAGTCCGCGGTCCCGGCCAAGAAGGTGGACAAGACGGAGGCAATGCTGCGCAAGGTCCTCGAGAAGCTCAACGACCACTCGGGGATGCTCAATGCTATCGCTGAGGCGAGCGGGGTCAACTTGCTTGACGATGATGAGGCGGTCCTCGTAGAGGCACCGGTGGCGGAGCCAATCCCGGAGCAGTCCACTACTTCCGGCGCAACCCCTCACCCACCTTCGACTCAGGTGGACTGTACCATACAGACCATCAGCCCGGTCCCCGCAACCCACGTCTCGGTGGACCTCACATCGCAGCTAGCGGAGGTCACCGCCTCGCTGGCCCGCCTGACACCGAAGGTGGCGGACACCGCTAGCGTCCTGTCCGCCTCCTTGGTATACCCACCCGCTGGCACGAGCGTCGCCGAGCTCGTCACCAGGCTGATGGAAGGTTCTACGTCTGCAGGCTCAGCTGGTCCTGCCGCCAGCCATGCGGACTCGGCGCCGCGTCCTCTCCCGTCTACGGACGGAAACCCCTCTTCCCTCGATAACGCATCGACCGGTGCCACCTCCGGGAGCGAGACAGCCAATAGCTCTCCCGCTGCTACACGGTCCACCACCCCTCGGAACCCCTTTGCCGACCCACCCCGCTTCGGCCATTCCTATCACCCTTACCGACCAGACCAGCCCCCTTCCTCATTCGCCGACCGTGAGCTTCCGCGCATCTCGCCCAGACACCAAGCATTCGCGCGGTATGCGACCAGCCAGCCGGCCTTCCCGTCGGACGCCGCTCGCCAGCGGCACAGCTGGGCACCGGGCTCAGCGGCTCGGCACGGGAGCCGGGAGTTATGGTCTGGCGTAGATGCCTACGCCAGTCCTCCACCATTCATGTTTGCCCATCCGCCCAATCATCCATTATACCCCCATGGCATGTTCGGCATGTCAGGCTCAACCTACAGTGGCTTCAGGTCCAGCCGGGACGCACCTTACGGCTACAACCCAATGATGCTCCACCAGCAAAACGAGATGCTTCTGAACCGGCTTCAAAGCGAGCGCGTCAGCGCCGGGTTTGGGGGACCGTATGGATTCGGCCAATCCGCTCCATCGCACTCGGGCGGTCTCTTCGGGTCGGCACAACCTGCCGCTGCCTCCCGTCCGAGCTTCGGCCAGGGACCCGCGCAGACCGGGGGTCTCTTTGGCTCAGCGGCAGCTTCCGTGCCAAGCTCCGGCGGCGGCCTTTTCGGTCAATCCACTGTACCCGCTCCGCCCGCGTCAGCGGGCGGTGGAGGACTATTTGGTGCAACCGCAGGTCCCTCTCAACGTCCCAGCGGTGGCCTTTTCGGTCAATCCCCAGCACCCGCTCGAACTCCTGCCACCGAGGGAGGACTCTTTCCCGCATCCGCAGCTCCCTCTCAGCGCTTCAGCGGCGGTATCTTCGGCGATCCGTCTATGGCCCTTCAGCCTCCGCCCCCGAGCGGAGGGCTGTTTGGCTTTTCATCGGTTCCCACAAGCACCCCAGTTGCTGGCCAGCCTCCCCCTGCGCAGTCTGAGGCTCCTATCGGCGGACCTGCTCCGACACCAACTGGGGGCAGCTCAGTCCCGACAGGCGATGGCGGAGAATGTAAGACTCAATGATGGCGAAAAGAGGGACAGGGATTGCGGGACGGGGCGGAGGAGGATCAGGCGGAGGAGTGAGTGCGTGATATATGACGGAAATGCAGTCTAGTTTGGTCCATGTCTAGTCTAGTCTTCTTGTAGTATATAGCTCTAGCATATCTGGTGCCCCTTGTAGTATAACTAGTTAACGATGCATATGATCATGTCCACTCCATCTCCTGCGCCGGAAGATTATAGGCTCCTGTGAGCGGTCCCCCACTTGAAGCCGGTCCGTTCGTAATCCAACGCTCAAACCGTCAACAAATCCGCAACGGTATGAGGTGTCGCTCTACACTTCACGCATCCACCTCTACACCCCTGGACTCCCTCATCGATCCTACTGAGTGACCCAGGCGTGCTCCAAGGGTCGCTACAGCTTCTCCCACGAAATGAGCCGGCATCCCTTCTCCGGTAATCCCACGTCCATCACCCCTCCCACACCCGACACCCCTAGCCATCCCCCTCAAGACTTCTCCACCCCTCTTCATACAGGTCGGCCAGACCAGCCCTACGAAGACTTTTCAACGCCCATACGGACCACATACTCCTCTAACGCAATCGACCAGACTACATCTCAGCTAGAACGGACACATATCACTCCAGCATCCCCGCTCGTGCCCGCTGCAGGCGCTAGCCTCACCCCAGGCGGCTTCGGGCAGCTAAGCCCAGCGGCTTCTCCTGGCGGAAGGTCGGGCGTAGACAGGGCAGATGTGATGGATCTGGGAGATGACGAGGAGGAGATAGGGGAAGGAGAGGACGAGGCGGTTCACTTTGTGCTTCTGGCGGAGTTCGACATCGATTTGGGGTCGACAATATCCCAGCAATACCCTTATCCAACAGGGACAGACGAGCAGTGAGATACACAGCTCTCGACCTCTATGGGGAGCTCCAGCTGACTTGTCAGTCGCCTCGCAGAACTCATGCTTCCCGATGGAGCCCACCTTCGGACCGAAGATTGGACGGTATTCTACCTCGGACAGGATCACGCGCTCGCCATCGACCCAATGCTAGCGCACGAAGAGGCGGTCGCGCCGGTCGAAGATAGGAGGGCGAGTATGTTCCCCAAAGGCAGCAGACCAAAACGAGGAGCGGTCGGCGGCGGACTACTCTATGTCTTGTCTTGTGTGCGGTGTAAAGCGGACAAGACGGCCAAGCGGGGAGCGCTGGTCAAGAGTCTAGCTATCTGCACGCCACATCCATGGATACATGTGTTCAAGGTCAGCTACTTCTTTCTTGGCCGATATCGAAGTCATAGCTGACTCTTTCAGCCCATCCTCCTGCTCGCTCTCGAAGAGTACTTCCGCGCCCCCTCCCCTGAAGTCCTCGCACATCTATACGACTGCTGCAACTCAGCTCAGATCCTCGCCGTGCCCCGTCTTACCCGCGCCGAGAAGATCATGATGCGCCAATCCGACCGCAAAGATCTCTTTGAAGAGCGGTACGATGCCGCGAGTGCCGCTGCGAGAGATATGGAGCTGGAGGCTGCTGCGATCAGCGCCGAGCTGGATGAGCGGCAAGAGAAGATGCCGATGTTGCGAGAACGGAGCGACTCCAGCCATCTTGCCACTCCTTCCGGGCAGGCGCGGAGTGGTGCAGATACGGGGAGGAAAGGGATGCGAGATACGCACTTCTTTGATGTGGATGTGCGGTTTAGGCGAATCAATGTTCCGATGAAGATCCCTCTGTCGACATTCGAGGAGGAAGTCGGCGATGTGAGTGATCCTCAGTCTGCGAGGGGACTGGGCTGATGAACAGTACTCCCTGGTAGAGCTTATTAGCACCTTCTCATCCAACCCCGCTCCCTTCCCCGGCCCTTTCCACCCATATCTCCACACCAATGGCGCCGCCACCCATCCTATCGTACTCCTCATTAACGCTCTCCTGGCTCACAAACGCGTCCTCATCCTCGGCACCCAGTATCCAGCAAATCACGTCGCCCGTACCGTCCTCTCCGTCTGCGCCCTCGCTACAGGCTGCGGCCAAATTCTGCGCGGTATCACAGAGACCGCCCTCCCTTACTGCAACCTCAGTTGTTATGAGATGCTGGAGGGGATGAACGGATTTGTGGCGGGGATCACCAATCCTCGATTCGTGGAATTACCCTGCTGGGATGTGTGCTGCGACATTGAGACGGGGAAGATTACGGTCAACAAGAACATGAAGGCAGGGAGCTCGATGGGGCAGAACAGTGGCGCGCAGGGAAGCGAAGTCACTGTGGGGCAGGGGACGAGGCTGGATCTGGATGCGGCGGGTATGGCGAGTGCGCCGGCGGCGAAGATGACGGCCACGCAAAAGGCGGATTGTGTGGACAACCAGTTTATGGAAGAGGTCAGTTTCCAAACGCTACATCCTGTCTGAGCTTGTAAGCTGATGATCTGTAGATCATGTCGGCGATCGGAGCACACTATGGCGAAATGTACATCCGTCAACGGATGACCGACTATATCGCCCGCTTCACCCGACTAGCCTCGTATCAGGAATACCTGCACCATGGGCTGACCAAGATCGGCTACCCCTCCACCCCGTTCCGCGATGGGCGTATGGGAAGCGGAACGGTATTTACCGATGAGAGCAAGAAGCAGCGGGAAATGTGGGCAAATGGGCATCGGATAGATGCGTGGCGAAAGACCAAGAGCTATCGGTTATTTGCAAAAGTGAGCTGCTTTAGGTCCATAATACCCGGGAATGAGCGGGTCAGCTGACCGTGTAGGACTGGGCGCAAGAAGCACGCAGAAGACGGATACCCTTCGATGTGCATCATCAGATCGCGTGCTTGCGGACTGGGCAGAACATGGGCGATGCCGAGGCAGAGGCGATTTTTGGGTCACTGGCGCAAAATCTGGAAACGTATGAGCAGGTCCTGGAGGTATGTCTTCATTTCTCTCGCCCGGGAGCCATGCTGATCTTCTAGCTGCTCAAGAGTCTACCACTCCACCTGGGTGGTCTGACACCCATTGCGAATGGGCTATTCCACCGCTGGGTCGCTGTTCGAGAATCAGCGGTGGACATCCTCCTGTCATTGCAGCATTTTCAGGTGAGCTACGCTGTCTATTCTGTTTGACTAGCGTAGCTGACTCGTCGCAGCTCGGTCAACATGCTGTGATGGCCATGAACTACTTTCATCGGAAAGCATTTATGCAGTTGCTGGAGCGGAGAAATGCCGTGCACGCAGAGCGGCAGCGGCAAGAAGGGCCAAGAACGGGTGGGATGAGCGAAGGACCAGAGGGAGAAGAAGTATTGCAAAGAGAAGAAGTGCAGGCATCTTGAGATGTATTTGGTATTACGTCTAGCCACGACACCGTATCGGCGAACTAGGTACTCTGAACAGCATCTCTCCACATCCTCTCATCCGAAGCCCGCCGCAACTGCCCCTCCCTAAACTCCTCTGACTGTGCCGCCCTATTCCTCTGCTCCTGCTTCTCCCTCTGCTTAGCCTCATACATCCTCGTCTGCATGTTGATGTCCTTCTGCAGCCTGTCCTCCAGGCGGAGCAGCCTCGTTTCGACGCCCTCGCCATATATCTCCTTGGACCTCACGCCCTCAAACACCTCCTTCGACACCTCATCAACGATCTTCCCCATCGTCTTCGCAATTCCCCGATCCCACGCGACCCCATTCGCCTCCATCTCCCTCACGGCCGCCTCGACGCCCTCGAGGTCCCTGAACGACTCCCACCGAGTCTTGATGACTTCATTGTACGCCCCAGCGAGGCATCCGGAGAGGTATGATTCGGGCGATTGGGTTTGCGCGTGGTGGAAAAGGGCGAGGACGAGGTGGGGGTTGTTGTAGTTCCGCCGGACGTAGCCGAGGAGGTATGCGAGGATGCGGGAGTAGACGGGTGGGTAGGTAGGTCCGGCGTCACCCTCACTGATAGCGGTCTTGGCCTTGGCGGGATCGAGGGAAGGAGTGGCTCCGATGGGTGCAAACACCCGCTTCTTTGCCCATTTGAGCAGGTCCACATCGGTTTGGAGAAGTCCTATCTCCTCCTTCATCGAGTCCAGCTCCTCGATGACCGCGTGGTCCTCCTCCGTCTCTAGCCGCTCCAGCATCCGTGGGTGGATGCGGCCTCCATGACTACCCGTCAATGGTGGAGGAGGACCTCCGTAGGACCTGAGCGAGGTAGTGTATGCCTCGTTCCTTGCCCTGCCAGGATGAGATTTGCTGATGGGCGCAGTATGGAGCATCTCGGCCATGAGTTCATTCAACGTCGTGGCTTCCGCGGGGGTCGTCCCCTGTGTGCGCCGAAAGCGGTCGTGTACCCCTCGAGCAGGGCGACGAGCTTCTTCGAGGTCTAGCTGATTGTTCCGCCATGCAGGGGTGAGGGAGTCGGTGATGGAGATTGATCGAGGAAAGGCTTTGTGTTGTTTGGAGGGGGAGGTGGTGCGATTACCATAGCTAGAATGTCAGCAAGGAGCCCCCTCATCAATTGATAGGCAACTTACAGCTGTTGCTCTAATGACGTTGCCGGTCTCCTAGGCGAGCGAGACGACTCAGCCTCGGATCCCATATCCCTACTGATCTCTTTCGACCGCCCGCTACCTCTCACCTCGGCCTCCGCACTCGCCCTAATCGCCTCGATGCTGGGATATTGGGGCTCCTTCCCCTTCTCTTGCTGCCCTACGGATTGTTCGGCATCGGTCGAACTCCACCGCCTCCCCGCTAACGCTCGAGCCACTGGTGTGACTGCGCGTGCTGCCCTTACTGCGCTCAGGCTAGTCGACATGCTATCTTATCAAGGTTGAAAGGCGGTTTAAAAAGCCGAGCTCTTCTTGATCGAGAAATCCTTCACCAACTCAGATCCGTGCGTCGATTCTTGAGCCCATGATCCCATAGGAGTAGCGGCCTTGCTTTGTCTAGTTACTTCTACATATGGCAGCAAAGCCAGACAGCAGAAGGCAACGCGTCCACTAGGACTGCTCCGCGTCTATCAGTGTTATGGGGATTTCCAAAGAGGCGATGGGAGGGGCAAAGGTGGGAGCGTGGTCACCTGATCAGATTTATTACCCGATCGGGTGATATCAACATGTTTCACCTTCGCGGCATGAAAGGCAAAAAGATCAATATCCGAACCAGCCATTGGATCGAGGATATGATATCCGATATCATCACGCTCTGGTGCGAGGTTGTGTCGTCCGAGTCCCTTCGAATCGTAGTGCCATTATTTCGTCTGTTGCCTGAGTGCCGTCTGTTCGTTTGTAGTCTGTCTATATCGTACCCCAAGGCGTCCTTAGCGTGGAGTACACTCTACTAATACTGCTGGGCGCGTACCATAGGTATGTCTGTCCGTTTGACGAAGACAGGACTGAATCGAAGAGCTCATATTGAACTCCCCCTTCCCAAGTCCTGTTCCGTATCGGTATCACTGATGAGAACCCTGAAGGCCTCTGTAATGCAGCGGACTCTGTACCTGCGTCTATCGGGGATTTCGGCATTTCAAAATGAGGCGAAAATCAAAAGAGTGAGCGACGGTGGACTCGTGTCATTGCCAGATCGGGAGAGAACAACATGTTTCACCTGAGTCAGCACGGGTGGCAAGAATACAAACAACCGACCCAGCCCGGGAAGTAAAAGAAGAACCCAGTTTACTGAGTCTTGGATATCCGATATCTTCAATGCTACTGGTTCCGGCTTTTTCGTCCGTGTCCCTCGATTTCTGCTGCCACTCATGTGATTTGTCGCATATTGTCGTGTCGTCGTGTCGTGCCGGGTCATATCCATTATCCGTTTTACCTTACCGATATGCGAGATCAATTTCGGATCTTGTGACCTACTCCTATACCGTTCGGTCGTGATCATTGTCCGCTTTGTCATTCATCGAGCCTGGGCTGACATAGCATGGGGCGCAATCTGACAACGTCGCTGGGCGCGCGCCACAGGTCTGACCGTTTGACGGAAACATGATCGAATCGAGGGTCCCACAATGAAACCCCCCTTTCTAAATCAGCCTCCGTATCGGATATCGTTGTCTATGGGACATTGTGCAGTCCACGGCGTACCATCATCCCCTGCGACTATCGGGATTTGCGGAGTCTCGAAATGAGGCACTTTTACTGCGAGTGCAGAGACTTGCAAGACTCACGTAAAGGTTGGAATGGGAGAAAACGATATGTTTCACTTGAGTTGGCTTGAGTGGCAAAAGAATCAATATCCGACCCAGCCACTGGATCTAGGATATGATATCCGATATCATCACGCTCCAGTGCGAGGTCATGTTGTCCGAGTCCCTTCGAGATCGTAGTGCCATTTATATATTCCCTTGATTAACCGTTTCCCTTGTCGCGTTTCCGATGTGTCCAATATTGCCGACTTGCTTTCCGATCCGGTATGTCGCTGTCGATGTATCGATCCGATTCGTTTCCATTTGTCGATTAGCATTCTCGTACCAAGCTTCCATAGCGTGGGGTCTACTCTACTAATACTGCTGGGCGCAGGCCATAGGTATGTCCATTTGACGAAGACAGGGACTGAATCCGAGATCTCAATTTGAAATCTCACTTCCCAAGCCCTGCTCCGCACCGGATATCTTTGATCATCACATTGCTCTCCAGCTTCATCAGTGCGCCGTCCTGCCTTGCGTCTATCGGCGATTGCGGAGTCTTGCAATGAGGCACTCTTGCAGAAGGAAAACAAGCAGCAGATGCCGTATGCGCTTTACCTGCCCCCTGGGAAGAGCCGGAGCCGAGCTAGCCCGCGATGTTGCACTATGGCACAGCCTATAATCACTCTATGCTGACTCACACCACTGGTCACCAATCATCGTGGACAAGTGCGCAGTCGTGATTCAGGCACGGGCGCAAGGCCAAGTTCCGCGCGGAGTCGAATCTCGTTAGGCCTCCTGACCAAGAGGTGCCAGCCCACCCGTTCTCTGCATCATGATTGGCTTTCACTGCTGTGCCCAAGGTGCCCGCGACGGGATAAGAGCTAGATGGTGAGACAGAGGCTCCGGGTAGCCAGCAGAGCTTGTTTACCGTATCGACTCGATAAATCGCTCATGCTGACGACCCGCCACTGGTCCTGTCATGTGCCGTTCACCTGTGGTATAAAGAGCGCCTCCTGCCTTGGGGCGTTTGCTTCCCTTATCCTATCCAACATCCCACCCACTGTCCCTTCCAGCCGTCTTCCCATTCCACCCATCTTCATCATATCGCCAGATCTGACGCTGTGACTATCACGTCCTAGTGCTCCCCAATAGTATTTTGGTAGATATACTAATACCAGTGGAGGGCCGGAGGCCAATACCAAATACCATACTATCTACCAGGAGGATCGTCTGGTAAGTAATTGTACTATACCAGGCGGGAGAGCATGGTATTGGTAAAATACCAATACCAAGCTGGTATATCATGGTATACCAGGCCCGAGTGGAAATTTCTAGACTACTCTCCATCGTCCAATAGAGTGCCGTATGATGCTATAAAGGTGCTCAGATTGCCAGGAGCGCTCCTCCCTAAGCCTACCCCTGCTCATTTCGTACCGAAAGTGCGGACATGGGTGAGACCCAGTGAGGAACATGAGGAGCAATCTTTGCTCCCGTTGCCACCCAGTCCGCCACCAAAGTCGTATGTGGCTGCAAGCATGCGAACATTGAGGCTTTCTTTGAGCAGCAACGTAGTCCAATCATCCCCGTCATCACCCTCTCAGGCCATGGTAGAGCCATAATCAGGCTGTAGACCAATCAAAGCGGTGCTGATTTCGGACAAAGTGGTGTCTGACTTCGGACAAAATAGTGTCTGACTTCGAACAAAGGAGTGCCGTTCGTGGTCACAGATGCAGAAGCAGCGCCAGTGCATGTCCGCATGTACCAAAAGGCTACTTGAGAGCTGTAAGACTGACGCAGAGTCCTCCTGGCGGGACTGCTACTCAGTAAGCAGCTCAGGAAAGGACGGGTGGCGGAAAAGCTGTAGTATTTTTGGTATACCAGGCCTAGTACTTGGTAATACCTGCTACCACTGGATTCGCGGGGGGCGATACTAAATACCATACTAATACCAAGGCATATAGCTGGTATTAGTAATTTACCATACTAAGGACCATGGTAATGGTATATCAGCCTGGTATTTTCCCGTACTATTACTATTGGGGAGCACTATCACGTCCCTCTGACCGATATACCTCCCGAGCAACAGCTTTCACCCCTTCCGCTTCCCGGGCAGCTCTCACAGATACCGAAGAAGGTGAGCTATCCTATCATCTTGGCAAAGCTGGTCTCCTCGGCCTCGATGACAGTGCTGATAGATTGTAGCTATATCACCTAATTCCAACTCCAATCACCACCTTCAGCATGCCCCGTCCCATCTCCTCAGCTCCTCGGAAGCGAGGTTCCACGTGCGACCGTCCAAGCCCTCGGTACCCAAAGGGAGACTGCATGTTCTACCCATACGCCTCCGCTCCCTCGGTCCGCCCTATCCACGTCCACAGCACTCTGCGTGTTGTCTTTAGTGTTGTGCCCAACAGCTCTACCGAAGCTCTGGGTATCAAACTCAAGGCCGCGCTCCTGGTAAGTCCTTTCTCTTATCCTCTCCTCCACACTTGTACATACAAAGGACAGTCTATATATTAGTCTTCAGACTAGTACTTAGCTGTCATGCATGATCCACCTCAATGCTATCTGAATACGGGATCGGGTACACTCTAGCTATCGATATCTGTTGTGAGCACCGCGTTCTTTGAAGCCGTATTCTGAGCACTTTGAACAGGAGACCTTTTCTTCAAGCTTTCCACGACTGCTGTTGTGGTGTATGCGCGTATACTGATGTATCAGGCAAGGGGCGTAGTCCTGCTCAACAAGCCCAGCGATCCCAAGGCATCCGACGCTCACCTCACATTCCTCATCGCAGTTGCCCACCCAGAGGAGGACCGCCTCGAGCACGCCGCTTTTTCTCGCATCAGCTGGGCGGAGCTCATCCCCCTAATCTACCGTGTGGAATGCCAGGGCGCTGCTCTCCGCGACTGCGTTCACGGCAAGATTCCCTCGATTCCCATGACCGTCAGCACCCTCCTCTTCTTCACAGAAGACCACTCGGACGTAAAGGCATCGCTTGCAGCGTTCGAGAGACGTTGGAGATGCCCCAGTGTCGCTATCCCGGAGATGCGCATCCGCGCTCGTTCCCTCACCCCTCCCGAGTTTGAGGGTGACTTTGATATGGAGAAGCACGGTCACCTCCTCGTCGCCGAGTACGTCCCGGGCTTTTACTACAACTGGAGGGACTGGCCCATGGGGGGGTCCAGGGACGGCAACCCAACTGGGTCTGGTGATCCCGAGATTGTAGCTGCCTGGGAGACGAAGATGATCAGCCTGGGCAGGGCGATAAGGGGTACTGGGGAGACGGCTCCGGAGGATGATAAGGCTGGAGATGGGCATGTTGAGGAGGCGGTGGAGGCGGTCGACGCCCCGCTTAAGCCAAAGGGCAAGATGGAACCGCTGCCTCTATCCCCTCCCGGTCTGTCAACGCGATCGCGGGGCCGTCCAAGTCCAAGCCAGCCCAGTCGGTCAGCCTGGTTCCTTACCTCGATGACTCCGACTCGGACGACGAGGATGAGGCCGATGCCTAGGCCCCTGTCTGCTGTAATCTCCTCGAAGTAGTGAGATCAGTGAGGCTTGATCGGTCTTTGTAGTGTAATTATATTTCTTGCTCTGTAGTGAAGAATGTAGTCTGCTTGTACGTACAACACTGGAGCCCAACTCTGTAAAGGTCTACCCCATGCCCATGCCCTTCAGCTCCTCATTGACCCCCTCCGAGCCTCGCCTGCGAAGAAGCAAACAGCTTTTCTTGAAGCGCGAGCAGTTCCGCCTGTGACATTCCGTTCGTCTCTGGTTGTGTCCGGGTGCGTTCCTGTTCGATCAGCTTGTGCTCTTATCACTCAGTAGGAGCCGCTAAGCTCACCTTTTGGATCTGCTTGAAGTCTTTGTTCGAATCCTCCACCTCGGCGACAAAGTCCTCAAAGCCTAATTGCTGCTAGATCAGCTGAGCCCGCTCCGACTTGGAAAGAGGTTGAGCTGACCTTGAGAGCAGCCAGGACATGTTCTGGTGATATTGTCTTCTTGGAGCTCTCGTCGCATATGGAATTTGATTGTGTCGAGATGAGCTTGATCCACTCTGCCTGGTCAGCTCTTGCCCCGTTGAATCCAGGGCGATGAGCTCACCAACACAGCAATCCACTATTATCTCTTTGGCATCCTTCGCGCAGGCCATATCTGGTGGTAGCATCTCTGAATGGTCAGTATGTGTTCAGACCAGTCAGTGCCCATCAGCAAAGACCTGGTCAGGAACGAGACATGGTCGGGCAGGAGGGGAAGCGAGCGGGAAGATTTCACCCGTAACTCACCTTGTATGAGCTTGAACACAGTAGCTTTGGGGAGTCCGACTTCGTCGTCCCCCGCTGGTGCTCCCGAGTCGGACATGACTCCTGAAGCTGGTGTTATGAGGTGTGGAGCGAAGATCGAAAGTGAAGGTGGATGGTAGACAATGTGTAAACAGTGAAATCCTCGAGCGGCGAAATGTCGAAGACCCTCAACTGGTCCACTATCAACCACCCAGCAACCATCCATCCACGTCTGTCATTACTCAAGGCCTAGAACGGACACAGTACTCGACACAGATAGCACATAGCTTACTCAAGCGTATTGCAGAAGCATCATGGCAACTGCAGCAGCAAGGCAAGGCGGATCAATCCACGGCGGGAACCCCCAAGTGAGCTTCCCTTCGACCTTCCCGCCCGCGGTCAATAGAGCTGATCCCCTCAGTACCTTATCGAGAAGGTCATCCGGGCCAGGATATACGAGACTCTCTACTGGAAAGAATCATGCTTCGCCATAAACGGTCCGTTCCGTTCATACTACCGAGGAGTCTTGTGAAGAAGAGCTGACCTTACAGCCGAATCCCTTATCGACCGAGCAATAGAGCTTCAAGCAATAGGAGGAGTTACAGATCGTCAGACACCGACGGCGTTCATGTGCCTTACGCTCAAGCTGTTACAGCTACAGCCAGATAAAGAGATTTTGCTGGAATATCTGCTGGCGGAGGAGTTCAAGTGGGTCTTCCCCTCCCCCGCTCCTAATGCTTTTCCGGAGAGCCACTGATCTCTCAGGTATCTGAGAGCCCTCGCAGCCTTCTATATCCGCCTCACATTCCGCTCGTTGGAGATATACGAGACCCTTGAGCCTTTGATGAAGGACTACCGGAAACTACGGGTTCGACACGTCGGTGAGCTACCCTTCCCCCCCTTCACAAGATCCGTGAGGAGTGAAAGCTGACATATAGGCGGATACTCCCTAACGCACTTCGACGAGTTCATCGATGAGCTCCTCACGCAGGATCGAGTGTGCGATATCATCCTGCCTCGATTGACGCAGCGATCCGTTCTGGAGGAGACGGAAGGTCTGGCGCCGAGAAAGTCACTTCTCGTACGTCCATACCGTCTTCACTCAGCCCTCACTTTGTTCCAAAAACATTGGTTCAGTCAAGGCCATATCTGACCAGCAGGACGACGCCCCACCCGAAGAAGCCCCTGCATCACCACACAAACGCCCCCGCCTCTCCTCTCGTACCCCGTCACGAACCCCACCCTCATCGTGCGGCTCCTCGCCCGACCTCCGCAAATCCCGCCGGAATCGCTCGCGGTCCGGCTCGGCCTCGGTCTCTGGATCCGAAAGGGGTCGATACGTCTCCCGCTCGCCCTCTGTGGGTAGTGGGAGTGAGGATGGAGGTGGGGAAAAGGGCGATACGAGGGGGCGATATGTTTCTCGAAGTCCGAGTATCTCGCCGGATCGGGATGTGGAGATGGCTGTTGCGGACGACGATGAGAAGCTGGATGGGGACGTATGAGATGGTAATGTAGAGCAGAGCAATATGAACGATGTGCCAGCCTTGCGGTATCTCGACGGCCTGGATACAGGTGATATACATCGTCATGCTGTTTCATTGATCTATGCCCTTATACCGCCACCTTGCAAGCTCACCGCCTCGCCCGCCCCGCAACCCCCATCCTCCCCTCCAGCTCCTCCACCTTGCCCTCCAACTTGCCCGTCCCCTGCTCAATACTCCCCAACGCCCTCAGATGCGCCCCCAGAATCGCCGACAGTTGATTGACCGGATCATCCGGCATCTGACTCGCCGCCTCCACTTCCGCCGCCGTTGGGTTGGTACCGTTCGTCCGAGCTCTAGTCGTCGGTTGGGGTGCGGAAAGAGTATTGACGGTGTCGATCATTTGGGTGAGATTGCGCGAGAGGTCGTCTAGCTGTTTATTGAGGTCTTCGGCGAGATTGTACCTGAATCGTCAGCTGATCCTTTAAACGTGTCAGAAGAAAAGGACATACGCCTTCTCCCTCTCCTTGTCCGCCGGAGCCTTCGCCGCCAATGGCTTGCTCGAATCATTCGTCGACGCCCCAATCTCCCGCTCATAGTGCGTCAACATCGCATCCAGCTGTTTCTGTTGCGTCTCGATATAGTCCAGCGCTTTATCTACAGCCGCCTGGTTCTGCTGTGCTTCTTGTACTTGACGATGAAGACCCGTGATCTGCGGTTATGAGCTTGTTGTCACACGTCTGACACCATTGAAGCTCACCTGGTTGCCATTCCGCACCAATACCTTGTCCCATTCCCTCACTTCTCCCGCTTGCTTCTCAAATTCCCGGACCTGCACCTCCAGATCTTTACTCCATGTATCGACGATATCCTCCAGTGTCTTTCCGCGCAGCAGGTTCGGTGCAGGCTCAGTAGCCGTTGATGTAGAAGCCGCCGCTCCGGCCGCCGGTGCAGGAGTAGTCGACGATGACGCAGCAGCCGGTGCTGTGGTGGATTTTGCACCGCCGAAAAGGCTCGAGCCAGCTGGTGTACCGGATGTAGACGCAGCAGCAGGAGCGCCAAAGAGCGATCCCGATCCGCCAGCTGCAGGCTCGGCAGGTTTGGCCGCTGCGCCGGCACCGAGACCAGAGAACAGCCCGCCCGTCTTAGGTGCCTCCGTGCTCGCCCCTGCAGCAGGTGCGGCGGGAGCAGCACCAAAGCTAAATCCGCCGGCGGCTTTTGGTGCTTCTGCGGGCTTGGCAGCGGCGGCTCCAGCAGCCGGCGCAGCGGAAGCAGCAGACGCAGCGGGTGCGCCAAAGCTAAACCCGGTGGATTTGGGAGCTTCGGCGGGAGCGGCGGGTGCAGCTGCTCCAGCGGTAGATGTGGATGCTGCGCTTGGTGCACCGAAGCTGAAGCCGCCAGTTTTGGGTGCTTCGGGCGCCGCAGGTTTTTGACCGAGTCCCGAGAAAAGACCGCCGGATGATGCTGCTGGTGCTGCTGCTGGTGCGGCGGCGGCAGCGGCAGCGGGTTCAGCAGGCTTTGAGGCAAAGCTGAAGAGACCTCCACCTGAGGCTGCGGGTGCCGCTGGAGGTGCAGCCGCTGCAGCTACCGGTGCTGGTTCGGCAGGTTTTGCTGCGAAGCTGAACATACTGGATCCGCCGGCTGGAGGTGCTCCTGCCGGTGTAGTGGATCCGGCTCCGCCGAAGAGATTGCTCGTTTGTGCGGGAGTAGCAGGGGCGGCAGGGGCAGCGGCGGCTGGCTTGGGTGCGCCGAAAGAGAAGCCTCCGGAGGATGCCGCAGGTGCAGCAGCAGGAGCTGCACCGCCGAAAAGGCCGCCGCCGGTCGCTGGAGCAGCTGGAGCCGCAGCCGGTGCAGCACCCCCGAAGAGGCCACCAGCTGCTGGAGCAGCAGATGCCCCCCCGAACAGACTACCGCCTGAAGCTGGAGCAGCGGGTGCAGCTCCACCGAAAAGACCTCCTCCAGCAGCCGGGGCAGCAGCGGGTGCTCCGAAAAGGCTTCCTCCAGCCGCTGGCTTGGCAGCACCACCGAAGAGATTGGTCGTTGGGGGAGCACCCGCAGGGGTCGTTGACGCCGCGCCACCAAATGAGAAGCCCGTCTTGGCCGCTGGTGTCGCCGAGCCGGCAGCAGGAGCTGATGGTGCCGATGCGCCAGCGCCAAACCCGCCAAACATACCACCCGATGCGGGTGCCGCCGGTGCCGCGCCGTTACCGCTCGAAGGCGCGCCGCCGAAGCTGAATGCCGAGGAGCTGGGGGCTGGTGAGGGTGCTTGTGCGGTCACTGTTGATGCAGGTTGCGATCCGCCAAATAGGGATGAAGGGGCTGATGGGGCGCCGCTGCCGAAAGAGAATCCGCCGGATGGTGCAGCTGGAGCCGCTCCACCGCCAAAGTGCGACCCGCCTGCTGCCGGTTGAGCGGCTCCGCCACCGAACAAGGATCCGCTTGCAGTTTGCTGGGCGCCTGCAGCTGGAGCACCCCCGCCGAAGAGACCACCGGGAGCTGGGTTGGCAGGTTGAGCGGGCTGGCCGAAGGGGTTGGAAGAAGCTGAAGGGTCAGACCATATCTCCAATGATATATGGATCCAATCAGCTATCAGATCCAGTACGGCCTGCCTGTGACCGTGACTGCCCCCAAGGCAGGCGTGAACGGTGGGACCTCGCGAGGAACGCGAACTAACTATTTTGTTGGCCGAAACCACCGAATCCTGCTGCATTTTGTCAGCTTTTTTCCTTGGCCGTCGCGGTGGTATGAGCTCACACATTCTTGCTGAGCTACCTCTGAGGTTGTCTAACGTGAAGAGAGCTGTGATATAGGCGATTGTGAGAGGTGCAAGAAGAGCTTGTCGAGAGTTGAGTTGGCTGGTGATGGTGTAGACAGCGGGATCAAATTTGGCAGGTTCATTCTTCGCGAACTTCGCCCATCCACACCTCTTTGTCGCATATACCTTCCTATACATCCATATAGCAGCTATGTCCGCAGTAGCAGTACGTCCAGCTGCACCGAGAGCGGCGATGGAGGCGGTTCTGGAGGTGGAAAGAAAACGACGATTGAGCTGATATCGCAGCCCGTCAACCCAAAACCATTCCTTCAGGAATTAACAGGCAAGGTGGTCTATGTCCGCTTAAAGTGGGGTCTGGAGTACAAGGGGTATTTGGTGTCGACGGATGGGTACATGAACCTTCAGGTGAGCTTTGCGGGCACGCGTCGATCGCGGTCACAAGAAGCTGATGACGGCAGCTAGCCAATACGGAGGAAATTGAGAATGGACGGTCAAATGGTGCTCTCGGGGAGGTGTTTATCCGGTGTAACAACGTCCTGTATATACGGTGAGTACCGGCTGTGACTTTTATAGGCAAGCAGAAGCTGACAAGGACCAGAGAATCGAAGGATAAGCCAAAGATGGATGAGGATTGATCGTTGTCTCCCGAATAGACCTAGTCTCCCGGTAACCTGGCCTGCGATGTATACTTAACGCGACGAGGAAACGGCATGGCACGGAGCCGCTCATCACTCGAGTCATGTCGGTCGTGATGCGCAATGCTTATACTGGGGACTAATCATTATGGGTAGCATATACTCTACCTGTCTCTTTTCGTTGATTGCCTCCCACGCCGTCCTCCTCATCCGCTCCAGCGAGGTATATTTTCGAAGTCATCTTTCTCGTGATAGGCGTCTACTTCGAAGCGATGTGCGAGCCAGCCAGCAAGTCGGCAAGGCTGGAGGTCAGCGTCGAGTCTGACCGCAGACTACAGAGACTTACTCGTCGGTAGCCTTGTCCGAGACCGGAGGCAGGACCGAGCTGTCCTCCCCTTTCGCAACCCCATCATCCTCATCGGCCGCCTCCTCAGCATCTTCATCGCTCTTCTCAGCCTCGTCCTCTTCATCTTCTTCCTCGTCCTCATCCTCATCTGCCTCCTCCATATCTTCCACTGAGACCGTCAGCCAGGTTGCCTCCCTCTCATCGAAGCAGACTCACACTCATCCAGCGCGTCCTCGTGCCCATGCAGAGCCAGCGCCTCCCTGAGCTTCTCCACACACTCATCCTCCGCGTCAAACTTGTTCCCGTTCAGCTCCAGCACCCTCAGCTGGGTGAGATGTTGCGTGATTGCCGTAGAAAGCAGCTCGACCGTCCGCTTGTCAAACTCGCCATACTGCAGCCGCAGCTCCTCGAGCTTTGGGTTGGACCCCGAGCTGAGCGCCGTCCCGAGTGCAATCCCGCCCGCTGGCGAGAGGATACAGTCCGAGAGGTTGAGTATCCGCAAGTCCTTCCAGGTCGGAAGAACCTTGACGAGCGCCCTCGTCCCCGACAGCGTCGCCGTATTGTCCTGCAGATCGAGCACCTCCAGCGTCGGGCACTTGGCCAGTCCCTTCGCAATCGCCTCGATCCCCTCCATCCTGATCCCATTCTGGATCATCCGCACCTCCCTCAACTTGCCGTGCTTCTCAAACGCCTTGGCCCAATTGCCCGCACTCCCATTCTCCAGCCGATTCCGCCCGCAGATGATGACGCGCAAAGAGCTCTCCTTGCCCTCCTTGGCACACTTGTCGGCATTGGCTGACAAAGCGTGCGCGATGATCTTGCCCCCGATAGGACCGAGGCCGTTATTGTTGAGACGGAAGTTTTGAAAGTGTGTGTTGGTTTCGAGAAAGGGGACCATGGCGTCGGCGCAACGACCGCCAAAGGCATTATCGGAGAGGTCGAGCTCGACGAGGGAGGTGTGGTCTTTGAGCGCATCACACATTGCCGACAGGGCTTGTGGGATTTCAGAGATGAGCCGGCCAGTGAAGACATCCGCGAGGTCGACAAGCTAAGAGTATCAGCTCTTGTCGCTCGCCTATCGCCTATTCCAGCATGCACGCTCCGCTCAGCTCACCTTGAGGTTCTTCTTCCCCTTGAGGACCTCCGCAATAGCCAGACACGCCTCCACGCCCAGACTGTTCGCCCCGAAATGTACCTCCTCAACATCCTCCATCTCCCTCAGTTCCGAAAGGTACGGCTCGAGATCTGCGGCCGAATTGGCCTTGAGGCCTTTGCCTAGGATAGAAAATGACTTGGAGCTCGACATGGCGCGTCGCTGTGTGGCGAGTAGGGTGGTGGGTACTGCTTGAGGAGGGTAAGATGGGAGGTATGAGTTGAGTAGGGAGGGGAAGGGACTTTTTTGTGGGCTGAAACGCGCGGAGGGAAGCGAAAGTGGCGCCAGCGAGTGAGGAATGTGGCGCTGGATGTGGCGGTATGGGCAAGTTACCTTGTCCCCACCATGCTCGTCGTGGGCGCCCAGATCAAGTGCGTCGCGTGGACCCATCGTGGACTCGCCATGGGCAAGGATCATATCCTATGGCGTTTCAGAGATTGAATGGATGACCGCAATCTAGGACGTGTCTGGATCTCGCCAGTCAGCCTAAAAGGCAGAGTTGTCCTTTCATGACCCTTTGACGGACTGTGAGCTCTTCTCGATAAAAGGGGGCCATAATGCACGTCTTTCCCTGACTTCCCTTCCATACTCTCATCACACTCACTCATACCTTATAACACCCTCACTCGCTTCACCGTACTCAGCTCCATGTCGCTTCCCTCATCCACTCACATGACCTCCAGCGTTAGGCCTCCCCAGCCTCTAGGCGTCGAGCTGTGGCCCCCAGTGGTCGGTACAACCAGCAGAGGGAGACCACGCTTCGTTATCACTGTCGGGAGCACGAACGCTGCTGAGCTCGCCGAGCTCGTCCGACGAATCAGAAATTGCAAGGGATCCGAAGCCTGCAGAAGGATCCAAGAAGACGTTCAAATGCTGAACCACCCAGAGCAGCTCACCGGATGGGTCGATTCCATGCTACCGGTCATATACGCTGCGCTCACCCAGCCTTACGTCCCGACCATCGACATCACCAGTGACGTTACCGCCTTCGATTTCGGAGCTGCCCCCTGGGTCGAGTACAACTTCGAAAACGGAAAGCAGCAGAGCTTCACTCAGGCTTTTGATCTCTTCGGGGTATCGCGCAAGGCGGCGGACGAAGGTCTGATGAGCTACCTGGACGCCGGACGGGCCGCGGTGTATGCCGAATATGCTCCATTCCACGAACCGCGCCGCCCAATCTCCACAGGTGTCGCTCCGGTCTATGCTGTTTTCGCGGGTCCGAGAGCAACCCAAGTCGACGGGGAGCGACTCAATGCCTCTCTTTCATCGATCGGTTGGGACGTCGCAAACCCGACAAGCCTTCGTACTGTGAGCCTTGTGAAGAGGTACCCGGTCGACAGATGGAAGGAGAGTCTCCTCGAAGCGCTGTCAGAGCAAGGAATCACGCTCGAGTCGTGGACTCTTTCGACGAGGCAATTAACGATGCTACAGGCGCTTCCGGCTGATGAGGGGTACAAAGGCGTGACCAGTGTCGGACCGCCCGGCTCCGTGTGGAAAGATGGGGGCTTCGAGTGGCTGGGACCGTACCATGTTGAGGGTCAGTCGTATCGGGACTAGGAGCGGGCGGCGGCTCGATTAGAGCCTAAGGATCTTGATGTGGTGCTTGTGATTTCGGTAGTATACTATATGTTACGGCGAACGTGTGTTTTGCTTCATGGCCATCGTAGTCATGGCAGTATCCTGATAGTTGTTCTCGCTCCACCAGGTGATCTGGTGCAAGCTAGTGTTGCAGAGTTTGCCTGATGATGTTCAGGTATACTCATCCTAGCTGTCTCTGTCAATCGACACCTTGTTAGATCTCGAGGTATTGCCGGAGAATGGCCAGGATGGCGTAGAGACGATCTGGCGGGGCTACGACCGAGCTGTGAGACCTGAAAGGACGATCTATAATCTGATGCCTGCTTGTTGCGCGATCGCAAGCCCAGCTCTAGCTAGGTTGCGCTCATCCCTTGATCCGATGAAGCACTCACGATAATCTCCTGAGATATTGTGTACCCGCGCTATGCCCACGCTTGATCCATGCTGAAGACGCAGTACTGGATGAGGGAGTACAGATAGGAACTCCTCAGCACTCCGCTGCCTCGCTTCAATGAGTACTCGGGCGTTTGGCCAGCACAATCCATACAGCAGTATTTAGATGCGAGCATTGTTAAACAGAGTGCAGATCCCTAAACGGATCGCCCCGTCTCTCTTCGTCTGACCGCGACAACACATATTCCGCACTACTGCAGTCACGAGACACAGCACATCTATATCATCAATCAACCCGCGATCATTCCCATACTCACCATGCCGTCTGCCCCTTCCGCACACGAGATCTCATGCTTGCTGCGTCCCGAGGGGGCCCACTCATGGCCATTGACCCTGGTACAGGGCGATGGTCACAGGCCCAGTGGACCCCGCATTTCAGTGACTGTCAACCACGAGAACCAGGCGCTGTGTCAAGACCTCCTACATCGACTGCGCACTTTGAAGAAATCGGAGGCGTACAAGACTGTTCGAGCAGAGGTTGCTCAGCTTGCCAAGTCGGAGCGGTCTACGGCCTGGCTCAACACCCTCACGTCGATACTTCATGCTGTTCTCACCAAGCCTGACCCTACCCCTGGCGAAACAAAGATCTACAACACCACCGACCAAGCCGAGTGGGGCGACTACAAGTGTCAGCATAAGCGCAGCGATTGCGAGACCTTCGACCTCGATGAGCCTGAAAATCCAGACGGGGAACTTGTCAAGGACAGTCTGCTGGCGAGCCTGGCTACCGGGAAAGTCAAGGTGTTGCAGTACGCTGACCTCGCACCGTACTACCAATCAGACCATTCAGGGGCTACGGGGTGCGTGCCTGTCTATGCGATATACACGAAGACAAGCGAGAAAGGCCTTGATCTACAGGAATTGAGCAACTGCCTGGAGGGGCTGGGCTGGGACGTTACTCGCCCCTCAAGTCTCAGGAATGCAGAGAAGATCACGATGTCCCTACCTCGGGCCTGGCAGGAGAACGTGTGGCAAGCGGTGAGAGAGCAGAACTCCAAGAGTCGGCTTCAGAACCTGTCCAGGCGGGAATTCTCGGTCGTCGAGGGCCTCCGAAGGGAAGGGAAGGTCAGCGGCTTCACTAGCAAAGGTCCGAGCGGCTCAGAGTGGAGTGATGGCGCATTTCTGAGCAGCAGGACCCGCGACGTCGAGAGGCGTAGGATGTGACGGTCAGAGCTTTGGAGTCTTGACGTGGTACCGGTGTGTATATCTTCAGTACAATTTGAATTATGCAGTCAATCTCTCATTGAGACAGCCGCTATTCCAGCAGCAAATGGGGCAAGCTAGCATGACACGGCATTTGATTAGTCCCACTATGAGTAACAAGGCAGTCGATTGGGGCCTTTCGTTGGCACTTATAGGCTGCACTGCGGCGTTGAGCCTTGGCGAGACCCACATCAATCAGTCAGCGCATGCATCTCAGTCTCCAGCAATGACACCTTCCTCCCCCTTACTTGGCTCAAAGGCTTTCGCAACGGTCAGCCCGCAGTTCAAAACCAGAACCACCACCCCAAACACCGCACAAGCCACCGCCGGCAATTTCTGACGGGAGTACCACTCTCCCCGCGTCAGACTGGCGTATGCTCCAGCAGGAAACTGAGTTATCAGCTTTTCCCGTGGCACGTCCGTGAGCGGGGAAGCTGAAGCGAATAACTCACGATGAATGCTAATGCGGTCGCGCTCAGTCCACCTGCTATTTCCAGCACGAGACCCAGGTCGTCCGTCATCATCGCGACTGGCATATCAGCTCTTGACTGGGAATAGCGGATGAGCTGAAAGTGATGCGTACTGCCCATGGTAGTGAAGACGAGTAGGGCGGTGGTGATCACATGTCTTCGCTGAGAGAACGGTCGATCCTTGAAGAAGTAGTCCTCAATGACCTGTACACATCAGCTTGGGTCCCGGTGGGCTTCTCGTAACTCCTTGACGGCTAGCTCACTTCTCGGCAGACGTAGTTCTCGAGCGGTACTATGACAGTCAGCCATTGATCTCACCCTTCTGAATCATCGTTACAGCTGCGGACTTACTAGTGGTCGACATGTTGGCTCCGAAACAGAGTCTAGCGATGTTGATAACGATATCGTCCGGGCTGAAGTTGTTCAGGATGTTGCCCTACACTGTCAGCTCTTCGCATCTGGACCACAGCCGCTCGGCTCCTACTAGCTCACCTGAGTCTTATTCGTGAACACCACATAGCCCGTAACTGCCATAAGCAGACAAGCCACTAAGCTCATCATCGTCGAAGCGTGCGTTACGGCGTAGAACCTGTCGTGTAAGCTTGAATTGGCTCCCGGACATACTCGCGAGCCGTAAAACTTACCTGTCCAAAGTAGGCGTATCCATACTATTGTAGATGTACATCGTGTTGTGATGACAGACGAACTGGAATGTCAGCTACGTTTCGAAAGAGCGAAAGAATCAGCTCACTGCAAAGCTGATCACGCCGATAGCGGAGAAGACCCCCGGTCTGACGATAGAAAAGACATGAGAGGCTTTGCCTCGTAGTTCCGGCTCCACAGCCACTCCGCGAAGGACAACAGCAGTGACGATAACGCCCATGGAGATGAGTGCTGCAGGTAGTGAGCTCTGCCCTCCCTCAATACGTATTGCGAGCATATCAAAGCTCACCGAATCCTGAGCTCTTACTGAGCTTGACGATGTCCCGGTGCAGACTGAGCGGGAACGATACCGCGAGAGTAGCAAGGAGAATGACGAAGCGGCGGTCAACTAGGAGGGAGAGGAGAGGGTGGGAGACGGAGGAAGGAATGAGAACGGCGATAACGTGCGGGATGGTGTCTCCTCTGCGTTCATTAGCTCTTGGGCTTGTTGTACGCAACATCACCACCAGCTGGAAGACTACTGACATAATGACGTTGAAGGCACACATTCTTAGTGATCAGCTTCGATATCATCATTAAGTGAGGGGGTGGTAGCTTACCCTCCAAAGGCGAAAGCGAATTGAAAGAACGAGACCGAAGCGCTTCCCCATTTCCCAAAGCAATGATGCATGACCTGTACGTCAGCGCTGATGACGCCGAGTCCGGACCGACCTGTTCAGCGCTGGTCAGGCATAAAGCAGACTGACCTCAATATACGAGTCCCTCCCGCTCAGCTTGGCGTTCAGCACGACGAGCCGTATTGTCCAGTCTGTCACCAAGGCCAAGCCGATCAAGAGGGCTATACCTGTGACGAAGCCTGCTTGTGAGACTGCATATGGTAGGCTGTACCGTCAGCTTTGCCGATCGACCTCGATCTAAGCGCTGAAGCTCACCCGACTATTCCTGCTCCTTCGACGAGTCAGCTTGATGTCGAATCGAAAGGTGAGGCTGGGCTAGCCTGACATACCTATAATACTGTTTGCCATCTGCGCGTGTCAGCTCTGCTCTGGCGAGATTTACACAAGCCAGCTCACATTCGCTATCCCATCCATCATCGTCCCCTTCACCCCTTCCTCCCGCACTTCCCCTTCCCCAAGAACCGCCTCCCTTTCCTCCTGCGTGATGTCCATTGACCCGTTCCCTGCACGCAGCAGAGGCGCCGAGGGGCCGGAGTCATCATGATCATCGTCCGATCTGAACACTATACTACATCAGTATCCTCCCAAGTCAAAGTTCAATGTCAAGACCACATCCGCGAGCAGACTGCGGAGAAGCGGAGAAGCGAAATGATAACGCACAGACCCTCCCTATCCCACTCGCTCCGCTTCCCGTACTGTTCCCCAGCGACCCCATACCCATCTCCTCCCTCCCCCTCCTATTTCTTGATGGTGTCCCCGACCTCGACCCTGGCACTTTCTCCACCCGACCGCGCTCCGAATCGTCCGAAGACCGACGCGACGACCCAAAGGCCAGGCGGGAAGCTGTGATGCTCGTTCGTGATGCCGGACGGGAAGGCCCTGCTTCAGAGCCGACACTGGTACGGAGAAGAGAGCGCGCCGAAGGGTCTGCGTCCATGGCTGGGCTGAGGTTGTGAGGTTGATAAGGTTATGAAGTAAGATGTTCAACGATAGCTGCGGTAGGGAGGATTTGAGGAATGTGGAGTTGGCCAGGCACGGTTACGGTTGTCAAAATCGCTCAAAGGGAGGTCAGGAAGGCCATCCTTTCCCGCCGTCGTCAGCAAGACCTCCATCCTTGTTTTCCATGTATAACGGTGCACAGCTCTGCTTCATACTGCCCATTTCATGCATGTCAACACGACAGACTGCTCTTTCAAAAGCACTTCCTCCGTACCACTCGGAGCCGCGGAGATAGCCGTAAGCGACCCGCTCGACCCATGCGATGCCTTCCCCTACAAAAGTTTCATCTATTTCTGCCTTGCTATCTCATCTTCGCTTCTATACCACATCTACCAGTACATCTATCATGATGAAGCTCCCTCCTGCCCCACCAGAGGCTGCGGTCAAGTAGGCTATTCCTCTTCTCATTCCCCCCTCCTCCGCCTGACCGGGGCGATACTGACCCACAGGTTCTGCTCCTACGTGACCGCCTCCCCCACGCCCTTCCACGCCACAGCCAACCTCGTCACCCGCCTCTCATCCTCTGGCTTCACGCGCATCTCGGAGCGCCAGCCCTCTGATGCCCCACTCACCGCCGGCGGGAAATACTTTTATACGCGCAACCAATCTTCCCTTGTCGCATTCACCCTCCCCCCGAAACCCTCCGCCTCCACAGCCATCTCCTTCGCTGTAGGACACCTCGACTCGTGCGCCCTGAAACTCCGGCCAATCTCCAAGAAGACAAAAGGCGGATACCTCCAGGTCGGGGTGGAGCTGTACGGCGGTGGGATCTGGGCCACATGGTTTGACCGAGACTTGTCCCTAGCGGGCCGGGTCATCGTGAGCACCCCGAACGAGGAGAAGGGGTACACTTCCAAACTCGTCAAGGTCGATCGACCGATGATGCGGATCCCGAACCTCGCGATCCATCTGGACCGGACCGTCAATGAGAACTTCAAGTTCAACAAGGAGACGGAGTTTATGCCGATTTTGGGATTGGTAGAGGAGGCGATGAATGCTCCGGCGGAGAAGGGCGAGAAGGACGGCAAGGACGTCACGGGTCAAGGAGAGAAACACCACCCGATGCTGTTGGCGGTGATTGCGGATGAGCTTGGATGTGCCGTCGGTGATATTCAGGACTTTGAGCTGTAAGCTGGGTTTCTAGGCAAGCACATCGCGAGCAGAAGCTGATTGCTAGGTCCCTGTACGATACCCAGCCTTCATGCGTCGGCGGTCTGTCCAACGAATTCATCTTCTCCCCCCGGATCGATAACCTCATGACCTGCTTCGCGTCCATCGAGGGTTTGATCGGCGCCGTCAACTCGCCCGATGCGGACAAGGAGACCAACATCCGCTGTGTCATTCTGTTCGACAATGAGGAGGTGAGCCCGACTCGAACTCGGGGACTGGTGCATACAAAGCTGATCATATAGGTCGGGAGTGTCTCGCACCACGGCGCAGAGTCCAACCTCCTCCCGGCGTTCGTACAGCGCATGGTCACCCTCAAAGACTACGAGAACCTCGGCTATCATCAGCTCTTGGCAAACTCGTTCCTGATTTCGGCCGATATGGGCCACGCCGTGAGTGACAAGTGTCCACATTCTCCTCCACCGTGCAATTCTAGCCTCTTCGCCAATTCTCTTGGAAGTGCAGCGGCTGATCAGCAGTTCCACCCCAATTACGAGTCACGGTACGAGCCCAATCTCGCCCCGCGGATGAATCAGGGTGTCGTGATCAAGACGAACGCGAACCAGCGATACACCTCCACCGCGCAGACGACCTTCTTGGTTCGGCGCGTAGCGAAGAAGGCGGGGGTCCCGCTTCAAGAGTTTGAGATCAGAAACGACTCTGTGAGCTGGATCTCCCGGACCAATCCAATGCCTTAGGCTGAAGAAGGGGGCCGAGCTGACACTCCAGTCCTGCGGCTCCACCGTCGGCCCCCACCTCTCCACACACGTCCGTACGGTCGACATTGGTCTCGCCCAGCTCTCGATGCACTCGATCCGCGAGACCTCGGGATCCAAGGATGTAGAGAGCTACATCAAGCTGTTCGAGTCGTACTTTGACGGCTTTGGCGAGATTGATCGGGACTTGAAGGTGGACTAGTAAAGTAGGGGAATAGACCAGAAATAGTCGAATGCAACAGTAATATGACCGCAAGTGTAGTGTCAGCTGGGCAAGTGCCGGTCATGGGGAAGTTTCGATCATGTCGAGGTCGCAAAGTGGAAAGATGCCCGAGAAATATGGTAACATGCGACCGAAAAATACAGCTAAACAAACTCCTCTCTAACCCTCACGTGCCCCCTCCGCTCATGCAGCCGCAGCCTTAGCCGCCTTCTTCGCTGCCTTGTCTGCCTTCCGCTTGGCCCGCTCCTCTGCCGTCTCCTCCTTTTCTGTCCCGTCCTCCGCCTTGACCTTCTTCTTCTTCTGCACGAGTCAGCTATGCCCTACAACCAATCCTCTTTGGGCAGGAAGCTTACCTTCTTCTCCCCCTCTGCATCTGGTGTCGCAGCCACCACTGAATCTTCCGCGCGCTTCCTCTTCTTGCCCTCGTCGTCCCCATCCACTTCCATTCGCTCCGCCTTCACCGGTGTCGCCCCTGCCACCAATGTCGCTTGCGGCTGGGTCTGTACCATGCCCGAGGGCTGGCTCGCCTCCCCGCCCACCGGCGTATAATCGACATAGTCCGCCGACCACGCCTTGGGCGTAACCCCCTCTACCGCCTTCCCAAACTTATCCAGCTCTCCCTTCTTGATCATCTTCTTCTTCTCCTGCGCCTTGGGCCCGAGACCCCATCGACGGGGGTAGAGATCCCGGTTCATGATGCACCGCTTGACCTTGGCGACGACGCCGTGGTCGCACGACGCGAGGTCGACGGTCGACATCATGGCGATCCCGATGGCGATCGCCTCGCCCTTGGTCGTCATGAGGACGACCTCCTCATAGACCTCGATGTCGGATTCGTACCGCAAGAGACCGGGGATCATGAGTTTGGCACCGTAGCAGACGGCATTGACGGCCGAGTCCTTGACGACGATCCGTTTGAAGTTGGTCAGGAGGGATTCGAGGGGGCGGATGACTCGGCGGAGGTAAGATTCTTGATATTAGCTACAGCTCTCTAAGGTGATAGTGGGGAGACTCACCATCACGCGTGTTGTCGTAAAGCCACTGAGCATCGAGGACATCGTGCATCGACACGATATCGTCATTCTCCCCCGTGATCCCTGACCGCACTCTCCTCAATTCCTGCATATGCGCACCCACACCGAGCAGCAATCCCAGATGCACACACAGTGTCCGGATATACGTCCCCGCCTCGCAGCTCACCCAGAACACCGCCAGATTCCGCTTATTGTCAAACTCGATGAGCTTGCTCTCGTAGATGGTCCGTACACGCAATTGCCGCTTGACCGCCGAGATAAGTGGGGGACGCTGGAAGAGCGCTCCAGTGAGGGTCTCCAATCCCCTCGAGAGCGCCTTCTCATCCGCCAATGACTCGTGGAAACGCACCACCGCGACGTACTCCTTCCCTGCGCCTTGCTGGGATTTAACCAGTCGCGTGGCCCGGTCGATACACACGATAAGGCACCCGGTGACCTTGGGGTCGAGCGTTCCCGAGTGTCCGGTCTTCTCGACCCGGAGGATCCGCTTGAGCCAAGCGACGACTTCGTGCGAAGAGGGGTTGGACGGCTTGTCCAGGTTGATCACGCCGGACTTGACGTAGGTTGCGAGCTCGCGCTTGAGAGGGGAGCAGCCGGTAGGGATGGGAGTGAAGTGGGAGGAGCGGACGAGGAGCTTGTCGTAGTTTTTGAGGAGGAGGGGCCATTGTGAGGTATCTGGGAATTAGCTTTGAACTTTTGGTGCGGGTAGGGTGGACATACCGAGCTTGGGAGCTACCGACTCGCTCTTGATAGAGAATTCTCCTGTTTGCTGGAGGTCGCTGACCTGACCTTGGGTCAAGGAGGAAGAGGAGGCCATACTGAGAGGTGATATAGGGGTGATTATAGGTGCAAGGTCTCCCTATCGTTGCTGCAAGTCTCGGTGGAGAAGATTTCGGTGGAGGGTCATCAAGGCGGTCATCGCCGCCTGAGGCGTTACGGCATTCCAGCGATCAAGCTAATTCCGGCGGCAATATCACCGGGTGGCAATGTGGCAATGGTTGTGGCAGATACTCGGGGCTCGGACACGATGAGGAACGTCCGATACATGGACAGGCCATGTAGACTCCATGAAGATGCAGCAAGACCCTTAGCCCAGTATACGCGTGATGAATCCCCAGATTCCCCTCCTTTCCCCCTTGACCACCTGCTGTACCTCTGCTACCGCCTCCTCTCCCGCCTTGACCCGCTTCTTGTAATCCGCGGGATGCTCGAATGTCTTGAGACCCCAAAGACCCCTCTTTGCTTTCCTATTCAATTAGCTACATCCCTCGTCCGGATAGGTCAGCTGTATGGAACATACTTGGCCTCAGCTTCGACAGCTTGCATCCCGTCCAGACCCCATGGCCCATACTCCCCTCCTCCGCTCGTGTACACCACAGCCATGCCTTCTTTCAGCATCATCATAGGGAGAGGCTGATCTCGAAGTATAAGGCGGGATATGTACGGGACGCCCACCTAGATGTCAGCTATTCCTTGCGACCCTTGATTCTCCCAATGGATGAGCTTACTATCCGCTGATACTGGTCTTTCCGTAACAGCTGGACCTTCATCGTTCGCCCCAGAATCGTCTTTCTCAGCCACTCAAGCGATTCAGCCGAATGAGCCTGGGCAGGATTCCCAAAGTGGGCTGCTTCGGGCGCGTCGACGCCTGAGATCCGGATATGAAGGGTTTCATTCTTCAGTTCTAGGCTGTCAGCTTGCGCAGGTCCAAACCAGACAGCGTGAGGGTCAGGTGATGTCAGGAGATCGTTGAGTGTACATACCTTTCGGTGTGCCAGGTATGGAACGGAACTTGAAGGGATAGCGATAGAAGAGTGGGGTATGGAACAGCCGGAAGTTGTCTGTCAATGTTAACTGTTACGCTTCGTACTGATACGCGATCAACGAGCTCACCTCCATCGCCTACACTACGTGTCGTCAGCTCGATTCCGCGTAGTCATAGGAGAAAAGGTAGCTCACGAAGTCACCACCCCCCTCACCCACGTCTTCCGCTCCAACATCTTACTCGTCACATAGTCCGCATTGCGTATTCTGCGCCCATACCGCCGGTATCCCCATATACCCGCTAGTGTGACCACGACAGCTGCTGAGCCTGATAGCGCACCAGATAGAGCAGGATCCGAGGGGAGGTATGTTCGCCATGGCTTGGAACCGGTCGGTCTTTGGGCTGGTACAGAGGCGGATCGGGTCGAGGAGGAAGCTCCGAATGGCCACCAGGAGGACGATGACGAGGTGTACGGGGCAGATTTTGGTACTGGGTGGTTGTGTGGGATAGGTGCAGTGTTTGGTCGAGCAGGGTCTTGGGATGAAGGGGGGACGCCGAAGGAGGGGAGGGAGGAGGTGATGTTCTCGATGATGGAGCGGATGGGGAAGTCCGCTGAGGTGGGCTGGGTGTATGTCCGTTTAGGAGCGGTATGAGAAGGGGGACGTCCGTCCATCGCTAGGTTTAGCGAGAACGGTAGACCTTTGCGAGTGGAAGAGGTAAGTAGGAGAAGAAGAGAAAGCAAAAGCGAACAGCACCTCAAGTTTGCGAGGAATGTGGAGTGCGTCATGCGCATCATGCGGAGCTCCACTGCACCCAGCCTGGCCAGTCTGGCTAGTCAAACTCTCGTCTGGCAGGCCCAAGGACTGCACTTCTGCATATTATGGCCTATGTACCAGATGCGCTCTATGTATCCTCTCTCAGGTCGTGGACGATCCCTCTGCCCCTGTACATGTACCTGATTTACTCGCCACGGAACCTATCGATCCACAGACAAAACAATACGCCCAGCAGTAATGACAGCAGGATGAAGACCATTCGACGGCGGGAGGGTTGGACGGTCCCGGTTGAGTCCGAGGGGGCTCGGATACCTCGACGTGTGGTCTCAGGTGATTTGACGTGTCCTACGGACGTCCCTCTCGTCGTGGTGTTCATGTCGACCGGGGTGTATGCGCCTCGACGCTGCTTGATCTGCCCCACCCTCGCATCCGCGTCCGCCAGCTCCATCACAGCCTTCGCCGCCTGATCGACCGCCATCTGCCCCTTCTTCGCACCCGGCGGCTTGAACACCGCCTCCCCCGACTTCTGGAGCGCCATATTCAAAGCCATTGCCTCGACCGCCGTGATGCCGTGTATACCGATGGACGCGCCCGCAGAGATGGCGGCTGCGTTGGGAACGGCGGCGCAATCGGTTGTTGTCCAATCAGCCGTGGCACCGGTGAAGTTGGCGGATTGGTTGTCGATCGTCGCTTGGACTCCCTGGAGGGCGCCGTGTGCCATAGTACTGAAAGCTCGTCAGCTAAGAGATCACTTGTAAGTAGCCTTACTCACAGCATATCACTGGCAGGCATTGCGGCTGTGCTTGCGAAGCTATTGGCAGCGGTGATGCTATTCATCCCAACCCCTGCCGCAGCATCCATCACACCCGGCAGGACCATAGTCCCTGCGAACGATACTGCGCCCAGGGTCATGCCGGCCGCAATGTCCCTGTCCCGTTCGCGTGGGACCGGCTCGCCCCTCCTCCTCAACTCCGCCTCGATCAGGTCCTTCTGCTGATCGAGCACATCCCACTGACGCGCCGCGTAGCTACTCCCAATGAGCGTGATGCCCGCGGTGGGAAGAGCAGCGGCAAGCCCGGTGAACGTGACGACCTTGTTGGAGGTTTTGAGCATGACCTTCTGGCGATGTTTTCTGATGAGTGCTCGAGTGGAGGTGGACGGATCCCGTAGCTTTGTTTCGTATTGGGCCTCGTCAAAGTTGAAAGTGTCGCGCGGGCCCATGGTGAGGAGCTGTAAGGTCAGCGTTGATTCAAATCAGACACTGCGTCGGACTGACGATCGGATATGGTGACTACCTGTCGGACCTATACGTAGGCAAGAGGTAGCGTTGACTTGACTGAGTATAGCTGACGCGCTGCGCTCAGTATGTAAAGAGGCGACGTCTGATACCGAAGACGACCTTGAGAAGCTCGCCTTCAACGTGCCGGCGCGACCGATGGGCGGGGAACAGGCTGTGTGTGTGCATCAATCTCGGCTCCCGTCCGGGTCCAGGCTTGTCTAAGTTGAGTACGCCGATAGAAAGGGGGTCCTTTGGCTCGGTGTGTCTGTGCGTCGCACGGACGCTAGACCCCTTTGGATTAGGCGATATACTGAGCTGCTCTGGGATCCCATCAGCTACGGCTCGCCGTGAGTATCAGGTGGGGTTCGAAGGTAAGACACGGCAGGCAGGGCAGGGCCAAGACGGGTGTTAGCGTACAAAAAGCTCACGCATCCAGCAGGTTCAGCTCAGTCAAGCAGGGCCAGGCCGACGAGTCGCTCCTCATTCCTCGATCCGAAAATTTCCCTTTTGCCACCGAGATTCTTGCTACTACTGCGAAGGCGCTGGACGATCGGTCAACGCATATAGACACTATACACACATGCCATTCAGCTTATGAGGTTATGTATACACACGTGATTGGCAGCTAATAGCTGTTCCCCGGTCCAAGAATATGTGCAGAAACTGTGGTGGCAAGACCCTATTGTTCCGCGTGCAAATTTTGGTCCTGCTAGTCAGTACTGCCCCACCACCGACAACTCCACGTCAGGGCGACTTACCCAGGGCACATCATTTGCTCCGTACAGCCGAGCCGGGCGCTTATATGGCACAATCAGATCCGCCATTTTGTTTGCGCCTGCACGAGCTGGGCTGATCAGCATACTGTCCTGCCATTGACAGTAACAGGAAGAAACGTACGGAGCGGGAACAAGATACCAAGCTCATAGTTGCGAACCTACCCGATCAGCACCCTCTCACAGTGATATACATATACTGAACAGATGGACTTACGTGCAATGTAGGAGGGCTTTTCTTGACGTTCACCGTTCCCTGCTTTGGTCAGCTTCCGGTCTCACACCTAGATCCTGATACGTACCCAAGCAGCGGACGAGAAATTGTGGCTCCCAACGTACACCCATCCTCCCACGCCCTTCGAATCTTCCTCCATCTCCTCCGCCTTTCGCTTTCCGTTCGTCGGATTTGAGGAAGCAAAGCCCAGTGCCTGTTCTTGCGGCTCAAAAGTTGTCACCAGCAGCTGTATCTATCAGCTCACTCCTTCCTTTAGATAATCAAGATCACTCACTTTGGCATGCAAGAGCACTCCTCCGCGCTTCGAATTCGAGTCGTGAAAGTGCGCCTTCATCACCGAGTTCCACGCCTTCCCGACAAACATCGTACTGCCGCCGTTCCTGCCCATGACACTCGCGTCGACCGTGGCCAGCGAGGGGAAGATGACTTTGATCGGCGCCCACGCTTTGGCCTTCGGTTGATTCGCCAATTCGCGCGGTGACTTGCCTGAGCACAGCTGGTGGAAATGGGAAAACCAGTCGATGCCGTATTGACCTAATGACGAGCCCTACCTCTTCAGCTAAACGTACACCCTTCGACCCGTCCAGGATAGGTCGACTCACCTGATACTCCACGACCGCCTTCTCTCCTTTCGCAGGCCTCCATTCCTCCTCCTTGATGACCTGCCCCACCCTACACATCCCAAACTTCTCCATCTCTTCCCATCCCTCATACGTCCCCGGGATACTCATCACAAGGCGCACCGTCACCGGACTCCAGTTGTACTTGGCCATATCGCCGAACTCCGCGCTGGCGGAGAGTGGGATCCGGGGACCTTTTTCGTGGTTCTTGATGAGGTAGTCGAGGGCTTTGTGCACCTTGAGGTGCTTGAAGAGATGTGTGAATTGGAGGGGGAAGTCGTGTTGCTTGTGGGAGGTGCGGATGGGCTGAGGAGATGGGAGGGGTAGAAAGTCTTGTACGAAGACGGTCTGAGAGTCAGTGAGGGGTCAGACAGAGGAGAAAGCAGGGCCGGATGCACATTCTCAATGAGCTCCCAGTCGTAAGAAACGAAATTGGCGGTGGAGATGATGACTCGTAGTCTTCCAGTCTTGTAAAATATCTAAGCTATCAGCGTCTCCTCTCCATAGCTATTGGAAACCAAACAACTCACCCAGATATACTTCATATGCTGTGACCTAGCGAATCAGCCTCATCCCCAATCCAGAACGTGACGGAACTCCTCACCCAAAGTCGCCAGTCATCTTAGGGTAACACCATACCTCTCCGCTAGGTTGCGCCTGTACCTTCCCATTCCACGTAGGTTCCGCCTTGGGATGAGGTCGGATGATAATTTGCGGAACGGAGAGGGGATCGGGAAGGATGGTGCTCAGCCAGTTGTCATCAATGACGTATGAGTTGAGTATCAGGAGGGCTATCTGAGATCTCTGACCCGTCAGCGGCAGTCTCACAGCTCAATGCAAGTACAGAGAAGCGCTCACATTCCCGATGATCTCGGCTGCCGAGAATGTAGGCTCTGACGTTGGCTCTCCGATGGTCAGGGCAGTATGCCGGAGCTCGCCATCTGGGTAGTATTCCCCAGCGGCGTCTCGAGGGAATGTGCTTCTGGCTTGATATGGGTGTTGTATGGCTGCTCGAGAGGTCCATGGTCCGGACCGGCCGTTTGCGGTGCTGGTAGAGGTAGATCCGTTGGCGTAGAAGGCGGAGTTAGGAACGGATGCGCGGAACGGGGCGGGGGCTGCAGCGGGAGCTGATGTTGGAGCAGAGGTGGTGACGGATACGGGAGCGGGAGCGGGCTGTCCTCCTGAGCGAGCGAGCTGACGAGCTATTCTCTCCTCTTCCATCTTGGCTCGGTCCGAGAGAAGGCTGTTGACAGTGCCCGGTACTCTGGCAGGTGGTGGAGGGGATGGTCTCGGGACAATCGTGGAGGAGCTGGGAGCGGAGCTCTGGGTGCTAGCCTCTTTCTCGAGCTTGACAGGCATCGAGTTGGCAGCTGCTGCTTTCGCTAAGGGTTTACCTTCCAGCTTGACAAAGGAGGTGGAGGAAGCGCTCCGAGATTGGCCTTCCTCCTCCAGCTTGGCCAAGCGGGCCTTCTGCTGTCTCGCCCGGTCTGCGGCCCGTTCAGCCTGAAAGTCCCGATTCGCAGATTCGATGAGCTCGTCCGATTCTTCGCGTTTCAGGCCGTTGCTCCTCGATGCGGAGGCCGTGGCTTGTGAAGCTGCTAGAGATGCCGCCATTGCCCTGTCTTATCAGCTCGAACCTCGGGGGACAGACAGGAGGGGTAGACTAACTCCTCCAGCATCTTCCGTTCCTCCTCAGGCGTCTCATCTCGCTTCTGCCGCTTAGGCGCCCTAGCCTCCATCTCCGACATAGCGATAGCTCGGAGCAGGTCCTGGTCGTCGTCGTCGTGCAGGCTTGGCTGGGTAGAGGATGGTCGCGACAGCTCTTCTCTTGACAGGGCAAGCGCTCTGCCAAGTCAGTCCGATCTCCGAAGCTACCATAGGTCTGACTGACCTGGCCAGATCGTCATCCTCGTTATTGGTACCTCCGGGCCTGGAGGCCGCAGACGGAGCTTCAGTACGCCATGTAGCCCAGGCAGCTCTGGGAATCAGCTCAGGCTCAGTCATGAGCGCAATCATGGCGACTGACTTCCGCATCTCGTCGATATCCCCCTCTGGGACTTCATCCCCCATATACTCGTCGAAATACCTGTCAAAATCTTGGTTTTGACCTCGACGGGGAACAGGAGCTCGGGCGGCAGCCGCAGCGCTGTCTGATCAGCATAGTTTAAGATGGGCTGCTCACCCTGCGATTCCTGCTCCGAGGAGATGTCCGTAGTCCCCGTTCATCGTGCACTGGACCTTCGAGCAAGACCTTAGTGGTAGAGGTGAGATGGACCATCTCTCTGCTGTGTGGCCACTGGCGATCATGGCCGTCATCGCTTCCGTCGGAAGCTGACTTTATGTTGCCTGACGCGACCGCGCCGACGCGTTTAGAAAGTCCGATCAGCTTCGCCCTTCTCTCTTTGCTTTCCTTCTATATTCTCTTCTCTGACCTTCATCATTCAGCAATACAGGTGGCAGCTCTTCTAACCGACCACACCATCGCCTCGAAGAGCATTCGTAGTGCTTCCGCCAGCTCGGACGTCCAGGTGACCTCCTGAACCTCCTGAAACCGCTTCTCCTTCCTTCTTCCCCCTCAACGAGGACCTGTCAACATGGTGAGCTGGGCTTCTGTTTGTGTCAGAGGTATGTCGCTGATTGCCCATAGTATATCAAAACAATCACCATCCAAGGTACGCGCAGCTACCACTTCCGAATCCAGGGTGGGCTCGCAGTGTCGCTGACTTTCTAGGCTTCAAGTCGTATCGTGATCAGGTAGCGGTGGATCCCTTCTCGTGAGCTTAAGAGTTCCCTTCGATATCTCTGCAGAGCTGATTCCTGCAGTCCGGGCCACAATGTCATTGTTGGGCGAAATGGTAGTGGAAAGTCCAACTTCTTCTCTGGTGAGCTTCTCCTCAAGCGCCTCTTCCTATGCCGGTTCTCGAGGGGTGGAAGCTGACCTACCAGCAATCCGTTTCGTCCTGTCCGATCAGTATACACAGATGGGCAGAGAAGAGCGTCAACGTCTACTGCACGAGGGTACAAGCACGAGTACGACTTTGGCGGCGTACGTCGAGATAGTCTTTGATAGTACGCTTCTTCCTTCCTTCCCATTACCGATCGAGTGCAGAGGTGCTGACTCGCTAGACACCGATGGTCGCTTCCCTACTTCCACGGCCGAGGTCAGACTCCGGCGGACTATCGGTCTCAAGAAGGACGAATACTCGCTGGATAAGAAGAGCGTCACCAAGGCGGAAGTCAACAATCTGCTGGAAAGTGCGGGGTTCTCAAAGAGTAACCCGTACTATATCGTCCCTCAGGGTCGAGTAAGTCTGCAGTCTGCTCTAGCAGAGTGGAAACCCTGCTGATGAACAGATCACCCACCTCACCAATATGGGCGATAAGGAACGGCTCAACTTGCTGAAGGAAGTCGCCGGGACGAAGGTGTATGAGCAGAAGCGTCAGGAGTCTACGAAGATTATGGAGGAGACCTGTGAGCTTCTGCGTCCCTTATCCCTTCTTGTCCGGCGGAGCACCAGCTCATCATTACAGCTGCCAAGACGGCAAAGATCACCGAGCTCCTCGACTCCATTGAAGCAAGACTGAACGAGCTCGAGACGGAGAAGGAAGAGTTGAAGGAGTATCAAGAGAAGGATAGGGATAGGCGGTGTTTGGAGTATGCGCTGCATAATAAGGAGCTGCAGGAGGTCAATGGCGCGTTGGAACAGGTGAGCTACGCCTCCTGAGTCTCTGACTTCAGCTCACACGACACAGCTGGATAATGAACATCGGTCTGAACAGCATAACATCAATGTGCGGCAGGAAGAGTTCAACACTCAGCAGGATCAAATACAGGTAAGCTGAGGAGATCCCCTGATAAATGTCGAGCTGACAGGACAGGCTTACGAAGATACCCTCACTACTGCCAACCATGCCCTCTCCACCTCCACCATTGCCCTCCGCCAATACGAGTCCGAAATAGCCGATCTCGTCCGCACGCGAACCGAAATCGAGTGTGAAATTGCCGACTTCAAGGCATCGCAAGAAGGTGGAGAGGAGAGGCGGCAGGAGTTCACAAAGGAGCTCAAGAAGCTGGAGGCGCGGATCGCAACGGCGGATGCGGAGCTGGAGAAGCTGGGGACTGAGCTGGACCGGCGGACGGAAGAAGAGAAGACAGCCAAGTTAGCGTAAGTTGCTTGATCGGCCGCGAGGTTCCGAATGAGAAATTGATCATACAGACTCCAAAATACCCAGTCTCAACTTTCGGTCCTCTACGCCAAACAAGGCCGCTCGCAGCTCTTCACCACACAAGCCGATCGCGACAAGTTCCTCAAGGATGAAATCAAGTCTTTGAAGGCGCACGAGGAGGCGCAAGGGAAGCAGGTCGCGGTATTGGAGAAGGAAGTGGATAATGCGGATGCGGCGCTGAAGGACGTCATGGTGAGGAGTAGGGAGCAGGATGAAGAGGAGGAAGCGCGGAGGGCGACGTTGAAGAAGATGAGCGATGAAGTTGCGGAGGGGAAGAAGCGGATGGATAGCATGCAAGAGGAGAGAAAGTGAGCTGGCCCGAGCGCAGACCCTAGGACGAGCTGACAGACAGGGATCTTTGGCGAGAAGATGGAAAGCTGGGCGGAAGCGTCGCCAGTGCCAGGCAAGAGATGGATGCTGCTGAGCGAGGATTGTCGGGTGTGATGGACCGGGTAAGCCAACGTTGTCCCTATTATCCCGCGACGAAGCTGACCGATCAGGATACCAGCAACGGTCTTCGATCAGTCCGGGCAGTCGCCAAGCGCTTGAAGCTGGACGGGGTCTTTGGTCCCCTCTATGACCTCTTTGAGGTGTCGGATCGATACAAGCAGGCCGTCGAGATTACCGCAGGAACCAGGTCAGCTGGGCGTAGTGCAACGTCGGAATGACGCAATAAGCTGACTAGACAGTCTCTTCCAGGTCGTGGTCGACAATGACGAGACGGCGAGCAAGATCCTCGAGGTGATGAACAAGGAGAAGCTCGGGCGGGTCACCTTCATGCCGCTCAACCGACTCCGGAGCGTCAATATCCAGATGCCGAAGGGGCATGACGCGGTGCCGTTGCTGAGCAAGCTGAAGTTCGAGCGAATGTACAGCTTGGCATTTGAGCAGGTCAGTTGGTACGGGTATCATGGGTCCGAGCAAAGCTGACTTCACCAGGTGTTCGGTCGTACGATTGTCTGCGAAGATCTCGCCACTGCTGCCCAGTATACCAGGTCCCACGGTGTCAACGCCGTGACTGTCGAAGGTGATCGTGTCGATCGCAAAGGCGCCCTGACTGGCGGTTTCCACGACGTCAAGAGGTCCCGACTCGACATGATCAAAACGCTCAAAAAGTGGCGCGAGGCCTTCGAGACCGACAGCGCGCGGCACAAAGAGGTCAAGGACGGACTCGCCAAGATTGATCAGAGCATCACCAAGGTCGCCGGTGAAATCCAGGTCCTCGAAGCCAAGCGTCGCCAGGCACTCGACGTCCGCGCGAGATTCGCCAACCAGAGCCAGTGGACGAAGAAGGAGGAAGATCAGCTTCGGGCTCGATTGGAGTCCCTTCAGTCGCAATTGGCGTCGGCGGTGGCGGAGCTCAAGGCGGCAGAAGTCAAGCGGAAGGCGGACGAGGCGGAGCTCAAGACGCCCATGACGCAGACCTTGACGGCTGCGGAGCTGGTTAGTCTGGCGACGCTCGGTACGGCGCTGGAGGGTCAGAAGAAGACGCTGATGGATACCTCGCTGGCGCGGGCGAAGGCAGCGAGCGAGAAGAGCAAGTTGGACATCGAGCTGTCGGAGAATCTGAGGAGGAAGCGAGAGGAGTTGAGGGGTAAGGTGGATCAGGTGGAAGGGGATGCTGGGGCGGGGATGCAGGCGAGCGAGGTGGCGGGGAAGGAGGCAGAGTTGAAGGGGCTGGCTAGGTCGATCGAGGACTTGACGGCGCAGGTCAAGGGTGAGCTATCCCGAGAGAACCTTTGCATACACGGTCAAGCTGACGCCCCAGACTCCGAGAAGCGCGTCGAGGAGCTCACCGCTGAGATCTCGGACGTTACCGCCAAGCTCGACGAGGTCAACAATGAGCAGATTGAGTCGGGTCGGGCCATGCTCCGGATGACGAAGAACAATGAGCGGTACCTCGCCAAGAAGCAGACGATCAGCAGTCGGCGGGACGAGTGCCAGAATGCCATCAGGGATCTGGGTGTTCTGCCAGAAGAGGCATACAACAAGTACACCGAGGCAAGGGCGGACAAGGTCAATTGCCATATCCGTGATATTTGAGAGAACTCAAGCTGACTTCCTAGCTCGTCAAGAAGCTGCACAAAGTCAACGAGTCGCTCAAAAAGTTTGCACACGTCAACAAGAAGGCGTTCGAGCAGTACAGCAGCTTTACGAAACAGCGAGACGAGCACACTACCCGTCGAGAGGAGCTGGAAGCTAGTGCGGACAGTATCCAGGAGCTCATCGAGACGCTCGACCAGCGGAAAGACGAGGCGATCGAGCGGACATTCAAGCAGGTCAGCAAGTACTTTGAGGAGGTGTTTGAGACGCTGGTCCCGGCTGGGAAGGGGTTGTTGGTCATGCAGAAGAAGGCGGACGGGTACATTGTGAGCTAGATCGACTGGAGCGATGACGTGGCTGAGCTGACGGAGCAGGAGGACGACTCGCTCGACCCGAATCCCGACAAGGAGCGGAGCGAGATTGACAATTATACCGGGATTTCCATCCGGGTCTCGTTCAACTCCAAGGCGGACGAGGGACAGCGGATCCAACAGTTGTCAGGGGGGCAGAAGTCGCTCGTAGCGCTCGCGACAGGTCAGCTGAAGCTCGCCTGGCAATGGTCACAGCTGACATACCAGTCTTTGCTATCCAAAAGTGCGACCCAGCTCCTTTCTACCTGTTCGACGAGATCGATGCCAACCTCGATGCTCAGTACAGGACAGCGGTAGCTGGTGAGTTAGGGAGATCCTTCGCGAGAAGCGGGCCAAGCTGACTAGCATAGCCATGATACATACCCTCTCCACCTCTGCTCAATTCGTCACCACGACTTTCCGTTCCGAAATGCTCGCCCAGGCAGACAAATTCTACGGTGTCTACTTTGACCGGCAAAAGGTGTCGACTATTGCTACTATCGAGCGGGAGGAGGCGTACGAGTTTGTGGAGAATGCTGCGCAGGTAGGGGGGCTCTGAGGGCTGGCAGTCATCGAGAAAGAGGAAGAGGAGCAGAGGGATCACACATCAACATCAGCATCTTTTGGGTATCAGGCAAGCTGTTCTCGGTTGTATATATAGTATAATCTCATGCAGCATCGTCCGAGCTATCGCCATGACCACCAGCTAGGTTTGGGCTCCGGATCTGGTTTGACCAGTCGATGGATGTTGGCAGCAAGGTTTTCCGCTCGGGTCGCCCGCCCGATCCAGTGTCCCAGCTCCGTGTTGTGCAGCTCGTGTGACATCCTGGCCGGAATGTCTCTTGCCAAGTAGGCTGCCCCTGCTGCCGCGGTGCATTTTGCCCAGGTCGGGCTGGCGCTGATGGCAGCGGAAGCCGCATTCCAGGTGGAGTGTGCGAGGGGAACCAGGGTGTCTCCGAGGATCGAGGCATTGGAAGGGTATGGTAGGCTGGTGTGGGTGTCATTGAAGAGGCCATCGCGGAAAGTGGTGGCGACGGAGGGGGCGAGAGAGGTAGGGTAGGCGGTGTTGCCATAGAGGCTGAGAGCGGCGAGGGAGGCGACAGCGGCGGTGGCGAGGACCGCAGTGCCGAGGGGAAATTGTGAGCTCTGGATGACAGATTTGCGGTGTTCTTCAACTGATATCCTAGTGGCAGGTGCACCGGTGTATATTGAGTCTGAGCCTGTATCGTCGCTATGCTCGGCAGGGGTGTTTATTCCGCTACTCCACTTGTCTCCCCTGAATTCACCCTCCTGTGTTGAGTCGTAAACCGATGCATCTTTGGAGTTTCGGGGAGTCAGGATGTTTACCGATGCTCCGCTGCCAGCCAGTGAGTTCTGATCAGAAGTGGCTGCGCTTCCGTCCTCCCAATCTTCCCATGGGTCCGACAGCCTGGAACTGTACGAACAATTGCCGGAGGGAGGCGGCAGATACCTAGGCCTCGAGCCCGGGCGGCGCATGATACTCGTCCCGTTCCTATTCCTTGTCATGTGTGGCACGGTCCGAGGTCTCCTGACCTGAATAAAGACGAGGTCGCAAGGGATAAATGTAGAAGGAGGGTAGCGGTATCGATCGAGGGAGTGTGGTAATGGGAACGCGAAATAGCTGTACGGCAGGTGTAAAGTCGATGAGGTTGTGGTGTGGTGGAAGCTTGAAGTCGTGGAAAGATTGAGAGTCAGGATGAGTGTCTTGAGTGAGTGTGCTTAGCTGTCGCGGCCTGCACAGCACATGATGTCAATCGGAGCAGAGGATGAAAGGAGTTCCTGTCGGTGCATGCTCCATGAGAGGTCAGGGCAGATCCAGAACGGTGAGGATGTCTCTAGCATGCTCCATCACGCCGAGTGGCACAAAGGATATCTTGACGGATTTTTCGATCGTTGACAACTCATGACAGCTGTCGAGCTGCTTCACCCATGGGGCAGTGAGTCTGGGCATCTAGTCGATTGTCAGAAAGGTCAAGAAGGGGCAAAATGAGACTACCAGTAAGTCAGCCTACCTTTTGCCACTTACCTATCCGGCAGACAGCAGAATGTGCATACCGTATGCACCAGGCACGATTCAGATTTCCCAAGAAGCCCAATATGTCGGTCACTTTACACAGACCCAGGCAACTTATAGATACACCTCTTCCCTCCAGATCCAACGTCCTAGCTCACAAAACCTCGAGTCCGCCCCTCCCCATCGATGCAATCCTAGATACCCTCATGGCCGCCGCTGCTTGGGCGAGTCACTCCATCCCGCGACCCCGCTCCTCAAGCCATTCTTGTCCGGAGACTCCCACATCGCCTTTGCCATCTCTACTTTGCTCGTCCCTTAAAGAGTCAGCGTCGCTCTCTACATCAGACCCCAACGCCAATTCTAGACTCACCGGATGACCCCTCCTTCTCATGATCAACCGCCCCGCCCCTGCCCTTCCTTGCCGCCGTGTTCGAGTATTGCGCCGTGTGCATAGGCAACGTTGTAGGTATAGTCGAGAACGCCAGGTTCCGCGCTGTGAAGGTCGATGTGAGTGACTGCTTTGGCATGCCTCGAGCCGCTGATTGCGCCGGGGTTGGCGGTGAAAACATGGGCGAGCCGGTTGACGAGAGAGATTGAGCCTTCATATGCCTGGTGCCCATAGGCGAGGATTTGGTAGGGGTGAGATTGAAGTCCGGAGCGGAAGTGAGCATTTTGACCACCTCGCGCTGCTTATCAAGTTCCTATGGAGTCAGCTACACTACCCCTGCATCTAATGAGATGGCATGTTGAACTCACATTCGACCAGAACTTGATCTTCTCCCTCTGATCATCAATCACTGTCTGCTGCGACTCAATGACCTTCTCCAGCCGCTCAATCTCCGCCCGCTCCCGCATCGCCGATATGTTTGATCGGCTCGTGGAGGACGAAGCAGCACCAGCAAGATTACTGAGCGAGGAAGAAGAATGGATAGTCGGTAGACCGCCCATGCGGTTGGGCCGTTGGGCAGCACGAGCGTCGGTGAGCTCCTTGGTAAGCCCCTCGATCCGGACGTGGGCGGCACGGAGATCCTTCTCGATATTGGAGACCTTGGACTGGGTGACGGAGAGCTCGCTTCTGGCCAGCTGAAGCTCAGCGGCCGAAACAGCGCTTGAAGCCGCGCTCGCTCGTGCCGTCTTAAAATCCTTCTCCGCCCGACTCCGCTTGGCCTGCTCCTCGTCCACCTGCCGGTGCAGGGAGCTAGTGACCGAGCCCTGGTTCTCGAGCTGCCGAGTGAGATCGTCGACCTCTCCGCGAAGTTGTTGGATCTTGGCATCTCCGCTGGCAGACGAGACTTGGGTTTGGGTAAGAGCGAGCTCCTTCTCCGCTAGCTGTTCCCGAAGGACGACGAGATCTTGCTCTCTCGTAGCGAGCTCGACCGCTGTTGACGCCGCAGATGCAGTGACCGCCAGTACCCGGTCCTCTGCGTTCTTGAGCTCCGTCCGGAGAAGCTCCAAGGAGGCATGAGCGGCGCCGACGTTGGTCATTCGGTCCTTGAGGTCGGCCCGGACCTGGACGAGCTGCCCTTCGAGCTCAGCCGCCTGTGCCTTTGCGGTCTTATTGATCCGCTCTGCCTCCTTCTCCGCCGCCTCCGCTCTCGACATCTCCTTCTTGACCGCCTCGGACGCAGCGTTGATCTGCTGTTCCAGAACCACGACCGCTTTCCGCCTCTCATCAAGTTCGCCACCGAGCTTCTGCGCCTTGGCCTCTGCAGCAGCAGTAGCTGCTCGAGCCGTCTCCAGCTCAGCAGCGCTGGCTTTCGCTACCTCGTCCATGCGCTTCGCCTCCATCTCGGCCGCCTCTGCTCTGATAACCTCCTTATTGGCCGCCTCGGACGCGGTGTTGACCTGCTGTTCCAACAAATCAACAGCTTGACGCCGCTCGTCCAGCTCCTTGCCCAGCTTCTGCGCCTTCTCGTCCGCCGCCGCCGCAGCTGATCGTACGGCCTCCAGCTCGGCCTGGACGCCAAACTTGGTCATGTTGGCAACGTCCAGCTCTTTGGCCAGCTTCGCCAGATCCGCCTGGAGGTGCAGGACTACCTGGTCTTTGTCGCCGGTGGCATCTCGCGCTTCCGACAGCTGACGCGTGACGTCGCTAAGCGCAGGCTCGAGTTGGGCGATCCGACCGTCCCTCTCCGCCACAGTGGCTCGGAGTGTCGTCACCGACTTGCCCAGCTCCAAAATGTCATTGGTGCCGGACTCGAGGGTGGCTTGCAGCGTGATCTGAGCGGCGCGGGTGGCGGTAAGCTCAGACCGAGCGGTCTCTCGTTCCGTCTCCACCACCGAGAGCTTGGCGGTATGCGCTTCGTCCGCGGAGATGAGGTCTTGCCGGAGCTTCGCCTGCTCGACCAAGCTGACGGCGAGCTCGGATCGCACGGCATCGCGCTCGAGACCGAGCGCAGCAAGGGTGGCGGTCTTCTCTTGCTCGACCCGTACTCCCGCCTCCCTAGCTTCGACAGCACGGGCGAGCTCCTCCGTCTTCTCCGCCAACTGCTTGCGCAGAACCCCCACCGCCTCCGATTCGGTCGACATCGCCTTGCGCTGGAAGTCGAGGAGGTCCGCCTGAGCCTGGTCCCGCTGTTGCCGCATTCCCATCTCCCGCTTCTCCGCCTCCTCTTTGGCCGACTCGGCGGCCACCTCCATCTCGCCGACTCTGGCGACCGCAGCAACGGCCTCGGCGCGGACGTGATCCCTCGCCATCCCCACCTCCGCCAGACTGGCTTCAAGAGCAGCAATCTTGGCCGAGTCGGACCGAGCGGCAGCTTCCAGAGCTTCTGATCGAGCGTCCAGTGCCGCCAAGCGGTCTAGCTCGGCCTTCATCGCCGAGTTTGCCGATTCGAGGAAGTCGACCCGTTTCGCCTTGTCCTTGACTTCCTCATACCGCCCCTTCAGCTCATCCTGGTCCTTCAGCAGCGAAGCATACCGACTCGTCGCCTCCCGACTTTTGTCCACCTCCTTCCGCAGCTCGAGATTTTCCCCCTCCACAGCCTTCCGAGCGCCTATAGCTTCCTCCGAGACCGCCCAGCGGTCCTTGAGCTGTACGGCGCCCTTCCGGACCTCCGCTCGCAATCGCTCCACCTCGATCTTGTGGCTCTTCCGCAGTTGCTCCAAATCATGATGATGCGCCTCCTTCTCCATCGCCAGATCCGTCGGCAGATCTCCAGTCGCTACCCGCTTCGCCCGCTCTTGCTCAGTGAGCGCAATGTTGAGCTTGCGCTGCACCTCGTCAAGCCGGACTTGATCCTCAACGAGAAGGTCCTCCCGGGACTTGCGGAGGTCCAGGACGGCTTCCTCCAGCGAGTCAATTTGAGCCGTCTTGGAAGAAAGGGTAGAGACGAGGTCGGCGCGGGTGGATTCGAGGTCATGTGCGGTGTCGAGCATGTGCGTCTCAGTCGAGGTGGCTTGCGTACGGAGCTTGACGACCTCGGCGCGGAGGCGGGAGAGCTCGACGTCTTTGGCCGTGAGAGCTTTGCGAAGGGTGGAGACAGCAGCATCTTCGAGGGCCTAGGCGTCAGCCGCATGCAGATGTGATCAACTCTGACCATGACTCACCTCGGTATCCACTATCATGGCAAAGTCCTCCTCTACCTTCGCCAATCCACTGACGGCTCTTCGGTCAGACGCGGCGCCCTTCGGCTTGCCCACACCGAGGAACTCGCTGATCCGTCTGCGCTTGGGTTGGGGCGGAGAGAGCGGTAGGCCATAGCCCAAGCGGGGCATTTCCGACGTTAGGATCTCGCCGTTCAGCTTGGCGAGTTGGTCCTTCAGTCGAGCCTTCCTATTCTCGAGGTCTGCGACGGAGTCGGCCAGCTGGGATCGTTAGCTTCCTGTATTGGCGGAGCATATTGCAGCTTACCTCGGATACGTGCGAACTGCTCGAAGGTGCATCCAACCGCACCCCATCCGACACCAGATGCTGCAACCGGTTCTTGAGCTCGTCGATCTCAGCATCTTTGGCTCGGATCAAGGCTCGTTCGGATGACAGGAGCTATACGGCGTCAGCTTGGCCCTTGTCAACTTCGGGGGAATGGGTAACTCACCACGTTCTTCTTCGCCTTGGTCTCGACTTGCGAGCATCTCCCGGCAAATTTGAGCGTCTCGAGCGTTTCGGACGCATGCTCCTCTTCGGCGGAGATGGTACAGATGACGCAGATATTGGAATCGCCGCCAAGGGCGTTCTCCAGTAAATGAGTGAGTTTGGAATTGCGGTACGGAATGTGTGATCTGGGAATCAGGCTTGTTCTCGTACGTATGAAGGCAAACTTACCGTTTCTTCTCGGTCAACTTGTTGATGACTTCTCGGAGCGCCAGCAGACTGTCGCGTCAGCTTATGCAGCCGGACCTACAACGTTGTCGCAGTGCTAACAGCTCACCTTTGATTGATATGCTTGCCTTCGCCTCTGCGTTCCAGGTCGGAGACAGCTTTCTCAGACCCAGCCAGATCAATCAGGTTCTAACGAGTCAGCTGCGGCCTTGCATGACAGTCGCCAGAAAACACACTAGGCGACTCAACCGGATGTCATCGTCACCATCCCCATCCCGCGGCCGTGACTCGATGACGATCGTGAAGACGCAGTGAGATCTCGAAGATCGGTCGTTCTGAGAGGTCAGCTCTCTATGCTTACGCATGGCCGTGGAAGCTTACCCAGTCGGTGGCGCCCACCTTCCGCCCCTCATTCCCCTTGCTCAACAGCTTCATCACGTCCTGGGGTGTCGATACAATCTCCTCGACCAGCGGTTCCACGTAGACCTTGCCCTAAGATATCAGCTTATCTATCGCATACCGTGTCTTGTTCACGAAAGGCGTACCTTGTTGGTGTGGATGGCCGGCGCGTCCTTGTTCTTCTTGAAGTTGAGCAGGTCCCGCAGTGTCTCGTTGTAGATCTCGATATACGATACGCGGAGGAGGAAAGCCCGGTCCATGTCGACTGTGATGGCATCAAAGACCCCGTCAACTGCGCAGGGAATGATACCGAGTTCAGCGGGGTGACCGGTCATGGTGAATGACTTTCCGCTTCCCGTTTGACCGTACCTAGTGGATCAGCCTAGGTTAAACGGTCATAATAGAGGAACTCACGCAAAGACGGTACTGTTGAAGCCGTTCATAGCCTTCTCGACTAGAGGGGCAACTTGGGAAGAGTATAGGTCCGGCGTCTTGGACGGTTGCTTCAGCAGCATATCTGCGTTGGTCAGCTTAGGGTTGAGTGACGGCGAAGTTGGACTGACCGAATGTATACGCGTATTCTGCTTCGCGGCCCTGCTTGCCCCCTCGCTTAATGACGTTCGGATGGTGATCGGACAGCTCGAGTGATGTGGGCGCCAGCTCGTACGCGTTGGTCAGGAATGGCGATGATGTTGGCTTGATCCTACTGATCAACATTTTCCCCATCAGGTGTAAGCAGAACGTACCGGACACAAACCACGACCTTATCGCTAGTCCCTGCGCTGGACCCACTCCCATCCCTCATGGCTGTTCCCGCTGCGCTCAGGCTCATGCCGTCGTCCCCGCCGACACTAAAGGTACTAGATAGACCCTCCCCAACACTCCGACTCTTCTTCAGCTTCGCCGCGGCCGCCAACCTCTCTTGTAATGTCTCTCGCTTCTTAGGCTGCCGTCCGACTGTCGCAGGCTCGATGGGTCCGGCTACTTTCCGTCGTGGAGTGAGGTTGAGATCGACGGAAGGAGATGCCTTGACCTGCGCGGCGGGGACGAGAAGGGGCTCATCGTCGTACTCATCGGCCGAGGTAGCGGATGATTCGACGTCTCCTCGTCGTATACGAGGCCGAGACCGAGACCGCTTTAGGGTGCGCGAGGAGGAGGAGGGGCTCATCATGCTCGACTCGGGTAGGGGAGGGGGAAGGCCAACGTTGAGTGATGTCGACGAGGTTTGACGAGATAGCGCGCGATGTTTCGTCGGGGATAGCGACATTTCGTATTCGCACGCTGATGTGATCGCACGAGTACGCCTTTCTACCTCTGCTACTCTGCGCTTTGAGGAAGACTGATAGGTGCTCTAGATGTGTCAGGCGGTCCGGACGAAGTATAATCACGGTTCTTCACGGCGCGAGGCTTGATTTGTTGTTGTCAGCTGTACGTACACCAAAGGAAAGGCAGTCACGTAAGGGCTTGGATCTTGGGGCCCCGCGGTGAGGAACGCCACGTGAACAACATGCACATTGCACAGCGTAGACCTGCGTAGACTTGCGGCCATCTTGCGGCTCTTATCATCCTTCACTCTGCGTCAAGCATACAGTATGCGACGGTCACACTTGTCGCGCTGTGTCCCGGTCGCAGATGTAGGACAAAATCAACGTCAGGTGAGGTGAGTGTGAAGATAGAGACCTGTTATGGGCAGGATGTTCCTCGTACTAATGCTTCTGGACAAATTTGCGATGAGTAATCATCGGGCTTCCGCTGATCGGAGCATTGATCTATCGGTCTGACCTAGGTGCTTGGCTGACTACCGATAATGTGGATAGCGCTTTCAACATGCTCATGATGTAATATGCATTCACAAAGGCACTATCCCAACTGGCAACCCCTTCACCCGGCAAGCCTCCTCCGACCGCTCTTCCAAGAATGAGAGCAAAACACCTCAACTTGCGTCCCGCAATCTCATCAGCGGATAGTCGCAGAGAACCATTTGAACGGATCTCCGATGGTGACCGAGATGCCATGCCACTTTGCTTCAGTTGAAGCGGGATCATCGAGGGACGAGGGGTATCCTGAGTCCTGGCGGAGGCTTGGGTCGGGGGCGTCGCTCAGTGCGGTCTGCTGGGAATCGCGCGACTGCATGTCTGGAGTGATTGGAGGAGGACGGTAGTCCGTGGCGGTCTCCATCGGTACTGGATGCGTCAGCGCGCGTAAGAGCAGATATAAGGCTGGTGCAGCTAACATCACTCACGATAAGTGGGTTGCCCCTCCGAGCGAGTTTGGTCAGTGTGGGAGTTCATAATTGTGCTGTATGGTATGTGTGCAGGCGTTATCGAAAGTGGAAAGATGAGTGGCAGACTCAACAGGACTGCAGGCCGCTGAGTTCCCCTTATGTCTCACGACGCTCGTCAGCGTGGCTCCTTTACCTCTCCCCCTCCGCGGCGCATCCTTTCACGCCATAGTGTGTTCGGGACGACAAGCACGTGCTCTGGCAACATGTCGTGGTGAGGGAGAAGGTCGAGGAAAAGGCATAGACAGCACGCTAGACATATGGGACACCAAACTCATCAAGCAGCTGATCTACGGAGTGGGATTCGGCACTGCGCAACATCCGAGCCTGCAGCTTGATGTGCATAGCAACTCATCATGCCTCATCTTATCCCGACAGAGATTATCATGTATAGATATACACCTCATACTCCAATACACGTCTGCGCCTATAGTCAACCCGAATCAGTATCGTCTCTCGGTGCCTCGGAACGGGCGCGACGCATTGTCTCTGCCCTTCGAAGCAGGTGCAAATTCAGTTATCATGTATGAGCGATAGCAAGATCATCTACGGGACGATGGACCGACAAAACAGATCCACTATGTCATGGAGTGATCAGCCATATGGCCTGATCGATTGTGCGTAGTACAGTATGCATGAAGATGCATGATCTCTCATCGAGCCATTGCACTTGCCCGTCGCGCCCGCAAATCACCTCCTCGTTGAATTCGGGGGAGTGGTCGGCGCCGTGACTGCTTGGCAGTACCGCAGGTATCTGTTCGAGTCTCTTGCGAGGGTGGTCGGGTCGGAGGGTACTCCCACCCTTCTCTGGGAGGCCGGACGAAGCGTGGACGGCGACGTCATTGATCTGCCAGTCGATCGTTGGAGAGACGCAGCGGACGCGGTGGATTCTTCACGTCTGCGCATGAACCCTTCCACGACTATAAGGAGATCAGCAACAGCTACGCCCGCGACTCACCTCGATTGCGCTCGCTCAATTCCGCAGCTCGCTCGTCTAGCCACGACTGTGTCCGATCAGGTGGGTTCGATGAGGGATTTGGCATGTTCCTGCAGAATTTGGGTATATACGTGGTGAATGATACCAGGTGGGACTGGGGAGCAAGAGACTGGCTAAGCGCCAGCCCGTATCGCAGCCTGGCTATATAGCCAGACCGTGAGGCCCTAAACCAGCGACGTCCTTTGTCCAGCACCCCTTGCTCCATCACACCTTTCAGATCACGTTATGTGTCGCCATACGTCATGCTGTGGCTAAGTGTGGCGCTCGAGATGTACTGACTCAGCCCTATCTAGCCGATAGTCCGGAAGACATTAGGGCGTTGCGTTGGCGATGTCAGCCCGAGAGTCAAGTAGGTTCAAACTTCCCGGAGTTTCGCCACCCTGAGTAAACCGAGAACGCATTGAGTACATCGGCGGAAATGTCGTTGTAAACTCGCTCATGGTGAAGTGGCATCGAAGCTTTGCGGTATTGATGGGGCGGGGAGCTGAGGGTGTTCAATCAATGTATAACAGCGTAGCTGGTGAGAACGTCAGACATTGAAGCATACGAGTATATACAATGATGCAATGCGGCCAGTCTGCCTTCCTGATCCACACACTACCCCTTCCTTAACCCAGTCATGCAGCTCAGCCCCTCTTGCTTCTGAGCGCGGTCAGTGTTCTTCGTCAGTGTCGTTCCCACCTCCCTCGGGCCGAGCATTCTCCGGGTGGCGCGGGTTGAAAGGGCCCGTGTTTCCGCCGACGGTGTAGTGTATACCGTTCTCGACCCACTCGCGCACCGGCTGCACTGTGGATCCCGACTCGGATGGGAAACTCCACGTCGATGCTGTCCGGGTCGGTACTTCCTGGCAAGAGGCAGCGAGGCGCAGGCGAGTCGCTGCGATGCGCTCGCGAACCTCTTCGATGCGGCGGCGTGACTGGGCCACGATGTCAGCTTGTCTCGCTCTGGCAGCAGCTCCGGCGCCTCCAGAGCGTCGGCTTGCGGAGGTCGATGAGTGATCCGGTGGAGAGGTCGTATGAGAGGCGAGGAGCGCTTCGACCCGCTCCCTCCCCTCCGGAGTTGAGATGTCGATCCCCAGAAGCATGCACTGGCTGCCGCCTGCGGTATTGTGCGAGCATGAGAGAGTACTCGGCAACGGAGTGGACCCCGATGTGGCATTCGTCTCGGCGTCAGCAGTCGACTCAGCGCCATTGAGCATTTGAGGTCCTATCAGCGCCATCAGCCAGAGCAGCAGTATGGCGAGGGGAAAGCTGTCGACTCACGCTCCGGGTCATCCTGCCCCGCCTGGACATCCAGCCACCTGTTGGTGTTGTCTTCTGACGAAGGCATGATGTATCAGTCCTGAGTTAGTACCGCGAGATACAAGAAGAAGGCTTTTGTGTATGATGAGGAAACGGACAGAGACGAGGGGTGGCGAGTGATGTAGGATCCGCAATCCCCCCTGACCCCCGCTCAGCCTTATATCCCCCCTCCTCTGCCCAGATCCCGCTCATCCGAAACGCAGACCTACAAGCCTCCTTTCACCCCCTGTATTCACCTCACCCCTCACTCTGCCTTTAGCGCACTCGTATCTGAGATCCGAGCGCGCCATATCGCCTCGAAGGCCCTCCGCGGGTGTGGCACTTCGTGCAGACATGCTGAAAGGACCTAGCGTGTTCAGTCGTTCGGCGGCGGACCCAACGCGATCTTCCTGTGCGTTATGCGTATGAGTGCACGTCGTGCGCGGAGGTCAGCAGCACATAGCCATAGTCTAGTCAGAAGATAGGGCGCAATGCCCCAAGCTGATTTATGGTCAAGCGGCACAAGTCAATCAATATTCCTCTCGTGAACCCTTCAAGTCACTCCATCTGATCAGTACCACGCCCCGTCCCCGCTTGTACCCTTCCGACCTGGCCCTCTCGATCCCTCAGCACCTATCGGCAACATGCCCAATACCCTCGACCCAAATCAACATAGATCTGCCACGAATGCATAACCACTCCCTAAACCCCTATTCCCTCACGCCAGACGCCTAGGCGACGAGAGTAGAAGCGGTGGCGGCCTCGTACTTGAAGGTAGGAGGGAGCTGCTGCTTCTTGATGTAGTAACGGGCGAGACGGTGGATACGGGATTCGATCAAAATCATGCGGCTGGGATGTCAGCTCAAGCCCTTTGCGATGTACAACCACCATAGAATGACAGCTCTCCCAGCGCTGTCCGCTCTGTTCCTGGCGCTGACCTCCAGTAATATCCCCCCCAGTCTCCCTCAAGACCCGATAGCATTCCGCACGCTCAACGACCCAAATCCGCCTGAGGGTGATCAACTCACAATTTACCGTCCTTGTCGGCACGGTTACGCTCAAGGTGCTTCCGGACGGTGACGGCCTTCTTGATAAGGTGGTAGAGGTCTTCGGGGACGGAGGGGGCGAGACCTGTATGTCAGCGATGTTCGGATTAAATGGATGATGTATGCGAGACAGCAAGCAGGTGTCCCGAAAGTGTAGATGAACGCCTATTCTCTCCCCATCCCAACAGGGACGATCCATTCATCCGCCCCATGCCATCCCAAAATTTCCGCCAGAGCTCCGCCCTTATCCATATCCACCCATACCCATCCCCCCTAAACACTGTCCCCCTGACATCCTCGTCCTATCCCTCCGTCCAGTTCACCTGTCCAGCCCTTCAACTAACCGTTGCTCTTCAAGATCCTCAAGATCTTGTTCCCGGTCACGCTCTTGACCTGGGGAACACCCTGCGAGTCCCTGAGAATAACGCCGATCTGGGACGGCGAGAGACCCCTTCGCGCGAGCTTGAAGATCTGGTCGCAGACGTCCTCGGGGGTAGCCTTGGACCATGCGGGCTGGGAGCGGCGGTAGGGGAGCGCCGAGGCGGACATGCCCTTTCCTTTGGAGTGCATACTGCTGGATTAGCTAGAGTTCTCGAGAGTGCTCGAAGCGGCCAGCGGTGGGCGGCGTTTTTCGAGCGGCGAGTATGCAGGACGAGCAGCGGAACGGTAGACGTACCGACCCATGTTGGCTGAAGTATGTGTATGTAGGTAGTAGGTGTCGAGTGAGGGATGCTTGAAGGATGCAAGGGCTGACTGGACTTGGCTTCAAGTTGCAAAATCGCGAGAGGAGCGTAAAAGTGCCACACCAAACTAGGGCAAAAAACGCAAACACCGACTTCGTATCACCGCCCACCCAAATCCTTTCCTTGTCCTTAAATCATCCCCCCTCTGAACGCTTTTTGGTGCTGGGGCATTGTTGCACACCACCATCTCATCATCCTTCTTCCATATCTCACTCAAAATGAAGCTCAACGTGGCAAACCCAGCAACTGGGCAGCAGAAGCTCTTCGATATCGAGGATGAGCGCAAGGTGTGCGTGATCATTTTTGCTCTTCAACCGAGAGAATCGAGCGAGAATTGGACGAGATAGAGGTGGACAGGAGGAAATGGATGTCGGGGACATATCTGGAGATGTGCTGATAGGACAGGCTCCCCTTCATGGAGAAGCGTATGGGACAGGAGGTCCCTGCCGACTCGCTCGGCGACGAGTGGAAGGGTTACGTTCTCCGCATCACCGGCGGTAACGGTGCGTCCAACTCCTTTGCGGTAAATACTAGCAGGGGCTGATGATATAGACAAGCAGGGTTTCCCGATGAAGCAGGGTGTGCTCCTCCCCAGCCGAACTCGTCTCCTCCTCGCTGCCGGCCACTCGTGCTACCGCGCCCGTCGGACTGGTGAGAGGAAGAGGAAGGTGGGTTTTTTTTGATCGGTGCAGAGGGGGGATTGAGCAGATGGGGCACGAGGGCGTATTTCTGCAACCATACGGCGATCTGGGCATCAAAGGCGACGATGGTGGAAATCTGGGGCGAGGGGGAATTATGGTCAAATTTCGCATTGAGCGCAGCGCTGACCTTCAGTCCGTCCGTGGTTGCATCGTCGCCAACGACATCCGTGTCCTCGCCTGCATCATCGTCAAGCAGGGCGAGAACGACATGCCCGGTCTTACCGACACTGTCCTCCCCAAGCGATTGGGCCCCAAGCGAGGTACGTCCACACCCATCACATCTTGTACTCTGGCTTTGCTGACCATCAGCCACCAAGATCCGCCGCTTCTTCAACCTCGACAAGAAGGACGACGTCCGTCAATTCGTCATTGCCCGTGAGGTCACCACCAAGTCTGGCAAGACCAACACCAAGCGCCCCAAGATCCAGCGCCTGGTGACCCCCCAGCGTCTCCAGCGCAAGAGGCATCTCCAGTCGCTCAAGAAGCGGAGGACCGAGGCGCAGAAGGAGACCAAGGCCGACTACGAGAAGGCGGTGGCCAAGCACGCGGACGAGAAGAAGGCCAAGCTGCAGGCTGTCCGGGCGCAGAAGAAGGCCAAGCGGTGAGTTTTTGCGGCGAAAGATCAGTGACATGAGGGGTGGCTGATGAGATAGGTCTTCTGCTTAAGTGCGTCGTACGCTGTTCTTTTAGGGTTGGCCTTTAGTTCTGCATGCGATGTATCTTTTTTTCCTGGCTCTATCGATCGCCTGCGTTCAGGCTCTTCGCCGTTACCGATCAGGACGAGTCTCTGCATGACGGGGTAAGAGGTGACTGTCAGGCATAATAGGGGCAGTCCAACATCAGTCAGGTTCAGGGCGGGCAACATGCTTTGACCGGGACAAGCTCCTTGTCGTGACATTTCTTGATCAAACCACTGCCTGATTTATTTCCAGCTTTCTTCTCAACCTTTGTATCGACACCACCGGATCTTCAACTCTGTCACTCTTCGATTCTTACGTCGATCCTCACGCACCGACTGAAGCACTGACACGACTGAGCTCTCTAGCCTAAATGACCATTTGACTGACCCATAGTGCTTGTACCTCCTCTCCGCTTATCCCGCTCGCCGAAGGCTATTCCCCACCACACAGAGTACCTGGGGCTACAGCCTCTCCCTCTCCCCCTTTTTTCCGTACCTCATATGTCCCCCAAGATGAAGCTCAATATGCTAACCCGGCGACCAGACAGCAAAAAGTACGCCTTGTGACACTCTGCTTAAAGGACTCTGCTGACTTTTTAGCTCTTCGATATCGAAGATGAGCGCAAAGTTTGCGTAATTACCTTTCAACGGAAGAATTCGAGCGAGAATTGGAGGAGATACAGGAGTGATACAGGCGGATAGGCGGATATGGGATGGGGATGGACTTATGTCAGGACAGGAGCGGATAGGACAGGCTCCCCCTTCGTGGAGAGGCAGGTGAGACATCTGAGGAATGAGGAGTCGCAAGTGGCAGAGCGGTCCCAGGCGTCTCAATTTCTCTGATGAAATGACGGTGCTCGGGGGAAAGAAGCACAGGAGAGGTGATGCAAGATACCATCCGAAAGATAAGAACACTCTATATACTCTACAGTATAGCTACAATTGCGCCTGCACCAACTCATAATACCGCCCATTCAGCTTGACGAGCTCATCGTGCGTCCCAATCTCCACAATCTGCCCTTGATCCATCACAAAGATAGTATCCGCTTTCCGGATAGTAGATAATCGATGCGCGATAGTCACAGTCAACCTAAGAGATCAGCTCTCTGTTTTCCATCAGGACGTTGTCGGGAAAAGCGGAGCTCACCTCCCCCTCGAAGCATTATCCAGCGCCTCCTGCACATGCGCCTCGCTTCGTCCGTCCAGCGCACTCGTCGCTTCATCCAACAACAGTATCCTCGGCTGCCTGATGAGTGCACGGGCGATACACAGGCGTTGTCGTTGCCCCCCGCTGAGCTGTCCACCTTTGAGGCCGAGGTCTGTATCGAAACCGTCCGGGAGGGACTTGACGAAATCGAGTATACTACCATATCAGCTAGGCCCCGCGGTCAAGCAGAAGGCAGACTCACCAAGCTTGTTGACATGCCCATTCGAGCTGAGATTGAGTGACAGACTCGGGATCGATAGCACCAGCCTGAGTCATCAGCTTAGCAGTCTTGACTCCAGAGCAGAGCAAAAGAGAACTTACGACCAAGTTCCACCGTACCGTCTCTTCAAACAAGATTGGCTCCTGGCTGACATACCCCATCTCTGTGCGCAACACCTTCGGATCAATCGTCCGTATATCACGCCCGTCAAGGCAGACCGAGCCGGATGAGATATCGTAGAACCGCTGAAGGACCGCCAGGATGGAGCTCTTGCCGGCTCCGGAGGTACCGCAGAACGCGTACGCTTTGGACGGCTCCATGCGGAAGGAAACGTCGTTGAGGGCCATAACGTCCGGTCGGGATGGGTAGCGGAGGGAGACATTCTTGCTGCGGAGTGTCAGCGAGGTGAAGGGTACGGTGTGAGGCGGAACTTACAACTCGATGCCCTCTAGGAAAGAGCCTGGCTCCAAGGGAGTCGATGGCGGTAAGATGGCAAGCTGAGGTTCGCGCTCCAGCCAGCCCTGTGATGGTGAGCAGATGCACCAGCATGAGGGAGGAGTATCAAGTGACCTGTATGACGTCCAGCGAGTTCCTCATCCTTGCAAAGTCACCCGTGTAGGTAAACACCTTGGCGGCGACGTAGACAGCAACAATGACCGCCTCGATCACAGTGAACAGGTTGGCAATTGACTAAAGTATCAGTCTGGACCCTCGCCACAGACGAAGATACTCACAGTCTGATCACGCGCGAGAAGCTGAGAACCCCAGAAGAAGATCAGTCCGCCAAAGAATTGCAATACCCCCATGCTGATACCCAGTGAGACCCCAGAGAGGATGAGCCACTTGCTCCGGATCGGCTGAGACGTATACCGCAAGTTGAACTGCCGCACCGTCTCCGCCTCCCTCGTCAGCGCCGCGAGTAGCTGAATCGAATTGGCAGATTCCGAGACAAACGCCGATTGCGCGTCGATATCGTTGTTCAGTCCCTTGTCAAAGATCTTTTGACAGACAAAGTTGACATACCCAAACCCGCTCGCGACGGCCAAAGCGGGGAGAATCATCACTGCCAGCCGCCAATTGAGGGAGAAGCCGAGTATGATGACCCCGATAAAGTTGGTCATGGACGAGATGAATTGGCCGAGGATGAGTCCGACGACGTTTCCGACGTTACTGGGATGATGGGCCGCGGCGGCGGTAAGACTCCCGCTCCCGGTGTGTTCCCCCTCAAAGTAGGCAATATCCTGCTTCATGAGAGCCCGAACCGCCTCGCGCCGGTATTCCGAGACGATGCGTTCGCCAGAGAGCTCCAGACCAAAGGCGTGGAACCCGAGGACGACGAATGTGCCGATGGTGAGGATGAGGAACCAGAGAGACCACCGATTCGTAGCTGCGCGCATGGCCGAGAGGTCGGGTATCCCAAAGTCGGCGACACCTCGACCAAAGAGCCAGGCAGCAACGACCCAGGCGGCACCGCCGATGATACCGCAGGCGAGACCGATCAGGAGGAGGGAGGTGTTGTGCTTGAAGGCCTGCTTGACGGATGTCATGGCTGGCGGGAGTGGCTTGGTGCGCTCCTCTTGTGGGATGACCGGCATCTTCTCGTCCGAAGTTGGCTTGGGCGCAGCGGAGAGGGTGCGTGTAGAAGTAGCGAGAGAGGTAGGGGACGCCTTGACGACGTGTGCGGGCTGCTTGACGAGCGCCATGTTCCGGAAGGTCTGGTCAGGGCATTCCGGGTCCATCAGCTCGTCGTATGTCCCGTAGTGCCGAGCTTGGCCAGCGACCATGACGTAGATCCGATCCGCCGAGACGATAGTCGAGAGCCGATGAGCGATGACAATGAGTGTCATTCCGCGCGAGGTTTGCTCCTCAACGAGGGCTTCTTGGATCTTGAGCTCCGTATCGGCCGAGACGGCTGATGTCGCCTCGTCGAGCAGAAGGCAGCGAGGCCGTCGGACCAGTGCGCGAGCTAGAGCAACGCGCTGTACCTGCCCGCCGGACAGCACCCCGGTCCGCCCACCAGCCACCTTGGTGTTCATCCCCTTCGGTAGTTCCTGAACAAAGTCCCAGGCTTGAGCCTTCCTCAAAGCCTCCTCCACCCTCTCCCGAATCATTGCCATCTTACCCTTCTTCTCGTCCGACGCGTCAAATGCCCCGTCGATATCCGCACGATACTCCAGCTCCGTGCCCGTCAGGCCGACCGCGACATTGTCAAAGACCGTCCCGCTGACCAGCTGCGGGTTCTGCAGGACGACCGCGACCTGACTGCGGAGCCACTTGACATTGTAGTCCCGGATGTCCTTGCCGGCAAAGTCGATACTTCCCGACCCGACGACCCGCTTCTCCTCCTCCGCAAGAACGTCCGCATCGATCGCCGCTTCGTTGCCGTCCACCTGGAAAGTCTTGATGACTTTTCGGTCTGCGTCCGTGAGGATACTAGCGGTAGCGGGATCGTACAGCCGTAAGAGGAGCGAAGCGAGGGTACTCTTCCCGCTTCCGCTTGGACCGACCAGTGCGGTGAACTTGCCAGGCTGTACGTGGAGTGACAGACCATCGAGCGCTTTTTGGGTCGGACGGGACGGGTAGGCAAATGTAACGTCCTTGAGCTCGAACGAAGGTTCCCAGGGTCCCCGCTCGTCCAGCTGTAGACCGGAGGTATCGCGTACGTCGATAGGAGGTTGTCGCTCGATTTGAAGACGGAGGTTCCGGATGGCATGAATAGCTTGAGTCGAGGCGAGGAGATGAGGTACGACGCCGGCGAACGTGAAGAAGACGTTGACGTAGTTGTAGAATACCTAACCATCAGCTCAAGTCCACATCATAAGCTATAATGGACTTACAGTCAAGACGTTCCCGATGGGATACCCATCCTGCACCGCGATACCGCCGTACCAAAAGCTCAAGCAGTACACCAAGAACCCCGCTCCGAAAGCAGCGGCGAACTCGATTGCCTTGACCGCCGACTTCTTCCTTGACATGCGCCGAAGAGGACCCAGCATGTCATTCTCAAGCTTGAGGAGGAGACGGTCCCCCATGTTGAACGACTGGGAGATACGGACCGACGAGAGAATCTGCTCGATGAGGGACGAAGCGCGACCGTCGAGGATGTCAACGGTGCGCGAGGCCCGCTCAGTCCACCATCCGAGCCCGGTGAAGATGATAACGGTGAAGGGGACGAGGGCGAGGAGGACACCGGCAACGCGGGCTGCGGCGATGAAGGCGGATATGAGGGACTGACTGTCAGCTTCCATGGTGGCTTGCGGGGTAGTAGGGGACTTACTGCTATAATGATGGACATGGACCAGAGGAGGTAGCCTAGCCGCTCACCGAGGCCTGTCCGGATCATGTTGATATCTTTGCTGGCTCGAGAGACGATCTCTCCAGGACCGATCCGGTCAAAGAAGGCTTGGTCCTGGATGACGATGGCTGCGAGGTATTTCTCGCGAAGCAGGTTAGACAGCTTTGCGCCTGCCATGGAGACTGTACGATCAGCTATATTCCCTCCGCATCCTCATGACCCCCTTTCCCCCTTGTTGCCCCCCTCCTCTCCCCTCACTGCCCATCTCCTTCTCACAAATTCCCTCTCCCTACCAGCCAGCTTGCACGAAGGGATTCACTCACAGCAAGCCATGAATGTCGCGAAGGTGATCACAAAAGCCACACCCACGACCGTCATCAACCATCCCGCAAAATTCCCCGCCTCCTCAATACTCTGCGCAGTGACGCCCTCGCCTCGAAGCTGGTTCGTCCAGTGTCCCAGCACAATGTCGAAGGCGGGCATACAAACACCCGAGATAATGGCGCAGGGGATCCCAATGCAGATCATGACGATGGGATGTCGGACAAAGTCGAGCGGAGACCGAAAGGGCGACGGACATGGCGGAGCGAAGGATAACAGGTAGAGAACATCGGGAAGGGCAGAGGTGTGTCGAGTGAGCGGCCGAGCGAGAGCGGTGAGGTTCTCGCCCTTCTCGATGGAGGTGGGCGAGTTCAGCTCTGTCATCTTTGGGTTTTGAGCAGTGATATGGGCGAACGTAGGTATGGGGAGGAGAGGCGAGGTGAGGGCAGCATGCCCTTATCTCCTTATACTCCGCTCGGCTTGGACCGCATGGAAGGAAGGACAGATGGTGAGACGATTCGTCGATCTTTGGCGAAGAATACCAGGTCCAGTGGCGACTTTGGCGAGCTTGGCGATCGGTTTACTCGCCAATCTCGCCTGAACCCACTCCCTGCTACCTTCCCGCTCGGATGTCAGAGTTGCCACGGTTCCAAGCTACCAAAATGCCTATGGGAGAATGATGCTATATACGTGTCAAGGAGAGAAGAGGGACCGGCCGTTTAATGGCGTCCTCATCTGCATCGGCCTCGCCACGCCTGTTCCTCCACTCCGTCTGGTACCGGTCCGATACATTGCGTCGCGGGATTGCCGATTCTGCTGATCGGACCCTTGACCCGGCGGACGGGGTGGACCGGGTGCTGGAGGTGGGAGACAGTTTGTGAGGAGTGTATCGATGGTACAGTCGTTGCCGTATCGTACGAGGATGGTGTGTGCTCTGTCGACAGCCTAAGCAGTCAGCGGAGAGGCCGAGCGGTATCTCTGGGTGACACCCACGTTCATCCACCTATCCAATCCCAGCTTCGACATGGACTGGGTACAGTTCTGTCTCTGTCAGCTTGAATCCCTGGGGGTCGACAGGAGAGGAGCAGCTCGCCTTCTGCCAGATGAACGGGTCCTGCACCACCAGTCTCCTCTCGCTCCAATTCCTCGGCTGTATCCCCTGATCCCCCCTGCCCATATATGTCTCCCTCGCAATCATCTCCTCCTTCGTCGGCGCCGGTATTCCTGCCGCCTTCCTCGCCTGCGCCTCCTGCGTTTCCTGCCCTTGCGGCTTGGCCCGATTGATAATGCCCCCATTCAGGATAGACACCACTTGGGTATTGTACTGGAACGCCCGCCCCGATCCCGTCCTGGCGAAATGCGAAAAGAAGCCGCGGACCGCCTCCGATACGGTGAGCTTGGTGGACGGTTCCCAGTCCGTTGGCGCCTTGTCCGAGAACCCGACGTTGATTTTGAGACCGGAGGGCTTGCCCCATGCTGCCCAAATGACGTCCTTGCCTTCTGTCTCGGGGTAGTCGGGGACGCGGACCTCGACGTCCTCTTGGAGGTTGGGGAGGATACCACGATGCTGGAGGTACCCAATCGCCATGAGGGTAAGGCAGTAGGACGACATGGTGGGCATGCCGTCCTTACCCGAAGGATCGTTGACGTGATTGGCTTTTGACCAGAGTTTGAGGCAGTGGATGAGGGGTCGGAGGACGTGAGGTGATATTTCGCAGTAGGCGAGGATGAGCCGAGAGTTGTACCTAAGCATCAGCTGTTGCCATAGGTGTGACATGGTCAACTCACCATCCACCCAGATCGTTGACGTTCATGTCCGCCTCGACACCGGGCCGAGTGGGATCTTTGAACTTGACGATAGGCGTACTAGCGCCGTAGATACCGTGAACGTCTTCAAAGCCCCTCCGGCGAAGCAGTACGACGACATTGTGCAGGTCATACACCGGCGAGAGGTCCGCGCGGTATATGTTCACCCGAGGCCGGCCAGGTCGGCGGGTCTGCGGCTCGTCTGCATCTGGATCCCAGAGCGCCGGGTGGTCTACACATCAGCTGCAGCCTCTGCAACATCATAGTGACTCCCAGCCCTGAGGATGGAAAGTATCCCGAATGACCAGGTCGATATCGCCGCCGCGACCGGTCTCGCCTCCCCAGCTGACACTCCCAAATACGTCCACGCTGAAGCGCTCATCTCTCGCCCCACCGCCCCGTCCCCATTCCTGATCCACCATCCTTGTCAGCCTCGCCGCCAGCTGCTTGACATATCGCTTTTGATCGTCCGTCGGCTCCGCCGCGATCCAAGACCGCATGATGGACTGCTGGAGGCCATCGTCCGTAAAGCACAAATGCCTCGGCACTGACGCCCGCGCAGAAGGAAGCGACAATAACCGGTCATATGGGTTCACCGGCAAGACATCATACGCCACCTTGGGCCGAGAAGTGTTTATGGTCTCGGCAAACTCGCTAACGTCTACCAGCTGAAAATTTCAGTCTGTGCATCTCTTCATGCTATGAGGCTATGGACTCAGCTTACAATAGACGTTGGGTATGCCTCTACCGGCGGCTCATTCCTCTTCTCCAACCTATCCCGCTCGTCAAAGTACGAGTTGACATCCTGGACGCCATTCCAGTCGTACGTCGCCGTTCCATTCATCTCGCCTTTGTAGCTGTATAGCTTTGCGTCGCCCAGGGTCGTCTCGGGGACGTAGATCTCGTCGGTGATGACCGGGGAGGGTTTGAGACGCGAGCGACGGGCTGCGTAGTCGCGGAGAGGGGTAGGATCAGCGTCGTAGTCGATGAGCTTGGATGGACGGGAAGGTTTTGGGTGGAAGGGGGCGGCTGAGGGGTTCCAGCTGCTGGCAGAGGGGTTGAGGGATTTCGGGGCGAGTGGGGTCCGCTTCTGCTCTACCGCGCCAGCGCCGTACTTGGCAAGGATACCTTGTACTTGCTTGTCGAGGGCTGCGGGTGTCAGGAGGGAAGGAGGATGCGGACGCTTTGGATCTGCGCCGAAGGACTTGACGACCTCGTCAAACTTATTGACGACCTCTGTTGCTGTACGCGGAACGTACGCCTTGTCCTCTCCTGCGCCTGCGACACCCTGTCCGCTGGGCCGCTTCTTCTTTCCTCGCTGGAGGTAGGGAAAGTCGACCTTCTTCCACGGGATGGGCTTGATATCGACCTTGAACAAGTGTTCAATCTCGCTCGCGTCCGTCTCGATGATGGCCTTGTCGCGGGGTACGCCGCCTGGACTGTCGAAGACGACGAGGGTAGGGGATCGAGCAGGACTGGAAGTCCGACTGGAGGAGATGAGGGGATGGGGGTCGGTGAAGTTGGAGAGGGGTGGCGAAGGGGATGAGGAGGGGCTGGGAGGGACGAGCCTGCTTGGCTTGTGGACGAAAGCTGGCCGAGACGCCGGCTGGAAGGCTGAAGCGGTTGGCTTAAGCTTGGGAGGTAGAGTACACCAAGGTGCTTGCGCTTTGGTCGCCTTGGGAACCTTGGGAGCGACGACCGCCGGCTGGGGCGGGAGGATGGTCCGCTTCTTTGAGGGCTCGAGCGCCTTCTGCGGGGGAACGGGGAGCGGCTTGGGCTGAGTCGAGCTGCCGTTACCAATAGCCAGCTGCTTGATTGCTTCTAGCGCTTGCTGGAGGCCTGTCGCGACGACTGGATTCTGGAGGCTGACGGGACCGGTACCGTGTGGTTGGACGACCGATGAGCTGGAAGTGGGTGGTCGAAACGCGATAGTCGAACCGTCCGGAAGCGTGATGAGAACCGCTCCGTCCTCTCCCTTCGTCTCCTTGCTTACCGCCTCGTTCCTTCTGGATTTGACCTTGACACGCGTCCGTCTGTCCCTAGGAACAACCCTCAGAAGCTTCTCGACCTCCTTCTCGCCCTCGGACCGTGTGTCCTCGGAACCGGCGTCAACGTCAGACTCGTCGTCCCTGTACGGTGTGAATGACCGATTGGGAGGCGGATAGCCGTACGCGTCTTGCTCGTCGAGAAGGGTAGGTCGAGGTTGGTAGACTGTGAAGTCAATCAAGGGAGGGGGTGATTGAGACTTCATCTTGAGACCGGTTGTCTGGTTGAAGGTGGATTTGCGGGGTAAAACGCGGGGTAAGCCGGGGAGGGCCGAGGGTGGCACACAAGTTCAAGAGGGTGGCGACCGTGGCGGATCCAAGATGGCGTCGAGAGTGCGAGCCAAGGATTAGGGAGGCGTGGGGGACAAGAGACTGGGTCAAGATCCAGGAAAGGCGGGATGGACTTCGAGTGTGAAGTACAAGGAAAGAGGAGGAAAGCAAGAATTCTAAACCAGAACTGGCTTGCCTCAAGCTTCTGCCATTTGAGAGGGCGGGGACGTCTGTGCGCTGTACCAGTACTGCGGGTCTTTGGGAGCTCAGGGACGAGAGTGTTTAGCTGGAATTGCATTGCTTCTTTGTAGAGCTCGGACGTGGAAAGGGAATGCATAAATCTCGCTGCTAAAGGAGGACATATGGAGCGCGAGTGAACGCTGTGCGTGCCATCATCATGAGACCTTATCGTACCGGGCGTGCTCACTTCAAAGTCACGGATGAGATAGATCTTTGTGAATAAGTTAACTCAGGACGAGCAGGTTTGTCCAGAGCTTCTAATTCAGCTCACAACAAGGTACTCGAGCTTCGACGGCAACGAGTGACAGTGGCAAACCAGAAACACTCCGCCGCCCGTCTCAGTAATCCAGCGCCATGGCCAATCACCTCGTGTCTGACCAGCCTGATGGACTTGGATGAATCGCCTCAAAGACCAACTCTCTCAAAAGCTACATGAGTATACATGGATTATATGCACAACCTCTAACCCAGTCTAGACTTATTCCTACAACCCCCGCTCCATGACCTAGTGAGAAATATACTGGAACACAAACGATACCTCCGGCAACCCCAGCTCCGCCCTTAGAAGATCATCGTGCATCTTCCCCAATTCCGAATTCGGAAAGTGGTTCCATCTGTACGTCAGCCTTTGTCCCCTACTCTCACCTGTCCGCCATGATGTCGACTCACGTGCTAGCATCTCCGTACAGAAGCGCCGGGGCCTTCACGAACTGCTTTCCATCCCGACACCGCTTACACTTGTAGGTATCATGCGAGTCGGACTGGGTTTCCGCGTTAAACTTGAAGAGCTGGCGGAGGTCGTCTTGCGTGAAATGCCGAGCGGTATCTTCCGCTTCGTCCACCACGCAGGCCGAGAGATTCTGCTTTTGACATCTGGGGGATTAGCTCTGGCGGCCGTCGACCCTAGCCGGCGAGCTCACTGTCTCTGAAAGATCTTCTCCTCGATCGTCCCCGTCGTCTGGAATCGATAAACGAAACATTCCTTCTTTTGCCCATCTCGCCAAACTCGAGCCAGTGCTTGCTGGTCGCTAGCCGGATTCCAGTCCTACCTGATCAGCTTCTGCCATTTCTGGAGTTGGTAGCCTGATGGGACTCACCGGATCGAACAATATCAACCTATTCGCACCAATCAAATTGATCCCACAGCCTCCAGCTTTCGAACTCAACAAGAAGACAAACTCCTTGCCCTCCGGATCGTTGAACCTCGAAACGATCTTGGACCGCTTGTTGACATTCATCGTCCCGTCCAAGCGGACGTAGCCGTATTTCTTATTCCGGCAGAGCTTCTCCATGAGGTCGAGCGTCTGGGTCGCGTTCGAGATGAGGACGATCTTGTCGTCCGTTTGGGTCTTGATGTGGTGGAGCATCCTGAATGGATCAGCTCGTCTCAAATACCATGGGTGCCTGCCAGCAGGCTCACCTTTCAAGAACGACAAATTTGCCAGATAACGAGCAGTTCATGTTCCGGTCCCGACCCTTGCCGTGATAGTCCGCCGGCAGGACCTCCTCGCTTCCGGGCAGATCCTCCGGGAGATTGAGCAGGTCGGGGTGGTTCACGAGTTTCCGGAGCAACCCGATAGCCTTGAGCGGCTGCGAGTCTTTTCCGCGCAGGAGCCGCTGGACATCCTTGGAGGTGACAAAGAGGTTGTACAGCTTGCTCTGGAGGGGCGAGGGACGACAGAAGACGACGTGCTCGTATTTGACAGGGACTAGATGTCAGCTATGCCTCCGTGGCTGTGCTGAGGGACTAAGCTTACGGTACTTGGACAACAGATCGTTCGTCCGCCGAATGATAAACTTGCTGACCAGCCCACCCAGCTCTTTCAACTTGGCATCACTCTCCAGCTTGTCCTTCTCTGACGCATCCGCATCTCGTCCCCGAAGAATCTTGGACTCAAAGTTCTTCTTGAAGTCGCCCTTCGAGCCGAGGTACTCGGGATTGGCGAAGTTGAGGAGGGCGAAGTATTCCGACAGGTCGTTTTGGATTGGTGTACCGGTCAGGATGACCCGGCGTTGGACGTTGAGGGCGGTGAGGGACTGGAAAGTGAGGGTGTCTGACAGGTCAGCTATGACAGCCTTGTCACACAGCGTCTTTCGACTGACCTGCATTCTTCAGTCGATGACCTTCGTCCGCCAGCAACAAGCCGATGGGAGCGCCGGCCAATTCCTCCTGTAGTGTCCGCAAAGTCTCGTAAGACACGATCATCACTGAACAGATCAGCTTGCTTCACGTGTATAACGCATCAGCTCACCAGGCAGAGTCACACCGCGTCCAGTCGATTTGACCCATCGGCGAACAGCCGGAATCAACGCCTCCTTCCCGCCCTTCCCATCCACTACTAGTGGGTTGATTGCGCCCTCACCGAGCCATTTGACTGGTCCCATCAGCTTCAATCCACGGCATTCATGTCTTCCGGGCTCAAATAACTCACCTAGCTCGTTTGCCCAATTGCCTACCAATGATGTTGGGCACGCCACGATACACTTCTCGCATGTCGGCTTGCCGGCGACTGGGGACTGCTTGAGAAGGGTCCACATCAGAGCGATACATTGCAGCGTTTTTCCTGATAAGTTAGCTCTGTGCGACCAGATACATCCGGAAAGCTCACCGAGACCCATCTCGTCCGCCATGATGCACCCCCAAGCATTGTTCGCCAAAAGACCGGTGGTACATCGATACAAGAACTGCGATCAGCTTTGAACCTCTCGATTCAGCTTGTTTTACTCACCTTGACACCCTCGATCTGATGCGGCCGCAAGAACTTGGCCAGCCTCGGATCGATAACCACCGGCACCTTCACCTCCTTCTTTTCCTTCTTGTCGACTATTCCCAGTATCGCCTTCAGACTTTTGTGGGGACCTTTGGCCGCCTCTTCCCGCTTCCGCTTGAGCTCGGCCGCTAATTCAGGGTCGATATCGTCCTCCGGTGGTGGAACATCGTCGATTGTTGGATCATACAGCACGATGGCGTGGTCGGACATGGGATCGTGCAGGGGGCGAGGGGCGAGGTTGGGATGTGGTCGAGCACCAAGAGAAGCATGGGAGAGGGAATGGACGAAAGCCTGGGACGCGCCTTTGTTTTTGATCGCTGGAATCGAGAATCTAGATTGTCAGCGACAAAGGTCATCACACGGCGCATGTCAAAGCTCACGTCTTCATGAACACCCCAGCCTTCTCTTTGACCGCAAACACCGGGAACTTGCGCATACAGATCGCCCCCAGACTGCCCAACACCCCATCATCACCATACTCCTTGTTCCCCATCGCGTACTTGACTTTCTTGCTCGGACCGCCTCCTTCATTCGGATCGACGTTCTCATCTCTCGCATCATCGCCATCCCCACCGGCGTCCTTGTAGTTGACAGCTTTGCGTTTCCGGCTGGGGAGATCGACATGGCGTTTAGCGGCGAGCGGGGTGGGAGCCTTGAAAGGCTTGGAGACGAGCCCGAAGCCGCCTGATGTGGCGGTAGTAGGGTTCTGGTCGTTTGTTCTGAAGCCTGAGGGAGCTCTGCGGAGCATGTTGGCTAGATAGGGAATGATAAGTATGTAAGAGGGAGATGTATAAGCGGTGGCGAGAAAAGGGTTGTCGGCGAAATCGGGTCAAAACAAGTCGGTCGCGTCAACCGATCCATGCCGTTAAACCATCCCCACGCGATCAGGGCCCCACGCCTAATATGGCGCAGCTTTCGCTCGTTCACCTCCTACATATCTGCCTCTCCGTACAGCCTATACATACTCGACGGCTACGATATGGCGGGATTCCTCGGCGGACTCTTCACACAGCTCCGGACCTCACTGGCAGCGAGGTTACTCCCGGAAGGCTATTCCCTGGTTCCTGTCCCCGTCCCCCGGCTCCCTCCCCTACCGCCTAGAGATCCTACCCGAACGCAGCACGAGATCCGTACAAAGACCTCTGGGCCGCTGGGAGGATCCTTCACCACCTTTTCTGGCGTCCTCAACGAGCGGTCCGATGGTGGGGCGCAAGCTGCGTTTAGCATCACGCTTCACCACCACGACAAGCCACTCAGACTGGGTCGGGCCAGGGACGCAGTCATGATATGGCCAGGCCAATGCCATCTAATCGATGCGTATGTCAACTGGCTAGCGCTGGGGCTGTGGAGAGAGGAGCTGTCTGGTGGGGACGTCACTCTTCTCTCGAGCAGCGCCACGGCGGTGGATTTGCTGTCCGCGGATGACCCGCGGAAGGGGGATCGAACGGTGCGCGCAATCGCCAAATCCATTCAATGGGCGGGAGCAAGGTACGATATCCACACGCAGCTCGCGTATCTACCTGCTTCGGTAAACCTTCTCGCGCGCCGTCTCAGCCGAGTGGAGGCCCCCGAGAAACGCCTGAAGATGCTGGGTCCCGAATTGAGGGATCAGTTGGACTTGTCTGATCGGCGGTTTCTTAAGTGGGGTATTCTGCAGAAACTTCCAGGTGAATGAGATCGCTATGTCGCTCCGTCAGGTGCTGACTTATCTAGAGCCCCATACCCAGGCGCTACATACCTCCACACAACAAGCGGCTCATGATTGAACCCCAGCTGCAATCAAGTCCCATCTTACACTACCACCACTCAAAATTACGCCCATCCCTCGACTTCACCCTTACTGCCCAATCGTATCCTCTCCACCCCCGCGACTCCACATCACAACTTTCCTCACTCTGGTTTGATCTTTCCGGAGGGCGGGGCGGTCTGAGGAGGGATACACAGCATGTAGACAAGGCAAGGGTCGTCTAAGGCTGTACTATATCGAGGGAAATGAAGTATAGACAGACATGACCCCGAATCGCATGTAGCTGCATGCGGTCAGATGAGCCTTTGCGAACAAAAGGCGGCCGGAGGCTTTCTGAAACTTTCGCCTCTGACGTTCCAGACGCTCAAAAAGTGAAGGCCTGAGAGGGCGGGTTGTTCACGTGCGTATTTATCACAGCCGGCCAATTTGGCGCAAGGTTTGTTGTCTGCATGCATAGCTATCTCGCAGAGTCCGATAGCCAGTCGTACAGCAGCCTTCCGTGCCCCATCAGCAGCTCTGTCTTAGATTGATTCTACTGAATCCTGACCAACTGGCAACTCCTCATTCCTTGAGACCCAATCCGTGCGCAACAGTACGTGGACGCGCTTCAATTTTCGCTCGCTTGACCACCCAGCTTCTCTGACCACACTCAGACTAGAGTATGCTGGGTGGTGGCTTCAGCAGGGCGCTTGCACGGCTACGCTTGACAGCAGCGACATCGCTTCTGCCATCAAAATTTGTCGTCATACCCCTCCGACTCCAATCGGCGGCAGCTAGACCCAAGCACGAGATCTACACAGACATCTCCAACAAAGGGACGGGAACGACCACTATCGCTGGCGTCCTGAACCCATCCGGGGATGGGCGTGCTCAAGATGCCTTCAGCTTCACCCTCAACCACACATCTATCCCTCTTCAATTCGGCTCGGCATCCTTCCTGGTCCGTCCCGGCAATACCGCGGCCATGGAGGCTTACGCTATGGTCTTCGCCCTCGCGCTCTGGCGGAACAAACTACGGGGCGGCGACGTTACCTGTATGAGTGATTGTAGAGCGGTTGTCGACTCCGCGGAAAAACGCGTCCTACCGGCTGGGCCGGTCAAGCTCCCGGTCACGGATGTGGAGCTCAATCGTGCGGCCTTTGCAGCTGTTGGACCAGCCATGAGGGAGCTCGCGGAGGATGCGGATCTCAATTTGGAGTTTAGATGGATCACAGGGGACAGGAACAAACTCGCGGATGTTCTCAGCAAATGCACAACGCAGGGGAGGCGAGATAGGCTGCATCCCGAGGTCCTTCAACAGGTGGAAGCAACGGGGAAGCGTTTGTCCGAGATCAAGCTGGAGGGGCTTGTCGGAGTGTTGGGGGTGATGCTACCCGGCGCGGTCGCCAAGGGTAGGTTGTGTTCTTTGGTGGTATCGATCAGAATCAAAGCTGACATGCGTAGCTCCTGTCAAAACAGCGGTGCCAGCGCAGGGCAGCCCCGATATCGGCGTCCCTCGGCCAGGTTCGGAGGATGTGGAGGAGCCTGTAGTGCCAGCCCTGATGGGCACCGAGGAGTATAGCGTGAGAGGCGAAGACAGACATGATATGGGGGCGGTCGGGGGAGGTTGTGAGCATACTGAATCTTCTGGTGTGTCTCTGCCCATTATGGCTACTCGTATTATCAGCCACAAGCTGACTAGTATCAGCTATAATGCCTACTTTGATGCTGGCAACCCAAGCGACATCAGAGCTGGATCTGCTGGATGTTCCCATCGAGCAAGACGTCGAAAGTACGTATCTCCAGTTATCTGAGTGCGAGGGTCGCTGACCGTTCCCAGACCTGAGGGCAGACATCGACCTCGCATCCACTACCAACCTCATTCAGACTTCAGCTCCGCTCGACTCTCAGGAGGAGGTCATTTGTCCATCGATCTCCAGGCTTTCCGACCATGCGGGCGAAGCGGAAGAGCCTTTCATTGCCCTCGATATCGAGATCCCTGCTATTCCTGTCCACGAAGATCACCATGATGCGCCAGGTAAGCTCGCATTCGCTTCCTTCCACGCCATATTCTGGATAGAAGCTGACTAGCCTAGTCTCCAGCACGTTAAGAGACACGTCTCCCTCCGTCGTCGAAGGCAAAGGTCGTCAAAAGGGAGCACGGTGCATGATTCGCACCTCCATCGTCAACAACGGCCCCTACACGACCTTCGCTGGCGTCCACAATCCACGTCGTCGGGGTCTCAACTCCCTCTCCTTCAGCTATATTATCAAACACGATACCTTGCCAATGAAAATCGGGTCGACCAGCATGATCATCCCGCCGGGGAAGCCCGCGCTCGCACAGGCGTATGCGCTCGTGCTCGCCTTGGTGCACTGGAGGAAGAAGCTATCCGGAAAAAAGGTGGTTTGGTGCAGCGGGGACCGGAACGCCGTCATACTCGTTCAACGCCACTTGCAGCAGCCGCACTCGACCCATATTGGCGACGGTACCAGCTGTGGCGTAGCCATCGGAACCGCGATCTCCCAGCTGGCCGCCGAATACGGTATCGTCCTCGAGCCGACGCATGACCGCATCATGAAGGGAACGCTGGCTGCGCAGCTCGACGCCGCGAGGACAGATCTCGCCCGAGCGCCAAGTCGGGGCAAAGCAAAGGGTCCCAATATCTCTGTCAGAAAGCGATTGAAGAACTCGGATGAGCGGCTCAGCAAGCTCGTCTCGGTCGGGCTGGCGATGGAGAGTTCAGCGGCAGAAGCCCGAGCATGAGGTATGTCTCTTTCTTCATTTAGCCAGCTGATAGCTTATCCACTTTCTAGTTTTGCTAGAATTCAAGATACTCAGCTCAGGCGGCTATTCGGAGGCGTGGTCGGATCTTGCATGCTTTGCAGGCTGGTGGCGGTTGAGGTGTCGGGTAGGGGGGCTTAGGTGAAAATGATAGGCGGACTGGGCGCACATCAGGGAGGAACGAATCTTTGTCAAAGCAGTGAGTAGTCTCTATCCGCATATGTGAGCCACGGCTGGGCATAGCTGACTATATAGGTCTATCACCCTTGGCCGAAATCAATCGCGATCCACCCTTCCTCCCCCTCCTCCTGCTCCATACATCACCCTATTTCACACCAACCCGGTTCCCCTCTCCTATGCTCCATCCTCCTACTTCGGTCCTGTCTCTTGCGCCCCCTACCTCGACCACCGAGCCCTCTTGGGCGCCGAACCTGAAGGCTCGAGGCAGTGAGGCTGCGGGTGAAGCCCGCCGCACGACGTACACATATGCTTGAACTCACACGCGTCCCCCATGCAGGCCTCCATCCTATTCCAAAGGAAACAGGGTTTCTGGGAAGTCACCTTGCCGATGGAGGACAGGCGGAAAACGCCAGCGGACGCGGGGGAACGATAGACCGAGGCGGATTGCCGGCCACTGGGGGTAGAAGGGGTAGGGACAATGGCGCGGGCAGCGGCGTAGGCGTTGGCGAAGCTTTGGAAGTCCCGTCCGAAAGCTTCGGAATCCCACTTGAGCCAGTCTGCGAGGGGGAAGTCCGCGCCGACGTGGAGGCGGCGCTGGGCGGTCTTAAGATGATAGTTGAGGACGGCCGGGAATTCGCCCGGGTTGTCTCGGTCGAGCCGCATGAGGATATGGGCGTGGCCCAGGAGGAACTTGGCCATACCCGCCTCGACCTGGTCCCTGATCTGGGCGTAAGCCAGCCAAGCGGACAGGATGTCCGCGAGGCAAGTGAATCGGACCTTGGCCGGGGTCTTCCCGGACTTCTCCTTCTCCTTGTCCCGCACGTCCCCATCCTCCTCCTCCACGACCAGCTTCCAGAACTCGGAAACAGGGAGACGATTCTCCAAAACCGCCGAGAGCACAGCCGGGGTGGCGAGAGGGGCGAAAACCCGAATGTCGGCGACGGTGGTGCCGTTGGACTCGGCAGCCGGCGCGGTATACCCTGCGGGTGTAGGGGGAGCGGGAGACTCACCTGCAGCAGGAGGACCAGACGATTCAAGCTGGTCGAGCCTGTCCACCACAGGCGCGAGATGGGCGGTGAGGACGGCCGCGATGTCCGCCTGAGTGAGGACGGGCGGCGCCTGGCCGGCCGGGGGAACTTGTTGGCCCTGGGGGACGACTTGGGCCACCGGCGCGGGCGGCTGCCAGATCGTGGGCGGAACCCGATCGGGGTTTTCGACGAGGTGCTTGATGCACTGATTCTTGGTCTTTTTCTCGTAACCCATACCGGCGTAGAGCCGCGCATTGGCGACCGAGAGGCTGTTGAGCGCAGCCCGGAGAGTTGTGGGAGCGTTGTTGTTGGCAGGCATGATCCACAAAAGCAAAAATGCAGGTGATGACTGGGTGGATGAGAGGAAAGAGAGGAGATGAGAAGAGGTGAAAAGTGGTGTGAACCCTGAACCGATATCACATCTCGCTCCCCCCAGAAACCCACGTCATCCTACGACTCTCCAACATTCTGTAACGTTTTCTCCGCGTTCCACCTCGAGGAGTTCTCCGATGGCCGCCACAGCAAGTGAAAGGGGGAACCTAATACTGATAGCCTCGTCACCAGCCTTATCGAGTATCATCGTGCAACATGTCCAGGCCTCATCCAGTCTTATTCGCCCATCAGCAGCACTCGTCCCACTTCTTGACCACACCCTGCCTATCATCCACCTCCTCATTCCTCGAAACCACCGGCCCGACCGGTGCCGGCGCACGGATCTCGTCCTACTTGGCGACTCTTACCCCCATGTTACTGCTGCGTATGTTGGCTGTGCCTTCCGCAGGGGCATCGCTCAACCCACCATAGTAGTAGCCACTACCGGCGTTTCACGGCACTACGCCGTCCGCCCACCCATCCGTCATCCAATCTACAGGACGGCCAAATCGGCTCGACGCCCTACGAAGCGGGCGGTGCAGCCAGTTTTCCCCTCCCTCGCGGCAGAGGGGCAAGGACGAGGGGCGGCGAGGGTTCGTCCTCAGCACCTGATCCAGACCGATGTCTCCGGTAGGGGCACAGCGACAAGGTTCGCGGCTGTCTTCAACGCCACACCGGACGGGCGGGCGCAAGATGCGCTCAGCGTCCTGATCCCGCACGCCTCGGTCGCTCTGATGATAGGGGAGGAGCCCGTCTTCAGCAGTCCTTCGGAGCCAACCTTGACGGAGGGGTTCTATCTTCTGCTTGCTGTCAAGCTCTGGAAGGATGACGCGCGGCACGGAGACCTGATCTTGATCAGTGACAATCAAAGGGCGATCAATCTCTTGTCTGCGGACCAGCGCAATGTGCCGTATACCTTCGCTGGGGAGATCACGCCCAAACTGGTGAGAACACTCAACGTCTTGCGCACCATCGGTCGCGAAATCTTAGACATAGCGGTCATTGCCGATATCAACGTTCGGTACCAGTGGGTCCCGAGGAGGGAGAACTCCTTGGCGAATAGCCTGGCGAGGTGGGACTTGGTGGGTCACCGAGTTCTGTTTCACCCCAACATGTGGGCGAAGATGGAGAGCACCCGTAAGCGGCTGGCGGAGATGGAATTGACGGGGATCGTATACACGGAGGAAGAGGGTACGCCGACTTGTACGTCGAGACCCACACATGAGTGTATGCTGAGCTGACATGAGCAGTCCCGGAAGCAGAGGTGCCGCTAGGCTTCGCGGCGAGGGCTACGGCGGAGCGATGGAAGACCAAGCTCTTGATCGACAACCCTTCCCAAGCCGCAGACATGCTGTTCGCAGCTCTACTTGACAAGCTTAAGAATGGTATGCTACCGCAAGGCGCGGTACTTGCCCGCAACGGGTCATGTTCGTCTATGGTCATGTTTCAATCACACATGCTGATTGTATAGCCAACCGCGTCATGGTCCCTGGCACTGGGAAGGCCACGCCACGGTACACGCGGATGATGTCTGACCTCTTGCAACAAGGGAGCGTGGTCCGCATCTCGGCCTTCAAACACACGAAGCTCGATTCACCCGGGGTGCCTGCCCCTTCAGACGTAAGAATCTCCGCTCAGGTGCTCGCGGGGTGGAAAGCAAGCCTACTGCGGCAGAGCTGAGTTATGTTGCTCTGAGTAGCGTGAGTGACTCAGCGTCACAGTCGATCAGATTAAGACTTATCATCAGTACGATGTGCAAATCTGATACCCCTTCGCGCGATGTCTGAAGTGAGTGGTCAGACCGTATGCTCTAAGCGCCAAGATAGCCACGTGATGACGCAGACCCCGCTGACATGTGCAGACACCGAACCCCATATCCATCCTCCCATTCCCGGCCGCATCACGCCGTCACTTTTCCCCCCATCATTTCCATTCCCTTCTTCGCTGCTCGACTCCCCAGGGCAGGCCGTCCTTTTCATTGCGATTCCTTTGGTCCGCAACGCGTCCTACCGGCTGGCCCGTATAACGATCTGGAGGTGTACTCGTATAGGCCATGTGGAGGCTGCCGGTGCGAGCTCGTGGTGAGACGGTATGCGGGGATTGAGATGCTTGACAGAAGGGGCCAGGCTACAGTCGGGTCAGATCTGTGAGTGTATCAGTCTAGGCTATCAGTCACGAAAGAAGGACCCAGCTGACATGAGCTGCCTATATGACCCTAGGCCAAAGTCCATCCCCCACCAACTCCTTCATACCCCCGCCCGCCATCGCCTCCCTCAACCACCCCTTGATCTCCTCCACTTCCTTACCCGCCATCCTCAACACCCCTCCCTGCTCATCGGTCGGACTATACGCCCATAGCAGCTCGCTTGGGCGGCTGACCTGCATCTGCGACGTAGCGAGGGAGAGGCGTTGAAGGTGGGTGCGAAGGGAGGCGGTATGGGGACCGAGGATAAGGACGGTAGCGTAGACATGGTATGGCGATAGATGCTTGGCAGTCCTGCTTAGACCAACACTGGTCGTCTCCGTATCATTGTCCAGTACCATCCTCTCCCGCATGACCGCCGTATCCCCCACCAATACCTCGTTCGTCGAGGCATAATACTCCATTGCCCAGATCTCTTCGTCGTCCGCCTTGATTGACAGCCTATCTGTCCGCCGTTGTCCCCGTCCCGAGTTGAACCAGTCGAGGATGACTATAGATGCCGTCCGACACACCGGGAGGACGAAACGCTGGGCCTGGCTATACCGAGAGCCGCGGAAGGGGGAGACCGAGTCGGGGAGGAGGAAGAGGAATGAGTGGGGTTTGAGCTCGACATGAAGTCGCTGACGAGTGAGGGATGAGTCCACGCCGGCGGAGTGTATAGGCTGGCGTATAATCTGATGCGAAAGAGGTCGGAGTCCAGGACGATGCTTGAACAGCTTTGTGCTTCCCTGCGTCAACAAGATGAGGCCGCATCCCGCATCCACCTCGACCCGCAGAGAGACAACGTCGCCCGCTACGAGCCCGCCCCCGTATGCTAGCGTATAGCAGATGGCTATATGTGGAGGCTGGGAGGAGAGCGCGTCGGGAGCGAGGAGCTTGAGGGGATAGGAGGCAGAGAGGGAGGAGAAGCGGGCGCGGTGGGGGTGGGAGAGGTGGAGGTGGCCTGATCCAGGCTGGGCTCGGGGAGGCGCCTTGCGAGTGTACGCTATGGTCGGTTCGGACGGAGCTGCCGAGGCGGCAGACAGCTCAGCATCTTCCATGGCCCTCTCCCAGCGACTTTGGGTGTAAATGGACGGAAGAGAGATGTCTTATCTGTGTCTTGGGGTTGAGACCAGTTTACATAGATCCAGGCACGGTTTGGACTTTTGGCCCGGGGAGAGAGATGAGATCATCACTCGACCATCTATCTACCTTATGCGTTGTACATCCGCCTCGCACATAGCTGAGATGCCCGCGAGGGCTATAGACAATCATCAAGACCTGCCGGTCATCCTTCATAATGATCAGCGGGGTCTCTTGACCATAGAAGACGGGCGGCTAGACGTTCTCCAGCTGTCCAAGGATGGCCGCCGTGAGCTACTCGACCCCTTCTCTGTACGAGGTCGTAGCTCACATTCTAGCGCCAAAGCGGCTCCTCACGTCCTCGGTGCGCAATCTCCTCCGTGTACGGCTCGCCAGTACCCCGCACCAGAAGACAGGGCATCACCGGCTCGACATTCATACCCTGCTCGAGAAGGGGAGCTCGCTCAGGCTGTCAACAATGCACGTACTGGTCGAGGAGGCGAATATGAAGGAGGCACCATTGTGGTTGGAGACAGCGATGCGCGCGGCATATGCAGGTGAGCAGAGTGTCCTAACGTAGTCCGGTCGAAGCTGAGCGAGTAGGTGTACAGCCCTTTCGAAGGGTGCTGCTCCTCGTTAATCCCGTTAGCGGGAAGGGGAAGGCTAGAGCTACAGTCAAAGAGCAGGTCCTGCCTCTCTTGGAAGCTGCGGGGTGTATCGTCGACCTGAAAGGTGAGGTTGACTTACCGACTACAGCCTTGATCTAGCTGATTGGCAGAAACGCAACATAGGAACCATGCTCTTGAGATCGTCGAGTCCATGTCGCTGGACTATGAGTAGGCCAGCTCTATTCTTCCTTGCACTAGACGCTGATGACGCAGTGTAATAGCGACGGCATCAGGTGATGGACTGGTGTACGAGGTCATCAACGGTCTCGCGGCCCGCTCGGACGCCAAGAAGGCAATGCGGATACCCATCGCCCCAATACCTACCGGTTCCGCCAATGCGCTCTGTATCAACCTCTTCGGCGTCAAAGATACCTTCAATATCCAGCTAGCATGTCTAAATCTCATCAAGGGTGCGTCATTCAGCTCACATGGCTCGAGCGCACAGCTAATCGCTAGGCGCACCACTACCTATTGATCTAGCCTCGGTCCTCTTTCTCCCTTCCAACCGCCGTCAACTCTGCTTCCTCGCCGTCGCCCTAGGCCTTATGGTCGATCTCGACATCGGCACCGAACATCTACGGTGGATGGGCGACATGCGTTTCGTCCTGGGGTTCATCAAGGGCATCGCGTCGAGCAAGATTTTCAAGTGCCGCCTCAGGCTGAAGGTGGTGGAGGACGACAAGGTGGAAATGGCCAGGAAAGCAAGAGAGGCTGCGAGGGCGGATCTCAGGATACTAGAGGTCCCTTTAGCCGGGGCGAAGGGGTTGGATAAGGAACGAGACGGGGATGAGGCGGCCAAGGAAGGGCCGTCGAGCGAGGGTGCTGTGAAGGCGGAAGAAACGGATGCGGAGGGAGACGGTGATGGTGATACGGAGAGCTCGGTGGAACATCCGGAATGGACGGATGATGGGCCGCTGGACTGGGTGGAGCCGTTGCAGCCGGATGACACATGGCTGGTCATCGATAGTACGACAACGCGGACCGCTTCAAGACCACATATCACGCCAAAAGCGAGTGCGGACGGAGCATGGCGGAATGGTGATGGGATGCTGTACATGTAGTGAGCTGTCTTGTCTCTCATAGTGGAAGAGTTCAAGCTGATGTAGTAGTGCCGGACTGATGCCCTGGGTATCGCGAGATCTGAATCAATGGCCAGTGGCGCGTCCAGGTGAGGGCATGATCGATGTAGTCATCCAGAGCATTGTGAGTTGCTCCTCTCCGTTCAGGAGGGCACAGCTGACTTCTAGGTTCCTCGCTCGACACTAGTAGGGGCGATTACCAGCGCCGAGACGGGCGGAGCATACTGGCTCGAATGTCAGCACTACTACAAGGTGTCGGCGTTTGTAGCAGAAAATCTGGATCCGAGGGCACAACCACACTTCACTATAGGTCAGTTGCTTCATTCTCGAGACTGTGAGCTAGGAAAAGAGCTGATGTATGTAGATGGTGAAGCCTTCGAGTTCTCCTCTTACCATGTCGAGGTCTTACCGCGCGCGGCGAGGGTGTTGAGTCTGGATGGGAGGTTCTTTGTTAGCGACTTCTTGAAGAAGCACGATCAGAAGGAGTAGTGTGGCTATATATTGCATGTCTGTGCGGGCATGGTGTCAGAGGCGTAGCTAGATCATGATTATATACGGTGTTATAATGGCTATAATGTGTTGCCGTAGGATAACTAGTATTGAATATGTACGATACACTTCGTTCCTACTTGACGGCTCTACTCTGGTCCTTCTTGCCCTTCGCTGGCGCCTTCCCCTTCTGCGCCGTATCGTTTGCTCCTCGGCTGACCAGCAGCGCCTGGATCTTCTTCGGCAGGAGCTTCTTGTACTGCTCTTCCGACGCCCTGCTCAGCCTGTCCGCCAGCTTGTTCTTGCCCCGAGGTAACCATCCCACCTCCATCTCAATGTCATTTTGTGCCTTCTCCCGCCTCATCGCAATCTGCCATCTAGCCTCCCACGCTCCCTTCTGACCGGCTGGCATCTGCTGGGAGGGCATCGGACTTGCACCCGCAAGACCTGCAGACTTAACTCCTGGCATCATCGCCTCAGCCGCCTTTTCCGCCTCTGAAGACGAGTCGCGGCGCAGGGTACGAGCCATGATGACCGCCGCGCCCGTGCTGTCGGTTTGGAAGGATACGTGCGTTCGCCGTATCTGCGCTTTGAAACGGACAGTCGCCAATAATATAGCGCAGAGCTCTTGGTGTACGCAGTGATTACGGGCGGGCCTCTTGACGCCGAGGACGTGGGGCATATTAGGGCTGCGCCGCGCGATGGCCATGGCGTTGAGGGCGCTTTGGCGATCCGGGGATGGATGGAGGACCGCACCGTATCCAGTTGCTGAGTAGTCGGTGTATAGCGTGAGCCGGGGCCGCTCGGCTTGGGCCTCGGCGTGACCTCCGGCGCCGGGTAGGCCGGACAGGAGTTTCATAGAAGAGTGATGGGGATGGGGGGCGCCGATGAGTGTAGACGGACGAATGAGCCAGAGCCGGGTTGTTGGTGGCTGATGTGATGGTCCGGAGGTGATGGTTGTATAGATAAGGGATAATGCGATGCGTCTTAGACCTCTTGTCACGGTGATCGGGAGCGATTTGCCGGCTGGTAAGGCACGAGTGTGTGCGGAGACACAAAGCCTCGAGGCACTTGGCGCGTGACCATGAAGTGCCTGACCATGTCATTGGCGAGGACTATCTGACGAGCTAGCGGCTGAAGTGTCAGCTCCGGGTGTCAATGGGATCAAGCGGAACTCACCTGGAGTGCCATTGAATGTTAGCAATTCACTACGGTCGTGAGGACGACCTCATGGACCACATCTCCCGGAAAAGCTCGCGCAGCTGGTCAGATCAGCCTCAATCCTTGACCGGGACGAGCGGAAGTCTGAAGAATGACTCACCTCCCTAAACAGCCTGCTCAGCAGTGACTGACTAGCCAGCCCCACCGTCCCCAACCTCTTCATTCTCTTCGCCGATGCCCTCACCTGCTCCCTCATCACCGGATCCAGCTTCGCCATATCCTCCTCCGTAGAATACCTACTCAAATCATGCGAGATCCGATTCTTACTCCTTGGAATCACTGCATACACCAACTTGATATCCTTCTCCTTCGCCATCTTCGCCATATGCCCCGCAATCTTCCATCCTATTGCCCGCTGCGACGCCCGCCCGGGCAGGGCCGACGTGGGTACGGGCCCCCTCCCTCTCGCCTTGAGTATCTCCACCGCCGTTATATTATCGCACAGACACGTGACTTCGCCACCTGCGAACCGATCCTGCCAGAGCGAGAGACCGATATACTGGGCGTACATCTCCGAGATGACCGTATTGGCCGGTGGGGGCGAGATGGTGGATCGACCCAGCCGGATCGGGGTGTTGAGGTGGTTGAACGTGGTGTTGTAGGCATCTTGGACGCTTCCGCCGTGATGTGGGTTCAGGATGCCGGCGCAGGTTGTGGTGGTGCCCTTGAGGGAGATGTCGGTGATATACTCATGCTTGACCCGAATGGCAGGTGGGGTGACAGTTTGCTTGGGATGAGGTCGGGATGGCCGATTTCCGGCTCTAGTCTTTGAGGCGGCATATAGTGGGCGGGTGGATATGAGGCGGATAGAGCCGCTCGATGGCAGCACCATGCGGTTCTGATCCTCGCTGGCCTGAGAACCGATGTAGGGGGCGATGTAGAGAGAAGATCGCGATGATCGTGCTACTGCAGCTACTTTTTGGCTCTGAGTCGACCACGTGGCTTTTGCCCTCCACTTTGGCTCAGCTGAGAGGCAGTCAGCTGCGAATTTCACCTTCAACTGTCAACAATCTTTCACAGCATATCATAGCTTTGAATAGCAGCTAGCTGCCCTCTTACGGCTCAGCATTGGGACACGGAAGCGTCGTGAACTTCATCACCATAAAAGAACCCGCCCGGACACCGCCTGAAGCTCCCGAGGGACCCATCACCCCGACCGTCGATATGGACCCCTCAACCCTCCTCCCTATCCGCCCCACCTCCCCTACCCTCTCAGCGCACCTCGCCGCCCTCAACACTACCATCTCGCAACTCGACTCACTCCCCAGCCAGACCCGCTGGCCGGCTTACATCCCCCTCACCTCCCGCGCGAGGATACCGGGGCAGATTGTCCATCCGAATGAGGTCAAGGTGAACCTGGGGGAGGGGTGGTGGGTCGACATGACGGCGTCGGAGGCTGGAGGGTATCTGAAGAGGAGGAAGATGGGTGAGTGAAAGGGTTCGGGGAATGGAGGAAGAAAGCTGAACTGCAAGCTTTACTCGAGGAGCAGGCTAGGTCGCTCGAGGGTGGACCTGTCAGTCGGGCAGCTCGGACAGAGGACTCGGCCCAAGCTGGTCCGAATACCTTACCGCATCCGGTGCAGCTCAATAGTCTTTTCATGGGCCTGAGCTCTCCTCCTCTTTCTGCGGTACAGAAGCAGGCCGCCCCGGTCCCGAATCATGTAACACCCAACCCTTCCACGGCCGGTGCCCTATCCTCGATGCCAGCGTCCATGACACCAGCCTCGGCCGCTCCTCAGACCAGCGTGGAACCTGATACCCTCGTCGGCGTCCTGGATCAGTTCATAGCGAACGAGCAGGACCTCGCAGAGGCTTCGGGCGGTTTAGGCTCCACGACCACAGATGACGGTCTGCCCATCCACGAGATATACGAGACTCCCGACGGGGAGCTCATCGGTCCCAAGCCTACTCCGACCCAGAGTGACGGAGCGGTCGTCGTTCACTCAGACGCGGACAAATACGTGTGGTCAGAGGATGAGGCGGCCAAGGCGAGGGCAAAGGCGCTGTATGAGAAGGTGTTTGGAGGGGATGATGATGATCTGCTTTCTGAGGAAGAGAGCGAAGTGGGGCCAGCGGAGGAAGAGAGCAAGGTCGGGGAGATGAACGACGAGGAAGGGGCCGTAGCGTCTCCGGAGGACGTGCCGATACCGCTTCCCGCCAGCGCCTCCGCCCGGTCGATGTCACGATCCACTGACCCGTCCCCCGCCCCATCGACAACGACTCCTCCCACACCCCGCGGTATCCTCAAACCACCTCCAGCGCAAACGCGGAAGAAGTCCGTCTCTTTCGACCCTACCGTTCCCCTTCCACCCGACTCACCTGATCTCCCGCCCACCACGTCCCGGAAGATGGGCTTCCAACTCCCCCTCCCTGGCCCGGAGGCACCAGACGGCGAGTTCGGGCCGAAGCCCGTACCTGTCATCCAGGCGCCTGTACCCGGTAAGAAGGTAGCGGGCGGATTTGGGGGCATGAAGCGGGGTTTCCTGGATTCGGCAGGCGGAGGAAAGGGGAAGGCTATCAGCGCGAGCGTGAGCGTAGGGAAGGTGGAAGAGCCAGTGAAGGTTGTAGGGGGCAAGAAGCCGAGTTTGTTTGCGCAACGAATGGCGCAATCGGTCGTCAGGGAGTCACCTATGGTGGCAGAGTCGTCCTCGGCCGCGTCGGCTAGGGCAGCGGTAACGGCGCCGGCTGAAACGCCTCGGTCGGCGGTCCCTCTTCCTGCCTTACCTACGGCCAAATCGGTCACTACCGCAAGCAACACCGTCCGGTCGGCCGTCGTCGAAAAGCCCATCGTCGCAGCCGCGTCCAAAGCCCCCTTTTCATCCTCCATCCCGACATCACACCCTCAGTCTACTACCGCGGAACAAGCGCTAGAAGGCGAGGACCTCGGTTTCATCGATGACGATGATGATGACGACGACGATGACGACCTAGAGGAGGACGAAGATTCAGACGAGTACGACCTGGACGACGCCCTCCTCGCGCGAGAAGTCGCACTCGAGTACCATCGCAACCGGGCGTATGCCTCCCCCTACATCTCCCAAGATCCGGATGACCCGTCATACGGCCTCACCCCGTCCGACCCGTCCGATAGCGGCGGGGTCCTCCTTGCCATGCCTCAAGTCCAGTTCGGTAGCGGGACTGACGGTGTACAAGGGGGTGCGCCGACGATAATCAACCCGACGCCGGATGATTTCAGGCGGTTTGTGAGGGTGGGGAAGCTGGAGAATGGGAATCTGGTCTTGGCGCCGGGGGAAGAAGGGTGGAGTGATGAGGAGGAGGAAGAAGGGGGAGAGGGCGAGGGGGTAGGGGAGATGGAGATGGAAAGGAGGAAGAAGAGGGATAATAGGAGGAAAGTGAGAGAGGCGCTTCTTGGACATAGAGGCGAGGCGGGAGAGGGGTTGGGTGGAGAGAAGGAAAAGGAGAAGGAGAAGGTTGTACCGAGGGGAAAGGGGACTATTGGGAATGCTACTACGCCGGCGGAAAGGAAGGGAGTCAGTATGGGTGTGCAGGAGGATATGGGGGTGCCGCCGGCGGTACAGACCGCGCCGCGGGAGACGAGTGCTCCGGGGGTAGGGGCTGTGAAGGAACGGGGGACAACAGAGGTTAGTCATGCGCCAGTGGCTGAGCCACCGAAGAAGGTCTCGCGGTTCAAGGCGGCTCGACAGGGAGGTGCTTGATTAGTATAGTAGGTAGAAGGTGGATGTGCATGATAGCATGACCATGTGCCCAATTGCACACCTACGCCGCCGTCGCATCGTCCTCAAAGAGCTTGTCCAGCCCCACTTCGACGTCCGAGATCTTCTTGAGCAGTATATCGATAGCCTCCGGGATGAGCTCTTCTGGCCGGTACTGGCCCGCCGACTCGACATTATCTACCGGGTCAGCTCTTATCTCTCTTTCGAGGAGCGGATCTGGCGAACTCACACAGGAAGTGATCTCGTATTCTTGACAACTCGACCAACCCCTCAAATTCCTTATGCCTCAACACCTCTCGGCTGACGGTATCCTTCCTCGGATTCTCGACGACGACCTGCGGCGAGCCGTACTCATCCTCCTTGATCGCAATGACGCCCGGCACGAAGCACTTTTGAAACTTTTCCTGGTGTTCTTCAGGAATCGGTCCCCGGAGCTTGATGTGTGGTAAGAGGCGGTAAGAAGCTGTGGCGACGGGAGAGAATTTGGCGTGGTCGGCGCCGGTACCTTTGTTGGCGAAGCAGTGCATGTCGACCATCTAACGTATCAGCTCAATCACCCGCAATTTCTACAAGACGACCTGGTGTTTGATAGCAGATGGGATGTAACTCACTTGTCCCGGTCGGAGCTTGACCAACAGGATATCCGGATCCACAGGCCTCGGCGCCTCCCCGCCCATCCGTTTCCGCTGATCCTCGTTCACCTGCCACTGCAGCATCCCCGTATACACATTCGAGTCGTGGTACATCTTTTTGGGGTCCGTCTCGCCTTTGGACCCGTCCTTCTTGTCGCACCGTACTCGGAGGTCAAACACGACTGTATCGCGGTCGTGTGGAGCCGAGTTTGCAGATTCTGACAATCAGCAATGTCCCGATGATCTGAAAGAATGGAGAGATAGGCGCACTTTTGTAGACGAGCTCCCGAGGATCTATTTTGAGTGGGATGAGGCCCAACCGGTGGCAGAGTACTTCATCCTGCATGATGGAGGTGTTGTTCCAGACGTAGACGGTCTCGATGGCCACGGTGGGTATCTGAGCACGTCAGCTAAACGTGTTGGAGCAATCAGTATTGTCAACTCACCTCGGCGATCATCACTCTCCGCAAGGCGTTCGCTATCGACGCATCCACGCCAACCAGGTCGAATTCGACGGTCGAGGGTGTCAACCGTTGGATTGAGCAGATGAGATTCTGGTAGAATGAGCTGCGCTCTGACATCTCATGTCCATGATTGTCCAGACTGAGCTCACCTTCTTGAACTTCTGCAAATTCCACGAATGATCTTCTCCGGGATAGTGACCTGGGAATTCGGAGTCGGCGACCTGCAGCATCAGTAAGTGCTCGACAGACAAGAGAGGGTTTTGGGCGAAGAGCAGAAAGAGAAGGCTAGCCAAGATGGAGGGATGTAATCAGACGACACTAAGCGAGGGGAAGTGGGAGAAAAGGGTCGCAGACCGCCGCCCCATCCGAAGGGGAAGTCTGGTATGCAGGGGAGGGAAACGGCAACACACATTTCCTATTCTCTCGGGCAAGACCTGGACCTGTCTCCTCGGGTCATCGTTGGAGCGGGACATTTTATTGCGCTCTTGTTGCCTTCGGGGGCAGCAGCTTCGGTGTCCTGATGTGGGAGCGAGATTGCTGGATCTGTTGGGTTGTTGTCGAAGAGGTTGTTGAAGGTGATGAAGGTGGTGGAAATTCTTAAGTGCTGGGTGTAGTAAATTCGTTTACGGCATTCCGCGACCCGTGCGCGTACATGACCGAAGCCAGCAGGGTCTTTCATCCCATCGATGTATCACACCATGAGGTAGCAATAGGACATCGTAGACCGCATATATACCCCTCCCCTGCGTGTAGGCTGTGTCCCGCAAGCATGTCCGCCCAGCCGAGCTTGCAGCTCGACACCGCCTCGCTCCGCCCGTCCGCTACCTCCGCTTCCACCAGACCATCCCCTATCGGCGCGCCGGCGCTCACTACCTTCCCTAATCCCTTTTCCGACGAGCCCGAGCCTGGGATCATACCGTCTTTCCTCTCAAAGGTCAAATCGACATTCTCAGCGGCTACTGTCACGGCTCCCTCGGTACCCCCTGCGGCTGCGAAGGGTGCAGATAGGGGTCCTTTGTCTCTCCTCAAAGAGAGCGATGAGGGTTCCGGTTCGAGAAGCGCCAGTGGAGGAGGAGGAGGAGGCGCCATGGCGGCCGCATCCACAGGTGGTTGTGCGCCAGTGCAAACGGAGGCACAGCGTATAGTCGCAGAAGCAAAAGAGATGGCGTCCTCGGGGAAGCAGGCGAAACCTGTACCGATCATGGGACCCCCTCCGACTATCGGGAACACGGAAGGACCATCCCCTCGAGGCAGTCGTCAGTCGCTCAACTCGTCGGAAACACCCCTATCCCCTCAGCGCGGACAGAGCGGCTCGAGATCGCTCAGACCACCTCCTCTCGCCCCTTCATCACGTAGCGGCTCGTCCCGCCCACCATCCCTCACACCCAGCGCCCCATCTATGGGTCCCGGAAGGCGTCTCGTACCTCCCGGGGAGCGGCAGTGGCGCCCAGCCGGTGCTGCCCCGGCTCAAGTGACAGTCTCGCCCGTCACGAGCCTGACTACCACCGTACAATCTTCCGGAAACGCCGAAGCAGGTCCCAGCGCCGCTCCAGCACAACAACGTGCCGCCCTTCGTGCGCACTTTGGGCTACAATCGGCCGTCACTCCCTCGGTTGCCCATTCTCCGGGATTCCGGAAACATGCCCATCGCGACTCGCTTAGCAGTCTCCGTCCGCGGCGTTCATCATTCGCGACTATCCCGGACTCGCCCTCGTCGGTCTCGCTTTCGGCGATGGTGCATAACGCGGAAATCAATCAGAACATGTCGTACGTGCCGGGCTTCCCGCTAGGGCAGGACGACACGAGGAGTATCAGGAGTATGGGGATGGTCAAGAAGACGAATAGTGTCAGTCGAATCATTAGGCGGATCAGAGGAGAGGGATTGAGCAAGCATTACTGGATGGCGGATGAGCATTGCAAGGAATGCTATGACTGCAAGTCGGTGAGTCATTCTCCCCTTGGAGTGCCCGACTTTATAGCTGATTCTGTAGGTCTTCACTGCGTGGCGCCGGAAACACCATTGTCGGATATGCGGTCAAATCTTCTGCAGTCGCTGCGCATCCAACATCATCGGCGCCAGGCGTTTCGGTCAAGAAGGAGCAGTACGAGTCTGCAATCTCTGCCTAAAGATTATGGAGGAGTACCGCGACGACGATGATGACGACCGTCACTCTATCGCTTCTATGGCTACCTCGGCCCGCATGCCCAGCATGTCGGACCGGGCCTTCCTAGACGCCGCCATGTCCCCAGACATGTCCCTCGCCAAGTCTCCCTTCGCGGCCAGTCAGCTCTTCTCGACCAATCCGGACGACACGCTCGGGGCAATCGAAGAAGGCGTAGCGACAGGCTGGGGCGTAGAGAGTCAAGCGGCTCATCGGCCGTACTCGCCAGAAGGGTCAGAAGAGGAGGATGAGGGGATATGGACGATGAGGCCAAATACAGCCATCCCTTTCAGGCGGCCAATGGAGGAGGATCAGAAGGACGTGTCGCAGCCGGGATCCGAAACGGCATCGCTCAATGCGCCGTTTGACGATTCCTCGTCCCCGTCCACGCCGGTCGTGGAGAGCTCGGAAGAGGGGGCGATGAGCGGCGGAGTGGACGAGTCGCCGGTGGAGCCGACTCCGCCGAGACCGGCGGGAGGGAAGAAGCGGGTCGAGTTTCCGAGGTCGGATACGATGTCGAGCGATGGAGGGGATCGGACGGCGTTGAGTAGGGTGGACTCGAATCTGCCTTTGATCGGGCTGCGGAGCAGATTGAGCTCGCGGACTAGTCAAGGAGGATTGACGGCTTTGATTGATGAGAGAGGGGATGGGCTATGGCGAGCGAGGTCAAACTCTGTTGTGTAAGCTATCGTGACACGTGCTTCGACAGAGCAGTAGCTGATGGATGTAGGAAACGACCAGAAATCATAGCCGGAAGCAGTCTTCACCACTTTCACCTCATGCTGGAACAAGCGATCGTCCGCTCCGGCCTCGACAACGCCTCAGAATGGCATCAGACCCTGAGCGAGGTCCTTCTCAAGGTATCTTCGCATATCCGGCCAAACGTGCGCGCTGGGGACTTTATCGACGTCCGTGCATACGTCAAGATCAAAAAGGTTCCAGGCGGGAAGATCAGCGACTCGGAATATGTCGACGGGATTGTCATCTCCAAGAACGTCGCTCATAAGGCTATGGCCCGGCGCCTCGTCAATCCCCGCATCATGATTGTTACTTTCCCCCTCGACTACCATCGGATCGAACACCAGTTCATGTCCCTCGACCCCATCATGGCGCAGGAGAAGGACTATCTCCGCCTCCTGACTCGGCGAATCATCGACGTTCGGCCACATATCGTGCTCGTCGAGCGCTCGGCATCCAGGTTGGCGCTGGACCACCTCCTCGAGGCGGGCATCGCCGTTGCGAGGAGTGTCAAGCTGTCGGCCATCCATCAGGTCGCACGATGCACCCAGGCGGATGTCGTGGCGTCGATGGACAGGCTGGCGCTCGAGCCGAGACTAGGGCGGTGCTCTGAGTTCCGGATCCAGTCGTTCGATCACGACCTCATACCCGGACGGCGGAAGACACTTATGCGGTTCGAGGGGTGTCAGCAGGAGTATGGATGTACCATCATTCTTCGGGGAGGGGACTTGCCGACTTTGCGCAAGGTCAAAGTCATTGCGGACTTTATGGCCTTTGTGGTGTATCAACTCAAGAACGAGGTGATTCTCTACTCGGACGAACACAATATCCTACCTATCCGCCCTCCCCTTTCTACAGAGTATCAGCAGCTCCTCGCCAGGCTCGCAGAGAAAGACATCCTTGGTCCCGCTCATTCCAAGGAGAGCACCCTCACCATTGGCAAGGCGGACTCGCCTACCACACCTAGCCTGGATAGGGTCGAGGCGCAAGAGGAGGACAAAGAGCTGGAGCGGAGAGAGGCGGGAATGCAAACGAGGGAAATCGCCATGTCGCTCGAGCCATACTTGACGACCATCCTCTCGGCGTCGGTCTCGATCCGATTTCCGCCGCCGGTCCCACTCGCCAAGATGGCGGAGCTGGATCGGGACCTGACGGTGCTGCGTAGGAGGCGGGATGAGGACGAGGCGAAGCAGATCCTGCAGGAGGAGACTAAGGAAACGGTCAAAATATCGGTTCCTCCGGTGCTGGACATCGACATGTCAGGGACGGGGGCGACTGCGCCGGACACATCGGCATCCGCCATCACGGAGAAGGATGCCGGAAGCACCATCCAGATCCCGGTCGGCAAGGGTCGGGCGCGAGACCCATACCGGGTACTTCGGAAGCCCGAGGAGATCAGCCGAGAGTCGGCTCTCGCGCAGGTCGAGCACGACCACGCTGAGCAGATCAAGCTGTGGCAGTGGTACACTCGGCGTCATACGGGTCCGCTCCGGCCGGAAGACCATCAGGGTATCGTCTACCTGTACTCGCTCGGCTGCGAAGGCGGAGAGCGGCCCTGCGTCGAGCCAAAGCTGGAGCATATCAACTTTTACCAGCCGGACGACCTTACTGTTGGTCAGTTCCTCGAACAACTAGCGGCGGACGCTGTCAAGCGGTGCCCTAGCAAAACATGCGAGCGGCTCCAGCTCTTCCATTTCCGGCTGCTTGTCCACGGCGACCGTCGGCTTCAGCTGGCAATGGACCAGTTCCCCTGTCCCTCTCCCGGCGACGAGGACCGGATCATCACCTGGAGCTACTGCCGTCTCTGCGCAACCCCCTCGCCCACTACCATCATGCGGGATGAGACGTGGAAGATGTCCTGGGGCGCCTATCTGGAGCACTGTTTCTACCCTCCCGAGACTCCTGCTGGCTTCTCGTGCCCGCACGACGCGTACCGTGATCAGATCCGGTACTTTGCCCATCGCAACCTCGCCATTCGGATCCATAACGAAAATATTGACGTCTACGAGCCGGTCCGGCCGAGCATCACCCTCCAGACCAAACCGGAAACCAAGGTTCTGCTCAAGAACCAAGAGTACGAGAGTATACTACAAAAGAATACGGCGTACTTTGATTCAGTCCTCTTTCGCCTCCGGGCATTCGACTATGATATCTGCCAGCCGGAGAAGGTCGGCTCGCTTCGCGCGGCGCTGGAGGGCATGCTTTCGCGCGCGGTAGCGGACCGGGAGGAGCTCGTCACGCTTCTCAACAGGACATACAAGTTGACGCCCATGACGGATGTCCTCGCGCTCAATACGGTACTTCGGACACTGCAGGACAAGGTCGTGCAGTGGGACTCGGACTTTGCCGATATCGAAAAGACCTTCCTACCCTCCGAGAAGGATCTACGGCGGATGACGGCCACGCATCTCAAGCGGCTGTTTGCGGCGCAGGATGGGTACTCGACTCTCGATCGAAGCGTCATGGGGTCGACGGTATCAGAAGGGGACGAGAAGGAGGGCAAGTCGGTACTGGGAGACGAGGTGTCGCTCGGTTCTGGCGCGTCTACGCCGGCGGAGATGGATACTGGGCTGTTGGCGCCCCCATCAGAGGGTAGCGCCATGAGCTCAGCGTCGTCCTCTCCCAGCGATGGGATGACGCCTATGAATGTCGTCATGGCGACGACTCGAAACCCCCTGTCCCAGCCGTCCACGCCGGATACGGATGATACCGACTCGGACTCGACTATCGGGGCCAAGCATAAAACGGCGCTACCACGTCCCTCCCCGAGCTACGGGCTGGGGATCGAGTCGAGCGAGATGGACAGTGACTACTTTGTTTCCAGACTGCCTAGGCGGACAAAGCCGGCTGCAAGGTAAGCTGCAGGTCTCGAAAAATGGGCTCAAGCTGACTTTAAAGCATTGCCGACCTCGTCAAGCGATTCCAGGAGACGTCCGCCCAGTTTGAAGCGAGCGAGGAGGTCCAAGCGGAGCGGCCCCGGTCTTCTGCTTCTCTTCGGCGAAGCCAGCGTCGTCAAGCTGTCGAGCCTTCGGACACGGATGATGCGCCTGCTGCCCGTCCTCGTCTACGGAGAGGCAAAACCGAACAGCTTCCTGCCCGCCACCGTGATGGCGCGCGGTCCGGTCTCGCCTCGGACGGTGATCGGAGCTACGCCCATCATGCAGCTCGTATACCTCACAGCGGGACTGCTCGGCGAAGCATATTGAGTCCGGAAGCGCGACCAGCCCTGTCCCGCAGCCGAACCAGTGATCTCTCGCGGTCACCCTCTCTTGCAGAGTCGAGCCCATCGTCCAGCCTGCTCGCTCCGCCCATGCCCGCTCGCACCGGCGGTGAGGGTAAGCCCAGACCGCTGGGCAAGGGCAAATTGCCCCGCGCCGAAAGTGCACCTCGCATCACCACCTCGGCATCCCGCCCGTCAAACAAGCGGAATCTTACGGTCACTCCTGGTAATCGCGTCACATCCATCGCACGCCACTTTGACCGTCTCTCGCGCGAGGCGGAGCGGGAACGGCAGAAGCGTATCTCGATGGTGCGGAACAAGCGGGCTCGACCGGTCGCGGCGACCAAGGTGAAGGAGCAGGTGTTTGACAACGTCCGGGATGCGTTCCGGGACGAGTTTGACACAGACTCGTCCGAGGCGGATAATGAGGAGGACGAGCATGGGAGCGAAGACTCGGCAGACTCGGGCGGGATGGCGCCGACCAACAAGAAGCGGCGGTCCAGGTCACCTTCCAAGTCCCCGAGGAAGTCGCCCAAGGTGGACCTGGCCCCAATCGATACCTCGGAGGGCACGTTGGCTCTGCCTGTCCCTGTCGCTGTGCCGGCGAGCGCGGACAATGCGGTCGAGCCATCATCCGAAGCCATGTCCATCTCGGGGTCCGGTCAGTCTATCGCTTCAACCTCGGCTACCAGTGACGCCAAATCGGAAATGTCCTTTACGGATCGCTTGCAGATCGACCTGCCTACCTTCGAGACGAGCGCGCCGCTACCCAGCGTACCAGTCACCCCTGTCCTCTCTGCCGAGACGGCCGACGAAGGCGGTATGCCCTCCATCAGCCACGTCTCGCAGCTCTCCGAATCCGAGATGAGCTCGGGAGGCGAACGGTCGTCCATCCTCAAAACTCTCACAGGCCTCTGGGCATTCCGTGCAGGTGACTATACACCGCTCGAATACCCCCTTTCGGCTGCAGAGCACATCTTTGCGGATTCGCGTGTCATCATCCGCGAGAATGAGCCGACCAGCATTATCGCTTTCACCCTCACGTCCAAGACGTACCGCGAGAAGATGCGTGACTTTTTGGCGGCAAAGCAGAAGGGCAAGAAGGAGGCATTTATGCCTGAAGATGCGAGCGGTGGGACGGCGGATCGGAGCTCGATGTGGGATATTGTCTCGCTGGATGAGGCAGTCGAGCCGGATGACTCGTCCAGACGAGAAGGCGGGACGCATTTGAAATACGGTGAGCTGTCATCTCTTGCCAGCATGAGACCTGAGCTGACTCTACCAGACTTTGACTCTGGCTCATCTACCATCTTCTGTCGGATCTTCTTTGCTGAGCAATTCGCCGCTCTTCGCTCGGCATGCCAGTGCGAGGACAGCTTTGTCGAGTCTCTCGCCCGTTGCATCCAATTCGACCAGTCTGGCGGGAAGTCTGGCTCAGCCTTCCTCAAGACCCGTGATGATCGCTTCATCTGCAAGGAGATATCGAGGCTGGAGATGGACGCTCTGACCAAGTTTGCTCCTGCATACTTCGATTACACGAGAAAGGCATTCCAGGGACAGGTGAGCTTTCCTCTTCGTGCCTTTGTCTGGTTTGATTATGAGCTGACTCTCAGCGTCCGACTGTGCTTGCCAAAGTCTACGGCTTCTTCAAGATCGGGTATCGGAACGCTGTGACTGGCCGGGCGATGCGGATGAACGTGCTGGTCATGGAGAATTTGTTCTACGAGCGACGTTTCTCCAAGATTTACGATCTCAAGGGGAGTACGAGGAATCGATTGATCCAGGCGACGGGGAAGGTTAACGAGGTCTTGTGAGTTTGCTCTCTGATGCATGCAACAAGATCAGCTCGCTGACATCACAGGCTGGACGAGAATCTGATGGAAAGTGAGCTGGATTGATCCCGCCTGGTCGAAGAGCTCTAGCTGACTTTTCCAGTTGTATACAAGCACCCCCTCTATCTCCGCGAGCATTCGAAGCGGATCCTTCGCTCAGCGCTCTTCAATGACAGTGAGCTACCTTGCTATGGCCGAATCCACGAGCTCATATGATCAGCCCTATTCCTCTCCAACCTCAACGTGATGGACTACTCGCTCGTCGTAGGAGTGGATCAAGACAGACATGAGCTGGTCATCGGAATCGTCGACTACATCCGTACCTTTACCTGGTGAGTCCATCAACCTGGTCCCGCCGAAGAGACCAGAGCTAACGAGTGACAGGGACAAGAAGCTGGAATCTTGGGTGAAGGACTCCGGATTCTTGGGCGGTGCAGGCAAGGGCGAACCAACCATCGTGACCCCCAAACAATGTGAGTCTCGACATGGCCCAGCTTCACTTTGGGAGCTGTAGCTGACTCCACGCAGACAAAACCCGCTTTAGGACTGCGATGGATCGGAACTACTTCCTGGCTGTGCCAGACCGGTGGTCCAAGGTCGGAGCGGAGGAGGACAACGCGGAGACAGAAACGATTGCGACGAGCATATGATAGCTCTCTCGGAGCGACATGACGATTGTAAAATTTGTACAGGAATAGCATCTTGTTGTCTACATATCTATTTGCATTACATATGTCCAGAACGTCATGTCATCTTGCGTGAGGTTGGTCATGATCATAGGTGTCGTCGTTATTCCCCTCCCGCTCTTCTGCCTCGCGCATCATATCTGGATATCAGCATAAACTTCAGAGCGAGTCGTTGGATCAACTCACCTCCCCACATGATTGCCTCAATCACCGGGGAATTGCCTCGACTCCGCTCATCATCCGAGACAGAACCGCTAGACCCATCAGCGATCACACTCCTCCCTACCGACAGAAGACATACCGTCTCATACCCGAATCATCGGACGATAGCATACTCGCATCGGAGCCGCGATGCGACATCGCCGGGCTCCCGACTGACAGAGAAGGGGAATGGCGACCGAGGTTGAAGGAGCGCAAGTGAGGAGACGGTCCTGGACTGGACCGGCGGGATGAAGTGGGGGACTCGGGTAGGCTGTAGTCTTGCCGCTCAAATGGGTCCAGATCGTCCTCGTCCTCCGGAGGAGATGGGGCGATAGGCTCAAGTACAATAGCAGGGATGCCGTTGGCCTCGTTGATAGCACGTCGGCGCTCATCCCGGAGCCGCAGGTATCGGCGGCGCCAGTAGATGGTGCGTAGAAGCCCTCGGACTCGATCGAGGTTGACGAGGTCGGTCACTCTTTCGGTTTTGGCCCGGCGGTCAAGGAGATCGTCCAGTCTGTTCGATGAGCTCAAGCACACACGTCAGAGCGCGAGGGGTTAGATGAGCTCACTGTAAAGCCTTCTCATCATCGATGAGCTTGTAATGAGCAAGCATAAACAGCATCGAGGTAAAGCTGATCCCTCGTCCGGGCTCCTCCGATATCCGCGCCTCATGATACAGGCGAGCGAATACGCGTCGGCGCTCCCGGACCTTTGTGAGGTCAATCTGGCGTACCAGGCTCTCGACGTGACGTACGTCGACCGCGTACTTTCTTCCTGCTGCTACGACGAGCTTTCCGGCAGCGTTATCGACCGGGTCGGGTACGGACGAGCGGAGTAGATTGCGGACGGAGACCGAAGGTGGATAAGGTCGGACTTCGAACACTCCGCTGAGCAGCTTACATCTCAGCTTGACTCTAGACCACCTGACTCAGACTCACAGATAAGAAAGGGATGAGCTCTTTGCGCGTGATGTAGCCGGACCGATCGGTATCGAAGTCTGCCCAGACCCGCTTGAACGCCCCTGACTCTCAGCTTGAGCCATCTTCAGTCCCGCTGTTGGACTCACGCATCTGTTCTCGGTCAAGCGAGATCCCGCCTGGCATCTGGTACACGTACGCGAATGACTCGACTACAACACCGGTGAACATGTTAAGGAAGATGTACCTGACCAGTCAGCGGATAACGCCTTGAAAAGTACCCTGACTTACATCGATAAGATGTTCCAGCTGATGAAGAGGAAGAAGGCCCAGCCGGGACTACCGCAATCAGAGTTCAGGAAGTTGTCGGAAGCGGTACATCTCGGAGCTTCCAGGGTACTATCGCGTCAGCTCGGCGAAAAGACAAAGTACGCCAAACGTCTTACAAGCCGTGCATGTACCCATTCCAGCCTTCCCTGTCCGCATCAGCTCTGCCCTCAAGGAGCAGTGGACGTCAAGCTCACCCTGTAGACATGAAAGCAAGCATGACGAGCGCGTTCCCGAAGGTATGGTAATTCTGGAATCGGCTGGTCGACGCCGTGCCCGTCTTGGTCAAGCCAAAAACCTCGACAAACATGATGGCGTAAAAGACGAAGAGACATGCCCAGAGGAGGAACAGCTTCCCAATAGCCGGGAGACTCGCACTGAACTGTCAGCTGTATTCTGGCGAAAAGGACTCACACAGAGGTCTTGAACAGTTGATTGAGCCGGCTGTTCCGCTGGACCAATTTCAGAGCTATCGCCACCAAGAACAGCTTCTGCAGCTGTACGTTGACCTGACTTCCGGGTGATCCAGCCATGGACGCTTGTAGCGCTGGTATGGTGGTGGCAAATGACCCGGTGATGACTATGAGATCGAAGATGTTCCATCCGTTCGCCCAGAAGCTGCGCATGCCGAGGCCGAAGAAGCGAACCAGGAGATCAACCGCGTAGATCATAGTGAGCAATAGGAAGATGCTATCTGTGCGTGTCAGCAGCTAGCTCCTGTGACAATCTGCCCGTGCATGCTCACCGATTTGCTGATCATCAAAGATAGTGTTGTTAAAATCCTCAAAACTTCCAGTCAGCTCAGGCTCACGAGCAGGGAGGCTCGACTCACGCTAGTAACAAGATATGCAGATAGTAGATCAACGTGAACCCTCTCGCCCACCATCCATGCTTCTCCGTCGCGCGATTGTAGCACCATATCCGGACGCCATCGGAAGGGGGGGTCTGGGGAAGCTGAGAGGGGGTCTGAGCCTTGATGAACTTTGATAGATCGACCCAACGCCTTTGCTCCGTCGTCAATAGCTGCATCCCCGACCGCATCGAGAAGTTCTCAATGATGATGCTGATCCCGTCAGCTCCGGCCATACGAGCGAAAGCGGCAGCCCTACCTGACGAAGAGAGTGAGGATGATAACCCCTCCAAAGAGGTTGAAGACGATGAAGAAGATACTGTTCCATTGCGCAGCGTTCTCTGCTGGCTGACTCTCCCGCCCGGTGATGGATGTAGCCGAATTCATGACGTCGATCCAGCCTTCGAGGGAGACGATCTCAAAGAGGATGAGCATGGACTGGCGGAACGAGTCGAATGAGTATACGGTGGAGCCGCCGATGATGCCGGGATTGGACCATACTTGGGGAGCGAGGAAGCCGAGCGAGTCGTCCACCGGGAAGATGCTCCTCTCGCCGAAGCATGCGGAGAAGCCAGAGGCGTCGGTATCGGTGCATGAGAACAGGAGGCCAGAGAAGATGTTCAACCTAGATATCAGCTTCAGTTGATAGCACCATGAGGAACAGCTTACCCCCACACCGCAAATGGGATGATGTAGAGGATCATCAAGATGGAGGCGTCAACGATATTGATGAATCCCGCAAATAGCACGACGTGCAGCGTGTCCCGGAGACGCGAGAAGAGCGTGATGAGCCGTAAAGCCCGCACGCTCCGCAGCGCCCGAGTCAACCGATTGACACCGCCAATGACGATGAGCGATCCGACCATATTAACGACCAGTGCGAGGAGGATAACGAAATCAAAGATGTTCCACACCGAGAGTAGATAGGCGTTGGGCGCAAAGATGAAGCCGTCCGCAATGATCTTCATAATGGCCTCGACGATGAAGACGCCACTCAGACCGGCTTCGGCGATGTCGTACCATGAGCCCCGGAAGTAGCCGTTGCTTTCGTAGTAGTATTTCCGGTAGATGGGGGTCGAGATGGCAGCGACTACGATACTGGCGACGATAGTGCTAAAGATGACGACCTTGGCTGTCAAGCGGAGGACTGGGTGGGCGGGTCGGCCATAGATGCGGTCGCCGTATGCCGGGTCAAAACAGGACTGGCAGAACCGCCGGATGGGATTGCCCTGCTTGAATACCCAGAGAGATCGGTCGAAGCTGGGGTGCGCGGCGATGAAGTCGGCTTGCTGGTTTCGTCGTTCCCGGTTGGCGTCGGCTAGCTCGTTCCCTTCCGTGCTGGGATTGACTGGAGGAAGCAGGTCGGTCCTGAAGTCAGCACTCTCTCAGATCTGCGCACTTACAATCCTCGGTCATCCGCATAATCGTCCGCATACGCATCGGGCTTCACCACCGCCGAGACCGGCCTCTTGCGGTATCGCAGCACACTATCATCCTTCTCTCTCCCAAAGAGCTTCCGCAACTTTTGCTTGGGTACCTCGAACCCATTCATTGCACTCGACGGCGCCGCTTGTCCGACATCCGCGCCGACCGTCTGTTTGAGCGGGAGCACCAGATTCTGGGGCAAGGATCGCACCTGTACGGCCTGATGCCGAGCCTTGACGAGGCGGTATGGGTTGAGCCGGTCAATCCAGCTAACGTGCGCTGATTGAGGTTCTCCGCGCCGGATGAACTCCTCGACCTGGCGCTTTCGCTTTTGCTCCTCGGCGATCTCAAAGTTCTCGTTGATGACAGCGATGAACATCTGCAGTACGATGACTGACTCGTCAGCTCTGCGTCCTACAGCGACTATCAAGTAGACCCACAGAAGGAGAAGATGAGCCAACAAGACAAGAATATAGCAGCGATGACCTTCTGCCTCCACCGATCTTCTGCTTGCATCTGTCAGTCAGCTCTATCTTTGCGAAGAAGGATAGCCACGCACAGCATTGAACATGATATCAGACCAGTTCTCAGAGGAGAAGATCTGATCAAGTAAGCTCTCCAGCTGGTTGCACGGGAAGAGGGGCGTGAGCTCACCTGGTACATGCCCAAGAACGCATTGTACGTCTGCGAGAAGCTGATAAAGTCGTCGTCGCCTAGATCACCTCGGAACAGCTGGACCGCCTATCACGATTAGCATGGCCCAGCCTGGACTTACAAAGAGCGCGGCTAAGAAGTTCATGGTGAACAGGAAGATTGTCATGTTGATCAATCCGGCGAGACTCCCAAATAGCCGAAGCTGCAAAGTCAGCCAATCTCCACTTGTCGAGTTCAACGACGTACCAGCAACGGCTTCATCCTCGGAAAGGCCAGGACAAAGCGATACCACCGCAGCAGCTGGAACACCGTCAACCAGCTGTACGCCTCCGAGCCCGCAATAGCCGGAATCTGGATGATCGAGCTGGATACCGCCAAGAACAGGTCAAAGTTGTTACGTGGGCTACCGATAAAGTCGCGCCAGAGCGGAAAGTATGCGACGATACGGAAGGCGATCTCGACGTCGAATGCGAGGGTGATGCCAAATTCGATAGCCTGGAGGAGGTCGATAGTGGCCGGTAAGGATTCGGAGGTTTTGCAGCCTTGAGCAACGAGGGAGAGGAGGACGAGTGCGACCCAAAAGTACTCCGTGCGGCGGTACAGGCGGAGCAGCCGGGATTCTTCCTTTTTCTTGTCGTTGGCGGACCAGTTTGGGTCGACACCGATGGCGGAGCTAGAGGGATGAGCTTGCGAGTAACTTCCAAGGCGATAAGCTTACTCGTCCGCTCCGAAAGCACTTCGCCTCGTATCCGACCGAACACCCTGGAATGTATTGACAACGACCGCGACGACGAGGTTGATCAACCAAAAGTTGATGATGATCACGCCGACGATCCAGTACAGCGCTGACGCAAAGTAGTCCGAGTCCATTGCCGAGTACATGACCGGTGCCCAGGTATTAACTGATGATCAGCTGGGCTATCAACCGAACTCACTAGAAGCGATGAGCACCACCTGAATGAGTGCAAAGAAGAAGTTGTCAAAGCTCATGGTATTGCCCTGGGGATTGGTATCACCGAGCTATGAGTTAGCTGGAGCGGGACGCATGGCTCACCTGGCAGACCTGGTTCTGAGCACAGATATACCCCTTTGGATCCTGCGAGAACGCTTGACCGTTCTGCAGGAGGTACGGCAATTCCCTCAATGTCTCTGGATCGAGATATCCGCCGCAGTGCTGGCCCGTGTCGAAGATATTACTGGCGTTGTTCGGGTCCGTCATGATACATGTCCGGCGGAACGAACCTCGGAAGCTCTGGATACCGATGATGGAGAATAGCGTCGCAGCAAAGATGACAAAGAACCCGACGGTGATCAGGAGCGGGCCGGCACGCTTGAGCGAATCTAAAATTGTGGTTGTTCCGCTCGTGATGACGAGTAGTCGGCCGGCCCGGAGGATAGACAGCGCGCGGAAGATGTAGATGTGGTGCGTGGATGTGGCCTCTTGATGGGCGGAGGCGAGGAAGAAGGTGATCCAGAATGACACGATGGAAAGGAGGTCGATGCGGTGCCAAGAGTGACGGAGGTACGGACGACCAGCGGCGGACAGATTCAGTTGACGCTGCACGGCGCTTTGGAACGGCGCTTCGGGCAGCTTGGCTGTTTTGGGCTGGGTAGGATGACTCGCCGATGTGGATCGCCAAGCGGCACGAGGAGCGGCTGGCGAGGGTATATGGGTCCGGCGGAAGTGGCTCTGCGCGCTCTTGGCCCGCTCGGATGCCCGGGAGACGACGCCGTTCGGACCAGAGAGCCACGCTTGGACGGTCGTCTCTGGGTCAAAGATGAGCCCGGTGGTGATCATCCTAGCGGCCATCTCGAAGCTGATAGTCAGCCTGATGAAATACCTCTTGCGCGGGTCCAAGGGAACTCACGTGAAGATGCAAAAGATGATGAGGATCACCCAGTCTTCCCAACTCTGGAAGTAGCCGTTGCCTGGGCGTGGTTCGTACAGTGGCGAAGAAGATTGAATTGTGAGGATCACAGCGTAGAGGATGATTAGACCCAGAATAGCGGTCTCGGTCCACCTGGATCATCAGTCTTCCCCCCTTCCGAGTAGGAGAGGACACGTACGGCCAATTCAGCGCAGCATAGCATGCCTTCCTGATCACATTGTCCACTCCAAAGAGACAAAGAGTCCTCCCCCTCAATCCTGTCTTCAGCTCCGGCGGCAACCCCTCTGGCCTCCCGGCATCCACCGCACTCGGAGGAGGCTGGAACGGATCCATCTCAAACCCTCTTGTGCCCTTGCTCTCCTCATCGTCCTCATCTGGTATCCTGGTCCGCCCGTCCTCTCTCGCCTGACCAGGGCTCATCAGAGTCGACACGCGCACGCTCGCCTTGCGGAGTGTGCTCGATACAGCCCGAAATGTAGGGGAGCGTGCAACGGACGCAGCGAGGTTACGCGGACCGCGAGCGAGTCCGTGTTCGTCGTATACCCTCTTGGACTTGCGCGTCGAAGAGAGCTGCGCGGAAGGGTATATTCGGGACGAGGAGGAGGCGAAAGGGGTCCGGTCGCGGTCCCGCTCGTCCTCGACTCCGGATGGAGGGGAGCCAGTAGACTGCTGAGAGTCGAAAGACGCCGTAGAGTCCGCTTGATGGAAGAATGGCCGTAGTCCCTGCCCGCCACCTTTCCACCCTTGAGCTGGAGGGCTGTCACATGACCGCCGAGGCTCCCTTAAGCCAAGATCGTACTCCTCCATCCCGTCATCACTGACCAGGCGGGCCCAGCTCGGCGGGGCCAGGCTCCTCATCTGCGAAGGGTCCATATCCACCGGCCGGGCGGTAAAGACATCGTCTTGTGGTCTGCTCCAGCTCAGTCGCCGGTTCAGACCGTCTGCGCCTGCCGAGGAGAGGGTGGGCGAGGCCAGAGGAGAAGGGAGCGGAGAGCGGAAGGAGGTGGATATGGCGGAAGGTCCTGGGCGCCGGGACGCTGAGCCGCCGGGGTCCATTGCGCTATGCTAGCGATGGTGGGATGTCCGCTTCCAATGTGATCGCGGCATCGGACGAGCAAGAGGAGTTGCTGAGCTATAGCTATATCGGATGTGGAAAGCACAGCCACACTGCCGCGGTCGTCCGTCGTCGGTCATATGCAAAACGCGCGAGGAATGTGCACAAAGGTGCACGTGACATCACGGGCGGGTCTGTTGCCTCTATATTCTGTTAGACAGCTAATATAATAGGACGGCATGGCAGCTCATCTATCTATCTACTAGGCATTGTCCGTATGTTACGCTACACATCTATAGATACACGGTTATCCCTCCTCTTCTCCACTCTAGTTGGCGAGATGCGAGCTCATCCTCCTCGAGTTCCTCCCTGCCATCCCCACCGGCTGCTCACCCTGCCCCATCTGCCCCGGGCCCTTTGACGCCCTTTGGGGCTGCCCAGTCTGCCCAGCCATGTTCAAATCGGTGTGAACGCTCCTCCTCCACTCTTCCGCCTTCTTCGCCCCATCACCCCTGCCCCACACTGGGCCCGGCGTCACCCGTTCTCCCTCCTTCTGCTTCAACATCCCTTCCGCCTCCCTCCGCCTCATCTCCACCTTTTCTGCCCGTTTCTGCCGCTCCCACTTCTCTTTCGCCTCCGCCAGTGCAACTTCCTCCTTCATCTTGCTCGATACCGGATCTTGCAACTTGGAGATCCTCTTCCGGTGCCTATCCGCCAGTTCCTCATACGTCATCGTCCGCTGCATGCTCGCCGGCCTCGACGTGCCGTTGAACGCTTGCGACGCGGAGCCGGTGATGACGCCCGGACCTGTAGACAGGGTGGATAAGCGGTGGTGCGGGGTGGTATCGTATTGCCGAGGGAGGTCATAGGAGGAGGTGGGGCGCGACATTCCGTTGGCGGGATTCACCGTGGCGTGGGCGGACTCGGTCCGCCGAAGAGGTTCACCCAGGGGGTACGTGTCATGCATGGACTGACGGTGTGGCGGGTGAGGCCCGAAGTCCGACGTGCGCGTCTCGAGCATACTGGTGGTACGATCCCGACGATCCGCTCCGTAGTCGATTTCAGGCGTTTCGTAGATGGCGTCATGCGATAGCTGGCGAGTAGACATGGGCCGCCTCGAGTCCACCGGACCGAGAGAGGCGGGCGAAGGGAGAGTCGGGGAGATGATGCGCCTATCCGAGGTGTACCGCTCCCACTCGCTCTGAGGCTGGGTCGGCTGAGACTGCTGCCTCGACATGGGCCGGTCCACCGATGCGTACGTTGGCTCTAGCATCCTCGAGCTAGCTCCCGAATTGCGGCGGATGTGCGGGTCAAAGTGACTCGACGTGGGTGTGGTAGAAGCCGACGCTGCGCCGGGGACGGTAGGTGTCTGACTCCGGAGGTTGAGGTGGTCCAGGCTTGAGCGGATCGACAGTCGAGCCTGCCGAACCTCATCCAACAGCTTCATCTTGCTCTCAATCTCGTCGTCTCCGCCTAGGGCCACGTCACCGCGTATCGACCCGCCCATCGCCGACCCCGACCTCGCTCCGCCAGCAAAAGGACTCGCTAGCTCCTCGCGATCCCGCATCACCTCCCTCCCGTCTGGACTAGGGACACGCATGTCCCCCAGGCCCGGCGAGTGCAAAGAAGTCTCATACCGGCCCTTCTCCTTTTGACTGAGCAGGCTGAGTTGGCTGCTGGCCCGCCGGGGGTCGAATTCCAGCTGCGGGAGCGCGGATGTACCGTTGGGCGTGTCGAGTGGGATTTCGGGGCTGCCTGGACCCTTGCCCGAGCCCGAGCCAGAACCGTACTTCTCCTCCCACTCCGTTTGTTCCGTCTCAAGGTTTTTGAAACGTTCCGCGGCTTTCGAAACCTCCGCACTGTCCTCGCGGGCCTCCTCGTCCTCTTTGAGCTGCTTGATGCGTTTTTGCAGGATGTTGAGGACGCGGAACTGGATAGCTGCGCCGACCTGAAAGTCAGCTCTATCCCGGAAGACAGAAGGGAGGACGTACGACAATGACAGCACCGAGAATGCCCAGCTCGATTGACATCGTTTGTGTCAAGGGGTACTTGGCGCCCTTGAGTTCCGGGTATAGATCGAAGAAGCCCAAATTGTGGACATAGAACTGGTCATCAGTACCATTTCCAAGTCCTGCACCTCTTACAGCCAACTCACCTCTTTCAGCCCAGCCCTTGTATAACAATCCACACCCAACATGAACGCCGTCGCCCCGATCCACGCCGTCCCCAACAACATCGTCCACGGATTGAGCGCCTCCGGCAGACTCGCCACAAACGCGCCAACCGTCAACCCGCCCAACAACCCCCACCGACCGAGCACATTCGTGATAAGTCCGCCAGGTCGGAGAGCGAGGAGGAACCATCCGAAAGCAAAGCCGCCCGAAGCGGAAACCCAGTATTTCGCGAGTTTCCAGAGGAAGACGCCGATTCCGCCGCCGATGATGGAGGCCACGATGCAGGCGAGGAGGTAGAGCCCTCGAAGGGTTTGGGAGGGTGGATTCGGGGAGGGAGGTTGAATACTGGGTTCGACGCTGGGTATTAGCGGTCGCCACGGCAAGAAAATAAGGAACTTACCCAAACCGAAGGATCATGACTAGTGTGAAGAGGCCAAGGGAGTAGCCGAACGCTATTGCCAAGCTTGACCTGCTCTATCAGCAGCTGCTGCAAGTCATCCGCTTCGAGGGCTCACCATCGATTCTTCCCGCCCAGAACCGCCACAGGAATGCCCGTAAGGATCAACAGCGCCCCCAGCACCCCATAAGCCGGGTCGATGGGGATACCAAACGGTATCCAATCGTCCCCCTCCTTCCACTCCGCCGTAGCGTTCGCCGCTGTCCCGTTGATGACTGTGCCATTGGCGCTGATCGTCGAGTTGGCAAGAGAGGAATTCGAAGGGGAAGAAGCGGTAGAGTTGAGCGTCAAAGTGAGGACAATCGCGGTAGGTGAGGGAGAGGCAGAGCCGGAGGTGACAAGGGAGGTGATGGTAGTAGTGATGACCGTCTGATTCGCGTTGGTCGAGTTGGAGGGAGCAGCCGAAGGGGAGGTTGCTGAAACAGAGCGGGAGGAGTCCTGAGCGAGAACGAGGGGGAGGAAGCAGGCGGCGAGGTGGAAGAGCTTCATAGTGACGATGAAGCAGATCGGGCTCTACTCCGAACGAAGGACGAGGGGAGATAGTCCGATAGATGATAGATCGATGGCACAGCTTCGAGCTGGTAGATCTATCCGAGCGGTATGCTGACCGCTGGCGCTGACCGTCTGGATCGTGTCTGAGATGTGAGTCGCGGGGGGGCTTGCCGTCTAAGTCTTGGTCGTTATCGATCATCGAGTAGTCGAGTGGTGTTTGACTGTGTCTGTACTAGAGCTGCATAGCTGCTAGACCCACCCCAGAAGTCAGTGAACCAGATGAGGGTCGTAGAAGTTGGCCCAACATCAAAGGAACAGTCAAAGGACATGACCTCCACACACAACCTCCATCAGAATCTTCGCTTGCCTCCGATCCTCTTTGACTCTTCGGCTCACCAAAAGCTACGGCACCCTGAGGTCGTCCATAGCGCCACCCATACTCGTACTAGAGGTAGTCGGAGGAAAAGCTGTGCGGACCGCATACGAGTAACGACACCTTGCCTTAATAAGCCAAGCTCCGAAGCTTAACGTTCTAACATGCCCGATAGGGTGTTTCAGATTACCATGCCGTAAATAGGTCCGATCATCCTGAGAGTGGCTCCGAACAGCAAGATCTAGAGGGAGTGTGGCGAAGTCGGTGGCGATGCGGAGGTACGGCCCTGTAGCGGTCCCCAAAGTACGTCGCAGCAGGTCGGAGCGGGTACTAGCGGGTATGATAGGTATATTGCAAAGCGCATCACGAAGAGCATGGTGCATTCATGCCAGGCAGTGATGCAAACCGAGTGGCACGCGCATCGAGCAGCATGTTTCCCCAGCGTGACGCTGTCGCGGGATGAGCCCGATAACATAGCTCAAAAGCATCACGAACTGGAGGATAGTCAGACGACGGCTGTATTTTCGCACGCACAGATAGCACAGGAGGCCGGACATACAGTATAAGACAACATCGATGCAGGGTGGGGGAGCAAAGTGGGAGTGTCGAGACTGATTGATCCCTCCATTTATCGCCTTGCCCTTTCTGCTCCGCATTCCTCGATTGTCGACTTGCTCGTCGACGGGGCGTGCTCTCAGCCTCTCTTTGCGGTGCCTGTCTTTCGGGATCGAAGGCTTCATCCAGTATGACCGCTGTGTCGCTCCCACCGGAGATCTGGGCACTCGTGATCCCTTACCTTCGAAACCCAACCCCAAAACCGCTCTCGGCTCCACCGCGCGCCCTGATCCGGCAGCCCGATCTCTGCTCTCTGAGCCGCGTGTCATCCGTGAGTGTACACTATCGAAAAATTATAAAAGACCAAAGCTCAACAGCAGCTCTTCCACTCCCTCTGCGCGCCTCTCATCTACTCTTGGACCGTAGTGACGGATCAATTCGGTCTCCTCATGTTTAACCCCTCCACCCTGTCCAAGCGGCAACTTCCCTCTCGCATTCATACCCTCCATATCGAATACTGCGCGAAAGGTCTCGAAGCGCCTTACCACATTATCCTCCAGCTTGGAAGCGCCGCATGGGCCTCAATCGGCCCAAGCAGGAAAGAGCAAAGGAGGCGGATCCTCGCCGAATGCGTGCAAGAGGTGGAGGAGATACGGATGGGTCTGCTCTGGGTCGCGCGAAACAAGGCGCTCGTGGAGGTTATCTTCCCTCACCTTACATCCATCTCAGTATCGTCCATCTACGGTACCGACAAGTATTGGGCAGAGTACCAGTCATCACTCGGAACCGATCCGGCAGACCATACCGGTCCGAATGACTGACGCCTTTTCCCGATTCGACGAGCTCCTCAGCTTCCTCCCTTCCTTCCGCCACTTTTGCATCCGGGACGTCGCGGGCGTCCTCAACATCCCACGCAATACCTGCGCATCGCACGTCACCCCCATCCGGTACTCGCGGTGCCAGCACTTCACGGCGGGGCCGGGCGAGCTCATCCTGCCGTGGGGCGCACCCATGACTTGGTGCAGCGACGAGCCCATGTCGACGGCTTGGCAGTCCCTCCGAAATCGGATCTGCGATGCCATGTCGGATATTACATCTATACGGGCGGATCGGACCGACGGGCGGACGCGGGCCAAGACGGATACGGCGGATCTGACCATCTATGCGTCGACGGGCGTAAGGGAGATCAGGACGTCCGAGGAGGAGATGGTGTCGGGGTATGCAGGGATGGCGAGGACGCCAGAGAGGGAGCCATTGTCTGAGGCCGACCAGCGTAAAAAGGCGGAAGAAGTTGGAATTGTGTTTCAAGGGATATTGCGGGATGAGAGCCATGTGGCCGACGTGGTTCGACGGCGGCCGTCTCAGGATACGCCAACATGTCCGGCGTGCGGGTCGGGGCGGCCGCTATGACATGTGAGCGCGGAAGATAGGGGGATGACATGAGGTTGTATTAGTCCTGAATCAGTCTGCACAATAGCTTGTAATACATCTGATAGTGCACAGGATAAAGTTCAAAAATGCTGGTATAAACCATCGCCTCTCGCCAGCGCAAGGTCCGCGCCTCATGGCGCCGGCGGTGCTGGCGGTGCAGGTGCCGCAGGATCTGGAGGCGCAGGCCCAGACGCCGAAGCCGAAGCAGCAGGCTGCGCGGGAGGGTGACGAAGGATCTTCTTCCAGTTCTGGTCTGTCAGCACTGCCCACTTTTGGACGCCAGGCAAAGGCTCACCGAGTGATCAACCGATGTGAAGTCCTCACAACGCTCCGCCAGTCCGATCAACTGCTTCATCAGCCTTTGATCATATCGAGGCAGAGGAGATAGATGAACATACGTAGTTCCCAAGCTTGATGAGCTCCTTGTCTCCCAGTCCGTCTGGCGTGCCTGCACCCTTGAACGCCCGGATCTTGAGTCCTTCTCCGGGGTTCAAGGCAAAGTTCCGGGAGAGGTCATCGATATGTATGGACTGCACAGTCAGCTTCGGAATTTGTCCGACACACGAGCCCCGTACGCTTCAGCTTACATTCTTGGCTGACCAGTGTGGGAAGGATGCCCAGAAGTAAGCGAGAGGCTTGACCCTGCTCATCAGCGTTGATACTTCTCTGAGTGCGTCAGAAGACCTACTCGTGTTTGAACGGCTGACCGTCCCTCTGCGTGAACACCTATCACGTCAGCTGATCCTGGCGGCCGGCGCTCCGTACGACGCAGCTCACCGGGAACATTGACGTCCGATCCGCCACAAAGCTGATCTTGTAATTCCGGTCCCCTCCAATCATCCCAATCTCGACCAGCTTGCTCTCGAGCCACCGCCAGTGGGTTTGGGACCAGACGACAATGTCATAGTGTGGGTAGACCCTTTCCTGTCAGTTATAGTCTCCACAGAAATCACGGAACACGATATAGCTGACTTTTCGAGAAAATCATGCAACCCAGGACGTGCGCACTCGTCTGCGGGCAGGGAGCCTTCAAGGAGGGGTTTGGTGTCAACGATGGCTAGACGTGAGCTGATACTCGCTTGTCCTCGAAGCGAACTGGTCAGCTTACTATAGTCAAGGTCAAGGACGAGAAGGCGCTTTCCTGGTCGAGGATCATCCATGACCTACACATGAGCTGAGTCCAACTTCCAATTTCGTTCGAGCGGGCGCGTCAGCTCACAGTGATAGGACAAGACCTGATCACCTCCTGTATCTTCCTCTTGTTCCTCGGATCATCCGCTGGAGCGACCAGCCTCACCGCCTCTCCCTTGGCAATCGCCAGCGCCTTATACCGCACGTCAAAGTCGTCCGCCTGTTGCTGTACCGAGTCAGCTCCTGGGTGTCCAAGTAGGAGAAGACGGCAGCTCACCTGCTTCGCCGTCTCTGAGCGATATACAAAACTATCCGCCTCTGGCGTCCCGATCATCGTGAACTTGATCCCATTCTTGACTCCCAATGCGCCAAACCGGACACTGTCCATCTCGCTCGACAACTTTCCTTTGGACAGACCAATGAGCTTTTGTCGCTCGGGAGGGACGTTGGTAAGGACTTCGATCTGATGGCGGAAGTCGTATACCCTGCGTGCTCAGCTATATACCCTACTGTGACAGGCACGGGGGAGCACTCAGCTCACATATCGTTTCCACCCACTCGCAACTCGTATATCTTCCCACTCCACCCCATCCTCAGCTCATAAAACTCTTCCTTGACGCTCACTTCCTCCGGGAGGGGTATAGCCTCAAACACCGGCGTCTTCTCCACGCCGTCCACGTCCATGTTCTCGCCGTTCCCATTGGCGTCCGCGCTCGGGGTGGCGGGCAGGGTTGAAGGTCCAGCTTGTGCAGAGTAGCAAGACGGGTCGACATGGAGTAGTTTGGGCTTTTTGGAGCTGTAGGGTGTGCTCTGGATATCGGGGAGGGCGGTGATTGTTGCAGGAGCCTCGGAGGGCAGAGAAGCGGGGTTGGACGAAGGGGCGTCGTCGGACATGGTGGTTGACAACAGATGTAGACAGCGGCGGGTATGGGTAACGTGACGCTATTCTCTCCGAGGGCAATGCAGGAAGGGGCAAGACTTCCAGGAGTCACACTACCTATAGAGTACGCTTGTAGAGTACCTTTCAAGTAAGGTAGAAAGGAAGGGTAGCAAGTTGCTGGAGCGGAGTCGCGTCCAACCGACCCAACAGCTGTGGTCCGCTCCGTCTGGGGCTCCACTCGACGCACGGACATCATTCCTCTCTCCACGTGGCTCACCCAAGATTTCAAGTCCACACTCGTCCCAAGGTCCAGCTACAACCTGCAAATTTCACTCTATCCTCTACCATCCCTTGCAGCCACAATGAGCAACTCAGAGCTCGCCGACCGCCCGGTCAAGAAGGCCAAGCCAGCCTCTGACGCAACCGCAACGGCCAAAGCAGGCCCGTCGACCCCTGCCCCGCCGAGCTCGTCACGCATCTTTGCGCCGTTCCGAGCGCTCGGATACGTGTGTAACCATGTCCCGTTCGCTATGTTTGTGCACGTGCCAAAGGGGGCGCTGGCGACGCCGGCGGTACAGGTCGTCGTTAGTGTGGGGAGGAGCTGGATGATGTGGGATGCGGGAAGGATGACTTTGTTGTTTGTCGGTAAGTCTGCCGATGTCCGGGGGAAACAGCTAGTGGAGGGGATGAGCTGATGGGTTAGGCCCGGATGCTGGAGCTGCCATCACGAGCTTGGCGGTTACGGGCACAGAAGTCTTTGCGGCTGCAGGACCACGGATCATCCGATATATCCGAGGCAAGGAGGTCAGTTGATAGCCCGCATCTAAGAGTGTAGAAGCTGATGGAATAGGCTGGACAATTCAACTCGCCGAATAAAGCACCACTTGGGGAAATCATGATCTTTGGCGAGCAGATGCTTGCGCTTCGGGAGGATGGGAAGGGGATGTTCATCTGGAACCTGGCCACCCGGAGTGAGCTGAAATAGCTTCATGCGTGTAACACAGCTAACGGCCAAGAGCTGGAAAATGAGATCGCCTTCCATACCACCTTTATCGCTACGGCGCTGCATCACCCCGCGACGTACATCAATAAAATCATCGTCGGGTCTCAAAGCGGAGAAATGCAGCTCTGGAATATTAGGACATGGTACGTTCCCCTTCTCACCCCTTTTTGCCGGACTGACCAGCAGTACCATGATCCATACCTTCTCCGCCCCCTCCTCGCCTTCCCCAATCACCTCCCTCGCCCAATCTCCCGCTATTGACGTGATCGCCATAGGTCATACGGACGGCACGATCCGTTTACACGATTTACGGCTGGACGAGCCCATCCTCCAGCTGAGTCAGACGGATGGGGCGGTCACCTCTCTTTCGTTCAGGATGGATGGGCCGCCCATACTGGCAAGCGGGTGTAGTAATGGCTCGTTCGCGGTATGGGATCTTTCTAAAGGCCGGATTGCGCATGTGCAGCGAGGAGCGCACGAGAAGGGCGTGGCGGGGTGTCAGTGGGTCCAGGGGCAGCCTCTGTTGATGACCAGCAGCGAGGATAATAGTGTTAAGGTGAGTCCGAGTGAAGAAGTGGATGGGCAGAGTTGATGAGTAGCAATGGGCTTTCGACTCGCCAGATTCCGTACCCCGGCTTCTCAAGTTCAGAGGCGGACATCACGCCCCGCCCGCTTGGGTACGGTACTATGGGGACGACGGGAAACAGATCTTGACGGCTGGAAGGGATCGGGCGCTGAGGTATACAAGTGTAGTGAGGGACTCGAGGAGTCACGAGTTGTCGCAGGGTGAGCTCACCGGAACTGGTCACAGTCCGGGTCAGAGCTGACGGACAGGCGCGGTAATCAAGAAAGCCCTCACTCTTGGCGTTTCATCAGACCACCTGAAACTCCCCCAGATCACGGCGATAGCGAGCTCCTCGACCCGCTCGAAAGACTGGGACGACGTCCTCACTGCGCACGCGGACGATGGGATCGCGCGGACATGGAGAGCGCTGGAGAAGCGGATAGGGACGAATCTGCTCGAGGCGGACGATGGAGTTGTTCAGGTGAGCAGATATTTTACTGGTTCAGTCTTACGAGACGAGGCGAGGAAAAGAGCTGATTTTGGAGTCTGTCTGCGTCACTGCGTGCGGAAACTTCGGGCTGGCCGGGTCCTCGACGGGCGAGATCCGGATGTGGAACATGCAATCCGGGAAGGAACGCCGATCTTTTGCGTTGTCGGGCACGGTTGCGGGCGATTCAAAGCCCAAGATTATTGCGCAGACGAAACCGAAGAAAAAGGCGGTGAAGGAGGATAGGTTGATACAGGCTGTGACTGGATTGGTGACCGATGCGCTTAATACGCGGGTTATTGCCAGTACGCTCGAGGGGAAATTATACGTGAGCTAAGAGTCCTGCACCACGTAATACAGAGAGGAAGAGCTGACACCTCAGACGTTCGACTTCCACAGCACCAAACTCCTCTCAACCCTCACCCTCCCATCCTCCATAACCGCTCTCACCCTGAACCGGGACTCCAACCTCCTCTTGTGCATCTGCGACGACCTCGCCCTCCGTCTCGTCGATAGCGAGTCCAACCGCATCGTCCGTGAATTGCGGGGCTTCCAGGGCCGGATCCTCGACGCGTGCTTCTCGCCCTCGGGCCGATGGGTAGTCGCTTGTGCCCTGGACGGGTGCGTGCGGACGTACGATATACCCACCGGACGGATGGTGGATATCTTTAGGGCGGAGAGCGTCGCGACGAGCTTGACGTTCAGCCCGACGGGGGATTTCTTGGCTACGAGCCATGTGGATAGTTTGGGGGTGCACCTGTGGTACGTATTCCGGCCTCCCAAGTCGAGGGTGGGTGATCGGAGCTGACGAATAGGGCAAATAGGGCGCAATTCTCAGATCTGTCCTTGAGACATATCAACGAAGACGAGCCCGTCCCGGACCTCGCCCTTCCGTCGATCCAAGGCGAGGAAGACGCGATCGGGATGGACGGATTGGAACTTGTTGGCGAACCGGAATATACCGATCTCTACGTTTCGCCCGAGCAGCTCGAAGGGGGGTTGTTGACACTTACGCTGCTCCCGAGGAGTAGATGGCAGACTCTTCTCAACCTGGACACAATTAGGGTGAGCTTACACCGCTCGGAAGGTCTCCTGCTCAGAAGGGTCAAGCTGATATAGTAGCAACGGAACAAACCAAAGGAGCCCCCAAAGGCGCCCGAAGCCGCGCCGTTCTTCCTCCCTACCGTACAAGGGCTGGAGACCCGCTTTGATCTCTCTTCGGCACAAGACGAGGCATTGAAGCAGTCCGGCGGGAAACGGATCGATCTGGGGGATGGGGCCGGGTTCGTCGAGAGCGACTTCACGCGCCGATTACTTGTTGAGGATGTCGAGGGGGACTGTAAGCTACATCTTCCATCTTTGATTTGCATCTGCGCGATGATGTAACTGACCGCTAGATTCCGCCTTCTTTGAACACCTAAAATCCCTTCCCCCATCCCTCCTAGACCTCGAAATCCGATCACTCCTCTCCCTCCCGCACCTCGCCGCGTTTATCACCGCCCTTACCCAGCGGCTGAAGAGTCATCGAGATTTCGAAGCGGTACAGGCGTACCTTGCTGTCTTTTTGAGAGTGCATGGGGATGTGCTGGTTGCGCATGAGGAGTTGTTGGGGGGTTTGAAGGAGCTCAGGGAGGAGCAGGGGAGGGAGGGGGGACGGTTGGGCAAGTTGGTGGGTTATAGTTTGGGGACGTTGGGATTTTTGAGGAGTGCGGGGTTGTAGGGCGCCCACAGGGGCGGAGGTGTGAGGGGGTCTTGTTGTGTTGCATGCACCTTTGAGCAGAGTCCGCCAGTCTCTGCACTGCGGAACCAGCAGATGTTTCCGAAGAAGCGCCATATCACTCGAGATCAGTAGACTGCGGTGCGGACAGATACAACGTGCATGAATGCGACTGATGCTACAATGATGACAGCTACCCCTTTCCCCCTCGTTCCTCTACTCCTCCGTATCCTTATAATTCGCCATCGGATCGTCGAACGCCTGCTTTGTCAAGCGGTACGCCTCTGCTTGTATCAGCTCTACCCTCATCCCATTCATGCCAAGAATCCAACTCACCCAGCTCTTCCTGCGAAACATCCGTTTTAGCCTTCTTGGTCTGCGCCCACGCCTCCTCATCGCCCATCTCCTTCCGCTTCCTCTCTTCCGCCACTGCGCGCTTAAGTCGATCCTTGTCGAGCTCCAAATCCTCATTGCCTTCTTTACGCTTCGCAATCCCCGCTTGGCCCCTCTCCCTCTCCTTCTCTTTGCCTTTACCCTTCTCTGCCTTCGCACTGGCAGCCTTCTCCGCCTCGGCCGCAGCGGCACGCCTCCGGTCCGCCTCGGCCTCTTCGTCGATCCGTCTCTTGTCCCCGGCGGTCTCAAGCAGAGCAGCGACAGACGTAGATGTATTGGCCTCCTTGCCTGCCTCGCCGGTACAGTACGAGTTGTACGTGAGGGAGTGGCAACAGGTGTAGCCCCAGGCGGCGTTGGCGCGGTCATAGAAGGAGCCCCAGACGGATTTGTGGTTGTTTGGATGGACTAAGAGTCAGCTCTGCCCTGCATAAGGAGACGTCCACACGGAAACGCTAGCTCACTGTCTTCTTCGTATTTCGACATGGCTTTGGCTCGTTCTCGGCCTTTAATGACATTTCCAGTCCGCGAGTATTCGACATCTACATCATGAGTTTCGTGCTTTCTTTTGATCCTGAAAGCAGCAAAGATCAACTCACACTCCTCCGTCTGCCCCTGCAGCAGCTCCTGAGGCAACCTCTCGAGATGCTCCTCCCCTCCATATTTCTCCAAAATCGACACCTTGTTGGTATCCTTCATCACCCCCTTCTTGGCCGTAAACTCCTTGTGGAGCATCATCGCCGCTGTCGGGTTGGCTTCGATATGGACGTTGTGACCGAGCATGTTGGATTGCCACGCGAAGGTTTGGAGTTTGGCCATATTGGTGCTTTCGCCAGAGTACCGGGTGAAGTTGTCGCCTGCGAATTTCATCTGCCGGGTCAGCCTGAGAGGACTGACTGTGAAGGGAAAGCTTACATCTTTGGCGTCCTTATTCCCCTCTTCTGGAGCATCCCGCATCGCCCGGGTCTTGGGATCATAGTACGCTGACTCCGGATTGAGATTGATCAGATACTTTGCGGTATCCTCTCTTATCCTCAAATTCCGGACCGTGATCCGGTTCTTCTCATCCAGCTTTTGCCCCACCTGCTCCGCCGCATCCGCATACTTCTCCTCATCCTCCTCGTCCTCATCCGACGACCCAAACTCATCATCCACCACCTTCTTCTTTTCCTGTACGACCTGCCCTTCCCCCTCTTGCGCAGCTTTATCAATCTCCTCCTCCCTCACTTTTCGCCGCGCCTCCTCCATCGCCTCATACTCATCCACTACCGCCTTGTACGCCGCCGGATCGTACCCATTCCACCTATCCCGCTTGGCATCGTAGTCGCCATCGAAATGCTGGACCAGCTCATCCGCCATGATATCCTTGCCGGTATATTTTGCCCCCTTCTTCCGAGGCCGCTCCACGCAGTCCTTTTGCTTGTGCGACATCGCCCCGCAGTTCTCGCACGCGCCCTTCCGGAACTTCTTGCTGGCTGGCCCGGCTCGCTGACCGCGGTCATACCATTGGTCCAGCTTGGTTCCCTCCTTCTCCTCGACACGCTGATGCGCGAGCGAAGGGACTCCGATATCGGCGTACCATGGTGCACGAGAGATGAAGTGAGGGATGTGAGGGTTGATGGCGTTTCCAGATTCGTCTTGGGCGGGCGCGGCGGTACCAGCTTTCCGAGCCGCTTCGAGGTCCCGGACTTTACGCTGCTCCTCCCGAGAGAGCTTGGCGGTGACGCCTGAATGTCAGCAAGGGCTCAGGCCGAAGGGAGGGAGACGTACTGGTACTGATGATCTGTGGTCGTTCCGCCATGGTAGCTGAGTAAGTATAGATGTAAGAGAGAGAGATGGATTAGCTATAGTGCTGGTATAGTTGGGTGGCAAACAGTCAAGTGCCACTCGGATAAATCGCCGGAAACGCCGAAATCAGCCTCTTGCGCCCAGCCATCTCCATCTCCTAATTCTCCCTCCGTTGACCATACCATATCTCACTAGTCTCCTATATCCTCTTAGCAACACATACAAATATGTGGCGCCCAGCTACCAAAGCAGTATCCGGGACAAACGATGTAAGTACTTCCTTTCCCTCGAAGGAAAGACTCATGTCTAATCCCCAGGTCCCGGTGGCCAACAAGCGCCGATTCGGTCTGCCCGAAGAGGCCCCACCTCCCGCCGCTGCGCCCGGTCCAGGCTACTCTCGCCCTCCTCCGCAGGACATGCAATTCTTCAACGGTCGACAAGAGCGCGATAGGGCCCAAGAACCCGCGTATGGTCAACAGGCCCCCCCGCCCGGTCCGCCCTCTTCGAGCAGGTGGGACGAGCGCGCCCCGCCTCCCCGCGAGGTGAAGAAGGAGAGTCGGTGGGATGAGCCTCGGCGCGATGACAGGAGGGATGACAGGAGGGAGGAGCGGAGGGATGATAGGGGGTATGATGGGGGAAGGGACAGGGATAGAGAGCGGGACAGGGAGAGGGATATGGGCAGAGAGAGGGAGAGGCGGTATGATGATCGCGAGGATCGAGGGAGGGACCGAGAGCCTGTTCCTGCGGATGGTGAGTTGACCCTTTCTGGTGCTGAGATTGAGCTGATTTTAGACGCACCACGGAAGCGAAAGTCCAGGTGGGGTGCGGAATCGCAAAAGGTCGAACTCCCCGGTCTCCCTTCCCAAATCACTGGAAAGGTCTCGCAGACGGAATTGGACAACTACGCCATCCACGTCCGTCTCGAGGAAATCGGTCGTAAGCTCCGCACCGGAGACGTCATCCCTCCTCCCGGTCAGCGCTCTCCTTCCCCCCAACCAGAATACGACCCGTACGGTCGCCGCACCAACACGCTCGATATCCGATACCGCAAGAAGCTCGAAGATGAGCGTCTTCGCCTCATTGACCGAGCGATGAAGGCCGACCCAACATTCAAGCCGCCCACCGATGTTTATGCTGGCCGAGGTGGTCGGTTCGGGCGTCCCTCGGACAAGGTGTACATCCCCGTCAAGGAGTTCCCGGAGATCAACTTCTTTGGTCTCTTGGTCGGGCCGCGTGGAAATACGCTCAAGACGATGGAGAGGCAGTCGGGTGCCAAGATTTCGATCCGAGGCAAGGGGAGTGTCAAGGAGGGCAAGCAGAGACCTGGAGACTTCCCGAATGACGAGGATGATGAGTTGCATTGTCTGGTTATGGCGGATGATGAGGCCAAGGTGCGGGCCTGTGTGGCGTTGATCAACAAGGTTATCGAGACTGTGAGTTGCCTCTTTGCAAGACCGTACGAGCAAAAGCTGACTCATCCAGGCTGCTTCTACTCCCGAAGGCCAGAACGACCACAAGCGACACCAGCTTCGAGAGCTCGCCTCCCTGAACGGTACACTCCGAGATGACGAGAACCAGCTCTGCCAGAACTGTGGTGAAAAGGGTAGGTTCCTCCCCTTCATCTTGCGAACTACAGCTGATTTGCAGGCCATCGCCGGTGGGAATGCCCCGCCCAGCGCGTCTACTCTGCCAACGTTATCTGCCGACTCTGCGGCGGTGCCGGCCACATGGCGCGTGATTGCCGCGGCCGAGGCGACCCCAACATGATGCCCACCAAGGATACCGCCTTCGATTCGGAATACACCGCGCTCATGCAGGAGCTCGGCGAGCAGGGTGGGCATGCCATGCCGGGTGGGATCCCCCAGGTACCGAAGAATGAGATTCCGCCTTGGCGTATGCCGGAGAATTGGCAGAACCAGCCTTTCCTTCAAGGTCAGTGACTTCGCATTGCGCTTGGTCAAGGATGAAGCTGATGTTTTAGGTGGATTCCGAGGACCTCCCGGCGGCGGTGGCGGTTACCAAGGTGGCGGAGGTGGCGGGTACGGGCAGCAGCAACAGCATCAGAATCCGGGGTACGGGTACGGTCAGGGTGGTGGACCACCCCAGGGCTACGGCGGTGGTGGAGGCGGTGGTGGTGGCGGGTATGGCGGACCTCCCGGTCAAGTCCAAGGTGGCGCACCGGACGCGTATCAAAAGTGAGTCTCACTCTAACCCTCTATCTCACCCGCCTCACGAGGCAGGTCTAACGTGAAAAGCCGAAACTGACCTAATGTCTAGCTACTACGCCAACCTCGGACAAGCTTAAGAAAGCTGAAGCTGATCGGCTCTCGATGCTGATCACGCTGTCGCTTTCTGACTGTCGACCGGAGTATCGTGTACGAGTAGGCGAGAGAGGGGGGGTGTCGGTTCTCGTTAATTGATGGATGAAGACGAGACCAGCGAAAACAAAAAGCCAAAAACAGATAACAGACTCTTTTAACGTAACGCAGCGGGGTGGTCGTATAGCGGTATAGAAGGGGATGGGAAGGAGGAAGAGGGAAGGAGGGGAGAGGTTTCGCTAATGTATGCCCGACGAGGTTCATATTGACCTGTCTATTTTCTTCCTCCGCGAGAATCGGCAGCCAGACCATCTGCCATCCTCAGCACATGCAGGAGTGGTCGGACAAGGTAAGAGAGCTGTTTGCTCTTGGTCATGGACTCGACGCAGCTACACGTAAGCCTGGTCAGACGGTCTTCGAGCCTCCCTTCCTTGCACACCCGTCCCGTCGTAGCTGCTCGGCTGCCTCAGCCGGTCGACAATTGGCCTATAGCCGAGGGACGTCTACATCGTCTCTTCGACCGAGTGATCTATATGCACCTACCATGGTCTCCGCGTCGCCAGGCAGTACATACTGACCATCATTACTACTGACTCATCACTCAGTGACACAGTGCGTAGAGAGCGCTTGTCTCCTTTGACGCCACACTGTTGTACGGCTGTCCCATTAGCCGTAACCCCATGGGCTTGCCCTCATCTCACGATAATCAGATCCTTTGATGATCGGGCCCTGTCACTATAACTCGTCCATCAAGATTCTGGCAAAATGAGCCTCGGACGACATGACTGCTGAGAGCACGAAACGCGGCCGAGCCCAGACTGACGATTATCAAGCCCCTGTCATTTATCATCATGCTTCTTTGCTCAGATCTGGTTAAATGAGGCTTGGAGCCTACGCCATAGCGAAGGGGTCACGCCAGATCGCGTGTCAGGGAGTCAAAGGAAATCCAGGGGTGGGGCGCAAAGAGAGGCAGAGAGCTGGGCGAGTGGCGAGCGAGGTCAAGGCTTCTGGCGATACATACTATATAACGGATCAAATCCATCATTCGTCTGACTTCATACTTCATCCCACCTCACTTCCACTTTTACCAGCCACAAATTTCCTCCCAGAATGGGTACTGCTTCAAAGCCCACAGAACCCAGCTCGGTGATCAAAGATGGGCCTGGGCTGCGGATCTCCACGTTCCTGGAGAATATGGCCAACACACAGGACCAGACCGCTCTGACTGCCTCCAGGACCGAACTGGCCAGTCAGGTGAAGAGCGTGACGGACGCAGACTGGCGCGCGTACCTGACTTACAAGCTCAGTGGCCTTGACGCTATCATTGCAGCCCAGGATCCGAGTCAGGACATCGAGACGCTCGTGACTCAGCTGACCGAGGCGCTGCAAGGCGCTATGCAGCTGGATTTTCAGTGAGTTCCTGCTTCTAGCTGTAGTCGAACCACTAACGAGCGACTGCAGACAAGATGATGGAGGGGCCGAGCATGAACCCCCGATACCGGCTCAATACCCTCACCGACAGCGCGAGGAACTCATCTCCAGCTCCGAGGATTCCGCCCGAAGTCTCCTCAACGTTGCCCGATCTCGAGGCGTCTTCGTCATCACTGTGCCCGGGGCCAGTTGCAATTGAAGCGCTATTGTGCGCTGCCCGTGACAATCCCTGGAGATCAGTTGAATGTGAATGAGAGGATGAGGTCTTGAGCGAGTCTGTACATAATGCTGCGATATGCGAGACAATGCATAGGGACTGATAAAATCGAGGGCCAAACTGACTAGGACCATTGGATCGCATCGAGAAGTGCATCTCGGTGGCGACCAAAAGCGTCTTCATCCAACATTGGCAGACATGGCAATCCCCTTTGATGCGTACTAGCCAGCTCAATTCAGAGCCACAGAACCAGTGCGTGTCAGAGCTACGACGCAGATCAGGCAGAATGACTTTACATATACTACATAGTGCAGCACGAAAATCAACCCACTCTGCTGATCAGCTTAGGGGTGGCGAATCGCCCACTTGGCGACCTCGCAATCTCGCGGAAGACATTGGGTAGGAGGCATTATGTACGGTCGGCTCAGTGTCCAACTGGCAGTACATACTACAGCGGGGCGAAACGTATAGCGCAAGGACTCCGTTCACGATCTTCCCCTTTCTATCACTTGCAAATGCGCGCCCCTCGGTGAGCCGCGCGACAAATGAGCCTTGGACAGTACGCCGATATGAGGCGTAAAACGCAGACCCGCCATTTTCCTTTACGTCAAATGCACCTCATCGCCCCTTCCAGATCGCGCTTTCAGCTTCTAGCTAAATGGCCCTTGGACGATACGCTTTGATCGCGAGCGTGCCCTGCCTTGCAAGAGTTCTCAAAGGATCACAAGGGATGTTAGGGATCTCTTGCATTGGCCACGCTGAGAGGGTGGCGACAGTCCGGCGGACGGGTTGCGGGGTATATATATCTAGCTGGAAGACGGACTGCGTCTTTGACCGTACTTCAACTTCGTTCCTGTCCATTCCGATACACATCCCTGCACCAATACACGTACTCACTACGGAATGTCGTCGACCATCAACTACAACGAGGAGGAATACTCGGAGCTGACAGGCTATACCGGCGGCCTGATCAAACCGTTCCTGTGGCGATCCGCCAGGTCCGCAGATGTGGAAGCTCTCAGCGCTTTCAAGGCCTTGATGACCGATCGGACTGCTCGATGGGAAGTTTAACCCTACTACGTACAGTACATCATTGCCTCAACTGGATGGGACGGCAGGGCAGACTTGATCGGCCTGATCATCAAGCATCACAAGGCGGGTCTCAGCGGCACGACTTTGGACGCGGCCGGCTCCGACAACGAGTCATCTGTGGAAGAGATGACCTCGGTTTTGCAGCCATTGATCAGCCAGGAGGACAGGTAAGCGACAAGGTAGTTGCGGACATCTCTGTTATTGATCTCGCTGATCCGAAAACTTAGCGCTATTGGGCGTTCTCCGTTTGCGCCGAAGGGTCCTGACGCAACAGCCAACCTGGCTCGCGAGATCATTGCTACCGCCCGGAAGGCAGGTGCCGACGCCGCTGCGGCTCGCCAGCAACGCTCCGCCACCACCTGCACAGCTACCAGTGCCGGTACCATCGTTCCGCCTACCATCACCGTTACTGACCCGACCGGTGACGACGATGATCCCACCCCCGAAGGCAATCTTTGATGTGGACTTGGTCTTCATGGCTTCGATCCGTTCTCATCTCGTGCGGTTCATCGGAGATTTAGTATGCATGACTTTTTACAGACTAGTTATCAGTACGATCATGCGAGAGGATGTCAGAGTAGTCAGAAGATTGGTCGCAAAAGGTGCATCGTGAACACCCAACCCTGGCATGTTTATGCAGGCTAAACATCGTTACTGAGTCCCCCCACCGTTTACCACACCTCATCCACCTTGCTCCGGCTGATACAGAAGCCCGGCGTGACCCACTCCTTACACCCGCACTGAACACCCGCCCAATCAAAGTTCCCAATCTTGGCTCCGCACTTCTCGTTGGGGCAGATAAGCTTCCCCGAGATGTTTCCGGTCCGAAGAACAGGTTCCATCCACGTCAACTGAGGAATCAGCTTCGGCCCGATCCACACTTCACAACAGCTGGGCAATGAAAGACTTACAGGTTCGACAAAATATCCAGAGCACCTTGGGTTCACCAAGATGGGTGTTCCCGTACTGGCCAACTCCCCCCCGAATCCGCCTATCCCGCCTGCGACACTCGCGGCGCTTCCCCGACGCTCTCCGGTCGGCGTCATACTCAGCATACTCCGCCTCCTCGCCGCAGTCCTCGCTCCGTCCGCAGACGCCGTAGATCCCGATCCAGACCCAGAGCCCGAGCCTGAGCCGGAGCCGTTCACTGCAGGATGGGCAGTCTCTTTCTCCGGTGAAGAAGGGGGAGAGTTGGACATGGGCGATGCCGCGATAGGGACGGGCGAGCTCGAGCCCGAGCGCAGAGCCTGCAGATGCGGTGGAAGGCGAGAAGCGAGCTGCTCCGCCGTCTGCAAGGGGCGAGAGGACGCCGCGCGGCGATTCGGCATGGAAGGAGCGGCCATAGGTGCTGGGTCGACCGTACCGCCCGGCGTGGACGCGGAACGTTTACGCTGATCCCCCGGGTGGGCAGGTGTCATCTCGCCTGGCGACTCGACGGAGAGTGATTGGGCCGTACCGGTAGATATGAGCGCGCGGGCGGTGAGAGTGAGCCCTGGTGTAGAAGCGCGGGGGAAGGGCACGCTGCCGCTCTCGCTTGGGTCGGTTGGGGAGATGGGGGTCAGGGGTGAGAATGGGGAATTGAGATTGGGCCGGTCCGATGACATGCTGGGTTGACGGCTCCGCGCGCCAGGTAGACCAGTGAGCGGGTTGACAATGTCCGAGACGGCGCTCCCTCTTCGCTCCATCGCCGTGCTCTCGCGAGGGGACTCGTCCCCGCCCACCGAGCCCGCGTCGGACAAGCGGTGCATCTGGAGTGGGGCGGGAAGGGAAAAGTTGCTCGGTGTCCTGGGCCGAGAGACCGGCGCTTGATCCAGGATATGGTCCATCATATGTTCCCGGACCGCCAAGAACCGCCTGCAAGTCCTGCACCGGATCTTCCGGCGTCCGAGCCCGCCCATCGGGGAAGCGGGCGCGGAGGGAGTAGGCGTAGCGGGGTACTTGGCCATCTTGTCGACGGCCGGAGAGGACGTTTGGCCATTCATGAACGAAGTAGCGTTACGTTCCATGTAGAAATGACGGGTGGACCGGTCGCGTAGCGTGACTTTTCCGTCTCCAGAGTGGAAGAGACCGAGCTGGTGCAGGAACGTCTCGGACGGGTCGATGACGGGCCGGTAGAGACGGACCATGTCGACCGCTTCGGACGGAGGGAGGGAGAGGGCGGTCATGAGGTATGCGGAGGCGACGGTCGCGGACCGACTCATGCCGGCTTGGCAGTGGATCAGAACGCCGCCGGGCTGGGTAGGGGAGAGTTGGCGGATAAGGGGTTCGCGCGGACCTTCTTCGATGGAAGGGTCGATAGGGGAGGATGGAGAAGAGAGGGCGCGTTCCCGTTTGCGAAGTGCCTCGCCGATCCAGGAGACGCAGGTGGGGAGGTGGGAGAGGATGTCGGTATCTGGGGAATCGTCTATCTCCAAAGCGAAGACGGAGAAATGAGGGGGGAAGCTAAGGCGGGGTCGGAGGAGAGAGACGATGTTGGTCTGTGAGTTAACTACTGTCGATGTAAAGCATTGAGTGGCTCCGAACCAAGAGAGAGGGAGAGCTTACTATTCCCCGCGCATCAAGCCCTTCAGAGTCCATGGCAGCGACCAAGTCCCCCACCCAAAGACCCCCAACGATCTCCTGTAGGTGGATCACCTCCTCCACGTCGCTCCTGTCTCCATCACCGTTCTTCATCTCCATCGCCACGTCTTCTCCTTCCCCATCTTCCTCCTCGTCCTCGTCCTCGTCATCATCCACCGCAAACTCCTCGTCTGCCTTCTTCACCTGTGCCCTCACATATCCTTCTTCCTCGGGATCATAGTATCCCGCCTGCCCCGGCTTCTTGACATCCCCCTCCCCTCCAGATCTATGAGGACGGGTACTGACACCAGCCGCAACTTGCCCAGAAGGCGTTTGACCCCCACCCGCCAATTTCGCATAGAGCCCCAGTTTTCGCGCAGCCCGCTCCAGACTGCCCGTATCTTCAACCTGCTCAATCACGTCGTCTACCGCCTCGTCGTCTGGCTTGGCAGCGTCGTATGGCGCGTTGGCGGTCAAGGTCGACTTGGACCGGGTGGGCATGAGCGGTGGACGGGGTCGAGGGGTTTCATCGGTGCCAGCCGGGGCAGCGGTGGAAGGAGGGGGCGCAGCTTGCGGGCTGGGGTTGAGAGGGCGGCGCCTGGGAAGAGGGCGCGTAGCGGAGGGATTGATGGACATGCTGGGCAGATGATGGGAGCTGATACGCTCGGGAGAGAGGAAATAAGCAAGAGTGATTGTCAAGATATTTTCGGAGAATTGATTGTTGGGCGATGACGATGACGTTCATGCTTTTGGTCAGGGTCGTCTAGGTACCGCTAGTAGAGAAGTGCAGGATTGACGATGAGGCCGAGGGCCCCCAATCTGATGATGGCGAGGTGCAGGCTGATTGCAAGCCGAGGCATATGATGCAAGCTATAGTGCGGGGAGATAGAAAGCAAGGGGGATCTCGATGGAACGCCCGGCATGCCCGGAAACAAGGCTTGCAAAGGGGTTCACTGCCGCCGACAAAGGAAGTGCATCCCGATTTTCTGTATCAATCTAGACACAACTCCCTTGCCTGTTACTCTATCTCCATCTAGACACCCTCTGCACACTATCAGCCATATACAGATCACTGTTGAGTGAGGAAGACTTACGGGAAAGAGCGGCGTTGAATCGGTTGACCTTGGAGCTGGCTGAAAGGTCGACTGAGGGGATCAGCTACGTCCTTGCGCACGGGTGGCACAGGCAACAATCGGCCAGTTGACTTACTCGACTTGTCTCCGAAGTCGACCAAGAGACCACCGAGGACAGCGGGGTTGACCTGGAATTGTCAGCCATGAACCGGGACAGCAACTCCATCTACGACACCCCTCGATGCCTCGTTCATTCCTGCCTTGGCCCCTCCCACCATGTCTCCCCTCGTTCCATGTTCCAATGATACGCCAAACTTACCCGGTTGGAAATCTTGAGCGTCTTGCCCTGCGCAACCTCAGTCCCCTTCAAGGCCTTCTCGAGCCTGCTCAGCGCCTTCCCGTCGAGCTGCTCCGCGCTCGTCACAATCACCTCGAGCTCGCCACGGTACGCCGCCATGAGCGAGTTGAAGTCGGCAAACACCTTGGGGGCGGATGCGAGACGGCCGTTCTCGGACAGAACGGAGAGGAGGTTGGTGAGAATGGGCGAGGTCGATGAGGGGAGGAAGGTCTTCATTTGCGAGGTGCGGTCGGAGGCGGAGAGAGTGGGGTTTTCTGGGGATCAGCAGAGGTCAGATATAGGGATTGCCCGGGGCATAGTATTGAGGGAGGGAGGAGATGGGTTGACGAGATGTCCGGCGGGGCGCCCGCCGAGTGAGTCCTCCTGGTACACTCTGATCCGCCCATTCCGCCTCATTCCGCTGAGACCCGTCAAGCGCTTCAGGTCCACCTGATACTCCCACTCTGCCCGCCCCTCATCCACCTTACACCCTTTTCCCAGACTCTCATGCCACCCCATGCCATCCATTCCAATTCCCTCAACTCACGGATGAAAGCCGCGACCTTTTGGTCCTCCTTGATCTTCTTGTCAAAAGTCTCAATGTCCTTCGCCAATGACTCGAGATCCTTGGTTGACTTCTTCAGTGCGGCCAAGTAGGTCGAGGTGGCGTAGGTGCCAGTGAGGGAGTTGAGCTGGAGAGGCGCCTGAGGTATTAGCTCGACCCTCGATATTGATTCTCGGGGCCTAGCAATTCCGCTGTGTCCTTCTCTGGATACCCTCGCGATCCTGCAGGTGTTCCGCCGAGTAGTCCCATCGTTTCGTGTCCTCCTCCAGCCGCCTCAAGCTCGAGCAGCAGGAGGATGCCGTCTGCACCTCATATCCGACAATTCCCGACCTCTTCCGCCTTGACGTCTTGAAGCTGGCTCGGCCCGCCTAGCTCACCTTGACGGAGCCCGAGGTGCCCGCCGCTGCGGTCGCGTAACCCCTTTTAAGCAAAAGACGAGCTGCCGACATGGTGTATATGAGATGTATAGGGTGTTAATACAACTATAGCTATAGCTACACTCTTTGCAGCAAGAGGCTCTCGCCCTGGGTCCGGTAAAGTGAGGGGACCAGACACGTAGCCCATGCCGGGACGGCAACCGGCGTTATCTGAAACGCCGGCAGTGCTGAACCAGTGTTTACGCAGAAGTGGCGCTTTTTGGATCCGGATTTTCCCTATCCGGACCGGATTAACTGCTTTGATTTCTTACGTCACTCACATGTCGGCCGGGTTGTTTTACCAGTTGTTTCGGAATCTGCGGTCCGACCGTCCTGCTTCTTGACCTCTTTTCTCAGTTGTGCATAGACAGAGCTACTGTAACGCTGCAGGTACTTGAGAGACACTCCCCCAGGCAGCAGGTTCAACTTCAACTCCGTCAAGCGCTCGGCCGATCGTCCGCACAGAGCCGCCACCGTCCTCTCGCTTTCCGTCGGCCGCAGATCCGATCATCCCGGGAGAAGCATAGAGCTTAGAGCTTAGACCACCTCATCGGAGGCGATACCATCGTTCACCTCGTCCAGCGTCATCCAAGCCATCGTCGCGCACTGCGCGCTCGCAGCCCGGTGCAATGAATTCCACCCTACCCCCCTTCATCCCCTATTCGCACCTCAGCCCTTCCTACGCACTCCCGCACGACCGATCCAATCTCACCCCGTCTGGACAACATGCGTATGCGCTGGGGCAGGCCGGACCGGGTCCGTCGAGCCGGGGCAGCGCCTCGAGCCAGATGATCTCAGGCCAGGATGGGTACTTCTCGCAAGCTTTGAGAGAGAACTCCATCTCGCCTGTTGACGGTGAGTTTGCACCTAGCCTTCGCACTGGAGTCCAAGAGCTGACTGTCAGGCATAAATCCCCTCTCCCTCCCCATCGATCCCTCCTCCGACTTCTACAATCGGTACATCAACAGCCCCGCCTCCCCCATCTCTCCCGACTCGCACGGAACTATGGCCTCCTCCTCCACCCTCCCATATCCCACACAGCAGCAACAACAACAGCAAAACTACCTCTACTCCATCTCCGGCTCACATACCAACGGGAACGCCAGTCAAGGCCATGAGTACGCTATGCGGCCAAATACAGGCATGCGGTTTCCGTCTGGGAGTAATGGCGGGATGTACGACCAGCCACAGGGGTCTATACATCCGGGGCATGTCAACCAGCGCTCCGGCTCGCGGGATAGCGGAGCGGGTATGGCATATAGCCACGATGGGCGGAGTGTACACGGGGGCGTACAGGATCTGGCGGTCTTGCGGCTGGATGCTCATGATGTAGAGGGGGATGGGCAGGAAAGCGGAAGTGGCGATGAGGCCGAGGAAGAGGGAGAGGGAGGGGATGAAGGTGAAGGCGAGGAAGGAGATGAGCTAGCGGGAGGTGGCGAAGAAGAGTACGCAGATGAGGAAAGGGACGAGCTGGATGAAGGCGGAGAGGTGGATAATGAAGAACCGCTCTACGTGAACGCCAAGCAGTATCATCGGATATTGAAGCGGAGGTTGGCGAGGGCGAGATTGGAGGAGCTGAATAGGTTGAGTCGGTCAAGAAAGGTCAGCTCTCGTACTATCCTACGAATCATTCGTTATATGCGAGGGGACTGAGCTGATCGTCTAGCCGTACTTGCACGAATCTCGTCATCGGCATGCCTGTTCCCGGCCCCGAGGGAAGGGCGGCCGGTTCCTCACTGCCGAGGAGATCGAGCAACTCAAGCTGGATCAGGCCTCAGCGGCGGCGGCGCTGATCGCCGATGGTCAAGAAGGACCGTTGGAGGATTGAGCGAGCAGTCATCGCTCATGAATGTGGAAGACGACTGGAAGACGTAGGTTGTTGGCTGCGCGTGTATGAGTTCAGAGCAATCGTCGGGGCAATCACTATCTGAGGAGATCGCTTGGGGCAGTCGCTGGCCGGATGATACATGTACCATTACGTGGTAGCGGGTTCTTCGAACGCACTAGAGGACGACATGATGTCTCTACCTGCGTTGTGTGGGTGTGTGGAGCCCCTTTAGATATGTGAAGCCCATGACAACGTAGGACACCTATGACTACGTTGCGATCGTTTATCGGCTTCTATTCGAGTATCTGTACAGCCGATGCAGCGTAGTGTTGGGCACAAGTACAAGTTGTACAAGTAACACCTCGATAACATTTGTAATGGAGACGGGAGACAATGCATGCGAGACAATGTAAAGCAAGCGTAGAGGCAAGGAGACGTTCCGCAAACCATCGTTCAGTCACGGTGTAGCTGTCCCTACAGCTGCCCTCCCGGTATGGACACCCAGCAATTGACCGCTGTACTGACCTCCTCGAAAAATCGCGCACGTCTGATGGACTCATCGATCGTCTTGGAAAGCTCCGTCCACACTTTGTCATGTTGTTGACGCGTGGTAATGTGGCTCTCTTGCACTGCCTCTCCGTAATACTTGGCCGACAATCTCTCTCGAATCGCTGTGTAAGGGACGCCAAGCATCAGATCTGCCGACACCTCCGAATGAAGCCTTCTGATCAGCGGCGAGCTGAGCAGGTCGGAGCAGGAAAGTGGACTGTGTCCGTCTCGCATGACCTGGTGGTGGAAAGGGCAGAATGAGCGTTCCGTGGTGACGTCACTGGCTGGATCCAGCGAGGTCACCTGCTTGCCCCAGACTGCGCTCTTGGTACCGTCCCCCGTGATGCCCATCATATCGCAGAAGGCGCAGGGGTCGACAGCCTCGGCGGCGGGCTGGACGGAAAAGTCGAACCTCGGTGTGGTGACTCTGTCGCCATCAATGGTAGATGGGGAACTCGGGCACGAAGACATGTTGCTCTTGGATGGTTCGATATGTTGTGATGCATGATGGAGCACTGTGGTTATCGTAACGGGGAAGAACGATGGGTGCATCGCCGCGGCAAGGGGGACCGTGGCGCCTTTTATCCGCCTGTCTGCTTTGGCCCAATCTAGCCGATCCTTTCTGACCGCCAAGCTGCTACACGTATGGACATGAATCCTTTCAGACAGGCGATCGGCATTCTGCTATTCCCGCGCCAGTGCTATGCAGTGTGGCAGCTGTCTGGCATTTGCCACCTAAGCTTCTGCCAAGACGCATCCATCTTGCATCCGTCGGCTTTTCTGACCGAGAAATATTATCCTACACCGCATTCCCCAATGGCAAACTTTTTGGTCCGCCAGCCCTTTCGAGCTGCAGCCTCACCGCGCTTGGTCTAGTGACACTCTAGTCGCTTTAGACAGTGGGTATGGCCGCTCAGTCTCTTGATTTATTACCGGATGGCACCTCGTCATCGCCTAGAGGGCGGGTGGTGACGCTCGAGGAGTTCATCATCGATATATTCACCCAAATTGACCAAGATGGGGTCGAGCGCCCGGTTGACAGGCCTGATGAGGTGCGATCCACCTGGACATGATGGGACCCTGTGTTGACTGTAGCAGATAGGCGGAGGTGGATCATATGGTACGGTTCACATCTTCGAGCATGAGAGTGACCCTGACATCGCAGCAATTATTGGCGCACGGCTGTTCCTGCCTTCATCGCGACTCGGGATGATGGTCGACTACACACCCTCAACTCTGCCGCAAGAGGCCCGAGAGCAGCTACAAGTCTATGGAAAGAGTATGTGGGTCTTCCGAGAGCGACATGATGGGCATCCCACGTCGCGCTCAGTCAACCGATACAGCAAGGATCTGAGAGTGTGAGTCTTCGCGCGACGCTTAATCTCAGCTGCTGGTCCAGAGCTGATGATCTCCAGCTTCGAATACCTCTCTCCGCCTCGCCTACTTACACCAGTCGATATTCTCGAAACTCACTGGCTGGACCATCCGGACGACGCTGCAGGCGGAATCTCGGCCATCCATATGATCTCGGGCACGGAACGGCTCGAGGGTTTCGAGAGGGATATGCAGCGGATCAGAGATCAGGTCGGGACGAAATGGGACCCGAAGATAGTCTGGGAGCCTCATCAGGTACGGATCATTTTGGCGTGGAACCCCAGGACTTGCGGCCACAAAGCTGATAGCTTCTAGTATGATGTCTTCCCCTCCTCGATCCCCCTCTTCCGCCGCATCACACCTCAAATCGACATACTGTCCCCAAACCACTCCGAAGTCATCTCCCTCCTCTCCCTCCCCGACCTAAGCAGCTCCAGCCAAAACGATCAGAAGCTCCAGCTAGAGTCGGCATCCCAGACGCTTTTGTCTTGGAAGCCAAGGATCGGCGTCGTGATCCGCGCCGGAGCAATGGGAGCATGTTATCTCGCAAAGGAGAATGACGAGGTGAAGTGGATCCCGGCGTACTGGTCTGAAGGTTGCGAGGAGCCTGATTGGGTAGATAAGGTGGTTGATCCGACGGGAGCGGGAAATGCTTTCTGTGGAGCAATGGCAGCTGCTCTGAGCGAAGGCATGGGGATTGAAATTGGTAAGTTAAACGCTGGCCGCGGCATACTGCTCATCAAGAGCCGCAGGGGCGTGACTGACGTAGTAGCTGTAATGTGGGGTACGGTGGCGGCTAGCTTTGTGGTCCAGCAGCATGGTCTACCTAGCTTGACGACAGTCAGCGGGAAAGAAGTCTGGGCGGGGGACGAGCCAGCGAGGCGCGTACGGGCATTACAGGATCGAGTATCTGAGATGTAGGCATGCAGAAGGCATCTTGCGTAGCCAGACGGGACGATTGTGCGCAGTATTATAATCGCATCCGACACTATGTACAATCTTCAGCCCCGCGCTATAGATCATCTCCGCTCCCTCAGTATATACACAATAGTCCCTACTAGTAGTATTGAGAACCCAGCGATGAAGGCGAATAGCACCAGCACATCCCTGTATATCAGCTCATGTTCCTCATATTCCCACAACCATGAGACGGGTTCAGCTCACCGGTAGTAATTGTTGAGGGCGAATCCGAACAGGGTTTCCATGATGACCTGTGCGCCTATCTCGACTGGTACTCCCGCTAAGTTGTCCTGGAGCAGCGTCAGCCAAGGCATGACGAGCAAGGAGATGACATACGATGATCTTCAGGCCTGATCCTACTTCGTTGACAGCCAGAGCTTCCAGTGAGAATCCTAGCGTGGAGAAGTATCGCAGCCATCGAAGTACAGGAGGGATGTTTCCGAGGTTGACGAAGAAGCTGAAATGTCAGCTGCAGTCCTCGTCTTCCCGTACGCGGGGGCCAGATCGTGCAGCAGACATACCCGGCATATGTCATGAGGAACAAGTTGCACAGACTGGAGACGAGGATGGCGACTCCGCCTTGCCGGAATACGCAAGCGAGCAGGAAATTCTGCAGTGTTCAGCTTTCATCCCTTATAGTAGCGTTTAACCCAGATCGCGCAAGGCCAGACTCACAAAGAGGCACATGCAGAGCGAGAACTCGACGATTATAAGGAGGAACTTGAAGAACTCGGCTGCGTTCCGCGACAGTCCGACCATAAAGTAGACAATGACTCTGACTTGATCAGCTCACCATCAAGAGAGGGATAGCTGACCGGTACTTACCCGACAAGAATGGTTGGGATCAGACGAAGCGGGATGACGTCGAACAATAGCCTGGTCAAGAGCCATGAAGACGGGCTGTAGAATGACCCAGCTCGTTCCCGGAGGAAGAGCGCCCGGACCTCGACAAGATTGTACAGCGCACTGGACATCAGCGTAACCTCAACTGCAAGCAGATGAGCCGTACCTGAGCGACGAGAAAGCGATAAGCGATCCCAAGAAGAACAAGCTCCCGACGCGATTTTGGAAACCCGCAATAGTCAAGTTGACCTGATAGTACAGTCCACCAGCAAACACGCCCAACAGACACGCAAAGAACACATGTGCCACCAGGAGTGTCTTGTCGCGCTTGAGGTTCCGCCATTCCCGCCCCGACAGCACTTCCATCTGCGTGAGGAATGTCGTAGCGCAGTGCGTGTGTGGAGGGGTGTACCAGCGTGCCTTGTCTCGGGTCTGAGCGTTCTCGTCCCCGAGATCAGAGAGGTTGAGCTCGCGCTGATCCGAGGGACCGTTCCGCCGGAGAGTGGGGGGTGGGTACGAGCCGAGATGGAGATTCTTCTCGGCTCCGGGGGTATCGACGAGGTCCTTGTCGCTCCGATCTGTCGAGTGATGAGTGCCAGAGTGGGAAGAGGATGTCGATAGTTGATGCAGCGGGGCAGATCCGGGTAATTGCACCTGAGGACCATCGAGCAAACCCTCGGAAGATGTACTAGCGATTTCCAAGAGGTGATCCGCGATGTTGTATCCGGGAGGACAGGGCCTGTTCTGCTGCGCAAAGAAGTCGGCAGGTCTGTTCCCGCCCGGACCGAAGTATAGCTGTCGCCCACCAGCGAGGAGGCAGACCTGGTCGAACGAGTGATACAGCGCTGAGCTGGGCTGATGGATACTGGCGATGATGGTTGTCTTCTCCGTCTCCGACAGGTTCTTCAGTAGCTTGATCAGCCGACTGGCGGATACCGAGTCGAGACCGGAAGTAGGCTCGTCCAGAACCAGCACGTCCGGCGCGGCGACGAGCTCGACACCGATAGAAACCCGCCGCATCTCTCCGCCGGAGATACCGCGGTGCTCAACCGATCCGACCCGGGTGTGCGCGACATCCTGTAGGCCAAGCTGGGCAAGGACGGTCTGTGCGCGTTCTTGCTTGATGGAGACAGGGACGTTCTCGGGTAGACGGAGATGCGCAGCGAAGAGGAGAGTCTCGAGTACGGTCGATGTTGGAGATAGAACATCAGACTGCTTTGTCAGCTTGTTCGTTCGACTGTGACTCCGAGAGTCGGAGACTTACCTGATCGACATAGCCAATCTTCACTCTCCTTCCTCCCTCTTCCTTTATATATCGCACGGTACCCTCTACCCTCCCTGCTTTCCGCTTCCCCGCCAGCACATCCACCAATGTCGACTTCCCGGCCCCACTCGGGCCCAGAATCGCACAGAAGTCACCAGCCGGTAGAGCTCCCCCACATTCTCTGAGAATGACCTTCCCACCTCCCTTACCCACCTTGCTCCCGTCCTCCGCTGATGGTGCAGTCTTACCCGCTCCTTTTGCCCAATTGACGAGCTTGTTTGAGCTCGAAGCTATGCTCTTCACCTCGTACCCAACTCCAGACCACGCCACGCCCACTCCGCCCGAAGACGGCAAGGCGCCGTCGGTCCGCATATTCCGCCGAGCCTTGCGGCGCGCGAGGAAAGCCCAGATGATGAGGCCGATGATGGCGAGGATGATGACGCCCACTACCGCCAATCCGGCAATGACGCCCGGATCCAGAGAGGCTGAGGAGGAGGATGCACTAACGATGCCGGCTGCCTGGTCTACGACGTATTGCTGCACGCACTCGCCGTGAGAGCAGGACGAGAGTTCGAGGCCATCCGGTCCAAAGATGGATTGAAGGAGGGCTTGATTGAAGGTACAGCGTCCTCCGCCGGGACAGGCGATAGTGAGCGGTCCGCTGAGGGTGTTGATTACGCCTGTCAAGTCGAGAGACGTCGACTGAGTTGGTCAGCAAATGGTCTGACCGCATCGTCGAGATCGAATCGACAAATGTACTTACCCCGCCGCAGAAGGTCGTGTTTGGCCGACAAGTACAGCTGAGCCCACCGCAGACCCATGTACTCCCATTCGAGCTCGTAGTCTGCGCACAGCTATTCGCCGAGCAGTAAAATTGCTCCACGCCGTCATACCACAGCTGTGCCCATCCCACGCCGTCGCCATATGTCAATCCTGCGGACCGGAGGGCGGACGTCCCGCCCGGCGTGAGCGAAGCATTCAGCGATCGCGAGATGGTCAGAATCGACGTTCCTGGGAAGACGCCTTGAAGAGTTCCTTGGATGACATTGCACGTCATTTGGGATTCCGAGTAGACGGTAGGAAGGGTATTGCAGGTGAGAGAGGTATTGAGGCCGGGTGTGGAGGTGGTCCCGCTCGACGCGAGGATGGTCTGGAGGGAGGACTGGCAGGCAGACGCGGCTGTACATACTGCGATGTCAGCGAATATGTCCCAGAGATCTCCCGCCTCTAGTTCAGACCCCCATCGATGAGCCTCCCTGACGTGTCTCCACCTTCCGCGATCACTCAGACCAAGACTCACCTGTACATCCCGGCCCCGTGAACCCCGACGCGCAACCACAACTCCCCGCACTGACATTCCCCAGCCCACTCGTTCCTCCCGGTGCAGCTCCAGCAGGGTTATACAAGCTGCCCCCGCACACGGGGAGACTGCATGTCTGCGGGCTCACGCCAGTCGGGTTGAACCCCGGCGGACAGAGGCAGGAGCTGCCTGTTGTATTGCCATAATTGGAGCAGGTCTGCCCGAAGGCGAGTGGCGCGAGCGCCGCGAGAGCAGAGATGAGATGGAACATCTCGCGTGTATAGTATGATTGAGGTCGATGATGGGTCCGAGCGAGTGATGGGAATTTGTTATTGTTGATGTGGGTCGAGCTGATTTGACCGATTCCTAAGGCGTTTCCAGTCGATGTTTCAGGTGCAATAGACAAATCATCGAGTGCACCTCAGGCTTATATGAAGATTATGAGCTCCCCTGCTGTTCGTTGGGAGCTTCGTACTCTTCGGTTATTGAAGAAGGTCACAGCAGAGTGGTCCTTTCGATCTTGGGGGAGTCGTGCTCCGCATTTACGGCACGCCTCGGCGCGTCCAGATCCGATGGAAAGCCCCGCACTTCTGCACCCTGAGTGCCTGCTGGGGAACTGGGGGCCTCGGTAGCTCTATGAGTCGCCAGACATCGGTAGCAGATCAAACACGGGTGCATAAGAAACCAAGGATCAATGTATAGAGACAGTAAGGGGAGGTATGAAGCGGCAAAAATTCTGGGAAAGTTGTATCCGGCGGTCCGTGAGGCAGAAGAGAAGACATCTACTCGGTGGTGACCGACTTGGCGAGGTTACGGGGGAAGTCGACATCCACGCCGTTCATGATGGCCAAGTCTGGGGCGTCAGCTCATGTTCTACACGGTTGGGTGTCAGAGAGCTTACGATAGGACAGCAGTTGCAAGGGCAGGACATTGATGAGGCCCTGGAGACAGTCGACTGTCCGGGGAACACGGATGACCTTGGCCGACTCGGGAACCGAGTCATCGTCGTCGTTGCAGATGATGACTGGACATTAGCATTGCAGTGACTCTTCAGCATGGCTAGACTCACTTGGTCGACCCTTCCGAGCGGTAACCTGAGCCAGCGCAGACTGGACCTTGGGGTAAAGCGAGTCCCGGGTCATAATGAAGATGACACTAATTGTCAGCTGTCGGCACTGCAGTTGCGGCTAGGGGACGAGCTTACGGGAGGTGCTCATCGATCAAAGCAAGAGGACCGTGCTTCAACTCGCCCGCCAAGATACCCTCCGAGTGCATGTATGAAACCTCCTTAATCTTAAGGGCGCCCTCAAGACACGTCGCGTCTGCTGATCAGCCACATACCTACTCCTGCGCTTATACCGGCACTCACACTGGTATCCACGACCCATGATGAGCAAACTCTTCTGGCCAGCAAGCATGTCCATAGCGAGCGACTGCAGCGCCTTGTCCATACCGAGGACCTTCCGGATCTGGCCCGGGATGTCGTGCAGGCCATCAATGATCTGCTGCCTTCGTGCGGCCTTGGAGATCGAGTCGTCCGAGAGCTGAACGGCCATCATGACCAGGGCGACGTATTGCGAGGTGTAAGCCTTGGTGGAGGCGACACCGATCTCGGGACCGGCGTTGATGTGAATACCCGAGTGGGTCTCGCGGGAAAGGGTGGACTACGAGTCAGCTTGTCGCCCAGGTCTAGATAGATTCAGTCCAACTTACCCCGACGGCGTTGACGACACCCAAGCACAGAGCTCCACGCTCCAAGCAGTACCTCATGGCCAGGATCGTGTCGGCAGTCTCACCAGACTGCGAGACAAAGATGGCGACATCGTCCCTGAAAACGGGAGTCCGGCGGTCCAAGAAGTCCGAAGCTACAAGATCAGCTCGTTTCTCCTCATCTAATCCTTGTCACTCACCGAGCTCAACAGCGACGGGGATCTCGGTCAACTCCTCAAATACCCCCCTGACGGCGATACACGAGTGGTAACTCGTTCCGCACGCCACGAAGAGCAACCTCCGCCCACGCCTGATGACCGGGAGATACGCCTTGAGACCACCGAGCATGATGGTACGGCTGTCAAAGTTGACACGACCACGCATGGTGTTGACGACCGATTCGGGCTGCTCGTAGATCTCCTTCTGCATAAAGTGGTCGTATTGGCCCTTCATGATCTCCGCGAGCTCAATCTCGAGGGTCTCGATGGCTCGGACGGACGAAAGGCCGTCGTTTCGGCGGAGGCGGTGGATGTGGAGTTCTGGATGTCAGCCTATCTCACGGCGGCGCGAAGTGGTCCGCTCACCTCCTTCAGCAATGTGCGCAATATCGTCATCCTCTAGGTAAAGCACCCGCTTGGTGTGCTCAATGACAGCACTGGCATCACTGGCGATGAAGAACTCGATGGGCTGAGGCATGCCGTCGTCCGAAAGGAACGCGCGGGACTGGGATCGGCGCAGCTTGCTGTGAGGGCCTGAACCGGGACCAGCAGCGCCTGGTACCGAAAGAAGACCGCCAACTTGTTCGTCGACTGTAGATTATCAGCTACGTGTCCCGCGTCGCAGCTCAGCAAGAAAAGACTAGCTCACCTCGCTCCTCTCCCATCTCGACATCGACAAAGTCGACCTTCAACTTCCTGTCCGTCTTGACACCGATGAGCATAGGAGATCCGCGACGGGTGAGGACCATCTCGTCCGGGAAGTGGGTCGACTTGAAGACAAACGCGAACGAGCCTTCCTAATCTTATCAGCTTGGGGTCTTTGAGCCGAAGATGAGACTTACAAGCTCCTTGACGACAGTCTTGATGAGCTCGGTGAAGTTCAATCGCTTGTGCGGTTGGCTCTCCCAGACGTATTTGCACAGCATGGCGACGGCTTCTGTGTCGGTGTCGGTGTAGAAGTGATATCCGCGCTTGATGAGGACGGTCTTGAGCTCCTTGTCTATAGTGTCAGCTTCGTCGCTCCAAGTAGAACGGAGTCGAAGTCGATCGAGGTAACTTACAATTGGTGATGATACCGTCTGCTTGCGTCAGCCAATCCCAGCATTTCCACAGGAGAAAACTCACTGTGAACCAGGGAGAACTCGGTATTCTCGCCCGAGACGTGCGGGTGACAGTTCAACACGCTGGGCACACCGTGAGTGGCCCACCGAGTGTGTGCCATCGATGTCTGCGAGACGAAGGTCTTGTTCATGTCAAGCTTAGTGCTGCCCTGGACGTGCGAGTTGTCATTCCCGTTTGCGCCGTTCCCGTTAAGCTCAGAAGGAAGGGGAGTGGGGAAGCCTTCAGCGATGTGCTTGCGGAGCGCAGCGACCTTGCCGACTTCCTTGAAGAGGATGATGGGGGATTCGGGCGTGTCGCCGTCGATTCCGATACCTGCTCGTCAGCCACTGTTCGCCGCGCGGTGTATGGGGAAATGGGAGAGGAGGGATAGCTCACCGGCGGAGTCGTACCCTCGGTACTCCAGTCTGGCGAGACCATTGCAGAGGACGTCGCAAACATACTTGCGGTCCTTCTCGATCAGGAAGGAGCAGTAGCCGAAAATTCCTGGGCACAGTCAGCAGCAGCTCTTCCTGCAGTGACCCAGCTATCAAGGGGGATACGTACCACACATTGTGCTATGACTATGCTAAGGATGGTGGAGGGAGATAAGCTGAGGTGGAAGGTCTGTTGTGTCGGTGCGCGGTGCGGATGGTGAAAAGAGTTCGAGCCGGAAAGGAGGTAAGGACGTGCGGACGAGCGGACGTTTCGAGAGCGAAAGGTGGGGAGGGTATGTGTACCAAGTTGGCGTCGATGACAAGTATAATAGGAGGGCAGCGATAAGGGGAGAGAAGATGAGCGTCAGCTGAGACCTTTGATCAAGAGGTAAGCAGGAGGTTGTTGCCCCCAGAGTTGAAACGCTCCCCCCCCCGTGAGGACCCTGAGAGCAATGGTCGCAGCGGTGAGGCACGGGAAGAGGCCAAGCGGAAAACGACTCACGAAGGTCTGGAGAGAGTGTGCAGGTGATAGCTCGGCGTGGTATGTGATGTGGTAGAGGTATAGTACAGGCTGTATGTAGATGGGGGATGATAGCAAGGATAGCAAGGAATGTTTGAATGAATGGCCGAGGTCTCGCAAAATGAGGAATGTGGCAGATAAAGTGGCAGTCGCGTGAAATCGGTGGCGAGACGCGTCAAAGGCAGCGCTGGAAAGCCGGTTCAAAGTGCCTCAAGGTAACACCGCGATAACAAAGAGGACTGCTGCATATATAGCCGCCTGTCCTTGCCTGTGTCCACCTCATGCGTCCCATTTCAGTCAAGTCGAAGCGGCAGTGGCGATGCAGTGTTTCAGGGTCAGATCAGAAATCTTGGCTGCTGTGGCATGGCGCGTCCGAGCACCGCCACGCGTCATGGCGACACGTCAGATGAGGAATGTAGCTTAAGGCAAAGGTTACTCGTTCGACCGTACCAACATGAAGCGCTGACGGTCATCATTCGCTACCATGAGGCTGTGCTACCGCCACTGACGTACTGACAGCATAGCGATGCATGTAGCCTCGAAAGCGCCGCATAACTTATCTACTCATCTCAAGAAAACCCTCTGATCCCCAAAATCCGCCTCACGTCATTAACGAACCGCAAACAGTCCAGGACGGGCAGACTCTGCAGTAACGCTTCGTCGTTCGGATCAGACGTCCAGCCTTCTATTGGCAAGGCATTCGCTAAACGAGTCAGCTTGGTCCAGCATCGCTTCCGGCGGGCAAGATGGACTCACCCTTGTTCCACGCGTAGCTGACAGGCGAGTTGTCCATGAAGCACACCCTGCTTAGGTCTTGCTCTACTAACGCCAGGTCCTTGATGTACGAGCCGTTCGTCTGGAGGAAGCATGAGTCGCGGTACAGGCGTTTAGCGAAGAGGGACCGGCCGGCGTCCAGCCAGTCGATAACGGGGTCGGCGTATTCTGGCATGGAGGCTGTGTAGATGACGAGGGTGTACCATGATGCAGCCTGATAGTCAGCTTTGATTCCTGCGCGACATCAGACAACCAGGAGCTCAGCTTACCTTTTTGAGAAAGTGGTCCACATAAGGCCTTTTGTAGACGTGATACGTCGTGCTCCTTCCTCTTAGCACCACCTCCACTGTATGCCCCTCCCTCCTACTCTTCCGCCCACCTAACAGCCCTCCCAGACTTATCCCCAGCATCCCGCCTCCCCCGGACGTGCCATATCCAAGCGGCCGGCTTGTCGAGTGAATAAGAGTCTCGTCCAAATCCAGAATGAGCGTCTTCTGTAGATGGAAAGGGGTGTGATGTGGTCGGATCCGAGGTGGAGGAGGGGGAAGCTGTGGCGGGAGGGTTGCCGAGAAGAGGGAGACGGAGGGGTCGAGCAGGGACGTGTTCATAGGATTGGGCAGTAGTCGGGCGCCTCGAGGAGGCGTGGGCGTGAGTGATGTACGGGCACGAGAGGGTGATGTCCCGGGTAGTGGGTTGGAGAGTATACCGGCCGGCGAGCCATTTGACGAGCGAAGATTGTACGTTCTCTCCGGTGTTGGCGGATTAACCCGGAGATCCATCCCCTGCACCTCCTCCACTCTGCCATTCTCCACCAGCATAGGCTCCAGTCGCCTCCCCGCGGATGGGAGGCGGAACGAGACCGTATCCGGCTGGCGCACCACCTCATCCACCTCCGAGTCATCTACCGGTGCCCTTGTGACAGGGTCCACCCAGCCATCCCCATCTTCCCCTTCTGTCTCCGTCACATCACCCAATTCACCACCCACATCCACCCCTACGCCACCGCTGACACTCAGGAGCTCCACTTCCGTCCCGCTCCCGTCATCCGAGCTCATCCCCGCCTTCTTCGTCCCAATCCGTCTCTTCTGCGTGCGCCTTCTCCCCCTTTCCGCCCTCGTCTCGCCAACTAGAGAGGTCCAGAATGAGAGGAGGATCGACCATAGTCCGAGTGCGATGCGGAGGAAGAAGGGCGTAGAGGGTGGAGGCAGCTTGACGGAGGATGCGGATGTAGCTTTGCGACGACGTTTGAGAGATCTACGGCGCCGCTGTACAGGAGGAGAAAGGTGAGAGTCAAAGTCGACCGCGAAGGGAGAGAGAGGGCGAGAGGGGGATGTAGTGTGGATACGGGTAGATTTGTCCAGGCCGAGAGGGGTGGGCGGGGGCATAGGGGTCCGAGACGAGGAGGGTTCGAGGAGGTGCGTGAACAGCGCGTCCACGCGCGAGAGGGTGTTCATCCTGCCGGATACCGGACAAGTTCGGACTGATCCGTCCTGAGGTCTTCTGTGGCCTTATGACAGGAGTAGAAGGCGATGGAGAGGGTAGATGCTACCGTTGCATGGCGGGAGGTGATGAAAGGGTGGCTGGCGAGATACGTCGGAACGAGCTGTCCTTTGGTGCCTGCCTTTCGGATACCGGTGGATTTGCGGGGCAAGCTTCTGGGACGAAAGGCTGTCTGACCAGACGGGACGCTCGCTAGATTGCCTCGCAAAGGGGTACAGGCTATATGATGAAGAGTACAACAGATGAACTTGCCTTGTTGCGGTTACCGGCTGGCCGGCGGGCGCGATCCTCGTTTCCCCACAAAAGGGGCTGGTCCGTGCGTCATTTCTGGTGTGGGGTTGGGCTCAGTGGGTGGCAAGTGGGGCGAGTGGGGATCCAGCTGCGGCCAGCGGCCAGCGGCTCGCCCGCTGGTGTGGTCTGCAGGGTGCCCGGGGAGCAAGATGCCGGCTAGCGTGTGCAGCAATACATCTTCAGATAATGTACATGGAGATCCATAGAAAATGTCAGTTCAGCCAATCACCATGAATATAGTTCGATTGGCGGTCAACTCGTCCGATGCCTGCTGATCCGCCCGATCAGACCTCATCCTGCCCTCCATCCTGCGCATGCGCCGACTTCCGCGACAGCGAGGCGGCCCCAGGCTGGACGTGAGCCGAGTCATGGGTCGCCGCCGAGGCATCACAGACTGTTTGTTCGGTCTCCTTCGCCTCATCTTCCTTGAGCTTGAGCCACTTCTCGAGCGTCTGCATGCAGACATGGTAGACGAGGCCATCCTCCAGCGAGTGGTCGTTCACTTTCCACCAGGGCCATTCCTTGACCTTCGAAGCTCTCGTAGCCGCAATCTTGAGGGTGTTGAGACAGCGCTTGACCTCGTCCGGACTTGACCATGTGTTGATGAGCGCCTTCTCACCGTGCTCGCTGTAGTCCTCGTTGATGAACCGCTCAGTAGTCTTCATGATCTCGTCGAAAGTATTCCTCTCGCGTCCCTCTAGGATATCAGCTTTTATAACGCTCGTAAAATTTCTGGTATCTGCTGCCTAGATCGTCATGCTCGATAGACTGTTCCGCTGAGGATAGACTGACCTTTCAGCTTGCTGAAATCAAAGAAGGGAGGCTGCTCGCGCAGCTCCTGAGAGGTGATTGTAGGCTTCGCTTCTTGCGACTTGACATCGCGGGTGCAGCAACTGGCTGTTCGAAGGCCCTCGTACCTTTCCTTTGCGGCCATATCGGTGAATCGGGACGATGACATGTCGAGATATTGCTTGTGACTGGAAGGGACAGTGGGGTATATGAGGCGATGTGCAAAGAGTTCGCGCCATTTCCCGAGGTCTCGCACTCGGCGCCTCGCCTCGACGCACCCCTCCATATCGGAGCCTCACTCCTTACATTCGCTGCGACTGACTGTCATGACACGGAGACCGTGAATAAAGGAGCGCTACATGGCGTACTCATGCCAGATCAAGTGCTCCATACTGGCCAGGCTAAGCCGCAGGTATGACGGAGAGTCAGAGTCCAGACCACGATTGTCCGAGACGACTGGCTCGGCGTACCGACACGATTATCGAGGTATTGAGACGGGTTTGGGTGTTTGAGCTAGCCCTGGGTCATAGAGTGCTCAAAACGGTGCCACCTGTATGAGATGTGTCGACGGGGGCCTGAGCGGCCCGAGGACTAGAGTGCCACCACCAGCCACAGAGACCGCCACACCCAGGCGCCATACGGACTACGTCACGTGATCACGACGCGTCCACCTGGCTGAGGTATGCATGTCCGCTCTAGCTACGCCACCGGTGCCTCCATCGCGCCATCATTGCTTGGATCAAGGAGTCTGCTATTACGAGGTGAGCGCCGCGACCACCGAGTGCTCTTGGTCGGAAAGCTTATAGCGAAGAGACTGCTTCATCTGAACCCGAAGGTTCCTGATACTAGGTCCGAACATCGAAATGTCAGGTAAGCCATCACCCAAGCTCCACGGACCGCATTCTCCCTTCGCATTGCTGGCTCTGATCGTCGTCGTCTACTGTAACAAGCTGACCAGGCAGGATCACCCGCGCATAAACGCGCCCGGCCGGACTCCGAAGCCTTACCGGCCAACACGGCGACTGCAGCACTCCAAAAACACGTCGCATCCCTTCCTCGCGCCGCAGCCGACGCCCTCATCCTCCGTCTGATCGCGACCTACCCTGCCGGCCAGGCCTTCCTCTTTCAGAGCGTTGCAGCAGCTGTTGTCGACAAAGCGGAGGCCGAGAAGCGGAACAAGGAGGCGGGACCTATCGACCTGACCCACATTGCTAGCTCGCCTCCAGCCGCAGGCACATCTGCATCCGCGCCGGTCCGAGCTGGCAAGGAAGCCGCGGCTGCAGATCCGATGGGGAGCGAGAACGAGCTGGACGATGAGGACGAAGATGAGGATGAGGACAACTCAGATGACGAGGATGAGGAGTCGTCGGGCGATGAGGAGGAGGATACCAACGGCGAGATGATACCCAAGGAGTGGATGTACGAGATAGACGTGAAGAGGCCATGGCTGAGGAAAGGATGGCCCAAAGACGCTGGATGGTAGAACTTCGGTTTGGTCCGCTTACTGTCACAGTACCTCGAGCTGCGGTGCATCAAATGTATAGATGTCGATGAATCGGCTCTCATCGCGTGTTGGCACTTCTTAACTCAGGTCAGAGTCGCTTTGCTTGGACGCCTCATAGGCTCCAATGGACTGGGAGACAACAAGGTGTGTCGTCAAATCTTCTCTGACACGATACTCGACGCCGTTTCCAGATACTGGTCACCATGGGGGCTGACTCCTTTCACGCACTGACCCTGCGCTCCGCAATGGCGGTGCGCCCGTCCTTTCACCTCACAGTTTCACTCCCTCAGAACTGGGTCCACCTCGATTGTCAGCCAAGCGCGCTTGAGGATTGTAACGTACAATGCTCACCCCTCATACAGCCAGCATGACACTGCAGTTGCCCGATATCAAGGCCATCCCAAACCCTTCCGAACAACAGTGAAGCAGTAGACCGGACCTGCTCTGCTCTCAACGAGTAGATGCCTCCACATCCGGCATCGGTACCATGGCGTCCGATGTCACACCTCCCACGCCAAGTCAAACCCCCAACTCCCTCTGCAAGCCCCTCCTCATCCGACTGGTCTGCCCAGCTCGTAGCACAAGCCGAGAAATCATGGACCGTCTCAGGAACATCCGTGCTCTCCGCGTGGACCATGGCATTTATCGGATCTGTACGTCTACCTCCTCCGCATATCTCACTTACGTCTTCTGAGTACTGATGACTAGCTACTAATCATCGCCTTCTTCTGCTGGCGGCGGCATCGAGACCCCATGGTCCATCTCCCCCGATACCTCTCGCTGATCCACCGCGAGCCCGGCGTGGCGCCCAAGCGCGAAAAGGGGGAGTGGCACCCGTATGTCCCTTCTTCGAACCCCGCCAGCCTTCCCGAATCGCGCGCAGAAGAAGAGAGGGCGCACGCGAGGATCAAAATGCGAGAGGAGGAAGAAGAGGCTGAGCGGCTGGCAGCGAAGAAGTGGGGTCTAGGGGAGAAGAGCGAGGAAGTCAAAGTGGAGGTGGTGAGGAAGATCAAGGGGATGGAACTGCACGAAGCAGCGTTGGCGTGGTTGAGGCCTGCGTGGCGGGATTTCCGGGTCGAATTGAACGTTTTCAATAGAAAAGCAGCGGCCGAGAGGGACAGGCAGTAAGCCTTTCTTTCTCTGTCCCTCTCCTCGCCTCTCGTCCGTCCGTGACTCAGCTCACGCGGCAGACAACTAATCAGCCTCGGTCTCGACGCCTTCACATTCCTCGAGTTCCTCCGCCTCCTCCGCTGGCTCTTCGCCCTCGTGACAGTCTTTGTCGCCCTCCCCTTACTATGCGCCAACTACTTTATCAACACCCGCACCGAGTGGGGTTCCGCGCGAGATACGCTCAATACGGGGAGTGGGACGAGTGGGAATCTGACGACCGCGTTAGGGGATCTGCAGCTGTTTACGGCGGCGAATATTACGGGGAATGCGTGGTGGGTGCATATCAGTGCGGAGTTTGTGGTGACGATGATTGTGGTGATGCAGGGTAAGTGGACCGTGGAAAGAGACATGAAGAAGAGCTGATGAGAAGTGTTCATCTACTCTCGGAGGCACGAGCGCGCCATTGAGATCTGGAGTGACATGTGAGTATACCTTTTCCCTCCCCTTCTCGTCAGCTTACAGGCAGGAACGCCCGCGAAGTGGCATTCAAGACCATCCTCATCACAGGTCTCAACATCCCCGCCAAGCTCAAAAAATCCGACCGACTCACCGTCCTCGACGCCAAGAGGCGCATCAAGCTCACGATAGCCTGTCCGCCCGAGGAACAAGTCGAGATCACGATCAAACAGGAAAAGATGAATGAGTTGGCGGAGGCAATCAAGAGGTGGAATGAGGTCGAGAGGAAACGGGTCATGGAGCGGTTACAACCCTGGGCGGACGGGCGGATCGCAAAGGGTAAGACGAGCGGTGGGGGTGGGGGTGGGTGTTGGGGCTGGTTGAAGGGGGAGGGGTATAAGGTGAGCTCAAGGGGACTAAGATGTAGAGTTCAGAGCTGATTGTTGAAAGTCCGACGAGCAGATAGTGTGAGTATTTGAGTCATGCGTTATCCCGATATCGAAAGTAAGCTGATCAGGGCTCAGAAAAGAAGCTTTCCGGATACAGATCGCGCGGCAAAAGGAACAGCGCCGACGCCGGGAGAAGGAGGATACCTCCCTCGTTCAGGCAGACATCACTGCAGGTCCGCTTATGCTGGCCGACTGTCGTTAGACACGTGGAGCAGGAGCTGATACCTTAGCTTTCGTTACTTGGCCGACGGCTAAAGCCGCGCACAAGAAGCTACAAGAGCTGCATCAGCTGAAGGACAAGAAGTTCAAGGCTGAAAGAGTAAGCTAGCGTGATCTGAAGATCTCGTCTCATGATCGTAGCTCACGATACAGTGTCCTCGGAGTGTCTGCGTGGTACGTCTCCGCGCTCTGGGGTGAGTATCAAACTGACCTATGTAGCTCTGGCGAAACCTAGAGAAAGACCCCTCCACCATCGCCTCGCAGCGCATCACAGGCGCCATCGTCCGGTGGACCATAACCGCCCTAAACTCCATCCCCGTGATGTTTATCACCATACTGACCAATCTTGACGCTGTGAGCCTTCTCCTTCTTCCCAGCAACCTCATCCATTACCCTTCAATTGGCTCCATCTATCGCTGACGGAGTATCAGTACATCGACGGCAACCCGAAACTCCGAACCATGCGCGAAACCTCCTCCTTCTGGAACGCAGTCTTCACCGCCGCCGCGGGAGTCATCCCCGCCTCACTCGCTGCGCTGTTCATCATGGCTTTGCCTATCATCTTGCGCGCGCTAAGTCGGTTCCAGGGCGCCTTGAGCAGAGGTCAGCTGGATAAGGATGTTATCAGGCAGATGTTCGTTTTCTTGCTGGTGAGTACTGGTTTCTCCATGCTTTTCAGAGGGAGAGTGGGCAGACGTCGAGCTCGCGCTGACTTCGCAAGCTGTCCAAATTCGTTGTCTTCTCCCTCATGAGTATAGGATACGAGACGTACCTGAACATCGAGGGTCAAATCGGGAAAGAAGACGTCCGAACGATCTTTGCCAGCCTCGGCGACGTGCCCGCCAAGATCACGAAGGCGTACATCTCGCAAAGCTCGTACTGGCTGTCCTTCTTTCCGTAAGCAAGCAGTGCTGCCCCCCACCCGGGTTTAGAGCTGAGAGCTGGGGGCTGACGGGTCAGTATCAAGTGCGCGGTGGTGTGTCTCCAGCTCACCCAGCTCCCGCGGTATTTCCTGAAAGCTTGGGACTTCTAGTATGCTACTTCTCTTTTCCTGTACGGGTCGTGGGGTAGTGAGCTGACAGGGGGCAGTGTAGTCCGCGAGGCAAATACCAGAGACCGGTTAGAGGTAGCTGCGCAACCCGCGGAGTTTGAGGTGAGCTAACAGGCTCACAACCCCCTCCCCTTTCCGAGGTCAATCAGCTGACATTGCCCAGTATGGTATGTCATGCCGCACGCATCACGTCAGGACAAAGATGGACCATGCTAACCTAGATCCATCAGCCATCGAATACACCAACATCGTTAGCACCTCCGATCCAAGCTCCCGATTGACAGCCGCGCTGATCTCCCCAGCTATTCGGTCTCGTCGTCGCCCTGGTCTACACCCCGCTCGCGCCCATCGTGTCTATCTGCGGCGCCATGTACTTCTGGACGGCTTCTATCGTCGTCAGCACTTCTTTCCATCTCCCGCCTTCACATTCCCAGCTGACAAGGCAGTATCAAAACCAGCTCACCTTTGTCGAAGAAACGGTCGAGACGGACGGTAAAGTCTGGAAAGTCGTCATGAACCGTCTTCTTGTCGCTTTGAGCTTCATGCAGGCTCTGATGACACTGAGTAAGTCCCTCCTAGCCCCTCACTACCACCTCTCCGGCTTTAAGGCTCACATTCCAGCCGTCCTCCTCAAGACCCAACCTTTCGCAGATTCCAAACTCCCCCTCGCGCCTCGTCTTCTACCCACAATCTTCGCCTTCCTTCCTCTCCTCATCACCCTCCTTCTGGCGCGCCACGTCCGGGCCCGTCGTACCGCCGCGCAAATCATTTCAGACCGCTCCACTTCCGCTCCCTCCGCCTCCGTGGCCCGCGCGCCAAAATTCGAGCTCGATATTCTTCGTTCGGACGCCATCAAGCCCATCAAGATCTTCGAGCACCAGGAGGACTTGTTTGTGGAGTTGAGTAGGAAGAAGGGGATGGAGGGGCTGCGGAGGTTGATGCCGCAGATAGGATGGCGGATTAGGGAGCAGAAGATGGAGGCGTGGGGAGAGAAGGGGATTCAGAGGGGGGATGAGAGGGAGAGGAAGAAGATGGGCGAGAGAGAGGCGGAGAGGGAGAGGCAGAAGAGGAGGGTGAGGGAGAGGAGGGAGGCTAAGGGGAGGAAAGTAGAAAAAGGCGGGAAGAGAGGGAAGGGAGGGTCCGAGAGGGGGAGAGGGTATCGGCGACGAAGATAGCTTGGTTGGGTTGTGGGAACACTCGGTTGTATTAGAATACAATGAGTAGAACGGGCAAGATTTCGGACGGTCAATATGACCGTAGCCCCGGATAATCACCTTACCAAGCAAGCCTCGCCGCGACGCGCAGACGCATCTCGGAAATCGCTTACATGCTTAATATTGCACAGATCTATTCTCAGAGATGATAATTCGCCCCCTCTCCATCATCTAGGCGAGCTTCAGGGCGTTGCGTTACGTGCGAACTTGTTTTATAGGCAGAGCATTCGAGCAATGCCGGGCGGAGTGGTGTTTCGCGAAAAAGGTGGAGAGTGAGGGTGAGGTCGAGCCGAGAGATGAACGAAGTGAAAGGTTGACGGGGGCGAAGGGCGATGTATGTGCAGTCGAGAGCGAGGAAGGAGGAAGAAGGGGGATCACGGAGCCCAAGATCGGATATAGTAGGATGGTGGATTCCAACATTTAGGCGTCGGTGCCGTTGCCCTGGTTGACGCCTGGAGTGTCAGCTCAGAACATGTTTCAGATGAGAATCGAGCTTACGGCGTTCCTTCTCGGCCTCGAGCTGCGAGTAGAGGAGCATGAGGGCGCGTTCGGTCGATTCGGGGGTACCGACGATGGTGAACATGCGCTCTCCAGAGTCGTCGTGGGGGACTTTGGCGATAGAGATGCGGGAGCCGGAAAGACGACGGATCTCGGTGATCTTGGAACCGCCACGGCCACTAGATTGTCAGCTCTGCTCAATCTTCGCGACGATCTGCTTAGCTTACATGATGCATCCGACCATGTCGCTGGGAATGGAGATGTTTTGGGTGCGGAGGTTTGGGTCGTCCGCGGCCAGCTCGGGCTGCGGGGCGGGCTGCGAGACCCTACGCTCGCCCGAGGGAGCAGAAACGCTGGGACGGCTAGACCGACGGTCCGAGAAGCCGCCGTTGGGGGCGCTGGAGGGCGCACCGCCAAAGCCAGCCTGGACGCTGGTACGCCTGATCCCACCGGTGGGACCAGTGACGGTTCCCGATCCGAGACCGCCTGCGAGAACGCCCGCATCGCCCGCCGCTCCGGGGTGGTACTGGACCGTTCCCTGTCCACGCTCCCAGTCCTCCATGAGGCACTTGCCAATCTCCAGC